GAGACATACCTCTGGACTCCCCAGCAGTCCCTATCACTAGCCTCTACTTTCCAGACATATCAATGTTACAGGTGGAGGAGTCAATACTTCAGGTAGGAAACACAGCTCCTGGCGCAGACGAAATCCCAACCTGCATACTCAAAGTAGCATGGCCTTTAATTAAGGATAAGGTATAAATGCTATACCAAGGGTGTCTAAAGATTGAATATCATCTAAAATGCTTCCGACATGCAATTTTAGCAATTATCCAGAAACTAAAAAAGACTGATTGATCCTTGCCCAGATCATACAGACCAATCGCTCTCCTATCAGTTCTTGGCAAAGGACTCGAGCGCCTAGTGGCACGGAATATGGCATGGATCTCTATACACTACAAAGTATTAGCAAGACAACAGTTTGGAGCTCTCCCACTAAGATCTGCAAATGATCTGACCATATGCCTAACACATGACGTTGAACAAGCGCTAAATCAAGGCATGACTGCCTCACTCCTTACCCTAGATGTTAAAGGCGCATTTGACGCCGTGCTTCCTGGCAGACTGATCCGCAGATTGCGTGAGCAGGGCTGGCCTACTAATCTCGTCCTCTGGATCGCCTCCTTTGCTACTGGGCGATCAGTTCAGATCTGACTCGATGGAGAGATTGGCCCCTCAACAGACATTGCCTGCGGCCTTCCACAAGGATCCCCAGTATCTGGCATTCTATTCATGCTCTATATAGCGCCTCTATTCTGTCTAGGAAACCCAAGGAACAAATTTGGCTATACCGATGACACAGCTAACCTGGCGATCTTGACATCCCTTGCTACTAACTGCGAAGCCTTATCAGACTTACTTCAAGAAGCTCTTAACTGGGGTGCTGCAGAGGGTATTACTTTCGCACCAGATAAATATAAGTTTCTTCACTTCTCTCGATGAAAAGCAGACCAGGACCCAACCTGCATACCTTCAGTAAAAGCTAGATCTATTACAGTCTCAGAAAATACCAAACGCCTATATCTACGTTGGCTAGGAATCCTCTATGATAAAAAGCTCACATTTAAATAGTATGTTGGTGAAACAGCATCTAAAGCCCTCACTATAGCTAATACCCTTCGCTCTCTAGGGAATACTGCCCAAGGAGTTAAACCCTATTTACTATAGTAAGCTGTATTAGCCTGTGTACTCCATAAAGCATACTATGGTGCTGAAACCTGGTGGCTAGGATGTACTCACCCTAGGCCTACCCAGACTTCAAACTGAGTTGGCGAACATCTTAAGAAACTAACTAAAGTAGTACTAACAGGCGCAAGAGCAGTCCTTCCAGTTTTCCGCATAACCCTAATATCTGTCCTTTACTGGGAGTCTGGATTCTCTCCACTAGAAATTGAACTAGATCGAATAGCCTTCCTTGCAACTGTCCGCCTATGGCGTCTGGATCCTTACCACCTACTTCGAAGACGCGCGGAACAGGTTGCCAGTAATAGCCGACAAACCAGCCGATTTGCCCGCTGTATACTGGCCCTCCCCAACTCTGAGCAGATAAACCCTCTCCAATATGCTCCCTGGCACCCTCGCGAGACGCGTGAGAATGCTCAAGCTCGAATAGGAGCTTCCATGGGATACAGTAAGGAATAGGCAGTGGCTGATTTTATAGCTTTTCAACGCACCATCCCTAGCTCTGATATTATAATCTTTTCAGATGGATCTAGACTAGTAGACGGACGTTCAGGAGGAGGTTACATTGGATTTCAAGCACACAATTAGTTCCTCCGCTCCTCACTCTTATATGGACATGGGAAAGAGGTCTTCGACGCAGAAGCAGAAGCTGCCCTAGCTGGTGCCCAAGCAGCAATAGCATACCCAATAGCTCAATTTGCTACTAACTTATGGATCTGCCTTAATAACTTAGAAGTTGCCACGCGCCTTCTATCTCTCTCTACCAGATCTTTTCAAGAAGCCTTTAAATCCTTCCGCACCCTTGTAGCTGGCTGGCCACTACGTGAAAGGCTTCCACACACCAAAAGTGGATTAGTCCAAATCTGATGGGTCCCTGAACACACTAAAATCCCTAAGAATGAAGCAGCAGATTCTGCTGCTAAAGAGGGAGCTGCCTCTACCCCCCCCTCTCCATGCAAGTCCTTATATGCCTCGCTAAAGAGACATGCCAAGACTTAATCTCTCTCTGCTGCCCAGACACGGTGGTAGACTATAGCACTATAAACTTACCAAGATCTAGAAATAACTACATCTCCTAAGCGCCCTAGAGAGCTTTAACTTAACCGACTTGACCTTGGCCATATCATTGCAGCCTATACTGGACATAGAGACTTCGTAGACTACCATGAATGTTTTAATCATGATAATGCTTATCTCCTCTGTCAATGTGGAGCATAAAAAGCACCTCTACATTTCTTCTTCTGCTATATAGCTAAGAGACGAGCCCTCGTCCTCCTGGACCTTCTTCTAAGGTCATATCCTTCCTTCTAGGCACCGCGAAAGGAGCACAAAAACTAGCTACATGGCTAGCAGAGACCCGTTTTTTTGAGGATATCTGTCCTCGCCAACCTCTCCTTAGCACCTAGCTAAGTCAGCCCTACTTTTCCCTTATATCTCTCTTTTCCCTCTTTCTTTCTCTCTTTCTTCCCTTCTTTCCTTCTTTCCTTCTTTCTTTTAAACTCTCACTGCTTGATTACTATTATGGTAGAGTTATGGGTCATGGAGCGTAGATGGACCATTGCAGCTGGCAAATATCTAAAACCCACTCAGAAGTGGACCTCCCTATAAGACCACGGCAGCTATGGAAATGCGCCAAAGAGTCCCTTATTTGTATATAAATCTGATAGGACCTGAAGCCCGAGGTTTACCCCTCGGCGGCCTATGTCCCAGTAGGGATTGGTGGAAAGCGTGCGAGTCACGATCCACGGCCGTTAAATACACACACACACACACACACACACACACACACACACTCAGTTAGTTCTAGTCCGTGACCTACCACCTGCTCCCAAGAGTCACTATGAAGTGGAAAAACATCCTTTAGGTTGGTTATTTGAGGAGGCTGAGAGAGATCACCTTAAAAGTCATGATCCATCTAGCTCTTGGATAACGGTGCCTATTGGTAAGGCAAAAGGAAAGCAGATTCTCAATTGCATGTGGGTATATATCTATAAGTAGGACAAGAAAGGTCGTCTAGTCAAGTGCAAGGCACAACTTATGGTAAGAGGTGATTAAGAGAAAAGAGATGATACAAGGGACATGTATACTATTACTCTTGCTGCGAGATCTTTTAGGACATTTATGGCTATTACTGCACACTTCAATCTAGAACTCAAGTATTATAACGCTGTCAATGCCTTTGTTAATGCTATACTAGATAAAGAGATCTTTATGAGAATGGCTCCTAGATATCGTGAGTCTGGAAAAATATATCAACTGAAGAAGGCTCTCTACGGATTATGTAGATCACCACTCCTATAGCAAAAGAAACTTACCAGTACTCTCACAAAGTTAGGGTTTAAGGCTGTGCCTCACGAACCATGTTATATGTTGAAATCTGGGATCATACTATTCTTTTATGTAGACGATATCGTTATCACATATAAGAAGAGCCACCAACTAGAAGCTGACTCAGTCATGAACCAACTTCATGCCAAATACAAAATATCCGGAGAAGGAGACCTGGAGTGGTTCTTAGGTATAAGAGTTATATAGGATTGAAGTAATAAGGTGATCTAGCTCAGTCAAGCCACCTATATCAATAAAATTGCAAAGTTAGCCGACACTCGACAAACTGATGACACACTAATAGCTTGAGAAGAATTACTCCTATATGAAGGAATGGCCACCTATAAAAGTAACCATCAATATCAATGGAAAGTTAGCTTAATTATGTATATAGCAGTAAGCACTCAACCTGACATAGCTTTTGCCATCTCACGGCTTTCACGGTTCTTATTAAATCCCGGACTAAAGCACCATTAAGCTGCTGACAAGGTTTTATGCTACCTTGAACGTCATCATATATATACCTTGAGGCTTGGAGGAGGTGAAGATTATTCAGTGTTAATAGATGTCTCCTTTGCAGATAATACACTTAACCATAAGAGCTCGCAAGCATACGTCATAACACTTTTTGGTAAAATAATAGGATGGCAAGCAAATAAGCAGGATACAGTAACAATGTTAACCACTGAAGCTAAATTATTAGCTCTTGCTTAGAGAGTGAAAGAAGGCAAATATGTCCTTCAATTACTTCTAGAGTTAGAGATATAGTTTAGAACACCTACTCTTCACATTTTCTGCAATAACCAGCAAACTCTAGGATTGCTAAAGAAGGACGCTCCGCGATTGCGTACAAAGCTCTGATATATTGATATTCATAATCACTAGGTACAACAAGAGGTGCAGAAGGGAGACATCCAAGTGCATTACACGCCCACAAAAGATATGATTGCAAATGGCCTGACTAAGGCACTTAGTAAACAGGAACACTAAAAGTTTCTCAATCAAATCAGAGTAGAGGATATTAACAGCTATCTCGCTCCCCAGCAAAAGGATATAGAGAACCCAGATATCGAAGAATTGCTTTCTCTCAATAATATGCCCAACAACTTATAAAGCTATTCCAGCCTTGCAAGCAGTTGCTTTCTGCAGCTGAGGGGGTGTGTTAGATAAACTGGATGTCGGAAACTTCGGTCAAACTACCGTCGAGTATATCTCGGATAGCTTATAACACGCTGAAGTTATAAGGCTTCTAAGTACGAAAGGCTTCTTGAAAGCAAAGTCTTAATGAAAGGATGAATATCCGGTTCGATAGAAGAACGTATACTCAAGTTGTCAAAGCTAAGGGGTACTTAGCACGGTTAATTCAAGACGATAGAATAAACTAAATACACAATAAACGAGTGTCCTTATATATTCCATCACCATCATAGAATCCATAGAAATCCTCTGATTTCTCTGATCCTCGGATCATAGCTATCATAGAATATCTCTGATATCTCTGATACCCTAACCCTAATGGTTACGGATAATCCTTGCTTCCGTAGTGCAGTAGTGTAACACTATCTAATCAATCCATTGGCGACTGGCAACTCTCTAAAAATAGAAAAACCTACCGATCGGATCGGACCGGAGGGATACATGTGCCTGGGAGCAATCGAGAATTTGAACAGGAGGTAGAATACGCGATAGCTAGCACTCGATTCAGCTCTAGGAGCCGAGCCGGTGATGATAGACGCAATGGTGGAGGAGCTAACAACAACGCGTTCAGGACGCATAATAACACCCTCAACAAGGGTCCGAGAGGCCTCAGACAGCGACAATATCAGCACTGTCAGAACATCCAAGAAATCAATGACTTAAGTGGAATTAATAGCGGTAAAAAAAGCCGCTAGCCTTATTAAAGAGAAATAGAACAGCAAAGATGGAAACAGGGACATGCTTAAGAAGATAGGCCAATACCTGAAAAGCACCTATCAAGAGGTCAAAGGACTAAAAGAAATCATTATTAAACAAGGAAAAATAATCAAGGAGCAGTCTAAAATAATTCAAATACAGAGCAGTACAATTCAAGCACTGCAGATCTAAGTAGAAGCAATTGAAAGCCAATCTATAGAAGAATGCAAGCAACTCTAGGAGCAGCTAGACACTATCGTGAACACTCCAGCTAAGGCAATATACGTGGCCATAATTGATAGACAATCCGGACATCAACGAGATATACTATTAGTCCCCCTAGCGCCTCCAACATCGGCTAATACGCTATTCTGCACTATCAACACATCCCGCGTTGGAGACAAAGACAAAGATAAGGTCTAGATAGCTAATATTAGACAACAGATTGAGAAAGAGCTACAAGGAAATGAGGAAACAAGAAACTAGCATTGCACAGCAATGATTAAGGACCCGAAGAATACAGACTGAGTCAAAGTGATTTGTAGGCATGAAGATGAGATCCAGCAGGTCAAAGAAGCTGCACAAAAGATTAATATACTAGGAATAAGAGTCCTATGAGACCAGCTGTACCCAGTTAAAATCGATAATGCCAACCAGATGGCCATACTGGATGCGGATGAGAACATTTTACTAGGAGCAACCGAGGCCTTAGGGAAGGAGAATAATATCAGCATCGCTAAGATCTCCTGGCTTAGCAAGAAGGACTCTAACAAAGCATATGGATCTATGGTAGCATATATCACAAAAGGGTCCGACGCTAAACAGTTAATAGATAGCAACTATTTTAATATAGCAGGAGAATCTGCCTACACTTGAATCTTTGAACCACGGACAGGACCAATCCAATGCTTCAACTGTCAGAATATAGGGTATAAGGCCTATACTTGTAAAAAGACTCAGACCTGCACTAAATGTGCAGATAAGGGTCATCACTACAGCACCTGCCAGGCTGTAATTCTAAAATGTGTTCCGTGTGGAGGACCACACAAATCGTTTAGTAAAAACTGTTGAGTACGCCTTATACAGTCTTATGCATAAATCACTTCGTGTACTACAACTCAATGTGGGCAAAAGGGACACAATATAGCAAAGCTTGATAAATGACAACAAAATTAGAGATTACAGAGTAATAGCAATATCCAAGCTATACGCGCGGATAATTAAGAATACAATAATAACGAGCCCAATGGGACACAGCTACTGGACAAAAATGACACCAACAGAAAGATATAAAGGAAGATGGCCAATCCAGAGCATGCTATAGATTCAGAGTAACATTAAGACAGAACAGATCCTGGTGGCATCACCAGATCTGACGGCCATAATACTACAACTGCCAGACCAGGCAGTGTTAGTGGTCTCAGTCTACGTGGAGGGAAATAATAAGGAAGCATTAATATCTACAACTAGGCTATTACATGACCTAGTAGTAGATATCCGTGGTAGAGATAGAATACGAACAGATGTTTTAATTGTAGGAGACTTCAACCGGCATGATCAACTCTAGGGTGGAGATCAAATATCCTCAGCGAGACAAGGGGAGACAGAAGTGCTAGTCAATTATATGACTGAGCATTCGCTTCAAAGTCTCCTACTAAGAGGCACAAAACATAGCATTTAGGGAATTTAGAAACAATGATTGACTTAGCCCTAGCATCAACAGAGTTGGCAGAAGAGATAGTCAAATGTGGGATACATTATATAAACCATGGATCAGACCATCAAGCTATTAAGACAGAGTTTGACATATCGGTCCCAGATCGACCCACCACCAAGAGACTACTCTAGAAGAACGCGCCTTAAGCAGAAATCAGAGCGAGAGTCATTACCAGCTTATAGGCGGTTTCTATGGATGGCTTAGTCCAGCAGCAGATGGATCGCCTTATAACAGCAGTCACAGAAGCAGTCTCAAAACTTACACCTAAGGCAAAGCCCTCACTATATACTAAACAATGATGGACGGCAGATCTGACACAGCTTCGCTATATATATATCTACTAGAGAAATTAGGCCAGATCGCGGCGTGGGGCAGGATATGTAATCCCCGAGCTTGAATAACAAGCACGTCAAGTGGCAAAAGAATATTATAATGCAATCAGGAAACAGAAGAAGGCACATTGGGAGGATTTCCTTGCCAATAACACCAATATATAGCAAGCAATCAAATATCTGAAACCTAGTGGTAGCTCATTCAGCAACAAAATTCTATTATTGGTGAAAGGAAATGGATTTACTACCAGAGATAAAGTAGAACAGGCGGAGGAACTACTTATAACATTCTTTCCACCATTACCAACAAGGATTGAAGATGAGGGAACCCAGCCACAAAGAGAGCTGATACATATGCCCGATCTCGCTATGAAAGAGATTAAATGGAAAGTCTTTAAAGCGAAGCCATGGAAAGCACCCAGAGAAGATAGCCTCCCAGCAATGGTGTGGAGGCAGCTCTGGCTGGTAGTTAAAGAAAGAGTATTCTGTATCTTTTAGAGATTACTCTAAGACAGCGATCTCCCTTCCTAATGGAGAAATGCTAAGATCATACCGCTAAAGAAGCCAGTAAAGAACAAGTACTTGCTTGCTAAGTCATAGAGACCTATATTACTGCTCTCGACACTGGGCAAGATCCTGGAAGCGGTTATTGCAGAAAGGATATCATATACTATTAAAATACACGGTCTATTGCCCACAAACCACTTTGGAGTAAGGAAAAGGCGCTCGGTAGAACAAGCACTATTATTACTATAGGAAGAAATCTACAAGGCCTGGAGAAATAAGAAGGTACTTAGCTTGGTCAGTTTCAACGTCCAAGGGGCATATAATGGGGTCTTTAAAGAAAGACTGCTGCAGAGACTGAAGGCAAGAGGAATACCTGATAAGATAGTTTAATAGATTAACACCTTTTGTTCAAGACGCACTGCAACTATTATAGTTAATAGGCTAACTAGTGAACAAAAGGAGCTATCTCAAGCAGGCTTACCATAAGGATCACCGCTATCCCCAATACTATTTCTCTTCTTCAACGCAGACCTGGTATAACACAGGATTAGCGCCTCAGGAGGGTCAATCGCATTCATGGATGACTACACGGCCTAGGCAACAGGCCCATCAGCAGAAGTAAACCATGATGGTATTCAAGTGGTGATCAACCGAGCCCTAGATTGGGAAAAGCGGAGCGGAGCCACATTTAAATATAATAAAACAGTTATAGTATACTTCACCTGGACTGCGAGCTATTCAAGCAGCATACCATTCACCATTAAAGGTGAAACTGTCAAGCCAAAAGACAGTGCAAAGATCCTAGAAGTAGTAATAGATTCACAACTACGCTTTGAGAAACATATTGCCAATGCCGCTACAAAAGGATTAGCAGCAGCCATAGCGCTGAGACAACTGAAAATGATAATCCCTTAGACTGCAAGACAACTATTCAAAGCAACTGTGGCACTGATGGCAGACTATACCTCAAACGTCTGGATGCATGCCTATGAAATAAAAGGGACACAGTACCTAAATAGAATATAAAAATATAGAGCGATTGCAGTTACAGGTGCCTTCCAGATAGTGGCAATGGCAGTGGCGGAGGCAGAAGTAGATATTTAACCATTTCACATACAACATATGGAGAAAGCAACAAAATTATAAGTCGACATCTAGACTCTACCTAAATTAAACCCACTAGTCAGATTGAGAACCATCGCCACCCAGAAGTTCCAATTACCGCTACAGAGGATCACTCTACCTCTCAAGACAACAAGAAGAGGAAGAATTAAGACTATACAGGCATTCACAGTATCACCGTGGACCAACTGGATACCAACAATCTGTAAAACAGACGAGGATAAAGCTATTAGCAATGCTAATAAAGCAGTAGGCATTCTAATTGCAACAAGTACATCTATTAAATCAGATAACGTGGGTATAGGAGGCTGCATAAGAGATACCCGAGCAAATGGGAACAATATATCTAGTCACTCAATCCTCTTGGGCAAAAGAATAGAACACAACCCTTACACAGCAGAATTAGAAGCAATAGCAACCTCCCTACAAGGTATCCCACATAGGACATACCAGAGATGCATATTTGTCCTCAGCAGTAATAGATTGGCACTGTCTATAATTAGCTAACCCCGTCAACAATCAGGTCAAAAGTCAATCCAGCGGATATACAAACAGGTTCAAAACTTACAGTAATAAGGAAATATAGTAGTCACAATTTGGATTCCAACACATTTAGATATGGCTATGAAATGGCAAGCAAAAGTAGAGGCATAAAAAGTAACCAGAATTGAATCACTACTAGAAAAACATCTATATTAAGCAAAATCAACAGCTATCCAGCTTGCTCTCGCAGAAAGACAATATGAATAGACCCTCCTAGAATGTGTTGAAAGATACTCCAGAACAGTGGATACAGCTCTTCCAGGAAAACACACAAGAAGCTTATATGATAGACTGAATTAGAAAGAGGCAAAGATTCTAGCCCAACTTCGGACAGGAATAACAAGGCTCAACAGCTATCTTAACCAGATAGGTGCAGCAGATTCAGATCTCTGTACCTGTGGCCAAGCAAGCAAGACGATAGAACACTTCTTATTCTGCTGCATGTAATGGATAGCGATGAGAGAAGATATAAATTAGTGCATAGAATCAAGATGAGGAAACCTATCCTTTTTCCTGGGTGGTAAATTGCATTCTGATCCAGATTGATGGCAATCAGATATAAAGGCTGTCTCCGCAGCAATCAAGTACGCAATCACTATAGGAAGATTAGAACTAGAACCTAAATCCAAACCTCAATCAACACAGTGAAAAGTGAAGCTAGTCTCCTACCTCCACCCTCTTTTCCCTCCCTAACTCTTCCTCCCTTCTAGAGTAGATCTTGCTGCAGCCGCCGAAGATAGAACACTGCACACTTGGAGAAATTAACCTTTAAGATTATCTACCAGCCAACACCTTAATAAGGGAGCTCTTCACAAGCTAACCAAAGAAGCCAAACACCAAGCACACACATGTTGAAGCAAACTTATAGGCTACCGCGAGTTCATGCCAGATTGATTGATTGATTCATTAAGCCGTCCCAGCCGCCCCGCAGGCAGCTATGCGGCATGTGTCCTAATCCTGACCGCCAGCTCCGGTCCTATATACAAGAACTAACTATGTATCTAAATAATTTAGAATGAAACAACAAGCTGGTGTATGCTTGCTAGAGCACATTGCTGCTGCTCCAGCTGGTATAGTGACTGTTATACCCTTGAGGACTTACCGCTCTGCTAGATATCTAAATCTATGCTCCCAAATTGCCTAAGGAGCTTGGTTTCCAACATGAATTTTGCTGCCCTAATGGTGTATTTTCCCTCAGAGAGAATCTTCCTTGCATTGGACGACCATGTCCCCTCATTCTTCTACGCATTACGCTCCTCCTTGAACCTGGGACAGCTCAGTAAGATATGTGTGACTGTTTGTGCTCCACGTTGGCACTGGCATTCTCCGTTGTCGATTCCCGGAATCTTTCTTTTGTATAGGAAATGCCGCAGGCTGATATTACCTGTCCGCATCTGTGTTAGGATAGATGATAGAGGCCTGCTAAGTCTGGTGTGAAGCTCTATATTCTTCTTTGATGGTTTATCCATAACCCGGAAGAGAGTATGGCCTCGTTAATTCTGTTGCCAGTTCTGTTCTCACTGTTTATAAGCTAGGGTCTTTAAGTCTCTCTTGAGCGCTAACAAAGGTTGCTGGAGCCCAACTAGTCTTGGAGCTGTGCTGTTCATATCCAATGGAACCTGTCTCCCTCTATTATTCTGCACCAATCTCCATCCAGTTGCCTCCTTTGCTGCTATGTCCGCTCGCTCATTACCCTCAATTCCCTGGTGGGCCGGGATCCAGTGGATAGTCACCTGGACACCCTGGCTCCTGAGCTCGTCCCATTTTTCCGCAATGCTTCCTAAGATCTGTTGGCCTGTCTTTTGAGCACCATTAATTGCCTAAATCGCAGCCTGACTATCACAGAAGATTATCATCTTTCTTACTATCCTTTGCTGTACCATCTCTAGGGCTATATGTATTCCAACCAGTTCCGCCAAGAATACATTTGCCTCTGGTGTTCTTCCTACGAATGTTTGTCTTGTAACTGAGAGGCCATATTGGATGGCAGATGCCCCGACTTTCCCATTAATAGTACTACTGTCAGTATAGATAATAAGACCCGGGTTTTGTTAGAGAATCTAGTTATGGATGGACCTTGCTACCTCCATGTTGGTAGCTATATATGTCCGAGGTGGTTCCTACTAGGGAAGAGTTAGGAAGGGATATCTCTATTCCACATTCCTAACTCTTTTAGGTCCTAATAATGTTTCACACCGGTGCTTATGTCTCTCTAGTGGCCCCTATCTGCTTGGGAGATTGTGCCAGTCTTTGAGGTAGCCATCCCAGATTCCCTCTCTCCAACTCTGCTCTAGAGTCTTATAGGATGGTGTAGAGTGAATCTGGAGATATGTTTCTGCCGTAATCTTGTTTAAATGGATTCAAATCGGAAGGAGAAAAGCCTCTATGTCGAGTGCTGCTCCTAAGATGATCTTGAATGCCCCTGTGATAATCCTAGCTGCTTTCTTTTGTATTGCTTCTAGCTTGCCTACTGTCTTCTCCCAATGGTTATCCTCTGAGTTCAATGGGGCGTACCAGATCGATGCTGCGTATGTTATTTATGGTAGGATTATGGCCTGGTAAACTTGTCGTAGTCCTTTATATCCTGTACCCCAGGTGGATCCTGCGAGGCTACTGAGGGCTCCCAGAGATTTGGTCATCTTGGTTTCAATGTGTTCGATATGGCCGTTCCAGTTGAGCTTATTATCTATAATAAGTCCAAGGATACGGCACTTAGGAACTGGCTTCACTTCTCGGCCGTCCAGCCAGACTGGGTGTTCCTTGTCGGTTATTTTGCTGTACTTGCTGAGCAGATGGATCAGCTTGAATTTTTTAGGATTGAATTTTGACGCGTGTTTCTCTTCCCATTTCTTGCACTGTTCATAGATGATTTCCAGCTTTCTGCAGTTTTCTTTAGTTGAGCTTCCCCATGTAATAATATTTATATCATCTATCTAACCCACTGCGCTGGTGTTGTTGCTTGGGTTATAGCACTTTTCAATTAGGTCTGCATTAAAGAACAGATAGAGAATAGGCGATAATGGTGATTCTTGTGGGATGCCCATTTCAACATTTAGAATTCCTGAAGTTGCCTCTCGAAGTTTGATCGTGGTTCGTCTCTCCGTAAGGAAGCTGGCTATCCAACTAACTACCTGTAGATTAATTCTTTGTTTCCTAAGATTGTGTAGAAGCCGAGGGTAAGAGACATTGTCAAACGCTCCTAACACATCTAATAAGAGAATTAATACAACCCCTCTATATACCTTCCCATTCAGTTCTATGTTTATCTTCTCCATTAACCAGTGCAGTGCATGGTCTGTAGAAATCTCCTTTCTTCCACCTATATAAGTCAGAGGCAGTAAAGAGTACCATTCCGCCAGTGCTGAGAGGCGCCTTGCAATGATTTTCTCTAGGATCTTACCTAATGTGTTAAGGAGTGCCACAGGTTGGTAGAATTTCACTTATGTATAGTCTTCTTGCCCTGGTTTGCGGAGAGCAACTGTCTCTGCCATTTTAAAGTGTCCTGGGCAATATCCGAATGTGATACATGCATTGAAGAGTGGTATAAGGATTGGCCATAAGATATCCTTAAGGATTTTTAGTACCAGATTAGAGATTCCATCTGGGCCAGGGGCCTTGCGTGTTGCCACTGAGGATAGGGCCACTTGCACTTCTCTCAGCGTAAATGGGGGCCAGTCTACTGGATCAGGGTAGATATAATCTTGCAAATCTGAAAGGTCTACTTCCTTCATCCGTGGGAAGAAGTTCTCTTTTAGGAGTGCGATCTTATCCTTGGTCTGCGTCTTCATCGGTCCTAGATCTGCCTGTAATGAAGGAGTGAATAATTGGCGTGGCTGACGGTTCCTGGCCCATTTAGCTAGTCTCTAGAGTCCTGACTGCGTTTCTATAGCTTCTTGAATTCGTTCCTGGTGATTCTTTCGTAGCAATTTCTTAATTAGGCGCCCTTTAAGATTGCGAGCCACTTGATATTCCTCCCATGCCTCCTTAGTGCGAAGTAGCTAGAACTGCCGACGAAGCCTTCTTGCATGTATCTAGGCCACTTTAATCTCCGGTGTCTACCTGGGTACTAATCTGGGGCATACTTGGGACTCTAGGCAGTGGTGTTCAATGGCCTTATCAATAGTCTGTACAATGTGATTGACTTGTTCATTGATATCCTTGCTCCCGTCCAATCTCTTGTCAGTTTGAAGGTTCTTTTGCACCTCTTCTTAGAAGTCCTTCTCCCTTAATTGATTCCATAGTCTCCTTTTTCTCTCTGGATGTCTGGTGGTGGTCAAGCTTAGGAGAGTTGTGATTGGAAGATGGTCAGAATCATGGTTAAGATCATTGCCTGCAAGACCACAGCTAATGATGCTCTCTGAGAGCAACCAGGTTCCAAAGACTAAATTGATCGTACTTGGTTCTCCATTGTCTTGCCTTGTCTTTGTGCCTACCGGCAGTAAAAGTTCCAAGTGGTAGTCCGTGATCAATTCTAATAGATCTGTCGCTCCTTCTGATGTCTTACAGCTCTGTACTCCCCCCCACATCGGATGGTGGAGATTAAAATCGCCTATGAGTAGATGTTCCCCTTCTCGATTGCTCTCTAGTGCCTTTCAGAGATCCGGTAGCGTGCTCGGTTGGTTCTCATTTTGACTTTCAACTGGATTGTATATGTTGTGGATATGAACTGTCCTGGCCTCTTTCCCATTTTTGAATTGTAGATGTAGTGTATCTAGGTCTGGCGTATGATAGGTGTGTGTCCATGCTTCTCTTAACTGACTGTTGATGAAGAAGCAGACTTGTGTATTCGGTTGTTCATTGTAGACTAGATCAAAGCGGTCTTTAACCAGGTGATATATAGTGGTCTGGAACTGGTTCCTCCATAGTTTCTAAATAGCAATGATATCGTATTTCCATACATTCTCATCGGCCAGTAATGGAGCCATTACCCTTTCACGCGATTTGTTGACATTATATTGTAGGACTGTCAGTATCTTTCTAATCATCGAGAGGTCTAGTTGACATAATAGATTCCTGAGATGTTATAATTCTGTCTTCTGTTGTAGCTAGCAGTGCCTATTTCTTGCTTGTTCCCGGCATGGGGAGAGCGTTGCGATCCAGTTCCTGGAGCACTCTTCTCATAGTATCACCTGTTCCCTGGTTTCCATCTATCCTTGTAATCTTCCTAGGTGATCGTCCTCTCTTCTGGTTTCCTGGAGCATTAAGAGTAGCTGCTACTCCTGTAGCTTGGCTATTCTCCTTTGCTCCGCGGTGTGTCTCCCTGGATTGTTTGGGTTTTCCTGTGAAATTCCCTCGTCGAAGTGCGGCCTCCTTATATGTATATGGCATATTCATCCTTCTTTCCTCGATTCTAGCTAGTTCCTCTTTCCGGTCTTCGCATTGAATGCTCCATGATAGGTGATTCTTAGAGTAGTTTGGACATATTGGCTGCGAGCCAGGTTTGTCTCTCTCTAGACACGCCTTAGTGCTATGCAGTCCCACACAATACCCGCATGTTTCCTGGGCTTTGCAATGAGTCTCTATGTGTTCATACTTTTGACATCTGAAGTATTATCTAGCCTTGCAGGTCTGGTCATAGTACTCGCAGTTAAAAATCTGTGCTCTAAACACAATGCTATTCTTAATTGCATAGTCTGCATCTTCTTCTTGGTCGAACTCCACGACCATGGTGGAGGCTCATTTCTCCCCAAGATTGCATTTCAATCATCCAGAGTACAGTACATTTGCTTATTCTAATGATGGATTATTCCAACGAATCTTTTCTTCAATTTCTGCTTTGTTGTGAGCTTCCACTTGTGTACTGACTCCATGTATAATAATTCTATATGATGGGACCTTAACTTTGGCTTTTTCTCCTAGTATCTTTTGCCAGTCCTCCCTATGTGCTATTATCAGCTCTGTGCTCCCTCTGTCGGATGTGAAGAGTATCAGGTCCCCACTAGGATGTCATTTCACCGCTAAAATTTGCGTTTTCTTTAAATCGGGGTCCTTGTGATTCGCTAATGCATTATTTATCTTTTGCTTGATTTCTTCTGCTGTTGCGCGTTGAGCCTGTCTTTCTACGTCTGTGGGATTCAGTTTGACTAGGATTTCCTGGTGACCCATCGATGGGCGTGTCTGCATGGTGGGCTTTACTATGTAGGGGTCCTTCAGTACTTGTGCATAGCTAGGGATAGTTGATTTCCTGGCCGGAGCTGCGAGGAAGTTCTTGATTTCCGTGATGTCTTTGCTGAGAATTTGCTGAGCGCGTGCCGTCGCATGGACTGCAGCGGTCAGTTCGCTTGTGGTTGGAAGGTCCTGTGTCTTCTGCAGATAGCTGATAAAGCTTTCGAGTAGTGGTTTAATCATATTCTAGTTCGGTGTGCGATTTTTGCCTACTGGATTGACTTGGTATTCCTTCAAGGCGCGTATGTCTGCTTCAAGTTGGATCGCGTGGTCGCGTATAGTTGATGGCTGGAGGCCCAGCTGTGGTGCATTTGGGCTGCCCGCCATGCTTTCTCGGTATTGGGCGATACCTCGAGAGCTGGCGAATAACCTGACACACAGTCCGAGCCAGATAAATCGGTGGTTGTGGAGTAATTTCAAAAATTAGGCTTCGACAGGTGGTGGTTGTATAGTTCATGCCAGATCTGTGGGAAATGATTATGTAATTAGCACACTAGTGCCCTTTAGGTTAGCACCTCCGGGCGTAATAAAATATCCATCCATCCTGTTGGATTATTACTAATCCGTGGGGGCAGATTCGGCAATGATTCCTAGCTTTGCTACGTGGAAAGTGTTCGTATTGGAAGTAGAATTAACAAGCAAAATTGTATGTATTCCCCCCTCCCTCTTTCTAAGAATTGAGGGTGATTCTATGTCTTTATATATTCCAATGCGGCCTCAGAGAAGTAAGGGAAATAACAACAGGAATTTCAGCTAAGGCAAAGCGAAGAATCCGAGTCACAAACATGAAACTATACAGGTTTGACCACTGTAGTTGATTGGTATCAAGGGGCATTTTGGCGATGTGCACTTTCTTAATTAGGGTCAGAGGTATCGTCCTGTCGACACCTAGTTATCTAACACATCCATCCATCCATCCGTATAGTGATTCGTAAGATCGCTATTCAAACACTGGCAGTCTTCTAAGGAGCAGAAATACAGTAAGGAATGACAATAGTTGATGCGGCAAAGGAAATATCAGAAGAATGAAGCAAGAGTAACAGGTGCGAACCAGGGTAAGGAATGACGGCCTATGGAGCCAGTGTAGCGACAGGTGTCGCGAATCGTACGTTCTTTGACTCGGAGGTGTGCTTTGTTGATGGCCTTTCGACCTAACTGTCAATATTGATGCGTAGCTTGTTCATATCGATAAGCTCTTGTAAAGCGCGACAGGGCTTGCTCTTGGTCATCGCGTTGGTAGGGTTGCTGTTGCTGTTAATCCATCTCACCTCCATGATCTCTTGTCGTTCGTACGATTGACAGAGGCACATGAGATCGATCATGAGGCGTTTTTCGCGGGTCGTACCCAACTTGACGAGGCATTCGTAAAGGCTCTTCAAGTTGGTGCAAAGGACTAGTGGGAGCGGCTCCGAAAGATGCAGCAGCTGGATGAGGGTTGATTTGATTGCTGCGGCCGTATCGAATCCATTGGCTATACCGTACATTTCTGAAGCGAGCACGCTTTAGGTAATCCTCTTACACTTGGTGGAGGACCAATGGAGGATATTCGCATTATTTCGTGCGTCTGCAAGTACGATAACGTAGCCAATTTGGGAAGAAGAGTCCTTGTTATTAGCAAACGAAGCATCAACGAATGCGTATAGTTTTGCAGTCCGTAGATCGATCTTGACGAACCGTAGCCCGCAGGTGGAATTGTCAATCTGCCATTGAAGTCATTTATTGAGCGCCTTTATATCCTCTTTTCCCGGTTGTGTAGCTTGCGCTGCGAAGGATAGATCAAACGAGGCTTCGGGTTGTGAGACGGAAGCAATATACATACCAAGGGCTCGTTGGGCAACGTACTGTTCGTGCGGAGATGCGTTTTTGCGAACCTTGCCACGGGAGCTGACCGTATCCGAAGGGTAATCTTATACGAGCCGAATGTTCTTACAGGTGTGTTCTTGGGTAAGAGTAATACCCTAGGCATCCTCTGTAATTACCGCACCATTGAATCGTAGTGATTTGCCAGTTGTGAGCTGTTCACGGGGCTTGCAAAGGATATTCGCATGTTTGATTTGCTCTTCTTCTTATGCGGCAAAGGCTTCATCAGCGACAATGAGTGTGTCATCTGTTTGCATGCCAATCACACCAAATCCTTGCTCTGGATTACAGCAGTGAAGGAGGCATGGATCGTACATGGAGATCTCCATGCCAAGTTGCTTGGTGTAGTGCTTATAGTAGGTATGAAATCAGTGATTGCCTGCTTTAGGGATGCTATATAATGGCTGTACAACTTTCAAGAATTTGCAGCCAGGGAAAAAGTGATGCAATTCAGGTGGTATTTGAATGTAAAATTCGCGGTTGAGCTTCGTCGTCGACTGTATATAGGCCTGCGTGACGTCGTGGATCTAGAACTATACTCTGTCTTTGCTTATCCCGATACAGAGAATTAGGCGTTGGCTAGAGTGCTGAATCGTAGGTGACTGCGTTAGTACGAATTCTTTGTCCTTGTCGTTATAGGCTTGTATGACAAGCCATGATTTCTCGAATGCTTTGTCGGTACCTTTATTCTTAACCTCATCGACGAACCTGAAGCCATAGATATGGGCATCTGGTGGGATATCCTCTCAATTGATGGCCATGAATATGCCTTTTTCCAGTAGTCTGGTAACCTCTTTGCGGCGCGATTCGTTGAACTGGCCGTCGCCAGTGAGCTATATGAGTTGGGTAAAGATATCTGCGATTTCCTTTAAGCACATGTCGTTAATCTCTTGCAAGTACGTGAGGTCATCTCAATAATGAGATGGTAAATGGTGCTCGCGTTAAGGACATAACAGTTGTGCTTTGGCGTTATTAGGCTTGAACGGTGGTATAGCAACTTAAGATATAGGAGTTAGTACATTTAATGGTGTCATAGGTGGTGCTTCCTCTAGAGCTGGCTGCTCGTCATCTTTATACTCTGAATCGTTATCTTTGTAGTACAGTTTGACGACAGTTGACCTAAACTTTGTAGGTCTATTAGGGAGCTCCACGGTGCACATTTCTCTATTAATTGATATGAGCTTGTATAGTCCTTTCCATTTGCTGGGGTATCCAGTCCCACCTTCACACTATACAAGCACGTCCGAATTGAGAGGAAGATGGTGCACGAGCGTAAACGATAATCTATTGCGAGTATTGAGCGCGTTGTTGACTTGGCGTACAGTATGAAGCCTTCATACTTTAGTCATTGCTTTCTTGACTATAGCAGCGCGTTAAACAACTGTGGATGTGGGAGGACTGTAGTCTGTCATTCGGGGGTACGCTCTAAAGACAAGAAGTATAGGAACATGGCCATCTAGACCTGCGGTATTGTTGACAGCTTTGATAGCCATTTAAAGTGCCATTTCAGGTGTAAGCTCTGGCACTTCTTCCAAAATGATCTTGTACGAGCGATGTAGTACAGCATGGTAACATTCAACAACACCAATTAACTAATGTGCTTTGATAGGAACGTTGACTGTAATTATACTAACAGATAAGGTAAGCTGTGTAAATTCTTTGCTCACAAAATTCTTTCCTGCGTTAGTAACAATAAAATCTGGAGGGCCAAGGTACATATCAATCTATAACATTCGTAGTGCATCCCATGTCGCTTTTACGGATATGCTTGTAAGCCAGCATGCAGCGTTAAAATGTGTTGCTTCATCCATAATATGGAGCACTGGCTTGCTATTGATATATATAATATCCACAATGATTAAATAGTTGAATTCGACCTCATCCCATAGTATAAAGCAGAAGCGGCCAGGTGATTTCCCATACGTCTGGCAATGGTGGCAAAATTTGTTGATCCTTTCTATCACTTTGGGATTTACATCATAGCCTGCGCGTAATAAGATTTTGTGTAGTTGTCCGACAGAAGAATGTCCAAATTAGCAGTGTAAACGATGTAGTTCGGTGGCTATGAGAAAGCATTGGTCTTCGTTAAAGGACTATATGATATACAATACAAGGGAGTAATCCCAAATGAGAAAAGGATGGCCAAATCGTCGTACAACTGGTACGGTTATGTATGGTTCGTCATGAACAAGGAGATCTTTCGTGTTATCATAATAAACCTTGAGGTGGTTAAGATCCTTGATATAGAGTAGGAAAGGTGTCATGGCTTCGACAATATGGAATCGTACGGTGCCAATTGGGGTCTTTATATTAATTAAATCTAGGGACTATAATGGTTCACCGGTGCTGAATCTGATGTTTGCTGCTCCAGTGGTTGAGGTATCAATTGTAATATTCTTGGTGACTTTTCGATATGCGAGATACTGGGCGTATCCAGCCATTGAGATCTCCGCAGTACTAGTATCAATAAGTAGTCCCATGAACGTGTTTGACAAGTATCAGGCTTCTGTGAGAAAGGCATATTTGGGTATGGTTAGATGCTGAAAGATTGATGTGAGCTTGGTATCGTCTTTTTCATTGTAGCCTAGGTCCGTTATACGGTCTTGTTGACTGCCTAGTAGGCATGAGAGATAGTGCGCTGCAGAACGATTAGCGAGCTCGGCTGCGAGTCAGGGTAAGAATTTATTATAATCTATAGTGGCGATTGTAAAGTATCCTGTTGCTGTGCCTGGCTCAATCTTCTCGCGGTCTAGGAGGTTATATTGGCTGGGTTTGTCAATCTCAGTAAGGTACGATTCAAAGCTTTTACTAGTATCCTTTTTGCCTTCTTTTTATACAATATATTAGTCTATTACAGCTTTGTATGGCTTCCTAGTGGCTTGGCGTTCTTCCTTGGTATGCTCTGTAGACCAGCAGCCTGGCTTCTTACAGATATGGCAAACCTGCGGTGCATGATCTTGGGAGTAGCAGCGCGGTAAGCGACTCGAGTATCATAAGTTGCTTCGTTCTCGTGAGCGGCCTTGCCTATATGATGAATGACCTTGATGCGGCAAACGTGATGACTAGCGGGTGTTGTAGCGGTGGTCCATAAAGTTAATGCTATGAATGTTACTCTGTTATTTATATTTATACTGTCTTATATTCGATTGAAGGTCCTGAATTAGGCCTAGTACAGTTGGCGCTAGCTTTACCATAGCCCAGTCATATGCTGGATGTGTGCTTGTTGCTTCAAGTAGCTTCATGTGCTAGTATGTCTGTGTTTGCAGCTCATCCAGTAGGCAATAAAATAAATCTTGTAGTTGCACCAGCATTGAATTAAGGCACTCATACACTGATTTCTCCGGGTTGGCCTAGATCATACTGGCTAGCGTTGTGGCGGACCATTCAGTTTTTATAGATTGCTGGTGCTCTGGTCCTTCAAAGTAAGTGATAATCTCTTCCACTAGATCCTTTCCTTGTACGATCCATAGGTCGATGTTGTCCCAGTAGTAGCTAAGGGCTGCGTCCCTGAGCATGTGTGGTAGTGCTTCTCTATATGATTTGGGGGTGTTGGGCAGTCTGCTCTGACGGCAATAGCCATAGAAGATCTTTAGCTTCCTTTTAAATGAGTCACCAGAGCCTTTATATTTAAGCTCGGATGCACTGTTATAGCTCTTACTAATATTTATAATTGCTTGTACAGCTGTATATTGTGGCTACAGCCATAGGCTTTATGTGTTAATATTCTGTTGCTCCTGCAATTTAGGGATGCCATATAGCTAGGCTATTGTTCCTGCGGTTGTACGAGATGCTAGGGCTGGTGTGAATGGGGTCAAAAATCTTGTCGCTTGGTACAGTGTCTCTGGGGCTGCATTTGACAATAGTGCCGGGTCTAAGTCTGACCTTGATCTTGTTACAACTCTGGTATGAGCTCTTTGGTACGGTGTAGGTGTATCCGGGACCATACGAAGGTGGGATTCTGGTTCAAGGGTCGTTGTAACAATTCTTTGCGGTTGGGTATTGGTAGCGATTACGGACGTGAATCTGGTATTTATATCTGATAATTCGAAGGTTCTACTCTTTTAGAGGTGTGCAATAACCTCAGTTTCGGTCCACTTATAGGGCTCTCGCTGGGCGGCAGCTGTTGCTACATTTTCGGCAATAAGATAACCTTTCGTATCGTCAACATACACGCCGTTGCTCTTGAGTAAAGTGATAAGCTTGCTAAGCAGTAGAAAAGACGTCTGCCGGAGGTGATCAAGGCTCCATTTTTCAAAGTCTTGTTTGAATATAGTCTATAGAACCACGTCCTCTGCCTCTTTATACTCCTTCAACTTCCCTTCAATGTATGTGTCACGTTGGGTCCGGTTCTTGCCCTCAGGGTCGAATTCGTTTGGATTTGTATTTGGGGCCATTGTCGGGTTGATATAAGGGGTCGGTTATATCAAGAATTCAATGTACGAATGAACGTCTATCGAAAGGAAAAAGGTTTAGGTTTTTGGCTTAAATTAGGTGTCTGATCTGCAGCCACTGATCAGTGTTGGTTTAGCTACGTCCCGTATCACGAAGCGTAGGATATCGTAAGCTAGGGCGATCCAACTGCCCTACGTGGTGAGCCTTGCTATATAGCACGAAATGTAATATTAAAAAAGACTGACCCCCGAAACTAGGGGGGGGCGGGGTGCCTAGATACATTATATGGTGTTGGTCGCTCTAGCGCACGGAGAATAGTAATCCCGACCAGTTCGCGTACGAATTGACGGCGTGCTACAGCGCCGTATAGTGATTCGGAAGATAGAATTGGAACCCCATCTGATACGAGGGACAGTTATTTTGACAATTCGACTGTTATTTCGACAATTCGACGGTCATTGCGACAGTCGGCTCGACGACCAGCTGGGGATGGCGGACGCGATGGTGGAGGAGCCAGCGACAACGCGTTCGGGACGCATGATAACACCCTCGACAAGGGCCCGAGAGGCTTCGGGCAGCACCGACAGCACTGGCACGGTTAGAACATCGAAGAAATCAATGACCCAAATAGAACTCACGGCGGTCAAAAAGGCAACTAACCTCATTAAGAAGAAACAGAGCACCAAAGACGGAAGCAAGGACATACTAAGAAAGATTTACCAGTACCTGGAAAGCACCTTTCTCAAGGTCAAAGGGCTGAAAGAAACTCTCAGCAAACAGGAACAGATGATTCAGGAACAGTCTAAAATGATCCAAGAACAGAGTGTCTCAATTAAAGAGCTAACGTAATCCACAAGCGAGTTGGCCACACAAGCGAGTTGGCCACTTTTCCCGAAAACGCGCTCTATTATTGATTTCAAATCTCAATTTCTAACCACATACAAATTATATACAAAAGAATTAACTACTAGTACGATTTGGACATCCAGTTATTTTATGTCCTTCAATACCGCAACCACTGCAGCGGAAATGACGCCGTACAGGTGGATGAGAGACTGGGAGCTCAGGCTCGGCCGGAGCAGTAGAAACAGCTTGAGATGCCTCAATCTGACCTTGTACAAGTGCCTGAGCTTCCTCTCTGGTAATTCCATGATCATGGGATATTTGCTTTTTAGATTTTTGGCGTTTTTGCTTCTCCTTCTCATGTGCAGCCCGTAGATCATGGAGTTCCTTCTGTGCAATTGTAAGCTTATTAATACTCATCTCATAAGCCTTTGATGCCCGTGTAAACACTTCACCAATAGCCTCAGATGAACTTCTTGTATGCCGGCTTATTCTCTTCTTGGTTGTAGTCATTTGGCGCTTAAATTGACGTGCGTTTTGAGGGGTTTGCAAGCAGGATGATTGTGTATCACTTGATCGACTTGGAGGGGGTGTTGGAGTCTTCAATCGAACAGTAAGCTGTTGATAAACTCGATCTGGATTGAATGGTACTAATCCAGTTACTGTAAAGCTATTCCGAACAGTTTGAGCTTTGTATGCCATCGTACGAGCCTTTGGGAATGCAGTAAGAAAGTCGAGTTTATCAATATGGTTGAATCCAAGCCTCATTCGCTGCTCAACAAGCTGTCCATAATGTCGCTTTAAAACAGCAAAACAGCCAACATCAAGAGGCTGTAAAAGATGTGAAGAATGAGGAGGCATACAAACCGGAATAATATTATTCTCAGTGCATGTACGGTCAAATTCAGCAGTTAAATGGCTTCTATGGCCATCAAGAATCAACATCCGATATTTCCCCAATGTACGGCCATCAATAAGAGGGATAAAATGAGTTTTAAGCCATTCTAATCCAATCTTATCTGTCGTCCATCCATTATCGCTAATATTGATTTTCCAGTCGTCTGGAAGATCCTCAAACCAGCCTAGTCGAGTATATTTCTTTGCCTTAAAAATAATGTACGAAGGCAATGCCCACCCAATCGAATTAACTGCCTCAATTGCAGTTACCTATTCTCGGTCACCAGGCTGTAATAGCTTTGGCCGAGCATATCGATCGCTTCCAGTGATAACCTTTGTAGTCGCACAGAGTCCCATAGCAAAGCCAGTCTCATCAAAATTGTAGATATCTTCTGGCAAGATCCCATACTCTAATATAACCTCTCGTACGCGATCAAAATATTCCTGGATTATTTTTGGATCTTCACATTTGGCGCGTTCATAGTTATATTTCCGTGAGAACTTTGATTCAATCTCTGGGCGACGTTTGACAAGATTGTATACCCAGTTTTCTCCAACATGTTGGTTTCCGCGTTGTGAAAGAAGACAATTAGCTATATCCCGTACAAGAAAGTGTCGAGGAGGTAATCCACGTTTATCTAGATCTAAGATCCATCTAACAAGCGATTCCTCCTCAGATTGAGTTAATTTATGGCCATTGGCGCGTGTTTCAGCTCGATATGCCATGCCATGTAGTCTGTTTTGAAGTGTTGACCGTGAGACATTATAGATCTCTGCTGCTTTTCGTATAGAGTGTATTTTTTCATTTTTTAAATCGTAGATAGCTAACAAGATTCGTCCCTCTTGTTCAACTGAATTTTTTGAATTTTTATTGCGAATTGGCGGCATATTGACGTGTTGAATTGTGTAGAATCAATATAGAGCGCGTTTTCGGGAAAAGTGGCCAACTTGCTTGTGTGGCCAACTCGCTTGTGGATTACGTTACAGGCCCAGCTAGAGGCAACACAAAGCCAAAAGACAGAAGAATGCAAATAACTCCAGGAGCAACTAGAGACAATCTCATACGCAGGTGTGGTTGCTACCCGACCCCATCAACAGCAAGATGCACTACGCGGCCCGCCAGGGCCTCCAACATTGGGTAATATATTGTTTTGCACAATCAACACGTCCCGCGTAGGAGAAGAACATAAAGCGCAAGCCCAGATAGCAAATATTCAATAATGGATTGAGAAAGAGATGCGAGGGAGTGAGGAAACCAAAACCTAGCGCTGTGCAGCAATGATTAAGGACCCCAAAAATGCAGACCAAGTTAAAGTGATTTGCAGGAACGAAGATGAGATTCAACAGGTGAAAGAAGTAGCCTAAAAGATTAAGCTACCCGGAATAAGAATCCTATGTGACCAGCTGTACCCAGTCAAAATTGACAATACTAACTGGACAGCAGTCCTGGATGCAGATGGGAACATCCTATTAGGAGCAGCCGAGGTCTTGGGAAAAGAGAATAATGTCAACATTGCTAAGATCTCCTGGCTCAGTAAAAAGGACTCCTATAAAGTGTATGGATCTATGGTGGTATATGTCACAAAAGGAAGCGATGCTAAACGGCTATTGAGAGATTAATATTTTAACATTACTGGAGAATCAGCATACACTCAACTCTTTGAACCATCAGTAGGACCAGCTCAATGCTATAACTGTCAAGAGATAGGACACAAGGCCTTCTCCTGTAAGAAGGCTCAGACCTGTGCTAAATGTATAAATAAGGGACATCACCATAGTACTTGCCAGGCTATAGTCTTAAAGTGTGTTCCTTGTGGAGGACCTTATGAGTCATTTAGTAAAAACTGCCGTGTACGCCTTATATAATCTCATGTATAAATCACTCCGCATACTACAACTCAATGTGGGCAAAAGGGACATGATATAACAGAGCTTAATAAACAATGACAAGATTAGAGATTATAGGGTGGTGGCAATATCTAAACTATACGCACGGACAATCGAGAATGCCATGGTGACAAGCCCGATAGGACATAGTTACTAGACAAAGATGATACCTATAGAAAGACATGATGGAAGATGGCCAATTTGGAGCATGCTGTGGGTCCGGAGCAATATCGAAGCTGAACAGACCCCAGTGGAATCATCAGATCTAACAGCTGCAATTCTGCGTCTCCCAGACCAGAAGGTGCTAGTGATCTCAGTTTATGTGGAGGGAAATAATGAGGAGGCACTGATATCTACAATTAGGCGGCTACGCAGCTTAGTGGCAGACTTCTAGGGAAGAGGAGGAATACGGACAGATGTCCTAATAATGGGAGACTTCAACTGGCATGATCAACTCTGGGGCGGAGATCATATATCTCCTGCGAGACAGGGGGAGGCCAATGCTCTGATCAACTATATGGGTGAACACTCTCTCTACAGCCTCTTATCTAGAGGCACAAAAACATGGCAATCAGGAGATATAGAAACAACAATCGACTTGATATTAGTATCAATAGAATTAGCAGAAGAGATAATAAGATGTGGTATACACTATACAAACTATAGATCAGACCATCAAGTGATTAAGACAGAGTTTAATATATCAGTTCCAGATTGACCTGCCAATGAAAGACTGCTCTTAAAGAACGCGCCTTAGGCAGAAATCAGAGCTAGAGTCACTGCCAGCTTGCGAGCAGTTCCTTTAGGGGGCTTGGCCAGCTGCAGACGGATCGTCTCATGACAGCAGTCTTGGAAGCAGTCTCAAAACTTACACTGAAAGCAAAGCCCTCACCATATGCTAAGCGATGGTGGATGACAGATCTGACGCAGCCTTGCCGCACTTATACCTACTGGAGAAATCAGGCTAGATTGCGGCGTAGAGCAGGATGTACAGTCCCGGAGCTCGAACAACAAGCACGAGAAGTGGCAAAGGAGTATCATGACACAATCCAGAAACAGAAGAAAGCTCACTGGGAAGACTTCCTTGCGGACGATATCAATATATGGCAAGCAACCAAGTATCTCAAGCCTAACGGTAACCTATTCAGTAACAAAATACCATCATTAGTAAAGTCAGATGGATCTACTACTAAAGACAAAATAGAACAGGCTGAAGAGCTGCTCACTACATTCTTCCCATCACTACTAGAGAGGATTGAAGATGAAGGAACTCAACCACAAAGGGAGCCAATACACATGCCTGATCTAACCATGGAGGAGATTAAGAGGAAAGTCTTTGAAGCTAAGCTATAGAAAGCACCTAGGAAAGACGGACTCCTAGCTATGGTGTGGAGGCAGTTATAGCCAGTGGTTAAAGAAAGAGTATTTCTTATCTTTCAAACATCACTACAAGATGGTGACCTTCCGTCTCAATGAAGAAATGCAAAGATCATACCACTGAAGAAGCCAGCAAAAGACAACTACTTACTAGCCAAATCATGGAGACCTATATTATTGCTTTCCACGCTAGGCAAGATACTAGAAGCAGTCATTGCAGAGAGAATATCATATGCTGCGGAAACATTTGGCCTACTACCCACTAACCACTTTGGAGCAAGAAAAAGGCGTTCTATAGAACAAGTGATTCTGCTACTTCAAGAAGAAATCTACAAGGCGTGGAGAAATAGGAAGGTCCTTAGCTTGGTCAGCTTTGATATTGCAGGAGCATACAATGGAGTCTTCAAAGAGAGATTACTCCAGAGACTCAAGGCAAGAGGAATACCTGACAAGATGGTCTAATAGATTGATGCCTTCTGCTCAGGACGAACTGCAACTATTACAGTCAATAGACAAATAAGTGAACAAAGAGAACTACCACAAGCAGGCTTACCACAGGAATCACCACTTTCACCTATACTATTTCTATTCTTCAACGTGGACTTAGTATAACATAGGATTAACGCTTCTGGAGGTTCAATCGCGTTTGTGGACAACTATATGGCCTGGGTAACAGGCTCATCTGCTAAAGAAAACTATGCAGGTATTCAAGCAGTGATTGATAGAGCCTTAGATTGGGAAAGGCGCAGCAGAGCTACATTTGAAGGTGATAAAACTACTATAGTATATTTCACCCGTACTGCAAGTCGTTCAAGCACTTTACCATTCAGGATTAAAGACAAAATAGTCAAATCAAAGGAAAGCACGAAGATCCTAGGAGTAGTGATGGACTCTTAGTTATACTTTAAGGATCACATTACCAATGCCGCTATGAGAGGACTAGCAGCAGCCATAGCGCTGAGAAGACTAAAAATAGTATCCCTATGGACTGTGAGGCAATTATTCAAGGCAACTGTGGCACTAGTGGCAGATTATGCCTTGAATGTCTGGATGCATGCCTGTAGAATAAAAGGGACACAGTATCTGAATAGAATATAAAAATATGGAGCCATTGCAGTTATAGGATCCTTCCAGACAGTTGTAACTACAGTGGCAGAGGTAGAAGCAGACATTCAACCATTTTACATTCAACATACAGAGAAAGCTACAAAACTTTGGATCAATATCTAGACTCTACTGAAATCTAATCTGCTAACCAGAGTGAGAACCATCGCTATCCAGAGGTTCTAGTCTCCGCTACAGAGGATTACTCAACTGCTAGCGACTATAATCAGTGAACGGATAGAGACTATCCAAGCATTTACAGTATCACCTTGGACCAACTGGATACCATCAATTTGTGAAACAGACGAGGATAAAGCCATTAGCAATGTCAACAAAGCAGTAGGCATTCTAATTGCGACAAGCACATCTATTAAATTGGATAAGGTGGGCATAGGAGGCTGCATAAGAGATACCCGGGTAAGTGGGAATAGTATATCTAGTCACTCAATCCTCTTGGGCAAAAGAACAGAGCAAAATCCCTACACAGCGGAGCTGGAAGCAATTGCAATCTCCCTGGAATGTATCCCACGGCAGACATATCAGAGATGCATATTTATCCTCAGTAGCAATAGATTGGCACTGTCTGCAATTAGCCAACCCCGTCAATAATCAGGCCAAAAATTAATCCAGCAGATATATAAATAGGTTCAAAACCTACAGCAACAAGGAAATGCGGTGGTCATAATTTAGATTCTAACATGCTCAGACATGACTATGAAACGGCAAGCAAAAGCAGAGGCATAGAAAGCAACAAGAATTAAATTACTACCAGAAAAATAGCCATATCAAGCAAAATCAATAGCTATCAGGCTTGCTCTTGCGGAAAGGCAACATGAATGGACTCTCCCAGAACATATTGGAAGATACTCCAGAACGGTGGATATAGCTCTTCCAGGAAAACACACAAGAAGCTTATATAATAGACTGAATTGGAAAGAGGCAAAGATCCTAGCCCAACTTCAGACTAGAATGACAAGGCTCAACAGCTATCTTAATCGGATAGGTGCAGCAGAGTCGAATCTCTATGCCTGTGGCCAAGTAAGCAAGACAATAGAGCACTTCTTATTCCGCTGCACACAATGGACAGCGATGAGAGAAGACATGAATCAGTGCATAGAATTAAGATGAGGAAATCTATCCTTCTTCCTGGGCGGTAAATCACGTTCAGACCCAGATTGATGGCAACCAGATATGAAGGCCGTCCATGCAGCAATCAAGTTCGCAATCGCTACAGGAAGATTGGAACCTGAACCTGAATCTGAACCTCAATTAACGCAGTGAAAAGTGAAGCTATTCCCCTACCTCCCACCCCTTTCCCTCCCTAACTCTTCCTCTCTTCCAGGGTAGATCTCGCTGCAGCCGCCGAAGATAGGACACTGCACACTTGGAGAAGATAACCTTTAAGATCATCTACTAGCCAACACTTTTAACAAGGGAGCCCCTAACAAACCAACCAAAGAAGCCAAACACCAAGCACATACATGTTAAGAAAACAACTTATGGGCTATCGCGAGTTCATGCCGGATCTGTGGGAAATGACTATCAGCCGGTTTCAAAATGTTTGAGACTCTTGGCACGGATTTCTTCAAAAATGTCGACACACGTACATTTTCCTACATATTTTAAACTTCACGCGAAACAACGTGCTAATACGTGTAATTTTATACAAAATCTCGTGTCAAATTTGAAGCCAAATTCGTTTCTAATTTGGGGAATTCAAATCGCGCGATATACCAAGTCATGGAGCTACCAAACCGACCTGCCACTGAGAACATTGCCCTTGAAGCAGGTCAACAAACTCGCCAGCTTATCCCACGCCCTCTTTCAAATAAGAGCAACGCCTTGTCTGGCGATAAAATTTCCCAGATTGGACGATATTTACGCCTGGGTTGGAAATGTGAAGCCATCGCGAGCGCCTGCAATGTTTCAAGAGCCACTATCTTCCGGTATCAAAGCAACCTCTTGTGGTATGGCAGCCTCCGGAAACCTGCTTATCGAAGCCTAGGACGAGCAAGGAAGCTATCTCAAGCAGACGAGGATGCTGTTTTTGAATATCTCCTTCATGAGAGCTGGCGGCAACAAGATGAAGTCAGATCCTGGTTATATTATGAGCGTGGTGTGGATGTTAGTGTGCCAACAATATCTCGATTATTTAAGCGCCGTAAATGGTCAAGAAAACAGCTTAAGCGAATCTCGTTAAACCGGAGTGAACCTCTTCGCCGTGCCTATCTTGATGATATACGCCAATTTGCAGCGGATGATCTTATCTTCCTTGACGAGTCGATATTTAACGAGAAAACGGGCTGGCGTCGACACGCGTATGCACCGATTGGAGATGATGCTGAAATAGATGCAGATATAAATTGGGGCAAGACATGGAGCATCTGCGCAGCAATGACGCTGGAGGGCTATCTTCCCTGTACTGGCATAAAAGATGGATATTATAGTACTGGTGACTTTGCGGATTGGCTTGAAACAAAATTGATACCAGCACTCAGCCAGATACACCAATTCCCAATGGTTATTGTTCTTGATAACGTCAAGATCCATACACGCGAACACGTTAGTCAGATTATTGAGAGCGCAGGACATCTTATTCGATATTTACCACCATATTCACCCAATTATAACCCGATAGAACTCACCTTTAGTGTTCTTAAATCGTGGATGAAAAGGAACTGGATTTTCTTGCGTGAGACATGCAGCAACTACGGTGAATTTATCCATCTTTCGATTCAACAGAGTCGTTGTGATAGATTCGCCAGAAAACACTTTAAACACGCTGGGAATGGAGTGTATATTGAAGAGAAAGAACTCATTGAATTTCATTAATTTCTCGCGCAGTATGAGGCAGATCTAAGCGTCAACTTATTCAGTGAATAGTATCAAATATTCTTAAAGCAATCAAACAAAGCGATTAAATGAAATAATCTAATAAAGTAATGTATTAATACCTAGAACTTCATCATATAGTCGAATTTCCACCTCCTAACGCACCTAGAGCCATGGCTGCAGCATGTTCGTCGTGGACACGGCGTACGAACTGCCTATACTGGCGTAACTCTCTCTTGAAGCCTCTCGCCAGACCGTCTGAGATGCCTGCCTTTATTGCACGTTGATATGCCGGGGTTTTATCGTCTTCCATTTGCCTCAACTCTCGTATGGACCAGTCATTTGCAAATATGGTTGATTGAGCATCTTCCCATTTCTTCTTCCTATCTTGATTCTTGATTGAGTTGATTTTCCAGGTGAAAAATTTGGCAAGCGTGTCATATTCGTCCTCATTTGAATCTATCGAACTAGATGACCTCGGGCGTGGTGTTGGTGTAGCAGGAATAGCCTTAAATCGTGCAGGAGTTTTATCAGTTTTAAATGATAGCAAAGAAGGGCTTGTTGTTGATCTTCGAGGCAATGAATAAGCCATTTAATGAGGTGTTTATGTTAATAAATCGCGCTGTTCTCGCAGTAAATGACGACGCTCTTTCTCCTCGTCACGATGTTCCTGTTTTTCCTGCATTGCTTCCATCTGTTCCATCAATCTATACTGCATTTGTTGCTCATACATCTTCGTCTGCATCTCTATAAATTGCTCCATAATCTGGGTATTGTTCTTTTTAACAGGTTATCGAGAATCTCGGTTTATCAAACCTTGTTTTTTCGTCCAATACTGCTTCAACTTATCTAGTGGATTCTCAATGGTTGCACCACCTGAAGCTATCCGATTGGCCCAAAGCTCATGCTGAGTAGCGAGGATATTATAGTGCTGAGTATTGTCCATAGGATCAGGGAAGTAAAAGTTGTTATAATTCGTACAGTTTCTATCGTTGCATTGATATTTCTGCATCAACTGACGTTGGAAATCACCAGCTGTCAATATTCGGTCTTGTCTCGCTTCACGGATTGCAGCCTCTTCCAATAACTGAGTGGTACGAGTAGAACGGATTTGTGTCGGCAGTACAGGGGGCGAGCTTGGAATAGATATTGGATCCTGGGGTTGTTGAGCTGTCGATATTGCTGTCCTTTTTTTCTTTGATATAAGTGCTTCGCAGGCCACTTTGATCTCAAAAAGAACGCATAAAGCTGTACCGGGATGAGCCTCTCGTTTATTATCAATGAGATCTAAAACTTTGAGGGTCTCAGTGATAGAAAAATCATCAAATTGATGGCTTAATTGTCTTCCACGACCAGACATTGATTTCACAAATGCCATACAAGTTTCAAATGTAAAAGGTTTGTCATCAGTGTATTTGACAATCTGGTCATGGAACTGATCTTCTACAACACCAAGATCAAATGAACGTCGAGTCATATCATGGAGTGTTTGACTGATGACTTTTCGCTTGTTAATATAGACTCTCAGATCAATGCCAATCGAATAATCACGCTGGCTGATTTCATGATTAAATTCGTCCTGGATATCAGATGTGTTGACAATACTAATATCCTCCCGGGCCTCACGAAGAGCGTGCTCGGCGACCTTGATACATCGTTTAGCGCTGAGTTTTTTGAAATCCTCCTTCGCGTTATAAAGGTTTGTCGCTGCTATCTTGATATCCAGTGAATTAAATGGTGTTGACTCGTTTAATGGCATATCACGCAGCAGGCGATTCTCTTCTTCATCATATTCACTGTTCAAATAATCGGCCATATTCCAACCTGGAGGTCTACCTGGAACTACCACGGGAAGATCATCATCCTCACTAACGCTATCTTCGTTGTCATTGGTTTCCTCATTAGTATCTGCTTCTAGGGATGCAATAATAGACTCATCCCTTGGTGCATTAGATTGTGCGCGGAGAGGTGTAGTTTCCACTGAACTGTCTGGAGCGTCTCTTAAAGACGTTATATCGAACCATACTCGCTTTGCAGATGGCGTTTTGGAAGGAGACCGCGTAGTAGATTTCCTTCCTGAAGGTGCTGGCCGCTTGCGATAACTATTTGCCTTCTTCGCAGCGTCTTGATGAGTTTTCTGTATAGCGGTTTTTGATGTTATTAGCGCAGGTAATCCGAATTCCTCTTGCCGCTCCTTCATGCGCTGTATTTGGTTCTGGGCTCTAGTTGGCACATAGTGCCTTTCATCAAAACTCTCCCCCGGTCGAATAGAACGTGGAATATGAAGCGATCGAAGGTTGTATGGGTTCGTTGTTGGAGGTTGCTGAGAGGCAGTGGCATCCTTGGAGGCGCGTCGAGGTGGCATGGTTCGATATCACGATGTTCGGAGATTTCCTAAACTAGAAATGACTTTGTTTTCAAAGTTGACACGAGATTTTGTATAAAATTACGCGTATTAGCACGTTGTTGCGCGTGGAGTTTAAAATATGTAGGAAAATGTACGTGTGTCGACATTTTTGAAGAAATCCGTGCCAAGAGTCTCAAACATTTTGAAACCGGCTGATGTAATTAGCGCACTAGTGCCCTTTAGGTTAGCACCTCCGGGCGTAATAAAACATCCATCCATCCATCCGTATAGTGATTCGTAAGATCGCTATTCAAACATAAACAAACATCAAAACTTGAAATTATACGGGCTGTGCAAACGTAGCTGGTCATGGTGGTTGCACGTGATGTGGCGCGGGGCGTCTGGTTTTTTTACGCTTCATTTCCCCAACGCATTGGTAAACTTCTGAGGTCTGCATACTCTTCAGAACGCCAGGTCACCATAATTATAGCTTAACGAGGATCTATTCAACCATCGGGTATTTACAACATCTTGAATATCGATATGATCATCGGACGTGTGGATGGCACACCCCATCTAAATAGGATCTCGTTTTTCACGAGAGATGTGGACCAGCTGCCGGCGAACCCCGTCCTTAGTATTATGCATTTCACTTTCCATTCCGGAGTCGACATCGCAGATCAATCGCATCTAGCATCTATACCCTGGAGAAAGTCGTTGAAGTACGTCTCAACAATTCCAGGATTCCAAGGGCTGTATTGGGCTCCAGTGGATCAGCCTTCGTCATGCCAGCAAATAATCGTTTTGATCCAGTGGGATAGTGGTCGTGGCTGGAGATGCTTTCAACGCTCTTTAGGCTTCAGTATGATGCTTGGTTACATTGAAAACATTTCTAATCGGTGCATTCAGCTTGCTCTTCCTGTCGACAGCTTATTCACATCTCAGAGTTGTCTTGAGCTTGTATCCTTTCAGTTCTCCGAGGCGCCGTCTACTGATCAGATTGCTGGGTTGAGGTCCAAATGGAACGATATATTCTCCTCATATCTCAGCAATGCTTTAGTCGAGTCCAGGCTGATTCATTTTTGTGGAGAGTGGCTTGAAGTGGACAAAGATTCCGAAGATCGGTTTTTTGTTGGTTTGCTCTTCTGGAAACATTGTCAGGCAAATAACAACCAGGATCGAATTCAGCCAAGTGATCCTCAGAATCTCGAAAAGAATATCGAGGAGATTCGAAAAGATGCAACAAACGTGGTATCAGCTTCCACCACTCCACTGAATCATATACCTTTCAAAATCTCTACTCTTCAATCATTAGGTCGTCAACCACTATCTGTGCCAGAAATAGAGCATCCACTTTTTCAAACGCCTACAGAGCCTGAGTACAATCTGGATGAATTTGTGTTATCAAGTGGTCAGGACCGGCTTCAGGTGGAATCTATGATAGAAGCGAGACGAGGGGAGCGTATTGCCGGTGGACCCGCTGGTACGTGGCTTGAGATGGGATTGCTTTCTGAGCATCATTTACCGCAAAGGCTAGAGTATAATGCGAGCCCTAATATGGAAATGATATCTTTTCGCGCCCCAATCGGGGATCCACAGGTCGAAAGTTCATTTGAGCATCTTCGAAAGGAACTCTGGGGCTTGGGAAACTGTCCTGATCTATTCTGGGGTAGAGACAAAGAAATGGAAGATGGACAGAGCAATACAAACCTACTGTTTATACGTACGTTACACCATCCTTGGTGCTGAAATATTGATATAATAACATTGCCACTTTTGCAGAGATCGAAGAATCAAAATATCCAAGGCCAGAATTTCAAGCACGAGTCCAAAAGTCCTTCCAAAGCTTCGCAGATAGGTGTGGTAAGGCTTTACAGGACATATCTTACAGAAGTATCGTTAGTCCAATTCGATGGGGTGTTCATCAGAATATGGACATTACCATTTTTGATGTCTCAAAAAATGAGTGGGACCAGCGATCATTTGAAATTGCTTTTTCTAATTTCCGGGAGTATGTTGACAACTTCTCATTGCAGACGGAAAGGTTAGAGACTCACAGGCTGATATTCAATTGCGCAGAACCACGGCTCAACATCAAATTCAACGACAGCCTTATGGACCTTATAACGCTTTCATGCCGACAGGTCAAGGATGGGTCGTTCGCCATCAAGATTCTTCATTTGACATCCACGAACCCGAGACAGTGCGACAATTTATGTCCTATTTCAACTGCGAGAAGGAAGAAGGTGCTCGAAAAGAGTGGTACGGCGACTTTGCTCAACGAGCCCAGACCGAATATGAACTCTTAGGTCATATTGTGGATTGTATACGGACTGTGTGCACTCGCATAACTTCACATTACCTAGTTATGGAAAAAGAAGATGACTGGATGATTGCGGACAAGTTGAAAAGGGAGGAGGAAAAAGCCAACAAGCCGCCTTCGCCAGCGCCTAAGTCTATCTTCGATCTTTCATGGGCTAAACCGCCGAAGAAGCCTGACATATCATTTCACGTCAGATGATGTAGATTAGATACCATTATGGTCCAGCTTATAATAGAGGCATCAGCCAATAGGCACTTGAATGGTACAGATTAGTAACTCATAATCCAGACTCAGAGGCTCCATGCGGAAGGATAAAATCATTTTCCGATTATATTCCTGAAAAAGGCATTCGAACTCAGCATGATGGCCGATGCCGAGGTTTTCCTCGGGATCAGATTTCGTGATACTGGTCGCATCCAGACGTTTTGTGCTGATACAACTGGGATTTGGTCATCTCATTTATCGCATCTGGTGAGTTTCCTCGCTGTATTGTCTACAGGGCTCATTGAAATAGGATACATACTATCCGGTCCCGGAACGTAAAACGCCGGATGATTTCTCCGGGAGCGTGAACATAAAGTCACAAGTCTTGGAGCAATAAGCGAATATAGTGTCACATAGATGGGCTCAAAATCGATTTTGAAATTAGGGGTACTGCTGGAGCAATCTAATTTACAGTTTATTAGAGTACTGGTTGAATGTGATATTGCAGAGTTCAATTTCCTGATAATAATAACATTTTATTTGCATAAGTCATCGTGAGGAGCGAACGCGGGAGGACCACCATAATTGTGTCTGCCAATAACATGGCGATCGCCGATGAAAAGCATGAAGATTTACGTTGACTTTTTTGGTAGATTGACTGACAGAGGTATTCATTATCACGCTCGATGTTACAAAGCAAGCAGATCAATTTTGTATTGAATACTTTCGGTGTTGGCCCTTGCCGCGGGACTTGTTACCTCATTCGATATGAGAGGCCTGTAGGCAGAAACATGAAAGCCAATTGGTTCTCTGCGACCCACCCTAAGTCTTGGGCGGGCGCGAGACATTCTCACCTCAACGATCATTTACCACTCAAACATCAACTCCCTTTCCTATCTCATGCAGCGATTCAATCGTTCGACTCGATGGATTGTTCTCAATTTTTGCGCTCACTAGTATCTGGAATATGAAACGTGCAACACCATTCCGAGGCCTAAATATAACAGCTCAATTCAATGTTGATTCCAGCAGCTAGGCTAGGGAACTAGACATGAGAAAGGAAAGGGAAAAAGAAGAAGGGTGCCCTAAAGTTATCCACTGATATCTCGAGCTCTATCGCGTAACCATAGCTTAATGTTACGGGCTAGTCCCGCCTAATGCTCACTATAAGGGCATACTCGAATAGAAAACATAACATGAGGAAAGGAAAGAGAAAGAAAACAACAAGTTCTTCACGCAGGTACAATCTTATATAGGCAAGGGGAATCGGGAGCTTCTGACGGGCTTCTCTCTAGGAATAGTCTCATGTCCGGGTCGCTAAGATTGTTGGGGTTGCCGGAGATCTACAGAGAGCGCTATTGTCAATATCCGGTCAGATATTGGATGTCCACTCATGATCTGGGAATAGCTTCGTGTTCGGGGCTGTCGGGGATCGGCGAAAGGCGCTATTGTTAATATCCATGAGGGCTTCGCCCAAACATGCTCATGAGGTCAGCTCATAACACTTAATTAAATCTAACCCTACATTTGTCCTTCACCACTTTCTGCCTTAGGCTCTGTCATGCTATGGTTATGACCATCAGATGTAGATCTATTTAAATGTAGATCTATATTAATCTAGATCTGTTTTAAAGTATAAATATGTTCAAATATAAACGTTAATTCAACTGTGGATCCATTTAACTGTACCATGATACATAGTAGATCCGTTCAAGTGTGGATCCGTTCAAGTGTAGACCCCTATTTAAGTGTGGATCTGTTCAAGTGTGGACCTGTTCAAGTGGATCTGTTCAAGTGTGGATCTGCTCAACTAAATCTGTTCAATTGTGGATTCCTTCGACCAGATCCGTTCAATTGGATTCGTTTAACTGTGGATATTGTTAGTCCTGCAAGAGGCTCTAAGTGTGACGGCTCAGTCAGTCGATGCCTGATGAATGCCTTAAAGAGTTGCATGTGACCTCAATATATGTTTCCCAAACCCTACGCCAAGCAGGACTAAATTACTTTTAGAGAAACTTCATTACAGCCCCACTTCGCTGTACCATGTATTTTACAGAGGAGCGATTCATAAGTCATTGACAACGCAAGTAATTTTGGCAGGCTTGGCAGTAACGCCACTTACACGAATACTCTCAAATTGTATTAAATTGCATCAAATTGAATCTATTCAAATAGCTGTTAATAGAAAGAAAATGATAGACTCAGTTAGGGGTGCACATGAATAAGGATTTTCTTATTTGTATTTGAAATGTTATAAGATACATTATTCATATTCGACTACCATTTTCGGGGCCATTATTCGTATTCAATTTGTAATTATTCGTAGAATTACTAAAATACTGCTAATTCTATTTAAGTCATAACATGTCGCGTCGGTTTTGATAGACGCGTATTTACCATTCTGCTGTATTTTTTTGAAAATAGTTACTTCAGCTATTTCCTCTTTCAATATTATGAATAAGTCTTCTGCATCTTTAGGCAAGCGTCCTCAGCGCTCTTAAAGGATTGATTATCATCTTTTTAATGATGACAGCAATGAGGAAGTACCTCTGGAAGATCACATCACCAAGAGAACTCATTTAATTTAACTGGATAATAGCATTGACCCTATTACTCCTGACGACTCAGTAAGTCAATTAATCTAAGCCTGGAGTCTGCTAGCAGATATTTCCTAGCAGGAAGCGTCAAGCAACATCGAACTTGAGACATCTAGCATCTCTTGCGATCCTGAGCGCTCACAGAAGAGGCTACAGAATCAGTTATTATGGGCAAAGTTTGATATCGTACCTCTCCCTGGAAGTCATTGGTGGCCAAAGAGAGGAAAAGGCCCACTTAAAGATTATAAAATATGATGTACTCGATGTGGTTGGAAGACGACCGATTCTGCAAGAGCAACCTCAACATCAAAGATGCAATTTCATCTTAATAAACATGGTGTCTTTTCAAGCGGAACTGTAAATAGTCAAGAAGACAACAAATCCAGCATAAAACAATCATCTATTATTAGTTCCTTTTAGAGACAAGCAGAGAATCAGGCAGCAAAACACTTAGAACAGAATCTGGTGCGTTGGATAGTAACGGAGAATATGGCATTCAATGCTATTGAATTACTAATATTCCAGAATATATTCAGAGATCTAGGGATTGAGCTTCCATTTACATCCCGCATGACAATTACTTGCTGAATTGATACAGAATTTGATTCTTATCGAGCATGTTTGATCAACGATCTGGATCAGACATGTTAAACAATTGCACTTTCCTTAGATGCTTGGACTAGCAAGAATTACAAGGCTATATTCGCAGTTATCGGTTATTGGTTGACAGCTGATTTTCAATACCAAGAGAGAGTTCTTGACTTCACAGAGCTCACTGGCATTCATAGTGGAGAGAATATGGCAGAGGTACTCCAGACGACCTTGGAAGAGCTTAATATTGAACATAAAGTGCTCACGATTATAGCAGACAATGCTGCTAACAATGAGACTTTGATGCCAGAATTATATTTCAATCTTAAAGAGAAATTTGATAATATGATGTCTCCTGCCAATGGCGAAAGAAAACTCCAGAGATTTCAAGGGCTGGATAGCTATATGCGCTGCATAGCGCATACACTAAATCTGATTGTCAGTAATATACTGTCTATGTTGAAAGCCAGCGATCATAAAATAGCAGTAGCAGCTTGTGATCTTATGTAGGAGAACAAAGATATAGGTCCACAGTCTGCATTATCTAGACTCTGGATCATGGCCCTTTGGATAGCGAGAACACCCCAGCAAAAGTAGCAATAGAAGCTCATCTATCAAACTCATCGTTTGAAGGATAAGTTTATCCAGTATGATGTTGATATACGTTGGAACTCCACCTACCGAATGCTAAGAGATGCATTGGATTCAAAACAGCAAATAAAAAAGTGGATTGAGCATCAAACTTATCTTCCACCCTTCACTAAAGAAGAATGGGATTATTTGCGGCAGATTGGAACTGTTCTTTCTAGATTTGAGGAGTTTACTCTCACTGTTTTAAAGCGCCAACCACAGGTCAGCCTAGCAATACCTATCTACTATGAGGTGCATGATCTATTGCATGAAGCTGTTTCTAGAAAAGGAGAATTTCAAGATCTTTATGAAGACATTGATGCAGCTGCATCTGTAGGTCTGAACAAATTTTGGAAATACTACAACCTAATGGATGGTCAGGATGCCTGCTAGGCCCAATGCGGTACCGACGTCGACCTGTATGGTGGGCAGTCCCATGATCTATTGTTAACATCGCTAAGTTGATCGATGTAGCCTCACACTTCACTAACCAGAATTGAGAATTCTTACCGCTAGAAATGTACGACGGAAAGATCTGACTCTTGCTAGTCACTATTTTACGTGTCTCGATTATCGAAATTAGTCAATCTTCAAGTGTCATGTCCTGGATTCCGGCATAGTTTCTGATCTCCCACATCATTTGCACCCACCCTTTCACGTCTTCTGGGCTCATGGCGTCCTCATCTTCGGTATCATCGCCTAGCCAGTCACCAAATTCATCTAGGGGATCAAAATCGTCGTATCGTACTAAGATGAATGATTTTCCTTTGCGATATGCAAATTCGAAATCTCTGTTGACTAAGCAATATACTGGTCGCCTCCCATTTCCACTCTGATCTGCAAACCAAAAACCAATTAAAACGCCTTCATGGATGAATATGGGAGTCGAACACTGTTCACAATCTGGGTCATCCTCCTCGACAGTAATATCTTGTTGGGAGTCACTTTCTATCTCTATTGAAGGGATTGGTTTGTCTGGACAACTCCTTGATGGTATTGTGCATCGCTTTTTTGAAGCGGGCTGGATCGAAGGACTCTTATCTTGTTCCTGTTTACATTTTGAGGATAAGCGGCGAGATGACTCTGAGATAGACTGTTGAGTTGGCGATTTATGGCTTGTCATGTTTGCTTGAACAACTGCCGGGAGTACTTGATCGAATTGATAGATGAGTTCACAAAACTACCACTCTCCACAATTAGCATGCGTCTCTCACGGTGATACTGGGCACTATACATCTTGTCTGATGTCCCTGGGTTTCTTTTGGTGGTTGGAGAGAAGTAAAAGGGAAACAGAATAAAAGTGCGGACAGAGGCCTTTATGTAGTCGGACCACCAAGTATTTTGGCATCCTAGGATGCTGAAACCTAAACCGTGTCTGCGATGCTACAACTAATCATGGATCAAGCGGAAACACACGGTGAGGCAGATCGATAGAAGTGGCTTGCTACCAGGTTCTTCCAGTACGCTTGAGCATGGATTGGTGGTCGTTCAAGAATTCAAGGACCACTTCGAAATAGATTCTGCCTATCCAAGGGCACATACACGATTGTACGTGCCCAATCATTGATGCAGGAACCAGCCACAGTGGTATCCAAAAGGGTGCCGGATTGCTCCTGTGCATGACGACAAATCATGCATTAACCGAGCTTGTCGCCAGTATCCTCTCAAAGACCTCACCTCGGAGTCTTCAATTTGTCCTCCAAAGACACGACTATGGCAGAGAATTGGGTATAGCATAGCTTCTTGTCCGATGACACTACGATTCCGGATTGATGCTTCGGCGGATTGATCCTAGGAAGTCCACGTCGGGATAGCGAGATGGCCAAGTCGAATTAATTATGGTTGTTCGAGCTACCCCATCTTCCTGCGAGGAATTTCAGCTATATTATACCATTCAAGGCATTATCAATCACTACACACCTCAAATTTAAGAATGCCTTGCAATGATGGAAATACCGTCGCTCACTGTGATTATTTTCCGCTTTGGGATAACTGGCGCCGATTAAGGAGCCATGATACGTGCTGTTGGCAGTGCCACGCATGATTAGGACAAATTGAAGCTCGACTTTTCGATGACGAGTGCTCTATTTTAGGGATACTACGTTGTGATGGTGGCCACCTTTCATATCTGATTGGAGTTGCGAGCCCAGGTTTCGCATAATGGGCTCACTCATGCACCTGATTTTCCCGAAATCACAAGCTCAGCCCCCTTGAAATTGATCAAGCATTGGCATAAATAGCAGGGACTTCCCACTATAGGGCGACTTTGTCCTCTTAAAATTCTTTCAACCAGCCCTGACACGTCCATCGAAATGGAGACACAGCAACAACCTGCTCTTGTCCAGACTGATGACTGGCGTATCCCAGGTTTGATAGACGAAGCGGAAGAAGAGCTTGCACCTGAAGGTCCCACACAGGTATTACATGACTCTCCTCCCTCCACCATTTCCTTTGATGAGGATTCACCTCCGCGACAGCCACATAGTGAACGACTGTCGCCCAGTGAAGAGGTTGAAGAAGCAGCGGGTTGCCCTTCACCAGTTATTGAAATAAGTGACGACGAGGATGATAATCATCCACGACCGCGACTTCGAAATACGGATCGCCCTGATTATACTTATCGAGATTACCTAAATATAATGGAATATGCGATCTCGGCACCTCCTCGGCGCAAATGGAAAGGAGAAGATTCCGATGCGGTAGATTTTCAGTCTAAAGTCGTAAGGATTTCTTGTCTAGGTATCTCAATCTTGACTAACAATTAACAGAACCAACTCGTAATGGAAATCCAAGGACCGTACGAGGCCTTGGAAAAGGAGAACAAACGATTAAAACAAGAGAGACATCAATGGATGAAGGACAAGAAACAGCTGCAGCTTCAAATTCAATATTTACGGCGACAAATCGATGAACAGAAACAGCGCAATATCTTGAAGTGTATTCTATGCCATCGAATATTCAACGAGAGCTGGAGAGTTCTGGGATGTGGTCATACTCTATGTAAGAATTGCGTGGAGGACATCAAGTCCAAGGATTCCTTGTTCGAGTATCCTTGTCCTTATGCTCAGTGCAAGAAGCCGATTCAATCTTGTTTAGACTTTTATCCAAATGTGGTGGAAGCATAGCTCTGGCATGAAGACTTTTCACATAATAACATTGCTTATTTTGCTGTATATGAGTCAATTTACAATGTATCTATGCGTGTTTTCTCCAGCGCCACCATTTGTCAATATGCAGTTATCTGCTTACCGATACTGACAGCTGACTCAATGAAATTACAGAAGGCTCTTTTAGGAAGTAGTCCAATTTCTTTGGTCCCTCGGGGTTTAGTACAGACTGACAATAGTTGCATACGTTGTCTGGCTGTTCCCTATGGTTCAGCTGATAGTGGATCCACCATACACTCCAGTCTTCTCCCCATTCATGATGGTCCTTTTTGAAATGTTCATAGCATACAATGTCAAAGGTGCGGCGCTCATACTTGAATCAATCTGCGATTGCTTCTGCAGATTATTGGAGGCATACATTGCTGTCAACTCATCGAAGTCTGAATGAGTTGCAGTCTTTCTAGGAACATCTGAGACACAATGCCCTTTTCTAAGAGCATTACCTAAGCTAATGTATTTCCATTTGACGACTAGAATTAAGGGATATTCGGCTTTCCCGGATTCCAGTCCGAGTTCAAAGATAAAACTGCAAGAAATGATGGAGTGGCGCAACTCCACGATATCATGCTCTGAAACGCCCGATTCAAGGCTTACTCCGTACTCAAGAAGCCCACTTTTGATAGTAATTTGCACGAGATGATCATGTATTCAATGATTCCTGTACTAACATGGCGTGGCTAGGCTTTTGTTGCAGGTTAATGATAGGTTGTATATTTGCTTAGTTACTTGTTACAGTGAATGTAAATATTTCAAGTTCGTGCTCCAATACACCTGAATAGAGCCTCGAGATCTCCCGGGAAATCGTTTTTGGAACCTCTTCGTGATCACAGACCATGACAAGCCATCTTCCTTCAATTTTATGAGAAGCTCAATTTCATCGGGTTCCCACGCTTTGCCCTTTCTGGACCTGATTGAAGTAGCACGTCTGCGATTGGGAGTTGGCGGGAGTCGCCGGCGCTGTAAGCAAAGGGATTCCGGCGACTTATCTGCAGTCTTGGCTTGCGTGAAGGGAAGCTCCGCGCTAGCTGCAGAGAGTGACTCTGATAGTCCGTATTGGAACAGCCAAGAAAAGAATTCGAGACGTTCGTGGAGTGACGCCGCTGAGAAACATGAATACAGTGTGGACTGATAATTCTTCGCTGCCAGGGCATCACTTCGACTTTGCTTGCAGGGTGGTTCTGCATCTATTGCATTGCTTGATGGCCTTTTGGATGAGAACTGTGGTGCTTCTGCTGCGGTTTGAAGCACATTAAAAGATGCTGAAGCGTGTCCTAGACCCTCGATATTTTGAGCATGTCCATGTAGCGTGAGTGATTTAGGTGATATGGGATACGCAGGAGAGCCAGAGCAATCTGGCGCATCGTTCTCGCTCGGTTTATCTTCATTCATTTTCTCTCCCTCGAGAATTGCTGGATCAATTGGGATAATATCGTCTTCTGGTTTGTCTATCAATCAGTCAAGCCAGCCACATTGTGCGTGATATAAGCCCAAACTTACGAGGGACAGGAGTAGACCTCTCCTGCTGAGTGTTAGGCTGTAAAGATGGAGCTTTCGATGAACCGTTTGATTGATCCTCGTTTCCTGATTCATCATCCCCACATAACGAAAACATATCGTATAAAGAAACTGGCTCATTGCCATTGAATTGAATATCAAAAATGCCAGTATGACTAAAATGAGGATCAATTTGTCCCGGTGCTTGCTCAATCGCACCATCACGCCTGGCAAGGGGTACAGAAGGGTTAGAGCAAACTTTCTTAGCACGTGATACGCGTTGCGAAGGGTCTTCAAATATAATATGATCCATGGTGTCCTAGAAAGCAGAGATTTATATGAAAAGGAGACGAAAGTGCAGTGTCTATTTACCATGAGAAAAGCGGAATACTGAGGGTTTATATGGTTTAGGTGACGACCTAAACACGCTCTTCTGGTGTGCCTGGAAATCAGATTCCTGTGAATTTCTGATACCGCAGTCATGAGTTCACCGTCCTTTCCCTAACTGCAAAGAGCTGAGATTGCGCGAGACTATGGTTGGAAGACTGTCAGCTTCGTTTCCAGTTCCCAGCAATGCGTCATTTTTGCTATTGGACGAGCGGAGGAACAGGAATGACGATGTTTCTACTCCTGCGTTGATAAGAAAAACTCCCAGAAGAGACTGGCGCATCGTCATTGGCCTCTAGAACAGCTCATTTGTTATGCAATGTAGTCATCTTCGTGACCGTCTCCATGTACGCGCTCAAATATTAAGGGGCTATGCAAAATAGCTTCACGCCCGAACCAAGTATTACCAGGATTATGAATCCCGTTCGCCCCCATCACCAGCTTAGCCTCCTGCTCGCTGCACCAATAGATTTCCCCTGTCCAACCAGGCATGCATGACTGGCAATACTTCGAACACGCAGGTCTCAATTTTGGTGCAAGCCAGACCGGCCCAATGGAGCAGTTGGCCCACAATTCAATCAATAAGTAGATTTTTTTTTCCACGTCAGCACCACGTCGTAATCGCTGAGACCGATCAACAGAGAAGGTGACATCGTCCACTTAGAGTATCCAGCCGGGCTGGCTGAAAGTGGGGAGTCTAGACGGTGGTCATGAGACAAGGCAGAATCCGGCCAAGACCGGATCATCAGCAAGTGCACGATCAGCGAGCTGTTGGCATAGAAAGAAGAAACAAGGAAACGCGGTTAAGTCGAGAAGAAAAGCACAGCTCGATCCTGAGCGTTATCATCATTCCATGAGCTGACTGTAACAGTGAGCGCTCTGCGAAAAACACGGCTGAGATCAGACCAGACCTACGAGAAGGCATGGATTCCAGGCATCCAGTCCAGCTGAAAAATCATAGAACAAAGGCATTGCATGAAAAAAGCGGGTTGATGAGAGCGGAGCTGCCAATCAGTTGTCATATTGCAGACCGGGATTGCGCGGTGGCGGCGGGCGCGGCACAGCCAAAAATTGCAGATGAGACAGAAGGATTGCACCGCGAGGAAGAGAAAAAGAGGAGATGAAAGAGTCGAGTAAAAACAGCGAGGGAATGCTCGTATTTATAGATGTTGGCGGGCCCCGTCGGCGCGCAAAAGCAGCCAGGCTCGCGCCATGCCTGTTCGGGCGGCCGCTAAACCGCAACGGACCGCACCAAACCTAGAAGGGACGACGCTAAACGCGACGCGGAAAACGGCCCCGCTTTCACCAGGACGAAGATTATTAAGCTTAAGAGATTGTATTGACTCTTGAATGCTCAAAATCATTATATTATTGTTTGATGCATTATCAGTGGTAACAGCAAGCACTTGATTTGTGATTTAATGCTGGTGAAGAATTTTAAGAACCATCTCGCCAAGATTAACACCAGAGTGTGTCCTAGAAAGTGGTTCGAAGCCAAGAAGGATCTCTTAATACTCCCACTCCTGATCAAAAAAGCAGCCTATCACAGCCATAAAGGCCTGTTGAAATGGAGATGTCCAACAATCTATTGCGAGAGAAAGCTTTGCGTCCTGAGGGAGCTTCTGGAGAAAGCCTTGTTGCTGCTCTTTTACAAAATCCTGTAGCTGAGGTTGGATTGTCTTTGCGGAAGGGATTACTGGATGTATTGGTGCAAGTTGTGAAAGGGAAATGACCTCATGGAACTCGGGGTGCTCGATAAACTGAAAGGGGAGACATAATATAGCAAGAAGTCGAAGAAGCTTCCACTCCCATACTTCCTGTGTAAAGACTTTAGGTTCGGAGGGTGTATTATACGCCTAAGAGTATCCACTAATATCAGTACATCTATTGGTATTAATTACAGTTAGACAGGACATACCGCCTTTGCTAGGAGCTACTTTATATTTAGTTTTTTCGAAGAAGACTTCCGACAAGTTGGCCCAGAGATATGCTTGTTAAGGAATGATATTCCAGAGCAGCAATAAGCTAGATGCTTAAGAACCTTATAGCATTGGTTACACATAGCACCAGGTTTACCAGTTTTACCATCAGCCACTTGATTGAATTGGCTCCAGCAACTGGCTGTGTGTTGATAACTTTAATTAATCTTTTTCTTCTTCCTGAATTCCATGTTCAGCCACCAAGCAACAAACTCATCCTTTGATATATCGGAGAATAGAATAAATATTTTTATCCGCCCAGGGCCAACACGCATAAGTGTATCGGGAATAGAGAGTATAGGTAATGGAGTAAGAAAGCTGGAATTAGACCCCGAGTCAAGGGTTTGTTGACTTCCTGTAGGGTCAGGAGTACTTAATTGTGTCTCGTTGGAAAAGGAGAAGTAAAGAGGATCAAGAGTATCCTCTTCATAAGCTGAAGAGGAATGAATATCAGAGAACTGTGCCATTTTAGATGTTGTTAGAAAAAAGCTGCCTAAGTAGAAATAAAGAAAGACTCACAGAAAATTTTGTAACTCATAGCAAGCTGAATTAGTGACTAACCTAGGGGTTTAGATCTATCACGTCGCGGACGCGGAGCTAATAGAAACCTGTAGATACATCACATTATAGCCCACATACTCTCATATACCTACTATAATTGGTTGAATATCGAGGATCGTTGAGGGTCACCCGCAAATAGACCCTCGAAACCTTTGAGATTGAAGGGTGATCGAGTTAAACTTACCAGCAAACCTCGATTCTTTGATTTCAGTAAGACACTATAGACTTCCCAAGATTGAAGGAGGGATTATAGCCTAGCTACATATTAACAAAGAAAGGGAGCCCTTTTTGGACAAGAGAATAAAAGTTTTATTAAGTAATCCCTAAAGCATTCAGAAAATTTGCGAATCCATTGTCGTAGAATAGGAAGTACTGTAGTGTTGAAATATATATTTCTACAACTGGATGTAGTATTTTCCCACAACTAGATATTTAGACCCTCTAAAGAGAGTTTCATATGTCTTTACGTACTCTAATATTTATAATACAGAGGAATTCCTTAGAATTTCCTTCAAGTTTTTGAATCACTTTAGGAATCGTCGTCGTATTACCCAAGACAGCGTTAAATAACGGTATTTTATTCAGATTAATCAGCAATTTTATGCATCCTATTTAGGCAAGGTCGCTAAAATTTATGCAAACGAGGGACCCTACGAGGGTTGAGGGTCGGGTGAGGGTAACACACCTTGGACCCTCACCTAGTGCGGGTCATGCCGAGGGTCTGGATTTTGGACCCTCGCGGGGGTCATGCCGAGGCCTAGGTGCAGATGAAGGTTGTTTGATTAGCTAAGCTGATCCAGCCAATCAGACAGATGAGATTTATCAGCCAATCAGAGCGAGCCACACACTTGAGAAGGATCCACTGTAGGGGGTTAAAGACGTCTTCTACCTTCATGGTACCTAGAATAGAGCAAGAATGACAACAAGGATCAAGGATTCCATACTTTGCATAATTTGATAAGTTGAGATATACCGCTAAAGATTGTTACGTACAATCCAACACAATCTGCAATTGAAAATGGGCCGCCTCAGTCATGTCTTGATTCACGGAGAGTGCCGAAAATAAAATACTGCTGCAAAAGAGCCCTGCAAATAATTGACGATCATTAATTCCTCTAAGCTCGTGCAGCCGAAATTCCCATGCCACAATCCGCTGAATAAGAGGTAGGAAATACACCGCAGTCTTTGTGCGGGGTTCGCAGTCATTTCACGGTTAAATGGAGAAACATCCAGCTCAAATCTTTTCCTACATCTTATCACCTAGTCCTCATGTTCCAGAATTGGAACCCTAAGTGATGATTCGATCTATTTTCCTGCTTAGCCTTCTGCGCGGGCTTCTTGCGCATGGCTTTCCCGCTGCTAGTAGTAAGCCAGTTGTGACACTAGACTATGCCACCTACCGAGGTACCCGCCTCAATGCCGGGGTTGATCAATATCTGGGGATGTGCTTTGCCGCGTCTCCGGTAGGAGAATTACGATTTCGAGCCCCGCAGGACCCTCCTAAGATGTCTGGAATCCAGGAGGCCACTGAAGTATGTCTATGACTCCTGTGTGTCCGCATATTCTAATTTTGCTGGCAAGTTTGGTCCGTCATGTGTTGGCACAAATCAGAATGTTACTTCTTCCCTGTCAGAGGATTGCCTTTTCGTCAACGTGTTTACACCTTCCAGTGCAAGTACTACCTCAAAGCTCCCGGTATGGGTTTATATTCAAGGTGGCGGGTACGCGCTCAATTCGAACCAAAATTACAATGGCACTGGGGTAATAGAGAACTCTGAGTACGGCCTGGTGTTTGTGAATTTTAATTACCGGGTAGGTGCTTTGGGATTTCTGGCAAGTGAGCAAGTTCGGAGGAATGGGGATCTGAATGCAGGGTTGCTTGATCAGCGTAAAGTTCTCAGATGGGTACAGAAGTACATCGTTTTGGTAAGCTTCATGTAGTCTTTAAATCGAAGAAACGAGGTGCTAATAATTGTATTGAGTTTGGCGGAGATCCAGCGCACGTCGTTATTCACGGCGCTTCAGCAGGAGCTGGTTCTGTTGCGCACCATCTCGCAGCTTATAATGGACAGGACGAGGATCTTTTCATTGGTGCCGTACCAGAATCAACTTTTTGGCCCACTCTACGGACAGTGAATGATATGAAGCCTCAATTTAGCCGATTCGCCCATGATGCAGGTTGTGGTGATGCTGCTGATACCATGGCCTGTCTTCGCTCACTCGATATCAACAAGATACAAATCGCTAACGTGGTTTCTGCCTTCCCAGATGGTCCAAGCAGTCCTCTGCCGAACTGGTACTTTCTGCCTGTCATTGATGGAGGCCTCGTATCCGATCAGCTTTCCCGTGCTTTCCAACAAGGAAAGATTAAAAGAGTTCCTATGATTGTAGGCGATGATACTGACGAAGGCTCTTTTTTTGCTATTAATGCAACCAACGAGTTAGATATTTCTCGTTTTTTCAAAGCAAATTACCCAAATCTGAATGAAAGGCAACTACAAGCAATCAACTGGGCATATCCTCTCATGCCCGCTGTCGCCGAACACGCAGAATACTTCCCATCAGCATCCGCAGCGTACGGTGAGAGCACGTTCACTTGTCCTGGTAACTTGATGGCCGGATCGATGGCATTTTATCTTGGGCCAAATAAAGTATGGAACTACCGCTACAACGTTCGAGATCCCACTTTGGTCGTGGAAGGTATCGGTGTCCCCCATACATTTGAGACTACTGCCATCTTCGGCTATCCGTATGCCGAAAACATTGACCCAGACACGTATGCACCTGGCGGTCTAAATGCAGCGATGGTACCTTTGACGATGAAATATTGGATAAGCTTTGTCACTACTCTAAGCCCGAATACTTCAAAGTTGAAGAATGCACCTGATTGGGAGCCATGGGGTGGAATCCCTGCAAGAAGATTGAAGCTGGAGTTGAATGCGACCACCATGGAAATAGTCCCTGAGTCTCAGAGACAGCGCTGTGAGTTGTGGTGGAGTTTGGCAAATACAATGCAGATATAAAGGAATAGCCACTATAGCTACTTGACAACTATTCAAACCCTAAAGTGCTTTCTATGCGTTACCTTCGTACGTATATAGATTTCCAATAGATATCTGATAACATGCCTTCAATACATAGTTTAATGAAACAAATTCTGCAAAAGAATCATCAAATGGCTCAGTATATGAATGCATTGTTCATGTAAACTGGACGCCCATATCAATATACCAGAATCCCGATGGTGCAGAAGCCGGTGCTGTGAAGGATGTGATCATTTCAGTATTGACAATCTGTTGTCCATCAGGCGATGTGATACGGATACCAATAGGTACATTGAAGGGTCCCGCGCCTTGCGGAACAACCCATGCCCCATATCTTTCTTGTGGTCTGCTACTTGAGTAGTTGGGATCGCGTTCGAGAGCTGTCCAGCCAGTCTGACCAGATCCCTGTACTTCAACGTTGATTACAGAGCCAACACCATTCGTGTTCACAGCGGACAACGAAAAATAATATGGCCCAGCTCCATCTCGTAACCAAATATAAACGTTTCCGGGCTTCGGGCACGGAACGCGTTTGTAACGAATAGGAATAACACCATCAGCCAGACTTCCATTTCCCTGAAGACGTCCCATCGCAATGTCGGAAAGATCCATGTGGTGACTATCTTTTGGTATCGGACAGCCATATTTGAAATCGATCTCCCCACAGTGATCTGCACCGGATCCGCCTGTACCAGGGTATCATCAGCTTTGCGGTCTTGCATCCTTCAAGAGGTTGGTAAAAGACTCACAACACCACTTTGCATTAGCACTACATGGGCAACTGTCCACAATCTCTAGATAGATGGGATCAGTATACCCATCCTCACCCACTGTATAATCAGTACCATCCGCCTTGGTGCGAATCAACTCGAAGCACTCGCCGCAGGAGAGATAGTTATCCGGGTTGCCCTCAGCCGCCAACGATGGCCAAAACTAATCATTGACGGCTTAGTAATAGAAAGGATGGACAGGCTAAAAAAACTTGGAATGCACTCAACTTGTGTGTAGTAATCACCATTTGGGGCAGCAAAGTTTCCCCGAAGCGTCACGTTGCTTGGATCGCGACAAAGTAGTGGATATGCCGTACAGAAAGCGTTACAAGTATCACCAAGCATTGGATCAGTCCAGTTCGCGGTAGAACTGCCCTTTGTGCAAAGGCCATAAAGTCCAAATCCGCAGGCCCCTCCACTAGTTAAGCCAAAATGCGTCGAGCGCTGTTTGTGTAGGTCAGTACCCTGAATGTTGACAGTGTGGTAGTCAGTGGTATATGGATATTTACACTGTAGTGCCAGCTTTCATCAGTACCCACGGTAGTTTGTTCGCCCCCTAGCTCAAAGTTAATACCATCTTCTTAATTTTTTGTGTGTAGTGCCACTTACACATAGTCCCTGATTTACACATAGAAGCGTCCGGAGAGCCACAGCCCCCGGAACAGGAACTTGTGCAGGATTCGGACTCGTTGTTAGACGTGCAATAATATGGACAGCAAACATTCTCCACTAAGGCCCATGCTCCGCAGCTACTTGAGTTTACAGCTGGATATGGAACTTGGGTGGCTGTTGCCGTGCTTAGAGAAGTTGTGCTCGTGTAAGATGAACCAGAAGGAACAAGAGACGTTACGGACGAAGGATTTGTCCCTGTTGGCGATGCAGACGAAATCTTTTATGGATTGTTAAACATCAGTCTTCTGAGTCACCACCCGATTATAACTCATAGTGTACATACCTGGGTTGTTGGAGTACACTGAGAGTAGAATGAGTTAAGCTGCGTACAGGTCGAACCGGTCTCACAGCAGGAGGGACCGCTGAAACCGCTCCCCCCGCATTGTGCCCTACATATATTAAATGATGTGATCTTGAGTATGAATGATGAGTTACGTACCATATCGCAGCACAACTTGCTTGAGCTACAGTGGTTGACCATAGCAGGCCGCTCCAGAGTCCCATGACAAAGATAAGAGTTGTAGCCATGTTGCCTGTGATAAAATTTAGTTTCTTACATAGGATATATTCTGAAATTTCTGGGCGAACTTCGACAGAAGTATGGACCGTAAATAAGTCACTCTCTGCAGTGAAATACTAATCCTTAATTTATAAACTTAATGGTAGGTATAGTTGGCAGGTAGTACTATATAGGATGTACCGTGGACTTTAGCCATAGTTCTCCGACACTCCGAGATGCAAGCACCTCGCCGATAGTCCGCTAGGGCTTTATGATTTCTTTGGGATGATACATTTACCGGTGGCGTTTGGCAGCACACCTTTCGTGACACTTGTTAAAGAAACTGTTTATTCAAGACAAGGCTTCGAGGAGATTGCAATGGCCACTAATGGATGTACGCTGAGAACTCCTTTTTACCTATTTATGGGGTTCTAACACAAAGTACATGGACGGTTGTAGTTCATAGGCTAGCAGACGTCAAGACTCACCGACTCTCATCGCGTGACGTCGCACTTCAGTGGGATGTGAAAGGAGAAGTACATCATAATGATTTAAGCTAGTGAGCTATTATGGGTGTTTTAAGCCATTATTTAAACACTCTAACTTCAACCAATATTTCGCGAAGCACGATACGGGCAAGATTACTGCTAGTCTTTTGAACCCGGGTTCCAACATGTACCTAGGTGTACATGGATCTCGAGAACTAGAATTCTTCCAAGCTTGCTTACAGAAACATGCAAAGATAGGAACTCCATCACGGCGCTGATCATCTCCTGTTAGGTAAATTGCTGAATAACCAGAAAGTAACCTGCAATAGAATCTGTGTTCCCTTAAACGCTAGCGTCTTTCTTAATTATATGCTCTTTTCTACGGTATGATGGCGTATACAGACTCGTATTTATCTTTGAAGTTAGGGCTCCTGTGAAAAGCCTTTGGGTATCTTTTTATCGAAGCTTGTTTTGCGGCTTTTGCCCCATTCGAAACATTCATCCAGCTGCGATACTTCTATAGCATACCACGGATAGGAGCCCTAACAACGTGAAGACCTAAAGAAGACAATATTATTTTGAAGGTGACCAAAGTAGCCACATAGAATTTGTGATACGCCGACACTATCCATACCTAGGTACTCGACCAACTCTTCATTTGAATACATCTATGGATATGATATTCCTCCATATATATCATACATAATATCGCTTAAATTCGTCTTAAATTTCCAAAGATACTTTTGTTCCTGCATTGGGATTTGAAGATACGCGCGGGTGCAGATGTACTTATCTTGGGCGTCATTTTTTGGAGCGTTGGTTGATCCATGAATGCAAATCAAGAACCCCAGTATGCTGGCTGCGGCTGGTTCGAGAACAACTTTTAATAACTGTAATGCTGCATTATATGGAGATCAGGATATTGTCTTCCCCGTCACCCGACAAGGGCAGCAATACTTCTCCTTGAAGGGCTCAAAAGATGGCTTGTGTCCTTGTGCTACGAGATCTTCAAACAGGAGTCATTAATTTCCGTTGGACGATCGATCGTGATCACAACTTCCCAAATAGGCCTTGGCTATACCGTATGGCGGATGAATAGTAATAGTTTTATCGAAAGCTCATGCCAATAAATTAAGAAACAAAGTAGTTTGCTGACTCGAAGAGGCCGTTCACTAACTTCGGGTTATAAGAAAAAAATTGGGGCATCACGATTAGTACCAGCTGTACCTAGGTATGAGAATAAATACATATGTTTGCAATAGCTGCACGCGAATTTGGTAGAGGCGTCTGTGTCTTCAACTACTAGATTCTTCTCTAGTCAAATGTGACACCATCATTTCTAGATAATCTTGAGCCCGAGGTATACTCTTCTCAACACCAACCACTTTGGCCGCATCGTCCCACAGCCTTAATGATACCATTTCATCTCTCAGCGGATCTCCTTCAAATGCTTCGAGTTCGTTACCGAGGAAAGGGCCTCCTTGGAATGCTAGTGACCTTTGTGAGGCGCTCGACAATGAATTGTAATACGATTTATTGACAGCCGTCAGATATCTATATCAATTGTCAACTGTCTATGTAATCCTCAAAATTAGGCAATTTTACCTTTTAGCTGCTACATGACTTTTTACAAGGCGACACACTGTCTCACTAAACCCAAGCGATTGTAGGTAGTGCGCACCAATCACCTCATGGCCAATACGTCCCACGTTATCGGTACCTTCTTCACTGAGCGTCATGCGAACTTCTTGTGTTGTCTCAAGTGGAACGATCTGGCCGATATCGTGGAGCAAAGCTGCTAGAACTAGTTCGTCACGAGCTCCTGAATATAATATCAATATGCGGGCTGCCTCGTTACGGTGGGGGTTGTCATAATCACCTGCTTGTCGAGCTTGGTGGGCGGCTTGCAGAGAGTGTTCTAGCTGACTGATAGACTCTCCGATGTAGTCCCCTTGTCCATAATTTTCCAAAACAGACAGGAGCGACTTTGCTGTTTCACGTGCGTCTTCCATTCCGATTTTGTTATGGGAGTTGAGGGTATTTGTCGTTCGTCCAAGGGAGCAGTTCACTAAAGAATTATTTTAGACTTGAAAAGATGACGGCGGATAGCATTCTAATTTATACCTTGCCCACGGAGAGCGGAGGAGCAACTTGGAACGAAGCCACCAATTTTTTAAGTCCCTAGGTAGGACCCCGATACGATCAATAGAAATGTCAGGCCCGATGATTTATTGCAAATTAGGCATTTAAAATCGCGTCTTTCTTATCATTGGCCGATATTATATAGCGTTACGTAGCTTTTAAGACGCATCCAGATATTTACGATATGAGGTTAGTTACAAGAAGTTCATTTTGCATATTTCCATGCATCAATGGTCAGCATCGGTGAACCATATGCATATCTCTCGCGTCCCTCGGCATAAGATTCGCTGTCTTTGCGCAAATGCGTCGCAGGCCATAGCTTGCGTCGGTCTATATAGTACTGGTTACGCAACTCGCCTTCAGAGACAGAATTGTACGTCGCGTAGACGGCCTTTCGGTCTCTTGCGCTCCGATTGGCACCACTGCGGTGTGCCAGATACGATCCAAATACCAGTATATCACCTAACAACAATCAATATACGGATCTTAGTATAGCAGAAAGAGGTACCATACCAGGCTGCAAATTGCATGAAACCCACTTATGATTATCAACCCAGTCAGATTCAATACAGCAATCGCCTCCCAGCGGAATCGTGTCTAGATGGCTTCCCTGAACGACCTCGAGCCCGCCGTTCTCGCTCGACATTTCATCTACAGCGACGAGAATTGTAAGATGTTTGATATTTTTGACGTGCGTGTACGCATTGGCATCAATATGAGGATCAAATCCACCTGACAGATATTGTCAGAACTCCCTCACATGTACGCTTTCTCGGTTTCACGCTGCTCACCACTTCCGGCAAGCTTATAGTTGATTTTTTCCTTGAACAGAACCATTTTCTCCCCGGCTAGCTGCTCTAGAACACTGGTTGTGCGTGTCCCCCGAAGAAAAGCATTGAAGCCAGTATGGGTATTGGCGAAATTTTCGGTACGGCAGAGCACCCTCCTTCCATCGGCATTTACTTCCTATCATGCACCTTACATTTCAGCAACGAACTCAACCAGTACCATGCAACCAACCTCGTATGGCATCCACGGCACGTCTTCCGTTCGGGGAAGGTCATAAATCTCCTGTGCCCATCGTTGGAGCCGCAGTGATTCTGATTCCGAGAGGAAACCTTTGATGAGCAGATAACCCAGTTCTTGGAAGGATTGAAGTTGGGACGCTGTGAGGATATATTCTGAATCGTGTTCCATTCTCGAACGACTACACCGTGATTTTCTACAGTCTGCGACCTGCTTCGAGGTACAACAAGTATTCGTTCAGTCACTTGCGGAGAGCACTTTCATGGTGGATTTCATGGCGACTGGTGGTCGGAGCGAATGCCGTAATACACGCGACCTGTCTCCCTACACGTGGGATCTATGCAGCTCCATATATAACGTAAAATTGCTCGTGAGCTTCCCCTCGGGACACTTTCATATGAGGGGTGGTGTTTGGATGTTGATCTTTGATCAAGGCACGGCGTCGGCCAAAGTACTTACTTAGCCGGTGCCTAAGGCTCTGAGCCAGTCGCCATCCAGAACAGGCAACACGTGCCCTAACTTGTGCCTAAGGCCGAGGTACTCCATTCTTCGTTCGTTTATTATTTTCTCTCCGATAACAATATTTTTTCGTGATATTAACTGACAGATCTCGGCGAGTGCTCCGCTGCGACTCGTCTAGATCGCGTCTCTTCACTCCATATTTACACTAGCCTCGGGGGGTTGCCCGAATGTGTGGTATCTTCATGAGATGAAGCATTTCACATCGTTGAGACAGAGAACACACATGGTACAAGTGCCTTTTGGGATTGGATCCAGAAGTCATAGTTAACAGATGTTCACGAATGAAGTGGATCAAGCAGATCTAGACACAACAGGAAGACCCAATCAGCCCTGGAGACACATTCGGCCAGACGACCGGACCTACCTAAAATAAGTTGGAGATGGCTAAAGTCAGATAAAGCTTATTCAATATCGGAAGACAAATCCTAGGTAAAGGGATTTATGTAGATGCAGCAATTACAGAATATATATTCATTCATTTCCCATGTCGACAAAGATTCGGTGGCTGAGACACTCGGATTTCCCTTGCTCTCCCTCTCCGTCTGCTTCGACCTAGCACGCAAAACAAATAGCAAGCCAAAGCACCGCTATGGAGCAAAGTTCCACAGAGATTATCAGCGACGACAAGCGTCACGCAGCGGAGACGGTCAAATCCTACTCTAATGAGAATGATGCCGAGATCCAAACTGTTCGCAAGAGCAGTGCGCTCAATGTCATCGTATCCGGGTTGGCTTTGTTCAGTGATGGCTACAATGCACAAATCAGTGAGTTGCGCTCACTTGACATGAGAACCCAGAGTCAAAGCTAAAGTGTCACCTCTCTTCTCTCCGTTAGTCGGATACATGGAACCATTTTTTTCAGTGCTGTCAGTGCTATATCTACAGGCTAATATATTTTGTCGTGCAAGTTTGCTAACATATCATCTATCCGCTCAGCTACGGCAAAGCCATGTCACATACTATCAAGTCCCGCTTGTCCAACTCTTATCTAATTGGGGAAATATTCGGTATGCTGTTCTTTGGTGTCTTGATTGATCGCATGGGCCGCCGAACCGGTATTGTTGCAGCCACTGCCTTTTTGGTATTGGGTATAGTGCTTGCCACAGCAGCCCATGGTACATCCGACTTGGGGTATAGCATCACACTTTCTTAGGAACATTTGGAACCTTTTGCTGACATAGTGTCCCAGTATGTTTTGGATGATGATCGTCGCGCGAGGTATCGCCGGTTTTGGTGCAGGAGGCGAATATCCAGTTTGTGGAACAAATGCGACAGAAGCGAGCGATGAAACTTCCCAGTTAAGGACCAAGCGAGGTTTCCTCGTAGCGTTGACAACAGATTTTGCTATTGACCTTGTACGTGCTCCGGATGAACAATGCTTCGTTCAGGTTGGTACTTGTTACTTATTTCATCTTCGGCGGCCAGGGTTTTGTAATTGCAGGCGTGGTAGCCTTGATTGTGCTTGCTTGCTATCATCAAGAGACGTCAGCGGGAGTGTGGAGGGTATCTTTTGGACTCGGCTTTGTGGTATGTACATCATGTCGGAGAAGTCGGTTATTGCAATTCCAAAAATTTCTGATGCGATGCGTGCAGCTTCCCGTTGTCATTTGCTTCTTTCGACTTCGCATGATTGATTCTACTCAATACCGGAAGCATAACATAAGGTCTCGTTACCCATATTGGCTCATATTGAAACGTTATTGGAGACCAATGCTGGGTACATGTAAGTCATCTCCCTTCCTTCTTGGAGTTAGAACCAGCGTAAAATCTAATGGCTGCTATGCTCAGGTCTTGCATGGTTCTGTTACGATTTTGTCACTTATCCTTTTGGCATATTTTCGTCTACAATTATTAGCCAGCTGAATCCGAATAACACCACAGTGCAGAATATTGGATACGGAGTAAGGATCCATGATTTTATAAGCGTACCAAAATCTTCACTAACCGATATAGACTGTTGTCAACTGCTTCTACCTCCCGGGTTGTATTGTCGGAGGCTTCCTCATGGACCGTATCGGAAGAAAACAAACCATGACGCTTGGTTTCATGCTTTGGGCAATTTGGGGTTTCATTCTCGGAGGAGCGATCCAACCCATTCAGACCGTGTTCCCTCTCTTTGTCGTGATGTACGGAATTTTCAACGCCCTTGGCGAGATGGGCCCTGGAGTAGCAACTTTTTTATGCGCTGCGGAATCCTTCCCGACACCTCTCCGTGGACATTTCCTTGGTTGGGCAGCTGCCGTTGGTAAAGCCGGTGCTTCAATTGGTACAGAGGTCTTCACCCCGATTCAGAATTCCTTCTCCTCTACGGAAAAAGGCCAACAGGCTGTCTTTATCATTGGATCTGCTTTCTGTGTCGTTGGGGGATTGATATCTTGGTATTTTATCCCGGATATGTCACGCGAGTTAGAGACAGAGGATGCCCGCTTTAGGGTCTACTTGGAAGAGAATGGGTACAGATATGAAGGTGGAGAAATTGTTTCTAGCCAACGTACATCGTGAGGCCGTATGGTGTTGTTTGGATGTCACTGTTTTGTCAAGCAAGCTAAGGTAAGCATGTTCAATAGGTACACGGAACTACCGTTTAGGGTTCTTTAATAGTGGCTCCTTGTAGTTGCCAGTTAGTCAACATATCTCAAGATCAACTTATTTCCCCGTCCCAGGTCCTCAGTGTAGTAGAGCATTCCGCAGTAAAATTTCGATCCCTCTTAGATCTCCCGGTGTGGATTTCATGCTTGCCATGAGATAAAGCACGTTTCCAAGAACTCTTGAGTGCACATTGAAACTCGAGGTACCGCTTGCACCAAGTGCGAGTTTCTGTTGAAGCCCTCTAGCTGCGGTTGATGTGTATCCTAAGTGGGAGATTAGTGATGGTGAATTTTTTGCAGCGCATCTTTCGCTTTAAACTGACCTGTTTGTCCAGATTCATCCAGCAACGAAATACTAAACACGCTACCAATTGCAAAGACGCTTTCTACATTTTCTGCGAGACTCAAATCTCGAACAAGTTCCAACGACCAGTGACTCCATACCCCTTGACTTGTCTTCTCGTTCGGTTTTGTGGTTGCAGTCCACTGTTTTTGGAAATGGTCCCAATCACCCTGATTCTCCATATCCATCATCATCCTAACCGACGTCTCGGCAACGTGACAGCCGATGGGATGGGCGGTATAACTGTGGCCATGAAGGAGGGCATCGCTTTTCTCACAGCTCAAGAAGGCGTCGAATATTTCCTTACTCGCCAGTGTTACTGCCAGGGGAATCAGACCACCAGTCAGAAGTTTTGCGTGAACGGAGATATCAGCATCGACGCCCAGGAATGAAGCAGATGTCCGTCGGCCGAGACGGTATAAGCCTGTGAATACTTCATCGAAGACAACTGGTACTCCAGACCAGTTAGTGGGTGTTTCCTCGGACCCTGAACTGGTTCCAAATGAGTTAGAGTGTGACCGCACCACATCCACCAGACATCGCTGGAAGAGAGGATCGCTATATTCGGGTTAACGGGTGTGCTCATTTGAATGATGAAAAGGAATCTATCACTTACGCAAAGAGCATCCCTCCGGCTCCTAAAATAATTGGTTCCATAATCAATGCACCAAACTTCAATCCTTTCTCGTTGATCAGCCTATCAAGTGTTTTCGTAATGAATCTCGTGTATCTCTGGCCTGAAGGAGACCTAAGCCTCTTATCAATATCAAATATCTCATGTAATGAGTCAAAATCTTCGCCAACACCAAGTTCTTGTTCGAGTACTTCTGGGACCGTTACGTGCCATCTGGCATTCTTCATTCCTATGGTTGGAAAGTCGAACCAAAATCCTCTTCCACGATACCACTCGACCTTTTTGTTGTATGTTGAGGGCTCCGAACAGTCCATTACACCGATGGTGTCGCCATGGTAACTTCCCTTCAGCCCCAGGATTTTGATGTCTTCTGTGGAAGAGTCCCAGTCATATCGTGCACAAGATGCCCGGAGAGCCATCTTGATGGCAACTTCCATTCCAGTACTACCGTTATCAGTATAGAATACTTTTCGCAATCTTCTATTTCCAAAACTTTCCAGAAGTAGTTCGGCAAGATCCAAGGCCGGTCTGTGAACCGTCCCGGCAAACATGACATGTCCGTACTTCCCCGCGGCATGTGCTGCTGTAAGAGCTAGCTCTGGGTTACCATGGCCCAAACCTTGCGTCCACCACGAGGCCGAACCATCGAAAGTTGACTGCAACACATTATCGTCTTTGTCTTGGTCGATATCTGCCGATGCCTTGTACGTCTGGAAATAATCGCCATAGGCGGACTCAATCACTGTTATGTCTCTTGGCCGTACTCCCTGGTGCTGTGTAAAAGGGTACCAGATAGCTTCGTTTGCGCGCGCAGCCATATTTTCTAAATTCTCAATACGCCGCTCGCACTTTTGTTCCATTTTTTGGAGGAAGGAATCAAGATCTAAACCACGTGCCAGTGATTCGTAATAGGCCTTCATTGCCACTTGGTCCTGAGTTTCAGTGTCAGGGGTAACGTTCCCTTCAGGACGTGATGGAGGTTTTGGGAAAGCCAAAAGTGGGATATCTCTCCTTGAGAAGTACATATCAAGATATTCGTGATTCTGATAGTAATCATCTTGAAACAAAAGCACGGAATGAACGTCGTAGCCTCTTAACAATAATGATTCGAACGCGGAGATTGAAGACGAAATACCACCAAGCCGAGAGTCAGCCACAAGGACAATGGGAAGCCTTAAAGGCCGATAAAGATCTGCCTGACTTGTTCCGTTGGGACCAGGTGAGTGGACACCTCCTGCGGTCTCGACAAGGGCATTTTTCAATCCGGCCCTAGACCAGGACAATAGTATGTTGTATATGGAACTTAGGATCTCATTATCTGAAGGTCGCTGAAAATGTCCATCAATAACATACATCCCCATGCTAGGTGAGGTAGAATCGCATAACTGACCTGTGTAGATTGCGCAGCAATATGTGGACTGACTGGCTCTCCGAACTGGTACAGACATTTCGTCAACACATTATTGTTGCCAACTGTGAACTGTCGCACATGCCTGAAGACGAAATTTAGACTTGGAAGATTGCAAATAGTTCCAGAAGAACAATCACCCACCTATCGTCCGCGTCATTCAACGAGCCAGTTGACACTGGCTTCAAAAATCCCACTTTGCTCTTCTCCGATAATGCCTTTACCAGGAGCGTCGACGCAATTGTTTTGCCAACATCGGTATTCGCGCCATATATTTGATGGACACGTAGATTGCGCCAGAGTGCCGCGCCGATGGGTGTCATTACTGGCTATCGTCGATTTGGAGTGCAGCGAGGGGAGTGATGAATTAAGTACTCCGTAAGACACAATTTACATTAGATGGCCTTCAATTCTTTTAGTACTGTTTCTCTCTTCCAATGTCTCGGCGGTTTGCAACACAGTTATTGAAAGGGTTAGACACATGTTTAAAAGTAACTGAAAACAGTGAAACACGGAAGAATACATACGGTTTCCGAATGCGGTGGTACCGTACAGTACTGTATATGACAGTACCAGATCCGGTATTCAAGAATGTCGAAATTGCCAAATGTCAATAGAACAAACTTATGCCCATTTAATTACAAACCACCCCATTTGCATAAGATAATAGGTGACAGACGCGAAGTATGCATTCATAAACCTGGCTGTAAAGTGTAAACCGTGGTGCGGTGAGGGTCGAAACGCAGCAAGCAATCTATGCATTGTTGAGCCCAACATTTATGGTAATGCCTGTGGGAAAATCCAATGTTGGGGGACGGTATTTTATTCAGTTTGTCTTGTTTTGAGCGTTACAAATAACGAGGTCCGGTTGACCGGGTATTCTGCTTACCATACATTCTGTACCATGTTCTATTGTAGGTCAAGGGCAATTTTCTTTGTAATATGAATTGTCATGTCAAAATGCTAGCTAGTAGCAGGTGATTCCTATAGGTATGTGACATGATGGCGTCTGCTTCTGACACTAATGTGCTGAGAGAAAATGGTTTCTTTGCTCGACTCTTTCCAAACAGCGTTGGACAAAAGAGAAGCGAGGTCGGCACGTCGGAGACTCACTGTCTCTCCAACCGCCACCGCTGATTTTTCGTCTAATGATTTTCTGTCGCTTTCACGATCTCCCCTCCTGAGGTCACAGTTTCTACAGAATCTGAACGCTTCTTACAGCAGTAGTTCTCCGAGCAAACCTCCGCCTTCGCTCGGGAGTGGAGGCTCTCGTTTGTTGGATGGTAACTCAAGATACGCCGAGGAACTAGAGAAATTCATTGCTGGCTTTCACAATGCATCCGATGGACTACTGTTTAATTCTGGCTTTGATGCCAATGTCGGGGTTTTCTCATGTCTTCCCCAGCCAGGAGACATCATCATACATGACGAATTGATACATGCCAGTGTACACGAGGGTATGCGGCTCTCTCGCGCCAGGGTGAAAATGCAGTTTGCGCATAATTCAGTATCTGACTTGGAGAGAGTGATAAAAAAGGCTACCAACGACGAGGCAACTCGGCATGCGTACAATGTCTTCATTGCCGTTGAAACCCTCTACAGTATGGACGGAGATACCGCACCTTTAAAAGATATCATTCGGTTGGTTGAAGGATTGTTTCCGAAAAAGAATGCATATCTGATCGTGGATGAAGCACACGCCACAGGGGTGTTTGGGTATAATGGAGCTGGAGTCGCCCAGGATTTAGGCGTCGAGGACAAAATCTTTATCCGGACACATACATTTGGAAAGTCGCTGGCGAGTCAAGGTGGTACGTTTTCGTGATCCTGAGACCTGTATAAGGAAAATTAGCTTACGATGAGGATTGTCCTATTTAGCAATAGTTTTATGTGATTCTTTAACCAAAGAGTACCTGATAAACTACGCTCGTACCTTGATCTACACTACGGCAATGAGTATGCCCTCACTGATAGCCATTCGCTCCGCCTATGAAGTGATGGCAGAAGGGAAAACACGATCGGTAAGGATTGATGCTAACGCGATTTCTGAGCCGCCATCTGATTAGGTGCATTCACAGTTACAATCAAATCTACAGTCTAATATCGCATACTTTCAATCACGCTGCGACGAATTGAAAGGCACCATTGCATCGTCACTCGTGCATATAGACTACAATGATCGATCGCCAATTTTCTCGGTTCGAACAAAAGTCCCACGAGAGCTTGCTCGGCATTGTCAAGAGCGTGGACTTCTTGTTCGACCGATCATGGCACCAACGGTACCCCTTGGAAGGGAGCGAGTACGTGTCTGTTTGCATGCTGGTAACACACGACAGGAGATGGACAGGTTGTTGAATACAATCAAACAATGGGCTGTCGAGCAACATCAGCCGATATCTAGATTGTAAGTATTAAAAAAAGAAAATTGAGGTTTCGATTCATTCACAATGTCCAACTGCCCAGGTGGAACTGTATTGGATCATCATCTAAATTGTAACATTTCTGGTTAAAATAACGAGCACTAAGGTCTGCAACGGCCAAGCCCTTAGAAGTCCATATAGTTGGAGAGTTCAATTCTATTTCACCCGTTATTTAGAACTCGTACGACTACGGTAGACTCGCGACATGTCTATAGCCTCGCTGCGACCAGTTCACTGTCGCTTTCTGGAATCATGGCCGACTTTTCGTTCTTCCCTCCCTTATCTTCAAAGCTCTTCATTGGATAAAACCCCCATCTCTGAAACATTTCGTGGTCTTGATCCCAGCCATTGCAGTCTGTCGTAAGCATCTTCTCCCCTGTGAACACTGCATTGGCACCGGCCATGAAGCAGCTCACTTGCTGCTCCTCCGACAGGTTGATACGACCAGCCGCAAGTCGCACGATGGTGGCAGGGAGGACAATACGTGCGGTAGCAATGGTTCGAAGTAACTTATCAAATGAAATCATTTTACGGTCTCCCAGAGGGGTCCCCTTGATGGGCACGAGAGCATTGACGGGAAACGACTCAGGGTGTGAGGGCAAGGTGGCGACAGTGTGCAGCAGTCCGATACGGTCCGAGTCCGCCTCTCCCAACCCTAAGATCCCGCCAGAGCATACATTGATACCAGCGTCACGAACGTTGCTAAGTGTTTGAAGTCGCTCATCATAGCTGCGTGACGTAATGATAGACGGATAGTACTCCCGCGACGTATCAAGGTTATGATTGTACGCTGTCAATCCAGCGTCTTTCAATTCCTTGGCTTGTTCGGAATCGATCATTCCCAGCGTAACACAGACCTCCATTCCCATTGATCGCACGCCAGTGACCATCTCTTTTATATTCTTGAGACTCGTCTTTCGGCCTCTCATATCGCGCCATGCAGCGCCCATACAAAACCGAGTACTGCCATTTTCCTTGGCGATTCTAGCCGCTCGCAAGACGTCCTCGACAGGCGATAATTTCGTAGCCTTGAGACCAGTGCTATATCGAGAAGATTGAGCGCAGTAGGAACAGTCTTCACTACAGCCACCCGTTTTAATGTTCATAAGAGTGCACATTTGGATAGCGGCAGGGTCATGAAAGCGACGGTGAACTATAGCCTGTAATTGACGCTAATTAGCTGACGTTTCAGTAGAGCCGAAAGGCAGAAGAATTCCTAGGCTATCAGAAGAGCAGATCACGACATACTGCGGCATGCGTCAATTGACTCAACGGAGTCTCATAAACTTGCTGAACTTCATCCCTTGTCCAACTAGTTCGAGGCGCTTGAGCGGCAGTGGCGTCTTTGACGACAGCTGGGGTTGTCGAGGACGTCCATGGCGCTGCCAGGGCACCTGTAGCAATTGATGTTGACGCGCTTTGGACAGTGCTATAGGATCGATTTAATGCCGGCCGAGCCAGTGGACGAAACACTAAAGACGCCATTCCGTGTCTGGTTATGTATGTGCTTCCACACGACGCTGTGAAGTTCTCGCCAACTTAGTGTGGAATATATGAACAGAATTGGGAAGAAACACTGGACAAGCAGACAAAGCAACAACAGAACAACGTCAGTTAGTGGTGGGCTGAATGGCGGGCTGGATCAATAATCCTACCGGCAGCAGAGCAGGGGTATTCCTCACGACTCTCTACCCAGCTTGACATGTACTTACACATGCAATTGCATACGAGAAACTCCCCAACCTTAACGATCTGCTCGTTAGATCGAAGGCACGGACACTCCCAAGGCCGCACTTAACCGTACCGAGGAGGATAGCGGGGTAGACTATCCTGAAGAATTTCAACGTTTTGTCTCAAGGATGGTTTACCGAGATCCCGAATCGGAATGCTCAGTGAGAAGCCCCTCGGGGTCTGCATTGATTAGAAACTGATGAGACTAACTAATTGGTCGCAGTTATATAATACCGTATCAGCGCCATTGCAGATCATGGTAATACCGTAATTGGTCTTACATTACACATTTTGTGTTATTGTGAAACAAACATCAAGTTAGTAACTAAGTTGGAGTTAGTTAAGTTAGGTGAATACTTGATTAGTTGTTAATAATAAAAGGATTTATTACAGATGGATTTGAAACCTCCTTCATGTTTTTACACTCTGTTTGTTTAATTCTGCCCTATTGTGGAGGCACAAGTTATAAGCCTAGTGTGAAAATGCCTCCTCTTGTATTATACTTATTACTAGCGTATGTTTGGGTACATACCCTTACAATCCCACGAGTGGCCGGTCCGACATTGACCCGAGATATCATTGGCGGTGGTCAAATTATCAAAATATCCAAAGATTGTTTAAAAGCAATGGATCTCTGTACAAAGATCTTTTACTTTTACTTTCTTGTCCATATCTGACACTTGGTTATAATAGTTAAATCAATAGCAATGCATATTAGTCTGGCTTATAGAACTGAAGGCATTACTGGACCTCTCTCCTCCATACCCCAAAAAATAGTGACAAAATGGGACGTAAATTGTTGTTCACTTGCAGCATAACGAGTATAACCAGTGTAGGAGTGCTCAAGCCTCATATTTCCCTTAACTTTCAAGTACTAAGCCTGCGCTTTCCCACTAGTGCTCGTCGTTGCATGGCCTCTGCCTCCTCATATTTTCCCATCAGGTAAAGATACCACCCGCATCGGCTTGTTATATTCGACATATTTAACAGGTCGTTCTCATCTAACCCCTCAGTGAAACGAGTCGTCTCTTTCAAATGTGGAAGGAGTATTTGACAAGATTTAGAAGATGCTCCTGGTTGGACTCACTTTGTTGAAAAAGCTCCAGGTAAGTCGATATGCTCATTCGAGGTGAGCGATTCGATATGCACCAGCTTGTGCAATTGCTAAAGGAATGCATTCCAGTGCCTTGGTAAGCACTTCTGCTTCAGTTCATACAGTTGGTCTATCTCAAGACGGGTTCGTAATAGGGTAAGGGCATGATTAGTACTCATCGGCTTCACTTGTATCACCTGACCACGAGCGCCCACTATGTTCCGTGCCACTATCTGATATCTGATTTCGTGATGTAGCTAAAATCGACCCGTGGGAAACATGAGGTAGGTGGTCCACTAAAGGTACTCTTTTACTAGAGGTGTTAAAAAATGTATCAATATCGTCTGTATTGTCTAGGACTATCGACCATCTGCCGTTCGTGTCATCACATAACCACTCATTGACTAACTGTAGAATGTTAGCTTTTGGATCATCCCGTCCAGGAACCTTCGCTACTGTTGCAATATCCCGGTACCCTTGCTCAAATCTCGTTGTATTGCTCGCGTGAATCCAGACTGTCCATGTATTAGCGCAGATTCTCGAACATGGTATGTATACTCGATCGCTATATGAGATTTTCTAGGATATATTTAGTTTTTGGACGTCATTTCCTCCCACAATACTCACCCTACACCTTCTAAGCCCACGAGTGCGGCACGTTTAGAAGTCCACCCACTACCTTCTTGAACAGCGTCTTCAATACTCATGATAATATCTTCTCGACCCACAAACATTTCGTCTCTCTCAAAGGGGACCGTTGAAGATGGCTTAGCATGACTTGTAGTTTCTGCTAAAAATCGATTCTCATCAGAACTGGTATAATAAAACTACAAACGATAATTAGAGGTCGCTCTTCAATGGATGGAGATCAACTTACGTGGCTGTTGCTGAAGACAGCCTTTGATAGGATGCCGCAGTGGCTACAGCATAGTTTTGCCATGCCTTATTCTTATGACTGTCTGCGTGATCGCAAACACCTTTGATGATAACACAAGGCAGGCTATCCCTCTCCAGCACCTTCCATCTCAAATCCAATCACACCCTCATTTTTAGCTAGTTAATCACGATGATCACCAGACTTCATAACAGAACTCGCTGACTTAATCATGCCAATGTGAATCATTGGTTGTGGGTTGTCAGTATTCAGTCGGTGTCGCTGCATCGCTGGAATACCAGATTAATTGAGACTAATTCGTTAAAGATGTGCACCCAATAATACCGCATGTACACGTGTGGTTGCAGGAAAACTGAGGAATTCAAACAATGTGACGCACGATTTGGCACGACCGCGAAATGCTCGCCTGTCAAATGGGAGGCATTAAACCCTTCTCTTCATATGTGCGCTAGGCACATGGTGAAGCCTGGTAAGGACGAGATGCACCGATAGGCTGAGTCTCGGTAAAGGACGGAAACGTCATGCCACACATCCTGGATGGCTTGAGCGGATATGCAAGGAGCGAAGGGAGAGGAATTGAGCCTGTGTTCTGGTAATGGTAGCTGCTCTGCCGAAGGATTCCTATCTTATCTGTGTTTTGATTAGTTATACATGCTATATTTCCGATTTTATTTCAAGTAATCAATTTTCCCGCACGGCTTTTCCATCTATGATCTCCCCACACTCTCCAATATGGTGTTTAAAGCTCTCCTCCGTAAATTTCCGTCGCCAATGAAGTGGTCGATTATAATGGTGAAAACCCCATGAGGAGATCCGTCACGAAGATCAAGAAATGGAGCTCGGACAATTGCCACGAAGCGTCTGGGGTTGGATGTATGTCCATTAAATTCATCTTCGGTTCTGGGCCGACGTGGAGTTAACTTTCCAGCGCCGGCTGTTTGTTGCGATTTCCTAGATTGGTATTTTCCCAATATCTCAAATGTCATCTCCGAGGTGAACTGCTCTAATGCGCTTGCGGAGCCGTGCACAGCAAATCCGACCTGTCGCGCAGCGCTATGATCGATAAACATAAGCCGATTACGAATTTTAATGCGACGTGGTGAGTAGCAACCGGGGATAGTCCGCATAGCAGGTAGACTTGTCAGGTGCTCACGACCAAGTCCAAATTTTCAAACCGCATCTGCTCGCCGTAGTGGAAGGAACTCAGTCTTCTCAGTGAAGCAGAGAAAGCACACGCGGCGGCATGTGAATATATACAGATATCCGCCAAAATCGCCGCAGCTCTCGCATTCGGCTGGACAAAGCTTCTCGTAAAGATCTTGGCATGATATCCATTTGCCAGTGCCAATGAAGTGAGGCCGGTGCGTACGTTGCGATTGCTTTGTATTGAGAAATTGAATCCACTACCTGCATAGCTCCGATTAATACGTCGAAAATCGGTTAAAGACTGTATTGTAAGTTGAGTGAGAACAATATTAAGTACTTCCAAAGGGAGCTGTCCCAAAGCTCCAAGCGTGAAGGTTGGCATGGGATGATCATGTCGTCCCTTGTCTAGATGACAAAGACTTCCAATATCGTCCAAGGTGTGATCTTCAAGGTTAGAAAAGACATATGTCAAGTCGTTTGTAATGAGTCATTTCCAAAGTGCCCGATTTCGATTCGAGGAAATACAGCTTGTGTTCCTGTAGGTTCTTAAATGTCGTGTTGACTTGACAGCCTAGGCGCTCGGGACAATGTTTCTCCGGTCGGCGCGCCGAAGTTCTCAAGTTTCAACCAATTGTGGATTTTCATCCATTGCCCCAACTATGGTTCAGGACCGATACCGTATGATGCATCACTGTCAACTACAAAGATATTGATAATCAGGCATCAACCACTCATAGAGGATGGGTCAATAAAAGGGAAGCATTGTCGGCTACTCAGCGCATGCTTATGGAGCGAGATGAACAGGTGAAGGCCGAGGAAGGCTCCCTAGGCCGGCCATCACCCTAGACGGCCGTATATGACCTGGTGCGATGTCCAGGCGCGTCGTGCCATTCGGGTCCACACTGTTGGCGAATCCAAAAGATAAGAAGCACTACAAGCTGAAGAGGTAGTCGAAGCAGAGAAGCATCGACAAAACCGACCAAAGAACTCTCATCATCGAGGGAGCTCCTATCCTCCAACCAATATCACAAACGTTTTACCTCCACCGTCTTCATCAGTCTGCCACGAGTCAGTAATATTGATTCCAATATGACTAACGACTAAAAACTAAAGGGGGTGGTGGTGGTTGAGGTGTAGATATCCTTGCGCCTGATAATTGTTATCCCGTGCCGGAAGCGAGGCGGTACCTATTTGGGAAGGATTGGGATACAAACAAATACCCTAAGTGTGGCTGTTTGCTTGTTCGAGATCGAATAGCTGGTCTCTCTGCCTCATTAGATATCCGGGTTATCTAACTATAAGAGCTCATCCTGCCCATTCAGTCCTTGCTAGAAATCAGCAGTCCTGTTGTTTTCTTTCCTGTTTCTATCCTTGCTTCTAGTTCTCTATCATAGTTTCTGAATCAGTTTTGTCAATTCAGTTTAGTTGTTGAGCCCGTTTGTTACAGCCATCTTGCCACAGACGACTGTGGCAAGTTACCCTGATCTTGAACAAACATATACAATATAATGTTGGTCGATGTATATATGTATAGACCATTCAATTATATACTAGCTATCAATAAGATATCAAGACTACGAACATTTTCAAGGTTTTGCCAGCTGTACATATGACTCACGATCTGATATAGGTAGGCTTCCTCAATAAGTAATTATAACGTCATATATTGCATAAGTGGCAATATTCAATGACTCCTCTTCGCCTCATCGCCCGGGTTAGATAGCCTTGATCTTCCAGTATACAACCTAGTACGCATGTCGATAGAAACACCGAAAGCTAGCCTTGCAAAGACACTTACAAGCATAGAAGTGAAAGATGATCAATTGATTTGTAAATTGGATCGTATAACTGGATCAGCACATTCCAAACTTTTTATACCTCGTATTAAAACTTCCAAAAAAGCCTGTTTGATCGTACTTGGATATTTAACAGGTGGGATAGCTCAAATATTCCTCCCCCCAGTAACCTCAATAGTCTCCCCATTAACATACTGAAACCACCGACTTGCCACGCCCACAATCGCCCTCGTCGCCTCCACCGGACTTCCCAGTCACCTAAGCGGAATATCAGTATAAGCTTTCGCTGCTGTCCGTTGGGCAGACGATGATAGTTTCCGTACCGAAATTCCTAAAGCAACTTTTGTGCCATTCGCAGCTAGTTGCGGTCATGAGGTGTGTGGTAATGTAGCCGCATGCGACTGTGTTTGCGCGAACGGTGATTTGGGGACCCCATTCTTTGGCGATTGTTTTTGTGAAGCTGGATAGGCCTGCTTGGGCGAGGGCGTAATTTGCTTGCCCAATTTTCTCAGATATTAATTATCGGTAGAAGATGTGATGAGGTCGAGGGAAGTGAAGGGGGAGTTACGTGTTGCCGTGGGTTCCGCTGGTAGAACTAATGTTGATGATGACACGAGGTTTCTTGTATCTTTCGCAGAAATAAGGCGCAGCAGCTCGAATGAGTTTGAATGGTGCTGTGTTGTATACAGAGAGCATGATATCCAATTGTTTATCGGTGATCTGTCTCCCAACATCAGTATTCTCAAGCAACAGTTACTTACCGGTCCAAGGGGCGAACGTTGTGAATAACATCATCCCATGTAAATCCGGATAAAATCTGGGTGGAGGGGTGAGGTTTACACTGATCAATATCAGCAACGACTACCTTGGCACCTTCATTTGGCAAATAAGCGTGCTGCTTCGACGCTAAATCCAATGTCTTGACCTGCACCTGTGAAAATGACTGCTGGGTTGTGGAAGAGTCCCTGAGGGAAGGTGAGGTGGGAGGAGACTTGCTTTAGGTGGTCTTGCGGTTTGTGTTGTATGTATTCAAGGGTTTGACTGGAAGTAAATGGAACAATTTTATAATGAGACTATCCGAGATGTTACTTGCTAGAAGCCCTAGCCTAGGTAGTATGCCTACGATTTACTAGATTTTAATAATCTGGAAAGATGTTTTGTGTTGATGGTCGTTATTTTTTTCAAGTATTATAAATATAATGTCTATATACATTGGGTATCACAAATATCACAAGTCATAGGGGTATCAAATTATGCCAAACGTTTCTTATTTTGTTGGTTGTTTTGATTGTTTAAGCAGCAGGTCCGATGTTCAAAGTCATCTGGGTACGAGCAGGGCAGCCGTGAGTAGCATGGTCATCGTTCCAGACGAGGTAAGCATCAGCACAGGCAGTGTCACCAGGGGCGCAAGTAGCAGAAGGACAGCCGGAATCGTTAGAAGTAACCGCGAAACCGACCTCGGTGAACTGAGAGCCGGTACCCATATCGATGAGAGAAAGGTCCCAGAAGATAGTGTCTCCTTGCAAAGTATATTCGTACTGGAGAACATCGACTTGCTCAGGCTTCATGGCCATCTTGATGGAGATGCCACCGCCATCGGGGTTGGTGCGCCAGCTCTCAGTGTAGCTGGCACCGGGATCGAGGGTCTTCATAGAACCGGCATCTTGGCTGACGGACCAATAGTAGATAGTATCTTTCATGTTGTTGTGGATGTTGACGCTACCACCATCATTGCCGCCGTTGGTGTTGGCAGAGCCGTGGGTGGGGAGGTTGCTAAGGTGAGTGACGTTCATGGAAGTGGGAGCTGCAGACGCAAGAGTGCCAATGGCAGCAAGAAGACTGATAGCCTTGGTGAAATACATGTTGACTTGATGTGTTTTTGAAGAAAAGAATCTCGAAAGGAATGTAATGTTGGAAGACTTGAAGTCTGTTTTTGATTGAATGGATGGATGTAGTAAAAGAGTGGTGTTGGTTGTTATGTCTCTTGCTGTATTCAAAAGAGACCCTTTGTGATCACAAGAGTGTATGATATATTGATTATTTGTCCGATTGACTGACGATTGATGAGAACGAGGATGGACTAAAGGTGCGGATTCCATCCATACTTATACCTTTGATGCTCGGCGTGTCTGCTCTGCAATTCCCTCAGAATACCCAGAGTTCAACCGATATTTTCCCCAGAGATCGTAACTACTGTACCTGAACCCCTGACTCGGGTAGATAATGAGTTGACCATGGTACAGTACCGGCAGTTCAACGGCCATTGGCTTCGTACCCAGATCTTGGTTCTTGCACCGATTGGCTCATGATGGCGTTGATGGTGGACATGTCCTTTCTATACCCTTATTTATAGGCTGAGGGTATACCCGAACTATGGTTTGGTCTTCGGCGACTTCGGTTAACTCCATGGGGTATCCAGGGGTTTACGTCGTCAGTGGCGAGCATAAGCCCTAATAGCCGCCGCCGGTATAGAGGGCTCGTTTGCGCCATGGGTTCATTGATCTGTGTTACAATTTACCAGTCAAGGGAAGAATAATTGGCATATCAATTGGCTGCACGTACGTAACCTTATGCTATTCGATTCACTCTCGACCTCATGCACACCCTCTCACTTTTCACTCATCCCTAATTTTCCTTTACCGAAATGGGCCCTCGTGAGACCACATATTGCATTTGCAAGTATAAAATCAAGCTTGTCATAAACTTCGGAAAATTTTAGTCAGTCCAACTCCATAGCCTGCCTCATAGTGTTAAAAATAATCTTCGTCCTGCTCGATATGAAGGAGGTTTCGAATCTCTGTACATCTGTACTTGGAATCTTTGATTTGTAGGAACTGGACCCGGAAAAGTATACACACATAGTGTTGCTGATACCGAAGGATTACTTTACTTTACTTTACCTTCAGAGATATGCTAGCTAACTCCTTGATTGCGCATAATGCTAGCACTGATTCGGTTCATTCAAGCTTGTCGTTCACTCTCTATACCTTAAGAAGCAACTCGAAGCTTTTTATGGTTGTTAGCCTGGTCCATAGTCCGATTTTATGCGTTTAATTAGTTAGCTCTCTCCGTGCCCTAGTCCTAGGATTGTATATTACCATAATAGCATGATCTTCGAGTTAACGACCAGTAACTGATGCATTACGGTTTCTGGGGATTTGATACCAACACCGCTAAGGTATACAAATAAAACAGAATAGAATATTATTTCGTCAAACAGCAAAGATACGATCTTCCTATGGCCCATGCGACGCTTCGTCTCTTCCCCACAGATCAAAGACATCTATTGCAACCTTGAAAGAGCTAAGTCTTTGCGAGCGTTAGGAGATATCACATTTCTCAGAGTAGGTTCCAGAGGGAATCTCTGCTCCTCCTCTGACAACTCCTTATATATTTCATCCCAACGATCTTGTAGTTGAATTGGGGTCTCCCATGCATACTCAGAATCTCGAAGCCACAGCCGTAGCAAATGGCGTCTAACATTCATTTCCATTAGTATATAGGGCATAGGGTCTGTGGTTCAAGAAATGAAGCTCATACGTACTGTTTGTCAGGAGCGTTTACAAACCCTTTCCGGGCGTGGAAAATTGCTAGGTTGTTCACATACTGGATATCCCCTTTCCGGAAGTCTAGTTGCACACTATGTTTCTCACCAAGGAAATGCAAGGCATCCAAGGCTTCTGCTTGTGCTTCGGTGATAGCAGGGATGTCGCGCGAACGTGGTTGGGCAAGGAATCCAGTGAAGTATCGTCTGGCATACTGTACTATGAGTCGTTCTGGGGCTATGGGCGACGCAGGTTGGTAGTATAGCAAGGGCCTCGAGGTGTATGGTCGATCTGGGTTATTAAAACTTTCCAGATTATGAGCTTTGAACAGCTTTCACTATTGGTCGACCTTTTTTCTTTTTGGATTTCATTAGACTCACCCGTCAAACGGCCATTCCTCCGTCAAAGTTTGAATGAGGTCTGGGCGGCTTTCAGCTAAGATGTTATAGACCTGCCAGATGCTCGCTAGTTGCGACTCGCCACCTTCTGCCGCTTCCTGCAGGCAGAAAAGAGAAACGATATCTCCAGAATCAGTATGGAATACCTGTTTATCATTTGTACTGGCCGGTCCTCCGATAGTCTCCCTGCTGTATGTCCCAGTCAGGTCTTTGATATGCGACAGAACCGCTGACTTCCCGTCAGTGGTGTTTCTCCTCTCCTGCCTGCCGCGCAGATCTCCAACGTACGATGACACCCCGGCATATATAATGATATTCTCCTCGGTTGTATATTTGTCAACCGGTATACCGCGCAGAACGAAGAAGCCTCGCCCAAAGTGAAGCTCCCGTGAACTATCCCGTAGTAGGCTACCAAGACTAGATAACGGAAAAGTCCGTCGGTTGATATACCCATATGGTTTGTTCAATTCTGTTGAACACCTCGTTAGCATCAATGTGACGCGCTTGTGGTGCTTTAATGTCATCGCCGGCCAGTAAATCTTACCTTTGAATTGGTTCAACGCTCTATCAATTTCTTCAAGATGCCTCGCTGTTAGCGCAATCACCCAGTCATCACGACCTTGAATATCGTCTCCGGCCCAGACGAAAGATGAAGAAAGTTGTTGAGGCAATCCGCATGGCAGATCTTTTGATAAAACTTCTCTCTCCAGACGTCTTTTGCCTCGATCTAGAAATTTGTTGTAGTCTGGATGATATTGTATATCGGGCTGAGTTTGGACTTGGGCAGCTGCCATGCTTTCTTCGATTTCTCTTTTACTTATTTTCTTATCATGCTCGTACGATAAAATGTGGTACAAAGATGAATCAAAGAGACAGGATGTTTGATAGAGGAATCAAGTAATTATGTAGACTACGTGCGGGGTCATTGCGTGACATGAGCTACTCTTGTATCATTCTATAGCGTGACATTCTGATACATATAAAATGATTGTATAATATTGACTACGAGGTCTCTAACGAAAATTCCCTGGTTCTTTCTAGTCCTTTCTGTGGTGTGCCGCTCTTATTGAGGAGATATCTTCTGTCTCTTTTCTCTCCCTATGATACATAGTCTCTAAGGCCCATCAGTTTGTCATAGGGTCAGACTCATTTGTATCTATAGACTTGTAATAGAAGCTGCCCGGCTATTCAGGCTGAATTATGTTGCAGAAAGTATCATGTTAATTATTATGTGTAGGATTGATTACATGGAAAAGTGGACACACATTATTCCCAAAGCACAATAACAGTAACTTCCAAGATTAAGGATCATAGATATTACTATAGAGAATGCATTGATTGACATTTAATCCAGTGTATAGTAGTAACGTAGTAACGAAGCGCTTCAGCTAAGATAGTTGCATAGCAAGTAGTAAGGGAAAAAAATCCATATTCTTCATGCTATGTTAGCCAGCAGGCCCGGTACAAAATTATTACCACGTACTAGGTATGTACTGTAATACTGTCGGTAACCTTACAACGTACCATTATGGTATAAATCGAGAAATAGGCTGCAACCCCGCCCGCTAATCTAAGAGAGATGGAGAGAGACTTCTGGCTACATACACTTCCCATTAAAGAACTTTCTGTTCTTTCCTTCAATTTTAACGTTATTCACCTCCTGTCGCAGTAAATCGGCTTAAAGAACTACTATGGCTCTTCAGATCTATGGTCATCCTGTCTCCACTTGTACCCAGCGTGTATTGACGGTACTCAACGAGAAAGGCATCGACGTCAACTTCACTCTGGTTGACATTTTCAAAGGGGAGCACAAGGCTACGGAATACGTGGATAGACTACACCCATTCGGCAAGGTTCCTGTTCTTGTTGATCACGAAAGCGGAATCCAGATCTTTGGTGGGTAGCTGAATGACTCTCTTGGAGACTCATCAAGCTGGAGGTCTAATGCTGATCAATTCGTTTCATCTCGTAGAGAGTAGAGCTATTGCTCAATACATTGCAACGAAATATCGAGGCTCGGGCACCGATCTTTCCCCCCCTGAGTCAGACTTGAAGAGATATGCTGTCTATCAACAAGTGAGATGCCCGTTTTAATGAATTTTATACTTCTACTTTACCGAAGGGGCTCAATTTAAGCTAATGTAAAACAGGCTTTGTCTATCGAATTGTCCTACTTTGATCCTTTAGCTGCTGTCATTGTCTGGGAGAAGATTTTCAAGGCTGTGACGGGATTTGGATCTCCAGACGAAGAAATCGTCAGAATCACCCTGAAGAGACTTGACAGTGTGCTACAAGGATACGAGCGTGTTCTATCTCAAAGTGAACATCTTGCAGGCGATGAAGTGACGCTTGCCGATTTGTTCCATTTGCCATACGGAACGTTGATAGAAGAATTTGGTTTCGCCAATCTACTAAAAAGTTATCCAAATGTCGCACGATGGTGGGAAGGGCTAAAAGCTCGAAAGAGCTGGAAGGAAGTGAACGCGAAATCTGCATCTCGGTCTTGATTGATTAGTGTGCCTATTCTGATATGAATAGTGGAACATCAGTAGGTAGCCCGTCAGGTACAATCGGCTCTTGTAGATCTCAATTACAATAGTCCCCAGCGATTATGACGCGTTAGAAGCACATGCGACTGAGCGGGACACGATGTGATTATTTTGTGTATGATGCTCGGATATGTAAGACTCGGTTTCACAGATTCCAGACTTTCATGGTGCTACTCCGGAGAATTCAATAGTCTCGGAGAGCAATCGCCAAATAGTGTCCTGTTCCTTTTCACGCCCGGATATATTCGGAGCCTCAATCTAATCGAAGTAAATACACGTCATCTCCTCTGGCATTTACGATACCTAAGGTACGGTCCTCCAGTCACTTGAGCTTTCTTGACCTATTATGAATCGATCAACCCTACGGATAGAGATGCAATAGGTATTTGCTGTATACAAACCCTTTGCCGTGTACAAGTAGAGTCGTAAGACATAATAATCTCATATTCGTATTAAGATTAAGCTAGTTGTCAGGAGGACTTATTATCATTATTATCACTAATTGAAGTCCGTAAAGAAAGTCCGAAAAACGTCTTCATTAACGCCTACAGAACAAGCCCCGATATATTGCGGGATCCCATTTCTTATTACGTTCAGAAGTAAGCGACAGGAATCCGCCTAAGTATACATCAAATAAAATCTGGGATCTCTAGAATGAGGTAGACCGGAAATCTCTTCTTCCGTATCAAAATTGATGCATTGGCCTATATAAAGCCCCGAAGGATTCCCTACGTCAAAATTGGAAATTTCTGCTCTTCAGAGTCCTGTATTCTTCACTGTATACTTCCCGAATGTTTGATATCCTAGGGGTCGTCCGCCTAACAGCCGAAATGAAAGTTTTTGGCATTGGAGTGATATTGGCGTTGCCTCTTTTAGCAACAGCACAAAGTTACAACTTAACAGCACTATTTCAGCCCGTTCTGTCTCCTGGTGCTGAAATATACTATGCCAACGACAGCGACTGGACACAGAATGTCACCCAACGATGGACCACATGGGATGCACCCACATATCTGGGTGCAATCAAGCCGGTTACCGAGCGCGACGTTCAGAACATAGTATGTATCTAACCTAATTGAAACATACCATATGAATCGAGGAACTCACATAAATCAGGTTAAAGTAGCGTCTGCTCACAATATATCCTTCCTTGCCACAGGAGGGGGTCACGGCGTCTCCCAAGGCTTCGCCAATATACAAAATGCCATTGAGATCGATCTAGCAAATTTCAAGACAGTTAATCTCGATATTGAGAACAATCAACTCACGGTTGGAGGTGGAGCGACTTATGGTCAGTTATACGATCCCCTGTATAATGCTGGAAAGGAGTTTCGTATGTCCATATCTCATCTTAGCTGTTGCAAGGCGGGTATCTTAGCTAATTGATTCACCACAAAGCGACTGGTAATGCGCCATGTGTAGGTGTTATTGGAGCCACTATTGGTGCCGGTGTGGGTTTACTTCAAGGATTACACGGATATACCTCCGACGCGTTGATTTCAGCCCGGATCGTCACTGCATCTGGAGTGCTGTTCGAGGCATCCGCAACCAACAACACAGAACTATTCTGGGCCATTCGTGGTGCTGGTGCAAATTTTGGTATCATCACCTCAGCCACTTACCGCATATATGATGCTACGAACTCTGGGCAAGCACAGAATGCGGATTTCCTGTTTGCCGAGTCGGCAAATCGAACAGTTTGGAATGCTCTCCAAACTTTGGATGAGACACTCCCCGCCGAGTTATCTGTGACTATCACGTCTACGTATAATCAGACGTCTGGACAAGTAAGGATCTCTGTGACTTGAGGCTGAGGTGACTTTCTGACATACCGCATTTTTTGTTAGGCTTCCATCATGGTAAATCTCGTTTATTTCGGGATCTACGACAACTTTCAGCCATATGTTGACCAATTTCTCGCAATCAGCCCGACTCAGTGGCGGAATGTCACTGTTCCCTGGAACCAGTTGATAGCCTCAGCAAACTTTGGAGCACCATCGCACGGCTGTGGCACCAACTCCTCACATATCAATTTCTTCAGCATTGCCTTGAATCAAACCGATCCATTGACCTTTCAAGGATTCTTTGATGACCTGATTCTTTTCTCCCAGCAAAATCCCTCGTATACTGGGGCTTGGGTTATCGAACGTTACAGCACCCAAGGGCCATTGGCAGTTCCTGAAGAAACTCGAGGTGTATATCCTTGGCGGGAGGCCAAAATGCAACTGTAAGGATATATGAATGCTCCAAAGGTCAGAAGCAGTAAAATGACTAATCATACGTCGTGCATTTTTAGCCTTTGGGAAAGTGACTACCCTGACTCTTCGCTGGATAGTACCGTGAACGCTTTCTATACCCAACAGCGTCAACATTTCGATGAATTCAGCGGTTTTCATACATTCGCCACATACGTCAATTATGCCCACGGTGATGAAGGTCCGAATGTCTGGTACGGTGATGCTGATAACCTTGCCCGGCTGAGTGCCGCAAAACGGAAGTGGGATTCCAACAATCTTTTCGGGGCAGCTAAGCCAGTACCATTGTAAAAAGACTATACGTATAACCATGCAGGTTTAAAGGGCATGTTGGTGTTTCTTTAGCCGGGAATTATGCTGAGGTTAGCGTGGACTAATTTGATGTGGCGACATAAATTGGGTATTATCCGTGGATGTGCAGTAATATCTAATATGTTAATGGCAGGTACTTTGGTTCGTATCTGATTTGTCCTATAGGTATAGGAATACTCAGGTGCATATGACTTAATTGCATGCTACATCGAAGGATAACCAGAATTATGTCTCTCGATATCAATGAATAACCACGGAGGTAGTTAAATACAAAGGCAATTGCACTGAACAACGAGATTAATGCCCTCGCCTAGCCAGAGGAACTAGTGAATGATCCGGTGAGAGGTGCGCATGGCTTTTCAAGAGTCAAATGAGCATTCGAACAGGGTACGAGTTGAGTACTCTCTAGTGTTCTAACTGTATTTCTAGACTTGGATACATAACATCTAAAATAGATCTTTCGGAACACCTAGGCGAGATAAGACTTTAGCTAGTCCTAATTGCGACCACTTTTTCAACTGAGCCTCATTTTGAAGCCACACAGAACAAATCATACCAGGGGCGTTACAAGTCAGGCCATGGAAATTGTTTGAACGACGTAAGACGACCATCAGCCAATACTGAGTGAGTATCACATTATGGGGGCATGTAGCGCTCTGGGCTAAATTCAGTGCCAGCCTTGCATCTGCCAACAAGCGGTAGTAGATCTGCAGCAAATTGCCTTCAGAAAAGTCCACGCGACTCCAATAGTATTTGAATGGAAAGCTACTCAATTGCGCCTCGACAGAAGGAATGCCAGTGCACTCATTCTTATCCTCGTAGGGAAGAATGTGCATGTGTTTATGCTCTCGACTGGCTCCCGCCATTGCACTACAACTGAACATGGCATAGAACGGTTCTTTGATAACGTCAAAATCATCTGCGCCAAGGGACTCGTGTTGGCGACGGTATGAATCCTTGGTCAAAAGCAATAACTGGGGTCGTATAACGCAGTACAAATTGGCCACCAGCAGATGAGTGTTATTGATCTCAGCTAATACTAAATCTGCATGAACCAGTGCCAAATCACTTCCTGGTCCGAAGGTATTGCCCTTACTAAGTGGCAGAGGCTCCCCTGACTGAGGTTTTGCTTGTAATGTTTGACTGACTCGGAATTCAAACTTGGCACATGATTTTAGTGTCTAATGGAATCATGCAAAGCTTTTTGAATATTCGAATATGGGGAAGGTTACTTGCAAGTTTTTATCTTGGAGCCTGACTACTTCCGGCGGGTAGCAAGAGATTAAGCCTCTTGCGATCAAAGCATCAAATTTGGCCATCACACTTTTGTAGTCCGGAGGTGTCGTGGCGGTGAATTCACAAGCCATCATTTCCTGGTAATAACGTAACCCAAAGGCGACTGCCCTGTGGCCTGGATTCAATAATCTGGATAGGTTCTCAATTCTTTGAAACAAGCGTGGAGAGTAGGATTAGGCGTATCAACACAATGCCCAGGTAGTGCATCCTTAAGCATCACTTACTACGGAGTAGACGGACCCGAACGGGGCGCTATCGATCCTCATATAACAAAACTCTAAAAACACAAGGTACAAACCGCAGGATGTGATTGTGCCTTCAGCCGAAGAATCCAGTGCTTAAAAGTCAATGGCGGTTCTCTAGGTATGTGTTACAGCCCTTGCGAGAGTATATAGACTCAACAAGAACAGAACAGACTGAAATGGATAATTTGAAATTGTCCAATCTCTTTCGGGCGAGTAACGGCAATATCACGGCTCGGACGATGGAAGATATTAATGCAACGGAGTAGGAATATCGAGAGAATACCGTGACTTCTGCCAATACGATGTCCAGCCCCGTTCCAGGTTAGCCGTCGAAATCCAACAGTTTTCTCGCGTTGTAAGCACTGTATCCGAACTTTTATATAGTACACAAGAATACTGACACAGTGTACTAGATTCATTCCTCACGATGGGACTTCATATGGGAACAGGATACCAATGACACAGACTTTGGCACTCGATATGTTCTCTTCACTGAAGCTGAATCCAATTGTTCTTCCTCAACATGATTGGACGCCCAGATTATTGGGCACCTCAGACCAGATGGGAGTCTTCGGCTGAAGGCACAATCACATCCAGCGATTTGTACCTTGTGTTTTTAGAGTCTTGTTATATGCTAAAGGCCTTTGACAAATGCCTATAGATTTCTTTTGCCAGCATCCAAGATGGAATCTGGATGTGCAGGGAGCACCTCTGTCAGTATGTTTACGGTACCAGACAGACCGCCGTCGTATAATCTATGTTATCGCCCATAAAGAGAGTGATAACTGCGTAGATGCTCTACGACAGATTATTAGTGCATCAATGCAAAAAACTTTCTAGTCTGATTGAAAAGCCATTTGATATTCACGTCTTACTGTCAACGCTATCTTTTGAGGCACCCAAGTATCATATCACACATTTTCTCCGTTTCATGTGGTCCCAGGTAAGTACTTTATTTTCATACAATACTAAATGCAACCTTGACTTATCATTTATGAAGTTCAATAGAGTAGAAGAGCAAATTGGTGGTGTTCATACGAAAGACCGCGCGGAGCTTCGAGAACTCACCCGAAAATTGCAGATTATATCCTAGAATGCCGATTCACGCATTGCAAACGCTGATGTTGCTATCATTTCAGCCAAAGGGATTCAAGAAGCTCATGCGAAGCTCCATAAAGCTTTGGGAAGCTTTCTGCGGAGTAGGGAACGAGCAGCTGATACAATTGAGTATATTATAAATTCATTAGAAAAACAAAAAAACATGGTTCTTAAACTACAAGAACAGAAAAGATGGAATGATGAGTCTCGTCTTCAACTTAGTCACTCTGCAGGACGCCGCAAACAGCATTGAGATTGCTGCTGATACAAAGCGTAACAATACCAGTATGAATGCGATTGCTGCAATGACCATGGTCTTTCTACCGGGTACTTTTACGGCAGTAAGTTGGTCCTGTTTCCCCTCAAATGTTAATGGCTAATGTAGTCTAATAGACTATACTGGATGCCGGGATATTTTTCACCAATAACAATGGGCACGGGATTCGTGTCTCCAGTCTTTGGTGGCTCTGGGTAGCATTACCGCGCCGCTAACAATTGGGATTATGCTCGGCTGGTGGTTTTACCAAAAAAGGAAGGAGGACATTAAGGAAACTATTCGGCAGCAAGGGGAGAAACAGACAGTCTGAAGGTAAACTTTCTTGTACGAACATACCCGAAGTTGCTCACGTTCACGGAGTCTGGCTGGCAGTGCCTTGTTGGATTGTACGTAACAATCTCAAGTGGTATATCTCAACGTATCAAATTATGTATGCAAGAAGTATGGAATCCTTGATCCTGGTTGTCCTTGTTCTTTTCTCTAAGTACAGTAAAGGTGGAAGATATCTTTTACCCCCTATTCGGTGGATCAGTGTGTGGCTCGCTCTTATTGGCTGACAAATATCATCTGTCTGATTGGCTGGATCAGCTTAGCTAATCCAACATGCCTTTCCAATCTTAGCTTGTACCAGTAGCTATCGTTAGCCATATGACTTATATTATCTGCTGTATGCCACATCATGCATGATGGCTAGTGGTGCTTGGAGTCTCCCCCAAATGACTCTTTGCGGAGGCTTGATCTTTATTTCCCGACGCTTTTTCGATACTTTCATTCAACCCTCACTTTATTGCACTTTTCGAACCGTTCATATTATTCGGTGATATGGCAAAGCAAGACAGAGTATGACTCCTAAACTTACAAGTATATTTCCAAGTACGCACCTTGGTGGCAACGATGTTTCAGTGGTGTCTATTATTGACTACTATGTGAGGTTTGACAAATTTGTAGCGCTTTGTAGGAACTAGGACTAAGATGAATACCTGCCTACATCTCAGGGATTCGACAATGGCCGATTATTAGAAAACGTTGAAGAAGTTCATTATGAGAGAAGACGATGCAAGACTGACTGCGTATATTACTACATGGATAATCATCATGATTAAATCGTGCTATCTTATAGATATGTGTATATGATAACCACCAGGATATCGGATCGAATATGGAAGATATTCAGCTACAACGTACTTGAAAGTAACTGTCATTTTCCAGACCTGAAACCGATAATACCACCGGAAATCAGCTGGGCAACAAAAGAAAATATTCGAAGAATTAGACAAGACTATCCACACTGGATGCTTTTTCTGGGTGGTCATCTCGTCTATTTCTCTGTACCGAGACATTGGTAGTCTTGACAATGGCGATACTCCCCATTGCACCGGCAATGATACCGTCATCATCGCTAAGACTCAAACTTTCGGCAGTCTTCGAGCGCGGTGGAAGACGTCCACTATGACTTTCTCCAGCACTTATCTCAGTTTGTTGTTTGTTATGATATTTCTTCTGGCCAAGCTCGTAGGAATCGTTGGGATCCACGTTCGAACGAATGTACGTTCCATGGCCGTATCGTGGATTACTTGACTTTCCGTATGTACCACGGCCCGACGTGCCGAGGAAGCGTGGTGCAATGCGATTGAGAAGTGACTTCAATGCTGGACAACATGCAGAGATGACGGCCAAGTTGATCTCAATGGCGGATGAGACAAAACCGATACTATATGTGTGGTCCGGATTTGGATGGCTAGGGAAGAAAGCTTCAACCAGCTGATTTAGCCGCCAGGCTCCCACGCCGGTGGCACTGCGCATGGCTGTCAGTAAGAGACAATCACAAAGCTACTCAAAGGTGGAATTTTACGGAGTAACTTACACCAAACCAAGACAGAGGATACCAACAACCATGATCTTTCGTCGAATAGGCATCTGCAGAGAATAGACGATAATCATCGGGATAACAACGACCAGTAAGTCGGTGAATATGGTCATAGTTGCAGTGGCAACAAAGAAGGCACCCTGTTCAATGCAATGTCCGCCAGCAATAGTTATATCATAAACGTATGCTACGGGCGTGCATTGAAAGACATCTGCAATAAGGATGGAGACCATGAGGGCAATGGTAAAGTACATCGTCCCAAAAATCATGTAACGAACGACTGCTGAGCGTGAGTCCAGCCGTAGGAGGAAGATCAGGACCGATATCTTAACGAGCGACAAGATAGGATTGTAGATCAACTGGTTTGCATAATTCCACTGAAAGATGTGCTGTGTTAGAATAATTCGTCTCGTTTTATCTGACAACAAGCCGATACTTACAATCAGTCCCTTTTTTAGCTCTTCAGGCGTCTGCGGCGGAATATCTGCAAGATGTATACCGACATAGTTCGCTTTGATGTCTTTGACGCTTCATCAGTCACCTGAAAAACTTCAACGATTGGCCCATGTTACTCACAGAAGCATCCCGTCACGGTCTCGCAAATAATCAGCACCTGGAACGATCGACCGATTAGATGAAGTCATGGAAAATACGAAGGACACAGTCCAGTACGTACACACGCAGTTATAATAAGCCAGTCATCTAAATTGGTAAAATGAGAAGTCAGTATTCCCGCTCAGTGAGTGAAAAGTTGCATCCTGAAATGCTAATGAATCTGCGATTGAAATCTCACCGAGAAATAGACGGCGACTGGCCAGTATGCGACTCCATATTCTCAAGATCACGAAGATGGTGCCTATAACAGCGAAGGTGATCGTAATGGCCAGGGCGGCATGTTGATGGCCGTAATCCACCGACATCTTGGTGATCACCCTACTGCAACAACCATGAAATCGGAACGTGGAGAGGGAAAAGATCAATCTTGAGATGCACGGGCATTGGCGATCTATGTATGCATCCAGTAGCTTAGATTGTTGAAAAAATTAATCTCGATCAAACAACCAGTATGGACTAATGTAGAAGAACTTGGCTTGGTTCGCACTAACGTTACTACAAAAGAGTTTCGGAGCCCACGCCACAGGAGTCTAGAAATGCAGTGTCCACCGCACGAAGGAAAGGGGTCTCTGGCCAGAGTCACTGAAGAGAAAAATAGAGGCGAAGGGAGAAAAGTGTAAAAAGCTGAGTAAAACCCTTCAAATCCAGTAGAGTGAGGAACAAAGGCGTTCTGGGAGCCTATGAGACGTGTGAAAATCTGAGATGTGGAGAGTTTGCAGCTAGCTATCTCTCCGCTTGCGGTTATTGAAATTTGACTTTGGCTGTTAAGACCTTGAAGAGAAGATTTGGGTGGGATAGCAATTGGAACCAGGCGAATCCGTCATCTTGTTCAGTCTGTAATCTGGAGGTGACATTTTCGAGCATGGCCATTGGGTCAGAAGTGATTATTTGCTAAATTGAGGCTGAATCCACCGAAAAACCTTGGTATTTCTGAGTTGTAACCATTTGGACTTTACTCTCTGAGTTTCACCCGCGCTCCTGTGGCTTTCCCAACTTTCCGTTATAACTATTGGGCATTGACCATTTGGGAAGCACAATTGATCAAGTTCTACCATGGTTCAGTACAGTCAACTCTAAATCGATGAACCTTGAAACATGATTAAAGCGAGGGATTAAGATTAAGTAGATTAAGTAGCCACTTGGGCGGAAGCAGATTCCCATTCGGAACGGAGTGCCTATATTACTGTTGTACGTAGGATCAAATTGAATGCATGATTCCAGCTCGCAAAAATGCGTTCTTATAGTATTCTTATAGGGAAGAAGGCAGCCTCTTAGTCGGATATTTCTCCAACGAGGTTTCTTCGGCTAATATAAGTGGACAGCAACGTGCGCCAAGTTTGATATCTGCGCCACCGCGAGCCTGTAATGGGGGAACGAAAGTTAAAAGGGTGGAAAAGGACTGCTCTCTGATAAATCGGCGCTTTTCCGAAATACCGAGAGTCTCCAGCTCGCTTATTCATGCTAAGTTACAATTATTCATGCTAAGATCTCAGAGTACAAGTCTCTCCCCCTGACATTCCTTCCGATGTCAAGAAGGGTCAAAATGTCAAGACATTTTTGTCGTTTTCTAGCGCAGTGCTTAAAAACAGCAGATTCGGAAGTAGATGAATTCTAAGCTAACTTACTACACATTAGTAGCATATAGTACGCATACTAACCGTACGGGTCTAGAATGATTGCACGATCCAATGGCAATAAACGAATCGATAATCCATTCCCTGTTTTCCACGTGCGCAGATAGTCGATCGATCTCTGTTTCATTCCGAAAGTACATTGAGTCCCTCGCGCGGAACGGGATGCATGTACCACCGATCAGTCAGTACGAGTTTTACAAAAATAAAAACTCCCCCGTTCTGCAGGATTGCTACCACGTAGCAGACTTGTTATTACTATTACGTTGTACTACTTCGTAGGCGATTGAGGCTTTACCAGAAACATCGCCACGGTATTCACGTAATTAATGTATGCATCCGGCGATATCCCGGATTCGGAAATGGTTGAGTCGAGGCTTACGGTGGCGCAAGTAAATTGCAGGCCGGCATTTGCATTGGATCAAAATTGTGTGTTAAAACATTGAAGTCACAGCATACCTCGTCTCCGAACTTGTGTCCTCGCCTTTCCAAGTCTGCTTGATATCATGTATTCTGTACTGCTACTAAGTAGAGCTAGAATTCAACGAGCAGACTCACAACTCGTGGAAACATGTACTCCTCGTCGCCAAGTCAAAATTACAACTATCCAGAGCGCTAAAATAGTACGATAAACTCAACGTTACATTACGTGCGTAGTACTCCGTAATTTTGTTCCAGATCTTTCTGGGGCTTGTGGAAATAATATATCCCTCTCGGCATTATCGGAGACTGTCAATGTGGGTTCCCCAATCCCACTGACAAGAAGTACGGGACAACTGTGAGCGTAGAAATACCACATGCTACACTGCATGCTATTCGCACTCATTCCTAAAAGATCAATTGTTCTCGGATTTGGTTGAAGCTGTAGCCGGTGCTGATTCCTAAAGCTTGTTGTTGCCAAATCGGGGAATTTTCAAGTATCGTCAATCCGCCGTCCGGACACTCCGGAATAAGCCACTGAGAGATGATACAGCTAGGACACGAGTATTTTTCACTTGTGAGAGACTTTTGACAAACTTACAAAGGGTTTAGCAAAGGCCCCACGCAAACGATAGTATTGTTGTTCATGGGTCGAGATTCTACGACTAATTTGCAGTGACTACATTATAGCATCTTTTTCATACATAGCCGTTGCCTACTAGGCTTCCTCGTCAGGTCGTTGAGGAAAAAGGATGTCTGTGACTCTTACAGCTTGATATTATGAGTACGCGCATATCGTACTAAGAGGCTTGCTCGTTATCTAGCTCTGGTACGAGTCCTAGAACTAATTCGCGGGCTTCTATTGCTGTTTTATAGCAAATACTATGGAGCAATCAACCCCCCTATTTCTTATCAAGCTGCGTCTTCACTCTTCCGGGCATTCCCTCGCACAGAATTATTCCGTGGTATAATCTTTAATGTAGAGAAGAATGTCGAGACTGAAAGTTGACAAAATCAAGCTTCGAGACACAAAACTTGGGAGCATTCGATCGGACTCTGTCCATACTCTCGGCGAATTTTTGTAAAGGGCTTTTCTCTTTTTTGCACTTTTGCGTTTTCGATGTGGTACCCTCCCAGATCTTCTTTCCTGAAAATCAAACACCCCGCATTCAAAAAAGATAATAACCCGGAGATGTTGGCATGAATATAATTATCCAAGGGAAATAAGCTGAAACTTCGCCGAATGTCATAGTTAACTCCCTAGGTATCAATGCATGCTTCGCTCCTGATAGAAAGGAACAGGGATAAAGGTGGAAAGCGCAACAAGCAAAAATTACAACATGGCGGTGTGCTCTGTATCCATAATTAATATCATAATGTTTATAGTATTATTCCTTGATTCCGAGTGAACATGTGCTGCGGCATAACTTGGTGAATAAGTAATATCATTGCTTAGGGATACCATAGATGAGCGGAACGGCTTTCCAATTTGAATCTGCGCACTCCCCAATGATGAGTATCACAGAGGAGGCATTTGTCAGCCGTACTAGAGTACCACGTGGCTACGAAGTACGTAGCATAAGCAGTTCTGTTAGAAAGTATCTACGCACTATCCGAATCGTATTTAAGCACCATGCGGCATGAACGCAAGACATGGTTTTACCACGTGGAATCTTGGCTTGAACCACGCGAGAGACTCCATTAAAAATGTGGTGCAGAATCAGAAACTGCCAATGACAGTCGCTGCTTCAAGCCTTGAGCGAGTCAGTCACCTTCTTTTCCGAGGGAAGTGCTTTAAGGAACCTAGAAATTAGGGCTATTGAAGCGTCGTGCCGAAAGGTAACGCTTCCGATGACACCGCAGAACATGACTGGTTGATCTGAGCGGGCTAGCATGAAGAAAGATACACTAATGTCACTAAATCAAATGAAAATACGAATGCTGCGTTTATCATGCAATTCGAACCACGGATTCCAGACCATTTAGAGCTGCGTTAACGTAGCAAGGGCAGAACTAAGTAGCTCGTAAGGGGCATGGCTCCGAAAATAGCGTCTACAGCGGATCCCCAGTTTACGGTACCATACAATTATCTGTTTCTCCCTTTTTGCAGTGTTGGATATCGCATCCCGTCGGCTTTTGGAACTGTATATATACCGGCCTGTAGAACCAGATGCAACAACATTTTATCTCTCAGATTGCGGACAGTTCTCAGTCCTCTGTTCTGACTATCTCTCTTAGCACTCCTCTACGAGGTGTTGTTCTTTTCCCTTTTCTTTTTTTTTTTTTTTTTTGGGTCTTGTCTATCGGTCGTTTTACCTAGATCCTCTCCGATGGCATCCTTTCTCCACATCGGCAGCGCTCTGCTGCTTGGAGCTGCCCTTGTCAATGGGCAGACTTCAGCAACTACGGCTACCACTACCTCACTCGCACCGGCTCAACAGACAGTATCAGCAGACTCTGATTCTGGCGTGCCTCTCAACACTGCCGAAACTGTTCAATTGACCACTGAAGTTCTACAGAATTTGACCAGCCAGTTAAACCAGACTACTGTTTCGTACTTTGACTTTGGCAATGCTACTGCTGCTACCAAGCGATCCACAACCGGATGCAAAGTCTTCCCGGGAGATTGGGCATGGCCTATAGATTTTATTTGGGATATCTTCGACCTGTTGCTCGGTGGACGCCTCATAAAAACGGTTCCGTCTGCTTCATCGTGCTACCCCGGTTGGGGTGACCAGAGCGCCGCTGAATGCGCTTACGTCGCCTCTGTATGGAATGATTCCCACTTCCAGTAAGCTCCTCTCCTGGCTGCTCACCGCATGCATCACTGTTTTTGACTGTCATTCTGGCTTTGTTCGCGGCCGCCTATCACAAATTGTTAAGACCTAAGTAATACTAATGTTCCTTCTGCAGTATGGAAGATCCTACATCTGTCATGTGGCCTCTTTACCAGGGTCGCACATGCTTGCCCACTGGCTCGAACGTCACCGCTACCTGTACTCTGGGTGGTTATCCATCATACGCTGTCAATGTCTCAAATGTAGCTCAGATTCAGCTCGCAGTCAACTTTGCACGCAACCTCAATATCCGCCTAGTCGTCAAGAACACTGGTCACGACTTCAGCGGCAAGTCCGCCGGTGCTGGTGCTCTCAGCATCTGGACTCACCACCTTAAGTCTCTCCGGTATATTCCCAGTTACTCGGACAGCACCTACTCAGGCCCCGCTGTCAAGATGGGAGCTGGTATCCAAGCACAAGAGGTTTATGAATTCGCCCATGCCAACGGTATTACCGTCATCGGTGGTGAGGGTAAGACCGTCGGCGTTGCCGGTGGATACATCCTTGGTGGTGGCCACTCGCCTCTTGGCAGCATCTACGGTCTTGCCGCCGATCAGGTCCTTGCTCTTGAGGTCGTTCTTCCTGATGGCACGTTCACCACCGTAACTGCTGCTACTAACCCCGATCTTTTCTGGGCCCTCCGTGGCGGCGGTGGTTCCACCTTCGGCATCGTCACCTCTCTTGTTGTTAAGGCTTACCCCAAGATTGGTGTCACTGTCGGCTCTATCACCTTCGGCACCTCGAATGTTATCAGTGCTGATACCTTCTTCGAGGCTTTGAAGACATACTACTCATACTTTGACGCCTTCACTGCCGCAGGTACCTATGTCTACTTCTGGGTTTTCCCTCTCGGTAATGGTCAGTACATTTTCGAAACCCATCCCTTCTTCGCTGTCAACCACACCGTGGACCAGTTTAACACTCTCATTCAACCATTTGTTGATGATTTGAGTGCTCTCGGTATTTCTGTTACTCCCAGTGGCACCTACTACGACGACTTCTACGATGCCTGGTTGGCCGGTTTCCCCCTCGAAACTGTTGGCTCTACCACTATGCTCACTGGATCTCGCCTCTTCCCCCGCGAGAATTTTAACAATGCCACGTTGCTCAACGTCACTATTGCCGCTCATCGCCAGACCTTGGAGCAAGGCTACCCTATCCTAGCCTTCCAGATGAAGGCAGATGCTCCAGCAGGATCTGTGCCCAACGCTGCTAACCCTGCCTTCCGTACCATGCTCATGCACGGCATTACTTCCATCAGTTGGCCCGCTACCGCATCAAGTGCTGAGATCCTCTCTGCCATGAATACCATGACCAATGATGTTCTTGGTCCATGGCGTGCAGTCTCTCCCAACAGCGGCGCCTACATGTCTGAGTCTGACCTTCTTGAGCCCAATTTCCAGCAAGCATTCTATGGATCTAACTACGCCCGCTTGTACTCTTTGAAGCAGAAGTATGACCCATGCGGTGTACTGTACGCTCCCACAGCCGTCGGTAGCGAGGACTGGACTGTCTCCAGCGCTGACGGATTGCCTGATCAAAACGGTCGTCTCTGCCATGTCTAAAGGAAGAACGTCTTACAGTGAGGTCCGGCGACCAATCTCGATATCTGTTGACGTCTCGCTGTTTTTGAATAAATTTCAATTAGAGCATGTCTATGTAAATACAACCTACCTATAGTCATCGGGGGCTATCTATATAATAATTAGAAGTTTATAGAACTATGACCGCTTTGGTTCAGTACATATGGGAGTAATCAACATAATCTCTAATTCACTCCCTCTAGTTTCATTCGGTGCAACCACCTCCAAAGTCATTTATGAGCATGCTTTGTACACATTAGAGATATGCAACATATTACCACAAGTATGTATATTTCTTGACTCCAGGGCATGTGCCATTATATCTACCGCTTGTCGATCTTAATTCCTGCCTCATGATGACCCTAACCCTGAGACATCTTATCCAGAGCAATAATACGCAAACAGACCCTTACGCGCCAAATACGAATGCTATGCTATTTGATTGGTTTAAAAGAAAGAAATATTTTACAGTTACCAAACCATTACGCGGGCTTCACCCTTGCTCCCCGATACCGGAGCTCCCCGCACCATACATAAGAACTATATAAACATTCAAAAATAACCGTGTTCTTGTCTGCAAACTCTGTTGATAGATCATAGTTATCTACGTACTTGAATTTGCTTGCAATGGCAGACAAGACAGAATCAGCCGTCTATACACATGGCCATCATGCCTCTGTTCTACGTTCTCATTCGTGGAGAACAGCGCTCAATTCGGCTGCATATATACTTCCACATCTCAAGCCGGACATGGAAATATTAGACATCGGCTGTGGACCAGGCACCATCACCGTTGACTTAGCAAACTATGTTCCTCAAGGCCATATCACAGGGCTTGAGATGGCTGAAGGAGTGCTCCCACAGGCCCGAGCTCTAGCCGAGGAGAAAGGAGTCAAGAACATTGACTTTGTCGTAGGAGATGCCAACGCACTTTCCTATCCAGACCAGACTTTTGATCTTGTGCTTTGCCATCAAGTCCTACAACATGTCCATGATCCCATTGGCATTTTGAAAGAGATGCATCGCGTGGCCAAAGTGGGTGGCATTGTGGCCGCACGCGAATCCGATTATGGTGCATTTATTTGGTACCCTAGTATGGATGGGTTGGTGGAGTGGCAGAATATGTACGACAGAATTGCGAGGAACAACGGTGGTGAGCCTAATGCTGGTCGCATGCTCCATTCTTGGGCTCGACAGGCTGGTCTCACTGATGTCAAATGCAGCACAAGTACATGGTGCTACAGCATGAAGGATGAAATAGCTTGGTGGAGTGATCTGTGGGCTGAAAGAACTCTTGCCTCTTCATTCGCAACGACGGCTATTGATGCGAAGCTTGCCACCAAAGACGATCTTGAGAAGGTGGCTAGAGTCTGGCGCAAATGGGGTGAAGAGGAAGACGCTTGGTTTACTCTACTTCACGGAGAGATAATAGCTTACAAACATTAGGCTCGCCATATCGCTAATCTTGAATGCCTACAATTATTATTGCTCAAGTAATTCGCTCAGTTGTTAAGATTATTAGCTTTGATTTCAGTAATATAAGCCCTAATTCTAACCCGGAAACTCAGTGCGAAGATCTTCGGAAATTAGAGATATCTTTAACTGTATTATTTTCATCACTCAGATGCTTAGATACTTGCTCGATTCAGTAATCCGGTTAATGATTTCTGAAGAATACATACCTAGATACACGAAAATTGCTGCCATCGGTTCGGTATAGTTAGGTAGGTATACAGCCGTCCGATGGTAATTACGATAGCGTACAATCTCCACATAATGACGAACTTTGGTCTTTCGTCGTACATCCAAATAATTTACCCCGCATAGAAATGAAACTTCTGTACACCAACTGACTCATGGCTATGAATTAATACTTATTATCCAACGTCTTTTGCGCTTCGCAAGTTTGGTGTCTCAAAACTTGATACAATATTCCAGGATGATTACTGGTATTCATCACATAAATCTACTTGTACCAGAAGGCACGCTGAATGATGCGACGGAATTTTACGCAAACACTCTTGGTCTGACACCAGTACCTGTTCCACATTTACAAGTCGGCAAGATCGCTTGGTGAGTGGCCAAGAAGAGCAGTTGAGTTGGAAGATGTCTCTGATTTATGGTCGAACTGAGTAGGTTCAATATTGGAGAAGCGGGAGGTCAACAAGTTCATATCGCGTTCGGACAGAATGAGCCCTATTCATCACGACATCCTTGCTTTAAACTAGGGTCGTTAGAAGACTTGCAGACTCTTCAGCGTAAAATTTGGGATCATCATTTGAGAGGTGGGAAAGCAGCTCCCAAGGCAGTTGATCAGCCCGGGGAAGAGAATTCAGGTATGCGCAGCTTCGATACCAGATGGGAGATTTACATTGACTTAGTCTTCTTAGGTGCAAAAGGAGTTGAGTACCCTACAAGGTTCTTTGCGAGGGATTACGCGGGGAATAGATTGGAGTTCACACTTTAGTGGGCCATTAGGCCGTATCGGGTTTCCGTATGAGTGCTTTTTGTTACCAGCTGTCATTTAGTTTGAGGACTTCCGGGGCTCTTTGGCAGATGAACTAGGTATAGTTTTGACTGCGTATAATCCAGCCAGAAATTTGTCGCTTGATCAGTATAAGTTTATAAGTTTGCCAATCAAAAGCACCGTGACTTGCTATACATGCCGATCTAGCCAGTCGTATCAATATGGCAATCTCCGAATCGACATTGCCATATTAATATGCGTATAACTTCGACCCAGGCAGTCTCCGTAGACGCTTGTTCATATACATGTAGTAAATCTGGAGCAAGATGCATCCTACAGTTACAAAAAGTAATAGCCCGGCATTTGTCCAGTGACCAGTTGGGTATCCCTTTTTGGCTTCGCTCGACTTGTATATCCATACCCCAGCGATTTGGCCCGGTGCGCCAAAAGAGATGTTGAGAGCAATCGCAAGACCGGCAGAAGCAGTAGTGTTTAGGTTGGAGGAGAGCCATCCGAGCAATGGAGGGATACATGAGAAGGAACCACTGGCAGCGACAATGAGACAGCCATAGCGATGCTATTGCATTTTTAGCACGTAGTACTAGAAGGGAGAAGGGTATGCATGACATTTAATGCAAACAAACCTACCTGATAAGCGTCTGGGGGTAGAACAGCTGAGGCAAGGAAGCCCATAGCCCCGATGAAAGAAAATATAGCAGAGTGAATACCACGACTAGAGAGGGTTAGAGGTACAAGTCAAATGGGTATCTTCCGTATCTTAGATCATTCCTCGACTTACGCATTAAAGTAGTCAGCCGAACCTGCCACAGCTATCGTAACAACGTACGCCACCGCATACGGCGGTACCGTCATGAGCTGGGCTCTCAAACCCTCGTACCCCAAACCAGCAGTGATAGATGGTGTAAACAATGATAAGCTCGAGAACGGGGTCGAAATGCCAAAATAGACCTGTTTAGATCGGAAATGATTCTCAGCAAACAACATCTGCTATCGCCCTCCGATCAATTGTAAAGATTGGGGTACGTACAGCATAGTGTGCATAAAGGCGCCACTCAGTCAGCACACTTTTCGCATCCTCCCATGTCATCCCCTTGGCGTGCCCTTGCGAACCTTCAACACGTAATCTCCTTTTCGCTAGGTCCTTCTCCTGGGCACTAAGCCAATGTGACGTTTCCGGATAGTCTGGGAGTAAGAAGAATATAAGAAGAGCGGAAAAGCAAGACGGGGCGCCTTCAATGATGAAGAGCCATCTCCAGGCAGAGAGTCCATGTGACTGATTTAAATGGCCCACTCCGTAGGCTATTGCGCCGCCAAATGCTCCCGCAAGAGTTGCGGATGCAAGAATAAGAGCGACTCTAATTGATCTCTCGGAGACTCGGTATCAGAATGTAAGATAGTAGACCAGACCGGGAAAAAGACCTGCCTCGAAGACACCGAGTATGAAGCGGATTCCGGTGACCTGAGCGTTGTTTTTAGCACCTCCTAAGCCCATAGTTATCGCACCCCATGACAGCATCAGAAAGGCAATCCATCGCTAGTCCGCGCTGTTAATATATTGAATCGCAGGTTTACTGGTCTGGTAACGCACGCTAGGTCTCAGCTTTTTCAGCAGATAATTCGAAGGAACTTCGAATAGCGCATAGGCGATCAAGAAGACCATCAAGGCAACACTGTTCAATAGCAATCAATACCGGTTTTCAACCACAGAACTTGTCAACGTGATAGATTCATACTCACGTATATTGATAGTTTGTCATATGGGTCTCGGTTAGCAGGTCATTATGTGTATCTGAGTTCAGAATTTTTGCATTCCCTGGATTTCTTAGCTAAATTGCGGTGGTCTTGGACGTCCAACCTCACATACCAATATTCGACCTATCCAAGTAACACAGTAGATAGATAAATGCAGACAATGGAACGATGCGTAGATCCTGCTTCCACACTAGTTTTCTGATGGCCGTCTTGTCAAGATTATCCGCGTCTTCAAGGCTCTCATGCGTGCTCAAGCTATTCTCCTGTACGATTGGGATTTAAGTTAGTTAGAGCTCAGACAGGCGTTATGCCTTCCGAAAACATGCCTGCAAATCATCGGCTTCAACATCTTCAATGGTTTTTTTGTGGATATTAGAATCAACACCGGCCATGACGGATCTATAAGCGAAAAAAGGGCCGTCAGGAAATGAAGAAGTCGGAGAAGAAGGCTCAAAGAGAAAAGCCTGAAAAATGGCTTTTAGCAAGGGGTGTGATGGAAGCGTCCCAAGTCACTACAGACTTCTGTATTTCGGCGTTTTTCTCAAGTGACGAATTGTGTTTCTGAAGTACATTGGGGAAAAGAGGAATCTGGGAAAGAAGACATACTTTCCCCTTTGTTACTACGCACGTACTATCCGTTTCGGCTCGGCGACCTCCCCGATGGTTTAGGCATGCTTCCCCGCGCTCACTCCACGTATTGAGTCAACCAGATCGCCGAGTTCATACCAAAGCGTGCAGTACATGACCAGGTAGGGAATAGTAACTAAGCCGGTTCCCCAGCACAACACTAGTAAGCATCCCCGATTGGTTTGTGCCACGCGGAGTATTTGCACGATGTTCGCAATGATGAGGAACGGACTGAATACCAGGTTTTAGAGATAACATATGTTTCGTGACGATTATTCAAAGGGTGACTTCTAGACATTGCGTATTGCTAAAGCAGTGATTGCATTCAAGTCAATCTTTTAGAGTGAATGAATTACTCCAAAATGAAGAACATCTCAAATTCACCGCTTCCGACACCCCAAGATCCACTCCCGGACCCTATTTCAATATCCACCAATAAGAACACACAACTTCACTGCGGTGGCTGCCTGAGGCCCACTAGTTCATCTTGTGCGCTTTGATTGGGTATTCTACATGTACTTCATCTGTCTCTCGCTCAGCTCACCTCCCTCAGATAACATACTCCACGGGTCATCTGGACACCGCCCCAAAATTCTCACTTAAAATATCGTGATATCTAATTCGAAGCTTGATTATCAATGCCACACAAAAAAGTCCCATATATATATTAACTAATTCTTGCGCTTGGGACATGAAGTACGTGTATGACCAATTATATGACAATCACTACATGTTGAAGGCCGTCTGTGAGATCCCTCTCCCTCACTTGCCTCTCCAGATACCGCGGTTCTAGCGATTGAAGGAACCCGTAACGGCATTGCAATAAACCCTCGAGCTTCCTCTGCATTTAGAGAGCCTTGATGAACAATTTTCTTCGTGGATCGCTTTCGCTTGAGGTATTCTTGTGCGAAACCCGTACGTAAGTCGACATTTTCTTGCGCTAGAGGCAGGGAGTCATGTACTAGTCTCTCAAGGCTACGGCGGAAGGTATCAAATGTCGAAGCCTTAGTTGATGGACTTGTTGATGCTTGATTAATTATCTCCTTGACCGATCTCGCCTTGCGTTGCAACTGTCGAGGATTATGGTGTGTATTTTGAATCTGAGGATCATTATGAACTGCCTGGTGGCGTTGGAGTCTTCGCCGGAATTAAGTTTTTGAAAGACAAGCTGGAGATCAAGAGACACTAAACATGAAGCCGCAAATCCATTGCGAATAGTATCAGGTTTGAAGGCCTCCATCCGGGAAGTTGAAAATGCTATTAGAAAGTCCCATTTGTTAACTGTGTGGAATCCAAGTCATGATCTCATCTCAATATGTTTCCCATACGCTCGTTTTAGAGGCGCAAAACAAGCAACATCAAGAGGTTCTAGAAGATGTGAAGCGTGTGTAGGCATACAGAGTATAGTATAATGATTTCGTTTTTTGCACAAATCTTATCGAATTCAGCAGCAAGATGACTTCCATGCCCGTCCAGAATCAGAACGCTACGCGGCCTATTGTTCAAACCCAGGGTTAGGGTTGATTCCTCGTATGGTTCACACAGAAGCTTTACAAAATGAAGCGCCAATACTTGATCAAAATACAGCCCGTGATGCACTTATCATAGAAACTTGCAAATGGCCAACAGCCTTACTACAATGTCAGGCTCTATAGAAAGGCAACAACCGGTAGCCGCAGGTTCCAGTTCCAGCCTACAAACGACCATGACATGCATTCTAACTAGTAAGAGAAAATCAGACAGGTTGGACCATGGCAGTCAAGTTGCAAGGATATCCTAAACATGTGTAAGGATGATTGACCATCTGAAACATTCGCTGAATCGCGCACTGACGAGGACCCATTGCTTTGTTTCTATTTAGGGAAACATCGCCGCCTTTCGTCGTCAGTGCTTCCTCAGCATTGCAAATCAGTCAAATCAGAATGACAGTCCTTCCTGAATGGGGTTGCAACAAGATCTACATGTCATTCATCCTTCTGTGTAGTCTTGTACCAGAAAGAGCGACTGTCGAGATGATGACTGAGGCATCGACACTACGTATTGTTTGTTTGTTTTGCACTAGCGATTCCAGAATTCCTGTTGGAATCCACTGTTCCTATTGGTTACAGCATGCTTGGAAGTTGGAAAGAAGGTTCCTGGCGGCGATTTGATAGCCAATCACAATACAGTTACTGAAAGACCATCCTACAAATACTGAAAATTCTCTTCTTATTGGTAGAAACCACCAAGGGTCCAGACTCAATCCTGCTACAGGCCCCACTTATACAGCATAACTAACTACGGTTGGCCAAAATGTAGTCCGACCAAACTAAAAAATCCACCGTAAGACCCCACACTATGATGCAAAAAGAGATCAAAAACAACAAAACATTCGTTGCAAATCATCTCTCAAGTTTTATTAAGATAATACAGACTCCTGCTCAAAGAACCTCAGGATAACATCACTAGTCCAGCTGCATGCGTTGATCGATGGGTCGGATACCGGCCCAGTTGATTCTTGCAGTGCCAGAAAGGTCCAACAAGTTGACCAGATCCACAACCATACCAATGGAACGACTATCCGGCCTGTCATGCAACGAATCATCGCCTGGGCTGGCGGTCGAAACGGTTTTATTGACCACATACTTTTATCTATGACATGTGGTCTGACATTGACTTCCTGCTTCCTTGGTTCAAGCCAATTGTATATGGGATGTGAAAGGGCGAGAACTACATACACTCTCTTATAGACTGTCTCACTTTTCCCACAGATTCCAGCCCTTTGATCACTGACAATATATTCCTTCCATGCGAGAACTAAACAGTTTACTGCAAAGTAGGTTTGCAAAGTGGGCCTGTCTATTTCTTTGAATCACAGCTGACTGCGATTCTCCGCATGAGGATCCGGGAGCCCCAACATGACGTTTATATTGGTTACATTGCCCGGTACAGTCCTCACTATCCTTTCATCGGCTCGCTCGGTTTGACAGTGCATGATCATTCTTGGATCATTCACCTTTGTTCCTTGGGTCTACCTACAAGAGCAGAGTCAAACAAGATGAAGCCCTCTATCAATGATATTATTATGATCCCGAGTTTTCCGAATGTAACGCCTAGGTGCAGCAGCCAACATGACGTTGTCCATCTACACTCCCAAATTATAAATAGATTGCATTCAGGTCGCCTACAAGATAACTTTTTCTTCGACACATACGAAGGGTCGTGGCTTGAGTATCTTAAAACGTCTCGAGCTTTACGATTGAAAACTGTCGTTTACTTCCAATTAGGTTCAATATCATGAAATCCTTTACTGTTGTTGCAGCACTTGCTGCTGGGGCCAATGCTCTTGCTATTCGTGATGACACTTGTTGCTTTACCTTGACTGCATCTGGCGGCACATCCGGCACGGTTGGTCAGTTAGACGATGGTCAGAACCGTATCGGTGGTGGCTTGTCGCCAACCACATTCTGTATCACTCCCGGAGGCACCATCACTGACAGCAGCGGGCGTGGGTGTATTCTGACACGTGAGTATTCATTCTTATTCTACCATTATACGGGTCATGTTCTGACTAATCTGCATGATGTAGCTCCTACAACCCAGTTGCAATGTGACACGGGAGCTACTCCTGACTCAGGATTCTCTATCAACAGCTCTGGTGAGCTTACCTCTAATGGTTCACCCGATTTTGTTGCCTGTCAGACCGGTGATCATGGCGCATTCAACATCTACACCAACCCTCCACCAAGCGACGTGACAGGCTGTGTCCATGTCAGTCTCACAGCCGATCAATGTGTGCCTTCCTCGTCGTCAACAAAGCCGACTACACCAGCGGCTTCTGCGTCACCGATCTCCTCTGCAACTCCCCCTGTCGGTTCACCCGGCAGCGTTACTGGCAGTCCTCCTGCCAGTCCTCCTGGAAGTCCCTCTGGAAGCCCCTCTGGAGGCCCCACTGGAGGGCCTCCCGTCGTCGTGGTCACTGCAACAGAAACAGTGTGTGCTCCTGCCCCAACCAGCCCGGGAAAGCCGACTTCTCCTCCAAGCCAAACAAGCGGACCGTCACCACCAAGCGGTGGCACGCCATGCAGCACCGATCTCGTACAGGGTGGTTTCGAGTTTCCTCATCTCATTATTCCCATCGACTCGTCCTCCCCTGGCACGGCAGCTGGTACTCAATATAATGCCAAAATAACTTCTACCATTTCCACCATTTTCAACTTTGATATCCCAGCTTCCGATGCCGGCAAGACCTGTTCTTTGGTCTTCCATTTTCCTGAACAAAAGGATCTACAAACTTCTTCGTTTACCTTTAGTGGTGATGGTAAGGTGGACTTTGCGGAGCTTAGCTCCCTTGCAACAGAATCTACAACATTCAACAATGCCCCTTCTGTCAAGACGGACTTCGGTGTGACAACCATCGCCCCGGGACATTCTTATGTGATTTCTACTTTCGCGTGCCCCTCAGGTCAGGCCATAGCGTTTGAACTGAAAGAAGCCGGAACCACTGATTTTAGTTTCTTCGAAGATTTCAACCCCTCTCCGTATGTTATTCGTTCTTTTTCGGTGTTGTCTCGAAGTTCTATACTGACAATTCATAGGATCGGCCTCTTCATTACTACTTGCTGAATGGAAGGCAATACAAGTGAAACAGGTCGTTTCATTGCTGAAAATTGAACTGTATTGATATACTTACGGCACATGAGTACGTATTGAACCGTCAGACAAGTAGCTTGGGAGTGATATTTTGTTTTGCAAATTTTTGGAGGAGAAGCCAGCACTTGAGTATAAATCCATGGATATTGTCAACATCAACAACATCCAACAAAATAGTTTAGCAAGGTATACTGAAACTATATAGTACTAATTATAATAACGTGAAAATTTTGGCTTTAATCAAATTTTGTTATTCCAGATTCTTAACACCTTCTTTAAAGTGATCGCTGTACTCTGCTGTACTGTCTGAATACCTCCAGGGCTAGGTCCTGATCATCCGTTAAAGCTTCCAGAGGTCTATTCTTGTTCCCGGTCTGCTACCCATGGGCTGACTAACGGTCATACAAAGTCGATGATTATAAATTATTTATGGGTAATGGCTGCGATATTTCTAAGAGGATGAATAGCGCTCTATGTCCCTAGAAGCCATTCAAGCAAGTATAGGGAACAAATTTGCTCGGAGATCAAGCATCTACGACCTGCAGAACGGGCCTATTTGCGCAAGGTCAGACACAAATAGAGCAGCTTAATCTCTTATGGATCGACGGACAAATTCCACTATGATGCGAGTGAGCACGTATCGCACTTTAAGTTAAGTACAGAGTAAGGCACAATGAAGCGAGGCGAAAATTCAATCGAGCGGTGTAGAAAGCTAAATTATCATCATCTAATTTGATGGTGAGAATCAATCAACACGCCTGATTGGTATTTTTCCGGTCGATTCTTTCTTGGGTACCAATACCTGGGCACCTCAGTTACCAGTAGCCTATGTACTACTACCCCATGATCGAAATAGCATCGGACAACTTTGTCGTGCGAATACAGACTATCCTGGGTAGGTAACATACGGGTAAAGCCGTCAGCTGCGGTATGAAATGACTTACATACAAGTAACCATGAAGTCGGAGCAGAGAGACCAAACAAGTGTGTGTGGTGGGGGTGGAGACGTGGCGTCAGGACGGGATACGTATCTTGCTGAACATCCCTGTCTGTAATTGAAAGCACATAGTTGTTGTACCATTTCGAATTTTGTGGTATTATATAAGCGCTCAGTCACCGGTCTTCGCCATACGCAGATACATGCTTTGAAGGCGATCCTGAGCTGAAGTAGCGGACTTCAAAAGACAAGTGCCCAGGGTATAAGAGGGAATTGAAGGAAGCTATAATACCTCAATACGACCTTATCATGCAGAAACAGCGTATTAGTTTGAGGACAACGTAAGTATGCGTTGTTCAATACGTACATAATTTTAACCCGCTTTGGCAGTCACAGATGCTATTCGTGATCTATTGCTTTGCTCTTTTCGATAGTCCCAACGATGCCCTAATATGCAGAGCAAGATTACTGTAATCATGTTTGGACACGGATGAAGTTAAGAGCCAGAGAACACAATCCAGAATTGGCCAAAGGGCTGAGGCCATTAACGTCCAGCCCATATGTGGTTCAAGCTGTCAGCTAGTAAGGCTAGGATAGTAGAAAAGAATAAGTTGATAGGCCACTTCTCGTATAGCCAGATCATACATGCAGAAGTAGCAGATGGATGTGTTGGCGCAAGTATGAGGAAGCGGGTCCATTCTCGTCGGTACATTGAATAGGACAGCACTTCATTCAGCGTTGTCAGAATGGTCAAATCAAGTGAGGGGAATACCATGGCATATATCAAGAGGGTGCTCCCACGAACAATGATAATGGCCATCACTCATCTTTAGAGCAGTCCTCGCGATGGATCAACTGCACTGTTATTTTCTTCTAGGGGCATCGGAAGGAAGTCCAAATTACTACCTTGTAAGAAGCCACAGCTTCCTTACTTGTAAGGTACGTTGCATGCCTGCTGATACATCTCAGGCGATCAACAGAGTAATGATTTCGTCAAACCACATACTATCAATGTTCTCCAGCATCGCAGCAAAGCGCATTGTTTGTCTTTCCAATGGGTGGGCGCCGGACATAGGGACTTACACCATTTTGACCTCGACTGTCATTCGGATCCGTAACATTGAGGAACATATGTAATTGATTGTAAAACCAAAGGAACACAGGATAGACTCGTCACTGATTACAATTCTGACGTGATGGATTCGAAATAATCAGCAGGCAGAACAAACCAAGATTACAGACTATGAGCGATATCATTGGAAGTCCAATGTCCTGGATTACCTAGGTATCTCAAAGCCTTCGCCAATGTCAAACAGGCTTGCTTTCTTGGGGAGGTTTTGGGCACCACCCCGGAAATGCAAGAATGTTCGCGGCCTCAATCAATGCTTCTGGAAGCACAATCGCCCAATGATACCAATGACAGGTGGCAATACTTCCAGTTTCTGCAACCTGCTGCCACACCATTGGACGCCTAGAGAGTTTGCAGCTCCTCTGGCGCTGTTTTCCCGACCCGCGACTTTGGATAAATTCTGGATTTTCAGCGAAAGCGCTTATTGTCGGAAAACAGACTTATCCCGTAAGATAGTAGCAGAAAAATCGAATCCTTAGGATAGATGAGAAAGCGATGCCTGTTACAGCACTGAATTCAAGGGTCTCGGAGGATATGCTGACACTGTATTTCCAAGTTTTAATGCGGTGCGCTCGTGTTGTTCGGAGCCGCTGCTGTACCGACGTTCCGTAGGCAAACGTGTCCCGCAATGTTAATCTCTTGGCCCAGCCAACCTCTTTGATACCCTGCTTATTTCAATTCCTTCACTCTGCCCATTCAGGTTCATTGCGTTGACGGTCCTACCTAGACTAGCATTCAGATGCTGACGTCGCATCTTGTCGTCTTGCAGTGTACAGAACCAGGCTCTGGAAGAACTCTGTACTAGTGAAAATGACGCACTAGTCAGTCTGATCTCGGCATAGTATCGATTGACTTTTCAACTTATACCAGCAGACTGCAGTACCTAGGTGGAAGTGTCAGCGGATTCCGAACATTCACACATGGTGCAATGAACTCCGGTCATACGTACCTTCATATATGCAACTGATGTATCGTAAATTCATTGCCTAGTGCTTTTGTGTGTCCCCATCTAAAGCCGCTAGAGCCTCAACATACATACAACGTTATGGATTATATTTCGAAAAGTCTTGCGGGAACTCCTTTAATTCTCTACATGATGATGTGTTCGGCTCCAGACTTATATATCCATTGTCAATACCTGACAACCCCCCTTCCTCTTTGCTTCCCCTCTTCATCCTCAGACGCCTTAGTCAACATTGGGTAGCTATCGCCGCCAAAATCCGCTACGGTCCGAAGGAGTCTTTGATAGCCCAACCATGTGTCCAATTGAACACAAGCCAAGGCAGCGGACGCGAGAATATGCCGGCGGAAGCACGCTAGCACTAATCTTCCAACTTCCTCGCTCAATTTTCTGGCCTCTGAGAGGATGAATCTCAATGGCTGGAACAGCGGGACGGGGCCTGGGTGGGGGTCGTTGACAAAAAGGAGCGCATATGGCTGAACTCTTTCTCACCCTCCCTCCGACCATGAGCGGGGTCAGGGAGGCCTAGATGAAAGGAGATTGCCTGATTGGAGCTGATGAGCAAAGTGATGAGACATATTCGGAGCATCGGGAGTCCAGATCCAGTTTCCGGTGCTCATCATTGTGGCCACCGACTTGTTCCCTTCCCTCCTCCCCCCTCCCCCTCCCTCTCTCCTTTTATCCCCCTCTCTTTGCACTGACGATTGGTTGCACATAGGTCCTTCCGTAGTGTTCGGAATCAGGACTCTCCGATAGTGGGTATAAAAGCCTGGTCATGTTCCTCTTTTCATCATGGTCCTCCTTCTTCCTTTCTTATCACTCCCCTTTACAAGTCCCTTCACAGAGCCGGATACTTTACTCACCTCAACCACAAATACTTTCCTCTTACTCTGTTGCGTTGGAGAAAAAGACCTTGCATACTTAGTCACGCGACTGATATATAAGTATCAGAGCATATTCTTGGAGACTGCAACCATAATTACTTAGTCAACTCCTTATTCCACATTTGATATACATTGCAAAGCTTTTACAAATCACACAATGGCTACTCACCAATACTATCAGCCGAGCATGGCCACGAACGTGCCTTCGAAAGCACCTGCACCAGCGGGTTTATATCCAGTTGGCCGTGTTGCTGCTTCACCAGCAGACTTTTCAGACAGCAGCACAACTGGTGGCAGTCGGACAACCGGCTACAGCGCCAATACCAGCAGCTACTCCGGTAGCATTAATGGCGATTATGAATCCAGTGCGATGTCCGGTGTCGACATCGTCGACATGTTAAATGATCGAGTCCACAGTTCTTTCGATCCAATGCCGCTCGATCGGGGGCTAGAGACACAGGCGCAAACGTGAGTCCTCGAATTCAACAGCCACTATTTGCTTGATTTGAATATTTTGTAAAACGCGTCTCCTGTATAGTGAGCAGAGCGCGAGCGTGGGAGTCTTGTCAGATTCGTGGTGGAGCGAGTTACAGCACAATTGAGGCCTTGCATGCAACTGACGAGATGGTTCCATAGGTCGGGACACTTAAATGCCAAACAGCAAGAATTGCTCGAACTTCAGGCGCTTGCTCAGCGTCGTTTGAAGGGAGTACGATCCAGCTTCAACGAGGGATTGAAAGCAGCACGGGAAACGAAGAGAGATCTCGAGTGGACGTCAAGACGCGTGAGGTGAGTTTTGTCTTCTTGCATTCTTGGAAGGACAACTGCCGCGTTCCGGGAATGTTCGTTCCCAGGACGGTGTCTTCCGCTCCGCTCCGCTCCACCATTCGCGAAGCGACTCCTCCGCCCTTGTAGCAGTTCTTGGCGCGCGTGCGCTGTATGCAAGGAACGCACCATTCAGGAGGATGATTGGGCAGGAATTTTACGACGGATTGGGCTTGATTGCGCCAGATCGAGCTTGCTAACAGACGATTCTGATTAGTGCCCTGAAAGCCAAGGCGGAGAAAGCGCATCCAGAGGAGTACCGGCGAGCGACCAGCAAGTATGCTTTCGATGACGACTTCTGATTCTTCGAACCCCTCGCGAAATTGACATTTGACACCTCGTTACGACGTGTAATGACGACTAATGAAATGACGCTAATGAAATATTACGGCTGGGTTGACTTTGGAAAGGATTTTTTGTGACTGGTTTTTGCGTTTTCGCCCAGAATTCTGCGGGGGTTTCCCATTTCTTCGTGTCTCTGGTCATGTATGACTCTGTAATTTCGTTCTCCTGCTCTCTTTTTCCGTTACGGATGGCTATTGTGTCTGGCAGGACGGCTTTTGGGTGGATAATTTGTCTTAATATCTCGTGTAATCTCCTTACAGTCACATGAAAACAATACCATACAGGACGTAAATGGCGTATCCAGGATTTGCACTCGTAATTTGTGGATTGTAGAAGGTTTACAGCCCTAGATGGTTGAGAGTTATGACCCTTTTTGGTTAGTTTAGGGCTTCGAGTTTCCTAAGTAAGAGACACTACCACTTCCTGAGAGCAGCCTTAATTCAGACAACTCCCTGATTAACCCTCAGAACGCATACTACCTTCTAGATTGAGTCATTTACCTCCTAATCTTTCCTTTTCTCCCTGTTCACTTCCTATGCACGTAATCACAAAGTTGATGGCCCTCGTTTAGTGTTCACTAACTAAACTTCAATATAAAATGTCAAAAATTATGTGCTTTTAAGACCTCTTGCTCACTGCCATGTTCATAATCCACCGATGCAGGAATGGACATTTGAACCACGATCCAGAAGCAGTGTCCACATCTGCTAATATCACAGGATACTGGAGCTTTGAAACATTCCGAAGCTATCAGCCACGAATCATCGAACCGTCGAGTTAACAAGCCCGGGGTGTGTTAACCCCATGTCTTATCACATTCTCATCACAACGCCTGGGATCCTCAAAGCTAGACTCGTAGCCGCTAGCTTTTAATATAAGCCTAGATCAATTCCTTTCATTATTAGATAGTTAACATCTTCTCCCGTTCATTCCTGTTTCTTCCCGATAAAAAAGTCCTTGGTTCAGACAAACTTGTATTTATGTTACCGAATGTCCGTGGCTTCGAATTGCACACACTATCGCAGATCACTACATGCTCGTATTACCTTCGTTGACACAATACCTCAGGTCTGCTAAAAGTGGATCTGGCAGACAACTAGACCCTGCCATGCCCTCAGGGTTCATAGCCGGAAGCTATGCTATAATTGCCCATCGCAATAGTCATAATCCCGGTATAAAAATTGACTAAAGTTCTGCGACCAGCCCAGCAAATTGCGAGACCATAAAATGAACAGTGCCCAATATAATCAACTGTGATGGCGCCGATGATGATGTCGATGACGACGTTGATGTTCTTGATATTCATGCTTGTGAGACCGCCGCAGCGTTTCATGCGACTCATCCGAATGCTTCCTGCTGTCTTTATCTAGTGAAAATCCTTCCAGGCTGTTCAAGGAGTCTGGAGAATGTGGTCTTCGTCTTCTTCTCCGTCGATGTTCAGATCTCTGAGCTCGTTCCAAATCCTCTATTTCACGTAACCTTTGTTTTTGCCATTCTTTCCGTTCTCTCTGTGAATTTTTGAGCCCACGAACCCCAGATTTCATTGCTGCCAGAGGATCATTTGCATTCGTGCGAGCCTTCTCCCTCTCTTGCCTCAGAGGATCTTCATTTCCCCAAACATCAGTGCCTCGCATTGCATTTGGGGCTTGCGCATCTTTAGAATTCGCGGAGTACCAAGGTGTCTGACCGGCAGACTCCTTAAAGCCGGACGCATTAGACAGACGCATTGTATACTGGTCTTCAAAAACTCGTTGTTTTTTATGTTTCTCAGCTTCCGCTTCCGCATTTTTCTCGGCTCTCTGTTGTCGCGTCATATCCTCAGTAAACAGGTTAATGTGACCAGTACCATCTACAATAGGAACGTGTTCCTCGCGATTTTTCCCTTTTCGCCCGGACGAAAGCAACTCATCCCGCCTCGCGTCGTATTGAACAGCGTCTTCTCTTGCGAACCTTATATCGCGGTCCGTATCATCTTCTCCTGCAATTCGTCGCCGTTTCTTATGCCTAAATACACCAAATTCTGATTCTGGTCGGCCATAGGATCCAGGCTGGGCAGTCTCGGTTGGTGCAGGAGGAATTGAGGGAGGTAGATTAGAAGGGTATTCGCCGCGCAGTAACTGTATTCGACGCTCTGCATCAATCTCTTGCATGCGCCGCTCTTCTTCTTCTTCTCGAGCTTTTGCCTGCGCCTCGTCACGATGGACGCGCGCGATATTTTCTGGGTTGTACACGTTCCATGACTTTTTGCCGAGGAGATGTCTGTTTCGGCAGAGTCAGCAGTTGATATTGGAGATGAAGAATATACTAGTACTCACAGTGGCATTTTGGAGTATAACTCAGCAAAGCATGACAATAGAGGGAATTGGCGCGAAAGAGAGACGATGAAAAGACAGTTTGTTGGTCAATTATGATCAATGCCGGAGTGGCCTGTACCTATGTGACGCCTGATTTATCAGGCACCAAAGAGGAGATTTAAGCCTCAGGCACCAATCTGTTGCTCCACCCTAAGTTTCGGAAGCATCTAAGTACAAGGGCGTGTATCTACTTAATCTTTTATACGAATTTTTGGTTCTTTCTTTCTTTTCGGTCTATGATGAAGACTAAGTCTTCGTTGGCATTACATACTGGGATAATGGATTTAGTTACGTCTCAATCACAAAAGAATGTCACGTAAGATATTTTTAATGATTCAAAGAATAGGATATAAGGCCTTCTAAGTCCTTGATTTGTTTTCACTGCAATGACCAAAGTTGCCGCTGCTGATTACCATCAATGTCCCAGAGAACCTCAATATCGAGAGCCCGTGAGCCTTTTTCCTTCTTTTGATAACCGACACTGCCCTTAATGGTCTGTCCTTTCTTGAGCAGAGTAGGTTCTTTTCCGCTATGGTTTGCAAGAAGCACACATTGCTGCCAGTGCGTTTCGGTGCCAAAAGGACCAGTAGTAAAGGCAATCAGGCCTTTCTTCTTTATTTCTGAAGGCTCGACATTTTCGTCGAACTTGAATGTAGGAGAAGGCAGAAAGAAAGTGTCAAACCAAATATTCCATCCGTCAAGTCCAGGAATGTCTTCTTTAAGTGTCACTTCAAAGCTCTTCACAAAGGACAGTTCTTCAACCGTTATTGTGTGTAGCGGAAGTGGTAGAAAGACAGCTGACGAGCCGACCACAGTTTCGGGTTTGGTTGTAGTAACGATGGCCTCATCATGGATGTTTTCGAGCATGCTGGACATGTCAAAGCCGTAAACAGATTTCCAAAAAGTCACATGAGAATCTACAAAATCACTGTCCACGTACGGAGCAATACGCAGAGTGGTGTGTGATGGAACCATCAGCCCTCCTGGGACCAAATAATGGTCTCTAGCCCAAAGTACCGAGTCCAGCATTGCTTCAAACAGCAGCCCATATCCCATCCATTCCGAAACAATGATGTCGACTTGGGGCACAGGCAAGCTAACTTCTTCGATCTTGCCACGAACACATCTGCGACATGCGTCAGCTTTGCTTCAAAGTCATACATACGAATTTGGGGGCATACCTTATGACATGTTCGAACCCATTTTTGTAGATGTTTTCACGAGCTTTCTGGATGATGTTGGAGTTATCTACCGCAATAACCATTTTCGCTCCGGCTTTCGCACAGAACATTGACAGAATGCCTGTCCCACAACCAACATCAAGGACAACCTTATCCTTGAATAGACCCTTGTTATCATAGATAAAGTCACGGTAAGCATCAGTCCGCACAGTGTCCTTGAGCATGGTTTCATGGATTGCTATATTCCTCCATTAGTATTCTTCCAGGATGTAAGTCCAAATCAGAGGAAAGGAGATAGAATAAACATACTATTGAACGAGTAGGAGGTGAAATAGTCGGCATCGGCCTCTTCAATCCTTCCCCTTTTCGGTATTTCAGACCCCGCAGGGTTGTCATTGACTGATGTACCAGCGAGTTGTTCTCCAATTGACTTCTGTACCGCCAGTCTGTATTCCGAGAACTGGGTTTTCAATCTTTCTAACTCCTCCTGAAGTTCTAGAATCCGCTTCTCGTTGGACTTGTCCGGGTCTTCGACTTCCACTTCGTCGGTAAGGTCGTCCAGGCTATAAAGTAAGGTGTCGTCGTCGAGAACCGGCTTGAGGTAAATATCGTCCTGAAATAAAGCTGTAGAGCTGACAGATGGTTCCTTGTTCCCTTTTTTTATCTCCGAACGCAAATAATTGACCAGTCGAACGCTTCCTAGAAAGTCCAGGTCTGTGTATCGTCAGCATCAGTTGCTGCTCATACAAACATCAGTTTGCAGGCTAGGAGACAGTCATGGGTGACCAATTGACAAAACATATAGCACAGCGAATGGTCACACACCGAGATCTCTCTGCACCTTCACGAAGTCAAAGTTGTACCTTTCCTTGGTATCTTTCAACATGGCACGGACATCGGGGTAAACATCTGCAGTGAACAGTCCCACAACCGGTTGACTCTCTTCCTCAGGCTCAACATCTTCCCATCCTTCGTCATTATTGGCTATACTCAAGCTATCAGACGCAGAATCGCTGTCTCGACAGCTATCTTCTGCCTCCGGGGGGAAGTCTTGTACGGGAGTCGACATGTGAAAACAGCAAACTCCGATCGATGTAAATACCAGCGAACAATGAAATGAAATGACTTCGTTTGAAATAGGGCTTTAGAGAAGATATCCAATTGATAGAAGAAAAAAAAAAGGACAAGGGGAAAAAAATTATTATGCCACGGCCCCGCTAAAATAAGGAAATTGTCTGGCCTAGCGACGACCCCCGAGTCCCCGACAACCAAGCAACCCCGCCTGTCTCACCGCCTGCAAGTGGCTGCTTAGCTTGTTGTCAAACTGCCCCTTCAGGAACTCCTTCAGACTCAGCTTCTACTCAAGAAAAGGTCCTGATCTCTTTATCTGAGCATGTTCAGTCTTTCAGTTGCGCATGTGCTGGTAAAAATCTTTCGGATTTTTGCCGTCTTATCATCGGATAAGTGATACGCCCTCAATTGCATCTTTCCAGAGAAACCGTCTCTTGTATCCGCCAACAGTAAACGGACGCTGCCTTCAGAAGACCAGCAAGTACCGTCATCCAATTCGCCGCGATGGCATTTCTTTTCAATCGCAGCGCTCGTCCGCGGTCGCCGTCAGATCTGGCCAAGACGACCAGAGATCTTCTATCGAAATTATGGGATTTACCCGAGTCACCCAAGGTGTGTGTAGCATGCCTTCCGGCTATTGACATGGAAAAGAACGACTAAAAGTAACCAATGTAGCTAGAGGATGATATTTCTAAGCAACTTGCACAAATGAAATTGATTACACAGGGAACGCCCGGTAAGCCAATCATTACTTTGCAATGATTCTAGTCAGACTGCGAGACACCATGCTAATGCCCCGGAAGAGATGGATAGTACTCCCGCCCTTGTACGCTCCCTGTTCGATTCGATGTTACGAGAGGATCTTCTTTTTCAGCTGGCACATAGCATTCGTAAACTGCCCTTTGAGGCACGAAAGGATACCCAAACCATCGTTACACATATTCTACGGTACAAGCCAAACAGCGGTCCCGGAGACCCCCCAGCGATCGATTACATTGTGCATCAACGGCCCGAGGTCATTATTGAACTTTGCAGGGGCTTCGAAGACCCTCACAGTGCCTTATCCTGTGCCTCCATTCTCAAGGAAGCTGTCAAGTCTGATGTCATAGCGGCTCTCATTCTATACGATCAATCAAACGAATATGAACCGGCGGTCCGGCTCAAAGACATCAATGCCGAGCAACCTCAAACCGGGAAAGGTATCTTTTGGAGGTTCTTTGAATGGATCGATAGAGGCAGTTTTGAAGTGAGCGCGGATGCGTTTGCCATATTTAGAGTAAGACTTTCTTCCCGAATGGTCTTAGATGGTCAATTTGTTGCGCATACGGAGCTAATCACTGTATATCTTGCAGGACCTTTTGACGCGACATAAGACATTGGTCGCCTCGTATTTATCCGCAAACTACAGCCTTTTCTTTGGTAGATACCACCAGATCCTGATCCAATCCGATTCCTACGTGACGAAACGACAAAGTATCAAGTTACTAGGAGAAATCCTTCTAGACCGGACCAACTATAACGTCATGACAGCATACGTCGATAGCGGTGATCATCTTAAAGCTTGCATGAATCTCCTTCGAGACGACCGAAAGATGGTACAATACGAGGGATTTCATGTTTTCAAGGTTTGTCCCGAACATCTTTATTGGCAGTCTGGCGATAAGATAGGCTAATGGAGAAATATGGCGCAGGTGTTTGTCGCCAACCCGAACAAGTCGGTGGCTGTGCAAAGAATTCTCATAAACAATCGGGACCGACTGCTGAAGTTCCTGCCCAAATTCCTAGAGGATCGCACCGACGACGATCAATTCACTGACGAGAAGGCTTTTCTTGTCCGTCAAATTGAGCTTCTCCCCAGTGAACCAATCGAACCGAGCTACTCTTCCACCTCGCGACCCAGTGTCAACGCTGCTGCAGCCTGAAAATACAGAATGGGACTTGCTCTTTACAGGGCCTATATACATACGCATGTCTCCACAGACTGTTGAGCCATGCAACAGCTAACGAAATGATGATTTAAGTCCTATGCCTTTTTGCTGCTGCTGATTAGTAGTCTTTCTGTGTTTCGCGCTCGCATTATTGTTTAAGAGTCGGTCTCTGAAGCTGAATTTTTGTTGGGCGCTTGGGAGCTGTTATATTATCAGAACATGCATTGGCGTTATTTCACTGGTTCCAAAATCTTAGCAGATGGCACCTTGTCTTTTTCTCTTTTCGTCCATCTGTGACTTTTGGACCTGGTTCGTTGGATGTACAGACCGCGCCTGATTCTGTTTGAGAGGGTTGTTGCAGTATATAAATTTGCTCGCCGAGTGGGTTGTGTAGATTTCAGCCAGATCCTCGCCTGGCCACAAATCGAGAAACCCTCAACCTCATTCAGAAAAGAATGTGTACAATAATTACCTAGGGGAGTACCCCAAGGTACACATTTACATTATCTATGTATCTATCGAAGACACTGTAGCTACCCCCTCGGAGAACGACTACATCGACACCTAAGGCAGCAAGATCTGCATCCGTCCTGTGTCTGATTGGCTAGGTTTTCCACCAAGACCCTCGGGCGTCTCTTCTGGGGAGGGTATTTTGTTTCACTCTTGTAAGACATCCCACCGTTCAAGCTTTGCGCAGAAACAACGAGTTACATTTCGCGATACATAGTACCGACTGAAAGCTGGCCCGGCAATGATTATTGTCAAAAGGTTTACTAATTATCTCGGATTTTAGACATTGGACGATCAAGCCAACCGCCGACCGAACGGGTTAGCGGCCGTAATCATCTGGAGAGCTAGTATATAACGGGAATAGTCCACCGGGTGGGCTCCCAAGCTTGGCGGGAGCCGCCTTCCAGCGTCCCCTTTCAGAGACAACTTCGCAACAGCCGTCGAGAATTCTCTCCACGAGCCGAGCGAGTCAACTCCATAATTATCGCCTTACTATAGCCTGCGCTTACTCTCAGCGTTGCTGCAATTGCAATTTTTCGTGTGTTTTGATTCTATATATATTGCAGTCCTGTGGTAATCCGAGGGTTGTCTACCGCGGCGCATTTTTCCCATGCCCCCAATATCGCGTGCCCACCAGCTTTTTGCATGAATGCCGTTTTCTCTCGATCGATTTCGCGGCGATTTAGTGGACAATGCTTTCAGGTTTTATAATTGATAGCGACGACCGATATATAAAATGCCGGAGCCTGTGATTTCAGTACCCGGTATCGCTTTCGAAGAGACCGCCCCTCTTCCCTTCAAGAATAAACTCTCCCGTGAGCGTCCTGCAACAAGCCCGAGCGATAACCGGACACAGCTGGATATTGCCAATGCGACGTCAGAACAGATTGATAACTCAATGTATGCGTCGAATGGCAATGAATTGAAGAATGGAGAACCGCCGCGGTCAGTGCAGGATAACCTGGTCGATCCCGTCCCTTTGGAGGAACAACCAAGTATCCCGTCGCCCACAAATATCCCAAGCATCAGGGTAGATGATGCATCTTCCCGGCCCAGCTCCCGATGGTCTGAGAGGAGGTGGGGCGTTCTCAAGCCTCGTAAATCGACCGAATCTGTGCGACCAAAATCTGCGACGGCGCCCAATAGTTCAGACCAAGCTTCCTTTCAAGGAATCACCATGAACATTCCAACCACTGACTTTCAAGATTTGACTCCAAGCTCAATGGAGTTCTCCAAACGGGGCAGTTTGATGAAAGCCAACCCTACTACACCGGCTATATCTCTTCCGAACAGTGATCCCGGTACCTCTACCTCTCCACGTAAACGAACCCCGAATACTCTACGTGTCAGACAATCTAAGCTCACGCCACGAGCTGTTTCAGCGGATGAGGATATGCTATCGCGTCGTGTTAGGTTGATGTATGAGAAGGGAGATGACAACGTGACCGATGCCGAGGTTAGTCGGGCAATCGCAGAGGAAAATGGCATTCTGTGGGAGGAGCCGAGCCCAGTCGAAGGTTCTTTAGACCGATTCGCAGAGCTGAATGGATCTACCACGGACTTTAAGAGTATCGCTTCGGTGGGTGCAACTAGTTCTATCAAGCGGGAGTCGAAAGAGCTTGCTGGGGGGATCGAAGATTGGCAAAATGTGGATGCCGCGGATGTTGACAGATATGGCTTCATTGTACCGCGCTCTAAACCCGGGGATTGTGCAGAACCCCAACCGATTCAACGCGTTTCAACCAGCCTACTTCTTGCATCGGAGTCACCGCGACGAAAGAACACATTCAGAAGATCGGCTGGGACTGTAAGAAGCAGCAGCAGATCTCTTGCAAGTAAATCGCCAACACGAGACCGTAAATTATCTGACTCTTCGAATCGACCAAGTTCCTCACAGAGCGCATACAGTCCCACACTAAAGAGATCGCCATCTAAATTCCGGTACGCAGCCAATCGATTGCCACATAACCGAGATCGTCGAGTTCGAGACGAAGCAGGCGACATGTTTACTCTACCATTCGAAGTCCCAGCAGCTGCTGAGGACACTCCTGTGTCAACGACTATGAAGAAGAAAGAATGGGAACGCGAAGACAAATGGATGAAAATGGCGAAGCCGACGAAGAAGACGCATGATGGAAGCGGCATGACATTTGAATTTGACACTAGCAGCTCCAAACTTATTGAACGGACTTGGAAAGGAATTCCCGATAGCTGGAGAGCCACGGCATGGTATGCCTTTCTGGAATCCAGCGCCAGGAAACACGAGGGTAGTCCGTCGGCAGCAGAATTGATAAGTGCATTTCATCAATATCAGAATGTATCTTCACCCGATGATGTACAGATCGATATCGACGTACCCCGCACGATTAGCAGCCACATAATGTTTCGTCGCCGCTATCGTGGCGGCCAAAGACTTTTGTTTCGAGTTCTGCATGCCATGTCGCTATATTTCCCCGATACTGGATATGTGCAGGGTATGGCAGCACTCACGGCGACCCTGCTAGCATACTACGATGAAGAGAATGCCTTTGTCATGCTTGCCCGTCTTTGGATGTTACGAGGGCTACAGCATCTTTACAGAGAAGGTTTTTCAGGTTTGATGGAAGCACTGAACGATTTTGAAAAAGAGTGGTTAGGCAATGGTGAAGTGGCGGGGAAGTTGGTAAGTCTTTACATGCACTAATGCTTTCTTCTTCAACGCTGACTCTGACTCGTCATAGAATGAATTGGGTATTCCTCCCACGTCTTATGGGACGCGGTGGTACTTGACACTTTTTAATTATTCGATCCCTTTCCCGGCGCAACTCCGGGTATGGGATGTGTTTATGCTGCTTGGGGATGCTGAACTACCTTCGTCAAAGGCCAGCGCGAACAGTAATCGTGCATCTAATTCTCAACCTGAAAAATTAGTCAGTTCCTTTGGCCAAGGCTTGGACGTCCTCCATGCAACATCGGCTGCTTTGATTGATGGCATGCGTGACATTGTTCTGGAATCTGATTTTGAGAATGCCATGAAAGTGCTTACTAGTTGGGTACCCATAAAAGACATTGAACTATTTATGCGCGTTGCCAGAGCCGAATATAAGGTCCATCACCACCGCAAAAAGCACGGATAGTCACTCGTGTCGACTTCCCCGGCACCTGACAGTCAACGAGCGACGATCGACAAAATAGCTGGGCCCATGACTAATGTTTAATACCATATGTCCATATGTGATGCGAATGAACCGTTCATCGCCTTTCATTTCTTTCTCTCGAGTGGTACACCCAATGCACCCACTCAGATGCTTTCTTTGGTCCTCGATGGATTACGAAGATCCAAACCCACAATATTTACTTGACATGACACTTTTATTGTTTGTTTCGGCTTGCTATTCACCGGTTCTTACCATTTGTATAATCAATTTTGTGATGTTGGATTCCGAATGATACCCCCTTACAGAGTCTCAGCCATGAATGACCAGAGTCTCTGTCTGCCGCAGGAACTTGGTGCCTTCATCTTGGGAATATTGTCCCCATTTTACTCTAATTTATAATTGGCGCTTAATTTTATCTTTTGATACAGAAAGAGGGAATTACCCTGTTTTGTCAAAGTCCAGGTAGTTTGCTTTCTGTTACTAGGAGGCTTGGATTGACCTGTCTGATGAGATCTCGACCTTACAGAAGTTTCGCACAGAGATACGCTGGGTTAGCTTTCTTTAGGTGCGTGACCATCTATTCGGTTAATATTCAAGTCATAATATTAAAATTAAGAACAAGTAGAAACAGGAATATTCTATTATATGAGTCCTCCCAAGCTCCCGTCAAGAATCACAATCTTACAGCTTGGTGACCTTCAACTGTACACCATCTCTCGGCCTCAAGACCAGTCTCCACATCTTGAGCTCCTCTGGATCCTGGACAGACTCATCGCGAGCGAAAGTGAACTGACTCAGTAAAACACACAGAAGGATTTTCATCTCCGTTTCGGCGAATTTGCGGCCAATACAGCCTCGGGGGCCTTGGAGGAAAGTCATGAATGCATTGGTCGTGTAGGAGTCGGGGAGACGGTCCCAGCGATCCGGATCGAATTCATCTGCAGTTGGCCCCCAGTATTCCGGGAGACGGTTGATGGCGTTGGAGTAGACCAGGATCGTGGTGCCCTTAGGGACTACGTAGTCGCCAAGTTTGTCGTCTTCGACAAGTTCCCGGACAGTCATTGGGATGGGAGGGATGTAGCGGAGTGACTCGCGACATACGTTGTCGAGATACGGCAGGTGATCGGGATCAATGGTGGAGATATCAAAGTTTTCGCGCCTTTCGCGATCAAAGAGGAAAGGATAGTGTTTGCGAATCTCTTCGCGCAGTTTGCATTGCACCCCTAAATGCTTTGAAAGAAGGTGCAACGTCCAGGTAACGCCAGTAGCGGTAGTGTCGTGGCCGGCACCAAGGAACGTCATGACCTGGTCGCGCATAGTTTCGAAGCTTAAACCCGCTTCACCCGCAGCTTGCAACTTGAGATTATCACGGACCAAAAGAGAGAGGATATCCTTGTCCGCAGGATTAGCCGTGGCTTGCTTCTCCTTGATGATCTTGGTGGCAGAACCAAGAATAATTCCGCGTGAAGCTTCCATGTCCCGATTCATCTTAGCAGGGATGTACTTGGTCAATGGAAAGAGGGTCTGAAGACCATGCATTAACCGAGACAAAGTATCAAAGACAAAGACTTTGCGATAAGCCTCCCGCAGAGGGGTCTCGGGGTTCTCGAGTGAATTAACCTCGGTGCCAAAGCCAGCTTCGCAGATAATATCGAGTGTTGTCCGGTTAAGCCATTCCAGAACTTCAAATGTTCCTGTCTTCTTGTCTTTAGACCGGCCGATTTCTTGATCCCAGAGCTTTGCCATAAGGAAGGATTTGCGCCAGAAAATGGGGGCCAGAGTCCGGATTGAACCGATGGAGAAGCCTGGGGTTAGGGCTTTGCGCTGATGAACATGTGCATTGCCTTCGGCTAGGAGAATACCTTCTCCCAAGATACGAGTCATCCATTTGCGTGCGCCAAGGGGTTTCGGGTAATTGTATGGATTCTTGATAGTCATTTGCTTCAATGCATCGTCATCGGCAATCGATAAGCGCTCGGTACCCAGTGGGAAGAAGTATCGGACAATTGGGCCGTGTCGTTTATGCCATTCACGCTGACACACGCCTACTTCGTTCTCCAGGATCTCAAACATCTGGCCGTACAGAGGATTCCCTGGCACGGTAGGCACATGGCGAAGCGGTGAGATATAGTAAGGATATATCCAGGACCAGTAGATCACGTAGCTGGGAACGGTCACGGCATATAACAAGACGAGAGCGGCAGCAGTACTGAGCGATGAAGATCTGGAGACAACACCGGCTGCCAGAGTTGCTGTCAACATCAACGGCATGAACCGTGGCTTGAACGGAGCCACACTGGTGGTTCTCTGGGCGGCCATGGTGTCCACAGGAGGAATCAATCTTGTGGGAATGGTAGAGAAAAGGTGAACATTAACTTCTAGATCCGACAACCTGCGTACGGAGTGTAGGTCATTAGATATACCCAGGGACAAGAATAAAATATCTGACCGAGCACCACCCCCGGTTAATCATGTGGAAGAAATAGCACGAAAAGGGGCAATATTCTCTACGTCGAAGATGAATTCGTTAGTCTGGATGCATGGCTGTGCTCCTTGTTCGGTCTCGGTACCCTTGAAAAATCGGACATCCTTAGTGGTGAGATATCAGGGGAGCAATCACATTTGAGATGTAAGGATGTGACAGGTGAGACTTGTAAATACATATGCGGTAATGTCATAATACACGAAATACAGGACGCCCCTTCTTCTATCGATAAGATCGCGCCCCACTTGTGGTTCGGAGACCCTCCGTCGCTCTTTTCGCGCAGGTCATTTTTAAGGTTCGAACTCCACTGGCCGAAACTTTACTGTATTGACAGTTTTCCGAATCGGGAATTCCCCAATAGCGGTGAAATCATGGAAATAGCTCCAGCCCTAATGCATTCTTATCAAGACTAGTTGCAGGGCATCCTTGCTTCGTAACTTGCCTCACCGAGCGACTATGCCGGAGCCCATCAGCCTATGAGGCCCGTACGGAAGGTGTCACCGTCACCCTGTGTGGCCAGCACCTTCCTCAACTTGCAAAAGGACGGAACAGGAAAGAAGGATGTATGCGTTATGTAAGCGGTTGTTGGCCCATCCAACTCCCTCGACTTCTTTTCTATCCTGCATCTCAGATGTATGGAGTACTCTTAGAGATTCACACTATTGATTTCACTCATTCTTATCCCAGGGATCCGTCGTGTTTCTTTTCTTGTCCCGCAATATTCTTTCTCGACTGCTTCTCGATCGTCTCCACATTTCATTTCTTATCTCTCTCATCCTACGGCGTGCAATAGCCTCAAGCCCTTTCTGCGATACAGCCTTGCTCAGATCGTCTGCAAGGTTATTCGGATTGCACAGCTGTCAATCTTTGCCCGACTGGATGCATCTACTGCCATATCAATAGCGGCCATTATACGCTTCTACACAAGTGTTAGAGTGGGTCGTCGAGGACTTCATTTCGGTAAGTCTCACTTCATCCCTCATATGCCCCTGATTGCATCCGTCTAGAGCATCTATATATCATATCGTTCATTGTCCATTGGTTTTACTTCTATCTTTCTTTGAGTTTCCTGCTCGCTTGACACTCGTCCTCGCGTGCCCAAAGAGCTGACCGTCTTGCCATCAGCAGAGAAACGGGAACATCGCACCGGCGTTGCAACTCTTCCGTCGTGTGATAGAATCACCAACGTCTCATTCCCTACATATCCCTATTTTTATTTGTTGCACGTATACAATCAGCAGCATGTCGGCAAGCGCGATTGACGCGGTGTTGGGCCCGGCCATCCAGATGGCATCCCCGTGGTCGCTCTTCGACCAAGTATGGACCACAATCATGGGTTATTCCGCCGATGAATTCCACTTCGACCAGGAGAAGACGCCCATGAGCACCTTCAAGGAGACAGGTGCTATGATCGCGTTCTACTATCTGACAATATTCACCGGGTACCAGTGGATGAAGAACCGTGAACCGTTCAAACTCTCTACTCTGTTTAAGATACACAACTTCATGTTGACTGCTGTGAGCGGGGCATTGCTTGTCCTATTCCTTGAACAGCTCATTCCTTCCATATGGAATAACGGCCTATATAAGTGTATCTGTAGTAAGCCCGGTTGGACCGATAAACTGGTTGTTCTGTACTACGTAAGTGCTTCCCATCCACCCGTTTCCGAAAGCGTTCTGACAAAACTCAGCTGAACTACCTCACCAAATACGTCGAATTATTGGACACTGTTTTCCTTGTGCTGAAGAAAAAGCCACTGAGTAAGTCGACTACAGAGTCCGGAACCTGGCGCAATCTTACTAATCGACTGTGATAGCTTTCCTGCATACCTATCACCACGGAGCAACAGCCTTCCTCTGCTGGACGCAACTCGTCGGCAAGACTCCTGTATCCTGGGTACCAATCACACTGAACTTGACTGTCCATGTAGTCATGTACTGGTATTACTTCCAGAGCGCGCGTGGAATCCGTGTCGGATGGAAAGAGTGGATCACTCGTCTGCAGATCATCCAGTTCGTCCTTGATCTTGGTAAGCCCTCTTTATTATCGTACGAGCTGAAATTTTGTTGCTGATATCCCTAGGATTTGTTTATTTTGCTACGTGGGATTACTATGCCGATGAGTGGGGACTAGATGGCCTACACCTTGGACGCTGCGAGGGTGAATTAATGGCAGCAGTTACCGGCTGTCTTACTCTCAGCTCGTACCTCGTCCTTTTCATTTCCTTCTATATTGCCACATACCGGAAACCTAGCAATCGTGGCCGCAAAGCACTCGGCGGCAAAAAGGATCAGGCTGTCACCGCTACTGGACGCGCAGCAGAAACATTGAAGTCAGCCCGTAGCCGATTTGGCACCGCTACTATGGACTCTGTCGAGTCCAGCAAGAGTCAATGGGCTGTTTCACGCGACTGAGGGCGAGTGGTTCGCATTGCGGGTTCTTGCCATGTATCGTTTTAACCTCAGCTATCAGCTTCCACTACAGGAATTCCTTGGGGCTTCCTAATCGCTTACTTCATGCACAGAGTCCTTGCTGAACAGTCATTGTTTGTGTTGCCGTAGTGCTGACGTTCTATGCGAAAACTAGTCTAAATCACATATGCTTAGTAACCAATAATGATAATCATTCTGCACTACACTTTTCATTCTTATCTTCGAGTCTAGCCCTCTAAAATTTCTCCGCTATCTCGCATTTCTGTCCGTGTCATGAGGGTGGATGTATTGATGAAGCGGTCTGTAAGATCGACTTGACATGCTACAACAATAGACTTCAGGGCCGAAGATCGGCGACAAAATGCGTTTCTAAATAAAGCAATCGGGGATTAGAGCCACTGGAAAAGAATCTGTCAATTAGCTAGATGTTCTGTTGATAAGGACCCATGGTTTGGAGTGTACACGTTACATTTAATCCTTGGATCAATAGCCTGACGAACCATGTATGTGAATGCATCTATATACCTGTACCAGAAGCCTATCAATAAAAATGTAAATATTGGGGGCTGTACATTGATGTTTTTGTCTCTTTTTAGCGGGTACTTGACACCTCCTCAACCGACTACGAATACGCATCCATGAAAGTCCTAGTAGAGGCATAGATGGAATAGAGGTGTATTTAGCTGTTACGTTGATATATGCCCATGAACAGAAAATGTACACCGTCTCAGGCATGTCCTGATCTGAGCTATTGGATTGAATGGTGCAAAATGAGGTGTCATGTACCATGTATCAGACTCAATGGATCTATCTATACCCGTGGAGTGGTCAAGCCGTATTTTCGGACTCAATAACATCAATCCCTTAAACCCCTTGTATAGAACGAAGAAATAAAAACGAGAAAAGAGCCTGTCTCTGGGTGGAGAAGTCGCTAAAGATGGTACTACTTTAAGATTCCGAGTCAGTGTGTAATACATGTGCATTAGCTCAGCCATTTAAGGTAAGAGTAAGAAGTAATCTATATTAAAACTGCAAGAGACACTCCACAAAGAGAAAACGATAAACGTTTTTGATGTGCCATTGATCTACCACAAATCCCGGCGCATAGCCAACGCATTAGTATCAGCGGTGAACTCCCCATGCAACCGATCCATTTCAGCCAGACTCCTCGCGATTTCCATACCACGTCGACGTTCCTGTTCCACTTTCTCCCATGTCCATTCCTCTCTAGGCTCTTGCTGCTGGTGCTGCTGTGATCGATTGTTTCGGGTGGGATGAGCTTGTTTTCCGCTCTGAAATCGACCCTCCTCGGCGATGTCTTCATTTTCGAGGGAAAATTGGGCTTTGAGAGCATCCCACGTGTCTTCAATCTTAGCGACCAATTTGAATGGCAAATCATAATACTCCTCGAACTGCTTGCTCATAGTGAGCTTTCCCAGTGGTTCGTCACGGAGACTGACCACGAAATCTTCCTGGCCTGGGCGCGGGGGGAGTAGACCAGAGACTTGAAGCATGATCTCGGGAGAAACAGTTCGACGTCCTTTTTTCCACACACATTTACTTAAAGCGGAGGCGAATATCGCGTCTTCCTTCCTGGCAAGATCGTTCAGTTTTGCCTGCCGAGAATTGTAACCCTGCGGCAGAAGCGTGAAGCTGCGTGGTCGAACGGTGTCTTTTCTCACAAAGTGAGTCACCGTGTATATCCATTTCTCGTCCCATGATAGAACTCGTGTCCAAATTTCATAGCTTTGGAAGGGTTTTACTTCCTTTCGAAAGGTGCAGCTGACTGCTCCGAGGGCCAGACCGATCAGGTCATCAGATACCCCGAGAATACCGGTCCTTCTCCGTGCATTTCGAGCATAGTCTACACCACTCGAAAAGAGTGTGCACATAAGGTGAGCGCGAGCAATGTCTAAATCGGCAAAGTATGTACTGTTGGATTCTGAGTCGATGATGTTAATGACTGCAAAAGTAGTATAGATGTAGTCATCATGGTTATAAGAGACATACTATGACCATTATAATCCAACTCGCAGAGAGCGTTTCCAGATGACAGTATCAAAGGTTGAAAAAGCTGGGCAGGGGAGGGACCATTTTTTGGTCGATTTGATCGTAGTAGCCAGCGATATCCACGGAGTAGACGAATCTATATTATTATCAATAATATGTTTCACGGAAGTAGCCCATAATGGAGAACACTGACATGCCAAGTGAAAGGAAAGTTCTTAAAGTTCGTCAGCACCAAAATAGTTACCAAAACTTTCCAGAGCAGTGACCAAGTCAACGAAAGCCAAACATTGACCAGGTCAATAGAGTCTGCGCTTGCCACCATCGTTCCTCAGTAAGTTTTTTTCTGTGGACAGACAGTTGTATCTCGTCCAGATGAAAAAAGCCCAGCTGGTTGAGATGCTTTGTGCAGGTTTGAATATGGTGTAGCCTGGGATGTAATCGACCCAAATCCGTCCACATATTTTGGACCTTCACCAAAAATGACGTGATCTTGGGCTTTAACAATCAATCTCTTAATTTATAAGTAAGACAAAACAAAGGGATTATTATCCAGGGACCTGATGACTTCACGGAATTGGTTGTCCGAACCTGTTTGCTTATCGCGCTTCTCCTTGTAAAAATAGCCCTTTGACCCCTCCTATTTGGGCCCGTTCATTGGCTTCAAATATCTCAATTATGCCGGATAATGCGCGAGATTCTTGTACTCGACTACTCCGGTTGCCACTGTCGATTAGCCAACTCCTTTCCATGCGTAGAGCGCCGACTATTCGTCACAAGAAATCCTTGTCCCCTGTTTATTGAGAGCCCTTTGGGTAAATTTTCCACTATGGATTCTGTCCAATCTGTCAAAGTGTCCTGTAAGTGATTAGAGAGCCTTGTTCCTGCAGGTGTCGATTACCAAGGAAGTGTAGGTAGAGACTCATAAAATTACTGATATTGTACTGTAACGTAATTACCTGTACGTATGTAACAATCTGGCAACAAGCGGGCTGACCCACATGGGCCGACCCTAATCAATGCTAGGGGCCGACCGATAGTTCCTCTCTTACTTACATTCGATGTCAAACCATCAACTAGTCGACTTCCTTATGGCCTGCATGACCTCCTTGTCGATGACCCGCTCGCTATTGATTCATGCAAGACTGGGCAGACAATCACATATCCTGTGGAAACCCTCACTCACCTGTGTATTCAACTCCCAAGGCCCTTCCTTATCTTCGGGTAGCTGTATCCTACGCTTCTGCCCCTCAACAAAGTAACAAGGGACGGGTAAAAGGGCCAAGAAGATTAAATAACCATGCGCACTACTCATGTCCCTGGCGTCACACCGCCGATGTTCGATCTCCGCAGGTTGCCTTGTTGAGGGGAAGGAGCCGCGACGTTATGAAGGGTGTTCTCCGAGGACCGGTCGCAGAGCCCGAAGATGCACCTGTTACTGGGAGGGTCCGATCTCCCTACTGCACGCAGTGGGACTCATAGGATAGGGCGGAGCTCCTTACAAGCTCTAGCTAACTATTGATAATGAGGATTAGACAGCACTTCTGGGCCAAAACTTTCGTCATATTGTTGGTAAACAGATCCAACTATTACAACTACCTAATGCACACTCCAAACCTTGCCAATCCGTCTCTTTCCGGTACTCAGAGACTTTCAGTGATCAAACATGCAGCCCGGCCAACCACCCGCTAGCGCAGTCTCTGACGATCCAACCTCTTCGCTCACGTTATCGCCTGTGATGGAGACTCAGGAGGAAGACAGCGCCTTGGAAGAGCGTTTTGCTGACGCTCTGGAAGAACACATTGAGGTCAAAGAAGAGAAAACAGAGGAATCAAAGCGAGATTCGAAGTTCGAGGATGATTTTGAAGAAATTTCTCAGATAGTTGAAATTAAGGAACGGCCAGTGATGCAAGACGTTATTGTCATTCCGGAAACCTCGCAAAACAGAGAGCAAACCACGGTTGAGCATGAGAATAAAACGGCAGGAACGCAGATACAGCAGGAAGATGAGAATTTTAGCGACAACAAACGGGCGTACCCGGGTCAACCTGTTTTGATTCTCTTGATTACGGGATTATGTCTTTCCGTCTTGCTAGTTTCACTAGATCGAACCATCATCACAACGGTATGCAACCAGTTCACCATCAGATTCTCTGAAAGAAGATTCTCATACTACATTTTAGGCAATCCCAGCCATTACCAACGAGTTTGGCTCAACGTCAGCTGTAGGATGGTACGGTTCATCTTACCTCGTTACGGCCTGTGCATTACAGCCGACGTATGGCCGGATCTATACACTATTCGATGTCAAATGGACATTTCTTCATTCTGTCGCTGTCTTCGAAATTGGGAGTCTTGTCTGCGCTGTGGCTCCGAACTCGACGACTCTGATTATTGGCCGGGCTATTGCGGGTTGGGGGAGTGCGGGGATCCTTACTGGGGCATTTGTGGTGATTGCTTTCGCTGTCCCGTTGCATAAGCGTCCTATCTACACAGCGGCCATTGGGATGATGTAAGTCAGGACCGATTTGGTGGACGTTCAAACTGTGCTAATACTTGAACCAGGTATGGAGCCGGAGCTGCTGCTGGCCCAGTTCTTGGAGGTGTATTTACTGGTATGGTTACATGGCGTTGGTGGTAAGTCTGGATCTGGATTCAAATACTGTCAACGGCAGCGAGACTGACAATGATTATAGTTTTTATTTCAATCTTCCAGTGGCTAGCGTGACGTTGATTGTGGTCATCTTCTTCTTCAAAAGTGTCACCGGCGTTCAGTCTCAACAGGGCTATTTACAGCGATTGACTCAGATCGATATTCCTGGCAGTGCACTCATTCTCATTACATTTACTATGTTATTTCTTGCTCTCGAATACAATACGACCGGCTACGCGTGGTCAAGCTCGTTGGTCATTGGTCTCTTGTGTGGTTTCGGCGTCATGCTCATCATCTTTCTCGCCTGGCAATGGTACCGTCAGGACAAAGCTCTCATTATACCAAACATTATTCTCAGAAGAACGGTCGGCGCAGCGTGTTTGTTAGCGTTTTTCATTTATGCAGTCCTGATCCTCCATGGCTATTTTCTCCCGATATGGTTTCAGGCTATTCAAGGCACTTCGACAATAAGCTCCGGAGTTGATATGCTGGCCTATGTCCTCCCAAACTCCGTCTTCAGTTTGTTGACAGGTATTTTTATAACTCGAGTGGGCTACTTTGCACCTCCAGCTATAATCGGCTGCGCAATTACCACGGCTGGTTCTGGATTGATAAGTACTCTGCAACCCACAACCAGCACTGCTACATGGGCTGGTTTCGTATGTCTCGTCGCTGCAGGCGTGGGGATGGCAATTCAGCAAAGTTTTACTGCAGTGCAGAGTGTGCTCCGGCTTGAGCATATCCCAATCGCGACAGCTGCGGTCACATGTTTCCAGAGTCTTGGAGGCGCCGTGTTTATCTCCATCGGCAATAGCATACTTGCCAACGAGCTTCGTCAGGCCAGTCAAGCCAATGGGTTGCCTGGCATTGACATCGCGGCTATTCTCTCAACTGGTGCTACGCAGTTCCGTTCTACTGTCCCATCAGATCAACTACCGGCTTTACTCAATGTATACAACGATGCTCTCCAAAAAGTCTTTATTGCGGCTATCCCAATGGCCGGGGTCGCGTTTATCTCAACTTTACTTTTGGAATGGCGGAGCGTCAAGTCACCGAAAGCCGAGACCCCGATGGTCGAAGCTACAAATTCCGATGAGCCGCCTGTCTTGCCAGACGTCGAAGTTGAGACGCGGATATCGCCTGTTACGACAAGACTCGGCTTTGCATCCAGATCGAATAGTAGCCAAGGTAGTCATCGCTGATTTATTTTTCTTTGTTTCTCCTTCCTGCATATCTGCCACAGCTTTATTGCTACAAATGCGTCTCTTTTTTTTTTCGCCCTTCTCTATATTTCACCCTTATATCTGTGTGATCTTGCTATGATAGGGCCTCCGCGGAGCCAAGTTGGATTCCTATGTATATATTATTACTATATAGAGTATATTATCAGACTAATAAAGTACCTAATTGAGAAGCTATTCCAAAGTCTCCAGACGAGAGCCCTGGCCATCCCCAGGTGAATAGCACTCAATTAGACTTGGATTCATGAATTTCCAAGGTTGTTTTGGAAGCACCCGTGGCTGAGGCGCTACTTGATCATATCTCACAAGTAATATAGGCTCGGAACTTTAACAAGTCTTACTAAGCATACGTAACCATATCCACGGATACGTAAGCAGGCCAATTTATAACTACTTTCTGGCGCATCGCTTAGCCATACCCCTTCCTGAAAGGGAAAATCATCGGCGGAGGCAATATAGTAAGTTAGGCAAACGAAACTTACTTTACAGACTTTACCTTTTTCTATGACAATCCACCGTTCGTGGAGCTGTCAGGCCCAACATCAATCCGTCTAAGTTAGCTCTGTGGTTCGAGCGTTGGCTACGTACTCCGTCCCTGAAATTACGATGCAAGTTAGGGCTTGATCTAACGCTGCTAGCCGCCGGTTCAGTCCCAAACGGGAAAAGGTGGGCTCCAGGGCCTTGTTTCACCAGGACGAAAGAAAAGATTACAGGGACAACCTTGGAACCGGGACTCGGTCGCGGTGGGAATATAAAAGTCTGAAAAGGGGGTTGGCATGGTTGTTGGAAGTGATCTCGTATTCGGGTGCATCGGTACGTTGTACAGCGTCCTGCACTACCAGCTACAGTGCATGGGATAATAGTGTCTCCGTCTCATTTCGTCTACTTCGGCTCAATTGAATCATAAAAATGATAAATAAGAGCATCCTAACCTGTCTTATTCGCCAAGTAGACAATATATGATTGGCCAAATCGACAAATACATAGATATCAGTCCACCAATCAACAAACACCCATTTCAGGATCAGTGGGGCCTATATGTCAGTTCGATTATCTGATTGGCTGAATATGTAAAAAGTAATGAAGGATCTTGGCATCCGTGCACACTGGTTATACGTGATTGGCTGTTACAAGGTCCATTAAGATTGACCTGTCAGCCACATGGCCTTCCCTCTTCTTTCATCCTCTCACTTTCATAGAGCAGAATGGAGCTGAGCATGAATTCAGCAATCATCCTGAACAGTCCGCGTATGCATGCCGATAGATGTAGTACCCGCAGAATCTTGGAGAGTGATCTTTTGATACATATCTCGTTTAAATATGCCCATCATATACACTTGCATCGAACGCTGTGATGACCCACTAGAGGTAACGCTATCCTCTAGCTACCTATCCGAAGGTCAGTGCTGTCATCCTTGCTATCTTGACCAACCGTTCGTATCCGGTTTCGAGCTTGCATTAATTTCAGCCTTTGGAATCGAGAGAAAGACGACTGTCAAAAATTCCGGATTGAGTGTACTACTGGACTTGGCACTGAGCTTGCGGACCTTGTTTGATGTTCTCTGGGAATAGACAAATTAGACCACATAGGGTACACAAAGCGGAAGCAAATCGAATCTCTAACTGTTTCTAAAATGTAACATAAGCTGTATTCCCGTTCTAGCTTTTAGTTCTAAGGTCTCGACCAAACATGAAAGAACTAACGGGAGAACCGCGACAACTCCGTGCAATAATTCTAATTTAACCTTCATTTCCGAGAAGTTCATTGCTGACCGGACGCCATTGCTAGCCACATGCAGGCTTAGCCGCAGCCCATCTTGGACCTTGAAGATTGGAAAAAATTGTCCGTGCAAGTGATTCTTTATCCTATTTCCGGATTAGGCCAAGAGGCGAGCCAACAAAATTTGACCCAAATGAAGCTCTGGATCTGATTAATCATGTCACCACGCTAGTTATGTATGTGTAGCGTAGCTTGTTTTCCTGTCGTCTGTCTCTTCTCTTCTTCTCTTCTTTCTCTTCAGGCTTATCTGGGGTTTACTTCTTTTCCCTTTCTTTTACGGTTGCTCCATTGAATGGACCCTGGTGTCTATTTGTTCATTCCTTTTACGTTCTTTAACTCTTGATCATCCTCTTCCGTGTACATTCCTTGACGGACCCGGAAGATTCTTTTTCTCCTCTTCTACTATTCACTATTCTCACTCAATCCAGAATCGAAACCTTCGAGCTTATTGCGACCCAAGCTGCTGGACCGCTTTTACACAATCTAATTCGTGTGCTTCGACTCAGTCCAGGGGATTATCATTCATTCATCTATTCAGCCTTCTTATTTTTCCTCTCGATCTTTCTCATCCAAAACATCACCCGGAACAACTTCCTTTTCGGTTCCGCCTAGACTCCGCTCTCTGATTGCTAGCTTGACCCGGCTACAGTTTCATTTTTCGGCCATTTTGATTTATTGCTTCTCCGCGACTTCGACGCACCGGCCACCTAAGCTACCTGAAACGGTTTAGCTTGTGCCGTGTGCCTCTAATCCTGAAAAGGTAATTATTGACCCACAACGGATTTTGTCCTTCCCATTTTAATCTAGCGTTTACTCTTTCCTCCAATTGGATTTGGCGCCTAGCCGAAGTCTTGGCAGCGGGACTCGCCCTGCGCTTGGCCCGCGGCTTTCCCTTCTTGGAACCACACTATCCTTCTTTGGACACGGGAGCCGCGTCAGTCTCCGCGCTTGCGCCTAGATCGTCGTCATCGCCTCAGGCTTCTTCTACCAACTGTGGCTGTACCTTTGGCGACTCGTTCTGCTCTCATTCTCCCTACCTTGAATTCTATCAGTACCTGTCTGCTGTTCGTCATGAACTTCCCACATTCTTCTCGTTTCCTCGATAGATCTCCTCTTGGGCAACGGATCCGTCTGTCCTATTCCCATGGCATGCCACCAAACATGGCCGATAGATTTTCCTATCCTACTGCTACTACCTCCTGATGATGTTGCTTACATTGAAGCCTTCCACGCAGAACGGAACGAACGGCCCTCATGAATTCTCTATCGTCCGGCAGTCTGTTCCCGCTCGCCGTTCCCCTCGGACAATTGTCGCTGCCAATCCTGCTCCTCTCTCCTCATCCTCGCAACTGCATCAAGACCCACCAATGGATAACCACCCGAGGAGAGACCTTCCCCCTCCAGTCGCGATGAGTCGATCCGCGGAGACAACTATGCCAGTTATGACCTCGCCAAGCCAACTTCCCAGATTCGAACCGTCACAACACTCGGAAGACTCATTGCGGCAATGGCTTCGCACCAAAGCCGAGGAAGATCGGAGGCGGCAGGAAGAGGAGCGAACTCGTCAAGAAACCTTAAAGCTAGAACAACGGCGGATCGAGCAAAGTATGCTACGCGATGCTTTTCAAGCGGGTGTGCCCCCTCAGATGGTACCCTTGATATTCGTAGGAATTGGCGGAGGAAATTTCAACGTGCCGCCAGAAATGACCCAGCAGGTCGAGTCCGGTCTTCAACAGATGCAAACATGGCAGCAGCAGCAGCATCGTGCGCATTCATCCCAGCAACAAGCTCTACCAACGCAGATTGCTCCTCATCTTCCACCGCACGCCTCGGATCCATCCCAGCCTCTATCGCCGGATATTCGACGCGGTAACAATCGTGCTATTCCGCCAAATCCTTATGCTTCTCAACCGGCGCCTATCCAGAATACATCCCCATCACAACCTGTACCTACGTCACCCACTCAGGCGCAACTTTACCGTGGATCGTTACAGCCAGCTCGATTATATTCCATAGGGGACGCGCATTCTCAGCAGCCGTCCATACCGCGCCTGAATACTAGCGAGATACACTTTGGGCATCCATCGCATAATATAGGCGCTGCTCAACCTCAGCCTATAGCAGGGTCTTCATATCCCCCTCCTTCGGCTCCGGCTCCGGCTCCGTCCTCCACCAAGTCTGAGACTCAATCCACTCAGTCTCCATCTATCTACTTCCATCATTGGGTCCCACCTAGTCAATCACAGCCGAGTACACCGTCCACCAGGGGCCGGCAAGAATCATCTTCGCGAGCTCATGGCCAGTCTGAGGGCCATACGTCTCCGGGACGAAAACGTAAAGCTGCTGGGTCCCATCCACCGCCTCCTCCACCAGTCACTTTGCATCACGAAAAACCTTCACCTGCGTTTTCACATTCCTCACCTCGTCGTGCCTCATCAACACGCATCGGCCACACCCCAAGCCACTTTCGCCAACACAGCGACTTGAGCCATGGCTCTAGGCAAGAGCACTCCGAGTCGGACTCGGATAATTTTACGCGTTTCCGACCAGGTCACGAGTCAATCTTAAACCCGATTCAGTCAAGCTCTCGAAGAAGGAGCTCAGATGTACCGTCAGGGCAGCCTCCAGGTCGATGAGAAAAAATCCAGGCCAATGCATTTGTTATTGCGTTGTGACATTCTTGGTACTTTTTATGTCAACGCTAGGTTCGGTTCACAAACTTGCATTTCTTCACTTCAATTCTCTCTCAAACTTCTCTTTTATGTTATTGAACATATTTTATACCTATACTTGTTTATTATATATCACATGATCCCCACTCGGCAGGAACCGTTTTGGCCTCATGTTTTAGACATCACATTTGGGATTGGTCCCTTTGCAAGGAAACGCAAGGTATTATGGGTTGGGCAAGGTCGGATGTGAAATTGGAGTCTCATGGAAGATGGTTGATACGATACCAAAGGAATAGACTACTTCGGTATGCTTTATCGCCTTGCAGGCGCGCTTCAAATCTTTTATTCATTTCATACATATCCGGTTATTATGATATTACACTCTATCAAAACGACTTAGAACCTCCGTAGGCACAGTCGGAATATACTTTCTGGCTCTCTCCTTATTTGTACCACCAAATCCAGCGCCGTAGCTAATCAGCATATCCGTGCTCGTAGGTAAGATGAAAGGAAGCGTCATGGAAGGATCGAGGAGGTAGCTATCCGGTCCAGAAGAGGAGAAGTGATAGCTGGGGGATGACATGATGGGTGAACTAAGGAAGACACTGCTTCGCGGCGTTGAGGGGCCGTTATTATGGTCAGTGTGGTTGTTGGTATCTTGGTCGGCAGGTGTTGCCGTTGTGGGTGTTTGGGGTGTGTCTTGGTGCGATTGATCAGGTTTTGTAGGACTTGACGGAGCTAGAGGAGTAGATTTATTGTCGTTATCGACGGATGGAGCTGTTTGATTCGAGGCCGCAATGGCAAGTTTTTGTAATTTCACGTGTTCACGGTATAACAGATCAGGGTCATGTTGTAGATTGACCAAGAACCTTGTTGCGTTTTTGCTCAGACCCTTCTCACCAACCTCTGCCCGATAAGATCTCGCAGCTTGGAGGAGCTGATTCGGGGTAAGTTGCTGTAACTGTAGTAAAGTTGTGATGAGAGCTTCGTGGTCATCACCCAAGGAAGAAAAGCACTGGAGCCACTGGAGCAGTTGAATCACAGGAGCAAGGTGTTTTCTTGCAGATTCTACCGTCGTATCTCCTGTTGTGGTCATCGAGCCATTCTCATAATGCTCCGGTTTCCTGTTATTGTTCCGTGCCCACTCTTCGAGCGCAGATATATTCATGCGGATCTGCATTGCTTTTGTACGAGCGAGGTATTTCTTCGTTAGCATGATGCGATTGAAAAGTTCCGCACCAAGCCAATACAGTAACTGAGAGATGATTTGTGACGTGATTAGCGAATGGACATCGTAGAGATCCAAAACAAATAGAGTAGAGGATAGCAATGATGTGATGTTGCGGGGCGAAACCTGCGCTCGGCGTTTTGGTGATGGAGGACGAAAACGTTTCTCCGGAGGTTCTACTTTGGGTTTTGGTTTCGACTTGAATATCTTCCATTCATTCTGGAAGGTAACGTCGCTCAATCCGGGAATTGTCTCATGGTCAAGCATGGCTTGGTCCAAGACACGATTCATTCGACGTTCCGCATCGCGGATAATGAGAATGAAGATCTCATTGATCAGTTCCGCCAAATGTAACTGAAACTCAACCGTCGATACCATGAGACCTGGGTCCTTTTTGAGGTAATGCAGGAGCAGAGTCGCGTTTGATATCCAAAAGGCTAATATTGTCATATCCCATTGGTGACGCTCAACCACGTCATTAATCTTATCTGTTGCAGACATCAAAAGTTGCGCTAGCAACTCCGGACTGGCATGATAATGCGCATACCGGGCGCTTAAGAAAAGAAGATTCGCTGGTACAGGTTTCTGCGAAGGCGACCTCTGCGGCGTCATGTTTGTGATGATTATGTCTAGGATTTTTTCCAGCTCATTGTCTTGAAAGACAAACATCTGGTCATTCAAGCACCTGTCCCAAACGAATTCCTGTTGATCGTCCTCAAAATCATCGGGTTCCTATATTCAAGAGAACCAGAGGGTTAACCCGCGTGCTCACACGGACGTCGAACAATACGTACCTCAATCTTCTCATCCAATCCAAGGCTTGATAAGTCAACCTCGAGGTTAAGCGCACTCTCCTCCATCATCATGCGGCGCCTCATCTCGTTCTGAGCCATTTCCTCCTCAAAACGTCCGTGGCTGAATCCCGAATCATAAAAGTCATCTTCAATTCCTACGGGGCCTATGTTGTACCCGTTATCGTGCAGATATTGTGAAATGTCCGTTCCAGGCTGTAGGAAATCAAGTGCGGTTCCTCCAGAAGATGACTTGATGTCAGGGGAAGCTCCGTGATCGAGTAAGACTTTCGCGATAGTTTTATGCCGGTTAGTCATCGCCCACATCAATGCGCTCCATTGGTTACGGTCCTGCTTGTCAACGAACGCTCCAACGTCAAGGAGTGCGGAAACGACATCCTGATGGCCCTGTGAATCAGAATATATTAGCACTTCGCACGGATTATCCTAAATTCAAGGAATTTGTGGATACCCACAAAACAGCTCGCATATATTAAAGGTACCGTCCCCTCTTCGTCCGGTTTATTGACATCCACATATTTATGAGCACGGCCGTTGACTAGTTTCCGCACTCTTTCGACATCGCCATTACTAGCGGCCATATTGAGACTTTTTTGTAGTATGCTCTTCTTCTCCTCCTCTGACAGGTTATCATCTAGCGCTATATCATCATCGTCTGTACTGAGCGAATCCATCTCGCGATGTGCAGCCTGCGCTGCCAACATTTCTAATAGCCTAGCGTCACTATCCTCTAGGCGCGAAGTAATATCGTCATCCTCTCGGTCGTAGTATGACTGCGCATAGCGAGCACGTAATTCATGCTCTTCATCATGAGAGTGATCGTCCAGCGCAAGGCTAAAAGATAACGGCTTTGCGGTAATCGGTGTCGTCAGGAATTGCGATTGGCCTAAAGCAGCAAGCAGAGTCAGCAAGCATTCATTAAAACAAGACTGTTCTTTCAGAACAACGGGTGAAAGGGAAGAGAGCCCCGCCAACCTTGCCATCCGTCGTACATCTCCGTCTCACCGGCGTACTCTGGCGCTTGTCTTCGGTCGTCCAGCGACGTTGGCAAATCAGGAGGCAGCGTCCTTGGATTCTTCGGTGTACCGTCTGTCGAATTAATCTCGATATCGGATTCGAAATCAGTCCCCGGATGGGGATCCCCGATATCCATTGTCGATAGTGCCTCGAATGAGAGCGCTGTGGGTTTTTATGAGATGTATGCCCAACTATAACAACTGCGACTGGGTGGAGGGATCATCTGGTATGAACAGGGAGCACATGCATATCTTTATTGACAAGATATTCAACACTTCTTCAACAACGACGTCGCTATTGATACCAGGATACCAATTCTAGCGTCTCAGAAGCGGAGATGTTGGTAAGTGAGAGGAAGCTGTTTTGATGTTCGGTCGTCGGCTTCGTGGTGGGTCCCCCGCAGGCAGTGATTCTGCTAAGCTGCTGAGAAGGAAATGACGCAGTTGTTGCCCTCGTTTTCAGGCTTATATCAAAAATATATAAAAACTCGGCTACATTTTAGATGATGCTGAGCGATTCTCTTATGGCATGGTTTAGGGTGTAAACAGGTATCATGTGTAGTTACACTCTGGTGTACTCGATGCACGTGACCGATTTGGCACTGATATATCTATTATATAGTTATAGCAATAATGGCTGATGCATAAGTACAGGGAGATATGTTTATGCTGAGAAGATTAAGAAACAGAGCTTTCTGCTCTGTTAGATGCAATAAGGAAAAGAGATGGCGAACCAATGCGGGATATAAATGTAAGATAACAATAGATGTTAGAAGACGATGTCGAAGATGGCAGAAGACTGGGAAATACAACAAAACGCTTGCAAGGAAAACAAAAAAGAGGGTGACGCTTGGTGCTGGCTGATGATATTACTGTCGTTTATTTTGATGATGACGACGCAAACAGAACGCTAATGATCGTGGTCGATGTAATGCAGTCATTGATCTGCCCAAGCAGATATGCGAGGGACCAAAGGTCCAAAATATACATTTATTCTAGGCTTTTGCTGTAAGCCTGGATTTGCTCCTCAGGCAGAGAACCGATCCACAGACATTTTTCGACCACCCCGGGAACAGGCTCGATATTGTACTTATTGCTCGCGTCGATGAGACGGAGGAGACATTTGACAATTCTAGCCGAGGTTCGATATCGTTCGAAATTGACAAGAGAATCCCCATCGCGCGTTCCCGCAACTTGTGATGGTTTTTGGGCGTTGTAGGTAAGATCGTGAACATATAGGCCAACGAACGGAATGCAGCCATTCTGAAGATTCGCTGTTTCCATCTCGACTCTTAGTTCGTGAAAATTGCGCAGGGGTTGTATCAGGAATTCCATGCTGTCCAATAGCCGTCTGTCATTTATGCTCACCAATTCCCATGTCCGTTGCAATCGTGTGCAGTCAACTGAAGATAAAGCAATCGCGATCTGTAGCATCGTTGAGTAGTTGCATATTTGTCTCGCGTGCGCAGCGATATGGATGAATTTGGTGATGGTTCGAGCGCGTTCCGAGAAATCTCGCGTTAGAACAATTTCAGAGAGGACCCATTTCACCATAAGATTGAAGCGGCCCACGACAATGTCAATTCCTTTACGTTCCTTCTCAGCGAGAAAATGGACCCAACTGACGATTGATGGTGACGTATTGTTCCACTTCATTTCAACTAGGTCTTTCCAGTCAACTTCGTCCAAGGCCGATTTTTCTACCAAAGTGAACTGCTGAGCAAGTATCCTAGAATCGTAGGCGAGTACAAAGGGGAAATGGTTTGGCATTTGTGGGGTCTCTATGTGTAATCTCCCAAGCTTGTGCTCAATACCTGCACTCTCATCCAAGTTACGTCGTCCACTATACTGATCACCCATGCGAGTAGGGGATGGTCCCGGAGTCAATGTTGCCGAGGCGTTTATAGGAGTTTGCGGTTTGCGATAAGTAGTAGTCGATACCGCCTGTGGAATTGTTATTGGTGGCGAAGGAGGATGCGCAAGAGGATGAGGGGGTATCTCCAGAGATTGCGTTGCAAGAGAATCTGTGCTGCTCGATGCCTCTAAAGCGTCGTCTTTTTCGATGAACTCAACCGAAAGTTCAGATGATAGTTCGGATCTGCTGTCCACATTCTCGTACTGCTCTGAGTGCGAGTCAACGTCATGGTATTCGTCGATATTAGTTTTGAGTTGTCGGATTCGGTCCCTATCATCAATCAGCTGTATAGACGGGCGAGGGGAGTCCGTGTTGTTGACGCTTCCGGTAAGTGCAGACTGATGAGTCCTATAATGTACACGAAGGCCAGAAACTGGCTTTTTCATGGAATCATCGCTTAAACCCCTTTCTAGAAGAGGAATCGAATTATCTGAGAACTCCGACTCCACGAACGAATCAGTGTCCACTTGAGATCGCGGACCTGAATGTGGGAAAGAAACTATTGTTTCGTCAGATCTCATCGGGAGGTCACCTGAAGGGCTTGCTTCTTTTAAAGCAATATCCGAGGTATCATGCTGAAACTTGCGAGTCAAAGTGTTCTGATACCCATCACCTTCCGCACGACTGTCAGAGAGTGTTGGAGATGGCCATTTTCCTTCTAGCTTCAGTAACGTCGATTCAATTCCGCCATCAACATCATCAGGGATACGTGAAAATTCTGCTATAGCCGCTTCAAACGAGGGTCGAAGATGCTGAGACGAATGCGTATTAATAAGGTCGAAACGCGGTGGCGTTGACTGAGTCCTCGCCTGAGAGGATCGTGAAAAACTTCGTCGGAGATACTGACGTACTGAAGAAGTATATGATTCTGTTAAAGAGGTATCCGTCGCGAATGACAGTGGGCGTTGATCAGGCGCAAGGTCATGCACGTTTTGGATCTTACGCAGATCGCCTCCTGGTCGCCTACGTAATAGACGACTCGTTGGCTTTTTGCCGATTTCTTTCTCGCCAGACTCACTACTCCCATCAAAAGAGTGACTGACGCCACTGTGAAAAGATGCGTACTTCCGAAGACGACTGGAGATTGACTGGCTTGTCGAGAAACGTTGTATAGGTAGATCGAATGGCGCGAGGTTCAGATTCTTTCCCTCGTGCCTGAGTAGTTCTGAAGACGCCGCAACGGGAACCTCAATAGTACCAGGTGAGCTCTCTTTCCTTGCCACGAGCGCATGTGAACTTGCGTTGCTTGTTTGGTCCGGACCAAGCCATCCAAGGCCACCTGAGACAACCGGTAAATCAAGTCCGGTGTCATCAACTATGACAATCGACTTACTCCCCATAGTCACTTCGCTTACAAGACGCTGTTGGTCATGTGTCTGATGTGGTTTGGAATGAGATGGTTGACTTCTCGGTTGACTCGGACCTTCTGCAATGGAAGGCGCCGGAGGATTAAGGCCAATAGCTTCCCGGTAGTCTCTTACAATTTGCTCAGAGATATAATCAACTCTCAAAGGGATTTCAGGCTTTGGGTGTGCCCTGCGTTCTCTGTAGATATCGCTTTTGAACTCCACATTGACGGGTAGTGTGGCGGTTTTGCCTCTTTGCGAACGGGGATTAGGATAAGCAGGATGTGCCGTACTGACTTGACCTATGTTGCGTGTATGCAGTGCACGGCGTATGGAGCCGATAACCGTTCGCAGTGGCTTGATATTGCCCTCGGAGGCACTACGTGCATGATGATCTTGTAGTCCATCTGACGCTTGAGATATTGTAGGGGAAGGGGGTGCAAATCCTGTAACTCTTGCATCTATAGGCGGAAACAGATTACCACGGATAAGACTGCCATTGCCACCATCAGGTGTTGGCAGTAGAGCTTGTTCCTGATCCTGTCTGTCCGGTAATGCCCTAGACAGTGGAGCACGGTCATCTCTTATTGAGTCGGAGAAACTGCCACTACGCTTGTGAGCATGGACCGGATATTTGAAGGTGCTCGGGGTTGTCGGAGAACGTGGGCCAGTGGGAGTATTGTGAGACGGCTGGATAACAACCACGACTGGATGGCGGGAATCCATTGCGTTCATCGGAATCGATGCACTTTTTCCGGGAAAGGAGCATGACTGTGCTTGGACGCTTTGTTCACTCGACGAACCCGGGAAACTGCGTGAAGTCCCCGATGATATTGTTCTCGCATGCATAGATGGATATTCAATGTTTCGTACACCTTCGACCCCAATAGATGGTCGCCTCAATTGTTCGGATGGGATCTTTGGAAAAGCGTTTTCAGTACCACCTTCCTGGAAAGAGTTCGTGATCTTGCTTAGACGGGCTGTGTTGTTTTCTTGACTGTTGAGAACACCACCAGGGAGAGCAGGGTTGTCCGGGCTTGTGAAAAGCGGGCAGTCCCAATGCACTAAGCACCTACCATACCAGCAGCGCTTCAAGTCTACCAATATCTTGATGTCGCTGACGCCTACGGTGCTTCGAGATTTTAATTCATCGTACATGCGATTGATTGTATCGCAAAATTGGGCCCTTAAATCCCAATTACTGACAAAATCATCGACAAAATAGTTGAGAATCCAGTGTCGCAAGGCCGCAAACGTTCGAATGCGAATAATCCGACCATCGGGTTGTAATCTCTTAATAGCCCACTCCAGCCGTGCCAGCAACAATCCCAGCAGATCTGTCGTCGAAAGGTATGAGCGAAAAGTTAAGAAAAAGTCGGACACCAATTCATAGTCCATGAATGCTTCAGATGAAATCTGGGCGACTATACGCGCAGGTGTAGCAGCACTGATGTCCGCAGTGCCGGGAAGGTATTTGACCAAAGCTGGATCATCCATGTTTTCGGCGAGCACATCAAAAATAGAAGGCTCAATTGGATGCCGTACAGAGTACATGCCGGAACGGTAAGTTGAATTTGAGTTCCTCGCTTTCGTGGCAGACGGTGCGACGCCAGAAAATAATGACATTGCTGCTGAAAGCGTCCCCACAGGATGTGACAGACCAGGAGAATCGTAGGTTGATGGTATACGGTTTTGGCCAGTGTTACCGGTACTATCTTTCAGGTATACAGAGGGGTTGGTGTTATCCGATGTGTGAGTGTAAACTGAACTTCGCAAAACTGGCGTCCCATCGGCATTGAATTGCAGTGATCCCAGGCGATAATGAGGGATAGGTACATGTAAAGGAGGCTGAGATGTAATGTCAGCCGCCTCGTGAGTGTCGAGACGGTCAATTACTATCCGGAACTCATCGCCCGTTTCAGATTGATCGTACTCGGAGATGGTAGAGAAAGAATGAGCTCTCCTACGTCGGAGCTCAGTATCGTCAGCATCGTCATTGACCTCTGTTATTTCTTCACGCGCAAATTTGGGATGGAGTTCGGAAAATTGAGACGATGATAAAATACTGTGTCTAGAGTCGGGGCCGGTTATTGGTCTGGGTGGAGGTTGCCTCGTAACGTTGACCGGAGCGGGTGGACTCAGTTTCGACAGGGATTTGCCATGGTGACGCCGGGAGCCTGATTCGACTAACGGTCTGTTCACAGAGATCAATGGTAAGCTGTTGTGTTCATATTGTCACCCAAACTTATATTGAACTTTGGGATGAAGATGAAGATGATGTCAGGTCAACTGCAAATAGGATATTAGAAACCTCATACCTCAGGTAAAGCTTTCCATTATTGCCCACATTGGCGACCGCGAAGGTGTTGTCAATCCGGCTAGCTGATGCCAAATCATGCGCCAACAATCTTTGAGGTAGGTTATCATTACCACTGGTCTTTAATCGAAGGAGCGATGAAGCTCTTTGGTGCGGTTTTCGCCCTCGGTCCGTTGCCATTGCTCTGCCTGTTCGTTTGGCGGAGGCCGGTTGTGTTATAGTATGGGCGCGTTGAAGGGCATCGGGCTGAGCTCGCAGCGGACGAGAAAACGTGTTTGATGATATACCCAACGTAGACGCTCGTGAAGCGGGTTTATGTAGCTGAAAATCGTCACCGGCGACAGCGTCGGGTTTATCAGTATCGTCATAAAAGGTCATCATTATGGTCACCGAGGTATTTGCGAGAGCAGCGAATGCCGCACAAATCAAGCACACGCCGTCCTTTGTTCAGTTGATAATTCAATATGAGCGAGAGGTTGGCACAAGGCACACCGGTTACTCTTGCAGAGCTGGCCGGGGTGGTAACTTGATTGTGTAACTCGGCATTGCCGCACACCGCAATGCTGACGGGCGGTTTAGATGTTCATGATGGCCAAGCAGTTGCGCAATAGTATGTCCATACAATGAATGAGTCTCTTTAAATCGGTAAGCTTCGATCGAGGCTATCCGCGTAGGAACAAAGAAGGCCGTGGTGGGAGATGAAATTATTGTCTGGATTTCGAACCAAATCCACTCGCTCGGAAAGAGAGCCCCTATGACGGCAAAATGAGAACAAAGTAGCCTGTGGGATGGGAATGGGGACACGAAACACGCCGCCAATTTGTCGAACGCGAAACGCACGGAGCACAAGTCGATTCGGGTGGCTTAAAGTTGAGTCTGCAATCTGGATGCAGAGAGCAGCTTGCGTAGATCGGAGTCTTCGAAAAATTCAGATAATAGTGGCTCCAGTATGAGTGCTGTACGAAGTTGGGGTTGTCAAGTCCATTGGATGTAGAAGTTGAGTCAATGTGTCCAACAGATGCGAATCATAATACATACACATCACAAATCTGGTCACGGGATAAACTTGCACTGTAAACAATTCATATGTGCCTCGGTGAACGTATTTTACGCGCTATACAGAGAATGCTGGTCGTCTGTTGGTGGATGTAGGATTAAAGTTGTATGACTATGATCGTTTTATTACGAAGATTACAGCGGATATCCTGGCTAGTCTGATTTAGTGTGGGACTTCCGGCCAATAATATTTTGTAGCTTGGTGGCTGGATCCCGTGATTACGGACACCAGACGCTCTTTGGACGACTTCAAAGCCAATCAGATAGCACGGTTATGCGTCACTTACTCTATGCAGATGTAAAAGAATACAACCACGAGACAGAATCTCCATTTCTGAGATGCAGAGCACAGTGAATATTCGAAATCGAAGTTTTTGGTTTCAACAGCAGATAATATTCACTATGATTATTCACCGACTCAGCCAATTCAATTGAGTCTTTCGATACTAGACAGTGCAGTATAGGCTCTACCATAATTTGCAGACAGGCTCCTTACGTGGACATTCGAAAGCTTCCTGGAATTCCCTTGTGTTTGCCATCGTACCCTGTTTTACTTTCAGTAAGTGCACTGCCCCTAAGGGATACAGATAACCAGACGTACCAGAATTCGAGCGGGCTTCGGAGCATGCGGGTCAGTATAGATAGCCTGCACCGCCGCTTCCCTTGTAGTCTTGCTACACCACCAGTTGGAGTACGAGATGAAAAAGAGCTGTTCCTTAGTAAAATTCTCCAACCCAGGTAGTGCCTTGTCTGCATGTGCAGAGTCTCGTTTTTTCCAAGCGTGGAATGAAGCTGATAGACCGCCAGCATCAGCAATATTCTCACCTAAGGTCAACCGTCCATTGACATGGAGAGGCTTTGAATCGGGATCAGGGCCGGGGACTGTGAAATTAGAGTACTGATCGATGAAACATTGTGCACGTTCTTCGAATGCCTCGATGGTTTTGTCATCCCACCAGTTAGTATAGTTGCCAATCTGATCGTAATGTCTACCAGTACTATCGAATGCTATGAATCGTGAGTCAGCTACTCTGTATCACCAAGTTAAAATAGTAAGCTGATGGCCGCACATACCATGTGAGAGCTCATGCCCACTGACGGCCCCGAACGCCCCGTAAGCCAAGTATAGAGGCGCTCTAGGTCCGTAGAAGGTCGGAGGTTGCATGATACCAGCTGGGAACACAATTTCATTGCCAGGAGGATTGTAGTACGCATTGACAGTTGGTGCAGTCATACCCCATTCATCTCGATTCGTAGGCTTGCCCAGCTGAGACCACGTCCTTTCAAATTCGAATCGCGACATTGCAACCGAATTCTCAAAGAACTTTCCGCTAGATATGTGCAAGCGGCTGTAGTAGTTCTTCACGTCTTCCCCATTTGTCAAATCGGGGCTACGTGTTGGGTAGCCAATCTTCTGGATGATATTGGCGACCTTTTGTTTTCCCAGCTGCCGAACTTCCGCAGACATCCATTTCGTCCCATCAAGCACGTAAACAAACTGTTCTTTAATGTCGGAAATGATTTGATCTCCCAATTGTTTGGATTCCTCCGGGAAGGAGTCAATAACGTAAAAGCGACTTAGAATCCAGCCAATTCCAGAATCCAAATTGTTAATACATTTACGCCATCTGTCCTGGGTAGCCTGAGGATCCTTGCCAGCTAAACGGTTGTTGAACTCTCGTAGAGGAGCGACTTTAGGGTCTTCTATGTCGTCATAGTACCTCTGGATAGCCTTGAATTTGAAGAAAGCCTGAACGACATCTCTGGGTGTGTCTTGAATGATTGCTGAAAGCTCCTTGAGATACGACGGAGAACCAATAATAAGTCGGTCTGTTTTGAAATCGTCGGGTGCTAGCCCGGCAACAATGTGGCCGAAAGAAATTTGAGGAATAAGGGATCCTGCTTCCTCTAACGTCTTCGGATTGTAATATTGCGTGACATCCTCTTGTGCCTGGGTGTCCGGTGTCGCATCAGCCAATTTCTTCTCGAATTGGACGACGTCTTTTGCAAGTCGATCGGACAACACGTGGTCGAGGGGAATGAAGTTGCCGAAGAGTTCCGCAGCAAGATTGTAATAGTCACGAACGACTTTTGAGTCATTATAATATTCTCGCGATGGGAGACCAATCCTGCGTGGTGGTGTCACAAATATAACTACATTATCGGGGTCACGATCATCAGGCTGTAACTCATCATTAGTACGAATGCATTCAAAGAGGAAGGGAAAAGGTGCTTACGGATATAGAGAAATCAGTAAGAGCCGACACGTCAATCTGCATCAGGTACAAAAGGGTATCCGTTATATTTGTCTCGGAATCCTTGCCCTGCGAAGAGTAGACGGCGTCGATATTAGAAAGAATATCTTCTAAAGGTTGTGATCCACGTTCCTTCAGTGCATCGACGTCAATGCACGCATCATAAGCGGCCTTCAGTTTCTTGAAGTTGTCCTTGTCAGCTGAAGATAGTGTTTGCTCTCCTGGCGCCTCAGGAGCTTCTAGAATATGGCGTAGTCGCATCTGGGCGTTCTCTGCCATCAGAGTTCCAGCAAAGATGGAGCCTTGGTCTGGCCGCATATCATGACGATCTATCCATCCTCCACAGACGTATTGATCAAAATTGACACACGGGTCAATATCTTGGTAGTGAGGATCGAGATTGTAAAGTATCTCAGATGCAGCATGGATGCACTCGGGCTCGAGGCACAGATCAGGGGTAGCAGTAGTATCAACAGTAGGAACCGCATCTGGGGCTGATTGATATCAATTATCAAGGACTAATCACATCTCAAGTGGTACGTACTTGGATAATATTGGCCTACGCCAAGGTAAGCAACACCTGCACATATCAAACCCCACCGGGCTACATTAAGTAGCTTAGAAAAAGGCCTGCTATTTGTGGCAGGTAAAAATTCAGCGGTCAGATTCTTCTCATAAATATAATTTATTGATTCGTTGGGGCTGGTCTTGTAGGCAGAGGAATCCCTATAGTAACCCCAAATTGTCAGTTGATGAGTGCGAGTCAGTCAATTGGAGTCATACTAACTCAGGGAAGGCTGGTAAGCCTTTCATGATGTGACTTTGGTCTGCGCCACAGCGCGGTGGATTGCAATTGTAGGAGAGTTGACGCGCTGAAAAATGGATTAAGCCGGCTTCAGCATGATGTTGGTGACTGGACGTGAGGTCATCAACTTGCTTGGGTGCCTGATGATTCCAGCTCCACATCCCGGAGCTTATGCCTGCTTGTGATAGATATGATTGGTTGATAAATATGGCTTCTTCAATCCACCTGGTGGCTTCCCGGGCACCAATCACTACGCGAGAACTGCCAGTCTTTCAGAGCTCTCATTCGTTGAGGATATCACAACTGCTGTAGAACTCTCGAACAACTTACACAAGCTATAATGTGATGGGTAAATGCAATTAATATATAGTAAGAATTGGATAAGATATTCTCACAATTCGGAGCCGCTAAGCGAGGTTGCTCAACTTGCGTATTAGTTGAAACTTGAGACAGGAGGCCGAAGATATGTGGACAAGGCTAAGGACAGGCATGATAATTCTGTGTCGATTATCCCGGTCTATACGTATCGGTTGAAGTAACACAATGATGCATATATTATCTAATCCAATACGGTAATAAATCTAGAATATATGAAATCAAAAGCTACCTATCCCTAGTAAGTCTTGGACTATGAAGTCTACTACAACAGTATTGTTTATGTTGTAGGCCTAGCAATACAGTCGAGAAATCATGTCGTACCAAATTGTTCCTCAATACGACTCCACAGGCTGGTCCGTAAGACGTTCTTCATCCACCAATTGCCAGCAGCATCTTTACCCATAACAGCAAGCGAATTGCGAGCGGAAAATCCAACAAATTTTCCCGTGGCGGAAACCAGTAAAGGTCTGCCTGGGAGGTTTGCCCGCCCAGATTGAAAGGGATTTGTTTTGATTACTGCTGGCGAGAAGTCCATTTGAAATAGCTTTCCCTTATGCCAGTTTGAACAAGTGAAAAGCATGGTTCCTGCATCGCCAAATAGGGCTGGCTGACCGGTCTTTTCTAGGGCCTCTCTATGCATGGCTGCGATAGCTTGGACTTGTTCAGGGGTACGGTGGGTATCAATTGCATGTCGAATCCGGGAAGCTAAATGGCTGAGAGGCTTGGTGACAATTTCCCCTGCAGTTACCAAGGTAATTGTACCCCAAGTTACGTTGGCAATCAATGCCGTATCCGCTGTAGGAAGAAGACCCATATCTGCAAGGATACCACGGATGTCGAATACATTCATCAGAGTGATCGGTTTGTTGGGTGATGGATTGAGTGCCTTGATAAAAACACGCGTCCACCATGAAAGAAGGACATCACTTTCACTGATGAATGGTGGTTTTGTATCTTGCGAGGGACTGTCGTTGAGTTCGGCAAGGGCAGAATCGCGCAATTCCTTCAGATATTTCTTTGGCACGAAGATCAATCGCTCGTCATCTCGACGCCACCAGAGCAGTTCGAAGAGATACTGGATCACAAATAGAATGAATCCCCAACCTTTCAGTAAGCGATCTGCAAGTACGTATCTAGACGCAGGTGTCATCTGATGAATAGTCGCGAGAGGATCCTCATCGACATCCACAATCGGGGGAATCTGATCTTCTCGGCCGCGTAGAACAGCAGTCCAGCCTCTCAAGAGCGCCGTAAATCCCATAGCGTCCATGAGTAGATGTATAAAAGTTACTGTCACGAAGGTCATATCTTTGAGTACGACCACGTGGACTGCTAATTGGGGGGAATCAGAGTAGAGCCAGTCATCCAGACGCTCGGGGGCGTTTGCAGCACGTAGATATGGGCGTACAGGGTCAAAGGGGCCAAGTAATGTGGGTTTGTCAAGCTCTCCAAAAGCATACGCTGAAAGTTGAGGATGCTCTGCTAGAGTCATGTCGTGCCTTTCTATGCTAAACAGGAACGCAGGGCGCTTCTCGTCGAACTGCTCGGGAATGTGATATTCTAATTTTTTGTCCTTCTGTTCGCATACATTAGATGTCTGCTTTTGATGACTTCTGGAAAAAACTTACATTTCGTCTCAACCTTGCACCAAATTTCTGCCATCCTTTCTTTCGCAGAAGGATGTCTAGAGAATCCCGTAGCTTCTCTGGGTCTAGCACGTCGTTAAATGTGAGGGTGATATCAAGGCTGATTGCACGTGCATAATCCTGGTCATCCCAGAGACTGAGGGGGATTATACGGTCACTCGGGACGGTTTCAGGTGCTGGTCTACTAGATGAAAAGAGGCCCATCGTATTCGACCAGATCGATCCCAAAATAATAAGAAAGACTTTATATAAGTATTGCTATAGCTGCAGTCCGCAAGAGTGCCTCGTAGAAGAGAATAACAACACTGAGGCTGAAGAATAAAGTGAAAAATATGGTTGACAAACCAATAGTGGTTAAACCCCTTAGGGCTGAGACTAGGGATTTGTCAGGTCAAGTTGGTCTATCGACGCGACGGTGAATTTTTGTCAGAATTGACAAAATTGCTTGTCAGCTGCAGTGGAGCACTTTACACACTAGTCACTTATTTCACAGCATATGGCTTATATTATATTGGTTAACCAATTGTATCACTCAATTTTATTGCCTAATAAATTACAGTCATGTAATATTAAAATTCTTGGCGGTATTGTCAAAGTTGACATTTCAAAGGGGCTGCATGTCAAAGTTTACATGACACTAAATTTTTGTAATTTTCCAACACTTTAGCTGAGACCCATCATAAGTAGTCTAACCAATCATATACCTGTCGCAGCGGCTTACCCATACCGGTCACAATGTTGGTAAGACGTTGCGCCAGGTATCTTTAAACGGTATCCAGGGTAAGGGTTAGGGCTACGGGAATGTGATATGGGAGGCAGGAGACGAAACATTGACATGATAATTTGGCAAACGACTAACTATAACATTATAGTCACTAGAAATTATATGCAAGGTAGCCAAGAAATACTTCTCTATAGTTTTCCCTCCCATGTCTTTCTGAGGAAATCCTCAATCGAGCTGAACTCATAGTCAGGGAAAGTCTGGTTGAACTCGGCCGATACGTCCCAAGCCCCCTTGAGACAGCTTAGCAGAATACCAACAGATACTTGCTTTAGAAGATCATTTGATTGGTCTTTAGGTACGGAATGATGAACTGCGTCCAAGCCCCATGAAGTTTTGAGCTCTCCAGCCTCGAGATCTTCAACTTTCGCCTTGGCGACCTCAAAGGAATTTCCTGTATTTCCGTGTCAATACAGACTAGCATAGAGGATCAGTTGATCCGTACCTCTAACTTTGCGACCAATATCAAGAACTTGAGAGAAGGTGACTCTGTTTCCCCTGATGCCACCTATCATAGGCCACTTGCCAGCATATTCAACTGCACGAGCGACAACTGCAGCAACATCTGATACGGTGGTTAGTGTCATGATAGCATCTTCGTAGCCGTCAACAACCATAGCCCGCCTGTTTGCAAAATCAAAGACGGTTTGCAGCGGGTTGACGTGTTTAGCTGTCTTGTAGGGATAAGCCAGGTAGTCTAAAAAGAGACCGGGTTGAAACAGGGTGTACTCAAGAACCTGATTAACAACAAATCAGTCACACTTGAATGGAGGTATACTGGCAATATTCACATCTTCTTTTGCATTGACCTCTGCCAAGTACTCTCTGATTACCTCTTTCCCGCGCCACCAAGCCATATCGGTTGTTCCCTTGCTATGTATTTGTCGGTTAGTGCACTCTCTGGATTGCATTATATAGAGCGGTGTTACCTTCCATATTCACTAGGTGCAAAGCGTTTCACGCCAGCAGCAATCGCGGCGTCTATGAGATTCTTCTGCGAATTCTGGTCGGGATCGGAGAGAATTTGCACAAAGGACAATAGGGTATGAGTTCCATGCAAGGCTTCAATTAGGCCGTTTTTGTCGTCGTACTCTACCATGTGCCAGTGTATTTCGGGTGCGATAGGAATCTCAGGTGCTTTCTGCAAGGCTTTAGCTGGATGATTCGTGCATCACGAGAGTACTCACCCTTCTGCTTAGAATGGTGATATCATGTTTCTTAGAAGCTAAGAGAGCATCGATTATCTCTAGAGCAACCTCTAAGGTACAGTTAGCCTTGTCTACATCTATCTCACGATTGGGCATTGACTCACGGCCAGAACCACCGGCTACGGCGACCTTGACCATTGTGAAAGCTTTGTATTGTGTACTCCAATTGTGTGTTGAGAATTGTACTTGTAGAAGGGATCTCAGATGCTTTATATACGCACGAAACGGATTGTTCTCGAGGTTCAGTCCGAAGCGAAGAATAACCGCCCAGGTACCCCCTTTGGGTTTTCCCAAAAGAGGAAGTCACCTGGTGGGTCTAGCGAGTGAATCCTCCGCCGCGGGCGGAGATGCTTATCCATCCACCAACATCATACAACATAAATATCGAACCGTATCACTTATGCCTTAATGGTTTGGTTGCCATATCTCTAAATCCGACATGGATGACCAGAGGAAACGTCCAGCCGCGGCGGAGACGTCAAATGTACCCAAGAAACGCAAGATCCGAAAAGGAACGCAGTCTTGCTGGGAGTGCAAACGGCGTAAAATCCGATGCACCTTTACAGCACCCACTGACATAATTTGTGATGGGTGCAGAAGCCGTCAAACCAGATGCATCAGCCAGGAATTTCCCGATGAGCTCGCATTGGCAAGCAGAGTTGACCGGCTTGGTCGAGTAGAATCTTTAGTCGAGGAACTGGTCAAGCGAAGCGGTGTTGATGCTTTGAATACGTTGAGAGGCCAGTCAGATCAAGCGAACACGCAGCCAGTGGTAAGTACCTTCACAACTATTGCTTAAGGACTCAGTTAATAACAAAAAGCAAGGCACTAATCATGCTACTGAATCCCCGCAACATCACCCTGCTCCCAACTCGGACCTGCAAAATCAACTGAGCAGTGATTTTGACGATCTAAGCCGTGCTCTGATAGCAGCATGGCCTGATCAGCAGGACCTCGATATTATCCTAAGTGTACCAGTTGGAGTTTCGGTGTTGTTGCATGGGGTGATCTGCAAGTCGTATTCTGACTATTTCTCTGGGAGATTTCCACCTCCGCGATATATACTCCAGCTACCGGTACGAGAGTCGCATCCGGTCCTCATTGCAAGAAAGCTACTATTGCTAGCAACTTTTTTGCAAGGAGTTCCACCATGCTCTACTAGCCAACTAGACGGTTTGACTTCAAGCTACCAGACCGTTATGTCTCGAGCGTTTACTACAGCCACCAGGTTGGTCACAAGTAATGACGAGCTTATAAATTCACTTGAGGGACTCGAGTGTGTCATGATCGAGAGCATGTACTTGAATAACGCCGGCAATCTTCGCCGCGCCTGGTTGGCGAACCGCAGGGCCATGGTCGCGGCGCAGATGATGGGGCTACATACAGGTACCGGGTCATTAAATTTGTTCCTCGAGATTTCAACACAGGACCGTATCGATCCAGATTACATGTGGTTTCGTTTAGTTTGCTCAGACAGATATCTGTCTTTGATGCTTGGTCTTCCGCAGGGTTCACCAGAAAATACCTTTGCTAGTTCAGATGCTCTGACAAACTCCATAGCCGTGGAGCGTATGGAACGTCTAGAGTCGATTGCAGGCGGGCTTATTCTTCAGCGCAACAGTATCGAGAAAACTGATCTTGTGGCAACGTACAAAATTGATAAAATGCTCCAAGAAGCTTCAGAGTCGATGCCACCGCACTGGTGGGCACTGAACTCCAATCTTGCTACCATTGTTGGCAACGATGGAAAGGCATTTGAAGAGTCGATTCGTCTTATGAATCAGTTTACTCACTATCACCTCCTAGTTCAGTTGCATTTGCCGTATATGTTGCTGCCGCCTTCAATCAACCCGAAGTACGATTACAGCAAGATGACAGCTGCCAACGCTAGTCGCGCGATCATAACTCAATTCGTTGCCTTTCATGAATTCGCTTTATCACCTGCGTATTGCCGTGGGATTGATTTTATTGCCTTTATTGCGAGCACCACTTTATGTCTTGCGCATATCGAAACTCGACGCCAGGACCAGAATGACATCAGTTGTCTCCAGTCCCTTCGACATCAGCGATTGAGTGATCGAGGCTTACTGGAACGTCTGCTTGATATCATGGAGAAAATGGCTCGGGAAAATAGTGGCGTCGTTGCCAGACAAATCTCAAGTATACTCGGGCCACTCCTTGATATCGAGGACAACTCGTTCAGAGGGAGCTGTTATCAGATGCGAGCCTTAGAGAATGTTGAGAAGTCCCGATGCGTGGGTCAAATAAATGAAGCTTCTGACGAACTCCGTATACACATTCCGCACTGTGGGACTATCATAATAGAACACCCTTCTCAATACGTACCACACGCAAGTGATGCAGATCGTGTTTTCGACGAGCCAGCTGCAGGTCGCGATCAGGGAGATGTGGATTTCCGGCAATCACAGCCGTGGTATATTGATCCGATACCCGGTCTGGAACTTGATGTAGACGATTGGGCGTTGCAGGGGGTTGATACGGCACTGTTTAGTAGTTTGATGCAGGGAAGAGAAAGTTAGGCAATGCTAGGGTTAGGGCTAGATATACACACCCGTGGACCCTGCATGTTCCTTCTCGCCGTACCCACCACTGACATGGATGGTATCGTATGATTATGACTTGGGCATCAAGATAGCACATCTGCAACTAACTAGATGATTTTGTCCTTATCATGGTGATCCATCCAGGAATCCCTGCATGTCCATATCATATCTCGATACCAACACTAGCAGAAAGTTGATACCAACAAGAATAATGGACGGTGGTGGAGGATCTAAGTAGATGATACCGTGGCAGTGGGAGCTAAGGCTGATAAGCTCTTGATATTCCTTATCAGCAGTAGTAGATAGCTAAGATAAGTATTGGCCGAGGTTGTATGGGCGCTGCTTATTTCGATTGGTGTGCTTGTTGCTTTTGCGTGATCGAGTCAATCGACTGAGTCGAGACCCTGTAACTGTGACAGCTCATTGATTGATATCTCTTCTCGAGGACCATCCAAGACATATGTAGGAATACACACTCTGATTGGATACTGTGCAGACCCAGTGCACGAATCAGAATGGCCACGTGAACACCTTCTCCTTTTCCCCTATGAAACATGATGACTGATCACTACTATAGTACAGTAGTAGACTACAAGAACCGATCAGTAGTCAATGGCACGGTGCCCTAACATACTCCAGATTCTGTACTCGAGACGAGTGAGGGGAAGTGGGGAGCCGGACACATGGACGCTGCCATGTGTCGCTCACGCGATACATCTCAGCTCTGAATTCTAACTGGGAAGAGACGGCAGCATCGATGTTGTAGCGTTACATAATAAACTTCATCGTGAACAGAGAATGCGATGTTACAGTGCGATCCTGCCAATCTGGGGACGCGCCACGCTAAGCCCAAAACAGACTCGGAGGGTTGCAACGCTGCTATCAGGGATGGGTCTGGGGGCGAGACTCAGCCAATCGGCATGCGTGCACTAGTCCACATTCCGTAAAGCGCTTGGCCCGGCAAGATAAGAATCAGCCAATAGGCATTTACCTTGTGGGCTGATGGATTGGCTGACTTTTCTTCTCAATAAACGGTTAGTATGTGCTTAACATAGTTAGTATATACATACATTCTTTATACGACATCTTGTATCACGAGAAATACGACAGAGTAACGAACTGCAGCAGGAGAGGTTGCCCATAGACCGGAAACAAAGCAGTCTTACCGAGTAAGCTCAATATCTGATACGATTCATTGGATGACTGGGTTGCATTGAAACAAGTCAAACCACAGCATCGGATTAAGGAGTATCAGACTGTTACTATTGAGCTAGACGTTTGATGTGACTCCACTAGGTTCTTAGCGCCTGGTAGCTTAACCGAGTGGGCCCTCCAGCTACGATAAAAAGAACCAGATCGCCTCCAAGTCAACTTGTTTCTCTCGTCGTGTCTCTTCCGTTGTATATACTTATACGTATATGCATGAATAAATACCTAGATAAATAATATCGCTGTTATTTATTGATAACCCTCGGACGAAATGGCCGACACCGTCGACCAGCCTTACCCTACCGAAAAGGGAACTCACGAGACCATCATCAACGAGTCCTGGACCCCTGACCAACTGCCCAAAGGATGGATGTACAAACGTCGCGGCAGAATACCATGGTACGCTTCGCCCGCCGTCCAGCTAGGTCTAGTCGCTTTTGTGTGTTTCTTGTGCCCGGGTATGTTTAATGCTCTGGGTGGTCTTGGTGGTGGTGGTAAGACCGATCCCGACCTGGCCGACAAGATGGTGAGTTCTCTTTCTTTTAAGAGTGAAGGACGATAGCTAATTTTTAGAACGTCGCACTCAACTCGACTTTCTCCGTAGTCGGTTTCCTGGCTGGTACTATTGTCAACCGTCTCGGTGTTCGTATTTCCATCGGCTTCGGTGGTCTCGGTTACTGCATCTACGCCGGGTCTCTTCTTGCTTCTGTCCACCACAATGTCCCCGGCTTCAACATCTTTGCCGGCGCCTTCCTCGGTGTTTGCGCCGGTGTCCTCTGGGCTGCCCAGGGTGTCATTATGGTGTCCTACCCCACCGAAGCTCAAAAGGGCCGTTACTGGGCTTGGTTCTGGGCGATCTTCAACATCGGTGGCTGTATCGGTAGTTTGATCCCCCTCGGCCAGAATATCCATGTCAAAACTGCCTCGACTGTCAGTGACGGCACCTACATTGGTTTCATCGTCTTGATGGTTGCTGGCGCTTGCTTGGCACTTTTCCTCGTCGATGCCGACAAAATCATTCGTTCCGACGGTACAAAGGTTATTCTCATGAAGAACCCAAGCTGGATGTCCGAAATCAAGGGCTTGTACGACTGCATCCTTGCTGAGCCGTATATTCTCCTCTTGTTTCCCATGATGTGGTCCTCCAACTGGTTCTATACCTACCAGGAAAACGCCATTAACGCTGCTTACTTTGACACCCGTACGCGCGCCTTGAACGGTTTCCTGTACTGGTTCGCTCAGATCTGTGCCGCCTCTGTTGTTGGTCCCTTGCTTGATAACAAGAAGATTCGACGTACCATCCGTGCCCGCGTCATGTTCGTGGTGCTTGTCGTCGTGACTGCTGCCATCTATGGTGGCGGCTGGGCCTGGCAGAAGAAATACACCCGTGCCGATGTGTCCAAGGACAGCGGATTTGTACCTTGGGATTGGACCACTCCTGGCTATGTCGGACCTATGTTCCTGTACTTCTTTTACGGATGCTACGATGCCATTTGGCAAGGTTGCATGTACTGGTATGTCCAGTTTCTTTTTCTCGTCTCTTTCTTCGAATCTAACCTGATGATATAGGATCATGGGTGCCCTCTCCAATTCCGGTCGTCGTACCGCCAACTACGTCGGATTCTACAAGGGTCTCCAATCCGCCGGTGCCGCCGTCATGTGGTCCCTGGACTGGCACCACCTCTCCTATGCCGGCGAATGGGCATCCAACATAGGCTTGTTGCTTGGTTCTCTTGTCGTCGCTGCACCACTGATTTTCATTCGTATCAAGGATCATGTCGAACTTGAGGCTGATTTGGCTGATGTTGATGAGACTTTAGAGGACGTTTTGCCTACTATCCCTATTGAGAAGGCTCCTGAGAAGGTTTAAGCTTTCCATTAACATTGTTCGGTTGGATAGATATCCGGTCTGACTACCATTTATCTCTTTCCTTTACATAGTTGGACTTGTGATGGATGGTTAATGAATCTATACCCTATATGCGACGAGTTGTCTAATATTCAATACGATGAACTGTTGGATCTGCATGTAATTATTAAAGCCTTTTTTGGTTAATCTACTTTCTACCTTTTGAACTGTTCCTTGTCAGGGACGTAGTACGTAATAGGAGTTCGGGTTAGGCTGTCCCAGGTACACCTTACCTAGTACCCAGATAATCGGAGTCATGGACTTTCCAAGGTTCATCCCACATTGGCTGTTACACAGGAGGGTAGCTATGTGCGTTGTTACTCCGATTCATGGAAGCCATCAATCCATTCAAGTCCAATGTCGCATGAACCCCTCGATATCGGCATCATTGAGGTCGCATGCGGTTCACTGCATGCGGGGATCTCTTCTTTTCGATGAAAAGTCAGTGACATATAATAGAGCACGAAGGTATCATTGTTTGGGCTGCAATTGAGTCCTGATTCGACTTCTTATTGCGATTAAGGTTGATAAGAGACCAATGTATATTCCGACATCAGCACTGAGTCTAGTAAACCCTAATTGCGATACCTAGAAACAGGAGTTTCATACCGTGGCATGTTGAACTGAAAGTGTAGTTGCTTTATAGTAAAGGTCGTAGTCTATTGTAAGGCCGTATCTACGTAATTTATACTATGGACAGTCCAATATACAGTCATCACAAGTATATACCGACAGAAGGCCCAGACAACTTCAGGTCGACAGAATGCTTCTGCACATTCTGTCCCAGAACAGTAATTTGACTAATCACCACATTGCCAGCATCATATCCGAACGTACCCGTCATCGAAAACAGGCCATCCAAGTACTCGAAGTTGATCACAGAGGTTTTTGGTTGGTCGATGCTGTCTCCGTCGTCCAGATACAAAGTGCCACATGCTTGTCCGAAAGCATTAGGGGCAATGACAATCTCAAAGTTTTGCTGACGCAACAAAGCCGTTGTGTTGGCAGAGGCAATTCTTTGAGGGACGATACTGCCACCCTTATAATACAAAGGAATAGTATCGAAGGCGATATCAGTCAAAGTGACGGCTGCTCCCTTTCCAGTCACGGGTTTCCCGGTATAGAAGTCATAAAACAAATCACGAGGGAAGTAGACAAAGACGGATGTCGAGTTTTCATCAGTAACAGGAGCCACGAGAATGCTGTCACCCCAGAAGAACTGATAAGGGAGCGTTGCCGTGTTCATATCGGTTGGGTATTCGAAGAACATAGGATTGATCATTGGCGAGCCAGTCTGAGTCTGTGTCCATAACGCAGTATAGGCATAATCCAGCAAACGGTAACGAATGTCAATGGCAGTACGAGCCGCCTTCGCAATAGCGTCAGTCCGATAGAGCTCATGTGGAGGCGAGGTATTGTCGGAGTGATCACGAAAGAATGGAGAGAATGCGCCGAGGAAAACCCAGCGAGAACATAATTCATCGGTAGTCGTTCCGTCAAAGCCGCAGATATCGCTTCCAACCATGGGGATCTGGTAGATAGCAGCAAACTCCTGAAGCTCTGCAATAGTCCAACGATAGTGATCCCAGTCGGCGTGGTTGTCACCAAGCCAATGGCCTACTTGACGACCAGCACCGGCAAAGGTGGAACGAGTAATCCTATAAAAAATCAGTATGTTATTAAAATAGACCGTTTTGGAGTCTTACACGAGAGGGCGGACACTGGGTCTACGATTAAGCATTGCATTGCGACTGGCGGCACTCATCATGGTACCATACATGTTGTGGGTATCATATTCAACGAGACCGTTTTCATGAACAAGGTCTGTTTGGATGGTTAAGTTGCTAATTGAGCCAGCGGTGTTGTTGATGGAATATTTGGGATTGATCAAATCCCGATCAGAAAGTCCGAGCATAGAACCATCTCGTTTCTGTAATGCCGCTGCTACTGGGGAGCGAACAACTGGGACAGGTGTGATTCCTCTCTTTCGATTTCCCGAGCTGGTGGTTATGGTGTCTGAGACAGACTGTAGTCCAGTGTGGCAGTCACCAGTGGTGATAGTGCGGTTGCTGCTTTCATAGATCCAGCTACCATCGCTCTCCTTGCGAACATATTCATATGAAAACGTGTTGTTGGCGGGCATCTGAACGGTAACCTGCCATTCCGGATAATTGTTGGCACTCATTGCGACAGCTCCAGAGACAAGCCCTGACCCGAGGGTAGGCGAGTCTCCGAGGACGTAGATATTTTCACCAAAGTATGTCTCCGCGTAGACGGTAAAGTTCACATTAGCAATACACTGGGGCTGGAAATCGGGCCCAAAGCCAGCAATAGGACGGGGAGACGAAATCCGCACTGCTGGAGGAGCTGGAGGATCTCCATTGGACACAGCAAACGCTGCGGGATCGGAGCAAGGGTAGGGACAGAAATTGGAGGCTTCGTTCATATCGATCCACAGAGCATCAATGTCCACACCGTCATCAGGACTGAAAAATGTCGCGAACTGGTTGTTCCAGTAAGACTGTGTGTTTGATGCGAACCAGTCAGGGAATGCAGCAGGTCCAGGCCAGACTACACCCTGATACACCGATCCATTAGAAACTGTCAGAAACGCACCGGCATCAACTCCATTATTAAATGCCACATAATCCTGATAAGCTACTGCAGGGTCGACCATCACGACGTAATGCTGGTCATGTTTATGGAGATAGGACACGACCTGACGGACAAGATCCACTGGATATCTCAATGGATCTAGTGTGAACACTTTTCGCAAGTCCATGTAATCTGAATGTATTGTTAGCAACCATGTAACGGAGAAAGAAACCACTCGTAATGACAAAACTCACCAATATCAGTCCATTGCGTCTCGAGTGGTATGTTAGCAGTACTGTAGTTAGCGATAACTTCTGCAACCTCAAAAGCATCCTGGTAGCCGTATCTACAGTTGTGGAAGCCGAATCCCCAGTACGGCATCATGACTGCCTTTCCGACGGTCTCGGAATATTGAACGGCAACATCTTTTGGACTTGGTCCAGCTAAGAAGTAAAAATCCAAAACGCCTCCAAGAGTGTTGTACTCCAAATATTGACCATTTTTGTCCTGATCGATTTTGATGTCCATTCCATTGCTGTTCAAAAGGAATACGCCGTGAGTACCCTTTGCTCCCCGATGGTCAAAGTATACAGGGTGATTCCCGTACAAATTGGAGTATTGCGGAGTCAAGTAAGCATCACGGGACCAAAGGGTGCGGGAGTAGTTGTTTGTTGGCAGTGGAAAAGGATCAGTGCTTTCACCCAGCCCATAAAGATAGGGTGATTCAGGAAGACTGGTGCGCAGTCCGAGATATTGAGACTCGAAGATCAATGGCTGACCGGCTGTATCGAAGAGAACTTCGCCATTGGATTTGCGGGTTATTTTGAATGAAAATGGACTGTTTACAATTGTGATCTTCAAGTCTGATTTCGCCGGATTGATGTTTGTGCTTTCTGGTCGTGGTAGAACGGAAGTGGGTACTTGGTAGACCTGTTCAGCTGCATCATAAATCTTGACGTGAAGGCGTGTCTCTAGAAGGGCTCAATTAGTAGAAGGTCAATCGAGCAGCTGGTTTCATCTTCTCATACCGGTTTCGTAGTCAACCTGTAGTACTAAATTGTTCAGATCCGTGCCATACACATTGCAAGGAGGTCCAGCAAGAGTGAGGTCGGCACTGACAATGCTCCCCTGCTTTGTTTTCACATTTGTTGCTTCGTAGCCAGGGCAAGTAGCTGCATCGCGAGTTGCCAGTACTGCAGCAGCACTGGCACTCGCAATGAGATATCCTGTGGCTACCAAGCCTTTCATGATGGACGTCGACCACATTGTCGTGGGTGAGACTGAGTGGCACCGACACAGAGCAATGGATTCCGACAAGCATCCCTTGCATTGGGCGGCCGGATCTAAAGCTCACCTTTATATATATAGCTCGGACAAAATTTTTCATCCTCTTTCCCCAGCTTCTGCCATGTTTTGCTCGTTTCATTCTCGACCGGCCTGTGCTACTGGCTGACTGACCGGTGAACGGCAAAAGAATGCGCCAGTCCGTCATCTCTAGGCCAGCTGTGGAGCTCTGGTTTTTTGACCTATGCAATTGGCAAGCACGATGTCACCCTAACAAGGCCAGGAGAATCCAGCGGCGAAGATGCACACCATAGAATGTCCGGGGACCAGACGGAGAGAAGCCGGAAATTTGACCTGATTGTGTAGAGTGGAAGATCAGACGAAGTTTTGAGGCTAGCAGAAGGTCCTTCCCGAAAGAGTCCACCCTCCCCGTGACCTGACTCGTTTTCTTTCCTTCTTTCCTCAACCTGCGAATAACTACATTATCTATTCTATCCTTTCATGTACTTTAATATTCTCGTCTCTCTGGCTAGAGCGCATACATTCCGAGAATACCGGCATGCTTTTGGCTCAGCCAGCGATGTCGGTTTCCTTGATTCTCACCTCTCTTATTAGATTTCATCATGCAGTCGGCCCTTAGTCGGAGCAACCAAGACCACAGCCAGGTTCAGAATCAAGTTCACTACCCCGCCTGAGCTGCGTTCTTTGTACACTGATTCAGACAGCCAATCGACGGAGAAGGCTGGGAAGTTGGCTACCTACTAGATGCGCCGAGAAGTTTTCCGCCGTGATCCGAAGCAATTGACAACCTCATCGTAAGAGAGCCAATTCCTTCATTTCCTCGTTTCTTTCCACGTCCATTCTCTACACTCGAAAGAATAACTTCTCGGTGACCCCGCAAATAATCCGGTGGCGCTGGTGGCGCCGGCATGCTCAAGCATTAGCGCCTGGAAGCTACCCCGCCTCACAGCAGATCACGCCCCCGAGCCCAAGCATTAAAAGGCTAGAAGTTAGTCTAACTAGAGTCTAACTAGAGCCCAGTATTTCCTTGTTGGCATGCAGGCTCTTTCGTCACAACTGCCGGTGGAAGGCTTTTTCCCAGGGCCCAAACCAAATTTGCCTAGGAATGAGCTTCGTATGGATCAAGAAGTTTTTTTTTTTTCCACAGAAGTCTCTGTTTCGGATTCCTTTTTCTCTACAAATTCTACGTCTCCATGCGGCCCCTCACGAACAGCTTCTACAATGCCGTCTCCATCTCCCGGAGGTGTCCAGTTCTTGACCAACTTGGGCCCGGCTTTCTCAAATACCATCCTCCACCGCCCGACCGTTCTCATCATACCAGAGTGTAGCACCATCATATGCCAGTCCACCAGAGCAGGATTGAGGTGACAATCCGTATCTTGCAACACACCCTCTCCCAGCAACCAACTCGAATAACTCGACTTCATCGCTTTGCCAATCTATGAGACGATTCACACAACATCGTTATTTGGCCAGTCATGCAGTACATGATGCATGAAATATATTTTTGCGCCTGAATGCAAGCAGATAAAGCATTAGCCACAGACGCCCTATCTGACCGACATTCAGCACAGGTATTGTTTCATACCCCGATATCGACGAGCAGGACATCTTCATCTTCTCCACTTGAGACATTAATGAGCTCTTCCTGCACTTGAAACCAGTGAACCCAGTGAGACCTACTTCCGCGGACGCCGGTTATAAAAGTATTTAAAAACTTTCGTTGTTACAGGGTCTTTGGCCCAGTAGTCGAATGCCGTGTCTTTTATGCCGTGGGGCACTGGAACGGCCCGTCTCGACATCGACGGGGGATGTGTAGTCACAATATGCAAAGTATCCCGGAAGCATAGACGGGAAACGTGAGATACCTGGATGTTTGATGAGCTGTGAATCCCTGGTAATGAAATTGTACATGCATGGCTATATAGATATTTAACGCCAGCCTGAATGGATCCTCTTTCTTTCAATGTTAGAGTGATGGCTGTTGGTTTGAAGGAAGTACTCTCAACCTGATCTAATCGTCATACATATTTGTGACGCATTTATCAAAACTGCTTCATGCGGTCTTTCCAGAGCCACAGCCAGTTTCCGAACTAGATGCGCGGCATCCGTGCGAAGTTCCTCATTCTCGTAGATCGAGCCGTTGGATTGTTGTTCAACGGCGGATAATTCCTTGATCAAGGAAGAGATTCTGCTTGAATGTGAAGATGCCATTTTGTCGATGTCTCAGTTTGATAGCCAACTTTACAGCAAATGAACTGAGATTTACTTGCCGCTAGCTGCTCTCTTCTTGGATGGGAAGAAGAAGAGATAAGTATCAGATTCTCGAAGATCGTTTTGAATTCGGTGCAATCATTCCTTTTATACTTATCTAGAAAATACAAGGCGGGTTGCACTACATCTACACAACGAATAGATGCATACTACAGCACACAGTTCTGTGGTCATTTTTCAATACGTAGCTGCATTTCGAACATGTACGACTCTAAGGTCATTCATGTGTTGTCACTCTGCTGTTGGTTCTCGTTTCTATAGCAATGACATCGGAAAATAACTACGCATAAAATTATACTTCTACATGAGTTAGGGCTTAGGGCTAGGGCTACGCGTCGGGTATAAAACCAATTTTGAATTAAACTTACTGTACTACTAGTAACCTAAATAAATCGCAATGGTGGACTTCAATAGTCGTATCGTCTCCTGCTTCTCCATTTTATTCTCGGATTTGGTTCAGGTGAACTTATGCCTTTGGTTTTCAACTGTTTGTCAACGTCGTCGGCCCATTTCACGCACCAAAATCCCATAAAAGATCGCGGATATCCATGGATGCCTCTCAGCCTTGGAACTCTAAAATCAAACTATAAATCTTTCTACTTTATTTATGTTTTCTTCATAAAAACGTAGGTATTAAACGGCTCTCAGATATTTCCCCCGCTGTATAGATATATTGCGGTCTAGACTCTATAGGTTACTTGTTCAACTTCCAATAATTGGCTTAGAGACCTCAGCCCTCGTACAATTGATGGCGATTTTCTTCTCTTAGGCATCTCAGGCACACAAAAGGTGGTCAGTTTCCAGCAACAGTCTTTACTAACCTTGCAAGGTGATTGGTTCGTTCGTACAATCTGAGCATGTCAGCCCTGAGAGGTAACTAGTTGGGGAGCCTGTGATTGGTCGCTTCGTATATTCTTGTTTACAGCGAGTATTTCAAAGGCTGGGGTGTCAACTATAAAGTGATGGAAATCTTCTCTGATGTTCATATACTAAATGCAATTGGGCCTTTTTATATATTCTGTCGTAATCAAGACAAATGACTGCTCCGAAGTACGAGATCCCCAAAGAGTTCAAGAATCAGCTTCGATTCGTCGAATCCGCTGATTCTCGATCTGATGATGAAATAGTTGCTTCTTTGCGCAAAGCCGCACCATTGAATTCATCCGAGAAGAATATATGGGCGTTCTGGGATTCTGGGCTTGACAGTATGCCTGCCTGGACCCGTCGCAATGTTATCAACTGGGCACGGCTTTGTGGCCCGTCATGGACAATTCGAATTCTTGATGCAGTTCCCAACTCACCAAACCATGCACTCAACTATGTACCGCCTGCAATGCTGCCCGAGGCGTTCGTGAAGGGTACCCTCAAGGGACCCTATACCGGACCCCATAGTGCGGACTTCCTACGTGGCGCATTGCCATATCTCTACGGCGGTGTCTTTATAGACGTTGGGATTATTCTGATACGCAGCCTGGACAAGATTTGCTGGGATATACTGTCCGATCCGTCAAAGCCGCAGCAAGTCAGTGTGCCATGGATGTATGGCACAGTAATGGCCAATCACTTTGTAGCGGCGCGCCAGCATGATCCATTTATCAAGAGATGGCATGATCTTTTCGTGTATTTGTGGAGTGGCAAGAACTCCCACGAAGGTCTATCAGCAAATCCTCTCGTGGCGTTTGCACAAAAACTGGATTTTTCTGCATCTCAACGTAGGGGGTTTGCATGGGACTTTCAGGTGGGTCCAGGTGTGGTGTTCGAGTATATTACGCAGGTGATTGCGTGGTTGAGATTGTGTATGTTAGAGGAAGCCGGTGACGGATTCAGTTGCGCCGATTATGCCCAGAATAACATCCTTTGGTTTGATTCAATGGAGGAAGACTGGGCAGCGGAGAAGGTAATTGGTTACCAAGGCGAACAGTTCTTCGAGGCTTTGACGACAAGACTTGATGATGATCCGGAATCAGAGCGCTACAAGAAAGCATACGAGCTCATTTGGAGGCTTTTGACTAAATCGAGCATGCAAAAGATTACGCATGGCAAAAATTTGACCAAGACCCCAGCTCTGGGTATATTGTTGGATAAACCCGAGAATGTGAACAAGGACATTGAAGAAGGAACTTTTGCGGATTTGCTGAGATATGGAAGCGTGCATTTCGAACAGACTCGCTCGCAGATCGCAGTCGTGAAGATTGAAAAGCCTGTGGAAACGATGAAGAAGGGAGTATTCGAGCCATAGTGTGTGATTTCGAAGAGAATCTTGGAGATACATAGCTACGTACCTAAAACAACGTAATACACATGCTCTTTCGTGGAGGCATATTCATTGCTACATAATTCATATCAATTTCCATGAAATAAGATTGGGTAAAGTTGGCTGACAGTTTGAATGAAAAACAAGCACGCGACACCATCATTATCACCACCTAAGGAGATCTCCATTTCCGATAGAATTGTTCCGTCTTATCACAAGCCATGTGTATCGGACAAAGATCGGAAGATATTCCCCAAGGATTTACAAATATCCACTATTCCTATTTCGATATCTCGAACTGTGTAGATATTGCATGCATCATGGGCGTTTGTAGTATCTACTCGTTGGTCATGTTATGACAATCGAACTTATCTTAGTAAAGTCAGCCGCTCCTGTAATATTTAATCGTACCTTACTTAATAAGAGGCAGCCTACTCTAAGAGCAAAGTCTCTCCGCAATTAATGAAAAACAATGAAAAATCGTGGTAAGATACGAAAATACGGCGCTAACTACATGATCTCTGTGCTATGACTTACGAATAGAAAGGCGAAATCACCGGGGTCATCCTGCGCAATTAGATACATCACTTGTCCATTTTCTGGGACATCAATATGAACTAAGAGATACGACTCTGATAGTCGACTAGAGCTTGGTCTCTCAGAATATCTTCACCTACGACAGATGAATCAAGTATAAATACCTCCCCATCTTTTCCGGTATTTGAACAGTATCCAACAATCCATACCATTCACTCCTCCTAATTTCTCCATTCTCAACCCCAAAAACTATCAAAAATGTTGTCTACCAAGGCTTTCCTCTTTGCTCCCTCGGCCTGTTTTCCCGCGTCCAAGCTTGTCTCGATGTGTCTGGATCAACACATAACGGTTTCGAGACCGCAATTGGAGTCAATGTCACAGATAACGCTGTTAATATTTGCCTATTTACTTATGAGGGCATAATTGATGACTGCACTGGTAGCTGCATCTCTGGGTACTTAGTCACGGCTCTCACTGGAAACGATTTTAACACTGGTGGGCCTCTTCTTCGTGAATTACAGCACCCCGCATGGTAGCTTTCGGCCAAGTCGCGAACATTGAGCACAATTGCTTGAACTGCTGCGGTGGTGACGCTCCTTGTGTTTGCTGTATGAACCTATATGATGGAAGCCTTTTCGGGTGCTAGAAATGAGTACATCATTATGTGTTTGCTCTGTTTTCGCCGTCTAATCCTTCTTCTTGCTTGAATCAGGGATGTGGAAATAAATCTACAAACCAGAAAGATGTTTGGACAGTATGACTACCGGCCTCAAGATCTGAACATGATATTGGAGGCAAGTTATGGGGGTATTTAGTAACTGGAAAGATGACTATCCTGAAATTTCTCTTCAGTCACTTGTCTCATACTAGGTCTGGCAGCACATAGTAGTTATTTAGAACTTTTATAAGGCGTTACTTGACTGTTTACCACTGTTCTCAATTAGTAGTGACTTCTCAAAAGGCAATTTTCAATCTTTCATAGAGCTGCTACGGTGTATGAGCGAGCTAGAGTCGACAATACACATCACTTGACGAGAACAGAGCAGTAAGCCTTTGCCTGACTAGTAAATATCTATATACATTTGAAATTCATTGATATGCACACACAAAAGAGTGGGAAGCTCCTTCCAATAACACTTTCCTGAGTAGTAGGAAAAAATTTAACTCTTAGATAGGTATGTATAACGTATTAACCATAACTTATGTTAACCTAACAATATCCAGACACGGAACGTTATACCGAGTATGTGAAAGAAGGCCAATCATACTCAGCCTAAGATGCCAGAAGCAGAAGGGTGAATATAATTTGTGTATCCCATGGGGACTTGTTTTTCTAGACATGCTCAAGTAGAATAGAGATGTGTTCGTTGCTATATAATTCAAATCAATCTAGACAAAACTAGATCAGGCAAAACTGGCTAATAATCTGAATGAAAAACAAATCCGCTTCAAAGAAGTACTCGAAATTAGTGGAAGAACATGCTGGATTTGGAATAATTACTTCTTCCTATCCGCCAATTCCAACAATTGAAGATTACCCTGCGATTCCAGCCGACGCTGGAATCGTCTCTTCGAGCGCACCAACGCGCCAGGCTCAAATCTCGCCATGGCGTTCTCCCATGCCACTTCCCCTGCAATTTTTGCACGTTCCCACATACGCGGCTGAAACTCCGCGATGGCAGCAGCAATGTCGTTGGGCTTGGAGATTATTGCATTAGCAAGATCCAGAGCATCAGTCATGGCCAGGTTCACTCCTTCGCCGGCAAATGGTGTCATGAGATGAGCGGCGTCTCCAATTAGAGCCATTTTTTTGTGTGCTGGCCATCTCAGTCCAACTGGAAGCATGTACAAGGACTGGAACGAGATATTGTCTTCGCATTCATCAAAGACTGCGCATAGTTTCGGGTCCCAGTGGGTATAATCCTTCTTGAGAGCAGCACGAATAGCATTATGATCGTTTACATCAATACCGGATTTTTGAATCCAGTCCTCCGGTCTTCGACCAAAGGCATATACTGAGATCATGTCGTTATCCATGCGTTGATAAGCCAATGCAAGACCATCATCCTCCCCAAGTGAATAATATGTTCCTTTCCCGACCAGCTCAGAAAGAGCGGCATGTTTGGTGCTCGCTTGAGTCAACATCATTCTAAAGGCGGAAATCCCGGTATAGTAAGGAGTCACGTAGCAGCATAACGGCCTGATCTTGGACCAGGCCCCATCAGCACCAACAATCAGATCCCACCCAACCTCTATATGATCTCTAAATTGGAGAGAGTCTTCAGTGGCTGCAACCAGATGATGGTTCCACTTAATCACACCTTTGGGGATTGAGTCAAGCAATATTTGACGAAGTTGACCACGATCAATCTCTGGACGACCAACGTCCTTGTCCTTAATTTCCATGACACGATTGCCGTATTTGTCACCTAAGGTAAAATCTTGGTCACCGTAACGCGCATATTTCTCGAACTGGGGAGTTAGACCGCATGCAGCTAATGCTTCCTGCCCAGTCCCAGGGTGTAGGTCGAGAGATCCACCCTGCGTGCGGGCTTCAGGGAATGCATCGTGCTCGAAGACGGTGGGACTGATGCCGTTGCGGATGAGGATAGATGCTAGTGTCAAACCTCCGGGACCGGCGCCAATGATGGCAATCTTGGGGGACATCTTGATCTATCTCGGGTTTGAAGAAGATATGTGAAGATATTGAAAGTATCGTGATAGTCTTTGTTATTCGGCTTGGATAACTGTATTATTGTGGAGGAGTGGTTGTATATATCATGGTTATATAGAATATTCGAGCAGACATGCTGTATTTATACTTCTCATAGACTCTTCTGATATATATCTCGGACTCGGGTCCGGCTTTAACAGGCAACATTGAACATGATAGACACACCGAGGCCGATGCCGAAGTTCGGTGATAAGATTGATTAGATTAGGGCTTCCGTGGAGCTTCCGTAGAGCTTCCGTAGAGCATGTTCCAAGGTTACTCTAGCATGACATCATAGGTACCTTCACGTGCGAATAATCTATCAATGTCAGCTCATCCAACTCAACAACATCTCCAGGCAATACACAGTTAAACCATCATTGTATTGACATTTGCGATCACATATGTCATCCAATTGGCTTCCCAGTCGCCAGATTAGACACACATCATGGAAGACCCAGGTATACTAACACCACAATGATTTCGCAGAACTCAACAACATACTAAGAACGTGATGTATCTCAATAGTTCGCGAGATCCGCACTGTCATCAAACTGCTTACGCAGTCTCCTCCAAAGTTACAAGCATCCACAATTGAAAAGTTCTTCACCCCCAATGCTTCATTCTCGCATCCATTTTGTCGGACTTGGTCCTTCAATGGGTCGAGATGGCTGATTCAGGCAATTTATCGATTCTACAAGATTATGTCACCTCGAATTGATCTTGAGGTTAGATCAGTTGGTGCGACAAGTTATCCTTGTATGTATGCTTAACTGAGTTTGAATGGGCTAACAATGTGGTCGATGATCAGCTTTCGACCAAGATAATCTCAAACTCTACGTCACCATCTCACAAATCTTCTCGATTTTCATCATCCCCTTCTACCTGGCCCCGGTCACCCTGACAACAGTTCTGACACTAACGACTGATCCGAACGAATATCGCGGCTATCTAGACTTTGAAAGGTCCGGACACGACGACCAGTCTAGTGAAGAAACAAGGGTTAACGGCGAAACAACCAAATACTGGATCTCATCGCAGGAAGACTTGTATCAGACCACGGAATTTGTTAAATTCTTCTTGCCCTTTGGTATCGGAGTATTTCTGGTCTTCGTCTGGCATGTGTTTGCTACCGCCGGCTGCGTTGTGGGGTCCTTCATTCTGTCGCCGGTTACTTGGGCTGAGGAGAAGTTTGCCTTGAAGAAAGAGGTGCGCGAAATTTCAGGGCATAATGTGACGGAGGTGACAGGCAACGTAGCTGAGCATTTTACGCATGAGGCTGAGGGCTTGATTAGTGGAGTTGTGGGATCTGTGCAAGACAGGCTCAAAGAAATTTGATGTTCTGAAGTCTGTTTGTTGTTCAACGGAATATTTACGAAGTCGCTTCGGATTTCCTTGGGCATTGTCTATGCTATTAATGCTCTATCTCAAATATTTACTCTGCACTAAAACCATCATTACCAATCATCTTATTAGTCGTGAAGATTACATATTTCCCAACATTGAAAGCAAACTTATTCAACTATCATTTCCGGTAGTAAAGTTCAAATCGAGGCCAAAGGGAAAATGGATTAAGCCAGAGCACCCATCGGGTCCCACAAAGGGAGGACCACAGGATCTTGCTTCAAGACATCTCGAGTCTCTTTGCTCACAAATCGTGGATCAACAACAACTTGATAGACAAATTCGTCCATCCATTTGTCCGTCATCACGAACCAGCCTTTGTCACCTGCACTCTCGCCCCACGAGTTCTGCACTCTCCATCGTACGGGTTTGCCATTCTCAATGTGAACGGCTGTCAAAACCATGGCGTGAGTCATTGCTGATTCCCCGGTCTTCAGGCGTTGTTCTTTCGTCAATCCCAACTTGATATTAAAGCCCAGGTCAAAATCGAATAATTCCGTATCCATAATACCAGATGCAGAATCGGAAAACTTTCCCACGTCACTGCCGAAGAAAACGGGTATTCCAGCTCGTAGCATGGAGATGGCAGCATCTTTGATCGTCTACTGCCATTAGTGTCTTCCTTAACCTGCTTCTCAAATTTGATGAAGACTTACCTTCATTTCGACATTCACATATCTGACGGGAACGCCTCCCACAACATTACCCAGTCTATCAACAGTCAAGAGGCGGTTATAGTCGTTTCTGGGATCGTTAACCAGACTAAAAAGCTCATTAACATCGGTTCCACCACATGCCCGCACTGTCTGTTTATCTGACAATGTCGACGCAAAATGGGTTGGTTTCGTCACGACTTTGGTGTACTTATTTTCCGCATCATAGAATGTCCAGGTGAACTCTTTGTCGGGACCCGGAGGTGGTCCCAGCATAATTGTTAGAATGCTATGGATTTCTTGTAGGAAATATTCTTTGTGGCCAGCAATTAAGTCGGTTTTGCCAGTGGCGACGAGCTTTCGAAGAACCAAAGCTTGCTCACGCAATTTTGTCGTGATAAGAGAACCCATCTTGCTGCTATTTTTGGCATTGTACGAGTCAGGATAAAGCATCTGAGGTACCAAGCCGTACTTATTGACCAGGTTGACTACAAAATCCCACTGGCCGCCATCGCCGACTGGGCTTGCAAAAAGAGCTTGCACCAAACGACCCTCAAGGTCTTCTCCTGCTGTTTGAATGGCATGCTCGAGGAACCAATTGGCTTTCTCAATCTTATCCCAGTAAAAGAGATAAGATTGACTGAGTTCGAACTCTTTGAGATTGTACTTTTTCATAATGGCAACTCGGAAGACATTGGTAGAAGCAAATAGCCAGCACCGACCGGATGATCGTTGGTTGGTGATTGGGGCGCCCTCGAAGGGGATCTTTATGTTGAAAATTTGGCTATCGGCGACGGCTGCATTGTTGTTGGTCAGGATAGCTGAAACGGGGTTTTGTGATAGAGCGGAAATGGCGAGGCGGTTCTATTCAGTTTAGCCCCAAAGGGGGTAATTAATTGTTGGTGTGAGGCTCACTCTTGCTGAAGACAGAAGCTTCTCTTCCCATCGTTTCGTTTGGTCTAGAGATATGGTGCTGACTCTGTCGCTCACCTCATATGGAGGAGGCACTACATCTCATCCACGTTAATAGTTTAATCGCATAGTGAGTGGATGGTCACGTACGGGCATCATCATCGACAAATACATATGCATTTTTGTCGAGACTACGGCGGCTCATGCTAGCAGCCGCCTCCTTTTCGTCCAGTTTCGAAGGTGATTGACCCATGGTTTTGTAGACGATATATGTTTGACAGTTTTAATAATAGTAAAGGTGTATGGAGGTAAGATGATGGAAAGAAGAGATGAGATTGAAAGTTGGAGAAGGAAGGACTCGGGGTCACGCGTTATCATCCGAAAGTGGCAGGTGCAACGTGCGGGGATTATCAGATAAGGGTGTTCCCGAGGACTTTGGCCAATAAGAGCCCTCTATCAGACCATCAGGGTTTCTCATTGGTTGTACGGCCCCACTTATCGCCATTTCGGCATCAAGGTACTCACACGCTAGCCGTATACGGATAGCTTGATCTAAGTAGACATCTTCAATTTGTCTTCAATTTCAATTTTATCTCCATCTACTACTACAGTGTAATAATCACTGCGGAAAGACTGAATATTGTTAAGCTAATATTTCCAGGAGACTATTTGACATATACAGTCCAATGTCCTGCTACTATTAAAATCATCCACGAGTCCCCCGATTAGATATCCCACCCCTATTCGAGGTCGAACCCTAAAATCATGTTTCTGATCCCAATATGTGTTCAAAGACGTTCTGATCGTGCAGCTCCACCACATCATATGAGTTGTCTGTGTCGGTGATTTATAGCACGACAGCCAAGTTTTGAGCGAAGGAGAAGGATATCACAGTATGATGCAGTCGGTGATATTTGCCACTGTGTTTGTCTTGGGAACAACCTTGACGAACTTTGCTTGAAGCCTAGCATCGAAAGTGCTCTGGGGACCCTCGGTGTCCATTTTGTCTCGTGAGGTTTGCGTTATTGGAGAATGGAAACGGGCGAGAAAGGTGTGCTTCGCGGTTGTTTCTGTTATACGTCGCGGTCAGCGGTCTTCAGTAGCTTGGACAGATTCGTTGACTTTGCTCACGTTCGAGATTTTGCTATTATGAAGGAATGTCTGGGGATGGATGTGTTAGTGTCTGAATCGCAGGAGAAAACATGTCTTTTATAGCGAAGTGCCATAAATATCTTGTTAGCTCCCATTGTTGCGCGCTCTCTCGAGTATCAAGAAGTTTCAGAATCTCTTTGACAGAAGCATTCTTTCAACTCCTACCGTCACAACAGAACAATGTGATCGGCCGCGATTTGTATTCAGACAAAGAGATTCGAAGTAGAGTAATAGGAAGAGACGAATGATAGCATCTATATTTGCTGTCCAAACCACACTGAATGATTTCATTTCAAGAGCTTTCGACATCTTTAATGGCTATTTTCGACGTAGGAGATTCTCTATCGTATTCCCAACACGAAAGCGATGGTATCTTGTGGCTCCCAAAAAGTGAACATGGTATGGTCGAATTCTATTTTCGTATTTTGTTTGTTTCAGAGGCGTCTACGCGAGTGCGCCTTCAGGATTCCGGCTTTCTGAAGACTCAAGGGTATGGTTGGTACGTCGCGTATAGCTACCCTTCGGGAAGAATGAATCACCTAGTTATACTGTAGTAATATCATGGACGAGTCGACTTGAGTATCATTCAGCTAAATGTTAGAGTAGCCGCAACTGGAGGGATATACATAATAATGTAATCGATATATATGATGGGTATTCTGAAGACTATGTAAAAGATCCTTGGCAGAAAATGTATCGACGAATGGAGAGGCTGTTCGTTCTACTGCAGTTATAAACGTACGGGACTGAGGTGTTTATGAACGTGAAATGAGAACACCAGGAATGAAAGAATGAAGAATATTTCAAAAACAGAAACCGTGACTATACCAATGCAAGGGGAACTTCACGTCGTATAAGTTTGTCTGTACGTGTCAAGGAATTTATCTTCGATCAAAAAACCAACTTCCTCGCTTTGCGGGTTCTTGTTGTGATGTTCCAGAGGAGCCGTTGACATCGATACCACCTCCACCTCGGAGCGGTTTGGCGATGCGTGAACCGCCGAAGCTGAGACCTGATGCTCCTTCCATTGAAGTCACCAATCCGCGCGTTGAGCCTTGCTTGGCTGCTTCTAGTCTCTCTTTGACTGCGGTTAACTGTGCCTCGAATCTATAATAATTGTTAGGCGCTTGAACTTCCAGGGTATGATCAATATATACATACCTATGGTTAGCTGCAGTAAGCTTCTCCTGACTATCTTGCAGCAGATTCTCGAGACTAGCAATACGCTCGTTACGCGCAATAAGCTTGCGTTCGGCAATGGCGACCTCCTTCTTCAAACTACTGTTCTGTTCGACCAATTGACGCTGCACATGAGTAAGTTGCTCAAGGTTTCGTTCCAGGAAAGCCATTTTCTTCTGTTGGGCACGATTATTCGAGGAACGGAGGACATTATTATACTGCTCTCGAGTCTCATCAAGAGAGATCTCCAGCTCGACAACTCGCTCACATCTATTCTGAAGATCGCGCATGAGAGACTTTTTCATATTGTCGAAATCCGCAATCTGCTGCTGCAATGTCTTGTTGGTGACTGCGACAGTACCACTGGCATTGCCGTTTGTTGCCGCCTTGACTTCGGAGTCCGCAAGGTTTTGACGTAACCGAAGTAGTTCTTCATCCTTGCGAGCTAACTCGATCTTGAGCTCAGCAACAGCCTTGGCCTCAGCGTCCCGTCGTCCGATATACAGCTTCTCCAACCTCTCCCGAATCTCAGTGACATCATCCTCGCCCAAATTCCGCTTCAGGACTTCCTCGTACTCGGCCTCCAGCTCAGCAACCCTCTTTTCCAACTCTAATCTCTTGCTGTCCTGCAGCTCATGTATTTCACTTCGGTCATTCATCGAAAGCTCAGCTTGTCGTACGAATCCTTGTGTTTCTAATAAGCTAGCCCGCAGCTCCAGGAGATCATCGGGCGCGATTGCCTCACCAGCGGCACTAACTTTGTGAAGCGAGTCGACCTTTTCTATTAGCATCTTCAACCTCTGTTCGTTGTCCGAAAACACATTCACGCTCAAATCGAACCCTGCCATCATCTTTGCCATACGTTCAGCCTTCTTCTTATCTTTCTCGTCGAGAGCTGCGCTAGTTTCTTTTGCACGCATGCGTGCATCAAGAAGCTGTTGTTTGACTTCGTCCAGCTCAGCAGTCAATTCAGCGTTCGCTTCCTTCAAGCTATCCATAGTGATACCAGCTTCTTTGCTTTCATAAGAAACCTTCTCCAACTGCATCTTCAATTCGTTCATTTCGGTGTTGAGTTTCTCATTGTCTTTCCCAGTTCGAGTGGATGACTCCTTGATATTCTTCAATTCTTCCTTGGCTTCTTGAAGACTTCGCTCCACGGTGGAAATATAAGACTCCTTCTCAGCGATTTGGTCTTGCAGTTCGTTCTCGCGGCGTAAGAACTCTTCCCGCTCATCCTTTTCTAGAACAATGCTTGGTGTGCTAGAGCGATCTCCTAACCGCGAATCAGGTCGACTAGGTGTCTCGGCGCGCACAATTTCCGTCTGCAGGCGCGAAGGGGTGGCAGGACGGGGCTTAGGGGCTATGGTCTCTGAAATTGCTGGGGTCCAACGTTCCCTAGGAACTGATTCACCAGCACGCCATAACTGCAGTTCGCCTTCCAAATTTGAAATATATGTTTCGAAGTTTGTAACCTGGCCTTGCGCTTTCCGTAGCAATTGCTTCAACTCTGCAGGACTTAGCTCCGCGTTGATCTTTGCCTTGTTTTTAATAGCCTTAGCACGAACACCAAATCTCAACGTTGATATCGTTTCGGCATCATTGTAGCTACTTGGCGAACAGTTGATAATGAGTGTTGTCCGGGAGTTACCTCCCAACGATTCCTGCAAGATACGGGTAAGCTTCGAGTCACGGTACGGAATATGCGTTGATTTTCCGTCAGTAAGCGCGTTGATAACCATTCCGAGTGCACTTAAACTTTTGTTGATCTTTTTGGCTTCTTCCAACGTCTGTCCACTCGCGCCAGTCTTGCCAACTTTTTCACTACCTGCCAAATCCACCAAAAACAGCTGACCGCTCTTAGCTGATCCGGTTTCGACATTCTTTTGCGTGACAGTTATAACGAAAATCGAATGGGAGCGGGACGACTCCTGGTTCATGTTGGTTGCCGAAACAGCTCGGGCTGCTCCGCCACGGCGCATGACCTCGTAAACTTCGTCGACACTGGAAACATATATCTCTAGCAGACCCTTGACATATACACCTCGAGACTTTTCCTCGTGGACCGGCAGGTTGTCATGTTGCGGGACCAAAAGATCTCGGATGCGTTCCATATAAATCTCCATATAACTAACTCGGACGGTATATTCAATATTGCTGGGGCTCGTGAGAATTGAAGCAAACATTTGCTCGACAATTCGTGGAATAATACCCTTGCCCATATCATCGTCAATATCCGTTCCCATCATGGTATACGATTTACCAGCACCGGTCTGGCCGTAAGCGAAGACCGTTCCATTGTAACCATTGAGGATATCGTCGACTGTTGATCGAATCGAGAAGTCGAAGATGTCCGTCTGCTTAGAGTCCATGCCAAACACGCGATCGAAGGTGAACGTGCCGGTTCCCTCCCTAGACTAGACGGTGGTTAGGCCGAGAGTTGTATGATGATTGTGCATCGCTTACATTAATCTTGCAGGTGTCATTTGCCTCAAATTCAACGATCGGTTCTCCTCCCGATGCAAGTTCGATCTTATTTTGCGGTCGAAACCTCGCGACGACTGTGGCCAGTCTCGTCAATAAAAGCTCTTTTTACTTCCTTCGGTGAATACGTACCCTTGATCGTATTGGAACTGGATGAACTGCATAGGCGGGAATTAGCCAAACAATTGGCAAAAAGGCTCAACAGCCAATATCGAGACTCTTGATGTAGAAAAAGAGCTGACTTACGCCATCTTGAAACTTGAGTGAGCAACCGCTCAAATCTCGGAAAACCCAACAAATAAGAAACGCAACCCCGGCCGGGGGGTGAAGCCTGAGGAAGGACGACTGGACCAAATGAAAATTCCAAAATAACAGATATCCAACACCTATGAATATCAAGTCGAACGATTATCGCGGCAGAACCGCCTAGTTGTAGAAGTAGTCGAAGAAGCGAATTCGGAAAACGAAATTGATACGGGTATCAGCCGTCAGGGGTTCACGTGCGCAAAAGACGAAACACACGAACGGGAGCTAGATGGAAACAATGAAATTGCTTGTCCTGGTCTATACCAGGACACAGGTTGTATGCTGAGATTGATGGGGAAGGGGACAAGCGACAGACGTCACGAAGAATCTGGTGGATTAGCAGCAGTGCACCGTTGGGCCTAAGAGTAAACAAGTTGGTTGTTGATGCCGATTGACCTGTGGAGTCAACACCCTGTTTAGGCTTAGCGCGAATGTCGTCCCGCATCAGGATCGTGGTGGCATGTCCGCGGTCTGTTATGGGATGATCTGGAGATGCTATTGATATTATGCTATGAATTGAAGAGGAATTATAAGGCTATGTCAATAATAAGACTGAGTCAAAATATCTTCATTAACGTAAGCAAACTCAAACAAAACAGATGCAAATGTCAGGCAGTTAACCACATGAATATCAATCGAATGAAAGATTACAAGAAGCTCATGGTCGAATAGGATAAACAGACTAAGAGACAAGGAAAACATGTTATGTAAACAAGCCGCGGTGAATCACGCCATAAACTCCGCGCTGTGCAAGGCCGAATGGTAACTGAAGCTGTTCAGGTTGGGAAATATTTATTCAGGAGGTCGAAAGAGCACACAGCGTAATAGAAAGCATGTAGCCAGAAACAGGCTGTCGGGTAGCGAGGTGTTCTCCTAATTTAGTCTTCCCAGCTCTTCTCCACGGTTTCACGGACTCGCTTGACATATTCACGGCGGTTGTCCTTATACAAATTCGAAGCCTCGACATTGGCGGGGGAAGAGGTATTAGGGTCGTTGAGTAGACTAGCCAACAGAGAGCGTTAGACATATCTTCTATGCGACCAAGAGAATCGTCTTGGTCAACTCACCTCTGGATACTGGTCAAGATCGCGGCCACGTCATACGTGGGGCTCCAACGGTTCTGTAAAATATCCAGACACAGTTCACCAGTGCCATAGACGTTCGGATGGAACATCTGACTGATGAACTTGACGCCGGGTGGTTTGTTTGGGTATTGTTCTTCAAAGTGCATGACTAGACGAAAGGTTCCATCTTCGAAGGGGGTGTCGGCAGGTCCGATAATAACAGCATTCCTATACGCAACATCGTTAACATATACTCGGTGTGATAACGGATGTCGTCTCAGAGTTGATCATACCAAGTCATGACATTGTCGGCGACGGGAGATGCAGAAACACCAGCTGGGGGATCTGTTTGCATACGCTGCATGTTGTTAGCCTACTGCTGAAAATAGCAAGAGATTAAGATAAGAAGTGGTAAAGCCGTTAACGACAACCATGCAGTGAGAGGAGAGACGAACCTTGAAGTCACGCATCAAGCGACGGCGAGCAGATGTCGACATTGCGGAGGGTTCGAGATGAGCAAGATGGAGCGGCAAGTGCTTCGAATATTCGAAAGAACGGTAGCAGAAAGCAGAACACGGATGGTATACTTCGAAAGCTTGGTCGAAGACGTTTGCAGGAGAACGAGGTGGCAGGGTTGATAATGGCTTCCAAGGTGATGGATACAGCGGAGGCGTCCTGTCAATCAGTATGACTGAGCGGATGCTCTCAGGCACCAAGGCATCGATCGCATCACTTCCATGCGATTCTCAGCCAATCAGCGATCACTTGAAGCTGTAGGCACGTGAGCAGGTTTCTCCGATTGGTGGATTACTGACACTCTGCTCTACTAATTGTCTGACACTCGATCCATCGGAGGATTATTGAGCTTATACAAAAATCTAACAGTAAATGACATACTGCGTCTGCAGCAAATATTGATGCGATGTACTCCGTACTTATCCGCTTATTCCATGGACAGAATGGCACACGGCCGGCAGAGGGGAAGCGGCGATAAGACTTATCTCGCATGTGACGTTGAGCCATTCATTACTTTGTACAATCTGCGTCTTCTATGAACAGAAAATATATATGCAGATGAGTGATCTCAAAATCAAAAGACTAGATTTCTCCATGGAATATTCCATCGATATAAGAGGCGGTTTGCGAGTAGAAGGCCGATTTAGCGGAAAGCCTCGGTTATTTCGGCCATCGGCGGCGGAATACAGGGCGGAACAATTCCCTACATAACATACTTCTCTGGACAACTTCCTTACTGTCTACATACTACTGCTACCATTCTAATTCTTCTCTGCTTGGGTCTGACTATTTGAATATTTCCGTGATACAGTAGTCACTCTTCCGTTCTTGTTAGTCTTCAGATACCCATCATCATGCAAGCATCAAGAGCAGCCAGCCGCCTTGCGCTTCATGCGGCCCATTTACCAAAGCGATCGTTTAGTACTTCACGGGCAGTGGCAAAGGATATTCAAGATGCCTATATTTTGAGCGCAGCGCGGACGCCGGTTGCAAAGGTAACTACTCAATCCAACCAAATGTCATATTTTCGACTAAGTATACTGATCGTATTCTAGTTCAACGGCTCGCTTGCCTCTCTATCCGCACCCCAACTCGGCGCCGTCGCTATCAAATCCGCAATCGAAAAGTCGAATATTCCCGTCGAAAAGATCACAGATGTTTACATGGGCCAGGTACTACAGGGGAATTCCGGTCAAGCACCTGCGCGCCAGGCAGCAATTCTCGCTGGGTTGTCAAACACGGTTGAGGCTATCACTGTAAACAAAGTCTGCTCTTCCGGTTTGAAGGCAGTCGTATTTGCCGCTCAGAATATACAACTGGGACTCGCCGAGGCGCAGGTTGCTGGAGGAATGGAGAGTATGACTCAGGTTCCATACTATTTGCCACGATCCAGTCAATTACCGGCGTTTGGAAATTTGAAGGTTGAAGACGGTTTGATCAAGGACGGCTTATGGGATGTTTACAACCAGTTCCATATGGGTGTATGTGCTGAGAAGACTGCTTCTAAGTACAACATCACTCGCGAACAACAGGACGATTATGCCATTCAATCGTATCAGCGTGCCCAAGCAGCATGGAAGGAAAACAAATTTGCCGACGAGATTGCCCCAGTCACCGTCAAGAGCAAGAAGGGCGAAACGGTCATTTCCAAGGATGAGGGATTCGAAAGCTTGCAGATAGAGAAGTTGAAGGGTCTCAAGCCGGCCTTCATCCGCGATGGAACCGGAACAGTCACTGCCGGAAATGCTTCTACCCTGAACGACGGTGCGTCAGCTTTGGTGCTCACGAACAAGGAACTTGCCCAGCAATATGGATCTGGAAGCCGAGTGCTTGCACGCATTGTCGCATCTGCGGACGCCGCTCACGACCCTGCTGATTTCCCTACCGCCCCGGCCAAGGCCGTGCCAATTGCACTTGAAAGAGCCGGCATCACCAAGGACCAGGTTGCTGTTTGGGAGTTCAATGAAGCCTTTGCAGCCGTCATCAAGGCTAACGAACAGGTATGTTTGATCCATTATTCTCTGATCACAAGTTCCAGGCTAATCAGAAACAGATTCTCGGTCTTCAAAATGCCCGCGTCAACCCTCTCGGCGGAGCTATTTCATTGGGCCATCCTCTTGGCAGCTCAGGATCTCGGATCCTGACCACTTTGCTTCATCAGCTACAACCGGGCGAGTATGGCGTGGCTGCCATTTGTAATGGTGGCGGAGGCGCAACAGCTGTGGTGGTTCAGAGACTGGACCAGGTTGAATAGTGTCGTAAAAGCTGTATATTTCTCTTCTCTCATAGCCATTTTTCATGTCATGAAATGTATAACGGTTTATCAGTATCATGTTTCCTGCTGTTGCCAAGTAGTATGAATGTCTCAATGTGACCAACGAAGAGGCTCTGTATTTCAAGGATTCCTGAGATAGCTCTATGTAAGAAAGCCTCCGTTCTGAAACTATGTCACTCCAAGTAGTCGTCCTGCAATAGGATCCCACTCCTGATCCCATCTTCGTAGGCTCTCTTTTTGAGCACCATTTCTCAGATTTTCCAGCTTCGATAGATTCCCGAACAAGTCTGTCAAATGACTCGCTAGTTCTTCTGAGCTGCCAAAACCTCGTCCGTTGACGCCTTCCGTAACTAACTCCGGCCAAGCTTCGAATCGATTCCATCCGACAACCGGCAAACCAGCACCAAACATATCAACCACCTTCATAGGTAGATCAACACCACTGCTGCTGGTATGTAAGCTGACACCCAATGATGCGCTACCCAGAAGTTTTGCGTAGTCAAGTGTGCTGAGCCAAGCAGTTCTGATGTCCACTTTTTCAAGCTTGCCAGCTTGGGCACGAGCAGAGATCTCATTGAGATACATCTCTTTCTGGGGGCCTTTGCCCGTGATAATTGCCAAAATGCTCGGCAATGCAGTGTTTTCAGTTGTCGCGATCTCAGAGTAACGACAGAGGGCGTCTATCAATACCGAAAAGTCCTCATCGGGAGTCCAAGATGTCGAACTAACAAGAACGCGCACATCTCCAGTTGCCAACTCAGCTTCAGTTGCTGCCACCTCTTTCAAAGAAGCTAGAAACTGTGTTCTTTCCTCCTCGTCTAGGATAGGCTTGAAGTGACTAGCTGGTCGGTCGTGTAGTGTCAAGATCGGAGCTTTTGTGATTTGAAAGTCATCTTTCAAGATACGAGTCATGGCATTCGTGACACAGAAATGTGCAGTTGCCCATCCACAGAAGAACTTCTCGTACCATTTTGAGATCACAACTAACGGATGTCGATTGCCCAACTTCAGCGAGAGAATCGAATAACCAAAGTTGTGCCAATCAATGATGAGTCTTGTCTGTCGGAGAAAGCAAACGACGGAAGCAATGGCGAGAGTCGGTATAGAAGGAGGATTCTGAACGAGTAAGTATTTTGCGGGTTTTGTACGGTATGCGAGACATATCCACAATGAAAGGATTTGAAAGAGGACTTTAAGAGGCCCAAAGACGAGAAATACTATCTTATTGTTGGTTTGGAGGATGGCCGGATGCGGCGGCAGAGGAACGACTGTAATGTTTGAGTGGGATGTGATTTCAGGATGAGGATCGGATTCTAGAACCTATATCAGCACATGTTTTGAAAGCAGAACATACAAGTTTTTCTCCTGTTCACCTTGATATCCAATAATGTCCACCTGTCCTCCATGGCGAGCAATGCTTAATGCATGGTATTGCATGCGCGGACTGCGCCCAATATCTCCCAAGACCAAGATCTGAACTGTAACCTTCTCTTTGCCATTGCCGCCTGTTTCTTGTCGTACACGCCGCGGAATATATTGTGATGGTAAGGCGATAATGAGGAGTGTCAAACAGCTAGACACCCAGAAGGCGATGCTAATGGCCGTCTCGATCATGACTGCGATCTGCGCGCCCGTGGTTGAGTATTGTTGCAAGCGATGGAGTTGCTTTAAATACGATTCCTACTTAGATGGCGCAGCCAATCACAGGTATTTACCAGGGTTACACTCTGGACCAATCAGAGAACTCCACGCCAAGAGATCCGACAACCATCTTGGCGATCTGTGCTCTTACACTCCCCTGGCTGCTCAAACTACTTTGCAGTACATACTAGTAGCCGGTTGGCCCGGTCTAGTCAGGATGACTCGCGATAAATTACGATATAAAAGGATCGTCCTCGTCTTATGTATACTAATGCGTTGAGAGTAAAGGGGCTAGGGTTAGGGCATTTGCGCATCAATCCACGTGACCTTCAATGCCAAGATATGAAACAAACTCTCTGATTGGCTGCGGCAGATCTTCTAAGGTTCCCATCGACGGACCTTTTTTCGATCTCTTTGGCGCTACTCTCCAGGGGTTGATTTCACGAAAACTGCCAATTCGCATTTTCATATATGAATTCAGCCGGGTGACATGATTCAGTAGTTCAAACGCTTCCTGTTCCCTCAGTCTCTCACTGCCCAGCTTCTTCGCCGCCGTGTCCGAGCCACAGACTAACTACCGGGCCCCCGCTTCGGACGATCCGTCTACGAGCGAACCGATGTCTTGACTGAGATAGGATTGTGTGCGCACAAGCTCGTCCGTGATATTTTGTACTCACACGGCTGATTTGCGAAACGATGTCGATATCCGGACCTTCACACATGCCTACGGGCTCCTTCGGGCATAGCCGACGACCTCCGCGTGGACATATGCGATCTGGCAACTGGCCGCAATTGCCTTCTTCGGCGATGGCCCCGACTATTGAGAATGAAGAGCAGGAGTCATCTGAACCTGTCGAACACGTTGCCAATGGCCATGATCATCACCATCACGACACAGAGCATTCATATTCGCATGGTCGTACTCCTAGCCTGATCTCGAATCATAACCATTCCCATTCCCACAACCACAGTTGTGGTCATGGGCTTTCATACTCAGTGACCGGCGCCAATGTAGAGGACTCAGAGGAATCTCAAATGTCAGGAACAAAAAGTTCCGATGCTTACACAACGCCATCTCAAGGATCCGACAACACACCCATAAGGTTAGTTACACATCAGTGTTGTAACAAGTAACATGCTACTGACACTGTCCACAGCTATGAGATTACAACCGGTATTCTAACTGGTATTCCTTGGTCGCTTTTATCGTGGTATATGAGACAGTACACAGCGCCGACTTCCCATAAAGTCTGGCGAATGCTAAAGACCGCAGCAGCAAAGCAAAAGTTCCTCAAGACCTATTCTCCAGAGACTGCAGTTGATACAGTATGGTGGAGAGCCTTGGTTTTGGTCTCTGTCATCATGCTTACGACTGCTGGTATTGCATTGTTCCGGCGACAACGCGCTAGTCAAAGTCTTCAGAACGCGCCCGGTTTACAGCTCAGCGCTAGTTCTGCACAAAAGGCTTTCTTACGCACCCTATCTCTATTACTGCCAATATACGCCGGCATGGTTATCGGTGGCACTATGGTGGCGCTCGCATTGAGTTTGACCTATGCAGCAGGCATTCCCACTGTGTTTCAAATCGAATGGAAAAGTGGCAAGCTGCGCGAGAGGCTGGGGAATAAGAAGGCGTCCTTATTTGTTTTATCTTTATTTCTTGTTTTGAATGTTCTTGGTTATGACTTTCCCATTGATACCCAACCGTTTCGTGGATATATTGCACTAATTGTCTCGATTTTCGTTCTTCGTCCCCCTTTTGCGACACCAAGAGACTCCATTCCGGCAGTACAGAAAATTGACGCCAATTCAGTCTCGCAACTTGTTGATGGTTTTATGGTTCTTGTTAGTCAACAAGCGTCTGCCCTATCAAATGGACCATTGATATCATCTTCTGAAGACATCCACCTAACTTTAGCCTCTGGCGGAGTGGTTGGCTTGTTTTGTATGTTGGTGTCTCCGTTTCGTGCTGCCAAAATACCGTTTGGCATATCAGATTTAATCAACACGCTCTTCATCGCCCTCGCCTTTGCGATTTCCATGATATTTTCTTCCCCGGCTGGACTCCGATCGCGGCGAAAGATAGGTTTTGTCACAACGGCATTGGTTGTCGTCTTTACAAGTGCGGTACCTCATGAAGAGAGCAGTCGTATTGCACATTTCTCGTGGTCGATTCTTGCTGCTCTGTGTTATTTCGCAGCCGTTTTCGATGATCCGAAACCTGGCGAAATAACACCGGCCAAAAGTGAGTTATCAACTGTGACGAAATTTCTTCTGAAGCAGGGGGAGTCGTGGCCAATTCTACACAGCATTCTATCAAAGGAAGACTCTCGAAAAATCTTCTACTTCATGTGGTAAGCTTTTTATTACTCGTGCCTTATGATCATACCAACTAATCCCCGATAGTCTAAACTTTGGTTTTATGCTTATTCAATTGACCTACGGATTCGTCACTGGATCACTCGGTCTTCTCAGTGACAGTATTCACATGTTCTTCGACTGCCTCGCCCTCGTGGTTGGGTTATCGGCTTCGGTAATGAGTCGATGGCATCCGAGCGTCCGCTTCCCATATGGCTATGGCAAAGTCGACACTCTGTCCGGGTTCGCCAATGGAGTGTTTCTCATGATCATCAGTGTGGAGATCATATACGAGGCAGTAGAGCGACTAACCTCAGGAAGTGAAATGCGAAGAATTGAGGAACTGCTTGTTGTCAGTATTGCTGGTCTTGCTGTCAATCTTGTGGGTATTATGGCTTTTGACCATGGCCACGCGCACGGCCACGATCATGGTCATGGTCATGGTCACGACCATTCCCATGGAAATGAGAATATGCACGGAATCTTCTTACATATTATGGCTGATACACTCGGTTCTGTCGCGGTGGTCATTTCTACTATTTTAGTACACTTTTACGGCTGGTCTGGTTTCGATCCTCTTGCATCTTGCTTTATCGCAATACTTATCTTTGCGTCGGCTGTTCCTCTTGTGTCGAGCACAGCGTCGTCATTGCTGCTTGCTATGCCAGCCGATGTGGAGTATAACCTGAGAGATACACTCGCAGGAGTGAGTACGCTAAGAGGCGTGGTAGGGTATACGGTCCCTAAGTTTTGGTTGGATGATACCTCTGCGTCGTCTGGACACGACCACGACCATGGACATGATCACGGACACGGACATAGTCATGATCATAGTCACAGTCATGGTCACTCACATAATCATAATCAGCACGACCACCACGATCATGACCACACCCACGAGCATGATCATGACCACACCCACGAGCATGATCATGACCACGATCATAGCCATCACCACAAACATTCCTCCGAACCCAAAATTCTAGGCATGATCCACATAATCGCATCCCGCAACGCTGACCTCGAAGACGTTCGGAGACGAACCGTCGAGTTTCTAAGCGAGAAGAACATGGATATAGTCGTTCAGGTCGAAAGAGAAGGTGAAGGGAAATGTTGGTGTGTTAGCAATGGGAGTACGATAGGAAGTCGGTCGTCTTATATTAAATAATCTTGTAGTATAGTATGTAGTATACGAGTGGAAAGAGATGAGCGCACATACTCCAATAGAGAGAGTTATTCCTTGCTTTCAAGGTTTCTGGATGCATGGTAGATATCAATAGATATACAGATCAAATCGATGCAACCACCACCAACTGAGTCTACAAAAGTATCCTGTCTATTCATCCTGATATTTCCCCCCACAATACGCGCAAGTATCATATCGATCATAAAGCAAATCATAAACTTCCTTGCCATTCCTGGCCTGGGCAGTTTGCTGCTGACCTTCCAAAGTATAATCAATGCCTTGATCTCGAGAAAGAAAATTCATATCGCATCTAGAACAGAACATGGAAATGTATGGTTCTTGAATTGCGAGGAATGTCAGGGTACATCGATCTTTTCCATCACATCACAGATTAGTGTCATATAAATATGTTTTTGGGAAGGGAGGACAGAACGAACTCCAAGTATGACCATTTGCGCAAATGGTTGTGTTTTGATCACGCCAGCTCAAGCCTACATTTCCCTTTCCACGGCGGAAACAAGTGTTGCATTTTTCGTAAATCCAACCTGCTGGTCTTTCAAGCATGGATGCTGATTTTGGTGTGGCGTCAAGTACAGCGTCAGTGCTCGGTTTATTGAAGTCACAGAATGCTATTTCCTCGTCTATTGGAAGCTCAAGAACGATTGAGAGATGTGTTAGTGCTCGATGGGCTAGGTTTAGCAAGTCGTCGTTTTTGTCTGTTTCCTGTTGTCTGCCATAGTTAACGTTTATCGCGCATACGCATGCTGAGTAAATCAACCTGGCTGACCGCAGATCATTCTTGCGAAGTTTGTCGGATGAAGAAAGGATATAATGCAAAATATCATCACGTCTCATGGCCATTAGTTCATCAGATAAATTGACAGGTTTAGGAAACACCGCACCAGGCTCCGGCGGCGTGAACAAAATAATTGTACTCTCCTCGGCCCGAATCGTGTATTCGAGCACGTCTCCTGGATGCATCGTGAATGCTACAGCTGTCCAGCCGTCAGATGTAGCGAGCCCCCATATTCGTACGACGCTCATGTCGCCTAGTTCATATTGAATGTCGTATCGTTGCCTATATCGCTCTATTTGATCCTCCCATGGCGGTTGGATTCTGGAGATACTTTCTTCTAGTGGTGTCCCGATCGTAGAGAGAAGGATTGCTTCGCAGAAAGGACCAAGTGTTGTGAGGTATATTGTGCGAGTGTCATGGGAGGTTGTGGATGATGTCGGTGATACAATTCCTGGTATGTCAGTCATGATATGATGAAAGCATAATTAGGTAGAAGCATACCTGATATTGGCTCGTTATGTTGATAATATATAGTACCCATGCTATTATATCCTTTGTCATGAAATGATCGTTGGCGGAAAAATATGTTGCCTTCATCAATTGCAGGGTGCATGATTGACTTCATATACGTGTCTTGATCGAAGCGAAGTGTGACTCGCCCACCAAGGTAGCCTGCTACAAGTAAAAGTCTCGACTCGTCCTATTCTCGTCAGTATTGTACCATGATAGAGATAGCAGCTTTACATACGATAGGTATCCACTGCAGTGGTCCAGTAAAGTTTATAGATTCCAACTCATTAGAGGCCAAGACATTTAGATTCAGTGTCAGATGCTCTTCAAGTGAGACCGCAGATTCGTCTTCAGAACTCAACCCGGCATGTACATTGATCAAATGTAGATTACCTCCTAGTAGTATCGCGATCATAGCTCTGGACTTCGCACTGGAGTTCTCCGAGTCGTTATCCTCACCAACAGCCCTACTCCAAGGACCACACGAGACATTCATTATCCTAGCTTTGGAGTTCAATGCTTCAGCGAACAATGATCCCTTAAGAACCATGCTATATTTCCTATCCAGATGTCCCATTGAGACATGATCTATAACGTTGATAGAGTATTGAGTCTTAGAAGCTTTTGATGGGGGATTTCGTTTCACGCGGACTAAAATAACTTCGTTGCTATCCGTGGCGATGGTAAGTAATTGTTCACCCCATCGTACGGCTGCGCGGTCATCCCCGGCACATTGGGCATCACTCTTCAAGGGAGGACACCAAGCAAAAGACCGGATTCGAGACCTGCGGAGCAAATCTTCGGATCCGTTTCTTAACCGGAAGAAATTTTCAATGGCTCGATTCACAATGCAAACGCGAGACCAGTTCCGCCTCTGTCCATCCGCCTCGTATAATGACAGTAGCAGATTAGATGTCAGTACACCGAGCACACATCGCCGATGCAGCCCCAACCCCGGGGGTGACCAGGCCAGTTGAGACACGACGCTTGGTGACTGTTCGGCTCCGATAGAGAATTCATCTCTACCGGAGGGCCAAACGACTTTCCATTCTTGGTGGGTGAAGACATTGGTTCGGACTTTGGTAGATGTCCATGGCATGGATTTCTCTTTTTCAAAGAGAGGGTGGACATATTTGGGTTTCCATTGGGGGAGCTTGTGAACTATCAGCTAGCTGGTCGCTATAAGAAGGAGTAAGTACATACTTGTAAATGGACCAAGTCTCCAGCTGCTACTGCAAGCTCCCCGTCGTCAGACCAGCTTAGGCAATTGTAGCATGATGGATAGAGGTTGAGATCGAGAGCTTCTCCCATTGCAACAGTCGAGGATATGTCTTTGTGAGTTTTCTACATTTTTTGACAGTGACCAGAAGAATAAAGAAGGAAAGCGATTTCGTGAGCGGAAAGAAGCGTTTCTTTCAGCCTGAGGCAACAATTCGGGGAAAGGCTTGGCACATTCTCATTGATGCCTGGAAATTCAGGAATATATATATCTTTAATTTTTGCACAGCTTGCTTTACAAATGTCCTTATACAAGTGTCGGAATAATAGATATCAAGCATAGAGTCTAGTAACTGTGGACCATCTTCAATCCTCAATTCACAAACAGTATCACTAGGGCTGACAGTCATAACTTCCTGAAGCCAACTAAATAAGCCGAGAAGTCTAGAGGAGAGTAAATTCTGCTCCAGATAGAAAACCTACCACAGAGTCCTTGATATGCATTGTCCTTGTTTGTAGTGCTAGGATCCGCGTCCTTGTTGAAACACACCATTCCATGAAATCCCAAGAAACAAAAGTCCGTATAAATCGACAAACACCATACGCCGCTGTCCATAATTTCATATGAGGATGGCTGAAAAGCGAAGAGAATAATGCAGATTTATAGGCCAACCTAATCCTCTCCTAAACTGTCCCTGACACACTTCCTCACTCGCTTCTTGAATTCCTTCGGATCATCCCTCCACAGCCTGGCCGCTTCCACATTGGCAGGACTCTCATCATTAGGGCTCGATAGCATCGAAATCACCGACAACAGGATCGTCTCTGGTGTTTGAACGGGCGACCATCGCTCCGCAGCTGACTCATAGCCATATTTATCCTCTTCGGGAGGATGCAAAATCGAGATGCAGACTTCACCACTCGGGTAAATATTGGGGTGGAAGATAGGGGTCTCGAATTTCATCTTGGGGGGCATATGAGGATATTCCGGGGGAAAAGTGAGTCGAGCACGAAAGAAGCCTCCACCGTAGAATTTGCAGTCGTCGGAGATCATGAGCATGACTTCCCATTCGAAGACGTTGTTGTCGACTAGACCGCAGCTGATACCTGGGATGTCTTTGTCGGACTGCATTTGTTGCAGTTGACGAGCGAGCATGCGCCCAGCTGCAGTGGTCGCCATCCTCGTTCGTTCTTATATATCGTGGTTGTTGATGCGATTCGGGTTCTCGGCGGGGTCAGATTGATGGCGATAATAAGTTCTTATCGTATCGGCGGCGGCCGTGATCAAATGCGGGTTTTTATAAAGAATGGTGACGTTACGCGAGTAGGGAATTAGGGTGAGTATGTTCCGGGGATAAAGTGAAAGAGGAACTTGCGAGTAACTATAGGCTTTGGCTGAAGTCAGCCAAACGCATTAGTCAACAAGAATCATCGCGGGGCTCGTGCCGGAAGCGTCCCACCGCCACTTTTCGTCTGAGGCTATTCTCGCGCCACTTGATCGAGATTTTATAAGACTTTATTGGCTATATTTTGACATGTTCATTCTCAATGTATATACACTCTTAGGAAAGAAACGAAGATATGCAGAAATAAAACAGCGACAGCCAATTATCATGATGATATGACCTGTATAAAAACAATCCAAGTAGACGTATACGAGAGACGAGTACAATTATATACCAGGGATGGGCTCTGCCTACTTACGCGGTAACGTCAAAACCCTTGTTGCCGAAAAACAAAAGTATCTGGCCGAAGAGAATGACACCAAACATCAAACCAAGAGCGGTCTGGAGAAGGAAAACTTTGCCGACAATACCCAAGAAGCGCATACGAGAACCCCAGCTAAATGATCGCCAGGCGTCAACAATGCCGATCTTGCCTTGACCACCGATGATTTCAGGAGTAACCTTTCCACCGAAGGAGCGGTCGAAGGGCACAATCGTCTCGTCATCTTCGGGGAGCATAGAAGCGGCAACGCGGATAAACGTGACCTCGGCGGGAATTTGGATCAGCACGTAGAGGACAAGGAAGAGTGCGAGGAGACCGAAGGCACCGGAAAGAGCAGCAGCGGGGGAACGTGCAGAAGGCTCGGAGCCGTACTCAAGGACCTTAGTGCTGTATACGATGACGAGAGGAACGAAAGTAACGATCTGGGCAGCAAGAGAGCGAAGAGCAGCGGCGGGGGCGATCTTCATGAATGTCTTGCGCCATGAAGGGATTCGAGACCAAAGGGATTTGGCAGATGGCTCGGAGATAACGATATGAATCCAGCCCACTCGCAAGTTGGCCAGAAGAATTTCAGCGAAGAATCGTGCGAACGCACTTCCATAGATATGGAAGCTTGCCGACATAGGGTAGGTGATAATATTGATGGCGAGACCGGTCAAAATGTAGAGGAGCAGACCGCGGAATGGAGCCCATCGTCCAGCACGAGCAGTGAGGTGCGAGATGGTGCTCTTGAGGCCGCTGGTAACGGGCTTTTGAGGAGGCACGTCGGCCGCATCATCTCCAGTGATTTCAGGGTTGAGCGGGGCGTGGTCATCGTCGATACGAACATAAACATCTGGATTGGGGTCCTCGACAGCGGCCAGCGTCGTCACGACTTTCCCGTAGATGTAGCCCACGCATCCGGAAATCACGCACAGGATAGCAAGAGTGGAATAGAGAATTATGACTGCCATCAAAGGAAAAGGCTGCTTCGGATCAGGGTCGGCAGGGCCTTCGCTGGGATCACTGTCTGCAGAGCGTCGCACGAGGTGCTCGGTGACTAGAGCAATGGCCGACATGTTGAAGGCCGTGATATACTGAATATGAATAGCAGATTGAGTAAAAAAGAATGAATGTAATGATGATACTGATAAAATATAATAATCAGGAAGATGGACTCAAAGGAGAGAAATACAAGAAGAGATTATTAATGTGCTTAGGCACCGAGTCAGTGAGACAACAGAAAAGAGGCTGAGTCGGACTTACCGGATAGCTTTCTCTGGATCCGGTCTAGCGTCCCATAGCATCCTCAGGCAGCAACTGTCTCGTCCTCTCTTTGCCCTACCTATACACCATACGTTCTATCTATCTACACACGCAGCTCAAACATCTATCAGCGATCTTGGCTCTGACTGGGGCTCTGTCTTTATGGCTCAAAACCAATAAGGAAGGAATATGCGGGTTTATCTTTGCTTATCAATAGCCCTAACCCTAATATAGTCTCATCGAAAAAGCAGCCGCAATGTTCCATCATCCAGAAACCACTCTCTGTCTTTCTCCCACCCCTTTGTGATCAAATCCCGTCCAATATTGATTGCACCCTCGATCTGTCTCGCTGTTCCCCAAGTGACACCGGCCACAGCACTCCAGCACACCAAATGAACACCCATATGCACCGCAATCTGGAAGGCCTGCGTCTCGTTGAGCAATGGATACTTTTCCATCAGTCCTTCCATAATCCAGACTCCGCCGTCATTGTTTTTGAAGTGTTTGACTTTGTATAATTCCGCGAGTACTTGCCCCAGATCCAATGCCCGCATACCCAACTGGGCCATTTCCCAGTCGATGATGAATAAACTGTGCTGCGCGTGGTTGATGAGGACGTTGCCAGTCCAGAAGTCGCCGTGGATAGGACCCCAACCATCGCTCCCATCATGACTATTATTTTCAGTGGAATGTGCTGATATTTCTTCCGCGGCGTGCGCTCTGACTTTCTCGAACACCGAACGACTACTTTCCAGGATTTGAGGATATTGATCAATCGTACCGATCAGCGTGTCATAGTTGATAATAAATTTGAGCTGTTGCATGGATTTGTTCTTGGCCAGTTTTTGCCTCAGGCCGGCTTGCGCGTCGAGTGTTGTCCATGCATGGAATGATCCTAACCATGAACCCAGTGCATGTCCAATTGCCTTTGCTGCTGGTTCATCAACACGCATGCCTGTGTCCGGAGCTAAGAGCCACGTTTTTAGATCAGAGGACTCGGGCAGATCTTCCATGATCTGCATGTGAGTTGTGGAGTCAAAGTCAAACAATCTTGGAGTCTTGACTGTAATCGGTGGTGATACCGATGTGTCTCGCGCCGGAGAGAAGGTATTCAGTCCCCTCAAAACCAGGGCTTCGAAGACCTATCAAGCACATCAGTACTTAATATATACGTGGGAGAGAGTTCACATACGCATCGCTCACTATCCAGCTTGAACTCCCGGTTAAGAGCCACGAAATTTTTCGTATGTTTGATAATGACATTTGGCTTTTCATCTTTAGCGCCAATAGACTCCGGGTTTGATAGAATCCCCCGGTAGACGAAATTAGCCGTTCCTCCATTGAGACGTACCATAGATGAGCAGGCATACGCTGTCGTTGCCAGCTGCGAAAACACTGAGGCTTCGATATCGGCGTCTGTTGCCATGGTCGTACTCAGCTAAGTCATATGTATAATAGATGTCGAAGATTGAAGGACATCCAGATGATGGACAAGCCAATTTATATTTAATTTATATGCTCCTCTAAGAATAGATAAATTCTGAAGTTGTTGATTTATCGTATTTTCCCCGCCCTGACTGTGGCCCGCAACTGCGATTATGATTTGGTGCTAATCAAGACTCATCTTGACTCATTTAAGATCGTCCATGCAGGTTATTCTAGACCTTCAAGATATGCTATGGATTGTACTGTTTGTATTCTGTAAAGCATATATACAACACTATTGATAAAGGCCCAGGAGATGGTCTTAAGTGTCAAGAACATGCATGAGAGAGATAAGGCAACCCTCCGGCGCCTGGTCTATGTAATGCTCGGGGTGGGTTCAATTGTTCCATAGGGTATCTTGAACAAAGCAACCCAATACAAAACTCATGGCCAGCCTATATTCACTGTAGATAGAAGTTCATATTCTCATCAAACGGTAAATCAAACACATTATCAGGAAGCATGCCACCACCCATAGAGAAGATCCCTTCCGCGTTGAACGGAATCTGGAAATCAAAGTCAGGTGCAAGATTTGCATATTCCGCTTGTGATCCAGGAAGGAGGCCGTTGTTCATCATTGGGTTAGCAACATCTTGTCTCAAGTTTTGGTTGAATTGGTATTGTTCAGGCAGGAAGCTGCTTGACGTCGTAGTTTCAGGTCCACTGACGCTATAGTTAGCCCATTGCTGGGGGTCTGAAGTTGTGCTTGTCACAGAAGGCAGTTTTTTATCGCCGGGATCAGTGGTAGCAAGCATTGACCGTTGATGTGCAGAGGAAACATTGGTGGCTGTTCGCGACGGCCCTTGGCTGTCGTCGTTCTCTTCTTTTGGGCGAGCTGACGTTGACTGTTTGTGTGTTAATTTGCAAAGTATCACTAGAATAGGTTGTAGATCCATGGCTATAACACACCTCTTCATTCTTCGACCCAGACGCTTCCCCCTTACGATTGAGGAACCAGTTCTTCAACAGGTTCAAGACCATGCAAAACCTTGATGCTGTTCTACCCCCTGGCCTCATAGAACTGATTTTTAAATGGTCAATCATCTTGTCAAAATACTCCTCCACTTTGAGATCGGCCGGTGAGAAAACGTGCCCTAAACCATGGTTGGACGAAACCCCCGAGAACATCTTGAGTAACGCAATGAATGCATATGCTGAACGAGCATACATATGCGTGGGTAGAGTAACTAAAACCTCCGGCTCAATAGAAAGCATACAGTCTAGAGACGTATGAATCGATGTCAGACAGGCTGTGAGAGCATCAATCTGAGCAGCAGTCGCCTTATCGAATTTGACATCGGTCTTGAACGCAGACGTGAAGGGATTGCTGAGGTCCTCGATGTTATGTTCGGTGTGCATCGATATTTCATGCATATAGATATTGATGATGCTCTCCGCTTGTCGCAGGATCGCTGTAAACGCCCGCGTCAGTCTCCGGATTACCGCACGAAGTGTAACTTTGATAACTCACGTGTATACTCGTCCCGCGGGATCTCGCGCCGCCACTCATCTAGTTGTCTCTCGAAGCCCTTCAGTGCATACTGAACCTTGGTGTCACTCATTGATAAACTACTAGATGGGTCATCCATAGAGAACTGAAATCCAATTTCTTCGGCAATACGCGTTAATTTAGCCCAATATATCAAATTGCGGTCAGATGGCTGGGCTTCGGGTGAGGTTTGTAAAATTTCAATACACTCATCCATATAAGGATGCCATCGACACAACAACGGCCGACGAAGCGCCATAGAGGCATTGACTGCCATGAAATATGCACCTAGCCAAACTCGCCTTGTTTCGACAGAATCGGGGTCAAAGGAAGGTCTAGTCGAACTATTGCCCATGATCTCTCGCAATAGCCCATGTGGCTTATTGCCTTTTTTTCTCGTAACACGGCCCATCCCAATGTCCAGAGACATAACGACAGCCATATAGATAAATTGAAAGAACTTGAGCTCCTCGAATTGATCGGGTGGCACATACCAGATACATGCCAACATGATCGATTGTACTAATTCCAGGGATCTTTCGCCCTTGATGACGACCTTATCAGCAAAGAGACGATGCACCTCGTGTACTAGAGACATTTGCAATTCCGATCGAAAGTGGCCGATCGAGATAGCCATGATCACCAGGAAAAGTGTAGGTTTATTGCGCCGAACAGAGGCCATGGTTGTACCTGGGGGAAAGACGACTACGGGGAGTCTAGGGGCAATCTCATCCATATAGTGGTTGAAGATATCAACGGCAGTCTGAACATCAATCAGCCCGCGATCAATGACATCAGTAAATTCGTTCGCATTGTTTATCACGCTTTCGCTAGGTAGGTTCGCTGAAGGAGCCTGCTGGAATGTTAGTGTCAAAACTTCAGAGACTTCGCGCGGACTTACTGGGGCAATGAAAGTACTGCTTTGAGACACCGAGCCAGGCGGTGCGGAGTATTTAAACTCACCACTTGCTGTACGCTTAGTGCTCGTACTAGGAGAAATTGACTTTGCAAGCGGTGGCAGCGATGGTGGTCGAGGACCACCCCCAAGCCATCGACGAGCAGCAGCAAGTTCCTGATCTTGCGACCTCCCCTCTGGAGATGCCATGGTTTCTATCCTCCTAGACGCTTGGAGACTAGCTGTAAGAGCATCAATCTTCTTCTCCAATTCACTCACGCGACTGTCTGTCTTCTTCTGACGCTTCCGGGTCGGTGCAGTGACAATGCACTTGCGATTCGCCTTGGCGCATCGCTTACAAGACCCCGACGGATGATTGTTGTCCTGTTCGCAGCGAACCTTCAGCTGTCGGCAGGCCTCACATGCTCGCGGTCGTTTCAGGTCGGCAAGAGGATCGTTCGGATCATGTTCGTCGTGCGAAGCTCCCATAGACATCTCATTTAGGTAGCCTGCTATCGATCCGCTGCCTATTTCCGCCACACGATTATCCGTAGATGAAGGTGTTGAAGTTGACTGCTGCGGATGCGCACTCGGTGATTCCGATGTTACCTGTCCATAACCCCGTCCGTGATCTAGTCGCGCACCATATTCCAGCGCTTGGTTTGGCGCATACGATGGTGGGTGGTGTCGCGGGTTCGAGTATGAGTCTCTGTCCGGGAAAGAGATATTGTTGTTGTTCTCCTTCAAGTTGTCATTGCTCGGTCGCAAACGCGGATCGATATCCATGCCGCTTGTGACGAGTTACTCGTCTGCACTGTTCTCCCTCACTAATGGGCAGATCCATTGGATCGGTGTTAGCTTGATTGCGATGCGCTCTCTCAATTTTCGGATGAGACACCGGGGGAAAGTGGTGTGAGCTCAGAAAAAGCATATTGGCCGGGTAGTGTTGAACAACCAAGAACGGGTTTGAATAGGTTCGCAAGATAAATAGAAGGAAAAGCGCTATACGCACGGTCTAGGACTGGCTCAGACAGAAAATCCCTTGTAAAGACAGAGCTCACATTCAGTGAGACAACGCGATTTGCATCGGAGCACGGCGTGTCGGGACACGGTGATGCCGATGACAATCAGGGAGTAATAATGTTTAGCGACGAGCAATCAATCGAAGGGGGCTAGATATTAGCACGAATCTCCCAAGTTCGATCAAGTATAAAATTTAATCAAGAAAGGCGATGGGCATGAAGCTTTCAGTAAACGTGGAAGACAATTGCTTTGATGGGGGAAGCTGAGTCGGTTAGAGGATGCAAGCTAACTAACTCAAGTAACGTAGGCAGATAGATAGTCAGAGCGGACTTCATCAGGAAGAAAATACCGCAATTACATTTAGCAATCTTTGAGCTATAGACTTATTGATGAGCGAACTGAAACAAATAGTCATGTTGGAGGGATCTGTCTAATATTGGTGCTATCAAAAAGCATATACGGCTGTATAAATATTGAACCCATGCGCCAACAGAGTAGAATGATGCCGAAGGGCCCAAGGCCTACATTCGAAACTGGAAAACCGGGGAAGTAATCATCAAAACGATCCAGTCGTCGGTTGTCCCAAAACGCCAAATGCTGCGCAGCAAACCTGATGAAAACATAAATCAATGTCTCTATGCGAATGGATGGGTAAGGGTATCAAATCATCACAAGTATCAATGCCAATGCCGAAAATCGCGTGAGGCGAGCATGCTGAAGAAAGAGAAAGGGATCGCTAGCGACCAAATCTACGAAAACTTATGAACGGGGCATTCCTTCTTCCGTTCAAACCATCCCACGATGCACGATTTGTGAAATTTACATAAGCATTCCAACCGCGCTAATTTATCGCCAACTTCATATTCCTCCATGCAGATGGAACACTCCTGCGGAGTGCCATCTTCACTGAGACAATCCTTCTCGGTCGCCGTGAACGAGAGCATACGTAGAAGGTGTTGCGGTTGCGGTGAGCCTGCGCCAGGTGAAGACCCAGAAGATCTGGCAATACAATCGCGAATGTGCGCCTCTCGTTCATTTTCGTTGCCATCGCTTCCACGTGGAGGTAGCTGCGTGCTGCAGATCGGACAGATATCTCTTTCGTCTATCTGCGCTCGATGTGGAGGACGAGAAGCGCGGAAACGGTCAGGTTCTGCCATGGATTGCACCCTTCTCGGCCTAGTGCCTGAAAGGTCAGAAGGAGTATTCCTCGATTCGGTTTCCGCTCGGGGTCTATGCGATAGAAACTGTGTCTCTGTCAGTATATGTTTTCGTTAAAATATCGAGGAAGATGGGTCAAGCTTACAGAATGAGATTGCAGTCTAGCAGAGGACTGCTGTACCGGATGACTGAGACTCAGGGAGGAAGCATAGCGGGAAGAGCTAGGACGCTGACCAAAAGAAGGCTCGATAGGGGTAGCAGAAGAAGTCCGACGACCTAGAAAATCATCCAGCTGGAGAAACGGTCAGTAAATGTAAATTTGGCCACGTACAAGTGACAGTCAAATGAGAAACTTACTACCTGGTTCCGCTGATTGTTGTTGTCTTGCGCTTCTCGATTCGTGTCCCCTCGAGAACCGAAGATCTGGGCACCTGATAACGAGCGCCGCACCTGGTGAAAACGCTGGCTGATGGGAAATGCAGGCATCGTGGCGTTCCAGTCCTGGCCCGGGAAACTATCAAAACCAGCTCGAACAGTCGCATAGTTTACAGGTGGGTCAGGATTTGGATCTGGAACACAGGGATTACAAAGTCGCACTTCCTCTCCGCCCCCCAGTGCAGGGTTAGCAGGATAGTGCTCGGCGCGAGATCGACTTGGGAAGACAGTAGTGGTATCAAGTATATCGTCAGTTGTAAGATCGAAAATCGTCCGAGAAGAGTCACGTCTGTGGCGTGGAGAAGTCCCAGTTGTCAAATATTCAGCTGGTTCCGGTGGTCGAACGATATACTGTCGAGGAATAGTTATTCGATGTGGAGAGCATGCTGAACATACGACCCGTCCACACTTGCGACAGTGATGTTTTCGATACCAGAAGCTAAATTGTGTGTTACAGATAGGGCAATGCGTAACTTCCGAGTCTGGTTGCCAACGGGGCAATGTGTACTCCATATAATTCTGCTGATGTCGTTGATGCACCGTGGGCAGACTGCGACTATGCTGTCGGGACAACGGTGCAGTCGTCTGGTCACGAGCCGGGGGCGGAGAGGTAAGATCGATGGCATTTGCCCGCGAAGAACCCGGCATATCTGAAGACGTATAGTTGTTACGGCCATCTCCAGTAGGCAGCATCGGTAAAGGTCTATCTTGTTGCTGGACTCTATTATACGACAAAGAACTTGGCCCACTCAAGGTAGACGGCCGCCTGTGTAGTGTTGCGTCATCATTCGCGGTAGAGGTTAATCTTCTCTTGCGATCCATGCTCCCGGAATATGCCCTACTTCTCTCGTAGATGGTATCGGCATTGTCCGGCGAGCTGGAGGAAGATGGTGCAATTACCCTGGTATCACCGCTTAATACCGGAGAGCTGCTGCTCGAGCCGGCGAGTTCAGCAGAATATGAAGGGAAAGGAGCCAGCGGACTGGGCGGGGTATTATTCGATGACCGAGAGGACATGAACCGAGAATCCGAGTCTGTTAAAAGGATGCTTGAGGTGATAAGAGGTGATAAGAATGGAAGTGATGGGAGGTGCAGTCCCGCGGCGGATATTAATGCAATGATACACTAGGTAGTTCAGCTGGAACTGGTCCGACTTTGGGTCGTCAGGTCAATTCATCATCAGATATGCCAGCGTATATCAAATCGAGGGGAATCCGAAGAAGCTTATCGATGCGTGAGAAATGCAAGCTGAGTTCGATATAAATTCGCTGTACCTGGCGACCCCAGGTGGCGAGCAGATAAATGTTGTATTGGTCAGGATAGGCACGTGAGGAAGTGTTTAGAAGCGATGCGTCCGACGCAGCCGGAAGAGATATATGGACGAGATTGTTCGTTGAGATACCGAAATAGATAATTATCGTCAAGAACTCATCTCCGACAGAGTTGATCTTTGCTCGGTTCTGAGATGAGATGATGATTGTCTGTAGACAGCGTGCCAGCGCTCGGAAAGCCTCATACACCTTTGTTATCCTCGCGGGACTCGAGGGATATGAATCGTCTTGGTGCAGCGTTCTCGACAAGGACTAGAAAAGCGAGAATCCAAGATTAGCAGCCAGCAGTGAGGGAGACGAATGGTCGGAAGCCTCTTGATAGCCGCCTAGCATGAATCTAGAGTCAGAAGGGAGGTGAAGTCGCAATCAGCAAGGAAGGGAGCAGTTGACGCTAACTGGAAGTAGATCATGAGGGTTAGGGTAGTATATACGCCGTTGCAATTGTTTCACTCCAAACTGCGATGATAGTCAATGGTATATTTCAGCGGCCCTAAATCCAGATAGATTTCTCCTCCGGCAGCCTTACACCATAGCATTCCAATTCAACTTATCTCCATGGTAAGGATGACCCGTATACTTGGTTGGTTTTATCTCGTGTAGCGGTCATCAAGCTTCTTCAGTTCCTGTGCACGAAGGTATTCAAGTGCCATCCCAAGCCGGCCACTCTATCGACAATGATACGTACAAGGAATCAATATGGGGACCTATCTAGGTATATGGGTGACAGCTGGCTTGGCGACAAGAAGGGATGTGGCCCTATCGACTATTACGAACCATCTTCAGCCAACAAGGGATACGTATCTATCTTCTTACTGCTGCCCCTCCTCAGTGTCCGGTTTTTTTTTTATAAACTGCATCCGAATGAATAAATTTTACGTCTCCTCCGTGAACAACCGTCGTCAAATCCGGTCCTAATCGTTATCAGAGACAGTTCAGGCTGACGCATCAATAGTAGTGTATAAGTAGCAGAGACAGGATACCCCTGTTGAGACAATCCCTCGGCGGGCTCTCATGGAGAAGTAGTGGCATACCTCAGGTAAAATACCCGTGGATCTGGTATAATCTCACATGGGCGTCCAATATCAATCAACTCAGAAGATACAGCAGCTCCAGCCTATCGGTAAGTCCAAAACTTCGTGGCTGTAAGTTGTTCTGCGTGGGAGATGCGGTGAACTGGATTTCACAAAATTCCCGATCCAATCTCAATTTGCCTCGACTGGTCAGCAATATACGGTCGATCTGTCACCGTACAAGCAATAAGTCAGTGCACCTCTATCTGTGGCATCAAAACTGCACCACGTCCTATCAATTCAGTAACAATCTGGCTGGTTGATGTTCATAAGAGGACGCAGGTTGCTTAATTGGCTGCTATTAATGGAGTGCGAAAAATATCATTGGCCCCTTGCGAGATAAGTAACATTCCATCCCTCTATTCGCAAAGGACCGGAGCAAGACTCGTATGGGGTGTGGGTCGACGTAGCGTATAGAGTCACATCAGCTTTATTTGTTGTTTATCCTAGAAAGGAAGTCAGTTTACTTACTGGTATGAAGGTACTTGTCCGTGCTTATCCTTCATCTGTTGGTTCATCCATGCAAGATAGCTATTCTTTGCCACAAGTCTCTGTCTTGACTATCACTCTTTCTTTCTCCGCCCGACGAAGATCATATCCACTTATCTCTTCGAATACTTCTCCAGACTTTCTGACTGATCTTGACACCTCGGAGCACACGCCTGGGACGAAGTTCTTGTCATCGTGGCAGCCGACGACTATCATCACCCTCAGACAACTGTCGAAAAACGCGGACAGCCAGCGGAGCCGAACAGGTCTCCTCTACTCTAAATTCAGCCTTCCCGTACATCTTCACATGAATAGCAACATGCAACAATCGAACCTGAGCCAGGTGTCCTTCCCTGGCCGAGAACCAGACTCTCCAGTGACATTGACCAATCTCACTATCACCAACTCCATCAAAAGCGACGTGTCCCTTGTCAAAGACCCAGAATTCTGGCGGCGTTTCTCCGTGGCTATTCATCAAGATGAAGAACAAGCCCGACAACCGGAGCGCGAAAAGACCGAAGGGTAAGCTCAGTTTGTGCTTGGGTCATGAATCTTTGCTGACTGTCGCAGCGAATCGTGGCTCGCGCGTCAGCGTAAAAAGAATCGCCGCTCGAAAATCTGCGGTTTCCTTATTGCTTTCATAATTGCGCTGATTGCTTGTGGAGCCGGTATTGGCATTTGGCTGCTGAGCAAAAACGGCTGGTTTAAAAAGGGAACGCACACCACTTGATCTCGAGGCTCAGGGGTCATCTCTTTGGTTTGACGTGTTATGAAAGTTGATGTGTCTCATTTCATTATATGTTTGCCCCTTCATCGACGAAGGATGGTTGGGTGGTTCTTGCCTCATTCGCTATTTTTGCTCACGGTTTTCCGTAGTTTCATTGACGCGACGGTGCTGGGAACGGCGTGTTTGGCAGGCGTTCGCTCTGTTGGTGATGAAAATGGACTGGAATAGGGACGGAGTTAGAGCGCTGATGGAGTTTGCTTTTCAAAGAGGGCAACCCTCGCTCTGTTTGCTGTATATAGGAGATGGGTTGTTTTCGCTGTACATAAGCTGCGTGCCTGAGGAAGGTCCCATGCACATACTATTTAATGCTGCTACTGCATAATGACTAATGGTTGACTGCCTGGGGCAACTGGACATTAGCTATCGCGCACTAGTAATGTACAAAAATGTGATAATAATAACTGGTGCCAGATTGAAATGGCTTACAACAAGCATCAGAAAAGCCCGACCGTATCAAACCCTTGAACGCCACGCTTCGCATCTATAGCGAATTTTATTGAGAATCCAACCCTGCTTTGTAAGACGAGTAGAAAAGGTACACATTGCGTGTTCTGCATCCGAAGAACATTGTCACCTCAACACGCATCACCATCAATACCTCCGACGAGTTGGCTCGGGACTAGGACTCCTGCTCACGCTACGCTCGTCCCGGCCCCGTTCCTTCAACCATTTCTTCGTGGCGAGGTCCAGTTCTCGTTGCAGTTCTGGTGTCGGTTCTTTGCGATGAATGAAATTGCAGAAACCACCTCGAACACATCCTTCGCCGCTGTTTAACCGACAACAAGCTTCTCGGAAATCGGTAACGGGTGATAATTCGCAGTACACGGGTCGCGCGGCATACCATCTGGAGTTGAGGGCGTCGCATGCTGCTTGAGCAGAGTCTTCGTATTTGAAACGGGCGTAGACGTTGCCAATCAAATCTAATGAGACGGATGTTAATATTTAAAAAACAAAAAGAATACAGGCAAAAACTTACGGTCATTGTTATTATCGCAGACAACAATCTCCTCAATCTCACCATATTTGCACATCTCGCACCAGATGTCCTCGTAGAAAGCGTCAAAGTGGTTCTGGATCTGGCTTGGATTCATCTTATTCTTCGGGTCGTATGCAGGGTTCTGGTAGAGATTGGGCAATAAGATGGTCTGCGAGTATGAAGGCTTGACATGTTTTCGCGAGCAGCGATCGCCGTGGCGACAAGCTCCGATTTTGTAGTAGAAGGAGCAGTTGACTTTGTCTTGCTCGGTACCGAAAATCGAGGCAAGATAGTTGGCCATGTTGTGTGAATTGAAGTATCGTGTGTCAATCAAGAATATTCTTCGCTCGAAATGAGAATTTAAGCGTGATTATATCGTGTAGCGCTTCCCAAGTAGAGGTTATGTTGTCAGGTAATTCATGATAATCTCACTTTTCGATGTCGTGAAGTGTTCAAGTCCGCGGGTGGCGGATAAATTAGACTAATCGGGTCTAGTGGATTCTAGAATTATCGGACAGTTAGTTTCTTCTCGACAGCCATTATACTGCAATTTCTCAACCATTATCGTGTTTCTATCTTAGGACTGTTTCATTTTATATGGAGTGGTCTCAGATTTATGATTTATCTTGCTTATCGGAAACCTTGAAAGTGTCAATGTTTTCCTCGCAGACCGATCAGCCAATGTATATCCATGAAACCTTGGAAGTGCTGCAAAAATATATCTCCATATTCAACTCCACTACGTTTATCCAGATGTCATAGCATACTTCCTAGACCATATGTCCAGTATAAGTACCTATTCAAGAAGCGTCCTTATCTGAACCTAGGTAGAGCTCCATAGATAAGCCGTCGTCGCTTATCAGCGGAGGCAAGCGGCAGCTTCGCAGTAGAATAAGTGACCTTCCCCGCATTCTACCTAGATATTTATCTCTCGATCATGTCACTCGTCTCCAATTCTTCTCCTAATAAATCCCTGTACTCTATCAACCGGACATGAAGACAAGATGCTACCTACCTTTGATTATTTCCAGTATATAAAGATCCGGTAAGTCATCGCCATCCTCTGCATAATGGCCAATGAGCATGCAGGATCCGCCGAGTAGATAGCTTTAAGCTAACGACCATAGAAACGCGAAACGTCGTGAACGTGATGCGCGATTTTCCTCGCTCAGTCCTGACTACCACACGCCATTTTCTGCAGCAGACAAAGCTATTATCAATAAGCCCATCGAGGAGCTTGTCGGCGATGTCCAGAATGGAACGGTCTCGCCTGTCGACGTGATTCGCACCTACGGCAAGGTCGCTGTCAAGGCCCAGGAGAAGACCAATTGCATTACTGAGCTTCTTCTACCTGAAGCTGAACAATGGGCAACTTCCGAAGTCAATCTCAAAGGTCCTCTTGCTGGTATTCCGGTGTCTTTGAAGGATTCTATCCAGGTCAAGGGATTCGACACAACGGTTGGATATGCTCGCAAGGCATTCAATCCCAGCAAGGAAGATGGGGTTATTGTTAAGCTTTTGAAAGACGCTGGTAAGTATTCCCGTACACCGTCTATTCGGGTCGACTGTTGGTCTAACATGTCTCTCAGGAGCGGTTCCTTATGTCAAGACTGCGCTCCCAATGACTCTACTTAGTTTCGAGTCCGCAAATGGACTTTGGGGAACTTGTCGAAATCCTCATGTCCCAGAATACTCACCAGGCGGTTCAACTGGTGGAGAGGGTGCCTTGCTTGCCCTCGGCGGACGCATCGGTATCGGTTCAGACGTCGCAGGTAGTGTGCGGGCACCCGCTGCATGGAGTGGAATATACTCGCTACGTTGCAGTACTGGTCGTTGGCCAAAGACTGGCGTTGATACAAGTATGCCTGGGCAAGAGGGCGTTCCCAGCGTCTTCAGTCCAATGGCACGTACATTGAACGATCTGACCTACTTTACGAAAAGTATCATTGGTATGCAGCCATGGAAGTATGATTATACAGTTCATCCTATTCCTTGGAGAGACGATGAGAAGAAACAGGCCAGTAGCAAGCAGCTACGTATAGGTCTTTTGAAATCGGATGGTGAGGGTCCCCCGTTCCCGTCATATCATCGTCTTCTTATAGGATGTCCTCTCTGATGTTTCGTGATTAGGCGTCATTCCCCCAACACCCGCCATCGTGCGTGCTATTGACACGACTGTTGAAGCACTCACTGCGGCTGGACATACCGTGGTGGAAGTTACACCTCCAGAAACAGCCGATCCTTTCACTGGGTTTGATCTGGGTTCTCAGCTCCTCAACTCTGATGGCTGCGTGACCTTCAACTCTTTCAGGTATTCATTCGAGCCTACGGATCCCGGAGCCGCTCAGCTAAGCCGGGTCGCATATCTTCCTCGTGTGCTTCGATACCTCTATTATTTGTACGTGCGATATATCAAGCGCGACGTGAAGTGGGCCACAGTCATTCGAGGATTCGGCCCTAAGAGCGCAGCAGAACTGTGGCAGATTACGGCTAAGCGTGAGGTGTTCCGCAGAACATGGCACTCATGGTGGGATTCTGAGCCTCAACAATATGACTTCATCCTGTGTCCTGCCAACGCCACTCCCGCCCTTCCCCATGGTGCAATGCACGATGCTGTTTCATCGTGCGGATATACGTTCCTGTGGAACCTGCTCGATTATTGCGCTGGTATTATTCCTGTTAGCCACGTCGACCCGAAGCTGGATGCTTTGCCCTACACAGGCAAAGGAGGTTACAAGAGTGCATTGAAGGCCCTAGGTCACAACCATGCTATGGCTCGTGGTGCTTGGATGCATTATGATGCTCAGAAAATGGCCGGACTCCCTACTGCCGTGCAAGTGGTAGGACGTCGATGGGAAGAAGAGAAAGTCCTGGGGTATATGGCTGCAGTTGAGAATGCTCTGGAAAATGCGGGGAATAGATATACCCTTCTAGATGTGGATTAAGCTGTAGTTTGCGAATCAAAGCATCGCTCATTCTTGTTTCGTGGTATGGGAGTTGATCATGTTGTTATGGTTCATGTATGATGAGCTAAGCTGCATGAGTTGTACAAGTACCGGGTACACCGCCACTGTTGGTCACCAACACGAATATCGATATACGAACGAAGTCACAAATGACGGCGCAACTGCAGTACTGTTGTAGAATGACGTCGGCTAAGTACTTAGCCTCCATGATGGGTCGATACTTGCATCTAGATCTGTACATAGTGTAGATATTTGTGGAGCGTGTATAGCCTCAACAACGAGAGTCGGGTGGAAGCGGGGAGGTCTCGTCAGCATGCATGATCTGACAATTAATAATTGTTGACATGACCTGTTCTCTCTTAAGTTGTCGCGGATCAGATAGGAAGATAATAGTTCGGATATTTTCTTCTTTTCTTCGTTTCTATACGTAAGTGGGAGGAAAGCAAAAGTGTAAATATCCATGTGATAGTGGCATGCTACACCGCTCTATCACTGGTCAGCTGACGGACAACCGCCAGAGCCGCTTGGAATAATAAATTACACACAGACAGTGGAGAGCGGCCCGTGATCCGTACTTACAGTACCACACTATGCACCAGCCAATCATAGCGCTCTGTTGCTGTATTGCCGATACAATCTGAGAGGGTCATTCTATCGTGGGGCATGATACACCATGCCGATCAATCTGGTATCTTGTTTCCTTCTGGAATTAGATCTTTGATTTCTGTTCTTCTTCTTCGTCTTTCATTGTCTCTGATATCGGTTTATTTTTCTGTTCACTAAGTTCTAGGCTACAACAGCTGACAGAAGTGGATGCCTTCGGTCTCGGTTCGCAACGATCCCCCGAAGACCCGTCCGGCTGTGCCTGACTAGTTCATGCTTTGTCAGTTATTTATATAGGCGCAGTCACAATCGGAATCTCAATAGAGGTCGCATTTGCATTTGCGTATTCTTTCTTTCAATTTCTTCTATTTTCTCTCGACCACTTCATCGTCTTTCGACCTCGGTTAGTACAATACACATCGACTCCGGTTCTCTGCGCTTTACGATATATAGCGAGATATCTGCACCAACGAATGAAGGACACCGACCACCTTTCACATTCACCACTATACGTCTCAGGACTTTGTCCGAGGGCCTGCTGTAGTATATGTAGGCTCGCTAGTCCTTAGTCATGGAGAACCACAACAACTCGGGAGAAAATGGAAATTACTGGGGGACTCTGATCAATGCTGATAAAAGCCCCGCTCCTCTGCTCGAGGAACTCTGTATCGGGCTGGCGCAGTTGATGGTAGGACCGTCACATATCTGTCACTTGCACGCTCAAGCTAATGGAAAATGATTCAGGTCAAACTTGACGGCGGCTGCGGTTCAACGGATCTCACCCCGGATAAGGTCGCTCGATTTTATCGTGAAGTGGGCGGCAATTACGACACCCTTTTTCTCGAGACAAAGGGATCTGCGCTGTCCTTCATCTACCAGTCGCTTGGCTGTTTTCATACCCTGCAGCCCACGACAAACCCGTTTGAACCGCCTTCGATACCGGCTCTATTGCCAACGGGCTTTGTTCGATGGTTGGTAATTAACCTGCTGTTATGTCCAGATGAGCATGCACAATATCTGCAAGAAGCTGTCAGTCGATGGGATGTGCCGAACCCAAAGGGCGGCACCTTTCCAAAAGTCATCCCTCGAGAAGCCTTCCCAGAAGCACCCGACAAAGATATGTGTGAGTGGCACGAAAATGTGAGCCAAAGACTTCAACAGGACCATGCAGGCCACCATTCATTCCGCCGAAGCCCACCCCCAGAGTTTGTCCGTTATTACTCAGCGTCAACCAGCGCACGCAATTATCGCCATCCTTTCTATGACAGATCTCATCAGTTCCATGACGGCAACCCAGCACCAAAGTCGCGAAACTTCAGTGATCACGCAGAGGACATTCGGTATCATCGAAGACGTCACAGCCCAGACAGCAGAGAATATCGTTCGCGAATGTTTGGTATTGATCCAGATGTCCACTCGAATTCTCGGACGAGTTCTCGAAACCCATCACCACGACAGACAACCTCGGCAACTGGAGTCCCCATGCGGTCAAAAACCACAAGCGCTCGTAGTCGGGATATCGCCTCGGAGCGTCTGGCTTCTCACTATAAACACCGACCGAGGAATTCGTCTGACTCTTCGAATAACGACGATGATCTATTACCACCACGACGACATGCGTCAATTGATGACCACCGACATGGGCGTTCCACTCATTTGTCTCCAGCTCGTCCGTCGAGACCGCCACGGCGTCATTCGCATGATGCGACTTCGCCCGTGGCAGAGGATTCAGACACATCAACGGATGATAGGTCGTACCGATATCACCGCGATATAGCTCCCAAGACAAAGTTTCGCGAACACATATTTGACGCGCCTCGCCCTAGTCAAAAGGCTAGCCAGCCATTGCCGTACGAAATAAACCCTAATGTACCCAATACACCGCGCGTCCACGTCAAGTACGAAGGATCACCAACAGAATATCGCACATCAAAACGTGAAAGAGGATCAAGCGGTTCTGATCGGACGCGTTCGTCGAGTGACGGTAGCGGTGGTGAAGCGAACTGGAAATATAGCTCGCATCGTGCTGGAGGAGCAAAAGTTCCTTATTGATAATCAGCCACTCTGACATTTGAAAGCATATCTACTCAGCTTATCTCGAGCAGATACCGCGTATCTCTGGATCGTTATCTTGGACGACTCCACTCACATTTTCATCTCACGATTTGTCTTAAAGCCTTTGATTGCATGATTTGTTGTGAGCGTGTCAATTTTCTTGTATGTATGCATATACATATACAATCTGAATGTAACACAATCGAGACGAGTCTTGAAATAGTGAAGATATTTCCAAGAAATACTAGGTCCCAAGAAGAAAATGATTTCATGCTGACAATTCCGGCCGGTGGGTCAGTCAAGAAGCCACTCCCCGCTTTCCCTGCCGCTACAAAATCCGACGATAAGAACTTGACAGTCCAAGCTTCCTTCTTTCCAGCCTTTCAATCATTCATCTTCTCGCTACTCTCTCTCTCTTATTCTTTGGCTATTTTCGAACCTTCTTGATTGAGCTGTATTGCTGCACTTCAGCATACCGTCTGCATCGTACTCGATCTAGCATCCGCGCCGACAGCTCTATCACATCGCGGAGTGTCTACAGCTTCGTTGTATAGGCAGAAGCTCCTCAATCACACCATCATCCCCCAGGTTACAGCCATCCTTAAATGGTAACATATATAGCCACTACAGGTTCATCATGATTGTGTGAATTTTCTTCTTGTTTATATGTTATATATATATCGATTTCGCATACAGAAACAAACGCTCCTTTAACTTCGACCTGGCAACGTGTACCTTGAGTATCAACCTCCATCATGTCTCTAGGCCGTGTCTCATACCTAGAGTCGTGGGAACATCATCCACCACCATTCATTCGGCGACAACCTAGTTTTAATGATGCCGCATCAGGTGACGGGGAAACCATCAGTCGACATTCCCGCGCACAAAGCCCCGACACAGCTTTTTTACATTCTTCGTTACCGTCGAGCTTCTCCAATAGAGCTGTGCGCCACAGATTGAGCTTCAACCCCGTTGTAGGAAGAGGATGGGCCCATAGTTCTGCAGCCGAACCAGATGAAGAGCACAGACCGCTGTTTCGGTCTGATGTCAGCCCTGACTTGACGGTTAGGGATGGAGTTTCGGCGAGACTCGCAGAAGAAGGAGTTGCAGTAGAGGACGTATTTCGGGATCCAAAGTGGGATACTGCAGTGACAACCCCGGCTTTTGAAGTGAGCAGTGGAAAGAGAATATGTAGGTATATGTATTCCTTGGAGCATATTTCGGTGCTAATTACGTGATTTACAGTACAGGTGGCAGTAGCAGTTACTTATTGCTTGCTTGCTGCCGGTCCAGTGTTTGGTTTCGCGGCCATCAAACCAGTATTTATACGGGAAGGTGTTTACCGAAATCGATGTACTAGTGAGGAACTAGAACATGGATTTGGGCTATGTTATGGGCAAGAGACTCGGTAAGCAGTATTCAATCCTGTCTCTACGGCCTTGAATCTAACCGGATCAGACTCAATTTGATGTTCACCATCGCGGCAGTTGCGACGAATATTTGCGCCTTGCCGGTAGGCACATTGCTCGATACTTACGGCCCCAGAGTCAGCGGAATTATAGGAAGCGTCCTCATAGCTATCGGTGCTCTTTTATTGGCAATCGCCTCCAGAATCCATTTCGATGCCTATATTCCCGGATATCTTTTTCTCGCATTGGGCGGTCCTTTTGTGTTCATCTCGTCTTTCCAGCTGTCGAATGCCTTCCCTTCACGTTCCGGCTTAATTTTGTCACTTTTGACTGGCGCATTCGACGCGTCGAGCGCTCTGTTTCTGATTTTCCGACTTATCAATGAGAAAACTGATGGCATGTTTACCGTTCAGAAGTTCTTTACAATTTATTTGATTGTCCCGGTATTCATTCTACTCGCTGAATTGTTCATTATGCCAGGCACTTCTTACAAGACTGCTGGCGAGCTCGTTCTCCAAGCAGAACAAGCCATTGTTGCGGAAGCCAATGACACTGTTGATGAGTCCCTACCGGAGCCGGACGAGGCTGAGAGGCAGCGTGAAGACCGCCGGGCTCAACGACAGGATATTGTTAATAACATACAAGGTCTCCTTGAGGGCTCCAACGATCGGAAGATTGATGACGTGATTTTCCGCGAGGCTGTACCGGAAGCAGCTAATCACCAAATTCAGGAACCTGTTCAGAAACCCGATACTCGATCTCCAGTATCAAGCGACAACAAACACAGGTCAGGGGGTGTTTGGGGCGCTATGCACGGAGCGTCAGCTCTTCAGCAGATCCGCAGTCCCTGGTTCATCCTTATCACTGTGTTTACGGTGCTGCAAATGCTGCGCATCAACTACTTCGTCGCAACAGTTCGGTCTCAATATGACTATCTCCTTGGCTCGCCAGAACTAGCTAAGCAGCTAAATGAGTTCTTTGACCTTGCGCTCCCGGTAGGAGGGCTCATTGCCATCCCGTTTATTGGCACTGTTCTTGACACTGCCAGCACCGCAATGGTTCTTTTCGCTTTGGTTAGCACGTCCACCATTATTGGTATTCTTGGTTGTATTCCCGGCAATACTGGCTTCGGATATGCCAATGTCATTCTGTTTGTAGCTTATCGTCCGTTTTACTACACTGCGGTCTCAGACTATGTAGCGAAGGTGTTTGGGTTCCAGACCTTTGGCAAAGTATACGGACTGGTAATTGCTCTTGCCGGTATTTGTAACTTTCTGCAGACGGGCCTTGATGCGTTGACTTTTAAGGTCTTTCATCGTAACCCTACGCCGGCAAATATTATCCTGACCGTTGCGGTTGCTGTTGTCGGCTTCTTCCTGGTGACTTATGTTTCTTCCAAGGCTCGCGCTTTGGCACATGCACACTCGCAAACTGACGGAACTGGGGAAGAGCAAGCGTTGATATCGGAGGATCAGAGTGGAGGTCAGAACGGGGGTTCGTACGGAACGGTTTGATTTGAGCGGGTCCTGCATTTTGCTTTGGCGATCTGTATATCATTTGTAGCTAGTTAGTAGATATCTCCATGCATTGAGGTTGATGCTATACTCACCTAAATAGTGTAAATATTCTCACGGATCCGGCTGATCAATCGGTGCCTTATCGTCTGATCGTACTACGCACGTGTTGTCCGTAATCTCTTCCGTCTTGTCAGTCTCATGCATAATCACCCTCTATTGTTAGGGGAATCGTAGGATAGTATAGGCGTCGAGTCTGGTGCTGAGGCCGTAACAGACTGAATAAGGGGTGATCGTAGGCCAACCTTTCGTACTTTTGACAGAAGTAGAATGATTTCCTAATGAAGTATCAGGTCGTAGGAACTAGCCTGAATTAATGAGGTGCTTGTAGGGTCGTGCCTATCGACAACCCCCTTCACGCGCTTTTGCCCTGGTACCCCCAGTTCTGATTCAAAGTCATCCAACTATCGACATACTTTCAACTTTTCGACCTCCCCCGCTGACAGAAGATACGCCACCCCTTCATTGCACCAGCTGTTGAGAATTATGGCCGTCCGTGAACCGATCTTGTCCTACGCCGACGACCCCTCTGTGAGAGCGTGCAGATCCCCGAGTCGCGTACCCGTCGTCCGTCGGGCGGTTGATTCGTCGTTACTACGCTTCAACACTTGTCGTTGCTAGGGCTTCAACCAACGGTGACAAGATCCCCATACCTCGATATGTGGGCATCCGGGTCATATTTCCGATCCAGTATAAGCAATATTCCATTCGTTTATCGACAGATTGGTTCTTGCCCAGCCAATGACCGATGATTCTACTCTTTTTTCCCGCTCCGCCGTTCTTTTGGCCACCGACGCAGGCTGTTTACTTCCCCTTCCCGACCGCGTCACGAACTGGTTTCATGGACTGCTCAGTCAAGCACGCCATATTGAGATTCGGCTGGTACGAATAGTCACTCATTTCTGTGAGAATGACTTTGTTACAACCTTGGGTTCATACCACATTCTTTCTTTTGACAAAGATACAGTTCTGGATTTTTTGACCCGAGAATGTTCCCCTGAGTTGCGCCAGCCCGTGTTTTTGCCTGCTCCTGAGCTCGTGATCTCAGCCTGTCGGTGCACATCTTTCCGACAATTTCATTTTGTGCGCGCTTTGCTCTGGCTTTGTCTGACAAACTGACATGTTTCTTTTCCTTCTTTTTTTTTTGGTTTTGTGACTTGTCAAGGGGACTATGGTGTGCACCGGCTCGGTTTGCTTTAGGTTAAGGTTCGTTTCAGTCAACATTTTATTTTTTCTTCACATAGATTAGTTGATCGCTTTTGGGGTTTCTAGTCGAGGGTTCTTTTTCTGTTTGTTTTCATTTTCCTTTTCCCCCCTCGTAACATCAAATGTCTCGTATATCGAGGTGTTTGGAGTCGCGATGAGAGTTCATGTTTTTCTCATTTTGCTTGTCGTTGGCTTCATTTGTTGACTCCCTTGTTGCACTAACACTCTCGTATATCGAAGCTGTTGGGTTAAGCAGAGATGGTCTGTTCTGTACTTTCGAAGCCTGTTTTGGTTCTTCTTGTTTTGCTCTCATTTTCTCTTCACTTGTCCCTCATATTTCTCTGGCTCATTTCCATTCATGTGTTGTCCCGTTGCATCAACACTCTCGTATACGGAAGCTGTTGGGGTAAGCAGAAAACAACTGATCCGTATGGTCGGAGGACCTTCTTTTCTTTCCATTTCCTTTGACTCATCATTCGTCTAGTATATCAAGACGCTTGCGGATAAATTAGAAACAGTGTTGCTGAAACAAATATGACTCCGACAAAGTGTGAGGTGTTGCAGACGTGTTGTGTTATGAAGGATGATGTTTGTCGTAGGACTCGGAATAAAGCGATCGGGATTTCAGCCTAGACCTGATTGGGACAATTAGGGCTAAATGGCGACGCGTTGACTCTTCAACGTGAGAATGTGAACAAACGTCAACTCGGGTTTTCTCACTCGAGAGGATATTGATACCGGGTGAGTCCTTTTTTACCTCATCTTTTCTATTATGTCGACTTGAAGAATATGATGCTGACGACGACTACTTTGATCTGAATGAGGCCCGGAGCTACGGAAACACCATGGGGTACGTTACCTATGTGACAACCAACTCGAATAGTTCTGCGCGCCGCAGAGAACATGAACAATCCGCAGCGAAGTCACTACATGCCGCTGAGGTATGGGGGATGTTTGGTTGGGGAGTTGAAATGATTAAGGGATGAATGGACCATGACGACGATATGAGAGAATGGATTGCCAATTAGAAATGTGTATAACCACCGAAAGAGGAATTTTCGCAATGTGTAGATTCAACAAGCACAATCCGACTCTCTCACACTATGCTTCACCCAGTATTTGGAGATCATAATGCATTCTATAACATATATAGCTCGTCTTTAAATACTTCTCTTGCTTGAATCTACAACCCAAAATGAGCAGCCACGTCACGAATTCCATCCTGATTTTCTGAAACCCATAGATCTACCCAGCCTTCTTTCTTCGCCTTTGCGACCTCCTCAGTACCAAGCGTCTCCTCATTCAGCCTCTCGATATATATGGTCTGGAACCCACATTTCCTTGCAGCCGCCAAATCACTCATATGAGCAGCTACAAGCGCGCATTCCGAAGTCTCAAGACCTAACTTTCGTGCCGCTCCTTGATAAACCGCGGGTGCTGGTTTGTAGACTCCAAAGTCTTCAGCGCCAGTTACATGTTTGAAAGGTAGGAAGCCGTTGGTGTTCAAATCTTTGAGCAGTGATGTATTGCCGTTGGAAAGAGTTGAGGTGATGAATTTGGTGTTTAAGCGGGTTAAACCCTCGACACTGTCTGGCCAAGGGGCTAGGTCATGCCATGCCAGGGACAGTTTCTGTATTTCATCCTCGGTGAGAAGGCCATCTAGTTCCCATTCTTCGAGTAGTTGTCGGAGTGATTGGAGATGGTATTCGTCGACGGTTACAAATAATGTCCGATTTTTGTCTAGATTGTCACTGTCCGTGGATTCGTAGTATTCGTTTCGCCATGCTTGTGCAAAAGCATGCCAGTCTTTTTCGGTTATAGAAGCGGCTCGATCGCGAAGCTGGGATGGAATCGTCCGGTTTGCATCGTGGAGAATGCTTTGGATCGATGTTGTAAGAGCTCGGTGGATTGAGGTACGCCAATCGACGACAGTGCCGAAGACGTCGAAGAATAGCGCTTTTGGCGGGATCTGCACTGACATTGTTTATCAAATTATGGTACTTTTATATATTAGGTGAAAAGATGTCAATTCTGGGATGTGCGTCTGCGACTTGTTCTCGAAATATGCGGGGTACAGTAGCCGAATACCCGTTTTCTCTATCCCGAGGTTGTTGATACATTCTACCCTGGCCAATTGTTACCTTTTCAATACTTGAATACTGCACTCCCGATATCATATCGTTTCAGGGCATATTCTTGAAATCTCCCGGTAGGATTGGCTGCAAGGCATTCTTCCGAGATGACTTCCATGGGTCTTCGAGTCGGATGGAAAAGCTTTGAATTGGGCCTGCAAAGCCAAAATGAACACGTCTCAGGTCTGAATTTCCTAAAGAAGCAATGAAGCAGGGCTAAAAGTGCAGTGCCTCTGTAAAATGACAAAATGGACCATCGAGTGGTCGTATCTTTGTGCTGTTATGGGGGTTACTTCACGCTCTTGTATCCCACCGCTTGGTTCAACAATCACATGCTCAAGACACTCATATCCAACGGAATTAATCCTATAAAAGTGAATTTGGGAAGAAAACCCCGTATGGTATGACTGAGCAGTCCCAAACGTTACCTTGGATATGAATGCTGGGCAGTGCTAGATGGTAGTTGATGTAGTTGTCAGGCATGTACCTGCAACACACTTGTCTAAACACTATGTTAAAACCATATTAGCGAATAGAGAATATTGATGAGGATAGGATTACATCTAGATATATTGGAGTGCTGTGTGGAAGTTGAACATACATATTGACCACATGCACCGCAATTATATTTGTTTGTGTTGATATCAACGCATCGGTAGTTACAGCAGGTCCAGCGAGGCTCGCACTTGGTAGTCATTAACTCAATGGAGAGACAAAACAGATAGAAAGAAGTACAGCTCACGCTCCTCAATGGCTCGAAACAGAGCCAGGGCTGTGTTTTGGTGCTATCCATGGTCCTTGTAGCTACGGGATTGGCGTTTACTTCTCTCGACATTCCTGGTTCATGTAAGAAGATGATTTGAAGGAGACCTTTGTCCAGGCTTACCGTAGATGAGGAGTATGAGAAGCACGCTTTTTGCCATAATAAGGGAAGAAGTTAGGCAAACCAGGAGAAGAACAAATTAGCCATGGACCTTGCAATCCCGAGGTGATGATATGATGTCCCTATATGTGCTTATTTGATAAGCATACGGTAAAACTCTTTGCAGTAACTCTAAAATATAACGTATATGAAAAACCATTTCGATCATGGGGTAACCTAGGCCCTTTATGTTGTTGGCATATGCGATGCAATAGTTTCATTGTATAACATTGCATAAGTGAGGGTGGGATGTAACAGCTTCATTCTCTGGTAATCCTCATAGTACCTACATACTCACTAGTTATATTATAACGTCTGTACTTCAACAGTACCTACTCTAAGCCAGCTAGCAGTAAGGAGGATAATATGATATAGATCTATTCTTCGACAATGTATCACTCAAGCTACAAACTGGAAAAACCTTGGATCAACCCACAATCTTGGAATATCAAACTGCGATATGCCTCCAGAGCCTAGGGCAGTGAGTATATAGATAGCGATCTGCAGTCTTGTTAGTCCAGAAAACAGTTATGGCTTACTGTCTGACAATGTAACTAGGTATCACTCGGGCCGAAAGAAATCATGGCCCAGACATGTGATACCAGGTCAATGCGATACATAGAATTACTGTCTCATGCATAGGTACCTAGCTAATATAGCATTTAGACTGGAACCTTGAAAGAAGTAGCGGTGTCAAGTCTATGAGTATACTAAATGACTATATTTGCCTACTTCTCACAGATACTAGTCCTGTCATCGCTATCAATGGCGTGTGGCCTGCTCCCATGATCAGGGGAACTGTGAATGACACAGTTGTTGTCAAAGTTCACAATAGTCTCGGAAACCAGTCTTTGTCAATTCATTGGCATGGTCTTCACATGGTTGGTAATAATAAAGATGATGGGATGCCAGGAGTGACACAGTGTCCACTCACACCAGGCACATCATATACATATACTATTCATGTATAGATTCTATACCCTTGTCTTAAACAGTCTCAGTCCTGAACGTCCATTGTATGCAGCTCGACGAGCCGGGGACATATTGGTACCATAGTATTTTTGCATCCGAGGCCTAAACCATACTTCATGTGTTAACAGGACCATAGGCCACTCCCCCAGTCAATATGTCGATGGTATACGCGGTCCTATCCTCGTCGACGACCCGTTTTCGCCATATGCGGATCAAATTGATGGTGAGTTGGTCGTTACTTTATCTGATTGGTACCATGGTAAGTTCCCACATATCTATGATGTTTCGGCTGAATACTGAGTAGATAATAGAGCAAGGAGCATCTTTACAAGTATACTATTTGTGTATGGTCTCCCCTAAACTGAAATTTACAAGTATGTATGCTTACAAGAGGGATAATAGCTTTGCCAGGGAATCCAACTGCTCTTGAGCCTATCCCCATGTCTGCCTTGATGAATGACCAGTTGTGGCCAACGCTTTCCGTTCTACCTAACAAAACTTACTTTCTAAGGGTCCTCAATATAGCAGGTTACGCACAGTTCTATTTCCACATTGATGGTCATAATATGATGTTGGGAATATCACCTCACATCACATATCACCTTTGCCAGCTATTTACATCCATACTAGATCATCTAGTATGCGCGCAGCTTTTTGGTCTAGTTGGTCAAAAGCCCAACATATGACCATCATCCAAGCAGACGGCGTATATACAGACCTTCAACTGGTTCAGGATCTCTATCTTGCCACTGGTCAACGATATGGGGTCCTGCTACATACACTGCCGACTGCAAGTCAAAATTACGTGATGTTGGGGGCCATGGATATTGCAGGCTTCCCTGGATCTGCACCAACCCCAGTTAGCCCGAATGTGACAGGAGTATTAGTATATGACCGTATGTGGTCGTTCATTGCTTTCCTAACTCGTGCTAAAATTTATAGCATATCTATCCATTCCTTCAACTCCCTTGGTTGAACAGTTCATCGCCTTCGACGACTTCTGCCTCACTCCTATTGATAGCATACCTCTTCTTGACCCGCCTAACAAAGAAATCGTGTTGAACTTGAGTACATTTTCCCAGGTAGTCCCCTTGAATGAACAGAATCGGTAAGAAAGGATCTCTCTCTATTTGTCCATTATTGGCCTTTTATTAACAGAAACACAGTGGTGGTTTTAATAATATTACCTACATTACACAAAGAGTCCCATCGCTATATACAGCTCTTTCAGGGGGACTATACGCTTTAAACCCAATGTTAGTCTACCCCTTCCTTCCCTTATAATCCAATTGAGAGCTCAAAAAATTTTTTATCCAGTGTATATGGTAATCATTCCAATGCATTCGTTCTCAATCTTAACGACATAGTGGAGACAACAATATACAACTATGGTAGGTAAAGCCCCAGCCTGATACGAGTTCGGCTAATTCCCTACTGCAGATACTGGACTACATCCAATTCACACTCATGGTCACAATGTTCAACTCATTTATCGTACAGGCAGCAGTTGCAAAAACCGAACAATACCGATGAGACGCGACACATGGATGGAACCACGTTGGAACAGTTTGGATCCTAATCATCCGTCCACCGTCGTCCGTTTTGTAGCAGATAACCCAGGCATTTGGTTTCTCCATTGCCACATGGAGTGGCATTTAGTCGCTGTAAGGATATCATATTTGTGCCTGCTTTATGCACCTCTTAGTCAAATAAGAAATGCTAACCATTATCTCCCTCAGGGAATGGATATCATCTTGGTTGAAGACCCGCTGCAAATTCAGAGAGGACAACGTGATATACCATTGTCGATGAAGTTGATCTGCTTGGATCAGAAGATCCCTCTGAAGGGCAATGCAGCAGGCAATTGGATTAATTTCTTGGATCTGACAGGCGAGGTGAATGTGGCTCCAATGGAGTGCGGGTAAGTCATGATCAACTTTCTTCTATCTTCTATACTTGTAGGAGATGGCTAATAGCAAACTAGGTCCGATTTTCCTCCGTGTTAAAATTACATTACTGGATTCAATCTTATAGGTCCTTATCCTCGACAACCATTTTTAAGGTCGAAGATCTAAGCACTGCGCCATGAATGAGTGTAACTCATCGCATCGGGGAGCATATTGATTATAGCAGCTGACTAGTCTCCAAATATAGCATGAACTTTCCATTCTGCATATCTGTCAAGTTGCGTCTGAAGTCAGAGCGATCGCCGGAGACCGGTTATTACCATCTCCAATCGTAGACCTTCACGACATTAGAGATTCTCAGGTGCAGAAGATTTGAGCGGGCGGCGATAGATATGCAAATAGAAGTCAACAAAACTGGAGAATGAATTACCCTCATCGATTAAAAGATAAAAATATCAATACCATTAGTGCCCAATCTTTACTAATCTGGGTTAACGGTATTGTCAATAGCTCTGCCAAGCAAAAGAAAGCTCTTGGATATAGGACAATAGGATCAGGAAACCACTAGCAACTAGGGTCACATTATCTTACAGATTCCTATTTGGAATGTCAGAGTTATGAAGCTATTGGGCAAGAACAAATTGGTCGATTCATCGGATGGCATCTCGATGTCGAGGAAGGCAACTAGTAAGCGTATCTGGAGTGCTTGAGGTGAATTTTCATTTTATTAGCTTTTGACAAACAGCTCCATAACCGCCGCGTATCCCATACTTATGCGTTCCTTTCAATTTCTGCTTGTAAGATGGCAAACAGCGTCGATGAATTCAAGAATGAGGACGTGTTGCGAGGTTGAAGCCTTAGTGTTTCTAAGCGGCTTTCATGGACCATTCGTGGTAGAATTAGAAACGTTCGACTTTAGATATGTCATGCCTGCACCTGAGCCAAACATAGCTGCACCGGCGGCCTGGATGACTCCGTTTATGGTTCCTAGTGCTGCAGCGCCTCCAGCGCCGGCGCTTTGAAGGAACGAAAACATGCTACCAGCAGCGACGTTCCCGATAATGGAGTGGGCGGCGGCGGCAAGAGAGCCTAAGCTCCAGCAATTGGTTCAGCTCAAAAGTTGTTATACTTATTCAGTCCTCTAACCTACCGCTCTGAACCCCTGTCCCTGTGAATCCTGCAAAGTTCAAAAGAAGAGCAGCAGCAGCCCCTGGAGCAGCGAGTAACGCAGCTCCACTGGTAGCAGCTACAGCCCATGCTGTTAGAGCTGGGTTTTCTCGAATAAACTGGGTTGCGCTCTGATGGAGAGTTAGTGAAGGTCATACAAAAGGAACAGCAATGAAAACAAACCTGCAGCAGTCCCTTCACCACTTCTTTAGCTGTATTGCTGTCAAAAAGCATGGTTGCAAATTTGACAAGATTGACCTGTGAGATAGGACACAAAGAGGGTGATTTAAGGACTAACGGAATAGCTGACTGTAAGAACTGCTTTTCTCGTTTTGTGTTGATTAGGTGAGATTCGAAAAGGATATATTTTGAACCTCTTTAGTACCTCGCACGTGGGAAGATGAATTATTTGACCGGGAAGCGCCGGTGTCGTCCAATGATTCACTTTTTTGCATCAACTGACAACAAGGGAAAGTGTTCACTGTCTGTGAGGTCTCGATCATTTTCGTTGTTGTTGGTGGTGGGACTCTGGGAGACTTTGTTGCACGTAGTCTGCCATGAACTTATACTTTTTGGTGGACACTTGGGCCTGTAGGTGCCGCTATTTCTCCTTGTTGAGGATACAACCTTCAGTCGTCAGCCAGGTGTGGTCATCTGCTCGCCGTTACCAAAATCATGGATTGCCAACCGAATTGCTACTTTCTTGCTAGACACAAGGACCTAACCCGTAGGTAAGGGTCCAGAATTAGTAAGTTACCTGCCCCAGAAAGTGGGATTTGTCCTTTCATCTATCGTATATGATCTTTTTTTACATAGAGGACAATAGATAAACACACCACTACACCCCCACAGATCACCTTTGCACCGATCATCCTCCTCATGGGCACATATCTATTCATTGCATTGGGTCTTCCCATTATGCAAGCATCGGCATTGGCTACATACCTGGAATATCCAACTGAGATCGGAGGATATGGTTTCTCTTCACTCCAGACAGCTTCCTTTACTATGACTGCTTGGATTGGTATGATTGCTGCCCAAGTTGATGGATATCCCTTTAATGACAAGATCCCATTATAGGTAGCTCACAAACGAGGTGGACCTGAAAGACAGAATATCGGCTAACAGATACGATTTCTGTAACGTTTAAATTGACAAATCAAAAACAGTCAGCACCTTGTCAATACCGAAAATGGACTGCGAGCCTGTTTCCTCAATTCTTAACTCTATCTGCAAAACAAATCACTGAAAAATTTTCATCTTTTTCAACATACAAAGAGTATCGCTCTTCAGAAACATGTCTACGCAGATTTTGTACGCAATGCGGAAGTTCGTGTTGTGGAGGACGGAGACGAATCCAGAGAAGATTGATATGTTTTTAGGGGCGATTGATGAGCAGTGGCTTGTTGGTCAGAAAGTTGATAGAGCTACTGGCAGAAGGAGGTTTCGAATCTATCTGTACTATGGATAGAGATTTGAAAGATTCTCTCGATAGTTTTTTAATCATAGGTACACATACTGATCTCTCTGCCTTAAAACTAAGGTGGATCCAGGTCCGTGGCACTTTTCACAGATATTGCATAATGTCTAGGGCGATAACAAGTTGCATCTGCCACATGCACCCTGGCTACACATTCCCACCGTTGGAAATAATCGAATCAGAGGAATCTGGATCTCAGGTACTGGAGACTGCCAGGGCATGTTCGAGGGGAAAAAAATAACGTATAGCACTCGCGCTGCTTTTCTCCATTCTGTGTAAAATAGAGGCGCCTGTCCTTGAATCTGAACCCGCATCCCACAACATCTCCCGTCAAGAATGGCGGATATGAATGAACAATAGCTTTTTGACCCCAGCATTGGCCAGTTGACCCTTCGTAGCCCCATAATTGGATGTAATGACCGGGGAGCTGGAAACGAGGCATGAATCCACCTGAAATCCCGACCTCAAGCTTCCTAGTAAAAGTTTAGTATGTCGTGAAAGGAAAAAAATTTCGATGTTTTGAAGTACTTTACCCTGTATCCCCACTTAATGTAACTGTGAACTCAAAGTACCAGTCAGTTCCTGGTGGAAGGGGGTGGTTTGCCATTGCTGAAGCTGAGAGCTCGGTTCCGACGATTAGAGGTGGCCCTGACAAAGTTGTTAGCCAACAAGTCTGAAATTCTTTTAATCCCCCTGTCTCACGCACCTAGGAAATGAAGGTCCTCTCCGTTCTCACCAACAGCAAGTTGTGGTGACTTGAACCAGTCAGTGCCCCATTGACTCGGCAGTATCGGCCTTCCTCGATTTCCGTCACTTTCCAGCGTCCCTGATATGCCGTTACCAGTCGGCTTGAGTCCAACCATGCTCGTCGCCTGCGTTCGGATCTGCCCCGGCCTGCAGTAGAATAACAGAAACCCTAGAATTACCGGAAGTTGTTGCTACTAGCAATGGAAACCCATAAAAGTCATCCTGGATGGTTGGATCCGCGCCGTTTTTCAGGAGAATCTCCACTATCTTGTGATGACCGGCGTACGCGGCTGCTTCCAGTGCTGTGCCGAAGACCCCGCAGATAGAATTGACTTCTGCATTGTGCTCAAGAAGAGTTTTCACAATCCGGAAGTGGCCTTGGAAAGCAGCCACCTGCAAAGAATCTCCATAGTGGCCTTCCTGGTGAGTAGGTTCGAACTCAAATAGTGCCAGCACCTTGTTGTGAGTCCTTTCTTCTATTCGTAGTGCTTCGGCTAGTGAAAGTCCATAGAATCCAATCTTGGGAAACAAATCATCCCAGTGGTCATTGAGATATTTATCATGGGGCCAGTGATCATGGAGGCCTATCCCACCGATAAGGAAAACTGCCTTTCCGTAGTAAGGGATTGTAATTTCTCGACTGCCGTGCATCACAAGTGACAAGCCTAGAGAGTTCATGTTTGCTCCAGACCTGAGAAGAGCCCTCACAACATGTAGAGATCCGCTGTAACAAGCTGCATGTATTGCGGTGCCGAACTGGCCGGCTGGTGCATGGACATCCCCCGATCTCGCCAGCAACTTCTCGACAGTGTACCAATTCTCCGCGTCGCACGCTATCTGCAGTGGAGTATCATATGGAAATAAGTTCACATCAACATTTTCAACCTTTTCTAGCATTTCATCAAATACAAGAGAACTACCAGCCGACATATGGAGGCTTGAGACGTAGTATCCAGCGATGATGTCTGGGCGCGCACCATTCTCGAGAAGACAAGCCATTTTCACCATTCCACGCTCTAGCACCGAGGATAACAGTGTACAAACCCAACCAGTTGCCTCGTTGACAGATGCTCCATTGTCGATAAGTGCTTTTACGAGTGCTTGGTCTCCACGCATTGTGGCAGCCTGTAAGGCGCCGCCGATTGACCCTCCTGGACGATGAAAGCCATTTTTTTCATGTGATGGGGCACCAGCCTCAAGCAAAGCATTGGTAGCTTCGAGGTTACCACAGTATGCAGAGGCTTGCAATGCGCTGCCAAGGTTTGGTGTGTGACTATTCACTTCTGCGCCTGCATTTAGAAGCAGCTGGATGATGCTCTTACACTTCCCTTTTTCCCCTTTTCGCAATGACCCACCAATTGCTGCCCCTCTCAATGCACGATTCAGGTCACTAGTTGAAGCCCGATCGCACTTTTCTCTATGTAGTGAGCAACGCCAGCTCTCCAGTTGAATAGTCCAGTAAAGTACAGTGGTGTGATTTTGTCATGATGGTCCTTGTTAGGTGCAAGGATATGATACAGTTGCAGCCAAGCTCTGCTGTTTTTTCCGTGACGAGCATGACGTTACGTAATGTTCAACCATACTCTTCGCTGTGTCCAGGGGCTTCTTCTTGCTGGATTGCCAAGATATATACTTGACATTGCAAAAAGATGAGAGCCATTTCCACAATGATGCCAGAAGGCTAGCTAAACTCCAAGAGAAGGGGGTTCGTCTCTTTCCCCTCATTTTCTAACCTCGAAACACGGCAGTGGGATTCGTATATGCACTCTATGATTGACCAGTCATCTGCTAAGTGATTTTTCCATATTGGTTTAGCTACGTCCTGATAACACGAAGCACAGGATTACGCAGTAAGCTATTCCAAAGAGCCCATGAGCCTGATAATATTGATGTTATTCGAATATTATGACTGATCCCCAGAAAGGGGATATCCCCAGGGAACCGGAATAGCTAATATTCCGGTGTTGATACTCAACACCTGGGGATTCCCGTACACACAATATCCAAATTTTGATAAGCATCAACCGATGAAGGGATGACCGCCCCTTTTCTCCGTCCTCCGCACTCCTATTTTTTCTTACTCGTAAATGCACTTGAATAGAGGGCTTACAAATCCCGGAGACCATAAATCCGAATGAGCAAGTCCGCAATTAAGAATATGGAGCAGCGAGGCTCTGCAAATTCATAGCTTAGATAATTACCGCGCTACTTGTTATGATTGGCTGCTGAATGAAGTATACTGCGCTTCGGTCTGTGATTGGCTGGACTTTGAAGATGTTTACAACTCTTATTCTATGATCAGCTATATGCAAGTTAATAGCCGAGACTTGGATTTGTAATTGTGAAATATGTTGGGTTAAAGTCGTCGCAGTTCTCTTCGAGGGAGGTATAAATTGGTTCGTTCTCCTCTCGTCTCTGGTTATAATATACAGGGCGATCCTTACATTTGGCAGGAATCTCTGGCTTACTAGCTGCGCAATGAACCGGGAAAATATGAAGACGATATTAATCCTCGGAGGATCCTTTGCCGGCGTCGGTACAGCCCATCGAATCCTGAAGCAAGCTTCCAAAACCAATCTGGATGTTAAGGTCATTCTGGTATCACCCAACACACACCTTTATTGGAACATCGCTTCTCCTCGAGCCATCCTACCTGATCAATTTACAGATGAGAAGCTCTTTGGATCTATCGACGAGGGTTTTAGACGGTATCCAGATGGTCAGTTTGAGCACATCATCGGATTTGCGAATCGTCTTGACACGGTCAACCGAAAGGTGGAAGTATCTATTGACGCCGAGGGGACAGAATCAGTGGCGACAGTCAGCTACAATTTTCTGATTATTGCCACGGGATCTAGAAGCAAAGTTTTCGATGAGGATGTCAAAGCGCCGTTCAAAGGATTGGGTTCAACCGAGGCAACGAGGGATGCTCTGCATGCTTTTCAGGAATTGGTGAAGAACTCAAAGACGATTGTAGTTGCTGGTGGTGGTCCAACCGGGGTTGAGACGGCCGGTGAGCTAGGTTTCGAGTATGGAAAGGACAAGAAGATTATTCTTGTCAGTTTCCGTCCTTTTTTATTGTATCAGAGCGTTCGTATTAACTTGCATAGGCCACGAGTGGACAGACTGTGCTCGAAACCGCCATTCCTAGCGTATCCAAAACAGCATTGGGCATGCTCCGAGATCTGAACGTCGATGTCAAGTTACAAACCAAAGTCAGCCGTTCGTCTCGAACGAAACGTGAAGGAACAAACCAGCTCGACATATACCTTTCCGACGGAAACGTACTATCCGCCGACCTTTACATACCTACATCTGGCATTATACCCAACTCGTCCTTCATCCCTGACAAATATGTGAATACGAATGGTTTCGTCAAGGTCGATGAGTATCTCCAAGTGAAAGGCTTTGAGAACCAGCGCGTTTGGGCCATTGGAGATGTCTCCGATCTTGAACCGCCGCAGTTGATGTGTGCAGATAGACAGTCTGGTCATTTGGCGAAGAATATAGGTCTTATCTTGAACAATAAGACTCCTCTTCCGTACAAGGGGGGTATACATGGTAAGCGACTGCAAAATGAAGGGATAAGACGACTCAGTGCTGATACTTGTTGATATAGGCATGGGATGTCAAATTGGCCGAAAGACTGGTACTGGACAGCTGGGTTGGGTTAAACTGCCGAGTTTTCTGATACATTTTTTGAGAAAGCATTTGTTTGTTGAGAGACTGGAACCAACGGTGGATGGGTCTGTATACTGATGTTTTTTTTTTTTTTTTTTTTTTTTTCATTAACCGTTGAAACCTCATTCGAGGTACTAGGTGCCATTGATAGAGGTCGCGATAGAATCCGTATGAGGAAATGACGAAGCCTGAGGCCATTAAATTACTTGGAATGGAAACAATCGGGCCAAGATCAAGCAAGCCCTAGCCCTAAGCTCGGTATCCCTTCTCAACAAATTTTAATTTCCATCATCACACATTGTCACATTGATGGCATTGTCCTACTGTGGAGTTGCAAGTCATAACACAAATGATTTGTCGCAGCATCATTGGCGTTCTCCAAGGTTTTCATGCAGTGTAATGTGCATGAGCAGTACATGGACATGGACAAGCCCTGCAATGCGTGATAGCCCATGGGTTTTGGAGTCTAAGCGTCAAATTCCTCGACGAGTCGTTTTTCCGTCTCTGATCCCGTACGTACTCTGCTGCGAACCATGCTCTACCAGTACATTATTTCTGTCGTGATTTTCTTTTCCCGGACGATTGAACGTGGATGCTCAGTGTTCATGATCGGCTTTTGTTTGAGGTCAGTCATCGGCTCGGGGTTCCTCGTACGAAAATTATGATCGAGACCAACAGTTAGATCTCGTGCTAGTAAACTATTTGTTTACTAGCACCTGATTCCAGGCTGCTCATTGGCCAATTCGTGGTGGGGAGAGAGCCATTAACATCGCGCCGATCCACTGCCGTGGCCCCCACAGCATTCCAAAATCAGATCTGTTGGAGTAGCCAGAAAAGAACCGGAAAGAGCGATGCGTTTTCAAGAGAATGGCGCGTTCGGCAGTCAATGACTGCTATGACTTATTAATCGTAATAAGATGAAGCTTGATAGTTTGTTGAAGGGAAGCAACGTGAACATTCTCTTCTCTGTGCTTTTTCGACAGAAAGCTCGGCAAGCATTGGCATACGTAATTTTGCACCAGCCACAGTCGCTCAAACAGCAGACAGTGGCTGGGTTACTGCGCAACTAGTCCCGAAACAGCAAGAGTGAGGCTTGAATAGTGCTGCCTAAAGAAGCAGGCAATGCGAACGATTGGCCAGTCCGCCTAGAGCTATTAACCACGGGCTTTCTAGTCGGGGCTCCACTCCTTCCTTCCTAGCTGGGACTCCATCATGTTCCCCCTCGGGAGTCGGTACCTTCCTCCACGTCTGATACTCTCGTTTTTGCATCTTCTTACCTCTTATTTTTCTTTCCTCCTACCCCTCTTTTAGCTTCACCTTCTTTTTAATTTTCTATTCACTGCATACTCCCTTATTTCCATCCTGAACTGCTATTTCTTCTCCTCACACCAATTGCTGATTGCCGCCTTTGACTCTCCGCGGTCCCTGAACCGCCGGGACCACTGACGTCGATAGCTCTGATCGCAGCTGGGCCATCCTGAAACGACCTCTTTGTTCGTGCCCAGCCAGCATTTATTTTTATATTTTCTGCAGTGTTTCTCTCTTGATAAGACTCACAATTCCACAGACACAGAAAAGATGGCCACCGACAGCTCTCAAACCGAGACTAAGCAGCAGGGCATTATCGAAACCGCTCAAGCTGCTGCATCAGATCCCCAGTCTAAAATCCAACCGGAACTGATTGAAAAAAAGCTTGTCGAAGAAAGCCGCAAGGCCGGTGCGGTAGCATATCAGTTTGATCCGAACGCGTCTCCGGAAGAGAAAGCACAAGCTGCGAATGCCGTGAGTCGATCGTTTGTCCATTTCTGTATCGAGTTCGATACAGTGAAGCTGAACGATGTGCACTGCCAAATACATGATGGCTAACATGATCTTCTCATATGCTCAGATCCTTCCTCCAGGTTTCCACAATCCAAACAAACAAAAGGGATTAGCATTGGTATCAGATAATGTACAGCCGACTTAAATGTCCATACACGGAAGGTTCTAATGTTAGTGATTTAGGATTTAACGGGACCCCCTCAATATGATCTTCCATCAACAAATCAAGCCTCAGCGGAGGTCAAACAAGCGCCGACCTTGAACGGAGCCGAGAAGCGATCAGCACAAAATGGCCAACTGACAGAAGACCAACGCTGGGCTCGTGATCGTACGGGATGGGCGCCACAATTTGCGAAGCCGGACGAAAAACGAGAGGAGGGTGAGACATTGTTAGATCACCGCACCTTTTTAGAAGAAAAGCTCAGCGATAAGTTCTACGGAGGTAACTCTTATTTGCCAGCTTGCCGGTCTTGACAAATGTCTAACCAAACATAGACTGGTATCACAACGCCGCCGTTATTGTTTTCGCCTGTCTCTCGTCGTGGATCATTGCAGTGCTCGGGGGAGGCCTAGGCTGGGTTTTCCTAGTAATGGCGGCATGCGGCACTTACTACCGAACATCTATCCGTCGCGTTCGCCGCAACTTCCGTGACGATGTCCATCGCGAAATGGCTAAACAGCGTTTGGAAACAGACTCAGAGAGCTTGGAATGGATCAACGGTTTCTTGCTCAAATTCTGGCCCATTTACGCTCCCGTGCTTTGCGATACCATCATCAACTCTGTTGACCAGGTCCTGAGTACCTCAACTCCGGCCTTCCTCGATAGTCTCCGCATGAAGACTTTTGTCCTCGGAACGAAACCACCACGTCTCGAGCATGTCAAAACTTACCCCAAAACTGAGGTCGACACCGTTATCATGGACTGGAAATTCAGTTTCACGCCGAATGACACCATGGATATGACTGCACGCGAACTCAAGGATAAAATAAATCCCAAGGTAGTCCTAGAGGTTCGAGTTGGCAAGGGTGTGGTCAGCCATGGCCTCGATGTGATTGTAGAAGATTTTGCTTTTTCGGGCTTGATGAGAGTCAAGATGAAATTGCAGATTCCTTTCCCTCATATCGAACGTGTTGATATCAGTTTTATGGAGCGCCCTGAGATTGACTACGTCTGCAAACCTCTTGGTGGTGATCATCTTGGATTTGATATTAACTTCATTCCCGGTCTGGAAGGATTCATCAAGGAGCAGATCCATGGAAATCTTGGGCCTATGATGTATGAACCCAATGTATTCCCCATCGAAATTGCAAAGATGCTTGCAGGGAACCCCGTGGATCAGGCAATTGGTGTTCTTGCTGTTACTCTTCACGGCGCTGCCAATTTGAAGGGGTCTGGCCGAATCGGCAACACAGTCGATCCATACTGTTCCATCTCTATCAACAATCGGAACGAACTGGCGCGCACGAAAACGATTCGAGACACAACTGAACCACGTTGGAATGAGACTCATTACATCATTATCACCTCGTTTACTGATTCTTTGACGGTGGGCGTCTTCGATTATAATGATGTCCGCAAGGACCAAGAGTTAGGCATCGCTACATTCCCACTTGATAAGCTTGAATCGGAGTCTGAACATGAGGGTTTAGCCTTGGATATCTCCTACAGTGGTAGAAGTCGTGGCGTTCTGAGAGCTGACGTCCGATTCTTTCCTGTCTTGGAGGGCAGAAGGCTTGAAGATGGTACAGAGGAGCCGGCACCCGAATTGAACACTGGTGTGGCACGATTTACTGTTGAACAAGCAAAAGAACTGGACGGAAGCAAGAGTCTGGTTGGCTCTCTCAATCCTTATGCGGTTTTAATATTGAATGGTAAGGAAGTGCATGTGACTAAAAAGTTGAAGCGTACCAACAACCCCATTTTCCAAAACTCGTCCAAGGAATTACTTATTACGGACCGGAAGCATGCCAAACTGGGCCTTCTCATCAAGGACGATCGAGACCTGGCGACTGATCCGGTTATTGGTAAATATCAAATCAAACTAAATGATATGCTGAAAATGATGGACAAGGGTCAGGAGTGGTATCAGCTTCATGGCGCCAAGTCAGGTCGTGTTAAAATGATGCTTGATTGGAAGCCCGTCGCTTTGCGTGGTATTGTTGGTGGTGCGGGCTATGTGCCGCCTATCGGTGTGGCGCGTATCCATTTCAAAAGCGCCAAGGACCTGCGAAATGTCGAGACTATGGGCAAGTCCGATCCGTATGCTCGTGTGCTGCTTAACGGTATCCCGAGCGGTCGCACGGTCACTTACAAAAATAACCTCAATCCCGACTGGGATGAGATCGTCTACGTTCCGGTCCACAATGTGCGCGAGAAGTTGACGCTGGAGGTTATGGACGAAGAAAGCCTCTCGAAGGACCGTAGCCTTGGTGAAGTCGAAGTTTCCTTGTCGGATTACATTCACGAAGACGAAAATGGCGAATATGAAGTCGACGAGGAAAAACAAGACATCCAGAGTGGTCTTCGCATGAACGGACGCGGTACTGCCAAGGGCTTCCTCAACTACAACATAGCTTTCTATCCAGCCTTGAATGTCTACGATCCCGAGGAGGATGCTGAAGAGGAGGAAGAAGAAGAAGAGCTCTCTGGTCTTCCGTCCCGAGGTCATTCCAAGCAAAACAGTGTTGACTCAACGCGCAAAAGTGTGGACCGGAAAAGCATTGATGCACCTAGGGCCAGCACTGATATCAAGTCAAACGGCAGACCTAGTATTGACACTGCGCTTTCAAAAGCTGCCAGTAATGGAGGTCTGGAAACTCCCACATCGACAAAGGCCATGGCGCACGGACGTCCTAAAATTCGCATCGAAGCCGCAGACTTGACAAAATACGGTACGTACTGGTTCTCCTTGGTTGGTAATAATACACCCCGTAAGAAATTTCTAACATGAATTTCCAGAATCTGGTCTTATTGTCTTCAAGCTCATCGATGGGCAACTATCGCACACCAATGTCTATCTTGAAGTTCTCGTTGATGACCATATGTTCCCCTCATACACATCGATGAAGATCAAGTCTCGAGAGGCAACATTCCAAGATGGTTAGTCTAGTCTTCAGTTTATCATGGAATCTACTAACGTTTCCACCTTTGTTAAAAAGTTGGTGATGCATTTATCCGCGAATTGGACATGTCGCAGATCACCCTTCGACTTGTGGAGAAATCCAGCGACAAGGATGAAAAGCACGTTATTGCCAAGTTGACCGGCGATACATTGTCTACTTTGCAACGATGCCTCTACACCCCAACTGAACTCCAGCTTCGCGCGGAAAATGGCGCGATTAGCAAGATTAAAGTTAGCCTCCGATTCATTCCTGTTATGATGAAGCTGGACCCTCGTGAATCAATCAACAACTCAGGTGAACTGCGTGTCGATGTGCTCGACGCTGCAGACCTTCCATCTGCCGATCGTAACGGATACAGCGATCCATACTGCAAGTTTAAACTCGATGGGAAGGACGTGTACAAGACCAAGGTCCAGAAGAAGACACTTCATCCTGCATGGAATGAATTCTTTGAGACATCTATCAAGTCCAGGATTGGTGCTAACTTCCGAGTGGATGTCTGGGACTGGGACTTTGGAGACAAAGCGGACTTTTTGGGCGGAGCTGATATTAATCTCGAGATGCTAGAACCGTTCCACTCACAGGAGGTTACCCTTGACCTAGACGGAAAGTCGGGGGCCATACGTCTTAAGCTCCTCTTCAAGCCGTCCTATGTCACAAGAACGCGCCAAGGCCAATCCACAATGTCTGGTACTTTTGCTGTCCCCGGTAAGATTGTTGGTGCTCCTGTCAAAGGAGTAGGCTTGGTTGGCGGTGGAGTTGTCAAGGGTGCATCCTTCCTCGGCCGTGGTTTGAAGAATCGATTCACTCATAAGGACAGCGAGTCGAACGGAACTTCAACTCCTATACGCGAAGAGTCTCCACCACAAACACCTAACAAGCCGACCGAGCAGCAGGGTGGGGGTCTTGCACGTGCTCCAGGCTTGGTTGTCGAGCCTAGCTCCCCGAGTTCTTCAGTCGATACGCCAGGGCCATTAAACCGTCGCCACAGCCGTACTAAAAGCGTCAAATCCCTTCTTGGAGAGAAAGGTACTCCAGGATCAATTGGAGCTGAGACAGGGTCAGCCATGTTCACTATCGTCTCGGCCAGTGGATTCCCGCCATCAGCTAATGTGCGCTGCCATGTCCGCCTCTTGGGTGCCAAGGGTACTAAGGAAGTGCACAAGACAAAGGCAGTCAAGAGCTCGGACGGCTCTGTTCAGTTCGACGCATCTCACGAGACTTTCAAAGTTCCCCACGTCCCAGCAGACGCTCAATATCAGCTGAAAGTGGTTGACCACAGCACATTCGGTTCTGACGCCGGCCTTGGTGAGGCGCTGTTCTTTGTTGACGACCAAGGCACAGCAATGAGCAAGGAGAAAACTGTCACGGTTGGAACTGGCAGCGTGGTCATTAAGAGTAGTTTTGCGCCAAGCGATCTTTCCAACGGCCGACCCAGCACGTCCCATTCTGTGAACCTTGATCCAGCGGATGCTAATGGCGAGACTCCCGACAAAAAGCGGCGGAGCTTCTTGTCGAAGCGCAGTGTTAGTGGTGCATAAAATATCAGCGATACCTGTCCTTTTCGTTTGCCGATCAAAATCGCGAGTAATTATTTGTTTAATTGTTTGATTCTGTTGTTTACCGTTATGATATCCTGCTTTTTGTTTATTCGTTTGGCATTCTTACTGTTTATAATGTGCTGTTGGCTGATGTCTGTAGCATCCTTTTGAAAATGAGATTTTATCTTGCAGATGAGATACAATCGATTATTCACTATCTCTGGTCGCTCCATCTTGCCTTAGCGAGGTGACTAGTGGATGGTACTTCGACATGATTAGCGATCGGGAATATTTACCTCTATATGATCGACCAAGTACTCAGATTAACGTCGTACTCCGAACCGTAGTCACAAAAAACAAAAAATAAATCGTTATTATTATCCCCATTCAGTACGGAGTTAAGTGACACGACACTCTGCTGACTTTTGATCTGCGCACGTGTTCTGTCTCCCCTATTTTCCTCTGGCATCCCAGGAGCTCTGTGGTCCAAGCTCCCAAAGTGGGAATAGCCCGTCGTCATTCCTCTCCTTCCCTCTCATCCCCTAATCCCCTTCTCCTCTTCTCCCCTTCTTATTTCCCTCTCTCTCCCTCTCTTCTTCTCTTCATCTCTTCATCTCTCGCTCAATTGTTTCTATCAACATACTGTGCTACAATCGTTGATCTGCTCATATTCATCATTTAATCCCTTGTCTCTATTTCCAGCTGCTTCTACCCGTGGCCAAAACATTTGTACCCCCACCAACCTTTCCAAGGTAAGCTGCATATTCTCTATACCGTCTTTTTGCCTCCCTGTCTAGCCCTCCCCTCCAGACCGAGACATTATACACAAACACTTTCAAGCGGTGCAAGAATCCCAAATCCAATCAATTAATTGTTCGATGGTATCGCCGCACAAATCCTCGAGACACAGTTGATTGTCCTTTCGTGTGGCAATACCCAAAGAAAGAAACTGAGGGACCTTGTGTTGCCATCTCCCAGTTGAACGAAGCCAAGCCATGTTGTCATCATTATTTTATCTGAGCTTGGTCGACAGCCTGCCGCTTTTTGCCCCGCTTTCACCACCAGTCGATCTCTCCTTTTGAGGCCCGTGGTTTCAACTGTCTCTGTTCGTTAACTTTTCTTGTTTCAAAGCTAACTGAGATTTCTTCTTCTTCTTTTCGTTCAGGTAAATCAATCTACCGCCGTTTATTCAATCCCTGTACAGATCAGTCGAGAGCTTGAGTAGCTCCGGATCCACGTTTCCTACTTCAGAGATAACAACAAACAAGAGCAACAACTATGGCCGCGAAAGCAATTCCTTCTCACTTGAGAGCCCAGGCCGAATCTGGCGCTGAAGGTGAAAGTTTTCAGCGCAAGCATCATGGAAAGTCTCAATCTCACATGGTATGCATGTCAGCTTCTGGTCTTATCTCTGCAAATCGCCCATCTGGAATCGCTGTCCTGAAGCGTGCGCAAATACACGCAGGATGACTTTTCAGGACGTCATTGAATCCAATACTAATGTGTAATGATAGGCTTTCGAGAATGCTTCCACCAGCGTTGCTGCTTCCCAAATGCGAAATGCCCTGAACGCTCTTGCCGAGACCGTCGAGGATGGTGCCACCAAGAAGCGCTTCGAAGCTGAGATGGACAACTTCTTTGCTCTCTTCCGTCGTTACTTGAATGACCGTGCTAAAGGCAATGTCGTCAACTGGGAGCGCATCAACCCTCCCCAGCCCAGCCAAGTTGTTGACTACAACGAGCTTGGAAACTCCGCCTCCGTCGAATTCCTCAATAAACTCGCTGTCCTGAAGCTCAATGGTGGTCTCGGAACCTCCATGGGCTGCGTCGGCCCCAAGTCCGTCATCGAAGTCCGTGAAGGCATGTCTTTCCTTGACTTGTCTGTCCGTCAGATTGAGTACCTCAACCGCACATACAACGTCAACGTCCCCTTCGTTCTCATGAACTCCTTCAACACCGACGATGACACACAAAACATCATCAAGAAGTACGAAGGACACAACATCGATATCATGACATTCAACCAATCTCGCTATCCTCGTATCCTCAAGGATTCATTGCTCCCTGCGCCCAAGAGTTTCAACTCTCAGATTTCCGACTGGTACCCACCTGGTCACGGTGACGTTTTCGAGTCCCTCTACAACTCCGGAATCCTCGACAAGCTCCTTGAGCGTGGTGTTGAGATTCTATTCCTTTCCAATGCTGACAATCTTGGCGCTGTCGTTGATCTGCGCATCCTCCAGCACATGGTGGACTCCAAGGCTGAATACATTATGGAATTGACCGACAAGACCAAGGCTGACGTCAAGGGTGGTACTATCATCGACTACGATGGCCGTGTGCGTTTGTTGGAAATTGCTCAAGTTCCCAAGGAGCACGTCAATGAATTCAAGTCGATTAAGAAGTTCAAATACTTCAACACCAACAACATCTGGATGAACCTCCGCGCCATCAAGCGTGTTGTCGAGGAGAATGAGTTGGAGATGGAGATCATCCCCAATGAGAAGTCCATTCCCGCCGACAAGAAGGGCGAAGCCGACCTTTCCATCATCCAACTCGAAACAGCCGTTGGTGCCGCTATCCGTCATTTCCGCAATGCTCACGGTGTCAACGTACCTCGTCGCCGTTTCTTGCCTGTCAAGACCTGCTCTGATTTGATGCTTGTCAAGTCTGACCTTTACAGTTTGCAGCACGGCCAGCTCGTCATCGACCCCAACCGTTTCGGCGGTGCTCCCATCATCAAGTTGGGATCCGACTTCAAGAAGGTCTCTGACTTCCAGAAGCGCATTCCGAGCATCCCACGTATCGCCGAGCTTGATCACCTTACCATCACTGGTCCTGTGAACTTGGGACGCAACGTCACTCTCAAGGGTACAGTCATTATTGTTGCCACTGAAGGTAGCACTATCGATGTTCCTCCTGGCTCTATTCTCGAAAACTGTGTCGTCCAGGGAAGCTTGAGAATCTTGGAGCATTAAACATGTATCAAGTGATTTGTGATTCACCAATACTCTGTAAAATCATTCTTACTCTTCTTTCCATGCGCTCCCAGCTATTTATCATATCATGTTTATCGCGGCATTACTCATGCTCAGCGATGTGAGTAGGGTGATGTTAGTGGAGTTGGATGTTGAAGTTGTCATTCGTGTTGAGAGTGATAATAGATACTACGCAAGGAGGAGAATCAGCTGTTTAGTCTCTTAGCTTACTTTTAATAAACGAACAGTATACATATATTTGTGCCAGTGATCTCTATAGATATTGCAAGTGTATCCCTACACTAAATGTTGTCGACACTATTCCTTTGATGATTCCAACTGACTCATGAATCATCCCTGCTGAAGTAACTGAGTAGACGACTGACTTGTTTTCTGGTGGAAATGTTTTCCTGTGGCTGTGGTGCTTTCCCGTTGATATCACCCCGACGTCATAGGGCGAGACCTCAGAGTTCGTCGACAACCTCAACTTAATATGAATAAACTATCATTACCTGAGCGCGACATTATCTGACTGACTGTATCGATCTATCCACATACGAAAGCCATACTGCTCCTTGCCACTCTTCTCGGTTGAAGAGTGTCCCTTTAAAGGGCTACTTTAACGACGCTTGCGGAACACGCAAGCATGCGTTGACACCAATAACAGCTATGAGCTCAGCACAAAATGATCAGCAACGTCAGCAAAATAATTCTGGGGCGAACGATCAGGATGGTGATGCGCAGCTAGGTGGTGGTCAGAGCACCTTCAGACCGATTGTGCCAGGCCCTTCGTTCCCTGATCAAGGGGTGCCAACGGCCGGTACGAAACGGACTATGGGAGCAAGTTGGAAGAAGAGAGTGTCGACAGCATGTCTGGCATGTAAGAAGTCGAAACGAAAGGTACGCACTCCCTTTTCCCTTTACGGTATGTCTATATAGTAATACTCATGGTGATGCATTGCTTAGTGCTCTGGGACTCCTCCATGCGATAACTGTCGCGCTCTTCATCGAGAATGTATATTCGACGAGTCACTCGATCAACGGCGGCGCGTTGCTGCCAAACGAACAGCCGAAGAATTAGAGTATCACCGCGACATGCTAAACGATCTGTTCAAGGTTATCCGGACAGCAGATGAGAAACAAGCGCAAAGGTTGTTAGAACTTATACGAAGCGATGCGACCCCGGAAGAGATTCGTCTATTTATAGATGAAGTTCTCGTTCAACTGCAAACCTTTGAACCATCCAGTAGAGCGAAACGAGAAACGACGGCACAGCTGAAAGAGCTCAGAAGTCAAGCAAATATGCAAGGATCAGCGCCTTCTTTTAGACGTCAGGTTATGGATGTCAATTTCTTGTGTGTTATCCCACCTATCGCGGTCCCTGCGAGTCCGTGGACGACAGTGACCGATGACGACGCTTTCGTCTCGCATTTGATTTCTCTTTATTTCACGTGGGATTATCCTTTTTACTCGTTTTTGGATTTGAATGTGTTGATCAATCACATGAAGTCGAGGGATTTGAATTCACAGTATTGTTCGCCTTTTTTGGTGAACGCGTTGCTGTCTCATGCTTGTGTTTGTCTTTCCCTTCTAGGATGCCTTTTTGGCTACAACATGCTGATGGCATATGGTAGAGCTACTCAGAGTACTCGGAGGCATACGGCATACCAGGAGATATCACCAGTAAAGGCTCCAAGTTTCTGAAAGAAGCTGAGAAGTGTTTGGAGCAACGAAGCGACGATGTCAGTCTCTCCTCATTACAAGGGACAATGATTCTATATGAAAGGTATGTCCTGGCGCCTCCTATCGGGGTCTCATATTTACTGATTGGTATTGCATAGATATTCGATGACTGGTCAGGATGATCTGGGATACGCCATGCTCTATAAAGCCATCGATATTGCGGAGCAATTGGGATATATAGGTGGTGAAGGACAGGATGTTGATCTTAGTCATACTTCCAAGGACTTTTACAACTCAGCGATAAAAACAGTATGGGGGTTGTTTCAACTTGATACGTCAGTCACTCTCGCCAGTGCATTTACAGCTTGCAATTCAATATTCTAAGAGGTTTTACTGAAACACTACTAGGGTCGCTCATACTGGATTCCTTAAGCCCTGTCGCATCAGAAACGTACGCCTCTCAAGAACGCCAGCACTCAGCATAGAGCGAGATTCAGATTACTGGTCTCCTTATCCATCTCAGAAACCGCCCCGGAAAGCCTACTTTGTCACCTACTTTGATAAAGCGTGTACATTGAGTGAGATTGCGAGGGATATTTCCATTACACTTTTCGCCGATGAAATCGTTGACGACAAGGAGCGACTCTCCGCGGCAGTTGACTCGTTGTATCAGAGGATGAAAAGGTGGCACGAGAGTCTTCCATATGAGTTTCATATGTCCAAGAAGCCCGCTCCTCATATTCTTCTCCTTCAGTAAGGTGGCCAACATCCCCTAGCAATAGATATAGGAAACTAACGGAGAAAAGTATACGATATCACACTATTCTTATCAGCATGTTCAATTGCCCTCGAGGACATAATGATCAGGATAGATCAACGGATTTGGGAACAGCAACTGTAGCAACAAGATCCCAAATGCCCGAAGGTGGCGAAGACCCGGCATCAATAGCGACATCATCTGCACGCGCAATCGCTAAACTCATCCGGGTCCACCAGGAGGAATACGGAATAAGCAGGTCGCACGTCTTTGCATTATATGCGGTGAACCTGGCATTATTCCTCTTGCTGGAATACGATACCTTTGATATTTCAGACCCAGATTGTGTCTCCTTGACGTCTGCATTCTCGATCATCACCACGAGGTCTATCCTTGGTCGTGAGGTTCGATCTATCTTCCGTCGATCGGTCAGTAAAAAGAAATCAGATGGCGAGTCGAGATGGGAACAGCTACCCGAGGGTCTGAGGGAGATACTAGAAGACGACCCCTTCGAGACATCTGGTTCAGAGGCTGATCATGATGGACATGATGGCATAAGCGACGAAGCAAACCATGAAGGAAATACATCTACGACGACAACACCCCTATCACCGACAGAAGAAGATAGACGAGTGCAAAAACTAAAGAAGAATCGAGGTCCCCAGGAAGGATCAAGGGGGTTGTGTGAGATGTTGTGTCGATATGAGACTATGACTTTGGGACGTGATGATCAAGTTACGGGGAAGAAGTAGTGTAGATTTTTGTGTGATAGATTAGTGGTCAATGTTCGCACTTGAAAAGATTTGTAATGATGATGGATGTGTTCAGGATATGTAGATGAATTGAACTTGGGCTTAGGGCTTTGAGATGGGTCTCGCCATCTAATTGGTGGGTAGTTATTTTAGGGCTAGGAGCTTGTATTCCCTCTGGCTATATGTGCATGGCTTCAAGTTATTTAACCATCAATGATACGATTAGTTCAAATATACATAATTCAGTTGAGATTATGACTTGCAACATAAGGATTACAGAAATGACTCCGCAACACTAGGCCAATCGTTGTAGTTCTCACGGGGTTCTTTTACAGACCATAATGAACGGCATTGCCCTGGTTGTTCACAGAGAATGGAATTCCATTCTTGATGCGATGAATTACATCCTGACCGTGTCACTTCATGAACGTCCGACCGAACATGATCATATCGATCTTCCCTCCTTTATCAGTCTGTCTGCCTCGCCAACGGTGTAGTCATTGTTAGCCATAAGTTTGGAAGGACTACCAGGAAACTTGACAAGCTTTTCAAAATCGATAACTGGATTATAACCCTCAGGAATAGGAAATTTTTTTGGGTCAGTTAACTCGTCCGAAGAGATCTCCATCAGATGCTCCACGACGACAGAAGGTAATGATTCCTAGCCTACGTTTGACCATTTCATTGATCAAGTAGGTGTACACCTCTTTCATCTCATCAAAGTCTACCACAGAGTCATTCAAGTAATTGGTAGGGCAGATCTTGACGCAGATAGCCTCTGGGCCGTCAAAACCCTCGGTAATGGCATCGATTGTCTCGAGGATGAAGCAGCACCTATTCTCGACTGTGCCGCCGTATTTGTTTGTTCGCTTGTTGGTGCGACTGATCAATTCGTCAGGAAATTATTCATACGCGGAGATCTGAATATAAGAACTTACGAATTGAGAAATTGTTGAGGCAGGTAACCACTGCTCGCAGGGACTCGGTTAATGTTCTCTTGCTTTGACCTTATACATAGGTAAAAGATACACACCCTTGAGCCAACAACTCAATACCATCAAACCCAGCTTTTTTGGCTAGACTGCAAGCATTTCGATATGTTTCAAAGATTGTTTTCGGGTCTTTGATGGCGTGGACATTGGCCATATGTCCCTACATTACACGCACCAAATAGATTAATATCATGGCTTGAAGGGAAAGCCGTTTGTACGCACAGGCCGCCCGGGTAAGTCACGATACTCTCCTGCGTCTACTTTGATGGAAGACGGAGCTATGACTTGAGCATTGTACTCCTTCGCAATGGACATCTCATCGTGGGCACAACGACCCGCATGCCAGGTCTGGAGAAACATCTTGCCTCCGGCTTCGTGGACCGCGTCGGTCACCATTTTCCAGGCCGCAGCAGGGCCATCTATGATCATAACAAAGGTATATTTTCAATCACTACCAGTCCAGTCAATGGAAACGCTTTCGGAAACAATGAAACTAGTGCCTAGTGCCGTCTCTGGCCCTATCAGTGTAGTGTTTGACTTGTGCAGGTCCGAGTTCATTGTCATCAATGCCTCGGTTGCGGGTCATGGAGCCTATGACGACCCGGTTTATCAAGTCGAGACGGTCACCAAGGGTAATAGGATCCAAGAAACTGGACATTTCGAAGTTCACGAAGGTAATTCCGTGAGAGGAGGATGGTAAGCACACTTTGAGGGTTAGTCGAGGCATGGGAGCTTCCCTTTATATCGCTCTCGCAGTTATATGGGTCGCATATCTGTAGCCTAGTTGATAAGTTCAACATTCGTCTACCTTCGATGCCTGCTGAGGAATAAGACGGATGACAATTGACCGGATCCTAGACAGTGATGAGAACCATCTATCCCGCACATCCCTAAACTCTCACCCGACTCCCATCCAATGACAGCGCTTATTGTGCAATGTGAAACCGCAGATGAAGACTCCAAGGGCATGTTGTCAATGTCGCAAAGTGAAACGCAAATGCTCCAGGCGTGGGCCCTGCGAACCCTGTATCCCGTGCCAGTGAAAGCACCTACAATGTGGGTTGGAACTTGTAGGAGGACAACGTGAGACAAATCATCGTCCGGCCGAGAACTCGTTATCTTCAAGACTAGGCCAAACCGTGAGCTCCGATGACCTAGGCCGAACGCATCAACACACTTCCAGGCATAGGATAGACTTGCCTCCGGATCTAGCAATATCTCTTGTCGAGCACTATCTCGGGGAGATTCATGACCGAACCCAGAGTATTTTCGATGCAGCAACACTGAGAGCCAAAAGTAAAGGATAGTGACATAAGCAGCACGCTACTATACACCATTGCGCCTTGGGATCCAAGTTCTCGGTGGACCCAGAGAGACGCCATCTCGAATTGTGTCTCACAGAAGCTGCCAAACGCTCATTGCAAGCTGAACTAGAGAATATCTGCATCGAAAATATACAGACCTGTATGATACTAGCAAACCTGAGTGCTGGGAACGGCCACACCCAATTTCAGGCCCTCTACCTTCATAAGTAGCCCTGCTGACGAGTATTCCACAACGACACTAAATTCACAACCAGTTAGGAGTTGCTAGTAGCATGACTGAGATCCTGCGCCTAGACTCGCCCCATCCAAATGCTCCGTTCATTGACCAATATACTTTGCCCATGGATGAACTCACATTTCATTCTCTACTACCCGGCGCCGAGCAGTGATTGAATATTACGTGGAAGCCCGGCATATGGGCCCAATTAATCAAACTGGCTCGTCACCCTGTGCCAATCCAAGACCTCAAACACCGCATTGCGAGCGGAGAGGGGGATAGCAGCATATTTGACACTGAATTGGAGAACCTTAAGCACCAACTTGAGAGTTGGAGTCAACTGCTTCCACCGGAGATGCAGATTGTCAATTCAGAACCTGATGAGACAAGACCAAAATGGGTTCGGTGGAGCTTTCGTTGCTCTACATCTCACCTATCACCATTTCTCAACTCTGCTCTATTTTCGGTTCCTCGAGGGACAGAAGGGCTCATCGATGAGGCAGACAGTTCGGGGTATATCGCCCTGTGTTAACACCATGCCTCGTCTTTCAGAAGTCTACTTCACTTGTCTCGCTAGAGATAGGGATGCAGAGCCAACTGTCCAACCATTGCACACATGCCGGCTTTTTCTTCTTCTGTCTTGGTCCATAGCCTTCTCTTCGGTGAACTGGAGGACCTTCACACTGCACGTCAAGAACTCAAGACAAAGTTTGAGGCGCTCATAGATTTTCGGAATTATTGGCCCGCTACGGTAGCCATGGTGACCTCGTCTCCTGTCCCCAATATTACCGTCGCCAAGCTGACTGACCTCTTGCAGATTGATCGTTTGATGACGTCTAAAGTCTCTATCTTCTTTGCACAGAATCTCATAGGTTGGATGGGTGGATGGTAAGGTACCTGCTGGAGTATTCTCTCGACCTTGGAGAGCGCAATCTGCCCCCATCAGCATTTCGGATACGGAAATAGAATCAGAGAGTATGGTATCTAGAACTCGACATCTGCAGAAAAATGGGCGGTATACAGATTTACAGTCTTTGACTGGGTGAGAATGGCTAAAGCGAGGTTTGCCCATGCCCTGTGATGGCGATTTACTTCCAGCTTGCATTGAATAGTCTACGGCGCAAGCGACATGCTCAACTTTATATCTAAAAGATGGATTCGAGTTAATTTTTGAGAGTCACGAATAAAGAGGTATTATTTATTTAGAGCTAAAACTACCTGTCTAAAGAATAGTATGGTTTACTAACAAGCTCTGTGGTTGCAGGTAGCCTTATACGCAGTAACTTGATGCCGCTATTAAGGTATCAACGTACAATGGATTTGGCAGTAAACAAGTCCCTTTGATCATCCCACATGATTTGTTTACTTCCTCTCAACAGTCTCGTCCTGGACAGGAGGATACTCATCAGCATCCAAGGCGTTCATCTCCTCTTCCTTGTCGTTCAAATGGCGGAAGACGAAGAAGAAGATGACACCAGCGCTGAAGGAAGCGCAAGCCAGACCGACAAACATCCATTGAATGGCAGGGTCGTAGGCAACAGGAGTCAAGGCCTCACCGATGGCAGAGCCGAAAGCGTTGGTCAAGAGGTACATTGACTGAACAAAGGACTTCATGGTAGGAGGAGCCTTGGTGTAAGCATACTCGAGACCCGAGACGGAAGCAAAGATCTCTGAGATACCAATGAGCATGTAGGCGGGGGTTTGGATAGCGATGTGGATGTGGTTTCCCTGAGCGACTCCGTCGACCATGGAAGCATCACAGAGAGGAGCCTCGTAACATGGACCGGCTTTGTAGATGTAATACTGAAGAACGGCAGCGTACACCATGGCCAAAGAAGCAACGATGAAACCCAAGCTGATACGGCTGATGGGCTTGAAGGGAATGTGAAACTTGCGGAGAAGGGGATAGCCAAACAACTCGAGAATAGGAATGAACACAATAATCGAGATGGGGTCAAAGTTCTGCATCAGATCGTTGGGGATGCCGTGGCCCTCCATTTGGCCAGCTTGGGTAACGAAGTTGTTGGAGAATTGACCGTAGACAACCCAGTAAATGGGATAGAAAGCGAAGACCTGGCAAGCCACCAGCGCACGCTTGACTTCGTCGACGAAGTGGTCATCCCAGCTCAAGTTGCTGCTGTTACCATGCTCGGCCTGCCAGCTTGGCTTGGCAGCGTCCATGTTGAAGTGCTTGATCATCATACCCAGTACGCGGAATGCATTGGTAATGACGGAACCTTGTGGTGGGCGGACAATGTAGAACTTTCGGCCCACAACCAACACAACGGTACCAACCGCAAACATGCATGTGCAGAGAAGATAAGCGGTCCAGAAACCGACGTCTCGCTCCATGTAAGGAGTAGCCAAAAGCGACAGGGAACCAATGTTGACACAGCCGTAGAAGATCATGTAGATACGTTGAATGGTAACGGCAGGGTCAATGATCACCCGCTCGCCGTCGGGGTTGGTCTTGATGGCCATCTTCTTGCGAGTATATTGATCGGCAATCAAAGGAGCAACGTTACTCTTGATACCACCGGTACCTAGGCCAATGACAATAATGGCGACAATGAAGCCACCGAGGCCAGCACCATGCTCAAGGGATACGGGAAGGGAGGTGAACAGCAGGATGAAAAGACCGGTGAGATAGACGCCGCAGAACATAGCAATAGTCTTGTACTTGCCCAAGTACTGATCTGCGATGATGGCACCGAAGATAGGAGTGACTAGAAGGCGAATCATCATTAAAATTTGCAGACTTTGAGAGCGTCGCAAGAGAGTTGAGACTTACCGTAACACCAGAACTGGAAGAACGTCGAGAGACCGGTAGCACCCTGATGTCCCATACCAAGGGCACCGCGGCCCTGACTGCCGTCGTAAGGACGCTGAATGTAGTTCTGGAAGATACCAGACACGCCGTAGTAGGTGAATCGCTCACTGAGTTCGACCACGGCAACCAGCCAGGCGGACAGTGGCAGATTCTCCGCAACGTGCTTCAACCTCTGCTTCTCTTCCTCGGTGGGCACCTCTCCATCAGGAGTATCGAGAGGAGCCTTTTCGTTCACGTAGGGAAGGTCGCCTCCTGTGAAATCCTTGGTGGGATGCGCTACACCCTCCACATTGTCGAAGGACTGGTGCAGTCTGGGATCTGTTAGCTTCCATAGTTCGTTCCAAGCAGGGATGCGTGGGCTGCTACTCACTGTGCAACCTCGACCTCGTGGTCTGCGGCCGACATGGTGAGAAGAGTATGCTGTGTGTTTGTAGAGCCGCACCGGCTAAGGGCAAGCACAGGGCCGTTGGAGAAGAGAGAGAGGGATGAGGAGGAGATCAAGAAAGGGGGATCAGTGCCATTTTATCGGTTCATGCATAACGACGCATGCAACGCCACGCCACTGGAGTCGAAGGAGCGTGATTTTTTCTCTTCTTTTCTGCTTGGGTCCCACGATTGCAACCACGCGCACATGGCCTTATCTCGGACAATAAAAGAACTAGTCTCACAGTGAACTGGGGCAAACAGACAGGCGAATTGACTGTTCTCAGTGGGCAGAGAAGAGAAGAATCAAGAGATTTTCAAGAGTTCGAGCGGAGTCCATGTGACACTTGGCCGGATTAGGCAGTTGTTCCAGGGCGGAAGGAGCGCCAAGCGCATCGCGCCTTCCGCTGGTTGCTGCCGTCTGGAGGGACATCTTGGCGGCACTGATAAGTCGCTTGGCCAATGTAACCTTCATCTTTCCTCTTCCTTTCTCACACTTGATTCATCTCATGATCTTATCTCACTACATTCGATCTTTACTCAAGAATCCACGATCAATCAATCCAGGAGTCCTCTATTTCAAATACGCACCGATTGGAGTCATTGGAGCACAAAAATCCAATAAAATTGTACGTAAGATCATGATCGCCGGATCCACACTCACTCACAATCCACCGGAATGCGCCGTCCTCGAGTCGGAATTTTTTCAAAGGCTTAACCAGCAAATGCTACTCGCCAAGCTCTGCGAGATTTTTCTAGGGGCAAATCCCGGCTTCGTTATTTGTCAATTTGTCAACTTGGGACAATCAATTAAGCAGCGGCCTCTGGTCTGGTGGTCTGCGCTATCAGACAGCCCATGCAGTGGCATGCAGTGGCATGCAGTGGCATGCACGGATTATTCCGTCCCATTCTCGATAAGAGAGGGGCTTTTAGGTACGTAAACCAGACTGAGCCAAGACTCGAGATGCAAGACCGTCCCCAATAATATCGCCTTCTAGAAACCGCCAACGCACGATGCCCCTTGGCACAACAACGTTGGACCTGGCATGCATACCCCGGCCTTCGAGAAGACAAATCGACCTTCCTGATCTGATGTAGTTATCCATAGACTGGGGGTTGGCGGTTCCACATGTCCACAAGGGTGTTCTGTATTCGACCGTTCAAGTTGAGCTGACTCGGGGTATGGCAGATGCTCGCTCCCACAACCAGCAGTGCGATTCTCAACCCATCCTTTACCGAGGAAGATGTGTGGAATTGTCAGTTAGTGCTGAGTAAATGCTGACACTTACCTAACTAACTCATGGAGCTGGTATGGTTGCTTGATAAGACTGGGGAGTATGCAAGGAATTGCCCATGTCTTTACTTTCACATGCTGTATACTAACTAACTACTACTATCACCGACTAGCCATGGCACAGCAGGTTTCACATCTAATCATTCAGCTCGATAAGTCCACCGCTTAGCCACGGGAAATGAGGGCATCTTATCTCTAAACATTGGAAGAGATCTCGATCAGACCACGCCGAGATGGTAGGTTACATTATGTGAGATCCATCTCTAATTGACTGGTTCATATTGGTCGAGTCCAATCAAACCATGTCCGTGACATTGCCGATCACGCATAATGAATGCTTATTGGTACACAGCGAGCGACCCTGACTTACCCCTTTGCTCGTCAAATAACCTGGGGTACATCCACTTTGGTCATTTCGAGCTTGAGCTCCGGTTCAATAATGGGCAAACTGAGAAATTTTGTCATTTCAGTCCGGGTGACGACGGATATTATCTTCATATCGATATTTCCTGAGCGTACGCTTTCTTGATTAAAAAACGCTTAAGCGTCGACTCGGCATTGTTCGCAGTTCGCAAGGAAGAGCACAGCCTAACTAGTAACAACAGAGTTGGACTGGATTCCTCTTCTGACCATTGGCATTACCCTCGGCTATCTCAATGGAATGGCTCAGATACAGTTCAGTTAGGTACAACCAAATTGATGTCTTTGGCTGGTACCAGGGCACAGCTTCGCTCTGCCAGAATGACATGGCCAGAGCTTAGTGGAGGTACAGAGCTTAGTCAACTCGCTGCATGCGCTCTATTTTCTTTGCGAGGCGCAGCTATAACCCGTCCTTTTTCCTCGCTACTCGCTGCTTACTTACCGTAAGACTTGCTACTGCCCATCGGGGTGTAACGAGACTATGGTCACTACTTGTGGTACCAGGGTAGTACGAAGGTTCTACAGACACAACTGGACGTACTACGTCAAACTGGAAAAGAGTAGCAGGAACCTAGACAGCCTTGGGGACTCGCCCATTCCAAACCACTATTTGTCAATTCGCATCGCCTCCCTCTGCCAACATGTCAACATGTCAAAAGTAAGTAGTTCAAACCAACGTTTCATTACCTGGTAATACTGCGAGAGCGGTCAATTGCAATATTTCAATGTTCACTACAAGGGTCAAAAAAATGATGTAGAATATACACGCTGTTCCAGTTGCAAGATTCTTTAGGAAACACGAAACCGCCCCTTGCCAGGCAGGTACTGTAAAAGATTCAAATCAATGCAAAGATCAACTTGACAGGGAGAAACATCATTATCAATGCATGGTATCACTTTTTCTTTCTCCTCACTCCCCTCACTCCCCAGTACATCCCCAAACATCGTCTCATCATACCCACGGATATGCTCCTGTGTCAATCGTCTATGTTCGTCGATGTCCGTTTAAACAGTGTATTTAGCCTTGGCGCGTGTGCTACCACTGTGTGCGCTATCAGTATGGCCCGAGAACTCGACAACATCCGCCTCCTTCAAACGCAGCACTTCCTTGAAGCGACGTCCGATATTCTCCAGCACTTCTTTACCCTTAGCGGCAGAACGAGCTTCGGTGCTCTTGTCACCTGGAAGACTTTTACCGACGGTACGAGTCCACAGACCAATACGATAGAATCCCTTGCGAACATTGACAACCACACCCATGACCTCATTGTCATCGTCGTTTTCGAGCGTTTCACCAATGGCGGCGAGTTGGGCGTGGAGCCAGAGCTCGTCGATGGGGACAGCACGCTTGTCCTTGAAGGAGTAGGACCATTTACCGCCGTGTTTGTTCTGCTGGTCCTCCCATTCAGGTCGGATGCCCTTTTTAAATAGATGGTAGTCGGCCTTAAGACCAAGTTCGGAGGTAGGAGTGATGTTATTCTAGACAGATATTAGATTAGTGATGAGCTTTATGACTTAAGAGCTGAGTGGCGCAAGAACTCACATAGATACCCCAGAATTCTTCAACTGAGCTAAAAGTCACCACTTCCTTGAGAAGATCATTCCAGTTGTCACCCTATTTTATCACCGTTAGCCCTGTCGCTTATTCGTCAGCACATATGGAATCGCACCTTGCCACTGGGAGGCTTCGTGAACCACAATGTCCATTCATTCATCAAGGGATGCTTGACATTAAAGTTCTCAGGATCGTGGAAAACAGTAACAACGTCACCATTCTGAGCAGCGGGCTTCTCGTTAATCGCAGGAGCGGTGCCGTTCTCAGTCTCAGTCGCCATGATTGCGGTTGTATTTCGTAGTATTACTCCCGAATCAAAAAGGAAGATTCAGGAGGAAGAGAGATTGACGATAGATGAGAGAAAAGAGGAGAAAGATACCCTTCAGTAAAAGAGAAGGAGGGGTGGGTTGTTGCCTTCTTAGAGTGGGATGGGAAAGAGCGCAGGGCACCACACCACAAAACACAACCTCACAAACAAACAAACAGTCCCCAGTCGAGACAAATAAGGTCAAGAGAAGATAATCCTCTGCACCAGGCAGACCACAGATTGGCGTTATATGTGTATGGTATTGAAAGGCGCAACGCCTATTCGAGTGGGTGGATTTTGTAAAGGAATTTCAACTTTTGCCGTCGGGCCTTGTAATTCAGGATCAAAACTGAAGCAACTTTTTTTGGGGTTGGCCACCCAATCTGCTGCTGTCATTGGCTCACCGCCCGGGATTAACTCGGATTTTGCATGCCTCATTTACAATTTGTTATTTTTATATACTTCTACAAGAGTACTATTTTGATAGAAAAGAATCTGATTATTAAGAGATGAAAGGATTGAAAGATTAACCATTGCATACCAAACAAACCATCTATGTCTATGAAAGTTATGTAATTGACATTGCAACCAGACCAATATAACCCAATGTCCTGTCCCTGAACATATTTTCGCTAAATGTGACAAATATAACAATCAAGCCTTGCTGTTGACAAAGCTCAAATAACAGTTCCATCCTGTATGAGTAATATATTAGCACTTATCCCCGAAATATGCTGTCTGAGATCCAACTCACCCAAACTGACCACATTAACAACCAAAACCCGGTACTCCAGTGGCACAAGGGCAAAATTGCCCAATTGGACGGTTGACCAAACTCCCAAGTTCGTCTTATATGTGGGCCAGTAAGCCTTGCGCAACTTCTCCATAGGATCGGTACCTTCCATGATGGACATGGAAGACAAGAAACAGAACAAGTTGACAGGTGTGAAGAGGAGCTGATCGGCGGCGACACGAGCAACGACTGTGGCAGCGGTGCTCTTTAGGACAACGTGACGTTGGAGGACGCTGTACCAGGCAGAGGCGGCAGGACCGAAGATGGCTATAAATCTGCATGTCAGTAAAGCTTTCACAATGACAACAAGCGAAGCCAATGGGTATTTCCATACCTCCTCCGTAGAGAACCATGCGACCCGTTCGAGCATAATCATGCTTATCAAAACCCTTCCTATCAACAGCCTGCTGAGCTAGCACATCTCCGGCTCCGAAGAGTGTCTGAAACAACAAATTTTAGCATGCGCATGTCGGAACTCGCAATCAATCGGCCAGAACGTACAGCTGTGGTAATGCTCGAGGTGAGCAGTGGCCGCTGGGCCATTCTCGCGGCATACCTAACACATCATCAACAAATCTTGCCTGATGAGCAATTGCGGTCAGCATGGGGACCCACCAGCGCAACATTTTTGCTATGTGGTGAAAAGATCGACTGAACTGAAGAAGAATGGACTGGTAGAGGAACGACGAAAATATGTACTGATCTTATTTATTAATGAACATTGATGTATGTAAAATGAAAAAGAACGACAGTCAAAAATTGAAAAAAGGATGGGATGCCATGGAGCCCATGACGACAGATTAGTACGGAGGTGTCGATGGTAGGACGAGATAACACAGGCTAGGCCAGCCTGCGTTCCTCAAAGGCTCCCAGGGGGTGGAGGTAGGCCAGCCAAGTGCGCTGAAAATGCTGGAGATCTCACATCCACAGGAGAACTAAAGAGAGAAAATGGAGAATATCGCAGTGTAAAGCCAATCAGAGCATAAATCAACCGGGGCGGGACCCGGTGGATGGGGTCACCTGACAGTTTAGCCTTTTTTAGTCACGTTTCTTTTTTCGCCGTCGGTTCTTACATAAGCAAAGGTATTCCTCCATTTCGGGCTGTTAGGGCTTAGGGTTTCTCTGTCTAGGGCTTCCCGCCCGCTCGCTTAGACCCAAAGTCCGTCAGGCAATCTGACTGGTCGGCTGCGGGAGCCACACTAATTTGTATAGAGAGAGAGGGTAAAGTGGGCAAACCTTACAAAAAAGTTCGACATTCGACCTTACGAACGACAACCATCTCGACAATCCCCTCCCTTCGTCCCCCGGTCGACTATCCTTTCACATAACAGCAATCATGGCTGACGCTGCTCCTCGTCGTGGAGGTTTCGGATCTCGCGGTGACCGTGGTGGTGACCGCGGTCGTGGCCGTGGCCGTCGTGGTCGTCGTGGTGGTGCGAAGAGCGAAGAGAAGGAATGGCAGCCCGTCACCAAGTTGGGCCGTCTCGTCAAGGCTGGCAAGATCACCTCGATGGAACAGATCTACTTGCACTCTTTGCCCGTCAAGGAATACCAGATTGTCGACTTTTTCCTGCCCAAGCTCAAGGATGAGGTCATGAAGGTACGATTGTCAATCGCATGGATTGAATCAGGCTATACTCGCAATTGGACATGATGAAAAATCGAGGAAGTGGAAAATTGATCGAGGAGCCTGGTTCAAACAAGCGGAGATTCTCGCAGGGAGATATAAGAGCATGCGCTGATATTGTCAACCAACAAACAGATCAAGCCTGTCCAGAAGCAGACCCGTGCCGGTCAGCGTACCCGATTCAAGGCCATTGTCATCATTGGTGACGGTGAAGGCCACGTCGGTCTTGGAATCAAGACCTCCAAGGAAGTCGCTACTGCTATCCGTGCTGCTATCATCATTGCCAAGCTCAGCGTTTTGCCCATTCGCCGTGGTTACTGGGGTACCAACCTCGGTGAGCCTCACTCTCTTCCTACCAAGGAGAGCGGCAAGTGTGGTTCCGTCACTGTCCGAGTATGTTTCATTTCTGTTCCCTGTATATGAATTGATACTGATTATTACAGCTTATCCCTGCTCCCCGTGGTACCGGTCTCGTTGCCTCCCCCGCTGTCAAGCGTCTCCTCCAACTTGCTGGTGTCCAGGACGCCTACACCTCTTCTTCCGGTTCCACCAAGACCCTCGAGAACACGCTCAAGGCTACTTTCCTTGCCGTCGGTAACACCTACGGTTTCCTTACCCCCAACTTGTGGAAGGAGACTAAGCTCATCCGCAGCCCATTGGAGGAGTTTGGTGATGTCCTCCGTGAGGGCAAGCGTTACTAGATGTCTGGTTTTATGAGGGATTAAAAATGCATAACATACCTATTTCTTCTTTTCATTGTTTTCTTCTAATGCCGGAGCATGACACCTTTTCTTTGATCTAAAAAGAAGTCAATCGAACCGACCTGATTATGAAACGAAACGTAAAATCAGGCGGGGGATCGTAGCTTGATCTGTTAGTAATTATCTATAGAATACAAGCACTTGATCCTAATCTGCGCATCACAAATATATACCGGTACAGCCCTATATCTGCTACAGGAACAGTAGTCTATTTCTCGGAGTCAGCCCAGGTGAATTAGTAGGTAGACACTTTCGGGCACCTATCAACGTTTCAATAAACTAATTGGACATAGTACTATTGAACAACTGATATATCGAATTCCAGTTCGTCGCCTTGGTTCTCATTGGAAGCTGGTCAGTATAGTAGGGTAAGCACCCTAACGCAATGCACCCCTTTTGTGTAAGTATGGACTTGTCCATACAATACCTGATATCAGATATTCTTCAAGCACATGCCTTGCCAGCCGTTACGCAGTGCGGGCAGAAGTTCAGAGTAAGTCGAAGGAAACGCTTTATATCGAGTCTTCCATTTGACTTCCATTTCGGGAAATCAACATCACCAAAAGGGAAGGAGCCATTTTGTCTCTTTTCTTTTTGTCTGGATTATTCCTGCTCTTTGATCTTTGTGGGAAATCTTCTCTTTTTTCTCTTCTCTCCTTTGCAATTCTTTTGTCTGTCCTTAGGTGTTCATCATATCATTTAGCATCACGTCGTTAGCCTCATCCCTAAACACTCCAGCTAGACCATGTGCGCATGTCTCGACTATGCCTCAGAAGTTGTGCGCATCCCTTTTACGCGCATAACGCCTGAGTGAAGAGAATAATCTTTAGGTGACGATGAAAGCTATGATATTATCTTCTCTCACCCAACTCTCGCTGAGTCTTTCAGACTATCCATTCTTTTGTTTTGTCTTTCATTTAGTATTCCTTTTCTTCGCATTTCAGGAACTCGACGCGAGAATTGAGTTGGCCTTCGAGGCACCACGCAGGATACTCGCTATGGCCCGAGATGGGGGTCTCAAGAGATCAGTCATTCCAAGACTGAGTATGTCGCGTCTCAAACGGCACAATGACCGCAAATCTGGCTCCCCCATGTTAGGATTTGGAAGAACTGCTTCGCAGGAGAGAGGTAGGATGCATGTCTAGGCATAAGCCATTGACAAGAGCTGTTACTGAGAAAGGATAGAATCTGTGACGCTGTCTCGAGTTGAAACTTCGTCCCTTTCTTCGTTTGCAACAGGTGAGTTATCGACCTTGTAAACGGGAGATATATTTTTGACTGACATATTTCAATCAACATCAAGATAACCCTCACGATGACACCAATCCAACAACTCCAGAGACTCGTTCAGAGGTCGAAGTTCCAATCATTCATCGAAACTCAGTATCGGATCCAATAATGAGTCCAATTTTCCTAGGAGAAGATTTTGGAGCCTTACTTAGTGTTTCGTCAATCAGATCCCAAAAGGATCTCTGGATCGATTTGTGGCGGCATTTTGATCCTGGCGAGAAGGTCGTTCCTGTCGATGGGCAATACCTAACCTCCTTGAACTCCTTTGGGGGCCTCCGGCGCCTCAGGGTGACTGGTATGCTAAAGTCTTACCAGAAACAGCTGTTCCAGGCTATCTGGAAGATGGAGCAGCTTGAAGATCTTCAACTGCGAATGGCCGAAGAACCTCGTGTATCATCACAGCTACCCTGGCGTCTCATAGAAGAAGGATGGGTACCTAATGCGGAGGGAACTCATGCTGGTCTCTCACCGTACGTCTCTTATTCAAGAACAATTGAAATGATTCCAGATCTGACAGAGAGTCTCATATAGGGGCGACGGCAAAGGACGCATCAAGAGACAATACGGAAACGCCGAATACTTTGACAACTGCGTCATCGAATTAGCCAAACCGAAACTCAACCCCGATTACCCAGAGTATGAAGCGTGGATGTCACGACTCCTCCCTATCGTCCACCTAACCCTGCGCGGGTTTGTGGTTGATGCTATCCCCTTCTGCAGCTGCTTCGACGGGCAGAAGTTACGTTCGATCACGTTTACAGACTGCATTGACGCTGGGTTTTGTCTTCCATACGAAATGAATAACGTCCAGCTTCGTGTTGACTGTTCAAAAACTGCAAGAGCGGAGCCTATTCGACAGGTTGTGCCAGATCGAGAGCTGAAGCGCATCACATTGAAGGAGGGGAGGAAAATTGATGAATCTCCTGCTTCTTCGCCGACTCAGAGCGTATCTTCACGGTCCCGTTACCATAGGAAGCCAGATCCCTCTACATCTATTCCGCACCGCGTCCCTCTTCCGTCTCCAGCTCCAGCTCCATCTTCGCCTTCTTCTCCCTTTCCGTCGTTGATGCCGTCCGGTCAATGTTTGCGACAGCCTCGGTTCTCGATGCATTTCCATCGACGTGTGGTCAGTTCTGTTATTGAGGAGGATGAGGGGGAAGAGTAATACAGTCTTTTCTTGGAGGGGAAGACTTGGTATTTCTCCTTTTCTTTTGATATCCCAGATCCCTTTTGAAGGGATGCTGTTATGACTTTGATGACTTGAATGTATTATGACCATGCCATGAGAACATGCATCGATGGTAACATTATTCATGTCTCTGTTTCTATTTCCTTCTTTTTGTTGCTGGACTCGCCGACTTTTGAAAGTGTGTATTATACACATGAGCAGAGACAACTGACGCTTTTTCTGTAACATAAAAGCTACGAACTCTTCTTCCTAACATACGGAAGCTCCCTTGAAATACACACAATGCATCTCCTGCTACGCTAAAGTGCAGGTTGGTTATTGAATAATCCGTCATTGGTGGGATGGTTAGTTGTATGGGATTGAATTATTGAGCACCTGGGCAGTTAGGGTTAGGGCTAACTCTCGGGATTGTGTCAGGATACGAATTTACCCCATAGATGATTAATTCAATTCATTCTTTTGATCGGTAACTAGAGTAACATACTTTTCATAATTCATAGCCCGTATTTTCGATTAATAGTTGAATGGTTTTAACGTCTCGGTTGAAACAACACAGCATCGCAAGGTAGTCTTTAACCTTGATACTACAGCAAGTTTTGCATTTTTCCATCTCTCCTCCATGTACTTACGATTATACCGTCACATCGCGACTGGTATAATTACCAGACCATATCCTGACGTCGATAACACTGTTTTCGGTATCTTTCTCAAGTTTCAATAACTCTTCCCTTCAATGTAATGTCGATAAGACCCAGTATCGACAGCTTTCAGGAGCGGACATCTGATTTACACTCCGTCATTCTCGCCAACGCGAATTGCGCCTTCGTGGTTGATACCATTGGACCAGAAACCGTCGACAAAGAGTTGTCTAGAAAGCGTTAAGAATTTCAGCACTTCAACCAAGTTGAAGAGAAAGAGCTTACCCAGTCTCGCTACTATCATGACCCAAGAGCAACCAGTAGCCGAAAATACCCTGGGTCAAGATGTCATGGATCGCCCAAGCAACGGTTTCGGCATCTACACTGATGCGTTGGCTGAGAGGGGATGCAGCGAGGATACTATTGCGTGTTTAGTTCCGAGCTGTAACATGGGGGAAGAAAACAAAGGGACCTACATAGGATACAGCAAGAATACGAGCAGGTTAGCACCCGCAAACGAAGTAAATAATGCGCGGTGCTGGTCAGCTCCTCGACGCACGGATCGAGCTCCATTGACACCAACTTGGAAACCGACCGTCAAGAAAGCGATAATCGTAATCGTGTACCACACCCATCGGCGCTCATCATGCGAGAATGTAGCCGTCAATCCGGCAGCAAACATGATGAGATCGGCGGATATGGCAACGACAAGATTTGCACCATTCAATCCGCCTAGGAGGGCGATGTTGATGAGGATCAGAGGGGTGGTTATGATCCAGTTGAGATATCGCACCCAGAAGATTTGTCGGAGGTATTCTTGGTGGGTGTCCGGGACGTGCTTGTGGGGATGGTGGACGATGGAGTGTTTGTAGGTTACGCCTTCGCCGGTGGCCATTGCCAGGTAGGATAGGAATGAGACTGTTGTGATGAGGGCAGTCAGGGTGTGGAGGAGGCGGGATTGCTGTTCAACATCAGCATTCATGCTCGTTTAGTACTTCTGGGGACAACAATGTACCACTCTAACTCTGGCAGCGAGGGTGTAAAAGGCAAGAGCGGAAATTGCCATGAGGACGACGACGACCCTGAGCACTCGGTATCAATACCCATGGATCTCTGTCATAGACCTTTGGTATAGTGATTGACTCACCATAGTGTCCGCTTTCCGGTATCATGGATATGTTGAACGACAGGCCAGTCTCCCGGAATCACTGTCGGAATAGGACCGACGGTGGGAGTTGAGGTGGGCAATGTTGCCGTGTGCTTGAGTATTTCTTCCATGCCGGGAACAATCATTTTCTTCCTTTTGATCAAGGTGATGTGGTGAGAGGGGTGGACGAGTACAGAATAAAAATGAAGGATAAATTGGGAGTCTCATGTTATATAGTTAGACGAGGCAACATGACGACATCATCTACTTGGCTAGAGAGTACCCGCCACTCATTCTACATTCCTCCTCCCCCATTTGAGACTCTGATTCCTGTCACGAGGTAGTGCTCATGGCCCCCATGAGTCTCCGAATCCAGGCATCAGCATTTTTGAATTCGCTGATACATCCCTGGCTTCCCCCCACTGGACATGTATAGGGACAGCAAAAACCTGTTCTGTTGAGGAGAACATAAGATGGCCACCAATGGACGGATTGATGTCAAGAGTCAGTCATTTTTTTTCTGTTTAATAGATTTAAAATAATCCGATCCGAGCGATCTGGACTCTTTCGGAGGTTGGAATACATACGTCATTACTTTGATCGGGACTAGCCCCGATATGGTAAGGCGAGGGATTACCCCGGATTTTCATCTTATCAGCTCCTCTTATCGTACATTGATCTATATAAATAATATACATGCAGTAAAGCTAGTTGCCGTCAAGCTTGCTTGCTAACCACGTCGTCACATCGCTCGCATAGAGGAGGCTCCTCTGCCACAGCTTCTGGGGCAGCATACCGCCAGCAGCGAGGACATTTAGCCTGGGTTGGTGCATACACATGCACTGTCGCCTTTTGCTTGGAATTGGGCAATTCGAATTCCTGTGTATAGCTCCATTTAGCACTTGCAATCTCACCAGGGAGATCCGATCCCTTGACACCCAGAGACACCGACGATACCACGAAGAGATCCGGAAGCTCACTAATATAGCGTTGGAAAGTGCCAAGTGACTCGTCGCGTAGTTCGAAATAGACAAAAGATTGTAGGGAAGAGCCCATCTGTTTCTTCGATCGCGCCGATTCTTGAATGATTTTGACAGCTGCATTGGCTGCCATGAGATCGACGAAATCGTGGCTGGTTGTCTCATCGACCCACTCGGCAGGTGCTGCCCGAGAAATCCGTTGTAGCGGATGTTTAAGCTGTGCCTTCACACGCTCTGAAGTATGCTCCCAAGACTCTTCAACGAGTAAAGGAGTGATTGGAGCCAGCAGTTCCTGCAAGTATGTGTAGATGTGGAACAATGTGGTCTGTGCTGCACGTCGACTAGCACCGTCTTCTGCCTCAGTGTATAATCTGTCCTTGAGGGTTTCCATATAAAAGGCTGAGAATTCATGGTTTGCCCAACGATTCAAGGCGTTGACGGCCTTGTAGAACTCAAAGCTATCAAATGCGTTTCGACAAGTGTCCACCAATCGAGTCAATTGCATCAGCGCCAGGCGATCGATTTTGTGAAGATCTTCATATTGACGTAGATTCACACTAGGATCAAAGTCTCCGAGAGCACCGAGCAGCAATTTGAAAGTGACGCGGTATTTATGTAAACTCGTATTGATAGTTTGCAAAACCTGCTGTCCAATGACAACATCTCGAGTATAGTCGCTGCTGGCCACCCATAACCGGAGAGCGTCAGGTCCAAGTGCGTCGTAAACCGGGCCGGATACCTTCTGTTCTTTGGTGCCCTTGGATTTCTTTTGCTTGAGCGGGGGAAGAAGCGTACCGTTCATGATAGCGTCTGGCTGTATGATATTCCCGATAGATTTGCTCATCTTGCGAGCATCTTGATCAAGAGTAAAGCCGTGGGTGATGAGGTGCTTGAATGGTGATTTGATAGTCGAAGCATCGCTCTTTCCAGAAGCCACTTGATGTGCGACATAAGTAAGAAGACTAGACTGGAACCAGCCGCGATGTTGGTCAGTCCCTTCAAGGTAGATGTCTGCTGGGCGGTCCTTCTCGAGTGATTCATTTTCTACTTGGGTCCAACTGGTTCCGCTGTCAAACCAAACATCCATCGTATCCGTACCACGGCGATAATCTGAAGAACCATCTTGCTGAAGGAACGGAGGTATCCATGCGGGATCTTCAGGACTGTCTGTCCACCACGCATCAATACCACGCTCATCAATGACATTCATAATATGAGAAACCGTTTCCTTGGTGAGTACCGCTTGACCGGTCACTTTGTCGTACAAAGCTGGTATAGGGACACCCCATGCCCGTTGGCGTGAGATACACCACTCGGTTCGATTCTGCACAAAATTCTTTAATCTCTGCTTACCGGACGCCGGAACAAATGTCACGTCCTCTAGCGATGCCAGAGCCGACTCGCGAATGTTGGCTACGTCGGCGAACCATTGCTCAGTAGCACGTATAATGATCGGCCGTTTTGATCGCCAGTCGTAGGGGTATTTGTGCTCATATTTGTGTTGACAAAGTAGCTGGCTCATTGATTCAACATATTGCAAGACCAATGTATTCCCCTCGTCTAGGACGCTTTTCCCTGATAGAAAGGATGGATCGCGAGGCATAGCTTCGTCTGTAAAGCATCCTTCGTCGGTAACAGGAGCAAAAGCTTGGATTCCTTGTGCAAGGCATACTTCATAATCATCCATTCCGTGGCCCGGCGCGCAATGAACCAAACCGGATCCAGAATCAGCCGTCACAAAATCTGCAGCAATGATAGGTTGTTCTTCGACTCCGTCTCTAGGAAATAGCGGCCTATAAGTCGTTTTCTGGCATAGCTCAGATCCTTGAATTGAAGGGACAAGAACTTGGAGTTCCTCCTTGAGCATATCTTGGAAATAGCCGAGTCTCGATTCCGCGATTAGCAGCTGTCCATGGTTGCTCGATTGAACGATCAAATAGTTTAGCGATTCGTGAACGGCAATCGCTGCATTAGCCGGTAGTGTCCACGGTGTCGTAGTCCAAATCACAGCACTTAACGAAGTCACGTCAACCAGTGGCTTGTCCCTTATTTGTTCTGGTAGTTTGGCTAATGGGAATCTCACAAGCGCGGCTGTGGAGATGTGATTATCATTATATTCCAGTTCAGCTTCGGCCAATGCGGTCCCCGTCGATGGTGACCAGTAAACCGGTTTGAAGCGTCGGTATATCAGGCCTTTCTCTACCATTTCTCTGAAGATTCCTAATTGTTTCATCTCGAATCCCTTGTCCAATGTCTTCCAATGGCCCTCCCAGTCTGCCATAATACCGAATCCTCGAAATACACGCATTTGTTCCTTGACTGTTTTCTCCGCGAGTTTCCGTGCAGCTTTTCGAATCGTCGCTGCGGACCCGGGACCTTGGGTGAAATCAATCACATTTTTTTGTTGTGCCTGAAGCGCCTTTAGCTCAATAGGCAATCCATGACAGTCCCATCCTGGAACGTAATGTATCCGCTTTCCACGACTCAATTGTGTACGGTTGATGATATCCTTCAAGATTTTGTTGAGGGAGTGACCGACGTGCAATTCGCCATTCGCATACGGAGGACCATCGTGTAGTACGAATGTTTCGTTGGCAGGCCGGTTCTCGCGCTGCCAGGCGTATAGCTCGTCAGAACATTTTCGCAGATATTTCGCTTGGTCCGCGACAGAGACTCGTGCGGGAAAGGACGAGCGAGGGAGCTTGAGGGTTGAGGTCCAGGAGCGCGTCATGCTACTTGGTCTACCACCTCCCCGGTAGCAGTAGACATGTGCGCCTGGATATGAATTGATGCGATAGAGGAATATGTAGCCATCATTGCCCAGAAATTATTTCGAAATCATCCGGTGTCTGCCACACTGGCCAATAGGAAAACCCATAGCTCCGTAGGTCCCACTCCTTCCGCATTGACACCTGAGGCAATGACTTTTATTTCTTCTAAACCTTACACATTGAATACTTTACAACATCCTAACATCTAGGCTCATTGACGACTGGATGATTTATTCTTCGTACTACCTTTAAACTACACTTTTATCACAATCTTTCCCGGCACGCTCTGCTTCATCAATGCCTTGAAGGCTTCCTTAGCCGCTGACCACTCAAACACCTGTCCAACAACAGGCTCGATTTTGTGCTTTTCCATCAACTCAACCATCTCATGGTACATCACCAAGCTAGCCGCCATTTGACCTCGGACTAGAGAATTGAGTCAGCACCATATATGCAATCAGGTAAGGATGTGTGCACTCACGCGTCTTAGCACCGAAAATGATCGTATGTATCAAGCCCGGATCAGACGGTTGAGGCTCCGTCAAAAATCCTACTGCAGCTACTGTACCTCCAAATCGTGCAGCTTTCAGACTTTGTTCAAAAGTAGCAGACCCTCCGACGTCGATGACAAGATCAACACCCCTGCCTTCTGTGAGCTTCAAAACCTCATCGGCCCATGCAGGGTGGATTTTATAGTTCACCACTTCATGCACCCCAAGGCTCTTGAGTAACTCCGCCTTGGACTCTGAACTAGTTGTACCAATGACCCGGGCTCCGGCAGCTACGGCGAATTGAGCGCAGAATATTGAAGAGCCACCGGTGCCTTGAGTCAGGACTGTCTTCCCTGAAAGATCCAATCCGTTGGATATTCCGTTGTGGAATAGGGCTTGGATTGCAGTTCCACCGGCACCAGCGATACTGGCGGCATGTTCCCATGTGAGATGAGTGGGCTTCCTCACCAACCATGACTCATCCATGACTAGATACTGACTCAAGGTCCCGTGTATGTCTCCACTACCAATTCCATTGCCCTTGAAGTTGGATACATCACCACTATCCCATGAATTGCTAACCCTGAATATCACTTCATCACCAACGTTCCATATTTTGTTGTCCGGACCCACGGCTTCTATTGCACCTGCTCCATCAGAGCAAGGAGATAAGCCAAGCGTGGTTGGAACGGGATACTTGGGCGAGAAGGCCGTGATAAGTAAGTCGCGAAAATTTAGTGCTGCTGCATGAATACGCACGAGTACCTGTCCGGGGCCGGGAACTGGTTTTTCAATTTCTTCCAGGACCAGATTGTCTAGAATGTCGAGCGATTTTTCGCTCTGGGTTGATGCGTTCCGGTAGACATGCCAGGCTTGGTATGTAGAAGACATGCTTATTCGTTCTCTGTTTGGAAAGAACTTCAAGTTCCTTTTCTGAATAAATGAGCATAATAGTTCTGCCAAGTCTGTCTTTATTTCGGATAAACGCTTTATTATTTATGATCCATTCACCTCGAAGTGACTGACGAGAAATAATATGACTAAAGTTAACAAAAGTCACCGAGGTTCTTCCGAAAACCTTGAAACACGATAGACAGTAGAGTTTCAATGTTACCTAGGTACTATACTACTTGGTTTCTTGACGTAGCCCTCTAAGGTTAAAACAAATAATAATTTTTTATCTTCTCGAGGTCTTTGATACTACTTCTTATGGGTATATCGGAGCACGAGATATACCAAACAGCAAAACCGTTCATCATGCAGGAAATATATACACCTCGGACCCCTGAAAATGAACGTTTCTGTGGGTGCACTAAGGTGCATATACGTACGTACGAAGCACTTGAGTCAATCTCAGTAGGTGATTCTTCGGTTCTGTGTTCTCTTGTGTCTATCTGTCTTAGTGAGGCCCCGACGCGGTCTATATAGTCCTTGCTTGACGAGGTCACGTGTAAGCCATACGTGACCTCTCCTTGCTGCGTACCAGTGCCAGGCATCTCGATTGCACGAAGCAACCAACAGTTTCCGTGCTGAAATCAAGAATTACAATATAGTACAACTTATAGGCGAAGTTCGGCATCTTTATTGCATCATACTTCAAATGGAAGCAAGAGAATGGAGTGAAGTTCTCCCGCTGTCTGCATAATTTCGGAGAGAAATTAGGGCAAACTCAAACCCTCTTACCCTTTCGAAATTTGGCAGATGAAATAGGTTTCGTGTGTTCTCACATCATTTGGGATGATTGTCACAATGTATCTACCTACATTCACAAGTAGTGCCTTGAAACCTCCAGTTATTATCCATCCATGGGTGAATACCTCTACAGTGAGTGGGCGACTAGTCAAGGTTACGGTTTCCTCATTCCTTCTGGATGGAAATAATCCTAAAAATGAATTGTGTAAAGATGCATGAAACGTCAGTTCAAATCAGTAAATACAATGAGCTTTAAATGTTTCAGTATATTGTCATAGAACTAACCGCACCATTCTTCAACACCTCAAAAAGAAGGCCCGGAAATCCATAAAGCTCCGTGTTTCCCAATCCCTGCCCACCATCGGGACCTGTAGAGGTCGATCTATGTTTACCGCTGACACTTTCTTCCCATCCCCCAAGGAATTCTACACTGCTTTCAGGACTATCACCCCAACCTCTATTCAGGACCATGCCCCTCTGAAGTGCCGTTTCCTCGGAAGGTGATGCGTATGACCCTTTCCATAGTGCTTGAAGTCGTTCTGATACTTGATCATAATGTGTCTCGGATGTAAGAACCTCATTCCCTGTATCGTCGAGTAAGATCTTCCAACGACTTCGCCGATAACGGTTAAACGGGTATGATCCTGGAACGTTCCCATGCACTATAAGCTTCGTAACAGTAAGCAGAGAGGATGTAGCAGGAGGTGGAGCATCCGAAATCCCAGACCCTGGGAATGCCGGCCCTGAGGGTGTTGGATAAGATATAAAGGCGTCAAATCCATGGTGGAAGTAGTTAAAGAAACATTCCGAAGGAAGGGAGGAAGGGTCGATATTGGTACCAGTAAAGGTCTCGTCATCGGAGTCTTCTGTCGGGCTGTTATTCGAAGAGTGATCGGTGTCGGGTGTATCAAGACCTCGCCCGGGGGATGGGCTTAACATCCGTGGCTGATTCACGCCATGAGCATTGTGAATAGATATTCTGCGGTCATTTTTGCGATATACAGCATCAGGTGGCCCGAGTTCAGCAATTAAGTCCTGCGGTGTTGTTTCGGAGAGGTTGATAACGAGCGTAGGGCTGGATCTTCGCAAAAGCTCTATTTTTCCCGCTCCCAGCACACTTATCTCTTCAATCTCATCGGGGACTGCTTCCCTACCCTTTCCGATCAGTGCTGGTGAACGCGGTAGCTGAGGCACGCTTGTGAAGAGCTTATTCCGAGCTTCGGACCACGAGGCGCCCTGGAATATGGCCATCGAGATAGCTGGAGATGCAGCAGAGGACGAAAGTAACGCCACAAAATCGCAGTTATCGGACCAGGCTGAGTCTTGAAGTGGGAAAGAAAAAGCCACCCCTGGATACGATAGGACGTATGTTCCGAATGGAGAGTTATCTACTGGTGGGATATATTCGCCGGGATATGACGGCCCAAAAAGGCGGTTGTATACATGGCGAAAGCCCGGTCCGGTAGATGAATTTTGCTCTTGAGGTTTCGCGATCTTAACGACTTCGTGATTTTTATATACTAAGGGCACCCTGGAGAAATCAAGAACCTCGATCAGTCGCAGTCGTTGATCGGGCCCATCAAATCGTAGTCTTAACCCATTTTTAGGGAGACTGAGCACAACGGGCTCGAGAAGTGGTTCGGTGGAGGAATATGCAAGGTCGATGGCGGGGTATGTCTGAGGCCGTGATTTGATACGACTCAATACATTATGAAGGGAGCTTCCTAACGCTGTTTTATTTGATAGTCAATATGAGATAGATAGATCCAAAGAGTCGAATGAGTATGTAAGATGTGAACTCACTCAGATTACCAAGACCTTTCCCAGGAGAGACCTGCATTGCTCCCGGCGCGCTAGCAGTTGACATTGCGGCGCTACAGTCACGACTCGGAGATCATGGCCAGAAAGAAGAGAGTCGACGAAGCTTTCCGATAACAAGGCAAAGAATAGAAAGCGGCAAATATTTGATGCTTTAGATAAAAGTAACAATTATCGAGCAAAGTGAAAGAAGCGCGATGTTTAACGTAAGTCACAGCATTGATCATGTGAAGGCCCCCGCTGACCTATGACGCTGGAGACCTTTTCTGCCTGGCTTATCGTCACCGCCTAACCGCCGATAAGAAAAAGGGAGTCTTGGCAATTTTGGCAGTCTTGGCATTAAATCAGGCATTCAGGCTGCCTTTGCCCATGCTCTAACCACTTTCGGGGTTTGTTTACCTTTTTCCTTGTCCATCCACAGCAAAAACAAACCTGGTCGTTATGTATCCCTACTCATTTTGACTACACGCGACACACCACAACTCCGCCCTCCCCCACTATTTAATTGGATTCGTCTACTTTTCGGGAAGATACTTAATGTTTTCATATTAAGAACTGCATAAATACGAATCCTCCTCATCAAGAAAGCTCTCACGAACACGATGCCGGCTCCTTATACACGGCCTGCCGCCGGGTCGGCCACCAGGAAGCCTGCACTACGCCAACCATCCAGACGCATTGCTACAACCACTGCCGAGAAAACTCAGTCTCCAGCAGCGGCCTTGAAACCGACAAATACTAATATCACGCGCCTACAGAGATCTCCAAGTGTGCAGTCGGTCGCCGGCGCGAAACGGAAAGAACGCGAATATGAACCAAAAGGAAACGAAGACACCAATATACACGTTGTTGTCCGCTGTCGTGGCCGGAGTGACCGCGAGATACAAGAGAATAGCGCTGTAGTCGTGTCGGCCGAGGGTTCAAATGGCGTCGAACTTTCAATGGGCCCGAACGCTCTAAGCAATAAAGCATACCATTTCGACAAAGTGTTTTCCCCAGCGGCCGATCAAACGACACTCTTTGACGATGTTGTCACTCCTATCTTGAATGAGGTACGATTGGATATTTATAGAATTTTTTCTCGATGATACTGACATTTAACTTTCAGATGCTATCTGGGTATAATTGTACCATTTTTGCCTACGGTCAGACGGGTACTGGCAAAACCTACACCATGTCAGGAGATATGACCGATACGCTGGGTATACTCTCCGAAAATGCAGGAATTATTCCGCGCGTTTTGTACTCGCTGTTCAACAAGCTGGAGGACAGAGAAAGTACAGTCAAATGTTCGTTCATTGAACTATATAATGAGGAACTGCGAGACTTGCTTTCTCTTGACGATAAGTCTAACCTGAAAATCTATGACAACGAATCGAAGAGGGGCCACAATAGCAGCACACTAGTGCAGGGTATGGAAGAACATTTCATTCATTCAGCCACTGATGGAATCAAACTACTTCGAGGCGGAAGCTACAAACGCCAGGTAGCTGCGACGAAGTGCAATGATCTCAGTTCCCGAAGCCATACTATATTCACAGTTACAACAAATGTCAAGCGTACAACGGAGGCTGGCGAGGAGTATATTAGCACAGGAAAATTGAACCTGGTCGACTTGGCTGGTAGCGAGAACATTCAAAGGAGCGGAGCAGACAACAAACGTGCGGCCGAGGCTGGCCTGATTAACAAGAGTCTTCTAACCCTTGGGCGAGTCATCAATGCTTTGGTTGACAAAAGCTCACATATTCCATACCGGGAGTCCAAACTTACGCGGTTACTTCAGGATTCATTAGGCGGTCAAACAAAGACCTGCATTATTGCTACTATTTCTCCAGCGCGGAGTAACTTGGAGGAGACAATATCTACTCTTGACTATGCTTTCCGCGCGAAGAATATTCGCAACAAACCGCAAATCAACTCGACGTTACCAAAGAAGACCCTGCTTCGCGAGTACACAATGGAGATCGAGCAACTGAAAAGCGATCTCATTGCAACAAGACATCGTAACGGCGTATACCTCTCTGCAGAAGCCTATGAAGAAATGAAGATTGAGAGTGAATCTCGCAGGATCATCAACGAGGAACAGCGAGCAAAGATTGAGAGCAAGGAAGCGAGCTTGAAACATAAGACAGAGGAGCTGTTTGCTTTAACAAGCAACTTCAACAATTTGAAAAAGGATAACGAAGAAACACGTGCAGCATTGAATCAAACGAACGATGTACTGGAACAAACCGAGATCGTTCTTCGAGACACGAAAAAGCAGCTGGAACAAGAGGAAAAGATCCGCCAAGCCCACCAAGAGACCGAAGAGAAACTCCACCATATTGGCAGTGAGCTGCTGCACAAATTAGACCAAACTGTTGAGCATGTCAATGGCCTCCACATGAAACTGCGTCGCAAGTCAGATCTTCATAATTTAAATCGTGATACATGGGAGTCTTCTACCGGAGATGTCGTTGATGTGACCAAGTTGATTGAGGATAGAGTCGAGATATTCAAATCGGAGCATTCAGATCTTATTCAGGGGCTATCTGCTAAGATCACGGACTTCATCACAGCGGAACTGCAAGCGGTTGCCAGTGGTCAATCACAGATAAATGTATCTCGCTCACTTCTGAACGAGACGGCGAAGGAGATGGCAGAGCAATCAACTAAAGCCCATGATGAGATGAACGGTGTTCTTGAGGAAATCAAGGTGCTCCGAGAGGTAGTCAAGGGCAAAGTGGGCCAGGGACTTAATGGTCTATCAGCGGCTGCAGAGCGGATCTCCAAGGAAGTCATTGATGAGATGACCGACTTTCATACTCAGCTTCATTCTTCCTATAGTACACTTGGCCGAGATTTCAAAGCTATGTTTGAAAGTATCACAGGACACATGGAGTTGCAAAAGAAGGAGATAAATGAACTCCAAACGCAACTGCTTGAAGCTAATCGACAAGCCATAGAAGGAAATCGGTCAGCTTCCGCAGAACTTGCAAAAGTGTTGGAAGAGGAAAGACAAGCTGCAGAAAGCGATCGTGTGGAGCTACTCTCTCAGATCGGCCTGTTGATTGAGACGTCAGGGCAAAAACAAGCTTCTCGTCTTAAGGGACGAGTGGAAGCCGTTACGTTTGATTTGGAGTCATCGGGTGATAACTTGCAGAAGGCAACTGACAGATACCAAGAAGGAATGAACGAGTGGACCGGGAAGGAGGATCAGCTGATGGAAAGTGTTATCAGTTCCAGAGATACTATCAAGGGACGTATGCAGGAGGACTGGGAGGTAAGTTCTAACAGAATCAGAGCCAAAGGAGCAATGTTCTCACAATCATCAAATAGGTTTTCGAGCAGCGTAATGAATCCATCCAGAAATCAACTGAAGCAGTCCATCAAGAAACAGTTCGCATCGTTGATGAACAAGTGCAACAGATGGCTGTCCAGATGGAAGCGTTGGATGACTTTGTGACCAGAGCAAGATCTCAAAACGGTTCACATCATGAATCTCATCTGGCTAACCTAGAAAGCCTGGCAAGGGGCATCAAGATTTCCTTCGTATCACTAGAAGAAGGACTTGGTAGTATGAATACTCAGCTTCATACATTCCAAGAGGCAGCCACCAATCAAGAGGATAGCATCAGGCGAACTGTTGCTCCATTTTCCGAAGAACTTCGGCAGCCGCTGGTTGAGCTAAGAAATAACATACGAAATGCGCCTATGACCGACTACAAGCCCACTGGAACGACTCCGCCCAGGACATCCTACGAATACCCCAGGACATTACCTCGAACGGAATCTTGCAGTAGCCTGCTTGATAAGATAAAACAAGCCACACAACCTGTATTGACACCCCTTGAGGAGGAAAATTTGGACCCCGGCTTAAGGCCTCCATCCAAACACCGTATGGGATCACCGGTGAAAACCCGGGTCTACAATGATGCCGAGGACGAGGTATGCGAACCTACCATTACCGCGTCAGCAATCATCACATCATCCAACACGGGTCTTAGGGAGGTCGACTTAAACGTCGCCGCGAAACAACACAACTCTAGTTCACCGGAACGAGATTTTTCCAAGTCCATGATCGATGTTTCTACAGAGGACCCGGCTCAACCGCCTCTTAAAAAACGACAGACTGTTTCGGAAAGCAAACTTCCTCAAAAAACTTTGACGCGCCGCGCACCACCTGGAACTGCCCTGGACGGCAGGGAGAATGTCCCCCTTACTGCCAGTATTGGACGTCGACTACGGAACAGACCGTCTATTGGTTAGACCAAGACCATTCATTCATCACGTCGTCTTGTTTTGTGTTAGAGTTGTATATAATAGATACCCCAAGTGTTTATTTTGTATACCATTCGCTTGACTTTTATTTGTTTTGTATATGGACTACCCGGATGGTGGTATAGTGCTGGCGTTGATCCTGATTTATTGATAGAGACTAATCGACTTGTTGGATTCATTGAGTGTTCAATGTAATTGCATTAAATTGTATGATTCAGTCTCTTATCCCAAATGATGCCTAGGCAGCGTGTAATCATAGCTAATCATCGATCATCTTCGCCACAGAGGGTATCAGCCGGCTACAGGCCCTGTCTTGATTCATTTGTAGCAGCTCCTTCACCAGTTTCTTCACGAGTCTCTTTTCCCTGTTCATCAGCTCCCTTTTCCTCATATCCCTGCTGAGCAGTCGTCGTCACCACCAGCGGAGAATAATCACCACTCGTTTCAATCACCCTTCTCAATTCCGACATGCGCTTGTCAAACTGCTCCATCATTTCTTCCAATGTTTGTTCTTGCCTGTCCTTTCCGACTGGTATGTCGCGCGAGTATCCACTTGTACCTTGGATTCGAAGCATGAGCGTGTTACTGACACCAGCTTGATCGCTGGTGGTTTGTTGCGGTGTGTCGAATGTCGGTGCGGGACTGAGTGATGCGTCGAGAACCTGCCAATCAGGCGTAAGACTATGCGCAGAGACGATACGATAGCCGAATGGGTTTGATGTGGTTTCTGTCTGCTTTGGGGCCGACGAACTTGATACAACGGTTGTTCCTGTACCGGCCGATGTGCCCACGAGAGCGTCAGGGGCTGATGACGGGTTTCCGATTGCGGTGTTTGAGGATTGCTCAACATCTAGGACGATGAATCTTTCCTTCACCCCTGGTATTGGTGGGGGTAAAAGCGAGGGTCTGTCAATATCCGACGAGTGCTGCTGGTTTGCTCCAGATCCTAATGCATCTTCATTATCATTTGTATGTAGCGGAAGAGGGGATGTTGCATGGCTCCCTGTTTCAAGGACTCTCAGCGAAGCCTCCGTCATCAATTCTGCGTCATCGTCGGAGAAGATGTAATGCACAGTTGGATGGTGGTAATCGGAAGAGTTGGCGTCTTCGATTAGTGTAAAGAAGGGTTTGAAGTTTGGCGCCGGTTTTGGTCGGTTCTCTTTTGGCCCTTTGAATGGGACTTCGGGTGCGGTTTTGCCTTCATGTTCGGACTGGGAAATATTATCTCCTAGCTGATTGTAAGAGGCATCTTTTTGTTTATTTTCGGGCAAATGCCCGATAGGCCGCGGCCTCGATGTTGTGGTGGGCGGGATGGCGCCAGTAGTATTTGTCGCGCGGAAGGGAGACTGCCTAGCGGATGAGGACGATTGTGTGATATTGTGTTGTTTGGGCAAAGACGACATCTCCAGTAGGAAGTATAAGTAAGCTGAAACGATGATGCAGCTACATTGTTCTGATGAGCAGTGTGTTTTGAGTCGAATGGATGTAAATTGAGGTGAGGTACGGAGTAGAGTTCAGTCCCAAGGTTACCAAAGCGCAAGCAGACGTTGCGGCATGGATCCACACCAGCTTAGCTTATCAACACATGTTTAACATATGTTGACTACGACTTCTGACGCAACTACTTTGAGGCTTTCTAAGCAGTGAATAATGAAGAGAAGAATATTATGCTCTTAATTCAGGACCGATATGATCATCAGACATGTATAACGCTCACCGATGATTCAGACTCGGGTATCGACTCCACCAAAAACGCCTTCCAATGCAGTGTAGTAACGAACGAAAAGTATTCAAAGTAGAAGTCAGGACGATTCAGCGTTCTTTGTCCATTCGAATTCTAGAGAAGAAGCTGTCAGCATTGTATAAGGAGAAATTGTCCACGACTTACTTTGTCGGCACATGGGGCACAGTCCCTTTGAAGATTCTTGCTGAATCCATGTAATAAGACAGTGCTGTTTCCAGAGATTAATTAGATTTAATGGACAAACTTCCGACAATTGGCGCGTACCATGTGGAAAGAATGGCCACACTTTCCGATTACTGAGACAGTGAGTGACTGATTTCAAGTCAATAACTAGGGTATACATACACAGTGAACAGTCGTCTCCGGGAAATTTGCATGTCGGGCAAGTTCCGTCGAACTGGACGCGACATATGCCGCAGACCTCGTCCTCGGGCATGTCCCAGCGCCAGGTTGCCACCGCGTTCCATTCCTTGATCGTGACCTTCATGTTGCTGGTAGTGTTCTGCAGGATGTTCATGAAGAGGAGTGGTGACTGCGACCTAAACAGAGAACAAAAACAATCCTGCACTAATCCAAATCGGGAGGCGGATACTTATCAGATAAGCCGAGCTCGGAGCTTCCCCAACTCTCTCATAGCAACTCCACATCGCGCAATTACCTGAAGAGAAATGTTGATATGTAACTAATCTATCCTTCCCATCCATTACAATGACACTGGCAATTCTGCGTTCTTCGTTGCGTCCGTCCCTCTCTGTACGCCTCTCCACCATGACCGCCCGGATGCAGCAACAACGGTGGAACTCCTTCTCATCGTATCTCGTTACTCCTCAAGAGCTCAACAATGCCTTGAAGCATTACCCCACCAGCGAGATTTCTACAGCTCCTCGAATTGTTCCACTATATGCAGGATGGTTCATGCCTAATGACCCCGAAGGTCGTACGGGAATTGAAGCTTTTCGCAAAAGCCACATCCCTCATTCGCGGTTCTTCGATATCGACGGCATAAAGGACGAGGACTCACCTTACCCGCATATGCTTCCTACCAAAGAGCGACTTGCCGAAGCAATGAGCGAATTGGGGATTCACCGTGATGACGAGGTTGTAGTTTACGATACCGCCGAGCAAGGCATTCTCAGTGCGCCTCGTGTCGGCTGGACGTTACGTGTCTTTGGCCATCCCAATGTATATGTGCTCAATAACTACCGGCTATGGGTAGAGCAGGGCTTGCCTACGGAATCCGGAGATGCTAAACCAGTCCCGAAAACAAATTACCCAGTTCCTTCTTATGATGTCGACCGAGTAGTGCATTTCCCCGAGATGAAGGAGATTGCGAAGGATTACGGTAAGGAAGGGGCGGACGAGGTTGAAATTCTGGACGCTAGGCCTTATGGACGCTGGTCGGGTGAATCTCCCGAGCCTCGCCCTGGATTACCCTCCGGCCACATGCCTGGTTCCAAGAGCGTGCCCTTTGGGGAACTCCTTGATCCCAAGACCAAGGCGTTCTTGTCCCCGGAAGAACTGCGCAAGGTCTTTGAGTCCAAGGGTGTTGATCCATCTAAGACAATTATTACATCTTGTGGATCTGGAGTGACTGCGGCGGTTATTGAAGCTGCACTTACTGTTGCTGAATTTGGTGATCCATCAAAACGAAGGTTGTATGATGGAAGCTGGACGTAGGTTCTCCCTCTCTCGAATATGAATAAGTGTTGACAGAATATTTTCGCATAGTGAATGGGCTCAGCGGGTCAAGGAAGATAGCGGTCTCATCAAGAAACTCTGAACGCCGTGATATTACTTATGATGAGTTTGCAATGTCCAAAGGCGCAGAATTAGCCAAAGTATCTTGGCTTCGAGTATCAATATCTTCCAGAGTCGGGTCTTTGCACTCCTCGGCTTTCTCACAATTTATGCCGATATGTCTGCGTATGGGAAACAAACAAAATGGGCGTGCGTGTTTGAAAACTCCCTGAATTTGGCGTTTAGTGTATATGTATTGGTGTTCATGGCTGTGAACGCGCATACAGTGATATAGAATGCCACGCGACTGCTAGCAAAACTGCGTGATATGATATAAAATGCGAATATGCATCAGTAATATCTAGTAATACCCCGAGAAATTCCATAAACTATCTCAGATATACTGTAATGCTGGAACAGGCAGAAAGGTGCCAACAGCAGACATGATTGGCTGGCCGATGCCTGTTCTTGGCTGGCGCTTTTCGTGGAGCAACTTGACGGACAACTCTCACCACCGACCACCTCTCTCCCAATGTACCCAGCACTTTTTATGCCATGAACAGGGCATTTGATGATAAAATGCTGGCAAATAAGTTACATATGAAATATTGTTCCAACTGTGAGTTGTTCCTTCTTTATCTTGTCTCATTGTTCTCCATCGTTCAACGTCTCAAGTCATCACCAACCCAGCCCCCACGTTCCCCTCGGAATAGCGAAAGACATGGACTAGAAGTTTATGAAGTGACTGACATTGGATCAATATAGTTTTCACGCTGAACTTCATTTACTATCCCCTTTAGGGACCGTCGTTCTTTTTTCTCGGCTTTTTTCCTGCTGAAGCCACTATCAGGAAATCTTTCGGTAACGATGTCGGCGGCTCGAAAAGTATTCCACTGTGCTGTGGACGATACCGTTTTGACCACCAACGTTAGCGAAATCAAGCGATGGGCTTCTAACGGAGCAATAACACTGTTTGTGCCGCTATACAGTAAGCGCGCCAACAATTCCGTGCAGTTGTCAGTGTATGCTTGCGATAGACTAACCAAACTCTTGCAGCCCTCGAGCGTCTTCAGGCACCAAAACGAAATGGTTCCCAGGTTGCCATAAACTCCCGTGAAGCTGTTCGCTTTCTCGACCGCGTAACATCCGGCAAAGACAGCATCCCAGCGGATCGGGTCGTGCTACAGGGACCGATGGAGCAGTATGACAACTGGGCAGATGCGGAGCAATTTTTCCTTCCGGAGTTCGAAGAAGAAGATGGCCAATATATCGAACCGACCGATGGAGATGCTATTACACAAAAAACCGAAGACAATGTGAAAGCGCATGTCACCCAACCCTCGGAACCTGAACAGAAGGACCATGGATTACCAGGGCTACCAAGTGATTTGTCGCAGATGCTACTGAGTAAACTGAATTTCAAAGCACCGGAGCCGGCAGCAGGTGCTCAGAATGACATGAAATCATCTGTTTCGCTACCTTCGGTCGGTACTCAAAGTGACGAGGGATCGCGAGCGTCGTCCCGCAGCTCTCAAACCAGCCCCGAATACGCGGACCGCAATGCTAAACGTGGCCACAATCGTTCGACTTCCACCTCGTCAAACATTCCGCCAACTCCTACAGTACTTCGGCCGTTATTAAGTGCGTTACTATGGCGTCTACACCACAACGAAGGATCTATCGGCGTTCCGCAAAACCTTACGCTCATTACCAATGATCGTGACACTCAGGTCTGGGCGCAGAAATATGGCATCATGACTAAGAATATACATCAGCTTCGGACGGCTATTCAATATGAAGAAAAAGAATTCAAGAACCGCGTGAAATATGCCGAAAAGACACAACAAGCAGCTCCATCTCCAAAGCCACTTTTCTCCTACGAAAATGATAGCGAAGAGGATGAGCTGGTATTTGTTCCTCGTGGCCGAGGCAAAGGCGCAGGTCGTGGCAGTGGAAGCCGAGGTGCAAATGGTCGCAAGACTCGAGCAGCTACGGCTGTAGCCATTGCTCAGGCTGATACTACGGTGGAAGTGCCCTCGCAGCCCATTGATCCTGACTCTTTTAGCCGCTCTATCGGCACTACAATGACTGTCAAACAGCCTGCGCTTGATCTGAGCTCTCAAGCAGGGGCATCTCGTGGTCTAGCAGCGTCCTCTAGACGACATGGTGATGATTATGGTCCTGGTAATGGGAACGGTCAAGCAAATGGCGGTGGCAGCAGCCGTCGTCGTCAACGCGGTGCCGGGGGTTCTCGCGCGAATACCTCCACACGTGGTGGACGTGGGCAAGGAAAGTTATGGGTTCCTTAAAGGGAGGGGTCAAGGATTCCATTTTTGGAGTCCTAAGAAATCTCGTTTACTCTCCATTATCAGGAAATGGAATTCTACGGTTCCACGTGCAAACGATAAATGATGGGATCTGCCATCTTTTTCTGGGCTCGCGGTTGGTACCTACAATCTACTGTGGTTGGGATCGAAAAGCTTCCTGAAATTGGGGATTTTCTTACCAGAATTGAGGTTACTGTGCCGGTGCTGTCTATCTCACTTGCATTGGAAATTCCTTCATCAACGCCTGATATCCGCTATCACTCTCTACATTACTAGGCTCGGCCTGTCTTCATTCTGTCCTTTATCTTTCGTACCACGATGACTTTGACGAATGAACTCACCTAAGGCTTGGAAATGGACTAGTCTTGGAAAGAAGGCTTCCCCACGAAGTTGACTGGAAACGAAAAATAAAATCTGCAAAAAAATAAGCTCTTGTGACCTGCTAATTGCTTCTGTTACCATAAGCATGGAGATAGACTTGGATCGATTGTGGATTCATGATTGAGACTTGGGTCGTGCCCCTGGCGCTGTGAAGGCGTTGAGAAGGTTCATTCATATGGTGCGATATCTACATATTTGAGAAGTGTAACAAGTCTGTGATTATTTTGCTCTAATTTTGATTGTGCTGCATTCATTTTGTGATTTTGATTTATCTTGCAGCTGGTTGATGGTTTATTCCCATTGGCTGACTATTTATGACAGACGTTCCAAATTGAATCCATTCGCGTCTGTAGGAATTTAGTCTTGGTCAATGCATAAATTGAACTATTTATTCTGAACCTACATTATCTCGATCAACTGGCTTCTACGCGAAATCTGCAAATGCTGTATCAAATTAAGCCCATTGTGCGGAATTCTGGGAAACTCGATCCCCCTGCGCAGACATTACCTCCTTGGTCGCAACATGAATACGACTAGTTCCATCCAAAACCTTCTCTCGTAAATACTCGGGTATAACCTCATCTTCGGGACAAAATCCCTCCGTGTACCCCATTGCCTCCCACGACCTATCTCTCGTTTCCGGGTGAAATTCAGCAGGGTATATCTCAACAGGACATATGCGACAAGCCACGTAATAAACCAATCCGGCAAAGGTAGTCGAAAGTAAGAAACCCATGTTGTAGATTTTAATGGCAGCGTTGCCAATGGATCCCGGGGATAAGACACCCGCTACACCAGGGATTACGAGGGCAATTGCAACGATCCATGCGATAAAGGCGCGTAAGTTGAAGCCGTAGGTGTAGTAGTAGATTGAGCCAGGTTGAGTTTTGTAGAGGGAAGGTATGTGGAGATTGCCTTTGCGGATTACCCAGTAGTCGACTCTGCAAGCGATGTGAGTGATCAGTAAGGCCCAAGGGTATGGATTCAGGTGTAGGAAGACAGAGACTTACACCATGCAGGCGACAATGGGGCAGATGAAGCAAAGATAAGAGCCCAGGAAGTTTAAGAATGATGTTGCGGAGTGCGTTAGTTTCCATGGAACTATGTGATGGTCAATAAAATGTACAATCAACATAGAAAAAGAGATTAGATATACCGCAGATCCATGCCAGTAAGAAACATAGGACTTGTCCGCGAACAATAGTGAAATGTCTTGGAAATAATCCTGTAAGATCACAGCCGACCGGGATCGAGTTGCTTGTGAAATTTGTGACAAATGTTGCGAATGCCTGTCAATCATATTGTCAGTACAGTGCAGTCTAAGAAAAACTACTGGGTGTTCTCACCTGAATACCGGCAGCGAGAAAGACAAGTGTTCGTGCTCCAGGGCTCCAGTAATGGTCCAAGACGCTGGAGTAAAAGTCCCAGAGGTTCCAATATGCCTATCACATCAGTCAGTCACTGCATTCGTATTCGGAGGACTCCGAGCGTTGACCTACATGACCAAACTGCTTATATCCCGCAGCAGTAATTATCATTCCCAAAAATACAACAAGTGGCTTACTCACGACCAGACCAATTGGCATAGGAAGTGTGTCGCGTGGCTTCTGAACATAGCGAGCCAAATCCGCTATATTGACTAGTGGGGGAATAACGTTTGAGACGATGGAGTTGATTGCTTTCATGAATGACCATCCAAGTGCTGCTCCTGAGACGGTTTTGTGGCTTAGGCCGTTGAAGTCCGCGCCGTGGCTTGATGCCTGTTTCGTTGTTCTTAGTAACAGAAGTGAAGTGAAAGTGAATGGGGACGTACGAGTGCCCATATCATGGTTACTATCAATCCGATAGGGGCTATAACTGATTTTATTTGGAATACTCTCGCCATTTTGCTGGGATGTACGAATGCGAAGGGGAATTGGATGAGCCATAAGAGGCCGAAGGCGAGAAGATTGGCAGAGGTAATGGCAGCACTTGCTGGGAGGTCTAAGAAAATCAACTATTAGCAGTTTGGTCATGTACGATCCGAGAGACGTGGGTATATACGATTGGGGAAATCAGTCCATCTATGTCCGAATACGCATCGCAACATGACAGCAAGGAACTGGCTAGCATAGTATGTCTGGATACTCATATACAAGATTGCCACGACCTGGTAGAATATTCTTAATATTGAACTGGAGTGCCGAACAAGATATTGGATGTATACTTACACCACGGATAAACACAAACACGAGCGATCCGTAAATACCGGAAGATGCTCGGACTAGGGTTGGGTATCCAATATGATATCTCGCAGGCCCTCTGGCGTTGAGAAACAGGAGAGTAGCAATCATGATTGAGACAATAACTACACAAACATATCAATCAGCACGGCACGCTCAAGAATCATTATGACTGGAGGGCACCAACGACATACCAGAAGCAATAAAAATAGTCCACCAGTTCAACCCAATCGCATACAAACTAGCACCGGCATTATACGTCGTCGGCGAAAAAGCAATACTGAATTGAAACGCAAAGAAGGACCAAGCGGACCAGGTACGTTGTGAAGGAGGCGAAGGATCAAGATCTTTGTTAGACCATTTCCCGAATTGACCGTTCTCTTCTCCTGAGTTGTTTTTGACCTTTAGTTTGTCGAGGAAGTGTTGCGTTCGATAGGAGAAGGGCTTCCGTGAGGAAGCCATCGTTGGAACGTGATGGCTGGTTAGCTAGAAAAGAACCGATAAGTGGTGTTACTGGAGTATCTGTCCTTCATGATGGCAAGTTCATGTGAACTTATTCCTGTTTTATACATGATTGTAATTAATATTTCTTATCATGAGAACGTCTGTTTAACTGTTATCAAAGTTAACTAAGACCTCATGGTCTTATCAGCGGCCGTCTTTCGTCGGTGCGGCCGATAGCCCGATTTTTTAGATTAGGGCTTCGATAAGAATGTATTAGTCCGTAGAACTCCCATGCTTCTCGTTTGAATATTTCTATGATTTCATATTTTTCCTCCCCATGATCTTATCCATATGAAAGATTCAGTTTTTATACAGCAGTCAAGATGACCAAACGGATCCGTCTTGGGATCCTCACACCCTCGTCAAACACAAGCCTCGAACCACTCACCCACTCCATAATCTCCCAACTCCCCAACGTCAGCGTCCACTTCTCGCGCTTCACCGTCCTCAAAATCAGCCTCGAGAATGACGCCCTCGCCCAATTCCAGAATGAAAAAATTATTGAAGCTGCAAAGTTACTGGCTGATGCCCACGTCGACATGATCGGCTGGAGCGGGACGTCATCAGGTTGGTTGGGGTTTGAGGCTGACGAAAAGCTCTGTGAGGAGATTACTGCTGCTACGGGTATTCCATCGACAACTTCTGTTCTTGCGCTAAATCGCGCGCTGAAGGTTTTGGGTGCAACGGAATTGGGACTAGTGACCCCTTACAAGGATGACGTGCAAGAGGCTATTATCAAGACATATGCTACCATCGGCGTCGATTGTAGCAAGGAACAGCATTTGGGCTTATGGACAAATAGTCATTTTGCAGATGTCACGGAAAATACATTGGATGACATGGTGGCTGATGTTGCTGCAAAAGATGTGAAATTTATTTCTACATTTTGCACGAATTTATATGCGGCGCAGCGAGGAGTGGTCTGGGAGGAGAAGTATGGGGTTGTATTGTTGGATACGGTTGTTACTGTGATTTGGGAGATGTTGCAACGGTGCAGGGTGGATAGCACTCAGATTAAGGGATGGGGGCGTTTGCTGTCGATTCCTCTTAAAACAGACGATTAGTATTGCAAAAGTAACAATGAAGAACTAGAAAATGTTTAATGAATCGGCCGTCTTATCGATATCAGTGTGGGGCATCGGAACAAGTGCCGAGATAAGTTTATCTTGCGTCAGCCACGGGCAAACTGCCGGCCAACTTTATCCAGAGGACTGCTGCATGGGCCAACCGTTGGTGTTATCCATAGTCAAGATCTCAGCGACGTGTGAAGAAATGTTGAAATTGCGTTCTAGTCCATCTGCCATCAGAGTGCTTAGGCGTACCAAACCCAGTGACATCAAGTTTTCATGGTTCTTGTATTGACAACTGAGGTTCTGTAGCCATATATCGAGTAGGTGTTTTGTTCGGGAGGCATGCTGGGCTGTTGGTGCTTGAATGAGGAGTAGAAGTATAAAATTGGATACTGTAGCGAAGGATATCCGAGTCCCTGTAGAACTTAGAAAAATTATCCTATGTTATCATTGTCGACTTACATGGATACCAAAACGTATCAAAATCAACCTCGGTCATAGCTCCAACAAAGTTGACAATAATACCCGCACACTTCTCGGCCGCGTTTAATGTTGCCTCTGCGGCATCGCCCAACTCTGAAAAGTCCACCACAGGGAGCTGATCTAGACCCTGTCCATCACAGCCCAAATCTTCAAGCAACCATGCAATATTCTGGGGGTCCTTGTCGTCTGCTATCGGAGGCGGGGGTGGAGATCGGGCTAACGGTCGTAAGATAGCGCGATATACAAATAGCTCAAGAATTAGATATGCGAAATGCAATGAGCTAACACCTTCAATGTGAGGGGTATTTTGATAGCTATTCTCAGGTTTTTGTTTGATCCGTAACGAATCAGGAAGAGAGGCGTACCATGCCTGTAACTCTTCGCGGATAGGCCGAGCAGCATTAATTGATATTCGAAAATCTTGACACATTTTTTGAGACGCTCGGAGGGTGCTACATATCGATGTTAGAACGAGTCAACCCAGATTTCATGACAGGCTTACTAGAAGGTCTGATGAATGTTATCCGCTATGATGGCCAATTTTGTGAATGACCGAAAGATGGCTCCATGCTCTATTCGATCGTGACTTAGACCGTGCTCAACACCTTCGTCAAGACCATTTACGACAAAGTCAGACTCATCCAAATTCTGGACATCCCACTCTTCTCTATCGATAAATGGCGGGCGTCCTATGAGCAAGCTTCGCCATTTATCTTCAATATAGACAGCCCACCATAATCGCCGTCGAAGCCTTTTCTCCCAGGCAGGAATTCCCCAAGGCCGAGGCTCAAGATGGAGACCCAGCGAAGATGCTAAACCAACTGTGGTTCCAAGAAATGACCAGATAAATGGACTGTCTGCCAATGCACTTTGACTTCCAACGGGTAAGCGCTGTAGATACAACAAACAAGCTTGGAGAACGGACAAATGCGGCGTATGAATCTCCTGCATGATGAGTTGATATACAATGCGCCACAATTTGTTGCACAATTGGCTTTCATAGGCTCCACATAGGACTAACTCGGGGTCGTGAATCTTGAACGGGAGAGCAGATGCATAGAGAGCCGCGAGTAAGTGTACGGGAACGTCTTGCAAGGACTGTTCATTCAATCTGCCAGGGAGACCTATCTGAGACCGAGAAATGAGGGGCATCATAGAGTAAACAAATTTCATAAAGCTTCGCGCACGGATTATTAGAAATTAGGTAATGTGTAATCTTCAAGGAAGAGCTTACAGCAGGATTAACCGTACACCAAACTTAAGCGGAATCATCCTGTTCAGTTCTTGCCTCAGTTTCGGCACATCCATTCCCGTAGAGACTGGTGTGGGTTCTTTGAGTGGCTCCAGAAGCGAATCCTCAGTCACCAGGAAATGCACAGGGACTAAACCCTCCACTGGTACACCACCAACATTTCGAAAGTGTATTCCATGGAGATGAAGCATTCCATTATCATCATACTTGCAATGACGCAGTAGCCATGGATCTGACTCTGCCGAGGTACCAAAGACCTGTGCAGTTGAGGCATCCAACTGATCAAGGGATCGAATGTGCTGGAATTTGGGTGCATCTTGAGTCTTGAAAGTATCTGAAGAGAAGATCAGGTCATAACTGCGTACCAACTTGCTTCGCTTTCTGTTTATTTTAGGTAGAGTATGGCTATCATGATCCTGATGTCGTCTGTGGAAGTTGTTGGAATCAGTTTGGAAAAGAAAGCTGTCAATACCTCCTTTGTCGAAACTGGTGGGCTCGTTAGGCTCATCGAAACCAGTCACATGACTCAGAGAATAATTAGGAGATCTATTTGGCGTATTGTTGTTCCGAATGTCACGGTTTCGTGGAGTAGGCGGTTTTTCAAATGTACATGACTTGCCAACATTCATGCAATTACGGCAAGGACCACTTTCAGGGAGGATGCAAGCTATCTTTCTGGTGCGACAGCGATCACAGGGTCGCTTCAATTTGGAGCGATATGGCCGGGTACCTGCTGGGCTGGCATCTGTATCCATTGTACGGACCGTGATAGTGAATTGAAGGTGGCATGTTGGTAAAGGTTTAGCTGTTGGCAAAGAACAGAAGATAAGAAAGATAAGGAGGACTCCACTTTCATAACCCTAACGCTAACCCATATGCGTTACAGCTACTGTAATATCAGAATTCTCGTGAGCTATTGCTTCTTCTACTATTACTGCCGTTACCAGTTATTATCAAGTATGCAGATCTGAGATACGGCCAGCAACCATAAGAACAAATAAACATGGCCGAGTCTGAACCCGGTTCGACCGACTCCGATTCAAAAAGCCGACTCCTAGAACATATTAACCAAGACCTTTAAAGGGGGTTTATAAAGCTGTAAGTCCTTTCCACTGTATTTCTCTTCTCAACTCTTTTTATGTTTAGACTTTGCTGTATATAACATCTTTTATTCTATCAGTTATTAACCATTGAGGTGCATACACAGGCTATCCTCAAGATCATCACAGATTTTAGTTCGTTTCTGATGTTGTTGATTTCCATGTTTCCTTTTCCTCTAATGGAAGACTAGTTTCTATGTTCGGAGCTGTTGCAGGCCCGTCAATCGGAGGCGTGTTCATGGCTTCTGTTAGCTGGAGGTGGTGTAAGTCTGTACCATACTGTATCATCTTCTCCTCAGCTTACAGTTATTAAAGGATTACATCAATCTCCCCATCGGCGGTCTCGCAGCTAACCTCCTTCTATCGATTCAGATACAAGACAACGGCAAGGAGAAAAAGCCAAAAAGACTGTCCGGAATCCTGGGAGTTCTAACAAAACTCGACCTCGTCGGGTTCTTCTTTGCGACTGTTGTAGTTATGCTATTGATTGCTCTTGAATGAGGAACGCGCTATGCATGCAACATTTCCACAATCATTGGTCTCTTTTGTGGTGCAGGTGCCATGGCCATAGTATTCCTGTCATGGGAATACTATGCGGGAGACAACGCTATGATTCATTTCTCCATGGTCAAAGTAAGGGTTGTTTAGTCCTTATTCGGTGCAATGATGTATACTCGTATTATATTCCAATCTGATTTCAGGCTGTGATGGGCGCATCACCATTAAGAAGCGGAGTGGATCTCCTTTCACTAGTTCTTAGCCAGGTTGTTGCATCGATTTTGTCTGAAGGGTTGGGTAAAGATAACCGATGCATTGTTTTTATAGTGTAACATGACTGACATTATTTATAGTCAGGAAGGTGGGATACTACTTGCAATTTGTTATCGTATGTGGCATCTTATTCACGATCTCGGCTGCCTTGGTGTCCACATTCCAAGCAGACACTGCGTCTGGTAAATGAATTGGCTATCAGATCTTGGGAGGCTTTGAACAAGGCCTTGAATTGAAGATGGTAAGTTGATCATCCTTTTTCCTTAGGCCTGAAGCTAGGCTAAACCGTCAATAGCCCTACATCGCAGTTTAAAATGTGCTCTCAGAGAACAATGCAATTGCTCTCGCAGTGCTTGTCTTTATGGAGAATTTCGGAGGTGCAATTCTCATTGTCATTGCGGAGACTATTTTCAATTCGAAATTGGCCCTGGAAATGGCACAGTATGCCCCAGATGTCAACGTCGAGGTGGTCGAGGCAGCGGGTGCTTCAGGTTTCGGAGACGCAGTACCTCCTGCGCAGATACATGGAGTCTTGAGGGCATACAATTCAGCTTTGACCAAGGAATTTACTTGGCCATCGGTTGTATGGTCGCAATGCTGGTTACCTGCTGGGGAATGGGGTGGGCACCAGAAACTCAACGTAGTGATGACTACCAACTCGATGACTGGAACAGCCGAGTAGTGGTGCTCTCCAGGGCTGTTCCTCAGATCCTACTCAGCATACTAGGTATGATTTGCTGAATATATCTAAAGCTGTATTTATAATATAGCACTTATCTGAGTGTTTGTTGATTAGCCATTGCTCACTTTCTCGTGAAGACAATAGGTATATTTACTTCTAACAGGATTACTGAATCAATTTTCGAGGAATCTCAACCTGCATTGTTTGCCGAGCCTGGAAATGATAACTAGAAAAACACTGACATATGAGCCATAACTCTTATATCAGTATCATGATGCCATCCGCAGTCCCCCTCTCTCCTAACCTCACTTAATCCGTAACAACTGGTACTTCGCTTTTGATCAAAAGTACCAGCCCCAACGGAATGATCAAGATGGAGAGGCACCAAACCACCAACCCTTAATGCGTTCCCACATCTGAGGGGTGGTGTTTGACAAGTGTGTCCGATTGGCGAAATGTAAGAAGGCTACGATCGTAGAAGTGGCTATGCCGTATGCAAGTTGCTGAAATGAGAAGGGCATAGCCTTGTCTCCATGAAAGTGTTGGTCGAGTGTCATTAGTGATTTTCAGTCGACAAAATCAACAAAGCTTTGAGACATTGTTCGTCATGCAAAAGAACATCGTAGATTTTCAAGCATAGCAATTACTTGTTCAGTTGCAATGAATTTTCAGTAGGGTCTCATAAATTCCTGGAAATTTATTTTTTGATATTCCCATCTCTTGCGTTGAATTCGAACTTCGAGGTAATTTTCGGGGAGGAGGTAACTTATTGACTCTAGACACTCACATAAGAAAGATAAGATAAGAGGTCCGCACTGACAGGGCCCCATAAGAGTGTATCTTATCAAACAAATGTCACATAGAGCGTCGTATGAGTGTGATCATCCTGTATGAAGAAAAGAACCAGCAGATTGTCTGATGTATCAGATGCGACTCTTCGCTTTCAAGATGGCAGCCTTACATAAGCATGATACGAGTGGATCAATTGACAGTGGCAGCCTGAGGAATCTGGCAGCTGATTCAGCATCTGATCGTGCGTCATCACCTTCTGACTATTCTTCCTTAGGCAACAAACTCGTCATGTGAAACGAAAGTCACTTGACTTGGCTCGACGTTTCTATAACAACCCCTGTCCATCCACGTATCTCTACTCATAACTTCTCTCAATTCATTCCTTCATCGATTCAATTCGTGTTGCTGTGTACGTCGTACAGCACTGCGTATGTACTGAGCCAAGCTTCCTTCCCCGCATTTTCGATGCTGACTGCTATCGATCAGTTGTTATCAACTTATCCGATCGTCCTGATTAATTATCTGTAAACAAACAGATTTATCGATAAGGCTCGGTCAAAGAAAAAGGTGCAGACGAAATGTCTTCAGCTATCGACGATACCCCCATCTCTCCCACCCTCAACCCCACAACCAACCAGCAACGTCGTGACTCTCTGGAGAAGCATCTGCAGACCCGCCCGGAACTTCAGGATTTGAAAGATCGACACATTCTGCTGAATACAAGCGTTGCTCCGTATGTCTGATCATTTTCGCTCCGGATGACATTTCCTCTGATACAAAGTATATAGTGGCCTTCAAGCCGCACAGGCCGAACTTGCCCGGCAGCAAGCCACGGACAATCTCAGAAAACATCTTGAAAAACGCCCGGAGCGCGATGAACTCGTTGACAGTACGTTTAGCCTGAAAATCTCTGTACACAAGTCCATAACTCTAAACTGCAAATAGAGAATATCCTCCCATCCCGCGCCGACATGGCCCCAGCCCTGCAGGCAAATGCAAAAGAACTAGAAAAGCACATGCTTGCCGATAATTTGGAACACAAAATCAAGGAAAGACCCGATCCTAGTCAATTGATCGAGAAGGGTATACTTGAAGAAAATGAGGATCCGAGGAGTCCATCTGAGTAAGTAGCGAGGGTCTACGTTGATATCCGAGGGATAATACTATCTGAATGGATAGTGGCGTTTGTTTTGGCATAGTACATGGGTTGGTTTACTGGGCTCAATGGTTCATTCGTTCAATCCCGGTTCAGTAATGGATATTCTTAACATATGGTTATATGGTTCTTGAGTGGAATCGACTCCGGAGGATCGTTTCTTGACACTCGTTTGTATATGGACATTGCAATTGAATCATTCTTCGCACTCTTTACAGGTATCATTTCATGAACTCCGTAACATTGTCTCGTACACATATCATGGCTCCATCAATAACTTGACAGTGCGTTTGCATTGCAAACATCACAACACACTCAATAGCTTTCAACCTCGACAGTTGAAGCACTTGCTCCTGCTCCTGCACTGACGGACGATAAATCCGGTGTCCATCCGCTGGGTCTCTCGCTCCCTCTGACCAACAACCCATACGCTGCTCTTTCCACTTTCTCAACGCTGTTCTGCATCACATCCATTTTCTTGTACATGTCCTTCATCATGTGGCTACTGTGTCTCCGGGGAACATTGAGCTTTTCAAGCATGGCTCGCATATATCTCAAATCTACCACAATCCCGGCCTTCTCAGGTGGTAGAATAGGGAAATTTTGCGCAGACTCAATTTGCTCGTCGACATCCATTCCATTTTCGTCTTTGCTCTCGTCGCTCTTCTTGACTTGGCCCCCCGTTGAAAGTGTAGTGACCGCAAACCGCATCATCTCTCCAGTCAAATCAAATATACCCATCAAATAATCTTCCTCGGTCACAATGATGCCTTTCGGTAATTGAGCTGCGACTTCGTCAAGAGTGATGAGGCATTGGGTCTGTATATAGTGCTCGAATGAAATGGCTTCGATGAATTCTTGGATTCCTCCAGAGACTTGTCTTTGGTAGCGCCACGAGTTGGTTCCTGCTAGATCAGGAGATATGGATTTGAAAAGGTCTATAATCTGGTTGAAGCGGGTTTTGTTCTCTTTGGCAATATTGGGTGGAATTGGAGCATTGACCGTTCGCACTCTATGAAATAGAAATGTGGGTAAGGTTGTTCATCTGGAAACAAGACTAGGAATCGTACCGTTGGAGAGCAAATATGCTGCCGAAGAACAAATTAGTCAAGTCCGACACATATTTGAAGTCAGGTCAAAGTCATACATTTTTTTGCTCAGTGCAGTAATATCGCGCGATGCCTTAATTATCTTTTCTCGGCGGTCGTGGTGCTCATCCAGCTCGCTGCGAAAGTTCTCAAATATGAACTGAATAACAGGACCCTCCTTCTCAGAGTCCATGGTGAGTAATTCTGATTGGTGACTGGGTCTCGTATGATTATTGACAACATGCCCTTCCCACGATCGTTTAGAGCTGGCCATGTAGTGTGGTGCAGAGATATCAGATAATTGGCTTGAGTAGGAGTGAAGAGAGACAGATGAAATCACGATGGAGCTTGGACTCTTCAGTGCGGGGAGCATGATGCCTGATTGGGTTAGTGCAATTTCCATAGCAAGATCACTGTCAAATGTTTTGCTTTTTTCTAGACAACACCATGTTTTGACATTGTTTGGCCGATAAAAGAATCCTATGGATAAATTATGGGACTGCATTCAGCTCAACAGCATTATGCACAAATGAGCTTTCATCAGAACTCCAGCTTCCAGAGCAACACTTACTTGACAAGTACCACCATGCCTGATACCTACATCTTCCTCAACTGATCTCAATTCGCCAGTATGGCCAGGACCTGATCCCAAGAATTTCGCCATGACTGTATAATTACCAAAAATGGTTGGCCAGGAATGCTATCGACATTGCTAACACGTCATTCATTCCACGGCTATTCCGAGCGAATCGATCTAGGTATACGACGCCTCCTGCCAACCGATCTGCCATATGGCATAAGAAGCTATCAGGTACGTGGCTAAGCGACATTCTTTCAGGGTAGACCGGAATTACGAAGTTCATATTTCATTATATTATCTACCCTGATATCAATCCAGACTGTGTTCCAATTGTTTGCCTACCCCGCAGACAGGCGAAAACCCGTACTTATCGGCTTGTCGATATATCTCCTTTTCTTCCTAGTAACCCGAGTGACAATGGTGAAGATAGAAAAAGCATTATATACCCATACTCGTCACCGTCCACCTGGTGCTTCTACAGTTTTCTTTATCCGAGGATATGTACATGTGTTCTAACTAGAAATATACTCCACGACTATTTCAGTGTCACTAGGAGCAGAAGCAGAAGTCAAAACTTTGCCGTTCTGGGATATATCCAAAAGATCAGCCTCAGAGGTGCCAACAGTGCCACCGTCTTCGGTACCAGCAGCAGCATCGATGAATCTCACTGTTCCAAAGTCGGCAAAAGGGACTTGTCGACCATTTGAATCAAAGTCTTCAACAATCCATTCCGCATTCTGGCCACCTAAAGTAGCGGTTGAAGAAGGTGCTTTGAGGCTCTGAGTGACCGATTGACCGTTCGACAAATTTTCAATCACGGCAACACCAGCGTCGTTATTAGTTGACGTGACAGTGAGCCGAATGGTGTCTCCGGTGCTGATATCAATACCAGAAAAATCGTAGGCGTAGTCTGGATACCATTCGTACCAAGCATCGTAGCTAATCTGTCCAGAGGTCGAAATGCCAAAATCGACTCCAGTTTGAAGAATAGCAGTGGTGTAGGTATCCCCGTCAATTCCAACCCAAGCGGAGGCGTAGGAATCCTGTGTGGCCCCCGAGGGCAAAGATGGCTTTGGAACAGTAAATTGTGCAGTCACTGATGTAAATTTTGTCCCCGAAGGCGGTGCAGTGAGAACGCCGCCGGACCAGTTGGAGCTGTAGTCGACATTTGTACGGTTGGCAGCTTCATCTTCGTTCACGTCGACGGCAGGGACTTTGGGATGTGTCAGTCGCGCTATTTCGCCGCGCGCAGCTACTCTAGCAGCAAGTCCATGACCGCGAGTAACGGCTGCCGCGACAGAAGCTGCCAGCAGAAGTATCTGAGAAAGGGCGAGGGTAGAAGCTTTCATCGTGATATATCGATACCAGTGAAGGTGACTTAAGAAAGCTTGACACTAGATGTACTTTTGAACCCGGCGGCTGCTGGGCGGGTGATAATATAGAGGAAGAAAACTTCTAGTGTAGCCAGGCGACATGCCAGAGGATAGTGGCTCTGGATTCATATACTTATATCATTTTTTGCCAACGACCTTATGCCAAGCCTGGGGATCCTACTGTAGCATGAATACGCATCTTGGAAGTGTATGTTATGCAGGATCGTATCGAACGCGTGATGGAGGCTTGTCATACCGATGATATGGATCTACATCCTGATGATCTTGATCCCAACGATAAGTCCAGTCTTTGAGTCACTAAGTCGCGGTATTGGAAGTAAGTTGAAATCTGGCCTCCCCCCGTTCATTCTAGCCACAGTTGAGAATGGTAAGCTTGTGTCTCGACGTGGAAGAAACCTGTACTAACCAACTCTATCAGATGAGGTATAAACAATAAGTTTCCAGCAGTCAGCAGGATGTCTTGTGGCTTTCTGAGTTTCTTGAGGCATGTGTCGCACGGGCCTGGGGTCAACTGTCGTGTGTTAGACCGAGGAATTTGAACTTGTTACATCAGCGCCCCTGAGAGAATGTTGCTGTGAAATCATGTTTTACTTTACCATGTACATGTAGCAACTCGCAGATCAGATCGAGAAGATTACTCTAACAGTTAGTAAAGCTGAGGAAAATAATTTTTTTTTTTTTTTTTTTGATTGTTGAAGGAAGTAAAAGTTGCAGTCGCCAGCAGCTAGAGGGTGAATGAGGCCGGGATATTCAGGCACCAAAACAGCCCACCCTCAACGAGGAATGCGTCACGAGGAAAACAACCCTTCGACTGCATTTGATCAATCACAAAGCAGATCTCTTGATCTATTGACTAGTCTAGATGCGGCGGTTGATGCTGTACGATTTCTTGGAAGAAATACCTTTGCACTATAGATTATCAGCACGCCAACTGAATAGCACCCTATTTGTGTATCGAGTGCTTTAGTGAGAGAACGACTTATCCCGAACGATACGATGTACTTGCATACTTTATGACGCGGGTTACTAGCTGAGTTTTCGTTATTCGCGAACTTGGAACAAACCAGCCTTGGAGCAATAAGACGCTAGACAAACCTTGCCCTAAAAAAGTCAGAATTGCCTATTTCGGCAACTTCCCTCCACGGCATTATGCCCTGAGCCACTGCCAATCAGAAGCAAGCATTGAAAGCCCTAAATTACCCTGTAATCCTGTAGCCCTAGTATTTGGAATAAGAATGGAAACGGGGTGCGCAGTGTATAAGTAGGATTATGTGGCGCAATCAGTATGCAAAGAAAAAAGTATTATTATGTCCACTTCCTCGGTATATATGCATACTTGCTTAGCTCATCAGCTCTCACATAAAATTAACTAGAAATGCCCGGTCAATACTAGCAAACCAATGTCCAGAATCACGTCCTAGCAAACAAGTAGACTCGATATGAAGACATAATAACAAAGGCCTCCCTTCACCTAGAAGAAAAAGGGGTGTTGGTCTTAAATGCGAGATTGGTGATAAACATAGGAGATAAATTGACTGCCTTTAAGCGTCAACCACCTTCTCAGTAACGACACCGTTGCTTCGGACCAGAACCTTGTCGACTTTAAGAGAGGCCTTGACCGGATTAGGTTGGTTGTAAACCCACTCGAGTTCTTCCAGGGAACGGCCCTGGGATTCAACACTAATTCGGAAATGTTAGAGCATTGATATGATTATAAGAAAGAAAGGGACACTCACCAGAAGAAATACCACAAGGCAGTTTCGACAAAGTCCCAGCCCACAAAGACCCAGACATAGTTGTACTTAATATTGCCGAGAGCAATCGGTGAGGCGTACAAGTTGATGAAACCAAAGACGTTGACCACCAAGCCGTACATAGCCAAACCTCTGGCACGGAGACGAGTGTCGAGAGCTTCGGCTGGAATGACACCTTGTAGCGGGGTATATGCGAAAGAGTAAGCCATATTGAAGAGGAAGAAGAAAGCGAGAGCGCCCTGTGCAAGCGAAGTATTGGTAATAACAGTGCCTACGGTCGCCTTAGCGAGAGCGTTTTGCAGAGCGGCGTTGATCATCAGCATGCAAGCAGTAACAAAGGTACCGTAAACAAGCACCTTTCGACGCGGCATGCGATCAGTGAGGGACATGGCAGTCAGAGCACCGGTGGCGGAGACGACTTGGTTCACCACCGTGAAGCCTAGTTGCTGGAAACTAGAGGTGTAGCCTAAGAGATCGTAGATGGATGTGTTATAGTAGCCGAGACCATTTCCTGAAAATTGGCCAAAGACACCCATCATGACAGTTTGCGCAATGCGCCATCGGCTGTTATGGGTGGAGAACAGTGGGCGCCAGTCCCAAATGGCTTTGTTATACAAGGCGTCCTGGCGAAGGTTTTCCTTGATTTCTTCCACCTCTAGCATTACTAGAGGAGCATGACGGTCACCATTACCGTGGTATGTAGCCAAGATCTCTATGGCTTTCTCGTTCTCGTCCTTGGCCATCAGATGGCGAGGTGACTCCGGCATGAAGAAGACGGAGACAATGACAATGAGGCAGGTGGTACACTGTAGGATCAAGGGGACTCTCCAAGAGTAATCACTGTTGATATATTGACAGCCGTAGGTAACGAAAGCCGCAGGAATGGAACCTCCGAACCAACCACAGTTATAGAAGCCCACCGCACGGCCACGCCAATGTGGTGGAGCAATCTCGACGGCGTAGGCTGGAGCTGCAACAGTCATGAACATGATTCCGGCGCCTAGGACAAAACGGCCGGTGATGAATTGGCCCACGGTGTTGGCAGTTGAAGTGAGGATAGCACCGACGATGATGATGACACCGCCGCAGAACATGCCTACGCGACGGCCGAATCTGTCACTGACAAACGGAGCGAAGGGAAAAGCTGCGATGGAACCACTATATTCATTCATATGAGGATACAACCCTCAAACCTCTGTCTTGGTGTGTAGAACTCACATGCTGTACAATGCATTGAGGAGCGAGACTCTCTGACCGGTGAGCCCGGAGTCAAACTTGTTTTTGAATGCAGGCATGGCTACGATGGAGCTCATGAGCGAGCCATCGTAGCCATTTGCGCAAGAACAACAGAAACAGACTGCAATGAAGCCTATTAAAATGACCAGTTTTAGCATATCTCCACTGCCCATCAGGGTATTGATCAGGCAAACAAAACTCACAGTAGAGCCGGATAGAAGCTTTACTCCATCGCGGAAGGGGAGTTTCTTTGATAGCAGCGAATAACTCGGCCTTTGATCATATGAGGTCAATAGACTGTTTCTTTCCCATTTTTTGAGATAGGACTTACGCTGTGGACCTCCTTGGCTTGGACATCCTCGCCCACTGCGGGCTTTTCAGGGAGACTGGTAACATGCTCAGAGACCGCCTCAACGGCATGTTCCTCGACTTTCGACATGGCTTGGAATAGACGCGATGGTCTTCTCCGAAATCAATGTTTCTCGTTACTGCGCTCTCTTTGACGAGATCGTGAGACAGATAAGCACAGGGAATATCAACGAGAGCGTGATAGAGCAGAGGGGGTGTCAATAGGTGCAGTGAAGGGCTTCATATTTATATTCCACTGCCAGCATGTCTCCAGATTCAATTAGTTTCAATAAAAAAAATTACTTTCCCCGCAAATCCATCTCCAGACATGGAGCTGTGCATGTCTCCTGGTTTGCGTTAGTCAGGTCATGGTGGAGGCTTTCCTGAGGGAGCGTCGCGGAATGTCGGCATGAACTTCATCCCCCGTGTTACTCTAAATAGCGCTGCATTGAGTGGCGGAATCGCTCGAGTCAATGCAAGCTTAGACAGCTCGCGACCCAACACAAAGGATAATCTTTCGGGCCCTGGGGATTGGGTCGATGGATGGATAGATCGAACCCTAAATGCGGGGAGTTCGCCAACCGTCCGCGAACTTCGAGAACTCTCTCTACACCGGTATGGAAAAAGCCTCCAATACGCACTCGGTACATATCCCCCATATAGCTAGCTTCACGTGAACTAGGAGCATGCATTCTGTATCCACTTCAGTCTTCGGCAAGTGTCTCGCCAGTGGTAATGATTGGAGTGAAAAGAATCTGGCATGCTGGCTCATAAATTAGAAAATAGTGCTCATTTTATAGAGCTTGCGGTAGAGTGATCACCTAGCTGGTATGCAGCTTACTATTAGTCGGGCATCTTGTGAGCTTTTACCTTGGCGCATACTCATATTGCTTGATAAGTCCAGGTAGCATGTCAAATGGCCTACCTCCTAACTGGTCATACAACCTTGGGCGACTCTGCATGTGTCTCCCATGCCAACTGGTTAGATCTCAAGCCGAGAAGCTGGGGGCAATTCGAGGCTGGGGCGTAAAGCAAGGACAGCGGTTGGATATGAATTTCTCTTTTTCATTTTCAAGTTTCTCGACCCCCGTAAGTATAGATTAGGCATGGTGTAATTACAGCAATCTTTACCTTGATTTCGTGAGAATAGTATGTTTCGGGAGGGTCTGCAAGCTCCGGAGATTTTCGTCTTCCCCAGTAAAAATATGCCGACTCCAGACTTCGGAGCAACATATGACGGCGGGGCCGCTGTCTAGGATGCATAATAGTCACCACTAGTTCGCTCTGTTTTAATCTATCAAGTAGTTGGAGGACATGACTGGTTATGCAATATACATGGCGGCAATCTACAACCTTTAGTAGGACTGCCACTCATTGGTTCTCGAGACGACTGAATCCATTACATGAATCATGAGCGAGAGATGTCTATGTACATATGAAAATCTCTCAATCATATATTGAGCGAAACAATACTATCTATATTGATATAAACATGGTGCGAAATAAGCAAGCAGCATGCCATCATTAAGGTCAGAGGAAACTTATCCGAACGGGCAATGGATATCTGTGTAAAGAAACGGGGAAAGGAATACACGGGGCTGGATTCATATCGACATAAGTTGCGCAAATATTTCAAAATCCGGTATCAACACAGGCCGCCCAAGTGGCGTTTAGGTTGTCGAGGTTGGTTGCTCTTCGACGCGGTCGGGGCTCTTGGAAGCTTTGTGCTCCTTTTTCTTCTTTTTATCATCCTTGCTCTTTTTAGTGGCGGCTTCAGCCATGAGTTGCTCAAAGGCTAGATAGTCGCCCTCTTCGTCGGGATCGCGTGCAGCCTGATCATGGATGTTAGTAAAGCTCGGAGATCATAATGACAAAATAGACTAACCTTTTGGTAGATGTTTCCAGCAAGAACTAAAGCATGTGCCCGCTCTATTCGCTTCTCCAACTTCACAGATTTATCTCCCAGAACTTTATCGCAGACGTCCCGTAGCACCGACTGAATCTCGAATTTACTTCCTCTCCAGGCGGCTGCGAGGATTTTTCCGGTGACCTTTCTCTCGTACTCGGCTTTCTTCTCATCAGTCCAGTCAGCGCCACCTTTCTCCTCCAATTTCGCCATTTCCTCCATCGTCATTTGAGCGTCGATTGCCGTAGAGATGGTTCCCCATGTCTCCTTGGCCAATGTTCCTTTGTCCTTGAGACGAGAGAAAAAGCCTGAAATGCCCAAAAACTTTTGGGATTTCAGGAACGAAGTAGCCTTTTGTACGTAGGTCTGCCCAATAGCATGGAGAATTTCCAGCCCAAAAGACTCCATTTTCAGGTTCTCCACTTCAAGACGAATCTTTTCTTCGAAAGCGTGTGTGACTTCTGGACCTTTGTCTGTCTCAGTCCAAACACTGATGCGATCAATAAGCTTGCGCGCGAGAGTGTCGACCCGCTCCTGGCGTGCTTTACGTCGCTCTTCTTCATATTGAGCTAACCGTTCTTGTTGTTCTCGACTCAGTCCGCCCTTCTTCTTTTCCTTTTTGCGTAGCTCCTTCTCTTCAGCGGTGAGACCAGCAGCTTCCATTCTAGCCTCTTCCTCTGATTTATCCATGATCGCCTGTTGACCCCAGTTGCGCCGTGGTGTACTTGTCCCGGAATTGTTACTCGACTCCGGAGCCGGCGTTGTGGTCGCGGTAGCTGATGCAGCCGAGGCCGCGGATGGTGCGGATGCCGCAGGTGTCGACTCGTGTTTTATCTCTTCGTCGTGTATATGTAATTTCTCTTCGGCGGACGCGGCCAATTCCTCTTCTTCCATTTGCTGCATAGTGATGTCCATGGTGGTGGTGAGGTCTTTCATCAGCGAGATTTCTCCGATGAGGTCCACGAAAGCTTCACCACCGAATATCATGGTAAAGAACTGTGCCGGATCCTCTGTTAAATGTTAGTCTACCTAGTTTTGACTATCAATATACTTCACAAAACATCATACCGAAGCCTCCGCCAGGGACGGCCTGGTCCTTGCCGAACTTGTCATATTGTTTTCGCAATTCATCGTTACTAAGGACTTGGTATGCTTCTCCGATCTGAATAGATATAGTTTATTAGTTTCTGACTTCAAGCATCCTATATTCGCTAGTTCTGCGTCGCGGGTTATGGCAAAGCTGTGAGGCTGATGCGTACCGCTTGGAACCGGGCATGCGCAGTTTCATCTCCTGGGTTCTTGTCTGGAGCCAAAGTCAGTAAATGTTATCTTGGCATGGGTATTTCCCTAGATCTGCCGATATTATACCTGGATGAGTGGTGATAGCAAGTTTCCTATATGCCTTTTTGATCTCTAGCTCGGTGGCCGTTGGCGGCACTCCGAGTGCATCATAGTAGGTGGTGTCCACAACCATGGTAAATCAGCTCCGATGATGTGTTTGAAAGAAACAAATGGGATCAAGAATAGTGCTAAATTCCAAAGCACAAGTAGACGAATAAAGAAGTGTAAGAGTCAAAGGCTGAATGGCCTTTGTCCAACCTGGCGATATCAGCCGATGACAATTGAATTGTTTCTGGAGTGCTGAGGTCATGTTTTTCCTCCCCGCCATGTTTGCACTGTTTGCCAGGTGTCGAGGTGTCGAGGCGCCAAGGCGTCAAGGCGGCGATAAATGCGTTTAGGCACTCAATCTTCGCCGGGCCGGCAGTTCTTCCGTGCTTTCCCCAGTCCCTTTTTCCCCTTTTTACGTACTCACTCTTCGTCCCGGCCGAATTTTCGCTTAACCAACTTCTTCCTCCTCTTCTTATCTTCTTCCTTCCCATGCTCTTCTTCACTCCTTACGCTTTCGGGTGATGGGGTTGTTTATAATTTCCTTGCTTTAATCTTCATTCTCAATTTCAGAGGCCTCTTAAATTAATTTCACCACTTTTTCCATTGCGTGGTCTTTAGAGTTGTTGTATTCGTTGGAGTGCTGGAACACGAGATTACAACGCGTAACCGCCAACATGGGTTTACTGTGGAATATCGCCTACTATACCTTCCATCCTTCAGAGCTCAGATCCATTGTTCAGTGGTATGTTGACAGAAACTCGATACAATGCTGCATTGCAATCTAATCTCACTGAATCTGTAGGAAAGTATGGCACAACCCTCCACACGAACGGGATACCTCTAAGGATCCTGAAACGCTGAAGAAATGCCTCTATCTTCTGGACCTGACGAGCAGAAGCTTTTCAGCCGTCATAAAAGAGCTTCACCCCGAGCTACTCGTTGCTGTCGCCGTCTTTTATCTAGTTTTACGTGGACTAGATACCATTGAAGATGATACATCAGTGCCACTTGACGTCAAGGAGCCGCTGTTGCGAGACTTCAAGAACATCATCGAGAAGGACGGGTGGACCTGGAATGGTAACCGTCCCGAAGAAAAAGATCGCCAGGTCCTGGTCGAATTCGATAATGTGATCGCTGAGTATAAGAAATTGAAACCAGCATATCGCGCAATTATCAAGGACATGACTGATAAGATGGGCAATGGCATGGCTGACTTTGTCCGAAAGGCCGAAACTGAGGGCATCAGCGTAAAGACCAACGAAGAATACGATCTTTATTGTTACTATGTGGCCGGCCTCGTTGGAGATGGTTTAACACAGTTGTTCGTCGAAGCACAGTTTGGCAACCCTGGATTGCTATCACGGCCCAACTTACACAAGTCGATGGGTCTGTTCTTGCAAAAGACAAATATTATCCGTGATATTCGAGAGGACCATGATGACCAGAGACATTTCTGGCCCCAAGAAATCTGGTCCAAGCACGTCGAGAAATTTGAAGATCTTTTCGACCCCCGCTGTAAAGAAGCCGCTCTTAACTGCAGTTCAGAAATGGTTTTGAATGCTCTCGAGCACGTTGATGAGTGTCTTTTCTATCTCGCCGGCCTTCGTGAACAGAGTGTCTTCAACTTCTGTGCTATTCCACAGGCAATGGCTATTGCAACCTTAGAGCTCTGCTTCCGGAATTATTCCATGTTTGAGCGTAACATCAAGATCAAGAAAGGTGATGCTTGCCGCTTGATGTTTGAATCGACGCAGAATCTGCGTGTACTGTGTGAGACGTTCCGCACCTACGCTCGCAGAATTCACCAGAAGAACACCCCCAAGGACCCTAACTTTGTGAAGATTAGCATCGCATGTGGCAGTGTAAGTGATATTCATCTGAACATTAGTGGGAAATGCTAACATGGGAGCAGATTGAGAAATTCGTTGAGACGCTTTTCCCATCACAGACTGCCGAGCAGGCCAAACTTAAGCTATCTGGTCAACCCACGGAAGAAGATGAGAAGAAGAAGCAACACGACAAGGAATCATGGGAAGAAATCAAGATGATGATGGTAATAATGGGTAGTATTATTACTGTTATCACAGTCATATTGGTACGTATATATATCCTCCTGTGTGTCTAAGCATTACCTGACATTGCTTAGGTTGGAGCGGCTTGGTTCCTAGGCGCGCGATTCGATCTAGCCTGGGCAGATCTGAGAAAGGGCAATTTTCGACCGGCGAATAAGATCGAGCATTCGGAGTTATAACATCACGATCGATATATGTTTCCCAGACCTGCTTTTACTTTCACTTCCGCAGGGACGGCTGTGTTTTGACGACTATGTATGGGTACACCTAACGTAATAATACTAACAACTACAGCATCAGCTACAATGTACTGATACCTTTTGTTCTTTCCAATTAATCACTTTCAGTCAGGTTCCTTTTAAGGAATAGCACGGATGTCAAATTGCGATTCAGCCTTTCCATGGCTGCAGTTGTGCCGAAGAAGTGCTTACATTGACTTAATTATTCGAGGACGTACTAGATGTTTGTCTGATCTACTTTAGTGTGGGCGGTGACAAACATCCATTGAGGAACCGAGACATGCTGTAAACATTATATAGAAATTAAAGCACAGTATCCAGGAGCAGACCGGTGCTCAGATGTTGAGTAATCAATTTAATCAGTCAATTTTACCTAGGTCCCATTCTTGCTTTCATATTTATATTCAATCAACATCTGGTTAATTCGTTGCGTGGTACTTAGGCGGTGCTTTGCCGAGCGATTTCTAATTTCATGCCTATAATAAAAATCCTAGTTAGATAACCCCTTAAAAAATTCGTGTATCTCGTTTTTGACGCTTTTCCCAGTTCTTAGCGCGAAATGTTGAAGGTGAGACAGCTCTTAGGGCTGCTTATCAATAAGATTTAATATTTTAGTAATCCTCGATTCATGGCATCGGGATCGGGACGGCAGCAGTACCGACCCATCTTCTAGCATTAATCTTGGAACTATAAAACCCTTATTTTCATGAATCAATATCATCGCCTACCTAAAGAAGACATTGTCTTAATCAGCGTATTTTGACGTTACAAGCATTTTACGAAGCGTAAGCGTGCCTTGCTGTGGGTCCTTGGGGATTTACTCTTTCTAAAAATTTGCCCCTTTAGGCAAAGGTGTTCACCTTGCTTGACGAGCGTATAATGCGCCTCGCCTTCTGTTCATCGAACTTGCGGTTTACTATTTCATTACGTCTGCGTACCGAGAACACAGGTCCTGTATACAGTGCCCGATTTTGTGGACAAGTTGATCAAAGATTTTCCACTGCAACTTACACCAAACCGATCGCCGGAAGCTATCATAAGGGAGGCAATAGCAACATGGCTGATCGATGTGATACAAAAGGTGCAGAAGAAGCAGCCACTGTACAGGGAACTGAAGAGAAGGTGCTTCCTAAGCTCACACCGGCTGAGTTTCGGGTCTATAACCGTTTGGCCGAGCACATGGATTATTTTGTAGGTATTCACTATATTCACTATTTTCGCGCATGAGACCAAAAATAGCTGATTCTCCATAGCACAATCACTTCCGTCATAGCTGGAATGAGCTTTATGAAGCATGTTGCAACAACAGACGACCATCAGGTGTCTCAATTCGACAGTTTCTTAACATGGGCACGGATTTCTTATCACAATTGAACTTTCATCACAGCATCGAAGAACAGAGTATTTTCCCGATACTAGCGAAGAAAATGCCCGAGTTTAAGAGGGAAGTTCATCTACTCAAACAACACAAAGAGATCCACAAGGGGATGGATAGGATGGAGGATTATTTGATGGACTGCAAGTCTGGGGAAAAGGAGTTGAGGTTGGACGAGATGAAGAAGGTTATGGACTCTTTTGGGAAGGTGTTGTGGGATCATCTGGAGGATGAGGTTAAGACTCTTGGGGCGGAGAATATGAGGAAATATTGGTCTCCTGATGAGATGAGGAGATTACCTATGTGAAGATGATTTAGATGGTGTGTATAGAGAATAAGAAAGGCCCTCGCTAGAGAGATTTTCCTGAGATACCTAGGTAGAGTGCAGCTGTCACGACCGCGCGAGCTAGTAATTTCCAAGGCTCTCTTGGAACCACCTAGGCAACCTTGAAATGATCCATGGATAATCTTCTACTGTTCACCTGGAATCCTGCCTGTTCTTTAAGTAAATACCAAATACGCAAATTTCATTGCAAAAATGGGTTCGGTATAATACCACACTAATCCAAAAATCTCCTAGTGCTGTATTATTGGTAACATAAGCGCAGGCATCAACGGGCCGTCGTCGCGATAATTTGTCATTTTCATGGGACGCGATGCCAAATGTCCAAAATTATCGTTTCATCAAAGACATCATGCAGTCCATTAGGTAAACATGGAAAATGTTGGAGATAGCACGAGCCCTCCTCCAACTGAGCGGGTGGAAGAGTCCGATCCCTCGCCCTCACAAGAACACAAGTCTCTCAAATTCTCATTGCTTGGACCTTCTTTATTGAAGGCTGGACAAGACGCGGTTGACCAACGCAAAGTAAGTTAACAATCAGCCTTATTGGATCGCGGATTCTACTAAAACTTGACAGGTTTCCGAAATAATCTATAATGCCTCCAAGGGCTCAAAATTCTTCAATCATGAAGAAGCCAGAGATAAAATTCTCACGGAGAAAATCGAGCAGATTCTAGCCCATAAGGCTCGTCTGGAAAAGCTAAACTTGTCGGCAGATCTTCGACGCACAGATGAATACATCGCTGAACTCGAACTTAGTCGGGACCTATCTCAGACTGTAGTTCATGTTGATTGTGATGCCTTCTTTGCTGCCGTCGAGGAATTGGACCGGCCCGAATTGAAGCATTTGCCTTTTGCGGTGGGCAAGGGCGTTCTCACGACGTGCAACTACGTTGCTCGAAAATTCGGCTGTCGTAGTGGAATGGCTGGATTTGTGGCAAAGAAGTTATGCCCCGATTTGATCTGTATTCCGCAAAACTACGAAAAGTATAGTGCTAAAGCGGAGGAAATCCGTGCAATTTTCGCTCAATATGATCCATGTTTCGAAAGTGCTTCGATCGACGAGGCGTACCTCAATATCACAGCTTATTGTGATGAAAACAATATGGACCCGCAAGAGGCCGTTCAACAAATGCGTGCGAGGATCGCGGAAGAGACCAAAATCACCGTCTCAGCGGGCATTGCTACCAATACTAAGCTTGCTAAAATTGCTTCAAATCAGAATAAGCCGAATGGACAGTACTTCATCCCGAGTGAGCGTGAAGCTATTATGTCGTTTGTCAAGGACCTGCCGGTTCGCAAAGTCAACGGCATTGGTCGCGTCTTTGAACGCGAATTAAGAGCAGTAGGCATCGAAACGTGCGGTCAAATATATCCGCAAAGAGCTTTACTAAAGAGACTATTTGGAGGAAAAGCTTTCCAATTCTTGATGCAGTGTTACCTCGGTCTAGGAAGGACCAAAATACAGCCTGCAGAGGATTATGAACGCAAAAGTGTGGGGACTGAAAGCACGTTTGCAGAAATAAGTGACCCAGACGCTATTCGAGTTAAACTTCGATGGGCGGCAGATGAACTTGCAAAGGATCTTGCACGAACGCAGTTCAAAGGACGGACGCTGGTCCTGAAGGTCAAGTTGCATACGTTTGAGGTGTATACTCGACAAGTAGCGCCTCCTAAAGCCGTCTGGCTTGCGGATGACTTATATACCTACTCATTGCCGATCTTGGCTAAGTTGCAAAAAGAAATACCAAATATGAGACTACGATTACTAGGGTTGAGATGCACACATCTTGTCAGCACGAAGAAAGTTGGGCTTGATTTCTTTGGGTTTCAGTCTATTCCGAAGCCGTCGCTCAATACTGCCATTACTGGTGAGAGCACAGAAGATGTTGATGCTGGACCGTCAAATGAATCCGGAGATCAGCTTCATAGGAGCGACGCACAATCCGCCACGGAGCAAGAATTCGAAGACGCTGCGCGCCAGGAAAGGGAAGACGACATGGAAGTTCTAGAACAACTCAGTCAAGGGTATCCTGACAATTCAATAACGTCCTTGCCCTACGTACCCCCTACAAACGATACCGCTACCAAATCAGAACTTCCTCCCGAACGAGCACCGGCTCAGCATTGGACCTGTCCCATCTGTTCTCGACCACAAGTGGCCGATGATAAAAAATTCAATGAACATGTCGATTACTGTTTATCAAAAGAAACGATTAAAGAAGCCGTCCAGATTTCTTCGTCTTCTCCCTCAATGGCCGTTGAGTCTGAGTATTCTTCTAAAACCCCATCCAATTTTGCGAACGCCTGGAGTAAAGAGCAATACTCGAGAAAGAGGAAGACAACCTCGGAGACAGATCCACGACAGAAGAGGTTATTTTTCTCATAGAATGTCGTCTATTGTGGTTTTACGCATTGCGCTCGGCTCATACATGCATATACATGTCTTGTACATAGATTTATTATCTATTTCTGATGCAACCGTGGCACTTAACGTTCAAAATAGGCGTTCAAGCCTTGGAAGACATACTATGAGACTCGCAGAAAAGAAGTACCAACTCTTGCTTTGTTTTTCCTCACACTTCACGAGGCCGTCTTCACTGTCGTATCGATTATGAGATTTTCTTCTAAACTAGTGCGTACCCCGCATCTGATATCGGCCAATTTAGTTGAAGATTCGGGTCCCAATTGCAGATCAGCTCCAGCGGGTAGTCCTCTCGATACTTACCATCGACCTTAAGAGGTTGGTACATTAAATCAGAATGTGCTAAGTCTCTGCAACCCTCTGAAACATAGCTTGCAAGTTGCCTATTCGGGCATTTATACGGGTACATATGATCAGTGGCCCCACGCTTCAAATTGTTCATAGGGAAGAAGGAATCTTGTCCTGCTACTGGGTTTTGTCTCTTAATACATGATGAGACTGAAAGGACTACTTTACATTTCGTGGTTATTGGGAGCTAAGATATCTGTTTCCCCTGTTGTGGCAAGGGAGTCGGGGTTGCAGCGAAGCTCGAGTGAGTGTGGAATACCTCAACTTGTATGGAGCTTATAGCTGAGCATCTTGAGACAAATATCCTCCTACTCTCGAAATATCGAATTTAGTGCTTACCTCGAAGTGGTTCGGAGGCAGCGATTATGTGCAGGTCATTGAGATGACCGTCACCAACAGTAACGACCAGAATTATCTCACAGTGGCTGATACCCTGGTCGTCTCAACGAGTTCAAGGAGTTCAAATTATGTTGATCTGGTTGTCCCGGGCAATCTGACTCGTCTCGCGCCGGGTCAGAGTGCCATTGTACAAGTTAAAGTAAAAAATAAAGCTGGAGTTGCAGCAGACACTTTGTGTACTGTGGACATTGTTGCCACGTACGGTCAAGCATACGGTGATACTCAGGCAGCCACAGCCACGTCAACCGGCAATTGCGGATTTGGAGATATGAAGCGTCAGCAGACAGCTTGAACAATCACTGGAATCCAGATTGGTACAATAACGTGAAATCTGGCATCTTCATCCATTGGGGGCCTTACTCGGCACCGGCTTATGGAAGCGTTGCCCCAAATGAAGACTATGCAGAATGGTACAAATCCAGTTCGTCTTTGTTTTGTTGCCCAATCTTGGCTCATTTCTTCTCCTTCTCTATGATATAGGTATTGGATGCGCCAGCATCAGCCATCCTACAAGACCCAAATAAATCAGTACCATTTGGAAATATACGGTGAAAATTTTATCTGCGATGATTTTATGAGCAATTTCACCGGCGCGGCGTGGGATCCAAAGGAGTGGATGAATTTGATTGCAGATTCTGGAACACATTACTTTGCGCTAGTCACAAGTAAGTGTCGGATATGCAAAGACATGAATTGGTACTCAGTAATGAGAAGAACATCATAACGGATTCGCTCTTTTTGATTTCCTATTAATGTTAGCATGTGGTCTTCCATCCATTATGGTCCAAAAAGAGACTTCATTGGAGAACCACTTGCAAAAACTAAAAAATATTATCCTGGAATTCGTCGTGGGGTGTTCTATATTTATTTCCTTTTCCGGTTTCCCAAATTTAGACGGCAAATGAGTTGACAGATTGTAAGTATCTACTTCAGTCTCCCTGCTTTGTACGATCCGAGAATGGACAATACTAGCAAAAAGTAGGTACACCATAAACTCGCCGACTGTTGTTCGCACGTGGGAGTCTAACCGAGGAATGGACCCTTTGTCCTTTGGGTACAACTACCAAACCCCCGATAGCGTGTATCTCACCGGTAATGATATATGATATAATTCAGTTACTGGTGGATATAGTCAGTACGAATAGCAACTTCCTGCTCGATATTGGACCCATGCACAACGGCTCCATTCCAGGAATTATGCAAACAGGTCTTCGCGACGCTGGCGCCTGGCTTCGAACGCATGACGAAGGCATCTTATGACACTAGGTATTGGAGCGTAACTCCCGGCACGGGTCAAATACGTTACACGACAACGGCAGACGCTTTTTGTATTCATTATATGGGTGCTCCGCCTCTGTTGATTCCAATTTCTGACCCTGTACCCTGGCTACCGGGAGATACGGTGACGGTGCTGGGCGGTAATAAGAATGATACCATCGTTCCGGTCACAAAATCTGACGACGTACTCAACTTGACTCTTACGGAAGACATTGTTCAAGCCGACACGTATGTATGGTCATTCAAGCTTTCGTACACTAGTGACAGGTGATTGCGATGTGTGATTTGTCTGTATCTTAGGAGGAATGGCACAGACTAGCTCTGAATGAAACGGGTTTCATATCGTTGTGCTGAAATCATTAATTGGTAGCTTTAAGTACTCAATGTATGCAGCCAAAGACCCCTATTTAAACAAACTTATTCTTGGTGTCCGAAGTGGAGACTTCAGATTGAACACATACGACGAGGAGCAGCTGAAAATAAAACCGTGTAGGGACCAAAACTTTGAAGGCTACGATGTCAGAATTCTTATGTTAGGCATACAGTCGTCTGTACGGGGTAGGTTGTCCTCCATGCGGAGTAAAGAATCGACTCGACTCTATGCCAAAGAATTTCTCCAGGGCCCTTGCCAAAGCTATCACATGCCTTGAAGTGAAATTTATTCTCTTACGCCCACGAAAAGTGTTCCATATGCAAGTAAACGCCTTCGAAACTTGGATTATTCACGAGACGTAGGTTCTCCTTTGCCACAGCGTTACGCACATCATTCTGCATCGTGTGAGGCCCGCAGACGAAAACGCCCAATGACTGTCTAGCCTCTGCCACCTTTGCAGCCTCTTCCTGAATGATCAGTGGTAATGGTGGTCGGCTGTGTTGTTCTTGAATTAAAAGGTTACATGTCATGCGTTCCCCCTTTTCGTTATCTTTCTGTGTAGTGGTATCTCCCACTATCTGAAGAGACACGGCATTCTCTTGGTCCGCAAGTACTCCTGGCGAGTATGAGTCCCTCTTCGTTTCACTGGTCACGTAAACTTGTAAATCAAGGTCAAGCGATGAATGCTCTAGTGAGTGCTGTGATAGGATCTCGCCAACACGTCTCTGAAACCAGACACTTGTGGCAGACTCTCTCGTCGCTAGAACCACACGCATTGACAGAGTTGATACCAAGCTTTGCGGGTCACCGCTGGTATTCTTCTCTTCATCAGAAGCTTCCATATTCGGGATGTTCGTCTTGTTCGCCATGGAAAGGTAATGTCTACAGAATTGCTCAATGAAAGGTAGACTCCATCCGGCTCCCGAACCACCTGTAATAACAATGACGTGGTCACTGTTGTAGAATTTCTGACGATCAATTCCTCCGTAAGGACCATCAATAAGTACGGGGGCTGAGACACTCGCTTGCTTCGTAGCATAATTGTAAAGTTTCGCGGTGAAGCCGCCTTGGTGACGGATGTAGAATGTAAGATTGGACTGCTCATGTGGTGATACCGAGGGAAGTGAGCAGATCGTGAATGGGTGGGATGTGAGAGCGTGGATACCAAAGCTGGGGAAGCGCAGAAAACAGTGCTGTCCAGGCACCCATTCAAAGTTTGCAGGGATCGTAATACGAGTGAAGCCGTTGTCTTCGATAACAATTTGCGCCTTCTGACCGATCCCATACTCAAAGAAAGTTCGAAGCCACGAGTAGAGTAGGCATGGAATGTATACTGCCGCTGTTGCTATGAAGTAGTCCCTGTCAATATGTCAGTAACTTTGATACCGTATGTGTCTAAGTGAACAATTGAGCTATCTAGCGCACCATGATGTGAGTCTAAAATTGCAATGCCAGAAAAAGATCAACATGAACACGATGACTGCAAAGATATGTGCTGCTTTAAAGAACTCGTAACCAAGGTTCCTAATTTATGAAGTCAGTCATGTAGCCTGGGTCTGCTTTGATTAAAAACTCGCCCACCGGAAGAAACTGAAAGATGCAAAGGTTAACCATGCTTGAAGTACCAATGCAACTATGCCAGTCCAGTAGACTAGAGTGTTACTTTCGGTAATCTGGTGCACCATGTCAGCATTCCGGATATGGTAGACAATGAATGAAAACGTATGCATTAGTGCGAGGATAAAGAAGGCATAGGAGATCCATCGATGGAATACTTGGAGTTTCTCATGAGGGACACCCGTAAGCAGGGTGATCCAGTTCGCCTTGCTAGCGGTAGCGCTGAGGTGCATCATTATTAGTTGTCAACATGAGCTTTGGTATTCAACGTACAAAACAAAAGGCATGCACGCCAGAGCCAGCCATCCAGATCTGGTACCGAGCGCTGGAGAGTTTCCCCAGTTCAAGTTCGGCCAGTAATAGGGCTTGGGAGCCAAATCCATGCCTGTGACACATACATAACATGAACCAGTGTAACTCATCGTGGGAAGGGAAATTGAGGGTGCAACGCACAGAAAAAGTAAGTGGTGCCGATACTTGCCAGCATCAAGAGTCCCACAGAGGGTGAGCTCCATCGGAATTTCTTCACGTAGAACCCACGATAAGACAGGTAACGAACTGCCGCAATTATCCTCCTCCATATCGGAAGACCTCGACCTATGCGGTAGCTAAGAGTCCGTGATATGACACGAGCAATGATGAATATGCCGATAGTGCACATGAAGAATGCCACCGTTGGCAATGCAAATACGTGATCGGCTTCATACCTAGTGCAACTTGGTCAGATTTTATTGCACATCCTGAGAAAGCCGTTACTAGAAGAGAGTCTCTCCTTACCAGTAGTGCCAACGTTGATAATAATACTCGCATTCTTCTGGCGTGATATCCTCACAGTTGAATTTACGACTCGAGTGCAGTTGCACTGGTTGACTCAACCAAGCGGCCATATTGGTCAGCTTTGCCCACGGGTACCTGTCTTTTTTCCTTAACCGGTGTGAAGATCATTCTAGTTGGGAGCGGCAGAAGGCCGTACATAAATGTCTTATATCTATGTGGTCTTCACTAGACAAGTTGCAAGCCCACTTGGACTAAGGACACGAAATATTAACCGTCATCCATATCCAACTCATATTAGAACCGTAAATTCGGAATTTCCCATGAGGAGGCCTTTTTTTGAATTAGACTAGTCAAATTCTGTTTTCGGGGGAGTTACCATGGCTGATAGCGCAGTTGAGTGTCTTTCTAGACCGAGACGAGCACAATTGAGTTAATTAATAACGATCTTGGTTGTATTAGTAAAAGACGCTTATGCCGGTGCAGTGGGCTATAGATCTGTTTGGTATGGACGAAGGAAAGTAGTGGATGAGGGTTGTTTGCTAAATTGCCTTCTCTACTTAGGTAAGTGTCTGTAGGTAGTTGCTTTACTTAGGGCTTAACTCGGGATGTTTGAGACCTCAAACCACCATATTTGATGTACTTAGTTTTGCCTAGACAGCGCCCTGTTGAAAATAGCTTGTGTTATATTTGCCCTTCATGCGATGATTTGTTCTATTCCACGTCTTTATTGCGTCTTCTTGGGTGAGGACTGTGTTTTCTTGGTAGTAATGCAAGAGTTGGTAGTGGACGCTTTGTGAACCAAGATATGTCCTAATCTGAAGCTGGAACATTTTGATCTGGGATCCATTCCAATTGTCACTAGAGCCTCGCGGGGCTTCTTGGTACTGTAGATTCTAGATGTTATAGGTACATATACAAAATCAAAAGCAGACCTCTTTTTTTCTCCATTTCTATATTCATAGTCCACATATTATGCCTGTTCAGGGGGTATCATACAAAACAAAATGGGAATAGTAATGGCAAGATGAGAAATGATAGGAAGGAGTGGTGGTGATGGTGGCGCTCAAGGTATCATATAGCTATAAGATTGAAAACACGAACGACAAGGACAAGGAAAAGAAGACGCTGAGATGAATCGCGCACTATGCTCGTGTGAAGTTTACTAAGTCAGTAGTGGAAGAGAAGAATGAAGGATATAATGCTTGCTTAGAAGAAACAAAAGAAAAGAAGCTGGCGAAGGAGAGCAGAAGGGATCCATGCCATCGAATGGGAATGAAAGGAAATAGAAATGAAGGTTGAGGTCCAGTCTTAGTGTTCTCAGTCTTATGACTCGAGATGTAAATCCGCTGTTTCTTCAAGAACATCATCGATAGCGTCGAGAGCGCTAAACTCAAAATCTTGCTGGACTACTGCTGCAGGGCTCAAGAGACCACGACCTCGATCGAGCTCCTCTCCGAGTTCATCTGGGTCCAAGACACGCCCACCAATTTCCACATCGCTGACATGGACGTTATATTCCAAGGCCCTTTTGCCCTCTTTGATGAGCTCTTCAGTCCAACCGATGCATCGCTTCAGGCTTTGATTGAGCTTTTGGCTGTCAATTAGCAATTCATGATGTTTGGCGAGATCGAGCATGAATTGCTTTTCGTCATCAACGCGGTGATGGGAGTCGTGTTCTGCGGAACTGTTAGGACTAACGGTTCCGTCTCCTAGAGAATCTTGGTCGCTATCATCCGATAGTTCATCATTCGAGTATGTGGAAGAAAGCTCGCTGATATCTCCAGTTTCACTAACGACTGAAAGTCCTCCGCCAGAGGTAGACCGCAGGGAGGTCGTAATAGATAAACGACCAGATCGGCTGAGACGCCGATATCTACGCAGCTCCGCGTTTTGTTTCCGTAATTCACGTTCAAGCGTGCGATTGATAGCTAAAAGAGAAGAGTTGCTGATTTCGAGGTCGAGAACCTTGCGTGCTGTGCGCGCGTTTGTAGCATCTTCACCAAATGCATTCGGTTCCAGTTTTATGGGACTTTGAGGTACAGTATACGGTTGATCTTTGTGGTCGGTGAGTTGGATGAGAGGGTTCGAAGTAATAAGAGGGCTATTGGAGACTGGGGGAGAAGGACTACTCAATGGCTCAGGAAGAAAGGGCGAAGATGATGTCGACGTAACACGGCGAGTTGCCACACGTGGAGAGGGAATGGTCGTCGTAGAGTCAACACTGCACGACTTCCGGTGTGTAGGAAATTGGGGCGTCCGGGTAAGTCCGGGGGAGGGATGTTCAGCGGATGTTGGTGGCCTGGATCCAGACATCTCTTCGATGTTGGGGCTTGGTTGAAGACTGCTTTCCGCAGATGATCGAGAATTGGAGTCAACTAGCTGCGCAGCCCGTAGTCTCGGTGAGAGCACTACCGGGCTTTTCGGGCCTACAGGAAGACGAGAGGATCCTGTTGAACGCCGCTTTGTTGGTATGCCTCGACTAGAGTCGTCTGTGTGACTGTCCTGGTCATGCGAGCCATCGGCATAGAAAAATGTTGGCGTCTGTGCTGTTTTCGAGTACGTACGAGGTCGTGCTTCAGCTTCATTAGATCCAGAGGAACGAGCTTCGTCGGCATGGAAGAATTTTGATGAGGTCGAATTCAGTACTTCAGATGAGGAGGTAGGGCGGGACAACGTCCTCGATCCCGTTCCATCAATATTCAGGCCCCTCGATACTGTCGACTTAGATGTCTCTGACCTCGGATAACCGCGAACAGGACTCCTTTCAGTTCGAATGTAGCCTGGGGTAACAGGAAGAGTGGGCCGAGATGTGTGATGTGTAGCCGTCGACGCTGAAATGTCTGGGGAAGAAATGTGACCATCTCTACGACTTGTCCGGGGCCCGGATCGTGGAGTTATATTGGTTCCGAGATACGAAGGGTCGGGAGTCGCAACATTTTCGCGTGGCGATGGGATGGGTGATATTTCTGACTTTTTTGGTGTTTGGTTGGTTCCGAGATGTGCCAGGCGAGGAGTCAATGGTAGCGAGGATTTGGTAGTCGGTCTGAAGGTTGAGCTGAGCGTAGGCGTAAACGGTTTGGTGGGGATGGTACTGTTATGTTTATCTGAATTCGCGGAAGGAGTAGGCATGGCGGGTCGAGTGACTGGTGAGCGGCGAAATTGATCGCGCATTATGGCATTGACCAAGCGTATATACCAATGCCAGCATGACGACTCAATAATAGAGTCGAATCTTCAGTTTGTGAAAGCCCATGCGTTGCTGAGGGATATTTAAAGTAGCGGAGCGGAGTGATTAAGGAGTCGAAAAGTGAGGGTCTCTTCATGACGGAATCGGATAACCTTGAAAACATCATCCCACATCCGGTTAGCGCCGGGGGAACTCGACAAACACGTGAAATGTCCCTCGTGATTGGCCAGTTGGGGGTGTTTCATACGGTCTCACTGATATTTAAAGGTCATGTGGCTGAATAGAATCAGAATCTACAGGAGAATAACCACTAGTCATCCCATGTAATCCTAAATAGAATCAATTGTTGTTAGTGATGAGTGGGGGTTGCAGACTTACCCGCATCACAGGGGATGAGCGCCTAAAGCTAGGCGCCAATGGGCAGTCCCTAGCGCCCAGGCGATGCCTCTCTTTAAGGCTGAAGCACTTAATGACATGACGGTTAAGATCACGTGATCACGTGTCACGATTTGTTATCAGCTTCCAACATCCGATAAACATCCTTTTTGCCAGAACATCGGACTGACCATTCTTCATCATCGTCTCTTTGGGTGGCTGATATGTGGGTGCTCGAGTCGGATGGTGATCTTCTCGGAGGTATGTCAGAAATGATTGTCTAGTCATGAACAGTCGCTAGACGACCGACAGGTAAACGTGTCTGGCTGAAGCCCGGAAAGAAATATCTCTTTGGCCGCATCAAGCAAGAAGGAGGTAAGATTTGAAGTTTGCGGGTTCTGTCCAACTGAGTTGCTGTGAGCTAAGTCACTGCTGCTAGTCCGTCATGTCATCCAACATCAGTCCATATCTAGAAAGCATCTGGTGATTGAGGTTTCGCCAGTACAACCTGGCGATGGAGTACGCCGCTCACACATATAGAACCAGGCGCTTGACTAACCCAAATCTAGGCGCATGTACACAAGAAGTCCAAACTCACAGTCACCGACCAAGGATCAAAATGTGGAACGACTATCGACGGTGTTCAAATCAGGGGTTCAAGCTCAGTCCTGACGGAGGATGAACATGCAATTCAGTTGGGACGTTATCCACCAGCACTAAAGTGAGATAACCCCACCTTCAAATAATTACTTTGTTAACTTTGACCTCTGTTCTATTTCAGGATAAAATGGCAGCCCATCGTACTCAGTTTCTCCTTCTCGTCGAAAGAGCTCAAAGCGAAAGATCCCCTCGGCCCAGTGCGAAACCGACTCGAAGAACTTGACATAAAAACTATAATTCCCTACGTCGAAAAAACCACACATGTGGTACAGAACAAGAGGAATACTGCCAAAGGGTTACAGGCTTTGATCAATGCTAAATATATCGTCAGTGATTCATACCTCGACGCCCTTGTATACGCCGCTACTCCAGGTGACTTGGAGGCCACGGAATCACTCTCGCCACTAGAAATTGATTTTGACGCCAATTGGCCTGATACCAATCAATATCTTCCTCCGGCCGGCAAGGAACCCGTACAGAGACCAGCCGAAGCCTTCGCTCCGAATCCAGACAGAATTAGGGTCTTCGAGGGGTATACATTTGTCTTCTGTGACCCTGCACAGTTCGAAAATTTATCGCAACCAATCAACAATGGCCATGGAAAATCCTTACTTTTCAATGTACGGAATGGGGAGACCACTGCAGAGGAGTTGCTGCAATTTATCCAGAATGCCGGAGGTGAAAAAAGCTTCGAGGGTCTGTCAGACCGCGAAGTAGGAGTCGTCTTAGTACGATTTAGAGCCAAAGGATATGAGAATTGGTCCATTGAATTAGGCAACCAGGTTGCGCTGAGGATGGACCAGCGCGTCATCGAGCAAAGCGAGTTTCTCGATGCAATTCTCAATGTCGATGCCACATCACTATGTCGCCCATTACCTCGTGAAGAGTCGTCTGCTCTCCCCGAACCGCCGAAACGAGGGAGTGCTCGGCAACGTGTGGTGGAGGATGCCCCGGTCCCAGAAACTGATTCATCTCAAGGAATTGTTACTCAACAAGAGGACACCACCGTAGTAGAGCAGACACAGACCCAAAGCAAACGGTCAGCTCGGTCACAAAGCCGGCCTTTCGTCAGTAGGATGAAGAACTTTGATGACGGCTTCGACATGGAAACCGTGCCGCTTTACCACTCAGATGCCATCGATGCCGAAGAAGAGAGAATGGAGCAATCACCAGACAAATCGAAGAGACCATCGCAACAACAATCTGCACCAACAATGAGGGAGGAGGAACAGGACGAAGATGATGACATGGCTGGACTTCTTCCGGGGGCAAGCGCAATGAAGCGGCGCAGAGTGGAGAGCGGCTCACACACACTCCGTGAACAGGCAGCAAAGGAGGAGGCGCCCAAACCGAAGCGACAGAAAGTTGATGTTATCGCAGCAGCCCGTCGTCATCGCGAAGAAGAGGAAGCTGCCGCGCAAGAACGAAAGCAACAGGCTGAAACCACTTTTCAAGAAGATATTGAAGGAATGACCATTGAGGATATGAAGAAACTTGTTATTGTTGAAGAATTCGAAGTTCCTATGCGGGAAAAGGAACCAGTGACAGTTAATGCGACTGATAGGTGGGATGAGCGCTGGAATGGCCGCAAGAATTTCAAGAAGTTCCGCCGAAAAGGCGACCGCTCAGCCGCCAGATCTCGCATACAGGCTGTCATTGTACCTTTGGACGAAGTCAAGCGCAAGGAGTACGGCGTTGGTGATCGTTACTGGGAGGGTAACGAGCGAGCAGACAGTCCGGAGCCCATCTTCAGGCGCACGAGTCAGCAACAGTCCACTCAGAAATCTTCAAGCCGTACAGGAAGTCAGGCTTCTCTGGCCTTTTCAGAGGAACTAGCCACAGCGTCTTCCGTCAACCGCGTACGGTCCGAAGTCTCGCATAGCTCTGCGACCGCGACAACACAAACGAGTCAGCGCGCGGGTCAGAAGAGAACGAGAGAGAGTCGACCGAAGAGCGACGACGAAGAAGGCCACAGCGATGACGGTGAAGAGCTCCGATTCAAATTCCGCAGGAGGCGAAAGTAGAGTAGATGCATCCACTGGCTTCTCAGCTGGTATGAGAAGTAACCATGTATATTTCAACTAGACCTGTAACTTAGTAGTAGTATCATACAAATAATTAAGCAATTAGCCAACCGGGGCTGGGCGGGCGCCAAGTGAAACTATTGCCCTTATTGGTCTCCACCTCCAAATTTAATGCGATGTTCCTTCCCGGCTTTCCTCCTCTCCTCTTCTCCTGCCCAACCGACTTGATCAAGGGACTCAACGACTATCTATCGACTCACGAATTATATTTCTTTTCCTAGAATATTACTCGTTTCTCCTACTCATATTCAGTGATGGCTTTGTTGCAAGTTACCTCATAGAACGCAATCTGTCTACCCAATATACCGCGATTCCGTCACTCCGATCAGCTTATCGGCATTAGTCCACGTATCTCCACCACATACGACCACAGTTCTCGCACGTTATACGGCAAATGCCACTGATTTCACACCTAATGCAAACTACCCAACGTTATTGATAAGTCCTCTGAAAGAAGTCGCCCACCAGCAGCCCCGACAGGGCCACGCTAGGTGGGTTGTGAACGTTCCTCGAGTCGATTTGATATCATCATCTTTCAACTTTAAACTGGGTCGTTGAGCGAGTAAGAGACAAGGACAACATATCTTACAATTCACCATCAATTCTAAAAATCGTCGCCTATTCTGCTCTCACCATGATCTCCACCGTCCCTCCACCGCGTCCCGTCTCCGTGAACTCGCCGATATTACCCTTGTCATCCCCAGTACTTTATCATAAATCGACGAGCATACCTACGAAAGAAGCGTACCAGAATGATGAAGAAGTTGCCAAATCAACATATTCTCTCACAGTCTCACTCGATCGGCTACCTCGCAGGGATATCGAAATGGAAGACGCGGATGACTCGATTACATTTCCAAGCCACGCCAGTCAATCAGCGATACAATTCAATGACTTGCCATTTGAAATTCACGAAGCTATCCTAGATCATTTGTTTGGCGAGCGAACGTCTGGATCAGTTAGTAGTATCCCCGGCCGGCCGGACACCCGTAGTTGGATCAGGGCTCTTCGTCACCCTAGGCGGAAAACTCTGTCTAATCTTGCCTTGATCTCTCCTATATGGAGAGATCTAGTACAGGAACGGATATACAGGCACAGTAAGTTTCTTCCACGATATTTTAGAGGCTCCGCCTAACTCATGTTTGTTTGTAGTCAAGGTTAAAGGGACGAAAGACGGCCTAGCCGAATGCGAAAACTGGTTTCGAAGTCATCCTCATCTCGTACGCCATGTCCGACATACTGAATACTGGATACCGGTATGGGGAAACCGGGCCCACAAAACAGTGGCGCCGCACTTGCGCGAGGTACCACCAATCCGCCGATATTTGAATGAAGAAGCGGGGCTGTTTGGACATAATAACGGCTTGGTACAGCAGCAGCTGGTAATGCCAGACTGGGATTTGTCAGATAACAGGAATCGTAGCCCGAACGACTTCGCATTCCATGTAGCCAGCCATAACGCAAGTTTGGAGGAAATATTTCGACACGTCAAAGATTTCTTTCCCGAGACGAGGATTCTAACACTGGAGGCTGGACACTGCAAGAAGCCTCCTCTAATCAAACATTTTGCAAATGATCCGTCGGGGTTGACAGGGAACTATCATCTGGAACAGCTACCAAATATTCGAACACTCTTCATGCGCGGGGCTTGGAACATCATGCGAGATTACAAGCACTGGGCAACAATTTCGGAAGCTCTCCCGTCGTTACGTGAGTGGCATTGTGCGTACGCAAAACCTAAGCTAGAAGCATATCAGACTATCTGTCGAGCCCTTTCGAGTTTATCTTCGAGTTTGATCCATTTGGATATCAGCTTGGAAGGCTTCCATAGCAAGGACCATTCGCACTTGCTAGGTGGAAAGATTGGACGCCATCATATGTGCCGAATTCTAGGCCGGCTTGCGCCACAACTGGAACATCTGTCCTTAACTGGCTATATGTGTGCCGACCTTTTCGACACTGCGAGAGCAGCTACTGCTGACCGACCACAAGATGCGCGACTTCGATCAGTGGACCTCGTTGTCAAGACCTGCTGCAAGGATGAGGACGATGCGAACGGATTGTTATCCCCGCTGTTGGATGAGCCTCCCGGCATCACGAATATGAAGTTTATCGACTCGTTTGAGACGCTGGTACTAAGTTCAATTCGCTGTTTGGACACATTCCTCGATCTTTCCTACATTCGCATTCGCTTCATTGATCTTGACGCTCAGTGTGCAGTTCTTAATCCTTATTTCCATCTAGCCGATAACAAATGCATGGGATTGTGGAGCCATGAGATTGTGGAGACTCTGGCTCAAGTCCGGTCCACAGCTCACTTTGTCGAACTTGCGGACGGCATTTTCACTCAGTATGGTCCAAACAACGTTATTATTGGAGCCGTGTATCCCCGTAGTAGGCCGTTGAGTATCAACATCAATACCTACAAGATCCTGTCCGATGCAGCCAAATCGTGAAGACGGCAACAATTGCTTCGAATCTGTTCGATTTCATGATTGATTTTTGTCCTTTTCTGCGAAAATCTGTTCTTCTATCTTCTCGCATCAATACCCATTTGTTTCTACGCTGGGAGCGTGTCACGGCGCCGGGGAATTTGAATCTGATGTTGCATATGCTTTATTTCGTTCTTTTTCGCTTCTTTCAAATATTGAATCTGAGTGACGAATTTCTTTTCGATTTTTCTTTTATCATTAGCGTAGTGTAGAGAAATGCGGGTTACCATTTATGATCCATATTTCGGTCTTGTTTTCCGCATGGGAAGCAGGGGAGGTTCAAATGAAAAGTTTGTTATTTCGATCGAGAAATAGGAATGCAAAATAATTGGTTACTCATACCCTAAAGGACGGTCAGTACTAAGAAGAACAACCAAGTCAGAGCTGACTTAGCAATGTTCCTATCTTCGACGGTTTTATAGAAATTATTTATATAGGCTATTATACATGTGTGACAACATAAAGCGCCCAAAAAAGATTCTACAACTGCGTGCAATAATCAATCGTTACATTATGTGCTTTTGAGCGTCGAAGTCTGGATGGTTCTTCCTTTTCTCTGTAATGATTTCACCGGCCCATTTCCCAACATCAGACGCGATAATACCCAGTATCCAGCAATTAACGATAAAAAACCCCAAGCTGGCGAGCCATAGTCCTGGAAGGAAAGTGGAGAAACCCATGAATTCAAGTTGAAACCCTTGATGGAGCCAGAATGCCTATTTTCTTTTCAGTGAGAGGTGATACTATGGTAATGTCTTGTGGGAAGGAGTGGCCCACCTGAGATACTACCCACATAATCAATGCGCCGATACCGAGGAGTGGATTGCTGATGAATGATGATGACGGGAGATAAAGTGGTAGGAAGACGAGATACCACAGGAAGTACTAGCCCTCAGTTAGTGATGTTTGAGCATAGAAGGGTGGCAAACAAATGTGTACATACCTGACTCGTACACACTTTATTGAAGGTGACAAATGCGAATGTCTGAGCTAGCATAGCCCCGGGTAATGACTTCTTTGCAAGAGCTAATGGAATAGCGAACGCTGATAGGAAAAGCTGTGGCAAAAAAGCCACCGACTCGAATTTTAATCCCTGGTTGTGGGCGTTGGGACTGTCCGTGGCGGCGGATAGATAGAGCAAGGTATTATATGGCGAGAAGTTGTGTCGGTGATCGATCCTGGTAAGGTGATGGAAGTAGGTATGTTGAAGAAAAGAGTGGCCATAGAGGGAATACATCCACAGATTGAAGCTGGCGAAAGTTAGGAGCGAAATGACGGTGATCTTGACACCGTCGAAAGTGATGAAGTTAAGGGCTCGGTTGATTAGATTTCCCGAAGTGAGCGTAGCAGAAAGAAACCAGATGATACTCGGTGCATAAATGAATGGATAAATCTTGAAATGCACACCAAAACCCAGTAGGAAGCTCGCAAATATTAAGTGTCGATTGAGTACAGCCCATAACAGAGCAATCACCATAACCCCCAATAATCCCTCGGAGCTTCCACGCGTACTGATAGTCGCAACCATAGGATTCAAAAGCCATATACTGGCATACTTCAATCGGGACTTTTCAGTCATTCCCGGAAACTCTGTTCGAAGAACGAGCAGCAAAAGCCACCCTGTGACCAAATCTGCAATGGCGAAGAGGACTTTCCCGAAAGAGAACCAGATCCAATTGGGTTCCCATGTGGTGGGTAGTAGGAACCAAGCTAAAAGGGGCGTGTAGCGATATGTGTCCCGTAGATAAGGGGATTGACCCTCTGCCACGAATCGCGAGGCGTCTGTGAAGACCATATAATCAATATCAGTGTACTTCATGGCCGAGTGATTATCTTGGTAAAGGCCATAGAAGAGTAGGCCGACTCGCAGAAAAGCGGCCAGGGAGAAGATGACGGCCGGTGAGGAGAAAAGCGAAGGCATGGTGGCGAATTATCCCTCCGCTCAGAATACATGGAAGTCGCGGAGTTGTAGGTTATATCAATGAGATAATTTTATCAACCATCATACACATTTATCCATTGGTGTTCGAGTTCACCGGATACGTTTGGTGTGTTTTCGTGTTTTCTGGAGTTCTCCAGACATCTAGGCACTAAACTAGTCTGTGACTAAAGTACACTAAACCAGATGGGGTATAGCATCATATTAAGTGGTTGCCTTAGGCACTAGGTAAATAGGTTAACCCTAATACGTACGTCGTCATGTACTAGCTTCTAAGGAGCTGATTCGAGCAGATTTTCGGAGAGTCATTCTATCTTCGTTATAGCCTAGAACTCTAGATAAACCTGACTTAGAAGTCACCGCGGAAGAATGTATCAAGGATGTGCTTGCAATTAACTCAGCGCCAAGGTTCGTCGTTTGAAGAACTGTAAATAGGATTATACCTACGCAGAACGTATTGTAGATCTTCACAGGGGTATCCTCAGCTAAATAGTACGTTGACGGGATTGATTTCGCTAAATGTCTGATACGTAAGTTGATCAGGTCGGGCTGGAATTCTTATTTCTTAATGCTTGCTTGTAAACTTCCAGTGTTATCCTGTCAAAGGAGTATTTAGCCATGTCTGAGCCAGTTTGAGTTGGAGCACTAAAAATATTGTCGGCGTAGCTCCTGATTCACCTATGTCGGGATTTGGTTTCGAGAAAGCTGCAAGGAAGTCGAAGTGAAAATACAACCGATCTGATTGGTCCACAAATCTGACACCCGTTGTGGGGCAGCTCCGAACTTTAAGCGTTTCCGAGCCGAAGCGGCCGAAACGGCTTCTAGAAAAATCTTAGTTGAAATGACATCAAACCTCGATTTGAGCAGAGAAAGTCGTGCCACTTCGATTCAACTGGAATCCCAGATTTCGGAAAAAGTGCGGAAATGAAAAACTCTTTCACCGTCTCCCAGAAAAACTAGGCATTAATCGGGAGAAAAAACTCCAATGACGAAGCCAGGTACTAAAAGCATCTCCTGATGTTGTAGCCCGGCTGATTTTCGTCAAAATTTCGGGCACTTAGCACGACACTCTATTGGCGGAAGCTTGTATAAAAGTGGGAATAAGGAATTTCATGCGTTTGCATTCCGAACACCGAGCCAAAATTCCACATCCAAGAAATCGAGACTGATCTTTTTGATGCTGAAGAAAGGCATTGCAAGCGAGAAGACGGAGTCATGGTTCAATAGTGTTTGGAGAAAGTGCTTAACCCCAGTGGGGGGTTCTCACACTAATCGAGATCGTAGCGTGAGCTCTTTCCCATATTGGAGCTTTATTATAGCTCCTTTTTTTTTCTTTTTCTTTTCTTTTTTTTTTGTTTTTTTTTTTTTTCTCCATAAAGGAAAATCTGACTAGTCGGGTGCGTCTTTTTCTACTCGTTATTCCCACAGGGTATTCATGGATCTCGATAAGTTCATGATTCACTATCGATGTTCTCCGTCTTTTCCCTACTATTTATATGACTTGATTTCAGCATCCCGAAATTAATTGAATTGAGCATCGTCAACCAGCACTCTATCCAGAGTTCTTATTATCATAAACACCAACTAGATTTTGATATTTACTGCTTATGACACAATGCTACAAGATATCATTATAATCGGCTCCGGCATCTCCGGCCTCTCTGCAGCTCTCGCATTCTCTCACTATCTCACACCACTCATACCCGACCTACGCATCACGATATTCGAGCTTCATCCTGTCCCATCAACGTCCGGAGGCGCTCTCAGTCTTTCTCCCGTTGCATTAAGATATTTCGACCTGTTCGGCGTCTTGGACGAACTAGAAAACTTCGGAGCAGATTCAGGGATCGACGTTGATGCAGTAGAAATTTTCTCTTCACGAACAGGCAAGGCCCTTTCACATCTGGATTTCAGCGGCAAACATGGGCTGGGATACGGTGACCCGGAAGATGGTAAAAGATACAAGGCTCGTCGAGTGATGAGAATCAACTTATCGTTGGCGATGATGGCCGCAGCCGAGAAGAGGGGGAATATAAAAATAGTGTTTGGCAAGAAATTTGTCAGCGCTGTTCAACTAGAAAACGAAGACCGGATCGAAGTCCATTTTCAAGATGAGTCAATCGCGACGGGGAATTTATTGCTTGGCTGCGACGGTGTTTGGTCTGCCACACGCAGACATTTCATAGATCCTGGTCGCCAGGCTGAATACACTGGATTTTCACTTGTCCAGGGTACAGTGAAAACAGCTTGTCTAAGAGCAAAGCCCCATTTCAGAAACAGCTCTTTGAATTTATCTAAAGCCGGGTCATTACTTGTCACATTCTATGAGAAACAACGACAAGAGATATTTGCCTCTGCAATGGTGGAATGTCGTGAAGAATCAGCCAAAGATCACACTGGACTGGGGAAATGGAAGAAGGAGATAATCAACAGATCCTTAAGGGGGGAGATGTCGAGTCGATTTAGCGAATCGGTTATCCCCTTTATCAGAGAAATTGCTACTTCTACGGAGGTTGATTGGATGATGTATCCAATATATCAGGTACCTCTCGGCGGGAATTGGTATACTCATCGTGCTATCCTATTAGGAGATGCCGCACATGCTGTGAGTGTTCTTTTCAAATGTTTTATTTTAAGTACTGCCGACTAACTAAAGACAAGATGCTCCCCCGTGATGAATCTGCCGCATATGCCATCGACGACACGATCCTTCTCGCCCGTATCCTTGCCAATAACTTGGACTCCCCACTCGAGACAACTTTCCAAATCTACGATGCCGCGCGCCGATCCGACATCTCCCACGCATTCAGAGACTCATTCAAGCTCTGGCAAAAGCGCAACACAGACGCCGGACCCATCGAGGCATGGTTCCGAGAACGATTGATTCCATTCCAAATCCGAAATAATCAAATGTCATGGAAAGCTGCATTTGAGTACGATGCCAACAAGGCACCTATTCCGGGAGGTTCAAGAGCTTCGACTCCAATCAATGGTAGTCTACGACCAAATTCTAAGAGTCGCTCGTCGTTGTATTCGCAGGATACGACGACTTCTAGTGGAGGCGGGAGTGTGAATAATAATCAGTTACGCGAATTTAGTAGCTGTTCGCAGCCCGAAATAACCAACATGATGAATAACTTGGTGGTTATTGAGAAATGAACAAGAAGCGATTTTAGATTCATACTGCATGCAATAATAGCCGCGAAATTATAATGTATTATAATATTATTAATTTACGTCAAGCTCCGAGACCTGACGCTTGGTGCTTTCAAATGTTCTCTAATCAATTTTTACATTTATCATACAACGCTGGTGCTAGTGACAGATCTGACGTTGATGGTTCCAGGCTAAAAAAAAATCAAGTCAATGCTCTATAGAGGCCAGTGAACTCTCACAATTAAATCTCGGAATATGTGGTATTGATTAAGGTATGCAAGTGCCAGGCTATTGATCAAGTATGGTTAGATTTCATTAACAAACTACCTACGTACCGGATTTCCTTTGAGGCCGATAAGACCAACAGAGCTCCAGTTCGTCCGCATGAGGGCGCTCCACGGGGTGTTTTTGCAGCATCACTTGACAAAGAATCAGTATTGTCGAGTACCAAAAAACACCAGGAACCGAAGTGTTATCAAGGCTCGATATCCACCTATTAGCATTATCTCGAAATGGTAGATGCATGCCTCTTTCATCGTGCACCATATCAAGATTCAGCCTAGCATAGACAAGCAGCATGTCTAAGAAGACTGCCCCTAGGGAATACACATCCCTAGATCGCCCTGGGCACACCCAAGCAGAGCCTACTTTTTCCTATTCAGGAGGCTTAAACACAACTGTTCCTCCAGCTGATGTACTCCCTGGAAGTGTCCTCCCTGGATCATCCGTTTGATATACCAAAATATGTTAAGAGGATACAGTCACCCCATACTAAAATATTTTGTGGTTGATATCTCTATGACGGATGTCTTGACGGTGAAGATAGGCCAATCCACTGACCAGACAGCCAAACCAAGATAGAAGTTGATCTCGAAGCCGTTGACGCTCGTTTTCATCCTTGTGACGTATAGTAATGTAAAGATATTTTTCCAGATTCTGGTCTGCAAGTGGCTGCATTATAATACCTTGGGCTGGAAGCAGGAAAACTGACTCTGTTGTGTGTGTCTCTAGGAACCTAGGTTCCTAGGGGCGGAGATATCTAACTACTGGCGCGCTAACTACATCAGGTAGGCGGTGCTGACTATCTAAGGGCAGAATCCCAACATAATATAAACCATGTCGTCAAAGATGTAAGTTGTGACCAGCGAAACAGTTGTCAGATAACCGGGATATCCGGCGATGTAGAAGATAGGCTATTTGATCAGGTCATCCAGTCACCTCAAGCTACCTACACTTCAGCAAATAAGGAGTCATCTTCTTATCAGGGCTCAATATAGCCCTCAAAGTTTACCCCTCATGATAGCTCACAAAAGACCCCGCCAAAAGTGTCTATAAAGGACCCGGCATTGAACCTATGTATTAGACAGGGACAGAGAGAACTGAATACATACAATCTTGCTAGTCACTTCTTTTCTTTGATCCTAGTAACCCACTCTTCAGGATTGGCCTGGAATAAACCGACTAATCCGACAACAGTATGTTGATGTTGTGCCTTAGTGTTGGTTTTATTACGGTCCGTATCACGAAGCATAGACGGTAGTAAGGCGCGAACACGAAGCGGCCTAACGAGCCTGACAATATGAAGCTATCTTGATTCCTAATATTGTGACTAGTCCCCAAGAGCGAGGGGGGGGGGGTGTGTGTGTGTATCTATTTTACGGCCGTGGTTCGTGACTCGCACGCTTCCCACCGATCCCTACTGGGACATAGGCCGCCGAGGGGTAAGCCTCGGGCTTCGAATCATCTATCAGATTTATATACAAAAAATGGACTCTTTGGCGCATTTCCATAGCTGCCGTGGTCTTACAGGAAGGTCCACTTCTAAGTGGGCTTTAGGTATTCGCCAGCTGCAATGGTCCACCTACACTCCATGACCCGTTACTTCACCACTATTGTAACTGAACAGTAAGTTTCATAAAGAGAGAAAGAAAGAAGATAGGAGAAGGAAAAGAGAAATATAAAGAAAGAGTAGAGCTGTCTTAGCTAGGTGCTAAGGAAATGTTGGCGAGGACAGATATCCTCAAAGAAGCGGGTCTCTGCTAGCTATGTGGCTAGCCTTTGTGCTCCTTTCGCAGTACCTAAAAGGAAAGAGATGACCTTAGAAGGGGGCCTAGGAGGATGAGGGACTCGTCTCTTAGCTCTCTAGGGCGCTTAGGAGATGTAGTTATTTCTAGGTCTTAATATATTTATGGTGCCACACTCTGCCACTGTGACTTTGCAGCGGAAAGGGATCGAGCCTTGGCATGTCTCTTTAGCGAGGCATATGAGAAGTTATATGGAGGGAGAGAGGAAGAGGCGGCTCCCTCTTTAGTAGCAAGATTAGCCACTTCATTCTTGGGGATTTTGGCATGTCTGGGGACCCATCGGATTTGGATAGATCTACTTTTGGTGTGCGGAAGCTTTCACGGAGTGCCAGGTGGCTATAGAGAGCAGAGATTCAAGACTCTTAGAAGATCCTGTGGAGGGAGATAGGAGGCGTGTAGCAACTTTCAGGTTATCAAGGCAGATCTATAGGTTGGTAGCATACCAAGCTGTTAGGTATACTGTAGCTGCCTGAGTGCCAGCTATGATAGCTTCTACTTTGGCATTGAAGACTTCTTTCCCATATCTATATGAGAGCGAGGAACAAAGGAACTAATGATTTGCTTAAAATCCAATATAGCTTCCACTAGCATGTCCATTTTGCAGCCTAGATCCATCTGAAAAGACTATAATATCAGAGCTAAGGATGGTGCATTAGAAATCTGCGAAGTCAGCCGCCGCCTATTCCTTTATGCGTCCCATAGAAGCTCTTATTCGAGCTTGGGCATTCTCCCGTGACTCACGAGGGTGCCAGGGAGCATATTAAAGAGGGTTTATTTGTTCAGAGTTGGGGAGGGCCTGCACGCGGCGGGTAAATCGACTGGTTTATCGGCTGTCTCTGGCTACCTGTTCTGCGCATCTTCAGAGTAGGTGGTATAGATTAAGACGCCATATGCGGACAGATGCTAGGAGGGCTATTTGATCTAGTTCAATTTCTGGTGGAGAGAATCCAGATTCTCAATATAGGACAGATATTGGGATTGTGTGGAAAACAGGAAGGACTGCTCTTACGCCTGCTAGTATTGCTTTAGTTAGTTTCTCAAGATGTTCTCCAACTTAATTTAAGATCTAGGAAGGCCCAGGGCGAGTACGGCCTGGCCACCAGGTTTTAGCACTATAGTATACTTTATAGAGTATATAGGCTGATATAGCCTACTGTAGTAGATGAGGTTTAACTCCTTGAACAGTATTCCCTAGGGAGCAAAGGGCGTTAGCCATAGTAAGGGCTTTAGATGCTGTTTTGCTAACATGCCATTTAAAGGTCAGCTTTTTATTATAGAGAATTCCTAGCCAACATAGATATAGCCATTTAGTGTTTTCTGAGACTGTGACTAATCCAGCTTTTACCAAAGGTGTGCAGGTTGGATCCTGGTCTGCTTTATATTAGGAGAAGTGAAGAAGCTTGTATTTATCTAGTGCAAATGTAATACCCTCAGCACCCTAGTTAATAGGTTCTTAGAGTAAGTCTGATAAGGCTTCGCAGTTGATGGCAAGGGATGAAGAGATTGCTAGGTTAGCTATATTGTTCGCGTAACCAAATCTGTTCCTTGGGTTTCCTAGACGGAATAGAGGCGCTATGTAGAGCATGAAAAGAATACCAGATACTGGGGATCCTTATAGTAGACCACAGGTAATATCTGTTAAGGGGCCAATTTCTCCGTTAAGTTGGATCTAAACTGATCTCCCAGTAGCAAAAGAGGCAATCCAGAGAACAAGATTGGTAGGCCAGCCCTGCTCGCGTAATCTGCGGATTAGTCTGCCGGGGAGCATGGCATCAAATGCGCCCTTGACATCAGGGTAAGAAGTGAGCAGTCATGCCTGCCTGGGTGCCATATTGGGACTAACCCGTTCTAGGCGAGGTGTTGATATCAACCCTCGACCTCACCACTTAGCTAGAGCACATAGACATCTTCTAGAACCTCATCATTGAATGTCTGCCAAACCATTCGCATCTGGGTCTAGACGGTTGGTCGTGGTGCGAAATGCCATCTTGGGATCATATTGGAGGATGGGTAGTGGTGTGGTCTTGAATTTGATATGGCTGGTCCATGGTTGGCCCCGGAAGAGATTTGTCCAAGGGTCAATATTGTATTTGCTCCCAAGGACTGAGACCCACGATGGCGATATGAAGCCTCGAATGAAGACAATTTGCCCCAAGCCTTCCGCTGGAACAGAGGTGGTAGCGAAAATTTCATATTGCTCTTGATTATAATGTTGCACGTCCCACTTCCCCTTGCTGCTGTTGTATACTACAATCAAATCGTCATTATTCATGCGATACGCCGTACAACTTGCATCCAAATTTATCATGTCCTATCATCCTCCGTAGAGCTTTTGAGATGCTGTAAACGAGAATGTTCTAAGCGTTACGCGCTACCTACGGACGTGTCTCCCACCGGTCCAGTCCGGATACATGTATCCTGCCAGCATCTTACGTGAACCAAAACGTCGCTTGCACGACAGATTGAAATCCATACCGTCTCGCTCTTAGGCCCGTCAATTTAGTTCAAGGCTAGTACACATGGCGCCCCTTAAGACGGAGATAGAGTAAGTGGCCTCCAATAGAGAGAATCTATGTATCCGGTTACTGGAAACCAGTCTAACAAAGACCGCGGCAGCTTCCCCGCAATCCGTGCCTGTATCTTCGACATGGATGGGCTTCTCATCAACACCGAAGACATAATTACTCTGTCTTTGAATCAGCTTCTTGAAAAATACGGAAGGCCTAGACTTACTTCGTCAATTCGAGCCCTGCTTATGGGTGTCCCAGATTCGACAAACGGCGATGTGTTCCACAACTGGGTCAAGCTGCCCATCTCGCACGAGCAATTTGCTCGCGAATCGAAGGAACAAATGCGACTGGATTTTCCGAACTGTAAGCCACTACCTGGCGCGGAGAAAATTCTGTCGAACCTCAGCCGTGCGTGCAGTGTTTTTTCTAAAGAAAGAATCGAGCTGGCATTAGCATCTAGCACTAAAAGTCATAGCTACGAGTTGAAAATTTCGAGCCCGGAAACTAAGCGGCTTTTAGACTTCTTTCATCCCGACAGGCGGATTCTAGGTGATGACCCACGAATACGACAGGGTCGAGGGAAGCCAGCACCTGACATATACTTAGTCGCGTTGCAATCGTTGAACGCGATGGCAGAGCCTAGCACAAAACCTATCATGCCAAATGAATGTCTAGTCTAGTCTTCGAAGATAGCGTGGCTGGAGTAGAGGCTGGAAGACGGGCTGGAATGAGAGTTGGTTGGGTACTGCATCCTGATGTGGTCGTCGAGTATCAAGCAAGGCATGAGGATGTGCGGGCTGGAAGGACAGGAATGTTTGAGATCGGTGATAACTGGCCGCTAGGAGACATTAATGATGGCTTTGCTGAAAGTATATCGAATCTGGACCAGTTCAATTACGAGAAGTATGGCATCGAATGTCGTACTTGAAATCTTCATCGAGGTTCCAAAAGACCAGTATCTCCTCCCACAGCATAGCGCATGGGAAACGTATCCTCCGATGTGAAAGAAATACAGATGTAGGTAATATAGAACTACATAGCATATCCCATCGTGATGTCTACCGTCCCTCACCGCCTGATAACTGACGGATTTTTTAATATGGCTTACACTAGGGAATTCCCTGTGCTGAGGAATACACGCGCCACAGAGGGCAGAAGCTGAGAACACGAAAACTCAAATTTGTACAGCAAACGATATTCTCTCCAGCTTATTTCTCACTTTCCAATGCGGATTAGAAGGTAAGAGTTCAGCCGTTTACCGAGCTCGACGAGCTTTATAAAGTGATGCCAATAAAATGGGGTAAACCGTCCTTTGGGGGTGCTTCGGTTCCGAGCGCTTTTTTGTTGTCATTAGATCTATTTAATGAAATATTCTGATGATCAATTTTTTAGCCTTTGCATTTGCACTAGAACTGAGGAAAACCATGAAGAACTACTATACAAGTGACTTTATGGAAAAAACCTCAATCAAGGCCTAGCCAACCGCCGAAAACTCGAACTATGAATCAGAGTAACAGTTCTAACCACACATTCCTCAAAAATAGTCTTGTCAACATCGGTCCCATTTTTTCGTTATAATAAATTGGTTTTGAGGAACTACTTTTGACAAAGAGCCAAATTCGACGATGGATATTGTATAACCGCTCAAGGTGGCTAAATTTTTCCAGTTTAGTATGCTTACTAGTCGTCTCAAAAGGAATGAATGAAAGGTAGGTACTAACGACAACAAATCCTGCACAAGCCATCAAGCAGTTCGTACCAGTAGGAGTGTGTAGTTTCTGAGTAACATATGCTAGACCATAGCAGCATGTAGATTCGGACACGCAGATACATCCCAACTCGTAATCACACTTGCCGGTGAAGGGGTCGACACAGGGATTCTCCGCCACGTAGGCGCAGGTCACACTCTCAAAAACCTCCCCAATACCGTAAGTACATCCACTTCTCTCAGCCAAGTCGATGTCAGCAACTGGCGAAGCCGCTGCTAAGCCAATAGCTGATAGAAGGCTGAGGGCGAAGAGTGTAGCCTTCATGTTTGAGAGCTTGTTTGCGATTAGGAATAAGAGTGATAGTAGAGCTTGATCCTTGGATTTGAAAGCTAGGAAGTAGCTACATATCTAGGTATTTATACCTTCTCCTAAGAACAGAATGTCCAACATTATGTCACTGACCTTGGTTAAACAGAGATGTGCCGAGATACATTATGAATTGAATTAGTGTGGTATGACTTGAGTCTTAGTGTAACTAAGGTCTAGTGCTTATACATTATGAATTGAATTAGCGTGGTATGACTTGAGTCTTAGTGTAACTAAGGTCTAGTGCTTATACAAGTAAGAATGCCTTGCTGACTCTTACTGCTATATTTAAAACAACTACTTATGTGAGGGCGTTCATTCTCTATCCTAAAAGGTAACTAATCGAGCAAAAACTAAGCATGAGGAAAGAGGGAGAAAAGACTCGCTAAGCCGCTCGTAAGGACTCTTTTTATATGTGCGTCCGGGGCCTTGTCGGTGCCTATTTAGGAAATCCTGAAGACAAAGAAGTATATCCCCGTTAGGGTCATCCTCTTAGGGCTTAGGGCTCCGTCCAGGTGCCGGCAAGGCCCGTACGATATCCTGCTCCGTAGCCTAGCCGTCACACTTATATCACATCTCTACCATCAGATGGTATATGAAATGGTATATAATTATATGACTTCTAGTTAAGCCCATATCTTAAATTACCGCCTGCATATATAGCCATAGAAATAACTGGGCGTAAGCTTAACTATTCTACTATAAATCTTCTCTTAATAGTACTAGTTCCTTCTAGCGTCATACAGGTTAGTTTCGTAACACATTAACATAACAACTAACTACAGAGTACGCACAAAAAGTCATCTACAGCGCTAAATCCACTAATACAGTAATCTAGTAAACAAATCAGATACCTTGAGAATACTAAAAAGTTTACTAATCTTGACCTCAGTATTACAGCTTATATAGAGACGTTAATTTAGAGGGCCCTATAAACCGTCGAGGGGCCTCTATAAATTATCCCATATATAGTTATATAAATCATAGTGCGATTTAGCTAATAACAAAATAACCGTTCTTAGCGGCATATGAGAGATATCTATAAGACTGTTCAAATATTATAGTTCTCCATCTTACAGGTGGTTTATAGGCTTCAAAATTTAATATGCGTTGATGATTAATATTAATATATATATCTATTTCCTAAATACATTAGCCTACTTATATTTTATAGTGTAATTGCATGTATCATTAAAATACGCTAATAAAGCTAATGAGATGCAAATGACTTTTCGTGCCCACCTCTGTATATTATCCTTAGTTAGAAGACAAATGAGGTTGGGTCATTTTTGCTTACTGCTTTACGGAAACTATGTAATGTTGTAGTGCAGTCATGTCACGGACCTGGATCCACCTTAGTTAAACAGTGGTGTGTCGAGATACGTAACTAAGATAGAAGAGATCCCCCGTACAGCCTGGTGCCCGTACGAGTTAGAATGCCTTGCTGACTCTCACTGTTATATTCAAGTGACTTATGTCAAAGAGCTATGAAGAACTAAATACATGATGGTAAACAAGCGTCCTTATATATCCAGTCCTCCACGTTTTGTATACCGTATATCGTATACTCAATTTCCAGTAGTCAGTATTCAGTATACGATATTCATCCAATGATATCCCTTTGTTTCGTATACCCTTATCTATGGTACATCTTTCCTATCACCACGTGATACCGTGCGTGTCCCATACCGAATGTAATCCTCTTTCACTTATTTCCACCGCATGGTAATCGTACGGTTCATACGTTTCCCATACCAAAGTGACCTTTCCTTTAAAATCCTAGTGTCTTTTAGCGTCATGCAGGTTTGTTCGTAACAAGTCACATGGATATGCCAAGTAAGCATATAGTACTACTAGATCTAAAAATTATAGCTCTGGCAACCAATTACGTGGGAGAGTAGTACTATATAGTACTATAGAGGCCGTTTGAGGGCGAGTCCCACTCGACCTTACTATGTAGTATTCTGGTCTTTTTAGTGCAGCGGGTCAGGGTAAGGTTCGATTCCTAGTTAGGTGAGCTCGGAATTTATTTCTGTAAACGATCTACTAGTACAAATTCAGCTTAGCGGCTCACAGGATGCAGGTCGTATTGGTCCCGTTGCATCAATAAAAACTGGCTCGTCAGCATTGCCACCAACGAACACCTGGATGAAGAGTCAGTTTGAGGTCGAGATTTCGGGAACTTCGGGGAACTTCGGGGGCCTTCAGGACAGGATCATGAACAGATCTGAAATAGAGGAAAAGAGGAAGAGTCAGTTGCTCGCGAGAGATTCCTGGGTAGCTGAGTTGAAGACGAAGAGTGCCGGAGGCGGGATGGAGGAAGATCTGGCCGTAACGACGCGTGTAGGACGCGTCGTAGTGCCGTCAACTAGAGCTCGAGAAGCTCTGGAAGACGCTGACAGCACTGACGCTACTACTGCGACTAGGAAGACGACATCAAAAGCAAAGCCAACTGCAGTAAGGAAGGCTGCTAGCCAGATTGAGGAGAGATAGTGCGCTAGAATGAAAACCAAGTGATGCTTAGAAAGATGTGCTAGTACTTGGAGGGCATCTATCGGGAGGCCAAAAGTTTAAAAGAAACACTCAGTAAACAAGAGAAAATCATCCAGGAATAAAACAACATGATCAAGGGACTACAGGTCTAAATGGAAGCAATCCAAAGCCAGGCTATAGAAGATTGCAAGCAATTCCGGGAGCAACTGGATACTATCGCGAAAACACTAATCAACGCAGCTCTGATGCAGACCAAATCACAGCTGTCATTCGCAGATATAACTAATAGCCAATCTGGTCACCAGCAGGGTACACACCTAGGCCCTCTAGGCCCTCTAGTGCCTCCTACATTGGCTAATACACTATTTTGCACAATCGACACGTCTCGTGTCAGAGAAGAAGATAAAGCCAAGGCGCAGATAGCTAATGTCAGGCAGCTGATTGAAAAATAGATATAGGGAAATGAAGGAATGAAGACCTAGCGCTGTGCAGTAGTGATTAAGGATCTAAAGAATGCTAACTGAGTTAAAATTATTTGTAGATAGGAGAATAAGATCTAATAAGATCTAGCATGTCAAAGAGGCTGCTTAAAAGCTAAATATACCGGATGAAGAGTATTACGAGACCAGCTCTATCTAGTTAAAATCGACATTGCTAACTGGATAGCGATCCTGGATATAGATGGTAATATCCTACCAGGAGCAGCCAAGGCCCTAGGGAAAGAGAATAATGTCAATATTACTAAGATCTCCTGGCTTAGCAAGAGGGACTCTAATAAAGCATTTAGATCTATGGTGGTACCAAAGGAACAGACGCAAAACGCCTACTAGAAGGCAACTACTTCAATATAGCAGAAGAATCTGTATACATTCAAGCCTTTAAACTATAAGCAGGACTATTTTAATGCTATAACTATCAAGAGATAGGACACAAGGCCTTTTCCTATAAAAAGACTCAGACATATACTAAATGTGTAAAGGAGGGATACCATCACAGTACTTGCCAGGCTATAGTTCTGAAATGCGTTCCTTGTGAAGAGCCTCATGAGTCATTCAGTCAAAACTGCTAAGTACGCCTCTTATAATCTCATGCATAAATCTGTTTCAGTACTGTTACACCTACTATGTGAAGCTGCCGGGGCAAACCCATATCGGGAATAAAGACTATACTATTGCGGTCCACGAGGAAGGAGAGAACGTGTTTCATGTAATTGAGATCACATTGTCTACGAAGGATGTGTTTCATTAAGGACTTGAACAGAAAACTTTATGGACTCCTTATTAATCTGGCAGATTACATAGGAAATATTGTATACCGCAGTTTCCCGCCTCCTTCAGCTTCGTGCCTTGATCATCATATTTCTACAGCGGCTGACGCTATCATCACTAAACGGAGGTAATCGCTGCGATCCCGAAAGATGAGGCACGCACACCCACACTATGCGGATCCGACGAAAATCGATGTACAGAAAATCGGCACCATGGTTGCTGCGATAACGACACTCAGTAGCGGTACAGTATAGAACCCGGTATGTAAAGAAGAGATTGGAGTTTCGTGTCCCTAAGGAATCAGCGTCGTCCAATCTAAAGATTAATTATGGGCTCCTCGTAGAGGTCATTACACAGCATCCAGTTGGGATTCAACGGGCCATTACTGTGCATTCCTGTCTTCTCACAGTAGCTTTAACCTTTGGTCAGCTTAATAAACATACTCGGCGGTTCCATTTCCAGCCACTGATGATCAATACGTGTCGTCAGGTGGAATCGAGCTCCGATATGACCCCGTTTCGACTTGTCGTCGAATATCGGCGGGATTCTTATTAATTGAAGAGTTACTGAGCTTATCTATGCCTTGAGCGTGAGGGTCAAGTAAATGGGTGGCTTTTCTCTCCGTTGTGATTGATCTAGGGGATGTGCTTTTGTCCGTGGTGAGTTTCCGCATATGTATCTGAACAATAAATCGAGAGATATTGCACTATCCACAAGTACATAAACGGATAAAATTCGAGGTACCGAAGTTTTAAGAACTTTGCGTGGATACAGATGGACTTGGTGGTGAAACTTCTCCCAATATGTTCCATAACTTCGATAAAATGACTTGCATTCATTAGGTAGAAGTGCATTTATGTTTCCAACAAATTCTACACAGCCGTTCAGGCTAACTACGCGCGGATGGGATTGCTGGCGAAGAGTCTTCTACTTAAGGTCCTCACCAGTGCGGTTCGTTTCGTGTTCACAGTACCCTATCCAAGGCATGGCGCGCCGGTTTTCGAGATGCTCTACACCTCTTGATCGTAGATGCAATTGTTGTTTATATTCTTGGAGAAGTGACCAGCGTCCCACAGCATCACACTACCCCACGCGGAATGGTTGTGATAAGTTTTGATGACAGGAGCAAGAGCTGCTGGCTCCCAGGTAATACCCTGTCCGAGGGCCGTTCGCAGCCAGTGTAGAAGCAGGCAAGCCGAGATAGATTATTGCACCGCAGACGGAGTCTCTTTGACAATATCAACCTATGAGTCATAGTTAAGTGTAGGACGAGAACAGTCCGGATGATTATAGAATTGCACCGAGAGATCGCCAAAGGTAGATCTTTGGATAATCTCCTGCATATTTGGCTCAGGAATTACACACTGAGGAGCACACGTGGTGTAATAAGTAGGGTTTGGGTCTGCCTCAAAGTGTGAACGTAACATGGAAATCAGGAACGAATAAAATTGCCTTCCAATTGTGTTTTCGATATTGAAACCCCCCATTAACGAATATGATTCCAGATGGTCGCGGCATGGCTCCCGTCCCGTTGGTATTCCCGTAACCTTCCCAGAGATCCTGACCGATCAGCTGGGCCTCAGGATCTGATTGCAATGAATATGAGCCACGACATTCACTAATCGAGACGATAACTAGAATATCTTTTTGTTGACAGGTCCGGATATCCACTGTGAGTTCCTGACACCTGTGAGGTTCCTCAAGGAAGAGATATAACACGATGAACTTACCTAATGCGATGGTTTGGCCATTATCGAAAGTAGATAGGAAGGAGAGAATAATCATGTCGACACCTGCAGAGGAGTTGCAATAAGTAGATAATCGGATAGAGTTTGCACTCTGGCCCAGTAGACAACATTCTGGCCTCTACCTGCTAGTGCTATCCTAGCAAGCATTAATGGAAAGGAGAAGATAAGAGGTTTCATCATGGTCACGCACTTAGGTTCTATTTTCAATGACTGAATGAGGCGACTGCTTCAATTATATTTCCTTTGCTTACGAAAACAGTAAGTGCATTACGGTTTCAAGTGAAGCTATGAGTTATACTTGGCCCTATCAAATAAATCACAGTATATTTCTGTTTCCACACGAGAATGGCGAAATAAGAGAAAGAGAAAGAAATTTATTCAGTAGCACAAGGATTCATCATGGGAGAAGATCGTAGTTCGTCAATCTACCGGAACACTTACGAAGATAAAACTGCGCCGAGATAGAGTGTCCTTTTACTTGTTCTATTATCGAAGGGCGTTATTGAAGCGAAGTCAATTTTAGCTACTGGCCTGAGCGGAGACAAGTGGCTGAAAGGACCCATATTTACTTCCGCAAGTGTTCGATTAGCTAAGCTAATCCAGCCAATCAGGTAGAGAAGATCTATTAGTCAATCAGAGTGAGCCACACACTTAGGAGAGGTATCCACCGAATAGGGGACGTGAAAGACATCTCCCACTTTTACTGTACTTAGAACAGGACAAGAATGACAACAAGGATCAAGGATTCCATATATCTTTGCATACATAATTTGATACGTTGAGATATACCGTTAAAGGTTGTTACGTACAATCCAACAATTATAAAACCAACTATAATCAATAGTTAAACTAGCCTAGGAAAGTTGTGTTTTAAATTATGTCACAAACAGAACAAAACGTGGCTAGTGAAACATTTAAAATACTGACTCCATCATAGCGGCGTGGTAGGTGGGTGAAATAAATCAAAGAGAGTGTTCGATATGAAGGAGGTTTCGAATCTGTCTGGACACATTCGGTCCTACGTAGTACTGAAATGCTCGCCACAGATGGCGACATCAAGCATGGAAACGAAATCTGCCGCAAATTACTGTTCTAATGACACACATCGTATCCTTGTTGGTGGGGGAGTGTTATGGAAGGGAAGGTCAAGCCGTGCGATTCTGTTTCATACTGCATAAGGACTCATTTTCTGGAAGACACCTGCAAAGTGAGGGTGCACTAATCCTGAACCATGATCATTCTGTTCCGTACGCAACCTGATGCGAATGAATCAATAACCACATTTCTGCTAATCTTTTGCCGGCATTTGTCAGCGGGCATAAAAATCATCGACCTCCTCTCCATCCTTCTGAAAGTGAAATCTTGGTGACAAGAGAAAAAGTTTCACTTTTTAAGGATACTTTGAACACTGTGAGGTACATCATGAAGGCTTGGGCAGAAAATTGAAATAGATAGTCCAATCGGGCTAATCCAGGACGGTCGACTTCGCCAAGGTGAGCACCTACCGGTGCCATATCTTAGAACTGTCAGCTTGTCGCTCATTGAATCCGTACTTGGAGATATGTAATGGCAATGATCATCTATATGTTACATATGTTCTGGGTGTTCGGAATAATTGGAAGTCCTACCTCTCCAAATATTAATTAGACCAACATGGCAGTGGTCTAACCATACCCATTGGACATCAACTCCATCGTCGCGAAGCAACTATGGTGCGTTCTTATAGAAGAACCCGTCACCCCCCTTTATTTCAGGCTCTGCCTCGCAAGGTCGGGCCTGGAATAGCACGGCTATATTACCGACGGATGTACCGAGCAGATCCTCACACAGAGAGACAACTAGCAATTCCTATTCACAGCCTGAGAGCGCGACAGAAACACGCAGCTTATCATTCTACTTCGGCGCGCCTTCTGCGACCTCAGGGCTTTATGAGAGCGACGCAGAATCTGCAACGAATGAACCCTTTGCATTCCCAGGCTTCTCAGCCTCGTCCATCACTTTGGCTCGTACTATATCGAGCACATCTCTATTTACGAGCAGGACGTCATCCGACAAGTCTATGTTAGTAGCAGGCTTGCCAATTGAGAAAGTCTCTCTAATTGTGACGAGCACCACCAGAGGTTCTAGCTCCGTCATCTTCTCTGCTTCTGGCACCGACTCCCTAGAAGGTCCGCCAAGAGGCCTTCCTACCCTCTCATGTGCGTACTGTTCTGGGGGTCTGCATCCTGATTCTGAGGTGGACTTCGGCGTTGAGGATTTTGGTATATCATCCCGCTCATCTTCGTTCGGCCAACAAACAGGAGGAACATCCGTACTTAGAGAAAGCGGAGAAGTGCTGATTCCGGTCACCGTCACATCGTTGGCTGCTCAGATTTGGTGGTTGACTGAACCTACATACTATAACGATGCTGCGGTCGCGGCTGTGTTCCCCACCACACTATCAACTCCTCAGGAGACGATCAGCGTAAATCCAGGCATCACAACACCCACGGTATAACCAGGAGAACAATTCTCTGTGAATTCTCCGGCTTGCGACACGGAATATTGTTCGTCTCCCACCACAAATATGCGGTCCAACGGATTGGTGGAGCCGACAGGCTCTCCTAACCCCCCGGAATCGTTCGTATCAGTAAATACTACCAAATCGTGGACTTCCACAACGACCACGCCGAAAGCGGTAGGAGCTCAATCCTCTCGGCCGGAGTCGTCGCGGAACGATGGCGCGTCACAGTCGTACCCACTGTCGGGCAGAACTGCCGGATTCGCTGCCGGAGCCGCTGTCAGTGCGCTCGGTCTGGGAATATTGATTTATTGCTTGCATCCACAGAGTCGCCGGAGGCACAAGCAGGGCACCACTCAGGTCGTGTGCTCTGATTCACAAATCCAAGGCAAACGGCCGCCGAGACTCGAATGGTAGAGAGACCCTGGTCCGTCTCGGAGATTTCGGTAACAGTTGAAGGCAGCATATGGCACCGTGCGGTAACTTTCTGAGAGGTATTTCCAGTTTATGTCAATAGTGCTCAACTTTGTCCACGAAATTACCAACCTTCCTAAAAATGCCGCAACGTCTACCACAACAACCATTCAAATTCACAAGAATTGATTTTGAAGTGAAAACCTTGATTACCATCAAAATGCCTACAAACTTCAGCCAGTCAGCAGCCAAGGTGCTAAAAGCACCTCTGTGTGGGAAACAACCATACAAATTCTTCAACTCTGCTCAAGACAGAATTTGTTGGGCAACTCGTTCATTGGGGTACCTTCGAGGCAGGGGTGGCCAGTGTTATACAACAATGCCAAACGCAGCTCGACCGGCGTATCGTCTGCCATGGTAACCTGGGCAGTAAGACTACCTATAATATTACCAGAGAGCAAGCTATAGTCGGTGACGAACCGACGTGCAAGGCCGGTTTCAACAGCACGTTGGTCAAGTCGTGTCTGCAGTTTTGAATGCAGGCCAGGTTTGAGGGATGCTATTGATAGATAATGTATGACTGGGTACTTTTGGGCGTGTGGATGGTGCCCATGTGGCATTCTCTAGACGAGCCAGCTGCAACATGTAAGCCATATCCCTGCCTGCCTACCCATTCAACCTAACTGCCAGCGCTAACTTCTAGTCAAGCAATCGCTCAACGAACTACGCGAGCCACCGTCGAGCGTCGTCAGCGTCGTCAGCGTCAAATTTCCCATGACACCGTCAGAGGAATCAGTCGAGCGAATATATGAGGAAGTACGTCCGGAGGCCTCTCGGCATGACGATCCCAGCTGGATACCGCCGAGGACAGCGGTGCCTTCTTTTCTCAGCAAGGTCTCCTCATCGACTAAGCGACTTGATCCCAGACATAGCTATCATCGAAGCAACAACTTGTGATTTACAAGCAGTCGGGCCAAATTGCTCGTTACCTGCATATTTTCAAATTGAAATATGGGTTCATTTCCACTTACAGCCAGACCATATTTCTGAAACAGGAGGCGACAACGACTGGGATGTGGAAACTACACTATAGCGTTGTCATAAAGCATGCATTATTGTCGAGGTCAAGCTTGTCGTGAGGTCCACAAAGCTGTTGGCATTCCAGATGCAGGAGAGCGCGCAAATGGTCGCTTGGATAGAACGCGATGATAATGTCGGTGGAAGACTTGACCACTATGTACCTATATCAATCAAACAAGTTACCTTTCTCAAACTGGGGCTTTTTTTTTTTGGTGCAGTGGTCTATTTTCCTAGTTTCAACACGAAAGCCAAAGTGCCAATCCTGGCTCTTACCCAGATGACTCTGCAAACCATGATGGAGAAAAATCAGGCACGGGGAGCTGGAAGAGAGTGTTTCTGAAATTCAAGAAAAAGGGAGAATAGGTCATGTGTATGAAGAGGAGTGAATAATGAGCTGTCCGCAGTCAGATGAGAGAATTGCCATGCGAGAGATATAAGGTTGGATATTTGGAAGAGGAGGACACTCGATCTGTTATTTAGTTTTGAAACAGTGTTCTTCTAAAGGATCCAGATTCTCCAATACGAATAGAAATCTCTTATAGAAGAGCAGGGGGGATAGAGACCAATTCTATTTCAGTCTATCAATATGCAGCATTCTCTAATACCTCCAGATTACTAGACTCTTCACACATCTGAAGGAAGACAGAAGTCATCAGAAGTCATCAAGAAATGTTGATCGTTAATCACATTCTGACTTGACTGGACTGATAACGGAAGGACGTGATCGGCTTTGCCCTAACCGGCAGATTTGGCCAAAAAGCAATATAAGTGCTCGCTCCTCTATAATCACGAAAAGCTCCTGCAAGTGGATGACTCACTGTAGGCGAACTTCTTCTTACCGTCTTCAAGACAGAGTAAAGTAAACCTCGGTATCTTTTCGCTCGAAGACAAGTATGAGACATGGGAGTCGGCCTCGCAAGCAGGTAGGCTTAGGAAAGATTGGTCACCACAATGGTTGTGACCTTCTCCCTCTTAGGTGGTTCCGGATTTCTGAATGGGAAGGTATCCACAATGTGAGGCATCACTCAGAGGAAGGAAAACAGTTGAGAGGATTATCCACTTATGGAAAAAGAAGGTCGTCATTTCCCTGACACCCTTGTGTTTAGAGATAAACCTGGATAATGCGATTGGATGACGGAGATTGTCTCACCCTCGTAATAGTTACATTACCTCTGAAGCATAATAAGACATGACGGTAAAAGGTGCTCCGTACATGTCTTATCTTGTTCTGCTCTTCTCTACGGATGTAATATGTATATCTGTGGAGAATTTGCGGGCGTTATACCTACGGTAATACAACCTGTTGCGTTCTGTTATATTACATAGTAATTTTCGACACTAGCTTTTGACTTTTTAGCACCCCCCGGTATTGTTGTTGGATCTGTAGTGGTTTTCATACAGAGTAAACTTACAGACCCCAATTTTATATTGAAGTACATGCAAATATGGATACAATATGCGGCTAGACTCGGATGGCGAGTACACTTTTTTGATAAGCCATTAATTTATCGCTTCCAAGGTGACCTACGGTATCGGCATACTTGGTATTGTTACCATCGTATTACATACACCTACCAGTAAGTATCAGAATTACATACAAGTATGTATCACTAACTCAGGTACTGTACGTAAATTAAACATCGTCTTTCTAGTGTCATTGACTAAAACTTTATTCCCTGTACCTATAGAAGCTTACTCGTTATTGCATATACGAATGAACCAATTATACGTAGGTACACTTGGTTTCTACGCAGATCAACTTTCCTCGGGTGTTGGTAGAGGTAGAGGTTGATCAAGACTTCGTCGGCTGACAGTCCTAATCATAGGTCGACATACAGACCCATGGAATGAGCCTTTTTTCTTGTCGGTGAGCACTTATAGCAGGATTAGCAGTACTGCCATGGGTGGCAAGTCAAGAAAACCACTTAGCACGGAAATCCAACTGATTAATAAAGTGCGGGATTGGTTATATTCGCAGTCTACAGCTACGCACTTGTCCTTGACTGGTGGCACTTCATCAGGTACGATATGCAGTAATATTACTGGACGCTACCTAATGAGAGATATGCATGTACTACTGTACAATTCTTGATTTGATATATGAGTTTCAAGTCATATGTATCACGTTGCAGGCTACTGCTCGTCATGTATGCCGAGTTGACAACCGACTCTTTGACATGGAAAGTCCTAATATACATCCGAATTCATAAAGAGCTATCCTGATTTAGAACTAGAGTGGACCCTAACAACTGCAAACAGCAAAATAAAGTTACTCATGAAGAGAATTAAAATTGCCAAACGCAACCCGCTCAATTCCTTCGAGATCTCCAGACTCCTCACACATGCGACGGAAAATGGCACCATCCCGGTGGTAGGCGAGGAGCTCTCTAACAGACCCTTGTTCGACAATACGTCCAGCGTCTAACACAATAATTTTATCGTAGTCGGCGATGGTCTGCAACCTGTGGGCGACTGTCAAGACCGTAGTGCCATTTGAGACGCTGGCGCGTAATCCTGCCTGGATCGCCGCGTCGGTGGCATAGTCAATAGACGCGGTAGCCTCGTCGAGGACGAGAATGCGTGATTGCCGCAGCAGTGCACGCGCAATACATAATAACTGACGCTGGCCGCGTGACAATGCATCCGCTGCAAAGTCTAGAAGGCTCACCGCTGTGCTCGGCTTTGTTGCGGTCATAATCATATCGTCAAGGAGTACGGTGTGCAGGGTTGCGCGAATCTCTTCGTCAGTGTATTGTTTAAGGGGATCGAGATTGTCACGTAAAGTACCATCGAACAACTCTGGGTCCTGTGGCACGAGAGTGATGGCTTGCCGAAGTTGCTTGAGTGTTACTGTGCTGATGTTGATGCCATCAATCTCAATCCAGCCACTATCTGCTTCCAGGCCTCGTATCAACGCCAATGTGAGCGTGCTCTTGCCCGCCCCGGTGCGTCCAACAACGGCGACGCGCTCGCCGGGTCGCACTTCGAAACTGATCCCTTTCAATCCAGGCTCCAGGCCAGGCGCATACCGAGTTGTGTAATCAAAAAACCGAATTCGTCCCTGAGAGGGCCAATCCTCCGGCATATCATAAATAGCTCTCCGTAGGGGCTGAGTGGCTTCTTGCTCAATTCCTTTGTACTCAAAGATCCGATCCACGGAGTTGAGATTCTGTTGAATGATAGCATACACCTGTACGAACCATATGACATTTTCCGTAAAGTTCGTAGCATAGGTAAGCACAAGCCCCGCACTACCAAATTCGATCCGTCTGGAGTTCCAAAGTACAAAAGCTCCTGTAAAGAACGAAATCATAGAACTAAGAACGTTCGCTCGAAACGTTAGCCATTCTTTACTGGCCCATTGGAGCAAGTACGGCTGATTGAGTCGGTCAACAAGCTCCTGATTCTGCGCGGTAAACACTGACGTTCGCGCATATGCCCGAATACTGATAACGCCTGCAAGGGTTTCGCTGAATTGCTGGTACAGCGGAGATCTTTGGACGGATTCAATCCGCTTCAGGTCTCGAGCCCCGTTGATGTACACCACGACGACAAAGTAGTAAGCTACACAAATAAACACTGCCACCACGAGAAACGCCGGAAGGATAGTGGATATAAAGATGATCATCGTGGCCATGGATGCAAGAAGTTGTAAAGCGCTGATTGAAAATCCGGATATTGATTGATCCATAACCTCGACATCCTTGGAGAAACGGTTTGTGATCTGTCCTAGCGGTACACTGTCGAAGAAAAGTAGTTTCGCATATAGGACCAAGTCGAGCAGCCGTTCGAATATAGTAGATGATGCTTTGAGTGAACCGTAAAATGTGATAAGATCGCGTAGCATGGTGATGAGTGTGTATGACGCGCATAAAATGACGTACATCGTGATATAGTACCACACGTCGAGCTTATGAAGTTCGTCAACGTAGTATGTCTCGGAGTCGCCTGTTGTTTGTATTGGTGTCGAGGCTTCCGTTCGCCTCTTTAAATTGTCATATTGGAATGCCCATTCCTTGATCCATAAGTTCGTTCCAAGCGAAGCAAATTGTTGCACTGCAAACATGAATAGAACCGCGACCCAGTACCATCGACTACCCATAGCACCTAAATAGCTTCTCACTACGGACCACGAGACGGCTCCTTCCGCTTTGATTTCTCTGTAGCCCCGATTTTCCTCTAGCTCTTCTGGCTTGGGCGTAACTTCATGCAGTGAAATACTTTCGAGAGACGACCTTGCAAAGAGTTTCACATCGAAGTCAATGTCATTTATATTGAACGAAACTGGAGATGGTAGATCCCATTTACTCTCCATAACCCCGGCATCAATGAGACCAATCGAGACAAGTTCTTCCGCTGTACCATGACCGCGTACCGTGCCATCGTCTAGCATAACAACGTAGTCAGAATGAGGAATCGCAAGATGCGTATGGTGCGTAGCAAGAATGCAGGTACGATCTCTCATCAATGACCCCCTTATTGCAAGGGAAAAAATATGATTCGCCGTGTGAGAATCCACCGCACTAAGACAGTCATCAAGAAGAACGTATTTGCATGGACTATAAAGCGCTCGTGCCAAGGCAACACGTTGCTTCTGGCCACCTGACAGCCGACTTCCATTCTCTCCGCAAAGAGTCTGGTCACTATTATCCATGGTGGCAATGTCGGGCAAAAGAGCCACAGCATGCAGAACGCATTCGTAACGGCGGCTATCGAAAGGAAAGTCAAAAATGATATTTTCACGTATAGTTCGATTCAAAATCCACGGCTCCTGTGGACAATATGCTGTGGTCTCTAACAGGTTATTTGTGTCCAAATTTGTCTGTTCACAGTGCGGTAGAAACACTTGACCCTTGATCAGATCCATTTCTCCAAGAAGAGCAAGCAGCAATGAAGACTTTCCGGACCCACTTGGACCACAGATGACGTTAAGCGCTTCTGTTCGGAATCGAATATCAAGACTTTTCAGCCTGAACGACCGGCCAGATGCCAATTCATTTAGTGGAATATGCCCTCCTCTTTTTGCGCCGTTATCATCTGACACATTCGCAGACGCCTCAGTTGGCCACGCTAAGGTAGCGTCCTCAAAACCAATGTCATTAGATGTTTTGAGTTTGGAAAGTTGGTCATATTTGGCCGTTTCTCTTTCACAAAGAAAATTGTCAACGCGATCTAGAGATACGCGGGCTTGCAGCACAAAAGTAACACAGGTGGCCAATCGGTCTAAAGGAATCCGTATAATGCCAAATACGGCTAGAGCCGGAAATGCAATTGACGTTTCTAATGGATTATCCCAGACAATAGTGTAGAAAAAGCACGTTATAATGGTGACGATGAGTGGGAGAGAATGAAAAGTCGTAGCATTAATTGACCACCAAATAAAACGAGAACGCATTTCTGTCATTTCAAACCGGCGTTTTTCCATGACTTGTTCCTTGAAGGCGCTTTCCCATGCCGAGTACTTGATTGTACGAATGTTATTCAATATTTCATTTCCGGCTTGGATTCGGGTATCACTGGCTTTCAAGGCACGCGCCTGCACGGCCATCACACGCTGGGATATTAGAAAATTCAGAGGTAGTAAGGCAATCATGCATAAGACTCCAACTATACCACTGATCCCAAGAAGTCTGTATAGTAACCATACTCCCAGGCTTATCTGTACTGGAAAAGTTACCCAGATCAGATATAGGTTGCCACTTAGTTCACTCACATGCTCGGCATCCATTGACATGAGGTTGAAAATGTTGCCATCACTAGCATGGTGGTCTTCACTTGTGCTCGAGCTCTGTGATTCTGACTGTTGCCTCGTCATTCTTTTCCGCAGGACTTTTTCGTATATTTCATTGATCAGAATAGTTCGTAACTTGGCAGCCATCTGGTGGCCTATCCAGTCGCATTGGCAATCGGCAATGCCAGCAATTATCCCCGCAACTAAGAGACCACCAATACAAAGCCAGGCAGTGCTTAGAGCCATGCGATCTGGGGACTCAATACACTCCAGGATAAGTTTTATGAGCACTGGTGGAATGAAAACAGCCACACTGTTCACTGCCGCCCACCCGCCCTGCCTTAGGAGGTCATACTTGAGAAAACGATAAAGTCTACGTAGTAGAGGAATTGTAGTAGCTGCTATATCATGGAACCTTAGGCTGACAACTTTAGACCTTTGGTTTTGGCGGAGCTGGTATAGATCAGAGGCCTCCAGTGTGGCTCGAAATGATCTCCATACCAGCTCGTTGACCCAGGAGAAGGCCAGGCGAGATATTAAGCTTGCCGTCTCTTCTCTGCTGGGCTCAGAAGAGGGTATTTTCTTGTTGAGAGATGCCTGCACCGGTACTCTGCTAGCGGTCCAGTGAAACAGACACAGCGCTGTGAATATGCCGAAACGAGTGAGCGTTGCAATTGTCAAAAGTTGCCCGTGACCTTCGAAGATCAACGCATGCCCAGTCACACCTATACAGACCCACTGCACAGTGTAGAGCGTTGCTGAATGGGTTTGTAGAACCTTGACGATTTCAAAATAAGGAGTCTGCCGCACCAAGGCAAGAAGCAGCAAATAAATGGAAGACACAGCGGAAGCAAATATTGTTGAAAGGTCTATAGACTCTCGACTGCCGATGAGTATCAGAATGGCAATTGTGATATCGACGAAGATACATATCAATTCCAACTTGGCAATGGGTGCGGAAATCGATGTTGTGTAGTCTTGAGATGCATTATTGAATATCGCATCCTGAACGATGTTTTCATTCTTCGTAGTCACACGCCTAAATCCTTTCCGCATATACTTAATATTCCTTTGACAAGGATATGTATAGATAATGCAGAATACAGTGGCTGAAGCTAGACATATTGATAGAGGAACTAGCTTGCCCAGGTAGTTGTTGATCACGCAGTTTGACACGTGACCGTTGTCCCACAAGGGCGATGGACAGAGCATGTCCATATTGCGTGGATCTACCAAATGCAAATAAGATGTATAGTATTCACTGGAAGTATTGAAGGGCCAGCAGAAAGTAATGCAAAAGCTCTTAATCTCGGACCAGGCTCTCCAGGTTCTTGCTGTCCGCAAATGGGCGGGAACGGCAAAGCGACAACCCAGATATCTGGTGGAAATTCTAAATCAGTCATGCTATTGAAAGTTTGGGGGAAAAGATGGAACAGTAGCAGTGGCAGCGGAAGCGGAAGCGGCAATGATTGATGTAAGTAGTTTTAAGAGAGAATACGTACATGTTCCGTGATACCCCTATCCGAGTTCTCTCTCCCTGATTTTTCTTCTTGTGTCCAGACAGGGATGCCTGCCTCCGTTTATTTTCTCAGTCCTCGTGATCTCGACGATACCAAAGGTTGGTAGCTTAACCAATACATCAAGATTTGTGCCGTGATACTTTAATGACGTGATGAAACTGATAACAGCTTCTAGCAGATACTCTCGTGGGTCTAGACTAGTCTCTAGACACGAACAACCCGCGAACGAATGCAATGGCTATAAAAAGAGTCGGAAAGAATTCCAGTCCTAGATATAATAAGCGATGTTCGTAGCGGTAAAGAGATTGTGACCTTGACTCGTTTCGTAAACTGCCAAGTCCGTGAGACAATTGCCAAATACCATCATAATGGCAATGTTTATCTGTGACTCGCTTCAACCTGCCATCATGATGTTACAAATTATTGACCTGTTGGTCCCCAAAGTGAAATAAACCAACTACTACCCACTTCGGATTATTAATCTAAATTTGGACAAGAAAAAGAACTGTGTATGAAGCGAAGCCCTAGTTGTAGTTGTTCTGACAGGTTCATACAGACGGCCCCACCGGCTCGGCTTCTTGTGCTCATATGACAATGTATTGTACGGTATGAGTCAATGTAAGCCGCGGTCATAACGAAACAGTACAATTTGAAATTACTGGAACGTAACGTAACGTGACGTGACGGCTTTAAGATTCTAGAGTTACTTTGAGAACTAGTATGTAATATATCCCACACTGTCTTAGTAAATACTGCTGATCCTTCCACCCAGTCGCTTATTCTACAGTCGGTGTCGCCGTAGATGAAGTAGCTGTCTCTTATGCTAGATTGCGGAGATAGACTCTTCAGTAACGTGCTTAGTGACATTTCTGAGGAAGTAGTAAGCACTAACGAAGTATCAGGCCATCAGCATATTGCAAGACAAGCACCTAATCAAGAATCAAAGGACTAAGCAAGTCTCACAGGCTTGCCACCGTTCGCCCATCGATCTGATCTGGGTTCTCTTCTTCCTCTCGCTCCTATTCTGATCTCAATCCATAGTGACCTATCTCCCACAGAATAACCGGCAGCTAAGTCCTTTACAATCTTTTCCTGCTACTTTGGGAGATCTTTGCTCAGCTCAGGTTTTTATCCACAATCGTTTTCGAAGACTTTCACCATGGCTTCCAAAGAATATCGAGACGACGTCAGTCGTTCTGAATCTCTTGATGAGGAATATCACGGTCTTGTGTCAGGCACTCCTCGTCTCGCTACTCAAACCAAGTGGGGAGGGGCTTTGAAGCTTGTACCAGTGCTTCTATTTGTGTCTTTGTGTCTCAACATCGTTCAGGTGATATATCTAGCCGTCCATCGTCCAAAAGTGTACTCGCTCTACGGTATGTATGGAAATATACATGTATCAAGCCTCGAGTCTCTGCCTGTGCAAGTCAGCTAAGAATTTGATTGCTAGCAAAATTGCCTGAAAACGAGCTCACTATTAATTTCCATTACGCCACTGAGTACAGTTCCGATCAATATGACCATGAAACCAAGGATGCTCTTTGGAATACCATCGATATCAGTGAAGGTTTTGTAGCCCTCACTCACGAGGAGTCTGACGCTCTTGGATTACCACGATCGGAGGTGTTCCCTTGGGATATCAACAAGGGAATGTACGTGAGCCACGGCCACCATGCTCTCCATTGCACTGTATGTCTTTTTGTCCCCTGTCAGTACATTGCAATCTTGACTGATGCAATCTGCTAGGTATTGCTACACGCATTTACTTATGATGCCCACAGGGGCAAAAAGCCAAAGGTGTCCTATCACCATATTGAGCATTGCCTAGATCTTCTTCGCCAAGATATTATATGCAACGCTGATGACAACATGGATTTTACTGCAGGCCACGGTGACCAGTTCTTAACTGGGGAGAATCAACCTCGCAAATGTCGTGACTGGAACAAGCTCAGTGCATGGGTCAAAGAGCGTAGTGCTTGCTATAAAACTATCAACATTACTCGAGCTGGTGAAGATCATGGAGTCGCCCATCAGTTGGACAGATATACGTTTTGCCCTGAGGGCAGTCCATATCAGCCGCTGATTGATGCCTGGAAAGATCTTGGACGATACAATCCAGGTAATATCCCGGATGACAGCCTTGACAGCTTGAGCGAGGCTGAGCTCGAGGCAGACGCTATTGCGGTGGCTGAACATAATAAGGATATTCTGGGAGGGAACTAAACTTGGATCCGGTCTCGCCTCGTCCAGTAGAATGTTCGGTTTCTTTGAATCGTTCAGGAATTGTCTCTGTACGAGTCCGAGTATATCATTATTTTCTGAGGAAATAAAACAGTACATCTCAAACTGACAACCTGAAATTCTAATTTATTTGCCTTTTTGCTTGATGATTTGGAAGATGTATATCTCTCTTTCATTTAGTCATTCATCGTATGCGTATCAAACAACGTTCATTAGAACCACCAGTAAAAGCATGCAATCTCAACTTTTTATTTCGTTAATCTTGATTCATTTTGCTCAATGCTTTCAAGGTCTGAGTCTGTTCTGGGGTCGATAAATCATACTCATCACATCATTTACCATAGCTTGGGGTTATGTACCGCATGATGACAATAGGCTTTAAACTACATACTTGTTTCCATGGAGACTTTGGAAGATTACGACTGTAATTCAATCGCGCAAGCAATACGAAGCAAACGGAAATCGATAGTAATATGAGGTTAATTTAGCGAGAGACAAGAAGTTGGATCTAATTGACTGATTTTTGGGATCAAACAGAGAAATCGACCGAAAGAGACGGTACGCTGCACATATACATAGATGAAATTCACTACCATCCCTTCTCTGTAAAATCAACAATATAATCTGCCTATTTTGACAGTAGCGACCGTAATGGGCTTAGTATGGACAGAGGGAAAGTGGAAAAATTGTTTGAGAATATGATCGAGGACTGCACGGTGATTCGAAATTTTCTAAGCTCAGCCACGAGTTCCTCGAAACTCCAGTTGAAAGAATGGATACTTTCAAAGAAAGGGCTTAGCTTTGGCGGCAGCGAGCAGCGAGCCCATTGGAGTCAGTGTAACGAGCCTCAAGCCTGCCACATTCAGTAAATGGAACGTCAAAGGGTACAGGCTGGGCAAAACGAACCTTGAGCTTGTCAACTTTGGTGAAGGGCTCAGTGTATGGCTCTGGCTCGGTGTAGCGCTTCTCGGGCTCGGTGAAGGGCTCGGTGAAGGGCTCAGTGAAGGGCTCAGTGAAAGGCTCGGTGTAGCGCTTCTCAGGCTCCGTAAAGGGCTCGGTGAAGGGCTCGGTGTAGCGCTTCTCAGGCTCCGTAAAGGGCTCGGTGAAGGGCTCGGTGAAAGGCTCGGTGTAGCGCTTCTCAGGCTCCGTAAAGGGCTCAGTGAAGGGCTCGGTGAAAGGCTCGGTGTAGCGCTTCTCAGGCTCCGTAAAGGGCTCAGTGAAGGGCTCAGTGAAGGGCTCGGTGAAAGGCTCGGTGTAGCGCTTCTCAGGCTCCGTAAAGGGCTCAGTGAAGGGCTCAGTGAAAGGCTCAGTGTAGCGTGCCTTGAGGTTGCCGGCCTTAGTGAAAGGCTCTGGATTGGTGTATGGAGCGGCCAAAGCCTCTGCAGCCAAGAGGGCAATGAAAGCAGAAACTGTAATTGACCGCATTGTGTTCCTTGGTTCGTGGAAAGCAGACAGAATGACAAACGATTCAACCTTGGTATCAAAATATTTGACTTTTCCTCTCTCTTTTACTGCGTTGGCTGAGTATGTACGTATATAAGTTATGAGTAGGGCTTCATTGCTATCGTTTGTTCTCGGGGTTAACAGAAATCGTATATCATTTAAGTTCGTTACAATCTGCCATGTGACGCTAACACAACACTTCACTTTCCAAGGTTTCAAGCAGCGAAGATCAGCTGTGGTGCACTATGAGTCACAGTAAGTGAAAACCAATTCAGGCTAGAATCATAAGCAGCCGAGGATGCCAGAAGGATAAGTTGGCGATACACTTTGCGAGAGGCGATTGTGATCATTGTGTATGGTATGGTATATAAACACTAGTATTGTAAACAATATTAATTACCATAACATACGGACCAGTATCGGGTTTCTCTGTATTACAATAACTAACAGCTGAATTAGAGATGACTGCGTAATATTTCTCAGTTTCAAATCGCAGCGAAATTTCCTGTCTGACATCCTGAGGTTAACTATGACCGGGAGGGGCAATACTAATGATTCCTTGTTGTAATCGTATTTGGCTCCGACTGGATTTATCAGGTCTTACTTCATACCTCTATATCTTTTCATTGAATGCATCCTGGCAAGGGCTGTACGAGAAACTACCCGTTTGGTCAGAGTTATATGCCAATATCGGATTGTAGTTTAACGTTGAGTCAGAAAAGTTCATCGACGTGCTATTTTGATCGCTGGCATAGATTAATCCGACGCTGAGCTTGAGCTGACGATTGGAGTAACATGGTGAACTATTTCAACTCAATGTTGAACTACAGCCCTGCGAATATTCACTGTCGACGCCGTGATGTTGTAATCAATACTCTGAATGCAACTCTATTTGTAGAACAGACTTCGTAGGGACTACATGCAAAGATTTCAATAATGGCACTGTGGTCCACGATACGTGAATATCATTTCTATTAATAGAAATAATGTCATTCCACTTTTAGATCAACTTCTTAATTTCCTGTAAGTCCGCAAAGCCCATTGTATTTTCTTCGACGTTGTGGTCGATATACCTCCCGCGGAAAAAGCCTGAAGTTCAGAGATTTCTTCAGTTTCATTGCTTACTCAAGAACTCGAGAGATTTGGATGTACTTACGCTGACCCACTATCCATGAATCACCAAAGCTATCTGTCCCATGAATAGAAGCCCTGCAGTTCCCTCCATCTTCGGATGAGTTCTCGGCCAGGGCCGAGTAGTAAATTTGAAAAACCCTACTTTGATGGCTTACAACTGTCGACTTTCTCAATCTGGCGGTGGTGGCGTTCGCAAGAGATGGAAATTGGAAGCCAAATGATGGGGGGTGGTCACATGAGTAGAATCCATCAAGAGTCCTGACGAGAGAACCGGTATTGTTGGACTGTCGCAGGACCGACTGCATGCCAGCTTTGTCAAACAGTTCTTGTACATATTTGATTGGCCTTGACAAAGATACATTGATTAGTACTTTACAATCATGAAATTTTTTTTTCCCCAACCTATCGTTTAATAACTGGAATTTACTCACCCCCATATCACCGTCGTCCCACTATCAACCATAATCTCAGCATTGCTATGAATGGTTTGATTATCAAATATCACATCTCCAAAAACGAACCGCTCGTGTTTTTCAGTCACGCTAAGCTCTCCAAGAAATCGAGAGTGCTCGGCTCCACCCAGGTACAAGGCACCGTCATGTTTATTCATATTGTTAGTGAATAATTCAAGGGCCAGTCCAAAGCGACACTCATCAAGAGCGTGCGGTTGAGAACACAGGTTGGTGAACCAGTTATTTGTGCTCTCGCCAAATGAACTTCCCGGAACGAAAAATCCCATCAAGCCATCATGGGGGAACGCTGGCCCCGGAGGGGAAGTCATTGTAATAGCACCGAGGGATTGAGAAGAAACCGACAGTTCAGTACCATCAAGCGATACGGTGTCTTGATGAACGGTTCCATTCACCTAATAAAACCCAAAATTTGTTTGAAATACATTAGCAAATGAATTGTCCTCAAAAGGGCTAAATATGTAAACCTAAGGTTATACTTGCCACTTCTTCCCCAGATCCATCGGCCTCAACGGTACCAAATGACATTGAAAATTCATGATGAGTGTCTATTGCCAAGTCGCTGGGATTGTAGACTCCGGCATTTAAAATTAAGTCTGGGGAGCCTGTGTCAATCAAAATGGAGAGATTCCGCGAACTGCCGATAGAGAATCGTGCGAACCAAAAGTCCTTTTAGAAGAATACCATGAGATAAAATGAATTGTTGGTGAGGGATTGCTTTACCTCATCATCCTTCTGCTCGCTCAGTGGTACAAAGCGACACGGGCCATGTATATCTTCCTTTAACAAGCCTGTACCTCGTGAGAGGGGAATAGCGACGATAGCTCCCTCAATACTAGTGAGGATACTGAACAGTGCGCATGCGATCGCTATCGAAATTGTCCCCATTTCCGATTCACGGCGCCAAGTGTGTATGGCAATTGCAGGGAGATACGTTGGGGTTCAATTGCTCATGTCTGAAAATGACATATCGGATAAACACAAGTATATAAGAGTCAAACAGGCTCGAAAAAGGATCTTCTCCTTGTTGTACTATGATAAGAGGGAAAAATTCTAAATACCGCACTATAAATTACCGGGTGATGGACTGCCGTATGTATCAGTTGAAGCGTGATACGTAAAATACACCCGAAATAGCTAAGAGTCCGATGCTGCCATACGATGCTAGATTGGTGCGTAAAGATTCTAAGACAAGTATTTCAATTATGTCCATTTTCTTCTTCATACACTTCCCTTGGTATCAACAAACAATCATGGAAGAGAGACACTTTAAAGAGCAAGTTTTTACCACTAATTGAACATATATCCTAATACACAATTGCATTTGCTAGCGAAAGGGTAGGGAAATAGGAAAGCGAACCGAGGAAAGAATGTGAGAATAAACACCATTGACAGAGGCTAAAAGGGTAATTTCTCATTATTTCTAGGTTTAATTTCCGGCGAAAATTCAATCTTCGCTATTACCTACCAGTCGTGCAAAAGCCAGAGGAATCCGAAACAGAGCAATTCATTGTTGACGATAGTGAACAATCTAAAGCGACACGAAACCTTAGGAAGAGACCGGTGCTTCACTACACTGGATTAATTCTTCTCGGTCTACTCTGCACCATCGGGTGGCTACTCGCTATCGTCTTTTTCTTCGAATTCCATATATCATCCAAAGGCGGGGAGGAACCACAACGTACATCATCGCTACCAGATCTTGGAAAAGCGAAAATCACAGTCGACCAAATTTTGTCCGGCCAATGGACTGAAAGTACTTCCAGACATATCTCCTGGGTTACGGGACCTGATGGTGAAGATGGCTTTCTTCTCCGTAGAGATCCTCTAGGAAAAGAAGGCCTCCGTGTTGATGATTTGCGGAGTTGTTCTATTCAAAACGATGGACCAGTCTGTTCGAACAGCTATAATTTGATGAAATCATCACATATCTTGGTCGACGACAAGTTGACTGAAATAAACGAAGCGTTGCCTAGTCCTGATTTGAAAAAGATCCTTCTGTTAACGCACAAAAGGAAAAATTGGCGGCATTCCTTTACAGGAAGATATTGGATATTCGATGTTGCGACACAGTCAACACAACCTCTCGATCCTAACGATGACTTGACGGAAATTCAATGGGCCTCATGGTCACCCCGATCAGATGTGATAGCATTTGTGAGGAGCCATAATATCTACCTACGACGGTTGTCATCAAAGACTGTCACTCAAATCACCACTGACGGAGGCGAAGATATGTTGTATGGCGTGCCTGATTGGGTGTACGAAGAAGAGATCCTGCAGATGGGTGGTGCAATATGGTGGTCCGAAGACGGAAGATACATTGCATACTTACGAACCAATGACTCTCAAGTGCCTGAGTACTCAGTGCAGTATTATTTTTCCAGACCCACTGGACAAAAGCCGGCGCTTGGGGAAGAGAATTACCCTGATAATCGACGATATAAATATCCAAAGGCCGGAGCTCCAATTCCAACGGTGAATTTGCAGTTCCTGAATGTGGACAATAATAGCATTATGTCAGTCGAAGCAGCAGATCCCAACCGAGAACGTGTGATTCTTGAGGTTATATGGGCCTCTAATTATAAGATACTAATGAAAGAGACCAATCGGGAATTTGAGATTGTGCAAACTATCATTATCGATTTAGAGAACCGAAGCTGTGAGACTGTTCGGGTCGATGACATGCTAAGCCTGGATGGCGGATGGGTCGAGGTTCAACCTGCGCAGTCAATGGTCTTTGTGCCTGCAGATCCAAATAACAATCGCCCATATAATGGATATGTCGATATTGTGGTACACAATGGATTCAAGCACCTGGGTTATTTCACTCCGTTGACAAATCCAAATCCCGTCTTTCTAACCTCGGGACAATGGGAAGTGGTAAACACTCCAACGTTCGATCCCAATGCCAACATGGTCTATTTTGTTGCCAACAGGGAAGCACTTACCCAGCGACATGTTTATGGTGTTAGATTGCATGGATCGTCTGATCTGATTTCAATCAGTGATACGTCTGAGCCTGCCTTCGTCATGCCTTCCTTTTCTCCAAAGGCAGGATACGTGTTGCTTTCGTACACAGGTCCTTCGATTCCGTGGCAAAAGATCATGGCCACTCCGGACAACATGGATGGCTCTCAATATACGGAAGTAATCGAAACCAATGAGCAGCTGAAAGAAATGGTCAAGACACACGCTTTACCAGAGTTACTATTCGAAACCATAACAATTGAAGGTTTTACCCTGCAGACGCTGGAGCGCCGGCCCCCTGGCTTTAATCCGTCACAGAAATACCCTGTCCTATTTGCTCCGTACGGAGCATCGGATTCACAGTGCGTTGACCGTCAATTCACTGTGGATTTTAATTCGTATTTTGCATCTCTAGGTTACATCGTGGTCACTGTCGACGGGAGAGGGACCGGGTTCTCTGGCCGAAAAATGAAAACTATGATACGGGAAAATCTCGGCTACTGGGAGTCTCATGACCAAATCGAAGCGGGTAAGCTATGGTCCAGAAAGCCCTATGTGGACGAAACTCGCATGGCAATTTGGGGTTGGAGCTACGGAGGTTTTCTGGCTCTCAAGACTTTGGAGCATGATGCTGGCCAGACATTCCAGTATGGTATGGCTATAGCACCTGTGACAGATTGGAGATATTACGGTGAGTAATTTTGATCTTGGAGGGATATTGAACTTGCTTGAGTATTTAGAATCTATTTTTGACATCAAATACCAGATTTTGCTTATGCCGAAAGACATATGAGGATGCCTCAACACAACCCAGTCGGATACGACAACGCAGCGATCTCGAATATGACAGCACTTAACCAGACAGTACGCTTTTTGCTCATGCAAAGTGCGGCGGATGACAATGTACATTTTCAAAATTCCTTGAGTTTGATTGACAAGCTTGATCAGGCTGGTGTTGAAAACTACGACGTGCATGTTTTTCCTGATTCGACGCATGGAATCTATTTTCATAACGCGCACAGAGCTGTCTTTGATCGTAAGCAACCGTTCTTAATTTTTCTCTATGTTCTTTTCTAAGTGGTGTTAGGTCTTATTTATTGGATCGTGAACGCTTTTGACGGTAATTGGTTGCAAACAAGACTCGCAATCCCTTCTTAGTCCATCAAGATCTACCTGAAACCCATTTTTTCCCTCCGGACTCTTCTGGGCCTATTGAAACTGGAATGTGTTGAGTATATTATACTCTTGTTGCTTTAGACTGCCTGACAAGTTTGTTTGGATAGAGGATGATCCAAAATAGAACGAACGTTCCATTTAATACTCATATCGCCATATCGATGAATACCTATCAAAAGTAGTCAGATGTCGACAGTAATGACATTTGCAGATCTAAGAGGTCAATTATTCAGACCAGATATGTCATAGGCTATGCAATTTCGTGTATTACATCCCGTGTCATGAGATTCCATTATCTTATTTGTATTTGTTTTCGTAAAGATCGGCATACATCATATTTGAGTGTAAAGACACTGTGAGCTCCTCCAATGGTCTTGTGGTCTAACGTAATCCACAAGCGAACCGGCACTTTTTCCCGAACACGTACACAATATTGATCTCAAATCTCAATTTCTAACCCACATACTAATTATATACAAAAAATCAATTCCTAATACGATTAGGACATCCGGTTATTTTATGTCCTGCAACACCACAACCACTGCAGCGAAATTGACGTCGTACAGGTGGATGACAGACTGGAAGCTCAGGCTCGGCCGGAGCAGTAGTAACAGCTTGGGATGCTTCAACCCGACCTTGTACGAGTGCTTGAGCTTCCTCTCTGGTAATTCCCTGCTCATGAGATATTTGCTGCTTAGATCTTCGACGTTTTTGCTTCTCCTTCTCATGTGCAGCCCGTAGATCATGGAGTTCCTTCTGTGCAATTGTAAGCTTATTAATACTCATCTCATAAGCCTTTGATGCCCGTGTAAACACTTCACCAATAGCCTCAGATGAACTCCTTGTATGCCGGCTTATTCTCTTCTTCATAGTAGTCATTTGGCGCTTAAATTGACATGCGTTTTGAGGGGTTTGCAAGCAGGATGATTGTGTATCACTTGATCGACTTGGAGGGGGTGTTGGAGTCTTCAATCGAACAGTAAGCTGTTGATAAACTCGATCTGGATTGAATGGTACTAATCCAGTTGCCATAAAGCTATTCCGAACAGTTTGAGCTTTATATGCCATCGTACGAGCCTTCGGGAATGCAGTGAGAAAGTCGATTTTGTCAATGTGATTGAATCCAAGCCTCATTCGCTGCTCAATAAGCCGTCCATATTCTCGCTTTAAAACAGCAAAACAGCCAACATCAAGAGGCTGTAAAAGATGTGAAGAATGAGGAGGCATACAGACCGGAATAATATTATTCTCAGTGCATGTACGGTCAAATTCAGCAGTTAAATGGCTTCCATGGCCATCAAGAATCAACATCCGATATTTCCCCAATGTACGGCCATCAGTAAGAGGAATAAAATGAGTTTTAAGCCATTCTAATCCAATCTTATCTGTCGTCCATCCATTGTCGCTAATGTTGATTTTCCAGTCGTCTGGAAGATCCTTAAACCAGCCTAATCGAGTGTATTTCTTTGCCTTGAAAATAATGTACGAAGGCAATGCCCATCCAATCGAATTAACTGCCTCAATTGCAGTTACCCATTCTCGGTTACCAGGCTGTAATAGCTTTGGCCGAGCATATCGATCGCTTTTAGTGATAACCTTTGCAGTCGCACAGAGTCCCATAGCAAAGCCAGTCTCATCAAAATTGTAGATATCTTCTGGCAAGATCCCATACTCTAATATAACCTCTCGTACGCGATCAAAATACTCTTGGATTATCTTCGGATCTTCGCACTTAGCACGTTCATAATTATATTTCCGTGAGAACTTTGATTCAATCTCTGGGCGACGTTTGACAAGGTTATATACCCAATTCTCTCCAACCCGGCGGTTTCCGCGTTGCGAAAGAAGATAATCGGCCATCTCTCGTATAAGAGAGTGTCGAGGGGGTAATCCACGTTTATCTAGATCGAGTATCCATTCGACAAGCGATTCCTCCTCACACTGAGTTAATTTATGGCTGTTGGCGCGAACTTGAGATCTTTGTTGAGTGCCGTTTAATCTGTCTTGTAGAGTCGCCCGGGGTATACTGTAAATCCTTGCAGCTCGAGCCACGCGCAAGATTCGTCCATTTTGTAAATCGGAAATAGCTAATAAGATTCGTCCTTCTTGCTCAGCTAAATCTTTCTTATTTTTATTGCGAATTGGTGGCATTTTGGCGTGTTGAATAGTATGGAATTAATATTGTGTACATGTTCGGGAAAAAGTGCCGGTTCGCTTGTAGTGCCGGTTCGCTTGTGGATTACGTTACCTAACCGACCCTTCCTTAGTCATCCAGGGTCTCGCTTATAGCTCGACCCCGCCAACTCAACGTACAGGCGTAGTCAACGTACAATTTTTTTTACAACTTACAACCACCTATTTGACGCGTTATATCTCAACACCACGATACCGGATAATTATCACGATATTGAAGCAAGAATTAGAGATGCCCTGGATACGATTCCTGAAGGAATTAAACCAAATATCTCACATTTAGCGTGAGTATTTGATGTGCCTCGATCCCGACTATCAGCGAAAATAAGGGGTTGTTCAAGACATAACGTATGGGCTAGAGGGGTTTTTGCAGCTGATACAACTTTTCCTCTCGACATGAGTCCATGACCACAGTGTATGCAATGCAGGACAAATAGCGTATTGGAGCCCTTTAGGCTTGGTGCCTCCGGGCGTAATGAATTTACTACTACTACTACTACTACTACTACTACTATATTTTGATATTAATTTATAAAATTACAATTTTGTCAGTAGTGCAGCTATGGTATGCGGTAATTAACGTATCATCGTTTGATGTAACATGAAAGTAAACATGGCGTAAAATTACCGGGACATAACAGGTATTACCGTATCACTTGTTCAATATGACATAACGGTAAGGAACCACTCTCGATTACTTGAATTTTACGTTGTGTATTTTGAACCACGAAATTACCGCCAAAGATGGGCCCCCTAATTAGCACGAGATTGAAGCATCTTTGTATGAGATGTCGGATGAAATTCAGCTATCCTTATGTGAGTAAGTACTTCTGGGATTTCTTCGTCAGCTCCGGTTCTATCAGAATTCGGGAAAGGATCGAGCGGAGAATGCGGACTGTCATCCAAATAATTCAATGTAGCTAGTGGAATATATCTCAGCTAGCGAGTTTCCTCAAAGGAGGATATCAAGTGAATTGAACATAACCATTTTCCATACATGTAAACATCAGTTCAACCTCATAAAGAGTTATTGATGAAACATTACTTGCTACAAGAATTTCGCTCGCACATTGCCGATTGTGAGTCACAAATATGATCAACGGTAGCGACCAAGAAGTCTCGTCTTATACTACTCAATCGAAAAAGATGCTAGGGATTGAATTTCTCTGCGAGAGATCTCTCTCTTCTCTTGAGATTCTGGCGGCCTGGACGATACTCATCAAAGACTACGTTGGACCATCCGATGTCGGTTTCAGCTTTACAGACACTACCACTTCCATTAGTTCATCCAACAGTACGAGTAAGCCCATTGTTCTAGAAATAGACGAGGGGATGGATTTGCAACAATTATGTGCCCGCATCAAGACACAGTTATTGCAAGAGGAGATTGCGAATGACTCATCTCATTTGTCGTCATCATTCCGAACACATCTTTGGATTACCGATGAAGATTATGAGTTGTCAGAAAGAGAGCATGGAAAAAAGACGAATGGAAAATGGACTCCAGCTTCGCTCATTCAGGATCTTGATTTGACCATAAAGTGCACATCTCTGAACAATGGGAAAGCATTCCTCTTTACGGTCATTCCGGAGTCGCGTGGACTTAGTAGGACACAGGCGACGAGGATATCGCACCAGTTGCAACATCTGCTGGGCAAAATTGATGTACAGGCGATGGAAGAACGGCTGGTATACAAGATAGATACAGCCAGTGACTCTGATATTCGTCAAATCTGGCGGTGGAATTCCCATATGCCACCGAGTGACGACAGAAGCGCGCTAGACTTTTTCAAGAAGCATGTTAGAAGCTTCCCAGATGCCCCAGCTATCAATGCCTGGGATGGAAGCCTGACCTATGCGGAATTAGACAAGTTATCAAGTGCCTTGTCCAGACGTTTAGCTGATGCCGGAATTGGTCAAGGAAATATCGTTCCGTTATGTTTTGAAAAGTCTAAGTGGACCCCTGTCGCGATTTTGGCAGTTTTAAAAACCGGCGCGGCCTTCGTTTTGGTGGATGAAGTCTTGCCTGAGGATAGGCTACGCCAGATATCCCAAATACTATCACAAGAGATTATCGTCGTCGTTGCTTCGCTGGGGCAGAAACATCGAGCGAAGATTCTCAGTTCCCGAATCATCACGGTCGATTTCTTTTCCCTTGGAAGCGGACCAGAGCCTCATACAGATTTTCCTCAACCTAATGTGAAATCAACAGACCTGATATGTGTTGTTTTTACATCGGGTACAACGGGAGTTCCGAAGGCTGCGATGATCAAACATTCCAACTTGTGTGCTTTTTCCTCATTGGTAGGAGCAGGGCTCAGTGCCGTGAAGAGTGACTCACGAGTCTTAGCTCTAGCCTCGTACTCATTTGATGTCTCTGTTGGCAACATTTTCATGAGTTTGTTGAACAGAGCCTGTCTTTGCATCCCTTCCTCATGGGAATGCAAAAACGACGTTGCCAACCTAGTTCAGAACTATGAAGTGACACATGTCGTAACTACTCCCTCGATATCCAAGATGCTTCAGCCTTCAAAATGTACCACTCTGCAAGTACTAGATCTTGGTGGTGAGGCATGCAGTGAAGACGCCCTTGCTCCGTGGCGAAATACTGGAGTTCGTGTGATAAACAGCTATAGTCCAGCTGAGTGCACTGTCGAGTCGGTCCTTCACGACAATATTCTCCTTTCACCGAAACCGTCCATCATTGGAAAATGTATTGGTGCTACTTGGATCATGGATCCAGTCGACCGGAATCGCTTGGCTCCCGTTGGAGCAGTCGGAGAGTTGGTATTAGAAGGACCTCAGGTTGGACTGGGGTACCTTCATGACCCGAAGACTACACTGGAAAAATTTATCGAGGACCCCGAATGGTTAATGAACGGTCTTCCTGGCATTACAGCGGGTCGTAAAGGTCGTCTCTACCGGACAGGAGATCTTGTTCGTTATACTGATGACGGTTTGATCGACTATATTGGACGACGCGACTTCCAAGTAAAAATTAGAGGACAGAGAGTGGAGCTCGGCGAGGTTGCTGCAAACCTACAACGATTTATGCCGTCCTCAATAAAGTGGTGCCCGGAAGTGATCAAAACAAAAAACGGAACTGATATGCTCTGTGTATTCGTGGTATTACGGCCAGGGGAAGCAGCCACGACGAGGGACGTCTTGCAATCCATCGCAGATCGTGTCAACCCTCAACTAAGAAAAAGACTGCACCCATCTATGGTTCCAGGCGTCTTCGCACCCATTGAGGAGATTCCGCTCTCATTGACTGGAAAGACAGATCGTCGAGCATTGAGGCAGATTGGTTCATCCTTGTCCAGGGACCAAATGCTCTTCGTACAGGACACCTCTAACGAGCTCTCGTTGAACGGCGGTGCGCTGAATCAATCCATGAAGTATCCCAACCACGCTTCTGATCACACAAATAGTACTAATGAAGAGATGAAGTTAAGGATACTAAGAGAGGTCTGGAGCGAAGTGCTCGGGGTGGACCTGGCAAACATTCGAACGTCGGATACATTTTTCGGCCATGGCGGAGAGTCTTTGACGGCCATCAGATTTGTCGGTGCTGCATCCCGCAAAGGAATCCAACTAGATGTGGCATCGATATTCCAGCATCCCCAACTGTCTGACTTGGCTTCTCATGCCAGGCTACGCCGCATCACATTGACGGAGTCTCCAAAGCCGTTGTCACTATTGGATAGTCCAGTAGATGTGCTACCGGAGGTAGCCGTCGCCTGTGGGACATCTATAGATCGAATTGAAGACGTATACCCATGTACCCCTCTACAGGAGGGTTTGATTACCGCCGACAATGTTCATTCGTCCGTGTACACGGGAAGAGGCCATGTACTTCTTCCAGAAGATCTTGACGTGCAGCGATTCATACAAGCGTGGCAGAGAGTCATGCTCTTTCATCCAATTCTGCGCACCCGAATTGTGGATACGCAATCGCATGGTCTTCTACAGGTCGTATTGCGCGAAAGTGACTTGCTTCCAGAAGTTCGAAATACGGACCTCGTAACTTATTTAAAAGAGGATGGTCGCAAGAAAATGGGCCTCGGAACAAAACTTTGTCGCTGGGCTATCGTACGCGAACCTCAAGCATTCTATTTCGTTCTTACAATGCACCACTCAATCTACGATGGTTGGACTCTTCCACGGATCGCGGTCGAGCTCTTCAAGGCTTATCAGGGTGTGAGAATTGAGACCGCTGTTGGATTCAATGTTTTTGCCAAATATTTAAAAGAAACATCCTGGCAATCTGCGCGCGAATTCTGGGCCCATCAGCTTGCGGAACCCCAAAGAACAACCGTGTTTCCCGCGATTCCTCTTACCATCCAGGAACCGCGAGCTGATTCATCTATGTTAAAGACCTTTTTCATTTCAGCTCACGGCTACCAAAGCATATCCATGCCATCTTTGCTTAGGGCCGCTTGGGCCTTGCTCATTTCAAAACTTTCCTTCAGCGACGACATCACATTCGGCGCAACTGTGTCTGGTAGAAATGTGCCCATTACCGGAATTGAAGATCTCACGAGCCCTACGATTACTACCGTGCCCGTAAGAGTCAAAATCGATAGAAACAGTTGCGTTAGTGACTTCGTTGCTAATATACAAAACGAAGCCGTCAAAGCAATGCCCTTTGAGAATCTCGGTCTCCAGAATATCCGAAAGATTAACTCAGATACACGCCTGGGAAGCAGGTTCCAGACGCTCTTCATCGTGCAACCGCCAAATAACTCCATTTGGGATTTATCGCTGAATACAAGCCCACCGGAGCAAGAGCTCAAGACAAAGTTGCAGTCCCTGGACATCAGCAGTATTCTCTCTGATTTCAATGAATATGCCTTGATGATTATTATTACGCAGAAGAAGGGGGAACTTATTGTTGAAGCCAGTTACGATTCGAGAATTTTGGATCCCCGAGAGGTGAAGCGCCTACTCGACCAGTTCTCTCATGTGACAGAGGAGATTTGTCGCCCCGAAAACATTGACTGCAGTTTGCAGGAATTATCTTTTACCAGTACCAATGATGTCGAGGAGGTCTGGCAATGGAATGCCGTCCCATGTGATGGCAGACAAGAATACGTTCACCAAATTATTCAGAACAAAATCAATCTTAGTCCACAGGCCCAGGCTATCTGTGCTTGGGATGGGACAGCAACCTATGAGGAATTAGACAAGCACTCAGCGCATTTAGCATATGTCCTGCAACAAAATGGAGTTGGTCGAGGTAGCTTGGTACCTATTTGCATGGAAAAGTCAATATGGGCAGCGATAGCCATGTTAGGAATTCTCCGAGCTGGAGCCGGGTTCGTTGCAATAGATGTTATACATCAGCCAGAGCAGCGTATTCGTACAATCGTTGATGAAGTCAAGGCAGATGTAGTTGTCACGGCTGGTCCAGCAATGGCATTGGCGGGGAGAATATCAAGGAAGATTATTGCGTGCGACCAGCTTAGATATGAAAGTACAATGCGCAATAAAACGACTATCATTTCTTCAACACCTTCTGATACGGCATTCGTGGTGTTCACGTCTGGAAGTACAGGTCGCCCAAAGGGAATCATCATTACCCACGAAAATTTCTGCTCAACCATTGACGTACATCAACAGGGACTTGAATTATCGGAAACGTCGCGCGTGTATGATTACGCCTCGTACAGCTTCGATATTGCCGTGCATAATACCTTGATGACACTCGCTTCAGGAGGGTGCGTGTGTATTCCTAGCGAAGATGATCGCGAGAATGATATCGAAGGCTCTATTGAGCGTTTGCAAGCAAACTGGGCGGACCTTACCCCATCAGTAGCGCGCCTCATTGATCCAACTGCGGTTCCAGCTCTTCAAGTTTTAGTACTCAGCGGTGAGGCCGTTGGCAAAGATCTGGTACAGCTGTGGGCAGCGAGAGTGAAACTCATTAATGCCTATGGCCCTGCTGAATGTCAAATATGCACAATACAACGGAGCGTCACGAATCCTGACCATGCTTCCAACATTGGTCTCGCTGTCGGTTGCAACACATGGATTGTAGACCCAGAAAGCAACTCCCTGTCAGCAATCGGAGCTGTTGGCGAACTGGTCATTGAAGGTCCTATCGTCAGCCCAGGCTATATTAATGAGCCCGGAGATTCTTTCGTTAGCAACCCGCCTTGGCTCTTAAAAGGCTCAGCAACCGTGACAGGACGTCGAGGCCGGGTGTATCGAACAGGGGACCTTGCATGTTACATGGCGGATGGCACAATTCTATATTGCGGGAGAGCGACCACGCAAACCAAGATCAATGGGCAGCGTATTGAACTCAGTGAAATTGAATATCACATCAAGCAGGCAATTCCCGATCTGAGTGGGGTGGTGGCTGACACAGTCAACTTTGATGGTGACAGCGACAGCTCTCTAACCGCGTTTCTTGTTTATGCAACCAGCAGCAATCCAGCACGCGGTCTTGAGACCAACGCAGAATTGACCGTGAACTTATCAACTCCTCTTCCGGGTTTGCTAGAGAAACTGAGCAAGACACTTCCAGGATACATGATCCCAGTCGTCTTCCTCAACGTCTCACACCTTCCCTTGACACCAACTCGAAAGATTGACCGGCGAAAGCTAAAGGACCACGCTTCGCGAATCTCGAGGAAGGACGTTCTTCATCTCGATGAACAAGAGTTTACCATGAGTAAAACAGCCCTCGATGAGCACCAAGTGAAAATGGTTCGCGCCTGGGCACAAGTTCTCAAAATTGAGCCATCGAAAATTGGCCTCTACAGTGACTTCTTTCAGTTAGGTGGAGACTCTATTTCCGCGATGCGTCTCGTGGCATATTTGCGTAAAGCTGGATATTCCATTAAGGTGAGCGATGTCTTTCGACAGTCTCGCCTCGATCGTCTGGTCGATGTACTCGATATGAGGTCTGTCGGAACCAGCCAACGATCCGTACCTGCATCGGCCCAAGCAAGTGAGCCATTTATGTTAGTGCCGCGTGACGAGCATCTGACATTGATATCATCAGCAGCCGCTGCCTGCAACGTCAACCCAAGAGACATCCTCGATCTTTATCCCTGTACACCGTTTCAAGAAGGTGTATTTGCACTCACTTCTAGTGACTCAGCTGCGTACGTTCAGCATGCAGAGATCAAATTCAGTAAAAAATTGCATTTTGACCGGGTTCTCGCCGCTTGGAACGCAGTGATTGAACAAACTCCAATTTTGAGGACTCGTATAGTCCAGTTAGAAGGCGCTTCATTGATGCAAGTGGTTGTTCGTGAGGCACCCGAATGGAAGTGGTACGAAACAGCAAAGGAATATCTTGATCACGCAGGTAGCGTCGCCATGAGTATAGGCGACCCTTTGTCACGCTTTGGTCTCCTCCGAGACGACTCAGAATCTTCTCCAGAATACTCGATCTTTTGGACCGCTCATCACGCTGTGTATGACTCTTGGACAATCGAGCTAATTTTTCGTCAAGTAACAAGTCTTTATCATGGGGAGGGAAACTTGGACTTAGGTCCAAATTATGGACGCTTTGCAAGATTCCTCCGTGATCAACAGAGATCCAGCGAAGAGTGGTGGAAACTCAATCTATCTAGTGCTTCGAGTGCTGCAGTATTTCCCAAACGCTCTCTGACAAAAGAAAAGAGGAGTTCGAAGAATCAAATAATCAAGAAGATGAATGTTACGTTACCTCAGGTAATCCCTGCAGGATATTCAATAGCTATCCTTCTGCGCGCAGCCTGGGCTGTTCTAATCGCTCGTTACACAGGTGGTGACAAAGCATTATTTGGAGAAACTCGGCTTGGTCGAGGCGTTTCTCTACAGGGAGTGGAATCTATGAAAGGTCCAACAACTGCATCAGTTCCGGTTTTGGTGCATGTGAATCCGGAACAGACCATTGCATCTCTCCTCGAGGCAGTTCGCGAATCAAGTATACAGATGCAGGAATTTGAACACTTGGGACTGCAGAATATTGCCCGATTGACCGAGGATTCAAGGGCAGCGTGCAACTTTCAGTCACTCATTCTTCTCTACGAAAGCGAGGTGGTTACCGAGGTCACTAGTAGTGATTCTTTCTTTAGAATTGATCACGCTATCGATGATCTTCGTAACTTCAATGCTTGGCCTTTAATGCTTGTATTTCATCAGCGTTTACAGGACCTTTCTGCGGAAGCTTTGTTCGATGAGACCGAGATTTCGTCAAACTTCATTGAGCTATTACTACAGCAAATGCAGGGGATCTTAAACAATCTATGCAGTTTTTCAGGTACCACCCTCATTCGAGATCTTGACAAGGCCTACAAAGAGGACTTGGCTAAAATCTGGGAATGGAATGCGGGTTATCCTGAAATGGCGGATGAGTTACTGCACAATCTGGTCGCAAAACAAGCCCGACGAACCCCTGATAAAGTCGCCGTGACTTCCCATGATGGACAAATGACTTTCAAAGAATTGGACGAAATCTCGTCAAGTCTAGCATTGACACTTCGCAATATGGGAGTCGGACATAATTGCGTTGTCCCTCTATGCTTTGAGAAGTCGGTACTGGTTCCACTCGCGATGTTAGCTGTCAGCAAAGCGGGGGCTGCTTTCAGTGCAATGGATATAACATACCCTGAGGAGAGACTGAAAGTCATTTCAAGCTCTTTAGGAATGAATCTTATTTTAGCCAGTCCGTCACAAGGAGAACTTGCCAAACGACTTGGTGGCAATGTGTTCATAGTCGACTCTAACAGTTACATGGGCACAGCCGACACCGGCCGAGACCATTTCGATGAAGTCAGGATCAGTCGAAAATCTGACCAGCTAATGTATGTATGCTTCACTTCCGGAAGCACTGGCGTTCCGAAAGGGGTGATGATCACACATCGAAATCTTGCATCGGCAGTGGCTGCTCAGGGTCGTGTTTCTCTCGGCATTAGATCTGATGATAGGGTCTATGACTTTTCTTCCCATGCCTTTGATGTTAATATCTGGAGCACCTGGGTAGCGCTCGCTGTTGGGGCATGTGTTTGTATTCCTTCTCACGAAGAGCGTGTGGGAAATTTGGCCGGAAGTATCACCTCATTCCGGAGCACAACATTATTCTTGACGCCATCGGTGGCCCGGACCATAGAACCCACAGAGATACCAACAGTCAAGAGACTATATCTGGGTGGAGAAGCAGTAACCCCCGTGGATGTAAGTCAGTGGCAAGAGCACGTTGAGTTATGGGGTGCCTTCGGACCAACAGAGACTACGCCGCTCTGTAGCTTCTCTCGTTTAGATGGCCCGGAATCTGCCACTAATATTGGAAGAGGTGTCGGAGTCAATACGTGGATCTGCGACCCGGATAATAGTAATCAACTCATGGCAATTGGAGCCGCAGGAGAGCTCTTATCCGAAGGGCCTTTGGTGAGCCCGGGCTATCGAGGCCTCCCTGAACGAACAGCTGCAGCGTTCATAGAGGATCCCGAATTCCTGCTCCAGGGATCGGCAGAGGTACCTGGACGACGCGGGAGACTCTATAAGACGGGCGATCTAGTTCGATATTCCTTTGACGGAACAATTGAATACATTGGGCGAGTAGACACTCAAGTCAAGCTACGTGGTCAAAGAGTGGACTTTGGTGAAATCGAATATCACTTGAAGAAAGCCTTACCTGATAGCACTGCAATCGTCTGTGAAATTGTCCCACATCCCTCCACGAAACTCCCTTTGCTCGTCGTGTTTTGCGAATTCTCAACTCCGACTGCGTCCGCGCTAGACAAGATCGGAGTGCAAGCATATCTTCGCAATCGACTTCCACCATATATGATACCTGAACAACTTTTCACAATCCCTCAAATCCTAAAAGGCGCCTCAGGTAAAATCGACCGACAACAATTGAAACTACTTGGTTCACAAATGCTGGAGATATTCATCTCGAATGAGGTTAACTCTACTTTCAATCGTCTACGAGGACCATTCACTCAAATGCAAGATTTGCTTGAAAGATTGTGGTCTATTGCTCTCGGTCAGGTGGACATGGTCGTGTCTCTCGACAGCGACTTCTTTCATATTGGAGGAGACTCAGTTGCCGCCATGAAGCTGTCGAATCTGGCAAGGAAGCACGACTTGCGTCTCACCGTGAAGGATGTGATAGAAACCCCTGATTTGCTCTCGATGGCGGGCAGATTACAGCCGATTGAAGTTCAATCAGATTGGCCACGACCATTTTCCCTCGTTGAGCCATCCCATACCAACCAAACCCTGACCAAGGCTGCTACCATCTGTGATATATCGGCGGACTCAATTTCGGATATCTATCCATGTACTCCACTGCAAGTTGAGCTCTTCGCTCTCACTATGAAACAGTCTCAGGCCTACATGAAGCGGTCCGTCTTCGAGGTTCAAGGTGATGTCTCCGTTGACAAACTAATTCAAGCTTGGGACACGGTCATGAATATCAATGCAGTGTTACGAACGAGATTCGTAGAAATAAACGGCCTTGGGCTTTTACAAGTCGTTGTCAAGGACCATCAATGGAAACACTATGACAGCATCGACTCTTATCTATCCTCCTCAGCACAGATTAAACCCGATCTTGGAAAGCCCTTGTCGCAACTTTCAATCGTCTCCGATAGTAAGTCCACCAAGATTGTGTGGACGATCCATCATGCTCTTTATGATATGTGGTCTATTCAGATCATACAAGACCAACTCTGCAGAGCATACCAGGATCGCTTCATACCACGCCCTCCGCGTTTTAGCGGATTTGTTCAATATCTTCAATCTCAGAATGTTGATGAGGCAAGATTATACTGGGGATCGCGCCTGGCAGGATGCAGGGAAGTCACAATCTATCCCAGCCTGCCGTCATTAACATATCAGGTACGGCCTAGCAAGACGTTCAAACGCACATTACGAGACACCGCTGGGTTTAGAGGCAACATTCAGGCAAAGATCCATGCCGCGTGGGCTTTAATTGTGTCCAAACTATCTGGATCGGACGATGTTGTCTTTGCCGCTACGCTGGCTGGACGGAACGCTGCAGTCGAGGGCCTTGAACAAATGGTGGGGCCAACGATCACGCCAGTACCAATCCGCATTCAACTGGAGACTCTGTTTCAGTGTTCAGTGGAACATTTGCTAGCTGAAATTGAGAAAAGCACTGCAGATATGGCGCCATATCAACACATCGGTATGAAGAACATCGAGGTTATTAATGCTGATACAAGGGCGGCGTGCAAATTTCAAACACTTATTGTTGTGACTCCGCCAGAAACTACTGTTGATAATGCGGATATTATACGAACGTCAACGTACGATATTGAGAGCTTAGAAGGTGATGCTTTCCATACCTTTGCGCTGGTTTTGTTCTTTTTTCCTAAAAAAAAAGGTATCGATCTTGAAATTGTTTTCGATCCGATGGTATTGGAATGGCGAGAAATAGAGCTGCTAGGCAGTCGATTAGAGGCGACCATTTCGGCTCTTACTAGCAACAACAAAGTAGTATCTGATGTGGATTGTCTAGGACAAGAAGATCTACAAGATATCTGGAAATGGAATGCCACACTACCTGTGGCTAGCGAGCAGACCGTTGACGACCTTATATTAAAGACCGCAAGAATGTTCCCCGAGAAAGTTGCCATTGATGCATGGAACTGCAAGCTATCCTACTCACAACTCGATAGCCTTTCGTGGAATTTGTCAACGCACTTACGCTGCCACAAGGTTGGAAGAGGCAGTGTTGTACCGATTCTGTCGCCCAAATCCGGCTATGTTCCCATCGCTGCATTGGCTGTTCTTCGAACAGGGGCGGCTTTATTACCACTCGATTTCTCTCAACCTTTCCAGCGCCTCCAGTCAATTATACAACAGGTCGCGCCACAGGTTGTCCTAGCTTCAGAATTATCAAATGAAATTGCAGATTATCTAGAAGCCTCTGTATTGATTATTGAAGATTGTTTGAAATCATCCGTTCTTGATGGTTCAAAGGCGAAAGACGAGTCCCTGTCGTATCTGGATGATGTCGCATGTGTTCTGTTTACATCCGGCAGTACAGGAACCCCCAAGGGAGTCATGCAAACTCATCGGGCACTCTCGTCTGCAGTAACCCACCAAGGTGTCGAATCTGGATTCAATGAAGGAACCCGAGCATTCGAATTCGCTTCATACAGTTTTGACGTTAGCTGGAATATGATATTCAAGATCCTTGCTGTAGCAGGTACTCTTTGCATCCCCAGTGATGATGAAAGGAACAATGACCTTGTCGGATCCTTAAACAGATTCTCTGCCACCCTCATCGAGCTGACAGCGTCGGTAGCCCGCCTGATCAACCCTAACCAATTGCACTCGCTCCAAACGTTGATCTTATCGGGAGAACCTGTATTTGCACAAGACTTTGAACATTGGAGACGAACCGTGAGGCTAGTTGTGTGCTACGGCCCGTCCGAGTGCACGTCAGTGTCAACTATGAACCCTGGTCTGCACATCGATTCCAACAAAAACGGCATTGGAAAGGGCTATTCCTGCGTAACATGGATCGTCGATCCCCATAATCACCAACGGTTGATGCCCATCGGAGCCGTCGGTGAAATTCTCATAGATGGACCAATCGTTGGAGAAGGTTATTACAACAACGAGGCTCTCACTAATGCTTCGTATGTCTCTGATCTTCCGTGGATAAAGGCTGGGTATGCTGGAATCGTTGGACGGTCTTGCAGAGTATTCAAGTCTGGTGATCTTGCACGCTATGATCTTAATGGAAACATTCATTTTGTATCCCGAAAAGATACTCAAGTCAAGTTGCATGGTCAGAGAATTGAGCTCGAAGAAGTACAATTTCACGTACAGAAAGCTATGGAAGGCATGACTGGACCAGTAGTTTCATGTTTACTGGATGATCCAGGAAGCAAGGAACAGAGGCTCGTGGCCTTTATAAGCAGCAACGATGCAGCAACCGGAAACGCCTGTGAAATACTAGTCCCAGGAACCGCCCTTTTGGAATCTGTACACGCACTTGACGAGAAGTTGGGTGCTGTCCTGCCTAAATATATGCTCCCATCACTCTACTACTTCATCAACACAATTCCACGCACAACCAATGGCAAGGTGGACAGGAAAAAATTGGTGCGGCTTGCTCTCGACGCACAACAAAGCCAAGTTTATCGAGGCAGGCCAGCCCAAGACGGACCACGTCGCACGGCCTCCAGCCCGATGGAAATTAAGATGCAACAACTCTGGTCGGCGGTGCTAGGGGTACCACCTGAGTCTATTTGGGCGGACGATAACTTTTTCGATCTCGATGGTGATTCAATAGGTGCAATGAGGCTAGTCGCCGCTGCCCGTAGTGAAGGCTATGAATTGCGTGTCTCTGATGTCTTTGAGAGCCCCAGACTTTCACAGCTGGCACCTAAGCTGTTATCCAAAGTCGCAAATTACCAATCTCGACTCAACATGACTGATTTTGAACTTCTTGGTGAGTCGGTAAATATCACTGCCGTTCGATCAGAAGCTGCATCCAGATGCGCCATACCAGATCCAAATATGGTCGAGGACATCTATCCTTGCACCCCGCTCCAAGAGAGCATGCTGGCGGCAACCATCAGGGACCCTAGTGCATTTATAAGTATGCGACTTTATGGTATTCCTGATGAAATAGACATTAAGCAGCTACAATATGCTTGGAAAACGATTGTGACTCGGCACCGCATCCTTCGTACCCGCCTTGTTGACCTCAGTAATCATGGTCTGATTCAGGCTGTGATCCGTGAAGAACCCCTTTGGAAGACTTATAATAGCTTGGGATCATTTCTCGATGGGGCACGAAACATAACAATGGGTCCTGGATCCCGGCTCGTGTGGTGGGCTTTGGTAGGTGAGCCACAACAACGCCGTGTTGTCTGGGTCATACATCACACACTCTATGATGGCTGGACCTTGTCAATCATTGAAGAAGAGATTAAAAGGGCCTATCTTGGTCAGAGATTAGAAGAAGGACAACTTGATATGAGACCTCTCATTAACTATATCATTCAAGAGCCCCAGGAAGCCTCAATTGCATTTTGGGGTCATGAATTGAGAAACAGCCAGGAAAGCACGGTATTTCCCTCACTTCCCAATCACAATTATCAGCCAATGCCCGATGCATACTTGGAAACAGATATCTCCGTGAATCTCGCTTTGGCAGGGACGGGCGTAAATCTCTCCGCATTCTTCTATGGCACCTGGGGTATCTTGGCGTCTCACATCACAGCAACAAGCAAACTGGCAATCGGCGCCATTCTGACTGGACGAAACACGCCGGTAGACGGCATTGACAGAATAATAGGTCCAACTATCACCACTGTTCCAATTTTGATTGATGTGGATCCTTCATTGACTGTATCAGACTTCATGGCAAGGCTGGAGCTGATGACAATCCGAAGGATATCTCACGAACATCTCGGAGTTCATAACATTCGCCAAATTAGCAGCACGTGTGCTTCTGCATGCAATTTTCAGACAGTTTTAGTCATACAGCCTCCAAGCGCAACAAATCGTATCCCCTACAAACACCCATCAGATCAGGACATAGTCATGGAAGAGTTGGATGAGACAAAGGTGGATGGCTTCCCTAATGGACACGCCGTATTGAACCAGTATGGATTGATGTTCGAGCTGCTTCCAGTCGGAGACAAGATGACTGTGCGAGCTAGTTTTGATTCGAGACTGATCTCCCATGCGCAAATAAACCGGATGATAAGACGATGGGAACATGTTATAAAGCAAGTCTCACATGCTCTCCGCAAACAAGTTGCAGTCAAAGTGGAGGCTATCGCTTCACTATGCACAGAGGATTTGGAAACAATTTGGAAACTCAACAAAGACTTACCTTGCACTATCGAGAATTCTTTCGTTCATGGCACAATATCTGCGATTGCCCGTCGGCATCCTGAGGCCCCAGCCATTGATGCATGGGACGGACAACTTACTTACGGTGACCTCGAAACGCTTTCTTCTCGTCTTGCTGAGCGCCTAATTGAAGCTGGTGTTGGGCCGGGTAAACTTGTACCACTCATTTTCCGCAAGTCAATATGGGCAAATGTTAGTATGCTTGGTGTGATGAAAGCGGGAGGGGCATTTGTCCCACTTGATCACCAGCATCCAGAGGGCCACCTCAGAGCTGTAGTGCAGACTATTAACACGAACATCATACTTTGCTCTGCTGCAACGAGAGACAGAGCTGCTCGGCTCGCGTCTCATACTATAATGGTTGACGAATCTCTCAGACGAAACAACACCACAACAGTCTTAGCCAGGTCACCCTCTAACGATGAACGACGCACTTTACAGGGAGGGGATCTAGCGTATGCAGTGTTCACATCCGGTAGTACTGGCGGTGCAAAAGGGGTCAGAATCAGCCATACAAATCTGGCCACAGCAATACATTACCAGGTCGGTACTCAGGGATTCCATATCAGCAGTCACACCCGATCTCTGGACAGCTCTTCATATTCCTTTGACGCGTGTATTTTCAACTTTTTCTATACTGCCTCACAAGGGGGTTGCTTATGCGTTCCAAGCGATGAAGGTCTAAAAGGTGATCTTGGAGGTTTCATGGCAGAGTACAGGGTCAATTGGGCGCAGCTCGTACCGTCAGTTGCTCGTACCATAAATCCTGACCGTTTGACTGATTTAGACACTCTCATATTGACAGGAGAGCCTCTAACGCAAGGAGATATCGTTACTTGGAGCCAGAAGGTCAATCTTGTCAATGTGTATGGACCGACGGAATGTACTATTTTGTGCGCCATCTCTTCGCAGATTACTCATTCTGCCCAAGCAGGAAATATAGGTCGAGGTCGAGGAGCAAATCTTTGGCTCACAGAGATTGGTAACCCAAACAAGCTTGCCCCCATTGGAACCACTGGAGAGATCCTCATTGAAGGACCAATCATTGGTGCTGGATACCTGGGACCGTATCAGTATCCTCTTGTTAAGAACCCTCCCTGGCTTCTCGAGGGTGGAGCCAATGTCAGTGGCAGGTCAGGGACACTTTTTCGTACAGGTGATCAAGCACGATATGCAGATGACGGCAGTTTGATCTTCATGGGTCGTATAGGGTCTGAAATCAAGATTAGGGGACAGAAAGTAGATTTGATCGCTATTGAAGATATCATGCGACGATATATTCCTACAGATCTGGAAATTGTCGCTGATATAGTACACTTGCACCTGAATCAGGCAGACCAAGACAGGCAAATGCTATTAGCATTCGTGAGTGGAACCTGTTCCACCACGGATGAACTTCAATCGAAGCTGCACGCCTTGGTACCAGCCCTTAGAGTCGCAATGGATGCGGAGCTACCGTCTTACTTACAGCCTGAGGCATTTGTTCCTCTTCCAACTATCCCAAGGACTAGTTCAGGAAAAACTGATCGTCGGCGTTTGAAGGATATAGGACAACAACTCCGTCTACAGCAGCTACTCTGGATCCAAGGCGACACGCTAAAAACATCATCTAGCATGCCGTCTACTGAGGAGGAACAGGTACTGGCAACTATTTGGGGTGAGCTACTTGGGCTCGACTATAGTTCAATCACACGAGAAGACGACTTTTTCAAGCTGGGTGGGGATTCACTTGGGGTCATGCGACTGACTACCAGAGCTCACGAGCGTGGTCTCCTGCTGAAACCGAGTGACATCTTTCAAGACTCCAACCTTGCTACAATGGCACGGAAGATGACCCTGTTATCTGGACTTGCCAGGGGAATTGAGACTTATCGTCCGTACAGCCTCGTTCCCGATATAACAGACGTGAAATCTTTCATCAAGAATTGTGTCGAGCCTTCGTTGGGAGTTGAGGCCGATCAAGTGGAAGACATTATTCCAACCAATGGATTTCAAATCGATTACATGAACGACAAAAACGAGCCGCTTGGCCTCCAATATTGCTACCTCGACATTGGTCCCGATGTTTCGTGGCCAAAGCTCAAAGATGCGTGCCGAGCTGTTGTGCAGGCCTTTGAATGTCTTAGAGCTCGCTTTGTTTACCACCAAGGAAAATACTACCAAGTTATTCTTCAGGATGCGCCATTGTTAACTGAGGAGATCTTCACCACTGAACAGGTGACCACATTTTCCAATCGCTACTGTCCTGCTGATGGCCAGCGGGCTACTGTCAACGACATTTTCACCAAGCTGACTCTCGTGGATACAGGCGCCAACCGGCGGCGCGTCATCTTGAGAATGTCACATATGCAGTACGATGGATGGTGTACAATACACATCTTCAGGGCAATCGCAACTCTCTTCAATGGAGGTCAGCTCTCAAAAACGCTCAAATGGACCGAATTGTTACAATATCGTCAAAGGATGGCAGACGATTCCCGCAAATACTGGCGTGCATTATTGCAGGGTACATCTCAACCTACTCCTCCACTATTGTACAAACCTAGTACTGGCAAAGAACGTACGCTCAGAACCCATGCGCTGCCATATTTCCATGCCTCAAGTGACAACAAACGTACACGACCGACTGTTGTGGTCAATGTAGCTTGGGCTCTCGTCCTCCAACAGCTGGCGGGACATAGCGATATTGTCTTTGGCAATGTCACAACAGGACGCAACGGTCCCCTGCCCGGCCTTGACTCGGTTATTGGACCAAGCGTGAATATGCTACCCATGAGACTATGTCTACCCGCTGAAAATAATGACGTGGGGACTAGAAAACAATATCTGCGTGACCTTGTCGAGGCTTCTGCACAACAGGTAGATGAACGCACCACTTTCGAGGGTCTCGACTGGGAAGACACTGTCGATCGGTGCACAAGTTGGCCATCTGGATCACGGTACTCGTCTGCTGTGCATTTCCGAAATATGGCTTTCGAACCTGAGTTGCCCCTGGGAAGCGACGGCGTCGTCATTGTCTGGCATGAGCTCAAAGCTACTCCACACTGGACTACAGTCTTGGTGTACCCTGAGAATGACGTGTTGCGGCTTTGGCTACTTGCTAATCCTGCTGAGATAGGTGATGATGGTGCTGATGAGATATTGCATATGCTGGCAAGTTATGTGGACGAAATTGTAGAAGCATTGCGGCGGTGATGGCGATGAGCACATAGAATATACATTTCTTCTTGTCGTCTATTTACGAGGTCAGGAGTTAGACCTTATCGAGGTTGCATTGTTTATTTGATACGAATCCAATGTTGGGAATACTTTCGTAAAAACACACACATTGCATTGCATCTGAGACTACTAGACCGCATTGCCGTTTGATTTATATGTACATTACAAAGTTCCAGTTACAACATTACAAACTAATTGTCAAGATGCTTGCAATAGAGAGAAATTGTGTGCTTATACACTTATAGTCACGCTCATACCTGCCAAAGTAGTCATGCATGTATAGGCATACTAAATAGACTACAGCACTTGACAAGTGGTACGATGACAATTATTGATTACACATGAAGCTCCGAAATTCATTCCCAGATGTGTTTTTAAAATATCGATATACATTCAGCAATTATAAAAATGAAGATCGAAACGAATAGTTCGCCTAGGATACGCTCAGAAGGCGAAGGAGAATTAGTGGATCTAATGACACATTTGAAAAACAACAGGAAATGACTATTTTTTTTTACAGTTTTGAAATAGCATTCAGTCTCAACACCACATTAAAAGTAGTTACATCGTATAAGCTATTCTATATCGGCTATACCAGCCTTGTTTTTAGATGAGTTTGTCAAACTAAGATGACCTCCTATCTGACAATTGTTCTTCCCTGTAATCGATTCTATCAAAATGGCATACTATCGAGCAAGAGATATGGCCTCATTGGATGCCGAACCATTTAATCCATTCGTAGAACCCAACAAGCACTCGCCCGCTACAGTCACCAGTTCATCGTACAAAGAGCCATTCTTGATGCTGTCATGAATAACAGATATCCATCCTCCGACAGTCTTCTTCGGGCGGCCATTAAGCTTCGCATCATGGACCATTGGATGTTCGACAAAGCCTTGATGAAATGGTACTGCGAGTTCACAACGCACAAAACGGTACAATGCTTCCGATCCCTTGCCTAGCAGCCCTGCAGTATGTGGTTCGGCTATGAAGGACTCAAAGGTCTCGGTCCACAGGGCAGACACTGCCTTGATTGCATTTTGTTTCCACTCGGCAATATCTGCGACCTGTCCTTTGACGTGATCAACGACAATGGGTATTGAGGAGCTAATCAAAGAGGCAAAACGAGCACTCAGATCAAGCTTCCCAGTTGAGTTCCAGGAAGGAAGTGTATGCACTTTCAGTGCACCCAGAAGAGGTTCTAGTTGGCTAGGATCCATTTCAGTTGAGAAAGACTGCCTGGTCACCGATGCAATAGCGTCGCTTGCCAAAACAACAAATTTTGTATGCAGTGCCCGGAGATCTAACGCTTGGCATACGACATACACGCTGCACGCACACATTTTCATCAAGACATCAACGGCATCATAACTCATGCGGGCAGAAGCGAGGGCCATAGAATTGATTGACTGGTTATGCATTTCCGCCGCTTGAACATGAGAGCTCATTGGATTTGCTAGGTAAGCAAGCTCCGCCATGTAAGCTGCCATATTGATGTCAACTCCTTTCATCGTAAAAGAGAGACTCGGGTCATCTGCAGCAAGATTAGTTGGCAGACCACCGCTTAGATGTGGATCGATCATTTCACTGCTCTGAGCAAACAGAATCTTGCCGAACATTTGCAACACCAATCGAACTTTCTCCATAGCAGAAGTCACTGCTGCAGCTTGAAAGTTGGCACCATAGTATATATCATTCGCGGAACTATCAACAATGGGATTATCACACGATGAGTTGAGTTCAATCGTAATTTGTTGATCCGCAAGTAACAGGTCTTCTAACTGAGGCCCAATCCATTGCGGCGAGCTGCGTATAGAGTATCGGTCTTGGGCTAGATCTTCACGCCGACGGTCCTTCGGCGCAAGTACATCTCGGGATAAGTAAGAGCCACGAAGAAAGAAGTGGATGTTCTGAGCACATTCAATTTGACCGGGATGTGGCCGTGACTGTGCAATAAAAGGGTGGAAACTCTCGGAGCTCCCGCCAAGGGCCTGAATAGACAATTGATTTCAAAGTTAGTTCTCGGCGCTTTCTGACAGGCAAATTGAGACAGCAGAGAAAGAAACATTATCTGTTATTTTAGACTCACCTCTACAGCTGCTCCCGTCAACAGTTGCGTCAAAAAAGCCAGCATATGCGCGTCGGCAACAACTAGGGCACCAAGTCCGGCAGATGAAGCTGTTCCATTGACCAAACCGAGACCCTCTTTCGGACCCAGCACCACCGGTTCTAATCCAGCTTCTTCCAGGGCCTGATATGAAGGTTGTACTTGTCCGTCCGTTTCAATCAGAATATCTGGATTCCCCTCTATGCCTCCGGCTACATAAGCAAGCGGCATAAGGTCTCCCGAAGCTGATACGGAGCCACGCAATGGAACTATAGGCGTGAGATGATGTTCAAGTAAGTCTGCTATAGCTTTAAGAATAGAGAACGAAACGGCCGAGTGACCTCGCAATGTCGCATTGCATCTCACAACCATCGCTGCGCGGACCCAAGCTGGGGGCATGGAATGCCCCGGAGCCGCGCCATTTTCAGGCGCAGACGAAAGAATACCGCTTTGAGTGAGCTGCATTAAGGACGCCTGAAGCTTTATGACTTCCTCGGTCCGGGAATCGGCGCTCCCTCCAAACCCTGTGTTCACGCCTGCGGCAAGAATTCAGTTATTTTTACCTGGTGAAACCCAAAGGGCTCACGAAAAGGTTTGATGAATCCATACCGTACACATACCATCCCTGCGCTAAATGGTCGAAGAGCACATTCACACTGTCCTGTAATCCTTTTATGATTTTTGGATCTCGAGTCAATACTGGAGGACATTTGTGTCTAAAAATATTGGATTAGCTAGCCATTTATAGGTCCAGGAAATTGACTTAGGTTAATAAAGAGAGGAAGTAGGGATTGCGTACTGTGCTGTCGCTACAACATCAGCAATGTGCAGGCTGTTGCCATTGATCTCGTATCTGCCCTGTCGTTTGCGCAGTTTCAGGCGCGTCCAGAGTTCGTGAGTTTTGGCGAGATGCGCGCTTTGTGCCCCCATGTTTGATAGGCTGATAGGTTAGCAAGGTACGGAAGGTCTCAATATACGTGTAACTTTTGAGTTTACCTACCTCCTGAAGATACTGCAGAAAAATAGCAATTTAGTTCTTCAATTAATTCTTTATAATTTCAGCCTTCCTACGTACCTTGACAAGGCAAGATATAGAGGCGTGCAATGAAGAATGCCTTATGTTCCTGCAGCCCGACAAGAATCCTCTTGTCCGTGATCTGTAAGGTTTTACTGTCGGAGTTGACTGTAATTTGTTGAATACATAAATAGACCCACAGTTACCCAGTAGAAATTAAAATTCAGCTGAAATCTCCTAAGGATATAGCCAAGGCTAAGTGAATATTAGGTATGTGGTACGTCGTCTAGCTGAAGTTCTGTGCCTAGTTCTCGTAGTGACTAATGAGGTCCAAAGTCATACTCGTATCTTGTTAGTATTGATTGTGTGGGTCGCGTATTACTCGGAAACGTGTGTACTTCCTAGCTTGTGACACAGTACGCATACCGGTTCATACTAGTGTTGATACATTAGATTTAGTATTAATTACAAGGGTATTTTATGCCTATTCTGGCCTCAGCTTCCATCAGAGCACACGACAGTCTTAATGATAATAACAATAATTGATCAAGTTTATTGTCTGTACCCAGCTCTATATGTAGGTTATGACCCACATCCCCACTGTGGCCCCCAATCTATTATACACAGAGGCCTCTTAGGGTTGTATTCAAATAACAATCACCAGACGGGGAAAAGGGAGCCAGCCTTGCATAGTAAATCAGAATTCAGAAATACAGGATAGCTATCAACAATACAGGAAGACTTCGTTATGGTATCATACTATCTCCAGTTTTATTCTTTATCATTTGTTCAATTGATTGATTGGGGCCGTTTAATTCAACGGAGTTCTCCGTAGTACCACATCTAGGGGCTTGTGTCTACATACTGTTGAACATTGGGCGAACTTGATATGATCCAACTTCAGGCAAATTGTCCCTTATCGTAATGACATATGGATATTGTACCTATGGAAGAATGTTGGACTACGTTTAGACATAGTGTTCAGGATCTTTCAAGACAAACGTATACCAGCCACGAAACCGTTTCTTCTAAGGTCCTTATGCATAGCCGGGGCACCAAAGTATCTGCCGGTGCAGTCGCTGCTCTTTCTTGAATATACACTAGTTTAGGATTTTTATTTGCTCTGCCAAAATAGGTCAGAATTACTCCATATCAAAGATTCTACTAGATACAATGTTGTGGGGAGTTATCACCTCTAGCAAGGGTTTAGTTGCCGCTCCTACGTATATCCTTAGTGAGAACAAGTACTCCGTATTGACCTTAGTCATACTAGTGTCTTGACCCTCTATAGCTTGATGCATTCAATACGCCAGTATTCACTCAGGAAAATCTCTGACGCCCAATCAAAACGTTCCCGCTTATAACATAACACAGATCTATCGACTACCTTTGGCTTTGTCGAGAAGTACTCTCCATATTGGGGAGGTATGTGTTTCTCAGCTTAGTCCCTTGATTAGCAAGTTTCTTTAGCTGAAACGCAGGGAAGACCTGCAACATTTTACTGAATTACCGATTCGACGTTCTGCTTTTGTGGGGGGAAATACTATTATAATTTTCTACAGAGTATATGTGGCGTATTTTGGTAAAGTCACGAGGTATTTTTTCTTTTATCAGGCGGGGCTTCTATAACATTTAGATTGTTACTGTACGTCACTCCCCCGTACTTGGTTCACTTGATTTCTTACAATATATGAGAAATTCGCGCATCGGATTCGCTACTCTCCTCATACGTTCACGAAATTTGGCAAGACTCAGGCGGCCAGCAAACTCTTAGGTAATTTTCACTCATTCCACTAATCTATTTCCCAAATCCACCGATATTAGCAATCTTTCAGCTCAAATTAGCCCAGATTCACATTACCCTCTCATCAACAATCTCATTGTATTTCAGTGTTGCGGACATCGAAGAAGAACTGCCTTCTGAATATCCAGACTCATAGTCATCACCACTCATTACATCCCCCAAAGAGACACTAATAAATATGAGCCGCTATGAACAACTTCCTGCAAACGATTTCCTGCAAGATGAGGTGGATCAAGAACCAGGAGCAGTTGATATAGAAGAGAAACCAGTGCAAGAGAAGGCGCGAAAATGGCTACAAATTCTATTGAGAGCAATAACCATCACCCTGACAATCTACGCTATTGTAGACATTGTGTTTCAGTTGTGGATGTATACTTTCGTCTACAGCATGTCTGAAGACTCGGCTTGCTCATGTGGTGATACTCCCGCGGAAGCTGTCAGCCGTGGCTGCAAATTTGACCCCTTCGCTGCTACTTGGCTACCAGACAGATGTCGCGATGACGAACTCATTGACTTTTTTAATGATCTGGGTCACAAGAACAATCATACATGGTGGGATTTTTACGACTGGCCCGACAAAAACGATAAAATGGATTTGCAGCAAATATCCATGAAAGCTGGGAGGGTAGGGATAGAGACACCATACGTGACGACATCAGTTGACTGGCACCACGCACACTGTCTCTTCCTTCTTGCTAAAGGCTCCCGCGTTCGACAAACGAATCTACATATGGAGTGGCGGTCACGCAGAGAACCTCACATTTTTCATTGCGTTGAGTCAATTCTGACTTCGATCAAGGAAAAATCAAATGCCGATGAATTCATTGCGTACACTGAAGTCGATATCTACCCAGACGGTTTTGAAGGAAACGAAGAGGACCCCGCCTGATGTTTGGCTGCCTAGCACAAATTCTGTATGGTCAACATCGTAATTCGTGCTCTATTGTAATTACAAGAAATAGTGCATAGCGGATGAGGAAGAATCGAATATTTCGCTATGAAACGTGGCAGTCCGCAGGCGTGCCCTATCTTGCAATCCTCGTTAATAGTGGTAGTAGTAGTGATAGTAGTAGTGATGGTAGTAGTGATAGTAGTAGTGATGGTAGTAGTGATAGTAGTAGTGATGGTAGTAGTGATGGTAGTAGTGATGGTAGTAGTGATGGTAGTAGTGATGGTAGTGGTGTTTTAAGGATTTAGGGCTTAACCCTACAGACTCCCAAAATTCATGGCGCAGCCACGGTGGTGCGCCACAGAATGGGGGCTACCTAAGGAAACAAACAGAACGAACAATGTAAAATAACCCTAATAAACTCTCCTATTGATACATTCAATAACGAACCAAAAAGCTGCGTGCATACTGCATCATCTACTCTGTGTGTGTGTGTGTGTGTGCGTGTTTCTATTTAACGGCCGTGGTTCGTGACTTGCACGCTTCCCACCGTTCCCTATTGGGACAAAGGCCGCCGAGGGGTAAACCTCGGGCTTCAAGATCTATATCAGATTCATATACAGATAAGAGACTCTTTGGCACATTTCCATAGCTGCTGTGGTCTGCATGATCTACTATGGTGAGATATACGTAGCTGGCGATGGTGACTACGCACGTGATGTGTACCGTCATGCCCAGTCCCACCCGATTTTCACGAGTTACTATATAAAATATTTGGAAGCTTTACAACACCATATAATAATGAAACATAATAAATTTTTGGAGTAGCACTAAACGAGATATAAGGAATTGAATGAGCTATAGATTAGCTAACGAAAACGCCCAGGGAGCCGAGTCTGCCGGACCCTACGATTCGTAGTTACAACCCCCTCATTAACCTCCGAATGAGCTGTAGAACGGGTCTTTGGCTTTGCTGGCTTAGAAATTGGCTTTATTTACTTTTATGAACCTTTTAGTCTCTAGGATGTCTTTTTGGAGCTGTAAATCAGCTAGCTTAGCTAGCTCTTGCTTATCCTTGAAACGTTGCTTCTCCGCAGCCTCTTGTTGGCGCTGTTCTCGCTGTTGCTGCCAAATTTGAGCTTTTTCAGCCTTTTCAAGCTCTTTAGCTTGCTTTGTAAGCTGCTGTTGAAGCTTTTTATTATCTTTACGAGCTTGCTCGTGCGCGGCATCCTCATCTTTTTGAAGTTGAAGATCTCGAGCTTGCTGAACCTTGGGTGGGCTAAAAAAGATGGCACCACCTTCATTTTGTGTAGGTAAATCCAGTAGTAAAGATTTTTCCTTATTTGGGCATTTCTTTGCAGTAATAAGAGCTCTTTGTAAGCCTTCAACTTGTGTTTTAAGCAAGATATTCTCTGTAGAAAGATGAAGCATGGTGTCGTTAAGCTTTTGAGCTTTTTTATCATAAATATCAGTAACGACCTCTCTCACAAGCTTCCTAATACGTCTACAACCGTCTACTTTGGTAATTGAAGCCGCAGAGTCACTTGATGATCGCCGGCTTTCGGATTCGGGGGTAAACCGGTGTATAACGAGCTCCAGATTGAAAGGATATAAGCCAGTATTTTTGAAGGCTGAATTGATATTCTCGCTTATAAAAGCTTCTTTCCAGCTAGCCCAAAAAAGCCGAAAAAAGTCACGTTTGCTGAGCCGGCTCAATCCTTGACAATCGTCTATAAATTTCCTCAATTCCTTGGTATAGGCCTTAGAAAGGGGTGCAAATAAAGCCACGTCCAGAGGCTGTAAAGTGTGAATTGCATGAGCTGGAAATATCGCCAGTAATATCCTATTCTTATCACAATATTCAATAAACCTCATGTTGACGTCGGAGCCATGGCCATCAAGGATTAGAAGCCGCCAGCCCCGGCTTGCTTGAGATTTTGTCTCTTTGTCAAAAACATCCACCAACCAACGATATCCGAGCTCATTATTGGTCCATCCGGAATCTGAAGCTGCAAAAAAGCATCTTTGTTCTTGGGGATCAAAATCTTGAAGCCAAGAATCCTGAATATTGCCTGATTTTGCCATATAGATTAAGCTAGGTGATATAGCTGTTCCATTTGCACAAATACAAGCAATTGTAGTTATCCATTACCAGTTTCTATCCTAAAGATGCTGCTTAAGTTTTCCTTACTCGTGCTTGCGCCGAGAAAAGATTCTTTTCTCTTTTGTGGTTATCCCAAGCATAAAGCCTTTCTCATCCATATTGTAAATTTGCTCCGGGGAAAGGTTATATTGCTCAATTTTCTGGCCAATAAGCTCAAAATAAAGCGTGTATTTCCATGCCGAATCTTCCTTTTTCCTATCCTAATTGAGGCCTGTAGAAAAGCGAGAAATCACCTTATCCGAATGAGCTGCTACCCAGCGGCTAGCCCAGTTTTGCCCGGGCTGTTTACCGGATATATCTTGTGCAAAGCTGGCTATCATTGAATGGGTAGGTGGGAGCCCTCACTCTGTAAGCATATTTATCTATTTTATAAGCGCTTTTGATTGCTCGTTGTTCAGTAATTTTTGATTATCGTAATATGCTTCTTTTGAGCCCGTAACACCGCGAAAACGTTTCGATAAATTTGAACGGTCAACACCATATGCTCTGGCAACTAAACTGATATTAGGTTTTTTTTTCCTGGCTTTAAGAAATGTAAAGCTTCAAGTGCGAGCTCATATGAAGCCATGCCGCCATATTGATGGATTTATCGCGTTTTGAAGCAAAATCGGGTACCTATGAGGTGGGACTGGGCATGTGGCAGTGAAGGACGGTAAAGCCGTAGGTAGAGAGAGGCGGAATCCCACATCAACTCTCGCTCATTCGATCCTCCAATCCTAGACCTCATTTCAATAGTGGCATTCCTAGTCCTTACTGACAATAGAGCTGATCTGGCGCTGTTGTCAACGGTGCGCACATTCGTACGTGCCCATTGCTTCGATTAGCGTCTCTTGTTTACGGACGGAATGATCAGTTACAAAGGTTAATCAATATTACAGTACGGAGTACTCCATCAGTCGCAATAACATCTCTATAACCAACAATTTAGTACTTAGGTACTGAGTAGTTGTATAATACGTAATGATGTGTACCTCCACATAGGTACGATACAGAAATCCTTACCGTTTAGTGTATTGGCCCCAGCCCATGGATAGCACCGCTAACAGATATTACGGCTTGTTTGAGACCAGAAATTACTGTAATACAACCTCTAATGCGTGCTAATATATTTCTTTGCATTGCTAACATCCACATGAGAGATCATTCGCCTCCAGAAAATGACTGGTCTTTGAACAGATTCTATTCAAAACCTACCCCTCTTGTCTCTGCCAACAAGGTCGGTACAACCAAATCTCGTATTGATTTGACAGTTAGTAATTGTGACACCACTATTAGATTCCCAATACTTCTCTCTAACTCATTCATATCTCGATGAACAAAGTGGTTGGAGGTAGGCGCTCTTACCCTTGTTTAACAACCATTGGCTTTGAAGGGTAAGTTATTCATACGCCCAATTGATTCCTATACTGAGAAGACTTTATTCGAGATTTAGCTTGCAAGTTGCCTTTTCGTTGTTCTCGGGCCAAGTTGTTGTATGTTGATTTCATGCTGCCTTCATCTGGATTAAAAAAAATGGAAATTGACTCTCATCAGACTCACCTTACATCACTCGGTTTGAGACCAGCACAAATTGCAATTACACTGCTATTTGGTCCCATATGTGGTGCGATTTTTCAGCCATACTTTGGTAGCTGGAGTGACCGGTGCCAGTCACCATGGGGCAGACGAAGGCCCTTCATCGTCATCGGAACGGGATTTTTGATCATCTCTATGCTCTGCCTAGCTTGGGTAGATTCAATTACACTTGGAATTCTGCTTCGTTCATCAAATGCTGCATACGAGACAGCTTATAGAACGGTCCTGGTGATCCTCGCGATGATATTTACCTTTACTACATATGTCTCCATTCAAGCCGTCCAGGTTGGGCTACGTGCCCTTGTCACGGACGACAGTACTCCCTTACAGCAAGCTGAGGCAAATGTCTGGGCTGGTCGTCATGTGAACTTGGCGGCGGCTTTGGGCTATTTTGCAGCGTACGTGAACCTCCCTCGGTACATACGCTACTTCGGCAAAACAACATTTGCAGGCACAAGCGTCCTTACAGCGGTGTATCTGGCAATTACAATTACAATTACTTGTTTTTGCGATTCGGATGAACCCTATATAGTAGAGAAGGGTTCAGCGTCAGGGCACGGAGAAACTTTCCGAGTGATGCGGGACGTCTTTTTTGGTACTTCAAAACAGGTCAGGCTTATCTTGCTCGTGCAGTTTCTTGCTTGGTTTGGCTGGTTCCCTTTTCTATTCTACACAGTAACGTAAGTCTGTTCACTTGGCAAAGATTGGCGAGTTACTTATATGATCCGCATAGATATGTTGACAGCCTGCGTAAGTGTCTTAGTAACAAAGCACTTTCTCGTTGTTTATCTAACATACCTACCTGTTTCCATATTCAGAAAAAGCAAATTCCGCAGGCTACAAAAACATGGGCGCTCTTGCACCCCTCGTCTATAGCATAGTAGCCCTATTGATCGCAATAGTGCTGCCTTCTCAGACCTTATCCACCAGAGACTCGACAGCTACACTCGGACGGGGTCCTTTGAGCTGGTATAGGATTATCATCACACCCCGCAATTTGTGGATTGCTTCACACGGAGTATTCACAATCGCCATGCTCGGAACATTTTTTGTAAGATCTGCGCTTGGTACAGTGCTACTCTTTAGTCTTGTTGGCTTTACCTGGGCGATCAGCTCTCGCATCCCATATTCTCTTTTGGGCGATGAGCTGTCTCGATCCTATTCACGCGATAATGATGATGACGGTGATGAAGAAGAAGACTCTTTTACAACAAGACAAGGACTTATTCACGGCATTCATAACATCGCCATTTGTCTTCCTCAGATCATAATCATGCTCGTCATGGGACTTTTCTGGGTGATTACAGAGAAGAAGACTGCGAGTCATGATGAAACCGTTGAGCATCAAAAATTTCTTGGTATTGTCTGGTTTCTACGACTTGGTGGCCTTTTTTCCTTGGGTGCCATGTATTATACGACCAAATTGCGTCAATGGGACCACAATCGCGTTGGAGGCATTGAGTACGATGAGGTTCCCATGGAGGAGAGAAGACCACACTCTTCTTTACTCGGGGACTCTACATTTGAAATTTGAATGCATGGAAAGGACACATAAACCTCCAATACGCCGAAGCTCTGCTGCTGATTATACACTTTGCCCGCTTGATTGTGTGAACTATTGAGAATGAGCATTTTTGTCCTTTACGGTAATTTTTGCCTTTAGTTTCTAAATATTGATCGTCCAGCCAGACGAAGAGCAGACCTCCGTCTCGCCCTTAATTGGTGAATGTAGTGGGACGTTCAATATCATCTAGATATTTGTTTTTAAAGTTGCAAAATAACAATATACTCGTCCAAAGAAAAGGAGATAGAACACAGATTGAGTCAAGGTAAGTTATAACTAACAGGTTGAAGTACAGCTCAAACATAGTGACTTCGTCAGCGGGGCTCAAAAAGGCCATAAACACACTCAACATTGCTACATGGTTCCTTGATGAGTTCTACTTCTGCCAGAAAAAGCCTGTCATAGGATGAGAGGTCAATGAGTAAGTGTACGTTCATTAGCTCCGGTGGTGATACACATTTTTGAAGCGGCATTCAGCTGTCTACCCCAGAATGAAGTGTGACAGTGCTTGTCAAATTTGTTGGCACCCCTTGGTGGGGGCATACTATCTGCATTCGAGTTGGGCTATTGCTACCTCTGCAGCATCTCTAATCAATTGGAAGTGCATTGTATCAGTGATCTCGCAAGAACGGCAAATGCTCCGCTTTCCGACCCTGATATAGTTACAAGGGCATCTGATTTTTGAGTATTATCCAGAATAATCATAGCCTGTTCAACAGAACGCACATTGCATGGCTAAGAAAGTGGTCTTAGATGGAGTTCACTGTATGTATGTATGTATGTATGTATGTATGTATGTATGTATGTATGTATGTATGTATGTATGTATGTATGTATGTATGTATGTATCTATGTATCTATGTATGTATCTATGTATCAGCCGGAAATAGCCTACAAAAACCACATAAATTACCAACCCCTTAATGGGGCCTCGTTTTTGGTCGAATGGTGTATTTTCCGGTTCTCAGTATGTATGTATGTAACATACACAGATGAGATTGGTGTAAATAACGTACATACCAGATACCTGCTGATAACCACAAGACATATCCTTGTGAGATCGTTTTGAGGGCGACTTCAGTCATAGAATAGATAAGAATAGTCATCAGTGTTGCATTAGATGTTGGCCAATTGGTAAGCATCATCAGAAGAGGACTCTCCCCATTGAGAATATTCCGTACAAAGCAACTGAATCAATTTATTCCTCATTAAACCTAATGGCGATCTGGCTTAAGCATTCCAGGGTTTCTAGTGATGGCCAGATATCCCGACTCATCCGTCTCATCCGTTTCTCCACTTTGAGTCTCCTCATGTGCTGTCAGATGAAGATGTTAGATATTATTGGTGAAGTGCACAGCGTAGCGAAGCCAAACTGGCCTACCGATCAGGAAGAAACACGCATTAAAGCGAGGGGTCTTGATTCTTCGTTATAGAGGACAATTCCCTGTTAGAAACAGCACAACTTGGTCAAAGAAATTCAAGCCTTCAATTGAGATTTTACAATATAATCTGGTTTCCATCAATTTCACGAGATTAAGGGCGAAATAAGCCTCGATAAATCCAACAATTAAGAGTTTGACTTATTCGACCCCTTTATCGACAAAATTTGTGTTGTTTCTATCGCAAATATGACTTCAAATACCACCCTCCAAGTAATCCTTACTGGCCCTGCTAAATGGGATGAGTGGAAAACCGCTTCTTAGCAACTGTGCGAGACCGATGCCATGGAAAGTTTTGTTGATGGCACTGAAAAGAAATTGTCGAGGCCAAAGATGCCTACCCCAAGGGACTTTTATATCGCTCGGCCTCCTGCACAGAGTACTCGCAGCAATGATAGCAGCCATTGTAAATCACCGTTACCTGCTTGACGCCTGCCATAAACAAACGAAAGGTATCATTTCGCTACGCGAATGGATGAGAAGTACTGTCTCACCATCATACGCTTCAGATGCCTTAGACACCGCCGAGGACATACAAGCCGCGTACCTGAATCTGGAAAATCAAGTTGGTGGGAATGAGGCTGATATCAAAAGGACCTCAAGGCCGAGTATAGACGGCTTATAAAGCCGTGGACTCGTGCTCCAAAAGACATCGAGAAGTGGATTTTTGAATGGGAAGATGTTATGTAGAAAGGAGAAAGGTATAAGCTTTCCTTTACCTCTAATTCAACTGAATGGGCTATAGATTTTCTGAACACAGTACGTTCAATATTATCTCTTTGGGTAAGCTCTTATGAGATCTTGAATGAAAGTGAAATAGAAGCAGGCGACCTCTCATTCCGGTTGTTATCCGGAGCCTTCCGTCGGAAAGTGAAGAACTCTATACAAAGTGATCAAGGAAGCCGCATTGGAAAGAATTATTTTCCAGTTCTCCACGATGAAGAAGCCCACCAATCCTTAACTGAGATGGACGCATCTCACGAGGAGAATGGGGATAGCGATATACAGAAACAGAAGGGAACCAGCCGTAAGAGGAAAAGCCGTAGGGCAGCCAATGTGCGCGTAGGGGACAAAGATCTCAAGTGCAAGGCTTGTCAAGGCTATCATGACCTCCAGCAATGCTTTTATCTCTTTCCAAAGCGAGCATATGAAGGGTGGACTAAGAGAGAGAGTATTAGGCGTAGAGTAAATAAGAATCTCGAACAAGACCATTCACTTACTGAAGAGGTAAAGCGACTGCAGAAAGGCAAAGATGATGGAAACAGAAACAATAAACCAAAATAACTATATCGAATAGTAGAGACGTGTGCTGCCACCTTTTACGTCGCCTTCACACTTGCGGTGGGAGCAGCGATGTCGATAACCAAATATCCCCTCAAGAACTCAGCAATATTAGACTCCGGTTCAACACTCTATGTCTTTAACAAGATAGCACGGTTTATCAACTTTAGAAGAGCGCCGGATATAGATGTTCTTTGGGCCGGTGATTCTCCAGTCAATATAATTGGATACGGGGATGTTGATATTAGTATAATTGGACTAAATAAAAGGCTATAAAAGTTGCGGTTATTCAACGTCGCATACTGCCCCAGTTTTGCAACAAATCTGGTATTACTTCGACAGCTTCAGAAAATGGACTATTGGTGGGATAATCGTCCATCATATAATTGCCTCAGGAGAGCAGATAATACAATAGTGGCTTACCTGAAAGATCGATATGCGCAATTCGTGTTGGAAGATATTCCTAATGACCATCCAAATATGCGTATGGCATTCTTTGTACGCAGAAACAAGTTTAATTCCTAGACTGCTAGAAAGCCGGTCAAAGCTGACGCCATAAAATGGCATCTACGCTTGGGGCATCCAGGTCCAGAGGCGATGAGACATCTTGTCAGTTCGTCAACTAGTGTACATCTTAAAGGACCGACAATAGTGCAGTGTGAGGATTGTGGAACGTCAAAAGCAAAACGTGTCATAAGGCGTTATCCAAGATATATAGAATAATCGCCTGGTATACGACTCGCGCTAGATTTCCATGATTTTGAAACTAGTTCGATAAATGGCTTCAAATGCCTCATATTAGTAACAGACCGTTATTCAGGCCTTATATGGGATTATTATCTCACGGACTGGAAACAAGAGACGATTCTCATGGCACTACAACACTTATTCAACTACCTTGATCGTCAATATAAGATAAAACCATTGAAAATTAAGTGCGATAATGAGATCTTGAAGCAGCCAAAGGTCAAAGACTGGTTGCACTCGCAGGAGCATGTTGATATCAAGCCTTCGCCTCCCGACACACAAGCATTAGACGGAGCGGCTGAACGCTCAGGGGGTGTAGTAAAGGATAAGGCTCGTGCAATGCGAGATGCGGTAAAATTACCAGCCGACCTATCGCCTGAGATTTATCGAATAGCGGTTTATCTTCTGAATCGAACGCCGAGATACTAATATAAGTGGAAATCACCATACAAGCGTTTCCATGTGTTCCTGGCCAAAAGAGATGGTTTATCTGTGCCAGATTTCAAACCTCAACAAGCTCATTTAAAGGTTTATGGGGTGTGGCTGTATCACCACCCTATATTTATCGTTGTACCGTGTATAAAGCTTTTAATTGTTGCGGGTGGTGTGTTAGGAACTCCCTTGTTAGAGGTGTTGGCTTGTAGATAATCTTAAAGGTCATCTTCTCCAAGTGTGCAGTGTCCTATCTTCGGCGGCTGCAGCAATATCTACATGGGAAGGGAAAGGGGGAGGGGTAAAGGGAGAGTTGCATCGTTTTCCACTATGTTGCTTGTGGTTCGGATTTAGATTCCAGTTCCCGTCTTCCTGTTACAATCGCGTATTTGATTGCTGCATGGACGGCCTTCATATCAGGTTATCATCGATCTGAATCTGACCGCGATTCTCCACCTAGGAAGAAGGATAGGTTTCCTCGTTTTGACTCTATGCATTGGTTCATGCTGTCTCTCATTGCTGTCCATTTTGTGCAGCAGAATAAAAAGTGTTCTACTGTCTCACTTGCTTGGCTGTAGGCACAAAGATCGGAGTCTGCTGCGCCCATCTTGTTCAGATAGCTGTTAAGTCTTGAGATTCCTGTCCGAAGTTAGGCTAGAATTTTTACTTCTTTCCGGTTCAGTCTGTTATATAGGCTTTCTATATGCTTTCCTAGGACTGCCGTGTCGAGAACTTTTGAGTATCTTCCTATGCCTTCTAGGAGAGTCCAGTCCTAGGGTGTTGTGTCAATAGCGAGTCTAACTGCTGTTGCTTTGGCTTTGAATGGCTGCTCTTCCGGTTGACATTCTATTCTCGTTGATCTTTATGCTTCATATTTTGCCCTGTGTTTCCAGTCTGTATCTATATATGCTGGCACCCAAATTGCGTTAACTACGTTTCCTTACTGTTGCAGGGTCTAGACCAGATTATATATCTGCTGAATGATTTTTTAGCCGGATTGTTGCCAAAAGTTGACTAATTACTGCCAATGCTGATCTATTACTACTAAGAATCGGTATCCATCTCCGACGTGCCCCATGTGGGATATATTCCAGCGCAGCTGCCATTACTTCCAACTCTGCTATATACGGGCTTAGCTCTGTCCTTTGCCTAGTATAATGAAGTAGCTGGATATGCCATTCCCATTATTGCCTGCTTGGGCGTTTCTTATACGCCCTTCTATACCAACAATCCCTGATCTGGCAGATGTGCATGTAACAATGAGGATGCCTACTGCTTTATTCGCAAGCTCAATGGCCATTTCGTTATCTCTTTCATCTATTGTTTGTATCCGGTTTATCTATAGTGGAATAGTGAATGTCTGAATAGTTTCTATCTGCTCCGTTGCTGTTACTTCTAGTACTCGAGATATCCTCTGCAGCGGAGACATGAACCTCCGAGTTGTGATAGTTCTCAGTTTAACTAGGGGGTTTGATTTAGGTAGAGTTTGGATGTCGATCTGCATTTTCGTAGCTTTCTCCATATGCCGATTATGGAAAGGTCGAATGTCTGCTTCAGCTTCCGCTACTACAGTTATAACTTTCCGAGAAGCTCCTATGACTGCAATAGCTCCATGTTTTTGCATTCTATTTAGATACTATGCTCTCTTTGTCCCGCAGGCATGCATCCAGACATTAGAGACATAATCTACCACCGGGGCAACTATTACAGTAAACAATTGCCTTGCTATCCGTGGAGGTATCATCTTTAGCCTCTTTAGCGCCATGGCTGCTGCGAGTCCTTTCGTAGTGGTATTAGCAATGTGTTCCTTGAAGCAGAGCTAGGAATCTATCACTACTCCTAGGATCTTTACACTTTCTTTCGGGTTAACTCTTTCTCCTTTGATTGTGAATGATAACACATATTCTTTCTATTTCCTTGGACCTAGTCCCAATTTGCCCTAGTATAACGAAGTTCCAATACCACCCACGATTTTCTGCCCGTATGACCCTTGCCTATTCGGGCTGGGGGGAAGTGTTGGATTGTACGTAACAATCTCAAGTGGTATATCTCAACGTATCAAATTATGTATGCAAAAAGTATGGAATCCTTGATCCTTGTTGTCATTGTTCTTGTCTCTAAGTACAGTAAAGGTGGAAGATATCTTTTACCCCCTATTCGGTGGATCAGTGTGTGGCTCGCTCTTATTTGGCTGACAAATCTCATCTGTCTGATTGGCCGGATCAGCTTAGCTAAGCCAATAACCCTAACGTAATCCAAAAGCGAGCCGCCACTTTTTCCCGAACCCGTACACGATATTGATTTCAAATAATTCAACACGTCAATATGCCACCAATTCGCAATAAAAACCCAAACGATTTAGTTTGGCAAGAAGCCCGAATTTTATTAGCCATTACCGATTTTCAGAATGGCAAAATCTCTACAATTGCACAAGCTGCTAGGATTTACAATATCCCTCGTACGACTCTCCGAAATCGACTACATGGCACTCAACAAAGATCTCTCGTGCGCGCCAACAACCATAAATTGACTCAATTTGAAGAGGAATCACTTGTTAAATGAGTCCTTGACTTAGATAGACGTGGATTACCTCCCCGCCACTCTCTCGTACGAGAGATAGCTAATCATCTTCTCTTACAACGCGGCAATCAACAGGTTGGAGAAAATTGGGTATATAATCGGATTCAACGTCGCCCAGAGATCGAGTCAAAATTTTCACAGAAATATAACTATGAACGTGCTAAATGCGAAGATCCAGCACAAGATTTTATTGTTATGTGGTGTTTTAAAGCTTCGAAATATTTTACATGGCATGTCACGAAAACCGTGCATGAAGTGGTGTCCTGCACGAGGCGGTGAAGCACTGTAAACCTGTTATGTGTTCCTTCATTAAGGGCAAACGCTTAAATCTCACCTCTTAGATACCCTTTCGCTTAGAAATTTAATACAGCTTGAAAGATCTGGATTGGGCCATTGTAAAAACTTCATCAGAAATCTCGGTTTGAAAATAGGACCTCAATCCAACCATTTTCTGTTAGCAAATGCTAGGTTCGAGGCCTCTATAACCCAACTAGGGGCTAGTGTAGAGGTGATTAGTATAAAACGTATATGGATACTTTACAAGTAACTTCTAAGTAACTTCTAAGCACTATGATAATAGTTCTTCAATTGAAACAGAAGGAATATCTATCACTAAGTTAGTTGAATTTGCAGAGTGACTTGTCTGCAGCCGCGCTCTTGGTGTCCACTCAGTGAGGCTGACTGCGAGCGCCCTCACAAAAGCGATGGCAGCTGAGAAAGGAAACGCCCACTCGGCAAAGGAAATCTGGTACGTACAGTCACCTAGGTATTGATACATGAAATGATGTAAGGGGCTGAAATCCCAAAACAAAACAAACACCAATGTAATGCATATGCAACGCTAAAAAAAAATCAAGATTATGCAGAATATCGTACCATGTGCCTCATCAATTTGCCTCGGTACTTGCTTTACTCGATGACAATGCGGCGAGTGGCGGGCTCTTCAACCACCTTCTTGGGCACTGTGATTGACAACACACCATTCTTCAGATTAGCCTTGACGGCTTCCTGGTTGATTGGTGTTGGGAAACAGAATGTGCGACTGAATTCCCCGACTGAACGCTCAGTAACCCAATAGCGGCCATTGCCGGTGTTTGTTGTTGTGGTAGCATTGGAGGTGTTGGCAACGGCTTTGGTTGTCTCGGAGCCTTCGGTAGCAGGCGGTTCAGTAGATGCAGATCCGACGGCATTTGTATTTGATTCACTACCGGCTCCAGTCATGGTCACATCCTCGGCATCTGTGGATGGATTGCCAGACGAAAAGTTCCGTTCCGTCCGTCCTTTGATTTGCAGAGTGTTCTCGTCGACGAACTCGATTTGAACTGCATCCTTCTCAATTCCGGGAAGTTCACCGTCTAGTTGATAAGCTTCCTCGGTCTCTTGGATATCAAACTTTGGCGCAAAAGTAGTTGGCATGTTGCGGCTCAATTCGGAGAAGGTATCATCGAAGCGACGGGTGACGTGGTCAGTGTAATCATCAAGGAGGCGGAAAAGAGAAGAGAATTCTCCAGTTGGTCCATTCCTATTTGAGAAGAATGGAGATGGAGGTGAGAATCGAGGCATGAGAGACATAGTTCGACGAGGAGTTAGGATGCCTCGAGAGCTGTTGGAGAGCCGGCGAGAGGCTGTTCGAGGGATATTGCGGTGAATCATTTTGTTGGCTTTTGGAGCGTTGTTGATTCGAAGAGTATTAATGCTTGATGGCTTGGTTCTTGCTTTGTATTGATGATTCTGTCTGTCTTGCTGGATGAATGACTGCTGGGGTGAATAAGGGCTTATATACCCTAACGGGGCTAGCGTGGGATTGTTCTAGAATCGACGAGATGCTGCCACCATCGTCTTTCAACCACTAGAAATAAACACAACGAAAATTCTCGCAATATGGCGATAGAAACAGAATTCTGGAGAATAATCTAGCCAATACGAGTATATCCATCAGAATGGTGACGTTGGACGTTAATGCTATTGGCATCCCTATTGGGTGGTCGCGGGTGGCGATAGTACAGTGAAGACACTCGAGATCATGATCCATGGACTACTTTCAAGACCTCACATGATCTAAAACTAAATGAATTATTCATTAGATTAATCGTGAGATGAAGCGTATTTTACCGTTAATTCCTGATGTCAGTACCCAGCATCTGTCTCATGCAACAATCCTATGCCACCGCTTCACCATGCCCCAACAGCAAAGTCCACGACCTGCACCTTATCGATCCAGGGTCTTGCACTTTGGACAAATAAGAGATGTTCTGGATCTGTCCTGACATAGTAGTCTCTATCCTCGGGATTCTTGAATTCATGGACAAAGATATGCGTGAAGCCGTTCTGATACCCCGCATATCAGCTATCGGTCTAGAGTGATTACCTAGGTACGGGACATACATGTATTCCTTCTATCGAATTCTCTCGTCCCCCCTTTGAAGAGAGGATATACGGCCTTGCAGTGGCAGGGTGAATGCAACGGTTCTTCAAATCCAGCATATGATTCACAATCTGCGATAATGATAGTCAACAGCCTGATATCGCTTCCCCGCATCTTGTTGATAGTTAGGTCGCTTACAGGTTGGACTTCTTTCGGAGTTGCCTCATCTTTGAACTTGAACATGACCACATGGTTGACTGGCATTGTTGTATTTGTTAAAGTAAATCCAGTTGATATGTATTCATTCAGTGCTGGATGTTACAATCAAAAAGCGATAAGAATGAGGGGACATGTGATATATCCACAGTTTTCCTGTTTGGGTATGGCCTGTTCGCAATTAAGCTTATCTTATGGAGTCGGAGAATCTGTTTACTATGTACATCCACCTGCTAGGCAAGTGCTCAAACGGTCGTTAGCACCAGAAGATATCGGCAAATGTACCGGTGTTTGCCGACTTGTCTTGGATCGTCACCTTGTTATCGACTACCACTTTCCTTAAAAGGAATTTCGTCTTCGAGGATCTAAATGGCCCGCGTTAGCAATGCGACTAATAAAGATCTAAGCGAAACTAAACAGATCGAGCCAATGGAGAATATCGAATTGAGATCGTCCTTGCCAGCCTCGGAAGGGAGCTACTTCTTCAAGAACTGTTGATGTTATTTAAGTAACATCACACAGTTGCTAGCGCGCTTGGGGATGTCACCTTGAATCTCCTCTTCTTAGTCACTACCCCACGGACACAGGGTCTTCGGGGTATAGTACATAAATACCAGCAGAAGTTCTCAGTGTATTCTCCAAAACTCCATCACCTGGAGCAGAAAATACAATGAAGAACATACTACCGGCTGTGGCTGTTGCTACAGCTGTTCTTGCCGTCGGACATGCAGCAACTCCACCTTCATCGATTGTTTCCTCGGCCGGCCAGACAGCGAAGATCGCGGGATGGAACTTGCAATCGGTACTCCATGCATCAAGTGATATCGCAGGGCTCTCACGACCTGGAGCTGATGTGAGCAACTGGCCTCGAGTGAGCCCTCGAACTACGGTAATGGCTGGATTGATTGAAAGTGGCCTCTACACAGACAGTAACTTGTGGTTTTCGGACAATCTCAATAAAGTAGTCGATCGTTCGGTTTTCGGCACTCCATGGCTCTACCGTGAGGAGTTTACAGTCAATCCGTCATCAGGACAGCATTACTTTCTCATAACACATGGCATCACTTCGAAAGCCGACATTTGGCTCAACGGGAAACAGTTGGCAGATAAGGATTTTCAAGAGGGTTCCTATGGCGGTCATAAATACGAAATCACGAAGTTCCTGCAATCTGGTGCCAACGCAATTCTCATTCAAGCTTATGAAACAAACTATCTACTAGATTCTGCAATGGGTTTCGTTGATTGGAATCCGTATCCTCCTGACAACGGGACCGGAGTGTGGCGTGACGTTGAGATATCGCAGACAGGGCCGGTTTCTCTTGCGCCTTTCCGGTTCATTCATGATTGGACGCCGGGGAAGGCATCAACGAAAATCACAGTCAAAGTTAACGCAACGAATCTTGAAAGCCATGCCATTGATGGTACACTCACCGGTCAAATCACGCTCGGAAACCAGCAATTGGATCTCACCGAACCTTTTACTTTGGCGGCACACGAAGAAAAGACAGTGTCATTGACGGGACAACTTCAAGATCCGCAAATCTGGTGGCCATGGCTTTGGGGTGATCAACCTCTGTATAACGTCACAGTAACCGCAGTCGTGAACAATAAAATCTCAGATGCCGCAGAGCCCCGTCGAGTAGGCATTCGTCACATTGAGTCTGGACTGAATGACTTTGGAGACCGTACATTTACCGTCAATGGACAACGATTCCTCCCTCTTGGTGGTGGTTATGGCCCAGATATGTTTATGCGATGGGATACAGAATACGTGCGGAAGAAATTTGAGTTGATGGTTAACCTAGGAATGAATACTATCCGGTTAGAAGGAAAGCAAGAGCATCCGGAACTCTATGACATGGCAGACGAGATGGGCCTCATGATCATGCCTGGATGGGAGTGCTGTGACTGGTGGGAGGGATGGACAGTAAGTCTCAAAAACTTGATCGACATGGAGGTACCGTGGAGGCTGATAGGTCCTTGTGCTGATGATATATAGTACAATACTGACGTCCCCGACTATGTTCGATTCACCGAGCATGATTATTGGATTGCGAATTACTCCATGCTACATGAAGCTTCAATGATGCAGACTCACCCTAGTGTGCTTGCATTCTTGGTGGGCTCAGACTATTGGCCAAATGACAGGGCTGCATCGATATACGTCAATGCTTTGAAATCTTGGGACTGGCTAAACCCAATTGTAGCATCGGCGGGTGAGTTAGGATTTCCAGAGATTCTGGGATCCTCAGGAGTGAAAATGGATGGACCTTATGATTATGTCCCGCCAAACTATTGGTATGGAGGCCAAGTTGGAGCTGCTTTTGGCTTCGGATCAGAAGAAGGCGCTGGCGTTGGAACGCCAGAAATTCGCAGCTTAAAGAAGTTTCTGTCCGACGGCGACTTAAAAGACCTGTGGACAAAGCCTAATAAGGGTCTATTTCACATGTCTAGCAATGTTTCGTCGTTCTACGATCGATCTATCTACAACAAAGCATTGTGGAATCGATATGGCCCCCCGAGCAGCCTGGAAGATTATCTCCTGAAAGCTCAGATGATGGATTACGAAGCTAATCGTGCCGAATATGAAGGATTTGCATCCCTTCAAGATGCGTCTCGGTCTGCAACTGGAGTGTAAGTCATAAAATTATGATACGTTGTATATTAGTGGAAAAATAACTAATTTGTTTTGGTTGATAGGATCTACTGGATGATGAATGGTGCCTGGCCCAATCTTCACTGGCAACTCTTTGATTACTACTTGAATCCTGCAGGCTCATATTTCGGAACCAAAGTCGGTGCCCGCCCTGAACACGTATCATTCAGTTATGATAATGGAACTGTCTATCTCATCAACCGACTGAACTCCCTTGACAAGAAGGGAGATGCTTCCCGGTGGGTGCTCATTGATCTCATTGATACGGCGGGTAAATCTCTGTTCCACCAGCAAGTCAAGATAGACACGAAGCCAAATTACTCCCAGGAAGTTGCCAAAATATCGAAAGCAATCAGCAAGATCAAAGACGTTGCATTCTTGCGCCTCATTCTATCGTCTGATTCCAAAAGCACCACGATACTGAGTCGGAACGTTTATTGGCTTTCATCTAAGAATGATGTTCTCAAATGGGATGACTCAACCTGGTACTATACTCCTATTTCCTCATACGCAGACTACACTCCTTTGCAAAAGTTGCCTGGCGCATCTGTCACGACAACAGTCAAACAAGCTTCCTCGGCCCAATCGGCCACCACACTACAGGTGCATTTAGAGAACAAGTCGAATGTTCCAGCGTTCTTTATCCGCTTGGTTCTGATCGACTCAAAGACGGATGAAAACATTAACCCTCCGTACTGGTCAGACAACTATGTAACGCTATTCCCGCAGGAGTCGATTAACCTGACAGTATCGTTCGACTCGTCGCTGTCTGCTTCTCCTGCGGTTGAAGTATCAGGTGGGAACGTTGCAACACAAGTTATCAATGTCTAGATATACAGGTATGCATTTACTGTCTTAATCAAAGGGTTTTTCTCATGAACATTCAAACAGCTTGTGTCTGATAGTTGTTGGCAGTGTTAATGTAGATGAGATGTATGCAAATTACACTTATACGTAATTTACACAAATTTGCACGATAAATTTCCTTAATTGGCTGGTCCAGCTGAAACTAGCGGTAATATCAATATAGATTCAGATGACAACTAGTCAGAACTCGGTTAGACGGCGCATGACTAGCTCGAATATCACTCAGTAACTAAGCCTTGACCATCTCTCTCCTCTCACCATCCTCAGACCGAACCCAACTCCCAACACTGAGGTATGGCCACGACCAGTGGTACAACACCCAGTGCTCCAAAGCCTGGACTCGGAGATTTAGAAAAAGAGTTAGTGTGCTCGGTATGTACACTTTCCATGTTTCGGAGAATTTCTTTGTTTATCTACCTTGTCGATATGAAATTGGTGGGGAAGCGGGTCGGTATTTGCTTTCCACATCTTTCGCTAACAACGATCATTATTTATGGCAGATCTGTACGGAGCTTTTATATCAGCCTTTGACTCTTCTCGATTGCCTTCATACATTTTGCGGTTCGTGCCTGAAAGAATGGTTTTCATGGCAAGCGGTTCGTTCACGATCGTCGGGTTCGGCATCACGATTTACCTGCCCAGCATGTCGGGCTGCTGTCCGTGCAACGAGACCAAATGCTACGGTGACGACTTTGCTGGATATGGTCCTTGTGGCCAACCCCGAGCGTGATAGGACGGCAGAAGAAAAAGAGGAGATTGCGAAGAAGTATAAGCCTGGTGATCAAGTGCTTGTTTCTGAGAGTTCCGATGCCGATACCGACGGGGAGGATCGACGATTACTTACGGATGGTGAGAGTAGTCGTAGAAGGGCAGCTTCGACGAGTCATTCCGGTGATAGTCGCCGGCAAAGAAGTGCAGATAATCGAGACCACCACAGCGCTGCTAGAAATGCTGCTCGCACGGGAGGTACCGTTGCGAACCGCAATGAATCCACGAGGCAGATTGAGCATCAGTCGAGTTTAAGGTCTTTACTAAGTGCATCGGATGTCGAAGACAACACTCAAGAGGAGATTGTTCGGCTCATTATGGAGGAAGGTCTGTTGGACGGTATTGATTTGAGCGGTCTGGATCAGTCTCAAGAAGAAGAACTCAGTGATCGGCTTGTGCAGATCTTCCTCAGTCGGCATCCTGATCGATCACGTCCACCGCGGAGAAGTAGCGATCAGACAGAGAGGATAAGACCACCGGAGCACCGTCGGGCCAGATCTCAGACATTGCAAAATCGGAGCCCAAACCCTACTCCCACTGAAAACTCCTCAAGACGCCCTCCCGTATCACGGCCACATTTGCTAGGGGTGGCACCAGATTCACATCATCATCGAAGAAGGGCTTCTGATGAGACTCGACGGCGAAGGACATCGCCGACACTGGTGGCTCCAGCGTCTACGTCTGAAACCGCGTTGGGGCCAGCAGTGCGATCATCTAGTGACATGACGAGTCAGAGATCCCGTCCTTCTTCGTCACGGCCCAGGACTAGAGAATCCTCGACAGCTTCTGTAACGAGACGCTCGACGGAGCCTGAAGGGCGTGCTTCTGACATATGGGCGGGAATTAGTACTAGAAACGGGTCACAGCAATCTATTGCTGCTAGACAGGCGGTGGGATCTTCTCTGACAAACAGTCCGTCCACTATGACTCCCACGGGCCGGACCTTCTCAGCTTCGACTACTTCGTTACCAGGAGTTTCAGCAAGTGAAGCCCAGTCTCCTACGGGCAATTTGCAATCATCTTCTCGTCGTAATACGGCAACACGGTCTGCACCCATGAGGCAAACTCCAACTAGGGTTTCTTCTGCACATTATGCCGAACCCGCAATATCCTGTGAACGATGTGGGAAGACGAGCATACAGTACGTACTCCATAAACGATGCCCCAAGTGTAACGATGGCAATTATCATGTATGTTTACATTGCTATCGCATCGACCGAGGCTGTCTACATTACTACGGCGTCGGGAGCGTTGGTGAGATGAATTTCAATAAAGCTCACCACCCTGCTCTTCGATCGGACGTTGAGCTTCCTCATGTTATGATATCACAACGTTATCGACGACCCAAGGAAGGTTCATCACGAGGTACATCTGACGGAAAGCACATGACAAACGACAACCCATCTAGCAGACTGCAAGAAGGCATGTTTTGCGATATATGCCAATCCGTTGCCAATGGATGTTTCTGGCAGTGCGACGAATGTAATGAAGGAGAATGGGGCTATTGTCGACGCTGTGTAAATCAGGGTCGCTGTTGCAATCATTCGTTGTTACCGATTCGACGTATATCGTCAGAAGCCGTGACACCATCTCCAATCGATGCAATATCAATAGGGCCTATTACTACTCCGGTACCAACGCAAAAAGCACTTGCGGGGTCCGCGACATATCAGGTTTTGTCGTTCTCGACGGAGTGTGATATTTGCAAATACCCCATCGCTCCGTCGTCGACTCGATTCCACTGTTTGCAGTGTAATGAAGGAGATTACGATGTATGTACAAACTGCTACCTGAAATTAGTGGTGTCGGGGAAGATCAGCAAGGACAACGGACACGGAGGCTGGCGACGTTGTCTAAAAGGTCATCGCATGATTGTAATAGGATATGAAGACCATGAAAAGGGACAGCGACGGGTCATTGTCCGAGACTTAGTTGGCGGATATACATTAAAAGATGAACTGGCGAACAATATGGAGCCTTCATCATCTTCGGGTTCCATCGCTTCTCCAGAACTCGGAACGGGAGATTGGTCATGGAAAGAAGGCAACACAAAACGCAAAAAGGCCGGTCGTGCGCGAACCTCTCACATTAACCCACTGGATTCAGCTTCTTCTTCACCATCAACGTCACCTTCCGCAACAACAACGACACAATTAGACCGTCGTACTACTGCTGCTACGATGATTCCACCTGACGGCGGATTCGGTCTTGTCCTAAGAGCAAACTGGTCATACTTCGCTGAAGAATCCTGCACAGATGAATTATCCTTCCCTCGTGGCGCGGAGATTACAGAAGCTGAGAATATTAATGATGAATGGTATTGGGGTTACTATGCAGGTCGAACAGGTTTGTTCCCTGGTGCGTACTGTACTTTGATCAGGGAGGTTGTTTGATGATATTACGAAGTGGAAAGGATTTATGATTTATGATTATATGTATTTCTTTTCTTTGCATAGCATGAGACTACTTTAGTTTAAGCGGTTTCGATCTTGCATTAGGTATTACCTGTCTAACATCCTGCTACGTGCATTGGTGTCCATTCAATCAATGGAATCTGAGAACTCATTACTTTCATTGCACCATCCATAAACACTCAGTCCAGGAACGGACAAAGGTCTGATTCAGGCCATACAAGAAGCGAAGTATATATACACAAAGTAAAAATGAAGGGTATTCACAAACATAAAAAACCCGCAGCAAGCCGATACAAGACAAGCAAGAAAAGACCACCCGAATCCGCTTTCCAAGACCACATATAATCAGGAAAAATTCGTGGGCTGTTGTGGCAAGAGTTGAAGCCACTACTCCAACAAAGCCAACATCAACGTCTGATAATCGCCGCTTACTTCACCCTTGACGCGGTCACGTAAATCGCGTCTATAGTGGTGATAATACGCCTTCTTAACCTGATCAAGATGCTGCTTATTCCAATGCAGACGCACAATTCTAGTAACTAGTTGGAAATCTTTCGTCCCAGCGCCAGCCATGGTTTCTTCCAGAGCAGCTGCGTCACGATAAGCGGGATCAGTGGCTGTCCGTAACATGTGAATTAGCGCATCTTTCATGTGTCCTGAAAATTGGCTTGCGATGTGTTTCTCCAGCTCGACGTGATAGCGTTCGTGGAATTTGTGGCTAATAGCGCGGAGTTCGTTGTCGGAGCTCTGTGCGAAAATGGCGCAGACCTCGGCGACGTTGTTCGTGATCCGTCCAGCGGTAGCGCCGTGGATACTCTTGACTTCGTTCTCAATGGATGCTGGGTTAAATGGAGTTGACTCTTCGTGGCGGGTTGCTGACATGACCCGCTTGAAGAGGTTCTTCGTCTCGGCAGACAAGTCACTTTCGACATCCTTTTCCATACTACGGTTGAATTTGCGCTGGTATGCGTTTTTGATCTCTCGCATATCAGCATTTGATCTACCCAATAAAACATCGTTCAATAGCCATTCCTTAGTACCTAGGCCCTTGACAGCGTCACGCACAAGTTCCGCATCGTGGTTTAGTGGGCCTTCTATGATAGCTAGTAGTCCCTGTTCGAAGTATCCGGACGTCTCGCCCTTGACGTCTTTGTATAAGTCGCGACTGATATGTTTGGTATATGTTTCTCGGACAGCGGCCATCTGTAGAGGGTCTAGATGAGCGAGTACTTGGATCAAAGTCTTCTCATCTGTACCGAATCCCTTCATTGCTTTGCGCAAAGAGTTTGCTTGAGATGTGAAATCGCCTGGCGCAACCTGGCCTGGAATGTATCCGAAGGAAGGTTGAGCGGGTGGACCGAGCGGAGGTGCACCATATCCGGGCTGAGCAGGAGGTGCCCCATAAGGTCCTGGGGAAGGAGGATGTCCGTATGCGCCAGGTGGTCCTGGTGGTGGTTGACCATAGCCTCCTTGTTGTGGCGGGAGATATGCTCCATGTTGTGGATAGCCTTGTTGAGCAGGAGGAGGCCTCTGGGGATAACCACCGTATTGACCAGGAGTAGGAGGACCACCGGGGCCGGGAGGATAGTGGCCGCCCTGTGGTGGAGGGTAATAACCGCCCTGAGGAGCGCCGGGTGGAGGATGTCCGTAGCCCGGTTGCTGAGGGTAGGGTGGTTGTCCTGGAGGGGGATACCCGGCTGGAGGTTCTGCAAAATATCAATATTAATAAATATCAATCTGAGATTGAAGATATCGGACGAGTTACTTACGAGGGGGGGGTCGATTGTATGACATAGCTCAATATAATCTGAACGGATTGCTACAATGCAATCGTAGGATAAAAATGTTAAATCGTTAATTCAATGGATACAGAGAGATAGGAGTTCGAGAAAGGAAGTACGTAGTGGATGGTTATATACCATTCGAGGCGACAACACCCCGCCGCAGTTCATCGTTGACTGAATCCCAAAGAGGCTTAGTAATGGTTATTGGAGATGCAGTGCGTCATAAACAATGGTCCGCCAATCAGAGCTGCCAATATTGAAATTGTGGATCCAGACCCAACAAGGCTGAGCGACCAAGCGTTCCTTGGCAGATGAGCCACGCGTGGCGCAGCATAATCATTCCTTCTTGAGAGATGAAAATGAAAATAAATAGCATGTATATGGTAAATATACTCCAGGGTTAACACAGGAACAATGGCGCAATAAGTACAAAATATTTTATCACATCGCCATGCAAGACTGTACAGATGATATCCGAACAATGGCAGGCATAGAGGTCATGTCCTCTTCTTGTCTGATAGTACTGACGAGACCTCCACCGTGACAAATGCACCCTTGATCTCCTTGTATGCTTCAGTCAGCACCCAAGCCGGAATAAACACCCATAGCATATTAAAAAAGACAAGGTACAACCACAAAAACACCGGATTACTGCCATCCAGTTGTGAATTCGCACTGAGCCATTCGGGCGCAAAAGTCATGAATCCACCATAAAGTTCACCAGTCGCGACAGCAGAAGCGACGAGCCAGAGTTTGCCCTTGGTAGTACCGAGCTGTTGAGCGCCGGCTTTGGATGAGTTTCGATTGCTGGCAATCTTGTAAAGCAAGTAGCAGATATAAATCGCAGCGGGACCGGCCAGGAACACAGTCAACAATTCAAGTGAGATAACAGTCGTATCGGCAGTAGCCCAGCGATGGTCGGCTTTGGCGTATTCCTGCCACAGACGCGCGCTAGGTCCAGTACCAAATTGAGCACCGTATATACGATCTTTCCGACCAAGAAAGTAATATGGACGCTCCAGGGCCTTTGTGCCGACAGGCTCAATGATTTTGGTATAGCTGAAGAAGCACTCATACAGAAAGGAGCCTTCGATGAAGAGATGGGTCAGAGCGTCATACGCGTGCCACATGAACAGCGCGCGATTTCGGAGCTGGCTCGATGGGATCAAATATGTACCCAGACCGTATGCAATTGGCATAAAGGAGAGCGCGAATCCAATGGATAGGATTGTTGGTGTATCGAGAACGAAGCCTGAGATTGGTTCTGCCATGGTTCACTTCCCCTTTTGCTTGGTTCCGGCGTGGAATGCAAGGAGCGACAAGGAGCGACAAGGGAGCCCGAAGAACGTAATCGTTTCCGCTTTTTAAGTCTTGTATTCTCTCAATTAAATAACGGCGTCTCGAGTGACGATAAATATTCAAGGCGACGTTGCGATGACAAGTTGAGACAACAAAACAATTGCAAAGAAAGTTGGAGAAGTGGAGAAACAATCACTCTGAGACGGGGCTAGAGGGTGGGTCTTCAGGCTCCAAGGCATCAACAACCCCAGAAACCACTAGTTACCCTTTAGGGAATAATTTACTCCGTACAGGACTATTTTACATCGTCAAAAGGAACCAGGATTGTATGCGTATATAATCGTAGAATCATAAATCATCCAACACCAGACACTCTGTACAAAGACATAAGAAGTAGTAATAGACATTACAACACAAGTCGCCTTCTCATACAAGTATGTCAAATACTACGTAGTAAAACTGCCACAGATATCAAACCTGCCTTCTCCCATTTGCAAAGTCTCAGAGGCGTAAAGATTATTAGCCTGTAATGACTCAAAGCCCAGCTTCACCGAATTCATCCGTCTCGCCAGCAAGACTCTGCCAGCGGCGTCATTCGACAGGGAAAAGAAACACACAGTGATAGAATAGAAAATAAAAACTGAAAGGCAAAAGTGGATAAAACAGGCTATCCTTCCTTATCGCCATGCCCTTTCAGTTTTTCAATTCCGTCACGCAGCGTCTCACGAACACTAAAGCCGCCGAACAGCCAATCATTTGAATGTCTTCCGCAGTGATTGATTGTTCCACTATATCGTTTGTAGCTGTCGCTTCTTGATCTTCCTGATGAATCGATTGTGCTAGTTGGAGAATCCAAGAAGCGATTCGGACCCAGACTCGGGCGTTGCGCATGATGAGAGGATATGGGAGACATCTCGGCCGGCGAGTAGACGCGATCAATGGATGAGGGCGATGGAAGGGATTCGGATGACATAGACGAAGACTCCACGGTCGACGACTGCAGAGGTGGTGGACTGCGCCTGCGCTTCCCGTCCGCTGATGGAGAAGATGAGCGAGGAAGAGGAGAGCGCGAGCGAATACGAGTCAAGATTCTGGTTGAGGTTGCTTCGATATTGTCAAGAGACAGAAAGCGTCTGTGTTGGGGTTTGTTGGATGGGGGAGAAGAGGGATCCGAAGAGACGCTGCTTGACGGAGAAAGAGCGTCTGGCTCCGTTGCTGTTTGTGCGTCGAATTCGATAGGACGGGTGTCTGGCATCTCCATCCAACAATTCAATCGTAGTAAAGCGGATTCAACTTGGGAGTTGTTTCAAAGTACGTGCGAGTAGATGAGCAAGCCGTAATTCAAGATGAATATATTGTCACTCGCAAGGGCAGGGGACATGCTCGTATTTATGATTATTATTTTCGTACTGCGTCTGCTGAACCACGGCATACTGAACCGAATACCCGGCAACAGAGAAATGTCGCCGAACAATCAGAACAGAGTTAATGTCCAATCATCCAATCAGCGGGACAAATTGTCCAATGAAACATAACCAGAATGCTGCCCTGTGACTGTATCGGTATAGCAACCTCCGGTGTAGGGCTTTTTTAGCTATAACACTTCACTACTGCAGCATGCCCCACCATAGCGTCCGTGACGAGTCGGTGACTGTCTCACCCGCAAGTCTCTGGTTTCTACACTTCCGAGGCCAGTTGCACGCAAACTGCTAGCAAACTTCCCCAAGAACTCACCGCTTGGGGCCGTCCGATGGGCGAACGCCAAGTCTTGCCAACTCATACTACACATGCAGTGTGATGCAGGGAGGTGATCCGTATGGACTGTGAGTCTCGGCCAGAGGGAAGTTCTACCTATCGCACCCCCTCATTCGTGCGGTTTTCTTTCACAGAGCCTCATCCCTCTCCCCATCTTTCTAATAGCCTTTTGATCGCTTCTCCTCTCCTCTTCTTCCATCGGCCTCGGTACGGGTGCCCGTAATGACTCACCGTATGCAGTCCACACATAGAAGACAACGGGAGACTTCAACGCAAGGCAAGGATATATTTCCGCGCTCGGCCAACACAACAGATCAAAGCTCATTCGATAAGAATTTGCAAGAGGTCACATGTCTTAGTCCCGTTTTGACTTGGCGATGATGCAAAGAATGAGAAGAATGCGTGTGGATTGGAGGAGAGAAAACTGCGCTGCCTCAGGCTCTCAGCTGAAGCGGGGCAGACCCGTAGCGGGACACCTCATCAGCCAATAGAATACGACATAAATCCATAATTATTCCAACCCACTATTTACCTCCTTCTAGCGCCCTTCTAGAAGGACCCCAGATTGATTGATAAATCATCCTACACTATAACTAGAGTATTCTACTCTGTATTCATTGACTACGCCAAAGCCGATCTATCCGTCCGTACAGGTCGTATCATGTCAGCAATGGCATGGGTCCTATTGGCTTGAGTTTCAATTTGGCTAAGATTGCTCATATGACTGATGCCCTTGCGGATCATGCCTGGTGACATTCCAGAACACTGAACCGCGGAACTCTAGTTGATGTCAAAATATGGTCTTCAAGTCTCTGTGGTCGTCTAGCTAGCCAAACCGGATCCACGCGATATTTCTTCGAATGTCGGGCACCATAATCTGATTGTCACCTGAGGGAAATCCAGTTACAATTTAAGGACAAGCCGGGCGTGATCAAGCTTCTAAGTTTTGGCACTAACTCCCGGAGATATCTTCACATTTTGAACCATAACGTATTAACCACAGCAAAGAGCAAAGTTCATTCTTCTGCCAACGTCCACAGCCCCGGGTTGGGCTCCCTCCACGCCCGAGGCTGCTCCGAGTGACATCTTCGATGCCGTCTTCCCGGGCGCAGCATCCACTCATTGTTATCAACCATTGATTGTGACATCACGCCTTCATCTGCCGAGGCTTTTGTGTTCGATAGAGATGGCGCACTTGGACTATTCAACTTGGCGACGTATCTTGCATTCATCTCATGGCCTTTCTCCGCGGGACCGGTAGGTTTCGAGTACGAAGTCCAGGAATCTGTCAGATACTGGATGTTATGGAGTGTGATGAATAGCTGCCGCGCTTTCCCCCAATGTATCCAGAAAAATCGCCGCAAAATCGCTGTTGGAGCTTCGCTTGCTTGTGTGATTGATGATATAATCATTTCTTCTGGAGCATCGTCGTCGCTGGCATCTGCGACGTTATAACCACTGAATGATTTCTGTTTCCGTCCTCGTCTCTGCCGCTTGGATCTTGCTCGTCGTTCCCGACGTTGTCGTTTGACATGTCGCTTTTCGACTTTGGAATCTATTATTCCCGCCGAAGACAGTAATTCTTCTTCATCCGACGAGGTATACAGAGACAGGGCGAGACCAAACGGTCGGTCAAAGGTAAAAGGACCGGTAGGTCTTTGTGTTCTCGATGTAAAGAGTGGGGAGACAATTTTCCTTGGGGAGAATCGCAGTTCTTCGACCTCTGCACTTGTTTCGGAGCCACTGAATGGCCAGGAATAGTGTCGACGGCGTGGCATGATTTGATATTCCCAAGCCGGATCTTGATGTGTGTGTGCAATTTTGATCTGACATAGAAGATTAAATCTTCTTTTCTGACATTTCACACATATGTTCAAGTATCCCCTCCACTCGGTCAGGTCTGATCACTTCCACATAGACGGTAATCAAAAATAAGCAAAATGCCCTTTCCCGGTAACGACTGAACGGACAGGTGCTTTTAAATAACCGCAAGAAAATGAAAAGACACATATTCCATCGCAGAATGTCAATATGTTTACAATCCTACGTGAAGCCGGATGCAGTGTGAATCATAAATAAGTCACATACCAACTATCACCCTTTGGACCAATGAGCCACATGAACGGCGCACACGGGCTGAATAACTTCCCTGGTCAGGTAGAGTTAAGTCACTGGGGCTAGGGTAGTCGGGGTCTGCTACGCTAAGGCTTCCCCTCCCCTTAAATGATCATTTGATACGCTGGGTAGTTGATCACATTCATATTAGTGAGGAATGTGAACTTTATCTTGGGTAATATTTCACCATCATAAACTTGCAAGGTTACTTGGGATTGCTGCTGTGGCTCTACCTAACTACCTGAAGAGATCTTCTAGGCAGATTAAGTTATCAGTCAAGGACCTGTCTATTACCTACGTACCGGATTTCCTTTGACACTTCTCGACTTTCCCCTTCAGTTTTAGTGCTCACGCCTTCGCCGCTTTTACTCACTGAGTACGGAGTAGAACTGAGCAAGCCCAGAGCGTGCTGACCAGATCAGTGAGCTTCGCATATAGTAGGAGACATGTCTTGAGATGGATGAGCACAATCTTCTGTGTATTGCTCTAACTAACAGATGTGTGTGTGTGTGTGTGTGTTGGGAAGAGGAATAATCTCACTAGCGAACGAGATTATATCCAAATCCCAACGGCGCTAAACTACATGCGGTAGGCGGCGCTGGAGACTACAGGTGAAGGAACTTCCTGTCAGAGTTCGATCAGCGTCATCTATGTGCGCTATATTTCGTCTAGTATATAGTCGATTTATATCGAGTTAATCTTCTCGTTATGGGAATAGAAAATCCATCATCAGTTTTGAAATCATCTACAAATCCATAAGGTGAGGAGACAAAGACATAAATAGGCTTGAATTTTTATAGTAGAGTTTGCGCATCTATGAGTTCTCATGATCTTACTATTCTTGTAAATGTTCCATGGAGTCATTGGCTATATTGCGAGTCTGATCTTCAAGTCGTTGTTGTACAAGAACTTCAGGTTAGATATCCAAGTAGAGGATATGAGCAGCAGGAAACATTGGTGGATCTGCGCTATCAAAAAGATTAAGAAAGATGCTGAGGATGGCGGAAAGACGGCAACTGTTGCAGGGCAGTTCATGTTCTAGTCTAAATGCAAGGAAAGGGATGTTGTTTGCAACAAGGCTGATTTGGATACTTACACTATTGGGAAATCTAGAAAAGGAGTTCAGACCACCTGGAACGAGTCTCTTTCTCACACTGGAATTCATTATCCCTAAGGATGTCTTTCAACTTCTTCAGAGTGATTATCTCTCCCAGCCAGGAATTCTGTACAGTCCGACAATAGTCGGTTTGGCATTTGGAGAAGCAGGAGTTTACTCAGTCATAGGAGTTGCTGGCCGGGATAAATTAGGGGTTCTAATTATCATAGATGTATAGACTTCCATCATATTTGGAGATATATTTGTCCTTGATCGATAGACATACAAGTAGCGTGAGTTTGAGAAACTGTAGTCAATACTTTCAGACCTGGGCTTGGGAAACAGCTACTTAAGTACCTGTGGAGAGCAGTAAGTGCATCAGTTTCAGCTGTATTGTAAGTGCAGCACTGCAGCCCAATACAGGATTGCTTTGTCTACTACTCTCACATGGATTGGCAACAAGTTGGAAGAATCCTGCAGAAATCTCTTTGTCTGAGACAAGCTTTTAGATATACATCCGGTATTAGGCATCAGAAGAGACAATGCACTAGACACATTGAGCTGACTGTTCATATAAGAATGAGAATGACTTGGGCCCTAGTTGATTGCACTACGACGCGTCCTACACATGTCGTTACGGCCGGATCTCCCTCCATCTCGCCCCCAGCGCTATCCATCTCCAACCCAGCTGCCCAGGAAACTCTGTGAGTAATACAGTAGTAGTAATTGAAATAAAAACTCTCTCCCATCTCCAAACCGATCATACTAGGAAGAGGCTGAATAGAAGTGGGCCAAGCTTTCACACTATACATTTTCCGAGTTGGCTCACATCACTGTCCCTGTAAGGAAGAAAGGATGCATTTCGACCTAGGTGCAGCGATTGAAGCTCCATGGCCGCATAATATAGAGTGGGTCGTACGCTACAGTTTCCGTTTTACAGGGTGGCCTGGAATTCTTCTCTAGATTGCAGATGCCAACTGGACATAGGGCCTGCAAGTATGGTGGCCCTATGTTTCTTTTATCAGGTGTGGTCATCACTTGGTATGTTACTAACACACCCATATCTCCTGAATATGCGGTAGAAATCAGGCAATACCTATTCACCTGACAGAACCCGGATGACAACGGTTGGGAACTTCACATTGAAGGCTCGGCATTTGGTATGGTAATGACCTAGGTGACTCTCTGTCTGCTAGGAACCAGTGAAGAAGACCCTCGGATGATCAAAGCACAAGGACTCACTCACAAGCTGGGAGCGCACTTTATGCACCTCATTAGAAAAAATTCTTGCTTTCTATTCTAGGTATCATGGACTGGAGCTGCGTCAACCCTGTTCCCTCAGAGCTCTGGTACGTTTTCCGCCCAATTGCAATGTGAACAGTTTCCGCAATATTCTAACTTCTTCAGGCTACTTCCAGATTGGGTACCGATCGCTCCTTGGAGATGGTGGATTCACATGCGCACGATGTACCTTCCAATGTCACTCCTGTGGTCAAAGTGATGGCCATTTCCAGAAAATGAGCTGACAAAACAGCTCAAAAGTGAAATCTATGTGCAGCCTTATGAAGGTATCAACTTTGCTTCATACCACAACTCTATCGCTAAAGAGGACAACTACTTATCCGAAGACATGGTTTCTCAACCTGATCAATACGTTTCTAGTGAATGTATGGACGCCCGTGTTTCGTCTGCCCTCTATAGTCAAGAAAGCCGAAGACTGGGTATGGGAGTTGATTCGAATGGAGGACGAGAAAACGGATTATGCAGGACTTGCTCCTGTCAGAAATCCCATGAACTTCGTAGCTTGCTACGTTCACGACGGAGAGGGGAGTGAATCAGTGAGGAAACATCGCGAAACCATCTATGAATACCTGTGGATGAAAAATGAGGGTATGCTTTGCAATGGCACCAACGGCGTTCAAGTCTGGGACACAGCATTCATTACGCAGGCCGTTGCTGTGGCCGGGTTTGCGAATGTTCCAAAATGGCGACACCTGTTGGCCAACACTCTTGAATTTCTGGATAATCATCAGCTTCTAGAAAATGTACCTGATCAAGAGAAATGCTATCATCAGCATAGAAAAGGAGCTTGGCACTACAGCGATAAACTTCAGGGTTATACTGTGAGCGATAATCGATTGCACGGCAGAGGACTTCCATCGACTTTGCAGCTTCAAGAGATCTATGGATATACCAAGATGATCTCTGCAGATCGATTGAAAGGCTCTGTTGATTGTCTCCTTTTGATGCAGAATGAGACTGATGGCTTTAGTGAATATGAGAGTTGACGCGGTTCCCCTCATTTGGAATGGCTGAACAGAGCAGAGGTATTTGGAGGAATCATGATCAGCTACGATCACGTTAAATGCACAACTGCCTCCATCACCGCGTTATCTCTTTTCAGCAGATTCTATTCGGACTATCGAGTCGAAGAGATCAAAACCGCAAAGCACAAAGCAGTGGAATATGTGTCCAGAAGAGAGATGGAAGCTGGTACGGAGGGTGGGGTATCTGCTTCACCTATGTAGCCATGTTTGTGCTCGAAAGTCTGTCAAGTATTCACGAGCGAATACTCCTGTCGTGGATGCAATTTCTTACTGAGCAAACAAAATGAAGATGGTGGTTGGGGAGAGTCATACCTCAGCAGTGAAAAACATGTCTACATTCAGCACGAGATGTCTCAGTCAGTCCAAACAGCTTGGGTATGCCTTGGCTCTGATGGAAGCTGATTACCCTGACCTGGAACCTATCCGAAGAGGCATCAAGCTTCGCATGTCCCGACAATAAGCGGATGGAGAATGGCTACAGGAAGCAATCGAGGGTGTTTTTAATATGTCCTGGGAAGCGAGCTCACAACTCTGCATTAGGAAACAAATGACTGACTTGAACATAGGACGATTTCATATCCGAACTACAAGTTCTACTAGCCGATTCGAGCATTAGGACTTTACTCTCAAAAGTTTGGCAATGAGGCTTTGTTTTAAGCTGTTGCTGGCTATTATGATGCTCTGGTTCTCTCACGATGTCTTATATGACCTTGTAATACTAACAGATATGCTGATAATCCTTCAATCCTCAAAGAAACATGTCGTACATACTTGGTACTCAGCCACCTGTTAATCAAAGTCACGGTAATGCATAGTCTTTCCTACCTAGGTAGGTACTCCGATTCTTATAGGGCACTGCTATCCCTCTATCTCGTATTGACGCCCTTCAATCATTGGGTACGCGTTCGTATGATCTCCTGTATTTCGGTCAACACGCGCAAGTATGAATACGCAATCAAAGGATATCTTGCCTCTCACTACCGACTGCAACATCATCATAAGTAGTTGCTGAGCTGGGCGTTTCGTCAGTAAAGAACCGGTGCACTTGCCAGGTGGTCAACGTACCACGTCTATCTGCACATGTCAGATCTGATCTGCTTCGCTGCTGGTATACAATTTTCCTGTCCGGGTTGCTGCACTCTACAATACAAACCGGGCCGTCACACGGGATGGATATCTGTTACGACTCAGAAACCTGTCGCAAAGCTTCCGAAGACACTGCTTGAACAATTAGCATCGAGAAGAGAGGTGCATAGTACAAGATATATGTCATACATTCGATACTTAGACATATGGATCTTGATGCATTCGAAATGAGCATGCGATAATTCTTTGTCTGCACGTTCATAACGAGATATAGGACGGCATTTGTTATTTGATAATCGTATACAATCAAAATGCCAAGGTCTCTTCAGTAGCGTATGTCAGTTCTGAGCTTAATGAGCAGTCAATTGGAAACCTACATCTTGCATACCAACTTCTCATTGCGTAACAACTCTTGAGTCCTGACTCCAAGTAGTCCTTCTTGAAGACTATTCAGTTGTTGAACGAAGTAAATTGCAGCTAGGAATGTTAGCAGATGTCAAATAAGAGGAGGGTATTCTTACAGTTGATGTCCGGTAGCTCTATCTCCACGCCTACACCTTTGACCATATTTTCTTGTCCAGATTCTGTCCGGAAGAGACAGTCTGCTTCAGCTATACGCACGACTGATGCATTCTCTCCGTGTGTAATTAGCGTCTGATCGCTGACTGGTAAAGTTCAGTTCTATCATCCGCGTCACCAAAGGGGTAAACAGGGGCTCACCAGTGATAGTATATTCGACTGCTTCATCCTCTATAGAGTCAGAATTGTGTATATCCAAGCGAGCATCCAACATAAGATCTGCCGCTTCATTGAATGACCACGCTAAAGTTTCAGTCAAATTCCGGAAGTGGACCATCTGCACCGCTTCGATAGGACCGGTAGAGTAACTACGTCCGTTGGCTGTAAATTTCACAGTTTCGATTTTCCCGTATAAGCGACCTGTCTCGCTTAAGTAGATTTTAGAAAGAAAGGCCGTAGTCAAAACTCGCCATAAAACATACCAAAGCATATTCAGAACAGAAATCACAGGGAGCTTGGTATATGGATTGATTGATGGGTACGCCATCAACGAGGCCGCCCCTCGATTCCATGCTTTCCTGGTCATTGTGATTGCAAGTTTGAATATGATACCATCAAATATACCCAGACATAATTCAGGTCAGTGACATGTTTAGGACGAGAGACAGAACCTTTCATACCAGATGGGGTTATACTTCGGATTATAAGGGAGGTGAGCCGGGATGCTCTCGTTAGCCATAATATTTTCCATGACTGCGAAAGTCCGTTGGAGCACACGATCAAGGTCATCTGTGATTCTGATTGGGTTATTAGAACTTATAAGATGCACGACGAGAAATTACTCACCGAGGTATTGTCCTAGTTCCTCGTCGTGTATGTCACCGTATGTAGTCCTTCGAAGCTGACAGTTACACTTGAAGACTGGTTTATCTTCATCTGGACCTCGAAGCCAGTCAACATTGAAGGATGCATTGTCGCATAAAGGAGCGGTCTCGAACAGCCCATCGTCTCCCCGGTACAAGGAGAAAGAAAGTTTTAGTGACTCCTCCTGCGACGTCGAAGGGGTTCATTGAAGCTTGTCGGACGGTCTTTCAAATTGCTCGTGAACCAAACATGGATCTCTTTCAGCATTTCATGAGCATCGTGTACTTGCTGGCCTATTTTCTGATTATTTCCGCTATTGACAGCGGCTCAGTCACGATATTTGACACCAGCAAAGAAGGCGATTACCTGTTTAATACTGTAATGGTAAGGTTGAGGCTGGTGATATGGACTCCTAAATTATGCTGCAGCCTCTTCAGGTCGCCGCCTTCTCTTGTCCATCACACCTTCTTCCAGTTCTTCTGAAGCTCCTCTCTCCATCTGTTTTTCTCTGATTCATCTAGTCCATCGTCCTTCACGATTATCATATACTTGCTCACGAGGGCTTCAAGGTGTTCCAGTGTAAAGCGGCAATTCTGCAGAATCGGTGTGATGCTGTTAAATGAGTCCCCATCTTCCTGTCCCGAGGTCTCACTGGAGAGCGATTTCAACGATTCTAGGGCATGGGTAAGTGAGATTAGTTGATTCTGCACTTCTTGGAACCCTGCGGGCGCTGATTTCCTGCCTGATGTAAACTCTTGCGAGATATCCCAGGCAAGCTTCGACAGCATTAGTATATCGCCGATGGATATCTGGAACGCCATCCTGATTGATTGCTGCTTAGCTATTCATTGAAATGACAAGGCTGTACCGGGGATGTGACTATCAACGCAATAGTCCATAGGAGTGGAGTGTTTTGCGTAATCCTTGTTACACGGTGTAGGAGCAAGGGTGCATGAGGCTGCGAGGCTGAGCGGCTAGAGACCGACAACGACAAGGCTGAAAAATGAACACGACTCGTTATAAATAGGCAGCATTTCATCCTTCGATCTCCTCTACTTCTCTATGTATCTCTCTCCCGACATCGCTGAAATCAGGATGGATGCGCTTGGCCGTTTGCAGTCCGGCCTCTTCGTTAGACGTACCATCTTAGACTCTGCCCCATACAATGAACATTATAAGAGCTTATTCCGCGGGCTCGCGCGACGCCCTCAGGTGCCTGCGAGCTGGTGCGGCAATAGTACTTCTCCCGACATGCCGACAGCTTCTCCTTCAGGAGACAGTCCTGCTGGCCACGAAGTTTCACTCCCTTTGCTGAGTGTCTCGATTGACGTGGATATTCATGGAAGATATTGCACAACAAAGGTTGTGCAAAAATTCAGTGCCGTTCCTTCGGTTTCACACAATGTGAAATATGTCTTTCCCGTTTATGATGGCTCGGTTGTCACTTCTTTTCGCTGCTGGATCGGAAATGAAAAGCTCCTCGAAGGAGCTGTAAAAGCCAAAGAGGAGGCCAGAGCAGATTTTAAACATGCTGTCTCCCAACGCAAGATCGCGGTGTTGGTTGAAGAATTAGTTCCAGAGGTTTTTGAAACGAGCGTTGGAAATATTCCCGCACAAACCACCGTCAAGGTTGAGATCACGTATGCCAACCTTCTGAAGGTGGATAATAGCACAGGAGGACTGGTACTGACGATCCCGACATCTATCGCTCCGCGATACGGAAACCCACCGTCAGAGTACAGCGAAAATAGGTCGCTTCTCACGGGGGGCCTGCAAATTAATGTTCAAGCATCGATGCCAGCAGTCATCCGCAAAATGGAGTCGAGGTCACATCCAATTTCTGTGGAGTTGGGGGCTGTTTCCCACAAAAGTTTCAGGGATTTTGTCGTGGATGCATCTTCGGACGTCACCGATTACTCCAAGGCAAGGGCAACGTTATCGGACAGACATGCTATCCTTGACCAAGATTTCGTCTTACATATTCTGTCCAGCTCCCGCGAGTCCTTACAGTCACGGGCTATTGCTGCGATGCAGCCAGGTCAGAACTCCCTTTCCACGATTGCTCTCACCTTGCACCCTGGTGATTTGTTTCGCCAAAATGTCAATGTGGGAGATTTCGCTGGCGAAATCATCTTCATGGCGGACAGATCAGGGTCAATGATGTCAAAGATCCCTTCTCTCATTAATGTGATGAACATCTTCCTAAGGAGCCTCCCTGAAAAATGCTCATTTAACATCAGCTCCTTCGGTTCTAGGCCCACGTGGCTATGGCCCTCTTCGAAAAGATACAGCCAAGAGGACATGGATATCGCCTCGCAGCATGTTAATAAATTTCAAGCAAATTATGGTGGCACCGAAATATATGGCGCGCTTGAGAGTGTTCTGGATCACTATAATAAGCAGAATGACGTACCGACCAGTGTTATCTTGTTGACTGACGGCGAGGTCTGGGATGTAGACAATGTGATAAAATTAGTGCGCAAAGCGGTCTCGGAGAGCGATACCAATATCAGATTCTTCTCCCTTGGAATTGGAGGCCAAGTTTCTCATCGCCTGGTCGAGGGCATCGGAGAGCAAGGAGGCGGTTATGCAGAGATTGTGCCGGAGTCCCTGATGAATTCGTGGCAGGAAAGAGTAATACAAATGTTGAAGGCAGCGTTGACACCATCTCGCCTTCAGTGCACTGTGGAACTTGAGGAACATCCTGTCATAAAAACATATGAGCGGCAAATTGCAGGCTATAAAGTGCAATACCCAGAGTGTGTTCGGGCTCCACATCATATTCCTATCCTAAATGCCTTCTCGCATTTTTCTCTCTACTACATGTTAGAGAGTGACTTGAAATCACTACCAAACACTATCAATATCACTGCGACCACTGATAAAGGAGAGAAGCTAACAGTACAGCTTCCAATCCTAATGATAGCTAACAAGACAACAATCCACTATCTTGCTGCGAAAGCCTTCATGAACGATTTTGAAACTGGACAAAGTTGGCTACATTCGCTTAACCAAGACTTCAAGTCCACTGATCCAACTGGTTTTGAAATGGTGTTGGAGCAAGAAGCACAGCGAGTCGGGAAAATGTGGTCTATACCTAGCAAGTGGACGAGCTATGTGGCTATTGATCGCACTACATCCCAACACCAAAGGATATCAGTTTATAAAGCTGATGCTATCAAAGTCCCTCAGTTGATGCGGGCACACAACCCACGGGATGCACTAGATCCCACAAGGATAGCCTGGGACACACCTTTCACACTCTTTGATGCTAATAGCACGAACGACACAAGCTTTGAGAGTAATAGAAAGGGCGCATTATGTTCAATCACTGCCAAGGCCTCTGGCATGAGAAGAATGAGAAAAAGCAACAGCTCCTTCAAATCAGAATTGACACTCACTAGTGAGCAAGCTACTGATGTGAGCTCTCTTTTGCAACCTGGACCAGTTGGAGATAGGGCAATCGCGCACGCGCGCATGAGTAGCGATTCAATTCCCAGTACGGCATCACGCAATACGGCATTGGACGCTACCGATACCAATGCCCTGGAAGGAATCCTCCGCTTGCAAAAAGCGGACGGCAGATTCAAGCTCGCCGGCTCTAACTTTCGAGAGCTCCTCAAACAGAAATACGTTGGCAATGCTCTTAAAAATTTCATCAACTCCACGTTTCATCAAGAGTCATCCGCCATGCGCTATCGTATCAGTGAATTGAGCGATACTATCCTTACTGTCGTCTATATAACCCATACGCATGCAGCCTCGAAAGCACTTTGGGAGCTGCAAATAACAAAGGCACGGGAATGGATCAAGCGGACTATCACAGAGTGGTTGAAGAATGATACCTCAGAGGTAGTTCCAGGCATATCACTACAAGAGCTAGAAGAGTCAATCATCGAGGAGCTGAAGAAACAAGACCCCTTTTTAGGCCAGAGTCATACTTCGTCAGAATGAGTTGTTGTTATCAGTTGGGACTGACTTTGTCCAATTCCCTTTCTTATTCGCTTGGCAGATAAATTCTTAGTCTTCGTTCGTGAAATTCGACCTCTTGCTATTCAAAACAAGTCAATAGTATAGAAGCGAGTCCCTTAACATAAATGAGGTTGTTCTATTGGGTCTTAAGAGCTTGGTTACGCTAGGATGAATACTTACGGAATAGGCAAATAGCAAGAACTAGGAGCTAGGAATTTTTCATGTGTTGTTGCACACGCTCTAATACAAGACTTGTCGGGAATGTTGACCTCTTTTATATGTGAAATCCTGTACAAACTAGATCGTGAGATGATGTCCAGTAGAGCTGATTGGATACGCCCATATCTCGTCAGTATGTGAATTCTAGTTCTCGAAATTTCTTCATGTTAGTAGTGTAACGGATTCCTTGACTCATTCCCGATTATCATAGGGATAGCGTATTGCGTTCCAACAGGGATTAGTCTTCCTCCTTCACGTACTGCGTACCGCGGGGTTCTTCCTACTTACGACTGCTTCAGGAGAGTCAGCCGCTCGCCTTCGCAAGTTGCTCGTCATCTCTCACGCAGTCAAGACTTGATTTTCCCATCCACCTCCCTATGTACATAGGCTCATAGTGCTATTACAATACAAAGACACTTGCCTCTCTGACGCTGCGGTCTAACGCGTTTACGCGTATATTGCACGAACAATCTGCCGTATCTGAATCTCATATGGAGTGGAGGTTGTACCAGTCATACGGAGCAACTCCTGAGAGAATTCAACGTAATCTTGCCGCTAGAAGATAGCATAAGCCCAGTTTGAATGTCCTGGGAATTCTCTTTGGAAGAAAGACAGAGTTCTGAGGGATAAGTGTATGAAGTTGATAGAGAAGTTTAAGAAAGCCCTGAGCAGCTAGATCACCGTCATCACATTTCTCTGCCCCCCGTAGCACTGGATCCGGTAGCAGGGGTAGATCTAGGGTTTCTCGCACGGAGGAATCCGAAGTGGAAAACCAGGTCAGCCATTTATTAACCCATGGCCGTAGGGCTCCTACGAGCGATTCTGGCGGATCAATTGTAGCTTGAGGAAGGAAGTAGTTCCCATAATTAGTTGGCTTGTAGCCAGCTAATGTATGAAAAAATGGACGAGGGAGCTCTAAGAGATAGTAGTTGTTTATACTATCTTGATTTGAATGGCCCACTCGATTATAGAGTTCTCACCCACGCCCTGGAGCTTAGCGTAACGCACGCTTCCGGATCTTCCTGAATGGGTCTTTTTTTTCGTGTTCAATCTAATGACTTCGAAGACGTGGTCGGTCCAATACAGTTGGATTTCGTACGAGAAGCCAGTTTTGGCGGTTGACCCTTTAAAGAAGTGCAGATCGTACCATTGCTGCCGCTGGTAGAACTGAGGAACTGGTTCATACTGTATCTCCCATCGATAGAATATATAGAAGGCTGATTATACAAAGTAAAGGATCTTTGTGGCATAAAATGGCCATATATTCCAGCTGTCCAAACCGATTCGTCTTCCTATCAAGTTTCATTATGATTATAGGCCAACATGAAGTTGGCCCTTCCTCTATATTCATCATGAAGACCGCATAAAACAGCCTGTAATGGCCAACTTACATTCCGTCTAGGTATTTCTGGTTTGTCGGTTCTGATATCAACTTGAAGAGGGAGACACAGCTTGAAAAAATTGAACTGTTAAGGGCCTGTTGAACTAGTTGAACCCAGATGATAGAAAGGAAAGATGTCGTGCGCCTAACCTGGGAGGCTTCGTACAAGAAACTCGAGCATGGCAAAGCAAGAAAACATCCCTCCTTTCAAGAATTGCCTTTAGTCACGGGCTAAAACCATCTTTGAAAATCCCTGTATGATCCCAACTTGTTAAGCCTCTTGTGATCCTATGTGTTCGCACTCTGCACGTAACTCACTTCATCTGATGTCTGCCGATGATAGATGATAAAATCGAAATATGTAAAGGTACATACGCATGTTGTACTTGTCAAATTCAGCATTATTGCGTCTATTGCTGACGGAAAGGTGTTAGACACGACAGAGCAGGAGAATTCAGGCAAGGACATGGCTAATACTGCCCATCGGCTCCTTCCTATTCTTCGAGCTTCCACTTTCCTTACGCCGACTAAAAGGAAAACTCCAGGCGGCACAAATATCCACGATTCTCTTCCTGTGACATTCGACGACTATCATCTCTATCATTATGGCGAGACATTGAACAGAGTGGTGCTTTGAACTATGGCACCGTTGCGCTTACCAAAATCTCGCCCCCGATCGCCATCGCCGTCTCTGTCAGTACAAACAGTAGCAGTGGTTGTGCTTCGCCAGCTCCGGCGTCTTCAAATTCTCGCGTATATCTTGATGGGAGCGTCTGCCGCGTTTAGCGCCGCTTTTCTGATCTGGAAACTTGGATCTTTGTTTCAGCAATTCACATTGGGAAGAATTCTAGAAGAGCGAAAGCCGGTTGAGACTCGATACGTGAAAACGTGGTATGGTTGGATTCCGCAAGACCGATATAACGCTAGAAGACGGAAATGGAAGAATCTGTATTCGATATTCTGGAATTGGTTATCGTGGGATGATAGTGACGATTACAGCAAAATATGGTGGGATTCGCACAGCGGAGGAGACCAGATGCGTTCCAAGAGAAAAATTGGCTCCTCAAGAAGGCGCTCGATACAAGCTTCATTGAGAAAAAGAAAACTAAACCATACTGTTGCCGATGCTGTCGCTACGGAAAGGGATATCCCGGACCCTTCCAGTCCCCCCAATACCTATATTTTACCGCATCGACCTTCACTAGCATACCTTACTTTTCCTTTCCACTTGAAACGGCTCAGTCCGGCAACGACTGTTGACAAGAATGGTTCTTTTCTTGCCCCGGTAGGCGATGGCGCACTTCAAGGAAGAATCCCGCAGCCAGAGAAAGCTTCTCCCGAATATCCAGTGTTGATGGGCAGAGTCTCTACGCATGCTATGACTCGTAAGACTCAACAGTTAAGGTATCTCCGAAACTGGGCAACTCGTTTGGAGATGGGCAGTCTGCAGTCGGTTCTACCTCACCAGTCGGGGATTCTAGGGCGGCCAGGAAGTCCTATGACCCCTGATACTAGCAGCGGCTCTGGCCTCGGGCCAGACTCTGGTGGTATATCCCCTTCAGATACAAGACAGATTCGCCAGGAACAAATCGAGCCCTTCTCCAAAGCTCTTGCAAACAGACGATGCGAGGTCTTAGATGTCGAGTTGCGTTTTATGGATACCCTGGACAGACACCTCGAATGGTTACTCAATGAGTGTCAGCCTGGTCAACGTGGGTTCAAATTTCCCATACTACCCAAGAACTGGATCAACAATCAGAAATGGCTCGTTTACGTCAACCCTTGCGGTGCGTCGGTAGAATACATGCGACGATACGCACAATGCGACTTTGGGACAGCTGACTATAAGGAAAGTAATCGTAGAAGAAGCTCGGCTCCAGTCAGCCGCAGAAGAGTGCGGGCTGATTCTATCGAGTCATGGAGAGCTGCTATCAACAAAGTACGCCTCAATCACGATATCGCGGAACTGCGCTCAGTCGAGGTCTTCCTGAGCTCGGCGGAAGATGTTTTCGAGTCAGTGATTGACCCAGCAGATTGGATGCTCCGGAGGCCACCGCAAGGATTCGAAATGCCTAACAGACAGAGAAAAGCGTATTATTACGGTGGAATGGGTAGATGGGCAAAACTCGAGGAGTGGCAGATGGGTGGTGACACGAGTGATGAATCCGCTAATACCTGGAAGAATCGAATGGATGTTACCGCAAGATTGGAAGAGTCTCGAAAGGAGTTTCGACACAATCACGCCGAGATTGTTTGTTCATGATCACCGTCAATCTTTTTCGGTTGCCTTGCAACACTTTCATATCCTTATTCATGCATGAATAACTGCACCATATTGTTTTGTCTACTTAGATGATAGTAAGTGTTGATAAAAAGACGAATGGATTTTGGCAAAAGAGCAGTCTCGCATAAATTTCCTTTGCTAACCTGTCCTCTAATATCACATTCAACGCCCGAGACAATTCCAAGTAGATAATGCACAAATTGACAAATAAAGCTGGATGAATGGTTTCATCGAAGTCGCATAATATACAGTAGTGTTTTGGAAGCCGAGGCCCGGTGCACCGTCAAGAATGCGCGGTGTGGACTCAGGCCTCGATGTAGGTTTGTCTTGATCTCAACAATTCGAGAAAGGATTGGTATAAGTGGCCACTAGCCAATGGCGGAGACAAATCGGATGGCGCCGCACATTAGAAACCAGGAGGGTTGACACGTTGGCTGACTCTCGTCCATTTGGGCAATTCTACAGACGCATGTATTAGATATCTTTGGTTGAAAGACTTTCGAATGTTGCCAATTCACACAAGGCCAGAAGAAAACTTACTGTGAATACCCTTGCGATAATTCTTCTCCTTCCGGTCGTATATCGAATATTTATCCTTCGGGAGCATTTCCTCCTCCCGCGGCATTTCGGCGTACCATCGCTCAACAGCTTTCACCTGAGGAAGTCCATTGCGCTCAAGTGCTGCGGCAACGGTATCAACGACCTGATCAACTGCGCGGAGACGCTTGCGCTGGCGGAATTTCTGGCGACTGGAGAGACGCCATGGGATTTTCCTATATGATCGGAAAAAAAGTTTTGGTTAGCTGTTGTTTCTTCTATAATGCTTCAGGGATGATGTCCCAAGACGAGAGGGATGAAGTACCATAGCAGCCCTCCTAACAGTGGAGAGGTAGCTTTGAACATGTTGAAAGAGAGTGGAAGCTGGGGAGACAACAGCGTAAAGGTTCGTAAAGTGTTGGGATTGAAAGAAGTCGAGGAAGCCGCGGAGGAGGAGTGGTCCGTGCGCGCATCCACGAGTCACGGGCTGCCATCGTCAGTGGCCAGTTCAACAATTTATTTTGTTTCTTTCTTCAATTCAACTACAGTCGCTCCTTTTTCTTTTCTCTTTTCTTTTTTCCTCGGGGCTTGTTCAATTGAGATTCGCTTTTCAATGCGCTGAATACACGACTGCACAAAGTGCTCTGAATTGGGATTTAGCCCGTTCGTGAGTGCAACTGAGCGCCAACCATCATGTCTCTAGGAGCAACTACCGAACGGCCCTCGGCCTGGTGGAGGGCCTGCTCGTCAATGACTATGTTCCAGGTTGGCGCTCTGTGTAGGAGCTTTTTACTGGGATTGAACAAATTGGAAGTCAATGGACTGGAGCAATTTACAGAGCTACTGGATTCGCGCCGAGATCCATCCAAGAGGACGCGCGGGTTAATTACAGGTGGGTTTACATGCTCTTTTCGCAAGAGATAGAGGCTAATTGCTTGATGTCAAACAGTATCTAATCACATTAGCGTGTACGTACGTGCAACAACACTATACAAACAACACTTTCCAACATGTCGCTGATCTGGAGATTAGTATGGATGATCCTTTGATGTGGGGAGCTTTACCATTTAAATACCACTTCAACCTACCTTCTTATAATCGGCGATGGGGGTTTGGTAGTCATGATATTTGTTGGGCTACTCGGTAAGAGCTGAAGCCACCTTTAGTCGGGGTCACTGTGACTTATAACTCAAAGTGCCGGAGGAGCTTTCTTCACACTTGGACAGGTTCTACCCACACATCGACTCGCGTACTCACCTTACGGCGGCTTGTTCCAGCCTACAATGACGCAGGGGATTCGGCTTTTGTCTAAAGGGCCGTTCCCCGCTGACCCTCATTTTGCGAATATCGAGCGCCAACGCTGGAGTCTTCGAAACGTCTGTGTGGATCCGTTTTCCGATCTTCCTACCGCATACACTACCACCGGCGAGGATTCAATCATGGCCCCCTCGTCATATGCGTGCAATTCCTATTCGTGGGTTCATATATTTCCGGAAGGGATGATACACCAGTCTCCGAAGAAGGTTATGCGGTATTTCAAATGGGGCGTTTCTCGTCTCATCTTGGAGTCATCTGAATGCCCCGATGTCGTCCCGATCTGGATCGAAGGCACAGATGAAGTCATGCATGAAAATCGCGGGTTTCCACGCTTTCTCCCTCGGGTGTTTAAGCGTGTTAGCATCACATTCGGCGATAAAGTTGACAGGGAAGCTGTTTTTGGTGACTTGCGACGACGATGGCAACAATTGAAGGAGAAGGCGGCAAAACGCAATGCATCAGTAGCGCAGCTACCGCTCGGAGTGTTGAACGAGGAATTAATGTACGGGGAAGAAGCCGTTGAATTGCGGAAGGAATGCACTAGAAAGGTTCGCGATCTGGTGGTCGCTTTGAGGCGGTCTCGAGGTCTATCAGATGAGGATCCTAAGGCCAGTCTTGCGGAAACTTGGGCGCAAGAGGGCCCGAAGAGGGAAGGAAAAATGAATGATGAATCTTGGGTGCGGGACACTTGAGGGGGGAAAAAAGTGTACATTATTAGTTGTCTAAAAGAAGAACTGTAAATGATACGATCACTTTATCAGTGAAGTCATTAGTGAGGTAACCCATTTTGGAAAGTGGCGGGCGAATTCCTCAAAACCGGCGTCGAGGTTACCTCTTTTGTTCTTCCACTCTCCCACTATACCCATCACATAACGCTTGTTGTCCTCCATGCCCAAAAAGTACAACAAGTACTCCTCTATTAAACCTGCTAGTACCGTTCATCCCTCGTTAGAATCGTCAACCACCAAACGGCAGTATGGTAACTCTTCACGTTCAGGATCTGAGACGACCTCGTCGGTAAATGACCTCATCCACCATCTTCGTCGAACCCAGGTCGCTGGTACTTCTAACGATAGCCCTTCGAATACTTCACGGGCCTTGACGCAACGCTCGCTTCATCCTTCTCTCAGGAATATCCTCGATATCCCAGAGACACCGCCACCACGACGACGCTCAAATGCGCGGCCAGTAGGTGGCCGGTTGTTTCGTAGAACTCCCGGGCCTCCACCTCCGTCTAGCTGGCTACAAACCCAGGCACCAAGAAACGAGACGGATGAAGTTCGCGGTATTTCAGTAGGTCACAATCAGGTCATTTACCGACTTGAGCGACTTCCCGGGGTGAAGTTCCCGCCGAAGGATGGCTTGCAACATGCCGTGTTGAAGTCGATGGCAGTCAACTGGCCATGGCATTTGGAGTATGACAATGAGTTTTTATTAGAGATTCCAAGTCGGCTCAAACTACTGTTGTTGAGCTATATCGCTACACATATGTCCAGATCTGATACTACGTCTTCGGCGAATATTCTTAATTACTTTTTCTCATCGCCAGAGGCAGCATCCGGAGATGAAGTGGGTTATGTTACTCGCTTAGATTTGAGTGGCGCAGTCGGGAACTGGATTAGTATGAAGCTTTTAAGCAAGCAACTTCTGCTTCCTCGCAAGGAGAAAAGCACGCCGGTCATTAAGAGGGAAGAAGCGGTCCCCGCATCATGGGATGATAGTGAGGATTCGACTGAGGCCGCCGATGCGCATTCTGTATCGTCGCCGAGTTCGCCTCTCTTCAAATCACCATCTCAAGTTCTCCGGTTCCCAAATCTGAAATACTTGTCTCTTGCCCATCCCAAGCGTACAGCAGCTAATTGGGGCTCGCTTCTTAATCTGCTCTCGCACATCTCTACACTCACTCATTTGTCCCTTGCGCATTGGCCAATCCCAACACTGACTCCAAATCTAATCAATGAGCGAGTGAAGCATCCAACGATAAGATCTGTGTCGTTTGCTGCGGGTGGCACGGATTCGTACAGCATTGACGAAAACAACTGGGTTGAAGCCGTGAATATCCTACGCAGACTTTCTCGTGCAACATATTGTCTCAAATGGCTAGATCTGGAAGGATGTGGTGAGTGGTTTGGAGCTCTTAGCTGGGACGGCCGCACTTTGCACGACGATGAACCGTTCCAAACGCTTGCATCAGCATGGAATGGATCATGGCGAGATATTGAGTGGATCGGCCTCGGCCCTGGCTGGATACCTTCAGAAAATATTGATGCCGATGATTCCACCATCTCATTCCTTCCACTCGCTGCATCTAGGCATTCTCCGGCATCCCAGCCACGAGGGGCACAGGTGAGAATTTCCGATAACGATCTAACCTCTATGCTCACGGAGCAAGATCTACGAGACGCTGAGATTGCGCGCGAGAAGCAGCGTCGAGTCAATGAATGGAAGGCATATGAAGAAACTTTGCGAAAGGCTCGTCGAGTTGAGAAGCATATTCATCGTGTCCGGCGTGAAGGTGGTGGGAAATGGATACATTTCTCTTTCGGGGTTGATGGACTAGAAGAGAGAAAGGCATTGGACAATGTTTTGACCAAAATCGATTCATAAAGCGTACTGCTAGGGCTCGCTGTATAGATAGAATATGGAACTACTTCTTTACTTGAACCGAAAACCAAGGTGAACAACAGTTCAATTTTGATGTACACTAACCATCCAAATACTTTTATACGTAAATCTTCATAATCTACTTCTTCCGCCCCTTTGCATTAAAGTTCTTGAGGGGGTCCGCCTTCTTACCAACAGCACCCCGTCTTCCCTTACCTCTATTCCTCTCCCTCGCCTTCCGAATCCGATTCTCACTCGTCTTCCCAATCCCAACGCCATGCCGCTGCGAATCCTCCGCCATAAGGCCCTGTTTCCCCTTTGACGGCATCAAATAATCCGGCACATGCTTTAAATGCGGCTGAATCCTGACTGCACGAATCTCACCGTCATGTCTCAAATGACGCAGTTCATCAGGGTTTTCCTCGAAATGGCGACGAAGTTTTTCGGATTTGATGAGTTCCTGCCTGATTTCTCGCGCACGTGCTTCCTGGATTGCTAATCGAGTCACTGCGCGAAGGGCATCGGTCATACGGTATCGGAAGGATTCGACTTGTTTCATTTCAAAGTGGTAGGGTCTCACTTCGTGGCCGAGTTTGCCCTGACGTTTGATTATCTTGGATAGGACGGCTTCGTCATGTTTTGCGGTTGGGTAGCTGGTTGGTTTGTGTTTGCCGTATTCTTCTTTGGGAACGACGAAGGAGAGTGCCATTCCTGTCTTGCCGGCGCGACCGGTACGGCCAATACGATGGGTGTAGGATTTGGATGTTGTGGGTAGATCGAAGTTGAGCACACAGGCGACGTTCTGGAAGTCGATGCCGCGAGAAATACCGTAATCTTTCTGCTTACCGGATAGCTTTTGCTTTTTATTGCTCGTCGATGCGCTTTCATCTGGTTGGACCTCGTCATCGCTTGATTCTTCTATTTCTGCTTCGGCATCGTCGTCGACCTCATTAGAGTCGGCATTCTTGACCGCAGCTGTCTTTTTGATCTTTTTCGTGCCGAGGACTTCTTGGTCATCGGCTGCAATGATAATGTCATATACACCTTTGTTAAATTCCTGCACAACATGGATGCGCGAATTGGCCGGAAGCTCTGAGTTAAGGACACAGCTTTTGATACCGAACTGCTCCAGAAACAATTTGAGACGGTAACAACGATCAATATCTCCAACAAAGATTATACATTTTCCCTTAACAAGCTGTAGCTTGAAAATAACGTATGTGAGAAGGAATTTCTCGTCTTCGGCGCAACGCACAGCGAATTGACTAATGCCACCACCTTCATCTTCAGCTTCGGTCAATTTCAGAATCACGGGATTCCGACAGAATAAGCCCTTCAATGTGTCGACTTCAGATGTGAGAGTTGCGCTCATCAAGAATGTCTGAACTCCTCGAGGAACAGCTTTGGCTAAAGCATTGATATCATCTTCGTAACCATACGATAACACCAAATCGGCCTCATCAATCACCAATTGCCTAAGATGATCCAAAGATAAGGCGGAGTTATTCACGTTGGAAACCACTCGTGCTGGGGTGGATATGATAATGTCGGGAACATCAGCGAGCATCGCGCGTTGGACTGAGTCGGATACTTTTTGGGTCAAGTTGACGGAGCGCACAGCTTTTCCGCAGAACGACGAAAAGGATACAATGACTCGTTGGACTTGCTCGGAGAGTTCTCTCGTCGGGACCAGGATGAGAGCAGAGGTTTCTTTCAATGAGAGATCATTCTGAAATAATAACCTGTCAGTTTATGTCCAATTGAATCTTTATAAGACAATACGTACCGATTTTCTCTGTAAGATGGATTGCAACACTGGAAGAACATATGCCGCAGTCTTACCCGACCCCGTCTTAGCCCGCGCTGATTCAAGTTAGCAAAAATTGACATTTCATTATTTGAACAAGATGAAAAATACCTAGTATATCCTTCCCCTCGAGAGCTAAAGGTATAGCCTTGGACTGAACCAGCGTCGGCTTCGAGAAGTTTTCCTTCACCAGTGCTTGGCGTAATCGCGGATCAAGAGGAAGACTTTCGAATGTGATTTGAGCTTCATTCTCTCCTCCTGTGGCGTCTGTTGATGGAACGTCGTTAGCATCTAGCTTGCGCTTCATTTTTACAATATATCGTGTCAGAGCTGTTGTTTTGCTTTGATAAGAAGAAAAATTATTTTTGAAGCTTGCAGAACTTATCCGGCCCGCCATATTTTCCACTTCACCGCCTACGGGCCCACTTTTACTACAGGGTTATTAGGGTTATATTATCACAACATCGTCAACTTTGATCAAATTCAGTATTCATTCTGAAACTATACATCAATAGAGAGGAGATCGTATTGTTTATCTGATATCAATCTGTCGTATACCCGAACTCACTGTCGCACAAAGTCGTTCTGTTGACACGTAATCTCCCGAAACTATCAAAATTCTCAAATCAAAAAGCAGACACGAAAATATGTTGACGAAGCAAATGTGACTAAGTCGTTTAAAGGAAAACACGGATGTTTAGCCCCTGTGGATTGCTGCATCGTTGTATAGATCACTGACCAAGGAAGGGAAGAATATGACAAGACAATTGAAAATGAGTATCGTCACGCACAGCGCGGCCTAGAAGCATCGAGACCATTGAGGGAAGCTTGAGTATTATCTTGGATGGATCACCACAATATGACCTCTATTCTCTCCTAATAACGAAGCGCATCGCATCTCTCATTCACGTAGGCGCTAAACATGGGCATGGAATGATCAGAAATCCAGCCGATGTTGCTGATCTCAATGTTATGCTGGATCGTATGCAAATTTCCAAAATTTACACGCGACATAGGGTCAAGAGTCTCTCTGTGTGATGCAAGGGAGACGGCCAGTGGCTGCCGCCTCACTATTGGCTCTTCCTGTGACATTATCGGGCCACCTTGTCTTTCATCATACAGGACAGCATGACTGTCGACATGGATGCCATGTTTTGCTAATCCCCGTCCGCCATACGTATAAATAGCTCTGAACCGAATCAAATTCTATTGATTAGTGTTCCCTCTTGGCACAAAAGAAAATTTGGACATGGGTATATTGCTTACACACAGGTGGAACTGTTACTGCCCGGGTATGTCGAGATGACTATCATACGACGCGACGAAGCGAAAAATCGACTACCATGCGAATCAGACAATACCTGACTGTTACCACTCTTGCTGCCATCTGTTTGGCCAGCGTTTTCAGGCCAGCGCACAAGAAAAATCTAATAACCAGGGTTAGATGGACGAGTCGCTAGAGTATATCGAGGAAGACTCACCCTTCCAGGCGTGAAATAACTACTCGGCTCTATGGCCCATGCTATGTCGACATCAAGTCACCCAATTGAGCTGCACAATTGCTGCTGCCTCACTTACCTCTATTCAGAAAGTATCGAAATCTGTATCCGGAAATGGAATTGTTCCTGCTTCTGCGAGGTGTTGTTGTCGGTGACAGAAATTGATTGGATGACAGGGTATTCTGTGAATACCAGGTTGCCCCATTGACTGTTGGCGACAGCTGTTGCGAAGCCGACATGTCATTGATGTACGCTTCATTCATGCCCCCCCGGGCACCCCACGTTTCCCTTTCAGGTTCTGGGCTTGGAGTTGGTGCAGGGTCACCATTACCACTAGTCACATCAGCTGGTTTTCGACTGATCTATAAAGTCAAGAGACCAACCCATTGTCATATTCGCGCAAGTCATTATGCGGTAGTACTTCGTATGTCTGTCCGTTGGGGTCAGGATGGTAAATTAATTCGTAGCCTATAACTTGCAAGTGTCAGTTACATAACGTCTGCCTTGTGTATAAGGATGGCTGCGTCTAATTGGGTATGCAAAGGAGTAATTGATTACCACATTGGTAGCCCTGATGAGCCATTTTCAGTTGCTACCTAGGTCACAAACGCTACTGCCTCAGGTACCAATGCCAATAAGCTTTGATATGGGTAACATAGACTCGAGTATACCATATCCCGGAGCGCATAAAAGCCAGGCCTATATATATCGCATGCTCCACAGAGATACGCAACTTTGGAGGAGGCCCTTCCTTCATTGAATGCCTCATTTTGCTCGTTCATATATTGACCAAATATTGGGATGCGGCTCAATTACAAAAAAGTACCAATCGAACATACTGTATTTAATGACCCGACTTGATGCCTGATATCTTAGAGTAACTGCTGCATCCACCAATGAGGCCAGTCAAAAGAGAGTGCCCAGCTGCGCTAGATACGCTAGCCTTTGTTACGAATACTTGGAAATCCCGAGATACAGCGTCGAAACTGTGTGTTTGTAGCAGGGGGTTGTGTCATCTCGCATCGAGATGATTTGGCGCGCAGCATCGTTAAGTGAACGTGATAGGCTGCATGATAGGGAGGAGGTATATATTTGAAGTGTACCAGACTCGGAATCATCGGAATGGTGTGAGGAGAAGGAGATGATATGGAGTGCGTGTTACGCTTTCGCCTTCCTATTCGGGACAGCATGTAGGGTGTGGTTGTATTAATATGTGCGTGCACCAATGTAAATTGCGGGAGCCTGAGGATGAATTTCAATTTGGCCTGTGACTGTATGTGTAACAAGCTGATCAGCTGACTCGTAATTTATCGAATCCATATTTTTCTTTTCTTCGCTTATTGACTGATTAATTCTTCCTGCAGGATTCATGCATACACATATCGCCGCTAAAATGTCATAAAATTGCCCTCCACCAAACTGTCACCAGAAAGCTACGAGGCAACAATATCGAGTTGATGGGTTTGCAGACCACGATGAATACGCTACGAAGATGCCACAGCGCGCCTCTTGATATTCAGAGCCTAGGGAGACTTGACTCGGGATTTCAGTTATCTGTATCCACACGAAGACAAAAAGGAACAAAGAGTTTGCGCCTTCCATCCATCAGCTCAGAGCGTCTGCGTACAGGTCAATATCCGAACTCGGAAAAGCTCCTTACAACGTTGGAGCCAATATCGCCCCTGTTCTCCGATAGCCAGCAAGTTCTGGCTGGGCTCGATGTTCCTGATCCAGATTCATCAGAACGAGAAATCTCTTTTCAGATTGAAGAAGGTATTATACATGAATTCAGTGACAATAAGCCGAGCAAAAGAGAAACGACCATTCAGAATGGTGAAGGGTTTGCAGATACCAATAGTCAAAGTCGACCGCCTAAAAGAATATCAGACGCAATTCAGCTGGTAATCAACGACCAGCAGAAAGTCTCTGGTATGCGAGTTCAGCTTGCTGAAATGCGTTCCAGTCTCGATGAGAGCAGAAACTTGCAAATTTATCAGTGGACAAATGCATTGAAGGAATTAAAGTCAATATTGAGCAATGCTCCAGGTGAAAAGGGGAATGTAACGACGAAGTCTCTTGAAACAATTCATCAGGATTCCGACGAATACTTAATTCGCGAGAACGAGTATCAAAATTTTCAACGTCGGCTAGAAGCAGAAGAAAGCTCACTGCAACGAAGAGAAACATATGTGGCAGAACTGTTGCGAGAATTCTCCTCGAGGAGCCGTATGACTGAATCCTATATCAACAACCCTAACAACAAAAAAGTTTCTAATGTTCACCAAGGTCCGTGGGCAATGACAGGAAATGATGCAGACGCAAACATAATAAGTGCCCAAATGGAAGCACATCCGTTGATCGGGAAGTATCTCTCTGCATTAGGAGATGTCCGCATGTATGAGGAGAGGCTAGCGGAACTTTCACTTGAGCATGCTGAGATAGCTGGACGGGAAGCCTCGTTTGCTCTTGTTGATAGATCTCTGGATGAAGAGTCTCAAGAGTTTCTCGCCAACTATGAATCAGAATACCTCGAACTGGAGCGAATAATAGCAGATAAGATGGACGCTGCAGTGTCGCTCAGAGAACAATGCGAGAAGGAAGGCATACCTATCCCGTCAATGATTGATGAATTTGATACAGAGCTAGATTTTGATATTAGACAAGCCCTCCCTCAAGAGAGAGACCTCTTATGGATCTCTGAACTGGACGAAGAGAATACCTTTTATGAACTGGCGCAATCTAAGGATTTCAATATTTATAATTTCATCAATACGTGGATATTCCACCAATTGCGGCACTCGACATCTCAGATATATCGATATAAATCAAATCCACGTCTCCAAGGTCTGAAGATTGATGAAGATAGTCTCAGCGAATGGGCGATGCGACTTTGGTTTCAGGACGGGAATGCCAAAATGGCCTCCCCGTTACGTTCGCCAGAAGCTAGCGAATGATTAAGAAGTGGTCACATCTGATTTAACAACATTAATGTCAAGTGGTGGTACACTGCTTTTGGGAAATAATGTATTCCGGTATCTTTGGTCTCTAAACGTATTGAGTACGACTTGGAAGCTACCCTAAATAGGTTGGGGTTTAAATTAGCACTCATAAGTATTCTCAAATGAATTTTATCTTTGCTATGAGTAGAGAATCTTGGACATAAGGGCTCATAGTGCATTCCTAAAGCTGAAATGGAGCTTTTGGAGCCGTATTACAAATATTTCCTGATTAGGAAGGTATTGGTCCAGTTAGGGTTTGTGCAACGCCGTCCTGACGTCCAGCCCCTCGAAGGCACGTAACGCTAACAGCCAATGGGTGGCTACAATATTATAACAACTTCAAATACACGCGAGGCATGCTGGGTAGAACTCATTGCAATGTTACGTCCTCGAATGAGGTCTCTACCTAGTACCTACTTGTGTCAACCTCGGATTAAAATCTCTGATCGAATGCAAAAGTGCGTCTCAAAGGGTGTCTAGACATGCATTCCCATCTACGCATCTTATATACACGCGTGGAGTTATTGATGCATTAGAGAAGACACGTCTTGGAAGACAAATGACGACATGGTGGTATTTACGGGGAGTCCCTTTACTAGCGCTATCCACCATCTCATTACCAACTTATGCTATCTACTGAAGCCGAATGGGAACCGGTCACGGCGATGATGGGAGTTGATCTATTGTATTATCCATGTCTAACCACTCATTACGCTCATCTCTCCTCCTATCGCAGTCAAACCATGTGCCGTCCCCAACTGACGGCTAGCATCCCCTGCTCACCCTATTATGTTGCTGACCAGCTAGCAAACTGAGAGCAGCATCGGTATACCAAAAGGGCATAAAAAGAATAAACTTTTGGGCTACCCCCCAAAAGAGCCCGAGTCAGAGAAGAAAGCAGAAAAGAAATTGGAATGAGTAGTCTTTCGCATCAAAACAACCGCTAGTGGTATCAAAAAAAAAAGGAAAAAAGAAAAAAGACTCGCATAGGAAATAGAAATTCAAAAGTGCATCATTTTAATGCCACAATCGGTGAAATAGAAAAGAACAGAGAGAGTTGTGAAAGTAGCTAGATCTCTAAATCATGTTCGAGTCATGTCCTGAAGCCAGTTCACTAGTATGCCGATATCTTGAACTGTCCTGCGTTCTCGTATCGGAACCTCGCGTATCAGCGCTCGTTCTGGAATCCTTTCTCGACGAACCGGTATGTCGTCGTTGAAACTTCCCATCATCAGAATCTGGGCTAGGGATAGGATATAATGTTCCTGGGGGAGAAGCCGGTAGACCAGATGCACGTCGAATTTGTTGTATCTCCTCTTGTAGTTGCGTCACTTGATTTTCGAGCGCCTTCCGAGCTGTTTGTTCGCGCCGGACTAATGTTACTAGAGCGCTGTATTGCTCGATTGAGATTCCGTTAAGGTTCATTGATGACCAGGAGTTATTTTGCCATGGTGGAGGTTGAGAATAGACCATGTTCGGTCTCAGAGTCGCAGTACTGATAGGTCGATCCTCTCCTCCGCCAAATGAGGCAGAGCTTTGAGTTGAAACTTCACTAACAATTGATGATGCATCATTCAATGATTTCGCGGCTGAGTTTGGAGATAACGTTGCGTTCCTTTGTCCCATTGGGATTTCTGGAGACTTGGAAAAGACATTGCTATCTGTGCCTTGTATTTTCGAGATGGCAAATTCCAAATCCATAAGTTTAACTTCGATTGTTGTTAGTCGTTGTTCAACGGTAGCATCGGGGTCAGCCATGCTAGCTATAAGATTCTCGAACTGGAAAGGCGGGGATGTCGGTTCATTCACTAAGGGTAGGTTATCTTCTTTGGCACTCTTTGGTTCCTGATTCTCTGGTAGTGAATCTATCCTCGGTTTTCGGTTGCTGTTGCTAGGTTGTGCTTCTCCCTCGTCATGGGGCTCCTCCATTTCTAGCACACTTGTTCTCCAAAATTTGATTTCATCACTACGTCGCCGCCATTGAATTGGAGACATTCGATGATGTCGCACAAGGTCTCTTAAGGCATCAGCACTCCTCGATCGGCGGTGGGCTCTGAGACTAGGCTGTGATTTCGAGTCCTCGTAGTCTTCATGATGCTCATTCTCTTCGCGGCTCTCGTTGACCATACTCACAGGTCTAGTACTCGTAGGAGAAAGGCCGGAATAAATTGACCCCTTAGGATCACCGTCCTCGGTGAGGATCAGACTCGGCAGTGTTGCCCTTCGTCTAACGGTGCGAGCTGGAATCTCGATTCTTTTATCTTCAGCTGTTGTCACGATTTGGTCCGATGATGCGGACGAGAGTTGACTCGCAGGAACAGATTGTTTTCGCCTGGATACCGATCGTCCACTACTAGAGTCTGATTTATGTGCTGTCTGAAACGACGGTCCGTTTAGCCCTGTAGGTGTCGCCAAAGGCTGACGCTTTACAGTCGATGGACTTTCACTACCTTCCTCACTATCCAGGTTGTTGCTGTGTCGCTTTATGCCGAACAATTTCCTCATTACAACTTTGAGAGTGCTACCGCGACGCCGGTGCGAAAACGGATCGTTCGATAACTGGGAAGACAGTGAATCATGTGGGTGGTGCGAAAGTCCTCTACCAAACGTTTTGCCTTGTGATCCGTTGGAGGGGATTGACTCTCGCAAAGACCGCATTGGAAGCGCAGTAATTTGTTGATCTGGTGTAAGTAACACCCGCGACCCTGGCCCTCCTTCCCCGCCATTCTGAATAGACCTTTGTAGTGTTGCTTCCATATTCCTTCGTCGCATGGGAATTCTGACTAGAACTGAATGGGGAATCTCCAAGTGTAATCCTGCAATTGCTGTGAAAAATCGGGATTGATAGAAAATTAGAGAGCCACCACGTGGTTTTCAATCATTATATAGTAACCGGTTTCGATTTCGATTTCGATAGCGACGTATGGTGAAAACGATATTAGAAATGTAAATCCGTACAAGGAATCAAAAAGCGTCTCTTAAAGCAACGACGGAAAACGAATGACTCGCCGAAGTTCGTTACGTATATCAGGAGAATTCGAATTATACCTGTGTAGCTGATCGCACCAGCTGTGGTCGCATCGAGCGTCTGATATGAAATGACTGTAAGAACTGCATGTCTAAAAAGAATGCATCGCCGTATCCTGTCTTGTCATCCACCTTCGGAGTCGAGTTGTGAAGACAGCAAGCGTAAAGGACTCGATCGGAAGCGAAAACGAATAAGTAAAGAATGCGGGCGATTGAAAACGAGCGGCTTTAGAGCTATCTCTTAGTACCGGTTGAACGTGTAAGCAAGAACTTAAAGAAGCATAACCAAAGGAAAGAAGACGACTCCACGTCAGACACTGCTCGACGCAGTATTGTCCACGATACAGAGTCCAGTGTAACTTGTTGGTGTACAAGTAGTTTATCTGCAACGGTTGGCTCATGCGCTGTCTCCCCTGTCTGGCTAAGCCGCCTTCTTTTCTGGGCCCATCTCGTTACTCAGCCAGGGGGGCTGCGAGTGGTTAGTTCACAGGTAGGTTGCTGCAGGGGTAGAGAAGACGAAACATGACTGCTGCCGAGTCCCACCCGCTTCCGTTGCTCTACGGAGTAGGAGATTCAGAAACCTGTTTTGAGTTAGGAAACGACTAGTTGATGCCTGTGCGTACACTATAATGTATGGAGCGGTTAAGCTTCTTCTTACCCTAAGCTTCAAGGCAGGATGAAGAGGAAGTCATATGATAAGGAAATTTAAACAGCTTTACCTTCCAAAAATGTTCCCAAAAGCGTGCGACATTGGTTTCTCTGTTTAATACGGAGTAGTAATCGTAATACTATTCCGTATTATCGACTGGAACTGGAGGGAGAGAACTCGGTTCCTGAGAAATGGGGGGCCTCCAATCAACTAAGGTTGCTATTGATTGGATTCTTCATAATATTATTGGATATTTAAAAAAGAACTAGGTTTTCGGTGGGGAGTCGGGACGGAGCGGATGGGTCTCGATAAGCAGTTACTGGCCAATAAACACCTTAATCTGGCGTCAGGTGGAGCCCACATTGACCACATGGCCCACTCTCTGCTTGGCGGTTAATCCCATGTGGCATAAACTAAGCCATTACGGGATTAGCCTGCGTCACGCTGAGACTGGCTGGATCAGTCTGGATACGACTCTCTTACATAGTACTCTTCCACGTTTGATCCTTCACCGCACAATTCGCATCAAGTATATATGCCACCTTTCTATAGCCCCTGATCACGAATTTGGAAGTACGTACGTACTTACCTAGCTATGTTACTACGTACGGAGTACTATATGTTCGAAATCACTTCGGTTCTGATGCTTGGTGTGATGTGAAACTCTGATGGAAAGATCTGATTATGGGTGAATTCTGCCGAGAGAGTTGAGTCGTGGCGCCTACCATAGTTATGATGGTTATTACTTGACGTAAGCAACAGCCACGTTGTCGCTGTCGTGTGGTAGTTGACTTCCCATTTACAGCTCTCTTCCAGACTATTCACCACTTTTTTGCATCTCGTAGAGATCCTTGCTGGGTAAGACTTCGGCTGTCACTCGTTCTGTAGAAACCTCAATTCCATGACTTTTAGTCGAGCGATAAGACTTTCCGTCTCATAGTAGAGTTGCTACATCTAGTATTTACTTGATACCAGCTATGTTTGCATACAGTATGACCTAAAAAGCGGCCTTGTGTGCATAATCTGAAACGCTCAGTACCAAACGGCACCGATCTGTGGAAGCAAGTCAATATCCTTCCGGGCGCTGTAGTCGCACATACTGCATAATAGCTTTGACAGCTGAAAGTTAGGCAACTAACACGCATTTTGACAACTGCTGACGCTGCATACACAGAAAATGCGTCGAATGAGCTGCACATCATAAAGTTCAGCTGAAGCAAAATCTGAGTCCATGCAGCTATGCTTGAAATCCGAAGAATTGTACGGATGCATGGCATTACTTGATAGGCATACGAGCTGCGATATACGGGTTAGATGCGGGGTTAAAGATTCGATTAATAGAGTTCATCGATCAATCAGGTCGTGAAAAGTGTCGGTGGCTGAACCGTAGTGGGCTTCATCGTTTAGTGCAGGCTGTATCGGCACATGTACAGCATATCGATAAGATGCATGAGCATATATCATGCTAGTATATCCTTGTCAATCTGGATTCTAGAAAGGTTTCTGCATTTGCATGACTAAGTACGGAGTACATTATGCAAATTCTCTCAGTAGCGTGCATATAACATTGATCCCATGATACCAATAGTGTCCTCGAGACTGGTATTCGTTTACTGCTATTACCTAGTTACTGCTGTGCTTTAACCTCTTCAGCCTATTGCGAGCATGTAACGATTGAAAAAGGTGCACTTTCGCTAGGTTGTCTATACGAGGAGAACAGTGATACGAGATCTTGGGTATGGTATGACCCCATTTCGCGGTAGACTTCTTTAAAAAGTCCTGACTTGGTTCCTTTTCTAATGACAATACATACGGCTACATATCTTTAACATAATGGAATGATAAATGAGACGCAATGTCCCGTATGCCGCCTGTAAGGCACGGTCCCTCTACCAGAGCTACCAGAGGCATAATTTCCACGGAGCCCTAGTGTATTGTATACGGAACATTCAAAAATGATGAATGATTCTCTGGTTTACCTGCCCATCCAGCCAAATAATCTAACTCCCAAAGACCATCGAATCGAAGTGTCTTTCCAGTAAAGGCCAAATAATATTGATCTTGATGCCGCAGATTATACATATTTCATGGCAGATTATTTTCGGAACCTTGCTATATTCATGATGCCATAGTTTTAGGCTAAGTCTAGTGCTAGTTCGTAATGCTGAGAAGAGTCAATGACTAGGGATAGAACTTATACGAAGTCATATAGTAGTGTACGTAGAAGTCAGATTCGAGAACTTGCCAAATAGGTTCAACTCCATTAATATTTATCTCGTGACTTAATCATACCATATCTAGATCATACTATACTATATACAATCTTTGCTCCATGTCCGAAATTTATGGACCGTGATAGGGCCCCCAAAAGCCCTAATAACCCCTTCCATCACATCCCCATTAACGGCTTCCAAGTCATAACAGGTAGTCGCCAAACTAATATGGAAATTTAGTCTGGAATACAATATCTGCATCTACCCTGGCTAACAGTGGTCACTTTTGTACGGCATATTCGGAGTATCGGTTTATACGTGTACTGCTTCAAAGGGGATAAGACACTGGTCAACCATCAACGCTATCAGCTTGTACTGTAAAAATAGCAAGAGAACAGTGTAATGACCGTAAAAGTAAACTATTTCAAGGTTTTGTCTTTGGTGACCCTCCACTTGTCAGCAATGAAATAGCTGTTGTGTGAACGTCGTCCCATACCTCGAGATTACATAGTGTAGCAAATCTCGGCTTTGGCCAGCTTACACTTCCGAATGGAGGCTTGGAATAGCGCTTATCTTTCATGAAGGGTCTGACGAGACATTCAGTATGGCGGATAGAACAGGATTGGACAGCGGTCGTAGAGACGCTCTCGCACAGTGCGTTTATCACCAAGCCTAGACATTGAAAAGGCGAACTCTTCTCATAGTAAGACAAGAATATAAGAGCCCATAATAGGCATTGAGAGGACATTGGGAAATAGCCAGAACGTGATAAAAGTGAGTATAAGGAAATCTATGGGAACAGACCCAAAGTGTTTCGGGACTGGAGAAGAGAGAAGTCCGTAAAAGGGTTTGTCTCGTTTCACGGAGTGTCGAGGTAGGCTAACCAGCTTGCTCTTCCCATGATTTCGTCAATATTCTGCAGCGATATATCTGCCCATTAAATACTAATTGCCCACAATTTCTAGTAACTATCAAAAAACTGAATTGATTCCTGAATTGCCTCACAGATCGATTAGTTAAACATCAGCTCCAAAGGAGAAGCATATTCCATCTAGATCTATATCTGTTTGCCACCTTGTAGAGTGTTGACACCCAAGTCTCACTCATTCTTTCGCCTTGGAGAACATCGGCACTGGACACCGCTAACCCGAACTTCAAAAAACGCCTGCAGAGATGGAATGACATAAATTGATAAGAGCTAGCAGCGATTATTCTCCCGATCTCGGAAGGCAAGTGTCTGAAAGCTGTGAGTGCTAAAACGTGGTTGAAACGCCGATGGTATGTGAGACTTATCTACCAAACTAGGTGCAATGTGCTTTGAAGAATCTATTCCGTTCGTAGCAAGAAGAGGCGGCGGCCACAGCGAATGGTCGACTATTGGCAAAGAAGGCGTAATAATCGACCTTGGTCGGTGCAAGGGCGTCGAGGTAGACGGGGCGAATCGGACGGCTGTTCTTAAGGGCAGCATACTTAGCAAAAAGGTTGATGTTGCGCTAGCGGATACTGGCCTGTTCATAGGTGAGTTAGATCCGGCTGGGATATAGGATTTTAGTAGATTTTCACTATCAAATCAGCACTGGGAAACGGGAATATTGTGGGCGCCATCCCTTATTTTCTGAACGGCGGAGCTTCCATAACGACGTCTATTACCGGCTTTGGTACGGATCAGATACTTGCTGCACGACTCATTACCGCCTCAGGTGAACTCATCGAGGTTAACCAAACGCACAATGCCGACCTCCTATGGGCCCTTAGGGGCTCTGGTCGGTTCTTTGGTCTTGTGATAGAGCTGACGGCCATATGAACTATTATGAATGTGATCTCAAGAGTGGAAGTGTATTCTATGTATTCTATGTGACCTATCTAAGGAGAAGAACTCGGACACGAGTCCATGTCCATACAAAATATGATGCAGATGTCATGAACCCAGATCTGCCAAAGTTGTTACTTATAATAAGGTACGTTGAGGCACATTAGGATTGATTGGATCCGTAGATTGCAGGTGTTTGAGACTTCATGACTGTGGACGGGCAGATGCCCTGCTTCTCGACATATTATTTGAGCCGTCAAAAGGGATGGCATGTGAAGCATCGGGATTGGGGTCCATATTCGAGCTCAGCAGGCAATGGTACTCTCGGACCATGATAAGGGAATATACTAGCGAACTCCTGGTCGCGGTTTGACTGTAAGAGACCCTTGTATACATGCAGCCAGAGACCAAGTTGCGCCGATTGCATGTACATCAAGATCTCATGGAAAGCGCCCGTACAGGTAAATGAAGATCGTATACGTTCTTCGTAAATTAGCAAGTCCCACAATATCTTGTCCACGATATATCGTCGTCATCATAGGCATACTGCATCAGATCAATCAACTCCCGTCGTCCCGAACTTCTCGCATGTTCACTGAAAGATCTCAGACGATTTTCTCCACGTCTTCTGCTGTGTCTATAATTCCGCTCATGATCTCTGGAACCATGACCGTTGTAGAAACCATCTTCCTCGTCAATATGATGGCAATTGTCGTATCTCGAACGTGGCGTCTCTCTAACCACGGCCGGGATTCGTTCAATAGGCATCTCAATTCCTGTTCGATTCCGTGCAGCCATTGACATCGGAGGAGTTACTCGGCTCGTCAATGCTGCGGCTTCACCGACACCAAATGCATCACGACGTCGAAGATTTCGATTCTCGTAAGCAGGTGGGCATGGTGGGTACCTTGAGAAACTTGTATTCGGCGATGATAGTCCGTTGGAGTAGTGCGTATTTGTGGAATTGGTTCTTCGGCTTCTGCTACTGCTGCTACTGCTGCTGCCAGATGTAGGTGAAGAGGATAATGGGGGCGAAAATAACGATGTATATGAAGACATTGATCCCACACCGATAATGGGCTGACCGATCAGAGACCGGTGTGGTCTAGTTGGGGGGACAATGTACATAACCATTTTCGCGAGGGTATATTGTACATTGCGAGGTTCTGGGTAGAAACTGACGCTGAAAAAGCAAGTGGTGACTCAGGTTTCAAACGTTAGAGTAGGGATTCCTTAAATATAAACTGATGCCAGAAAAAAACGGCACGAGTTTTGTAAACCTAGACTAGAAATAGATGTTTTTCGTATATTATGCTATTTCAACGACACCTGTGTATAATGTCTGTTGATGTCAATAAATCAAACTCGTGACTTGCCGTGGTGACTATCCACCCTATCATATGATTCAAGCTCTTGTGTTTGACACTGTCATAAGCAAACGGCGTAGTCTGACTTTAAATATCAAACTGTTCATCGGATCAAAATAATGATATAGATCAGTAACCAGGGGTTATCTTTAGGTCCATGATGTCAGGGGGGCGCGTGTACGGTGTGATCTTGGAAACCATCACGAATGTTACAAAATTACCCGATTCGGTAATTCTCGGTTTTTCGTTTGATGCTTGAAGCTTGAAAGCAGCCCGTATTAAACAGTCATATACCCGGTTACTCTAATATAAACACATACATACGTTGGCAGAGACTATTTTCTAAGTGAAAGATTTACGGTGAGAGCTATTACCTTCTGATTCACAAAGCAGGCTTGATCACATGATCCACCAAACCCTGGAGAAAGACAAACATATCATTGATATGGTACGTATACAACATCTTTGAATAATGGTCGCATATGCGATCTGGAACTGATTTGATCTTGGGTCTACTACTACCTCATTGGCGTCATCCCTGAGGCTGAACTGCCACATGGACACTACTGTATTGTGTTCGGGAGGGTGAGCCGACTACGGTCATGCGATCAGTAGGGTCAACTTGTACTTATTCAATCGTAGTATGACCACTGGATACTGAACAAAGATATCTGTAATTTGACTTCTAAAAACGTGGAAACTATAGCTCGTACAGTACCTATGGCATTCTATGGCAAGCTTGGAATCTGTACAGAGTACTCCAGTTCGGGAATTTAGGGCTAATTTCAATGACAGGGATCCCGCCCGTACACTGCAAACCAACAGAGCTGATCGATTTATTAACAATTTATCACTCCTTGATAATCTCTTTTCGCATTTTTCACATATTTACAATCACCAGTGCGTCGGCTCTGAAATCGGCTCTATTACTTGTCTGAACTGTATGTGTGCCCATAAATATTCAAAACTAGATCTCGACTAGGCAGTGCTGCTACCGAGCGTCGTCGTAGCCTCTTGTCGTAGCCTCTTGTCGTAGCATCAACTTCTCGATGGCTCATGTATAACGATGACATGAGTAGGAAGATATATATTACAGACACACTAAAACAGCTCGCTTACATCGGGATATTGCAGGTCCGCATGTTCCTCCAGGAACCCAATCCAGTTCTTCAAGAATTTACTACCCCTAGAAGATCGTTAGATTGCACAAAACGAGTTGTATAACTTACTTGCTAATGGTCTCGGAGTCCCCGCAAACACAAAGATGTCTCTTAGGGCGTGTCATGGCGACTGTACCATACATAGTCAGTCATTTTTTCTCTTTCAGAAAATAGAAACCCATCTCACCATTTAGTCTTCGCTTCTCGCCCAAAAAGCCCACTTCGTGTTTCTCATTACTGCGTACCAAGCTAACAACAATGGCCTCTTTTTCACGTCCTTGAAAACCATCCACACTCCCAATTTCTATACCAGGATACTTCTCCCTCAAGCATTGCGCAATTAGCGCAACCTGTGCATTGTACGGGGTGATAACTGCGATATCTTCAGGCCGAACACCTGCATCAATCAAGCCTTCGACGTGTCGAATAGCTACTCTGGCCTCCATTTCGTTGCTTTTACTCTCGCTGAGCAGGCCTCCTTTTATCGTCGCATCTTCATCTTCGGCTTTCTCTGGGAAGTCGCCTCCTTGCGTGTCTATGAAGACTAGAGGTTCTTTTGTATCGTCGGTATCTTCGACGCCGTAGGGGAGATCTTTTAATAAACGATCTTTAACCGAGTCTGCTGCAATGAGTTTCCCTTCGTACATCTCGTTGGACGGGAATTGCATAATCTTCTCGTGCATCCGGTATTGCGTGGTAAGCATGCGCTTGATAGATGGTCCATGAAGAGCAAGTAATCGGTCAAACATGGTTTGCCCAAGGGAAACACCTTGGAGTGAATCTAGTGAAGAGCTTTTCTCTGCTTCCTTTACTTTTGTCTTGCTCGTTTTCTTCGAGCTGTCTATGTTTGACGATTTTATTGTTGGTGGTAACTGTAAATGGTCGCCTGCAAGTACTGCCCGCGACGCTGTCAATAGTGGGATCCAGCACTGTGCTTCCAATGCCTGACTGGCTTCGTCGATAATGACGACGTCGAATTTCTGGTTTTTGAGTCGATGGCCGCCAGCACCATGCAGCGTAGCTAGAACCACTTTACTCCCTGTCACGAGATCCTCAACACACTTCGATTCCCTTTCTCGGAACTCTTTTCGTAACTCTTTCAAATCTCCATATATTTCTCTTCTTTCCCGTCCATTCCTTGTCTTGCGAATACTGGCTTGTTTTTCATCAATTTCCTTTCGTACATCCCGCACAATCTCGGCTGCTTCCGATGTTTGAGTAAGTACTTCCAGCGAGTGATCTAGTACCGAGGATAAAAGTCGAGCCGGGTGTCCTACTCTTACGATAGGCACTCTGTGAGGTGCAAGCCGCTCAACGATATTGTCGACAGAGACATTGGAAGGTCCGCAAACGAGAATCCGCATGTTCCGACGAATCATTTGTAAAATAAGTTCAATCAATGTATGCGTCTTTCCAGTTCCGGGAGGGCCATGTATTAACGCAATCTCTTTTGATGCAAGCGCGAATCGAATAGCTTCCTTCTGTGAATGGTTTAGGGTCGGGTCAATGAATTCTATAGCGCCGATTGCGTCGTAATCGGGCGAGGATGGTGTTGTATGGCCGAAAAGAACTCGCATGAAATACGTATGTTCCGACTCGGGCATCTTCTCCATCTTCTCCATTGTCTGGTTCAGTCTTCTATGCGTGACATCGTTCGCTAGTTTGACTCTATAGCGCAAGTCAGTAACAGTAACAGCCCCATACCTAGAGAAGATATACATGCAACCAGAGTTTCTTTCCCCACAGATCATCAACGGCTTCCTCTGCCCTCGCATTCGCTCCACCACCAGTTTGGCCAAAGGCCACCGACAACGCTTTGTCAGATGCCTTAATCACCACGCCTTCTGCTCCATTCGCTTTATTTCCTTCAGCTTCCTTGCCTTCTCTACCAGACTTCCTTCCAGCGGATATCTCGAGTACGCGAACAACATCTCCAACTCTGATACCATGTGCTCCAAATCGCGCTCTTCCGTCAGTGTCCTCTGTCGATTCGGTAGCAAATGCGGCGTCCGCCCCGAATTCACCGACTATCCTCCCACCCATGCCCGTTCGCCATTGCTCCAGTACGAGTCCAGTCAATGCATATCCGGTCGCTTGTAAGGTACGCCGAGTCGAGGGGGATACAGTGTTTGTTGAGCTAGTCGCGAGCGCAGAGGACAGTTTCTCGGCTTCGTGTTCCTTTTGTAATAGTTTCCGTTGGGCAGCTGCGAAGAGGGGTATTTGGACGGAAGTAGTCATTATTTAGATGTGATGAATGAAGTTGCGAGCATAGCTGAAGACATTGACGTTGGGAATAATTTTGGAGAGTTCCCCCGCACGTTGAAGACATCATCCCCGCAATCACGGCCTTGTTGCCTAAGGCAGCCTACACCTACAGGTCTATAAGAATACGAGCCAATCAGACAATCTCGTCGTCTTGCAAAAAGAGGATGTTCTTCAATCAGCAATTGTATATGCTAGGAAACTAAACCAACTTGTCTCAGAAATAACGTAAATGCAAGATAGATCATTTCACCCTCTGATACCATTTAGGTCTCTCTCCTTCAAACTCGTAGAATAACGATAGTATCTCCGCAGTATAACTGGGACCGACGAGATGGTCCCAAGTCTGGTCAATCGTTAGGTCCAGTGAAGCGAATCGGAATCCCTTTCGTAGATATCGCACTAGAAATTTGTAGAATTCCAAATCGGCCTCACCAGCAGTGTACTGTCTGGAAGGTATAAGATGAAGGTAGTGAACGAGTCCCATGTGCCTAGTAGGAAAAGCAGTCGACAAGTCTCCTCTGAACTGGTGAAATTGACACAGTAATTTGATAGGTCGCTGGGTTACGTGTATAGCGTATCGGTAAGAGAGCGGTATGGCATGAACAGATGACTCCTGTGTAACGAAATATCTTCTTCCACAATTTCAACGGAAGGTCAAGGCACGAGACGTTCTCGTTGTGATCGTCGCTTGTCTCATCTCTGACGACCAGATCTGCCCAATCGTGATAGGACAGGACTTTCAGCCATGTGATAGCTGCCAGACGTATTCCTCCTGGACTTCTAAAATTGAATATGGAAATTTTTGATTTGGGCAGACAAGAAAATTTATAATTTTTATATGTAGATGTCCATGTTACGTGATAACCTGTGCGGTCAACTCGCAGCTTGATCTACTTACATGACATAACACGACTTCATCAGGGATTTCTCAATAAGAAAGTAAGGGTTCCGGAAATTCCTTCCCAATGAAAAATAAGACGAGACACCCTGAGATCAGAGCCACATGCGATATGTCAATCATCAACTGGGAGTTACGGATTTGGCGAGGATGGCAGTCTCCGGCCTGAATAGGTCATCACGATAGGATACCTAATTTCAATATTTGCATTCAAAGTAAATATATACTGAAAGACTATCTCAAATTAACTACAGAGCCTCAATCTTCACCTTAGCCTCCTCCTTCACCTTGGCCTTTTCTTTCACCTTGCCCTCCTCTTTCACCTCGACCTCCTCCCTCACCTCCCTCTTCATCTTAACCGCCAACCCTTTAACCTCACTCTTGCACAGCCCCGTACCTGCAAGCTCACATTCACCACATCTCCTCCCAACAGGAAGACAAACCGTCTGTCCCAATCCCACCAACAACTTATTGATTTCATGCCATTTGTCCCTAGGAAGCCACGACTGTAGAGCAATACGAGTTTCCTCGGGGGTTTTGGTAGTATGCCATCCCCACAAATTTGTGATGCGATGGACATGAACGTCCACACCAATACCTTCGTGTTTACCCCATGCAGCACTCATGCAAAGATAGGCCATTTTGGGACCCACGCCCGGTAGAGCCATTAATTCCACGGGTGTGGAGGGGATATCGGAGTTGTATTGATCGCGTAGAATGTTGGCCACCTGTTTGATGTATTTTGTTTTGTTGTTGTGGAAGCCGACGGTACGGATTAGTTCGTTTAGTCGTTCTGGTGAGACTGCGAGCATATTTTGTACTGTCAGAGTGCTATCTTTCTTTTCGTGGTTGAATTTGATGCCATCTTTGTCGTCATCGTCTTCTTCCTTTTTGATTAATGGTTTTGTTTCGTTTGTTGACCCTCCGCCCTGCGCAAGTTCTGTATGTAATCGCTGCATAGCAACGGCGGTCACTGTATCTTTCGTTTGAGAAGACAACATGAGCGCGACAAGAGTTTGGAATCGTTGATCTTTAGGTGGTGATGAGCGCCAGTGAAGTTCTGCGCAACCCATGGTATCTACAGGCGCAGTAGGATTTTCCGCTCTCATTTTCTTAACGATGTTATACATCGTTTCCCAATTCGAGGGCGGCTGCATTTCGATAGAGCCATCTTCTCGTTTGATTCTCTTTGCTGGTTGTCGTCGCTGTTTAGAGCTGGCACTACGGGGCGTAGTGATTTGGGTTTCGGCTTTGATAGTGACTTCTTGCTTAACCAGTCTGCTGGTGGAGACTGTGCTGATAGTTGTAGACGGAGTATCCACATTGCGTCTGCGTCTTTTTGCAGGACGTTCTAATAGATCTTCAATATCTTCTGTTTTTACAGATGAAAGGGAAGAATCATCGCTCAGCTCTGGAGCTGCTTGATTCTCGGAATACGAGAAATCGCGCAAGGAAGATGCAGCCAGAGAGCTGCGTGTTCTGCGTCTCGGAGGCGACAATGCTTGGACCATTTTAGCCGTTTCCCGCGACACACGTGACGTCCTCATTTTGAAGTGATGTGTATGCCCTAAGTTTTGGGGACGATGAAGTGAAGAAGTTCCGAGTTTTTCGAACGAAAACCCCTGGTGACGCCATGTGACTTCTGAAAGTGACTTAGCGCGACACGGGGAACAGACCCACTCGAGCTTGTTATTCAGCCTCGGCCTGTTCTTTATCCTCTGTTTCTTCAGCTTACCATGCTATCTACACCTTTGTAGCATATTGCATTTCTCTCTCTTACCTAACCATACACGCGCGATTGCAAGATTACTCACTTAAGGCCGATAGTTCATTTCATCGAGACTACCGCCACATTCCAGTCCTCAGACCAGACTCCTTCACGTTCGCGACATGGCGTCAGCACGATCCACAACGACTCGTCTGTTAAAAGAGTTACAAGATTATAGCAGCAATCCCAACGAAGCCTTACTTCATCTCGGACCAATCAATGACGAAGACTTGTTTCACTGGGAGGCGGTTTTAAAAGGTGTTAACGGGACACCTTACGAAGGTACCGCCTACACTTCCTTCATTTTCAAATAGAATGAAACTAACTCGAGAAAAGGCGGCCTCTGGCAACTCCACATCGAAATCCCAACCAACTACCCCCTCTCACCACCTACCATCCGCTTCAAAACGCGCATCTCCCATCCAAACATCTCCTTCACAACGGGCGAGATTTGCCTCACATTATTGACGACAGAACACTGGAGTCCGGTGTATACAATCTCCACTACATTATCGGCTATTCATCAGTTATTGACAGATCCGAGACCGGACTCGCCATTGAATGTGGATGTAGCGGCGTTGTTGAGAGAAGGGGATATTGCGGGGTGGGAGAGTATTGTGCGGTATTGGACGGAGGAGGAGAGGTGGCAGGGTCCGTCGGGGAATGTGAAGCCAGCTGCTAGATGATGACTACTACCCGGATAGGGTTGGACGTAATACGGTGGTTGCAGAGTCGTATCTTGACTCTCTCATGACGGAATACGAAATTTAGCTATATATATATATATATCCCCTTTTCAGTACTTGATATATACTTCATTACATGTTTGTACAGAATGCCATATAATCTATTTATTCAATTTCCCGTCCTTGCTCTATGTACCTAGGTGATGTATCGACTGTATAAGGAATGGTATTATCTGACGACCGCCAATATGAGATCATCCATTAAGGAAAGACATTAGTTATAAAGACATTAGCTCGTGTAAGGATCGTAAGATGCGAGAGTCGCTGAAGAACATTGAGCTGAAATCAGGAAAGAGCTAGATATGAACGCCGATAAAAATGCAAACCCAAGCGGTGACCCTCATCCGTGTATTGAGGGTGGAAAGGGAGAAAAAAGGTCAAAGGGAAGCGGCAAATGCAGCCACACCAGCAAGCATAGCATACATTACAACGCCTACACGATGTGTAGGAGAAGCAGCAGCGTTTGTTTGCAGATGAGCAGTTCCGGATGCAGTGGCTGTTGGGTTACTGGCCGCTTCGGCTGCTGAGCCTGTTGCAACGACGACTGTGGTGGCGGTCACGGTGCTCAAGCTGCCGTTGGGAAGGGTGGTGGTGTGCTTGTATGTCGTTGTAAATGAGGTTGACCTAGTGGATGTGCTTGTCGCAGATGAGAATGTCGTTGACGGTGCGGATGTGACGGAAGAAGTGGATGAAGTAGTTGTTGAGGTTGAGGTTGAGGTTGATGAGGATGAGGATGAGGATGAGGATGAGGATGAGGATGAGGATGAGGATGAAAGAGGCGCTGAAGTTGGCGCTGCTGTTGATGTTGCCGAGGTCTCAGATGGAACTGAGGTTGCTGAGGGAGCAGTCGAGGTGGGTGGGACGCTGGTAGGTGGCAATGAAGTTGAGGTTGAGGTGGTAGTCACAGTAGGTAGAAGAGATGTTGAAGTTCCGGTGCTAGGTAATGCTGTTGTTGGTGGTTCAGATGTTGTTGGAGGATCTGACGTAGTTACCGCAGTTGTGGGAGGATCTACAGAAGTCGGTGCGATGGATGTAGGAGCAACAGTTGTAGTAGCTGCAGGAGGGGAAGTAAAGCTGGAATTTCCATCTTGACGCTTCACCAAGAAGGCACCATCGATGGCAAGCACATTGGCAGCCAGGAGAGGGAGGATGAAGATGAGTCTCATGTTGGCTTGACTGGATGAGTATAGATGACACGATAAGAGAGGATGATGATGATGATGATGATGAAGAGGAAGAAGAAGAGGAGGAGGAGGAGGAAGAAGAGGAAGAAGAGGAAGAGGAAGAGGAAGAAGAAGAGAAAAGAAAAATAGAAATAGTTGATAAGTTGAAAGCTGATGCGATTGCACGGGAAGCCGAACCGGATTTGAGGTGGGCCTGGTCCACCTTCTACTGTCGACTTGAAGGTGCTGACATGATCGATTAGCTTAGCATATTATTGCTGATGATAACTTGTTCAAGTACGCCGTTGTCAATCGGATAAAACGTCCTCTGTTTGTCCAGTGATTCATGAGACTGATGTCTAACTCAGAGTCGCACAGCCATGGTTCACCTCGGATAGCCCCGTCCACGACCTGGAAAAACATCAACAAATCGTGAGACCTCAACGTCATGACCTGAGACATTTCTTCTCCACCCACGCTGAGCCACTAGCATCGCGATAAAAATAAATGCTGCGATCGAGATTCCATTTCAGCCGTTCACCTCGGCGCTCTCGGCCAATATTCTCTCTGCTTACAGGAAAATCATGCAAGAATAACACAGATCAACGGAGTGGCGCGGAACTGTTAGGGTTATATGCCAGGCTTATATATCAGGGTTAGGGTAATATCGTTTATAGGGTTAGGGCTGTGTGATCTACGCTGAGGTCAGATAGCGAATCCACTAACTGAAGAGGTGAATGTCCATGCTGCCATTAAAGTCTCAGCGCATCGTGCATGTTCGAAATCCAACATAAGCGTTAAAACCACATGGGTAGTAGGAATAGATACCTCATCCTAGGTATATCTTGTGTGCGTGTCCCTCCAACGTTGATCAGAACGGGCTGAAGCGAGGCGGTATGACTGTTACCTCGGGAATTGACTTGAACTTCAGGAGACCGGTGTTCTACGGGTATGGGTGAGAAAGAACCTCTTCAATGGGTACAGGTATAGATGGGACTTACCTATACCACGTGTAATAACTGTTGTATATTCACAACTTCTGCATTTCCATGCATCCAGTACAGTATTCACACTGGATGGCACATTCTTTCTGTATACTGTAGTCAGATAATAGATTAGATATTATCTATATGGCTTCTGTTTAATCCCATGTGGCCTAGACTACATGGACTATCTAGGAGGTATGGTCTCCTAGGTTGAGAACTTTCACTGGGTGTGCAGGATCAGAAAGTGATTAGATTTATGGTAAAGAGATCCATGTATAAATATTGTCCATGGAAGAAAGTATGTACAAGTATGTACACGTAGTCGATGAGAAGATCTAACCTTAGGGTTAGGGCGTCGATCTACAGATCCTTTTGCGATAAGGTTGGCTGTTTGACGTCAGTGACAGCTCTCCGCAATCACCTAAGCTAGAGCTTTATCTCAAGAGCTTCTCTCTTTTATTCTTCTCCCGTTCGGTTACACAACTAGACAAGCACGCAAAATGGCTTCAAATCTGTGGCATTACCTCTCTCTGCCCACCGCAGTCTTTACCTCTCCGGTCGCTGCGATCCTGACTCCAGTGGCTGCCGGTGCACTGGTCGGATACACGACAACTTCGGGTAAGTATTCCATCGCCCTGGAGAATAGATATGCTGACTCGTCACAGTCGGCAACACCCAATCCATATACAAAGCTCTACGCCAGCCACCTCTCTATCCACCCGGCTGGGTCTTTGGTCCTGTCTGGACTATGCTCTACAGCGCAATGGGATACGCTAGCTACCGCGCCACCGTCGCCGGTCTCGCGTCGCCGTCCTCCACGATTCGCGAACTAGCGTACACCTCTCAGACACTCTACACCATCCAGCTCGCCACGAATCTCGTCTGGATGCCCCTCTTTTTCGGAATGCGCAAACCCCTCGCTGCCTTTGTTGATATTCTCGTCGTCGCGGGCACGGTGTTGGGTTTAGCGAATAACTATCGCAAGATTGAAGGCGTTTCATTTTGGTTGTTGATGCCGTACTTGGGATGGTTGGGCTTCGCGTCGTATTTGAATTTCGGGGTGGGATATTTGAATGATTGGGATATTTCAGATGAGAAGATCGGTCGCGCGAAGAAGAGTAATTAGTTATGTAACTAGCAGTCTGTACTTGTTGCAAGATTATTATAAACTCACATGCTAGAGTAGACTCGTTCTCAGTCATCTGACTTTCCTCTTCTTTTCCTGACTGCATCTCTTTCTTTTATTCTCCCACGTAAACATTCAGATCACACTGTCTGATGAGTGATATCACTTCAATTACTCGTTGTTACACGTCCAATCAGCAGGCTCCCAAACAAGTCAAGCCAGGGAACATTCTATGGAAATTGATTCGAGGCATATCATCCCGTGCATCGATCTCGTGGTTTCAGGTCACTAAGAAGACGACGTGACGGCCGTTCCATGTCACACGGTCTACTCAACATGTACCACGATGCCTATTTGCGAAAGGAGACGCGGCGATCAAGCTACACCAGAAAGATCTCGCGTTTGAGTTTGAGATTTATGGTTCAAAGACTACCCATAATTCGAGGTACTCCAACTCATATGAGGACAAGGGCTGTTTGCGGGGATGTCCGGTTTTGCGGTAATTAGGGCTACAGTCGGGAATTTCAGCTGGTTCATGCCTCTTTGTACAGCAATTCCAACCACCACTGAAAATTCCTCTCATTAAATGGCAATTTCCGTAAGACTGGGGCGTACTCCAGTTAAATTATACTTTGGCAGGCTACCGATAGTCTACATTCTTGCACTACCAATCAGGTCGCTCACCAGATATTTGGAATTCTGTTTGAAATTCTGTTTGAAATGCTTAGGTCCATTCTCAACAAAGACATTGAAAGAAAGCTTCTATATGACAAGAAAAAGCCGTGTGAATACAGTGTTCACCCTCCTCATTGTTGAGTAAACTGCTACCTCACCCCTCCCTGGGCGTAGTAGTATTGCAATCTTAACAAATACAAACATGTGGAGATTTGGTGAAGCATTCCATATGGCCAGGTCTAGACAGCTCAAACAAAAAAAAGCATACTAGTTAGTATATGCCCCTCTAACTAGCATTCAAATGCCATGTTATATAAACCTCCACAATGCCCGTTGATCTGGCAGATCCTTTCTTTATTCACTCTTTTCTTTTTTGGTGTTGTCCTTCTTTAAACAGTGCAGTCTTGATTCTTCAAAGAATTGTTGGAGGCCTGTGAATTCCTTGAGCTGTCAATATTGCCTCACAATGCCGATCTTCACAAAGATCCTTCTAGCCCTTGTTGGCTTCCTGTCATTAGCCAAGGCTTCCCCAGTCTCTTTGGATATGGAGAAACGTGATGGCTCATATCGATCTGTAGCATACTATGTGGACTGGGTGAGTACATGCATACAATCAATGACTGGTCCATGACCGGTACTAAGATGAATAGGCTATCTATGGTCGAAACTTCCACCCTCAGAACTTGACTTCTATGCTGCCGTCTCTTACACACATCCTTTACTCATTTGCCAATATCCACCCTGATACTGGCGAGGTTTATCTCTCAGACACATATGCAGATATTCAGAAGCACTACTCCGCCGACTCATGGAATGACAGTGGAAACGATGTCTATGGTTGCATCAAGCAGTTATACCTCTTGAAGAAGGTAAATCGAAACCTAAAAGTTTTACTATCTATTGGTGGTTGGACATACTCAGCCAACTTTGTCGGTGCTACTGGTTCAGAGGCAAATCGTGCCAACTTTGTGAAATCTGCTGTTGGGTTTGTGCGAGATCTTGGGCTGGACGGTATTGATATTGATTGGGAGGTTAGTAGATTTGATCGAACCGGGCTGAACCTAGCTGATGATCTCTAGTATCCCAACAACAGCGCTGAAGCAGACAATTTTGTGGCTCTTCTCAAGGAACTTCGTGCTGTAAGAGATTCGACGGAGACGTCATAGACAGTGCTGACTCATATAGAGCTTGGACAATTATGCTGCTGAGAACAGCCCAGGTTATCATTATCTGATCAGTGCATCTGTTCCTGCAGGGCCTTCCAACTATGAGAAGTTACACATCCGTGATATGAACCAGTATTTGGACATGTGGAACCTCATGGCATACGACTACAGCGGATCTGCATGTTATTCCAGTCTTACTTGCCAAATAAACATACTAACATGATTAGTGGGATGAAATCGCGGGTATGGACGCCAATTTGTATACATCGTCTGCGTATCTTAACTCGACCCCATACAACACGGACCAAGCTATCATATATTACATTGGCAATGGAGCGACTCCAAGCAACATCAACTTGGGGATTCCCCTTTATGGACGATCATTCACAAACACAGATGGACCGGGTAAACCCTTCTCTGGCGTGGGAGATGGTTCATGGGAGAATGGCCTGTGGGACTACAAGGCTCTTCCCCAGGAAGGCGCAAAGTTGTATCAGGATGACTCTTCGGTGTCTGCGTGGAGCTATGACAGCTCGCAGCGGCTGATGATTAGTTATGACACGCCTGACATTGTCAAGGCCAAGGCAGATTATATCAAGTCCAAGGGCCTCGGTGGGGGGATGTACTGGGAGAGCAGCGGTGATAAGACTGGGTCGGAGAGCTTGGTTAACACTGTAAGTGACGCGGCGACCTTTTCGGATCTGTAATGGGACTGACGTAGTATCAGCTTGTGAACGCCCTTGGAGGCACTGATGCATTGCAGCATGTCGATAATGAGCTCAACTACCCTGCTTCTGTGTATGATAACATGAGGAATGGGATGGATTAGATGTGGAACACCAAACTTATCGTTGGGTATCATGTCTAAGGTCTCTTCTTTTCTTTCAATGGTTGCTTACTTGTATGATATTTGCCCAACAAAGGAGAATATTCATTGTCTTGTACAATTTTTCTGATTCCCTATGCAACAATTCCCTGCCTGAATATGTCCCTAGATTGATGAGAATAGCCACTAGAACGACATTGGTAAGACCGCCCCAATCATATTTCTCAATCCAAACTTCTCGTGTAGATGGGGAGGACTCGGAACGAACAGATACGGAAACAGATTCCTATGTCCTCATGAAAGAAGGATCTTTGTGACTCCAATAAAATCGATTAATATTGACCGTTAAGAACAGGCTAAAAATATCTGACACATGTAGGGAATGGCTGGGAGAAATGGGAGTGTGACATAAACCAGCGCGAGGTAGGGATATACCGCCACAGATCGCTGTGCAGCCATTCAATTTCCCTTCTGGTCCGCCTGGGATGCTTCTCACACCAAGATTCTCGGGTTTTCCTCTCCTCGACGCTTAACTTCTCATTCTCCACCATGCCAAAATACTTTTCACACCAAAATTCGCGGTTCGACCACTGCTTTTGCACCAATTGTTCAGATTGAAGACCAAAACGGGGCTTCAGCTGTGAACCTGGTGGCATAAAATAGAACCATTGTAGATCCTCGCGGCGTGGTTTGGGTGCTAAATTCTTAACGCGGTCATAGATATCTCCCATTTTGGAATCACTCGCAATTGAAATCCAATCGTATGGAAAGCCGCCGGCGCTTCTCTTAAAACAGACCAAAGTTTCTTCACTGGGTAGAGCCCATTGCTGGAAGTGCATACGACGCCATGACGCCTCTGGCCTCGTGAATCGTTCCGGATTGTCTCTGAGCACGGGGATGTATGCGACATGCTCTCTGCCGTCTCTGGTTCTTGGATTGAAGTAGCTGGATGCAGTAAACCACTCGATAAAGACTTCCTGTAGAAGAGGATTGAAGACATTTGTCGGTCGATCTGGTTGACACAAGCCAATCTCGCTATGCTTTCTACCAATTGGCGTTGGGCGAAAACAGAGAGCTTGCTGTAATCTAGGCGACGACTCTATCACCCCTTTCCATTGCCTACAGACACATTGGCAGTGGAGGAGATCAAGCATAGGAAGGTCAAGTAGGATCTCTTCCAGTAGTTCGGGCGTCTGTAATACCTTGTTTTCTTGTCGATCGTCACTAGGCAGTTCTGTCTCGCTTTGAAAATCTGCGAACAAAGATTGAACGGCTGTAGCTGCATCTCTCCCCATAGACTCAATCAGATCAGGGAGTACCTTCCAGGCAAGCTCCATTCGGACTTTGAGTTGTTTCATATGTTCTTCGGCCGCTGTTGCTCGCGCCTCTGCCACACTAATACTTTTTATGACTTGCCCCAGAACTGGTTCCAGTGCTAGATTAGAGCACGATACACTGGATGTTTCTCGCAAACGATCCCCCGCAAACTCAGTTGTAAGGTAAACCCATTCCCAAATAGTGGTGTCTTGCTTCGATTCCATAACTTCCATCAATAATGGGAATAAGCCAAGAGGGGTCCATTGTCCCGTATCTACTCTGTGGAAAAGGAGGGCGAGCTGGCCACTAAGTGAGCCATGGCTAGTTCGAGAAGGGAGGATACGTGCTGCTGGCACCAATTGCAGTGAGGCTATTAAATCAAGCACTATCTCCCTTAAAGTTGATATTTCTTTTCCTTTGTTACTAACACATCAAATTAATGTTATAAGGATATGGGAAGCACCTTCGTCATTGCTGAACAGCTTTGATCTGTGGGAGATATGTGATGTGAAAGTCTCCCAATACGTTTGAGTTCTATGGCGAAAATCAAGGAGGTCTATTCCAATTGGGCTCTCGTCAGATATTGCAATTTCAATAGAGGAGAGCATTACGGGCATATGGTGTGTTCAATACCGCCTGGCTCTCACTCATTAGTATGAGGAGGATATCGCACTATCAACAACAAATGAGTGAAGGTCTGCGGGTTCGGAATATTGTTTACAGTGCTTCACCGCCTCGTGCACGACACCACCTCATGCATGGTTTTCGCGACATGCCATGTAAAATATTTCGAAGCTTTACAACACCACATAACAATAAAATATAATTAATTTTGCAGTTTATTAGTAAATAAGATATAGCTAATCTAACAGTGTAAATTTTATCTAGCGATAGCGTGCAGGAAGCCGAATCTGCCGCCCCCTACGATTCGTAGCAATAACCTCATCAATAACCTCCTCGTCGACGTCACTACTCTGTTTGCGCTTTAATTTCCTTGAATTTGGGTTCGTTTGACTCATAGGGAAATTTGGCGTAGCTAGGATACCTTTTTGAAGCTGCAAATCAGCTTGCTTGGCTAGTTTTTCCTCGAGTTTTTGGCCTTGTTTTTCGGCAGCTTCTTGCACGCGTTCTTCTCGCTTTTGTTGACGGATTTGAGCCTGTCGGAACGTGAATATCAAACCTAGCGCGTTTCGGCACTGAATATCAGTTAGTCTAACGCGGCACGTGCGTGCCGCGTATATATGTAGTTAGCTACTCCCCGTCCCCCTTACTCTTGGGGGGCAGTCATCAATATCAGGAATTCTATACCATATTGATCAGGCTCGTCAGCTCGTCGGAATAGCTGTTCTACGTGACTAGTGCTAGCGACCTAGACGTAGATAAACCGACAGAGCCCTTTCTTGCTTTTCTTTCTCTTTAGCTTCCTTTGCAAGCTGTTGTTGAAGCTTTTTTTCTTCTTTCTTAGCTCTTTCCTGCTTGGCTTGATCCTCTTTTTGTTGTTGTAGTTCTCGGGCCTGCTGAATCTTTGAAGGGCTAAAAAATATCGCACCACCTTCATTTTCATTAGGTAAACCTAATAATAATGGCTTTTTCCTAATCCGGCGCCTCTTTTCATTCAACAGAGCCTTTTCTGCGCTTGCAAGTTGCAATCTAAGTAGTATAACCTCTGTAGTAAGCTCCATAACTGTATTACTTAGCATTTTGAAGTCTCTGCTAGGATTTTTGCCTCCAATCTTTCTAAGAAGTTTGCGAATATCCCTCCACTCTTCAGGCAAAAGAATTGAAGCTGTAGAACCAGCTGAGGATGGCCGGCTTTCAGATTTCTGATTAAAACGCTGTAAAACCACCTCCAGATTGAAAGGAACCAAACCTGTGCTTTTGAAGCCAGAGTTGATATTTTTCTTAGTAAAAGAGATCTCCCAACTCGCCCAAAAAAGTCGAAAAAAGTCGCGTTTAGTAAGACGGCTTATCCCTTGAGTTTCTTCAAGAAACTTATATAAAGCCTTGGTGTAATTGGTGGCAAGAGGTGCAAATAAGCCGACGTCAAGAGGCTGTAAAGTATGCGTTGCATGCGCAGGAAATATTGCCAATAAGATTCTATTTTTTTCACAATATTCAATAAATCTCATATTGACGTGAGAATTGTGACCATCAAGAATCAGTAGGCGCCATCCCCGGCTTGCTTGAGATCTTGTTTCTTTCTCAAAAACTTCCTCCAACCAATGATAACCAATCTCACTATTTGTCCATCCTGTTTCAGAAGCTGCAAAGTAGCATTTTTGCATAGTAAGATCTTGAAACCAGGAATCCTGTAGATTATTGGATTTGGCCATATAGATTAAAGCTGGAGAGATAACAGTTCCATCTGCGCAAATACAAGCAATTGTAGTAATCCACTCCCTATTCCCATCTTGAAGAAATTGCTTGAACTTCTTTTCATATAATCGCCGAGAAAAGACTCTTTTTTGACTTGTCATAATCCCAATCGCAAAGCCCTTTTCATCCATATTGTAAATTTGATTTGGCTGAAGATTATACTGCTCAATCTTGCGACTTATAAGCTCAAAATAGAGAGCATAACTCCAGGCGCAATCTGCTCTTTTTCGGTTGCGGTCAATGCCTGTAGAATAGCGAGAAACCAACGCATTTGGATGCTTGTTTAACCAGCGAGAAGCCCAGTTCTTTCCAGGATTTCTACCAGTTATCTCATGCGCAAAATTTGCAATCATATAGGGCGTAGGTGGCAGGCCTTTTTCGCAGAGGATTTCTATCCATTGTATAAGCTTTTTGGATTGGTGGTCGTTGAGTAATCGTTGATTATCGTAATGTGCTTCTTTCGAGCCCGTAACGCCTCGGTATCTTCTCGAGAGCGTAGTCCGATCAACACCATACATTTTTGCAACTAAAGTGAAATTAATCGGTTTGTCTTCTCCCAAGAAATTCAAATAATTAACTGCATTCTCGATTGCACCCATTTTGACTGATTTATCGCGCTTTGAGATCCGTGTTGTTTTTCGCGTTTTGACGCGGTACCGTGCACGAGGCGGTGAAGCACTGTATCTGTACAAACTGTCTTCTCTTGCTGCACCCAGGAGAGGGTGATGGGTATCTTGATAAACATCATGTGTATGGAGTGCTGCAGCGAATTAGATGGTTATCCTACTACATTTGACCTGTAATGTACGGGAGTTCCCACTGCTACTTAGTCAGATATTTGCAAATAAAGGGATTGTTATATGGTAGGGGGGTTACTTTCTTCTAAAATTAAAAGACCAAAAGCATGTTTTGGTCTTTGTTATGTAGGTATTCAAACTATCTCTGAACTCCTTTTTATTTCTATTTGTTGTATGGCATCCGGTATTCGGGTCATTCTCTTCCGGGATACGCACATACCATGTTTCCTACGTATATGGGAGATAATTATCTACTCTTGTTGCTTTCAAGAAACGAAGAGGCCGAGTTAAGTATCCCTAGGGAAATGAGTAGAAAGTGCTCCAGCCGACTAGATAGTTACCTACTACTATGTAGTGCGCATGCAATAGACTCAACCCTAGGGTATTTCCCCGCAATTTACAGGTTTATTTAAACGTAGATTGTTCCCATCCATGGATCCTAGCAAGAATTCCCCGAATAGATTCACCAACAGTCAGGAATTGATACCATCGGCTCAACATGACCATCTGGAATCGCAAAATCACCGTTAGTGATGAAGCAGTCACTTCGGCTGTTCATCTCACATTGAGACAATCCTTGTACCGAATCTATTGGGTACATACTCCCTTCCACATTCAATCGTTCAGATCAACTAATTCGGATCATCAGTGACGATTCTGTTCTTCCTCTGACCTCCTCGACACTCTAAATTCCCACCCCAATCTACCCTTAATATCTCGGCGGGTATGGCCAGTTGTCTTCAAGCGTCGTATTTTGGGGCGTATTTCCTGTGTCCGTTGACTGTTTCCGTGTGGATATTGAGGAAGTATGGGTTTCGGGTTACGTTTATGACTGGTTGGTCTTCTCCCCTATTGACGGAGTGGAAATATCAGCAAGACTGTTCATAGCTGATGTGAATTTGGCTGGACTGTCGGTTCTTACGATCGGATGTCTTCTGTTTTGGCCGTCTGGCGTCAAGAGATCTTTTGGTGGATTTTGTGGGAGTATGTTTGTATGTAGTCAGCCTTTCGCGCTGCATCGACAGACTAACAATGTCTAGGTTGTCGGCGCTGGTTTGTCGACGTTGGAAACTGCCGCACAGCCGTAAGAAACGTCTACATCGTGCAAGCGAACCATAACTGATTATTGCTATAGATTCCTTGCCCTTTGCGGTCCGCCACGATATAGTGAAATTCGTCTCAACCTTGGCCAAGGTGTCCAAGGAGTCGGCATCTTCGTCGCTCCTCTTCTTGCCTCGCGCGTCTTCTTCGCTCATACCGTCAACACCGATCAGGGTCTCAAAAACGTGCAATGGACCTATCTCGGCGTTGCTTGCTTCGTTGCTCTCTTGATCATTCTTTTCTTCCTTGCGCCCTTTCCCGAAATCACAGATGCTGATCAACAGGCTCTTGAAGGCGCGATAACGGATTCAGCGGATGATGTGCAGCCGCTTCGTAAACAATATACTTTATTCTTGGGGGTAATGAGTCAGTTCTGTTATGTTGGTGCGCAGGTCGCTATTGCGGGTTATCATATCAATTTTGCGGAAGAGGCTGGTCGGTCTGCTTCTGATGCTTGTAAGTTCCCTCCATCTCTCCTCCAAGAACCCAGACTGAGAATGACCTAGCGGATCTTCTCACCGTTGCCCAAGGGCTGTACGCATTCAATCGTTTCCTGGCTAGTTTCTTAATGATGTTCAAACCATTCAAACCCCGATACATGCTCTTCGTGTATCTTCTTGGGTGTATCGTTTTCAGCATTTCAGCCATGAACACTTCTGGCAATACATCCATTGCTCTTTGCATCATTGTGTTCTGCTTTGAATCAGTAAGTCTTTTTTCTTTAAAGATGGAACTGTGGAAACAAACTGACTCAATACAGTGCTGCTTCGCTACCATCTTCTCCATGAGTCTTCGTGGCTTGGGTCGCCACACCAAGCGGGGAGGCTCATACCTGGTGGCTGCCATTTCAGGAGGCATGGTCTTCCCACCCATGATGGCCGCTGTTATCGTAAGTTTCCAATGTCTGCTACTGTCCACGCTAATTCCCTCTCAGGACCGACGAAACGCGCATATCGCAATGGCCATCCCTATGTCCTCGCATGGATCTTCCCCATTTACGTCAACCTGTATAAGCGCGAGATCATGGACACCCATCGTAACACCGAAGTCAATGTTACTCACACACGTGCCAGCGAGAAGAAAATTGAGTTGGAGAGGGCTCGTGAGAATGAGCCTGAGGTCACTAATATCGAGAATGTCGAGGGGAAGCGTGCCTAAATGTTTCCCACTTGTTTACGTCTGATCTCCAGAGTGTATTGTGTTTTTTGTTGTCCGGGTAGCGAACAGAATATATGTAATGAATTTTCGGAGACAAAGGCACTTGGCAGTACTGTTAAGGATTTGTCTGAAGCACTATCAACCTGTAAAGATTGATCACCGCTTCAAAGACAGTATATCAGCGAGATTTAACCTCCCCTTCTCACCCCATCCCGCAACTCCTGCTTGAACCTCGGGTCGTACGCGTACATACCAAGTCCAAGCCCGTCTATCAAGTTCTTCTGCCGACAGTGTTGAAGCCCAGGAGGAAAACAATATATCCAATACTTGAAGTAATAGGCCTAGGCATCTCTCCTTCTCGGCAGTAGATTCTCTAGGTTTTTTTTTCTTGGAGGTGTCGGCTTTTTCTGTATTGTCGTCTATTTCTTTCATCATCGTGAAAGATTTGAGTAAGTACGACCGAGCTACTTCCGGAGTGTGTATTGGAAGATTCGATGTCGACCGATAACCTGGATTTCCCTTGGCGCTGACACTATCCCGTTTCCTCAAAGCCTCGAGATCAAGACCCCAAAGCGGAGGCAGCCCGGTATTTGTCGTGGAGTTAGACAATATTTCATCTACCGCGTCATCCCCTTCAGGCCGACCCTCATCAGGATCATAATCCCACCTCTTCAACACCGAAATCTCTCTACCCAAAACCCTGACTGTAGGTTGACCTTTCCCTTCTTCATCAACAGCAGCAGCAGATGACTCAATCCCCAAACTAATGGCTTTACTACGACTATTCGCACTAACAACCGTCTGAGCTAGGCTTAGTCGACTGGAGAGCGGTTGTTCGGGCATAGTGTATTTTGTCACTGCAACTGCAAAGGCGAGGACGAGTGGAGCACGGTTAGTTTTGAGGATGGTTTTGGAGAGGACTTCTTCAGGTTCAGAGGTTATGGGAAGGGTGAGGGAGTATTCAATTTCGTAGGGTGTACGATTTCCTCCAGATTCATTGGAAAATTTCATCTTCTTAGTTGTTGAGGATGACTTGTCTGTTGTGGCCTGGCCGTCATCTGACGCTCCGCGTTTCTGGACCCCTTCCTTAGCCACTCGTTTCGCTGCATTGTGAACTTGCTTTGCGATTTTGCCATCCTTAAAGATAGATTGTAAAGTCTCCAGATTTGAGGTTGATATATCGTCCACGCTAAGATTAGATTAGTTTCATGTATCTATGTTGAATTTGAGGTAATGTTGAAACATACTTCTGGAGTCCGGCTGCTTGAAGGTCTTTGATCTTGCCCATTGCAGATGCGAGCGGGACTTTGGCATCTTGCGAGAGGAAGCGCAGTAACGCTTGAAGCTGAGCGGCCATTTTTTCTCCTTTGATTTAAATTGAGGTTGATGTAAGTAAAAGGAAGGTTGGAACCTATCATGGGCGGGATTCCGAGTTTAGGTCATCCATGGATTACTAACCCAGAAGAATCGAAGGATGAAATGAACTAGGAACAAAATGCTTATTATTATTATTTGCATCTTGAATAATCTAAAACCAACTAACACTACACTAGTAGCTACCAATACCGACACAACACAATGAGCTTTCTCAAAAGTTCTGGAATTGATACAATGGCTATATTAAACATAATCACGAAGATAAACACCGACCGCAACACGAATAGACATCACACTTTGTTTCTCTCTCCAAGCCTGTTTTTGTAGAATTTCCTTATTTGCAAACAACTCCGGCCAATACATACAGAGCATGTAGGGAAAAAAAAAAACAACCTAAGCAGTGGCTCCTTCGTTGTCGATTGATCCATCAGATCGCTTCTTGCCGTCGGCCGTCGCAGCCAACTGCTCGCTAACCTGGTCAGAGACATTATCTCCAGTCGTCGTGGACTCTGGTTCTAATGCCTTGACTTGTGTGCTTTCTGTTTCTGATGGTTGATCAACGGACTGCTTTGGCGACACGTGCTCGCTCGTCCGGGAATCCTCATGGTGCGCCAAAGTGGTAGGCTTTGGTGGTTCATGAGCTCCGTTGTTGGCTTCGGCTTGCGGTTCAGTGTCATTTTCTGACGAGGCTACAACCGGATCTGCAAATTCACCAGCCATGTTCTTCGCAATAGGCGGCGCCATGGCCTTCTCCTCGGCTTTTAGATCGACATCTGGAGCATAAGGTTTGACTTCAACGACTGGCTGCTTCTCTGGTAATCCGACTGTCAAATTACCATCAACACCAAGTTCCCAAACATTCCAGGGATCCATAATACGAATTTCTGGAATTGATGGCAGTCTTTTCTCCGACGCTGAACTGGCGGCAGGCTTTCTCCTGGCTGGACCACGGGCACGACCTTTGCGAGCATCAGCAAGGGGTGCTTTCTCTTCTGGAGTTTCTTCCTCCTTCTTCTCCGCAGCAGGCTTAGGTGCTTGAGGGCCTAGTTGGAGTCGGGAATTCAAATCTGACAAAAAGTTAGCTTTGACACCAGCGATCTTGCCACCGACAGGTCGTGCGGGCACGACGGGCTTGTTTCTGTTGACTGGAGGTGCAGCTGCGCTCTCAGCAGAAGCAGGCTTAGAAGGACGAGTGGGAATTTGAGGTTTGGGACGATCTGGAATAGAAGGTGCTTTCTTCTCATCCGCCGCTCCATCAGCTGGTCTTGAAACCTTTGCAGGACGAGGAGGAATGCTGGGTCGGGATGGAATAGCTGGGGGTTTGGCTGTATCGGGACTTGTCGTTTCAGATTCTGAGGGCTCGATCGTTGTCACGAGTTGCTGACTTTCTGGTGCATCTTCCCAAATATCTCGACTAGGGAACCGATGCTTGACGAGATCAGGTCTCGTTTGGCGTTGAGCGCCTGGCTGTCCTTGTAATATATGAGAGGCGACTTTATGTGAGTCAATCTGTTCTGCTTGGCGTTTGCGTTGCTCTTCTGCCTCTGGTGTTTCAAACTTAGGTTTTGGTTGTTCTTCCGGCAACTCAGGGGTGGACACGCTGGCGTGTAATTGAAGACTGTCCGGGGTATCCTCCCAGATATCCTGACTAGGGAAGCGGTGTTTCAAGAGTTCGGTACGCTTCTGGAATCGTTCTGCAGCTGACAAAGGTTTGCTCGATTTATCGTCATCCGGGAAAAGTGGTTCGTACTCCTCAACATCCTCCAAAGGTGTGTGCACATCATCGTGTTCTTCACCTCGAGAGCTCCAGCGGGTAAGACCTGCGGGTGCGCCGTGCAAGCTGGTTGGACGGCTGTTGGGCGCACTAGGTGTACGGCTTCGAACACGTTCGATATCATGAAAATCTGTGCTTGCTCGTCTGGGAGAAATAGCAGGATGGAGGAAAGCTGAGCCTGGGCGAGATTCGTCAGGTGCAAGGATGGGTTCGTCGTCCTCAATGGCGTCGTCATAATCATGTGTCGATGTTGGGTCTGGTGTAAAAGCCAAGCCATCCGGATGATGTATAGAATGATACGGCTCGTCTACATGAATGATTCGGCTGCCAGCATCGCTGCTTGCAGTTGACATTGCGCTACGAGTACGCGTTAATTCGGAGGCGGCGAAACTAGAATGGCGTAAAGGAGATTCCACGGCCGGTTGAGTATCTTGACGAGTGAGCTCATCGGTTGCAATATATCCCACTTCTTCAGCAGGGGTTCCGATAAAAGCCGGCGATGTTCCTGAACTTGTTGTTAGTAAAGTTGGGAATGGACACTCGCTGTCGATAAGTACTTACCAACACTAGTATCAATATTATCAGAACTGTGAACAAGGCGGTTGAGGTCGTCGCTGCTGAGCGCCCAAGTGGATCGTTCGGCGATGGCCGGGCCATACTGACCCTGCTCTTCACGGGCAAGCTCGTCTGGGTGCTTGTCGTACCAAGCCTTCTCGAATTTGTCGGTGGCATGTACACCATGACCGTGAAGGCCATAGCTACCAGGTGGAAGAAAGACATCGCGGCCGCTACGGGTGCGGTGATGATGGCGACTAGCCCGTTGACCAGAAGCAGACCCGCTTCGGGGAGGTGCGGGAGAAGGAGCCTGCACGTCACCGGCATTGGCAAGCATAGGCACACGTTGGCCAATTTCGGGAATTCCATGCTCTTCTTCAAACTGCATGGACTGGCGACGAGTGCTAGATGCCGTGGACTCGGCACGAGAACCGCTGGGTTTGGAGTATATGGAACGGCTGCGCTGATCGGAATCCTCCAATGCCGGTGAAGACGACTTGCCAAAGCCAGCTGCAGCAGCTTGATCTGAGTCAGTACGAGTAACAGTTTGTACTCTAGCCTTTGCGCTGGAAGTGGGCAGCGAGGGCTTGGGGGCATGGAGCTTCAAATCGCTGCCTACGTTTCTGGTCTCGGCAGGTTCGGGTTGCTGCGAGCTAAGTTCATCGTATTCGATGCCTTCCTCGCCGAGGGACGGAATAGTCACGCTTGGAGGGCGGGTGGGAACGTCGTGTGAAGTCGTACGCGCGAGCCCAGCGCTCTGTGGAGGCTCGTTCAAGGGTGATGGGGCATAGCTGTCTCTGGCTGGAGATACAGAGCGATCCAGGCGACGATTAGCAGGACGAGGAGGTATTGAGGGAATATCGGCGCCGAGAGTGCGTGGAGATCTGGCCGGACGAGGCGGTATCACCGGAGCTGACGGAGCAGACATGGTGGGTTGATGCTATAAAAAAGTGTAGGAAGCCGTGGTGGGCAATGACGCATGCAATCTGGTAGAAGTGGGTTGGGCTTGTTCCACGTTAGTCTGGAGGGAACAATGGAGAACAGAATCAAGGAGAAGAAGCAGTAAAAGGTGTAGATGAGTTGAAACAAGCCAAAAAAGCAATTCTTTGCAAGTAGTGGGAGAGGAAGAGTTTGAGCGTGAGGCAATTCCGGTATCAGTCTGGCTCCTTCCACGCTTAACCGGATCTAGCCGACGATGACGATGGCTGGATTTGCAGGGCAATTCCCTTCCTTTATAGCAGAAGAAGCAAAATAGAGACAGAAAAAAGGGAACAATAAATAAAGATGAGTTTTTTTTCTAGTCACGGGTCTGGCCCCCTTCCCCTCGGTGGTTCTTTTTTGTATTTAACCTTTGCAAGGGTTTGTCGAGGCCAGAATGATATGCAGGACGCTTATCAGAGGCCCAATCAATAGGTGTATGTTCACCGCCTGGGAAGGAGTTTGCCTAGCCAACGAGACCAGCTGACTTGAAGTGTTTTTTAAAAAAAAAAATAAAATAAAGGTGGAATTGAAGATGGAAGTGCAATGGAAAATTTATTCAATTTCTTGTGCGTAGAGTATAGACTTACCTGTTGTCGTGATCTTGACTGCCGGCTGGTCGAGGGCGAGCTGCTATTGGACGGGAAAGCCGAGTACAGACAGAGTAGCTATAGTTCGGTTCGCGGACTCGAGATGTAACAGCAAATCGACAAGGAAGATAGCGCCGAGGGATGATGATGATGATGATGACAATAGCCCGTGGTTTGTAGTTAGTATCTGAACAGAAGAATTGGTAGAAACAAGAAAAGACAAGGAGAGAACTGGTGTATATAAGAATAGCATCATAGGAAGAAGTCAGAAGCGAGAATCCTGTCTGGGCCTGGAACGTATTTACCGTTATTACGTGCTTACGGCCCACTTGGTTCTTTTGTCTGCAGTCGTGTGACTCGTGTGACGTGGAACATTCTGTATCTTACCGTATGGAAACGTGGGGAGTGGCTGACATGACTGATTAGGTTAGGGTTCTAGTGGTTGGCCGATCCATGCTGAGTGTACAGACTCCGTACAATGAGTGAAGTGGGCCGAGATCAGATACGATATACTTCGAGTCTCCGTGAAGATAACAGCACAAACGATAATATAAATACTCCGCCATACTATCGATGTACGCGTAGTAAGCATACATTCTCGTATCTTCAGTATCCGTGGCACAGTTTACGCAAAGAGCAAAAATAGAAAATGCCTCAGGGGCCTGAGCTGAGCCACTGGGTGGATGGACCGAGTGGATGACTAAATTACGGTACTATTCTTGATATGGTAAAATGGTATATTTGCTGTATCGGCCTTACGGGACGATACATGACTCAATCATCGTCTTCATCTTTGGCCTTCCCCTTTGACCAAGCTGACTCAAATGTAAACAAACCATGGATCATTTATCACGTGGCAGGTCTATTGAGTTGAGGCTTGTTGAGTACTCACGAAACCATCTGGACTCTTCGGCAGAGGGACAACACACTGTGACACTACATGACAACGACGAGGATCTTGTATATCTCAACGAACCACACATCGCTCGATATCAGGCACACGCACAACCGCCAAGAGGAACCCCCTGTAGGAGTCAAAACGTTCACCACCACGTATCCAGTCTGTCGCTGGTAGTTTACGTCCAACCAAGTAACTACTCATCTATACAGGATACTGATACAGTCGCATCATTGAAGCCTCGTTTCTATCAATTTCGCTCATCGGATCTGCTGGATAGAACTCCGCCACCGGTGTTGCCAGTGAATCTTGCCACATCTACAACATCAGCACATACTGCTCTCACGATTTGATATCAGCATAATATCAGGTGCACACTCATCCATCTGCATCAAACCGACTTAGCACGATATCTATCATATAGCACCAATGCAGAGAGCGGTAACCTTGGAGGAAAGCAAGCCTTACCCCCTCGCGCAAGTACTTGTATGTATGGACTTACGTAGGTATGTAAAAGCATGAAGGCTTTCCCCCCACACTTCTTACGATGAGAAATTCTCCACCAGGTCTGACCTCATATTTCGTCTGCACCCACGAGACTATGTATTGTTTTCAATGAAGAATTTGCTAATGGGCACAATTGACTCGCTCATCGCATGTATTTGTGTAATACCCCGCTGTTCATGTATGCCCCGCGTTCATACAGTATGTATGTAACTTTTCATCTAGAGTAGCCTATGAGTAAAGAGACATTAGACTGCCATTGATCAATCAATTCGCTCATTGACCATTCAATATTCCTTAGAGGGAAGGGAGTAGAGCTAGGTTTACGGGCACCCTGAGCATCCATGGGATATGCGTGATTTATTCCCAGCTCCTGTACATAGTACGACGTGCCATCAAATATATAAAAGCCGCAATGATGAGTAATGATCATGTGCTTCCTATTGGTTGAAGAAAGCACCGCAGGAGAACTATTGTTTATCAGGTATGATAGCCATTGGGCAAGAATTAATCTCTCTACCTAGAGGCAAGAACGCAAGGCGGTGATCAGGTGCCTAGGTATCTATCAAAACAACAGCCGTAAGTATACAATACAGTATATCTTGATAAGTAACAATCATGGCAATAACTCCTGCAGGATAAAAACACTAATACATGTGCATGCTTGCTCGGGAAGAAAGTCAAGCTGAGAATCCTCGTGAGGGTGTCGGATACACTTCGTAACACAGGTAGATAAGAGCGAGAAAAGGAAAAGGAGGGGGTTTTTTTTTTTTTTCTGTCAATCGTGGAATCAATCAGGACCAATTTCATAAGCACCGATACTCCAAATTCACGATCTGACTTCGTTTCGATAGCTCAAAAAACACAACAGTCCATCAGAACTACACAATCATCTGCGCAATACCCTGTCCACCAAGAGTCTTACTTCCAATGAACTCCTGGTTCCTGACACCAGCAAGAAGATAGCAAAGACCGGCAATGAGCAAGAACACAGCAGCAGCAATCAAGCTCGATGCGCCAGTCACCAAACTGACCCATTGCACGGCACTCATGCCGATGTAGATGAGAGCTCGCATGTAGTTGCTGGTGAAGCGGCGGATGAAGTCGTCAAATTTGGAGGATGTCGGGCATATGCGAAGGAGGAAGGGTACTTCGATGAAGAGGATGACGAATGCGCAGCATCTTTTTTTTTTTTTTTTTTTCCAGTGTCAGCAAGCGTTTCTCCTTGCGAAATGATGGTGGTGGTCAACTTACAGACACACTATACTAAACGGAATTCGGCCGATGGGCGCAAAGATGTTGGCGATACCTAGGGCGAAGCAAAGGAAGATGCAAATGACGCCGGTCCTGTATCAAAATGTTAGATCATTGGAAGTACATTGATCGTTGTAGTCAAAAGGGAGTCTCCAATCGGGAATCGCAAAACGAGTACGACGTAACTAACCATTGCCCATAAATACCTACAACACGGTTAGTACAATTCTGGTATATCAGGTCAAAGGAGCAGGAACCGTACTGAAATTACGTGTGCGGAATTCCTCGGCGAGAGTCATCTTGATATAGCAGACGGATCGTAACGACGTAAAAAGAACAAATAATTGATGAGTGAATATATAACACAGGAACAATCAATCAAGAGAATCAATTGAACTCTTTGCTTCGTGGATGTTGTCTGTTGGACTCCGGTGTCGTTGCCGGCAGGTACGGAGGGAGATATTCGTAAACACTGGACGGCGCGAGTCACAGCAGTCTCCGCAACAGTCAATATACAGAGTAGTCGGAAGTTGGCGATATCCTTGATCAAATGCTTATGAGTTAGAGCGCAGATTTATAGCGTTGCGGCTGCAGTGATAAGTCGGTGATCGACGGAATAGCAACGTGGACGGTTCAAAGGTGATTGGAGCTAGGTAGCTACTCTGAATAAAGACAATCTGCTTGTCAGTAATCATTTCCTTAATCAGATCCACAATACAGTTCGATGGGTGATGAATTGCGTACCTCTCAATCTTAAGTTCTGGTGCTTGATGAAGAATGCAAATATATGAAAGATGTTGGGAAGTTCTTCAGAAGTTGAAATTAATTTGGTTGTTTTGGCCGAGTGACGGATGTTATGGATGCCGCACTCTGATTGGTTCAAGGATGCAGCCTGTTGGAGAATGGAGTTCCGCCTTTATTGTCGTGAGTGGAATATCAGCAAGGCTTACTATGAGTAGATGGAGAGCTTTTATCTTTATGAGAAGAAATATGGAGATTCTGTCTACCTACACATAACTTGGTGGTAGAAATTTGGGGAATCCGGTAGCCTGGAAAGGTAAGGCCACTCGGGACGACTCTAGAATTGCGACCGATTCATACATTGCTTCAGCTTCAAAGTCTTGGAATGACTTATTTGCGCAAGATCAAAGAGAGAATCGTGAATGAATGTCCACATTTAGCCTGTCTACGATCCCTGATACCCTTGTCAACGCATGGAGTCTGTATTAAAATACTCGAGAAGGAGTCATATTGGCATGATGTGTGTAGATTTTATAGCACAATCAAAATTCTTCCATCGCTCATTCTCAGAAACAGCCAAATCCATTCTTTCCCTTACATACATCTATGAAGCGCTGTAGATGAGACGGAAGACATCGTTGTAGACAAAGTAGCTGCCTGCTCCGTCGGGCAGAAGTTGGAATGCTTGAGTGTAGTTCATAGGCTTCTGCTCCTCATCGACCTAGTGACCAGAAAGTCAGCATCGGGTAGTCAGTAAGAAATGTATCGAGCGCATACCAAAAGGGCACCGGTAACGAGGACGAGGATACCGCCGGATTCGCTGCTGGGCTGGGCATCGAGGGTTGCAACCTGATGTTGTACCTTTTGGAAGGGGAGTTCCTATAGCAAAAAGAGGTTAGAAGTCGAGTAGACCATCGACTTTGGAGTGTACTCACGGTCAACTTCTCAATGATCGCGGCAGTTCCCAGCTTGGCATCATTCTCGAAAGTGAGCATAGAATTGTCGCGCTATATCATTGCCATGTGAGCGCATGCCCGAATTTAAAGCAAATGCGGTGGCTTACATAGAGCGCAGCGAGGTTGGCTCGGCCCTCATCAAAGGTCTTGTAGTAGAACTGGACGAACTGTTCTGTATCGCGATGGTCAGATAGGTTGGGGGGGTAACGAGAAAGTCGCAAACACTGTGGTCAAAGCAATTTTGTGACAGGACGGAGAAGGACATACGGGCGATGCTGCTGAAGTCTGTAGATATGATTAGCAAGATGTGTCATCAATATACATGGATGCAGCCAGCAGAGGAGGAGATCGAGAAAAACAAGGCCAATATCCACGGCGCAATCGCATCTTCCAGCGGGAAAAGGAAACATCGATATATCACTTACCTGCCATTGTGGATGATGATCAAGCAGGTCGAGTATGCGCAAAATAAACAGGAAACAAAGTACGTACGAGCAGGAAGGCAACTTTTGTTGTTCTGCTTTTCCAAAAAGGAGGGGTGTTGTGGGCCTGAGGTTCTTATTTTGGTGGGGCTTGCTCAGTAGGGCGATCTTCCAACGGGAATGCGCTTCTACTGTCTATACACACAGAATACACCAATTGATTTCATTGTAGTCTACAACAAGTCATATACGTTAACTGTGCTATACATCGTCATCGTCGGAATCTGCAAACATGTCCTCTGCTTTCGGTCGAGGCTTTCGCACTCGCGCAACTGGCGTGTTCTCTTCGGGTTTGCTGGTTGACTCTGTAGCCTGATCGGGTTGCTCTCTCTTCTCTTCATTGTCTTGCATATCAACAGCCATGTCCAAAGGCTGTCCGTCCAAGTCGTCGCCTTCAAGGTCACTATCCTCCATTGGAACACCGTCGATATCACTCATTGGCTCGCCGTCTAGGCTATCATCAAATTGCGGAGCAGCAGATTGCTCAGGTGCTGGTACCTCAGCTAAGATGAACTTTCCTGCATCTTCATCCACCGTTTTCCAACGACCCTTGCCCTTGTTACCAGCAGCAGATTGAGCCTGTTCAGCTTCGGCTTTCTTTTTCTCCTCTTCCATTTCGTTCTTCGTCAACGGCGGATTCTCAAACATCTGAATGAAATGATCTTGGGCTGGTTGCGGGAAAACACTCCATCCTTCCCAGATATGTAATATGGCCCCGACGCTGCGTTTCCACTTTTCTGCTTTGAGCCGGCCCCATTTCAACTCTTTCTCTAGGCGGCCAAGATGCTCAAAAACTTTGTGTGTACGAAATGCATGTTCAAATAGCTGCCTGTATCGCCAGGCATGACGCACGCCGCTGGTTGACGATGAGGAAAAGATATCTGAAATCACATACAGACCAACAAGCTTTGCAGCTGAGGTATCCTCAATTCCTTTTCCAGAGGCACCCGGTCCAGCGTCAGTTTTATCGCCAGTGGCAGTATTGGCTTCACTCTCTCTGAGGGCAGTTCGTACTTCTTCACGATCTGGATTGGCTCGTGAATACGCGAATGGGCGGAGTACATTTGCCACTAGCATTTCCACCACTTCCTCTGCTCCCGCACTCGCATGTTCAATAGCAAAAGCTGTCACTCGAGCCACGTCGCCACGTCGTAGTTTGGTATTTGCTGTCGGAAGTCGAGCAAGTAGGTGTGTTAATTTCGCCTTCTGCAAGGGATCCATATAACCCATTCCATCCTGCCCTCCGATCGCGTCGTCTGCTGCATGCCGCCGTCTTGACTCTTCGTTATCAGAACCCTCTTCATCTGAGGAATCATAGTCTTCGTCAGACACAAACTCATCAAGGGTCGTAGCATACTCGAAGCGAATCGGTGACTCTGGACCAAGCCAACTGGCACCTCCCTCGAATATTAGTGTAGCTGGACTATTCCTCCCATAGCGTCCACGGCTAGTCTTCGCATTGGTGAGTACATCCCAAAGCTTCCACCTATACCAAATACCTCCAACGCTACGAGCATCCCATATCCAAGCCCACTTCTCCTCTCGCTGCACCTCTAGCCGGCTCATGAGTAATGCCTCAAATTCAGGCCCGTATTTCAGTAAATTCTCAAGAGTCTTGTGTATAAGTCTCAACTGCTTTAGATTTGAAGGGGGTTTGACTTCTATTTCAGCCGTGGACGTAGGCTTCCCATACTGTGATCCATAAGAGGCTGGCGGCGCAAACCCACCGCGGTGAGGACCAGGCGGAGGCGCTCGATTGAGTCTGCCGACGGGAGCTTGATTGACTGGTTTAGCACCAAAAGGCAATGAACCCTTAGATGAGGATCCAACAGTAACGGGCATTCCTGACTGAATGGCTGCGGAGGACAGGTGGCGTGATATTGATAAATAATAACCCCATCCTAAATATTTACTCTGTAGAGCACTCACTGCAGCATCAATATCCGAAGCCGCTGTATCCTGTGCCAAAGTCACAATGGCGGAGAAGGATCTGCGTTCCATAGATGGTTGCGCGGGCGGTGGTATAATCTTGACAGCATCTACTGTAAGATTTCCAGGTATCAGAGCCTTGATGACAGCCGGCGACGAACCCGGTGGTAAAGAAGAGAGATAGACCGTGGGCTTTGCAACAGCTCTTTCTGCCTCCTTGTCCTCTACATCTCTTTCCGCCTCGTCATCTGAGGTACGAAAAGCGGCCTGTGGACTATTGTCATCGTAACCAAATATACCATGACTTCCCGACTCTCGGTTATTCCGATCTCTATCGCGAAAAAAACCATCATACGTTCGTTTCCGCGCCAGTGACGGCGGTGGGGGACCTAAGCTTCCAGGGCCGCTATTACGGGAAGTCGATGCACCGGTGAAGTGACGTTTTGGCGGAGGACCACCAAGACTTCCAGGTCCGCTAGACCTGAAGTTCGACAACGTCCTTCTACTGCTGCTATCTCCATCGTCGTCAAAGGACTTGACGAAATCCTCGTAAACGGCGGCGGTTTCGGCTTTCTCGCGCGCGCGTTTTGCTTCGGCTTCGGCCTTTTGGCGCTCGAAGAGGGATCGTTTTGGTGGTGCTGATAGTTTCGAGGAGAGGTCGGGGAAAGTTTTAGATTTGGAGTCATCTGGCATGGTTGCAAGTGGGCAACATTTGCCCTCGCTACATACAGGCCAGCTGCCTTGTTGATGTTGTTGGTTGGGGAAATGATGGAGGTGAACAGCGACGGTAGCTCGATCAGCCCGATACTGTCATGCGCCAGTTTATGCAGAAAACAGTAGCTAGCCCGGTTAGTATTAGCTCAACCCTAACTCCAACGATAAAGATCGATCTTGCTTCTACATTTACTTCAACCTCTCAATCGTCAGTCTAGCACAGTTTAGAAAAGATGACATACACATACAACAGATGAACAGACGATTATTGAGTTAATACGTACAAGGAAGCTTGTCAAATGAACCAACAAAATATCAAGAAGATTCACGAACAGCGTCCTATTTTCTACTTTTTAATTCAAAAGCTACAGCACACTCCAGAGCAAATCCACCACACTGCAGCATCCATCCCTTAGCCTGCAGACTCAACTCTATACAGTGAGGAGCTCTCGGAACACAACCATGCATGACTTTTGGACTGCTAGTAAAGCCACCAGCAAATTCAGAGACAGATTTGTTAGAAGAGTCAAACCACGGGTCAACTTCTGTCAAAGCATAGAAGACTGGGACGTTGACCTGTTCCGCCTCTCTGCGCCAGTATGACCGCCATAACTGAGCCACATCAATCAACTCAGCCAAAGGAGCAGGACGGTTCAGTTGCTCGGTGACTTGTAGAATATCGGGGCTAATTAACAGACCTGCCGGGCTTTTGTCCGCCGTGAAGTCTAGCATTGTGGAATTCTTGCGAGTTATCTCGAAGGTAATGTATCTGGTCTTTTTTGCTGGTAGAACTGGTTCTTGTGCTTTCTTCTCGCCATTGTCGTGATTTGGGCTCTGTTTATCAGATTCAACTTTTCTCTGAACACAGCCAATTCCAGAAATGACTAAGCCGGATAAAGGATACAGCGAGGTTGTCTGTGTGGCATGTGCAGCTGCAGTTTCGATGCCCACCATCCCACCAACAGAGTGTCCCACAATCACCATACTCGAAGCCCCGGATGTTAATCCAAATTCGTTCCAGATACGCGGCAAAACTGTGCTTTCAAGATATCTGGCTTGGCGTTGCGTTGGGGTTGTAGTATCAGCGTTCCCAGGATCGTTTTGATTCGGTACCTCCGTACTACCACCATAATCAGGCCTGTCGATTGCTACAATGGGAACGTTGAAAGCGTTCGCAAGTACGGACCAGGAGTAGTCCGCATTTGCATCGAAATACTCCGAGTCATAGCTCGCGCCGTGCACGCATACGATCAACGGCCTGGCAGTTTGTCCGGATGATGAGCGATCTGTATTTGGGAGGCAATGTCTGCCAGTGACCTTCTGGCCGCTGTCTAGTTTGATGGTGAACTTTTCCATTTTGAATTTGAATCACGGTATAAAAGTATCTTGCTTATCCGTAGGTTGTATCTTGGAAGAGGTTCAATTGTTTCGACATGAAAGCAGGCGAAGATCTGACATAGGATTTATATTCTCCTGGGTATGGTTAGGGTCATACTCGCTGAGCAGCCTCAGGAGAACCCAACAATATCTCTGTCAACTCGGTGTACTATCTAGGTAGTCAAGTAGAGTGCAAAGTGGGTTCGATTGTATTCTACTATACATCATTTCCTGACTCAGTATGATAGTAGCCTATTTCCAGTTACCCTGGTACATTCGAACCACAAGCGTGTCCACATGGGTATCTCAAGTCCAACCGGAGATAAGTTGGCCATCAGATTTCGTTCATCTTTGGAAGAGTGAAGTGACTAGGTAACGCAATAGTCAACGGAGATACTGAATGAAGTCGTATAAGCCACATAATCGTGTGGATATGTGATAACTAGAAGCCTGGAAAGATGGAGATGCAGGTACAGGTGATGATTGGACGGACTTAAGGAATGCTAAGGTTAGGGTTATCGTGTCGCGTTAAGGTAGTACATATGCCTAAGGTGTCTGTCACAACCAGAACATTCTCGGAGCTGCTGCCTTGGCGCCTGAGGATTACTAATTGAGTCCTTTCCGTAAACGGCTAGACTGCAAGTGGCTACCGTAGGCATTTCAAAGACTGTCATCGATCGCCAGAAGGGCCTTCACCTCCATCTCATTTCCACACCTCTCAGTTCTCTCACATATCTGCTCAGCGAGATATGTCTGAGACGAGCAAGACAATAACCAGGCCTCGCTGAGTTGGAAAAGTGCGCCACTGCCATTTCGCGTTCATTTCTGTTACGCTGTTACGGTCGTGGCGCCGCCTGTCCTTGATTGCTCTATCGCCACTTACTCTACACTCAGTTTTGTCACACAGTCACAGTCACTCAACGCCTTCTCTTCGACTCTAGCGGAAGTCTTTACGAGTCGCAGGGCGTATACTGGACAAGAGTATGGCCATGGCAACAACTACAACAGCACCGACGGCGGCCGGAGCAGAATGGAAGAAGAATTTGTCGGCACACGTCATCTGTCCTGAATGCAAAGAATTTCCTCCAAACCTCGAATTTCCCGGCTCCCACGAGACTGTCTGCGGCTCCTGCGGGTTGGTTTTGGCTGATCGTGAGATTGATATACATTCTGAATGGCGCACATTCTCGAACGATGACCAGAACAATGACGATCCATCGCGTGTTGGTGAAACTTCCAATATATTGTTGAATGGCAACCAGCTGGAGACGAGTATTGCAGGAGGCGCAACTGGTGCTGCTCGACAGTTGTATCGTGCTCAAAACAAGCTGTCCAGCGAAAAGAATAATAAAGCGCTCATGGCTGCTTACAAGGAGATTGGAGCTCTGTGCGATGGATTCAACATTCAGAAGATTGTTGCAGATACAGCCAAGTATCTCTTCAAGATTGTCGATGATCATAAAGCGTTCAAAGGAAAATCACAGGATGTGATTATCGCTGGTTGTATATTTATTGCTTGCAGGCAATGCCAGGCTCCCAGAACGTTCTCCGAAATCTTTGCAGTGACCAAAGTGTCCCGGAAGGAAATTGGAAGAATCTACAAGTCTCTTGAAAAGTTCTTCACTGCGCAAAACATTGAACGCACGGCTATAGTCGGATCTGATGCGGGCTTCAAACAAACCACTTCGACGAAACCGAGTGATCTATGTGAACGTTTCGGTACGTTCTTGGGCTTGGACTACCGCACATGGAATGCGGCAGCTACATTGTCCGACAAGGTTACGAAAGATGGAGATCTTGCCGGTCGTTCACCACTTTCGATTGTTGCTGCTTGCATTTACATGATCTCTCATCTTTGCGGTGTACCCAAGTCCGCCAAGGAGATTTCGAACGTCGTCGGTGTCAGCGATGGAACTATTCGTGGCGCATACAAGCAGCTTTATGCAGAGAGGGATCGTCTGTTGACTGATGACTTTATTGCTAAAGTGAACGGAGACAAAGCTAATCTACCACAGAGTTAGAGTGCATTGTATATGATATTTTTATTATCCGATTTGCTGATAAATTATTTTCATCCGCGCCAGCGTCCTAATGCTTTCTGCTGTTAGCATTGCATTTCCAATTGACCTCCAGATGGAGAGTGACAGAGTGAAAACCGCATATCAAATTGTCTGATAGTTTACATCACAGAGAATGTATAGAGTTAGATTTCCCATACCAAGTTGAATACAATAAATACAAGTTGAATAGGTTCGAATATTCAAAATTCTATCCTATGTAGAGAATCGAAATAATTGAAGCAATCACGATGCTCGGATGATCACGGGGTGACTAAGCAGCGCGTGTGCCAAGACCAGGCTGTCCGCGAGTGGACAAGTCAAAAGTTCCTTCAAACAATCCGAGCCCGGAACGACTCTTCTCATCGATCAGACTTACCTTCCCTTCCCTTCTCTCTATACAGAAACCAGTCATCCTTCTCCAACCGTCGCGATGTTGTCTCACTCTGTCCGAGCTTCTGTAAGAGCGAAATTGTTTCTTTTCGGTTATGATATTCAAGGTGGCTAATGGGATGAACAGCGCTCGCTCCTCACCCGGGTTAACCGTCAGTCCGTCGGTGTTTCGTATCGCACTTTTATGACCACTGCCACTCGTCGGGGTATGTCAATTCCTCAATTGCTTTGAACTATACTAGAGAAAGGATTCGCTCGGCGCCGCCGAGTCTCTGGAGCGGAATGGACTCGTTTAGTAAACAGTTTCTAACACATCAAAACAATAGCCGACCCCGTCCAGGACCTCTACCTCCGCGAACTCCGCGCCTACAAGCCTAAGCCCACCAAGGCCGGTGACGCTGAAGCTCACGTCCAGAAATTCACTGCTCCCAAGCCCCCACCATCCCCCGAAGAGTCCAGCCTTGCCAGTGATTTGCAGGCATACGAGACCCAGACCGTCGAAGTTGAAGGTCAGGCTGTTGCAGGTGAAGAGGCTCCTAAGGAAGAGAGCTGGTTTGAGGAGGATGAGGAGGAGTCCCACCCTGCTGCTCACTAGATTGGTTCTTGGGCCGATCGATATATAAGTTCCGAGATTCAGTGTGTACGAATGGGCGTGTGAAGTGGAGGAATCTTGAATCTTGCAGAGTTTTATAATATGGAAACTGCTGCAAGAGGGGAGTGACATATTACGGGTATATTGGAGATACTCAAAACTACTTGTCTGCACTCTGCACTCTGCATGAAGCAAGTGGCTTGCAAAGTGATGGCAGGGCTATTTTTCTGTTTCCTTTTGTGGTACTTGACAGACACTTGAAGCAATGTAAATTAAGCAATATGACCGCTTCGAACCTTATTTCTTTTCCCGCTACCATCCATGACAAAACGTTCATTGAGAGGTGAACATTGAGACGTTTAGTACTTGACTGCACTCAAATTACCAGAGTCTCATACTGGGTGTTGAGGTGTCCAGACATTCGTTCGTCCTCTGTATATGAGGATTCCGCCTTGTTCCTCGAGGTCATACCTAGGTATAGCTACCTTGATAAGTACCTAGTAGGGTAGGTCCAAGTGATAGGTCCTGATGGTATGAGCAATCGGATGAATGGGAGGAATAGCACCTGTAGATACATTCGACACATGCGGACGTGTGCGAGGACTTGAGATATATAGATATTCAGGTAGTATACTGATACTCTGTAGATGTGCTATCCATGGATACATAAGCATGTAGGAGAACTCCTTGCTTCTATGTAGAGTTGTGTCTGACTGATCTGTCGGATACATGCCTTGTATCTCATCGACATGTACATGCATGTATGTAATATTGATGTAGATGTGTCCAACCTTGTGCAAAGTGACAACTACGCCTCATTTGATAGCGTATACAACCCTGGCCTGGTATGTAGCTATGATACATCATCGATAGCATGTCCACTAGCGTATGTCGACCACCAGTTGGCTATTCAACCATTACGTACTTACAAAGAATAAGACCCTTCGAACTCAGTCTCTATCTGCATTCCGCTTCCACCGTCCATGCCACTCGTGGCATGCACTAACAAACCAGTCGGGTTTTCAATGATCCAATACTGAACTCTGTCAGGCTTTGTCAGAGTGGCTCATTGCAAAGTCAATTCAGAAGAGTCAAGTTTTAGCTTGACGAATAGAGTATATGGTAGCGAGGCTGAAAGCCATAGTGTCTGTACATCTTCGGCTCTGACAACTGCGACTCTGAACTCTTGAGATGTAGTCATAAGTGATTTGGATCGAATGCTTGACTCAATCAGGGCGGCTGCAACATAGCTGATCATACCGACAAAAGACATTGCATAATTCGTGGTTGATCGTTGTCGGTCTTCGGATGGCGTCTTTAGACTCAACCCTTACGCACGGCACTGACTAAGAGGCTAGTCCAGGGCTCCGGTTTAATAGGGCCACCGGGTCGTGTCGCATATATTGGCTGAAATGTCTGCTTTTACAGAGTTTTGATATTCAATGGTTTAACAAACTCTTTGAGTCTTCGCGCGGCTGAGGTGAGGCTCTTCAGGAATTGGGGTTCCCAGGTAACTTTATATGATGCAGTGTGGCGTCAGACGTGGCACTTTGAGCTGAAGGAACTCCTGTACATGTTAAGCGATGACAGGGCTGTGTTGCAGGCATACACCAGATGCTAAGCCCGGTGAATGCAGAACATATCATCGAGAAGGGAAAAGTCACCACGGAAGATCTCATCCGAATTGCGTATTCCATATAATCGGATCACGGATCAGTCAACAGTCACTAGTCGGAGTCTTGTAGCGTAGCATCACAAGTAGTCAAGTCAGCAGTTGACAGTCGAAATTCAAAGTCACGGAAGATATCCATCTGTCTTTTTGTCGCTGTGCTCGTTTGCCAGATAAATATCAAGTACGGAGTAGTCAACAGAAGAATACGAAGGAGGAAACAAGTGTTATCCACCTGGTTGGTCCCTGCCTGGTTTTTGTATGTACCCGCCTTCATTCCAGCTTGCTTCCTTCCTGCCTTTCCACTTTCTCCTTTCCATCTTCCTCTTTTTCTTCCTGATCAAGTCCTTCTTCTTCATTTATCCTTAATCGAGCGTCAATACCCCATCGCTCTGTTGTTCTTATCTCTTTTGTTGCACTCTGGTTATTGTACACTACCGCTACTACCTCAATCTCCGAGCCTGCCGCGTCTTGAAACTTGACTAATGAATGATCCTGCCGCTGACGATTGACTAATCTAATCAACTTAGCCCTCACAACCGTCGTTTCTCTGCCCCTCGCAATTTACTTCTTCATTCACGCCTTGTATTATTTTGGTGGATCGTGTTGACCGGCTTTATCCTACATCGTCCATTTCCTGCGATTTATTTTGGGTTCATTATAGACTCCGTGTGTCTGCCACTTAATCGCCAGTCTTAAAACATACAGCAGTCTTGTATACGAGGAAAGCGAAGAAGACGTCTTTCCCGTTCGAGCAATGTGTATGATCTGAGCTTGTGTGGCTTGATCTCTGGTTCCTGGAGAGCTGGTCTCTCCGGACTGTTTTGACTTGGCACCACTCCGAATAACGTCCACTAGCAATGGCAATGGAAGTGGACAGCGTCCAGGTCCAACCTTTTCCTCTTTTTCAGCAGCAAGAGCACGATGCACTAGTTCAAGAGGACAATAAGACCCCCGGTCTCCTCCAAAGGGCGGCAAGCTTTGAGTCTACAAACGAAGACGAGAGTCCCGATACGCCCGTCTCGCCTGGCGTGAAGAGAAACTTTTCGGATACGAGTCTGTCTATCAAGAACGAACCGCCGACAGTCGAAGAGAACGTTACTGCTGGCAGGGATATATTGCGTCGGCTTACACTCCGTACCTCGACTAAGCCCAGAACCTTGACCCGCCGCACCTCCACAAACGAAGCTCCGACCATTACAAGTTCGGTTTCTAAGCTAGAGAAGAGTGCAACGCTGAACGAGAAGCCTGGTGAGATCGCTGAGGAGGGCAACAAGGAAAAGCCACGCCAGGATTCAACCCCGCAGATTGTTGTCAGACCGTCCAAGTCTCGATCTGTTTCCGGGAAGATTGCTACCCTTGCGCGGGTTTCATGGATGTCCAGCTCTCGCTCACCGTCGCCAGCCCGTGACTCGAAGAAAGGAGCAACCTCCTCACGAGAACAGTCTCCAACTCCCAGAAGCCGCCAAACATCGACAAAAGGAGTGTCCTTGAACAACGAAGCCAAGAAAGACAACGAGCTTCAGCCGAACTCTAACGGTGACTTGCAGAACAAGAAGCGTGCTTCGAGTAGGAGGTCCCGTCGACCATTGAGTTCATTTGTCCCCAGAAGCAAATCAGTCGATCCTCCTTCTCCATCTCTCCGAAGCAGGAAGTCAGTTGACCAGCTCTTTGCTCCCAATCTTGACCTACCTCCTCTTCCTAGACCTCCAGTTCCTTCTTCAATACCTGCTATTGAGCCCCCTCGGAAAAAGGATGAGCTCTGGACCGTTTTCAGAAATCTCGAAGCTGACCTTCAGAAGTTTCACGCTAAATCAACCAATCTGAAAGTGAACGTAGTACGGTCGTCATTACTTCCTTTCCTTCAGCGGTATGCATCACATCCGTCGTTTAATGCACTCCGACCCGAAGACCTCGACCGTCGAGTCAACATTTTGAACAAGTGGTGGACTTCCTTGTTAGGACTGTTACATGGCAAACACAACCAGTCGGTGTCCGGCACAGACCGACCAGTATTCTTAGAAGCGCTTTCGGGAATCATGACGCGAAAGGAATGGAGGATTCCATATCAACCACAGAATTTTTCGGCTCATAGCTCCAATTCGTCTCTGGAGTCAAGCTCCTCTGATTTCCTGGCAGAATCGATATTTCACAATGTGCGAAACATCTTCAATCAAAATCTGCTGGCACAAATGTCCTTTGTCGTGGAACGAATGTCCTTGCGCCATGCGCCGGCTAGTCTGGTGGCATTTTGCGGGAAAGCATGTGCTTATGCATTCTACTTCTGTCCTGGCGTTGCCGACATGTTAGTGCGGTTGTGGAATACCCCCTCTGACGCGTATCGTCGATTGCTGGCAGATCCACTGGGATATAAAGGAACTGGGGGTAGGGCAATAACGCAAAGTTTTGCGGCTAGATTCCCGCTTCCCATACGGCCTTTAGCTTTCTGTTCCCACATTGCTCTCTCAAGATACCTACGGCAACCGCCAACATTGCCGCTCAGTGCAGTACAAATTCCGTGGCAAGGTCCTTGGGTCTCACGCTGGTGTGGACGGGATAGCGATCTCTTTTTCGTGTTTGTCAAGTACTTTCATATACTTAATTGCGACTTTCTCCCTCGGGAAGCAGATGCTTCAAAGCAACTATTCGCGCCTGGCATGTTGTCTGTTCAGGGGCATCTTCTGATGGTTCTAGAGGATACGCTGTATCGACAATCTTCGCCGCCTGCCCCAGAGAATCCATTTGCGCCAAGCGCAGTCACTTTTGATGATTTCATCGAAGGACCCAATACTGCCATGTCTACAATGCATATGGGTATGGCAAATTGTCACCGTTCAATGGCAGAGAACCGATTGATCATACTTTTGCGCGATTTCCTCTCGGAACCTTCACCGGAACTTGCGCCGGCTCGGAGAATGTATTTTGATTCCTTTATGCGTGTATTGAAAACAGCGGCTCGCAAGACGTCGCTATTTAATCACAATGCCTGCTTTGTTCTGTGCGATTTTGTCGAGGAGACTGCTCCATTGGTCGACCGGTATTCTCGAAAAATCAAAGAGGACGTCTTTCAATGGCCGTTTTGGCTTGATGTTTGCAAGCAATTGACACTCAGTCAAAATTCAATGACCGAGATCCGTCTATTCTCTTTCTTGTTTTCCATGTGGAAATCATGGACCTCAAACAAGGAACGATATCACGACCTCTGTACCCAGTTTTTACTTCATGACGACTATTTTTACACATACTTTAGCCATTGGAATCCGATGGTTCGAGCTTATTTTCATCGGTTGATTTGTTGGAGGGTGGCTCGTTTCAACGAGAACCCTACTCCTATTGATTCGTACGTATTTCTCCATGTGTGATTACACGGCATGTTACTAATTTTGACATCAGGGACGTTTATGAAATGCTCATGGATAAATTGGAACAGGTCTGGGCCTTCTATTTATCGTACAACTTGAGAGCTAGAAACGACCTGCGACCCCGATTAGATGCAGTGGCCACCGGTCCAGCTCCTAACCGACGACTCTTAATTATCCGCTCTGACAACCAGCAGCCGTCTCCAAACAGCCCTTTCATCTCTTTTGATAGATTAAGCACGTCATCGTTCAGCTCGGGCGCATATCAATCTCATGGAGCGCTAGAACTTGATCCTAGCGCTCTGGCGCCGGATTCGGATTCTTCGTCGACGACCAAACGCAGGTGGAATATACTGAAAAGTGTATTTGGGTCAACTGCAAACCCAAAGCCTGGAGAGGTGACACCTCCTGGCAGTGTGTCCGATGAAAATGAGGCCAATCCCATTGACAGTCTAATGGGCGAAAAGTTGATGAAATCCTCAGAAGAAAATGCAGAGGACGATAGTATATACGAACCTCCAGCTCCGCATCAACCGTACAATTTCAAGTTTTCTTTAGAATGGTGTCCGCAGCCGAATAGGAATCCACAGCACAAGTCGGTCCCCAAGGAGAGACCTCTTTTTGAGCCAGGCCTCCCACGCAAGACTCTGTATTATGTACAAACCCAACGATCAGCCAAAGCGTTGAGGAACTCGACCACAACCACGGACGAATCCATCGATCCTCGCCGAGACGCCGATGCATCAACGACTAGTACTCGAAATTCATACGCGACAACCAAAACTTCTGTTGACGAAACAGACTCGACTATTTTTGAAAACATTGAAGCCAGCAAAATTTTACGCGATGAGCGTATAGTTGCTAGCAAATACGCAGGCCGGGCATTAGCAGAATGGGCAGTGATCGTCTCCGAATACGATAACTTTTTCGATCGGAGACTTAGGGAGGGAGTTCCCAATGATGAACTCGTCGAGACACCTACATTGAGTGTAGAGAACCTCAAGAAATGATGCATCCACCGTTTTCCTTTTTTCCTTCCTTCTTGCATTTGTCATCATATTCTAAGCGTGTACACCTGTCTTAGTCAAGAAGCATGCTCGCAAGTCGCGAGCATATCATTTCCAGGCGTTTGGTTGTACGTACTATTATCTCCTTTTCTTATTTTGGGCGTCCACACGTACTTTATTCTGTTTGCCTGGTATATTTGTACGACTCAATCATTCGGTCATTCATTGTGGAGAAGGATCAATCCAATTAATCTTACATTGACATCCGACTTCATCATCATTGCCAATTTCAAGTAGAAATCCCTAGACATGTAATATTCGTAGAAGTGTGCCTGGATGATAATACTCCTCAAACCTGAAAGGATATCACTCCATGTATGACTACATCATGCTAAGTATAAATGCAAAAAAATGTCACTACTAGATCGACAATTGAGAACAAAAAAAATCAGAACAAAGGTACAGGCAGTGGTCGCATGATCAACAACAATCGAGGATAAAAAAAAGAGAATGCCACAAAACATAATAGACAACATTCTCCCGGATTTTGGTGTCCGGTGTCTAAACAGATTGAGAGTATGAAAAATGAGCTCAAAGCAGCTTCGTGGGTGCAATGCAATGCAATGTGTACATACTTATACTAAGTAGAGGGGCAAAGAGAGCAAAAACGGGGGATGTTGCGATTGTTAGTCCCGGGAATCAGATTCGAAGCAATACCAGAAAAAAAAAATGACAATCATATACAATGAATGGTTAAAAAGAAAGGAGAGAAGCGAGAGCAGATAGAAAAGTTCAATAGATTATATGTTCAGGTTTAGACTCGCTTGGGTTACAATTTCGGCAACACGATTGATCCAGGATTGGGTTGCGTTCCAGTCTCCGATGTCAATGGCATCGCGGATAGCTGGGAAGAAGGACTCGTCGTAGCCGGACCAGGCCTGGGGTGCGAAAAGGACGTGCTTGAATTGGGTTCGGTTAGGAACCTTTCCTTCGTGTTAGTATAGTCTCAGTAGCTTCAACAGAGGAATACTTACACCGCCATCTTGGGATAAGTCTAGTAGATCCGTTTCAAATCTAGCTAGACGATTGTTGTGTTCAATACGCCGAACTCCCATAAGGTTGCTCTCAAAACCGCCCGAACCATACACGGCGCTATACCAGACTTGCTCCCATGCTTGGAAATTAACAGCGTTTGTTCTGAAGACTTCTGCCGCATCGTATAAGGGTGTGACGTCGACCATCTCAGATCTCTCCTGGGGAGCATCTGACGTAGGCTTCAACGGGACACCTTTGTTTTTCGCGTAAAGTTGAAGATTGTCAACATAGCCCCTGAACTGGGCGGCGTATGCTTCCAAATCAAAAGGGAGGATGGGACTGTCTGCAAGTTCCAAAAGCAGTAAACCCCAAAGTTCACCCAACAGTCTATGATATCGAAAATCGGGATCTCCAAACTTAGACATCCACTCGAAGTTTTCGTAACAGCTATGATACGGGAAAGGCTCGCCGCCAAATCCAAAATCAAGACTAGATGTTCCTGCCATATCTTGGAACGCAACATAATCACTACCGGCACCTAGTCCCTCTAACCGTTTCCCTTGTTCATCCCAAATCTGTTTCAGTGTTTTATTAGCGGATTCGTCGCCGACTCGGCCCATAGCCGTGTTGAGTAGTCGCTGGAAAAGGGGTGAGCCGGCAGCTTCAAAAGAACTGCCACTAACGCCGACGTCGACATTAAGGTATGCAAATCCATTACTTCGCAGTCTTTCCATCTCATTTTCAACATGTTCCGTAGAGCCAATTAGATTATACTCTTCGCCATCCCAGCTCGCAAACTCAATGGTACGGAGAGGGCGCCATCCAACACTCCTCATCTCCCCGAATATGCGCACAATCTCCAGAAAAGTTGCGGTTCCACTGCCTGGATCGACCCCACCAAAGCACCAAGAATCCCGATGGTTGCCAACGATAATCTTCTTTTCTGGCTGCTCTAACCCTGTAATACGTCCCAAAACATTGTAAATCGGTTGTCGTTCGATCTCATCTTGCAAATTCATCAAGTTAACCTTCGGGGAAGACGAATCACCAGTCCACCACTCAGCAATGTCAGGTACCCCACCCACCCAGTCAACTGGTACTTTCGACCCATGGCCCCTGAGAACTTGTAATAAGCGTTGTGCGTCACGCCAAGCGAGGGGGATACTTGGTATCTGTACTAAGCCCGGACTCTTTTCTGGCGACAATCTTTTCTTTTCATTTGGAGTCGAAGCGAAGCCCGGAGACAGCACGTCTCCTACAACCCATGACATCAGACTCACTCCTCCACGCTGTACACCAGCACTTGGCATATAGCGACCATCAGGGTAAGCTGGGCCTCTGATAAAACCGTCCTCCGCCGGGTCAGAATATATAATACACCCAGCCGCGCCTGCAAGCTCGGCTGCCTTGATCTTTAGCGCACGATCGTTCTGAGTGCCGTAATATCGAACCAGGACAATGGCACCTTTTACAGAAATACCACTGTCTGCAAGTCGTTTGAAATCCTCCTGAGATCCGTAATTAGCGTATACCAAGGGGCCCGTGACGTTCCCCGATTTGGAATGGCCGTGAAAGACGAGAGTCTGTTGTCGCCTGGGATCACTATATACTTGAGGCTCGTCGATTGCAGCTTCCCAGGCCAGTTCTGGTGGGTCGACAATTGCAACACGGCGACCGTCGGTTCGTGGATAGTTCAGATATACCTGGAACTCTTCCATTTCAACATCTTCCAGTCCTGCATTTATAAACTCCTGCTCAATCCATTCCGCAAGCACATAACTACCCTCCGTTCCTGCTATATGCGCAAATTGCGTCGCTTTTTGAAGATTGTTGGCAATGTTGGTTTCATTAATATGACTTTGAACGAAGCTTTCGACAGAAGCTGCTGTATAAGATTGACCCATGCTAAACCGGCTACCGACGGAGAAGACGTCGGAGACGAATACGAGGTAGACAAGGAAGACGAGGATGAGAAGACCGAACAGGCGGAGAAAGAGCATGCAAGCGACTCCATCTTCGTTAATTTGTAAGCGCCAGAACCGCCAGCGCATTTGGAAGCGGGGAAAGCTATTTCGAAAAGGCAATTGTAAAGACGATAGCGTTTTGGTTAAGCTGGAGAATGGATTGGAGAAGTGTTTAGAAAATCGACGACTCAGCAGTGGGCGACGAGTTTGAGACGACGTGCCGGAATCATCTACGTCCATTTGGTGTATCTCCCGTCGTAATTCCTCCTCTGACTGGCGAGCGGAACCTGAGGCTGAGGAGGCAAGGTAGTCGATACTCGAGCGAGCTGATTCCACGGTCGGAGGTTGATAACCTCCATTGCGGGTTGTTGCATGTGGCCGACCGGTATTAAAGTTATCGTTGGTGTCTTCATGTTGGAGAAGGCCCTGCCTTTCCAAATCATCACTTGAGTGTTCAGGGCCTAAGTGTGAGGATCCGGACTGTGATGCGGTGGCTTCTTCGTAGGTTGGAATGGGCAGTTCCTCATATCGGTACTTCTTGTCACCCATTGCGCTTTATGTGCTAGCGAGGAGCAGGTAGCTCCACGCGGATGTATCAACAGAAATTAAATGGATTGGAGCATTCGAAATCATGATCTAGTAAACGAAGGCGCGGAGAGACACATCGAGGCTGTTTTCGACCAGCGAGCGAGCGACAAAGTGAAGTGAAACGGCAGAAGGAGTGAAGTCTATTTACACTTAGCAAATGCGAGGGAGAATCTCGACAAAAAAAACGATGAGACGCTTGTGGTGGTGAAGAAGGATGATGATAATGATAGTTAATCCCTGAAGTTGATGGATGAAATGGAGATACGGAAAGTACACGGATAGCGCCTTCCCGATTGGTCTTGGCGGGGATGGCACTATTTTATGGTGTGGCGCAGTTCTTGGTAGGGGTTAGGGTTGTGATGTACCGCAGCCCTAACACCCCTGACTGCTGATCATGGATGGCATCGACTATCTATTTCTATTACTACATACTTGGAGCAAGCTCTGGTTTTCAGTCTGAAGAATTATCCTGACATTTGTCATCAATATGTGGCTAGTTTATCGTGGACAACCATGCCGGCGAAGTATCATCATAGATATCAAGAATAGGGCAAAATGCCTATACACAAGCATGTTAGCACGATATGGCTTCGTCGATTCATAAGAGTGCCTACCGAGGAGTCTAAATCTAACCAATCTGTGGGCTGCCATGTATTCAGCAAACTGGGAACTGCATTCAGAAAATCACCTCCCGTGGTCGGAGGAACGGCATATTCAGAACCTGTTTCAGGGACTGCTAAGAAGTTCAGCTGCGGATCAGAAGAAGTGTTATCCGTACTTTGCGTAAGGGCCGGTGCTTGCGGGTGCAACGAAAGAGAATAGATCCGTGGTTTCGGACAGCCTGCTGTTGAGCTTCTTTTCTCAGTTCCTCCAAGATGACACCGTATCGTCGACTGGGAGAAGCTGCTGAATTTGCCCGGAGCAAGTGAGACCGGCATCTTTCTGCCAGGTCGAACAGTTTCGTATAGGATGCTTCGTCGTCGTCGTCTCTCTCATAATTGTTATTGTTTGAACTACGCTGAATCTCCCAGACATACACCACCGCTAGTGCACAGAATGTGACATAATGAGTCCACCAAAAGGAGTGGAATAAATTGGTGTCGTTTGCCATGTTATTCACCAATTCCAACGTCACTTTGGCAGCAGAGATACATTCAGCTACTCTGTCTTTAACATATGGTGCGTCACTATTGGAGCTGTTCCCGTCTCCTAATAAGAACGGCCGGTTGGCATGGATGACTGCATGGTGATAGGCGAGATTAAGAGCACTAGATTCACGCCGGAAACTAGGCATTAGTGTAGATGGCTTTATTGTGCCTAGATGCGGGGGAAGGCTAGTACGCCATTCGTGCAGCTCGCCAACGAGACGATGAGCAGCTGCAACTCGGTCTTCAGTTCGTATATCGCCTATTGCATACACTTCACGGGATATTCGGCCGATTATTCTAGCGATCCTGCCTACCGTTAGTGTGTGATCTTTAAAAAGCGATAGGTGCCCATAGTACATGCTTGGCATGAAATATTAGAGAGTCAACATGACATTCTTCCGAAGCTTCGGATTCCAGAGGGCCGTACGGTCCCATGTCTTCATCGTTTATACTATCGGGAAAGTCCTGATCAATGTCCTCGTCATGCAAGAACCGAGGTCTTCCAAATACCACACTGAGGTACTTATCAATGGTATAGGCAACCCAGAAGACGCGTTTAGCACATTGGAGGCTGATGTAGTCACTACTATGGCTCTTGAACGACACACCTTGTTTCCGGGACCGTCGTCGATGGAGGCCTAAAGAGGAAAAGATATGATATGCGCTGCCGAATGTATACCATGCTTTGTTCATACGCGAGGTCTGGAGAAGGTAAAGAACTTGAACCAGTCTAGCCTGGGCCGATTCCAGGCGTGGAAATCCCATTTCGGAGTCCGTCAAATTCATCGCAACGCAGAACAAGCGGTCGTTCTGACGCAAAGCTAATGCCTCGTTATCCCCAGAATAGAACCCGCCTTTGAGCTTCTCGTTTCGAAAGCCTGCAATTGCCAAGACGGTCAAAATAATTGCACATTTAGCATTGCCGAGAGAATACGAAATCTGGCGGTTTTGTTCCCTATCTTTCAAGAATATTTCCAGCCAATTTTCTACCGTCTGCCGATGGAATATGCGATACGTCACAACACAGGTGTCAAAATAAAGCGAAAGTAGCGTCCGTGCTGTCATGTCGTCTGGGATCAATTCTGTGCCCTGCTCATCGAGATAAAAGGGTCTATCTCCTGCACATGTTAAAAGTTGATGTTTATCTGCCTCATTTGAGCCATGTGCTGCCATTTCCCCCTTTTGTGCAAATAGTTTCCTCCATGCTCGATGTAAGAAGGTTAGACCGGAAGTGGGATCGAAATATTGACCTTCAATCTCTAATTCGGGAGATGCTCGCGAGGGTGCAGCCTCGTTAGAGGATGATGGAAGCCGCCCAGTGGTCATCTCATTTGGGACCGACCTGTCAATCCTGCCACTACTATCGCGTTCGATCCCCGCATCGGAAATAGACGAAGTTGAGGTTACTCTTGCAACTGTTGGGCCGTCTTGCCTTGCCAGAGGTAGTGGCGTTGGAGGCCTGCCGCGCGCATATTTGGTCGCATAGGCGCAATTCAATCGTCTCCTAGCACAGTTCACGCAGGGAAGAGTGCCTGTGCATCGAATCTTTTTGATCTTGCACAAGTCGCAGGCTCGACTGACTTTGGGGTCTTTCCTGCGGTTCTCCGATGTACCTACATCATTTTGGGCCCGCTTGCGGGGAGAGGAGACTGGCGATCTGTTGTTTGTGGGGTTTCTGGGGATGTTCTGACTGTGAGAACTCATTGTGGTGGTCCAGAATGCAAGAAGATGGGTACTTTGTGTAGGAATCCGGAAAAGACGGAATCGAATGTAGACATTGGAGATGTGGGGCGCAATGCAAGAGGAAAACCCGGACAACTACCTGAGAATCCGTATTTTCCTCTTCTTCTTTGGCTTGGGCCCTGACATATCAAGTTAATGGTTCGAGTGGTGTTATTTTCCTCGGATCTCGAACAACTGGCCGTGGCGCAGTTTATTTGAATTGCCATTGGAGGTTGGGCAGCTTCAAAATCGATCCACAATGTATCACCAGTAAGTTATACTTCAAGGGTCTTTTACTGTCATAGTGGTACAGAAACTAGTCCAGATTCATGAAAGGACTTCACTCAAATTCTCGTATTTATTTCCTCAAGATCTCCCCATAACCTTGTTCTAATTTCATTCTGAAATGAATCAAATGATATGGGACTTTGACAAAGATAAGTTGCATGAAATTATCATTGAATGTATTGATGGAGTCAAATGCGAAACGAGGGGAAATATATCCATGGATCTCACGGACAACGTTTTCGTTCCGAACACTGAACTACTTGTTGCAGCGACTAAATGTATAAAGCAACATGAATCGATGCAATACAGTGCCTTTCTTCCTCCTTACAACTGCCTCATGTTGCTCGTCATCTCTCACGCAGTCAGGACTTGACGTCGGAACGTGAATATCAACCTACACGTTTCGGCACCGGGATAGTAGTTAGTCCGACGTGGCACGTGCGTGCCGCGTATTGTTGGATATTTGATACGCTAATCCCAATCCGGATGTACTTACTAATCTTTGAATCCTCGAGCTCACAATATATGGAGAATATGGGTCCAAGGTCCTAGTGGATCAAAAGTCATACGAGTTCGAGACGTAGTCTTTGATGAGACTAAGAAATATGACCCTGATCATCCATTTGCAAAAGTCGATGTACTGTCGATTTCCATATTCTGCGGCATATCCAAGGGCTGAGTTGGCTGCTCAATATTCGCATGCTCATGAGGTGACGTGCTACCTCCTGTCATCGTTTTTCCTAGGCTAACAGAGAATTGCTGTAGCCGCGAGAACAAGAGCGCCAAAAGGCAGACTACATTTTGGAGTCAGGATTGTTATTTATTCCGTAAATCCGTGATATTTCGCCACCACGTTTTGTATATAAAGAGGATCAGGATGTATATCTAGAGGGGATTGGAGAGGACGTGCAAATCAGAGTCAATTATTCCTCATCCAAATTGTACGCTCCTATCAGAGCCTAACCCCGTTCGGACTAGTACCAAAAGATTCCAATACATATTAGCTAGCTGTCTCCCATACTCTTGGGGTCTTTGTATTGTAATGGCACTATGAATCTATGTACATAGGGAGGTGGGTGGGAAAATCAAGTGTCAGTTTATCTACATCTAGGTAGCTAGCACTAGATACATAGAACAGCTATCCCGACAAGCTGACGAGCCTGATCAATATGGTGTGGAATTCCTAATATTGATGACTGCCCACTTGCCTCCCCACGAGGGAGCGCAGACGGTGCCCTCTCTGACGCTGCGGTCTAACGCCTTTACGCGTAAGACCTCAGCGACAGGTGACCCATGTTGACTGCGTGAGGTCACCAATAATTATCTAAGTGCAAAAAATGTGACAGCCTTGCAGATAGGCGTCACGTGGCGAGCAGGGGTTGACTGAAGACAAGGCTGAACTGCTATAGACAGGTTACTTAACTTACCATCATCTTCCTGTCAAACCATTTTCTTGTCCTGCACCTCTACGTTCGTGCCGTTCGGTAGGGTTTACACCTCAGAATCCTACTTTCATGACCATGTCAATGAAAGCCTTTAGTGGGAAATCGTTGCATAGGCTAACTTGCAGACGGCTGGGCCCTTTAGGCTGAAACTAATCACGACTCGACCACTTTATTCTGAGTTCAACCGAAGGCCATCCACAATCGGCCAAGATTAAACATCTGAAAATCAACTCCGCCGGCGTGTGGCGATCATCCTCGATTGCTAAGGATGTCTAATCCTGAGGACTATACAGTCGGATGGATCTGCGCATTAAGCACAGAGTATGTTGCCGCACAGGAGTTCCTCGATGAGGAGCATAAACCGCCGAAGTTTGTGTCGCCTAATGACACCTATGAGTACACATTAGGCAGGCTTGGAAAACACAACATCGTCATCGCCGTCTTACCCGATGGTGAATATGGAACAGCTTCAGCTGCTAGTGTAGCCACACATATGCTTCACAGTTTCCCGAATGTCAGAATCGGCTTGATGGTGGGCATTGGTGGCGGGGCACCAAGTAGGAAGCATGACATCCGTCTTGGCGATGTTGTGGTCAGCGCGCCTCGTGACAATGAAGGTGGTGCTTTTCAGTACGACTTTGGCAAAACAATACAGGAGCAGGCTTTCCAACATACGCGATTCTTGAACCAACCTCCAACAATCCTACGGGGTGCAGTGACGGGGATTCAGGCCCAGTACCAGAGGAAGGGACATCGGCTTGAAGAGGTTATCGAAACGATGAGAAAAATCCGAAGCTACGTCAGAAATATACACGACCGCAGCCTGACACTGACAAACTTTTCAAATCTAAAGTTACTCACTTAAGAGGCTGTGCAGATTCCTGTAATAGTGATCCTTCAAATTTGATAGAGCGACGCGAACGGGCAAAATCTGAGGACAATCCAGCCATTCACTATGGCCTGATTGCCTCTGCAGACCAATTGATGAAGGATGCTTTGATTCGTGATCGACTTGCGGCAGAGAAGGATGTTCTATGTTTTGAGATGGAAGCAGCAGGCTTGATGAATCATTTCCCGTGTCTGGTCATACGGGGTATCTGTGACTATTCAGACTCCCACAAGAACAAAGAGTGGCAAGGGTATGCTGCAATGGCTGCAGCCGCGTATGCAAAGGATCTCCTATGTAGAATTCCGCCGAATAGGGTTGAGGCTGAGAGAAAGATTAGCCCTGACTTATCCGGTTAGTCCTATGGGGTCTAGAGATATATTACCAGAATACTCACTCCGGAATTATAGCCGGCCTTCAGGAAGTTTCGCAGAATCTACGCGAGAACCGGGAACACTGGGACAGGCAGAAGCTCTCCGAAAAACACGAAAAATGTCTTCCGTTGTTTCGTCTCACAAAGAGCGATAAGGATGCTACCTATGAGTGATATAAAGAGCGCGTGGAATCCCGAGTGGATGGCACCTGTGAATGGTTCCTAAATCATGAGAACTTTCAAACATGGTTGGAACAAGATTCTGGACCGTTGCTGGTCTCAGCAGATCCTGGATGTGGGAAAACCGTCTTGGCCAAATATCTCATCGACCACAAACTACCACGCTCAGCAAGTATCTGCTACTTTTTCTTCAAAGACCCGGATCAGAACACGGTCCGACAAGCACTTTGTGCTTTGCTTCACCAACTCTTCACCCAAAAGCATACGCTGCTGGAATATGCTACCAAACAATTCAGCAAGGACGGCCCTGGTTTGATCGACTCAAATATATCACTCTGGATGGTCCTGGAAAATGCTGTGTGAGATCCTCAGGCCGGACCTATAATTATGGTCTTGGATGCTTTAGATGAATGCAGGGAATCTGAGTTTGAGGACCTGATGCGGAATGTGGGGGGCCAATTCAGCAGCAACCAGTCGAGCTGCGGTAAGTTGAAGTATCTTCTCACGAGCCGCCCATATGAACAGGTTTTATCCAAGTTCCGGAGGTTCTCGCATATTCGTATACCGGGAGAGGAAGAATCGGGGAGTATCAGTCAAGAAGTAAACCTCGTCGACACCTCTTTGTGTCTTTTTGAAGTGTTCCTTCTCCAACAGGTCGAACACAAGGTACACCCAGAGGTATGTACGATGCTGAACTTCGAGTAATTTATTCTTCAGGCGGTCCTTGACTGGGTCCTGGAGCTCCTTCTTCTTTGCTAGTTCTTCAACTCGGTGTTGGATGAGGCCACCATTGAAACATTGCCAAAAAGTGTTAACCAGGCATACGAACAAATCCTTAGCAAATCCAAGGAAGATTCGATGGTTCGCAAGTCTTTGAGCATTATCTTAGTCGCGACTCGGCCGCTGACGATTTCGGAAATGAATATCGCTGTGAATATCGATGACACAGTGAAATCTTTCAAGGACCTTGATCTGGAGGAGGAAAAGGACTTCATGTTACGTCTCAGATCTTGGTGTGGATTGTTCATATCAGTGTATTACGGCAAGATTTATTTCCTCCATCAAACTGCTCGAGAGTTCCTTCTCCTCACAGACATGTCATCCCCTGCAACCTTTCATTGGCGTCGCTCCATCACTAGCCATTCCGCACACAATATTCTTGCACAAGTTGCTGTGCTCTACCTTAACTTCTACAACTCCGACGTCAGCCTTCAGGCAAATACGGCAAATACGAACCAGATGGCTAGACACGGTATCAATAGAAACCTCTTCTTGGACTATTCGTCTAAAAATTGGGGTCTTCATTTCCGCGAGGGCCGTATTAATAACGATGATACGATAGTACCTTACGCTTCAAAAATTTGTGATCCAATCTCGAAAACCTATTCAACGTGGTTCCATTTTTGGAAGACACCAGGGAGGATGATTCCTATGAATGGTACAGGCCTCATGACGGCATCATATTTTGGTCTTGATGCTGTCGTAATGTTGTTCCTCAAGGATGGTATCGACCCGGAGTTGAAGGGCAGCGATGGCCGGACACCGCTATCGTGGGCAACAGAAAACGGGCATGAATCAGTTTTCAAGCTGCTTCTCCACACTGGAAAGATTAATGCCGACTCAAAGGACGAGAATGGCCGGACACCACTGTCATACGCTGCCGGGAAGGGCACGAAGGCGCTGTCAAGGCGCTGCTTGAGTCAGGCGAAGTGGATGCCGACTCGAAAGACAATCTTGGTATGACACCGTTATTTCATGCTACCGAATATACGGGTGAAAGGAGTGTCAAAGAAGTGATGACACTGCTTCTCAACCAGCGTGGGAACCAGATCACTATTACTGAGGATGTGGTAAAGGCTGCGGCTGCAAATTTTATGAATGGCAAGGAAGTGATGACACTGCTTCTACTGGCGCGGGCCAGCCACTATATCATCAATCACGGAAAAGATAATTCACACTGCAGCAACTTGTGGTCAAATCGAGATTCTTAATCTCTCATCATACCATCATGGTACTATACAGGACGAATGGTATTTCATCGCACGATTTTATAACGCAGCGAAAGTTGGTGATGTGCGTTGCATTAAGTGGCTTCTTAATGGTGGAGTGAAGCCAGATGCAGAGAATATCAGGGGAGAAACACCTTTATGGATCGCAGCAAGGCATGGACGTACTGCGGTGGTCAATGTTCTAGCGCAAAGAACAGATGTAAATGTCAACTCGGCGTCGAGATATTTGAACGGTTGGAGAGAATCGAATAGTGTAGTTTTGGATTGGATAGTGGTTCGATCAGGTCAACTAGCACACAAAATCAAATGTTTTACCGAACTCTAAGGCACAATAGGACGAAAGAGATATCATTCATTAATACAGGTTCAACCAAGGTATATACAAAAAAGAGTATTCCAAGGTTATCTCATGGCTAGGAATGAGTGTCCGACTAGCGGGATTGTATGTATTCTGATCTGTTTGTCACTCATCAGCACGCTCCACCTGCGCAAAGGTTACATCTCGCTCCGAATCCTGCGCCCGTTTAAAATCCTTACTTATCTTCTCGATATCTCTCTCATGCGGCTCCGAGTCCCCCACGTGCCGGTGCAGAAGCCGTTTTGCGACACGAACAGGATCTAGAATCGTCTCGGACAGGGCAAAGATCTCATCTATTTCTTCTAGATTTCTTCCCGCAGTTTCTGGGAAGAAATAATAAATAATCGGCATCATGAGCGCGTTCAACCCTGCGAAAATAATAAAATATCGCCATGTCATGGCGTTAAAAGCCACGGGGGTAACTTCAGCCATTAAGAAGTTAAATGCCCAGAATGTAGCGACTCCCAAACCACTAATGGCTGCTCGTAGACGAAGGGGTGCGATTTCAGTAGCATATAAGAAAGGAATCCCACCGAATCCGAGGACGTAAGTGAAATGGAAAAAGAATGTGAAAAACACAGCGCCGTCAATGGCATGTTTATTGTGTGGTTGGGAACCGAGACCGGCTACGAGGGCGAGACAAACGGCATTTCCGGCGGCGCTGATTAGCATTAATCCGCGTCGACCGAAGCGTTCGATTGTGTAGATGGCGACGATGCCGCCGATAGGGCTGACGACTTGGTAGATTGCTGCTAGGATTCGGGAGGTGAGGGAGTCTAGGAGGAGGTTCTTTTGGAAGATTGTAGTTGCTTAAAACACGTAAGTATCGCTGCATATTAAGTTGTGGAGATGCCAAGGGAACTTACTGTAGAAAGTGATGGCGTTGACACCGGTTAATTGAAGAAACATCAGAACTGAACAAGCAAGAATGGTCCGATAGAGGATCTTCTGAGGGCCCATTGAAAAGATCTCGCGCACAGATATTGATCCAGACAGCTCCAGGGAATGTTGGACATCTCGAATCTCGGCTTCAATCTCCGGAGAAGTTGTATCCACATCATCCAATACGGCCAGAATTTCGCGAGCTTCGGGTACTCGGTTTTGTCGGACCAACCAACGAGGGGAGTCCGGCATGAAGTTGACAAATACAAGCACCATCAAAGACAGCAAAATCTGGAAGGCACACGGAAAGCGCCATGAAAGACTGCCATGGACAAAAGAGAGACTCAGGTCCACAAACAACGCCAAAGACAATCCCATACCAATGAAAACACCCGTAGTAACGACGTGAGCTCCACGCTTACTAGCAGGCGATATCTCAGACTGCCAAACAGGGACGGTAGCTAAAAGGCCGCCGGTCCCCATTCCGACCAGGATGCGAGAGACGATAAGCTGCGCTAAACTGAAGGCGCTGGTCATGAGAATAGCGCCGATGATCTGAATCACAGCCGCAATCATGATAACCCGTCGACGGCCTAGGGTATCACCCTGCCAAATGCACGAAACGGCTCCAAAGAGACCGCCAACGGCATATAGGGCGGTGACAGTGCCTTGAATAGTAGATTTATGGCTCTTCTCTGAGGCACGTGCATGAAAGGTGTCGATTAAAGGGAATTGTTTCTCGAAGGTGGAAAATGTCAGCATTCCTCCGAGTAAGGACTGGTTGTACCCGAATGTCATGATTGCAGGCATTACTACGCTGAGGAGAGCGGCGATGTTGAGGCTGTTGCCTCGAAGGCCGAAGAATGGTGCCATCTTTTGCAGCACAAGCCTTGAGATAAGATGAATGTTGATTGACGAAAGACAATGAGATGACAAGTCTCCTTGAAGATAGCTCATGGAGAACATGACCAGGAAGGAAGCTCTGCGAGCTTTTATGCAAGGCTGGGGAAAGCTACATGGCTTTCAAAAGGGCTGCTATCGCACCCCAGTTTTCAAGGTTCGACCCCAGAAACTAGGTGAGAAATCCGGGGAAGTCGATGGGGTCGGATATCACGGATTTCCGGATTCTAGGAATGTTAAACTTCTCATCCTGCCGAGCTTTGGATCGTCCGCAATTCTTTCCCCCCCGCATCTATCTGTCTTAGATTAAAACTCTGATTACGGTATTACCTGGGTAATTGTGATATTCATGCGTTGTCGGGACCTAGCTAGGTATGGGGAGATGAGAGTCCCCTCATTACTGTGGCCACAGCCGTGCATTTTTCCGGGAATCCGGCGAGAAATACGGATTTGCTCTGCATTTAGATCCAGCAAAGGAATGAATCATGGACACTCATCGTAGAATATATAAAATCCAAACATTTGCCAGGCCATGGTTTAGACTTTCGTACAATCCCAAATTCCACAGCAATCACTCTACTCCCTTTTCCCTACTCACATATATCCTCTCTTACCTGTCACCTCTCCAGTCAGAAGTATAGACCGTCAATATGGTGGGCTTTGATATGCGCGGTCTGACCCCCGCTCCGGTCACCCCCTTCACTCCCGATGGCGCTGTTGACTATGAAGCAATTCACCGTCTCGGTTCCTGGCTCGGCAGTATTGATGGCGTCAAGGGTCTCGTAGTTCTCGGCCATGCTGGCGAGGGCACCTTTCTCACCCCACAAGAGCAAGAGTCCGTCGTCAAGGCATTTGTCAAGTCTGTGGATAACAAGACCCCCATCATCGCCGGTATCACAGGAGAGGGAACGGAAGTTGCTGCCCTCGAGGCTAAGCGTGCAAAGGACGCTGGTGCTGCTGCGGGTCTTCTTTACCCGTCTCACGGCTGGTTGCGCTTTGGATATCAGCCTGGCGCACCGCAGGACCGTTACAAACGCGTTTATGAAGCCAGCGGTCTCCCGCTGATCCTTTTCCAGTACCCCGACAATACCAAGGCCACGTATAGCCTGCAGACTATGCTCGATATCTCAGCTCAGCCCGGTGTGTTTGCTATGAAAAATGGAGTACGCAATATGCGTCGCTGGGATACTGAGATCCCTGTTATTCGTCGCGAGCGTCCTGACCTTCAGATTCTCAGCTGCCATGATGAATACCTTTTACACACGGCTTTTGATGTGGATGGGTTCCTTGTCGGGTACGGCAACATTGCGCCGGAGCCGTTGATTGAGTTGATCGCGGCTGGCAAGGAAAAGGACTATAAAAAAGCGCGCGCAATCCACGACCAGCTCCTCCCGGTAACCAAGAGTGTGTATCATCGAGGATCGCACATGGAAGGCACTGTTGCTCTAAAGCATGCTCTTGTTGCGCGTGGAATTCTTACGCATGCCACGACACGGTCTCCTCTGCTTCCTCTTGAGCCTGGCGCTGAGCAGGAGATTCACGCTGCCATTAGTGCGGCTGCGCTGAGCAAGGTTGCTTGAGCAAATTGAAGAAGACGGACAATGATAGGATGAATCTGTCGGCACGTGAATATCAACCAACCCTACGCGTTTCGGCACCGGATATTAGTTAGTCCGACATGGCACGTGCGTGCCGCGTATATACCTAGCTAGTTATCCCCCGTCCCCCTTGCTCTTGGGGGTCAGTCACAATATTAGGAATCAAGATAGCTTCATATTGTTAGGCTCATTAGGCCGCTTCGTGCTCGCTGCCGCGCCTTGCTACCGTCTATGCTTCGTGATACAGACCGTAGCCAAACCAATAGAATCAATTGGCGGATGTGTGAATATAGATAATGAAATAGGTTTCCTCAACTCGGTATGATAGCCCTAGAACTCCTAAAAGGAAATAGAGCATCATCCCTGCCGTATGCCGTATGCGGTTAGAGCCCGTTATTATCTTCGATAAGGGTTAGGGCGGACTTATCGCAGAATGATGGATTCTACGACGCACACGCGATACTGCCGACTTCAGGATGAAAACTACGACGCACACCAGAGACTGATTCAGCCTGTGCTTTCGGACAAAAGGGGCTTTCCTCTTCACCGACTTTCATGCCGTATTATATTCCTTTTATCTGGGATTGTCGGGTTGGGAATTGCAGCATGTTCGAGGAGTACTTTGGCGATGCTTGTTCCGAAAGTGTTGCTGTATAGCTTCAGGAACGAGGGAATTAAGCTCAGCTCGTTGCTAGAACAGGCGAACAGGCGAACAGGCACACAGAAGCTGCCTCAGGCCGCGCTGCATTTCTGCGTTTCTGCGTGGGATGGCTGAATTCCGACCCCCTCGCTGTTCCCGACACGCTAGTCCTATCTGGGACTAGCGCTGTGCTATCTGTTATCGTTGCGCTCCTCTAATCTTTTTTTTTTTCTTTTGGGAGCTTCAATATTCACTCACCCTTTGAATCCTGCGTTTTGCTCGGATCCAGTCAATTCAATCGTGAGACTGCAGCAGATACTCAATTCCGCTTTTGATACCCTGTGAGGAAATTCGATCGTAGTCTGATCAAGTCTGATCAAGTCTCATCAAATCTGATCAAATCTAAGCCCATTGTCCGACGGAATTAGCTTGAGTGGCGCTAGGCCAGGTCTTTCTCATCTGCTATTGGCGGACGTTGGCAGTCTCCAGAAAAGAGTCGCCTTCCAACGGACTCCGGCAGCTTTGATTGTCTGCCTTTGTATCACTAGTAGTCTATTAGACCGTTTAGACGATCATAAATGGCACTCGAACAAAGCCAATGGATTAGGAAAAGCTGTTCGGGCTTGCCAGAAAAAGCCTAGACCGAGGGGCGGCCAGGAGCTATTTAAACCTCTGCTCGCTCTTCTCCTTTGGCCGTTATTTACATGAATTGCAAACACATAAAATATTACCATATACAAGGTATGTCGAGAATAGCCCTTGGCAGGCACACGCAGAACCATGGCGGCTCCTTCCTTCTTGGGACGGTGGAACCACCGTCTGATCCACAGGCGCAAACCCCCCCCTCGCCGTTGCATCTTCTCAACATTTCTGACCTTACCCCCTTTTTTACCCTGCTATATCTTCTGTCTACCTTCTGTCTACCTTCTGTCTATCTCTCGATCTGCTGAATAGTCACTCACATTCTTTCTGTCAGTCAATTCTCGACCATCTTCGCCTCCCGATTGATCGTGTGCTCCCTCGACGACCACAAATTCCATACCCGCCGCATACATAAAAAGAAAAATGGCTGCCCGACCTCAGAACATTGGCGTCAAGGCCATTGAAATCTACTTTCCCAGCCAGGTACTTTAAATATTTCTTACCTACCATCTGTAACTCACTAATTGCAAACCAGTGCGTCGACCAAGCCGAACTGGAAAAATTCGATGGCGTCTCTACCGGAAAATACACCATTGGTCTCGGCCAGACCAAAATGAGCTTCTGTGACGACCTCGAAGGTGAGATATTCATCTTAATCTTATTGATTAGACAAAGCCTTGCCTAATGTGGCTTAGACATTTACTCTCTCGCCCTGACCACCCTCTCCTCCCTTTTGCGCAAATACAACATCGACCCCAAATCCATAGGCCGGTTGGAAGTCGGAACCGAGACTCTCTTGGACAAGTCCAAGTCGGTCAAGTCCGTTCTTATGCAGCTCTTCGAAGAGTCTGGGAACACAAATATCGAGGGTATCGATACCGTCAACGCTTGCTACGGAGGTACCAACGCCATCTTCAACAGCATCAACTGGGTGGAGTCTTCCGCTTGGGACGGCCGCGACGCTATCGTCGTCTGCGGTGATATTGCATTGTACGCCAAGGGAGCTGCCCGTCCCACTGGTGGCGCTGGATGTGTTGCCATGGTCATCGGTCCCGATGCTCCTATCGTGTTCGAGCCTGGTCTCCGTGCCAGCTACATCAGCCACGTCTACGATTTCTACAAGCCCGACTTGACCAGCGAATACCCCTACGTCGATGGCCACTTCTCCAACAGATGCTACACCCAGGCTGTGGACGAGTGCTACAAGGCTTATAACGCTCGCGAGAAGACTCTACAGGAGAAGTTTGGCGTCAACGGCGTCGTTCCCGAGGACAAGACTCCTCTCGACCGCTTCGACCATGTTCTGTTCCATGCCCCCAACTGCAAGCTTGTCGCCAAGTCATATGCTCGCATGCTTTACAACGATTACCTTACCAACCCATCCCACCCTTCGTTTGCTGAAGTTCCCGCTGAGATCGCCGGGATTGACTACGAAAAGTCCTTGGCTGACAAGACCGTAGAGAAGACCTTCATGGGCTTGTCCAAGAAGCTATTCAACGAGCGCGTCCAGCCTACTATTGAGGTGGCTACTCAGTGCGGTAACATGTACACTGCCAGTGTCTACGGAGGACTGGTCAGTCTCATTTCAAACGTTGCCTTTGACACCTCCAAGCCGAAGCGGGTTGCCATCTTCAGCTACGGCAGTGGTCTTGCCAGCTCCTTGTTCAGCTTCAAGGTTGTTGGCGACACCTCTGCAATGGCCAAGAACCTGGACCTCCGCAGCCGGCTCGAGGCTCGTCGTGTTGTCCCCCCTGCTGATTACGATGCTCTCTGCCTCCTTCGCGAACATGCCCACTTGAAGAAGAACTTCAAGCCCGCTGGCAACGCCGAGAACCTATTCCCCGGTACTTACTACCTCACTGAAGTCGATGACATGTTCCGTCGCAAGTATGCCGTCAAGGCGTAATTATCACCACGATGTGGTTTCCACGACGTTATGAACTGAAGTTAGATCAAGATGAGCAAGAATCAACATCCGTACCAATGTTGCGGCAATGTCTTTGTTTTGGGCTGTTTCTGGGATTGCAATGGTTTGTTATAGTATATATGCATATGCTTGGGTTAATAGAATATTTTAATACCGTCCACCCGATTCCTCTCCAATAATAGTACTTACCTCCCTCCCCTCCCTCCTATCCTAAGCACCGAACTTCCGACTTCATACAGACAAGTTGTAAGTAAATATGACTCACGTGTCATAGTCGCGTTCTCCAAGATGAAACACTGAAACAAAACACATCCGACGAATAACATGGTGTACACGGCCATGTTCGCAGAGAGGATTGTGCGTCACCTTGATTAAGGCTGCCTTAGCGCGACCCCTTCGGTATGGTTTCCGAGTGCTCAAGAGGCCATAACGCACGCTGATTGATCCTTTTCTTTTTTTTTTTTTCTTTTTACCAGGCGCCTACAAAATGTGGGATTATATGTATCGCTATTCGCTGGATTCAAAGCGATATACTCGTTTCAGCCCTCTCATAGGTCGGCGACATTCCTCGAGCCAACCAGTGATGTCCCGTAGCGCCGTGATGGTCACTCGGCGCGTACTGTGACTATGGTCTGGGCCAAGTTTGTGTTCAAAATAGAAACAGTATATTCTCAGAAATTCTGAAACTGTCGAGAAGTGTATTCTGATTTGTTGTATCGAGTGTACGAATAGGGTAAGACGGCGCTTAGACAGAGCATTGGCTAGAGGTCTTTGTCACAGAGTTCGCCGAGGCGCTTCCCCAAACAGTCGATTTCGGTGATCTCTATACATCCAACATGGCATATTCTTTGCTCTGAGATGAGCATTGCTTTTACCGCTGGAATCTGCTTCACATTGAGATCTTGCAACAGAACAAAAATAGAATGCAGACAATCTAGCGCCCTACCCTCCTTACTCGACTATCAAGCCCTACCATGTTATTAATAGCATCTTCTCCAGATCAACAATGTCAATCACTGTTACTGATTATAGAAACAAGATCGGAAGATTAACATGACTATACCCGATCTGATCAGTTGAAACATGAAAAGCTTCCAGATTTAGCAATCCTGACGCGCAGAGATACCTTCGATCGTGTATGGGGTTTCGCGCGTCGTTCTTCAATATGAGGCACCTGTTCGTGAATGGATCGTGTACGTCTTCTGCCCCTGAGTGCCGAAGGCTCAAACTATCAAACATGATCTGGCATCAGGATGGAGCCTCCAAGCTCCTAGGGTTGTGTTTCAGATTTCTTCGTTGGGATATTTGTGGATGGATATCTGTTGATGCGTCGTGTTGTTTGAGCATTTAAACCCGAGAACAATTCCTCGAGATGATGACTTGGACTTTTTTTGTTCATGCAACAATCATTGCATCGACAATAGTATTCATTCTTTGATTATCTCGTTGCCATACAACACCAACATCCATACCGTCGTTTTTCACCAACATTGTTCATATCAGAAGCCGGCCTCTTCTGACTTACCGTCGTGACCACAGTAAGTGCTCGACCTGATGTACGCAGGTATGAGTATGGCTAACAACTACTAGAACATGTCTCTAGAAGACTCCTACTACCTACCAACAACACCACCCGGCGTGGCCAGAATGCATCTTATGGGCCCAGGTCTAGGCTCAGCACCAGGAAGTGCCCACAGCCGCAACACATCCGGCTCTTCAGTTCACTCTCACGACTCCTCACCAGAGTCCATCATGACCAACATCACTAGTCCACGCACATCAACATCCCCAAACTATCAACACGGACCTCAACTTCTTCCCAAAATCAGGACTCAGGACGCTGTCCTCGAACCTGTCTCAGGCAGTGTTGGTCCTCGGCGTCATCGGCGAGTGCTATCAAATACTCGTAATCCGCCGGGTTATATGCCGTACCCTACTGCTAGGACTGCTCCGAGTCTGTCGCGGAATGTGATTGATACTCCATCTGCGCCAGATTGTAGTGGCTTGATTTCCCCTGTTTCGCCTCATAACCCTACTATCTCGTCAGGACTGTCGTCTCCAATCGCCCTGACCACTGCTCATAAGCGCAAGAGTGTGCCATCTGCAGGCCACTCTCGGTCCGGATCAACTTCTAGCATTGATGAAGCTACTCTGTCTCGATATGGATATCCGACTTATAGACAACTTCCGAAATATGTCTCTCAGCCTGAGGTATCTCCCATCAGCCCCATCGATCCTGCTTCCTTTGTGTTTCCAACATACCATCAGGTTCCCTCCGTGCAAGTTCCCTGCCCGGTCCAACTACCATCACAACAGGCCTACAACGCCATACCCTCTCCTCAGCATTACGATTATCTCAGAGTCCACAGCGCCCATCCTTCGCCAGTCGGATATCTTGCACCCCCACTAGCATCACCTACATCCTCGACTACCCTACTGTCTTATCTGACCAACACCACCCCAGCCGTCAAGCTCGTGCGCACAGTCAACTACGGCCCCACGCGCGGTTTGAATGATTACTTTTGGTGGGACATCCGCCAACTCCGCAGCTGGTATTCATTCTCCCTCAACACATTCAACGATATCAATGGTCTGACCCAGCTGCTCAAAACTCCTATTCCGAGCCATCTTACCCCGCAGCCACCACTAATCACGGCGTCGAGGCTAACCCCCGAAAGCGAGAATGCGCTTATCAGTCTGGTGGGTGACATTTATGCGCCGCGTATTAATGCTGCGTTGCGCGTGTCACAGGGCCCAGACCATATGAGATTGTATGTCTCTCCGGATGCGAATTCGTCTGGTACTCGGGGCGCAAACGGGCCTCATTTTCTGGCTAATTATGCTTCTGACACTGACGTAACGGCTTCCGGTTCCCGACGTGGCCGTGTAGTGGGTATTGTGAAGAGTTTTGATCGGTGGAACACGGGCATGCGAAATGAGCCTCCTCATCGGCGGGTTGAGTATTTACGTGGTCTTGCACATTTGCAGCGATGTATGCGAGAACATTCATGTCGATATGGATTTATCATCACTGAAATCGAACTCGTCTGTGTTCGTGCGGGATGCGATGAGGGAGATGATGTGCCCTATTTCGGATACCTCGAACTCTCCTCCCCAATCGCAACGCGCGAATCCGCTTCATATAATATCCATGAAGAACAAAAAAGACGATCCGCTACACCACCGCATTCGTCATCATGTTCTTCCACTACTTTTGACGATACACGATCCACACACAGTCGCAGCAGTAGCCTTACATCCCTCTCCTCATCCTCCGAAGACCATACCGACGGTCTGAACGGAGTCCCGCTAACCGCCACCCTGGCCTTATATTTCCTCCTAATGCTCTCCAAATCCATGCCCCTCCCATCCCAACCTTCGGGGCATTTGAACGTCGGCGGTCCAGGCGCACTCAGTCGTCAACGAATCCTTCCTGAGCCAAAGGATAAATGGATCCCGGAACCGCAACTGGGCGAAAAAAGGGAGGCGAAGAGAGTTAGAGGGTGGATTATGCCTCAGGATGCGTGGCATAGGAGAGAGGGTACGAGGCCTAAAGGGATTAATAAAGATGGTGGTGAGGGTAACGGGAAAGGGAAAAGGGGGAGAAAAGGGACTGGGTTGTGAAAATGGGGTATTGGAATTGGGAGGAAATTACCGTAGTAATGTTTATTATTTATTTTTTTTTTTGTATGAGTTTTGTATGGCGTTGTGGGAATTTTGGTTTTTGAATGTATTTATGTTGTGTTGTTTGGCCACATGTGTAATAACAATATATACCATGTCATTCTATGAACGGTCTGGGGCCACCTTCGGTATATAATGATTTGACTGTTATATTGTTCCTGCTGTAATGTTGAGCACAAGTCCACCTATTCAGACTTTCGAGAATATCTTGAGAGTCGGGTTATAAAACCTGAGATTTCCATATCTTCCGGTTCGGAAGCACCTACCTCGACGACCATTGCACCTCAGAAGAGGAAGTATCTTGGGCCCTCTCGAGACTATGAACTTCCGCCTTTGAAAAGCGGCGGAAAACGTGGCCCTATGACTCAAACAGAACTCGAAGGCCACGAGAGAATGAAACAACAGGGAGTGTGCATAACATGTCGCAAGAGGCTTAGAAAGGTACCTAGATGATCTCTACGATGAGTTATTTCTCAAAAAGAGCGATAATAACCCTATGTTTGCAAAAGTCCCGACTCTCACATATTGGCCAATCTTCATATTCCATTAAGCGATTATGCTAAAACGGTCAATGATCACGGCAAAAACCCAGAAACATAGATCTATTAGTATAAGTCCATAAATCGAAATTGGAAGAGTGAGATAGAAATATTTCTCTCTCTTGATTGCACATAGGCCTTCGAATAGTCTTGGTTTTTTAGTGCATTATTGCATTTGCAGGGCTTCTGCATCTGCAAGCATGGTATATTTGCGAGACATATATTCCTCTGCTCTAATTATAAAGGGGTTTATTTCTACAAGCTTCTAGAGTAGTGGCGAATTCGTTTTCCTGACTTGATATTATCTCCTGTATTCTTTCGTTTTCCTGACATCGTACTTGGTACGTCAACTGGCTCGTACCGGGGCTTGTAATCTGGCATAACCATAATTCCAGGCAAGTATGAAACTACCAAGCCTGCAGTGCGTCTGCCAGTCTTCCCCGGACTCTGTACTCAGGTCTGTTCAATTCTGACGCCCTTTTTTGGGGCACTCAGTGAAATTCAAAAAGCCCTAATTATGGTAATACATCGACAATTGAGCGCGATCTTCCCAGACCTCGAGAGGAATGATACGACAAAATTCCCTTCCTGGGACCATACAGCTAAATACCTACCTAGGTACAGTGAGACGTAACCCATCCTGTAAAGTCCGGATGTAACGTGCGTCCTGTAGATCATCGGATAAGGAAAGCCCTAATCACATGGGCACCTGGCAGTGGATCGACCCGCTCAACATTGTGCTTAGACAATTAGATTTGTGACTGATGGGAATATTTCATACGATCATATTCCATAGATGCTATTAAATCATATTCTAAAGGTCAGCTTCGATCTTTGGGATCGATATGCTAGACTGCTAATGCAAGCCACCAAGCCACCAAGCCACCAGATCGAGCATAATCATATCAGCTACGTAATCCAGACTCCAGTGGCCAAGATGATTTTGCAGATAATAGGAAAAGGTAGATCGTGATTCCCGTCATTCGCGAGATGTAACCAAAGTAAATATTGATACATGATGAGATAGTATGCACTCCTGAGAGCTCAACGCAATAATTCGATATCAACATCTGATTTGTCGAGACCGAATTGAACCCAACTCCTTAATTCAGTCACCACTATCTTCTCAAGACGCTAAGGAATTTAATGTCAACGCTAAAACGCTGGACTGTTAGACTTGATCCTTTGGGGTCTGCAGGAACCGAGCTGGCTTGGCCAATGATGTTCTTCATTCGCACCCTATGAGCGTTAGTATTATGATGTTAAGACTAGGTATGTACTCTAAATCAATTCGCTTGATTTATTTCAGTTTGACAGTGGGATGACAGTTTCTCAAATATTTCTGTTCCTGTTGATCTTTCAACCAAGTTATGTATGCGGTTGGTTGTTCAAATTTAGGGTTGCAGTTGATACGACTGTTGGAAGGATAATGCCACCACAGAGGACGATCCGTCAGCAATATCGTTTATGCGATATGTAATTGGTGGTTATTTTCTGGACGTGTGGGAATCCAATATTGATCCAATATTGAATGGTGAACAGTGGGCCGGATTTCCGAATACTGACTGGACATCCCAGAACCGTATGTTATTTCCATTCACTGTTCAGTAAGTACTACACGGAATTTTCGAGATGCCTTCAAAGGCTAGGCGCCCAGAAATAAACCAGAGAAAATAAAGAAGAGAACTTGGACCGAACTTTGAAATGGCTTCAGAATGGTCTTGTGCTTCAATTCATCGGCCGTTCCACGGTTCGGCTGTTACTTCAAGGAATCACGATCAAAGGAGTAGTTCTTCAATAAGCCACGCGATTTTTACAATCTCGAATAATTTGGGGTAACGGCCTTCTAATGCACTTGAAGCCATTGCACCGAGAACTAGGTCAAGTGACGATCAGAACCATCAACTGGTTAAGCAAAGAAGGAAAGGTACATACATACCACCCTGCTAATGTGTACCAAATAATCAGTCAATCTATCCTGAAAAGTTATTGCGCTGACAACGGTCATTTCGTGTAGAGAATTCTGCAACCTCCGGTTCCTTTGAATCTTTCTTCTACGACTTTTAGACTCAGAGGACCGTTACACATAACTGTCCAAAAATCCGAGTAAGATCGCAGTGGCTTAACGTGGCTACCACGTTATTTCTTCTAATATCGTAGGCAGATATACCAAGAGGCGTTTGATGGCTTGGTCCGCTTTTAGGGCTAATACGCACGACCGTATTGATAACAACCCGATTATTACCATTGCCGGATCAACATGGCGAATATCACACTTTATACTCGATTTGTATTCAAATAAACGTATGAGAATACCACTCTAATAACCAAAATTAGAATTTATGACTCCGTACTAAGGAATATCCAGTGACCCGGCTAGTCTCCGGGATACCTGCCAATGTAATACTGCCCTTGAAGATGAGCCGTTCCAAGGGTTTCATACCCAGACTAGTGGCCAGGATCATAAAACTTATACTCCAATCTGCAACGTTGTTCATGAATCCCATCCTGGTGCCCTGAAAATTTTCTTTACCTGACTAGGTACTAGTCTCATGCAAGCTTTACACTTTGTTACTTCGATGCCCCAGATGACAGTCCGTTACTACCCTGAACAGGGGCCGTTGTGCACTGTCATGAGATTCCTTCGGCTACTTGTGGAGTCAACAACTAAAAAAAGACCAGTAGGGGATTCCATAACCCTTTGAAGCAAAATATGCCATGATGGAGCCAATCATATACGGGCATTGACCTCTGCATCTAGAATTGGTATTCAAGTTCAGACCCATCTCGACACCTTGCGCTGCTGTCAGTGCCCACTTCAGAAATCCAAATTATGGCTCGACCAGCTTGACCTAACGGATTCTCATTACAATGCCATGCTGCCAGGAAGAGGGGGCACAATGCATTAGCTGCTATTTGCTACTGTCGATCTTGTCACCCCATAGCGTTCCACTAAGTCATGATGGCATAGAAGATAAATAAGAGACATTTCTCACCCTTCATAGACGCTTCTATTGTAGACATCTACTGTCAAGCTCTGAGTGCGTGTTCGAGACACTGTTGGTGCCAAGGTGGTTGTGCAAATTTCATTCCTTTGGTTTGCACTCTTCATTCCTTACTTGTTATTCAAGGTGTTTGATACATCTATTGTATTATTGCTTATGAAGCAGGTCATTCTTTCTAGAACCCTTCCAGTCATTTACTTGATCATGCTCGGCTTAAGCAAGTACGCCGTGGTCGTGGCCACTGTTTTGAGCATCATTGCACCAACAGTTGCTCGCCCAACAGAGTTGCACCCCGGAGATGCTTCTGATCTTATTATTAATGCCCAGGATACAATCAACGGAACGATATCAGCATCAGCCAGCAAGACCCAGGGAATACACGCCACAAATGGAACCGCATTGAAATTCACCATCACCAACAACATCGCCGGCAATGTGAACTGTTACATCAACGGTCAAGACCCTAACAAGAACAACGCGCCTGTCATGCTGACCCCAAACTTCTTGTGGTATTACCCTACAGCATCAACCAATGCCGATGGTACCCCTGCACCCGTCACCGAGTCCGTCGCCATCCCACTCAATGCCCAGGGGTTAACCACCACAATCATGATCCCAAGCTATGTGGTCTCAGCACGTGTATGGTTCGCTGTTGGCGAGCTCCAATTCTTCACCGTTGCAGGTGATAACGGCAGTTTCTCGGTCGTTCAGCCGTCGCAGAGTAACCCTGCTGATCCTAGTGCCGGTATCAACTGGGGCTTTATTGAATTCTCTTATACTGCCGACGGCGGTATTTACGCCAACATTAGCTACGTCGACTTTGTCGGTTTACCGCTGGGAATGTCACTCACAGATACCTCCAACGGCGTTCAGACCGCACTCGGTCTCAAAGCAGACGCTGTAACTAACGTTTGCAATGATCTGGCTGCTCAAGCTGTAAAGGACAGTTTGCCCTGGGATGCTTTGTGTCAATCCATCAACGGCACTGTGATGCGTGTTTTGTCACCGAATGACTACATGGCTGCTAACAAGAGTAGCGGCTTTGAGACTTATTTTGATGACTACGTCAACGAGGTCTGGGACAATTATACCAGCAAACCGCTTGTCATAGACACGCAGAATAATGCCGGTAACGTCTCTTGCACCGTCAGTGGCGATACGCTTCAATGCCCCGACGACGGTATCAACTACAGCAAGCCATCTACCGCTGATATCTTCGGCTGCAACTCCGGTCCTTTCGTGACCAATCCAACAGACTCGTCTGTTCATCAGGCTACTGTTCCCCGTCTTTGTGCTGCTTTTAACCGTGGTACTCTACTACTTCCCGGTGGTGACGTTCAACCCAGTCTTGGAGCAGATTCGTACTACACCTCTGGGCCATCGAACTTTTATTCAGCCATTGTGCACAAGTATGAGGTTGATGGGAAGGGTTATGCTTTTGCTTATGATGACGTTAATCCTTCCGGTGATGGTGAGAATGCCTCTGGTACTGTCTCATCTGCGAATCCGTCCGTCTTGGGTGTCACTGTTGGTGGGCCTAGTTCTTAAGCAGAGAATACAGACACTGCCCGTCAAGCTCATTCACATACAAGACAGGACTTGATTTGTATTTTAGTTGTCATTTTGCCTACCTCTAGTCCATAATGGACGATAGCATGGAGAATTTGTTGTTGATACTTTACGATACCCGGCATTATACACTCGCTTATGACCCCAATGCTAGGGCGTCGCTGCATGTACATATTTGTTTAATACCTAAATTTAAAAAAAAAAAAAATTGACCTAAAATTTTTATAAAGCGTAGACTAGAGCACGGAAAAGCGTGTAGCCAGTAAACGAAGCGTAACGAGGATAGAATGGACCTGAAGTCATTAGGGTACAGTATTTCCTAATCCGGTACCCGTGCCGCCAATTTGCATCCAATCTCCCTGATCTGGTCATATTTGCACTTACACAATGATCTATTTATAATATTCAATAACCAAATCCTCATACAATGCTTGAACTCCCAATTCGTGACCTAGGAAACAGAGTACCTCAAACGTGCTAGATTCCTCGCAAGGTACTCGTAGCTTATCATATGATATCAACCATCGGTAGATGTATGGCGTAGCTTGCTGAGGATAGGTCTGACTATGAAGGTACTCAATAGATCAAATGAGTACCTTTGTCTCATTTAATCCGCGTAGGGACCTTGAACACATTCATTCTAATACCATCTCCCACAACCATGGCTTAACTCATACTTTCAAAGCATAAACATCTCTGCACTCCCCTACCCCAACATCATTAGCATTCATGTCAACTTACAACGAAGTCTTCGACATAATAATCATCGGCGCCGGACCCTGTGGTCTCGCCGTCGCGGCTCGTCTCCGCGAAGAAACGCCCTCAGCCATGTTCACCGACGAAGAGCATCAGCGATACCACTGGATCAAAAAACACCAGGGAAAAATGAGTCTAGCACGTGCAAAAACGAAACGGTTATACAATGCTCCGCTCGCTGAGTCAAGCTACTACAAGACTCAGAGGTGCTGTGCGAACGACAACAGTCGCAGTACATACTCAACTCTGGTATTGGATAGTTCCGGTAGTCGATGGATGGAACGATGGCATCGGGCTTTCAAGGCTTTGAGAATTGAGCATTTGCGTAGTCCGATGTTCTTTCATGTTGACCCTGCGGATCGGGATGGGATGTTGGCCTATACGCGAGAGACGGGGAGGGAGAAGGAGTTGTTTGAACTTTCGGGATGTGTTGGGCAGGAGTTGAGTAAGCATAAGAGGAAGAAGATACGCAATATATCTCAGTACGTGAAGATTTCTCCTTGCAAAGGATGCTTGGCTGATATCAGGTAGATTCCCCCGAGAAGCTGAAATCAATGAACGTGATCGAAAAGATTACTTTACGCCTTCGACGAGTTTGTTTGCTGATTACTGCAACTCCATCATTGCGCGATACGGACTTGATAATGAATCGGTACCAATTCAGCGGTCGGAAGTATGCGATATCACATTCGGTGAAGTCCAAGGTTCAAAGGACGATAGTAAACTATTCACAGTTTCGACTACTCATGGAAAATCGTTTCACAGTAGAGCGGTAGTTCTAGCCGTGGGACCCGGTTTGACCAAGATGATGCCTTGGAATTTATCCTCTGATGAAGAACTAGGTGCCTGTCACAGCTCGGAAGTGGGTGTCAAATTCCCTAGTGCGGCTCTTGCACGGAAGATTGAGAATCGGCAGACGACACATGTGGTTGTTGTAGGTGGCGGATTGTCATCTGCACAATTCGCCGATATGGCTATAGCCAGAGGCGTTACTAAAGTCTGGCATATTATGAGAGGTGATTTGAAAATTAAACATTTTGATGTTAGTCTGAATTGGGTCGGGAAGTTTAAGAATTACGACAAAGCTGTTTTCTGGTCAGCTGACGATGATCAAGGTGAGAAATCCATCTACGTCTCCTCAAGCATGTGCTAATGAGATAGAACGCTTTGAGATGATACAAACAGCTCGCAATGGAGGCAGTATAACACCACGCTACCAGAAGATCCTCAAACAACTCGCGGCCAAAGACCGTGTATCAATCCACACCCAAACCGTGATTAGTAGCAAAAAGTTCGATTCAGGAACACAGACGTGGAAGATAGTCACAGACCCACCTATAGCCAATTTCCCAGATCGCATTGACTACGTCTGTTTCGCAACGGGTATGAAGACAGATGCGAATGAGATGGGTCTACTCCAGTCAATGAATCGCGATTATCCAATTGAAAGTATAAACGGACTTCTATGTTTAACGGATGATCTCATGTGGAAACCGGATGTCCCATTATTCGTCACAGGACGTCTTGCGTCTTTACGTCTGGGACCGGCGGCGCCGAATCTGGAGGGAGCGCGACTCGGAGCTGAGAGGATTGCATGGGCGTTGCAGGATGTGTTAGGGGAGCAGACGGATGTCGACTTTTGTGGTCGGGAGGGTGAGAAGTTGCAGAAGGCGTTTTGTGGGTTGGGGAATCGGTATGAGAGTTTGGCTCAGTGTTCATAGAAGATAGATATATCGAACGAATGAAGCAATTCAATGATATATAGATAGACCAATCACAGTACGTGGGTTAGTAACCCACGAATAGCGTGGGGTGCGGAGATGCTTATCAAGTGAGGGGTCTGTCTCCCTGGGACATACTCTGTGATCACTTAAACATAGAATAAATCCAAAATACTTCATTCAAAATGGCCATCAAAACCACATCCAGCGATAAAAAGCTAAGATTCCTCGTCATCGGCGCCGGGTCTCGAGGACATCGCTACGCCGAAGCAGTCACAGAATCCACCTCAGCACTAATCCACGCCGTCGCTGAACCACGCCCTTACAATAGGCAAGAGTTTGGCGAACGCTTCATCTGGGGTACAAACAAACCAACTGATGGCCAAGCATTCACCGACTGGCTGGATTGGCTTAAATGGGAACAGGAACGTCGTCAAAGACTTTCCAAGGGAGAAGAGAATGTCCCCCTCGGTGTGGAGGGGGTGTTTGTCTGTGCTTTGGATGAGATGCATGTTGATATTATGCGTGCAATTGCCCCATTGAATTTGCATGTATTGTGCGAAAAGCCGCTGGCGACGTCTTTGGATGATTGTCTTGCTATTTATCGCGCCTTCGTGCCGGAGGGCAAGGAAGACGTTGCGCCGTCAAAGGTGTTTTCTATCGGGCATGTTCTGCGCTACAGTCCGCATAATATGCGACTGCGTCAGCTGCTGCTAGAAGAACGTGTGATTGGCGATATCGTGTCTGTCGAACACGTCGAACCAGTCGGATACTGGCACTTTTCGCACAGCTACGTGCGCGGAAACTGGCGGCGCGAGACTCAGGCAGGTGTAGGATCATTACTTACAAAATCATGCCACGATATTGATTTCTTGGTCTGGCTACTTTCTTCACCACCACCAGGCGCACCAAAGGATATCCCTCCACATGCTCCACGCACAATCTCATCGACCGGAAAACTCACCCAATTCCTGAAAAAGAGGAAACCCAAGGAAGCCGGAGAGGCGACGAATTGTCTCTCCTGTCCGATTGAGCGGAAATGTAACTATAGCTCTGTTCGGTTATACAAGGAGAGACAACTCGATAAAGGCGAGACCGATTGGCCGTTGCATATTGTATGTCCTGATATTGAGGATACGTTCAAGACAGCCGGTAAGAATGCAGCGGAGAAATTGCTCATGGACGCATTGGCAGAAGACTACGACAAGGCTTCCACACCGGACGCCGAAATCGCGGCTAGGTCATGGTATGGTCGTTGCGTATGGGAATCAGACAATAACGTCTGCGACGACCAATTCGTGACAATCACATGGGACGACGAAGACCCCCCCAAAGGCACATCGGCAGAGAATTACACCCCGCGACTCTCGAAAGCCGCAAATCTGCACATGATCGCCCCCACTGAGAAACAATGCGAGCGCAGGGGACGCATATACGGTACTGAAGGCGAAATCGAATACGACAGCAGGACAATCAGATACTTCTCCTTCGCCACGAATGAGTTTACGACCGTTGAAATCCCCAAGGCCAAGAATCCAAAGGAGGAACAGGCGCATGGTGGTGGGGATTGGGGGTTGACGAGGATGTTTATTGGGGCTGTGCAGGCTGTTGAGGAACGAGGGTGGGACGTGAGGGATGCGCAGAGGGAGTTTATTGGGTGTACGCTTGAGGAGGCTGTTAGGAGTCATGCGGTCGTTTTTGCGGCGGAGGAGGCGAGGAGGGAGGAGAAGGTTATTAGGTGGCAGGATTGGTGGGATCAGCATATGAAAACTATTGTTTGATTTATAGAATTAATGAATGCTCGTGTGTTGCATGCATGTCTTGCATTGTTTATGCTATGAACTAATCAGATTACTATACGACCGCTAACTGAAATACTGTATACACTGTCATGACAGACCTCTCGCAAGTCAAGATTAGGTCTTGACATCAGGCTCCTCACGTCCAATGTATTGCTTCAACTTGAGAAGGTCAATAGCCAACTTGATGTTGTCCTTGAGGTACTCTTGAGTCTGGATAGAGTACTTGCTTGCGTCCGACTCGTGCTTCTCAACATAGAGACGGATGGTGGCACCACTGCTACCAGTACCGGACAGACGAACCACGATACGGCTGCCGTCGTCAAACTTGACGTAGAGACCTTGGTTCTTGCTGACACTTCCGTCGAGATCGGTGTAAGAAAAGTTACCAGCATCAGTGACCTTGCGACCAGAAACTTCTGACCCGACAAATGAATCATTGTTGATCAGCTCGGTCAAGTCAGCAATGACCTTGTTAGCTCCGTCACTATCAACCTTCTCGTAATCGTAACGGGTGAAGAAGGTACGGCCGTAGGTCTTCCAGAAATCGTTCTGAATCGAAGCGATGCTGGGAGTTTCGTTGGGCTTTTGCTTGGCCACACCGGCAATGATGTTCAACCATGCAACGATAGCCCAGACACCATCCTTCTCACGGATGTGGTTGCTGCCAGTTCCGAAACTTTCCTCGCCGCAGATAGAAATCTTCTTGTTGTCAAAGAGTGCACAGAAGAATTTCCATCCAGTGGGAACCTCGTAGCTCTTGAGGCCCTGAGCCTTGGCAACCAAGTCAACGGCACCGGAGGTGGGCATAGAACGAGCCAGGCCATAAACGCCTTGGTCACGGAAGTATGGGATAAGCTTGGCATGGTGAGCAATAATGGCCAAGCTGTCTCCAGGAGAAACAAATGTGTTGGCACCGTAAATCATGTTGCGGTCACCGTCACCATCACTAGCAGCACCAAACTGAATACCGCTCTTGTCAACAGCCTCGACTAACTCGTGTGCGTACACCAAGTTGGGATCGGGGTGGCCGCCGCCAAAGTCGGCCTTTGGCTCGCAGTGCTGGGTGCTCGATGCGGGAAGACCCAATTCTTTTTGGAAGATGCGTACACCATACGGTCCAGTGACACCGTGCATACCGTCGAACAAAACCTTGAAATCCTTGTGGGTGTTTAGGAAGTTACGGATGAGATCAAAGTCAAAGATCTCCTTCATAAAGTCAACATAGTCAGTGACCGAGTCGACAATTTCGACCTCGAGAGGACCATAGCTGCGGGTGCCGATCTGAGTAAGATCAACATCTGGGAGCTGGGCAATCTTGTAGGAAGTCAATGATTTTGACGTTTCAAAGATCTTGTTGGTCACGGATTCGGGAGCCGGGGCACCGTTGGCAAGGTTGTACTTGATACCGAAGTCCTCAGTTGGACCTAGCCAGTCAGTATTGTTTGTTTGCTTATACGCTGCAGACAGAACTAACCTCCAGGATTGTGACTGGCAGTAAGCAGAATACCACCAGTAGCTTTCCTCTTGCGGATAAGATGACTGGCAGCTGGGGTACTGAGAATGCCATTCTGCCCGATCAAAAGCTTCTTCACACCGTATGCAGCACCAATCTTTGCAATTGTCTGTACAACCTCTGAGTTGTGGTAGCGACCGTCACCGCCGATAACGAGGAAAGAGCCCTCAACCCCTTCGGGAATGGAGAGGAGGATGCTAGTGACGAAGGATTCAGAGTAATTGGGCTGTTGGAAGACGACGACCTTTTTACGGAGACCAGAACTGTAGATTGAATGAGCGAGTGATCAAGCAACTGAGGTGGTGGGATAACATACGTGCCGGGCTTCTGGTCCTGGAAAGGGGTCATAGACACCGTCTGGACAGACATGATGGGTAGTTTGAATCTGCCTTGCAATTGAACGGGAATTAGAGAGATTATCAGACAATAGATGTGGTATAGAGAGAAAATTCAATTCTGACCGACAATTGAAGTTGAGAAGTGATGGCGGGGATGGCAAATGAAGGAAAGAGGGGCTTGTGTCATAGTGACTGGAGAGCTCCTGCTGCTGCTGCCCCGCCTGCCACGATGCTTGTTTCTCGATACTTCTCTCTCCGATTACTACAACAACTACAGATACAATTTAATTGAATATAACTCACTCTATCTTCTATCACACTCATTGTTATTTTGTTCCTCTACGTCGAATGCGATCAAGTCGCTTCTTGCGGTAAACAAACAATCAGCCACCGAGTGGGGACTATTTCTCAGATCCAGACCTGCAGACCACCGTGCTCACCGTCCTCACCGTCAGGTCCTCACCGTACTGCGAGCCAGTTGCTTTTATCGAGGCAATTGGAATTTATTGCCCATCGATATATATGCTCGTATATTGTTGTTTGCAATATACGATGTAGAAGAGAGCCGTAGCTGGTATATGTGTCGGCCATCTGACGTGGGCCCAGCCATCACCGCCCGCCGAAGAGCTTCAAGCGATAATACTTCATCTCTTCGATGCTCTCAAGAATATCATCCCTAGCCAGATGGACCTCGCGCTTCGGTGGGGCTGCACGGAGCAGTTCATCGCTACCCCATCGTCTCACTGCTTCCTTGATGGTGCTCACGTCAAGCAGACGATAATGTAGCCATTCGAGTACAAGCGAATACGGGGGTTTCGCGAGAAAAGCTCGGTCGGCATGAATACTGTTTCCCGCCAGCAACGCAGTCCGTGGTTCAGTAACGTATCGCTTGATATAGGCCAGTAATTGACTCGATGCGGTCGCGGCGTCTGTAGTAGAAGCGAGCACAGCTTGCGTAAGTCCGGATCTACCGTGTGTATCAATACACCACTGCGACATGGCATCTAGCTTGGATTTAGGCTGGTGGACAATGACCTCGAAGCCATTGGGCTCGATAAGTTGTAGTTGCGCATCGGTTACGAAACAGCAGATTTGGAGGATTTGGTCGGTTTCGGGATCGAGACCTGTCATCTGAGTCGACTGATTAGTGATGATCTTTCTGGACTTAGAGGGCGTTCACATTCAAACCTCACAATCAACCCATACTAATGGAGCTGTTGAGCGTTGTAGAGACATGTTGCTTTGGACTCGGAATGGTGTCACAGAGATGGGGGAAGAACGATGCCAATGTTTTTCCGGCCGAGAAAGCCGCGGTCTAACTGCCTGAGGCCTCCAAATGGCCAGGCGCGTCATCCTGCACAACTTCCCGTGTACAATTGTTACCGAACCCAACACACTTCCACGACTGATCAATCGCAAAGGTTTGAAGTGGAGGTAAATACAACTGGATGTGCCAGAAGATAAAGTACTTTGCCGCATCTCCCGCAAAACCTAGGCTCTACCAAAAGCCGCTTACCTCCGAAGTGGTGTATGAGTGTTCAGCAAGTTCGCGAATAAGTGGTTCACCATACAACAAGTCTTCAACAGCATAGCTGAAAGACCAGGAGTTAATTAATAACCAAGGGCCTAGTTGCAGAGCCGACAATAAATCCGACAGTCTGATCAAAAGTTCTGCCAGCAGATGCAAGATGCCAGCCTGGGAGATGTTTCAGTCAAACATTGCAGCATTATGAACGGTCTACTGTGTTCTGTACGTCTTCTTCTGCTGTAGACAGAAACTGCAGCACTGACTGACGGTGTTTGGTGTGGAGCCAAGGAGAGCTTCTGAGTCTGAATATACATACCGGTTATGAGTCCAAACTCAATGGTTGCATGGTGTCGGCTCTTTCTGTATTAATGTATCCCTTGTTGGAATACAGAGAGCTCCATATGGGCCCAAAACCAGGGAGTTGATGATTATCTACCGGAAAGGTCTGCAGGGAACGAAGAAACATGGTAGCCTTGACTCAGGGAGTCAAGCATCAAGGATGTATTGCAGGCAAATGTTACACAATCATTTGTGCGGTATTGAGTCAGGGAGCACGCTATCGCAGCATCTTCCAGGCAGATTCAACGGGGAGACCCCTTCTCCTCAACTGGTTCCCAGATGATAGCTGCATAATGCGATTTGTGCTACCAAAGCTTTTACTAAAACTATCAAAGGGGAGAGACAAAAAGACAATGTACGCACAGTGTATAAATAAGAAAAGATTGAGCGATCAGCATAAGTACCAGAGGACTTTATTGTTCTGAATGAGGTACTGCTATACTCTATCATTGATATGTTCTCTAACTGCTACCACGGCCTTAAAACAAAAATCCTATGAATATCATGATAAATGGGCAAGCCCACTCTATTCATTGATCATGCCACTAACTTTTACAATCCTTGAATTTATATTCATATTAATTACCCCATTACCAATGTTAGGGTCAAAATGAACCCTATCTTCTATTGTCCAAGCCTCATCAAGCCACCATAACCTTAATCAATGTTCCAGAAGCTGGGAAATATCGTGGCGTTCAACTTACCAAGATTTGTCCTACCAGTGTGAAGTATCCCTTTGCTTACTTCTTCTCGGTCGAGTCAAGGGTGTGTTACACGCAGATAGCAAGATGAAGAGATTTAGAAAGGATTAAATAGGACAATTCCTTGTAAACCTTACCACACTACATACTAAGCATTCGGTGAGCAGGTTATAAGCTTTCTGATAGCTCTGCCTTTGTCCCTTGCACAGTCATGGTGAATCACAGCTACACCATCCCTTACTTCATTGGCTCCTACAACATATAAACGGACGAAAGGAGTGACCTTGGAATCTATTTCTGACATTACCGATCTGTTTCATTCCCTCGGCTCGACGGTTCGTATTATTTCAACATTATCCACTACTTAGTCATAGTATATACGTAGTAAACTTTGATACTCGGAGAAATAGCAGGATAAATTGTTAGTCATATCTCATGACTTTTACCCACAAGCAAGTACGAGGCTCGTAGAAGCATCATGTACGGTATTGCCTAAATAGGATAACACCATCAACCTCGTGGCGTTCTTAGTGTATTCTAGGGCTAATACCTACCTAATACTCGTAAATTACGCGGAGAACGCCGTCGCCATCCCCATGGGCGGTTGGTACGAAATAAGAGAGGCTCCATGTTTCCCCTCATTTTCTCCTCAGGTGAGAATTTACAATCCTCCTATGCTTGAAATTGTACACCTGTCTGTCATGGTAGGTCCACGAGTTGTTACTGCTATAAATGCATTCGAGCGGTCATATTTAACCATACTCAAACGCTTGAGAGATAAACGAATACTAATCAATAAACTCCAATACTAAATCCGCAGATCATTCTCTCTTGAAAGCTTAAAGGCTGGCCAAGTTCAAAAGATTAATTGATTAAGAGCCGTGCTCCCGTGGTTAGACCGCGTCTATTCTCCGTACGGGCTGAATACACCAGCACGTATTTTATTTGCGTACTGGCATAAGCTGAATTGGGACATTCCGTGCTAAATGTCTATTTTTACGTATGCACGGAAACTTCCGTACATATACTGTATCAATTGGTACGAAGAGATCTCTCACATGGAAATAAGAATCAATGAGTTGTGGCGGTCGAGGTCGAGTTCGAGTCAAGAAAAGTCCACGTGAGCAAGGTCATACAAGATTCGCCGGACTAAGCAGTGAACACATGGTTGCATCCTCCTTGCATCGTGATCCTGCTAAGAACTAAGCAGAGATCCGTGTCAAAGTGTCGAAGAATGTACAGACGACGTATTAAACTAACGTAAACATGGCTTATCCCTCTCGCCCAATAAGATGAATTGCATGTGAGAGATCACCAAGCTTAGCCCTAATCAAGCCTAATTAAGCATTGATATTTTACCCCGTATGGAGTATTTCCCGCATTTATCCACTTCAGTAATTCTCCAACCTTCTTGTTTTCCAGGGATGTGATGGAGTGGATCTAGTGTACCATCAGGATAGAGATTTTTCCTGCTATTGCTGTTGTCCGATGTTCTGGTAGTTACCGGTAAGGTACATACATATGGAGTAGTACTGTGGGAGACCGGACGATGGGCCGAATACACGAGAAGAGCTCTTCTCGTATTCCCGTCTTCTTCAGATAGCTTGCGAACGAGGTCCTGAGATAATGTAATTAGACATGCGGTCCTGTTCAAACGATTTGCCTTAGACTCGTCAGCTCAAGAATGCATCTCGCCAGGCTGAGGCCAGTGAGGCTGTATGTCCGGCCCGCGTCTTCGGTTAACCATGTCTGTGTAACTATTCGCCGCTTTCGTCTAAAGAACATAGCGTGGCGTCCAAATTTCAACACTAATATCAATCAAGCTGAAGCTGTCCGGGGTCGGATCCGTGATGACTACCTGACTAGCAATAAATGGGCAAATCTTGGAGAAATCCTGGAGGCCCCGCCGAAAGGGCTGCGGTACTCCGAAAGGAAGGCTACCACCCGTCCGTGTCTGTTTCTTTGTTGACCGAACATGGCCTTCTTCTCTGTTTCACTAGTCAGTTACCGGTAGTGTCTTTGAGGACGACGTGTTGGCCAATCAGTATGGCACATCTCACGGATTTCAAGACGTTGGGATCCGCTTCTCGATATACCCCAGTCTAAGCGTAGTGCTGTGCAGAGTATTGCGACTTTGCAAGGTGGGTGTGCCCGTTATTGGACATGTTTTCTGGATCTAGCCGGTGCAGTCTGTGGATTAAATCTGGCTATATAAGCACAAGCTACCCCTCCTTCTGATCTCTTCCTGCAATTATCTTCTCCGGGTAAGTCTTTTTGAAAATCTCGCCGAGAAAGTACTCCAGATAGTTACAGCAAAGACCATCAGTACACACCACGGTAGTGCTCACTGCACGATGGCAGGCATTGGTCCTCGGGACGAGGTCCACGACGTCGAAACCGTTGATTATGCATTGAAGAATATCGAAAAGACTGCCGACGGGTTTGTTGACGCATACCTACCTTGTATCCCAATGCTAACATGTGCAAAGCTCGGCCGTATCTGACTCCGAGCAGGGTCATGTCGAAAGGGTCAACTTGAACAACAACGTTTCTGCCAAGTACGTCTTGCTACTTACCCTACCCGGGCGTGCTCTAACAATCATCTAGGATCAAGAACCCTCTCGCTGATCTCAGCCCCCATCACGTCCTTCGCGATGTCAATGACTTCGCGCAGACTCATGGGCTGACCGACATCCTTCCTGTATTGAAGAAAGGCGCTCTCGTCGCGCGTGACCCGGCCAACTACACCAGTGTCGAAGGCTTGACCCACGAAGAGTCTGAGGCCATTCGAAATGAGGTCCTTCACAAGTGGAGACAGCCCTGGGCGCTATACTTTACCATTATCCTTTGCTCAATTGGTGCCGCCGTCCAGTAAGGATCCTTCCCCAAGTTTCCGAGGCTCAATTCTAATCATACCGGCAGAGGTTGGGATCAAGAGGGCTCCAACGGTGCCAACTTGTCTTTCCCCGATGCTCTTGGAATCCCCGAAAAGGGCCCTCAAGCTTCTCGTAACCAATGGCTTGTCGGCGTTGTGAATGCGTACGTTCTTTTTCACACTTCCCTTGATAGGAATTCACTGACCAACTAGTGCTCCTTACATTGGTGCTGCCGGCATTGGCTGCTGGTTCTCCGACCCCCTCAACCGTCTTATCGCTCGTCGCGGTACCATCTTCGTCTCTGCTATTTTCTGTGTCCTCGCCCCCATCGGCGGTGCGGTCGCTCAGACCTGGCCTCAACTTTTCGTCACTCGAATTCTTCTCGGAATCGGCATGGGCTTGAAAGCCTCCACTATCCCCATCTTCTGTGCAGAGAACACCCCCGCTAGTATTCGAGGAGGTCTTGTCATGTCATGGCAACTGTGGACTGCGTTCGGTATTTTCTTGGGATGTAGTGCCAACCTGGCTGTGATGAACACGGGAGATATCTCGTGGCGTCTGCAGTTGGGTTCTGCGTTCATTCCTGCTGTTCCCCTGCTTGTTGGTGTCTATTTCTGCCCGGAATCTCCTCGTTGGCACATTCGGAACAACAATATGCGCAAAGCATATGCTTCTCTCCTACGTCTTCGTAACCATGAGATCCAAGCTGCGCGTGATCTTTACTACATCTACGCCCAGATCCAGGTCGAGAATGAAATCATTGGCAAAAGCAACTACCTCACTCGCGCGATTGAATTGTTCACCATTCCTCGCGTCCGCCGAGCCACTTTGGCCTCCTTCGTGGTCATGATTGCCCAACAAATGTGCGGTATCAACATTGTCGCCTTCTATTCTTCCTCCATTTTCAGCCATGCCGGAGCTAGCGCCACCTCATCCAACTGGGCTTCTTGGGGTTTCGGTCTAGTCAACTTTGTCTTTGCTTTCCCCGCTATCTTCACTATTGACACTTATGGTCGTCGTGCATTGCTTCTGTTTACCTTCCCGAACATGGCATGGACTCTTCTTACGGCCGGATTGTGTTTCTTGTTGCCGGATGGTAGTACCAAGCAATTGGCCTGCGTCGCTCTGTTCGTGTACCTGTTCGCCGCCTTTTACTCGCCCGGCGAAGGACCAGTGCCGTTCACATACTCGGCTGAAGTGTTCCCCCTCTCGCATCGTGAGGTTGGTATGTCGTGGGCTGTTGCTACCTGTCTAGGTTGGGCCGCCGTTCTCTCGATCACCTTCCCTCGTATGCTCAACGCCATGACTCCTACTGGAGCCTTTGGTTTCTATGCCGGTCTCAACGTCACCGCTCTAGTGATGATCTTTTTCTGGATGCCTGAGACCAAGCAGCGTACTTTGGAGGAGCTCGATTACATCTTTGCGGTGCCCACTCGTCGCCACATGAGCTACCAACTTCGCACTGCATTGCCGTACTGGTTCAAGCGATATGTCTTGCGCCAGAATGTGAAGCTCGAGCCTTTATACCACTTCGACCACATTGCTACTGCCGAGGAAATTGTGCAGGTGTCGGCTAAGTAGGATGTCGGTGCTGTCAGACTAAATCATGGTTAGGGTTGGGTTGGGTTGGCCTTGTTTGAATGACTGTATGATCTTAATGCTCTGAAATCTTTGCTTTTTGGGCTGTGCCATTCATATTATACCCTTATATGGACAGAGTACGCCATTCCAATACAATTGATCATTTTTGATTCTTCTTATCGTAACCCTAAAATCACAAACCATCATGTGAGGGATTAATATCACCTGGCATTTTCACGTTTGACCTTATTCAAATGAACAAATAAACAAGTGAATAATCAAGTGACGTACCCATGAATAGATCAGGAGAAAATATTCTCTTATTTCTGATCAAGCAGAAAAGAACCAACTGAAAGCGCATCACGTGCCCCTATTTAAGACAATCCGTGACCGCCTTTGCGCTCCACCTTTCTTCTGCCTGCCAACAAATCCACCAGAAACAAAACAATCAAGCTCTCTCTGGAGACAATATTCTTCCTAACGGTGTTTTCCATACCCACGCTCTCCTTTCATCTCTACTTATTGCTCTTCTAGAGCTCCAATCCTACTTTCTCTCTCCCAAATCCTATCCTCTAACCATCTACAGTACAATCTCCGTACAACTTCTATCTGGCAGTACTGTAACTAGCATCTCGTCATCAGTCCGGCTGTCCAGCCCACCCCGCTCAAATGGAGGCATGACTTGAGCCAGTGATATACTTCACTGGGTACATGTTATGCTCTTGACTTGAGTTCTCGGACCTTGCTGGGAATATTTGATTTCTTCTCGGATCGTGTACATATACACTGTGACACCCTACCGTATTGCGCGGCTCGGTTCGAGTTCGAGTTCGATTTCGATCTACTATCGTGAACTTTTCTCTCTGTTCCTACCTCACACAGTTGAGATTACTTCCTCTTCGCAGTTTACGAGCAAACCCGAATTTAGACCTTTTAAACAAAGAATTCTTTCTTACGATTTCCGGATAGACGATAAATTCGGATTTTGTCTCTTGTTGGTGGTTTACCTCGATCTTCATTTGTTCCCCGCGTTTTTTCACCGATTACATATATATCCGCAATAATACCTCTCAGAACCTTACTTGCGAAACCGCCGCCATGCCTTGCTTCAAAGGGCTGGCAGTTAGCATCCATACCCCGGACGGCCCAATACCAGAGTTCTCCGTACAGCGTCAATCTCGCCAGTCCCGGATCGCTTGCTACATCCCCGTTCCAGCACCGAAAATCACAGAAGAAGGAAAAGCTCAAGCGTCTACTTTTGCCGTCTCCATCACTCTCCTGAATGCCGGACAGAGTGTTCCGTATTCCACACCCAAACCAACGCCCGAAAACCCGAACCCTAAACCCCAACTGGTCGGCATCAGTGAGACTGATGAGAAGGGGCATATGCAATGGATCGGCCCTTATATTCCATTGACAGGGTCCTCGAATGAGACGGTGGCCGCTTACATCTACTTTGATGGACGACAGAAAGAGGAGGTAGCTACATTATTACGTCGGGGTGAAGAGACATGGGTCAATTCCCGATGGGTCAGTGTCCCCGAATCAGAAGGTGGAGGACTCGCTGAACGAGAATTTTTGTTCCGAGAGGTCGGACTTGAGAGATGGCTAAACGGATTAGATCTGGAAGGCAAAGATGCCGCAGCCAAGATTGAACGCCGTCGACAGAAAATGGAGAAGCGGAGATTGCAGCGTGAAGCCCAAGAAAGTGGCGATATGGAGATGGACGCTGAATCTTTTAGACGGGATAAGGGGATTATGCGATATGGCAATGATTCCAAAGCTCCTCTTGAAACTCTGTCGGATGAAGAATTGTCGTCCGACTCAGATGATGATCCAATTCCGGAGTCAGCTGGCCAGATCAAGGTTGCGCTATTCCGAGTTCTGGCGTCTGGAGAAATTAGACGTGGAGAGTACTCACCGCAGTTTGATGCTCATGATGATGACGAGGATGCGGCAGCACAGGGGGCTGATGGGAATGCGGATGTTGATCATACAACCAGCTTTGCGAAGCCGAAGACGCTTGATCCGACGACTATCAGTACGCAGACTGTTACTGGTATTGATCCTACTGATAAGCCGTATGCTGTGTTTACGTTTATGTATCGTGGTGAACGTGAGTTTTTATGACTATTCTTGTGAAGGATTTAAACTAACTCGGCCAGGTCAACTACAAAAAATGGGTATCCTAAAAACGAAACCAGCCGAAGAGTCCACGGCAAAGAGGAAATCAACAGACTTCTCTAAGCTTGGACCACTCAAACCTGGTGGTGCCGTTGGATTCATGAATTATCGCGAAGGCGACAATGCTAGTTCTTCAAAAACACGGAAGAAGTCAAAGGGCGGCGAGAGTGACATGGATAGCGATGACGACGAGGATGAAAAAGATCCTGTTACTGAAAAGGCTGATGAAGATGAGGATAAAGATACTACCCATCTTTCTCCGGATGACCTGCGTAGACAGGGAGATTTGGCCGAAGGCGTTAGGAAGATTAAGGTCTGTTGGTTCCACGCAATGTATGCGCAGCTTGATACTGATGTATATTATAGTTGAAACGTCAACATTCAATGGATCCCATGGGCGACAGCACCTCTAACGCCAACACCCCTGCATCGGTAGCCACGCCTCCAGCTGCTACCAATGAATCATCCACACCACCAAATGCGTTTGCATCTGCAACTGCACCAGCTCCTACCACTACCAATACTGAACCCCCGAAGAGTCTCCCCGACGACCTGAACGGAAACGAATATGTCGGCAGCCCCATGAAGAAGGCACGCGCCAGTGTTTCTACAGCTGATGAGGACGGCCTACGAAAGAGGCTTGGATCAAATTTATCCAACAATATCAGTGAAGTACTGAATACCGAGAAATCAGCTCCTTCCGTTAGTACTACATTCGGAACAACTGGGAGCCATTTCGGCGGCAACGTAAACAACACCAACATAACTGCAGCGTCTCCACCGCAGAGTAATAATACTCAACAACCTCCGCAACACGAAGACGAGGAACTCTAACCACACCAATCTTTCCTCCCTCTTCGGATTTCGCTTACCTTCAACCCATTCGCTATTCCTTTTTCTTTCAAGAACTTTCTTCGCTACGTGCTCTCGTCCTGCATGAGCTCATTACTTGACTTTTATTCTAATATAGGTGTCTTGCAAGATACCTTGATTCTCTTCCAACTCAGGATATCCCTGAGGTTTGAGTTGTGTTGGGGTTATTCTTTTCTCATCCGTATCTCATTGCATTGCCCTTATTTTGTGGTTCCGTATCATTTGAGATGAGAGCGAACCATTATCATGTGGATGGTGTTGTGGCTACATTTCGTGGTTTGTATGCTACTGTAGAGACAGATACAGGGTCGGGCAGAGAGGAGATGAATGAACCCACTTGCTTTAAATTGTCTTGCATATCGCCATAAAGAACGTGTAGAGTAAGGTAGGTAGTATGTCAAAGTTACATGGTATTACATGTGCATTATAATGTCATAACTCTACACGGAAACAACCCGACTGTGCTAAGCACGGCTATAAAGATTATCTGCTCCACTAACAGTCAATGCAAAATGAACTCAACCATACTGCATAGCACCCCAATAAGCCATATCAGGCACAAACCCACCACCAGAGTCGTCGACGTTCCAATCGAACCATGGCATATTGATTCGATTTAGTTGCTGGGCGTCTATATAGGTGGCTAGATCGGGATTTAGGTTTGTGTTTGCGGTTCCGGGTGTGGGTAGGGTTATTGGAGGGATTGGTGGGATTATATCTGGGGTTTCTGGCCGTATGTCTTGGTTATTATGTTGCTGTGTGGATTGCTCGTAGATATCTGCGTTTTGATTGAGATGGGTGGATTGAAGGGGAAGAGGAAGATGGTGCGCTAGTGCAGATACTATAGGTAACTTCTGCAGCTGTATGCCAGAACGAGAAGAAGAAGGGATATATGATGACGATGACAAGGTAGATGGAGAGATTTCATAGCCCTGACATTTCTCTCCCCGGTTATTACTGCTTCGACTCGAGTCCAATTGCTCATGGCGTGCATCAATCGCATATTCATTCAGAATAGGTAATCGTTGCTTCCCCAAATGACTCCTAATAATCTCAATACTCCTCCTGATTCCAGGCGTCTGTTTAAGTTCCGTCTCCAACATCCGCAGGGTAACAACCAGTCTATCAGCAGCCTTTTCTGCCAGACCCCTATCTTCATGACGCATCAGTCGAACGTCTATGGTTGCTGCGGTGTAGACGCAATAAGAAACGAGGTAGGTTTGGTATTGGAAGTTGAAGAGCCGGCCGTACGCGCGGAAGATTTCGTTCACGTCGGCTGCTTGTTTGGTGCAGACAACTTGGGCTCGGAGGGCGAGTGGGTGGTCGCGTAGGTGTGTGGTCCAGCGCCAGATGAAGAAGGGGCGGAAGATTAGGATAAGCATAGTGTGGCATAGAATGCTTCGAATGAAACAAGGTTAGTACATAGAGTAGTGAAGGTAAGGGGAAATACGTACTTGAGAGACATGATATGCGGCGGGATGCAGGTTGTCAGATCGGATGCGTCTTCTATTCGAAGACAGTCTGGGAGTGTTCGGTGGAAGTTATGTAGCTTTCTTTCAAGGTCAAATATTACCTCGGGTTTGAGGTTCTGTGGTGTTCCGGGGTGTCCGTTGTACACTGTATTGTAGCATTCGTTGATAATCTAGTCATGTCAGCTCTCTCGTACCCAAACAGAAGGGACAATACTAACCACTCCCAAGTCACAAAAATGTTTAAATGTCAATGTGCTGTGACATTTAGTAGGTGGAAAATGCTTGTCGGTTTGGAGAATCTGAGGTGGTTGCCATTGATCTTCATCGTCGCAAGTGTCGTCTTCACATGATAAGCAGCCGCTTCCAATACGGGATGTAGAGCACATACATAATGAAGAAGAAAGATATGGCAACTCTGGAAGTGACGGAGGCCGACCCAAGCAAAGACTTATAGATCTATATTCTATTAGCCAGCATCAGGGGTTATCTTCAAGAGTACGGTGTCACACTTATCCCAGGCATAGCAAGATAAGTACAACCGCTTCCTGACTTCGAGATCATCAGGCTCGTATTCTTTCAACATTGCATTTCTCCCTTTCCGCAAGTGAAGACCGAGATCCGTAATCATTCTTATTGCCTCTACAATGTGAATACAAGCGCTTGTCAGCAGCCAAGTAGATTAGCAGACGACTTACCATGCCGGTGTACAGCCATCCCTCACTACTCTTCCCAACAGCACATTGTCGGCCGCCTAGGATCAGTAGTCCTTGTATAGTCGGGATTTTTGGTTTACTTTCTTTCATTTCATCGAGTAACAGCAACATTGCCCTCTTCATGAAGAACTCGCCTCTCTCAAATGGTTTGAATCTTGGATCTTCCTCGGGCATGTGGCGCATGGCGTGAGCGAACATGACGTTCAACAAAAACAAGGAAAAATAAGGGCCACCGATGGCCATATCACGGAAGAAGCCTAAAAATGTCAGTTCGCATCTGCCGTGCACCCAGGAACGAAATTAAATCACGCACAGCGTCGATATACGTAGTTATGTAATGGACCCTGCCATGTCCAATACACGTCTAGTAGCTGCGAACACAGCGATGCATCGACGTCCGTATATTTGGGTATATTATCGTGTGCTTGCTTCTCCCAAGACGCTTGCCAGCGAGAATTAGATAGATGCCATTTCCGGTGGTATTCTTCAATATCTGAATACTCTTGTTCGGTAGTCGTATCCAATACATTCTCCAGGTGCTCACTGGCCTCGGATAGAGTATGAAACCTTGAAGTTGCTCCAAAATACTGTTGCTTTTGGCAGTTAGTCATTTAGTTAAACTCTCAGATGGATGATATCTATATACTTACCCTCCCATTCTCGTCAATGTTGTATTCAACACTTCCCCCATAAGACACCGACAACTTCGCATGAGACTCATCTGATTCCAAGAGTGTCGAAGAACCAGGTGACGGTGACGACCGCTGCCGCTCCATTTCAGAAACCAAGGCTGCAATCCGAAGATGTCTCGACTCCGAGTCCAGAATCAACAACTCCTTGATGACAGTTTCCAACTCCTGAACACGAATTTTGGATTTGCGTAACTCTTCGGCCAGATAGCCGACGAAAGCAGGGTTGTCCCTGTATACACATGATTCTTTCGATTTGTTGCAGTTGATACATATTGGTTTGCTGCCGTCACACTTGATCTTTTTCCGTCTACAGGAGAGACATGCAAAGCCGTACTTGCGCCCTTTAGCGCGAGTTGCGACCGGGCTGGGGATGTCAGGGCTGCCCATCTTGTTCCAAGGTTATATCGGGTTATTTATTGATGATTTTCATCCACCACACGGTCATATAGGAACTGTCCACACCTCCAGACAGGACCCTATCTGGTGTTCTGTGGTAACTCTGTTCGACATGAGGGAATAAAGAAGAGAATAGTTCCGAGTTGGTCTAGACGCATACATAGTACATAGTGCTAATCACTAAGATCTTAGTGTAGCTTAATAGCCAGCCTACTAAGACAAAGCACTTGCTTGTTCAGGAAACATCCGCAGCTACTAACCTGTCCTAGTAAATAGTAAAATGTTTAGGCTGTAGATAGCGTGATCCTGCGTGAATCATAAGTCTTTGCTTTTGCGTAGTTGTAGAGACTTCTGCTGTTTCAGGTAAATTCAGGGTTTCGTTCATTTGCTTCTATTTTTATACTGTAGCGAAAGATATCTTATACAACAAACCGGAAACTGGGATGGTCGTCTCCGGCATCACCAACTTCGTCAGGCATATTCTTGATATCCACATAGCCATATAAAGCATCCCGTCGCTTGTTCTCACGAGCCATTAAAAATCTCAAGACCTGAGAGAGAATGGCGGCAAACAGCAGCAGTCCAGCACTAATTCCCATGCCCTTGATATAGTACGGTCCTTCCTCTGAAGGGAAGAATCGTGATCCAGCAATGGATCCGGTCTGTCCAATCATGCCGAAAATAACCAGCCCAGCACCCCGTTTCGATGCTGAGCCCTGGTTATCAGTGACCCATGTAAAGGCCAGTGCAACAGCAGAAAAGACACCGCCACAAATCAAGTATGTTGCAAAGTATCGTACGCCTTCTGTTTTGACAAGAGCTTCGATTAGGTACCCGACTGCTCCGACAATAGAAAGAGTGGTGAGGAATATGGAACGATTGCCATATCTGTCGGAGAGGAAGCTGACTCCGAGGCAAATCAAGAATGCGATGAAATAGGGAGGTGCAGACAATCCTTGTGATTGAATCGAAGAGTATCCGATATCTTTGATAATGGTAGGAAGGAAAGCTGGTAAGGCGGCAAAGGCAGTCTGAAGGCACCATTGGAGTCAGTACAATATTTCAGAAATTGATGACTAAAATGGGACAATCTTACATTCAAGCAGAGTACAATGACTGCTTGAAAGTAGTTTTTATAGTCATAGCATGCTATGAAGAGATGTCTGAAGTTCAACCTTCCCTTTTCCTCCCTACCACGGCCCTGTACGGCGCGAAGACGAATGATCTCGTTTTCTTTCTGATTGAGGAATCGACATTCTCCAGGACCTTTGGGCAAGAGGAAATATGCAATGGGGACAATTACTAGTGTCGGGATACCCTCTGCCCAAGCAACTTCAATGTTAGATGCTGCTGAACAAAGCAGGAGTTGAGATATCACTAACCAATGACAAACAACAGCTTCCACGACGCAATTGAGGTCTTTGCATGGACAATGCCATACGCCATAGCAGATGCAAAACAATTCGCAATCGCCGAAAAGGAGATGAAAAGTCCATATCGAAAGGCCATCTCAGAGCGATGATAGAAAAACGAGAGAAACAATGCAACACCAGGCGCAAAACCAGCCTCAAATACACCCAGAAGACAGCGAACGGCCATCAGACCAGCAAAACTGCTTGTTACAGTTTGGATCATGCTCATCGCTCCCCAGCCAAGTGCCATCAATGCTACCCACGTCTGTCATAGTTAGGCTCTGTTGTTTGCCTTGGGATGTCGACTTACGGGCAAAGACACAACTTTCCATAAAAGAATAAACCATTGAAAAACAATATATGTCAGGTAGTACGCGGTGAGGACCCACGAGTATTGGTTTGAAGTAATTCCCCAATCTGCACCCATACCAGCTGTGTAGGCGTTTCCGATGTTCCCTCGGTCGATGTAAGAGAACATATACAAAAAGCCGAGACTAAAGATCGCTGTCAGATACCTCGTCTGAGTCATGAGGCTCTCTCATTTCTAGTCAAAAAAAAAAAAAAAAAAGAAAAGAAAAGAGAAAAAGAGAAAAAGAGAAAAAGAGAAAAAGAGAAAAAGAGAAAAAGTCTTACAGTGTAATTAAATACCAGTCCAGCTTGCGCAAAGCGGCCTTTCTTTCGGCTTCGGAGTACTCATCCAGCAGATTGCCAGCGGCAGCTTTTGCTGAATGTTTCATTTCGTGTTTGTTGTGGACGGCATTTCCTTTCCCATAGCTAATACCAGACTGCGGCTCCATTTTGAATTCATTCAGGATGGTCCGGTGTTAGAACAAGAGCAGCAGAGCACTTCATGGTATATCACAGGTGGAAGTCCCTTAAAACTGCCCAAGAGCTTACCCTGGGAATAATATCAATAATATCATGTTATACAGGCGATTGGCAAGGTAGTGCCGTCCACAGGTGACTCATTGGGCAACATGTACCCCTATCAACAGTCCCTGTACTAGTACATGTATGCACAGGGTATAGAGCGATCAATACTACGTCGAGAAATGGCCATTACCTAGTCCGGACGGTTGCTTTAGAGGAGCGATTGATTGGCTTTTCGGGCAGATCCGCCGTTATTTGTTTTTATTGCCTAGAATGTTGCCGTTCCAGGTTTGAATGAGGGGATTTCGGGATGATGCCGGTTGATCATATTCATATAGCAGTAGCTTCATTAAGGCTCATTTCTCTGCGCGCTATTCTTTCACGTCGTCAAGTTATTGTGCTTCCTTTTGAGAATTGAAACACGGCATATTTTTATGATTCTTCGGCTTTGGAAAACTTCAAAATCGCCTCGTCAAGTGTGAGCTACCGTCTGAGTAGTCTCGTACCTAGATAAGAATTGTCGAAACTCGAAACTACTTACTTTCTCCAGCACTCAATTCAGAAGCCTTTACCCTTGTCACAGAAGGAACTAACTAACTAGATATTCATAGCTTGATATTACCTAAGTACCTGATACCTCATATCTCAGTAGGACCTGGGTATATGACACAGCTTACGAAATATCTGAAGCGCTCCATGGAGCACTCTGTACCCATTATACTTAATCTTAAACCATCCTTTCTGTCTAAAATAGCTTTCCTTTTACTTAAAATATACCAGTAGCATTAGCGGGACTAGCAACGCCACCAGGGAGATACAAAGGTTGACTGGTCAACATAAATGTCCAACGGCCAAGTTTTGCGCATGTTGCACTGAGTTCTTCCAGGTCCCAGCACTCTCCAATTGGCATTCCCCAGCCACTGAGAAAGACCTTCATCCGAGTTAGTTTTCTCCCATTCATGACTCTAAGAAGTCTATGAAAATGATGGCATACCTCATGCATAGAGACACCCCAAGGTTTAGGAGACGGCCATGCCTCATAGGCTACTGTGTCACTAGCCACAGCAGAAAATTTCTGATCCCAGTGCCAGCGAATAGATTCCTCCGTAGCCTCAATTCCGATAGATGCTCGATCATCTCTGCCACCGAGGTTTTCTTTCTCTTCTTCCGATAATTTGTTGTATGCATCCGTCCAGCCGGTTCTGATTAATAGAGCATCCCCTTTTCGAAAAGTGATGTTTTCTTCTCGGACAACTTCCAGAAGTTGCTTCAGAGGAATATGTTGATTTGTAAAAGGCTTATGTGGGAGATTATTTTTCACAACATACGAATACCAATCGACTAAGACGCCTCGTGTGACGATTGGATGTGTTGCAATATCTTAAACAGTGAGTCAGATTTGGATCACCTGGGCAGTATATGACTGTCAACGTACTGTGAATGCCAATTTTATCACACTTATTTATCCCAGATATGTCGTCCTGAGCCACGCCGTTGTAAAACTGTTTTGTGTCGGAATAGGGGTAATGTCGCAGCCCATCCCAATGGCTTGAGCTTTGCGTATTAAAATAGAGCTGTAATTATCGCTTATTAGCCATTTTAGTCGACGATATAGTGGCCATGGAAACTTACTTCATCATCATTGGCATGCCCTTTTGGAATTAAAGTATGCACGCAGGGCTTTCTTTGCGGATTCATTGGTTTCAAGGGAACATTCAACGGAAGGCTACAAAGGAAGTTAACATTGGGATAAGAGTCTCGGAGAGGATTGCTGTTACTTTAGATTAACTGCCTTGCCTAATTTAACTTCTGATGCGGCAGCTTTCGTGACATCCTCGGTGATGAGGTTCAATGTCCCCAATTCATCATCTTTTCCCCATAAACTCCATGCAGAGCATTTGGGGTCTCCTTTTCTCAACGGCAAATCATCGAACTTGGGCAGAGGTATGCTCATATTGGTGTCTGCTGATGAGTAATTCCTGTTTCCTGGCGGTGGGCTCTGGGAACTATCGTTCTCAGAAAGCCATCCGGTGGCGGACGAAAGTAGACGAAGTAAAGACATGCTGCTGTAGAACGGCTCTCTGAGGTTCTCGCGAGAATTCAACCATTATCATCAAGGCAATTGGTACAACTGCAATTGCCAAATACCTAAGATCGCGAGATCGGATACAAGATCAATATTGTTCAACATGACATCCAGATTGTGTTTCGCACTGTTCCGTAATGTTGATATCGGGAAGATTGTCGAATCGGGGAGAAGTCCTCATAAAAACGTACGCAATATAGATCCATTTTGGAGTTTCCACAGCAAGTACACTTATATACCGGCCAATAACGTCATATGTTCTGCATTTTGATAGTTTGTGGCTGTATACATGCGGGGTTCTACATGTACCTAGGCAAGCTAGTTCGGTATCACACCGAGCAATACGAGTTGCTCCCTTCGTGCCGGATTTCCGAGAATAAGCGAGAGTAAGAGTCATACAGTCCCCTCGACAGATAATAACTTCTCTCGTCCTACAGTGTGCAATGTTTGTAACAATATCGACATATCTACTTCGAAGGTTATGAGGCTTGGAAGGACGAACGTTCTGCCAGCTTCTTTACACAAAATGGCGTCCGACTTTAGCATCTTGACCCCCAATCCCATGCTGGGTTATGGTTATAAGTTGGAGCATTTCTGGTACGGAATTGAGAAGTATTCGCCAAAAGCGATCATTGTCGACAGTGGTTCTACAGATGGAGGTCCGTATAAATTAGGGTTGAACAAGATGACGTGCGGCCGTGATTCATACATTCGAGATCTCACACCTATGCTACAAGCTTGCTATTATAAGAAAATAAAAGTTTTGATTAGTTCTGTCGGCGGCGATGGAAGCGACAAGCACGTTCAGGAGATGCTGGAGATTGTGCGGGAAATATCTAAGAAACATGGATTTTCGTTCAAAGTTGCTACCATCTCTGCCGGGTTTGATAAGGGTCTGGTAAAAGATCGTATTCTCAAGTCCAAGGTCAGTCCATGCGGCCCGGTTGAGGAGTTGACTGTGGATAGTGTAGAGAGAACAATTGATATTGTTGGACAAATGGGGGCAGAGCCGTGAGTGTCCGATTTCCTTTGGATTGCAGTGTGTGTCACTCACGGCTCTTAGATATCTCAAGGCTCTTGAAATGGATCCGGATATCGTTCTGGGAGGGCGGTCATACGATCCAGCCCCTTTTGCTGCATTCTCTATGTTCCACAGAGTTGAACCCGCAACAGCGTGGCATATGGGGAAGATCATGGAGTGTGGAGGTATCTGTGCGGTTCCCAAAGGAAGATCAATGGTCGTGACAATGCGAAAATACTCATTTGACTTGACACCACTATCGCCAAAGGAGCGTTGTACGCCGACTTCTGTAGCTGCACATACGCTCTACGAGAAGTCTAGACCGGATCGTTTACCTGGTCCTGGAGGAGCTCTGATACTTGACGATGCTTCTTATGAGCAAATCACTGAAAAGAGCATACGAGTCCGTGGTGCCAGATTCGAGCCTACTCCAATCTATCAAGTCAAGCTGGAGGGTGTCGAGAAGTTAGGATATCGCACAATCTTTGTTGGCGGTGTCCGAGATCCTATTCTCATAAGCCAGATTGACGAGTTTCTGGCGGAAGTTAGGGCATATACCCAAAACCTATTTCCACAATTGGATCAGACTCCTCAGTGCCGACTGATATTCCACTTCTATGGCCGCAATGGGGTGATGGGACCGCTTGAACCTGACCCCAAATCAGCGCATGAACTGGGTGTAATGGGCGAAGTTGTTGCACCTTCACAAGAGATGTCATACACTATTGCCAATAATGTTCGTGCATCAATCCTGCATATGCCATACAAAAATCAAGTTGCGACAACGGGGAACTTCGCTTCTCCATTATCACCGCACGAAACGCCTGCAGGTCCAGTCTTTCGATTCAATGTCTACCACCTTGTAGACCTTGAGAAGGGTGAGGAGGAAACACTGTTCCCTATCAGATTCGTCACTATTGAAAACCCACCACCTCCGGGGAGTGAGTCTGTTCCTAGACTCACTACGGAACAACGAGAGCAGTTGGCTTCCGAGACTCTGGAACCTTTGGTGTTCAAGCAAATCCCGGAAGGAGAATGTCAAATGCTGGATATCGCGAAGATTATCAGGTCAAAGAACTCGGGGCCCTTTGAGTTGACTCTTGATATCATGTTTGACTCTAATGATGCCTATGAACGGGTCAAGAATGCTAACATCCTTACGAATGAGAGGATACAGACTTTGTATCATCTGAAACCTGGCGATATACTTACCAACACGTTCTTCGACCCAGCCCTAGCTTGGAAATGTACCATTCGTCGGCCTTGGGAACAAGGTACAGTAGGCGAACGAGATACATTGGGCACACAGCAACATGCGCCGTTGCTTACTATAAGAGTACCAAAGCCGAAAAACAGCACTGCCGCCTCGCCGAAACCCCAGACTAATGTTCAATACTTCCAAGATAGATCACACTTTTCAACTAGAGATAGTGTGGAATATATCTGGAGGGGGCTTGGTTTACCAGAATATTCCCTCAAAGCCCTGCAATTGACCGGCGATGGGCTTGGTTTACCTTCATCTTTCAAGATTGGACATATCGCCCAAGCCTCAATTGGTTTGTCTGCTCTACTGGCTGCGTTAATTTATGGGCATAGAAAACAAATACCGACACCCACAGTGACCATTCCTTTACAGCACGCTTCCATTGAATTCAAATCAGAGCGATTGTATAGACTTACAAACAAGCCTACACCTTCACCATGGGGCCCTATTGGTGGGCTACACAAAACTGCAGACGGATATGTGAGAGTCCATGATTCATTTCCCAACCACCGAGATGGTGCAAGGAAACTTATAGGATGCTCTCCTGGCGCTAGTCGGGAAGAGGTTGCTACAGCAATTGCGCCATGGAGATCCATCGATCTGGAGTGGGCTGGTTTTGACTCGAACATTGTCATATCAGCACTGCGAAGCTATTCAGAATGGGATGTGCTCCCGCAAGCCAAGGCAATTGCTGATTTCCCTATTCTGCTTCGCAAATTGAGCGACGGACCTGTAGGGCTGCCTCAGGAGATGACGGACGTGGATCCTGACAAATGTCTGTGTGGACTCCGTGTGCTGGAATTATCCAGAGTTATTGCTGCTCCATTATCAGGTAGAACTTTAGCCGCTCATGGTGCAGATGTACTTTGGGTGACGAGTCCAGATCTTCCGGACCTGCCGGCGATAGATCGTGACTTCGGCAGGGGAAAGAGAACGATTCAATTGGATCTGAATGATGAAGCAGATACCAATGAGTTCCATAGGCTTCTGGAGAATGCTCACGTCTTCACTCAAGGATTCAGACCCGGAAGCCTAGCAAGAAAGGGGCTATCTTCGGCAGCCCTTGCTGCTCGCTTCAAGGATCGAAATATCATATGTGCTAATATGTCTGCATATGGCCCCGATGGACCCTGGAGCAACAAACGTGGATTTGATTCTATTGTCCAAACATGTTCGGGCATGAACGTGTCCGAAGCAGAACATTATGGTGCTGGCGAACCTGCGCGAGCGACATGCTGTCAGTCATTAGATCATGCGGGTGGTTATTTTCTTGCCGCCGGAATCATGGCAGCACTGTACAAACAGGCCACTGAAGGTGGTTCATGGGAAGTAAATGTTTCTCTCGCTGGGGCAATGAAGTATCTACGCTCCTTGGGACAATACGAAGGGTATAGTGGGTTTGAGACTAATGATTACACATGCACGGAAGATGTTCCATCTGAGTATTTAGAGACGAGAGAAACATGTTTTGGAGAAATGACTTTCGTACGACACTCTGCTGCAATTAAGGGGGTGCAGGTGGGTTGGGACATTATGCCGAAGCTCTTAGGGTCCGATGAGAAGAAGTGGCTATGACTGTTGTAATTATCACATGTGTTACCTTGATAGATCGCAGAATCCCAGCTCATTATTTACATATATTTATGCAACGTTCTAGTGTCCTATCTGACTACCTAGCTATACCTAGGTATAGTTATATCAAGGTTGGTGTTACTCATACATCCCCGTCATGCAACAGTTCACTAAATAGGAAAGGATATGAATCCTAGAAAACCAAGGAATCCCCTGCAACTGGAATCTGAGTCTCAGTTTAAAGCTTGCTTAAATCCAAGATAGCATCCATTCAAGTTTTATGAATCCATTTAGCTCTATTTCTAGATAAACACATATGTTTTCGAATGTCTTCTCCGTGGGGACCACTGTGTCCGGTAAGATTCCGAATGCATTGAACGTCCTGTAGGCCCTGCTCCGCGCTTGGTGAAGGTGTTCCATAAAATTGTGCGGAGTATTGCCTAGTGCAGTGACTCTTAAATCCACTCTGGGCCCTGCTGCCCTGGCTTTCGTGAGTATCTCTTATGACAGGGTAATCAAAAGCGTCACTCTGGAAGAGAGACTTGGACGAGTCGGCTCTCTCAAATACATTGAGAATGGAGACATACAATAACCTTATATAGAAGACGAGAAGCAAAGAGTCATGCGCAAACTGGACCTACATTTGCTTCTGTTCTGTTTTCTGCTTTATACATTTTCTGTATTAGACGTGGGTTTTCCTTCTTCTGTGTATTTGACAGAGGAACTAAGGTGGACTGGCTAACTACTGGAGTTATACTAACGATCGAATCTAGGTAATGCGAAGACCATCGGGCTCGCAGAAGATATCGACATTTCGGGAAACTGGTACTCGTGGTTGGGGACCATATTCCATATTGCATACATCACGTTCCAATTTTCAACACTTGGTTGGAAGATTTTCAAACCTCATCAATGGGTCTCAGCGGTTGTAGTCTCAGCCAGACGGCTACGAACATGAAGGACTACAATTGGGACAAGTCAGAGAAGCGTTCAAAGACTATTAGAGTATGTTTCTGTCTAGAGTAAAAATTAACATCCACAAATGCTAATAACATCCATAGATATCTTTTTGCAGTCATGAACTTTAGCAACAATGTCAGCTTCGCTTCTCTGCCTTTGTTCCTGCCAACAATTGTCTCGGAAATGGGTGAATTCACTGCTGTCGAGTCAAACGGCCTCCTCGCTCCACCATACTTCATATACTTTCCTCTAATTATTGCCATTAGTGTGATTTCCGATAGGGTGCGTCTTCGAGGACCATTTCCTGTTTTCTTCGCCTTGCTTTCCGCACTCAGATTTATTCTCCTTGGTGCCACGACCTCGGTCATATCAAGATATATCGGAACCTTTCTTGCCGTTCTAATATTTGTAACGACATCTATTGTACTCATTTGGAATGCAAACACCAATTCCACAAGCTCCAAGAGGGCCGGTGGACTTTGGATTATCATGACAGTGGGACAATGCGGCCCTCTTCTGGGAACAAACGTTTTCCCTTCGAGTCAGGCACCGTTGTATCGAGAGAGATCGTGGATTTGCTGCACTTTTGCATTGCTGTTTGCCGTCACAGTTATGATGCTGAGTTTCTCTTTATGGCAAGAGAACAAGAAGATGGATCGTTTGTATGGTCCTTTGGAGGAATCGGGTCCGGTAGAGCGTTCAGAGAATGATGGAATTCCACGGTATCGATACATTATTGAGGCGTTTTGGCAGCCACGGGGTATAATTCTGGAATTATTTCTAATATCTCCGTCTCTATCAATCTTGGTTTACTCCATTAAATTGCCTCACTGTACTCAATATCTTTCTATACCTACCTAAGAATACACATAATACCCTCTTTTTTTCGTCATGCACGAAACCTGAATCAATCACAATGTATGTTAACTACTATATATCCAGTTTACCTCATCATTCAGTCGGCAGCCCAAAATACCGATACTTCTAACAAAAAGAAAGCAAGGTATGTAGACTTAGGATTTAGGGTTATAGCCATCTGTATCAGGCATCCAGGCACCAACCCGTTATCAAAGTTATCGAGGTTACATGCTGGAAGGACCCACATCATCCCCTCATCTCCTTTGGGTCCTCACGATGACTGTTACCGTTACGACGGGCAGTTGAGCGCTAAGAGATACACAATCAGTCATTTTGGTGGCGTTTCTGTGTTATTTCATGTTCTGACAGCCATTACGAGATTGGTGATCCTTTCTGACCTACATATAACGCGGGTCAAAGACCATCAAGCACTTGCTGTACTAACTGTGCATATAGAGAGGGAGCTATTGACAAGAATTCGAGGGCATTGACAACTCAACCAAAGACGTTGTTATATTCGTGAAGATGGCGTCGTCTGCTGACCCCGCACTGCGTAAAAAAGTTGGACAGGTACGTCCCTCAACTTGTGAAAAGAAAAGAGACCCAACCCACTATACTTAGTCATTTTAGGGTTCTAATGACATGGTTATAGCTTTTCGCAGTGGGATTTCATGGGTTTACGCCAAGTCCGGAGATCAAAACACTGATCAGGGATTATGGGTTAGGAGCTGTTATCTTGTTCAGGAGAAATATCAAGGATGCCGTTCAACTCAAGGTATATCCGCTTTATCTCCTGCACATAGCTTCGATAATAGTAGTCCGACCTTTTAATAGATACTGATGAGGATTCGATAGACCCTAACACTCGCCCTGCAACAAGAAGCTAAAGAAGCAGGCCACGAGCATCCCCTGTTCATCGGAATCGACCAGGAAAACGGTCTAGTAACAAGAATCATGCCACCACTTGCTGTCCAACAGCCAGGACAAATGACAATCGGAGCCACTCAATCCGCCGAAAATGCGTACGAAGTTGGGAAATGCACAGGAGAGTTACTGAGCTTCTTTGGCATAAACATGAACTATGCGCCAGACTGCGATATTAACTCCGAGCCTTTGAACCCCGTGATAGGTGTCCGTAGCGCTGGAGATGATCCTAATTTTGTTGCTAGATTCTCCTGTGCAACAGCCAAGGGGCTCCGAGAGAGTGGTGTTGTGCCTACAGCGAAACACTTTCCGGGCCATGGGGATACAGCTGTTGATTCTCATCATGGTCTTCCGGTCATTTCGAAATCGCGGAGTGAACTTGAGAGATGTGAACTAATCCCTTTCAGAAGGGCTGTAGCTGAGGGCATTGAAACTGTGATGACGGCTCACATTGCTCTGCCAAAGGTTACCACTGGCCCAGATTCGGAAGGTCTACCAGCGACTCTTTCTCCGGAGGCGTTGGGTATTCTACGAAATGATATGAAATATGACGGTGTTATTGTGACCGACTGTCTGGAGATGGACGGTATCCGTGCTACATATGGGACCGTCGAAGGGTCTTTGATGTCTCTGATAGCGGGTAGCGACAGCATCATGATTTGCCATACTTATGCTGTGCAAGTCAAGTCTATTGAACGAGTGGTTCAGGCGGTGCAACTGGGTGCGCTGTCGGAGTCACGGATTGACGAATCTCTACACCGAATTGGGAAGCTCAAACAACGATTTCTCAGTTGGGAAGATGTGTTGCGCTCTGTAGACAATAATTCAGTAGGTCTGTCCTCTATGAACCAAAGACACGAACAGATTGCAAATAATGTGTACTCTCAATCGACAACTGTGGTGAGAAATAGCTTGGGAGTTGTTCCGATATCAAAATCTATTTCCAAAGTACTATTACTCGCTCCCGGTGGAAAGATCCCAGCTGGAGGAGCAGTAGACGATAGCGGTCCCAGGCACAGAACATATATCGATGTGCTTAGAGATGTTGCAGGTACAGCGTCTTCTGTGATGCAGCTTGACTATCCGGACACGGGACTGCTCTCGGATGAACAGTGGAAGACCATCGAGACTGAGGCCGACGTTGTTATTCTGACTACCAGAAACGCAAAGGAGGCAAAGGGACAGAAAGAGTTTGCTCTAGAGCTGGCGAGACGTCGTAAAGATGTGATTGTTATTGCCACATGCAGCCCATATGACTTTCTTGATGATGAAGAAATAATCAAGACATATATTGCAATCTACGAGCCTACCGCAGAGGCATTCACATCAGCCATTGACGTGATTTTCGGCCGAGCATCTGCAACTGGTGTTCTACCTGTTGCCTCCAATCCCCACACCAAAACCAACAAAAGCTACAAAATCTTGGCCTTGGATGAATCCCGGAAAGATGAAATGATTACTGGCATACTCGACGTATGGAATAAAGCTCTTCCCGATTACACATTACCAGCAGGGAACCTTCGCAAAGTAATCGATCAACCTAATGGACACCACTTTATCGCCCACGATGCACAAACTGGAAGAATAATCGGATTCTGTCTATTATACACATCCCAGAATCAAGGACAGACCTCCGCAGAAATCGCCGTTATTGCCGTCGATCCCGTCAAACAGCGTCAGGGGATTGGCAGTGAACTACTTTCCGAAACACGAGAATATCTTTACGAATATCATGGCGTCAAAACTGCGTCGTTGAGAAGTTATTTCCCTCGCTTTTGGCCTGGTTTACCGGCTGATTTATCGCCGGAAGATGAGCAATTTTTTATTCATCGTGGGTTTCAATTTACTCGTTCGGGAGATGCGGATTTATATCAAGATATTAGGAAATTTGTTCCACCGGAACAGTACCTTGAAAGAGCTGCTGCGAGCAATGTGACTTATAAGGCTATAGAAACCCCTGATGAGTTTGAAAATTGCCTCGTAGGGCAGAAACGGAACTTTTCCCATTATACAGTACGTTCACTCCCATTATTTGCTGTTTATAGAGCTTCTGACTGATAATTACAGGGCTGGGTCGAAACATACATAGCTCTCCATCCCTCCAAACACCCATCAAGCATCATGGCAGCTTTTGACAAAGACGGCACCCAGATCGCATGGACACTAATGCTCTCTCCGGACGACGACTTTGTGGCTCAAAACTGGGCCTTTTCGCCGTTGGCAAGTGGGAATCAGCAACCACTCAAGACTGGGATTATAGGATGTGTGGGGGTGGATGAATCGCATCGAAGTAGAGGTGTAGGTCTTGCATTGTTGTGTTATGCTATTGAGAGTATGAAGAAGCGAGGTATTGAGGCTGCATTCGTTGATTCTACAGATATTGTGGGTTGGTATGGGAAAGTAGGATTCGGGAAGTGGAAGGAGTATATTCATGCAGAGATATAGATAGTTTTTATGAACAGCAGCTTTGTTTCATGTTTGTTTATGGTTGAAAATGTAGATAAACAAAGCAATATTTGTATGGTGAGGTTGGTAGAGGTTAATATCAGTTGGCCAACATACCCTAGAGCACTCATCCTGTGAGTCCTGCCTTAACCAGCCGTGCAATGACCCAGGTAGGTGGTATGGATTGTTCTTTGAGAAACAACAGTGGAAGGTCCATTTCACAATCATTGCATAGAAATAACGCATCACGGATTAGAAGATTCAGTTCTAAGCACATCTTTCAGTAATTGATCCGTGACCTCTTTCATTTGTATGATCCACAATGACTATTAATGAAATTTCTGAGCATCCTGTAATTTGAAGACAAAGCCCCTATTCCCATATAAGATATTATAAGTAGAATCAACATGCCTACACACATGCAGATATTGCTGCAAGCCAACTGCCAACAATCCATAATCAGAACACGATACAAACTGTCAGACCAGCGGAATCCACTAGAGGAGCTGAGCATAAAAAATTAAGAATGGTCTCCCAGAGCTCTGAAGACCTTCAATCCGAGAGCGTTCACGACGAGGCGAACACGACTTCTGAAGAACCCCGTACCGAAGAAGCTGTTCCTGACTCTGAGCCCCAAGCGGAAACCGAAATGGAAACCGAAACAACAGAGAAAACCGAACAAGACAGAGAACTAACCACCATACAACGTCCAGCCGGACCAAGAGATCCACCACCATCAGCAATCGAAGATGCAAGAGCAGCACGCCGCGAATCCAGAAAAGGAAATGAAAAAGAAGACCGAAATCAACGACCAGCACGACGCCCAACTGGACCCAGAGATCGACCACCATCGACAGTTGAAAAGTCAAGAGCAGCGCGCCGCGAGTCCAAAGCCAAAACTAAAGACAAACACCAACGACCGGTATCGCGGCTAGCCGGACCAAAAGATCCACCGCCATCTAAGCCCCGGGAATTCCACAGTACCGTTTCGGATAGGTCACTCATGTATCGAAAAAGGATCTGGAGGAGACGGTTGGTTCGTTTTAAAAAGCGATTGAAAGACCAAAGAACGAGAAATGCAGGGTCGGTTAGGTCAGCGATGCTTAAAGTGATACGTCGGCGTCGACCACGATGATATTATAATTAGGACTCTATTTCCGAAAGTAGAACTAAGTTGATCCGAAATCCAACATCCTGAAGGGCACCCTTGTTGATAGGTCATGCTCAATTAATTCTCACCACCTGTGTTTCAACATATGTCCAATATCGTTCCGCACACATTACCCTCAGCGCCTTTCCTTTCCATTCCATAAGTAGGAAGCTCATGCCGAACGCCCAGGCCAATACTGCAACGGCAATGAAGGTGTTCTGTAGACCTTGTGCATCAATCCAGGGGGTAATAGCATAATTGAAAGCAAAGCTAAGTGTATTCCGGCAGAGAATGACTGAAACAATCGTTTCTCCAGAAAGTTCCTTGAAGCAGTCAACAGCATAAGCAAGCGCATAAGCACCGCCGCTAACATTGCAATAACCGCATAGAAGACCACCAAGCAGGACGACTGCCCAGTGGAGTCCGTGATACGCGCCCAGGCCCCAAATCAAAAGGCCTGCGGGCATCAGGATACAGTAGACAACTAAGCCCCAAAGACGTTGCTCGGGCTCACGTAGACCCCCGTTTCGTGTAGCTAGTCTCAGTGTCAACCAGTCGGCAACAGGACCGGAAATTACACCTGCCATGCTGGCCCCAATCAACGGCGCAACGTATGAGAGGCCGACTATAGCAGCAGAGAAATCATAGGGCGCTACGGACAGGATAGCTGAGGTAGTTGCATTATACACATTGTACCTATCAAACTCATAAGACAGTCGCTAAGAAATTTTCAGAAAGGACACATACCATGCCAAAGCAAAACCGTACATAAAGCCAGCCCACATGATATTGGGGAACTGGAAGAATATCAGAACTGGGCGATACGCAATGCGAAGTATTTGAGCGAATGAATTCCCGTTATAAGACCACAATTTCAGTCTCTGCAGATGCGTCTTCTTCCTGTAGTCGGCATTGACAGCGGTGAATTGTTGAGCAAGAATTACCTCATTCAAGACGAGAGGGTCGTCGGCCTTCTCAGCTTCCATATTTGTCCGCATATACATCGATTCCTCGTATAAGAAAAAGGCAAGCACAAAGTTGAGTGCTAAAATCAGGGCAGCCCAGTGTTGCACCCAGTGCCAGCCGTAGGCATCATTCATGAATCCGGCGATGAGAGGTGCAATGAAATTGCTGGCGCACAGTACAAACATGTACCACCCAATAAAAGCACCCCGTTCATGGGCGAAAAACACATCTGGAATGCAGATCTGGGGAAGGACTTCGACCGGAGCACAGGCGAAGCCATATAGACATCTTGCTGCAGCCCAGGCAGGATAACTGTCAATCCATGCTGTCCACTCCGATACGGCGACGCAAAAGAGCAAGCTCATTAGGATAATAGGGCGGCGGCCAAAAGTCAGCGCCAGAGGTTGCCAGATGATATTTGTCCATCCCGCCAAAAGAAAAAGGTACCCGGTACCATTGTTGAGCTGACCAATGGTGATGCCTGTCTCCTTGGAAATTGGGGTGAAAACCGAGTATATCGAGGTGCCACCGATACCCGTGCTAAACACATAGAACAAGAGCAGAGTGACATTCAACCATTTCCGTCTCTTAGACCAGTTCAATGGGTCATCAGGATCTGCTGAGGGCTTGGGAACCAGAATAATCTGGTCTGATTGTTCAGCAACCAGATGCACGGTACCTGGGGGAAGCATCGTGTTGGGAATTTCACTCTGATTGTACTCCATGATGGGGTGTGTGCCAAAGGGAAGTACTGAGGTACTAGTACTTATTTATCTCTGTGTTTCCCTCCGAATTCACATGTCCCCCGCTTCTTGACGCGAGCCATAAACGGCGGGAATTCGCTTTATCGAACAATTTTGCACTAGTCAGTGTCAATTTTCGCTTTTCCCGATTTTATTGACGACTGTACAACTGAATTATTTGCTTCGTAAAATTCTCTGTGCGTAACATCTAGTTGATAGCCAGTAATTGGCTATGATTAGCATGCATGCACAAAGTCAAGGATTGACGGTCTTCTGACTGAACGAAGATTAGGCTGCAGATGGCAGATGTTGCATAGCCAAATCACAGGGAGATCGGAAAAGTTAAGCTTAGCCTTTGAGGAAGCGTGTGGATCGAGGGCACAAACTATCAAAAACCACGGGGTGCGGCATTCTGATTGGCGGTCGGGGTTAACCACGTATTTGCGCCGGGCCGTCTATTCGGCTGCCCCGCCTCGCCCAAAGCTAGAAAGTGCCCTTGCTTGTCTGCCGTGGTTCCTTTCGCTCTCTGCTGCTCTCTCGCTTTGTCTGCATGTCATTTCTTTGTTCCCGCATGCTTTTTTTTTCCTGAATTCGTTAGTGACGATCCGTAGACTTGGAGTACCCATCGAGCCATCTTGTTATTTCCAGCACCTTTTTCCATTCTTGCGTATCTTCCTATCTCGAGTCAGGGAAATAGCACACTTCCGAGAATAAGGCGGCATGAAATGATCTTCCAGATAGTGCACTTTCTCAGTCGTCTGGTTTCAGAGAACGTCTAGGATGCGTCTTGGGATTTCGAACGAATTTTCCTGTTGATGAACAAAATCTTCGCAGCACCGTCGTTCGCCAGACGATGGGGGCCAAGATCACTGGCGGCAAAAAGGGAAAACCTCGCGGGATCCGTAGGGACAGGGACTGCCAGAGCTGCAAGACTCGAAACATCAAATGCGATTTGAACAGACCACGGTGTCAACCATGTGTGCAGGCTGGGTTGCCGTGTGGCGGTTATCCTCAGCGGGTAGTCTGGGCTACAGACACTAATTTCGGGCAGAGACGGCCGCGCGAAAAGGTCGCAACGCCGGCGTTGTCGCAAGAATCACATTCACCCTCAGACAGTTCTAAACCGAATTTGAACGGCAGCAAACCGCCCACGCCAGTTGCGGCGACTTTGCAGATGCATGACCGTTACACGACTGTAAACCAATACAGCTTCATCAAGCGCCTTGCCGCGTTTTACGAGCAGATCAAAGACGTCAATAATCACTCGAGTGGGGGATATTTACCGCCGGAAGCTATAGAGTTAGTATCGCGAATATGGGATTTTATCATGGTCAGAATGAAAGGACAGGTCGCATCAAACGACTCCACGGCGGAGAGGCAGTCTATGGATGCTGTGCAATATCATGTTGACGCGCTAATGAGGTTGACTGAAGCCATCGACCAGGCACACCCAATTGCGCTATTTGGCATAGCGACATTTGCATTCTTCGAGGTCTGCGACGGTTCATTTGGAGAATGGCAATGCCATTTGAATGGGGCACGGTCACTGCTCGATTTTCACTGCCATAACAAGGCAGATCTTGATCGGTTGTCGGTTGAACTTGCTGGATTAAACGAAATCGTTGCGCATCTAGTGTGGTTCGACACAATAGGCGCCATCATTCGGGGTAGTAATGGACTGATTTTCGACGACTGGCATCGCGAGACCTTGACCGAAGAATTCTTTGCTAATGTCGGGTGTCCCGTTGACACTTTTCATTTGTTTGTGACCCTCGCCAAGGCAGGCAATCACATCAACACCTTGGATCTCAGTTTTGAAGCGCTTGATCAACTCCTGCTGCGAGCTGAACCTGGGTCCGGCAACTCGGCCCTTGTCGAAAACGCATGGCGATGCACGGCCGCCATTGCCATCATCAGTCGGATTGGCGACGCGGGGTCGTTGTCGCGCCGCAAAGCGCTCTCGACTGCAGTCGACCAGGCCTGCAGAGTGATTGCTGTCATGTCACCCACTTCAGGGATCTATATTCACCTGGCAGCCACGGCTTATCTGGCTGGCATACATGCCACCCACCCTAGACAATGCGAGATTGTGCGAACCTATTGGCGCAATTGTCGTGCTTCTGATTTCCCACGATACCCAGACGGACAAGCCAAGTGTGAAGCGAAATGGCAAGCAGAGGGTCTGGCATGAATCAGCGTTATGAGTATTTGGACTGGATAATATGTTAGTAATCGGTATGCATATATGGGAGCCACGTACATACTTCTTGAGATGATGGATGCGACAGACAACATTCATAGTTAGCAGGCGCGTATAATATATCGGCTTGACTTTCCGCGAGTGCGCCGTAAGTAAGTAGATGCTATCGCCAACTAGACTCTGTAGGGAAGACAGTGCATGAAGTGTTGTTCTGGAGGAGGAGATGCTGGTCGTTGAAGAATCTCATTGGGAGCGAACTGGACCAAAAGGAAGGTGCGCACTGCGGCAGGTCCTTCTTTCCTTGTTCGCATCTTGCCAACTCAGGAAGGTAATCTACAGTCGCTCCTTCCTCGCTTACAACTGCAGAATTCCGCCTCCTGATTGGCTCGCGCTCTATCAGCGCGATGTTTTCTCTCTTCTGCTAAACTTTGCAGACTATTTGATTAAACTTCATGGAAAAGAAAGATAGTCCCTTCGATATTGTCGCCATTAATTAATCGTCCTATCTCTTTTTGACCCACCATGTTCTTGTTCGTGACTCTACGACCCTTGCAAGGTATATATTTAATGGCAGACCCGGCGCTCTTTATCAGCCCGACTAGGGCATCCAACTTCTTCTCCGGAATTGATCGTTGCACGACTCTACGACAATGACAGCGACAATAACCTCAATTACATATCAAGAGCGCGCTCGTATCAAAAGATCAATACAAGATTCCCTGATTCCACCAGAATGGCGTCTGGCTTCCATCCCGCCAGTGAACGAAGTGTCGGATGCGTTGGATTTCATTCGCAAAAACAATCTTTTAACAGCGCGGGAACTGCGTATCACGGAGACTACGGATGTCAATGTCCTACTGCACAACCTGGCCAGTCGTCAATTGTCTTCTCTCGAGGTCACCAAAGCCTTTGCGAAACGAGCCGTGCTGGCCCACCAATTGACGAATTGTTGCACAGAAATCTTTTTGGACGACGCATTCGCGCGAGCTAGGCAATTGGATGATTATTTGGAACAGACCGGTGAATTAATAGGGCCTTTGCATGGTCTCCCGGTCTCGATCAAAGACCTCTTCCACGTAAAGGGGATAGATTCATGCATTGGTTCGTCAATCCATGCAGCTAGGGCGAATTTCCAATTGTGCTGACCACTCGATATAGGCTGGGTAGGACTTACGAATAAACCGGCAACACAGGATGGAAATGCAGCAGCAACACTTCGCCGACTTGGCGCCGTGTTATACGTTAAAACAAATGTGCCCCAATCAATGATGGTGCGTAGCTTTTCCATGCCTAATGTACGTAGGACGGCACCTTGCTGATTTAGTGGCTTACTAGATGTCCGACTCGTATAACCACGTTTTTGGCCAATGCGTGTCTACCCTCAACCGGAATCTCATTTCTGGGGGCAGTTCCGGGGGTGAAGGGTCTCTGGTGAGTGCCCGAGGTAGTATCCTAGGCATTGGTACAGATATTGGCGGATCGATCCGTATACCGGCCAGTCTTTGTGGGATGTATGGTCTCTCGCCGAGTACGGGGAGACAGCCGTATGAACGAAGTGGGTGAGTCAGTTCTCCCTCGTTTCGAGTGGCGGTAGTTTTACTTAAACAGGCCAATTGTAGCCTCCGGCAAGATATTGTACGTTCGGTTGCAGGCCCGATGGCAACAAGCTTGTCAACGGTAGAAAAGTACATGGAAGCTTTGCCGACTGCCAGGCCGTGGGAGATTGACCACCAAGTCACACCAATTCCATGGCGAGCGGAACTGTGTACGACCACAAAACGCTTAAGAATCGGGTATATTATAGACGACGGCGTGGTTAAAGTGCAGCCACCTGTTGCGAGAGCGGTAGAAGAGGTCGTACAGGCCTTGAGAGAAGCCGGTAATGAAGGTTGTTGATCTCATTTCAATTGAGGAGCTGTATGCTGATATATTACAGTGTTTGAATGGGACGCTTCGAGCCACGCTCATGCGTACGATCTCTGGGAGAAAGCCATCCTCTCCGATGGCGGCGAAGCGTGTCGTCGGCTATGCGAGTTGAGCGGCGAACCATTGATTGAGGGCATGCTGGTTGGAAAACCTCATAATATCTTGAGTACATCACAAACACATCAAGTACGTTCTGAACCACCCTTATACAGACGAAAGGAGACTAATGGGAATAGCTTATTGCCGATAAGTATGCGTACGAAACGCAATACCTTCGTCAATGGACTGCAGCCGGTCTGGATGCTCTCGTCATGCCTGTCACGCCTTGGGTGGCATATAAGCCTCAAACATGGGTGAAGAGCCACCAATATGTGGGATATACATCAATATGGAATTTATTAGACTACCCTGCTTTAGCCATTCCGGTTACCAAGGCAGATCGGACCAAGGATCTCGTATTAGATGCCGAGTGGATCATGCATAAACCGAGGAATAAGAGCGATGAATTCAATCATAAGCAATGTAAATCTCACATATCACTTCGGTGTAGAGATCTTACTGACCTGACAATAGATGACATCAATCTCGTCCACGGAGCGCCAGTGGGTGTTCAGATCATCACTCCAAAATTACAAGAGGAGAAATGCATTGCGGTTGCAAAGGCGATTGAAGAATCTATGACCGCACAGCCCGCAGAAAGGACCCAACGAGCAAAGTTATAGATCAAACTGGGTTCTCGAATTGTTTTTAGGTACGCAATGCATTTTGTACTGGGTGTCCATACTGAGTCATTGTAGGCTGCATCTAGTCCATACTTCAGCCTATCTACATAAACGTACATCCAATCCAATCCATGTCCAACTAATGCAATTTCCACGATATACTAAGTTGATATAATCCATACCCTCCAGGCAGATCCCAACCTCTCATCACAGCCAAGCAGCCACCGCAGCAGCAACAACCGGAGCAGCCGTAATCATCGAACCCGCAATCCCACTAACCGCCATACCAGGAGTCTTTGTTGCATCCGGGGCCGTAAACGAACTCAATCCCGCGGTGACCGTCAACTGATAATACGACTCGGCAATCGGGGCAGTTGTATAGGTTGCCTTTGTGGAAGTCGAAGAAGTCCATTTCGCCCCATCTACCGTACCAGTCATACCGACGCTCATGGTACAACTAGCCGATTGCGTTGAAGATTTCAAACTGCATTCATATGACTCTGTGACCGTGACATCGTAACCACTCCCCGATGGGGCGGAAGATGAAGCCACATATACACCCGTAAAGCTGACCGTCGCAGAACCTTGGACGATGGTTATTGATGAAGGGTAATTGCAGACTGATTTCGGTGCGTTGGGAACACAGCCAACGTGGTATGTGGCTGCTGCGGCGTTGATGTTTGCCAAACTGGCTGCTGTGCTTGTTCCGCCGGCGCCGTCAGAGAAGCCTTTTACGTCCCATTCGGGTACGAAGTAGCCGATGATTGAGCTGCTGCTGGAATCGGCAGTTGCGCCGAGGACAGTGGCCAGGGCGGCAATGAGGAGGGAAGTACGCATTGTGATGGTGTATGAGTCTTGGGGCTGGTGGAAATGTAGGATAGTGTAGATCGGCACAGAAATACTCACATCGAGTTCAAACAAGCCCCTTTAAAGAATATTTTTCATACGAGGCATACGACGCATTATCTAGGAGGCAACAATAGTGGCTTAAGATAGAGTAGATAATTGGCCAACAAACCTTATAGTTAGGCTTCTGGGGCCCCGAGCAGTCCCATTGTCATTAAAACTTACAGACTATCATTGGCCAAAGTCGTGAAGCGGGGGACCCTGAATCATGTAGTCTAATGCTAAAAGTAGACAAGCACATTGGGCTAGTGAAGATTTCACCAGTTTAGCGCTTGGTTGAGGCTCGATTCCGCTTGAAAGGCTCCGCGTGCCACACGTTCCGAGGCATCAGGCACGAACTTGGAGATCAGAGACAGAAAGTCCATCGAGGCAAGCCAGTTGATTACTGGTGGAATCACTGAGGCGGGTTCGTACAAGTCGTTTTCGCTATCAGAGCGGGGAGCAGATGTGGTAGATAGTGTGGATATGCCTGAATCATGCAGGCGATAAAGGTACATCTAATTCCTACAAAACTCCATACATAGTCTCTCTTATCACAGAACAACGCTAAGTTAAAATGGATGGTACTTGAGAAAATTTCATTGTCATTGCTCTTCTCCAGTATCAGGGAAAATCTTGCTGCAATAATCAATATTCACAAAAAGCTGAGTAAGCACCGTCTCACTATCAACCAATCAAAGAATAATAATAATAAAAAAGATGGGAATCGGGAATCGGGAATCGTGAGTAAACTAAAAGTAATAACAACAAAGAGAGACATAAATGAATTCAAAACACTTGTCCAACGTAATGATATAATCTACATAACAATACAATCACCTCCTTGCTGTTGTTGTTGAGCAACAGCTGATCGAGACACGCGTGTCTTTTGCATACGCCCACTACCTTTCTTGAGTTCCTCGAGACGTTCGCGGGCTTTATTGAAGTTTTGGGCTGGGTCCATCAGTTAAATAGATATCACTTACGAAGAGAGAAAAGACTTACAAGCAGCTCGCCAATACCATCGCTGCGCATCCTCCAAATTCGACGGAACGCCAATCCCAACTTCGGTAAAATATCCCATTGCATACTCGGCTTTGGCTAAACCTGCAGCTGCCGCTTTGCGTGCCCACAGGTAAGCTTCAGTGTCGCTTTGTTGGAGGATACCCTCAGCACCGGTGAGGTACCATCCACTCAGCGCAAGTTCGGATTGATGTTCACCCTGCGCTGCGGCGCGGGTGTACCATATAATACTCATACGTGCATCGATTGGTAAGCCCATTAATCCCTGCTCATACGCCGCGCCGAGACGGTATTGTGAGAATTTATAGCCTAGTTCAGCGGCTTGCGTGAACAGTTCACATGCATATGCTTCATCACGAATGATGATGTCCGATGGAGCTGTACTCTCGTACATGAGACCTAATTCGTGCAAAGCGTGCGGATTCTCTACATCGGCTCCATCAGCCGCGCGTTTTAGCCATGTTATAGCTTCACGAGGGTTTTTTTGTTGACCCAGTAACCCTTTCAAGAGAATGATGCCCATTTTGTACATGGCGGGTGTGTTTCCAAGTGCTGCTGCGCGTCGGTACCATTGTACCGCTTTCAAGGCATCTCGTTTCGTGCCACCGCCTTCCTCCTGACCGAGTTCACAGCAAACTGCCGTTCGGTATGCAGACTCGGCATGTCCTGCTTTGGCGGCCGATTGATATAGTTGAAATGCGTCTTTGGGGTCAGCCTGTAAACCTAACCCTCCACTTCCATAATTATCTGCCATGTAGAACATTGCGTCCGGAAAGGAGTCATTGACTAATCTCTTCACGATCTTATACGCATCGTGGATGTATTTATCTTTGTTTCTAGCACGAGTTTTCGGATCGACTCGTCCTTCTTCACCAATCAACCGCGTCGAGGCTTCAACATACTTCTTGGCGAGTTTCAGCGCAGTCTTGTAGTCGTCAGGGTTTCGTCGGACGATTAACTGCAACTTCTCGATTTCCATTTGTGTGACGGGTGGTGATGCTGGTCGACCGTCAGGGCCCACTGCAGGCGGTACGGTAGACGGCGCTGGTTGTGCCGCATTGTTTTGTCGAGGCCCGCCGTATTGTCGGACTGGTGCCGGAGGGCCTGCTGGCGCGCCTCCCGGCACCTGATCTAAACCGGCACGATAGGGCAAAGGATGGGCAGGAAGAGCATCCGGATTCTGGGACTCTGGACTGCCGATGGGATGTGCCCCATATGATCCCATAGACGGAGTTCTTTCCGAGCCTTCAAAACTTCCGTTAAAACTGCCATTATAGCCATTATTCATACCGTTGGCCGATTGATCGCCAGGCAAGTCAAATTGAAAACCGGCATTTGCAAACTGATTCGTATTTTGTTCGGGTGCCGTTGCAGGTTTGTAAGGTGCATATGGCTTTTTCTCCAAGCCCAAGGAGTTCTCAAAACTTTCGTTGCGGCGATGTACGGGATCAGATGACGGCATGGCATCAAAATTTGGCATATCCAGCTCATCTTCCTCCTCTTCTTTTACCGTTTCTGGTTGTTTTCCTCCGCCTTCTTCCTCATCTTGCTCTGCAAAATAATCCGCAAAGACATTATGATGTACATAAGTGCTATAAGTTTTGGATTTTAGGTCGTCTCGTGACGGATTTGGCGCGAGCAGAATGCCTGTTCCTGCTTCTGGTTCTGCATATTCCATGGCTGGGTCCTCATATGTACTCTGACCGGGATATTTTGGTGATCGTAAAGGAGGAGGATATGCTGAGCTCGTATTCGGCGTCGTCATACTCCTTTGAGGTATTTTTATAGGCGGAGGACCGTTTCCCATTGTATATGATCGTTGAGGAGGTGCATATCCATAATCGCCGTCTGGTTGACCGGCGCCTGGATAATAGGGGTCACCGTTGGGCGGTCCCCTAGGTGCGCGAGAAGAGTTAGACGTGTGTGGTCGAGTCGGAGGTGAGGCAATGCTCAAATCGCCCATCTGCGTTGCTAGTCCTTGCTCATCTGAGCCTCTCCGTTGCGACAGAGGTCCATTTGCTGGGTATCCGTATGGATCGCCTGGCGGTGGCCTGCGCTGAGGAGGTGGTCGGGCCATAGGAGCTCCTCGCGGTGGTGGTGGTCCTCGTCCCGGGCCTGGAGGAGGTGCTCTTCCATATCCTCCTCGCGATCGACTTGAAGATGATCCAGGTGGTGGTGGGCCACCAGGGCCGCCGTACGCTCCTCGAGGGGGCGGTGGTCGTGACCTTGGTTGTCCTGAACGTGGACCGCCGCTTCCATAATCAGAACCACCTCCTCCATAACCGTCAAAATCGTAGCCAGGTCCTCCTTGACCATAACCTCCAGGAGCCTGCGATCGGGAGCCTGGGGGTGGGCCTCGCGGAGGAGGCATTCGTTGTTGGGGATATGCCATGTCGCTAGCTGTGAGTGATCAGTTCACAGTTGATTTTGTATCACCGCAGCTGTTTCTCGTTCCCGGTATTCATCGAATAACGAATGCGCTTGGGCCGAAATTAGTGCGTTCGCTAAATGGGAAAACGAGTGTCAATTCGCGATAGAGGCCGTTATATGTACAAGAATCGGAAATAACTAGGCACTCCCACAAGCGCAATGTTAGTAAAGTCTGGGCAAATGAGGGATGAAACGAAGGCCTGAATATCAATGCTACTGAATTATAGGGCCAGGGGTGCAGCTAGACCGCGGCGTGTCGCACGAACCGCAAGTGGTCTTGCACGAGGTGACATGGTTACGAACCTTTCAAAAGGTGATGTTGTAAAACGAGTGACTGCAGTGAAATGCCGGAATGATACTTGGACAATCTCGATGTTGGTGCAGAGGGGTATGGAGGTTGTTTAATGTCGGGCACTTAAACGCCCAAACGTCTCCGGATACGAGGGTAACGAATTGCGAGGTTAGGATAACAGCGTCGCTAAGCCATACAAGCTGTCGGTCGCATATGTGCCAGTCCTGACAGAAATGCCAGACAGACCGTTGAAACGTATCAGATGAGATCGGCGGCTTCTTGAGAACTGGCGAAACTTGAGGAGGAGAAAGCGTTGGCTCGTACGTATTTCTGGGCGTTGAACTAGATTTAATTCACGAAGTTTGGTTCCTGGTACTGTAAAGTACAGACAGCGTGGCTTATATTTTATTGGACAGAGTCAAACGGCGTACATCCTAATTTGCCCAATTCTATACAAAGCTCCACTCAGAATTGTAATTTATTGCTTCCATACACATTGTATTTACCATACATAAAATACCGAAAGCTGAACGGGATCTCCGGCATTAGCCACTCTACAACGTTCAATCTTACCGTAATACTTAGGTATCCCAATGATCTTATTAAGATCGGCCTGGTTTTCATGTATGGACTTCATTCCTGCAAGGAATTTTGTTAGCGACATAATGCCCTTACGGCCCTACTGTAGGGAAAGAAACATTTCATGAGAGTCATTCCGCTATACGAGAATACCTTTCGCGTGTGATACAGTCTTCGATATGACCTAGCCAATGGCAGTAGATAATCGAAGTATTCGACGAATTTATTTCAGACCAGAGGTCCAAAATAATGCTCATACTCCTAATCCGTAGATTCACTTGATTTCAAGTGAGAATCCTGGGTTGGGTCACTGCTCAGCCACATGATACTGCTTCGCCACAGCTACAATTCCCGGAGATGTGGCTGGTTAATGTGTTCTCCGCGCTGAATGACATCTGCGGATAAACCTCAACAAATCAACTTCTTTGCAACCAGAACAGCAGGCTGTCTCGGGTTCGTCTAGTAATAGACAAGCAACCATTACGAGAGATAGCGATACGACAATTACATTGACAAAATGTCCGCAGGAAAGTGGATCAAGATGTTTGTGGTGTAAGCTCTGCCGAACAACTGCGGGAAGTAAATGAGAAAGACTAACTCGAATGAACTTCACAGTGGTACTGTCGTCGCCGTAGGAGGACCGTTATTTGTTCAATCGATTCGACCGACGGACGAGGAATTGTTCAATGTAAGCTTGCTTCTAAGCTTCAATGCGCGATGAGCCCAGAACTCAAAACACAACAACAGAGATATAGTCCCGATTTAAAGAAAGCCGCGCTCGAGAACCGCGATCGACAGGAGAGGGAATACAATGAATACGTTAATAAGTTAAAAGAGTGGTCCAAGTCAGATAAGTCGAGTACGTCGTCTGTTTTATGGGATTGATCATCGAGGATGAAAGCTGATTTGTGATTACTAGTTTGGTTCGCCGTCAAAGAAGAAGAGGAAGCGCGATTGAGATCCAAGACATTGCCTACGTCGTCTCAATCGAAAGAGGATGAGCGAATACAGAGGGAAGAGATGCGCAGGGAGCTCCAAGGGGAAAGGGAAAAGTGATTGTCTCGCAAGATCAGGAAGACATCAAGCGGCTCGGCAATATTCGATCGTGTATTTCTATCAGCATGTATAAAAAACTGTTACGAATTTATAATCTTGACTCACAGCTCAGCAATCTGATTACATCGGTATGAAATCGATATGATGAAGTGTCATCACACGTCTAGTGACTCTGATCCGAACGGCCATGAGACGTGCATACTCTTAATATAGAAACATTGTCTTATAACCTGAACACGTGGAGAGCAGAAGAAATCAGTCAACCCAAAAGTCGGTCACTAGTTACACAGCACATGCAGTTTTGCGGTCATTATTCCTCAGCCATTGTACGTACAATAGCACTATGTTCTATAGCTGCAACCTCAAAAGCTCGATATCACTCACCTACCTGTACCGGGCGTTCCGTACGTATACAGTGGCAACAGAATTCTGTTGTCATGCGCCTTTCCAGAGTGTTCCACGAACACGAGAGTAGATATCCGAATATCTCCATCGGCGACTCCAGCATGATGCTGTTGTTCCTGTTTATATCCATCATACGGGACCGTTGTGTCATTAGATGGGACAGTTCTACCAGGGGTACAGTCCCGAGGTCCCCATTAGGAAATTCCTATAGACGAAGCATTCCTACTTTGTCAATAGCTATATTTCATCTTTTAAGGTTAAATCCTCGGCAAGTCGCTAGATTGTTGAATTGTCAATACGGATTGGATCAAATAATCCCAATGTCTTAGAAATTAGCGGAGTGATCGCCAGTCCCATGTTTCTCCCTCTCTGCACTCATTGGATGCTTCTCCCTGTTTACTCATTGACTCCATATTTTGACTCCGTTTAAGTCTAAAAAGTGCCAGCATGTAAACACTTTAATTCAATTTCAACCTGGTGGTCTCTTGGCAGCTGCTGATCGAGCAGGCTGTTCCGCATGTTGGTGGATAAATCGTTAAATGGGAATTGCGTCACTGATATATCCGATAATTAATGTCTCAGTTATGATTCTTGAGCTTTGGGCCAGTTTCCTAATCAGATTGTATCTGTGGCTATGTCTTGGGTGAGGAATGATGGTGGCCAGGGTAAGGGTTATTTGGCTGAGGTGCCTATAAAAAGCCCTAGTTTCCTCACAGTCTGCTCGTCATTGTAGCATCAACATAACAATTTCACAATATTATAACTAGCACACCACTCTCGACACACCTTTACCACTTAGCAACACTATCTACTATCAATATGAAGTTCTCCGTCATCGCCCCTGCCGTCCTTGCTGCCTGTGCAGCAGCACTTCCAACCGCCCAGGAAGCCAAACCTGACGCCGCAGGACCTTTCTCATTGATGGCTCTTCGCTCTGCATCTCCTCTTCACTTCCAGCCGATCAATGCTGCCGGCCAGAAATTCTGGGTTGGAGGCTCGACATCTTCTTACTGCCCGTCCAACATCGACCCATGCCCTCCAGGCACTCAGACTGTTTTTGCCAACACCAATGGATTGGTAAGCTGCCTACAACAATATCTATCAAAAGAAGGAAAACTTTTTTAACAATTTGGATAGGACGTCGAAGTCCCAGGCGGCCAAGCAGTCTACGTTGACCCCTCTGGTGCTCTCTCATTCACCCAGGCGCATTCCGCCTACATTCCTGAGGGTTCTGTCCAGGGTCCTTTCACTTATACTCCCGGCCAGCCATTCGGTACTTACACCACCGGCGCTTTCGGTTCTACTGGTTTCATGGCTTGCCCCGATAATGCCGCTGCTCCTACTAAGTGGCAGGTGTTTGCTGCTATTCAGAATGCGACTGTACCCACCGGCAATGTTGGAGATTGTTTGGGATTTGATGCTGCTGCGATTGAGTACTCGGGAGAGATTCCTGCGTGGCAGTATGCTTAGTTTATTTGCTCTCTTAACCGGTTAGTGATATGATATGCATGTATATAGTCGGAGTGTGCATTTGAGCAAGTTATCTACATCTAGTTGTTTGAATTGATAGGTCTTTAATCAGATTCATTAAGAGGCGTTCCTGCCATAAAATGAAGGCATCCACGTATACTTGTGATCTTTCCTTCTTTCCTCGACTCGCTCACCACCACCACATAACTTGTACCAACTACATCTGATAACAACTCACTTATTTCGCATGTAGCATAACCATTACCCTTTGAATCATGTACGTGCCCATCGAGACACGCTATTCATACTAATTTGACCAGAATATACAAAGCATTTATTACACCACGATGCTCACCAAAGACATCCCCATCGACAACCACCACATCCAAACGCTCGAAGAACGACTACTAGACCTCGACCGCAAAATCCTCAAACACCACGATCGCCTCCTCGAAAAGACAGAGCGGCTCGTCTCAAGCACAACACACATCTGCAACGAACTCCAAACCACAATCCGCACTCTCAACAATCAAGCCTCAGTCATCAACAACACAAAACACATCGTTTCCGCGCAGGCGCGCACGATAAGCGCACAGGCACGGAAGATTAGAGCACAGCAGGGGATGATTGATGTCCTGCAGCGGGATATATTCCGATTGGGGAGGTGGTATACCGAGTCCCTGGGTAGAATTAATATGCTTGATGAAACGATTACGGATCGAGGTGATGATATTCGTGAGCTGTGGCAGGCGCTAAATCGGCATACGGCGTTTGTGGAGAGGGTTGAGAGAGACAAGTATTGGATGCATGTTTATACGAAACAGGTGATGATGTTGAGGGCTGCGGAGCTTGAGTTTGCTGTTACTGCGGATGACGATCGTGACGAGGATGACGATGAAGGAAGTGTCACTGCGGAAAGTATTTGTATGGATTCGACTATTGTTACACCTCTTCAACCACATATCTTGCTTGATAAGATTGTGGTTCATATGATGAAGGACGTGTTGCCGGATCGATTTGGGAAAGTTTGTGATGGGTTTGAGATTGTTCATGGATCTTCGGCCACTGTACATGGAAGAGACGATGTTGAAGACTCGGAGAATGGATCTGATGAAATGCTACGCGGGAGCTCAGATGAGGATTAGTTTGGCTAACATTCTTTGTATAGTATATATACCATGCTGGTTTGTCTCCATTAGTTTTAGAAGTGCATACTTACTAGTATCCTTTTGCCAAAAGCATAAGATAAATTACTATAACCGGTTAATCAGCTTATATTACAGAAAGATCATTCTTCCTTCTCCCTGCTTTATTTGCTCTAGAAGACAAACCAAATTAAGAAGACTTGACCTTCTCCTCAGCAGCCTTGACAACTCCCTTGGCACTGTCGGTAACAGCCTTTGCGCTTCCCACAGTATCCTCCGCCAAATCCTTAGCAGCTTCTGTGGCAGAACCGTCCTGGCTCCGTCGCCAGAGGAATATTCTAGTTACTTGTGCGAGACCAGTGCAAGCGAGGAAGAAGTTTACAGCGGCCAATCTACACAATCAGTATGAAGTCTTTGAAGAAAAGGGAGAGGGGGGGGAGGGGGGGAAGTACAGCATGTTCTTGGGGGTTATCACGAAACACCATCGAGTCCAGATTGAGCCGGTGGCCATTAGAGCGAGGTTTTGGGTTAGGGAGAGTTTTTCGGCGGGACGAGCTAGGTCTGAGATGCCTGCGATGACGAGGGACCACTGTTTATATCAGAATTTGATCTTGACACTACGACGTAAACGTTTCGTTCATACCTTCATAACGGGTGCCCTGAACACCAATCTCGTCAGTTTCATTTTCCCCCTCTCGATCAATACAGAGAAAAGAGAACATACCAGAAATGGACAGTCTTTACACCAACAGGACTATTCCACAACCTCTGAAAAGTACTCTGTTGCTCTCCAGCGGTGGCGCTGGCATCCGTGCTCGAGAATCGGAATCCTTTGCTGTTATTACTGACATTTTGACGGAAGTTGCGAAATGCCGCGCGTGAGTTTGCGAGGAATCGTAGACCGACTCGGGATGATGACATTTTGATTAATCGATATGTTGTTGTCTTTCGTAGCTGAAGTGAGGTAAACAAGGTAACGTTTTACCGCAAGAACAACCGGGATTGCGATGCGGCGAGTCAGCGCTCTGTCAATTGCTGGAAAAAAAGAGTGGAGATTATTGTATATTAAAAGTGTCAGACGACGCTATCCTCTATTCTCAATCCGAGTCTGATGATGTGAAGATAGAAAGAGAGAGAGAGATGACTCCGTCCGATAATGTCCGCCTATTTCTCACCGGCATCGGGCCCCAGTTGAAATAGAAGGTGTTGATTGGTTGGGTATTGAAGACTACGGGGTTAAGTCCGCTGATGTAATCACATTTCTCTGATTGGTTGATTTAGTGATACAGATCTTCGACTTCCGCAACCTCCAAAGTTGACATCGACATCTGGAGAGCTCGACTCGTTGCGACATACATACACCGATTGACTTCCTCCCATAAACGGAATTTAGAGAGGAAAAGAGAAAAACGAAAAATGTCCGCAAAATACGCCTTCAACAAATCTCTCAAAGAACTCCGGTTCCTATTCTGTCAGACTTCATCCCACAGCGATGCCACGCGGTACGTCCAATTGTCCATTCTTTACGACTTCAGCTAATTATGGATGAATAGATCATTCTTGAACCGCGCATACCCCACTATGAAAAAGAATAATCCTTACGTCCCGATCTTGATTCGTGAAGCGTCCGGTACTGAGCCGAGGGTTTTTGCTAGATATGGTTTGTCTTCTGACTTCAGGTGTCGGTTAGGAATAGAAGGATAGCTAATATGGAGGTATAGAATTCGGAAAGGAGAAACAGGAATTACTATCAGGTATGAATCTACCGTTATCACGAACATCGCGGAATAGACTCTTGACGCAGGTTGAACTAATACTTGGTTCGAACAGGTCTGACAGATAAAGAAATCGAGGAAAAGATTACGACGCTTGTCAAGCAGACTCTATAATCATTCTTTGTCTCTTTGGTTTGAGTTTTGCGTGAAGCCTGTCGAGGGCATATACATAGACGAAGATCCTTTCAATGGAGCCAATCCAGTCATTCGAGGACGGGACTGATGGACAGATGGGGGTATTTGCACTGCCCGCCGTGAATGGGGGTTCTATGGATATGAGGAGTGGACTCTGTATTTATATTTAGAATCTTATCGAAAGGAGTTTTCACGTTCTTATCTTATTCTATCCAATGTTGAATGTTTCAATACTACGGCTGAAGCATCATGCATTGTACTGCGCAAAAGGCAGAACAGAATTCAGGATGATTTCAAAAGATTGATGCTACCTATGCGAGAAGATAGCAAATAATTCTGTACAATAAAGAAATGTAAACAAATGCAAGGAAAAGATCAGTCCAGTAAGTATTGTGTTCCCATGAATCAATCCCAGATAAAACGCCATCCCATCCATCCTTCATATGCAGGCCAAAGATAATCCAAGCCAGAACACCCAGGAAAAAGAAATAATGCAATGCAATACAGTGTTCGTGTATAGAAAAGAAAAGGAAAGAACGATCAAGAAGTCTCACCATCCTCCTCCACAATCGTCGCAAACTTTTTTAACACCTGCTTCAACGCCGGCCGACGAATCGGTTTACTCAAAAACATATCCATACCACTCTCCATACAATCCTTGATATTACTCTCTTCCGCGAAAGCGCTTAATGCCACAATTGGGGCTGAATATCCCATCTGTCTAATCAGTCTTGTACTTTCCAGCCCGTCTAGGTTGGGCATTTGAATGTCCATAAAGATTAGGTCGAATTTGTTGCCTTCAGACATGGCGGCTTTCACAGTGTCATAGGCTTCTTGTCCGTCTTTGGCCACGGTGACGTCGTAAATGTCTTCGAGTTTGAGCATGCGGAGGACGACTTCTTGGTTTACGGCGTTGTCTTCGGCGACGAGGACCCGGATCTTGGTGGTTGTTGTGCTATCACTAGCGGAAAGTGATGATTTGAATGATGTTGATGATGCGGGAGCCGGAACGTGGCGTTTTGAGTCGGATGTACTGGTTACAGTGGTGGTGGAGGTGCTGTTGTTGATGGTCGATTGAGATGGCGGTGCAGCTGCGAAGAAGGGTTGGCTCAAACCGACCAGACGGGGTTGCAAATCTTGAGCCTCGACTGGTTTGACAACAGGACTGTTTGCATCCGATGTCCGGTTGATATTTGCGGCATCATCGAGAGAGACAATCTCACTCGGTGGACTGGATTCAGCTGTGCTGGAGCTGCGTGTACTAGGCGCCATTTCTTTCAGATATTTCAGGGGGACGTCAACTCTAAATGTCGAACCCTTGCCCACAGTGCTATCAAGATGGATAGTGCCCCCCATCAGGCGAGCTAATTGAGAGCAAATACTCAACCCCAAACCTGTACCCCCGTACTTTCGATTTAATCCTAAATCACCTTGCATAAAAGGCTCAAACACTCGCTGTTGCAGATGCGCTGGAATACCCGGTCCTGTATCTTCAACCTCAAAGCTAAACGCCAACGTTCGGTAATTCACAGGCTGTTCCCTCTCGCGTGAGTAATGGTCAAAAGCGCTACCAGCGACACTACCACCCATATATGTATCTCTAGATTGGAACGAGGGTGTCCGTGACCTCATTGCCGAGTTAGACCTCGAGTCAAAGGATATCTTTGTGCTGCCCTCTGGCTTTTCGTAATCGCCCAGACACTTGATTCGAACTTCTACTCGACCACCTTCTGGTGTGAATTTGAGACTGTTACTGACCAGGTTGATAAGGACCTGTAATATACGATGCTGATCACCCCATAGAATCATATCTTTCATCCGAGCTGTGCCTGGCGGACCATAGGCATGAGAAGTCGTACCTAGTGCATGTTTCTCGTCATTGTCCATAATGATTGTCTCTGCCGCGGCGGGTGCGCCGATGAACTTGACAGTGAAATGGACATTCTTTTCCAGAACTTGTTTCTCAAAGATAGTCAAAATCTGGGACTTGATATCCGCCAAATTAAATTCCTTCTCGTCCAGTCGAATAGCTGAGTCGATTTCATTCTTGCTAAACGTCAACAGATCGTTCAACAGATGCAAAAGCAGATCGCCTGATTTGTAAACCACTTTGAGCGACTTTTTGATTCTAGGCAAATCGTCCTCGCCCATGCACACGGCACACATTCCGAGAATTCCATTAAGCGGCGTTTTCAATTCGTGCGAGATATTCGCAATGAACAACGTTTTGCTTTCGTTGGCTGTCTCCGCGGCCTTTTTACTGATTTCCAGCTCGCGCGTTCTCTCCGCTACACGTTCTTCAAGCCTGGTATACTGGATCATCAACTCGTCTGCCATTTCGTTAAATGTGCTGGTCAATTCGGTCAACTCATCTGTTACGATATGTTTCGATTCTTTGACTTTGCCGGGAACTTTGAATGTCTTTGAGCGACCATCTTCGCTTGCGGTACCTTGTGATCGGCCCCATCGACCATGCTTGATCCTTTTGAACACTCCGAAAATTCCACCTTGTTTCTCAGACTGCGCATTCAATGTCTCCAACACTGCGCCTCCGTTAGGTCCATGGGGATCATCACCAAGATGGTGGTAATGCGAGGGATGGATCGATTTCTCCGTCGCGGCTTTGAGTTTTCTAATGGGAGTCACACTATAGTGCGCCAAGGGAATGACAGCCACGGCAATGAAACCAGCCGTACCGAATACACATGCAATAATGATTTTTCGTAAATGCGACACTGGACCAAAGGCTTGAGCGTGTGTTTCTTCTATGACTAGCACCCAGTCTACCAGTGTCGACTGTGGCCGAGCAACGCCCACGGCTACACGGTATCCCTGTTCGTTGTGGGTGTCAAGGTTGCTAGAGGAATTGGCATATGTTGATCTCGGGGTTTCGAGTGCATCGAGAACGGCCGGATACTGTGAGAGCTTGAATGGTTCTTCAGTAGAGCGATATTTATTGTGTCGATCTTCGGAACCATCCACGAGGTCCGGCGTGAAAATATAACGAGCTTCGGCATTCTGGAGCGCGGTTTTATTGACATCTGGCGTTGTGCGTGTCGCAGTCACCGCATCTCCATTGAATAGATTATCGGCCGTCGCAGGGCCAACCAGGAGGACCGATGCGGTCGAATCGAGTCCATTATTGTCAACAAGCGCAGATTGTACACTCGCAGCGCTCGCAACGATACTAATTCACCGTCAGCATTATATAGAAACAGGGAGCTATCTGGTACACTCACGTCATATACCCCAAGATATCCGTATAAGAAGTATTATTTATGATAGGCAGGGTAAGCGAGATCAGCGAAAAACTATTGTTGACATATAACGGCCCAAGCAGTAGCGCAGACGTCCTCTGTATCGGAAAATCAGGAAAGGCGTAGGCGGTAGCCTGTTCACTGGTTGCATCGGCGGGATCCACGCCGCTGGCGACACTGTATGTCAAGTTTGGATAGAGCGAGGGAGGATATCCAAGACCAGAATCACCGAGGATAACAGACTGCATTAGTTAGCCTGTAGTTCATCCATCTAGTAGATGAAAACCCACCGAGCCATTATCATATTTATACGGAAGCACAATCTCCTCCGTCAACACATTGCTCGTCACATTCAGAATACCACCTTGATCACCTGCTGGATTTCGAGAGAATATTTTGGCCTGGAATAACGAAACATAGCCGCCAGATCCTAAAGCAGACTGCACATCGGTGATAGCCGTAACCCAATTCGCGTCTGTGGTATTTCCTTGATAGAATCTTCGCAGGGCGGATTGGATGAGGATACGGGTCGTGACCGTTTGGCAGGTGGCTTCGATGAGGGCGATGTTGGAGGCGACTTGGCCGGCTTTGAGGGAGGCTGCGAGGATGAGGCCTTGAGATCTGTTCAGGTCAATACGAGTTCGGAAACATCAATATGATGGACATACTTGACTCCAGTCACGAATTTGTAATTATTCTCCCACTGATTAACTATTAGCATATGTTGTTGTTGATGTTGATCGTATTGGATGTGCCCACCGTCGCAATAGAGATGACAGCCAATCCCACCAACGAGGTGACGAGCACCAGCAGCGCGAGCTGCAGTGCAATTGGGATCCTCATGCGAAAGTCGAAATTAAAAATGCACTTGTTTACCGATGCATTCCTTCTGATTTTTCTTTCTCTTCAAATAACCTCTAGGTTACTATGCTGAGAAATAAAAGTGATTGGCCCGGCCTCGGGTAGGTAGCGATGCGATGGTAACAAAACGAACGAGGATGGAAAGAAACGAACGAACGAACGAACGGTCGGACTTCAGCTGCTGGCTTCCTCCCGTAATGAATATCACGCCAAGGATAACATGGCGAACAACTTTATGAAATTCACAGAATCATGCAAGTAAGCAGAGTATGTGGTACGTAGTACGTACACTTGGCCTGCGCAGTTTTGGCTCTTCTTCGACGAGTCGGCCTCAGACTAAAAACTGACAGAACGGAGGTGAAAGACGGAGAAAAGAGTTTTAAACGGTCGCCGTCAGGCTCGGCCAGACAAATAGGGTAAATGCAGACGATTACATTTTCCATCACAGCGTGAATGGCTGATGGTAGTTGACAGGAGAGACTGGGGAGAGACAAGGGTCTAGATTATTCAGTTCCAAGATTTTCATCGACGCCACGTGAGCTGCACCAATGACTGCGCAGCCTGAGGCCTCAAAGCTCCGGCCAGACTGTGCCGCATCGGGACTAGCGGCTGGAGCTGGCCAGGGCAGGATATGCTAGGCCAAGCCGAGACTAGCCGAATTGTTAATCTCCCCGAGATTATCTGAGAAGAGCAGATACTACTCCGTACGTAGTATCTACATGAACAGGGCTTCCTTTCGTTATAACCAGGTTCTACTGTAGTTGAAGTCCGAATCAACACGAGGAGCAAACTTGTTGGCATTAAAGCTGGGCAGGGGCGGTGAATTTTTCGCCCAAGTTGATAGCCTGTCGCTTTTTAACATGTGCTCGGACTACTAATTCGACCTCTGTGCGAAAAGCATCGAGGTGAAGTGGTGGAGGATGGTATGGAGGTATCTAGACTTAGTGGTGAGATTTCGAGAACGATTGTATGCCATGAGAATGCAATTTTCTGTGCGGCATGGTTGTTGGGCACTGGATACAATTTCTGAGTTATTCGTATTCTAAGATTCCACTAATATAGGCCTTGAAAACTTGTTGTTCTCCAGACATTTTCATCTGTTTAGATTCCGGATCGATCAATATCGCTAGTAGCTACTGGTGTCGCGCGAGCAAGTTTCGTAGGAGCCATGGTGATAGAGATAGAATAGAAAATAAGGGGCAGTGAGGTGAAGAGGGAAAGAAGAAAAGAGGGAAAGGAAAGAGATGGGAAGAAGTCCTGAGCAACAAGTCATGTGGCGTCATATACAAACCAACGTCCCGGAGATTATCAGAGAACGCATGAAGAATGGCAGATATGTACTCTATGTCAATTGAACAACTAATACGCCTGTATGTATACGATATGGATACTAATACCTCCCCTCCAGAATCATCGTCCTAGAACTATTCCCAAGTGCAATCGTAAATTGACCCGTCACCGGCATAACCCAATTCTGCCGACGAGTACTCCAATAACTCAGATCTTTACGCGTCAAGGCTAATTCGACCTTTTTCGTCTCTCCTGGAGCCAGCTTCACCTTGTCGAACCCGCGTAACACCCGTACAGGAAACTCTATATAATCACTGAAAGTGTCCTCCTCGTCTTTGACGTCATCCGGGAATGAGACATACATCTGGACTACTTCCTGTCCTGTACGGCTACCGGTATTGGTGACATTGGCAGTAACGACGACGAATGTCTCGTATAAAGACGGATTGCCGCCCTCGCCTCCGCCAGCAGGAGACAACATCTGCTTCGTCTTGTAGCCCTTGGGGAAGTCGAAGTGTCTTTTCTTGATTTCAGATAGATCAGAGAGATATGGATAGATGTATTTGTGCAATGCTCGGAAACCCGTGGGAAATAGTGCAGACCTAGCATCTGGTGTCTGCTGGCTGTACTCAGGCGGAGAAACAGGGGCTTTTGGTCGAGGTGACGGTAACGGCGACTTCTCTCTCACGGGAGATATGACCAGATCCGAATATTCAAATGTTGTATACGATATGCCATATCCAAATTCAAACCGTGGAGTAATGTTATGCTTGTCAAAATATCGATAGTCAATGAACAATCCGTCCGTATAGTTCACCTGTGGTACCAACGCGTTGGGGAAGTAGAGAATCTGCGCACTAGGACCGTAGTCCTCGATGCTCTTGCCGATGGTGTATGGGAGTCGTCCAGTAGCGTCGACCCTACCAAGCAAGACATCCGCCAGCGCGTTACCGCTTTCTTCCCCTGGAAGATGGGCAAGAACAACAGCCTTGATACGTGGGTGTTCAATCCAAGCCTCCACCACGACTGGGCCAACGGCGTGGATCACAACAATAGTATTTCCTGTATCACCGCCACAGCTATTCGCAACTCGTTGAATGTAAGCATCACCCTGCTTCTGAAGTAACAGATTGTTGCGGTCTGCTTTGACATCTTCCCATTTCAGATATCCTTCACCAGAATCCGAATTAGCAAACACGATGCACAGATCGTGGTCTGCAAGATCCTTATCCTCGTATTTATCAGTTGGATATCCGTGAAATTCCACCGTTGTCCCTTCAAAAGACTTTTGCAGTGCATCATATGGTGTAATCAGGTAAGGAAACTCAACGGCACCACTGCCCCAACCAGACGCCAAAGTGCCCTGATTACAGCTTCGATCAACGCAGAAATTAGGGCCTTTGCCGATACCTGCATCTTCACCAAATAAACCCACGCGGTATGGTTTATCAAGGCTCAGAGGAAGAATACCGCCTTCATTCTTCACAAGCACGGTTCCCTCAGCGGCAACCCGTCGAGCTGTAATGCTATGGGCACTCTCGCCGCTACCTTGAACATCAATGAATTGATTAACTCTTCCCGTGGCTGGATCACCTGAACCTTCATATAAATGACCATACTCCTCATTGGTCCACGAGGAAAAATTGGGAGAAGTCGGGTTATCTCCAGGTTCGTTTTGTCCCAATTGATACCAAGCTGCTACGATACGCGTCACCATATCATTGAGACGCTCCATGGGCATGGTCCCATTGAGCACCGCGATTGTCAGCTGCTTGCCCCAAAACGACTTGCCATCTGCCCATGTAGCGCCATCACCGGGCATAGACATATCCAAACCTGCAAGAGCACTTATCACTCCTGAGCGCTGCGCAAGCCAGTCCGATTGCACGAAGCCCTGAAATCCCAACTCGTCTTTCAGTATACCATTCAGAAGCTTGCTATTCCCACATGCATATGAATTATTGACCATCTGATACGAACACATCACACTGGCCACATTGGCACGAATACTTTCTGCAAACGGCCAAATGAAAACCTCATGTAGCGTTCGGTCATCGACGTTCGAAGAAATTGCATCCGGTATAATCCATTCACGACCCTGGCGGAAATGTTCCTGTTCGTTCATAACGAAATGTTTTGCTGTCGCCATCACGCCAGTCCGCTGAATGCCTCGAATGGTATCCGCAGCTGCAATAGCACTAAGGACGGGGTCGGGCGAAAAGCCCTCCCAATTTCTACCACCGGCTGGCGCTATTCCCAGGGGTCCCATTGAAGGACCCAAAAGTACATTCACGCCCTTTGCACGAGCCTCTGTACCCAGTAGATAACCACGTTCTTCGATCAGCGATCGATTCCATGTTGCCGCAGTTGTCAAACCAGCTGGGAAGGCAGTAATATGGTCGGCGAAGCGAATACCCAAGGGGCCATCTTGTAGACAGAGAGAGGGGAATCCGGAATCAATCGCAGGCCCTGCGTAGTTCTATTAACTGTCTCTTCGAGATGCATGCTTGCTAGGACATACCTGTATTCCCAACACACAACCCCATTGACCAACCCACTCCAGTCGTAACATTGACCTTCTCAAGCAGCGTCATATTCTGTACCATCGCTTTCGCTTTCTGATAACTATGAGCCCATGTCTCCGAAGTACCACCCCTCGGTGACGGATACCACGGCGGGGATTCCTGACAACAATCCATAAGCATTCATCCACTTTCTCCTTCACAAAAGCGTAAAGAACTCACATAAACTTTATCTCCCCAAAAGAACTTCCTAATACTGCGCTGATAAGCAATCAAAGGCAAAAAGATAAAAATAAGACCCGCGGCCGCGACAAGACATAGACGATATCGAACAATAAAATTTTTGAGTGTAATCAGCCGTCTGCGATATTTGCGTCTTTTGGAGAGCTGCTGTTTCTTTTTGTCTCTGTTCTTGCGATTCAATGGGGCGACCACTGCGCCGTCGTCGTTTTCATCGTCGTCCATTATTTCATCTTCGTGGGATGAGAGGTCTGATACATCGATGGGGTCTAATTGATGCCAGTTATGTTGATGCTGAGTAGAAGAATGAGAGTTGCAATCTGAGTATTCTTCGCCAGTGCTGTCCTGGCGTGGAACTGGTTGATATTTTGAGTCTGCCATTTTGGTGGGTACGACAGACAGTGAAGGAAGGCGCTACTCAAGGAAAGAATGGGCGTCCATGCAGTATATATTCTGCCGGTAGATACCTATATATCAAGGATATGTCCAAGTATTCTTTTCTTTCTAAATGATAATGGTGGCGAAACATATGGTGGATGGATAAGTTGGGTTGGTGTTGACGTTTAAAATGCGACCAGTTAGGCTTATCTTATCGAGCACTGATGATCCAATCGGCTATATTTGCCCCTGGAATTTTATACGATCTACAACTCTGGAATATTAGGGGTTACAGTTCCAATTTTTGTACCTGATTATAGGCTAGGTATATAAACTATTGAATTTTTAGGAAAGAATCTCTTATATATCGAGGGAGTGACAAGGTTGGCATGTATCGATAGAAATAGCATTCGCAGATGCAAAAAAGATATATATACGCAGAATTATTATATCGAGAATGAGCAATGTCCACTATCATTCAAAAAGAAAAAAAGAAGCAAAACGCCATTCCAGTCTATAAATCAAGAACCATGCATCGAATACCTCTATCATGAACAATGTATCTCATCAAGAATCGTCACAAATGAAAAGAAAAGTGCAACACATAGATACAATCAAAGCCCCAGATTCTATTTTGCTGTCATGAGTTGAATAGTTTACTCCTCATCATCAGTATCGACAGGCTTGGGAGTACCCTTTGGCGAATTGAGCCACTCAATATGACGAAGGCGACGACGAACCTCACGCTCTTTCTGCTGGGCGCGAGTAAGCTTCTTCTTCTTTCGGGCCTTGAATTTCAATTCGCCGGTGTCCTCGGCGCCAGAGTTGACGGCCGACGGTGCAGCACTGGATACTGCAGAGCTAGCCACGGTGCTGGGAACAGTGCTGTTGGGAGCTGGTGAGCCGGGCTGGCTATCTTCGAATCGGTCAGTGGCCACGGCGGTGCTGGTGCGGTGGGTGACACGACCATCGGCGATGTGAATTTGTTCAGGACACAAGGCACCGACGAATTCTTCGTTGTGGGAAATCATGACCACGCCACCCTTGTAATCGCGAATGGCGACGGCTAAACCTCCTAGGGAGTCTCGGTCCAAGAAGTTGGTAGGCTCGTCGAGCACCAACAAGTGAGGGTTGTTCCACATGGCACCGGCCAAAACGACCTTGACTTTCTGACCACCTGATAATCCAGATATTTGGTTGTGGTTGGCAATCTCTGGGTCTAGACCGACGTCTTCAAAGTGCTTGGCGATCACCTTGGGCTCGAGGATACGGTAACCGAGACCTTCACGAGATGCTTCATGATCGTCGAATTCTTGGACAAGTTTGGAGAAGCCCAATTCGGTCAAGGTCTCGCGGGAGATCATGGTGTTGAATTTGGGAAGTAGCCCAACCCATTTGACCTCATACTGGAAAGACTTCTTCCACTTCTGTCGACCCATGAGAGCTTCAATGCGTCGTGGGCCTCTGCCGTCTCCAAGATCGACGGGCTTCTCCATCTGCTCACGCTCTTCATCGGTTAGGATACGAGTCTGTTTGAGGTACACCTCGCGATCGTCGCCATTGGCATATCGCCATTGCAAATATTGGTTTGGCGTCTTTTCAAGATGCATTTCAACGTGCTCGAGTGCGTGTTGTTTGATATATCCGATACGAAGGTTAGGATGCTTCTCGACGCGACCGCTCTGGGGAACCGTTTCTCCGGTCAGAAGCTTGATAAATGTCGACTTTCCGGCACCATTACCTCCGATGATAGCGGTACGGGAAGACAGAGATAGTGTGATAGACGCATCTTGAATAGAAGGCTTGCTGGCTCCAGGGTATGTGTATGTGCAGTTAGTCATACGGAGAATGGCTTTAGTCTGCGACTTGATGCCGGTAAGAATTCCGGGAGGCGGGAACTTGAACTGCACGTTGGATGCCGAAAGAGTGTAATAACTCTTACCCTCCGGCTTGACCTTGACAAAGTCTGCCAGGTTACCTTTGTAGCATACCAACTTCTTGTTCTCGTAATGGTAGATATCTGTGCAGACTTCATCCAAGAATCCGGAATCGTGACTGACAATCAAACTGGTGATATCGGTGTGAGCCTTGAGGTATTCTTGCAGCCATTTGACGTTAGCGACGTCAAGATGGTTAGTCGGTTCGTCGAGCAGGAGAACATCGGCTTTCATGAGCATGGCACGAGCAAGAGCGAGTTTCATCTTCCAACCACCAGATAACGAACCGACTTTCTGTGACTGACGACCTTCAGGACCAGCAGTGAAACCGAATTCGCTCAAGACAGTGGAAATCTCTTCTTTGCTGACATTCTGGAGCTCGGGGTCATGGGCACAGTATTCGAGGATACTAAGCTCAGCGCTCTCGCCTTGATTGTGTTCAACAAAACAAGTCCGCAAAACTTCCTTAGGAGGGAAACCTTCGAGCTTTCCACTGGCAATACTGCGCATCAGAGTAGATTTACCAGCGCCATTGCGGCCGCAGAGACCATAGCGATGTCCCTTTAACAAGCGAAGATTGGTGTGAGACAAAAGAAGCATACCACCGTAGGCGAGGGAGAAGTCGGCGTTGACGATTTCAACCTCACCGTCATCCTCTTGGACAGGAGCACCGAACTTGCGCTGGTCTTCTTCGAAAAAATGGTCGTGAACTTCGGAAGCAACAGCGTCGTTTTGGCCATCCTGGATAAGAGCGGCGAGATAAGGTCCAACACATCCTGGAATACGGTCAAGCATTCTGACATTGACGTCCTCACGAACCATGTCCGCAATATATGACTTAACAAGGTCGAAGAAGGTTGCTTCTTCTGGCCGGGCTGGGCCGCCGTGAGCGACAATCTTACCGTCTAGAACCTTCAATACATCGTCGGAGGTAGTCTTTACAACAGCACCGTCAGCGACGGTTCCGTTATCATCGCCCATTGCCTTCTTGATGACATCCAAGGCCCTGCCAGCCAGTTCGCGAACTTCGGGAAGTGAAGCACGATCCTGTACGGCCTGAACACCAGGCCTGAGCTTGGGAAGGAAGGTTCTGGCCTCAGTAGGATCGTGCACTAGTTTAGTCAAGTTCTCTACAACCACAACGGTTTGACGGAGAACTTCCTGGGAAGTTGTGGGTGTGTTGAGTGATCGTTCCAAAAGAGGAGTCAACAGGGCGAGGACGGGCGAGGTGACAATGGCAACGAAAGTGGTCTGCGAAAGAGCATGAATTGTTTTCTGCAAACTTTCCGAGGAAGGCTTCTCCATGGCGGTGATGAGGAGTGGGATACGAGGAATAACGTCTTCATTAGTAATGAGAGTGGTAACAGCTGTCATGGTCTTGATTGCTTGTTTGGCAACTTCATTCTTCAAATCGTGCATGCCAGACTCAACAACCGGAATGACATCCTTCAAAGTGTTACCCAACGCCTCACGAAGCAAGTCCTTCTGTCTCTCTTCCTCTTTAGTACCAGTGCCCATCTTGGCTTTGTTGGCCATCTTTTCCAGCAGGGCATAAGCGCCTACTGCACCCTGCCACTTGCCGGAGCTTTTGCCCAAATAACGGAGCACAGCGGGAAGGAGAGCGTTGACGATGGATTCAGGCTTCAACCCGGCGAACAGTGCATCGACGGCGTATTGGGCAGCATCGCGAACGACAGCTCCTTTGTCGGCTAGAGCATCCAAAGCGATATTCAAGACGCCACCATCCTGGATAAGGAACACCACCTCACTTAGCGAATCTTTTCGGGGGAATTGTTCGAACAAAGCGCCGAGGATGAGCATTGCGCTCTCTCTTTTCGCCCCATCCTTCTTATCAGCGGCGGCTTTTTTGATTTGTGGGAGGATATTATAGGCGTGGATACCGCGATATCCGACGGAGTTGATCAAAAGGTTCGTAAGGGCATAAGAAGCGTCCAGTGATTCTTGCGAGGTTTTGGCAGAGAAAATAGTATGGACGAGAGAGGAAACCTCCTCCTCGGTCGGCGGAACAGAGGAGGGAGTTTTGGACACTGCAATCGGCGTGGATGACATCTCGGTGGAGGAAAGATGAGGCATTCTATAAAATCGAAAAGAAACAAAATGCGGGTATATGTGAAATCGATATGAGATCGTCTATATTGATCGAGCGAGAAAAGTTTGGTGTCGATGATGCCCAGCCAGAGCCCCTTAGGCAGCTGCCTGCCTGTACGCGGCGAATATATGTACAAAAACCGGCAACAGATAGAAAAGTAACGAATTTGCGAGAATGAAGAGCCGAGTAGAAGCCTTCAACTCAAGCTTCAGTCCGTTAGAACGGAGAGATAAAAGAAGCAGGAGATGACTAGAGAAAAAAAAAAATTAATCAACGCGGGGCTGCCCGAGACTTTTTTTCTTCATTCTTGTTTGGGTCTTTTATCTTAGCGGGCCATGTGAAATCGGTGGCGGTGTCGTCCAATCAGAGTGTGATATTTATCAGGCTTATCAATCTATTGGTTGAGATTGCTTCACTAGCCACATGTCTCCTGATTGGTCAGATACGGTATGCTTCTGCTTAAGCCTTCAAAAAAAAATAATAATAATAAATACTGAATGAATTCCTATAACGCCATGCTTCAATGCAATATATAACAGATATTTTCTACGGCAAACATACATCGATGCCAAACATGCCTAAAAGCCTGTCATATTGTCAGTAGATGGAACATTGTCGACATTGTTGGGCTAACATACCTGTTTCCGTGTTTCCTTCACCCATGCTCTTGCTGCTACTGCTGCCACTCTGGATAGACCCGAGAATACCATCCATATATGAAGCACCACTCCATTTCTGATGCGTAAGGACATCTACGCCGAGCTCTTTTTCGCGGGATTGCACGAGTCGCACATAGGCAAGCATACCCTCGTCTTTGAAAGCGCGAGAGAGCTCTGTAGTGATCGTGGCATTTGTATGCAGACCAGCGAGAGAGATCAACTGGAGAACGAAACTGAACACAATATTAGCGACGATTCATAGAACATATCATAGTTTGGTCTTACCCATGCTTGGCAATGTCCCAGATGAATGATTTCAAAGTTTCCTCAGTGAATCCCTGGGCCATCCAGTTGAATGACGGGCTAAGGTTATAGACGAATTTCTTGCCCGGGAAGAATTGGTGCACATCGGCAGCAAGCTTAGCAGCTTTCTCGACATTGGCATTTCCGGTTTCAACCCAGAGAAGATCAGCATAAGGAGCGAACTCCTTGGCTCGCTTGGTGGCTGCGGGGAAGCCAGCCTTGTAGTGATAGTAGCCTTCGCGTGTGCGAGGGACATCGCATGACCAGACAACTGGTTTGTCGGTAAGGGAGTTGGCAAGATCGCGGCGCTTTGTTAGGGACAGGTTAGGATTGGCCGTGACCTGGCTCCAGTATGTGTTGATAGCATCCTGAGATGCACCTTGGGCTTTCAAATGGGCATCGACAGCTGGAATCCGTTAGACTTGTGATGACGAACATACGAGCAAGGAGGGATAATGGGCTTACCCTCATCAAGTGTAACAAGCTTATGACTCTTAACCCATTTGCTTTCAAAAGCATCAATCTCGGCGCCAGAAACACCGTCAGCTTCCATAGCCTGAAGGGTCTCGGACAACGGTTCAACGTCTTCAGTCACGCCAAGAATGAATTCGTGGTCGCGAACATCGACCGCACTGCTGATAAGCTTCCCACTTTCTGCGTCTGATCGAGCAATAACGAGAGTCTCCGTACCCATCAGATCCCACTGGAAGCGAGCGGCAACTAAACGGTTAATATGCTCACCAACTGGCACAAGGACTTTGCCAGCTAAATGACCACACTTCTTTCCACCGTGTAGCTGATCCTCAAAATGCACAGCGGCAGCACCTTTTTCTGCAAAGAGCTTCGCAAGCTTGATCACAGCAGAAAGCCCCCCATGGCCCATATCACCATCGGCAATGATGGGCCGCAAGTAATCAACATACGGTGTCTCTTTGCGCTGCTCAGGGCTTAATTTCCGTCGAGCGTCCCAATTTTTGCGATCATGTAGCTGCTGTGCCTTGAAAAGTCTCTCCACCTGGTTGGGAACTGTGTTATAAGGATAATCGCCGAAATCGGGAGACACTTCATTTGTAGTCGTCAAGAGAGAGGAACACGCCCAACCGGAAATATACAAGACTTCCTGATTGGGGGCTTGTTGTGTCATTTGCACCGGATCGATGGCGCCCACTGGGACAGCAGTTAGTCCCATATATAAGATTAAAATAAGAGGATGGATTTTAACTTACTTGTATGAACTGGCTTGCCCTCTGCAGCTCGTTCATTCAGCAAATTGAACAACTTTCTGGCCATAATTGAGCTTGGATATGTCTGCTGCAGTGCTCCGCGCTTGCTGACAATATCCGCCGCGCTATATGGACGTCGGATACCCTTATAACGAGGAGTCTTCCACCAGGCCTCCACCTCTTTGACTTGTTCTTCAAACAGCGCATTCTCAGCATCTCCCACTTTCTCTGTTGTGGACAATAATTGGAAGGAGTCCGAAGGAAGGGATGTCGATACCGGGGGAATGACTTGTGGTAGCGACGAGGACATTCGGAGAAAGCTATATACTGGGGCTCTGGAAGTGACGATTGCTGGTCGGAAAGGCCGTCGAGGCATTCGACGAGTAACGCTGCGAATCATGGCCAATACAATAGGAGTGATTTCAAAATTGTATGTCTGTTTGAGCTCGAGGTTTTCTGGGGTAAGATGTGGTGTTGTAGAGACTTATTTGGCTCGCGTGTGGCGCACTGCTTGATGCGAAGTCGGACTAAGCATGAGCATCCACCTAATCTCAAATTATCTGTACACTGGTAATGCGCGCAATTTGACAGCCAAATAAGGTATGTCAGTAACCGATAGTCAGACTCGAGAGAATGTTGGTACAGCGATATTCGGTCCTGCGGGCCACAGTTCCGCAGATGCCGTCATATGCGGAAAGGAAAGACCTCGGCTTGTATGGTTATTTTTGTATGGGAGAACAGCTCCCCCCCGCGGCCAGCCGACGGAGCAACGGGAGACTGTTACACTCTGTGTATGGCTGTAATTTATTTTTTGTATGGGGGTGTCTGTATGTGTTCTGTATGTAACAATACACTTTACGCCTCAGGCATGCAGGGCACTGTTTGTCTGGATATTACCTCTGCGCATGTCTGTTATTTTCTTTTTCCTACTTCTATCACGACTCATCTTTCCGCCTGAACTTATTTTGTCCCATCTCTTGTTGAGCTGTGACTGTGATCATTTTAACAAGCTATCGTGACTCTTCTCCTCTCAACCCCGGATTACTTGACGACACCCCGCATTCTCCAGATTAACTGGCGTCTCACACATCAACCATGTTGTCGTCAACCAGAACAACTTTCCATGCCCTGAAGTTGGGTCAGGTATGTTACCAATCCACAACATCTCAGATTTTTCTTTTGTGGTCAACAGCTAATACAAGCAAATTTATAGCCCCTCTCCCGCCCATTGACCGTATTTACCCGCGGCTATGCCACAGCTGAGCCAGATCTCAAAACCACTCTGAAAGAAGTTATCCCCGAGAAGAGAGAGCTTCTCGCAAAAGTCAAGGCTCGTGGAGACGAAGTCATCGGAGATGTAAAGATTTCCAACGTCATTGGTGGCATGCGTGGCCTCAAAGCCATGATCTGGGAAGGTTCAGTTCTCGATGCCAACGAGGGAATTCGTTTCCACGGTCGTACAATTAAGGACTGCCAAAAGGAGCTTCCCAAAGGAACTTCAGGCACTGAAATGCTTCCAGAAGCTATGTTCTGGCTCTTGTTGACTGGAAAAATCCCTACAACGACACAAATTCGTGCCTTTTCTCGTGAACTGGCTGAGAAATCGTACCTTCCTCAGCATATTTTGGACCTTTTCAAGTCCTTCCCCAAGGACATGCACCCCATGACTCAACTCGCTGTCGCCGTTGGAGCTCTCAACACCGAGTCCAAGTTCGCCAAGGCTTATGAGAAGGGTCTGCCCAAGGCTGATTACTGGGAGCCCACTTTCGACGACAGCATTTCGCTGCTGGCAAAGATCCCTCGTGTCGCTGCTCTCGTCTTCCGTTCCAATGAAATCGATGCAGTCGCCAACCAGAAACTTGATGTGACTCAGGACTGGTCCTACAACTTTGCCGAGCTCCTTGGAAAAGGAGGCAAGGAGAACGAGGACTTCCACGATCTTCTCCGTTTGTACCTCGCTCTGCACGGTGATCACGAAGGTGGCAACGTCTCTGCCCACGCTACTCACCTCGTTGGCAGTGCCCTCAGCGATCCTTTCCTCAGCTACAGCGCTGGTTTGCTAGGACTCGCTGGTCCTCTTCACGGTCTTGCTGCGCAAGAGGTGCTCCGCTGGATCCTGGCTATGCAGGAAGAAATTGGCACCAAATTCACCGACAAGGATGTAGAGGATTACCTCTGGTCTACTCTCAAGTCTGGTCGTGTTGTTCCTGGATACGGACACGGTGTTTTGCGTAAACCCGATCCTCGTTTTGAAGCTCTCATGGACTATGCTGCTACTCGTCCTGATGTCCTTGCAAACCCGGTCTTCCAACTCGTCAAGAAGAACTCTGAGATTGCACCAGGCGTGTTGACCAAGCACGGAAAGGTATGTCTTCTCTCTCCTATCTTTTATTTTCAAAATTTAGTACTAATGAAAAATAGACTAAAAACCCTCACCCCAATGTCGACGCTGCTTCCGGCGTGCTCTTCCACCACTACGGCTTCCATCAACCTCTCTACTACACTGTGACATTCGGTGTAAGCCGTGCTTTGGGTCCTTTGGCCCAACTCATCTGGAGCCGAGCCTTGGGCCTGCCTATAGAGCGTCCCAAGTCCATCAACCTTTTGGGTCTTGTTGGAAAGTAAGCATTCGCAGTAGGTTTACAGTCGAGTATAGACTTGAATCGCTGCCAAATGTACTAGCTGTGTAACTTCGTCAAAATCGAGCTGAGCATGTGTACGAAAGACTTGATGATATTTCCTTGTTTTTTATTTTCTCTTTTCTTGCGAGGAGCCTGTTTTGAACATAGAGAATTGAATTTACGATAACTATTCTCCCTCCATTTATATATATATATCGACGTAAATAGATACAACAGAGAGAATTACAATCTCGCCTCCTTCGCAACAAGCAAATCCCACTCCCTCTGCCCAAAATCAACATACTCATCTCCAGCCGGACTCAACCACAACAACCGATCATTCGCCCCTTCAACATCCTTCGTACCTTTTAAGGCAGGATCAACCCCTTCCTGTCTCAACGGTACCTTGTTTTGTTTATTATTATGCGTATGTCTTGCACCTTTCCTCGTGACTCTTAAAAACACCGGAACCGCATATCGCGGCAACTTCTCACAAACAAACCTCGCAAATGTCTTCCAATCAAACTCGGTTTCTCTCACCGATAAATCGAGTGCAGCACATCCAGCCCTCCCCTCGTGATTGGGGACAAGGACGCCGTATACATTCGCCTCCGTGACACCGGGATAGCGACCTATGGTTTCTGCGACTTCGGCTGTAGAGACATTTTCGCTTTTCCAGCGAAATGTATCCCCCAAGCGATCTATGAAATACCATCTTCCGTCGGATGTGCGCCGTAGTGCATCACCAGACCGGTAGTACAAATCCCCCTTTCTGAAAACGTCCTGTGCAAATTTCTTGGATGTTGCAGTGTTATTCTTCCAGTACCCCTGGAAAGCTTCCTTGCTCGGAACCGCAACCAGAATTTCACCACCTTCTTCGTAGGCTTGGCGTTTTGCGAATCCCGTTTTTGGGTCCCGCCATATATCACCTGTCTCGTGATCGATGGCGACGGGGATGTATTGATTTTGGTAATGTAGTCGAAGTAATAGACCATGATGTCCGACTGCGCCGGTAGTAAACGGGCCACGATTGACGTTCATCAATCCGAGCATTCCCTCGGTGCTATTGAAGAATTCATTGATTTCTTGAACTCCGAATCGTTGCTGGAATCGTTCCCAGACGTCGGGTCTCAAGCCGTTACCTAACATACCGTATATCTTGTGCTCCTTATCCTGGGGAGAGGGCGGATTGTTGAGGAGGTATCGGACCGTTTCGCCAACGTATATGAACCATGTAGACTCTGAGTCGCGCACATCATTCCAGAAATTACTCGCGCTGAACTTGCGCCCAATTGCGATTGAGGTGCCGCTAACGAGTCGTGCCAAAGACCAGATTGCGCCTGTGCCGTGATAGAGTGGCATACAGCAATACCATCGATCTTGCGTTGGACGGGCTACACTGGCACCAGCATAGAAACGACTAGTCGTAAAAGCGCATCCTTTAGGAAGACCGGTCGTACCAGAGGTATAAATCAGCATCAACGGAAACGACGGCTTAACATTCAATCGATACTTTTCATCCGGTGTCGATCTCGGAAACTCCCCGGCCTTTTGCATCACCTCACTGAGCGACAGGATGGTAATATTCAGGTCATTCTCAAGAATCGGACGCACAGATTCAATTCGTTCACGACATTCAGCGTCGTCATCGACAATTACGAATGCGGAATTGGGTACTTTGAGACAGTGGGTTAATCCGTCCCCGTTCAGGTTGTAGTTTATCCCTGCGGGAGCGCATCCGATGCTCATGAGGGCCAGCCAGATGAAAATGAATTCGGGACTATTCATCAGGTAAACTGCTACTAGCTGCTCTGGCTGGACACCGATAGAGAGGAAATAATGGGCTAGTTGAGATGAGATCTCGAGTGTCTCGCGATATGTGTAGGATCGTTCGCGGGACCATATAGCAACTTTATCCGGGTATTTGGTGGCGGTGTCTTCGAAGAGGAAGAAGATGTTTAGACGGGCATTGGCGACTGCATTCGCCCATTAGCATGCTTCATCCCGTTCTTTTATTTGAGCGAAAGGGGAGAGATACTGGCTCGTTTTACGGCCCATTCGCCGGATTTGACGGTCCAGATATTTTTGATATCGTTGGATATATGCCATTTAGCGTTTATATACGCTGCTGCTGTTGCTGTACCTGCAACAGCTGCAGCGACTAAGGGTGCTGTTACTATTGAGGAAGATTGTCAGTACAACCTGACGGGGTCGGTTCGGTCTGATTTAGCATACCTTGGTTCATTTCAGGTTGCACTGTTCCGTCCGAATCAAAATATAAGTTGTCGTCCAAATATATAGAAAAGAATGACCAATTGAATAAAGAAACAGTCAATCCCTCAGATCGGAATATACATATCACTTCAACTTTAAAACAGAGAACAGAAACAGACAAAATCAAGCGGGGAAATGAGCGAAAAGGACCACAAAATCAGACTAACCATAATCCGACATGACCAGGATCTCTCAATGAATCGTACATTCTACGCTACGCAGTTTCACGTTTATAACTGTAGTTTAATCCACATCCGATAATGCATAATGGAGCGGAGAAGCCACCCCCGCACCCGGAGCGTCTCGATTAAAGCCGAGAGCCTAGGTTAGAATTCTAGTATGTAGCTAGCACTAGGACTAGTTATATTCAGTGTTTGTTTTCTGGTCAGATTGATGAATCGTCTGGTTATGAGTCCTTCCAGGATCAGGGTCAAAAAGGAACTTCATAACGGGCGATGAGGTGAACGACAGAATTGCCTAATGCGGAAATTCTCAGATTCGATTCCTCTTCGTTAATGTTTTCGGACAAGAAACTAAAAATTTTACACGTATATTCGTTACCAGTGTAATATGAAATCAATTTATAGACTCCAATCATAATGTACAAAGCTTCTGTTGAGGGGAAAGAAACATGCCTCGGCAAGTTTTTAGAACTCATGTTAGGGCTACTAAAGTTCCGGCCAAGCAAAATCAAACTGGACATCCTCCCGATAACACAAAAGTTTTAACTGATTGAATTGTCTCTGCAACTCCCTTGCCGATACATGGACATGCTCAGCTCCATCTCTCAAGGGTAAGGACTTGGTCCAATCATCCACAATCTGCTCCGCGGCACATCGAATGCGATGTTTTACGTCCAGTTTATCGTCTCTCCACATCTCGTGACGACAACGCACTCGTGAAATTATATCGAAACTTGCTAGGACCGCAGAAGGCGCGATATCAGCGTAGTCGATTGCAGCGATGCGACTGCCGTAGAACATCCTGAAAGCATCGCGGGCAGCGGGATCACCAGATATGTATCGTAGGGCTGCTGCGTCCTGATAAAACGAAAGACCGTGTATACTAAACGAACCAAGTCGATAAGTGGCTCCGATGAGTTTTTCGGCGTGCGCGAGACGTCTTTTGAGGTTGAGTAAGTCCTTTCTATGGGAGGAGAGACTGGAGTCTTGTTCTGTTGCTTTATTGATGAGCGAGGTTGCTTGTTGGTAGAAGCTCTCGATGGAGAAGTCGGAGTCGTTGGAGCGTGAGCTGCGTATGGGACTAGCGATGTCGTGGCTGCTGTGGGGAGTGTGACGGTGAGGGGAGTTGTAGATTCTGTCTGAGCCTAAGCGAGAGTGTTCGAAGGTAGTGGCAGGTAGTGTTGTTGTTGTTGAGTTGTTGCTTCTATGGGATGGTCGCATGGCCTGTCCTGGAATTTGGACGGCGAGAGGTTTCTTCTCGTTTTTCATGCTGATCTGTCTGTTCATGGTCTCTGTGAGTTCATCGATGCGGAACTGCATGGACAACTGTCGCGTCGCAAGTGCCTCGGTCAGAGATTGAAGCTCCTCACTATTCAGACCATTTGAATTATTTGGACTAGGATGTGACGCGTCTTTCATGATATGCTCTTGAAATTCATCGATTCTGGTCTCCAGTCTGCTAACCTGACTCTGTAAGGCATCATATTCCAGTCGCTCCCGCTCCTGGTCGAGCAGAGCAGAGCCAAGCTTATCAACTTTAGCCACCAGTGACGGTATCAAATCTGGATGAGAGACCTTATGTTGAGAAGACTGTTGTTGACTTTCAAGAAACGAGCTAAGTCTGATATCCAACTTCTCGATCGCTAGACTCAAACGACGTTGTTCATCTGCTTGTTTTTTTGCCTGGTCGCTTTGCTTCATGAGAATTTTGTTGATTTCATTGTTTTGCTCGCGCACGATCTGGGCGAGGAGTTTGATTAGATCGTTTTCGCTCAAGTCTGTGTCGTCAAGGCCGTTCAGGTTTTCGACCAGATTCTCGTCTTGGTTATCGCGGTCGTGTGCTTGTGTGGTCGTCATTGTCATTGTATGGTAGCAGTACTGCCTCAAACGGTTAAAGGCCAGAGAACTTGACAGCAGGATGACTGTCGATAGAGTGAGTAAATAAGAGGAAGTTTCGGATGATAGTGAGGGGCAACAAAGGATGTTCGAAAAGGAAAAGGCAAACATCAGACAGTTTTTATTTTTTCTGGAGTGTAGCGCTCTTTACATACATTTCTACCTGGTAGGAATTACTCTAGCAATTATTAAGTATCTAGATACCTTCTATAGCAGTTTGCTCGACATATATTCCACTTCATCATCACTATCAAAGCATCTAAAATGTCCCATCATTAGCATACCCTTTGACGACTGAGATTTTTCAACGTATCCCCAAGTATACACAATATCTCACCATACTTTACTCTTCCAACGTCCTCTGCCATAAATAATGAAGCTATACCAAGCAATTATAAGATCTACACGATAAACCAATCATATCTCTCAATTCCGATCGATCTTGAACACAAGTGGAGACAGATTGGCGCTAAGCCCAAAGCAGCCATCTAGTCCCCTTCAGCCATTTCTCCAGCTCTTTTATTCTTTTCTTCTAACTTTGTGCCTCTTGTATAGTATCGATATATAGATATATATACCAGAACGATGGCCGGGGAAAAAGAAGCCGATTCCCAACCCCAAGCCCGCTACCTTATCCGGCAACCACTGGCTCTCCAATGGTTCGACAACGGAAAGCTTGTTAAACGAAGCGAGGAGGAGCGACAAGCTGGTAAGATTTAACTTTTACTCCCTGATCCTCATAGACGGGAGTAAATAATGAGTGAATAACGAACAGGCCGCTTTGAACTCTTCTTGGATTTGCTCTATGTTGCGATTTTAGCAAATTTTGCTGAAAGTCTGGCCGAGGATGTCACTGGTGTCAAGCTTGTTAAATACATTGTATGTCTTTTTTCTCTTCTTCTCTATGCTCTCTATGCTGCGCATAACTGACAGATGCAGCTAATTCTGGCACCATCATGGCACGTCTGGTCCGACCTCCGCGAACTAATGAACAGCTTCTACAACGATGACCTCCTTCAACGCATCCTCATTCTCTGGATCATGGCCATTCTGATCGTCTACGGTAATAATGCGCCTTTAGTCGACGAGGAGATATCCGCTATGCGCTCGACTGTCGGCGCATACATGGCGGCACGTCTGAGCGCGAATCTCGCTCATCTTTTCTACTCATTTAGTTGTTATCATCATCGCGCGCAACAACGGTTATGGTTCGTCATGTCGACTGTCGCGTTGTGTATATATATCCCGCTATACTTTGAAACTGTTTCGTTACGGAACAAGATTGCTGTTGCTGCTGTTGCGGAGATTGTGGAGGAGGCAACCTGGATGTTCTGTTATTCACCCATTGCGAAACGTATACTTCGAGCTCGGTACACGACTGCCGTTGATATTGCGCATGAAATTGATCGTTTCACGGCGTTTTATATCATTGCTCTCGGGGAGTTTCTATACACTATTGTCGTCGGATCCCCCGCTGCAGTTGGGTTTAATCTTTCGCTGCTTCGGTCTGTATGGACGCTGGTTATTGCTTTTTGTTTGAATTGGATGTATGTTCATAACGACTGCGCGACTGATTATACGCATCCGATTCGACACAGTGTTGGCAGGGCTTTTGCTTGGGTTACTCTCCATCTACCCCTGATCGCAAGTTTGCTCGCTGGCGGACATGTGGCTGCAGCAAGCGCAAGATCATCTTATGATTCCACCACCAGCACAAGCACAGCCCACCGAAGAAGTGAACAGGAAACTAGCAGCAGCAGTGAGAACAGCTCAACAGAAAAATCAACCCACTTCAACGACGGTCAACACTGGCTCCTCTGCGCCAGTCTCGGCATCGGCCTATTCTGTCTCTACGTCATGTCCCTCCTCTACTCCACCACAGACGGCGACTGCAAACTAATCCTTCCCAAACATTTCCGGATCATAATGCGGCCCATCGTCGGGCTGATTATTGTGTTGTTACCGCTTGCGAAATCGCTCAATTTGACCGAGACATTGTCTGTGATTATGGCGTTGGTTGCCTTTTGTGTTATTTGGGAGAATGTTTCGAGCTTACAGCGCGGGGCGAAGGTTTGGGAGTCTTGGAGGGATACGAGGTATCCTGAGGGGGGGAACCGGGTTCAGGATGGTGATGCTACTATAAATGATAGGGGGGTGGTGGAGGATGGAGGGAGTAATAATGCTGTGAAAGTGTAATGGACGGAACAGATGGTTCATTTGAATATAGTACATAATCTTACGATAGCTAGCTACTTAATGATTGATCTATGTCTATTCATGTTTCAAAGGTTCACTAAAACTCGGAAATCTCATTTTGTTAATCGCTCTAAGCTGCTTCTATAAAAACACAGAGTATACATTTATCGGCTATACGGCGCGATAACCTTATCAGTCACATAAAGATCCACATAACTATCAACATCAGTATTTTCAAGCTCCTTCTGGTTCCAGCCAAGTTCAAGCAACTGCTTGACACGGGCAGCATCGAAGTGAGACTCGATGTGACGCTTGTATTTGGCAAAGATCTCGGGTTTGGCTTCTTCGCGACGGAATTTGTGGCCTAGGGGTGCCTCGACGACGACCTCGTCGAGAACGGTGCCATCGTTGAGGGTGACGGTGAGTGCGTTGGGGATGGTACGCTTGCTTGGGTCGTGGTAGTCCTTGGTGAACTGGGGGTCCTCTACACACTTGATGCGCTTGCGGAGGTCGTCGAGAAGTTCGGAGGTGGCGGCTTCGGAGCCGTCGGCGTAGTCTTGGGCGGTCAATCGGTTGAAGACAAGCATGGTTGCAACCATGTACTATGCAAGTTAGCAAGGTTCGTCATCTCAACCTAGGGGGACATTACCTGAACACAGTGGTCACGGTCAGCAAAGTTGTCCATGGCCTTGAATTGCTTGTCAATAATGCGAATGCAAGCTTCGTGGGTGCGGTTGGTGATCTCCTTGATGTCTTTGGCAGTCTTGCCTAGAGCAGCAAGCTTCTTGTTGATGATCTGAGCGGCCTCGATGGCGGTTTGGGAGTGGAACTCGGCTGCAATACGTAAGTGTCTGAAACAATAGTAGGGGGAAAAAAGAGCGTACCAGGATATGAAACCTTGAAGAGAACGTTCTCCATAACATAGCTGCCGTATGGACGCTGGAACTTGAACTTCTGGCCCTTGAAGAGGTTGTCGTAGAAACCCCAGACAGGAGCACTCAAAACGGTAGGAACACCACCCTCACCCTTGAGAACCTTAAGCACAAGGTTCACAGCACGCTGGCAGGCATCACCAGCAGCCCACGACTTTCGGGACATGGTATTGGGTGAATGGCGGTATGTACGCAGACTCTGACCGTCAACCCATGCCTGGGTAATAGCATCGGCAGTCTTCTTCTCGTCAAGACCCAACAATTTGGCCGTAACAGCGGTCGTAGCAACCTTGACAAGCACAACATGGTCCAAACCGACCTTGTTGAACGAATTCTCTAAAGCAAGAACACCTTGAATCTCATGGGCCTTGATCATAGCCTCCAAGACATCGCGCACTTTGAGAATCTTGCCCTGTCCAATGTTTCCACCAGCTCGGTTTGTGCGAGAAATCCAGTCCGCAACGGCAAGGATACCGCCCAAGTTGTCGGACGGATGGCCCCATTCAGCTGCAAGCCAGCAGTCGTTGTAATCGAGCCATCGGATCATTGCACCGATGTTGAAGGCACCGTTGACAGGGTCAAGTTGATATGGAGTTCCGGGCACCTTGGTACCATTGGGGACCACGGTTCCTTCGACAACGGGGCCGAGAAGTTTGGTGCACTCGTGGAATCGGAGAGCCTCTAGACCGCATCCGAGGGTATCCAAGAAGACGAGACGGGCAGTGTCGAACTAGTCCTATTCAGTATTCAAACAATTCCAACAGCTCAGAGGTGAGAACATACTGCGAGATCAGATTCAATTTTATAGTTGTGAATATAATCCGCCATATCCTTGATCTCGGGATCATATTCCCGCTCCAACACGGGAGCAGCTTGCAAGGGCGACATGGTTGAGAATCTAGACACCTGACGATTCAATGCAGACGACGACTTTGAGAGTGAATTGGAACGCAAAGCACTGGGAGGAGTAGAAGTAATCAACGAACGCGACAGGGCGGGGGTCTGGTTAATGCGGGAGGAAAGTCCCAAAGTGCGGGGAGCCCGGTGGCCGATGGCAGAGGAGGTCCTTCGTAGAGCTGCTGATGCACCCGCCGACATGATTAGTCTCTGTTCTTTTTTAGTACGGGTGGTTTGTGGGAAGGAAAACAAAATTAAACGACAGATTGTCGTTGGACAATTCGAGGGATAGATATAGACCTAAAATCGGAGTAATTGGAAAAATAAAAACGGGTCAGATTGAGGGAAGATGAAGGAGTTGTTGACCGAGGCTGGGGGAACGGAAGCTCTCCGTCAATTTGACGTTTGGCTGGGATACGTGTATTGGTATTACGTGCGTAATTTACCGTATGACTGATCTACAAGCTATGGCCGCCCCTGCCGAGGTGTATGCCGCGTCCAACCGAAACATACCGTACGTTTTCTTTTGACAGGTGATGAATACAGTACATCAAGTACGGCTGATAATTGGAGTAGAACCTGGTTATAACGAACAGAAGGCCTCTTGGGGTCCAAGTCAATATACCCAGAACTGAGTTCGATTTAGGGATGAAGGGTACCTCCGCTATATTGATCCATTTTAGTATTAACAAACTGGATGCTCTTCAGTCTTATATTAAAGATATCCAAGCTAATATCAGAGGAAATGTGGAGCGACCTCCCTTTCGTTACAAGCCATAACCAGGTTCTACTGTAATATAATTAATGGATGTAATGGATGGAGGACCCTAAGGACTGCTTAGCATTCAATTGATTTTCTAAATACAAACAAAAAGAATTAGGCCTCAAGTTCAATCATCCATGCAACAAAAATCTGTGGGGATAGCATGCTGATAACGTATTTTTCCTTCTGATACCGTAAACCTTCCCCGAAATAACCTAAAAGCTCATGTAGATCTTCCGGTCTTCGGAGGAATTCAGCCACCAAGTTCATACGCGCGAAATGGACCTCGACCAAGTGAAGCACCTCCTTCCGATCGGTTTCTTCGTTGTCAGGCAATGTATCTGATTCATTGCGGTCTCGGACAACTGTGCCGATATCCCTGTTGTCTGACTGGCTGCGGTACCGCAGTATCGTGGCGCAACTGCGGCTAACCAGGCTCTCATCCAGCGTCAGATTTGCCATGGTCTTCCAAGTCGGTCGACAACAACGGCCTCATTGTACTCCCTATCATCCGTCTCCTGAAGTGACTTGATAGCAGTTCGAAAAATTACCTCCGCCAGACGAGGTGGGACAGAGTTTCCAACTTGCTTCTTAGCATAGGCCGTTGGAAATCGATACTGCACAGGAAATGTTTGCAAACAAGCCAATTCACGGATCGTAAAAGGTCTGAGTCCGCTGGGATGGTAGTTCCCTTCACCCCCGCCACAAGTTATCGTTTTAGCAAGAGTGTTCTCGTCGTAAGGCGCTCGGGTCCGGCCATCTTGAAAGACAGTATTCTCTGGATCATGCTGGTCAGCTCGTCGGGGTATATTTCTGATGGCGTCTTTTATCGTAACGTATGGTTGTAAACCTGGCCCATGAGTCGGGACCGGGAAGGCAGGAAGCTTCTCACCAGGGCTAATTCTACATATTAGTACTTTATAACCGTGTGTTTGATATTGACTGACCCAGCTGCAATGATAAAAAGTCGTCTTCGTAGTTGAGGAACTCCGTACTTAGCACACGCTATAGTTTTGCTATGTATTGAATATCCAAGTTCGAGAAAATCTTGGATCATTCGCAGAAATGTCTCTTTGTACCTTGAGGGAACTCCGAACGTCTCCTCGATGGTATGGATCCGCGGCTTGACCTTTTGAATCATGTTGAACGCGCTGAAGATGAGGGATGAGTTCTCTTCATCTCTCTGCTGGTTGTACGACCGTGTGTGCGCAGGGCTAAAGGGCTGACATGGCGGCGAGCTGTGGCTGATGTCAACCCGCACTTCATCATCCTGTAGTGCAATCCAACTGTAAAAATCTGCATGATAGCAATCTGAATGGACAAAGTTGGTTCCCCATGTCTTACAAGCAGCTTTGTCGATGTCGATCCCATACTTTACTCTCAGGCCAGCTTTCCATGCGCCAACAGAAACTCCCCCGGCTCCACAAAAAGCATCTCCAAAAGAGTATTGTCTCTGCTTTTTCAACGAGCGTCTTACTTCTTTGCGTTCAGCAGCCGTAAGATTAGACGTAGATACTGTTTCAGCACCGTATGGGGTGGTCTCTCCTCTCCATTCCTTTCGTATAGTACTCGCATAAGCCCTGGTCCGGTCATCAGCTTCTTCATAAGTGAGGTACCGAATGATCCATTCTCCTTTTTCAGATGTTTTCTGCCAAACAAGTCGGCATATATATGAATCATGGGCCGCGGGGACGAAAGTTCGCCATGTATAATTGGTCAGGGCAACTTTGCACACCCCTGAGACGTCAGATATTGGAACTTCTCGTTCAAGGTGAACGTTCCCATCTGCTTCCTCTTCTATCAACCAGCACAGTTCTTTTGGTCTTTGGGGGAAAGGACGGTCCAACTCCGTTAGCTCTTTGAAGTATAAGCCTTGCAGATAGATGTCTCCAGTGATCAAGCGTAATATTTGCTTAATCCTCATGATATGACCGCCAGATAACTCAACCGCCATCCCAGCAACGAGTCCGTTATACTCTTGCAGTGGGATTGTCGCAAGATGCTGGGTAGCCGGCTTTGCTTTCTTGCCCGTGTCTTCATTCCAGCTCTGTAGAAGACTCTCTAATTGATCGTCATCGAGGTAATCGTCCTCATGAAATTGTCTTGGTTCTGTAACGTCGACGACTGAACCGCGCTCAGTGTCAGATGATAAGTATCCATCATCGTCATTGAGGGTCAGATCAATATGGCCGGCATTTTTCCCAGGTCGCTCATGGCTACTTGAACACGGTTGAGTTCTTTCCTGCCGAACGACGATGTTCTGATTCAGCGTTGCCGAGATGTTGATGACGGGCGCTGAAGATGGATACTCGCGAAGTTGGCCACCTTTTGCCATGTTGCAAGTTCTCTTTTTTCGTAAGTATGGTATTTTCGAGTAACCTGGCTTATCAGTCCCTGTCAAAAATAGCAAATAGAAGCAAAAGTAAAGGTAAAATTAGAATATCACTCTAAACTCAGAAAGTCTCCTAGTCTAGTAAGAACAGGATTGTGTGAAGTGGTAATGTTCAGGTGAAGAACATGAGGATGGATGAGGTAGGGGATGAGTATCAGTGAATGAGGTTGAGGGTAGAAGAGGTAGGATAGTAATATCCAAACTAAAGAGCATTCAACATTGGTAAGATGAGAAGGAAATCAGTCATATGGAAGAAATTGTTAGATCAACTTTAATTGAGGTGGACAAAGCTAGCTGAAACAAACTAGCATAAGGATAAAGTGTACTCACAATACGATGCTTTTCAAGATGAACAAAGAATTATCCATCAAATGGAAGATACCAACGATTTGACTCCTGAAGAATGAACATGATGATGTTAGTATCACCCCATAAGGAGACAAGAAGTGGTTGGAGAGAAAGACTCACAGATAAGTATAAAGAAGACAATGCTATTATGAATCCATCCCTAGATGACTGAGAAGCTGTTCAGACCCAAAAATAGGATGTGAAGACGGATTTAAGCATCTCCAAGGCTAAAGTCAAAGTGTTTGAGGTCCCAAAGGTGATGCAAGGAGTGAAGTCAAGAAAGCTGGAAAGCGATGAAGCTTTTCAAGTGTCGACAATGAGAAGGGTAGGGGCTGGGGATGACTTGCCCTGGGGGGCGGGAGAAGGTCAAGGCTACGAGCCTTTTTCCCATTGGGTTTCAGGCGTTTGATATCTCAGATCTAGAGCCAGAGCAGTACCCAGGCAAACGCTCCATGTGGAATCCGAAATCCAGCCTTCAGTTAGGTGCTATCCGCATCGGAGGCGAACGCCGGGGAATGAGTTTGTCGAGACGAGGGCGTCGGTATTCAGGAGTCTACGCAAGACTGCCCCATGTAATCCTTCCAACAATCAGGGACCTCATAGGGAAATGTCAAACTGGATATACTATCGCCATGGTTGTGTCTGTTGTTAGAAGGTGAAGTGAGAATATCGACAGGGGAAGTTAGTAAGGGCTCCTTCCCTCTCTGACACAATGCCATATTATTCAGGCAGCACTCTGTATACTGCTAAACCAGTCGGATGCCTGAAAGCTTGTCCAAGGCAACCAAGCTGTATTTAAAGGAGATATCTCACGTCGATCGTTTTAATCTTCCTAAATCTCCAATACTCGCACGAAATCACAGCTGGGAGAGACTTACCGTAATAAAATGACTACCAACATCAACACAACATTTCATATCATATCCGACTCACACGGACAACAATTACTCTCAACTCCCCCGGCAGAACACATCGACGTGGCCATTCATTGTGGCGACCTGACACAAGAGTCAAAAATCAACGAGTCCCGAAGCGCACTAAAAATACCTCCATGATCTCAGCGCTGACCTGAAACTAGTCATTGCCGGAAACCACGGGTTTACTTTGGATGCCGTGGCATTCAAGAAGCTAGTTGCAAATGCACCGCAACAATTAGAGCCAGAATTGGTTCGAAATGGCGATTATGGTGAAGTTAGAAACTCCTTATTTAAGACTGCTAAGGACGCTAATATCATATTATTGGATGAGGGCGTGTGAATTTAAACTTTGGAATGGCGCTTTGCTACGAGTATATGCGAGTCCATACACGCCGTCGTTGAGTGGTGATTGGGGGATTCAATATCATCCCAATGATGGTCATCGTTTTGATGTCCCGGGTGATGTCGACGTGGTGATCACTCATGGACCACCGAAGGGAATCCTGGATGTAACGGAGTTGCAGCAGAGAGTCGGCTGCCAGCATCTATTTCTAGCTGTTGCTCGTGCGCAGCCTCGTCTACACTGTTTCGGGCATATCCATGAAAGTTGGGGCGCTAAGTTTGTAACTTGGAGGAGGAATATAGCGTCGGGTTCGATGCCTTCTCATTTCACGCATATTGACCATTCAAAATCGAGGGTCTTGGGTAACATTTCGAGACTGATTTTTGCATGGCAAGACAAAGATGTGAACTGTTTCTTGGCTGACTGCTATTTCTTGGAACAGGAGACACAGACGTTATTTGTCAATGCAGCGCTCAAGGGATCTCCGGTGCTGATCAGGTACCCTGGATTACAAGGATTCCCCTACCTCGTGTACAGAATGCACACGCTACTTGAATTATATATCGGCACACATTGGAATATTCGAAAATATGTTTGATAGTTTGAGTATCAGGATTTGCACTCGTTGAGACTAAGCGTATATAGAACTAAACCTATACATAAAGAATTAGCATAATGTCTTCAAATCAGATATATCGAAATCAATATCAGATAAAAGAATTGGGTCAGTCCAATGATTTTCCGCAATGTTGTTCGGAAGTCTAACATCTAAAAAAAATTGGTGATCATCATGAAGGGTGGGAGGAGGGACGTTGAGATGAGGGATAATTACCTTTTACATGTGAATTGACAACATATACGTATTGCAATGCGCTGTCAGGGTTGAACAAGAATAGAAGATGGAAATGCAACTTGCAAGTTTCCAGGATGAAGACAAAATTTTGTGGCGGAGAAATGATTTATCCGGGAATGTTTACGCCTTGCCGTTTGTGATCTAGCGTGTTTATCTACTTTTTCTCCAGTACACGTCGATTTACGAGATGGAATCAACTTGCTCATCATACTACAACCACCATGAATGAGTCTACCATTTACTGGTTGTGAGTTTGAAGCAGATGAAGTCATTCAAAATGATAAAGAGCGTCAATTTAGAAGAATGTTATATACACAAAAAAGGACCACTTGACATCTCACTTTTTATCGCATGACTTGAGCAGATGCGGCATACCTATTTATGCGTAAGCAAACCTGGACGGTAAGGCAAGTCATTATAAGTGCCGCCAGAGTTGGTAGCTCGGCCCTGATAGAGGAACTGCAAATTGCAAGGATCAATGGGCATCGTCTGGTCAGCACTGGCTCGAATCAAATCACCACTGCTGATATCGTTGGTCCAGCTGGCGCCGCTGTTTGCCTTGCCTGCGAAAGGTGCCGACTCGCTTGTGGCTTGTGGTGTCCATGAACCACTAAGACTGCTGGCTGTAAATGAGCGGAAGTATCTTCCGTTCGACCCGATTGCCTCCACGATCATGAGATATTGGTTTTGGCCCTGGACGGAATACACTTGAACGGCCTCGAAGAGGTTGTTGGTCGAATCGGTCAGGACCACTTGTGCTGATGAACCAAAGTTGCCTGGGAAATTACCGATAGGCATGCTGGCTCGGTAGATCTTGCCGTTATCCCCCGCAAAGAAGAGATACATGTTCTGTGAGTCGCCGATGATAGCTGGATCAATGGGCCCCGTGCTGGAGCCGGTGCTTCCAGAGTAGAGCGCCTGAGGCGATGACCATCCATTTGGATTTGTGGGGTCACTGGAGGTCATATAACAGAATGGACTTGCGCACCATTCATAGGCCAGTACCCAAATGTTCTTGGGAGTGAAATGGAAAAGTTGAGGAGCAACAGCTCCTGTGTTCATGGTGTGCTGTGCAGCTGAGCCCATTGAGTTCCAGTCTGAGAAGAGGGCAAAGCTCAAGGAGCCGTAGTTTCCTCCATTGTTGACGTCAGACGCATATACGAGATGTTGACCGTTGTATGGAACGTGGGTGAAATCTTTCAGAGCGAGGAATCCGGAAGCCGGGTTGGCTAGTGAGCCAGTTGATGTCCAGCTGTATGTTGATGGGAGAGAGCATCCGGCTCTCGCCTCTGTAGTGTTTTGTGCAGCTTCATCCGTGGGAAGTGCACGACCAGATACAACTGGCAGTAAGAGAAGAAGAGCGGGAGCAAGAGAAATCATGATCAAGGTATTGAGAAGTTGTACTTGAAGTCTGTGTTCTCAATTGAAGATCATTTTCAGATGGCTCGTCCGGATCTCTCTATTTATACTAATTCCCCTGCCCCTTGAAACAATTACTGGGCCCATCTGGTAAAACATTTCGAGAGAACAACTCAACATAAACAGCAGATGTCATACGGCATAGATTAGCCTAAAACAATTAATTTCCTTACCGGAATTTCAATTTCAAACTACTTTAAACTCATCCGGTAGTTGAACTACCGACAATCTCCATCAAACGCCCCATCTAGATAGGTGGAAAAAATGCAAATCCGCCAAATTGCGGGGAAGTTTCTAGTTCAGACTTCAAGAGACTCCATTCTTCAGACTATTTCGGAGTATCGGCCATCCAATGTTTCAAAACTTGTACTTTGTATGAAACTGATTCTTCCTCATGTTAATAATGCCCAGGTGGGATCTAACCGAGCCGTGGTTTCGTGGAAATTAACCGATGGATTTTCTTGTTGAGACTACGTGATAGGTAGCTTGGAGAGACTTGATCTGCAGTTTTTAGATCTGATATTCGGTATAGTCTTGAATTCCAAGAGCAAGTTCGCCGGGAAAATTCCTGATAATCAATTCAAACGGCGCGGTTGATATTACTCGACTTCCGATACTTGAAGCTATCCACCGATTCCAGAGAAAATAAGCCCTCGCACCTTTTGATACACTGTCTTCAATTTACCTGACCCGATGGCGTGTTATTGCCGCGGAGGATCGCTATCGCATTTTTCCTCGCTTCTTGTTGCTTGTGGCTGGCTTCGTTCCTAGTTTCGCCTCTCCATAAGTAGGGTGACTATGTCTTCCCTGGGACTAGAGGCGCCAGTAACTGCCTCAAGTACTTTATCAGTAACTGGAAGATAATCCCCGTATTTCTTCAGAGCCTTTCGCAAAAATCTAGCTAACGATTTCCAGTTAGTTTGTGCCAACGTGATCAAGAATTTCTCAGGAGCCACGATATCACAGTGCAAGTCGAGCAGTATCTTTGAGATTTGTGGACCATAACGCTGATTCTCGGTGATTGCCTTCAGAAGGGCTGGTGTAAGCTGCACATCTTCGTCCGCCTGATCCAGTAGAAAAAGGACTAGCTCTTCGCCGCATCTCTCTGCGACCTTTGCGATTACGTTCTGAGTGACTATACCCTCGACTTCGAGCCGTTGAACAAGAAGAGTCATCTCCTTTAGCATGTAATGGAAACTATTCTCGGCGCTGAAAGTATCAGTCTGTCCAATAATCGGGGTTGGTTTTTTCGATAGTTTAAGAGCAGAAGTGGTGTTTCTGTATCGCAGTCATCCCTCTGCAGTAACGCTTTTACCATTGATTCTAAAACGGGGAATTCCTTTGGCAGGAGGTGTAAGAGGCTCATCAGTACTGATAGGGAGTTATCTTCTACAGCCAAAATCGCCTCGTCTGTTAACGGGATATGGGTCCAATGTCGTCTTAAGAGCCTTGCTAGCACTTGTACAGCGCATCCCACATTAGAGGCCGCTTCAATCATGAGCCCCTCGGTTAGGGAGGAATCTCCATCTTCCAGATGACCTACATTTTCGCGATGGTCAAGAAGAAGGGTAACCAACTCTGCACCTGGAGCGCGATTTGCTGCTGCTGCTGCAACAAGCTCGGGGGTGATTGAGATATCATCCCTGCACCGAGAAAGCAGTGTTTTGAGAAGTTCAACTCCACGGGCTGTATTTTTTGCAGCCGCCTTCAACACTGGACTTGCGACTGGGAGATCACATTAGAAGCGCTGAAACAGCAGGTCTAAGATCTCGATACCACCTTGCTACTTACCTATCACACCCTCCATCATAGCTGCGTCAAGAGAGACCTGGACCCTTTCTTGCGTAAGGAAAAGTGATGTTAACCCCAAACCATGAACAGGATTGCTTGCTGTCGCGATGATAACATCTGTAGTCGCTGGAATATCCTTTTCATACCGCTCAAAAGAAGAAACAGTACTAGCTGTTTGCCATTCTCCCTTTTTCTCAAGCCACGAATAGTGAGGCTGGGCCCATGGTTCGTCGTCTTTCCATGGAACAGAATCTGGTGGTTTTTTCAGGGCTTCAGCCAGCTGCATGGCCTTTCGAACTAGCTCGTCCATGGTTGTAGGTATTAGAGCAGTGTAATTGAATGCTTATCTATCAATCGTGGCATAACGAGAGTGATGTTTACATGAGGGAAAGTAGAGGAACATGATCCCAACAGTTACACATATGTTACTAGGCCGAATACGGAAACCTACCTTATAGCTGAACTCCGCTCGCTGAGAAACAAAAAGATGCGTGAAGAAGTATAATACAAGGAAATTTATTAAACAGTAACCTGCCAGATCCTTTAATAGGTAACAAAAACCCCGCCTCCCTACAGCGTAGGTAGAATAATGCTAGCTGTATCAAACAGAACTAGCCGGTACATCGACGCTATCATTGTGGACTGACCCCTGTTTTGAGACCTCTATTTCGAGACTCCTGTAGTGCCGAGGTCTTGGATGACCAAAATCGTCGAGGGGAAAGTCACTCCTTTCTTTACACGTCTCCGAGTTGGTGGATGATCGGAATGAGGCCACGACCTTTAACAAGATGGCCGAGTCGCTGAACGCTTTGGGGGATTCCAGGCATGCAGTAGACGAGAAGAATGCAAGTCATCTTTGCGATATACGTCATGGATAAACTGCTGGCCCTGTATAGCCGGTCTGGATCAATCATATAAACAACTGCTATGCCCAGACGAAACGCAGCGGAGGCCCGAGCTCTTGTTTTATGTCAATGGAGGGAAGTTGAATACTAGAACCAAAAAGCAATGATTTACATCAGTCAATATCAACGCTACACCGATCTTTTCCTTTCGTGACAGGGTCATCCTCCATATAACCCCCTGCGGAAGTATGAGGATGAAAATATCGGAAAGGAGGTTAAAAGCGCCTATTGTCATATTCAGAGGTCTTCCGTTATAGAAATCCCCCGGCACCGTCTTATCCCATATCCTCTTGAAGGGTATACAGATCAAGTTTCCTGCAACGGGACTGAAAGAAAGGATAAGAGGTTGGTCCATAGTACGTTTTGGCAAGCCCACCAGACGCTCAACAATGGAAGGATTAGCGAGTTGTCTCAAAAAATCTCGGCTTCGAAATTTACATACATAGAAGGCTCTGCGAGTCCCTTCTGGTGCGAATAGTCGAATCCATTGCAATAAGATTGCTGCTTCAACGAGGAGCAATGTGGTAATATAGAAGCCCACGCCGCATTGGAGAATCTGCGTCAAAATTGTTAAGTGATACTCCTTATTTTTGATAAGTCCATAAAAAGCCTTGTTGTCCCCAGCTGTCGAAAGTGCTTCCACACAGCGCCAGCGTCCTTGCTATCGAAGCGGTCAATGAAAAAAAGGTACACGAAGTAAGGAAGATATCAACGACTGAATAACTGGTAGTAGCTTGGACATTTGATTATTCAGTAGTTTAAACTAACTCGGATCGCCACTCCCTGATAGTCCCCTACTACGCATTTTCTATTCATCACTGTCTTTTACGATAAACCGCGCTTTATCAAGTTGCTAGCTGGACTGAGCATCAAATATTTGATGGAACAATCTTTCCCTTGTTGATATTTCCTAGGAAGTTTCCCTCAGTGGGTTTGGAGTTGGCTATGTTTACTCGATAAACAAGCATTCGGCATACTTCAATATCATTCTTGATCGATTTCATATTTCTTGATATTAGATACCTGCACCATGGCGCATTCAATAGGTTTTAATGCGTTGAAAGCGCGGACCATGGGATCTACCAATGATGAGGAGGCGGTGACCGTTGGGTACTCGAGGGTTGATCTCAAAAGTCCTATCACGGTATTCCGGGAAATGGTAAGGTCGAATATTGGCTGTTGGCTGAATACTGAGTTTCGGCTCTTGTTGCGCTAACCGTTAGAAATGCTTAGGACGGTACTTCGTGAGATGATACAGAACGCTGCCGATGCGTCGGCCACTCGGGTCACAGTGAAGTTCGAGACTCTACCTTCCACTACAGTTCCGCTGCCAAATCCGGCAGACCCAACTGCGCCGCTTAAACATATAATTGCTCATCACACCCTTCGGAGGCTAATAATCTCCAACAATGGGCATGCATTCACAGAGAAGGACTGGAGTCGACTGAAGAGGATTGCGGACGGTAACCCGGATGAAACAAAGATTGGTGTTTTTCGCGTTGGATTTTATAGTGTCTTTGATGATTGCGAGGAGCCATTTGTGTCCTCTGGCAACGCAGCTATGGCCTTTTACTGGAAGGGAAATTCACTTTTCACCAGCCGACTGGAACTGAGCGGAACTAATGCTTCCCCCGATACTTCCCCCGATACGACCTTTGTCCTTGACTATCGAAATGATATCTCTCCTGTTCCCTCGCTGCTAGAGCTTGCAAAGTTTCTCGCCACGAGTCTCACATTCGTCGGTCTGGAGAGTATTGATTTGTGGTTAGATAATTGGAACTTGCTGAGATTGAATAAGAAGGTTGCACCAAGTGAAAAGGTTACGATACCTCGAGATATTGAAACGAAAACTGTTGAGGGACTTATGGAAGTCACCAGTGTTATAAGGGAGGTTGCTCAAGTCGATGCCACATGGATAAAATTAGTTGAATGGAGCCCTCAAAACACTCTATCTGCTCGTCTGGAAGGCATTCGCGACACGACAACCACCGTTCGCTCGTTCTTCTCCAAATTTACCGGGTGGTCTAGAGCCTCTGATAAGCCACCAACGGAGTCAGTAGAGAGGCTTGACGATGCGGAAGACCTCACTGAAAACCAAAAAGCCTCCGTATTCTTGCATATCAATACGGCTTCTGTCCAGTCATCTATAAGCAATTCTCTCGCTAGCGAACTAGAAAGAGCAACTCGCAAGCCCCAGCCAAAGCGGACGACAATTGCGATCCTTGTGCCTTCTTGTTCAACTGACGACTGTTACAAGAACTCGAAAATTCTTTCAGCAGTGCTGCCGTCAAAATCAGGCCGGATTTTTATAGGCTTCCCGACACACCAAACTACTGGTTTAAATGCACACATCTCTGCACCTTCAGTCATTCCAACCGTTGAGAGAGAGAGAGCATCGATCTCAATACACGGTATATAAGCAGGTGGAATATCGAAATCCTTAGAGCTGCCGCTATCTTTTGTCGGATCGCTCGGACTGCCAACATGTCGTCCATTAAGATCCGAATCGCATTTCAGAGCGGTCCCAAAGTTCGGAAAAATAATATCATGTCTTTTATCCCCGAAGCTATTCATACAGTTAATCTATTTTCCTTCCGAGAATCCACCATGTCTGCGACTTTCGGCCAAACCCTAGAAGACTCCTTCTGAATCTGTAACAAGAATGCTTCGATTGAAGTACTTTCTACATGTGGTGACTTACCCAGCTATCACGTCCGCATTGCGCCAAAAGATCTCAGCTTCATGGAGAGCATTCTGTCTCTTCCTGATGAGCTGGTGGAGAACGCCAAATAGTTCACTAAGAAGTTGATCGATGTTGGTCTTGTGACAGAAGTGACAGTTTCAGGCATCAAACGGGAACTTGAAAACAATGCTTTAATCTCTGCCCAACTGGTAGAGTTTATCTCATGGATCGGAAAGCGCGCCGCCTCTGGTGAACTCGATCAGAAGACCACAAAGTCCCTCCTCAGTGTTGCAGTTGCAAATGAAAAGCCTTCTGAAGGACAAGCCGGCCAATTGTTAACTCTAGCTGGAATTGATTGCTATCTTAACCCCGCCCGTATACGCTCCGACTTGCCCATACCACCGTCAGTTATTCCCTTCAAGTACACAAAGTCTTTAGAGAAAAGCCAACTAGATGCCGTCGGTTGGAAGGAGCTCCAGATAGTTCCTTGGCTTCGTTGGCTTGTGGAAAACGCCGGAAATCGAGGGGTTCTACCTGTCGAGAAGGATATCACTCGCACTGCCTCGTTTGCTGCTCAAATTCTGCCGGTTCTGTCAAAGCAGTGAGACACGCTTAGTCAGTCCTTCAAACAGACCGCAGTTGACATATTGCAGCCTCAAACCATTATTCCCGTAAGGAATGGGATGAGAAGACCGGAAGAAGCGTACTTTCCAACTGTGCGTCTTTTCGATGTCTTACCAGTGTGTCAGAAACTTCGATCAAACTACCGTCGAGTATATCTCGGATAGCTATTAACAAGTCGAAGTTAATAGGCTTCTAAGTACGAAAGGCTTCTTGAAAGCAAAGTCTTAACAAAAAAAAAGGTGAATATCCGGTTCGATAGAAGAACGTATACTCAAGTCATCACAGTTAATTCAAGACGATGAAATGAAACTAATTACATGGTGAATGAGTGCCTTTAAATATCTTTCTTGCGTCAGAGGGATCATAGTCATGCTCTGCACTGCTCTGTTACTGTTATCAGAGCATCGCTCTGTTGACTCTGTTCCATCAGAGCTTATACTAACAATGGCTCTGACACCCTAACCCTAAGGGTTATTCGGATAATCCTGTCAGATAATCTGGATTTGCAACGAGGTATAGAATCAAAAAGCCATCCTCAAACATATAAACCTTCACCTGGTGCACCTGAAACTCGACTTGAGACGTCACGACCGTATTGCTTGGAACAGTGAGAACCCCAAGTCTGCTAGTTGTGACACATCTCGGCAAAATATCTATATAAACCCGGCTTTGGAACCTGATGTACTCAGAGGGAACAGAAGAGACACAATCTTGCTACTCACTTCTTTATTTTTACCATCCTTGTAACAATTATTCAGGATTGGCCTGGAGTTAACCCACCAATCCAACAAATCCCTTGTTCCATCATGCAGTAGTGTAACACTACCTAGTTGCTTCATTGGCTGTGGTTTCTTGATTCTTCTGACACAGTGGTTTATGGACTTTCGAATGTCAATGGTAAGTTCCTGGCCGCATTCGGAGTTTGTAAGACAGTTGAGCCTGGTGTTATTTTCGAGAGGCTGCTGAACGATCCTGATCTGACAATGTCGAGCGAAAAGATCAAGCCAAAATGGAGCCACGTTGATCTGATTAAGTACCTGACTTCGGTTAGAGAAGATATCCCTGCTAAGTATATAGAAAGGCCAAAGAACACCAAGATATATATTGATGGATGGGTATATGAGGACGCTCATTCACCGTGTATTTAGATTTACTCTACTGTCTTTTATTAACTGTACAACCTAGGGTATAAGAGTACATACTGTACACGGATTACCTTAAGTTAGTTAATCAGTTACTTCTCTCTTATTGTCTCTTTGATATATCACGATTCTCGTCTTCGGACACTCTCGTTAATAGAATACCACCGAACCTTAGTTCAGTGAGGAGTTTACTTTAATCTGACTTACCCGTCAAGCAAGTTTACGACACAGATATTATAAAGCCTTAGCCTTAACTCTATGAGCTATGTTGCCTTAACTAACCCTAATGGTTTAGATAGTCTTTTATTCCCATGTGTATTAGTTATTTGTAATGTTAGTATTCTGATTCATTAGCCCTTGATTCTTAAAACATCAACTATCTATACTGGAATAGAAGTAGGAACACTTGGCTGAATAATTTCCGAGAGTTTTGTCTCCACGACCTGTTCAATCGCCAACTCTTCAAGTAGGCACTCGTCTTTGACTCCAAGCGACGACGGCAATGGGCTACTTTCCCGGAGATAGAAGCTAATATCGGAGTCTTTCGTTGGTATAGTTGAAGAATGTAGAGCCTCAGCTTCATCACGGCCCAGTGAATCGGCTAGAGGTTCTTCAATCCAAGAAAGACCTTGTTCCCAATAATCATAACGGTTCCCATGGTACTCCCATGCATAATCCTCCCATCTGTTCTCTGCGAGAGTCTGGATGTAGTGTAGTGTGCTTCCTGGCCACAGTGTGTTAGATAATTCGGACATCCGGAGGCAGTAAAAGGAAGTGAACAATCAGAAGCCCTATCTTATAGCCCCCAAAATTTACCCCTCTTGATGACTCACAAATCACCCCGCCAAAAAGTGTCTATAAAGGACCCGGCTTTGAAACCTGATGGATAGAGAGATACAGAACTCAATACATACAATCTTGCTAGTCACTTCTTTTTTTTCATCCCAGTAAAACTATCTTCAGGATTGGCCTGGAATCAACCGACTAATCCGACACAGTGCAGTCACTTTTCCACTTTCGTAGTTCCTGACTGGAACGCCAATATTGTTAGAAACTCTCAAGACTATTCATGTTGGGTATAGGTATTACATACACCAACTCCGGTATGTTCCTGTCCAGACCATATTCTGCATATAGGCTTGCGTGTGCTTATCAAAGTCAGTCTGAGCATCTAGTCGAACGTCGAACTTCTTGACTTGTTCCCTAAGAAACTTGCGTAAGAGACGGATGAAGTAGTCACTCGTTGCTTCCAGAGAACCTGCTCGTCTATTTCAGTAATGTTCCAATAAACCATAGGGCAGGATTGTCAAATCAGATGGAAGGCAGCTTGCATACCAATCACACTACCGTTGGAGATTGGGAAAAGTGGTATTGAACCCCGTCACCGCAATGAGAATGTCTGCAGGATGCTCCTGCCCGTCAGAAGTAATCACCCAATGGGCACAGATGTTTTTGATTGACTCAAAGATCGGTTGCATATTTGACTTCTGTAAGGTTATCAGATATCCCTCATCAGGGTTTATACGACGACAACCTGCTTCAAAGGGCGGTATCAATTTCTGTTGTAGTTGCTCATCTTTAATTAGCTGTTTCATCCTTGCTTCGAACCGGTTACGCAGATCGCGTTGTTCTGGGGTTGATTTGAAAAACACTTTGAACATGCCGTTAAAATTGCTCTCGAGTTGCTTGCGCATACGGAGGTTAGAGGCCCTATCGTGTCGAAATCGCTCTTTCTCATCTTCAGAGTATATTTGATTGGTAGCATTTGGATTTGGTAAGGCCACCGGGGGAAATCCAGGACGGAGTGCGGATATAGACATCAATGTGGCTGCAATGTTGTTGGATTTGAGGAAGAAGTTGGATTGAGCTAGCTCCCGCCCCAATGACTGCGACTCTCTTGTCTCTAAGATCGATAGAGTTATCCCAGGCAGCTGTGTGAAGCAGTGGTCCTGAGAATGAATCCAAGCCATCGATATTAGGCATTTGGAGGTGGTTCAGAATGCCTCCGGCGTTTACAAGGATTTCGCTTTCAAAAGTTCCTTGGTTCTCTACCTCGACTTTCCATGTTCCTCTATCTTCTCGCCATGTTGCACTGGTGACTGTGCTATTATAATGAATGAATTTATCCAAGTCAAAGTGCTTAACGACTCTTTTGAGGTATTGCTGAATCTCCTGTGATGATGCGTAGCTATGGAAACTATCAGTCCAAATCAATCTCATTAGCAATTAAGACCATTGCATCTGCATGGACATACAATTTAGACCAGTCAGGATTCGGAGCAAAGGAGTGCTGATAGACGTGACTTGGTACATCGCACGCACATCCGGGGTAACGGTTCTCGAACCATGTTCCTCCCAGATCCGAATTCTTCTCAAAGATGCGGAAGTCCACGAATTCAAGGAGGTGTTTCTGTAACTTATAAGCTGTCATAGAAAATCTCCAGTCAGACTTGTAATAGGCACAGGGACAGGATAAGCATCATACCCATCAAGATCCCGGATATACTGATTGGTTGAATCCGATTAGTAGAATGCCTATGCCGATTGCTGCATGCAAAGAGGATGATGCTTGAAACTCACCCGGCTCCTATGATTGTGATCCGCAAGCAATTGTTAGACATGTTTTCTCTCTTTTGTCTAGTTTGTTGGCGTTTTACGATGCTAATGACGAGTCTCGAGCGTAGTGAGAGCAGGTAGATGAATCAATTGGAGGAACTTTGACAGCTATCTGAATGACCAAATGAAACTAATATATTTCCGATTAACAAATCTTAGAATGAACATGCAACCCATCGTTGCCACTAAATCCAAGCCGCTTGGCGTTCCCCTTTCCCTCCTCGTCCCACACGGAAACGGTCCGGACGCTCAATTATGTAACCCTAACCCTAGTAATATCCAACCCCATTACGCCTTTGTCTTGCAGTCTCTTGAATCGAAAGAACCAAATGAAAGAAGTATCTTGGATGATTCTCAAATTCTTGAGTTAAGTCTAATCTATTCATTCATCTATACTTGGATTACTGTATCTACAGCTTTGATTGCTCCACAGAATTCAGTTTCCGTAAAGGAGGTCCGCCTCGACTACCATCTCCCACCATCAGGGGTGCATTGGAACCTTTGATGTCCTTGCGTAATTTCCACTTCTCACGTATTTCGGTAGGAGCTTTATTCTCAAAGCAATCAGCTATGTAACGACCTAAGACCGGTAGGAACTTGAATGCACTTGCAAACAGTCAGTAGGTTCTTCGCATTCACACTAGATTCAGGCAATACTCACTGTCCTGCCCCTCCAGTGGCAACAAATAGCCCTTTCAATGTAGCGTGATAATCAATAATGAAGTCGCCCGTCGGAGTATCCGTATACCAGCAGAGACGACGTCTCATCCATGCGCGATGCTTGAGTCTAGGAAAGAATTGCCGGAGGCCATCTCGGAGCGCTTCGTCGGCATCATCTGGAAGGTACCCCGATTTTGCGTTACTGCCATCTCGCCTTGGTGAGGATATGATACGTCCGGTTGCCTCTGATACAGCTTCCGTAGCGAATCCATGGCCGTGGCGGGCTAATTTGAGGATGTTTGTTCCAGGAGTGGGAGGGAAGCAGAATACGCCAGTAGTCATGTTGATCATGACCGGTGTACTCTCTAACTCGCGGGCCTCCTCTGGTGTTAGCTTGATGAAGCCAACGGGTTGGCCCGATGCAGATGCTGCGTGGGATAAGTTGAGCAATCTGTTAGACCACGCTCCCGTGCAGAGGATCACCTGCGATGCTAGAATCGCACCTCCATTAACAAGGTTGACACCAGTTATTCGCGAGCCCTCTTTTCGAAGAGAGTGAACAGTACCCTGTGGCCCTGTAATGAACGATACACCGGCAAGGCTGCATTCACTAGCTAAACGTTGAATGCTTCGCTCGGCATCCGCCCATCCTCCAGTGGAATTGTGTGTTGCATAAAGACCAGAAAAATCAGATTTAATACCGGGATAGAGCTTTCGTACATCGTTGGCATCGAAAAATTCATCAACATGCCCTCCTTGAGATCTAACGATTTCCTTCGACTTGCTCACGTATACATTCGAAGCATCTTTAGCGAGCATAATAAGGCCCGACTGGTAGAAGAAGTCCGCATATTCCTTTGTCCAGCCTTGATAGGCTTCTTTTGCCATTCGGGCATATAATGGGTCCGCATAGTCAACGCGAATTATCCGGGAAATGTCGACGCTGCTGCCATCGACTACTGGTGGGACATGGCGATCAAGTACCGTGATATTCTTGTATCCGCGCTTCGAGAGTTCCAAGGCAGTTGAGAGTCCGAACACGCCAGCACCGATGATTACTAATTTCTCATCTTTCTGCACGAGAGCTTTGGAAGGCATCTTCGAAAGGGTTGAAGTCTGTCTTGACTTAGGCTTTTGATGAAGTGAGAATATTCAAACTAGCCGTTGTAGACGTCTTCCACAGGAATCAGATTGGATCTCAGCACATACAGATAGGAACAAACCGTCAACATTAGAAACAAAAATATTATCATGAGGAGTTTTGGAGAAATGAACAAGCTTCTCTCGTGGCACGTACCCTTTCACGCGGATCCGGGCCGGATTCCGTCCCCAGTGTGGGTACGGAGGTCATGCGAAATATTTGAATGTTATTCTCAGATAGGCACAAGAGGGGCTTCGGCTTATGGGTAGATTCCATTCCACTAAATGGGCTGTATTACATGGGAAATACAGCGACGAACCTTCCTGACTTTGGACAGATATCTGTAAAAAGAACCGAGAGCAGAGCCTTGAAATGTTATATTGTAAATCACAGCTGTGGACAACACTATACTTAACTACGAAACCGTACCTGCAGTCAAAATGAATCAAATTTTCGGATACATGAAACCAACAGCCGATTCCAGGAAAGCAGACGCTCCTGGTAGAAATCTACCGGCATCATGATACCGATCAGACGCCATGTACGAGTTGGAGAGACGAGCTATATTTTCCAAAGATTGGATAGTAGTGTCCCATCAACTTCGGCTCGCAGAGTCTGGTAAGTATGTCCAGCTCCAGGAAGCAGGGTTTTCATTCTTTCTGGTGAAAGACCGGCAAGGAAATATCAATGGTTTTCACAATGTCTGTCGACATCGTGCATATCCAATCGTGCAGGAGAAGGAGGGTAGTGCGAATATACTGGCATGCAAATATCACGGTATGTATTCCACCTTGCATAAACGAGAGTCTGTGATTGTCGTTCGAGTGACTTCGATACTGATGCACCATCAATGCTAGGCTGGTCGTATGGGCTCAGTGGAAAACTCGCAAAGGCACCCCGCTACGACGACCTTGAGAACTTCGAAAAGGAGAAAAACGGCCTTTTTCCTATCCGTGTTCACATCGACAAATTGGGTTTCATCTGGGTAAATCTTGAAGCTTCGGAGAAACCTACTATTTCGTGGGAAGACGACTTTGGTGGTGTTGACGAGCAACCTCGTCTGTTACAGTTCGATTTGTCCGAATTTCAATTCGATCATCAGTGGGACATGGTGGGAGATCATAACTGGAAAATTTTAGCAGATAATTACAATAAAGTGAGTGAGACTGCCTTACCCCTGGCAATTCATATTCCTCGTTCGGTCATGTTCGATGTATTAACAAGAGTTTGCAGTGCTATCACTGCCTAACCGGTCATCTAAATTTAGTCAACTACACCGATTTAGCAAAGTACCGGGTCGAAACTAAAGGAAGCTATATCCAACACTTCAACACCGATAGACCTGATCGTCAGGGTATGGGAATCTATAGCACTTTCTACTTTCCGAACGCCTCGATAACTATTTCGTAAGTATATAGTACAGATCTCGTGACTCGTTATCATTTCTCAACCCTACGAACTGACGATTCACACCAAATATAGGAAGCACTTCTTCTATATTATGCGTTCTATACCAAAGTCTGCTTCACAGACACTCATGGAATATGAGGTATATCGAAACAAGAATTCATCAGACGAAGACTTTGGCAACATCGACTCCATATTCAAACAGGTCCTTAAAGAAGATAAAGATCTGTGTAATGCTGCACAGCAGAATTTGAATGCGGTAATCTATACCAATGGCCAGCTACATTCTCATAACGAAAAGGTCTGAACTCGTTGGCACTTGGATCAGAAAGTCGTTCGCTAACAACTCTCAATAGGGGTCTCTTTATTTCCAGGATCGACTGAGAGAGCAAGTAATGAGTCATCGTGCTCTGGAGAGAGAGAAAGGAAGAGATATCTGGCCTACTACGCTTGCAGCAGTGGTGACTAAGAAGTTGGAGGAGGAGATTGACTTCTGTAACGCACTCGATTGTGAAGCTGCCAGCAATAGTAACGATCCGTTGTCTTGGTAGAAGGTTGCCTAGATATCTAAGTACGTGATTGAACTATGACAAGAAGCCTAGAAGAAATTAAAATAAGTGCTTCATGCGGCAGAAAAATTCAACCAATTCTCAATAGCTCTGCCATAATCATAAGGTTGTAGAAAAGCTGCTTCGGGAGCGTCCAGTAGCCCAGGCTGATTGTCCAACAAGTTAGATAGGTCAATAGGTGCACTGGGTGAGACATGGTACATCAAATCGACTTGCGACTGCAGCTGATTAGGTGGGTAGGTTACTACCTCCTTGGCCACGGTCTTATGCCCGGAAATGCCTGGCACTCCAATGAAGGTGAAATCCGGATCTGGTGTGAAAGTGCCCGATCTGGAAGCATAAGCGACTCTGTCCCGGGCTAGCTCTGGGCCGAAAATATCCCCCGACGGATTGTAAGCCTGGCTAGCATTATTACATTCTAGTATCTGACTTAGTAGATTAACGTTGAATAGCCATTGACGACCTGAGTCACGTGCTGCGTGTAAACTTGGGTCTTGTTGTTGTACTTCGCCCGCAGAGATACTGTCTCTCAGCTGCTGCAGATTCCGTACCTGTCTTTCGATATGAGGCCACCTCAGCGCCATCCGCCGTAGGAATCTCATACATTTCTCAAACCCAGCCTGTGCCTTCTCTCTGAAAGACAGCTCATCAACGAAACTGTGCTGTAGATAGATTGTCGCAACAACCGCTACACACTGGCCCAAAGTCGGATCCGAGACTTCGTATTGCTTTGTTTCGAGCAGATCGACGAAATACAAGATCCAACCTGTATGTAAGGTAATTTGTTCAAATGAGTTTCGCAAGAAAGATTGCGGCATCGTATGTCGAAAGTTTTTCAAACGCATTGAGAGAAGGAATGGATGGTTGAGAATACAGGGTATGGCATGCCAAACTAGTTGGATGAAGAGCCACGGTCCCCAATATGCTCTTTTCTCCAATATATCCGCAGGCGATGTGTCTGGAAACCGGCTGGCATGTAGTCTATATTTGAGCGGAGTTTGACTCTCTATTTCAGTATGACTGAATGTGATGATTGAATAATCTGACTGTGGAGACCAGGGAGGCGCAGATTCCTGGTCAACACGAGTGCTGGCGTATATTCTCGCTAATTTCCATACATCACTGAGGCGAATGACACAAGCAAGCAGGCCATGGTCTCCTTTTGGCTCTGAAAGTCCCCTATCGGCCCGATGATTAGGACCTGGCATGAAAAACCGTTCCTGTGGTCGAAGGGGGGCCCCGTATGGCTGATTGCCAGGCGCAGTCACACTCAACTGAGAGGGGTCGTCTAGCAAGTTGCACAGTATATGAATGCTCCAATGGCACAGCTCAGTCTCGTCTCTCGTGTTTTCCAAGTTCTTCGGAAATTCTGTACAGTTCGGTTTCAAACTTTCCAGTAGGTAGCTAGCAAGCTTTAAATTGGCTCCAGCTCGAGTCGTGTTACCGGCTATGGTAAAATTAGTGACAGCCAGTATTGAGCATTGGCGAAGTGGACAAAAATACCAGTATGTTCAATCAGACTTAGCAAACAGAGGGCTTGCAACGTGCTCAACTCGACAGTTCCATTGGCAAGACGGTCCATAACTTGTTTTCGACAGTTTTCCGTTTGGATGTTTATTTGCTGCTCAATAATAGGATCTGTAATCCCTCCCTCGCTGAATCGAAATGCCAGTGCTTGAATTGCATCCACGAGTTCAGTATCACGGGCACTGAGAGAAGCAAAGAAGCTATCATGATGAAATAATGGAAGTGGCTGGCAGCTACAATAAGTCAGGAATAGGCGGGAGGCGGAAAGAACAGTTTGCTCGTTCCTTTGATATCTGAATATCAGCCTAGATAAACAAAATTGACTCCTTAGGAATGAGAGATTCACCGGGTGACGGATTCTTGGACTGGCACATTTCCCGTAGACTCTGGATATGTCGGTCTATTCCGAGAAGTCGCTGTAGTAGATGCTATGACAGATCGAACAGGCTCGCGCCTAACACTAGTCAGCAGAGTTGCTTCCAGGACGTGAACTAGCCCTTCTTGGTAGAGTATAGGTCTTGTCTGCTTACTCAAAGCGGTCCATCATAGCTTCAATCCGTCTCTCTATGCCAGACATGCGTTCCTCCTGTATGAGTATCAGAGCCAATTCGCAGAATCAATTCCAGTAAAGAAGGATAACTCTCACCACCTTCCGAGCAAAGTCGGATCCTTCATCGGCGACGTCGGCATACTCACAATGCTGGCCAAGACGTTCACAGTATGAGCAAGTAGGCCGTTCACCGGGGCATCTTGACTTTTTCCGTCTGGAGTAGTCACAGTCACATAAGAATCCTGGCTCTTGCGCACGGCGGGAAGGTAGGAAAATGCAGTACACGACTCACCGGCATGGCTCGCAAGCCTGTCTGGCACGCTTTGGCGGGCGTGCCTCGTCTGCGGACATGTAGTCTCCAATAGAGTGATTGTAATACCTAGACTAAAGGGAGAATATAAAAAAATACGAGGAGATGCACGGAAACGAGAAAAGAGACATGGTGTAGATAAGGTTTCCTGTTATCATGAGTAGTAGTTAGTTGTATTACAGAAAGCCTTATCTTATGCTCCGCCGAACAGCTTAGCTAAGCCCCGCTTTTCCCCAGGCTCATCCTCAGATATTAGGGATGAGGTTAGGGTTCAGCAAACAGTTTCATAACAGGCAGACTTTCTTCGCCAACACTTCTAATGAATATAAATAACCAAACCTGAAATAAGTATTAGTCGTTATCAACGTTGATTTCGTTCTTTTTGACCGAATCCTTTGACTTTGCTGTTTATTTCAAGTCGGTTGTTGCCATTGGTTCCAAGATTATCTTGGAAGAATTCAACTACTACCTGGGTAGGTTACGATCAGAAGCGATATATGCTTACTATGCTGGTTTCAAGTCTCATTTTACTTGTTCTGGCAATCTTCCGTCAATGCTGCTCGTGGAAGGCGCGTGATCGACCCAGCCCTAATGGCCAACATCTACCTTCTAGACAGGTCATTTGCGATAACTGAGAGATGCCAACTTTTATGGAAAAGGAAAAATTAAAGAGACTGTTGATAACAATGGACTATTGGTATGATCAAAGAATTTAATGATACCTATCTACTCCTTAATTATTAATCTATTATGTATGATTCTATCTCAATCGTGGTGAATGCTAAAATACAGACTCGTCTACCTTGGAAACAGTATAAACATAATGATAATTAATTACGCACAGCCGGATTGAGCCATCCACTGTATGCTGAATATAATTGAGACACACATAGACGTCCCCTAGAGATCTCCATCACTTCTCAATTTTCCCTTCTCCATCCCTCTGCTCGGCCTTCTCCCTGTCCTTTCGCCTCCATCCAGCAGAACATTTGTATTGAATCGAAGGTCCTATCAGTGCTACTGCTTGAACAACAGCACAAATGGTGAATGCAACCCCGACCCCAACACCGTTAATCATCGGCATGATGAAACTTGTTCCTCCAGCGGCAAACAGGAATCTCGCAAAGTTCAGACTCGCACTTGCAGCCGCGCTCCTATAATGAAAGATATCCACCAAATAAGTCATGATAAGCGATTGTGTTGAAATGGCAGTCCACTCTGTTATGATAGTCGAGACGATAAGGACTGCGATGTGGACTTTGTGAGGATACTGAATTGTCCAGCCGAACAGAAGGATGGAAAGACATTTCAGAAGGGAAGACGGGCATAAGTCTAAGACGAGCTTGTTCTAGGGTAAAGTCTTCTTCGTGTCTTGTTCTGCGTTCGATATCCAAGGTGTCCTCATATTTCGCTTTGACGCGCCGGTAATCTTTATCAAGAATCTTTCCTGTCACCAACGTTCCAACCATCGATCCAACACCGTTTGCAATAAAAGTCAAACTGATTTGAATTTCTGTCAGACCATATCTGGTCTTAAAAAGAGATGACATGGCGGTGATGCTCATTTGCCAAACTGCATAGTAGACTGCGAGGAAGACGATAATTGGAGCTGCGTGATTGCTCAAAAGTATTCGTAACGGTCCCAGGATATCAACACTTTTCTTGGGAGCGCTTTGATCGTCGGGGGTATTCCTTCGCCAATCGACTTTGCTAGTTTTCTGAGGCTATTAACGGGAATCGCATCAACAAGTTTGACGGTAACCGACTACGATTCTTGACTGTTAAACGCTCTCGAATTCATCGATGCACGTGTTTCAGCCCATACGCCTTCTAAAATTTTACGCGAACTCTTAGCCTCTGGAGTTCCTGGGGTAGAATATGCTGCTCAACATCAGATATACTACCAATGGCAGCAAGCTAATGCAAGTATTTGGAGACGTAACGCTGACCCCTTTGTATTCTGCAATGCGCCTTCTTACAGACTCAACAGAGAAATAATCACAGACTATACATACCTCTGGGAACACCCGTGGATTAGCTATCTATATCCGCAATCCAATCACCGCACTTGCTGCAGAGGTAAAGGAATTGGCAATAGATGCGACATTCGGAACCAATAATAGTGGCATGGATTTATTTGCTGTGCTTGCAGAGATTGATGCAACTGGAGTCCCTTTAGTCTATCTGTTTGTTGAAATACTTGCCTCAGACGATGGTGTTAAGCGTACAGATCCAAAGGCTACAACTCACCTCCTTGATCGGTTTCTGAGGCCATTAAAAATATCTGGATTCGACCCAGCCTTCTTCGGATGTGATAAAGATAGGTCTGAGATCACTGCTATCCAGCAGGTATGGCCAACCACAACAATCCAATTGTGTTTCTGGTATGCGAAACGTGCAATCCGATCAAAACTAAGAGACTCAAATAAGACCAGCTCTCAGGCCCACTACTTCCCTAGTGATGTTCAAAAGCTCATCTAGAAATATGCTGGGGATCACTACCAACACGTCGACCTGATGGAATCCATCGGTATGGCAGGTGCCAGTGCGAGTTTCGGTCTGTGAAGTTTGATGAAAAGGCCGCATTGAGACTTCTAGTATCACTGAACGAGATACAGTTCTAGAGATCTTTAGCCGTCACTATAATGTGCATCCTTTGATTCCAGATCAAAACGGTACATATCGTTCTTCGGAGAATGTTTACAATGACGGTATCATGGAGATGTATTCATGGTGCCGAGCTCGAAATTACTTTCGGTTATGTACTTACTTATATATCAATTGGTATAAGGCTGGACAATGGGAACTGTGGGCTCGATCTGCAAATGCTATGGAGATACCTATTCTTAAGACTACAATGATTGTTGAGTCTCACTGGCGAAAGATTAAACATGATTACCTTCACCGCTTTAATCGCCCTCGCATTGATCTGGTTATCTAGGTCTTGATTTCTCGAATTATACTAAATGCACTTCATCGAATGGATGCACTCCGCAATAGTGACAACCGGAAAGCTTCCGCAAGCTGGAGAAAAGCATTTAAAAAGCAATGGAAACAACTTCGGATCGAGAAATTGAATCTAATAGCATTCAAAATTATCATACAAATCCAGTATTATGGACCTGTGCTTATGATGCATTTCTATCAAGCCGATTCTTACTATGCAAGCATATATACATTACTATAATCCTATGACAGGCCCTATTGCATTCTTTTCTAGGGTTCTCAGGCAGAGGTCTAGTCCATTTTGGGTGGATAGGTATCTCGTCTTACGCGCAGAATACAGGGAAATTGAGACTGTGAAAGAATTAGATGCAGATTCTGATTCTGGGTCAGATTCAGAGTCAGATATTGATCTAGAAGCTTCGCAAGAAGATCAATTGACCGCAATAGACGATGAGACCCCAGCGACGATCGATGTAGATGGGTTTGTTTCTATGATGGGCTCAGTAATGGACATATTCCACGAACAAAGCTCTATTGGGAATGTGAAATTTATTGGGACCCTTATTGCTGCTAACGCAATGAATCAAACTTTAGTAGAGGAGATTCAGAGGCGCAAAAATAAGCGTACAATGCCTATGACATGGACTCATAATCACAGTGTACTATCGTTAGTTTCTTTCGCTTCAGAAATTTGATCTTGATCTGGCCAATCACGATGGCGGATTCCGGTCAGGGTTGGCTGATTATGTATCGAAGCTCTTTATGTACTAGCACAAACTCAGTTAAGCTCAATACTCAAGTGACTTTGATGCTAAGATATTTCGATATTGACCAATTTCGTGCACACCGTAGAACCGCATATGCATTATTCTGCCAAGTGTTTTCTTTTTGGGATGCATAAAATGCTGACTCATTCTAGGTTTTTAGTTACCGTAAATAAACGTTGTCTTGGTCTTGTAACAGGCACAGCCTGTACTAGGACAATGAATAATCCTGTTCTTAAAGATTTCCTATTAGTATGCTTCTGACACTACCACCTTCTCATTCTAGCTCTATTAATTACAATGTTGCACAGCCAATGCACCTAGTTCTCTGACAATTACTTCTCTTCCTATGGTATTTCTGATGATACTAGTATCTTGTTACTTCCATCCGATGGTCTACAGCTGTTTACACCTAACTTGACTTGTACGTATCCGTTCAGCTTCACTTAGCCTATACCCTTACTTCCTCCTCCAGAGACACTCGAATGCGTTGGCCCTTGAAATAAGAAGATTTACGTCCTTTGGACAGAGATAGTGAATGATAACTTTATTACCTGGTGGCTCAGCACAGAATATGGGAGTTAGATAAAATGGAATATTTTCGAGGGTAAGCACTAGTCGGAATGTTGATAGTACTTCCACTAGGTTGCTGTGATCCAAGATGGGTCTCTAAAGGTTATGTGTAAAGTGTGCAACTATATCCTGAGCTACCCTGCAGACCACCACTGTGGAACATCATCTATGAATAAACACTACTTATCAGGGGTCAATTGTCGGAAATCGGTACCTGCCTTAAAGGATATTAAAAGGCTCATACAAGATGAGATATATTAAGTGTGATCTCAATATTTCGTTTTTATGGTCCTTAGATCTCTACTAATCCTACCTAGATGCATAGCGCTCCTCAGAAAACGCCCTACACCGCAAAAGCTTGGATGGAGAGACTAGTGACCTTTATTACTACTTCACGGCTACCTTTCCAGCTTGTTGAGCATCCTTAGTTTCGTGTACTTATCAAAATGGCGCAACATGCTCCTTCTCTGCCTATATTACCTTGTGCAAAGACCATCCGAAATCATCTTCAATAATTAGTTCAAGAACGATAGAAATCTCTTCAGAAGCTACCACAAGGCATGAAGTTTTCTATTACACTAGATTGTTGGACATCTCTATTTTGCCAGTCTTTTATGGCTGTGACAGGCTACTTTCTGGATATGGATTGGAATTACCGCGAGATCTTACTTGGCTTTAAACCACTTTCTGGCTCGCATACTCCCAATCAGTGACAGCGAGGAGACTGAGGGTAAGGATAAATCCTTAGCACTATCTCAAGGTCCTCAAGCTTTCTAAGCACGCAGTCAGCATTCGCTTAGCAAAAGATCAGCAAGGGAGGAAGAGCCACTGGTTGAACTAGACAGGGACCAGGAAGATGAAGTTCCTTTATCTTATAATAGGCATCTAGCGACAGCAAGTAGTACCCAGAGACGCTCATCTGGCCGGCAACCGAAGCGTTCGAAGCGAGATGAAGACTTTGTATATGAGAATCTGTTGGTTTAGCTACGTCCTGATAACACGAAGCACAGGATTACGCAGTAAGGCTATTCCAAAGAGCCCATGAGCCTGATAATATTGATGTTATTCGAATATTATGACTGCTCCCCAAAAAGGGAGGAGAAGGATAATTACATGCAGGTAAAGGGGAAATCCCCAGGGAACCGGAATAGCTAATATTACGGTTTTGATACTCAACACCTGGGGATTCCCGTACACACAGAATCTTTAGCAACTTAGTATAGAATGTCAAAATGAATTGTCCGGTTAATTGATCCTTGCATTACAGTACTCTCTGAATGTATCATCCTATAGTATGTATCTCCTAGCTATTCGACCCGGTTGTAAACAAATTACCCAAAAATACCGCTAGAATCCATATAAATTATGCACATCACAGGATTCCTCTGTTTGTACTGTCTGTAGAACCGCTGGTCCTAGCCGCATCCAAAGCGGTGCGGTTCTAAAAAATCGGAACTGCACCGCACCATCTTGCGGTGCGGTGCAATTCGGTCCCGGTTCCTTGAGGTGCGTTCCGAGGCCTACTATTTATACTCCATTCCACATAACGATGTGACGGTTAGCAAGCTTCCGAAAACAGCGATTCTTCCCGCTGCTTTATGTGCGTTGCTAGCCGCCAAGCATCGTCACGTGCCGGTTCGCTTGTGTCGAGGATTAGGTAAGCTAAACCTAATCAAGGAAAGCCTACAACATTAATACAAGGAAAATTCGAGAATTGGAGCAGGAAAGGAGACACGACACTGAGCCTACGAATCAATTTTACAGCTCTGTGTCGAGAATATTCTATTGGCATTGTATGTGCAATTTACGGACATCATCTGTATGGGATTTTCAAGTATAAAATAGAGAGAAAAATAAATAGATACCACTATGTAAGGAAAATAAACTATTTTGTTGACCTCCTTCCACAAAGGGTTAGTGGCAGATGTACGTCATTGGTCCATCGTACATTCTCTTCCGTCTGACCTCTTTATCATCCATCATGAAGACTATCGTCGCATCAACACATCCAATATGCGGGTTACACGTTCCATGACATCGCCACTTTCGACGATGCCGGCAAATTCTGTGCCTGCATTGCAGACACCAACCAAGAAGCCGACAAAACCGACATCCTCAAACAATAAACGCCAGAAATCAAACTCATCGACGATCAAGGCTTCTTTTGCAGTGTCAAAGTCAAGCAACTCCGCAAGTAAAAAAAGAAAGATTATTCACGAAATTGATATCAATGAACTTCCCCACAACCTTGGGAAGCTTGCTACGCAAATTGTTCGAGATGCACTGGATGGTCCCCAGGATATCAAGAATGAGACATCATCTCCTCATTCACCAAAAAGGGTCAAGCTAGAAAGCATACAGCCAGAAAGCAAGGCAAAAGATGTGGAGTCAGCCAAAATCAAGAGCAAAAAAGGCGCCGCAAAGTATGGTCTCACACCCGGAGTCAGCCCATTCCCAGAATTCTCTCATCCCACAGTCGAAGAATGTGAGGAAGTTAATCGCCTCTTGTCAACTGTGCATGGAGAAGTTAAAGCACCGACAAAAGTACCCCAGCCTTCACTTACAGTAACCGGTTGCGGTGAAGTCCCTTCCGTACTGGACGCTTTGATTCGTACTGTTCTCAGTGGTGCTACCACGGGCGCCAACTCTGCAAAAGCATTCAAAGGCCTCGTCGATAGATTTGGGATCCTTGAAATGGGCATCGGAAAGGGGAGCGTGGACTGGAATGCAGTGCGCGTAGCACCAATCAATGAAGTGTTTGAAGCGATGAAAAGCGGCGGTCTCGCAACGACTAAGAGCAAATACATCAAAGAGATTCTGAATATGGTGTACGAGGAGAATCTGGCTCGCAAAGAAGCGCACATTAAGTCGGAAGAGGAAGGAAATTCGGGTCCAGCTGGTGCTGAGCATGAATCCAAAGCTCAGAAAGAAGTCGAGATAGCACTAACGGACGAGAATGTGCTATCACTGGACTGGATCCATGCCCTGGATAAAGAAGAGGCAATGCTAGAACTCATTAAATTTCCGGGGATCGGACCCAAAACAGCCGCTTGTGTGGTGTTATTTTGTCTCCAACGCCCCTGTTTTGCGGTCGACACACATATTTTCCGAATATGTAAATGGTTGGGTTGGTTACCATCAGCGGATACCAAGAGAGTCACCGAGATCACGGCTTTTAGTCATTTGGAAGTTAGGATCCCGGATCATTTGAAGTATTCGCTGCATCAGTTATTGATTCGACACGGGAAGAGCTGTCCTCGGTGTAGAGCGATTACAGGGGAGAAAAGTGATGGATGGGAAGATGGATGTGTGATCGATCATCTCGTAAAGAGGACTGGGAAGAGAAAGAGTGGTATTTGATTTCCCCATGTCATTAATAGTTCAGCGGAGTTAGCACGTATTTCATACCTATGTACTAGACTAGACTATTACGAATCTACTCGCTTGTCGTACTGTCCGCTGACAATTATATCTCCACTATCCTCTTCACCATTACTACCTGCATCCGAGGACACTTCAGACGGCATCTTCCTACTTTCTCTACACCACAAAAACACACGTTAGTCTCAGATCATTACCTAATTGGAAGCATTGCCTTACCTCCTATGCAAAACAAGCGAAGTCAAAAACCCTATCAACAGTAGGGACAGAAATGCAAACGTCACAGGCCACCCCTTCTTCCATCTTGGAGCACCGTATGGACCAGCAGTAGGGAATAAAAGGAGAGGAACCCAGATGTTGAATGAGTAGCCGACTGTCATCATTGTTCCCTATTAGAAGTTAGTTGATGTCGTTTCTTCCTATAGTAGATGGTCTTACCAATATTAGGGCACGTTCCTCAGAGTCGTTTTTGACGATGGTGTTCACGGTTGAGTATAGGATCGGACTTAGACAGCCAGATAAACCAAAGAGATACCAAGCGACGAATCTGCAACACTTGTTAGCCATGTATAGCACTCCGTCTCTATAGAAACATTTTAGGATGACGTACTTCAATCCAGAAGGAATATGCCAAATGATCATGCACAAAGTCGAGAACAAACAGCAAAAACTGGCAATACCGTATATGAGCCACGAGGGATACACAGCCGCAAGAGTCGTTCCAAGCCACGATGCAACGATTTGAATGGCATAAGTCACTGTGGGAAGATCGTTGATTTGAGTCACGGTGTATGTGCCTTGGGACTTGAGCCAGAGGTTCATGTAAGAGAATGGGTAGGAGGATATAATCATGCAACTACAACTCTCAGCTAGATGAAATAAGATTTACCTAGGCAAAGAGGGCGACTCACATATAACAAAACACAAAAATCCAAATATGCCACCTCTTCGCCGTCCTCTTGAAAACATTCAAATCCAATTTTCCGGGCCTCTGAATCCGAGACCTGCGAGACCTCTCCTTGGCCAATGCGATATCATCATCGCTCAGATAAAACGGTTTCGGCGAATCAGGAATACCCGGGAACACAAAATAACCAATTATCGCAACAGGGATGGTGAATATGCCGTCGATGATGAATAGCCAGCGCCAACCAGGCATGCCACCTACTCCTGAAAGGTTTCTGTATGCTGCTGCTTGGAGGTAGCCGCTTACCATGCTGCCGAGGGGGTTGCAGATGAACCACATGCCGGCACGTTTGAAGAGTTCCGGACCGGAGTACCATGATCCTGCTGATTATTAGCTGCGTGAAAATACCACATGGTGTTGGAAAAGTGTATACCGAGAATGAAATGAGTTCCAGCGAATACGGGCGCTTCGAGCATTCCGACCAGGAAGCGAATGGCATAAAGTTGTTGGACATTTGTTACCCTGCTCTGCGCAAAGGTACAAATGCCCCAGAGTATTTCTAGAGTTGGGAGTAGCCAGCGAGCACTACAAGGTCAGCGATAGTGCCGCATGAGATACGAAACGAAAACTTACAGCTTCGGTCGTGAGAGTAAAAGCAAGCCGGGGACCTGGAACACGACGTATGCAGTGTAATAGCATACATTGAAGTAATTCAGCTGATTGCCATTGAGGCTAAAGTCTTCTTTGAGACCGCTGACGTAGGCGTTGCTGATATTCGTCTGGTCTATTCGGATTTAGTTTGCTTCTATCTTATCAAACAGGAGTCATACCCAGATACTTGACGAAGACTGCTCTAGTCAGTTTCTCGTTCTTTACCGAAATGGAGAAATACTTACAGCAAAGACAGGCAAACACCAAAATGGACACGTCCAACTTGAACAACAACCTAAAAGAGGACATTTTTTTAGCCCTTCATCCATTCCATAAAAGGTACTTGAAGATCTCACTTTGTCTCTTGGGAAGGATATTCTGCCGGATACCAATTGAAAATTTCCTTTATTACTCCGAAAAGGGTCAGTTTTGAGCCTATTGCTTTGATCTCAGACATGATCAACTGTCTTGTCTGATTTGCTGCTGGATGTCTGGTATTTTGGTATACAAGATGTAGAAGACTCGGCATTATACTCTGTACATATAGGTGTAACTTCAGCAAACAGACGTGTGCGTATTATCATTGCAAATCGCGTCATTTTCATGGTGGAGTACTCTGCATATCATCAATCTAGAGCTGATAGAACTGCGTACCTACTACATACTAAGTATCGCCAAGGAGAGAACGCCCGATATGCATGTTAATTACTCTTGTTCAATGGCCATCTATCTCCAAGACGAGACACCGGGCATACCTATATACGGATTCTGATGGTATATAGTGGATGATGTGCTCATTTGTTACTATAGCGTGCTTTCGCAAAAGGCCCTGCTGTTAGATTGAGTGCTTACATACCAGCATCAGCATAAACTTTCTCCAAAAACAGTTACTTATGTCGGGGACAGCACCGACACCGTTTCCCTATTTATCAATCTAACAACTGCAAGGTCGAAGTAAAACTTACTTTCTGTTAGGGTTGTGGAGGGATGTGTTTTAGTAAGACGCTTAACAAGCCCTAAAACCGGCTATGCTCAGACGACTTGCGTATTGCGTGCTTCAGGACCTATCAGCCTTGCATCGCTGTCTTTTTACTACGTATGAGGAGAAGGAGGGGTCGGATAATAATCCACGGGGATAGAATGATCAAAGAACATGCATAAATAAACGATTTCTACTTTGGCTGTAACTCGTTTTACGAAGTAGTAAAGGAAGGGATACGAACGATTAACTATTTTAATTGGCAATGCCTGATACATCGCTTGAGAAATACGACCATGTCCCGGTCACCAAGGAGGATCGTGAGTTAGTTGTCTATAATATCTCTCCATCTGCTAACCACTTTTTGGCGAACGTCAGTTGACTGGGCTGAGCTGGTCACTCTCGACCTAAGCCTGTACGATCAACCAGGTGGTAAAGAGAAACTTGTCAAGCAACTCGAACATGCAGTACAACACGTTGGTCTGTATCCCATATGAATAACCCTAAGTTAAGTAAAGTACTTACTGGCATATCATAGGCTTCTTTTACGTCAAAAACTTCAACATCAGCCAAGAAGAAGTCGACTTTCAATTCGCTCTAGGCCGGGAGTTCTATGCACTGCCCTTAGAGGAGAAACTCAAGTACCATAACGCAGACGATCTCGCAAGAGGAGAGTACAATGGATACAGGCCTGCCGGACATCGCATGTAAGATATCCTATCGCACATAATGACCCTTGAGTCTGAGCATATGGCTGATCTTGTAGCCTTGGAAACGGAATCCGGGACAATGTTCAAGTTTACAACATTCCTAAATTCGACGGTTATCACCAAAGAGCACAACCCGATGTCCTGCAGAAATACGCTACAGAGATTGAAGCTTTCAGTAGAGTACGGACACTTCTCAGGTTAGCCACGATTTCCTACTGACGGATCATAGAAATGCCACACAGAGGTAGTCGAAAAACTCCTTCGTCTTTTCGCCATTCTCCTTGAGCTTCCAGACGAAGATCAACTCGTACGTGACCACAAATACGACGTCAAAGGAGAAGACCATCTCCGATACATGCACTACGCAGCCCGCAGTGCCGAAGACAACAAAAAGGTCGGCGAGTTGTACAGTCCCGGGCACACTGATCTTGGAACCATAACTCTACTCTTTCGACAGCCGGTTGTTGCACTTCAAATCCTCAATTCGGAGGGTCAATGGAAATGGGTTCGTCCACAGGATGGAACTATCACAATCAATACTTGTGACGCTCTCACAGCGCTCACAGGCGGATTTATCAAGTCTAGTATTCATCGTGTCCATGCTCCTCCACAAGACCAAGCACACGTCGACCGTTTGGGGGTTTTGTATTTCGCCCGGTGCGTTGTAACTTCCATCTCTGGTATCTGATCATATGCTCAACAACTGACGAACTTGTACAGGCCAAACAACCACGTCATCCTAGACCCAATCCAAAATAGCCCTCTCCTCAACCACCTCGGTCTTACGAAGAATGCATTCACGGAACTCGACCAGCATCTCACTACAGAGCAGTGGGTTAAAGTTCGACAGTCGCAACAGCAGCGACGGAATCGCGATGTGAAGATTTCAGATGATGGCAAATATACTTATAAGCATAAGGATTTGGAAATTATTCCTGGTCTGCAGGCTGTGGTCTATAATTAGGAATAGTGGATTTTTTTATTGTTCTTCGAAGTATAGAATCAAGCAGTCGATTCCTAGGTGCAATAAGATCTCCTGGTTTTATGCTTGAGTACGACATATGTAAGAAAACTATTTCATAGCCTTACTCTGTTGCTTCTATGCAAAACCTACACTACTACAGCCTGATGCTGGCCATTCTTCCGTCTCAGGCTATTAATAGTCCATCAATGAAACGTACCCGCTACCACAAGATTGTGTTACTGCTAGTGATTTCGTGGAGCACATCCGACTAATCTGTACTTAACACTTGTGAATACTCCATTCCAAAACTTGTGGTGGTTCATCTTCTGGCTTGAGGTTGTTGCACTTGAGGTTGTTGCACTTGAGGCGGTTGTACTTGACGCAGTTGCAAGGCTCGAGGAATAGCGACAGTATGATCCACAAGACACACAATCGGAGTCGGACCATCTCCTTTATGCAATAGATGAAGCCTATTCGCCAAGTGGGAATCTTGCCTGTCATAACGCAAGAATTTCCAAGAGGACTTTGTAGAAAACCGGAGAATATAAACTGATAGAGTTACAATGCTGAGTTGGACTGGAGTCTCATTGCTATTATTCTTTTTTGAGGAGGTCGATAACGACGTATGTACGGTTTGACCAAACTTCCACGTTGAGGAATAGTACATTCGCCTTTTCTCTCCATGAAGCGAGGAATCCTCTCATGATGGTGTAGACTGAGCCTACATAATCGGCTCGGTCTAAGCGCTTAGTGGGCACATCTCCTGAGATTCTAATTGAAGAATCGGCTCGGAGGGCCTTAAAAAAGCTGCTCATTAATAGCCAGCATGATATAATGAGTATTTTAAAGAGAGTAAAGAGCTCTTGTTTTTTCTTTTCTTGACAAGTAGATATTATGTTGACTGATTCGTGAGGCTGTGGCCATTTGAGCTTTGTCCACTTGTTCCAGCTTTTTGGCTTTGATAAACTGTCCGTCATATTAATGCTCTCCATGCTGTGTTTGTCGGATCTTTGTATATATTCATTTCCAGGTATTGAGGGGGCGTCCGGTGTATTCCGAGCTTGACTCACGGATTAGAGTATAAAAAAGAAGATGGAGGAGTATGGATTGTCTGCTTATCTGAACAGGGTGTAACTTCTGGGGATTTCCAGCTATTTATGCTTGAGAGCCTGCTGCCAGTAGACGAGATAAGAAAAGTAATACAAAGAGTTTTTGGGAAATATCACAAAGGTTCCTTGAACACATCAAACAGGAAGATGGGATGTTTTAAGATTTACTATCAACAAAAAAAGAATGGTAAGGAAAGAAGAATACTCTATAGTTAGTCAATAGCTCTGCAACCTGTTCACTTTTCAAATGGTAAATATCCAACAAAATAGCTTTATGAAAACTGTTCTCCTTCTGTCATCAAACGGAAGTTTTCTTCTACAGCTAACTCTGCTCGAATACAAGCTTGTGCTAAAAGTATAACGAGACCAGAGACCCGTCATTTCTAACAGTATTGAGCTTACTCAGTGCTCTGACTGAGAGCTAGATAGATAGACATAGTGAGACGTGGAATCCGAGGTGCAGATTAAAAAGGTCAGCAGCAATTGGGATCTCTCATCGGTCCTCGAATAAGAATGTTTTTTGATACTTGCGTAAGGATCTCACGGGCATAAAATTGATGAAAACAGTGTGTGTGTGTGTGTGTGTGAATTCATACCCTGACCCCTCGCCGAAGCGATATGCAGGATACCACTATCTAATCCTTATCTATGTCTATGTACATCAATCCATTACATAAAGACGAATTTAGAGCCTCGTCACGGCCTATGGTGGCCAACATGCCTGGTACTCTGTCAGCGGCCCTACGGCGCCCGGCTTTGAAACCTCTGTGATGCCTCTGCAAAGTCGAGTACTGCACCTAAGATGCTACCGCCTTGCATATCACCCTCCTTACCTTGCTTACCTTGAGATCCTCCTCCCAGCATGTCCGAGATATTGTTAAATGCAGTCCCGATCTTCTTCCGTAGTTCTTGTCGTATGGTCTTCAATTTGGGACAGTGAATCAGGACGTGAACCACTGTTTCTATCGCTCCACATTCACACTTGTCATCCTCTCTATGGGATGAAAACAGTGCAATGTAAAGTCAGAGCGTGCAATGTTAGGGCTAGGGCTAGGGCTATGATGATCCACCTCGTATCGTCGTAAACAGCTTAGCGCTCGCCCCTGTTGTTATCTTATCTCCTATCCCCGATGGATAGGGTATGGCCTCGTCCTTCCTACAGCTCGTCTTTGTTGCTCGCTTTTCAAAGTTGATTGCTACGTCCCCGGCTGAGGCGGGGAGAGGCACGTCTTCGTAGCTACTAGTGCGGTATATCCAGCTAGAGAACAAAGTTGTGGGGAGTGTGTTGGGGTACCGCTGCAGGGCAATCTGACGACGGCTAGGGGTACGGATGGTAAGACTGGAAGTGGCATGTATTCGATAAATAACAAATGCGAAGTCGCCTCGCCAAGGGTAGAAGAATTATTGGCGACATTCAGGAAGGACGGTACTGCTCAAAGGGTGTGGGAATACTTTGCTGCTGACTTTAAGAGGATTACGGGGGTGGATGTGCCGTAATCCTCAGATTCATGATTTTGCCGTGTCTAGTCCGAATGATGTTCTTTCCAATGACTTTTTAAACTGGAACATTGATCAATTCCATGTAAATATCCTGGAACCAGTATCTGTAGACACGGAATATATCCTCGCATGGGCAGACTTCATCTTTCAAGGTTCATTCGCTCGATCCACAGAAACAGTTTAATGCCGATAACAAAGGAAAGAACAGCAAAACAATGTAAAGTCATATCGATGATCGATGCAAAAGTGAAGCCAAAGTCCGTTAAAATCGAAAAACACACCGCCTCCCTGACCGCTTACAGCCGCCGCAGGCACCGACTCCGCCGCCCCAATAATAAAACCGGCAATAAAAGCATCGGATGATCGACCGAAACAAAAAAAGGAGTTTCCGCATCGACATTGCGACTCAACTCGATGTCAGACGATTAACGACAAGGCCATGGCGGGTGTGTTGGAAATATATCTCTCCCGTCTTCACGACTTCTGGATGGAACATGGGATCGATACGGAGACACTCAAAACCGGTTCTGTTGGTGCAATCGTGTCTTTCCTAGCGCTGTATGCGGGATACTTGTACATCATCAGTCTGACCGAAGCGCCTGTTACGTTCAACGTGCCGCTGCCAGAAGAGCTTCGAGCGGATTGGAATAGGACGAAATGGGATGATTTGAAGGGGAAAGCCAGAAGGATACTTGAGGATCAGGTTCAGGGCGTGAGTTGTTCTTTTGTCTGTGGGTTGGCGCAGAGATCTAATATAATATGTTGATAGAAATGGAATACGGAGCGCATCGTGAGCTATTGCCCGGCCGATGGACGGATATTATCTACAAGTATACCCCTTGCGACGCGCGAATCGGTCGACAAGGCCGTTCAAGACGCGAAGCGAGCACAGGTTGAATGGGCGCAAACCACATTCGCGCAGCGAAGGAGACTACTCAAGACTTTACTCAAGTAGGTTGCACCTACCTCCCCGCTCTAGTTTATAGCTAAGACTTTCTGGTAGGTACGTCCTCGACCACCAAGACGACATTGTAACAGCCTGCTGCCTCGATTCCGGCAAGACCAAAGTCGACGCCTCCTTCGGCGAGATCTTGGTAACAGCCGAAAAACTCAAATGGACAATCGATCACGGCGAGAAGGCACTTACACCGCAAAATCGACCAACGAATTTCCTCATGATGTATAAAAAGAATACTGTTCGATATGAACCGCTTGGTGTGGTTTCGGCGTGTGTTTCGTGGAATTATCCATTCCATAATTTGATTTCACCTGTGATTAGCGCGTTGTTTGCCGGGAACGCGATTGTGGTGAAACCATCGGAACAAACGGCATGGTGTTCTTCTTTCTTCGTTGATGTTATCAGAGCAGCCTTGGTGAGCTGTGGTCATTCACCGGATCTTGTGCAGTTGGTAGTGTGTCTACCACAGGTCGCAGATTCATTGACTTCACATGAGGATGTTTCGCAGTTGACGTTTATCGGGTCCAGGCCTGTGGCACATAAAGTGTGCGAGTCGGCGGCTAAGTCGTTGATTCCGGTTACGGTGGAACTTGGAGGGAAGGATCCGTTTGTTGTACTGGATGATTCCACTACTGTTCGTGGGTTGGAGTCTATTGCATCCATCCTCATGCGCGGTGTGTTTCAGTCTGCGGGTCAAAATTGTATCGGCGTCGAACGCGTGATTGCTTTACCCGGCACTTACGATAAACTCATTGACATTGTGACACCGCGCGTCAAAGCGTTGACTCTGGGCTCGATTCTGCTAGACTCCAAAGACGAATCTAGCCCGTTTACACCAGATGTTGGAGCAATGATTTCCCCTGCCGGTTTCGCTAGACTTGAGACTTTGATTGCAGAAGCCGTGGATCAAGGTGCCCGACTCATTCACGGCGGGAAACGATACAACCACCCCAAGCATTCGCGCGGACATTACTTTACACCTACATTACTAGTCGACGTCACACCCTCCATGCGCATCGCACAAGTCGAACTCTTCGCACCTGTTATGGTAATCATGCGCGCTTCATCTGTATCCGACGCAATCGAAATTGCCAACTCCACTCCATACGCCTTGGGTGCCAGTGTCTTTGGCCATAATTCTAGAGACGTCGAAACCTGCATCCGCAACATCAAAGCCGGAATGGTTGCCGTGAACGACTTTGGCGCATTTTACGCTGTTCAGCTACCATTCGGTGGTGTCAAAGGGTCGGGCTACGGACGGTTTGCGGGCGAGGAAGGATTGAGAGGGGTGAGTAATTTGAAAGCTGTCTGTGTTGATCGGTTTCCCAAGATTGTTGGCACGCAGATCCCACCTAGGGTTGATTATCCGATATATAAAGGGGAAGGTGCGAAAAGGAATGGGACAGGGGCATGGGAGATGTGTAAGGGTGTTGTTGAGACGGGGTACGCGTTGGATATTGTTGGGAGAGTGAGGGGGATACTCAGAATATTGACTAATTCATAATCTACTGTATAATATGTGTACACATATATATATATATATATATATATATAGTTTATGGGAAGATACGATCGAAGATGGATTCGTTTGAATCTAGACTACAGAGGGGTATGATATCAAATACAAATGGAGTACTCGCAAGAAGCAATAACACATAGAAAAAAAGAACCATAGCATCATAACTCAAATCGTAATCGTAATCGTAATCGTCGATCGAAAGCCGCAAGCGAAGAAGAGTCGCTCATTCGGCGAGAGGACTAGATAAGTAGAGGACGGAGAATGGGATCATATAGTCGCCCTCGTCGTCGTGCCGTGATGTCTTCTTCTTCTTCTTCCCCCAGCAGCACCGCAAGTGACGCACGAGATGATCACATCAAACACGGTGACGACGCCGGAGATGATGGCTTGAAGGATTGCGCCGATGCCGTTTACGATGGCCATTAGGCAGCGGCCGATTGCGCCGAAGATGGCTTCAATCTGTGCGTAGTTATTAGTATGTGCAAACACGATCGATCGCAGGTCAGGTACAAGGGGTGACGTACGCAGGAGACGACAGCACCCATGATGAAATAAAGACCTTTTGTTGATAGATAGATTGATCGATTACTCGTCGTCGTCGTCGTCGTCGTCGTCGTCGATGTAGTCGTTGATACTCTTGACGAGCGTTGTGTAGACAGAGGATGTAGATGAGGAAGCAGTTGTTTGGATAGATGTAGGAAGCATGATGATAGAAGTTGGAGGTGGTGGTGGTGCCTGAGGAGGTGTCTTAATATATATCCTTTTCTTGTTCACGAGGAAAGAGCGATGATGAAATACAAAGATGTCAAGATAATGTAAGGGGCTGGCTGGAAACAGGCTATGATGTGTTTATCTGCGTTCTACAAGGTTCTAGCAGGGTCAGACAGTCTGATGTCACTCAACAAGGAATAAGAATGAGGAATGTAGGGCTTGACGTCACAAAACAAAGGGTTTAGGGCTTTGCAGGGGAGAACCCTAACGCGGCTGACATCATGACTGCACGTGTGTTCTCCGCTCCCCGGCCAATCAGAGTGTCCTTCTGTTCCTTCTGTTTGTGGTCTAGTCTCAGGGTCTCTCGGTCACTCCTTCCCCTGTGTCACCAACACGTGCATTCCGCTTATCTAAGTTGGTATTTTGACATGACCTCGTCTCGGTCTACTCTCAGCACTACACCCAAGAGAAAACACCAGCGACAGGATTCGGAAAATCCCGAAAATCTTCACAATGTGACCGCAACCAAGAAGCGTCGTCCAGGTCGCCCACTCCTCTCCTTCGCCCAACTCGCGGCCCGCAGAGCAGCGCGCAAATCCGCGCGCCGCTCAAGACGCAACTGGAAATTGTCCCAATTAGCCTCACCACCGTCTGCCGCCATCCAATCCAAACGTCGTAATGGATCATCTGCGCTCGAACGACTACCTGTCGAACTTTTGGAGCGGATTTTTCTCTACGCGCTAGATCCGAACTTTTGTCGCGCGTCACCGTTTCTGGCTTCTGCCGTGTCGAGTGAGCGGATTTATCGGACTTTGATTCGACTTGCGTTTTTTAAAGATGATGATGGTTCGAAGATATCTGGCGACGCGCGAGAACGGATAGCGGAGGCATTGAAACCGGCGGATTATGAGGCCATGCCCCTGGACGAAGACGATCGCGTCAAGTTGCAGTCTACCATTCTGAGATGCAGATGGTGCACCGGACGGCGCATCCTGGCCCAGCTTCCAGCGTTGATGCGGATGAAAATTCAAAAATATGTGATCGGCGCTGGTATCGTTCTTTCGGACCCAAAGGAACAACCACAGCTTGATATGCTGAGCGTACAAGGCAGATTTGCTGATGATAAATCTCGCACATATAAGCTATACATCCTCAAAGGTACTGCACCGGATGGCGGAGAGTGCGCCATAATCGTCGACCCTCTCGTAACTCTTAATATCCGTTGGACAGAAAAGGATATCTCATGGAGTCATCGAGTGATGGATATACGAGTCCTACCAGACTATCTACTACGTGGACGTCGTACAGAAGATGGTAATTGCTTTTTTCCGAAGGAAGACATCGACCTTTTGGAAATTTTCCGTCAGGAATACGGCTTGGATGGTACGGGTCACGACGTTCACTTCTCCAAGGGTGCTCTGGAGTCTGGAATACGAACCGCGATTACCATTCGGGATATGCGCGCTCTCAATTCGCTTCTCAAGGTTCACGAATTTTTCTTCCGGCAGCGATGGGAAACAGATCCTCCTCTAGGATGCGCTAATCAACGTCCCGGTCAACGATATACCCTTCCCGAAGAATTTTTCTTCCAGGCCATTCGACTGCCGATGCCGGATGCAATGCATATCTTCACGAGACTTTTCCGCTGCAATGCAGAGAGCATACCTCCTAATTCCTCCGAGTTGACTCAGTGGGCTATGGATTTGGGATATGGCAGTCACCGCGACAACGAAAAGATGACCGTTGACGATCATGACCTGGCACAAGGATTAGGGTCGTTTTTATTGGACTTTATGACCGAACTGCCCGGGTATGATGATGAAGGACGCAGAATCGCCCCGGACGAAGAGCTATTCCGATATGGCATGATCAATAATTTCCATGCATTCTACACACACATAATTGGAGAGAAGTACGGCCCGATTGCTAAATGGGCTTATGTGGTGGAGGAAACTTCCGAAGCTGTGGTGGATCATTATTCATTTGACGCCTTTCAGATTTGGCGTGTGTATGTGGATAATGAACTGAATACATAGCCCAAACTTTGCAAATCCCCCGTCTTCGATTTAATCATTTTCCAAACTCTTCAAAACCATCTCTCTCACAGTCCTATCCTTCAAAGAATCCCATCTCTTATCAAACAACAACCCCACAAACGGATCATTCCTTCCCTGTCGCAGTCTCACTGCCTCTCTAAAATGCCGCGTCTTCACTGGCCATTTCTGCGGATAACTATAATCCTTCGTCGTAATTTTTAGATTTAGTAACCTTTCAAAAGTAACATAATCCCTATCCCGAATGAGTTGTCGCAGGACCTGGAGGGACCGTTCACTGCTCTGATTATGTTCATCGACGTACGTTTCTTGACTCAACAGAGTCAGAAATTCGATCTTTTCGTCCGTCCAGGGCGCATGTAGCAATTTATCTGGCATGCGTGGTCGCTCATTTGGAGATGGTGGACATGGTAAACGAAACATGTCGATTTCATGGGCGACTGGACTCGGTTCTCGGATTTGGACAGCGCCGAAATGGAACCAGATTGATAATCTTATATCCCCTCCTTTTTTTTCTTCATTTCCTTCTGATGAGTCGAGAAATTTACCTTTAAGAATCAAATCACCACTCCCCCTCCGGCCATGCTCGGCTTTATCAAACTCCATCATCGACCGGGTGAATTTCTCCTCGATAGAGTTAAACCCTTTCCTATCTTCCTCGGAAACAAATACAATCCCTTTCCCCTTTTGTCTCAGGACATGTAGGACGTAATCCCTCTGACATTCCCGGAATAGTCTCAGAGTACTCCATCGACATTCAAGTATAACCCCCTGCAGTTTTGACCTCTCTGCATTCGACAATGCCCAGAAGTCTAGCGGGGATGGGAGAAAGTCCTCCGTGAAAATGCCCTGTCGAGAACCAGGGTTGGCGCTACTGAATGCCAACCGGATTAACCATTTGTAAATTATGGGTTTTGAGAGCACATGCGCGATGTGTAATGATGAGCGCGGGAGGTTGATAGATAAAGAATGGAAGAAGATTTTTTCGAGGAGTTCGGGGGGAAGGGATTCGAGTTTGCTTAGCTGGGGTCGTGTTGACGATGCCATTCACTCTCTCTCTTTTTGTCTGTTTTGTGTATAGTCTCACGTAAAGTCTGTTTCAATCGATTCCGAAGCGTGGACTTTTGTTAACGTCATACGCGCATGCCGTAGAGGTATATCAGAACACACGGATATGAGATGATGACTATAGAGATGTCTAGGGGTAGACACCATGCTCGCTTTGACATCAAATAGTGATTCCTTTCTTTTCTCTTTGCCCGAGTTAGACTGCCATCAGCGAAAATCTTGGGACAAAAATTGGTCGTCTATTTATATATCTCGATGTCCCTGAGCCGGCGGTGTCGCTTGTAGATGTCAGCGCTATGTACCTATGCTAGGAATATCGGGTGAACTGGCGTCGGTACCTGATCTGCACAAGAAACCCAGCGGTATGAGTAAAGTGTAGGTAATCAGTAATGACAGACTCGTCCTTATCAGAGCAGTGAGTAGAAGAATGTATGGACCCGAGAATCCGGATAAAGCTTTTATTTTGGCTTCCGGCCCGTAGATTACCTACCCAACCGGGATGGCGGGAGATCTTGTAAGTGGTCGAGCAGAAGCTAAGAATATGATTGGTGAAGAGTAGGATGAGAAGAAGAGAAAAAGAAGAGACTTCACAAGGAGGGGAAAGCGGAGAAAAGGGTGGAGTAAGGATGTACTACGCCGTACTACGTACGGTCTCTAGACCCCGAATCCACGATACTTATGTGGAAAGTACGCTATCGTTGACAGTTTGGAAGAGACAAGTTGAAGAGACATAGCATGATAATCACAGAGTTGTTTTCAACGTTGTTGCCCAGAGAAAGTTTATGAGGGGGAGTGGATCAAGGATGTATACATCCCACATACCCCTATATTTCTACACAGCAAGACGTAAAGAAGGAATAAGTGCCAGCAATTGCAGAAAACAGTTTATCGATGCCTATAAATCCCCGTTAATAACTGGCAACATGTAGGTCCCTTCATGTTGAGGATCAGGACTCTGGGAGTCTGTCTCTCGATTTTATCCTCGTCACGCAGCCACTAGAGTAATCGAAAGTCAACCTTCCCCCATCCTGGCCAATAAATCCAATATACCTATGTTCGCCCCATTCATTCTTATCCCTTTCACAGGCTCCGAAGCGTTCAAGATAGATTAAAAGACCTCATCATCAATCAAAATCCAGAATTAATCATTAAATTCCCCATGAAGGTCTTCATCGCCATATCCTACTCTTAGTTCCTCTTGCTTCTGACTACACAGTTCTAATTTTCAATCCCGCGTCTCGGCGTCGTCATCAGATTCAAAATTGTTTTCGAACCTCATCATAGACACTATTTAATTCTTCCCGATTCCAGGCAAGTAAATTTAATAGCTCATCTCAATAATCCTCATCTTTACGGCTAAGCGACATGTATATCTCTAATTTCTCTAGCACAGAGGACCATAGCTCATCTGACTGCAGGGTATACACAGTCCGGTAGATCACATATCCCCACTAGAAAAGTATGCGGTCAGTTTCACGGATAGATCGCTTCTCTGTCTATTTTCATCGCTCACCTAATACGGATCGATAGGTTTAGATTCTTTCATTCTCTGCTCTGAGAGTGAGGCTAGGTTGATATGGACTGTTGGCAGCAGGGAAGTTCGACTGGGCATTTAATTTCTAATAGGTATGAGAAGATGGACAGAGTAGGAAGACAATATCTTATATAACGAGGCAATCAACGTAAGGCATTATGTCTACCATGCAAAGACAGTAAATGAGTGGTTATCGGATGATCGGATTTTACATGGAGACAATCATACTAGAAGTAACAACAGAACAAATCAAGGACTAGAATCGCATTACAACCAAACTGCCCAACCAAACAACAAAGATTGGCGTAGCTCTGGGAGATGTGATGATGCTAATCCTTTGCATTGATATCTAGCTAAGGGTGCCTATCGACGAGAATATTGAGCATGGAGAGAAAAAGGGAAAAGAAGCTCGTTCCAGTGGCTCCAAGAACTCTCTTTTTACCCTGTCCGAGCTCCTAGCCATCTTTGGCACAGATGAGATGATTTTCTAATACGGCACCGCTAGGGCTCGTAGCCCTATCCAAGCACGACTCGGCGCCTGTCCGGCTCCGCGTTCCAACCCTGGCTATTCAGCGATCACAGGAGAGCTGTCGATCTTCATGAAGACTCGATGCATACTATTATTAATATTTTCCGGCTGTAGTGGCACACTGGCAGGCTAGTTAAGTGGTGGATCTGAGTCCCTTAAGAAATCAATCTTGAAAATTCTGCCATTTCACCATGCGGTCCTGCAAATTCAGAATGTCCCCATCGACAACGAACGTTCCATCACCACGATGATGGAACATCTTCCCACCCTCTCCAGGTTTCTTGTCCGGGTTGATCCACGCCTTAACAGGCCGTAATACCCACATTGAGTATTTGCTGACCATCTTCGTGTCTTCAACCACACACTCGATGTTGGAAATGATATCTGAACCTCCTACCAGTGGTGCCTTGACTCGAGCGCCGGGCAGCGCATCCAGCCCAAAGCGCTCCCATTTGCTCGTCAGGTTGGCATCGTCGGCGGAGCAATTCCCAATATCAACAACAACACCAGCCATCTCGACGGATGGGACGGCGAGCACACACTCACGGTTCTTCTTCAAAGCAGCAAAGGACGCGTCCCATGGGCCGAGTGTGATGCCGATCAGAGGGGGAGACTCGTGCTGCATTACCATGTGGAATCCAATAGTCATCACATTGTGTGTTGAGTCGGCCAGTGACCCTGTTGTGACCAGCAGCACGGGGCCGGGTTCGATGAGGCGATAGACTTTGGAGGGCGGATAAGAGTCTAAACCAGGTTGCTTCTTGGAACTGGCATCGCTTTTGGAAGATGAAACGGAGGTCTCGTCCTGCTCTGCCTGTGCTTTGCGTTTCGGAGCCATGGCAAACAGTTGCCTTCTTTTAAGTTCTGTTTGGTTGGTATTTTGACAGCGGCGGGATAAATGGTACGGGAGATGCCTGGTAGATATGTACATACTTGTCGCGTCGCTCCCCCCACCCTAGACCGGGTGGTGGTCGGCCCGGACTCAAGGGCCAAAATCTTCAAAATCTCAACTTGGCATTTACAAACGTCAAAACCAGAGCCAAAAAGACCCCTAAATTATATAAAGAAGAGGAAAAATTGATTGCGAAGGCCCTCAGTGCGTGCCAACACGAAAAAAAACCGAATTTTAGCAAATTATCGCGTGAATATGGGGTGTCTCGCAAAAAACTGTCCCGTCGGTGGCATGGCTTACCCTCTCGCTCAACACGCCCACCTACGAGGCGCCTATTATCTCTAGATCAAGAAAAGGCACTTATTCTATGGATTGAGTATCTAGATAATATAGGCGCGCCTCCTACGAATCAGCAAATTGAGGAAAGTGCGAATTATTTGCTCGGCAAAGATTTCAGTGGTCCAGGAGAGCCCCCTCGTGCCGGAAAAAATTGGGTACACGATTTTATCAAGCGCCTGCCAAAACAATATGTACGAATCGTTCAAAAACCTCAAGAAAAGGAACGTACCGTTGCAGAGCATTATGGTGAGGTTGAGCGCTGGTTTATTGACCTCGAGCTCGCTATACAACAATACAAAATTCGCCCACAAAATCTGTGGAACTTCGACGAGACCGGATTCATTGTTGGACAAGGAAAAGATGAAGCGGTGGTAACAGCATATCCAAAAACATCAAAAAGGGTATCTAGCCTGTCCTCTCGAGAATCAATTACTGTCATTGAGGGTATAAATGCCGAAGGAAAGATTATACCACCTTTATTGATTCCAAAAGGCAAGGTCCATTTGGAGGAATGGTACCGGCATATAAAAGATGACGACTGGCTAGTTGCACCTGCTTCGAATGGATTTATCACAGATAAGATCGCATTCGAATGGCTTCAACACTTTGACCACTTCTCTAGGCCCGGGGCCTTCCCGGATTGGCGGTTACTTCTTATGGATAATCATACAACTCATCTTACTATACAGTTCGTGCAATATTGTGAAATTTGGCACATTCGCCCATTCCGATTTTCACCTCATTCTACGCATTTTTTACAACCGCTCGATGGAGTGCCATTTCAACAATATAAACATGTTCATGGACGGGTTGTGAACAAGATTGCACGCTTAGGTGGCTTCGATTTTGATAAAAACGACCTTTTTGAAGAACTACGCGATATCCGGATAAAGACATTTACCACACGAACGATTCGGCACGGCTGGAGAGAGCGAGGAATTTAGCCTCTTAATCCTCGGCTTATACTTGATATGATGCTTCAGCCAGAGGAAGCATTTGAAGCACTTGTTGCTGAAGGGGATGCACTAAAAATATATGGCGAAGCGGATGACACTATTCCCAGCTCACCAACTACAAAATCAATATCTCTACCGTCAACCGCCGTAAAACTACGTCGCTATGTCAATAAGATTGAAAAATCGATTGACGGTATAAAGGATATTCTTGACGAAGTAAGCCCGGGCCTTTCACGCCGTATAAAAGTGGTTAATCAAGGCAGTCTCACCTTGGCCGAATTAGGCGATCTACACCGTGAGAGCTTTGCCAAGGTTCGTGATACAGCAACGCGCAAGAATCAAAAAACTACAAAGCGCCAAGTCAAAGCGAGCGGTATACTCTATGTAAAAGATGCGAATCGCCTCATAAAACGCCGTCATGATGGGGATTTGTTGAAAATCTATAAGAGCCATGTCGTTGGCGTGCCGCAGCCGATGGAAGAAGCGGCTTCAACAGAGCCTCAAAACAGCGTGTTTTTCTTTGATACTCAGGGAAATAGGTGAACAATGCTTGTATTTAACACCTGTCTAGTTTTTATATGCAATTTATATGGTGTTGGTGGACTGTAAAACATTTTACATGAGACTTCATATTTTCTGGCCCTTGAGTCCGGGCCGACCACCACCCGGTCTAGGGTGGGAGGCGACGCGACAAGTATTGCTTATTGTCCGGCTACCCCATCTGATCCGTCGATCTTAGGGCTCGGCTCGTCACGAGAGCGGGAACGCCCGCTCCAGGAGCGGATCTAGTCCGCTCGGGGGTTGAATGCAGGTATTTATTTGGGTTCTTTCTATGATCAAGTCAATAACTTGAGCTGCGATTATGGTGAGAATATTAATGCTCTTCATTCAATCCCAGTTTTTGTTAGACGAAGCCATTGCTGACGCCTTCATGCAGAAGACTGCAAACAACTCGTCACATTCAAGCGTGGTTCTTATGCGTAACACCACGTCCTCGCATGAACAACATCAATATCGCCAAGAAGAAGCTGAATTCCCTACGCCTACGGGTCGTACCATTACCGGCCTTCGTCGGGTGCTGGTATGCGTGCGGCATACCACTCTGCGTATCCAACTTTGTCTACGGCCTTGACGCAACCATCGCCGCGGACGTTCAATCTCCCATCGTCGAGGCATTTGGCTATATCGACCAACTATCTTGGATTGGATTCGGGTTCCCACTCGGTTCTGTGACCGTCATCTCTCTGTGTGGGACAGTGTACGCCAAATTCAATAAGAGATAGGCATACCTAACTTCATTCGCCATCTTCGAAGTGGGATCTGCTCTCTGCGGCACCGCTCCCGATATGGATGCTCCCATTGTGAGACGTGACATTGCTGGAATGGGTGATAGAGGTTTGTTCACGAGTGCTCTGGATCTCTTATCTTAACCACCTTCACCACTCCAGGGGAGCGCGGCACGTACATAACTGAATGTGGTCTACACTGGGGTCTCGGTGCGGTACTCGGCCCGGTCGTGAGAGGGGGCTTCACTAGTCCCTCTTTGACCTGGCGGTTTTCCTTCTATATCAACCTTATTATTGCGGCCGTTTTCATCCCGGGCACTCTACTTGCCTTGCCCTCAGTCGACCCTGCCGCTGGGGTCTCCCTCGTTGACCGACTCAAACGTTTCGGCTTGGTCGGCTTGGTCCTCGGCGCTGGCACCCGGGTCGCCTTCACCATGACGTTCACCATGGCCGGCGAACAGTGGCTGTGGGCTGATGGACGGACTATTGCAACCATTGTTGTTTTCGGTGTCCTTTTCGTTCTGTGGGCTGTCCAGCAAACCTTTTGTATCTTCACTACGACTGTGGACCGATCCGTTCTCGTTCACCTGCTTTGACATCGGTCCCAGATTCTTCTCTACATTGCAACTTCCGCCAACATCACCTCCCTCTTCATTATCGTCTGCTACATTCCTCTATACTTCCAGTTCGTGCATGGCGACTCGGCGCTGGAAGTGGCGGTGTGTCTTCTTCCTTATATTGCCATTGCGGTTTCATTGAACCTTGCCTCTAGTCACCTTCTCTCTATGGTTAAGTGGTTCAAGCCCATCTACGTCATATCGGGCGTCTTCATGACACTCAGGGCTGCCTGCTCACAGCCTACCTAACGCCCCACTACAAACGAAGCGCATATGTATGGCTTCACCATTCTCACCGCCGTGGGCACCGGTCTCACGTTGCAGATTGGCTGCGCAGTCTCCAGTTTGGAAGCTCCAGGGCAAGAGAGTGAAACGCTCACTTTGCAGAGCTATGCCCAGATCAGCGGGTCCGTCTTCGCTCTCGTCATCGCGGGCCAGGTCTTCCAGTCTTACTCGGTTCGGGGCCTCACCAAGGTGCTGGCGGGCACAGAATTCACAAAAGCAGATATTCAGAGCATTGTGGCTGGTACTCGGAGCCTTTTGTTTCAGGGACTGGACCAGCGCTCAAAGACAGCGCTACATTTGTCATATATCAACGCTATCCAAAGAGTCTTCATCTCGGTCTGCGTGAGGGGCGCATTCACATCCTTGTTTGTCTCTTAATGAAGCATGATAAACTTTTTCAGTAGAGGGGAAGCTCCGTATATTGCTCACTTAGATCTCGGTGGAAATTTGATCTTGTACAGAGCGTCAATAATTGCTATTCATGGAAAAATAGAAGAACTATTTAGATAATGGATAGAGATAAGTGGCGCTGGAGGATTGATATCTACTATATTCTGTACCATGGATGCCTTTGGGACAAGGAATTAGCTAAACGGTTGGCCTTGTTGTGCTCGTGCAATTGATGTAGACAAATTTTGTGTACTGAGGATGATCATTTTCGGGGTTATCTTTCGTGCTTATTCCCAGACCCATGTTGGGATGGAAACCTCTTCATTTGGCTTTGGTACGAAAGAATAAGTATTTGTGGAATCATGAGCGATTGACATCTTGAATCGAGGTTATCGCATGGGAATGTGAATAGTGCGAATATCCCGGTAGCCGTTGGAGCTAACTTACTAAACTCTTAGTTATTCTTAGATCACGCTGTACTATATCAGCACATGGCCATATTCAGTAGGAATAAATGGAGAATATATTAGTAGACAAATGAAATACAATTGTAAACTGGGTCTTTCAACCCCTTTCGAGAAGACGCATCTAATTGAACAGTTGGTTGGTTTCTATACAGGAACGACTAATATACCACCCCTCCCTTTGCATAGACTTGAAAGTGTCCAAAGAGATGAGACGAATTGAGTCGTTGGTAACAGACAGTATATCTGTTTACAGGATGGAAAGATCTCCGAATTTCTCCTTGTATCCAGCTGGCATCCACTTGCCCTTTGACACGAGCGAGGCAGTCTTTTCGTCAATCTCGGGCTGGGCGGTAGCGACCTCATCCTATAATATCATTAGTATTCCTTGCCTTCAACTGAAAAGAAGAAATGAGAAAGAATGAAAAACGTACAACAGTGAGTTCATCAAACGGCCTAGCAGTCTCAATATTCTCCAAAGTCTTTTGCAAATTCACCAACTCCGCCTCCACACGACCCTTGGTCTCCTCGGCACTCTTGATAGCCTGAGCCTCAAAGGCATCTATAGCCTTGAGCTGACGGCTAACGTCATAAGTAGCAGGCTTGAAGTTCTTGAAGTGGTTTTCGATTTCGTCAATGACGGCCTGGTTCTTCAGGGTCTTGCGGTAGTACGCGAAATCGACAGTTTGGGGCTGTTCAGAGAGAAGAGTAACTTTGCGGCGGGCATCGTCGTTGCGCTTCTTGAAGGCTTGGAGGGACGCTGCGGTTTGGCCGCGAAGGCCGAGAGAACTGGTGACTTTGGTCCAGTCGATTTTGAGAGCGGCGCTACGCTGTAGTTACGTCAGTATGGCCAATTGCATCCCTGAAGAAACATTATAGTGAGAAAGCTAGTCGTAAAACATACTGGGGCAGCCATTGTGATTTCGTTGTGGTTATGAGCGGAGAAATAAGCCTAACGTGCAAACTTGATGCTTCCGGGATGTTGAGGAGGTTGTTGTTCTTTGCCGAAACTGTCACGTGATTTAAGCCGCCGAAACCCGGGACAAACAAACTCGACAAACATCTAAGTCATGAATAGCTAGCTACAATCAACGACCGTTGCATTTACCTTATGGATATGTATAGTTTGTGGAAATTTTTGATTGATGATATACATGATAATATCATGGAGCATCAACATCAGCTCCACAATTGAAAAAAAAAAATGATAAGCCTAACTAGCTAATAGGGCTTATTTTTGTTTTGAATTTAAGACATCATAAAGCAAGATCGCATGCTAATTAGCCTATATGCTAAGCGCCATAATCGAGTTGACGATATCGTTATCGTTCTCTTTCAAGGCTTTGACGGCCTTCTTTCGGGACACACTGGCTTGAGCCATGACAAGTTCAATGTCCTTGGCCTCGAGACCGGAATCATCAACCTCCTCGCCGTCGTCTTCTTCTTCTTCCTTCTTGGCCTCGGTCTCGGGAGCCTTGCCCTTGCCCTCGTGGGAGTGGTCGTGACCGGCATGTGCGTCAGAGCTGGCAGCGGCCTCGGCGGCGGCAAGTTGTTGGGCAGCGTTGACCTGAGATTGGGCATTCAAGTCTTCAATCTTGGCCTCACCGAAGATGCTATTTACAGTCAGCTCATGCCACTCCCTCTTCTTTGTGAACTGGGTATACGTACATCCAGGTGTTGGAGGAAGGAGAGCGGTAGACATCGGGCTGGTTGATGACGAAAAGGATCTGTCGTTCGTTAATATCTGTAATCCACAACTCTCTATACTGCTAAAAGTCCAAAGATTCATATCGACTTACGTTCTTAGGTCGGCGGAGAGTAACACGAGTAATACCAGGAACGTGCTTCAATCCAAGCTTTCCAATAGCCTTGCGAGCCTTCTTTTCGTTGCGCGAGTGGATGGTAACGGCAGCACCACCGGGGATTGTGGGTTCATCGCCAGCTTCAGACTCGGAGCTGCTGCCAGCGTCCTCAACACCGGCCTTGGGAACTTCCTCGTCGGGGAGTTCTTCGACTCTGGGGTTGGCCATTTTGACTTATGTGAACTCCGAAAAGCACCTATTGAGCAGACAGCGATGTCAGTATTCGTTGCGCTTTTAGCGATGTGGTCGAAGTAGTTTATAGAGAACGTGATGCTCTTTTGAGCGGGCAGTGGGCAGAACGACGGTCGAAAAATTTCTAAAAGACACAATTGACGACACAAAACTGATATATGACGTACCTGAGCGTTGCTGGAGGTTTGATGGCGAGATGTATAATTTTGGTTGTTCGTTGGTGGTGCAAGCAAGCTGTGTGAATTCCCACATTCAATTGAGGGCCGATGCGACTCTTCCCGAAAGGAGTTAGTTGGCTAGCCGAAGTGGTGCCTCAGGCACATTTTACTCTAATACATCGTCGACTATCTTATATTTGAATCATAGTCGCAATACATTTTACATTGACAAAAATTGAACAAGTAAGGACATTTCTTCGTCCTGATATTACTTTTCATTTCGTTATTCCGTAATTCTCAGAATGAAATCGGCATGTCCTCTTTGCCGTGTCCTCCAGTATCGATCTGTAGTACAACGAAGAAAAGAAGAAAAAAAATGACTCAGTTTAGGACTGTCGATTAAAATTGTCCCGGATATCAGAAGCCTCTTTTTTCCCTTTTTCTCTCAAATAAGATGGATGTGTCGCTGTTCAAAAAATAAGTTTATAATGCAACAACAGCGCATGATCACATGAACTCCAGCCATTTTTGGAAAACCACCCAACTCAGAAGAAAAGAATCATCTCCCCTTGTTTATTCTCCCCGGAACCTCTTCTTAGTAATTTAAGCAGAGGCTCTGATCTTGGCGTGAGCCTTGAGAACTTCGTAGCGGGACTGTACATCAAGTCAGCAAAGTTGTCCATATATGCCGAAGCACTTCTTCTACCGGGTTTTGTCATACCTGTTTCTTCAATCGCATAACCTTGAAGCGCTCAAAGTCGGTCAAGTTCTTTCGTCGCTCAACCTGAGCATTCTTCTTAGCCCAGCTGGAGGAGGCGAACTTGCTGTCGATTTCCTCCTTCTCCCAGAGCTTGCGGACGGGGCCAGTACCGGCGGCGCGAGGAAGCTTAGGAATGACGAAGGGAGTGAGAGTAGCGTGGGACAAGGGGAGGGCGTGACGAGGAACAGTCTTCTCTTCTTGAGTGGAAGGACCGTCGACGAGCACCTATATTCATAATCGTTAGCGATAGTTGCTTTAAATCCTCCTCCTCCCGAAATCATGTATTTCCATGCAACGTGCAAATCGACATACCCGCTTGTGGTCGATAATCTCAACAATGGTGGCCAGCTTGCCAGTGTATGGTCCTGAACGGATGAGGACCACACGGCCGACCTCCACGAGTTTCCATGACGTGGTCTTGATATCGATATTGGCGGCCATGGCGAGGACTGTCTGTAGTCACAAAGATGTTACGTTAGCGAGGTCGTCTTTTTAATGCGTGTCGGTTGAATTGTCAAAAGTCGTCTATGTGTGTGGATAATGCGAAGGAAAGCGAAAACTCACGGTCGACAACTCCGTTTGTGCGGCGGTGAATGATTGTTGTCGAGAAGAACGTTTTAACAGTCGAAGTCGTACTTACTGTGCAGGCTTGGATCGCGAATTTGGGTGGAAGGGGAGAGCGAGCCCACAATGAAGTTCTCGCTTAGAGATGGGCCAATCAGCGGGTGGTACTGGTTGTGTGCGGATTTTTTTGGTGCGCCCATCCTCTTTAGGGTTGCCTTGACTGTTTAGGTTAGCTTGACTCTATGGCGGAGGGAGTGATTTTCCATGCCGACGGAGCTAGTAAACTTTTCTTCACAGTCAACAAAACGTTTTTCATGTTTCTTAAGAGCTCCATGGCCATCTCTACAAAATAACAGCAACTCGTTCAATGCGCCAATAAATCTTCAGGTACATTGAGCAACTACTAATTACATGGTAAGTCTTGAGTTATAGTCGAATTCCTTCAGCTACATGATGCGGTAATTTGCGATTGACCCAGTCTCTGTGAAGCCCTCGCCGGGGTTTCTATACAGAACTGACGTGTGATATTCAATTTCTTACATATTCTGATTTGCTTCATCTTTCAACTTCACTGTCCACCGAACTATCTGTTGGCACTTTACTAACGTATTATCAGATACAGGTTATATTTTCACAACGGCCTGAATACAGCTCAAGCCTACCTGAATCGGTACGTTCATTCCAGCCCAGTCACTCCTCTGCCTATGATTACACTATGTTATGCCTAGATAGTAATTGACGCCTTTGGCGCCTGATATTTCCTTTAATCACCAAGATCTCTGAGGGCCCCTTTTCATTCAAGCTTTATTCCGTGCTTTCTAGTGGAACCACGCTGACGATTATTGTTGCAGATTTCGAGACGTCGCTCTTGTGTCCTTTTGGAGACATTAATCTAAGGCAGTTGTAAATTCTAGGGTAGTCCAGATAGATGAATGCATCGTCATGATCACATTAAATTACACAGCTCTACATGCTAATGATATCACTCCATATGTCATACATTCCTATATAGAAATCCAACACCGCTCGCTTTAAATGTCCAGACATGGTAGCAATCCATTATAAATGGAATCTGTCTGCCGGACCAGATTTAAGATGCAGTTGCTTTTGCAGCAGGAGGACCTTCCCGTGACAGAACCCACATGAAGATAAACTGGACGACGTAAGAGTAGATGAAGAGGAATTGTGTCCGGCGGTTACGTTGGGCGCGTGCCACAGTATGCATAGTGCCCGAACGCATCGGTGCATCGCCGGTTGAGTCAGGAAGGAGAACATATTTTAACGATCGAAGCTATGGATCGTTAGCAAGCAATATAAAAGCAGCCCATTGGTAAGTTGACACGTACCAGGAAAAAAGCATTGGCAAGGAAGGTATAAATGAAAACAGCCCAGCCAACCCAACCACCAGTCCCTCGTCCCGGAGTGATAATCCCAGCTGCCAGCAAGGTGACAATAATTCCAACAAACTTGTAACCCGAGTAGGCCACCAAGTCAAGCAATTGAGAGTCATTGCTGATGGCGAGTATATACATAGCGATTTTCAGGCAAAGGATCTCGAATATTACGACTGCCATAGCAGTTGTGGTAATAGAGCCCAGTAACTCCGGGTGGAAGCTTCCGCGCAGACCAGCCATGACAGTACACAATAGAATATACGTCACAAAGGCCATAGTAGGGATGTACATATCAGGCGAGTTCAGGTCGTCGCGCGGGGGAAGGAAGACAGAAGCATAATGTTGCGGCTGCAATTGACCGTCTGGACCTGCTGTAGCAGCCATTCGAGCCTGTTGTCGTGACCAGGGCTTATGGTACCAGGGAAATAGCACGAGCGAGAGCTTGTTCAGGACGTATGAGTTGGAAACGTTAAAGTAATGTTTTAGCGCGGGTATCGAAACGTAACGGTTTAACTGAATTTAGTCAGTTTATACGGCCAACAGCGAGACTTCGTCATATACTGCACATTTTGTTCCATATATTCTTGGCCTGCCATCATCGCCGTCTTGCCAACTTGGAATCCCATTTGAGCCGTTGGATCGGTCATGAACCCTCCAAAGTTTGGCGCAAAAGTGCCACTGGCCCCTTGAGCTGGGGCCGGCTGGTAAGGATTGTCATATCCGGATTGAGAAACTGGGGGTGGTGGTGAGCGCATCATGGGCACTGTCGAGACATGCTGCGGTACTGGGTGGTGAAGTGGAGGAGACTGCGCTGGGAGCGGAGCGAAGGGAGACCTTTGCATTTTGACCAGCGAGTGACTATTTGAAATGAATGGAAGAGATCAGAATTATACACTCATCGAAGATCTGTAGCTGGTGGTGGTCCTGAGAGGATACGAAAAATGGGTGTAACAAGGTAGATAGATTGAAGTATGAAATGTTGATGTGCTGCTGGACAAGATAGAAATAAGCTAACGTGGCCCGTGAATTGCGCCTGCCTCAGGCCTAGAAGCTCCCCACCACAGTCCAAAGATTAAGTCATGACGGATAATTAGCACTTTATCCTTTCAAGCGCACATTTCATTTCACAGACGATCAAACAGCTCGGCGTAGGATAAATTCAGATCATGCTGGACGCTTTTGAAATTGTCACCACTTCTGGTGTGGTTTTGTGGTCCCGATCGTATGCTCCAGTGGGCTCGCATATCATCAACAGTCTTATCAGCGAAGTTTTCATTGAGGAAAAGGTCATTCCTACAGATGGCGCTTCAACAGCATTCAAGAAAGAGAAATATACGTTGAAATGGCGAAGAGCAAAGGATCTGGGCTTGATATTTGTGGTATTTTACTTTTCATCGCATGTTTACCATGTTGTATAGACAGAAAGCTGATCTCGAATTCTGTCAGGCCGTCTACCAGTCGCTCCTCCATCTCAGCTGGGTTGACAAGCTATTGGACAATATTGCAATCATATTTGTGGACGTTTACAAAGATCAACTCAAAAACACGAGAGCGAGGATATACGAGTATCCCTTCGATAAATATTTCGACCAACAAGTCCGAGAATTGGAGGATACAACTGGCCCATCCATTGAAGAGTACACTGGCTCATACTACGATGGCAAGAAGAACCCTCTAGTTGCTTCGGATAATGGTGGCCCACCTCCTCCATCAGACCCTTCACTTCTTTCAGGTATGTACAGAAACCACTTTTGGTTTTAATAAATGTACTAACAAACAAAAGCGCGGCAGCAAGCTGCGCAACCCGCGGCGGCGACTTCGAATGGAAGCTCGCCAGTCGCTACACCACAATCCTCTAGACCCGCGACTCCCTCCACAAACCACCTTCTGACGGCGAAACCCGGTCCGGCTGGTCGAGTATCGCGACGCGCGCGCAAGGCAGCAAATTCTAGCGCTAACGTTTCCTCCGGAGATGAAAGTGTGCGAAAGGGAAAATCTTCGAAGGAGAAAAAGGCTCGAAAGTGGACTGCAGAAGGCCTCGCGGATGAGGATGACGGTGTGAACCTGGACTACTCGGCTGCTGCAGACGAAACAACCTCAGCCCCTGCAGTGGAAGCCGTGGCTCAGGATACATGGGGTCGAAAGACAGCCAAGGGACAGTTCGTTTTGAAGGATCTCGGTGATGAGGTCCACTCGATTCTGGAAAAAGCGGACTCTGAAAAAACTAAATCCGGTGGCAGTAGTGGGATTGTCGGGTCCAGCTTTGGCGCCATTGGTGGACTCTTCCGTAACATTGTGGGAGGAAAGATATTGAGAGAAGAAGATCTCGAAAAACCTTTGAAGGCTATGGAGGATCATCTCATGAAGAAGAATGTCGCTCGTGAAGCTGCGCTACGCCTGTGCGAGGGCGTGAAACAAGAACTTGTCGGAAAGAAGACGGCTAATTTCCAGAGTGTCGATGCCGCTTTACGGTCTGCCATGGAAGCTTCCTTACGGAAAATTCTCACTCCTACGTCGTCCTTGGATCTATTGCATGAAATACAAGCTGTTACAGCACCTACTGCAAAAGAACAAGCGCCCCGCCCCTATGTTATCTCTATTGTCGGTGTAAATGGAGTTGGCAAGTCCACAAATCTGAGCAAGATCTGTTTCTTTTTACTGCAGAACAATTATCGCGTATTAGTTGCAGCCTGTGATACCTTCCGATCTGGCGCTGTTGAGCAGTTGCGTGTACACGTGAGGAATTTGACTGAACTCAGCGCTCGCGAGAACATAGGCGAGGTCGAACTTTACGAGAAAGGATACGGCAAGGACGCAGCAAACGTTGCCAAAGACGCCGTTGCTTACGGGGCTGCAAACAAGTTCGACGTTGTATTGATCGATACTGCCGGGCGTCGACACAACGATCAGCGACTAATGTCCTCTTTGGAAAAGTTTGCGAAATTCGCCAACCCGGACAAGATCTTCATGGTTGGCGAAGCTCTTGTTGGCACGGATAGTGTGATGCAAGCACGAAATTTCAATCAAGCCTTTGGCCCAGGACGCAATCTCGACGGCTTTATTATTAGCAAGTGTGATACTGTCGGTGACATGGTGGGAACGCTTGTAAGCATGGTTCATGCCACAAGTATCCCAATTGTGTTTTTGGGAGTTGGACAACATTATGGCGATTTACGTGGATTGAGTGTTCCATGGGCTGTCGGACTGCTGATGAAGTGACAGGTCTTGTATTCTTAGACGTTCTCAAGAAATGATATGCAAGTATCAAGTATTAATCATAATTCATTTCCAACTGTATATTGAATAGTTTAGGGAAAAGGGAGGATTATTGAGGTCGCTGATTAAGACCTTTCATGGATTGGCAGAGGTATCTCTACCCAGACATTGTGTGTCGTAATGATCCCCAGAGCCATTATAGATAGGCCATGTCAATTGGGGCTGAAATTGAGAATTGACTATCATCAGTTCCAAAATACCTAATTCATCACCACCTGGGCGTCGGCCTTCCACAAAGGCGGCAATATGTCGGGTTTATAAGACCGCGATGATCCCGAGCAAATTTCTAGATCTCTCAACATCACCCTCAAGAATCAGCTTAAGACTAGCATCTCGCCATATCAAGATTATCCAGTTCCAAAATACATCGGATATCTCGGCTTGGAGTCAAGGTAAGTGAAGATCTTTCAGTGTATGACAGCAAGTCACTAACATTCTTGAAGTTTAAACATCCACATTAAATCAGAAAAGCATCGAAAAATTCAAAATGCCATACATCGAACCGAAGCATAAATACAGTCAGGAAGTCATGGACTACCTATTTCTGTGGCACCTCCGCTTATGCCATTGCCCCCTCGAATCAATCCTGATAATGGCAAACGAAGCTGTAAGGGGCATGAATCCACCCGATAATTTGCCCACTGAATCTGAGCTGGGGCCGTATCGTGAGCGTCTTGGTTGTTCTGCTTGTTTTGAGATGTTTGGATCTACGGCGGGGCCTACTCCTGAACAGGCGGCTTGAGGAGAACGAGATGAACGTCATCCTTGGGAAAGTATAAGGGATGTTGTTGGTTGAGCTCCGTGAGGTCTCATCTTTTGGAATTCATGGTGTGAAGTGATTGGGATGGAGGGTAGAGTTTACGAGAGATGGATCATGTTGAACCACATATCAAAAGACTGCTACTAGCCTGAAACTCCTTTTTTATTGACATTCAATATTGACATCAACATTGTCAGACAAGCCTTTAGAAGTATAGGAACGAGACAAGATGCTCTAGTCGAATCTCAATCAACAACATGCTGTTCGAAGCGTCTTTTCATAAAGTGCTGGAGGTAGCATGTTTGATTGCTCCTGGGCTTAACTCGGATAGCGAATCCCAACTGTAATCATCCTCGGAGTCTTCTGGTTTTCTCCGATGGCGAACCTTCTGTAACCAATGTAGCGAACGTTGCGAACGCTTCTTTATGGCACCCCTGGAGATGTCCTTATTGATCTATTCCTCTGACAAAAGAGGCACAGAGCTATTATGCAAGCTGCTATCCTTTCGAGCCTTAAAAGTAATCAGCTCTCCAAGCAAATATAACAAGAAAATCAGCACGAGTGCTATTAAGAGAGGGATGATAGCCTTCCTAAAGACGCTAATATCACCAACTCTTGAAACACTGCTGTTTTTTCCAGTACCTAGATTCAAGATAGATGTAAGGATCGAGATTGGCGTTACTAGAGATGCCCATATTGTTGTTAACAGTAGTAGTCGGTTCCTAGCTGTCGACCTCGATATGTAAGAATTCCACATTCTTGTGAATCCTATCCTCTAGTCGTTTCACGCATTCTTGTAGAAAATAGAGACCTTCCTGCAAGTGGTCAAATGAGGGTATCCTTTAGTGTTGATAATTGTGCCTCCCTTGGCTTTTGAGTATCGCAACATTGAGAGAGCTCTTTGATGGAGTGTGAATAGCATCCAGTTGCTGTCCGATGGCTCCACAATTCTATATCATCTGCATTAAGCTTCTCGGACAACCAATTGTATGCAAAAAGTTCCTGAAAGGTAAGTTCTTGCTTCTGTCTGGTGATCTCACGTTGGTAAAACTTTTCCACCCAGAATAAGTATAAGTGCTGGCTTTCAATCTCCGCCACCCAGAAACTTGCAATCAAACGACATAGATCAATGAGCAAATAGTCCGGTGCGTATGCTGCAGCATTGCGGAAGGCCTTCCAATTGAGTTGTTCATTGAGCTGGCTATTAATAATTTCTCTGAGAGAGGCGTTGCTTTTCAATGCAGTCTGAGGCCTCCGTTGCCAGTCTGACATATAGCATCATTTGTTCATATCGACATCATCCTTTAGTGATAGCTTTCGAAAGAATTCTCTGAAGACATAGTGGTTTCTTTCTGTCGGGTCTTGTAATCTCCGACCACACTTCTTCACAGCAATTACCCCTAACAAAGCAAATTAGTTTATCCATCACTACAGTAGCATGACATTGATTTGGACAAATTAGACCTTACCGAGATAGGCTTTGAAACTCGATTGGGACATTAACTTTTCATTGCCACGACGGTTACGGAAATTATTCCATAAAGTAAGTTTACAGTGTTCAGGTACTGTATTTGCATAGTTTGGTGGTCCAGTTTCCGCACCATCTGTGATTCCATGTGTCTTCTCCAAAGACTTGTACTTTTTCATCTGGGCATTATCCTTTCTGTCCAACGCTCTTTGAGCAACGAATCGGATGCAACAATGATCTTGTTGTCTAGCGTCTGTTGGTAACAGCCAGACTTTCTCCAGGAGACTGTCATCCTGAAAATATTTGTATTCTTTTCTGTGATCAATGCGCAATTTTCCTGAATCAAACCAAAACGAGCCCACGAGAAAGTCGGCCCAAAACTGCGGATCAATCTCTAATTCACTGCCCATGTGTGCGATCACTTCTGGCGTTGGGTCCTCCAAGATGATGAGTTTGTGCGAATCATTTTTCCTTACTTGATCTATAAGCTTGTTGACATCTGTGAACGTGTTGATATCAAATTGTGCATCAGACTGTCCATTAGATAGTTGGACTAAATCGATCTGATATGGTTCCTTGCGTGGCTGAACATTTTCGCTGTTGAGATAAAAATCGAGATATGAATATCCGGGATACTGGCCCGCCAAGTCTTCAATGAGTCGGCAATAACGGAGGGCAGTATCACTATCATTATAGATGTGATGTGGGAAAGATGGTCGTGTTCTCATTTCCGCATCTCCGCATCCATGTACCGGTCTGGAATGATAGTCTAGCATACTGCTGGCGTTTGCTCTTGTTTGTTTTGAAATTCAACGTTCGAGTAAAATAAAGCCGCCACTGAGGATGAGCAGGGCCTAGAGTTCTTCAGGGGGAACCAACCAGAAGCGACGAATACAATCAACAGAATTATGAACCTGTTGATGATGGCCGAGGGGAAAGCAACCGGCTTGTTCATATTTACTTGTCAGTTGAGCAGTGAAAATTGGACTGATGGACATCAGAATTATCAATACATTGAATCTGAAGCTCTACCAGGAAGAATGAGCAGACATTGACGACTCTCTTACAGGCTCGACCTGAATTAGCCCTAGAATGGCCTAAATAGGCAATGGTAGAGCAAATTACCGGATTAGGCAAGTATTTGGCACGATGACGTCACGGCCTGTAGCTTGTGTCTCCAGTTTTGCTTCTTCCAATCACAGAGTCTCGATTCCAGAAGTCGAACAATTCAAGATTTTTGGATATACCAGTTTCAAGATTGCATTTCAATTTGTAATTGCATCGTGTTGAGACCTACCTCGGGATGAGAATCGGCTATTCTTCAAGGTAGTTATGTGATGATTAGAGAGCATGAAAATCCAGACTCTCTTGCATACATTAATACTGAGAACGTTATTGGCCATATACTCCAGCACGTAAAAATGACGTCCAACATCAGGATGCAAGCAGCAGAACTGGGCAAAACGTCATGTCGCCGTATAAAGCTTCACTCTACTTTAAAGCTTCAACCTTCCCGCGTTCTGTCTTTTTCCAACCTCCCCCGCATGTTCACTGAACTTTGTTGATCCTTATTGTTCGTATATCCGACAACGATTCTACCATGACGAGCACTGTTGCTGGCGGCCTTCACAAGGTCCAGGAGGCTATTCAGTCTGCCGCGGGTCAGGACAAGAAGATTATTGATCTGTCCCGCGAAACGGCTGATGTTCATAAGAAGACGAAGTTTACTACGGACCATGGTGTGCCTGTTTCCGATACCGATCACTGGTTGAAGGTGGTCAATGATAAGACTTCTGGCCCTAGTCTGTTGGAAGATCAGATTGCTCGTGAGAAGGTAGTTCATTCACCCATTCTGTTGAGAGTATACTAACATTGGAATAGATCCATCGCTTCGATCACGAACGTATCCCAGAGCGAGTTGTCCATGCTCGTGGTACCGCGGCTTTCGGAAATTTCACCTTGAAAGAGGCTATTCCCGAATTGAGTTATGCTGGTATCCTCAATGATACGTCTAGAAAGACTCCTGTCTTTCTACGATTCTCCACTGTCCAGGGTAGCCGAGGAAGTGCCGATACTGTTCGAGATGTCCGTGGATTCGCAGTGAAGTTCTATACAGACGAGGGTAACTGGGACTTGATTGGAAACAACATTCCCGTATTCTTCATTCAGGATGCTGTCAAATTCCCAGACTTTGGTAAGTTAGATAATGACAATAATTGAGAGACATGCTAACTGTTATAGTCCACGCTGTCAAGCCTGAGCCACACAACGAAGTTCCACAAGCTCAAACAGCTCACAACAACTTCTGGGACTTCACTTTCCTTCACCCCGAGTCAACCCACATGTTCATGTGGGCCATGTCTGATCGAGCCATTCCTCGCTCTTACCGTATGATGCAAGGCTTCGGGGTCAACACATTTACACTCGTCAACAAGAAGGGCAAACGCCACTTGGTCAAGTTCCATTTCATTCCTCACCTCGGTGTCCATTCGTTGGTCTGGGATGAAGCATTGAAGTTGGCTGGTCAAGACCCCGACTTCCACCGCAAGGATCTTATGGAAGCCATTGATAACAAGGCCTACCCTAAGTGGGACTTTGCTATCCAGGTCATCCCAGAGGAGAAACAGGACGACTTTGAATTCGACCCTCTTGATGCCACCAAGATCTGGCCCGAAGAGCTCGTCCCTCTTCGCGTCATTGGCGAGCTTGAGCTCAATCGCAACATTGACGAGTTCTTCTCTCAAACCGAGCAAGTCGCTTTCTGTACCAGCCACATCGTGCCGGGTATTGATTTCTCCAACGACCCTCTCTTGCAGGGACGTAACTTCTCCTACTTTGATACACAACTTTCTCGTCTTGGAATTAACTGGGAGGAAATTCCAATCAACCGTCCAGTCTGTCCCGTCATGAACCACAATCGTGACGGCGCCATGCGTCACAGAATCACCAAGGGAACAGTCAACTACTGGCCCAACCGTTTTGATGCCGTACCACCAACCAAACCGGAGGATGGCGGATTTGTATCTTACCACGAGAAGATCCAAGGAATTAAACAACGTAGCCAGGGCCCCAAGTTCCGTGAATACCACAACCAGGCTCAGCTATTCTACAACTCGCTCAGCGACTATGAGAAGCACCACGTTGCCAAGGCTTTCAGCTTCGAGCTTGATCATTGCGATGACCCTGTTGTTTACCAGCGCATGGCCATGCGTATTGCAGAGATTGACCTTGAGCTTGCCCAGAAAGTTGCAGTTATGATCGGTGCGCCAACACCCGAAAAGGCAGGAAAGCAGAACCACGGCAAGAAAGCTCGCGGTCTTTCACAACTCGACTTCAAGCCTCGCGTGCCAACCGTGGCTAGCAGACGTATTGCCATCCTTATCGGCGATGGTTTCGACTCTGTTGCTTTTAACGGAGTGTATACCGCCGTCAAGGCCGCTGGTGCGTTACCGTTCGTCATCGGCACAAAGAGACAGCCCGTCTTCGCCGACGGCGTCGATCCTAAGACCGGAAAGGGCGTAACACCCGACCATCAGTACGATGGTATGCGCTCAACCATGTTCGACGCTACTTTCGTCCCCGGTGGACCACACGTCAAATCTTTGGCAAAGATTGGACAGATTCGCTACTGGATAGCAGAGACATTCGGCCACTTGAAAGCGCTGGGCGCAACAGGTGAGGCTGTCGATCTTGTCAAACAGGCCTTGGTGGGCATCGATGCTCTTCAGTTTGCGACTCAGGGTAGCGCTGATGTTGTGGAGTCGTATGGTGTAGTGACTGCTGCAGGTCCACAGAAACCGGAGAGTTTCAAGGAAGGTTGGAAGATGGTTAAGGGTGCGACTGATTTCTTGGGCAAGTTCTTCTTTGAGATTGGAGAGCATCGGAACTATAAGCGTGAACTTGATAGGTTGGCTGATACCCTTGCCTTCTAAACGAACACAAAAAGGCTTAAGTGGTCTTGGACACGGAATGGACTTGTTTTAAATTTGTTAATGGATAGCAATACTGGATATTGAATGATATGTATATGAGAATGAACATTAATCTATGCACATAGCTCTTCCGTACTACCCAACTCTCGTTTCAAAGCTAGCACTTCATTTGCATCAGCAACATCCCCATCACCCAGTATAGCACTAGAATGAAAGAACCTCGCACGAGGATTTTGTCTTCTCAACTCTTTCACATTCGTAGACCGCACACCCCCGCCTGCAATAATTTCGATCCTGCCATCAGCGGCATCAATTAATGAAGCTATCTGCTTCGCTCCATCCACCGCACTCCGTCCCGTTCCACCCGAGGTAAGAATAGACGCAAATCCAGCACTGATCACAGCCCCAAGCTCAGTGACCAGTTCCCGTGGAAGAAGCTTGGCTCCGCCGCTCCGTTCCTGACAGGAGGAAATAATCTCATCAAACGCACGATGAAATGTACACGGTAAAGGGGCTGCAAGTTTCACCAATTCCTCATTTCGGACGCGATCAACTTTGTTGTCGGGCGTTAGTATCCCGAATACGAAGCCGCTGACTTTTTCGAAGAAATTGGTCGTTTCATGGCTACTAGCCTCCTGCTCTTGGGATTCATTCTCCGCATTATGCTGAGGATAAATCGCTGATTTCAGGGATAGTAACTGCTCCTTCATAACTTCAAATTCCAGATCGGAGTAGACAAAATCACCACCACGGGGGCGGATCATGGCATATATAGGTATTGACTCTTTCAATATTTTTACTGATCTGCCATGAACATTTCCGTCTTCTTCTGTTGAGGAGTGTATCCGTTGAAGTGAAGTAATAACCGTCTCCAACGTGTCGATAGACGGGGTTGTCCCGCCATTTATACTTGATCCTTCGCCGCAAAGCTCGAGACGGTCGGCTGATGATTCGTATGCTATTTGGGCTGATGTTGAGTTGAAGATCGCTATTTCGAGGGAGTATGTTTCATGGTTACTGCTGTGGGAGGACATTCCTATGAATTTTTCGCTGAGCATGATGGGATGTAATCAGTAAGAGTTGGCTGGTGGGTTGCTACCAAAATCTTAAGTCTGTGCATATCTGTCATACCCCACGATCTGGACGGATTTGGTTTAGTAGCATCAAATATCATCAACCCGAGGACGAAAAGCGTCAAGACTACCTTAGCGTTGACAGCAAAAATTTCATCCCTGGGCGAATATCTTTCAAGAGGACGTGCCGAATCAGGTAATTTCCGGAACCAATTCGTCTCCTTTTGTATCGGCCACCGGGGGAAGAAATATATCCGGCTGAGACGATTGAGTTCGAGTTGTAAGGAGATACACTCGGAGGATATAAGTTGGAAGTATTGATTGAATCATAACCTTGAAATTTCGCAGTAGACTTGGATGTATTACACCCGGGTGTTGGTCTTTTCTCGTCTACATGTGACACATTAAATCAAAATCTGATTCTTTCTTCTTCATTTCTATTACTTCGATCACTTTCTCAAACGTCCATTCCCAGTCTCCGTTTACCTTTATAAACCTAGACTACTTCCTTGATTCGATTCCAATATGTCAATTTTCTTTGTCCTGTAAGGTACCCGATGCATGCATATACCGCCATCATCTCCTGTCGACATTCAGTCAAAAAATAACTATAAAAAGGTTCCGGGGATATAAGTTTAATTCCACCAAATATCGCGACCGTCTAGGGATTTAGATTCAAGCCGTGAGCTGTTGGATCGCCTACTTTTTCTGGTTACGGACCGTGTAGCTCCTTAATGAAGATATGCTTCTGGGAGCCAGTACCATTATTCACTTACTGTAGCTCAACTGCCTAGGGATCCGGGTACGTGATACCAAAATGCCGATTCGTCGCATTGTGCTTGAATCATAAAGGCAGGATTGTGGCGCGATCCAGAAGATTTCGAGTCACGAAACAGATCTCCGACCTTCTGAGACGAGATTAAATTCGGATTGTTGCAGGACAAAGACTAGCATAGATTTGGCTTTTTTCACGTTTGACATCTGACATATCCAAGCTCTGGTGATCCCATATATAAGACTGTGGGTCGAAGGAGATCGTTCTTCATGGCGAACGAACATGCCTCAAGTTCTAGACCATTAAATTCTGCTTTAAAATATAGGAAACTGCAAAAATATGTGCAGAACTATTTGTAATATCAACACTCCGGCCAGGGGGTGGACAAGGTGGACAAGGTGGACACTTTCCTTCCTCGAGTGCCTGCAAAGATATCGAACGAATCCGCTGCAAATGAGGGTACTTTTGTCTTTGAACGCGTACCTACATCCAGTAACCAATTTAACACGTATCTAAGAATAATATCAACCCTGCACGAGTGTATGTATTATTAGCTGCTGAGCTGATGATTGTGGTGGCTGTGAAAAAGATGTAGGGTATAAATGTCCGATCGAATATACGAACTCAAGTAACTAAGACATCTACTAGATTTTGTCTAGTACTCTGTGAAATAATCGATTGTCGTATTGGCTGGTTCGTCTATTGCAGATGGGAATTTCTCATAGAGGAGCAAATTTCGGCGCTTCCATGGGTACCCAGTAGACATATCCAAGACCACTCGGATTCCCTGTCATACCATGCATAAGTGGTACGAAAAATACGCCGAAGCTAAATTATTCAAGACATGTGGACATCCATTACCACCTGGATGGTAGCTCTGTTCGTACCTGTACTTAGACTGAGTACAACATTGATATCGTGACAGCAATTTTGCCGGGCTTCTTCTCCAGATTCTACTTTTGGTGCTATCATTCCTCTGGCATTATTCTGCTCATTATCAAGTGCAGACAATTTATTAATTGTGCGATTTTAGTCTGGTCGATTTGGGGGCCGGAACTGGGGGATCAGCGCGGATGCCCATGCTCATGCATAACATGAGAAAGGCTGATTTACTAAAGTAGTCGATCAGTCTATGAACGGTAGTTCAGTGAAAACCCTTACTTCTCTGAGTGGACTGCATATTAGGCAATGTATTTGGTATGGTCTGGATTTCAACTTGCCAGTAAGTGAATGGCCGTTGCACCATGAACGGGGGCTATGTCTGAGCTGACACCTCAACGAGGCTGGGCATGACGAAACATCGTTACTCGACATCCATGTCCGACTTTATCTTAAGATCCATTGGCTGATTCAATTTGTTCTGTTGGCTTCTCGAAGTTTGCCACTGTTGGAAATACATCAAGGATCCATGGTGGTGGTGAATTTAGATATTTATTTGGGACAATGATTGTATAGACCCCGGAAATCGAGAACGTCCCTCCATGAGGAAATTCTCCACAGCATCCGGAAGAGAGATTTGGACGTGTCCCATAATGTAGTTAAGAACAAGCACGTAGTAAAAATAATTTAAGTAAAAGGCGAGCGACAATGTGGCTCTCTTCCAATAACGACATCAATCAATTGCCAGGGATTGGAGGCCAGCCAAAGAACAACCTGTGACGAACTCTCGTTTAAAATGAGTTCGATGATTCCGCTGAGATACTACGTAGCATCCCGGCGGAGCATAGACACTGAAAACCTTGCTCACTAGTTGATGACAATCTAGTCAGCCAGCTGCATGACATGTGTCAACTGTTGCACTTTGTCGCCATGTGCGGTAACCCGTCATAGCGTACACGAAGGATCTTTAAGCAGTTGACGCTATGTATGCCACGCGTAGATTTGCATGTCCATGCTCACACAGTCACATCCGGCACTGGAAGGGATGCCCATAAAAATGGCCCTAACAGCCCCCAAACACTTTTCCGAAAGGAGTCGGCCCAGTCGATCATCCGTCATCTTTAGTGGACTGTGTTTATTGCTTACTTGGGCTTACCTATTTATCTGAAATTCCGAATTGCGCATAGTATTGCAGGGTATGTATAATTATTGTTTCAGCGCTTTAGAATAGTTAAACACCCCCTGGTTCCGTCTCTTTTCTCCTAGTCAACACCACGCTGTACCTGTACCTGTGCATGCGCATGCATTGCTGTTCCGTCAAGCCAGATTTTGTTATTGATTCAATTCTTCGACTATACATCCTGGTTGTGAATGAGATTTTGGGGCCAGAAAAAGGTGCAATATCGAGGATCACATTGTCAGAAGTCACTCTTCCGGACGTGAAATCTACCCTGTCTCGTCCCTCCGTACATGAAACTGGAAATTCGTCTGATTTATTTTTTCTCTTTCTTCAACTGATTTTTGTCTTTCATGTCATAGCTCCGAAGCAAGTTTCCCGGTTTTATCATTCCTCACGTCTCATCTGCTTAAATTTTCCTTTATTGATGGGATCGTCCGTTGCGGGTGAACAAAGAGAGGAAACGGTTTCGGTCCGGACTTTCCTATCCATTTGCTGAATTCGAAAATACCCTAATTTTCGAGTTTCAGAGGCTTCAAAGGAAGAATCCTTGCCTCTTTCTCTAATTCTTACTCAAGACTTGAGACGGCGGCGGGCATTCGACAAATTAGCAAGGACTTAACACGGACCACTCGTTCATCTTCAACCGAGTAAGTTTCACTATTCACGTCAGTCGAGTGTTATACGCTACGTGCAGATGCAGCTGCTTGATATCCAAAGCCTAAAGCTACCGAGGTAGTTGAGATACAAGGCGACTAACATGATGGACCGTGCTACAGATATTTTAATGTCACCTTGGACTGCAGTCCCAGGTATACCGAAGAGAACAAAGAAAGGAAAATCTGTAGTTGAAACTGATGGCATTCAAAAAGTGACAGTCGTCAGGAGTATTTACGACGTTTGCATTCCACCGGCTAGTGAGGAAACGCGACTATCTCTCCTCAGATACCAGTCAAAGAGACGGCTTATGGAACCAGCTATATCGAGAGGCGACCAGATGAATGCGATGGGGATTTTACGATCGGAGCCTGCTTTCCATCGAATGGCGCTCCGAAGAAGTGCCAGCGAGCAAATGCTCTCCAATCGTAGGCGGGACTTCTCAGAATTACAGACCGATAGCTCTAAACGAGCAAAGAATCGACAAACCCGGAAGCATGATGGTGTATCTGTACAACTACCGGCAATGATTGAAGATAATCCGATGACAAAGGTGTCCGCTTTAGATGTGTCCCCTCTCTCACTGGACATTCAACTGATGGACACCAACTTTGACATCGAAGAACTCCTGCGTGAAGCCGAAATGGAGATAGAGATGGATAATTCATCAGATACGTCAGGTCCAACGTCCTCTTCGCCTGAAATGTGGGAAGAGAAATCACGGTACTGCAGTTCTGCGTCGTCGAATTCAACTCTGAGATCGAACTTTGAAGACGGAAATGCATCATCAAGGACGAAACCAATCCAACCTCTAATTGCACATTCTAGTTCTGAGATGAAAGAAGATAGAACACCGAAAAGGCGATCACGAGAACCAAGGACGAAGCCAGTGCTGTTCTCACAGGAGACTAGAAGAAGGAAAGAACAATATCTCCAGCAAAAGCCATTACCAGCCATACCCACGACGTTGTCTATAGTCACCAACCAGAGCAACCAGCATGTCGCTGTCCTTGCATCGAAATATTCGTCAAGCGGTGATGAATCTCCCATAGATAGACTTCTTGTGTTGCAAACACAAGAAAAGGCCTTTTCACAAGCAGCTAATGAATTGGAACGAGAGCTGAAAAAGACAGCAGATCTATATCCAGTCATGAGACCCGAGCAACCACTCATCAAACTCACAAAAGACGACGAGAATGCAGTGAGCCCATTGAATGTTTCTCCAAAATACGATATCAGTTCCAAAACAGGATTCATTACGAACTCTTTAGGACCAAATCAAAGAGAGAATGTTTCGACAAGGAAGCAAAGCCACACCTACAAGGCTTTCCCTTCACCTGAAAACCCGAATCTAGCAGCTAGTAGCAATAAGATTCAACCGAACCGACACAATACCGAATCGCCTATAGACATGCAACCGGCGGAAATTACTATCAAACGAACCGCGCAAACCTCGCAGTCCCCAAGGAGCGTCTCCCATAAGATAAAGTCCTCTGTACACTTACCGCACTTGCGAAGACCTCGATTTAACAGTCACTCTGTGCATCCAAAGCAGCTTAAGGAAAATAAACGATCCAATGCATCGACAAGATATCCCGTGAAAACTCTCCGAGAAGAACAGGCGGCTTTAGCTAAGAGTACGGACCGTTACATTGACACAGAAATTGCGAAGGCTCTGAATGTGGAACATGACGAGGAAGAAGACGGTGATGCAATGGGCAGCAAAGATCCCAAAGAAAACGAATGGTCGACTATGTACCCTCTCAAAGCTGTTAAGAAGCTGGGAATCCCACTATTGACCAACAGTCATATTCCCCGGCTGTCATCCTCAGACATCGAGAGAACTGTACGGCAGCAGTTACCAAAACTTGATACCAACTCCCTTTTGATTTCATCCCCTACGTCAACAGTGTCAGAAAGAAGATATCCGGAGACACCAGAGGACATAGGTGTGCGTGTACGGTCTTTCATCGCGAACTCCATAGATGTCCAATCGCCACGTGAAGAGAATCACGATATGGATATCGGCGAAACCCTACACAATGAAAAAATATTTGTCGGCTTTGACCGGATGGAGACTATGCCTGAAGATTTTTCTCTAAAGACAGAGGAAATTTCTGTTGTGATGGATGTTCCAACTACAACACAACCGTTAAGAGCGACATTCCCTCCACGCAAAGAATCCCTGTACGAGCTAGGTGAACACGGCTCAACTCCTATACCATCAACACCTAATTCAATCTACAATATGAAGCTCTCAATGCCGGCTCAACTGACAGACGAGGTGGTGTTAGCACTCATGAGGAATGTTGACAATCTTGATGGATTGTTCAAATACGCTCAAGTAAACCGGCAGTTCTATCAGGTATTCAAAAGTAATGAGCTTCAGCTCATCAAAAATGCATTGTTCAACATGAATCCACCTGCATGGGAACTTCGAGAGATGAGTCCGCCATGGAGTGACATTTCAGACGGTCTAAAGGATCCCGACGCACCAGTCCCAGAGTACACTGCTACTTCTTATTTACAACATTATGCCCGCGACGTGTTTGCCTTGGTCAGGTTGAAAGCTTTGATATACTCAAGATGCAGTTCGATTGTGCGTTCCGAAACCATTGGCGGTTTGACCGGGGAAGATGATGTTCGTGCTTCAGAGATCGATGAAGCCTTTTGGCGAGTTTGGACCTTCTGCCGTATCTTTGGATGCGGTAAGAACAGAGAAGGCGATATCAATGGACAAATTGATTGGTTGAATGGCGGATATCTGGCGAAAAAAAGCAAGTCCGGTGCGACGGTGGTTACAGCTGAGCCATTCTTTAGCATGAACAACGTCCTTTTCGACCCCCCTGCCGGGTTTGGAGACGGCAATGGTGATGGACTGACGTGGAACCAACTGTATGACATGCTGGAAATTTGGAATTGCCTTGGGACTCTGGTCCAGGGATTTCATCGTGAGTGCAAGGAAGCCAGAGTGGCCGGCATATTCGACGGGTTGGACATTCCCGTAGGCGACATCGCAAAAGAAGAAGCCATGTTGGAAGAATGGACGCATTATCTTTTGACGTTGGGACCATCCGCTTTGGTTGGTCTGAGTTCTGTTACTTCTTCTTACTCAGCCAAAGACATTTTTGCAAAGGCCAAACAAATGGGTGTCACAAAATGGGAAGCTTCGGAGGATGGTAGTACCCGGTCATCGTTTCTTCGCGAAGCGATCTCTCGTACTTATAACAGCAGAGTGGCGATACAGCATAAACTCTCGAATTCCTCAGCATCTGATTATTCAGTTGCATCTGGACGGGAGAGAACTCGAAATTATAATTCCGCCGGTGGCAGACGACCTGGGCATTTACTCTACACTGATTGCACTGATGAGGATAACACTTCCAATCAACGTGCTCCCCCGTACACATCTCGCAATGATGACAGCGCTTTTACAGCACCATTATTGAGTCCACCGCCACGATACTCAATTACAGAGAACCGGCTCATTGACCCTGTCGACAAAGCAATTCATCGAATGGTGCACGAGCTCGGCTTCAGCGAACGTGATGCGACATGGGCTTTGAAGATAACGGATACAGGAGACATGCTGGACATTAATGCTGCTATTCAACTGCTTGTTAGAGAACGGCAAAAGCGTGACAGAGTCAAACGTTTTGACAACCCTGATGATACAACAGCATCGGGCCGGGATGATTGTCTTGTTGATATCTCGAGGCATAGAGGAATAGTGAGTTGGCGATGGGCTTGACATACCTAAGTGGTGACTGAATAGTCATCCCTTTCCTGTCTATGTTATTTCATTCATTCTTGACAGAAACCTCTGGAAATAGGCTCTACTACTTTTGTTTTAGTCAGTACTTTTTGACCTTCATTTCAGAAATAGCGCGATGGTGATCTCAGATTGTATGTTTTATGGGCTGGTGTTCTATTTAATTCATTGTGATTGCCACATTGTGTATTTCATGGATGTTACCTAAATACCCCTTTTTGTGCTAGCATATCCTTTTTCTCACACTGTCTTTCATGATAGTTGTTCCAAACTCTTTATTTTACTCTGTATGTTTTATATATTAACTACTGAACAGAAGCCCAAAAAATTTGTCCAATCAAGGCTCGACTCCCTTCCTAGAACACCATCAAAGTCGGCTTTCACCGGTGATTGTCCGTTCTTCATTGAAAGATTGCAACCTTATCCATATGTGCTCTGAGTTTCTCTAGGTGGTATGATTGACAATTTCTTAGCTGAATCTTATACACGCCCAAATAGATATCTATTCCAGACCTTGACTTCATTTAGATAAGTCCAAAAGAAGTATAATGATGTCTGGTAAAGGTAAAAGACGTACATCGGACCATACTCATGACGAATCCTCCAAGATCCGCCGTGTGCTTCTAAATCTTCCGATTCGTATTAGGCCTCGCCCACCGATGATCTGAAACGTTCAGTTGCTCGACTGGGTGTCACCAATGCCCTCGGCCAGATTTCAGAGCCTCCAGCTAGTCGTTCGGAAACCCTCCCAAACGATACTCTAGACTGCTGCAGCACATGATCTGCTCACCGAGAGCACTTCATCTCAACCGGTAATTCGCACTCTTCGGTGTTGTTTGCTAGAGGGCCTGAAGATACCGTTTCTGATTGATGCTATCCTCAACGTTGACACAATACGTAGTTTGAAGCAGCGCGTTGGATGGGATCACGAACTTGATGAACTCACAATAAATTAAGATCGGACACTCAAAGAAGACGGCCAGAAAATCTTCGAAAGACGTTTCCTCATGAGGTCCCTTCCATCTAAAGAATCCGTGACTAGAGAGGTTGAAGATGTATTGTACAATGTCCTAGAGTACGGATACATCGAGTGTAACCTCTCAGACTCGGCTATCAAACAGTTATATGAAAAAGACTGGATTCATAGAACGAAAGCGCCTGCGGACAGTTTTGTCTTGAAACCCTATCCAGCATCTCGTTGATATCATCTTTTTAATACATGCGGACCCTAAATTGGTGTTTGCAGTCTTCAGCGAAGATTTCTCTGATTTGAGTATTTACGATCATAAGCTCACTATTACTCTGACAGATTGAGGGGTGCATAAGGTTTTCCCTTGATCTTCTGCCAGATACCGATCTAATTGTCTTTAGATTCAGACATTAATGATGTCTGAATCTCATACAAACACCACTTCACGATAAATATCAAAGATTCCATTAGCTTTTACCGCCGAAAGTATCGAATCAATACATAGCCCTAACTACGCGCCCCACCATAACCTTGGAAGCCTATCATAACTTCCAGATAGAGTAAGTCTGGGATAAATCGCTGGCAGCTCAACCCGAACACTGCGGGTATGTGGTAGAACCGCCCACTGTCACTGCGTACATAAATACTTGGGTAGACCCTTCGAGCAACCTCATACTTCAATCAATCGTTACCCAGATACTAAATATACGCCTAATCTACAATATGAAACAGCTCACACACGACTCGACCATTCTCCTCGTTGGTGGAGGAACATGGGGTTGCAGCACCGCTCTGGAACTGGCTCGGCGGGGCTATAAGAATATCACAGTGTTGGACTCAAGCCCAATTCCCTCTCCTATCTCAGCCGGAAACGATGTAAACAAAATTATGGAAGAAGGTGCGCATCTTAGAATTCCAACTGGAAAAAGATATAATAGCTAATATGGTTTACCAGGCTTTCCGTCATCCACAGACTCCGATGAAGATTATGTCTGGAACCGGATGCACCAACTGGCCACCAACAAATGGAAGAGAGATTCGGTATACCGACCTTTTTATCATCCTACGGGATTTGTAATGGCCGCTTCGCAAGATGATGCTCGTCACGAAGTCGATTCATATATTAAGTCATGCCAACATAAAGTCAGACTGCTGTCTACTCCAGAGGAGTTCCGTAGTACTATGCCAGAAGGCATCCTAATCGGTGACTTTCCAGGGTGGAAGGGCTTCTTTCAAGAAACTGGTGCTGGTTGGGTGTTTGCCCGTGGAGCTCTTGAGGCTGCCTACCACGAGGCTACGAGACTGGGGGTCCAATTTGTGACGGGAGAGAGCAAGGGAAAGGTCGCCCGTCTGCTTTATGATTCCGAGAATGTGATTGGCGCTCAAACAGTTGACGGCACCAAGCATCGAGCTGATCAGACGATTCTCTGTGCGGGTGCGAATAGTGATCAGCTCTTTGATTTTGAGCGTCAGCTTCGGCCGACCGCTTGGACACTCGCTCATATACAAATGACCGATGAGGAACGGAAATTGTGGAAGGATCTCCCAGTGTTGTTCAACGTGAACTCTGGGTTCTTCATGGTAATCTTCACTAGCTCTCCATTAAGCCAATCCTTGGGTCCCGGACTGACAATTGCCAGGAACCCGACGCACAAAAAGGCGAACTGAAATTCGTCGATGAGCACCCTGGATACTGCAATTTTATCAAGGACCCAGAGACTGGCGAAGAGATGTCAATCCCTTTTGCCAAACACCAGATTCCTATACAGTCAGAACAAAAAGCAAGGGAATTCCTTCGTCAGACGGTACCTCAAATCGCCGATCGACCTTTCTCATTCGCACGTATCTGCTGGGACGCTGATACACCTGACCGAGTATTTCTCATCGATCATCATCCAAAGTACAAGTCACTTGTTCTCGCGGTTGGTGGCTCCGGAGATGGGTTTATGATGATGCCTGCTGTTGGCGTCGCAATTGCGGATGAATTAGAGGGTATTCTTGAATTGAAGCTAAAGAAGGGATTCAGATGGAGGCCCGAAACAGCGGTAGGAAGGAATTGGAGAGATACTCAGAACAGATGGGGAGGAGGCGGAGATGTGCGAGACTTTCAGAAAGTGGATGAATGGACTCATATTCGAGAATCGGTCGCTGCTTGATTTGCTATGAATAGTTAATGATCTTGGTCCAGCTGGCTTTCGGCTTGACAATGTCGAGCCTTGTCTTACTAAGGCCATTGATGCGAAATGAACAAAGCTCGGCCGTGTTCCGCGTCGACTTTCAGCCCATAATTAGATAGGACTGAGTGAACGATCGACCTGTAACCTATCACTTGGCAATTCTACCTCGATGTTGTTGTAGCATCACGAATAAGACATCAAGTCGTATCTCCCGCGAAAGAAGTCAAGTCACTGGACAGATATAAATAAGCAAACATTCCTTTCGAAACTAGATTTGAGACGGAGCGCTGAAGTTTATTACTAATCGTGCTAAGCCGCCCAACCCTCCCGGGTATTAGTGCTTACGGTGCAAAACGACATTTCGGGGTCAAAACAACATTTTACTCAACTCACCACCTAACAGGACCCCCAAAAAAGACCCGGATCTCTATAAAAAAGAGGAAACCGATATAAAGAATGCGTACGAGTGTTATCGTCAATATCCGAAGCAAAAAATCGCGAAGGTTGCGCGCGAATTCAACGTGCCTTATCGCCGCTTGCTGGCACGCGTCAACGGTCAAACTGCACTCCAGGAACGTCCTACGCAGAATAACATATTAACGAATGATCAAGAATGCGCTGTAAAAGCGTGGATAGATAATGTCGATCTCATGGGCATTCCTCCTACAAATCGAATGATTATTTCATGCGCGAATGCTATTCTTCAAGATGCCAATCCGCACGTACAGCCCCCGCCTACAGTTGGCACGGGATGGGTATATCGATTTACAAAGCGAATTGGCTACACTAGAGTCAAGCAAAAAATAATCGACCCTAAGCGACTAGAGGCAGAGGATCTTGGAGTCATACAAACTTGGTTTGATCGTCTTGAAATCCAACTCCGTATCAACAAAATTACACCTTCAAAGCTTTGGAACTTTGATGAGACTGGGTTCCAGGTTGGACAGGGGAAAAATGAGAGTATAGTTACTCAATTTCCTCGTACATCAACAAGAATTGCAAGTGCTTCATCTCGAGAATCGTTAACAATAATTGAGAGTGTTAGCGCTGCTGGAAAAGTGATCCCTCCACTTATTATTCTTAAGGGAAAACACCATATGGAGGAATGGTATCAAAATCTTTTTGAAGATGACTATTGCGTAGCTTATTCTGAGAAAGGCTACTCAAATGCTGAGCTTACGTACGAATGGCTTCATCATTTTGATCTTTCAACTCAAGAATATGCGAAGAACGGCTACCGAATGCTTCTGATGGATAATTTTAAGGCGCATCTTACGTACGAGTTTATCGAGCATTGCAGGAAGCAAAAAATCATTATTTATTGCTTTCCACCTCATACAACGCATTTTCTCCAGCCATTAGATGATATCCCTTTTCAGGCATATAAGCATTTTCATGGGATAGAGGTCAACAAGCAAATGCGCGCCGGGGCTTACGATTTTGACAAATATGATTTTCTATATCATTTGGCAACCGTACGCAATCAAACCTTCACATCAAGAATTATACGCGCTGGATTCCGTGATGTGGGAATACACCCATATAATCCAGAGCTTGTGATGGATAAACTCAACGCTGCAGAGATATTAGATGCAGTTCCTATACTGGAAATCTACGATGGGGAGGAACAAGCCATTCCGAGCTCACCAACAACAAGATCAACTTCACCACCGCTTGATTCGTACAAAATCGGTCGGCATATCAAAAAGATTGAACAGGATTTAGAGCTCATAAAAGAAGGCATCAAGCATATAAGCCCAAATCTTGAGCGCCGTGTACGCCGTATTATGAAAGGAAGCCTCATAAACGCGCAAATATCAGCATCACACCGGCGGCAGGTTAACCACCTTTTAGACGTCAACCGGCGTAAGAGTAAGGCCAAAACGCGACGTCAAATTTTGAACGTAGGAGGCGTTCTTACCGTACGAGATGCTAATACAAAAATTGAGGCTAGAAAGGTGCTAGAAATTGAGAAAAGGTGAGAGAAAAGAGAGCGGGATGAAAAGAGGCGAATTGAAGCCGCAAAGCAGAGAGCGCAAGAATTGGCCGATCCCACCAATTTATTTGCCGTTTTTGAGCCGGATTTACCTCGCAGACATCTGCTATGGAAAGTCCTTTTTTTTGGTTAGATTCTACGCCTAATGTGTTGTAAAAATGCCATTCTTGTTGTCTAGTTGAGTAAAATGTTGTTTTGACCCGAAATGTCGTTTTGCACCGTAAGCACTAATACCCGGGAGGGTGTTGGGGCGGCTTAGCACGATTACTAAGCAACATGGCGTCCACAGCGCACTAGTGTTCCGGGGTACCTGTCTCACCTAAGCGTGCTTTGCGTCCTTAGGGGCCGTTTTCCCTGTTCCTGGAGCGCTATATAAGCCTCAGGGTTTGCGATCCCCCACAGTATTGGCTTTAAGCTGCGCTATCATAAGACATCTGTTGTATCCTTTGCTGTCCTATGAGACATTCATTGTACACTGCCTTGATTCTAGGTCAACATTGTTATATTTGGGAACTGTATTGTTTATCTTGAATTCACAATCAATCTGGACCTTTCTTTATTGATCATATGATGTCAGCAAGCACTGGATAGACGGCACTGAAAAGGCCGTCTTCGTCGTTCCAATCGGACCGACGCTCTTATTAACGCCGCTCGGCCGAGTACTGGTGAGCCACGAGCAAGATAGGTATTTGGAATTGATGTGTACACTGTTCCTGAAGCGTGACATCAACTGGGCATGAAGACACTCAGCCACTTGTCCCTGTATCCTCTCCAGCGGTAAGTGGACCGTGTAAACCCTGTCTGTAGTCCGTCCCGTAAAGACGGATCGTGGCAGAGGTTTGTGTGCATCCGTAAATCCACGCTACGGGAGCAGCCCGGATATATACGTAAAATATGAGGCAAGACTTCTAGAACAGTGGCGGGAGCTTAAGGATTTGTCATGCAAAGTGGGTCCGTCGACGTGACACTAAATTTTTGCCATAAATAACAAATTTCCTTGTCAACTGCAGTGCAGCACTTTATACGCTAGTAATTTATAATTAGTATATAGCTTACTCTATTGGTTATAACCATTATAGTCTTAATTGATTGGCTGATAAATTACAGTCATACGATCTTGGCGGTATTGTTAAATTTTAGATGACACTAAAAAATTGTCATTTCCAACATCCTAGAGCCTAGCCCTAATTGGATGAAAACTTAGGGCTCCGGAACTACGGAGTTAACCAATTGGTCTGCCAGGAAACAGAGAACTTTATTAATTCTTTGAAATCAACCAACTTGGTGTGACTGACAGTTGCAAAGAATTGTTTGGAAACGCTCACTGATGACACAAGATGACCTGATCCGACGATGACAAACTCAAATCCAAGACACGCTAATATCCTGCAGATTTACATGCATATCCGCTACCACAGAACGTTATATATTAAAAGGGAAGAGGTTGATATAAAGGGGCCATGGAGAGGCGCCTGGAGATGGAGGGCATGTTGTCGAACATCACCTTCATCTTTGACTACGAGAATCGCAGGATCGTCCACTCAAGCTACATTTACCTACAAGGAGCACGACAGATCGTCATCCGCCAGCAGCTGCAACAGATGGAAAGGAACGTCCAAGCCGTTGTTGACGCCCTGAGCTCACGTCGCATCAACACCCTGACAGAACTTCGACGCATGGAGCGTATCCTCCTTACCGCCATCCAACCTCATGTCACTGACCTACGCGAAAGTTCGCTTGTGGGAGTATTGGCTACCGCTTGGCTAAATTACGTTCAAAACCACAACCTCTTAAGCGAATTGCGAAATCTAACGCGCAATTACCCCCTTAGTTCTGTCATGTTGGATGAAGCCAAGTCGTTGGTTATGAACGACCCCGAACGTAGCCACAGCTGGAATTTTGCCTGGTTGGTATTGACTAAGATTGAGGAAGAGTAAGCAATTCCCAAGGTCAGTGATAAAGATGTGTGACTTTGAAATGGTTAACGGTTGGGTCTCCATGAAACTTCCCAGAAAATTGATCGATAAACATGCCAGGGCATTAGCCACAAATGCTGATATGTGGGGAGGAATTCTGCCTCAAGAGGATATGATAACGATGCTCGAGATCAAGTGTCGCGAGGAATGGACAAGAGCCGTTGAGATCATGTTGAGGCACTGGGATACACAACCAGTATTCCCAAATGAGGGAGATTAGTAGGCAGGAGTGAAGAGAAAAACAGAAAAAGACAAAAAACAGTAAGGAAATGATCATGCTGGTGGCGTCTGGTTAAACTGTACAATGCTAGTAGGATTATGGCGGTTTGCAAAGTGTATCGTATTTATGTACTATAAATGAGGATGAATGCAGCTGTTCATTTCCTGAAATTGGTGAAGCCTCATACCTAGGTAGTTGTTATTGAACTGTTAGTTATTTGGTGTTTTTGATCGAACCCGATGCACGGGTTTCAACCATTACAAAATTACGATATATCCGCCAGCAAAGATGGTATTTCATCAAGTATTTGTCGTCACATTCCGTAACACTAGCCCCAACCCCCTGAGGTGAGGCACATCATTTTCTTCATATTCAACTACGTACGGAAAATTAGTATATATATTGATGATTCTGCTTCCATATAGATAAAGTGCTTAAAATCACAAGCTCATCAGTTAGTAGAATTGATAAAGTATGGCACACAGCGCGATACTAGGAGGAATCTACTGATCATCGACCCTTATACAGTTTCCTCTTTCGGAGATTTATATAAATACGGAGTCGGACGACTAACTACGCACTCAAGGTATTATGTCCATATCTTTGAATAGTACATATCTATCGGGCTCGTTGGATGGTGCAACGTACTGACTGAAGAGTGAGAACACACATAGTAAGATCGATTAGTCAAGTCGAACGAACTCGGTTAGCATAGTTGTACAAAGCCCGAGAAGGGCATGTAGCCTCTGAGAAATTTGCACTAAGTTTTGCCCACCATCGAGACTCCCATATGGTCTTTCCAAGGTTGCTCCAAGAAGATCATCACCGATGCCTATACTGCGGCATGCGTTTGCGTCCTGGACTCCGAGTTCAATGCGGTTCGTGCCATTCCTTATAAATAGCACGGGCCGTTCGAGCCCTGATCCACACCCGAAACACCTACATTCTGGTCTCCCTTGGAAGCGTAACATTGTAATCACTATTCCAGGAAATTCCGATGCATTTCACGAGTTTCTTTTCCATGTGTTTACGGCACGACTTCAACAGCTCAGACGACCACCAGTTTGGTCCGAAGTTTCCGTACATCAGTTACATATTGATTCTTGGAGCGAAAGCCAGCCATGGGTATGTGGAGGAAGTAAAAGTACTCCTTGCTCATGGCGCCGATTCCCAGATCGGAGCGAACAATGGCAAAACACATATCGCCCATGCTGGGACAAAAAATGATAATTATATTCTAAGTATGCTGCAAAAGGGTTGGCATTGCTGAAAAGTAAAAGACCTAAGCTAAGGCTTGTTATAAGGAGAGCTTATGTCGTTCTAGGAGACAAAGATTAAAGATTAGCAAACTAGTACTCTTCGGGCTTAAGATATCATTGTTTAGCATGTTACATGATTACAATACATACCTCAGCGAATTGAACTGATTTATTCTTTATTCAATGTCACATACTGTAACACTAACTCCGATCGGTCGCCGATGACATAATTTAATACTCCGTACTCTGATTGGCTGGCAGCAAGAGAAATCCTCTTCAGCTTCCCCTCCAATAGACGCGCTCTTTCATTGCAACTTCAGTATCCAGCCTCACCCTTTTTACTTCTTGCGCATACTCAGGCAACAGTTTTGAGGTAATTGCTGATACTGACTTGATATCTGCGGCACGCGAGCTCAGTTACTCCCGGGCTCAAAGCAAAGCTCCTGCTCAACAGCTCGCTTGTGGTTGTATGATCACTACAACGTCAATGCCTTGATCTACGACCTATATCTACCTACATAATCCCTCGAGTGGCGGCTCGATATTTACAATGGTCTCGTCAGAGTCTCAGGCCATCACTCGGAGACCGTCCACTCAACATTACCAGACGTTCTCCACACCACCGCCAAAGTCGCGTGGCCGTCCTCCATCCCACGATTCAGATCGTTCGCACAGTTTCGGTAGTCCACAGTCCAATGGCGATGACGATCAAAGCACAACGGGGCAGAATAAGCTGCCCAAGAAGCAGATGGCGGTATTGGCGATGATAGCGCTCGCAGAACAAACAGCACTGAATTCAATAAGCCCTTATCTCCCCGATATGACGTCGCGGTTCCCCGAAGTACATGGTGAAAATGTTGGAGTTTATGTCGGATTGATTGCATCGGCCTTTGCGCTGGCACAATTTATTACGAATTATTATTGGGGATGGTTATCAGATCGTGTGGGTAGGAAACCGGTGATTCTGCTGGGGACTGCTTGCACTGCTGTGTGCTTCGTGCTTTTTGGGTTTTGTACAACGTTATGGCAGGCAATCTTGGTGCAGGCTTTGATGGGGATCCTCAACGGCAACGCTGGCCTTGTATCCACTTGTCTGGGCGAGATCACGAACCGCAGTAATCAGTCGCGAGCGTTTACCTATCTTCCTGTGTTATATGGCATCGGAGGCATCACTGGTCCTCTTTTGGGCGGGTCTTTAGTCCTCAAGACTAATCCTCTGAAGAAGGGAGAACCCAACCCCTATCCATATGTGCTTCCGAATGTCATATCGGCGAGCATCCTGATCATTGATTTTATCCTTGTCATTTGTCTACTTGAAGAGAGCTTGGAGGACGCGGAGAACCTACCAACTATCACCGATAGATTCAAACAACTGTTCAGCTGGGTGTGGGAATTCACCACATCCCACCGACCGACTTACCTGCGGGTCCGGTCTGGACCGGTTTATCATCACCTGGGTACGAGACACGGGCGATCCTTTAGTGATTTGACCCACGATGAAACGGATTTGGATTCAGCTTCTGAGACGGCTGAAGAAGATGATCATCCTCCGGAGTTGACGCGGGAAGAAATCTTCAACCGGGATACCATTCTCTTATTGCTAACATACCTAATCTTCGCACTGGTGAATGTCTCTTTCAACTCTCTGTACCCCATCTTTGCTCAGGCCCCGGAACCTGCTGGTCGAGAATTAAGTCCCCAAGAGATCGGTTTATCCCTGGGTTTCTCTGGTGTCGTAACTATCATCTTCCAGATCTGCGTCTTTGGAAAGTTACGTGATAAAATGGGGAATAAATGGTCATATCGCGCGGGTCTTCTGGGCTTCGTAATCGCATTCCTGCTCATGCCGTTGATTGGTTATAAAGGCTCTGATAAAAATGGTCGTCTATCCAAAAACTCGGCTTTGTTAGCTGTTGAACTTTGCTTTGTGCTACTCGTCAAGACTGTGGCCGCTGTGGGAGGATTAACGAGTGCACTTTTACTAGTACGTCATTATCGTCATCTTACTTAAACAACCCCTACTGACCATAACCCTCAGGTGACAAACTCGGCACCAAACCACTCTGTCCTAGGCGCTCTTAACGGTCTTGCGCAGACCCTCTCCGCAGCCGGCCGTGCAGTTGGCCCATTCCTATCCGGTGGACTTTTCTCACTCGCCCAGAAATTGCAAAAGAGTGAAATGCTTGCATTCGGTGTCTTTGCTGCAGTCGCCTTTGTCGGGTTCGTGTTGAGCTTTGGTATTCGATCCTCGGCTCTTGAGGCTGCGGGGTGGAGTAGCGATGAGGATGATTTGGATAAGTCGGATGATGAAATAGAGCATGGAGCGTAAAAGTTTTCTACTCTCCTTTTATGCCTTTTCCTTGTGGGGAGATTATAATCTACTTCGCAATGCTCCATGAGATATGATTATACGTGAAAATACTACCTACGGATGTTCTGTATTAATCCTGATTAGGAGTATGCTTAAGCAACTCCTTGTCCGACCAAATAATGTGTATTTACAAATATCTAGGTATATAGGCGAAGTTAGTTCGTAGCATACCATGATCTTGGACCAGAGCTCGAACCCTAACCCTAACTACATACAACAGCCCTAATTCTCAACCCTGATCGACCCAAGAATGTTCCCCAAATCAGGTATTCCTAAAAGTATGGAATCATAGTAGGATCTCCAAATACTTACTGCATTCTAACAGAAACTATGAGCGGTCTAATTACATGGTCCCCGAACCCAATGATTCATGGAACAAACCCTTTGTTCATCTGGTCCCCGAGCAGCCTTTCCGAATCGGGTCATATTATGGACGCTCCAGCCAGCCCTTTACGATGGACTTGCTGCGCTGTGACTTGGTTACTTCGTATATATGCAGATAGGTAACTAATAGCTGCGTTGTTCCTTGTTGCAGAAAAAAAGGGTGTTTCTGTTTGAGTTCGTGAGCTGGACTGCATACGAACTTGGTTGAGGTCACAAATAGAACGCTGCCCCTTGTGTTAAGATAAAAGTTTATAATTGCTATAATTGCTTCTTTTGATACCAACGTTTCGGTTACTGGGATTCAATATGATTGACTGGAAATATACGAAGTAGAATCACATTGTTGATTGCATGTTCCACCAGATCGTTTAGGGCTGTGTGACACGCCGAGTCCGATGCCATCCACGACGACACCGGTTGCAGTTTATAGTTTAGACCCTACTCGCGATAGTTTTCAAACTTCAGAGGCGTATAGTATTAGCTTACTAACTGCAACAGACTTTACAATAACGGGAGAAAAATAACTCCAAGAAACACAGCGACTAGCTGAACGACACAGCGCCTTCAAATCGTGGCTCCTCTATTCACCAACACAAAAGAGAAATAACAAAATCCGAGTCAAACCCTACCCACGTCGACGTACACTCTACTCTACCAAAACTAAGTCCGCTTCAAAACCAGTGCAATCCAGCCAAACAAGCGATAAACAGCAATGATAGCAATGAGAATACCAACCCATTTCCCTTGGCGACCTTCGGCGTATCCGTATTGCTGCAAGACACCCGAGCCACGAATCTGGCATTGTGATGCGAGTTCGGTCTGGAACATGCATTGACAGGAGGAGCCACAGGAATAGTTTCTACGGGAGAACTCGTTTACCATCATGCCTTGGAAGACGTATGCCTTTTTCGCCGTGTTAGTATACCAAGTTAGATGAAAGCGAGAAGGGGGACAGTACCTGATAGTCAATGTAGTGGAAAACATATTTCCAAAATGGATTCAAGATTGTCGGCGTAACCAGAAATCCGCCTACACTCATCCATAATCCATTCGCAAAAGCGACCAAGGCTAAGGAAATGACAAAGTTCGGGAAAATGGATGACATGAGTACGACGAGGGATTCTGCGGCAACAAGATCGAGGAATAGCCACATGACCCAGTTAAAGAACGCAACAGCACTAGGTTCGAAGTTTGATAGCCAGTAGGCGACGATTGAGAAGAGGAGTGAAATTAAGACTAGTTTCGATTAGTCCGTGTTCAGGGATTTATTCATCTGGTTGGGGGGTGTATGCTTACATAGATATGGTAGACCGATCAGGAAATTGGATATGATGAAAGGAGTCGCCCCGTATAATCCATTTGCGCGTTCTTTGACGAATGTTGACCGGTCTTCGAGAAATGCTGGTACATATGCGACTGCCATGAAGGACATAAAAGCTGAACCAAAGAACTAGAGAATGGATATGTTGGTAAATTTGCGGATATAAAACAGGAGTAGAACATACAATAGCGTTGATAAACGGCTGGATATACTCCTGAGATGTGTGCAAGCGCAGCCACACTGTTCCCATCATAATAGCGAGACCGAGATACATGGCGATTCGAATACCGTAAGCGACAACATCCCGGTTACTCTTGATGAAAGACCGATGAATCAATGCAAGAACAATCCGATACCATGCCGGTCGCGAGCTAGCCACGTCCTCGACTAGTAGTTTCATATTCGTAGAATTCTGCCCATCTGGTGACTGCGTCGCCTGTCTCTCTGTAGTTCGTGCTTGTTCCGATTCTTGCCAGCATTTGTGGATGTATTTGAGCCGTTCCGTCGGAGTTCTGTTGGAGTTTGCCTTTTCACCAAATGCACCGACTTCATCGTCATGCGAAAAGTCTGTGCTGACGATGTCGAGAATGAATTCTGCAGGGTTAATGTGTAGTGGAACAGGATAGCCGATGGCATTGAAGTACGTTCCGACGCCGGCAGTTGGACCGAAATAGCATGTTCTGCCTTTGGAGAGAAGAAGGAGCTTGTCGAACAGCTCAAATGTGGAAGTTGAGGGTTGATGGATACTGGCTATGACGAAGAGCTTTTTGTTTCGCTGTTAGTATGGATGCAACTTTGGACGGATTGTATGAATCAAGGCTTACGTTGTTCCTTCTGGCAAGCTTCTTGAGATAGGAGATAACTTCAAAACTTGCAGTAGAGTCCAAGCCGCTCGTTGGTTCGTCCATGAAGAGTATCTTTGGCGAAGTGATCAATTGACTTGCCACGCTAACTCGACGTTTCTGTCCTCCACTGATACCCTTGCGAATAGGTGTACCGATTATGGTCTTGGCCTGTTCCTGAATGCCAAAGGCATTGAGAAGAAGTTGCACTCTGTCGTTGCGTTCGGATTTGGAGGTAGAACTGTACAAACTGCATTAGAATTTGTTATCGTAACAGTGCTTGATAGAATGCTACCTAGGAAGCGAGAGCTCTGCGCTGAATTTGAGTGTCTCCTCCACCGTCAAAGCCCCAATGAGTGTATCTTCCTGCTCGACGTAGGAACTGATACGGCTGAACGAGGAGTTGTCAATATCAGAACCGCCGACCATGGTATGCCCTGAGATCTTTGCGGATGAGGTAGGGTTCCGACGAGCGAGGAGGTTTAGCAAGGTCGTCTTGCCACAGCCAGACGGTCCCATGATTGCCATGAGCTCTCCTGTTTAATATTAGGGTTAGTTTCATACACACTGTTCATCACAAGCATAGCTCTGTCGCTAAAGGTGAAACATACCCTTCCCAACACTTCCATTCACATCGCAAATAAGATCTTTCATTTGCTTGGTTTGACGGTCCTTGACCGTGACGAATAAATCTTTCCATGAGAAGCTATGCACGGTATCGTTCAAGAGAAATCCCTGCTCGGTCTTGTTTCCTTCGATATCTATGGTGCTGTCTATGTTATCGCTCATCTTGATGGTCGATATGTCGAGAGTTTCAAGAAGAAAATTGTCAAGAGGCGTTTGGTTAGCTCTGTGCTACAACCCAGAGACTTGGAATCTACAAGGATCATGTCGAGATGTGCTGTGCTTCATATAAAAGTCTATTCTCCAGGTAAGCCTCTGGCCCCTTACTATATCACCATGACTGTAAACACCGCGTAAACTCGTCAACCATCAATTCCACACTACTAGTCAGATCCCCGAACTAGGTCTCGGTCGAGATAATTCGCGTCAAAATTAATATACAGCCTGCAATGATACCTGGCTGGATGTTTATGGCTGCAGCATGGTCTTCGTATTATTCAGCCCAGCATGACTAAGGCGCCAGGTCTTGGACTCAGATGCAGTAGGGCTGATGAATCTTGTCGGCGACCAGACGTCGGCGATGATGTGGGGCCACTCTAACTCTGTTCCAATTACCTAAAACGGCAAAATGGGATCTCAGGTTAGCCAACGAGACGAAGAGACCGAGGAAATAAGTATCTATTCGGACGAGAAGCTTGAACTGTCGGCCTGTGCTGGGAACAATGAACGCATTAATTGTCTAAACCCCCGATGGTTCGAAGATTCCGGCTTACAGAATGTAGGGCAAGCTGAAACATGCGATCGCTCATTAGCCAATGATATGTTCTCTTAAAGCCCGACAACGTATTTACGTATCACTCATACATATGTAGTCAGAGTGCCTAGGTAAATATTTGTCGGTATGTTGTACTCGGAGGACTGAAAGTACCAGGTGGCATGGCCGTGCCTATCTCACTGATCTGTCAGCTCTGTCTGCATTCACAGTGTCAATTTTGTGAGAAGTCTCCCGTAACGATACTGTCACTCTTACTTGACGAAACAAGATGATTGATTGATTCGCCAGGCATACAAGTGGCGAGGGAGAACTCGGATCAGCTTAGGCGTGCTGCATCCCCTGGCGACCTTAGGGTTAGCCCTAATAACCCTAACATGAAGTAAGGTTGAATCGGAAAAGCTTGAATCACGGGGAGAACGAAGGACTTGTCCCTGACTCGGTTTAGCCAAATTGTGCTTGTTCATCCTACTAACCAACAGATCCATAAGGCTATAACGGTCCTTGCTAATGTCGATGGATAAGATTAGATCAGATGGCGTGATAAGACGCAATTTTGGTTATCCTCCCGTGATCGACCGAGGGGCAGATATAAAAGCATCGCATGTTCTCCTGGAGGGGTCGACTTGTACCTATTTACTCCCGACAAGATACCTAAGTCCTTACCAATAAACGAAATCAAGATGCCGGAGTTCATTAGCGTCACCTTCCCCAACGCGTCAACGGAGATAAATCCGTTACCAAATGCTGCCATCGATCCGAATTATCTTATTCGATATGCTCGGACTCTAGATGACTACGGCTTCAACTATACGCTCGTACCGTACGACTCATCTTCGTTTGATCCTTTCACCATAGGAGCAACAATCCTGTCCGTGACGAAACAGATCAAGGTTATAATAGCACTTCGCCCGAATACGGTCCCTCCCACCGTTGCGGCTAAGTCACTGGCAACCCTCGACCAACTAGGTGGTGGACGTGTGGTTGTCCATCTTATTGCCGGAGGCAGTGATGCGGAACAGGCAAAGGAAGGCGATTTCTTGACCAAAGATCAACGCTATGGACGTCTCGAAGATTATATCCGCATCTTACGGCGCGCATGGGAGTCAGCCGAACCATTCGATTGGGATAGCCAGTACTTCAAGTTCAAACAATTTAGCAATAGAGTACGACCAACTAATAAGACTATCCCGGTTTCTGTCGGTGGTTCATCCGACGAGGCATATCGTATCGGTGGCTCGCTTGGTGATATTTTTGGACTTTGGGGAGAACCCCTAAAGGAGACCAAGGAGCAGATTGAACGCATCTATGCTGAGGCCGAGAAGGCAGGTCGCACTGATCGTCCTCGGATTTGGGTGACGTTCCGTCCTATCGTGGCTGAAACCGATGATCTTGCATGGGAAAAGGCACACCGAACCCTCGATGCACTGACCGTCAATCGTGCAAATGGGCAAGGAAAAGTTCCCCCTGTTGCGCCTCCACCGCAGAATGTTGGATCTCAACGTTTACTTGAGATTGCTGCTCGTGGAGAGGTTCAAGATCGAGCCCTGTGGTATCCTACTGTGACTGCAACTAATGCACGAGGAGCGTCAACGGCGTTGGTCGGTTCTCCAGAGACTATTTCTGAGTCTATTTTGGATTATATTAAGCTTGGTGCTGATCTTATTTCTATTCGTGGATACGATAACCTGAATGATGCTATCGACTATGGTCGTTATATCTTGCCTAGAGTCCGGGCTTCACTCAGCGCAGTCACGTCTAGCTAAATAATGAAGGCCGACATACCTAGGTACTGAAAGATGTAGGGCAAAGGGGTCTGGAAAGTTCCCCATTTTATTGCGGAAACATACTCTTAACTACAATGAAAAGACCTGCTTCCGAGGAAGTGGTCAGTTGTCCGATACGTACCTAGGTACAAAATAGTATATATTCAGTTGGCTGGAGTACTCCGTACACACTTAAGATACTAAATGACATGATTTTAGTTCCGTGACTTACACTCTGGGCCAGAAAAGCTGCGCGTATACCAGATGTAAACCAATCCGTTTAGAACCGTAGAGTACACTATGCGCAGTCTCAAGGATTGGAAACAGTGATTGTGACCCTCAGATGGTTCAAATACCGGTATCCATGAGCGGATTGTGTGGTACAAGAAGACTATATGTCAATTGTGATTCCATGTCTGGCTTCGCTACGAGGATCGTTAATTCACCAAGTAATGTCTTTCTCCAATTTCGATGCCTCTTGAGCTATTTCCTTGCGAACCAGGAACCATTGTTGATCCAGTAAATGATTGAATGATTGATTAAATTGATGCTCAATCACTTCTTAGATAACAATGGCTCCTGGTTCGCAACCCCTTGCACATTCGGCCTAGATTTCTGTTTTGCTCAGCTCAGCCGTCACAGGTTACCCCGGCCGGTATTGAGACATTGGTACAGGAGTACCCAACTTCCACCGCAGTTGAAGATCCACATCGATCCGAATGTATAGGCTTATAAGCTCAGTCGGCTGGGTTTTTCCAATCGGATCTCTCGAAAGTTGTCGCTTCACAGCAGCAGATGAAGCCAGTTACCTCCGTGAATCTTGTTATACAGGAGGTGTAGCCCGAGCCGTAAATGCAGCTCATTATTCAAGTCATCCTCTGTCCACACATGGCTTGGTGGAGGTCAAGTAATTCTAGCTGATGCCGCGTCTGATCATCCGGCTGACTGTCTTTGGTAAAGTTCTGCGCATTTTCAGGGCTTTCCCATGTTACCAATAGCCACTGATTGTTCCTGGAATATATACTCGCAATTGATATAGTCTTTAAATGAAGATATCCTAAGACGGTCATGTATTCTGAGTAAAATTGACTACTTGAGAAGGATCCCTTGATCCTATGGAGTGATGTTTTGATTATCCTCACACATCTATAGGAGGTCTTCAATCAGCTGGTCTAGCCTTTCCTTCACCTTGAACATGTTGGTCGCCTTGAAAAGCTCTTTCGTTTTGATCCATTGTCTGTCTGCGGCATGGTGATATGCGGCTGTGATTGCTTCGGCCTTCTTGCGAAGTTCGTCACTCGTCATCCGGTGTTTTGCCCGATTCGCTTGCGGCGATACCCTTGTGTTGAACTAGAAGCTCGTCATGCGTGATTTTGTTGACCATAGCGAGGGCAAAAATGTCTTCGGCTGTCATCGTCGGCAGTAGTTTAGATGCGAATCTAGGAGTTGTACCAGTGATGCCCCTGCTTTAATCAAAAATGGGTTGGCCGAGACAACTGTTCCGCTCTTTTTGAGAACTGGAATATATACCGTTCAGCTAAAACGAGTCCTGTTTGCGTTTCCCCTGCTGCTGCTTAAGGTCTGATCGGACTTGTCCTTAACACCAGCCTCTTGCAAATACGCTTGTAAACCCGCATAAACAACTCCTTTACGTAGCCTGTCTTCCGCAAGCTCGACCTCAGCGTTGACAATTTCGAAAAAGGAACCTAGCTCTGGCGGTGGCTCTGAGCTTTCATAGATCGGCTCGTTTGGCTCTTTGAAACCTTCAAAGACAACTTTGATAAGGAAGTCCGTCTTGTTTTTTGGTATATCGGAGAAAACCTCCACCGTTTGTTCCTAGTAGGCACCGTAAGCTCCTTATCATGTGGAGTGCTGGTATTCTTTTTCGATGAATGGCCACTCACCAGAAACTGTTGGAACTAACCAACTAGACCAAAAGCTGTGTGTATACTAGACAATCTCATATGGTAGTATATGCCTATGTATAGGCAGAGGTGGTCAGGGGTATGTATAGAGCCGTGGAGGGATGCGGGATGCTGATATATGTTTTGCTGAGGAGAGAAGAAAAGAGTAAATGGAAGAGAAAAAGTGGCAGAAAGAGAAATTTATAAGGAGAAAGCGAAAAAAAAAGTGTGTGAGGAAAGTCTTAAGCGAGGATAAGGGGGCAAAGTGCTGGGCAACCAGGCCAAAGGACGACAAGCAAAATCACAATAAAAATTTTCTAATAATGTAACATTCCTTTATTTGTCTCATATGTATTCCTGTATTATCCATTCCTGTTTGTATCTTTGTATGGTACAGTTTGGTATAATCTGGAAGGCCTCCCCAGGTCCAGATCAGTAAGACTATAAGTTGTCTGCAATCTCAATACTATAGGGGCCTGTTTCCTATACCGGTTGCACATATCAGGCCAGCGTCATCCTGGATTACCCCCAGCAATCCGTAAGTCATATTACCAAGCCAGAATATCGTGTCGTTGGGCATTCGTCCTTGTCGTTTTACCGCTCAGGCAATCCAGTTCTTTACACACTAATCAAGTGAGCACTCTTATGTTATCTTGAGGAGGATACATCAAAGGACTTACGACTTTCAGCTTGTAAAAACTTTTCACTAGTCTTTGCCTTGTTCATTGCAGGTGTAACTTCTTTTCCCAGTGCTCTTTCGACTCTCAAATGTGATTTCAGTTGGACGAGGATTGCAGATTGAATATCTGTCTGTATTAGCAGATCCATTCCGTAAAACATAAAATCGAAACGGAAGGGAAACACCTTTATTTTTATCATCCACGAGCTGCAAAGATTGCTCAAGAGCTTTGGCTTGAGAGCTGACCATCCCTTCAATCTGCGACGCGATTGCTTTTTCAGCCTCTATTGTGGATTTGGTCGAGCTGGAAATGAGGTCCCAGCGGATTTGCGTCTTTGTTGAAGATGACGGGGTCAAGATAATCGAGTACCAGAGATTTGTATTCGGAATCCTATATACCGTTGAACAAGGGAATAAGTGTAAAGCTGATGTGTGGCTATGGTTTTTTCCCAACCAGGAGGGTAATAGGGATGGCCTCGGTCGTTGGGGGATTCCAATATTGAAGGTATTCGAATCAACTACTCATTGAACCGATTCAGCAACACATGAAATTCCTAGCAGGACAGCTATACTTACTGGCGCTCTTCCAGTTAAATCCTCCTTCAACCGTCCTCCCATCCACCCATCGACATTTATTTCCTCCCAAACCCAAGAATAAATCCACCGCCTCTTTTTCCTTCTTATCTCCTCCGATGTCCCCATCGTTCACCCTCGCCGCATCCAAATTAACCCAAACCGTACCGGATTCCTCGCTTACCCTCAACGGAACCTCAAGTAACCCATTATCATCCTTCCTAAATCCCGGAACACCATCAAACATAGGCGCTTTCACCAAACGGCCCATCACATCGTAACTCCATCCATGATACTTGCACCCTAGCACAGTACTACTACCCGATTCCTTCCGTGTAACCGTGTAGGCTCGATGACGACAGACATTATGAAATGCGCGGATTTTAAAATCTTTGCCCAGAATCAGGAAAATCGAGTAGCCGCATATCGTGAATGTGTGGTAGTCGCCCGGTTTCGAGAAGAGGCTTGTATGAGTAAGGAGAATCCAGCACTACATGAATATGGAAATGGAAATGTCAAAAACGCCATGTATGAATTAGCGGATACTCCTTCATATTTGATATGGTATTATTGCTTGGGTGCGTCGGGGTTATCAACCTTGGAAAAAATGGCTCGTGTTTCGAGATTGTAATTGTCCGTTGAAGAGAACCAGTCAGGAGGGAACTCCGCTTCTTTGGTCACTACTGACTCCGCCTTAGTCATTGAATTCAATTTCTTCGCCGGTTTGAATTCCATTGGAGAGCGTTTATGTTCCTTGTCACTTTCGTTGAGGGCAAAATATCTGGTGAATCCAAGGATAGAGATGACGCCGAGGACGACACCGACCAGGATTCCTACAAAGAACGTTGATGTCTCTGTCATTATGACAGCAATATCGACTCTATCAAATTGGTTTAATGTAATGAGATTCGAAACAGTCTTGTTTGCTAGAGTCGTACTTCGATGATTAAATACGTCGTTGAATTAACTAACATATGCATTTCACTAGCTAAGTTACCTAGTGCAGCTCAATTACAGATAATGGAGCATCACGATAATTTCGAGACTTGCAGATACGGAGTTATTATCATCAAGCAATTAAGCAATGACTTTAATCAACCTGCATCCTTACAGCCCATGAGGCGGCGAATAGACATCAAGCACAAAAATAGTTTCCTATTTAGGAAACAATTTCCTTTTTGGACCGATCCGCAGAAATGTCCAAGCGCTGAGTCAGGATTAATCACCACGAATTTACGTCATTTGGGTAGTAAAAAATGCTCAATGTCTGAAATCACATGGTGTCTAGAAGGTGTCGGAACGTTGGTTTACTAGAGCGATGACTAAGCGAAGGCGAGCACTAACGTAATTCACCACCGAAGCGGCACCACTACCGAGCCGGCATTTTTTCCCGAGCGCGTACACGATATTGATTTTATATTATTCAACACGTCAATATGCCACCAATTCGCAATAAAAACCGGAAAAATTTAGATGAGCAAGAGGGACGAATCTTATTAGCAATTTCCGATTTACAGAATGGCCGAATTCAACGTGTAGCTCAAGCTGCAAGGATTTACGAGATCCCCCGGACAACTTTACAAGATAGACTCAATGGTATTCAACAAAGATCTCTCGTACGCGCCAACAGCCATAAATTGACTCAATATGAAGAGGAATCGCTTGTCAAATGGGTGCTTGATTTAGATCGACGTGGATTACCCCCCCGGCATTCTCTTGTACGAGAAATGGCTAATTATATACTTTCACAACATGGCAAACCACAAGTTGGAAAAAATTGGATAACTAAACTGATTAAACGCCGTCCAGAGATCGATTCCAAATTCGCAAGGAAATACAACTACGAACGTGCTAAATGCGAAGATCCAAAGATAATACAAGAACATTTTGATCGCGTACAAGCTGCTATATCTGAGTACGGCATCTTACCGGAAGATATATTCAACTTTGATGAGACTGGCTTTGCTATGGGACTCTGTGCAACTGCAAAGGTTATTACTGGAAGCGATCGATATGCTCAGCCGAAGCTTTTACAGCCTGGAAATCGAGAATGGGTGACTGCAATTGAAGCAACAAATTCAACTGGATGGGCTGTGCCTTCGTACGTGATTTTCAAAGCAAAGAAAAACGTACGAGAAGGCTGGTTTGATGATCTTCCAGATGATTGGCGAATCAATATTAGCGATAATGGCTGGACTACAGATCAGATAGGATTAGAATGGCTTAAAACCCATTTTATTCCCTATATTAATGGTCGTACGGTTGGAAAATATCGAATGTTGATTCTTGATGGCCATGGAAGCCATTTGACACCAGAATTTGACCATATATGTACTGAGAATAATATTATTCCAGTCTGTATGCCACCTCATTCTTCGCATCTCTTACAGCCTCTTGATGTTGGCTGTTTTGCTGTTTTAAAGCGACATTATGGGCAGCTTGTTGAGCAACGAATGAGGCTTGGTTTCAATCATATTGATAAAATGGACTTCTTAACAGCATTTCCACAGGCTCGTACAGTGGCATATAAAGCTCAAACTATTCGGAATAGCTTCGCAGCCACTGGATTAGTGCCTTTCAATCCAGATCGAGTTATACAACAGCTTAATATTCGATTGAAGACACCAACCCCCCCTCCAAGTCGATCAAGCAATACGGCATCATCCTGCTTACAAACACCTCAAAATATACGCCAATTTATACGCCAGTCGACTACAATCAATAAACGTATAAATGAGCGTACAGAAAGCAACCAAAATCAAGAAATCAATCAGGCAGTTGTACGGTTGTCAAAAGCCTACGAAATGATAGCGAATGATGTTTTACTCGTACGGAAAGAGAACTACGATTTACGAGCTGCACATGAGAAAGAGAAGCAAAAGCGCCAAAAATCTAAAAAGCAAATATCTATTGAGCAAGGGGTTACTAAAGAAGAAGTGCAAGCGCTCGTACAAGGTCAGGTTGAGGCATCCCATGCTGTTACTACTACTCCGGCTGAGCCGGAGCTCCCAGCTTCTCAAGCAGTCGTACGCCGCCAATATCGCTGCAGTGGTTGTAACGTTATGGGGCATAGAATTAACCAATGCCCTAGTCATATTAGTAGTTAGATTTTTGTATATAATTTGTATGTGGCTTTGAAAATTGGGATTTGAAATCAATATCGCGTACGCGCTCGGGAAAAAATGCCGGCTCGGTAGTGGTGCCGCTTCGGTGGTGAATTACGTTAAACAATACGTATAAGGAACTAGGTCTATTGTCCGGCACTCCTCTCTAACCACTATCTAGGAGTATTGAACCTGTTTTTATATACAAGATTCCATAGAAGTGATATCACCAAAAGTCGACACTTGTGCAAATCGAACTTTCTAGAGATAGGCTGTAAAGTTGATTTGTAATGTTCAATATCGCGTCGGAATGTGATGCCAATTCTCGAAATTTCTTGATACGCAAATCTTGTCCTATTCCCAAATTGGTTTAGTTCATTCTGAGTTCCAACAGAAGGGTTCTATGGATGTTATTTCACTTTGTGGGCATGCTGTTCAAATGCTTGAGTATTCGGTGACAATTGTTGTCAATCTTGTAGAGTCCCCTAGGGTATCCTATCCATTGAACATGAAGAGGTAAGTTATATTATATGCTGTAATACTAGCTCAAGCCTCGATTTTGACCATTCTTGAAGTATGCGCCGAATCAGTTCCTGAACTATCGCCTTGTGCCTCATGTTTATCTCTCTCCTCCTCAAATTGCTGTCGAACAAGATCGAAAACTCTTTCTTGATAGTCTGCGACAATCATGTCAGCAAGTTCCCCACTAATGAGAGAAATAGATGTGTTGTCAATTCAAAGGTTAAATGCAAACTCACATGCAACACCACTTTCTTTCTCCGGATTCAGAATACCCTCCCCATAAACGCCTCTCTCCAAGTTCGTCTGGGCCTTTTCACACAACTCGAAATCTTCCATCGCCACCTGTCTGGTGAATTGAAAGTACTCTTCAAACTTTGCACCTTCTTCTAGATGGTAGTAGTCAAATTCCATCCTGGTAACTCCCGGATCCTCCGTTGGACAGACCCGAAACGAACTCATGCCACCGCCATAGACGTTCAGCGTACATATCGGGAAGAAATATAAGAACAACCCGTCATCCGGTTTCTTCGGATCTGCAACGTGCTGCGAAAAGTTTTGGTGATTATATACCGTATAGAATGTTGGCGGATAGTAGACGCTGAATGATGGGTGTGTATACTGGCAATGTAGACATTCCTGATACCCGTCTACCATTGTCTTCCAGTTGAAGTTCCCTTCGTATTTTATACTACGTCTCCAGGGGCGTTTTGTGAAGTCAACTTTGGCAAGTAGTTGTTCAAGGTCGGGGAAAAATTCATGGAATGACGGAGCTGATGGGCTCAATGCTGCGAATAAAAGTCCTGTTGGCGTTACATGGCTGGGCAGTGGGTCACCCTAAGTAGTGATAATCGTAAGTCACTGATATTTTGGTGCAAGTCTTGAAGTTACTGTCCTACCGTGCTGGCATCAAATACTTTCAAATCGTCCTTGCCTGGAAATTCAGTCGCTGCAGAAACGCGTATAGCATAAATCTGTCGCTGTGCGATTTCGAAGCTGACTTTCTCGTCCACATCCAGGAATCGAACAACAGGTCCGATCAAGTACCACGACTGTTGAGATAGACTTAGTAATGACGTGACGTTGAAAGTATAACATTGCTACGCACCTTCAGAAAAACTGCCCGTCTTTCCAGCTGATACAAGGGCGAACTACAATACCACGACGCTGGCAATGTGCGAGCCAATTCTGCCATTTTCAGTCTTCGGGAATAGCGACTTTACCTTTATCAATCTATTCTTGACCTTATTCCACACCTTTATCAGAAGAACAAGTTAATTCTATACGTTTCACAATATTTGACCCTTCACCGCGCTATTGGTTGATGTATCCGGATTCCAAAATGGGATATCAGATCCCGAAATATAGCGTAGCCTATATCTGCCAATAAGCTTAACAAATTGTCTTTAATTGATCATTTGATTACTTTGAAGTATCAGAGAGTGACCTGACTCGTGGTGTCCGTCATTGGGAGTCGTTGTTCCAACACTATTATGTACTTTGTGGGTTGATGGTGATCAAAAGTATGATATTATGCTTTGAACATACCACGACAGATAGAAGGCTAGAATGTAGTATATTATTGCAGCTTCCTAATCAGGAAATAGGTCTCGTCTTCGCAGAGAAAGCCAAAGTAACAGATAAGACCCTACTGCGGGCATCGTCCATGGATGATGGATGCTTAATTCTTATAGGATTTAGGGATGCGGTGACAGTCAAGGCCCCAGATTTTTATACTAGAATCAAAAGAGAGCCATGTCATAGTGTCAAATTCGAATGGCCATAATACAACTAAATGCCCTTTATGTATATTAGGGTTAGGGCACAGAATCTGGGTCAAGCATCCTTAGCGCTGAGCAATTTAGTCATTGAAATCTTCAATCATTATCCGGACAGCAATAGCAGTCCCTCTCAATAAGAAATCCAAGCCAAGTTATGAGTGACGAACTTTCAACATGGGAAATATCATCTTCCCTATCATCGCTAGTCTTTATCGGAACACATCAACTTTTCGTCTCAGTGAGCGGACCACTTCGTCATCATCGACTGGTACAGCCCAATCCTTCCGAGTCCAACGCTGTTGCGGAGTATGATACTAAAACATGGACGAATGAACCGACTGTAATCATCTTCCCTGGAGCGGGCGAATCATCCTCATCCTGGCCCCGCGTACAAGAAAGCGTCTCCCGCTTCGCACGAATCTTTCTATATGACCGAACCGGTCTCGGGAAAAGTGAAAACTATACTCACAGTAATCAAAACAATAAAGGAGCGGCAATTATCGCAGCGGAAGAACTTTGCTCACTTCTTGACGAGACTCGCATAACTGGTCCGTATATACTCGTCGCGCATTCATACGGAGCCATTGTTGCGCGCGAATTTCTACATCTGAGATCAAATGAAGTAGCTGGTATGGTCCTCGCTGAGGCCTCTACAGAAAGGCAGCCGCAATATTTCCGTTTGCCAGACCCGAACATGACGGCTGTTATGGCTAATCTGAAATTTTCCGCTGTCATTGGATTGAGAGCTAATGCACGGCTGTCGTCTGATGAGTGGAGAACCAGAGCAATTGAAATGAGTCAAAGTGCACCAGCAATACAGGAAGAAGTTGCCGGATATGAAACAGTGTGCAGGCAACTAGGCGAGAAGAACCAATTCAAGGCGCAAGTGCTAGGAGACAGACCTCTGAGCGTGATCAAATGCCAATCATTCCGAGACTATGAGAAGATGTATGAAGCTGGTTTAGAGGTTGAAAACGGCACTGAAGAGCAGCGTCAGGCGTTTCGAAGGCTGTTGGATAATTGGGATGGCTATTCCGAGGAGTTGCAGCGCGAGCAATTGCAACTTTCGTCAAATTCGCGGTGGGTGGAGGTTGCTGACTGTGGTCATAACGTCAATATTCTGCGGCCTGATGTGATAGTGTCGGAGATACGATGGGTCCTTGGGTGCAAAAGTACTGACGAGTTGCGGTTATAGTTCGCTGCCGGTGATTATTAGTGCATTCAAGTTTTGTTATCAAGTAGGTGCGATCACCTTATAGCTTATTATGAGCGTTTTCCACCAATCTAAACAACTTTATCATGATGATCATTATTGAAACATAAGACAATAGAAAGAGACGCATATCATGTCCACCCAACAATATACAAGAATGCCTCGCCCATATATCCATTCATCATCAGGCCCTGTGCATACTCACTCAATCTAGAGTCTGGGATGTCCAGAGCTTCAAAATATTCTTTCTCTCCACCACCCCCCCGGGCTCGCACTCTTTTCTCCACAAGATTCTTCATCATCTGCTCACCCGGAGCAACAACCAGATAGATGGCTGCTGATTGCTCCATCGGTGTGATAGATACCGATTCTTGTAATGCAGGAGTCAGCCATTGATGGCCAGTGAGCGTGGAAGGTATCATGCCCGCGGGCATTTTCCCTGCAAACGTGGAGACGGCTGTTGTCCCTGGTAAAGAGACTTGACTGAAGCCAGACTCCGTTAAATTGCCGATAATGGTATATCTGATATCGGCTTCTGGGGAAAATAGTAGGAGCGTATTGACGTGTGAACTCAATTTCATGCGGAAAGTTGTGAAGTTCCGTGGGTCAAGATATACGGTATGACTAGCTGTGATGCTAGGGGGTGTAGTGCCTCTCTCGGTAGGAAGGATCATGTTGAGCGCATCATTTTGTACGGCTGGAGGACACCGAGGGGTTATTGCAACCGATCTAGATTCGCGAAGAGTCACTGACGGTATACAGGATAAATTATGTAGCAAGCGACCTTTCTCGTGACAAGCAGCGCTGCAGAAACGGACGACGTGGCAAGCTTAACGCGGTTAGCAATGTATATTCAACAGCTCCTCCAAATACAGAATATAGACTTACTATTACACAAAGACGTCGTTGTCGATCGGCAGAATGTACAAGGTCCGTCTTCAAACATCTCCCATGCGCGTCTCTCGGCAGTCAAAACTTCACGTCGATGAATCAAATCAGTCACCCGATTCCGAGCATAATCCATACGAGACCGTGATGGATGGCCTAAAGGGGTTTTGTGCGCCGATTGCAGAAGTTGACCGTAATTTTTGATGGCTTCATCAAAATGTCCCAGATGCTCCAAAGCCACGCACAATGCACTTAGCGCATCAAAAAACTCCAACGAGTCCAATTCATTGCCACCACTGGTCTCATCTAATAGAGACAGGAATATTTCACATGCATCTCGATTCAGGCCCGCTTCCATATAAGCCCGTCCTAACGTTTGAAGCACGCGAAAGCTTTCGGAAGAACGGGTTCGTCGGTAGTGATCGAGGATCGATTTGACATCTGCTGGGAAGTCAAAGTTCTCAGACTCCTCAAGGTACTTGATGAGTGTGTCCCGCGTCAGTGGGCTTTCATAGCCCACCACATTCTTACAGTGGGGGAGCATCTTTCGAGACATGGCGAGTGAATTTTCGTTTAAACCAAGCTTCTGGTAGAGAATTGATAGGTGGTTCATAGCAACCAGTGTGGTTTCATTCTGTAAGCCCAGGACAGTTCCAAATGCCGGGACAGCTTCTTCAAGGAGCTGTAATGCAGATTCAAGGTCTCCCAGACTCATCTTTATGTTTGCTAGCTCCTGCATGGAATTCAGTGTTTCCGGGTCATTGTGTCCTAGTACCCTCAATCGACCAGCCAACACTCTTTCATAGAGAGCCGACGCCTCCGTCGCATAGCCGTCCTTTTCACACAGTTTGGCAATGTCGTTCAGTAAAGAATAGGTGACACTCTGATCACGTCCATATATCCTTCTATAGATTGCTAATGCCTTAAGGAAGTAAAACTCCGACTCCCCAGCCGCTCCGAGAGAACTATAGACAGACCCCAAACGGTGGTATGTACCGGATTTGATGCGAAGATCTGTATCCAGGGTCGGATACATACGGAGAATATCCAGAATTTCCTTGTATGCGAGAATAGCGTCCCTCGGATTCCCACCTTCCAGATCTGTCTCGGCGCGAATTTGTAATGAGGTTATCTGAGATATGATTGATGCAAGTGACATATTTGCAGACACCACGGAGTAGATGTGAGCCACTTGCTCCATCTGAAGCACGCGACGTCGTCCAGACTTGTCTTCGACAACGGCTCCATCAGCCGATATTCTCACGTGGATGAATGGATTGCTATCACTGTCGCCAGTTTCATCTAGGCGCGGTGATACGATCTCCGTCTTCTCTAATTTTCCCAGAATCCCGCTGCTCGTGCGACTGTCACTCCTTGATGTCTCTCTACTTTTCTTGGGCTTTGACACAAATGAGAACCGTACAGAATTCTCCTTTTTCCTCAATTTACGAGGTTGGCTAGATGATGTATCTGATCTGGACAGCCCTGGTTTACGTCAGTAAGCGATAGCTGAACGATAGAAGTTTACTCACTTTTTGGTAGTCTCAACCCTAGGACCGATTTCAGAAGAGACATTCGACGTGGAACAGTGGCAGTTTTATCTTCATCGAGAGATGACCGCTGATTTTCTGCAAAATTCTCTTTCTCGCTGCATGTTGGTGAATCGAGGCATTTGTCGTCTAACACACATTGTCACCAGGTATGTAGCATTCACTAGCTATTCAAATTACTTACCATTGCCTTTCATATCCAGCCAAGTGGTGAACTGGGCCATGGGAAAGTCCACAACAGTACCCGCCTCCACATCTTGTAGTTTACCATCTGCAGCATGGACTGACTTGACTTTAGTATCACACAATCAAACATTTGCGACCTGACCAGAGAATGGATAACTACCTCTTTCCATATCCTCAGGAAGTGAGAAAGCAATCGCCACTATTTCTCCATCTTCACCTTTTCCGGCCTCTGCTTTTATTAGTTCCATTCTATGAAACAGGAAGGGCGTACATACTTTTCGTAGACAAGGCATCGAGAAGCCTTTGAGACTTCCGCTTGTGCACCTTCCTCATAGCGTTTTCGGTGGGGTTTAATGGAATAGACATCGAACCTGTATGAGTGACTTGAGGATGGCTGGAAGCTCGCTGGTGGGAAGTGCTGGAGTTAACCTCCTTTCGCACATGCCGGAATTCCATATCGTCATGATAGTCATAGTGTAGTCGTAATTCGTATCTGTACATATTCAGTTCTTGTCCTCATACAAACACTTTCAAGAAGCGTACGGAGTATCGCATTTTTGGCCGCATTGGACACACTTGAGATCGAGATCATCTGTTTGATCTAGTAGCAAGTTAGTCATCTGTTCTACCTTGAGAGTCGCGTAGACATACGCAAATTCTCATGAGCCTCTTTCGCCTCGTCACTCGGAAACACGTCTTTGCACTTATTGCAAGGTACCCTGAGAGGGAATCCTTCCAGAGGAACCAGTCTTTTCTCAATTCGGTAACCTTTATTGATGAGACTTTGAAGTGATTCCTCGATATCAGCTCCATCCAATAACTTTTGGAGTGGTGGTTGCTCACTTATCTCTCATCATGACATGAACAACAATGGCTGCACCAGGGCAAAATTTCGTAAAGCGATGATTTTCCAGTTCGGCCCTATTGTCACTTAGATCGAACCCGAAATTGATCCATAGAGCGTGGGTTATTCACCTTGTCGAAAATATCGCATCGCAGTCTGTACAAGATACATTTTTGAGCTCTATCGTATAAGCATCTTTATTCGGCCTGGGTGGAAACTTTCGTAGAACATCTTGGAAATGTCTAATGTCGGCACTCGCTTGATCGTTGTCTGATTTTCCCAATCAGTGCCCCTTCAAATCAATATGCAGAATTTTTCATACTATTCAGTCTAGGTCCACTCCAGTGTGATAGCAACGTTGATGCTCGTAAAACCGCTTTTCGAGGTCCCTCCGGTGCATTCGCTTTGAGAAATGCTCCTATCTCCGTTTCGGGGTTTTGGATTTCGCGTTGTCGGTCACTATGGGTATGGGTATGTAGTTCAAACTCGTTCCTGTAATGACTTTGGTTAGTGCAAGCAAATAATATTTAAACGGATATATTTGAAGAGAAACGCAATGTCCCACCTATCAAAGAACCGTTTCGGACAGTGTTGGCATTGCATGACGATTGAAAAATAATGTACACACACAAGTACATTGGAAGATGAGTAACTGAAGAAAAACGCGAGCAAAGGTTTTTTTTATGTGTTAAAGAAAGTTTTGATTCCTAATTAAGTTGCTGGGAGTAGCCCTTTCGTCGCATACCACTGACATGTCAAGGCTTTCAGTACAGAAAAGATTCGCATTTTTCCATCTAAAGTTGCGTTGAAAGGTCAAGCAATGGAAAAAAAATTGGTAATGCTCCGATCCATCGTCCCTCGCATGGTTTCCAACGCTATTAGCTATGACAGACGGTGTTAAAGCACATCTTTCAGTGAGAAATCAGTAGTAGGTCAGACCTTGGCTGCAGAACCAACTGGATAAGAAGGGTCGATGCATGGATCCAATGCGTCAGTGCCCTGAATATTAGATGCAGATGTGTATTCCATCGAAAAATCTAGCAATGAATGTGTCAAGTGGGGAGGGCTTCCTGCACAAATAAAGTCGATGGCTCCGACCCCTTGCATCTGTTTACTCCACATCAAACAGCGCTGTCCGATTATCCTGGTAGCGTAGATAACACATCACATCCGCATTTCCATGTCCTTATCCAATATTTTTTTTCGTTCTAGTATTTCCTCTTGCTCTGAACCCGGAAAGACGTTCCAGTGACAATGTTCTGAATATTGCTCACTCTCAGGATACCGATGATGTTCAGGGTTGTATGAGACCTTTGATTTCCGGCTCGGTTTGGATATCCGACAGTCGTTAGTTGTACCCCTGTTTCATACTTCAGACCACACTGGGACAATATCAATGGATGGACACATAGTGTGATTGCTCTAATGCGAGAAATAGCGGCTGTTTATGCTACGACGCAATCCGATCCCCGGATAGCGTCCTGCCGTCAACCTGTTGCATCAATAACAGCTTGCCGAAACAGTTACCTCGGTGACCATGTCATTCCAATAGATGGTACAATTTCCAATTCCAACCAGGGTAAAAATCAGAAGAATATAATAAATGATCTCAAGGAGAAAAACGGTTTCCTCATCCGGGTGTTTGAGACCATTTGAATGAATTGAGATAGTGGCGGGTATTGAGTGTGATATGACCGCCGCCTAGTCAATTGCATCCTTCGTACTCAGCTTTCCACGGCAATGATGATCTTTCCAGAACCCTTCCATAATGGAACAAAGTTACTCGAATTGGATAGGAATCATTCTCCACTTTAAGCCATGGAATTCGCAGTTGGTCAACTAGCGTATAACCACCAGTTCTCCGCGATGTTAGCGTTGAAAGCGGCCAATGATGACTACTTCCATGATACATGCAATAAACGTATCATAAAGCAGACTGACATATAATCTGTGGAAAGGTTGCATAGGCGTGGACTGTGCGGAATCCTGTAGGGGACAGTAGGGCACTGAGACAGGCAACGATAGGGGTTTGCCGATAGATATTAGGCTGAATAGGAGTTGATATAGTACTAATCAGTGAGCAAGGAGCATATAAAGAGTAGACTTAGTGAACTCACCGTCAAACATGACTCTTCTCCTGTAAGACCACCTCGCAGGTAGACATATAGTATCAAAGCTGTTTCGTGTATGAAGCCTAAGTGAAGTAGTAGTCAGACTGTAAGTTCTCCACGGAAAGGAGATCGACATACAAGCCACAACTTTAGGGCTCAGTCTGCCCACGCTAAGCACCCTTCCCCAGTCTTTCCCGTCAATTCTGACTTTAGCCCATCCTGCTTCCTCATCATCATCACCTGAGTTACCGAGTTGTCTCATGCGCTCACTGGGAAGTTGGTCTATATCTGTATCTTGCATCTGCCTTGGGTCAAGGGGTGGGTTCGTCAATCCAGTCCAGACACTCGAAATCCGCAATGAGTCTGTTGCGATCCCAATCTTGAGGGAGCCATGCATGTTGGCGCTCAATTCGAGCTTTGGACCAGTGGTGCCAGTCGCTATCGAAGCACCTCCGCTTGATCTGCTACTACTCGCTGCAAGTTTTGTGAAGCGGTCTGATATTGCCTTTAACTGTGCTAAATTCGGCAAGATGATATGAACGTCCGGGTCTCGACATCGGGGCTCATGTAACCCTTCGACCACGGATTGATGCAGTACTTTTACCGGTATTTCCTGGGTGATTACAGTTTCACGCTCACGAGGAGCATTGGCTCGAGTAGCTGCTTGGCTTTGATCATGCTCAGGTCCACCAAATTCGTCAGCTTCAGAACCAACGGGGATGTTGCCTGGAACCAATGAAGACGATACAACGGTTAGGACAAGGAGTGGGACGTTTGCTTTCCGACTTAACCGTAATTGAGCAGACTTATCGCCAATGGCAGATCGTAATGCTCGGGAAAGCGCAGCAATGGGAACCTCAAGATTGATTGCACCAGCTGCAGCTTCAAGAAGATAGCTTTCATCAAAGATAGCTTCCTAGTTTTGCAGTTAGCACCTAATCTTTTCTGGCGAGTGATTAGCTAACCGCTGGCAGCACAGCCCAGACTTGTGTTCCCTGGTCGGGTATAATAGTGAAATGTACTGTTTCCCGCTCCAGCCTCACCCAGCAAATCTTTCCCAGGGAATTGAGAGAGGCGGCAAGTTCTGGGTTGAAAATAGTTAACATGCAGTCAGTTTTGTATTGGTATGGGATGATCTTACTTGCAAAGATGGCGACATTGGTTAGCTGACTTCGAAATCGCATCTTGCTGTGATACAAGAAGGTCGTAAATGTAATGATAAAAATGGTTCCTTGCAAGTCAAGACACGCTCATTGTAAGACAACGAATTGAAGTTTGTTCTCATCGACAGGATGTGCGAGGTTTACGTGTGGTCGAAAATGAAGCCGCGTTAAGTGGATTTCACGGAAAGAACGATGACTTGGCCCGTGCGCCATTCAGGTAGGTCCTTGACCGTCCTTCCTTTTCGAGAAATAGTGGTCACTCTGTTTTGATACGACTTCAAAACTTCATTTCTTCGTTCTATCGCTCTGAATCTAATATCTACGCTCTATTATATCCCCTTCGTTAGACAGATCATCGATCATACCCACTGGCTTCTTTCTCGGTTCTCTGCAATGCTAACGCAGCTATCAGAGCTGCCCCGACCCCTGAACCGTCTTCCGCAGAATAGATTGAGATGGGATCTGGGGAACCCTCTGGCCAATCTAGTATCTCTTTGAGAGCCTGGGCGGCTCTATTTCTGAAATGAGCATACTTATTGAACACAGATCCATCGACACCAACATGACAGGTTTCCAGGCCCTTTTTCTTGCTGACGGCTGCGATGCCGCACGAGTAGAGCCGAGCGGAGCGTGTCGCAATCAGTTCGGTCAGAAATCGAGTCACTTTCAGCTCATAATCTACTGGTTCGATGTTCAGAGCTTTATTGAACATAAACGAAATGTCGTGTAGCGCGTCCGACTTATCCTCTTCAACAGTCGACAAGAAGAGCGAGTTAATAGAGTTTTTCTGTCGCAGCAACGAAACGTCTTGCTCCTTGAACATGTGATTACGCTCATGCAGGTCGAGAAGGACAAGCCGAAGCAATTCTCCAATATACAAGCCAGCCACCATTTTCTCATAAAGTTGTTGGCCTGGTCGCGAAGAATTCTCGTCGATGGAACGATCAAAAGGAGTTCGCGATAGGACTTTTCGCGAGTTATCAAAGGCGCCGTATTCTGTATTGATAGCAACTTCCAGATCAGGCGGCAATCCGTGATCCTTTATCTTGGGAATGGCTCCACAAACTTCCATATAAGCTGCGTTCACGCCAGTGCCAAAGATACTTCCGATCCTCATTTCTGGATCTTTGTATGCAGAAGCAATAAGCGTACCCGTTGTGTCATTGACAACGGCAACTATCTCGACGGGTAGGTTCTATACATTATAAGAAAGATGTTTCAGAACGAAATTGATCTGAACATACCCGCTTTTTGAAAGCTTTCTCAAGCTGAGGAACAACGTCCTCGCCCTCCACTCCATCAACATCGAAGTCTTTCGTCCATCTCTGCAAGATTCCACTGCGAATGTGCGGCTGGGTCACCGGGAATGAAAAGGTGAAAGCCAGTGGCAAAGCTTCCTTCGTGTCTAAACTATGCTTGCCGAGGAATTCGGCGGTGCAATCGGCAAGGAAATCCCACAATGTCTCTGCATTGCTCTTCTTGAGTCCCTCTGGCATAACGAACTTCTCCTGAACGATATCGACTTCCCCTTTACCATCGGTCAAGACAACATTACAGACTCTGACGTTGGTTCCGCCCATGTCGATGGTAATATAACTCCCCGTCTCATGCCCGGTGGGATATCCAAACGACCATGTCACATTCATTGGCTGCGGATTACCAGTCAGTGATAACTCCGTCAGGAATCGAGAGCAAAGAAATCTCACGTACAATATCGCCGGCGTCGTCAGTAAGACCTGTATTCATCAGCCTCGAATTTGGCGAGAGAGAAGTTTTTCGAACGGAAAATAAAAAGATAGCTCACCTTTTTCTAGTTCTGATACGAAGCGTTGAGTGATCAGCTTCAGTTTGTCCTTGTCTACGATGAACATCTCCTGAAGCCTCCCGAGCTCGGTTAACAATTCTCCCGGGACATCTGCTAGAATTTCTGCTCTTGGTTAGCGAACGAACTGCTACTCCTTCTCGCCTACCTTATCGAAGAGTATGTGGCTTACTCTCTCCCAATGCTTTTGGTGGTCCAACAGAGGAGGCGACTGAGGCCGCACCATGGAGACCAGCATGCTGATTCCGTTCCAACATGGTTCGCTAGGTCAATTCCAGGTCGAGTATACGTTCATGATGATTTATTTGAAGTCTTCAGTTTTTTGAGGTTGTTTATATACAGATAGGTGCATCGCTGTATTGCATCATAGTGACTCCCGTTAACTGGCCGCTTAGTTCCGCCTTTGAAGCTTGACTCTTGGAATGTCTAGATCCATGGATACTGATTAGTGGGAACTATGCCGAGGAATGCTTCCTTTTTCTCTATTTGGAAGCAGCCCGGTTTTCTTGTACCTTGCGAATCCTTGGCGCATTGTTAATTCAAGTTTCGCTTGTGCATCGAATCAAAAAGACCTCATGACGTGAAACTTGGACCGCCTTACTACTCGATCAGCAGAGTCGTAAGTTTTCTGAATAGCTATCTTCCACCCCTTGAAATCATGAGATACCGCGATAGTTGTAATGCCTCACTCGAGGTTGGGACTTAAAGTTATGTCGCGCTCGGGTGCGAGATCATTCGCCCCCGAGCTACACATAGCCCTACTTTCGGAAGGTAGGTGCTACAGCAACTCTCTAAACCGAAGTCATGTATATATAAAGCAGTGTAGAAATTCTCGTAACGCGGAAGAATAATACTGAAAACTCATCCATGAACAGTCTACTTCCTCTAAGATGACTATATCGCAAGCAGCCATTGCTATCGTTGGCGCCGGTCCGGCGGGTCTCACTTTTGCACGACTCCTTGAGCTCGCCGGTATCGACTATGTTGTATTTGAACAAGCCGAATCTGCCTTGTGGGCTGATAAGCATTCCAGCAGCGGCACCTTGGACATCCATAAAGGCTCGGGGCAGGCTGCTTTGAAAGAAGCCGGCTTGATGGCAGACTTCCAATCACTCGCCCGCTGGGGCGTGCCAGTCAAATTTGTCGACTTAAACGGCAACGTTGTTCTTGATACTGTCGCCGGCAATAGTGGTGAAGATAAGCCGGAAATTGATAGAAGGGATCTTCAAAAACTTCTCCTTGGCTCTATTCCGGCTAGCAAAGTTCGCTGGGGCTTCAAGATCCTACAAGTGCAGGTAGATAGTGATGGGTCGCAATCAGTTCATTGTGAAAATGGTAGTGTTGAATCTGGATTCCGTCTTGTGGTAGGTGCAGATGGCGCTTGGTCCAAAGTCAGGAAACTTGTAAGGCAGAAACATGATTTTAGCCATCCGCAATATTTCCTAGCTGATCGAGATGCATAGGTCACCTCTGCTGAACCGCAGTATTCCGGGACTCACTTCTTTACTACATTTCTCAAGTCAGATAACCCACACTACTCCTCGTTGACCTCGATGGTAGGCAATGGGAATTACCTAGCCCTAAACAATGGGCGACAGTTCTTCTTGCATTACCTAGGCGACGGGTCATATCACCTCGCCGTCGGCATGAAACTCCCCGAAACCTGGGCTCTGGAAGTCACGAAGCATCACGGTCCATCAACATTATGGCAGTCATTGCTTCGGTATGAATTCGCCGAATGGGCTCCAGAACTCACCGACTTAATCAAGTCTAGCACCCATACGTTCCGCTCTTGGCCAGTGTACTCTATACCAAAGACGTCTGTGCCTTGGAAACATACCCCCGGAGTCACATTGCTTGGGGATGCGGCTCATCTAACGTAAGATGACTATCTCCAATTCTCGAGGCGTGCTCTGCTAATGTGGTGTCTCTTCTAGAGAACCCACCGGAGATGGTGTTAACAATGCCTTGCAAGACAGTGTGGAGTTGGCCAGATGTATCATCAAGCATGGGATTGATGACCTAGACTCTGCTGTTGTAGAGTATGAGAAGGCGATGTTCCCTCGTGCAATTGAAGCAATTGAGAAGGGTCAATGGTTTGCTGAGCACTTATTCAAGGCTGAATCGTCTCAAAGTTTTCTTCAGGCTGCTACGAGCCGGTAATGTACTCGCAAATGTATGGAGTAGTATACAACAAGGAAAGAAGCAGGAAGCATCTGTCGATTAGGGTTATCAGGGTTAGGACTTTTAGGAATCTGTAGCCTCAGGCGCTAAGGCAAGCACGAAAAAAGGAGTCCGCTGATTGGCTGAAAGCAGTTGTTGCTGTGACGCGTGAGACGCGGTAAGGAGTTCAGGAGAAACAATAACTTCATTGTCAACAGTAGCTTGATGAAATGGTAAATAAAACACAAGCCTCTGTGTCCTTCGCAGCTCTCAGGTTTCCAGAAGATTTTGTGCTATTTTTGACATATGTAAATGGGGCTGATGACAAATGGGGCCTCGCTGTTCAATAGTGCGATAAAAACAGTCAAGCGCCATATCAGCTATCTATCTTCTCCAGTCTTCACCCTCCAAAAAACATTTCACGTCTTCATCAAACCCCTTTCGGAGGATTTTTCTTCTTAAGTACTCGATATCGAAGATACTACAATATTCATTCATTCCCCCGAATCTGTCGCTGATAAGCGACAAAGAATCGTTCGTTATACCACACTCTTTTATTGCCGGCGACTTCCACCTTGCAGGACTCCCTTTCAGGTCATTGTATGACTTGTACATTCATTAACAACCAGCCACCCCACTCATTTCGTAAGCGATTCGCTGATCCTCGATCAATCTATCATCGTGCTCTTCTCAAGGACATCTTCATAATAAATCCAATTTTATTCGTTCTGTTGCCATCAAACCGCTCTCCAAGAGCCGAACAACAATCTGTTACCCGGCGGAAACGAACAACACATCAGCTCAGCATGCTTGGCTGGAGGCATCTCGAGTCTACTTATTTCTTTTTCAAAGGCAATCTGCTGCCGCATGTTTCACGTCTCACCATCGAGTAAAGAATTCGATAAGTTACATACCGAGTTGTATGTAAACCTCCCTCATGGTTACAATGTCCGACAGTCGCTCTTTGTCGATCCCCACAGTTCGCATTCCTCCGCCGCCGTCTGCCCATAGTCCATTACGATCCCCTAAGCGAAGGCAACGTCTGCCGGTTGACGAAGACCCTCTGCTAGGAAAGCTCTCCCCGGATACAATCCTCGACGCTCTCGCTGCTATTAACGCCGTGGCTACGAATGAAGGTTACGCGAAGGATCTCCTTACCAGAAGCATATCACAAGCATCGGCTGAAGATCGACTTCTCGGAACCCGCGCAGCGATAACAGCCAAAAAACTGAGAGAATGGCTAAAGGAATTACAAGCGTGGCAATGGCCGAAGGGGCACGACATCCAACATGGAAAGGGCTTTATGTCACCATCAAAGGATACAATGAACGACACCACAGAGTTCTGGGGAAGTCTTCCTGCCCAACTAGTTGTGGAACATGAAGCTCGACTTGAGCAAATCCGAGACGGCATTGACAGTCTAAACGTGGACGAACTAAAGGAGCATATCATGAACGTCCATGTACCAGGTCGATCCCGTCCGTCTTCGGCACATAGTGCCCTCAGTGCGATTTCCGCTCCTCCATTTACACACATACAATTAAGCGATTTCACCGCCGTCATTACAGCCACTATTCTCCGAGCTTTGCCAACGTTGGCGCGATTGAACATGCTGCTCGAAACTTGGACTGTGAGGCTACTTGTGTTGCGCCAAATACCGGATTTATTGTCGTCTTTAGATGCAGCGCGTACGTCCCTGGATTCTGCATTACTTATAACCCAGGAATCCCGTCTGAATAAACGCTATTCCATGATCGATTTTACCTCAAAACGAGAGGAACTCGCTGAACTCATCGGTACGGCTGCGTCCCGTATGGATACGGTTCTCGATGCTTTGGAGGGTAGAGAAGACTCTATACCCGAAACATGGATTGACAAGATGGATGCATTAGAGACAAATTTTACGACCTGGATCCAGTTAGCAGAAAAGATGACAATTGAAAGAGCATGGGCTTTTTCTGAACTAAAAGTTGCTCAACAAGCCACTATTGAAGATGAAGGGTTGCAACGTAATGTTCCCGCGATGGACCAACCAGGCGAAGATGCGACGGAAGAAGAGGTCCACGATCATGTGGACGATTCGTCCTCCCCAGCAGTCAACGAGGCTACCAGGTCCGATGGCAATAATAACAACACTGCGCCCCAGAACACCACACCCTCGTCACGAGAAGGGCCTACTCCTTCGACTGATGTAGTCGACGTCAATCTTGTAGTCACTTCAGTTACAATTTCATTGCCTACAGTTGACACCATGGAAGTCCCTAACTTGCCCACCGATGAGGAAGAGTCTATCCCTGAAATTACTACTATAGAAACGCGACCTTCCTCAGCGGAAGTTCTACCACGAAACGCCGATTCAAACAATGCGCCGGCTGCAGCGAATCATGAACAAACAGGAGCTGATCCGGGTCCTCATGTCTCTGAATTGGAGCTTGTTCACAGCGACGGACAGGGCAGTAGCGAGGTCGAAACGGCAATAGATTATGAGCCTGAAACTTCAACGCTACCCCTTCGACTGAAAAAATCCATCCCTATTCTCGCAGTGATTGAGGAGTCACTGTCTGAAGATTCTGAGTCTCAGCACTCATCAGAACCCGGACAAACTCACGCACAGCCTTTGGTGCAGTTACGGCCATCGCCGATTTCTGACAGGCGTGATTCAGATTCTGCAACTGAAATGCAAACCGAAATCAATCCTGCTACTACAGAGAATAACCTGGAATCTCAGCCAGTCCCTGCTAGCCCTTTTACTATTAGTCAAGTCGACCAACATTCAACAGATCTTGGAAATGATATGTCCTCTGAGCAATCTCAAGAGCATCAATTGCAGCATCTAGAGATTCCGGCTGCCAATCAGACCTCAGGCGATCATCTTTCGCAAAGAGATACCCCGTCTACATTAAGACCAGTAACCGGGGTTATACAGCACCCGAAGGCCGGTGATAGCGATGACCTGGATCAGATCCGTGCAGCTACTGCGGGAAAATCAAACTCGGATATATCTGTACCCGCATCAGATGCAGACCAGTCCTCTCCACGTCGTCTGGATTTCGAAAGTCCGCAATCTATTATGACCCCATCATTAGCACTAGAAGACCCCGCTATCAAAGGGACACCCCAGAGCTCTTTGATTGAGTCGTCACCTGTCAAAGTCATGGGAACTGACAGTCAGAACTTCGGTGCATTACTTGAGCAAAATATCCCCATACATCCTGATATACCGGTCCAATCGATCGAAACCCCGAGTAAACAAGATACGATCTCACATTCGTTTCAAGGTGATAATGAAATAACCTCAATCCATTCGAGAAAGATCTCCGCGGGAGGTCAAAGCTATCGCTCTACGGTACCTTTTTCGCCAGCTGTTTTTAGCAGCACCAGCGATCGCACAGTTCGTGAAAGGGAATCTCCGCAATTGAGTAGTTCGGCATTGCAGGACTTGGAAACATTCAAACATAGCAATGATGCCAGTCTACCTCTACAACGATTTATCAATGATAAATCGGACGTGAGTTATTCCATCAATCATGAAATGACCCCGAACAGTCCATCCTCACGTGGGAATACGTCACGATATCTGCGCGAAGACACAGAATCACCAAGGTTCAGCAACAGAAGTGTATCACCTCCAGCCAATGTGGTTCCCCGACGAGCCATACGCGGGCCCAGCTCGAGCCTGATGCGAGGTACAATATCTTCTCTAAACAAAGTCGTTGGAACAACAAAACGAAGTGAATCCGATTCATATAACCATGAATCAGAAAGACTTCTTTCACGCTCCAGACTGGGGTCACCTTACGACGCCGACTCTCCGATATTGTGGCGGCGGAAATCCTCTACTAGCGACCTTCTGCAGGCCCCTAGGCCGCATCTACAGAATCAGCCAAGTATGGAGAGTATTGGTTCTTATGTTTCTAGTAACGGTACGAGTGATATGCGGAGACGATATTCATTTTCCACCGACGGCGGATCTTTCGCAATACGGCCAGTCCATGAAGCAGACAGTGACCTACAAGAGAAAATCCACTCTATTCTCACAAGCATTCCTGGCAAAATTCGCCTCAGTAATAACCCTGCCCGAGATTTTGACCAGCAGTCCGTGATGTCGTCAATGTCTTCATCGAAGAGAGCCCGACTCAAAGCGCAGTCTCCCTTTTCCACCCCAAGCCGAGCCGGTACGCCTACGCCGTCAGAAGGCTTTACGCCTTCATCCAGGCAGAGACGTACGACTTCTCACAAAAGTGAAGACAAGACTGTCAAAGTTTATCATTTACATCATCGTGGGAAAACAGAACCGACCAAATTGTTCGTTCGCACTGTTGGTGAAGATGGCGAACGAGTTATGGTACGTGTCGGTGGAGGTTGGGCGGATTTGGGCGAGTATCTACGCGAGTATGTCCTTCACCACGGACGTCAGACTCCATCAAGCAGCAATGTAGAAGTCAAAGGTCTTCTGGCAACATCAACATCCCCGAGATCAACCACATCGGCAGCTGCTACAGTCATCGCCCAGAGTAGCCCTGGAGCACCTGCGACTGCGATAAATCGACCAGGATCTTCTCTTTCGATTCACAAAATAAGACGGACATCCAAACCATCCGAACTCCCCGAACTGGCAATTGATGATACCGAAAACTCACCTGAAAATCTCCCACTCCCTTCATTCCTATCAACAGCTCGACGAAGCTCAATTTCCTCCATAAACTCAGTCAGCGTATCATCAATCCTGGGAGATGGTTCCAGCGTCTACTCCCCCCATCCAGGCTCAGCAAGAGCCCCTCTTTCCCATTCCAGCACTCCTCTAGGTCTAGCTGGTCCAAAGCCGCGAACCAGACACGTCTCCATGACACCGGAAAGCGAAGCTTGGGTCGAAGATGTTATCGGTCAAGCGCGACGAACGTCCTCGACGAACATTAAACCCACAGGACAGAAACATACGGATCATCGATCTGAGCGTGAGTTGCACGATTCGTCGCGGATGAGTATCCGCAGTGTCAGCGATATTCCGTCTGGTGGTCGAAATAAGCGTGTTGTTCTGAAGGGTCTAGGGTCTCATGATCGATCATAGCATATTCCGCCTCCCTCACGCAGTCACTCCTTTTCACATTTTTTTTCATCGGTTATAGATTCCACTGGGTCATATCGGGGCATGGCGAGCAATGTCTTTCTAACTTTTCTGGGGCCTTACGATTCCAACTCTATACACTCTCTACAACCATTTTCTCATTAATTTACTATCATATAGAGACACAGCCTGGCGTTGGTGAAGATACCCTATTTACTTTGAGATTTGCATTTTACTTTTTTTACTGGGCTATTTGTCTCATTTTCATTTGCATCTTCACTTCTTAGCATATGGATCTTATTAGGTATTTGGTGTATTTCTGTTTGGTATTGCACTTGCTGGCATTGGTATTGAGCGATATAGGTTATTTACAATTCATACAAATTTCAAATACTACTTCTGTGTGGTTTTTGAAGACAGTATACCAATAACTTGAGCAGTAAAGAAAATAGCATTGGCACATGAAAGCAATTCGCCGGTCAAAGTAGCGATATCCATTGACAGATAAGATGCAAGATGATAACAAAACGCGCTCGCACTGGATGCTAAATAATTGGTAAGAATATGAGAAAGATGAGCCAAACTCGACGATTTTCAACCCTCCAAGAAGCCATGAGTATCGTAAATCGTAGATATGTTATGTATGTATCGGTTGTAAGTCAAAAAAAAATACAGTGGTATGTGGGACAAACATCATTCATTCAATTCATCACTGTCCCATTCGTCTTCTTGGTCGTTTTGAACCAATTCCAAAAATCGTTGGAGGCCTTCTTGTCGAACAGGTTGGTTGCCAGGCGCATGGCGACGGGGTTGTAGTCCTGCTCCAGGCCGTACGGGAGGTCGCGGAAAAGCTTCCCTTGCTCCCGGGCGATCTCTAATCTGAGCCATTGCTAAGGCCTGCGCTTGACGCTCGGCAGCCACTGCCATTCCTGCAGCATCCAAGCCATGCGGGTTGAATCCCGGGTCACCGTTTGGATTTCCAGCGACTGGTATCACTCGAGGAGGTGCCGGGGCAGGAGGTGGTGGTCGTCGACGGCCTAGTCCCTCTTCGTCATCGCTGTCGGTGTCGCTGTTGTCGGAGCTTAATTCCCAGACTGGTTGATCTTCACCATCATCCAAGTCCCCAGGTGGATCGTCATCTTCGAATTCAGGGTCCGAATCAAAGTCCGCTACATTCTCCGGCAAGCGATGCAACTCTTCCGCGCCATCTGGATCGATACCATCGCCACCTTCCAAATCCCATAGTCGATTGTAGCAGCTGCTATCGACAGTATTGAAATGCTTGTAAGGATTGTCCTCCGCAAGCCATGCTGTGCAGAGATAGCAGAAATGCGTACCGCACTGGAAACAGATCATGTGGTTGCACCCCATTTTCTTCTGGCAAGGTGTTTTACATGTAGGACACTGAGTAGTGTACATTTTGAGGTATTCCTCTGTGGCTTTCTCTTCCGCTGTGAGCTCAGCCTCTCGTCTCGGTGAGCATCTTGCTAGTTCGCCGTGCCATCCTTTCTTGCAGACACAACAAAACGCGTAACCACAGTCTTCGCAAATAGCCACCCTATCGGCCATGGGTGGGAGTTGAGACTCCTCACCCATAGGATCGAATTCGACAGCGTCATCCTCATCTGCGGAATCGTCAAAATCATCAGCCATGGGATTATCAGGCTTGGGGTGTTTTTTCGATCGAGCAGCTCCTTGACACCATTGGCGAGGGCAATAAACCGTTGTCTTATCCGACTCCAATTTCTTCTTTCGTTTCAAATAGACGTATCGCTGTACCATTTCCTGTTCCAGCGGAATTTGGAGTAGTTCGCTGGGACTGATAAGTCGGTCCTGCTTTCTTCTCTTCCTCTTGCGAGAAGTGGTGCCATCGATGACCTCCTGAGGAGCGTCTTGTGTCGTGTTAGGGCCTTTGCCACAGTCTGGAGCCATGCACCTGACATTATCCACATCTCCTTCCGTTATACATGTGTTGTAAAAGTCTTGTAAGCAGGGAACGCAGAAAACGTGAGAGCAGAGCAGCATGCGGTGGCAGTTCAACCCCTTCTTGGGCTCCAAGCATACGCCACATTCAAATGTCTCTTGTTCAAATTTTTCCCTTTTAGCCTTCATGTCAAAGTCAAGAAGTGCGATCTTCAAACCTCGTGGAAGCTTAATCTCGTCACCATGGTCACTCGCAATACCAAAGACATCATCTGTCATTTGTTGTATGTGGTCAATATATGTATAGACCACCAGGTCCTTTCCGGATTCGAGCCATAGGCGGTTGCCATCCTCTTTCAATGTCGCCAGCTGTCTCGGAGATAGCCACTGCGGATTGGTACTAATGTTGAAAATCGGCGGCTTTTCTGACGGATAGCCCAGAGGAAGATCGATATCGAGAGTCACTAAAGGTAAATGGGATATAGCATGAACATCATCATGGACATTCTCAGCGACATTGTCGTTATTTATATTGAAGATATTATCTTTCCCACCCGTTCCATTTGTGTCCAGTGATGTCGGCGGTGTCATGGGAGCTTGGAATGGTTCAGAACCCTGCTCGAATCGGACGTGTATCGGAACTGACGGCGCTACAGGTATGTCTAGGGACGCTCGAAATGGGGATCGTTCGTCGATTCTAATTTCGGGATAGATTGCGGCAATCGAAGAGAGCTCCATTGAGCGGTCATCCTCCTCAGGTATGGAAGTTGGAACTGCCATCATGTTATACCGACAAGTAAGAGTCGGACACTCAGCAGGAAATATCTATATCAGGATCGTTGAGCCCTTCTGCCAAACACGGAGCCCCCAAAACCTTTTTGTGTTCGTCAAAGAGACATGGTAGGACAAGAGGAATGATAAACTTCTGAAAGACTCTCCAAAATCCGCGCAGATTCAGTTTATCACGACTTGGGGCATTTTCAGATTGTGTAGGGCGAGGAACAACGATGTGGCGATGAAGAGCTGCTGAAAAATGTTCGGCAAGCGGGATTGGTCCACCACCCCCAGATTATAAACCCAAGATCACGGATGTAACACCCCAATGTCTCTACAGATGTGACCAGAAGTAGCGAAATCCAAATAACTGTGTAGCGTGCCGTGCGGTAATGACAATGATGACGAGGCTGGAAAGCGCAATAGAGAGGTTGAAGAAAAGTGTGATGTGAGATAAGTCTTCATGTTTTGATCGTAATGCGACGGGCAACGGATTCTTCCGTGAAGCTGGGCGACAGGCGAAGACACGTACAGCAATGTCAATGGAGGATCTCGGCGGCCAACTTGGACGTCAAGGCCCCTTTCGAGACGAAAAGGAGAATCAGGAGAAGAAATGCTGTGGCTGCCCGTTGTGTTGGGTAAGAAGTGAGAAAGCTGAGATGCGACTTATTTTTCTTCGGAACAAACATCGAATCACAGCTGCTTTTGGCAGGAGCAACCTGCCCCTCACTTTGCTCCTTCCCAAACTTCCCCCACGTCAGTTCACGTGACCTGATCGCTATCATCACGTGAATTAATGCCCGAGGCCCAGCAGGTATCAACGGGACGTCTGATTGGCTGTTCCCATTGCTATGGATGGTCCAAGCTTATGACGAAGAAAGACTTGGGGTGAACAAAGAGAAAGTTGATTCAGTACACATGCCTATGCGCTGGCCGCCACTATGCTTTCTTCTTCTTGATATAGTCTTCCAATCTACAACATTTGAAGTCCAATCTGCCCTGTCTGCCAGGCAAGATGTCGGCACCGGATCAGCCTTTGGCCTCCCTTTCCCTAACCCATGTACATTATGTGAGACAAACATTTGACTCATGCCTTCGACGATTGATGATAGCTGACTGACCACTACTAGAATCCTGATGACATCCTTTCATATGCATCGGCCTGGCTAGCACTCGTACCACAAGCGTTATGCGTCATCTACGTGACACTCATCTGGGCTTCGAGGGAGGTGGAAATCTTGTTGATGTTTGCGGGTCAAATGGGCTGTGAAGCTTTGAATTTTGGGCTCAAGAGGCTTATCCGCGAAGAGAGACCGCAGTGTACGCATTTCCATTGAAGGGAACAAACCAGCTATTAGAGCTACTAGCTTATCTTTGTGTCGTCTACAGATATGCAGGGTAAAGGTTACGGCATGCCCTCGTCCCACGCTCAATTCGTGGCTTATTTTTCCTGCTACGCGACACTGTTCCTTCTACTCAGACACAGACCGAACTTCTCCATCACGCCAGATGCAATCCCTTTCCTCCAACGAGTTGCCCTCTCTTTCCTAGCCTGTGTTGGCGCCAGCGCCGTGGCTATTAGTCGATTATATTTAAATTACCATACCAGGAAACAGGTTCTTGTAGGATTTTCGGCTGGGGTGATATTCTCCGTTGTTTGGTTCTCGTTCACAAGCTACCTACGATCTTCCGGGTGGATCGACTGGGGACTGGACTTAACTCTATCTAGAGCGCTGCGAATCAGGGATTTGGTGGTGAGTGAGGACCTTACCGAGGCTGGATGGCAGCGTTGGGAGGCTCAGAGAAAGCTGAAGCGACGTGAGCATAGTGATGCGACGCATAAGTCGGATTGAGTATGTTGTTTACATTGAAACGAGCTGTAGATATATAGTTGGCGGGTCTTCCACATCGAATGGTGCTATAAATGTTCGCGAAAATATGTTTCAGATACTTACATGATTAGAAAGCTTTAGCTTAACTATTGCGACCTTTCAAACACTCTCAGGCCCTTCCATGTAGTAATAATAGTAAGTAAGCTAAGTAAACAAAGATCTAGACCACTAAAAGTCGATCTCCATCACGTGATTTCGTCCCACATTTGACCGCCGAGAATCACATTCCGATTCAACTCTCTCCAAGTCAAGAGACTGCACGACATAATGATTCCTGGAGGGTCACGCTGACGTGTGGCGGTACTGATGCATTAGACGGCGTCATGGTTTGAGCTATTTTTATGTCATGCTTCTTGATACCCTTGTTGTCGTGCACCTTCAACACTTACTACTCCTTATTGTTGATGATATCCAGCTGTGGGAAGGTTCAGAATGTCTACCCACCACATCAGGGCCGATGAGCCCGAACACGTCATCGTAAAAGCAGATGAGGTTGATCAGACTGGTACCGATATCTCTCCTGTTCCAGACGAACAGCTGATGGCGGAGGTTGTCGAGGGTCTCTCATTGGAACCGTCGCCAGTTCTTGAAGAGCAAATCCCAGCTACCTCGATTTCAGGGAACGCTAGGCCTACAGGCCGACCAGGGCCGGTACGAGATGCAGCACCTCCTCCACCAATGCAACCACCACCTCCTGCTCCTGGCCAAAACGCAATAGAATTGGCCCCGGACTCTCTCAGTCTTGCGCAGTTGAGACGAATAGTACAAGACATCCCTAAAGTTGAACAACAAGTGTATGCTTTCCGCTACGCCGACAGTCAGCCTTTTCCTGAGGAACTTGACGAGTGGTTTCAGTACAGTGAACCGGAACGTATGATGCTAGTTGGGTCAAAGGTCTCATTTCACCAGCAATGGAAAGAGTTTTGTCACAAAAACTCGCTTGACACTAGCACTTCCTGGCTTCACGCTGAATACGATACTCGGAAATCATTTGTGAAGCATATTCTGACTGGGCTCGACGACACAGATTTGTACACCCGCATTGAAGCACTAGAAGCGGTATGCTATGCAATGTGTGGTGTTTGGGGATTAACTGGAGGGAGGTCTGTGGAAGACTATCCGCAGAACTCAACATCTCAGGAACAGTCAGAAATCCCAGGTCAAATCTCTTCAGATCAAGTGGATAGTTCAGAATGTGCTTCTCATCTACGAATGTGATGGTATTCCAAGACTTTACGAATACATGAAGTCTATCTATGATAAGGAAACAAGTCCTCTGGATACAGATCCTGTTGATTTGAATAATGAGAAAGAACATGCCACGTATCTTATCGCCCGTGAACGTGAAGCAAATCTTATTCTCACGTGTATGTATTTTGCGATAGAGGTCGCCAGAAGGCAGGAAGCGCTTGATAAGATGGATGTGAAACTACGAGGCGCCATTTCCGTCTTGCAACCAAGTCTACTGATCACTCTGGTCAAGGTCATTTCAGGATTGCGATGGGAGGACTCCGCCGCCATACCCTTTACTCGGATTGCTTTACTTTTTTGGAAAACGATCCTCCTCGTATTTGGTGGCACCCAGAGCTTAGAAGAGGCGAAGAAGGAGTTGGAGCCCAAAATGGACATCCCCAAAGATCCAGCTGACCGTCGAGAACCCTTCTTGACTGCATCCCCATTGGATTACCATATCTTTCGCCAGGAAGTCACCTCGAAATACCCAGCCTACAATCCTCCGCCACCGGTGGTACCCTTAGAATTGGACCATAACTCAATTCTCCCTCCCTTTGCGAACCATCCTAGTCGGCTAGCTTCTACACAGGGAGTCTCTGGGCCAGCGGCAGTTGGTAGTAGTGGTTCTATCCTACATCAACCTGTGCACATTGCTACACCAGCGCCATCCCCACCTCCATCTCCGATAGGACCAAGTGGTAAGGCAGCAAAGAAACAGAACTATCAAACCAATCAACATTTTCCCTTTATGTACCCGCCTTTGGATGATTCAAGCAACAACATCGGAGGCAAAGGTACAAGTGAGATGCAAGACACTTTAGTGGGAAAGAAGTGGGAAGGTAGCGACGTACCAGCATCGATCATCGAGGCTGGGAAGCTCTTCTCTAGTCACGTTAAGATGACACGGGCGACCCGTCAATTATGGGAAGAACGCGAGCGGTTTATGAAATATGAGCGTGGTTGGAATGCTGACGATACCATAAACGACGGCACCGCAAAGGAAGAAGAGAATCCTGACGCAAGCCTGTCTTCGCCAGAAAGTCAACGAGGCAGTGCAAAACCCAGAATTCCAGAAACAGAAAACGAAGATGTTCAGCGACGACTAGATGCAGTCGAGGACTTCTATGTAAGTTTGCAAGTCCAGGGAATGATGGACCAGAAGACTAACGGTCGAATAGAAGCAAGCAATGCCACATCTTCAGGCAGTGGTTATTGTCCTGCTGAAAGTCATTTTAACCAATATCAGTGCAATGATAAATCAAGCAAATGGTCAAGGCGGCCATGGTGCAAGGCAGGTTGAGGAATTCGTTGAAAAGATAGGCTGAGCTGACTTTCGATCTAGCATGGCCAATGGCTATCCGTATGGTGGGACGCGGGATGATTTTTTGAGCGACGTCGAAGAACTCGATATTATCAGACTACGAGAGATTACGGGAAAGGCGATATCTGGAGCCTTGTTACTCTTGCTGAAGTGGTTCAAAAGATCTCGTAAAGGTCCAGTCTCAGTCATGTTATTTCTCGATTACTGATTGTTGGCAGATATCTTGAAGTTCGAGTACATGACGCAGTTGCTTCTCGACTCGAATTATCTCCCATTGATACTGAAAATGTTCGCTCACCAAGATGTCGATCAACTGATTGCGCAGCAGAATGATCACAAAGAATACAGGTATGTTTCTTGAATCGGGAAATCTGATGAATCGGTCTAATTTTTCAACCAGCTTCTTTCACTTTTGCCGTGTCCATTCCGACGATCCACCAGAAGAAGATGCTGCTATAGATAACGAATCAATGGACGAGGAAGACGAAGCTGTACCGCCTCCAATCTTACCCCGTAGAGCATCGGCGAACGGTACTTCTTCAGTACGAGGTCCATCGCCTGTAAAAAATGCGGAAGGGTATTCGGATGGTACCACGCGGCTCGAAGTCGACGAATTAGGATATCCTACAGGGCCGGTCCCCGAAGATCCAATTACAGCATTTTCTTTCCGCAACTTCTTCTCAGTCATCAACTACCTGCATATTATGCAAAAGATTACACGGGATAAAGCACACCGTTGCCTTCTTCTCGTGCAATACAGATCAAGTACGATACTTCGCAAGGGCCTCAAGATACCGGATCCTCATCTTCGACTTTATACCCTGAAGCTATTCAAATCGCAGGTTCCATACTGTGGCCGAAAGTGGCGCCAGACCAACATGCGCGTTATTACAGCTATTTATCTCTACTGCCGTCCTGAGCTACGAGACGATTGGTTGGCCGGCTCAGACGTTGATGCAGAAGTTGAAGATGCTTTGCCCCTGGAACAGGCGCTCCGCGGTCTTACTCATTGGTGGCACCTGCGTCAATACAAAGACGTGTTAAATATTGGAGATGAAGGAACTTCGATTTTTGAAGAAGAGAGAGATTTCTTTACCAGGGAGTTGGATGCTATGGGCTGGGGTCTATATGGCGAGGACATGCTGAATGATGTGGATGAGAGAGAAATTGGATTGCCTACAAACGGAACGACTGAATGGGATGGTGGACCGTTGCAAATGGAAGGATGGTGATTTCAGTATGTTTCCTTAGCAAGTTAACGAATCCTGTCAATGAATCTCTTTGCTACTAGCTCATTCCTCTTACGCCGGCTTCAACCATGGATACTTTTCGTAGTATTGTTGGAAGTCTAGTCTCTCTGAGGTCTTGGTTCGGAATGTTATTCACTACTCAAAGCTCCCTTGGACCTTTGCAGACAAGTTGCAATTCATTGTGCAACTTTCCGGCTATCAAAAATCATATGGTATCCTGACATCCACCATTTATCCGCGTCGACAAATCAATTCAGCGCTAGTAACGTTCCCCACGCAACTTAAGGATCCGTGGATGGGCAGGAAGGACAGGGGGGGCAAGGAGGTCAGCAGGGACAGAGGCTACAGCAAGGGCAGAGGGGGTAGAGGGTGCAGAGTATACAGCCTCGAGTCTCTTCTTCTCCGACTCTTCTTGTTTCTTGCGAGCCTCAACAACAAGGGGAAGTTGTTCTTGCAAATAATTCATCAACCGCTCTGTGATACTGTTCACTTTACAGTATCCCTCTCGACAACTCTTCGACTCTCGGTGTTGAAACAGGTCACTGAGTCGCTGATAATACCGTTGACACGTCTGACAGTGAAACAGATGCGTATCCGGTACCCAATACCCTAGTTCCATGCACAAATGATCCCAAAAATTCCTCACAACGAAGCGTATATCTCCCTTCGTGGCTCCGCTGGGACATTTCCCGGATTCCATATGATTGAAACTGGCAGATCGGAGGTTGAATTTCTCACCGCACATGATACACGGCACGCACATGGGACGATGTGTGTTACCATGACTTATCAACTCGCTTTGGTTGTTGAATGTCTGCTTGCAGATCTCGCACATGTTATGCCAATGCTTGAAATGTTGTTGCAGTCCTTCATAGGAAGGTGCGTACCAGTTGCATATCTCACACCAGAAATGATCGCGCTCGGTATGTTCTTGTAGATCCTCGAAGCGATCAAAGTCCGTCTTGTAGTTGCAGAGGACGCAGAGGTTGTGTTCGAGGGAGAGTTCGACATGGAGAAGGTATAGGTTCCGGCAGCAATAGGAGACGCAGCATCGAGTGCATATTCTTTCGCCCGTGGGGGAATTGTACACTTCGACTTCTGGGTTCAAGAGGTTTATTGCAGGGTATACACGGGATGACCAGTGTTCGTTGAGATGCCCAGCATTCTCGAAACCGTCCAGTTTTCTTGCACTATGCTGATGAGGAAATGGGGCGTCCATTTCGAAGGGTTTTATCAAAGAGTGGCGTGAGAGTCCAAACAAAGCTCAAGGAGGGTTTGTTACTCTTTGCTTTTCACTCGACACAGATGGATTTGGACAGGATTCGACAGTGGGGAGGAGTGACCGTCTTTTCTATTTGTTCTTGCTACCAGAGTTCACTTGAAATCTCTGGATTTGCTTGCAGGACACAGCTCACACTACCAGGGCACAGCATGGTTCTCTGGGAATTAGCGGTAGCATTTTCCAGATGTGCAATCAATGACGGACAAGGCCTTCAAAAATATTGATTTTCTATGACAAATACATTGCAAAGAGTACTGAGCCAGTATGATCTCATGTACCATTTGGTCACAATCACCTACCCCATACCACCCTTAGATATTAGCCCTCGATAAGCTCATAAATGATCCGCCATATCCGATGTTATTTTCTTCGCTCCAAAGTCTGTCAGGTCTTGATGCCCACCTCCGGGGTGGCATAACTGTGAAAATCGAGTTGTACATTGAATAGATTCTAGTTTACCTATATATCATCGACTCAGCAACATCAACACCAGATCACTTCTATTAGGGCTTTTTGAAGAATACTGAAAAATGAAAAGAGGAAGGAGATAAAATATAGGAATGCTAGGTTACTAGAATATGATCTCTTTCTGGGAGGTTTCCCAAGTTATTTATGCTTGGGCTCCTGCTGCCAGTACATACAAATGTAACAAACTAAGAAAAGGATCTTTCATAGAGATCCTGCAAAGATATTTCTCACAAAAACAGGAAGTTGTCACGTTGTGAAGATTTCATATGTTAACACTTTTGACTGAAGCTAACCGCTTCCACAACGTGAATAATTTAAGCATAGAAGATTGCTATACCCTTGAACTTGGAAGAGCTCTCTTTACACTCCTCTACCACTGTTTCGGAGAGCTACCGATAAGGATTGTTCCTGATAAAATATGCATCACGTGACCCTCCCGTCGTGGAAAGTTTTTTTTTATTGTGTACGGGAGATCGCAGACAGACCTCGCTATACACATCCAACAGACTTTTCTGTCACAGCCTTTGCGAGGCTTGTTAAAAAAAACCTATAATTCGATATGGCCTCAGACGAAATTGTTTGGCAGGTTATTAACCAGCAATTTTGTGCTTTTAAGCTGAAGTATGGGTTTTTTCTTTTTTTTTTTTTTCGATAGAATTTTTGTTACGGAAACTAGAAGAAAAAAGCTGACAATTTGAAAATCAGAACCACAAAAGGTCAAAATTTCTGTCGCAATGAATACAACGTCACAGGATTATGCAATCGACAAAGCTGTCCATTGGCCAACTCTCGATATGCCACTGTTCGATCGGACCCTGAGACAGGTACCATGTACCTCTACATGAAAACCATTGAAAGATCCCACATGCCCAGCAAATGGTGGGAAAAGATCAAACTATCATCGAATTATACCAAGGCACTGGCCCAAGTCGATGAGCGATTAATATACTGGCCGAAATTCCTGGTCCACAAATGTAAACAGCGTCTTACACGGTTGACGCAGGTGAATATCAGGATGAAGAAACTTGCCAAGGAGGAGGAGAGACTTGGTGAGAGGATTGTGCCGAAGCTGGCACCCAAGATTAGGAGACGTGAGGAGACAAGGGAACGTAAAGCAGAGGCTGCTGCTAAAGTTGAACGGGCGATTGAGCGGGAGCTTATTGAGCGACTTCGCAGTGGCGCGTACGGTGATCGGCCGCTCAATGTTGAGGAAGGTATTTGGAAGAAGGTTCTTCGTGGATTGGAGAGACAGGGTGAGGGTGAGAGGGACGAGGATCTTGATGAGGGCGAGCAGTACGATGAGGATGAGGAGGAAGAGGAAGGTGTTGGTGAAGTTGAGTATGTTAGTGATTTGGACGAAGATGAGGAGGATCTGGAAGATATTGAAGAGTGGCTTGGGGGAGACTCTGCCGATTCGAGCGATGACTACGATGATGACGAGGATGAGGATGAGGATAGCGATGACGACGAAGACAGCGACGAGTCAGCTGCTGAAGACAAGAAGAAGCCTGCGGCCGGTAACAAGCGCAAGCGTGCTGCACCACCTCCGAAACCTCGCAAGAAGGGTGCTCGTGTGGAGATTGAGTACGAAACTGAAGGTCCTGCGAAGGAGAGGATTCTGGCATAATTGAATTGCATTCCTGGCGTTACGGAGTTGGTGTAGAAGTTGATTGCAACTGCAGTCTTTCACGTCGTACTTATTTTCCATAGCAATAAAAGCAAGTATTGTTTCTTAGTACTATCATAAAATATTTTGATGCAACCTGGATGACCCACATACAATAAGGTTGTATGCGGTGTGGGACGGCAACACTGAAACACTCCCTCAACCTCATACAGGTATCACTTCTTCTCGCCTCTATCTCAACAGCATACAAACGCAACAAGTAATCAGTATACAGAACGGAACAATAACAAAACGTTACTGTTATCTAACGATCGTCTATCTCTGAACAAGCGGACTCGAAACCGAACCCATCTACCCCTCCCCCGAGACGGAGGCGTGACTAAACAACCTCCTCACACCTACCAAGTCCGACACAACAATACCATCATGTCCTCGTATTTTGCTTCCCTAGCATCATCAACCACAATCTCAAACCTCGGCACCCGCCTCAACAGTCTCCGTCGAGCAATCACCTCGGGTGACGAAAAGGACGACCCGGACAACGAAGACTGCTCACACATCTCCAACGTTCTTCGGGCTTATTACACAGAAAAAGGTCGCCCATTCCCGGAATGGCTTCCTCCAGACCCCAAGGCACCCGCAGCACAACCACGGTTAGTCGCTACTCAGGCATCACTTCAACAGGGGAGTACGAGTCCGTACGGTCAACCGCAGGCAACATACACAGGACGCGGAGGAGGATTGGGTGATTTATGGGGGGAGTCGGGTCCTGCAGAACCTCCGCAAACACAGACTTCCAGTTTGCGGAGTCGGGGTGGTTCTCGGACGCCAGTTGCTGCGATTGGAAATAATAATAATAATAATAATCTACGAAGCGATCATTCTCAATCACCACATTCAGTTTCACGGCGGCCGCTGCCTAGTCAGCGTGGTGATACGTATCCATCGCATTCCAGTTCTGGAGGAGCATCGGGCGGCGGTTCTGCGTCGGAGAGGCTACGAGCTCGACTTCAGGGTGGTGGTAGCAGTCAAAGTCCACCTCCTTCACGTCCCCAACAGCAATATCAAGCATACAGTTGGGACGGCGGGCAGGGACAGGGAGGTTATGGAGCAAGTGGAGGGAGCGGAGGATACAAACGTCCTGGCGGTTTACCCAGTGGTCCGAAACCGCAACGGTGATGTGCAGTTTAGTTCCTTTTTTGGGTTTTTTTTTTGGGTGGGAGAATGGGCGTCTATTCCACATTTGGTTTGTTTCGTCTCGTTGTTGCATACGATATCCTTTCCGATAATCATCCAGGTGCTAGGAGTTTAAACACGCCTTTACACTTGTAATGCTTTAGGTACAACGCGTCTAGATACGTATTCATTCAGGTCCTATTCTTGAAAAGGCATGTGGAATAGAAAGACTTTGGTATGAATTCCGTAATATGATCCATGGACCGTTCTCGGGTAAAATTAGCGACATTCTCAACAGTAGGATATGCTACAGTACAACAGAACGGACTGTCATGTAATGAGAGCTCAAAGTTAGCTGACCTAGACTCTAGACTATCCAGCCCAAAATTTCTGGTGCTCGACTGCAAGTTACAATAAAGTTCACCATGCGACATGTGACCATTAGTGGAGTACGTATTGTGTCTTTCAATACGGTAGGCGCAAATGCTTGGTATGCTTATGAAAGCATCTCCCAAAACCATAATTAATTAACCATGTGCCTGATATGATATCAGCATGCCAGACTTCGGTAAAACCAAGGACACGTTCAGCACTAGAATGAAATGTGGTGCGATGAATCAAAAGTCGTGCTATTGGCATTAACGGCTCAATGTTGGCTGATTTAGACTCCAGAGTCCGGACTGACACAGTGCAAAGCCTTGAGCACCAGGAGATTTGTCTCTCGAGGTACGGGACACAGTACGTAAAAGATATCCACACTCCACACAAGACATTGCATCTCGTGACCTGGAAGAATAAGCCGGCCGCAAAACACGAGACATTCTAGAAAAATCTTCGGTATAATAAACCGGCATGCCGTACGGGGCTAGACCGGACCGGCAACCCCACGCTGTTCTTCGTATTGGCACTGGGGAAGAAAACCGGAAAAGTCAGTGCTGAAAAGCGAGACTCGGGGTACCCCGGTACGCCTAGTGGAAACATGGAGGAGATAAACTTCTCACTTGTCTGTATACACCTTTCGGTGAAAACACTGCAAGCTCTGAGAGGATGAATCCGTCCAAGGTTCCCCGCATCGGCACGCAGAATTCGGCGCCGGGACTCCATGCCGCTCTACTGTCCTCCGGAGACTAGGAAAATTGAAGTCATTTGGAGTTGACTATCGTGGGACCGAAGGGTCAAAGCGACTTTGGAGGTGGGTAGTGTCGTGGAAAGCAAAGCCAGGATTCGTGAGACATACGAATGATCCAACTCACGCACGGTGCATGGTATGCTGCCTCTTACCATCGACTGAGGATAGACTCGCGGTGACCTGGTTTTGAGTTGATTATCCTTTGGTGGTGAGCACTGAATAAGCACTTGAGCTATCGGAGGCTAGCACTCCGTAGAATGGAGAGTACCCCACCGGCAAAGTAAAAACCCGGGCATTGTTGGCGCTACCTGCCGGATTTCGATTTCCGAATCAGCAGATTCTGTCACTATACGACTCTATACGACTCTATGAGAATCTCCTGTTGTGTGATGTACTCATAGAGTGTGCTGATTATATAGAGAGTATCGTGGTACAACATGAGATGCCTGAGGAATGAAGATCACAGGCGGTCATTTTAAGCGGTTTATAGACCCAAACCAGCCAATCAAAACACAGTCCCGGGCTCCCTCCAGGAGTGATCTGCACCGACAGCCAAACATGATTGGCTGGCTCACCTTCTTCGGGAAACCGTGACCCACTTCCACGACGAAACAGGAAGCAGCGATCGTCGTCATTTCGTGCATTTCTGATTTCGCGCCTTCCCTCGTCCGACACTCAACCAAACAGGAAGGAAGCGAGAAACGCGGAGCCCCGTGGGTCGGCAAAACGCAGCATCGGGCAACCACGACTCTCCGCACTCTGTCTCTTCTATATAAGGATGCCCCCCTGTCGCTCTCATCTGTTCTTCTGTTGTACATCCCATTGCATGCTTAGTCTCGTCTAATATAGGTCGTCAGGCCTGAGATTACCCTTTTTTTTCCTTTTCTTTTTCCTATTGACTAATTATTGGATTGTATATACAATGGAGCACTCCCAACACGTCGAGGCTGCTTATGCAGACAAGCCCGTTCCAGACATTGATCTGGACGACCTCAAAGGCAACTCCAATGCCGCCCAAGAGGCCGCCATGGATGCCGAAATTGCGCGTCTCGAGACCGCATCTCAGGGCCTCAAGCGACCCAAGCTGGAAATGACCTTCTCCAACCCGGCCGTCTTCACCTATGTCCTCGTCGCATTTGCTTCGCTCGGTGGTCTCCTGTCTGGTCTTGATCAGTCGCTTATTAGCGGCGCCAATATTAATATGCCCAAAGACCTGAGTCTGTCTGCCAACCAGGCCAGTTTGGCCAACTCTGGTATGCCTTTGGGTGCTGTCGCTGGTGCGCTCATCTTGTCGCCTTCCAACGAGTATCTGGGTCGTAAGAACTCGATTATCCTCTCGTGTATCCTGTACACCATCGGTGCTGCTCTCGAAGCCGGTGCTGTCAATTTCGGCATGATGTTCGCTGGTCGGTTCATTCTCGGGACTGGTGTCGGTCTCGAAGGTGGTACCGTCCCCATCTACGTCGCCGAGAGTATTTCGTCCAAACTACGAGGAAACTTGGTCTCCCTCTACCAGTTCAATATTGCTTTGGGTGAAATCTTGGGTTATGCCGTGGCCGCCATTTTCATCGGTGTCAAAGGCAACTGGCGTTATATTCTCGGTTCATCCTTGATCTTTTCCACAATCATGTTCGTCGGCATGCTGTTCTTGCCCGAAAGTCCACGTTATCTGATGTTCAAGGGTCGTGAACATGAAGCCTATCTCGTCTGGAAGAAGATCCGTGGTTTCGACTCTTACGAATCCAAAGCTGAATTCCTCGGTATGCGAGAGACGGTTCAGATCGAAAACGAAGAGCAGAGCCACACCAAGAAATACCCCTGGATGGATTTCTTTACCAATCCTCGTGCTCGTCGTGCCCTCGTCTACGCCAACATTATGGTCTTCCTTGGCCAATTCACCGGTGTCAATGCCGTCATGTATTACATGAGTGTATTGATGGAGGCAATCGGCTTCACACCCAAAAACTCCGTCTTCATGTCCCTGGTTGGTGGCGGAGCATTGATGCTCGGCACAATCCCAGCTGTCCTCTACATGGAACGCTTCGGCCGTCGCTACTGGGCTAATCTCATGCTTCCGGGATTCTTCATCGGTCTCGTCTTTGTCGGCGTGGGATACCAGATCAACCTCGAAACACACCAGCAACTCGCCGAGGGTCTGTATCTCACCGGCCTCATCCTTTACATGGGCTTCTTCGGTTCATACGCCTGTCTCACCTGGGTCATCCCCTCAGAAGTCTATCCCACATACCTACGTCACTACGGCATGACCACCTCCGACGCAAACCTGTTCTTGTGCAGTTTTATCGTCACTTACAACTTCACTCGCATGATGAACTCGATGACTCGCATTGGTCTCACTCTTGGTTTCTACGGTGGTATTGCCGTCTTGGGCTGGGTGTATCAGATTCTGTTCATGCCCGAGACCAAGAACAAGTCTTTGGAAGAGATTGATGAGTTGTTTAGCAAGCCGACTTCGGTTATTGTGAAGCAGAATGTTAAGAATACGGTGCAGGTTATGAGGGATTTGAGTCGATTTAGGTTCAGGAAGGTTTTTATGCCAGAGTAGATTTCAGTCTCGCATCGAGACTGACAAGGATATATACTATGGTCTATCTAGTATATAGATACTTTGATCTATCGTCTCGTAGCTTGAGCAATTATCGAATGCACGAGAAATGCCACTTCTTATGATCAAACTGCAATGCGTGTAGTTACCAAAGTATTCATTATGTATGAAGCACCCAAAAAGAAATTCCAACTCGCATATGAACGTATTTATTGGCAATGATAACGAGCCATACTCATGCACAACATTAACTCAATAATAAATATCGACATCAGTAGACAAAAGAAACAGAAACGGGGAGAAAAAAGAAAAACGCCAACCAGATGACTCGAAACTCATTCGACAAATAACATTCCAAGTCTTATAGACTTGTTCCTTTTCTCGAGGACAATCAATCAAATAATTAGTAAGAGGGGTGGCGTGTATCAACGTATCCTGCATAAGAATAGACAGAGACAAAAGAAAACATTAAAAAAAAGCATATAAAATAAAACATTTCAGAATGGAACATTACACGAGTCCTTCTATGCGCAGAAGGAAGAAATATGGTGAGACTCGTTTATATACCCATACCGTCTCAATCATTCCATAGTCCATACATTTTTTGAATGGTCGCTCATTTCGCCATAACGTCGATATATCCCCTGCCCTTCTTTTTACTCTTCACCGTACCACCTTTCCGTGCCGTTGGAGCTCCGAGGAGATCATCGATTGAGCTTGCGTTGCTCAAAGATGTTGTCGATGGTCGCGGCAGTGGAGCTGCTCCTTTTGCGCTTGATGCGGATGGTGACGGTAGAGTGGTTGTACTTGCCGTAGCAGCGGCAGTAGTAGATACAGAGCGAGGCGGGAGGCCTCCTCCGTTTGGAGGAGGTGGTCCGAATGCTGGACTCGAGACTAAGGGTGATACACCTGTCCCCGTTGACGGACGACTATCAAGGGTAGCACCCAATTGCGACAAGGACGGTGGTCGATGCAACGCAGAAGCAGGAGGAGGTGGTGGTGTACTGCCGACGCTGGCAGATCGACTTGGTCCCTTTGGTGGTGGAGGAGTGGCTCGTGTAGATGCCGTTGCGCTATTGGGATCTTTCTTGTTGACCCATTTCTTGAGTTCGGGGTCGTAATAGAAAGAGTTTTCTTCACCCAGTTTGGCGCGAATTGGTCCGCCAGATGATTCGCCTTCTTTTTTGCCTCCCCACCAGCTGCCAAACCAGCCTTTCTTGGGAGCTGCGGGTCTTTGTGCTGCCTGCTTGTTAGTATACGTATGCTCACTGTGATATAGAATGCGAACTTACCATCCGCTTCGGCAGCTCTCCGAACTGCTTCGTCCGCTTCGCGGTCACGACGAGCCTTCTCAGCCTTTTGGATTGCTGCTGCTCGAGCAGCTAGATCATCTTCATCGTCGTCATCATCCATAAAGGTTTTCTTTTTGGGTTTCTCCTCCGGTTCATCTGATTCCTCTTCTTGACCAGGTCCATCAGTGGAAAGACCCAAATCCGGATGGTAGGATGGCGGTTCATATGATGATATAGATGGAGGCTCGTAGCCGCCATAATGCGGGACTTCAGCTGATGGTGACGTCTCGTTTACTTCGTGAAGAGGTTGGCCGAATCTTTCCGGCGACGCCTGTAATCCACTCGTCAAAGCTGATTGTTGAGGAGCTGCTGGATAGGACGGTTGCGCCTGCGTAGCCAGATCCTCTTCGACAGGAGCAAGTGGAACGTAAGAAGATTGTGGTGGAGTTGAATGATATGGGAATGAAGTTGGTGAACCATAGGCATTGGATGACGCGAAATTATATGGACTAGATTCCACCGGTGTGGCGGGCTCCTGTGAGCCTCTTCTGGCGTTATATGTGACACCAATAGAAGGTGACCGTTGAGATTCCATCGAACTACGCGCACGGTATTGCTCGGGTGAAGAACTTGGCGCGAATTGGTTGGCGGGTGCATATCGCGAGAATGCGTTAGATGCCGGTTGAACCATTGAATATGAACCGTATACCTCAGAGACCGATGGTGGTCGGCTAATAGTAGCAGGTTCGGTGACCTTGGCAAAAGGCCCAACATCCGCGTCCGTTGCAGAACCGTTAGAGGCAGCTTCATTCTCGTCTCCAGCCACAAAGCTATTGAATCTCGCCCACATGGAACCAGATACTTTCTCCATGTTTGGTTTCGAAATCCATGACGAAGCGCCATCACCGGGCGCTTGCTTTAGTCGTGTTGCAAGCTCGTCAATCTCCGCAAAGAGACGCTGATGGTAGTAAGGAGAGGGTTTGGTAGACGCCTTTAACACGCTGCCGATAGCCTCGCAGTAATGCATAGCCTCAGTCCTCAACCCCTTGTCCGCTAGTATATAAGCATGTTGCAATTTGTATGGCTGTAGATATGGCAATACAGCTACCGCACTTCCTGCCAACACAGATGTCGCGAATTCGTACACTTCAGTCAAAGCAATTGCATCTTCGTCCTGGAAATATGTAGTAGGGAACTTGAGGTGATCTGCGCCTAAAAGGACGATGGAGGCCTGAGAATCATCCGCTCCGCCAAAAATTGGGCGCTGTGAGAATGCTTTGGCGAACAGATAGCAAACATGTGATGCTTCTGTACGACCATATGACCCTAATAACTGCCCTAGAGAAACAAGTGCTTGATGGTCATCAGGGCTACGATTGTTGATAATCAAGCCGAGGGTCTCACGCCATCTTTCCAAGCCATCAACGGCATTTTTGTTAATACCTTGGCCTTCTTTGCTGACCATTTGCAATCCAAGCCTTGCAGACGGTGGGACGAGCTCGTCGATGCTTTCTTCAGTGTTTCCAGAAATGACGGCGTATAAAGCAGCCAGTGACTCAATATTCTCGCCGGCAGATCGGACTTCTCTTCTGACAAACTCTTGAACCACCTGCTTCCAAAGTGCCTTGTCTAAAGTTGAGGAAATGACCATCGCATGACCCCATAGACGGTTATCCACTGCTAACCAAACAGCCTTTTCACGGTATCCACCAAGAAGCTCGGTCTTGATCTGTCCCAAAACTTTGGATGCAACGGACTCCGATGATATAGAGCCATTGGTAGGGTGATACAACCCGGGCGCAGCTCCCGTGTCGTAACCATTACCTTGATCTGTCGATTCCAGCTCAGGCGATATTACATTCCTTATTGACTTTTCAATTTCACTAGTGCCTTCCAAAGCTCCATCGTTCTCAACTAATATCCGCAACAGCTTCCACAGGAGAATCTTCTCGTCATGCTTTTTGAGAGCGTCCGGTCCTTGGTCGAGTGACGGTGGAATTCCTTCATTCTCAAGAGCAGCAATCCGACTAGAAAGCCATGCTACAACGTCCTTTTTCTTCGACTTCGTCTTCAGGGGACCAGGATACCGTACAATGTCTCCATCAGGAAGAATCTGTTTGAGTTGACGTACCTTGGTCTCACCAGGCGCAGGTTGTATCATAGGATTCATCTGGCCTGCAGTATACCGCGGAATATGTTGAGGGAAACATGAAGACACTAGACCACCAAAGGCGAATTTGAACACTGGGGCACCTTTCCAACGTTGCAAAGGATCCAATTTTCGGCTATCGGTGGGCTTTATGAAGTCCAGTTCGGGAACTTCTCGAACAATCGACGTAACTTGGGGAATAGTATAAGCATGTGCAGCCTGTGTCGGGGAACCAGGCTCATGCACAGAAGCGGGTCGCTGGACGGGCTCTGTTGGGTTTCTGATGAAACTGGGGCGAATTGACTGTCTACCAGGGGATTGAGTCTGTGACCTCCGTAGGGGTGCGAATCCAAGGTCGTTTGCTGGGGGTGGTAAAACATTGGTTGGAGCAACACCTACGTGTGGTGTATAAGGTGATTCGGTAGAAGAGCGCCGTGACGGCTCGCTAGTAAGACTGGAAGCACATGGATTTGCCGGCGGACTAAAAGATGCTGGTGCTGGTGAAGGTTGGGGCAATTGGGGACCTGTACCACCGTGCAAGTCGTTGGTAGGCACAGAAAATGATCCTCGTGTGTGATTTGATGAAATTGGATATGTCAACGAAGACGATCCTGATGAAGTAGAAGGTCGCTGTTGCGTTTGTGCTTCGTATGCGGTCTTTTCGTGATGGGCGAGCGGGCTTGACGTGCGAGGTTGGAAAGGAAGATTGTTAGGTTGGGACACATATCGGTTTCGACCATTCGGCGGTTGAGAAGAAGGCGGTGCTGGTGAATAGCGAGAAGATAATGGTGATTTACTAGTGGTACTGGGTGGCTTTGGCGAATATCGAGGACCAATGCCAGGCCCAGCCGACGCCATCGGCACGGTTAGATTAGCATAAGGACCCATGCGCTCAGGAGCTTGAAGCTGATTCTGATATGCAACATCTGGGCCAACCTGTGACAGCGGTAAAGACGGAGGTGGCATTGATGGCGGTAACATTGATTCGCCTGGAGGTGGGGCGCTCGCTACCACCGGAGCAGGAGTATATGCCCCTGTGCGACTTCCAGGATGTTGTCTTGGTGCCAGAGCAGGTAGCTCTTCAAAAAAGTTATTAGCAACAGGATCCGCACCGCCCACAGGTTGCGAGACAGTTTTTTGGGCTCCGGGCTGAGGGAGCACAGAGCTGACGACAGGAATAGAAAGGGAAGGTGGAATGCTACTGCTTCGTGGAGGCGGAGGGGGTATTCCAGCCGATGGAGGAGGTGCAGTCCTGCGTGCTGCTGCTCGTCGTGGTCGCGGTGCTAATGACTCGGGGAGATCATAGGGTGATTTATATCCATCCTTCGCTTGGTCCACAAAGCTATGTGTTGCTGCCTCCTTCTCCGTTGGGGTTTCAGGAACTCCAGATGGCGGCGCGCTCACACCAGATACAGGGGTATAAATGTTAGGCAAGCTTTGAAAAAGCTCGGTTGATGAAGGCTGATGCGGAGTATATGGGTTCGTGTAATTTGACGGTGCTCTCTGTGGAGACCACAAGTCGCCAGCAGAGTCTCCATTGAAAAACGTGGACTCTTCCCGAGGTTTATACTTTGTCTCATTCTCCAACAGCAGGTCATCGTCGTCATCGTCCAATTCTGCTTGCCACCTCGCCGCGAGATCTTCCTCTTCTGCTTTCGGCTCTGGAACATCAGGAGAGTATTCAGCATCGTCCAATTCCGCTTGCCACCTTGCTGCAAGATCGTCATCTTCTTTTTCCAGCTCTGGAGCTGCAGGAGACTCTCCGACTGGCGAATCTGGGATACTGGAGTCACGACCACCAAGAACGTCGTATGTACTTTTTCGAAGAACTGTTGGTTTCTCTGGCGCCGAATTATCTCCCTTAACTGCAGATGCAAAGAAATCGTCCTCTTCATCATCTCTAAACACATCATCGAGTTGAGGCTCATCCTTGTTCGCGCCGTCTGTTTGGAAGTTCGATTCATTCTCAACTAGAGGGATACCTTCCTCAAAGCGGGACTCAGCTTCGGGTGGCACATAAATCGGTTTCGTTTGTGTTTTCAGCTGATCAAAAAACTCCCCTTCGTCATCTTCCGCACCGTCAGCCTCCCAGAAATTATTATCATTGTTATTCTGAATCGCTTCGAAATGTGAACCTGAATGTGAGTCTTCTTGTTGGCTGTTGTGAGGCTCCTCGTGATTCTGCGGCGCGCTAGCATGTTGTTCGATGGGGATTTCCTCATCAGTTGGTTCCGTTGTATTACTCACGGGAGGGAAAGAGTTCGTCCGAGCGGCTACATCCTCTCTTTCGAAAGGATTCTGAGACTGGATGTTCCATATAGCATCTGCTTCTTCGCCCCAGTTGATATTCAACGGCTTTTCTTCTTCGGTTGGTTCAATCGACGGGGCGGGAGATTCGTTATGCTCGGCAGTCGAGATAGTAGCGACATTATGCCCGGGGGTTGACTGAGACTCCGATTTCGATATAATATCCTCTTTTACTGTATCATCAGCGGGTATTTCGTCTGTTTGTTGTGATAGCCGTTCTATTGCGGACAGTGAATTCGCCTCGGGTACCGATGCGTCCGGCGCGTCCTCTGGCCTCATGGCTGGATTCCAAGATGCGCCCGTCAAATGCGGCTTTATTAAGTTTTCGGGGAGGTGTGACATTGTTTCTGTCATATTGCAAAATACAAAAACAAGAATTAAACTGCTCTCGGTCAGCCCATCTTGTATCAATTTGCGGATTCTGTCAGGGGGCCAGGTGGCCAGTATTGGGGCGGTTTTGGGACGTACACGTATAGTACAAAAAATTAGTAAAGATTCAAAGACCGGACACCAAAGAAAAGAAAGCGCTGGTAATAAATCCGGCCTATGAGTGCTCAAACAGGGCCACAGGTAGCATCCTGGAGATGAGATGAGAATCGAAGATGCTGAGGAGAAAGACAAAGGGTCGCGATCAAGTTATTATGATGGTTAGCTGTTAGCACGGGGACTGACGCTATCTTTGCTCCATGTGGGACCCACGGTCAAATGCCTGAGGCAGAAAGGCAATTTACTCCTGAATTGCTCCAGCAAGATGTCTTCCTGTTTGATACCCAGGGCAATCCTTCATATGGCTATCTTGTCTACGCTTCTACTATGTGTACGGCATTGCAAAACATCAGATCCACTATGTACTGCTCCGTACTCCGTAGCTCGGAAGTGACGGGAGTGTAAGCATTAGTTTGACGAAGATACAATGAGATTCTGGCAAGGGCCCGTCTGTAAGAAGGAGCGTAAATGATTTATATATGCCCGCCAAACTGTCCGTATATTTTATATAGTAATGGAATATCGCTATCAGAAAGATATTGGGACAACGGACAAGTTTCTCAAGTGAAACGTGGACTGTTAGTGGCGAACGATCATATTAAATCATGTGATTTCCTCCGTTGGTAGGCATCTTCCATTCGATGATGTATCATCATTCAAGTCACAAAAAAACCAACGTTCAACTCTACAATTTCCCTTTGCAGGCAGAGGGCTATCAGCAATCCAATAGTGCAACCATCTATAATTAAATCGCTTTCTCTTTCGTGATATTCAGCGCTTGGAACTACCTCGAACGCGCGGCGAGCCGCTCCCAACTATTCGTCGTTCACCCGCTGCCTTGATATGACTTGCTGTCTTGCTCACCGGAGCTCGCCGTGGCTGCTCCTTAATTAAAAGATTGCTCGCATATATCAAGCAAAGTCATTACCCAGAAATGTCGCTCTCCGCAGAGTACCTTCACGGCATCGACCATTCAGGCCCTCCTTCCGACGACGACCTAGATCTGGAAGAGCTTGATCCAGAAACAGCAAGGTATCGCCAAGGACCCCGAACAAGTCTAGAAAGCAAACGACAACGCGGTAGCTACGGAGCTCGAATAGCTTTGAGGAATCTGCGCTCCCGAAAGAGAAACCGTTTATGGAGTCGAGACCATCAAGGGGCAGACCATGACCTCGACAGTTTGTTCGATGATCGAGATGATATTGCTTTCAATTCGCACGAGGATGATGCTCCCCTTTTGAACGGACAGAGAAGAGATCGCACATCCTACGATGCCCGTCGCTCAGGCAAATCTCGACTTCCTAGTTTCCGCGCCAACGCACCAGCGCGGTCACCGGATGTGCCGTCAGACTCTGGGTCTGCGCGAGAGGTCCTGGTGGGCCAGGCGCAACACCTGAAGTTTCCAGCGAATGCGGTCTCAAACGCCAAATATACCCCGTGGAGCTTTCTTCCACGTACTCTTTATAATGAGTTTTCGTTCTTCTTCAATTTGTACTTCTTACTCGTGGCGCTTTCACAAGTCGTACCCGTCCTTCGTATCGGTTACATATCGTCCTATATTGCGCCACTCGCCTTTGTTGTCACGATATCTTTGGGTAAAGAAGCATGGGATGATATAGGTCGGAGAAGAAGGGATGCCGAGGCAAATGCGGAAGAGTTCACTGTTTTGTCTTTTGGACCACCTGCTGGTGGCAATACGCGTGGAAAATCAGGGAGCATGAATGGCTCGAGGCTTGATGAAAACGTTTATGAGATTACGAAGAAATCGCGGGATTTGAAGGTTGGAGAAGTGCTGAAGATCAAGAAAGACCAGCGACTGCCTGCCGATGTTGTTATCTTGAAAAGCACATTGACGGAGTCAACAGTACAGCCAGACGCTTGCCACACCTTCGAAGCACCTGAAGTTGACCTCCTCGAAGCAAGCACAGACTCTCCACCCGCAGATGGGACTACGAACGGAAAGGTTGGGAAAACTGAAGAATCAGTTCAAGCTAGTGGTGCCGGAGATACTTTCATACGTACTGATCAGCTTGATGGGGAGACCGACTGGAAACTTCGACTTCCAGCAGCACTTTCTCAAACACTTAATTTGCGTGATTTCCAACGACTAAAAGTCCATGCCAGTGCCCCTGATAAACGCATCAACGAGTTCATTGGCAAGATCGAATTACTTCCTCCTCTGTACAGTTCCTATGACCCTCCAGTTAATAACGGCACGGCTCTAGAGAATAGCGACTCGAATGACAATTCTGGATCTGTAACTGATATCCAGTCAGCACCGTTGAGCATCGATAATACCGCCTGGGCTAACACTGTGCTTGCATCAAATACCGTCACACTTGCCGTCATCATCTACACTGGATCACAAACTAGGTCCGCAATGTCAACATCGCCGTCAAGATCCAAAATTGGTCTACTTGAATACGAGATCAACAATCTTACCAAAATCTTGTGTGTTTTGACCCTCTTATTATCGATTATTTTGGTGGCACTTGAAGGCTTTCAACCAACAAACGACAAAAAGTGGTACATTGCAATAATGATATACTTGATTTTGTATTCAACCATCATTCCGATGAGTTTACGGGTGAACCTCGATATGGCGAAAACTATATATGGCAGATTCATAGAGCGCGACCAAGATATTCCTGGGACTGTTGTCAGAACAAGCACAATACCCGAGGATCTAGGTCGTATTGAGTACCTCCTGTCCGATAAGACGGGCACACTGACTCAGAATGGTAAGTCTTATGTGCTTACGGTATTTCATACTTGTTGCTTACAAAAACAGAGATGGAACTGAAGAAAATTCATGTTGGAACGGTTTCGTATGCCAATGAAGCTATGGACGAGGTCGCGTCATATATCAAGCAAGGTTTTGCTGTATCTGACAGCACCCGTCAGTCTCTAATTACACCATCAACGGTTTTCGGTGCTCCAGCGGGTACCGCTGCTGCCACAAGGACGAGGAGAGAAATCGGCACCCGAGTAAGGGACTTATTATTAGCTCTTGCTTTGTGTCATAATGTCACCCCAACCACGGAAGAAGAAGATGGGCGCCGAGTTATCAATTACCAGGCTTCGTCTCCCGATGAGATTGCAATTGTCAGGTACACTGAGGAGGTCGGACTACGTGTGGCTTACCGTGACCGCAAAACACTTATGCTTGAGTCAACAAGTACGAACCAAGTTGTTGTCCGGGTCCAGATTCTGGAACTCTTTCCATTTACATCGGAGAGCAAACGCATGGGCATAATCGTTCAATTCGACCACGTCACTGGGGGTAACGTGCCTTCAGAGAGCGAACCCGAGATCTGGTTCTACCAAAAGGGGGCAGATACAGTCATGACATCTATCGTTGCAGCCAACGATTGGTTAGACGAAGAAACTGCTAATATGGCAAGAGAAGGATTGCGCACACTGGTTGTTGGCCGCCGAAAACTATCTATGGAGCAGTATCAAGGCTTCACTGCTGCATACAAGGAGGCCTCAATGGCTTTACAGGACCGTGATACAGGAATGGCAAAAGTCATTGGTGGATTCCTTGAACGTGACCTTGAGCTTCTCGGAGTTACTGGCGTGGAAGATCGTCTTCAGCGAGACGTAAAGCCATCCCTTGAACTACTTCGAAACGCCGGAGTTAGGATATGGATGTTGACCGGGGATAAAGTCGAAACGGCAAGATGTGTAGCAATTTCTGCCAAGCTTGTTGCTCGGGGACAATACATCCATACCGTCTCCAAAATGAAAGAAAAAGCAGCGGCCCTCGAGACTCTGGACTTTCTCCGGCATAAGACCGATGCTTGCCTTTTGATAGATGGCGAATCACTATCTCTCATGCTCAGCCAGTTTCGGTCTGCATTCATCTCGGTAGCAGTCAACCTTCCTGCCGTGGTTGCTTGTCGATGTTCTCCAACGCAAAAAGCAGAAGTTGCAGAATTGATTCGACAACATACTAAGAAAAGAGTCTGTTGTATAGGTGATGGCGGCAACGATGTCTCGATGATCCAGGCTGCCGACGTAGGTATCGGTATTGTCGGAAAAGAGGGTCGACAAGCTTCTTTGGCTGCAGATTTCAGCATCACACAATTCCACCATATTACTAAACTGCTTGTTTGGCACGGCCGCAACTCATACAAACGATCTGCCAAACTAGGACAATTCATCATGCATCGTGGTTTGATCATCAGTGCATGTCAAACTATGTACAGCATAGCCAGTCATTTTGACCCAAAAGGCCTATTTATCAATTGGTTAATGGTCGGCTATGCGACTGTATACACGAATGCGCCGGTTTTTTCTCTTGTCCTTGATAAGGACGTCGACGAAGAGCTAGCCAATCTGTATCCCGAGTTATACAAAGAGTTGAAAAGCGGCCGAAGTTTAAGCTACCAGTCATTTTTCGGTTGGGTCTTCATTTCGGTCTATCAGGGTGCCGTTATCCAAGGCTTGTCTCAGCTACTCCTCAACACGACAACTGGCAAACGGCTGATTAGCGTCTCGTTCACGGCTCTGGTTCTAAACGAGCTAATCATGGTCGCAATAGCTGTGACAACCTGGCATCCCATCATGATTTTCTGCATTGTCGGGACGGCCTTGGTATATGCAGCGAGTATCCCTTTCTTAGGAGACTATTTCGATTTGGAGTTCATTATTACAGTGGACTGGCTTTGGCGTGTTGCTGCTGTATGCGCTGTTTCTGTGATACCTGTATGGGTTGGTAAGGTCATCAAACGATCATGGAAGCCTCCAAGCTACCGTAAGGTGCAAGGATAGGGTCAAATATTTCTTCTTTTTTGTATATTTGTATACTACCTATTAGGAATACTATCTACCAAGGCCTTTTTCCGTGAGCTCTAGAATCCCTTTATATAGCTCCTATTCTCCATCATTGATTGGCTCGAAGGTCTACCTAAGCGGGTCCAGCCGATAAGGCGGATTACGTCGTGACATCCAGCAGCTGACTACTCTTTTTCTGCCAGGCATCCACCTTTCGTTCTTGTTTCTATCTCCATCACTCAACGTTCACCAGGAATCAATGGCATATCTAACAGGTCTTTGAACGCTTTTTCGGCCTTATATATTCCCTCTACATATGGTGAATTGGAGCCGATAATCTGCAACATCAAAATGGCAGGTACAGGTCCAAAGCTGACCCCGCCGCCTTCGCCGCCATCTCCGGCGGCGTCATACTACGATATCAGCGACGATGAAGAAAGCGAGTACAACACCATTGCGCATTCTAGTTCAGGGAGAGGTGTGAAGCTTTTGTTCTCAAAAAGCAAGGTATTTATTTCTCGTTATTGTTAAAGCAACCGCCCGAGTCTTGATCTAATCCGATACGTGAATAAGGTGTATGTCCATCCTACTCCCTCTGCGAAAGACAACATCCCCGGTTTCATTGCGCTGTTACAACAAAAGCCTGTAACCGTACTGGCACGTCATAATACATCAAATAATACCTCCGAATCCTCCTCACGCAGAAATGATGCCTCTTCCTATCTCCTCGCATGGGTCCCTGAATCTGCTATGGGTGACGCTTACAGCACCTATGTAAAAGTTGACCTTTCCGACAATGATTCTCCTCCTCGTCAGACCTACCTCGTCCCGGCACTTCCTACGATGACAACATATCAAGACTCGATTGGCATGTATGCCTTTGCAGTTCCACTCTCCGAGATATATTCTTTATGGGTGCGTCCGCCAAGCCTTGGCTGGTGGTATGGGAGTCTAGTCATCTGTACAAAGTCTGGAGACAACTTCCCGGCTCTATTTTTTCATGATAATGAGTGTGAGTCTACGATCTTGCAGAAACGAAGGATGACTCGGGAAAGTTTCGACCCGTTCTCGGCAGATGGTAGCATGTTTTGGGGTGGGGATGAAGTTCTGCGATGGGTGAGACGGTATGCGGACGTTCAGCGAGCAGGTGCTGATCCGAGCAAATATCTCATCAATCCATCGGAGGAAGATAAGCTTTCGTTTGGTCGCTCTCTTGGGCCTCAAGCGGATGCTGCGAAAAGCGCATCCTCAACCCAACCACGACGTGATGCGGCCATGGATCCCTTCACAAAAGCTCTAAAAGAGACAAGGTGGAAAGTCCTGGAGGGACTCAGTCGGATAACAACTTTCACAAGACGTACCGCAAATGACCTCGCTGAAAATTCTATGATCCCAACGCAAGTGCGGCGATTAATGAAGAACCCGGAAATTCAAACTCTGCAAAACGAATTTGATAGCGCGAGGATCTACCTTGCAAGATGGGCAATGAATATTGCTGAACAAAGCGAGCGGGAAAGGAACCAACGTATATGGACGGCGCAGGATATGCTTGGATCTGAGGACAGTTCTGTAGGAGAGTTTGAAATCCTCGAGCTTGAAACGGGAACAATGTCGATACAGGAACGCCGGAAACCAGTGACGATACAAGAATGGAACAGTTGGTTCAATAGTTACGATGGTCGTTTGCAGATTACTGTCGATGAGGTTAAAGAACGGATATTCCATGGCGGCCTTGATCCCAACGACGGCGTCCGCAAGGGAGCTTGGCTCTTTTTATTGGGTGTTTATCCTTGGGACAGCAGCGCAGATGAACGAAGAGCTGTTGTGAACTCTCGCAGGGATCAATACCTAAGATTGAAGGGCGCATGGTGGGAGAGGATGGTTGATGGAGACACGTCAAGCAAGGAATTTGAGTCGTGGAAGGAGCAAAAAGCTCGAATTGGTAAGGAATTGAGCTTCTTTTGGAGGAATTTCATGCTAATATTATGGATAGAAAAGGACGTTCACCGTACAGACAGGACAATTCCATTATTTTCAGGAGAAGATATACCTCATCCTGATCCCGACTCTCCATTTGCCGACGCGGGCACAAATGTCCACTTGGAGCAGATGAAAGATATGCTTCTAACCTACCACGAATTCAACCCCGGACTGGGCTATGTTCAGGGCATGAGTGACCTACTTGCACCGATTTATGCGGTCATGCAAGATGATGCAGTCGCCTTCTGGGGTTTTGTTGGTTTCATGGAAAGAATGGTATGGACACAATTCAGCGGTGCAAAATTTTATATTCTAAAACTGATTGTAATCTTAGGAGCGGAACTTCCTACGAGATCAATCAGGCATGCGTGCTCAGCTTCGAACATTGGATCATCTGGTTCAACTCATGGATCCTCAACTTTATCTTCACCTTCAATCCGCCGACAGTACAAATTTCTTCTTTTTTTTCCGTATGCTTCTTGTGTGGTATAAGCGCGAATTCGAATGGGGCGACATCCTTCGATTATGGGAAACGTTGTGGACAAACTACTACTCCAGTAGTTTCCACTTGTTCATCGCATTAGCAATCCTCGAGAAGCACCGAGACGTTATCATGGACCATTTGAAGCACTTTGATGAGGTTTTGAAATACAGTACGTTCATTCTCAGTTCCGTGAAAACGGATTGCGCTAACATTTTTTTACTGCAGTCAACGAACTTTCAAATACAATGGAGCTCATCCCTATCCTTACACGCGCAGAGTCACTTTTTCGTCGCTTTGAACGTGTAGTACAAGCCGTTGACAAGAAACACAACTTCCCAACACCCAGCAGTATCAGCACCGGGACTGAATCGAGGTCTCAAACGGGAAAGCCGCCGTCACAGCCTGGAAATGAGACCGGGCCGGAAAAGAAGGAACAGGTTATATCACCCGAACTTCGCCAATTGCTAAGTCGAGAGAATATAACAGTTGCTTCAACCATTCAAGCAGAACAGGCTGGTTCAAGCACTGCCGCAAAGCCGTAGTACACTTCACTTCATATAAATAACAACAAGCATTGGTTTTTGCATTCGGCGGTATGGGTCTGGCGATTAGGGAGTATCATCATTAGGCGTTTTTGTTCTTGTTTGATATTTGTTCTTCGGTGGGCGAACTATCTCTGATAATGATACGATTTATGTTACTATAATGTTATTGATTTACAGCTTCCAGGTTCATTACCTACCCAGTAACTCTCAATCGTTAAGATTTGATCCCCATAGAATGATAATCACCTGGGCAGAAATACTAGGATTAGGTAAAACGCTCGTGATTTGAGTCGGCTGAGCTGCTCAAGTACCCACCTAGGTAGGCCTCTTCAGCTAATTGTAACAGTGTTAAAAGATGCATTGCAGTTTCGTGAACACAAACATAAGGTGATATCATTGGGGAAGCAAAAAACAAACGAACGTAAGCCCACCACCGAAATAGGGATACCAGAAGACCGAAGAGTAGGGACTAAAGGGTCATAAAACGTCGTAAAACCATCGATCATCATAAATGAATAATCAAACTCCGCTATACCAAAGCTACGCCCATATTTGCTCCATATTCCCAGCTAAACAAAGCACGCCGAAGACACACCATTTCAAATCTTTGTCGGAATGAAATGACTAGAATCACTCTCCTGCTGCGCAAAACTCTGATTAAACGCCGCGAGTCCAGCAACAATAGCAGCAGCCATGAATGCTACTGAGACCAGCGACCAGATGACACCCCAGCATTGCGAGGAGCCACCGTAACGTTTCGCGAAGACACTGGCATCCGAAGTATTGACTTTGCGGAGGATGAGGTCGTCACAGATATCCCATGCACTGTAGAGGCAGGACATGACGCCGATGAACAACTGAGCTCTATGGTTAATTTTGAAAGAACCAAAAAGCAGGGGTTGGGAAGTACATACCACCAAGAACCGAAGCGCCTCGGCATGTGCAATAAACCAAAACCCAATCAACAATCCCACCGCCAACAGGATAGTCACAATAGTCAACCAATCCTTCCGTGCCCACCACAAAGTAAGCAAAAAACACACCCCCAAGACAATACTCGCGATTTTGCTGGCGACAATATCGAAGCCACAGAATATCAGCAATGCGCCAATGAGTGAAGAGCCCAGATAGCCGGCTGGAAGAGTGATCGCGCTTTTACCGCCCACCATGTGCGTTACGCCACCTTCATGAGGGTCGAGGGATATAGATTTGACACGGCCGCCTGTGCAGACTGCTGTTATGGCGTGGCCGAATTCGTGGAATGCTATGACCAGCATCTATCACCGTTATTAGCTCGAGTCTGTGTTGCATGGTAAATAAAAAGAAGACAATACCTTGAACGGCCAAAGGGACCATCGAATATAAGGTAGATTCCATAATAGAGCAATCACAACCACATATACCGCTATTATGCCCAGTGTGACGGCTTGTGTGTGGTTGACATTTGTTAGACTGCGTCGTACAATCATCGAGTTGGCGAGATCATGGAAGTAGGCTGGTGTTGGCGCCATGTTTGTGAAAATATATCTGTCGACGAGCGAGCTGTTCCTTTCGTCTATCACAACTGCAGTCGAAGTTCAGTTCAACAGTCTTATATGCCTCCGTTGAAGGTGGTCTAGGGATAAATCTCGATGAGTAAATAAAGAAAGTGGAGAAGATATTGGGAAGGAACCGTGGCTCGGGCTGGCTCTTTCCGCTGTCGATCAGATGCAGCCCTGCGCCTCCCCAATGAGATCATCCGAGATTATGGGCGGTGGGACAGTGTGGCTGGGCATAGCTAAATTTGACCAATCAGGTTCATGACTCGTCATTTGCTGCGTAAGTCTAACACAGACTAGACTCTATGCGGTTAGACTTGTCAAGGCTGTTGAGCTAGCCTGAAATGGAGGTATGTATATCCATTGCCTATCTAAGGTATCTCCATGGAATCATCTCTATGAATTCAGTCAATGCAATTTACAACAGAAGATAATCCTGGCGGTTGATATTGGGTTCTTCTTTCATCTCCCATTTGTCCTCTTCATCCTGGACCTTTTGACCGGCAGGCCACTCACCCAAAGCGATATCAGACCAATCGTACCAAAACTCATAGCTCATCACCGTATGATCAGCGTAGGTAAGTAAAACACGGTAGTGGCGAGAAGAAATAGACCCATGCCACGGTTCCTGAGGCATATGAGTCCAATTAGCTATCCCATGACTTTCGGCATATGTGAGTTCTTGCTTGTCGGGGACATAATCAGACGAAGAGGAAGAGCCGCCCTCATCACTCTGGCTTGCATCCGCCTCACTATCAGACTGCCAGTTCCAGTTCTGGACGGACTCAAATAAATCGTGGTCACTGGATCGATAATGGAAAGAAAAGTCTTCATGGCTAGATACACCGCGTGGCACATGGACCACATCCGGCTGCTTCTCGAAACCTTGCATCGGACTGACGCCGAGACCTAGAAGCCCCACCTCAGGACGTTGGGCGCGCTGTTCCTGACTCGCCAAAGGGATCATCCAGTTGATTCGAAGTGTAAAGTTCCGGTCAGCAACCTGTGTCAATGTGATAACTGCTGCACGGCCCTTTTGTGTTGCAGCAATAACAATACCAGACTCAGGCAAGTACTTCACCATGTTGAATCGGTCGTAAGAGTGCAGAGAGTAGAATGTGCGAGGTAATTGTTGTCGCAACGGTCCACCTGAGACAACGGAAGCATGGCCTAAAAACGGACCCTCCAAGAGACGGATGTCTGTTTCGGAAAAATGTAGGATTGGGAAATCCCTGTATACTCGTTTTGCATCAGAATAAGGGCCAATTGACCCAAAAACCTCCGCTGTAGGTTGTTCTAGGTTGATCAACGAGCGTATATCCCTCGAGTCGGATGTACTCAACACATGTTGATGGGCTGCATCCGAGACAACAGGGACATCTTCATCTGAACTATCTTCACTGTCACTATTTTCTGAAGTCGTGTTTTCGTCGTCATCGTTGGAGCCATGCTGGAAGGATGGCCCGGCTATGACCGAACGCAGCGCGAAAGCAGCATGCTCGTCGGAAGAAGATGAGTCGCTTCGTTGCGAAGGAGAATGATCAATAGGCTCTGTCGATTCCTCTTCCAAGGGGTTTGCACTCGGAAGTACCTTGTCCTCACTGGATTGAGCTGTGATAGAAGTGGCTGCCGATATACTCTCTTCACTCATTACTGAAGAACTGTCAGAGGTAATACGTGAATACCTGTCAAATATGTCTGGAAGAACTGGCTCCTCGCGGGGAAGATCCACAACCGGGAAAACAGGAAAGAGAGGATTGAACATGGAAGATGCATCCGGCACCTCTAGGGCAAGATTAGTAACATCCAAAACAGCGGTATCGTGTCTAGAGGGCCGAAGATACACCTTGCCGCCGCATGCTTGGACGTACGATTGGCGCAGACGGAAGCTTCGCGGATCTAGTGCTAGTACACTCCATCCACGTTCCTCCTCTCGCAATATACCTGGTAGTGGACCTCCATCAGCGAAATCAAGGACTCTAACCGGGTGGAATCGGTCCCAAATCGCCCAAACAAACAGTCTGTTGTCGATATCCGTACTGAGCATCCACATGCCGTCAGAATCCAGATCACTGCTAAGAAATGATATTGACGGGATATTCGTGTAATGGCCCTGGTACGATAGTCTCAAGTTACGTGATCGATGACGATTTTCCAGAAATAGATCATGTAAACCCTTAAACTCCGCTTCATACTTGATATGCAACCAATTCTGCTCGTAGCTCGCGGGAACTCCGTTCCAAAAATCATCAGATTCGGCATCTGTGTCCGCGAGCGCAAACGCGAACACAGTTATCGTTCCAGTATTCGCAGAGACAGCTATGAGTCGCGCGTACTTGTGGACGGCCAGACCCCATGCACTCAAACCGACGCTTTCACAAAAGAATGGTTCTATTCGGGGGTCTATTATAGGACGCCTCTCGTTGCGTATTCTGCCAGATTCGATGCACGAGTATATATTCTCGACGTGATAACCACAAACATTTCCGGAGTCAGTAGCTAGAAGCAAAATCTCATCACGCCCGAGGTCGTCAACGAGAATATTATTGATTCCGTGAGGGCATCGACTAGAAATGTATCCATCTGCTTGGGGCACCCTCATCACCGGAGTGATGATCATTGCCGGCTTCCTTCCAAGAACTTGTCGCGGACCAGCAGGCTCCCATACATGGATCTGGTGGCTATACGCCACAAAAAGCAGATTTCGTCTCTGGGATAGCGCTGTCTATGGCTAAGTGAGCATTATATATGTTTGGCTACTCGGGTGAATGACATACAAGGTTATTTCTCCATGATAAGACTTGAGGAGGAGTAACTCCATCTCTCCTGCAGGCCATTAGATGCAATTCAATTCATTGTGATTCTGCCAACTGAGGATGAGTATCTTACTCAGGGAACTAGAACAACACACGGTCAGTTATCGTGGCAAAGAATGACAAATCTTCTTGCCTACCCTTTGACTTCCTTTCTCTACATTGAGCGGGAGAAGCAACAACTTGTCTTTTGACGTGGACGCTGGGCCGTCATTTACTTGAACTAGATATGGCGTTTTGGGCATGGCTCCATGAACTCTCAATGGACACGGTCAATGACGTATGGATCATGGGATGGGAGTGGCAGTTAACAGCCTCATAACGACATCCGAGTCGATTAGAGACATGTATGAAGCTCGAATTTCACCACCGATGTTGCATGGGATAACATGGGCTATGTGGATAATGGTTAGCTCACCGAGTACATATGTTGAAGTCATGACACGCACACCTCGGAGGCCGTAGTCAGTCTGAACAAACCGGAAAGCTATCAGACACAAGGCTAAAAGAAGGGAAACAAATGATAATAACATAACCTAGCGGAAAGAAGAAGAAGACATACTGACGATGACAGACAAATGGATGGTTGTTTATTTTCCGGCTATGATGAGTGGTTGGAGAAGGAGGTCGCTTTTGATTGGTGAGTCCCGTTAGCCTACCACTAAGCATTTCACGATAAGATAAGCCCAACAGCGGCGTTTCTTTGTTTCTCTCACTCATTCTTTTTCATAGCCTTGTATCATCAATCAAGATAGTACAATTATACCACCATGGATCTCGTTGCAGGAGTCCGTAAAGAAGGGAGTCGGTAAGTTCCTTCTCGGTTTCAACGGATATTCATGTGCTAATTCAGATATTCTAGCGGAGGTCGCGACTCCTTCAAATGGTCCGACGTTAAAGAATCCTCACACCGCGAGAACTATCTAGGTCACTCGATCATGGCACCAGTTGGTCGATGGCAACAAGGTCGTGACCTCAATTGGTACGCAAAGAACAACCAAGATAGCGACGCGGCAAAACAAGAACACGAGGAGGAGATCCGGCGCATCAAGGAGGCCGAACAGGATGCAATGGCGCTCGCGCTCGGATTACCTGTTGCTCCTCGCAGTGCTGCTTCGAATGCAAATATGACTCCGTTGGGTGGGAATGACGTGCGAAAGGCTGTGCAGGAATCAACGGAGACAGAAGATAGGACCGGCGATGATGGCGGTCGCGGGATCGGATTTGGTTCATATGGAGGAGTAGCTGGAAGTATGAATGAAACCGATGGTGAGACATTGGCACCTATTGGCATGGATTCTGCGGGTGATCGGCTGTCGGTGCGGGAGAAAGATGGTGGTAGAGGTCGAGAGTCGAGATGTCATCGCTCGAGGAGGGATAGGTCTCGAGAACATGGCCGGAAACGGGAACGTGGTCATCGCGATCATGGTCGAAGTCACCGGCATGACCGAGATCTAGACCGGGAACACCTTCATCGTCACCATCATCGGGAACATAGAGAACATCGGCGCCATAGGTCTCGGTCTCGATCAGGGTCGAGATCCCCAAGACCAGAACGTCGTGACCGAAGACATGAATCAGGCCGCCGTCGTGATGCTGATCGTTCCGGACGTCGTCGTTCGAGCTCTCCGCGACACGATCGAGCTGGTCGTGAAAATGATAGAGAGGCGCATAGACATCATCGTCGATAGCCTACTCATTAGGCTTTTTGTTTTCAGTTTAAGGGTGCAGGTTATGCATGGCGATGGCGTTTTCAGATTATTGTTGTTATGATTGCCAGGATATAAGAGTGTGGGCTGTCCGCTCAATAATGTAAAATGGATATTCAGGAAGTATGTCTACTAAGGGTTGCTACACATTATTTGACCAAGCTCTGATTCGTGTCATAAATACTCTTTAATAAGCGCCTATCCATACCTAGACACACATGCACAAAGTACAAAGAAATCTTCGAAGTAGCAATGTCTAGGTTACAGTGACATACACAAAAGAAAGAAAATCAGACCGAATTTTCTTTTCCTTCGGACCCAAAGGTCCCACAGATGCTATTAACACATACACGTACGGCAACGAAAATCATCACAGCTCATCATGTCCTTTTCCAGAAGACGTGAGATAAGGCATATTCATAAGCTTCACAACCAAACTCGTCCATCCAGTGAAATGCTGGGTACGTTGACCCTTGCCCGTCTCGGGATTGTATTGCTCCCAGGCGAAGCCCGTGTTTTTCCATTCTTGGAAGACGTTTTCAACCAGATTTTTGCGTAGTTCGTTGTAGATCTGAGTTGCTTGTGCTTTATGCGGGCCTTGGGAGGTTGCAATTTCCTAAATGGTAAAGTCAGTTGTCATTCGGCAGTAGGTGCTAGATGCGATGGAAAACTTACGTATATATTCTTCACAATCATAAAGTTCATATTTATCCATACTGGACTGCGCCAGTAGTTCTCGTCAGTGCCATAGAACTCATCGCTCTTGCTGAGACTACGAATACCATAATCACTCCACAGTTCGTCAGAGTTGCGAATCAGGTCAAGTGTAGCCTTGAGATGCGGGCTATCAGGACCAACCATTCCCGTCAAGAAGGGGAAGATGGAAATATAGCCCTTGTGGCAAACGTGCACGCTTTCCTCGTACTCGTCAATGGTTGCGTCGCACCAGGTCTGAGCACCTTCATCCCAGTGAAGATCCTCGATGTTACGTGTGATAGCGTACTCGTAAACTGCAAACTCCTCTGCGTCCTCAGTCTCGCCAATGGCGCTCGCAATCTTGCGAAGTGAGCGGCTCATCAGACCCATCCAGCTAATCAGATCGGTATGTAACTCTCCGGGATGAGGGGGCTGAGGTCGAGGATAGTCATCAAGACCAGATGTCAGAATATGTCGCACTGTGCGTCCGCGCCAGCGATATGCTTCCTTGCTTGAGTAAGCTTCACGATCATAGGACTTAACATCTCCCCATTGAGTCTTCTTGAACCAGAAATATTGTCTGCGGAGGAGTGGGTAGATGGAGTGCAAGTATGAGTAAGCCAATTCCTTGCTCTCGAGATGAGCAGATCGAAGGCTGTCTGCAACATCGGCAGCATTGAGCTCAAAGTTCTCAAGGATGCTTTGATTGGCTTGCAACTTGTCGACGAATGCCTCGAGAACCATGAACAAAGTGGGCGGGTTCGCGTAGTGGGGATACTGAATGGTGAACTCAGGGGGCACCTTACTACGAGCCTCGAGTCCGAGAATCTGCTCACGTGCAATCCAGCCATCTTCATCCATGAGGTTGAACCAACTCTGCACAATATCAAGAGTCAGGTCAAGATCCCAATCGATAACAGGAATGAGATGGAAACCTTCGTCCCACAAGAAGCCGCGGGGAAAGAATGGCCTGGACGGAATAGCAGTGAATAGCTCCCTGGGTTCCTCTTCGGTAGGTTGTACGCGTGATCTGGCTTCCGCAGCTTCCTCCCAGAAGCCTTCATTCTCTTCCTCATATTCAGGGGCGTCTGAGCGGTCAACCAGACCGCTTCCATAGAAGTAACCAATACCTCCAACCAGGTTGGAAAACATGGACTTGGAGAATTCCGAATACTCTGGCTTGTTGAATGGAGGTTGGGATGCAAATAAGTTTTCATATCTGCTTGAGAAGGAAGAGGATATCTCTTCAATCTTATTTGTTAACGTCTCCGCTGTGAATGAGGTCAGTCGTGCAAAGCAAGAAAAACAGATGTGGTCATACTCACAACTGACGGGTTCCGGAGCGGAACCAGATTCAAATATGATATCAAATTCAAAGGCACCTTCAAAGACTTGTTGCACGAAATGGATATTGCCAGATCCAGGGTGATTAGGAATTGTGAAGAGCTGAGCCGGTGGTGGAGGCGCATCGGTTCCATATTTTGCAATCAAGCCTTCGACTTCGGGTTTCATTGCAGTAAACATTAATGCTAGAATACCGATCATCAGATACTTGTCACATTTCATGCCGCTTTGTACTCACATTTGGCTTGCCATAAGTTTTCTTGTGGTGTTTCCACGCTAGCAACCAAGGGACGATCCAATGGCTTCTCAGCGCCACTAGGATGATCAAATTCAGGATGTTTGTTGCTATCCGGCCCAGTGGTAACGCTTATTGTAAAGTCGCCAAGTTCTGGGGTCATTCCCTTGAGCTTCACGTCTCCCTTCAATCCCATTTGATGCTCAACGGCATTGTCCACATTTAAAGAGCCGAGCCCTTCCAGTGAAGCGTAGAAAACCAACGATGTATATAAATCTTCAGGAGCATCTTCTCGCGGTATTCCCTTCACTCGAGCCGCCCAGCTGCCTCCGTGAAGTCCTCCTGGTACTTTGACGAAATCGATCGTGAGGTCAACCGAGTTGCCGACATCGTGGATCGATTGGCGACCACCCTTGCGCACGTCGTATTCGTCCCAGCCATATCCTCGCATGCCTTCATTTTGTTCGCAGGTATGCCTAAAGTCTTAATGGAAATCAGTTATACCGGTGATCCCATCGAAATGTCCCCAGACGTACTTGATTGCGCAGTTGCATAGCTATCGACTTTAGCCCACATCAACCCAGCGGTCAAACTTTTGGGGATTCGCGGTCGAACCCCAAAATATAAATTCGGCTTGTACGGACCCCATAGCAGCGACTGATTATTTGCTTTGGCGACCTCGTTGATCAGTACGGAGACATCGTTCGCAGCATAGGCACAGCCTAATACGAACGACGACCAAAGCAGGTAGAAACTGATTTGAAGCTGCATTTTTGGGGCTCTTAGCAGAGCATCAGTCAAAGTTAGAGACAATTGCTTGATTGTCTCTTCAATTGAATGTGCTACTGCTTTTGCGAAGTTGTGAGGTGTGGGTGTATGTAGATGCCAGATGAGAGTAGCAATGGAGCAGTTGATTGGTTGTCGGCGGAGATTCCACGTAACCTTTCCGCTCCAGCTCCGCAGTCGTCTCAGAAATCTCAGCGTTACAGTTGAACATTGAACATCTATCGCCAAACGACTCCGTAAGAGAAGAAGCGAAAACACTTGGTTTATCTAGGGATTGATCTATCTCCATACAAAAAGCCTACATAAACCGCTGTGGATCCAGCGCCGCGATCTTCGCACTCCTCGCACCCCCCTCAAAAACAAACTCACTGATGAGCTTGCCTGTCCCAGGAGCATTCTGAATACCCCAGCACGTATGGCCAGTCGCAACATACAGCCCCTTTGTCCCCGAATGTCCAATCAATGGTCCTCCACCACCGCGCGCATCGACGTTCGGTAGATAACATGCCTGCTGCTTCACAACTTCACCTAATCTGAGCTCATCCGATATGCTACCTACTGAATCAATGATGTCCTGACACCGTTTGGGATCTACTTCGACATCTGCTGATGTTTCGGGCAGTGGAACGGCACGGTCTCCGTCGCCACAGGCATATACCGTAGTATCGGGGCGCGCGTAAATCTCTGGTGTCTCGACCGTTGATCTCTTCGGATTGTGTTTCGAGGGTAACTCGATGTTCGTGAACAATGTATATGCGGATACAGGTCTCGTCGGCCGGATGACTACACTATGTGCTCTTGTTGCAGTTATAGGCGCCGAAGGGATTATTCTTTTCGTCCAGGGGCCAGCCGAAACGATAACATCCGTTGCCGGTACCGTGTGCGCTTCACCAGAAGCTTTGTCCGTAAAAGTGACGGACTGGACTGCGCCGGCCTCTTGATTAATTCTGGTTACTTTGCCCAGGATAATATTGACGCCTTTCTCCTCGGCGAGTTTGGCTATTGAGGTCGTAAATTGGTAAGGATGCACCTGCGCCGTCTCACCAGGTCCACTCATACTCTCGTAACCGCGAATACCATCGGAAAGCACCCAATCGAGGCCTGCAGGTATACCGGCAGCCCTCAATTTGCCAATAGCGGCCGCATCGCGCTTCTGTAGAGAAACAGAGGCGTCATCAGCGTTGCTCTTCTTATCAATCACCTGACCCTTGACAATCAATTGACCACAGTTGACTTCTCGATAACCCCAATTATCCTTCCCATTATGCTCCTTGGCGAGTTCGGCGTGTAATTTGTAACTCAAGGGCACTATAGAGCTTGGGTAAGCCCATAAAGCGAGTAGACCTCCAGCTTTCCCAGATGCGCCGCCTGCGATTTCGGATGCTTCGATAAGCGTGATTTTGTGTAATGCTGGATCATAGGATGGGTGTCTTGTAAGGTAGTATGCTGAGCAGGATCCGATGATACCACCTCCTATTGAGTAACCGCATCAGTGCTCGAATCCTTGTTGGGCGTATGGTGACTGCGTGTATGCGGGGTAGTAGGATGGTACAGAACACGACGCACCTATTATAACGATATTTCGTTGCGTTTCAGAAGCCATTGTGCTTCAAGAAAGTAGAGAGATTGACCGTCTAATTGGAAAGGCCACTTTGATGGGATGTGGAAGATTGTGGTGTTGTTTTGAGAATTGACTTGTTGGATGGTGAGGGGATTTATATACGTCACAGTGGATGTCGCAATCTTGGAAGAATCAAGATACGCAACATGCAAATTCGCAGTTCGAACTGTTCTTGACAAGTATAACCAGTTCATGGAAGAACCTCGAAAGGAATAATTCTAAATGCACGTATAGAAAGTCAAAAGTTTTTCAAGATCCATCCCTAGACTTGGGACATCGCAAGTTTCATGCATCTCAGTGTTGATATAGATTCAAAAAGTAAAGATTCGCCCACAACTCCCAAGTATGCCACAATGAAAAGATTCTGTAAATGTATGTTACAATTGCTGAAATTTCAACCGGAAGTAAAATACGTTGCTCGGTAGATGTCAGATCATCTGCCGGGACTGAGAGGTCTGTTGAATCCACCAACACGGTTCATGTATTGTCGGTATTCTGTCTTCTTCTCTTTCCGTACACCGTATATGTTGTTTCCGGGTACTTTTGTGTTCTTCGTACTCCTGAATTTGGTGAAGCCAACCGCTTTCTGCATCATCGCTTCGATATCGTCTGAATCTTCGATGTCGCTCATCATATCCGCAGGGTCGATATCTTCCTCGTCGCGGGTGCCTCCCCTTGACGCTCCGTTTGTGCGTCGTTGGTCAGGCCGTCGCACACCATCTCGTTTGCTGTCTCTATAGTCTGCTTTTGAGTCGCGAGCTGGATAGTCGCGGGAACGTGTACCATTGCGCGGTGATCTGGATCGATCAGGTCTTCCTGATTTCGCATTGCCTATAGAACTTCTCGTCAGCACTGATAAGTTCGATGTTGGCTGAACAGCATGGTACATACCACGTCTATTATAGTGCCGATCTCTACTGGTACTCCGATCACGATCCCTCATACCCCGTCCATCCTTATATGAGTCACGTTTACCACCATCCCGATCGCGATCGCGATCGCGAGACCAGCTTCTATCTTTTTTCCGTGGATATCGATCACGCGAGCGGGAGCGGTAACGACGTTGGTCATCTTTTGTGCTTGTGCGAGAATCCTCCGGTCTTGAGCTTCCATGGCGCGAGTCGGCTTCAGGTGTGTGAGAGGTCCTCGACCGTTTTTCGTCTGTATCCCACATGGTTGAGATATCGGTGCGACGGGCCCGTTTCATAGGTGGCTCGGTCATTGTGCTTGTTGGATGTTTCTGAGTGACCGAAAGGCCAACACCACACTACCACCGACTGGAAACGCAGAGACTGTTGTTGAAAGCAGATTTAGCGGCCTGACCAAAAATATTTCCTATTCCACTATCTTGTGCTCGTTCCCGTTCTGTTGCATTGAGTGTTATAACTTGTCTCTTCAAGTCTGCCTAAAATTCGAACCTCAACTGTCCTCCCTCCTTAGTAAAGTTAGTTTGGTTTCCCGCGAAATTGTACGTGCGACGAGATAGACCAAAGGTGCAGTAGCTTACTGCCTTTATGCCTGAGGCGTTAACCGCGGATAATCTTCGTGACGGCACCAGCCATTTTATATGGGCAGCACATTAACCTTTTTGGCAGGATTTCTATGTGAATTTGCTCGACTATTTGTCCAAGTCTCCATAGTCAGAAGCGCTATTTTGAAGTTTGTATGTGTTCGCTTCATACGCTAAGAATTTAACGACATCATCTAGGAACAGGACAGTTTGTCGAAGTACCTCGACTTTTAGACGTCTCTGGGGCCATTTTGATACCATGGCAGTACGGAGTACACATCAGACACAACGGCGTGATAATAATAGGCAATCTGACACACACGCGTCTTGCCACAGCCCCTTTGCGTTCGTGTCTCTAGAAAGTTGAGGCTAAGATGCTCCGCTAAATACTCCCCTTGGCCTAGCTTCACTGAAGGCTTAGAGCTGAGCCTGAACAGGAATGGGTCGACTCCGCGCAAATATGACCTGGCCAATAATATCGCTCCGATCTACCCACTTGCTGGATACAATCTTGGCGCGCCTGAGATTTCAGGAGCAAAGCAGGGAGCCTGAAAAACCTGGCCACGCTTGAGGCTTACGTATGACTTCGCCCGTGCAAAAAGGGACTCTGATACACCACGCTGATCTTGCCATCACCACGTCTGGTTGGCCGCCCACCTTCACTGCCCACTTCAATTCCTTCATTTCACTTCGCTTCGACAACATGGCCTCTTGCTTTCTGTAAAGATTTTATTTTCTTTTGTGTTTCTTTTCGACTTAACACCCCAGCATTGCCAGAATCATTCCGAAACCACCGTATCTTCGATCTCTTAATTCAATTTCCACCACGGCGTCCTTATCCGTTCTTTTGCTCCTAAGGCCTACGGTGCCTCTAATCCGATTTCCTAGTCTCTCGACTTGAGAGGGAAAATTCCTTAGGAAAAGACAATGGGAGTTTTTAGTGTGTTGAGACGTCGCTGGCAACGTCTTGCGGTTGCCTCTGTTGCCTTTGTTCTGATTGCATTTTCCATTCTGTCCCACCGAGGGGACGAATTATTCGCGCAACAACATTACCCTGCAGCGCAACACGAATTTTCGAGCGATACTCCTTTAATATGGAAGCATATAAATAGTTCGACTGTTAGAGGTGGAGGTACATTCTGATTTTCGCTCGGAATTAACAACAGCTGACATTCAATTCTTCTTTAGCATTCTATATCCCCCCGGAATGGCTCTCACCGTCGACCCCCAGACCAACCACTATGATTGAAGCGGCGCGTCTCGTATCCCAATTGACCAATATTAAGAATACTACCCACCTTATAGACAATACGGAAATACCCCTGGTTGCACACCAGACTTGGAAAAATACCCACGTCGACACCTGGCCAGACTTAATCCGCAACAGCGTTGAGAGATGGATGCAGACAGTGATGGACACACCCATGGCTTACTTTCTCTGGAACGATGATGGAATCATGGAGTTTTTGGAGGAGTACGAGCCTGAGTTCATCGACCATTTCAGTGCCCTGCCACGGATGGTGGAGAAATCGGACATTTTCCGAATCTTGGTCTGCAAGTACATTGGCGGCGTTGTAAGTCAGCTTCCTTGCCTTGGGTAGGCCACTGCATACTAACGCTACGTAGTACGGAGATGTTGACACTCGTCCAATACGGTCGCCGGCGACCTGGATCGAAAAGTCCGACTTGAAACCTTGGCGCGACAATGCGACAAACATCTTGTACAACTCAACCAAACCTGTCAGGGCAATTTTTGGCATAGAAGCGGATTGTCCCCCAGATACCGATACCTACTGGCGAATGGGATATACCAATCCCGTTCAATTGACCCAATGGGCATTAGCGTCTTCCCCTGGTCACCCCGCCCTGACGTGGTTTATGCAAAAACTATACAGTATAATAGACGAGGTTGCCAGCCACCATGGCGGTAATCTAACGACGCCGCAAGCATACGAAGAGCTTGATTATCTGGAACCCTTGATCTTTACGGGCCCTGACGCTATCACAGTCTCGTTACGGAGTTGGCTCGAGGATCGCATAGGACTTCGATGGAATGCGCTGACTGGTCTTCATGACGGGGGCAAGAGCAAATTAGCGGATGATATCATGATTCTACCTATAACTGGATTCAGGTATGCTCCTTTTCATCTCCTGTCTCGCGAAAGCTGCTAACGCATTCATAGTCCCGGACGCGGTGTATACGGCAACATGGGCTCGAAACCAATCACCCACCACGACGCACGCCTTCAACACCTTGCTCAGGGCTCATGGAAAGGCTTTGATCTTCGCGTCGAATTCGGCAAAGTATGCCGCACCTTTTTCGGCCTCTGCAGGGACTGGCCCAAGTCATAACTCATCACAAAATGCAAAAAGAAGGATTAAAAAAAAAAAACAATTTGCATTTAGCCACAGAACCGAGGAGTAAACGAAAAGGTAAAACTTCGCATCGTATATATTCTATTCTTCCAGTTTTTCTTTTTTTTTCCTCTTCTTATCGGTTTCAGGTTTTGGGAGTTGATTGATTACCAACTACATCGCGTCCGCGTTTCATAACGGCCAATTGAGCATACATGGTGATGCCCATCTTCTTTTATTGTTGTATTTTATACCCTTGTGCATGTAGCATAGAATACAGTTGTTTTAATTTTTGGTTTTATATAGCTCGAGAAGACACTTGGAATACATGGAAGAATACTTCTCAGTCTTGAGATATTATACATTACATCCTCCTTAAATCATTAAACCACATATACCGACTTAGACTCGAATACAGAACCCGATTCCACGAAGACTCTGACGCATGCTTCCTCAACGCCTCTTGGGCTTTGACATGTCGACTCCAGCTAGTAACTATCAACGCCTTGTCGCCGTAAACATCTCCATCCTTGGGCGGTGGTATAGCAATCTTCCCGTCCAAGGAAGTCTGATACCCCTCCGGCACGGACAGGAACATGGCCTGGAGAATGCGGAAAGTGAATGGTACCGAAGTCGGTACCAAATCTAGCAAGGACAAATACGCTCTAAACATGGATTTTGTCTGTAGCGCATAAGCGACTGGGTTGTGATGGTCATGGAGATTACTAAACCGTTGCACGGAGTTGCTCAGCGCGACATGGTTCTCGTCATGGCTCGATATACCGTATGCGTCAAAAGTGATGATTAAATCGACATTCCATTTTGTGACATGCCGCTCTAGGATTCGTTGGATTAGTTGTTCGTCCCATGGTCTGTGGGCTTGGAGATCTTTGTTTTCGAGGATGAGGCACTTTTTATCCGGGATGGAGTATTGGTCGCAAGAGGCTTTTGTTTCGAGGCGGTTCGTTTCGGAGTTTTCTAATATCTTTCCGTCAGATGAGAAAAGACAGCTTGTAGAAGGTAGGTATATGTACCACCAGATGACAAGACGAGGACATATCGGTTGACATGTTTCCTCCCCCAACTCTGTAATATACTCGGACCAAAGAATAAGCTGCCATCATCCGAGTGGGCTGTGATGAATAACACGCTCTGCGCGTTTCGGATTGCGTGTGGAACCAATCGAGGGTCGCTGGCAAGCACGTTTCCGAGTAGAAGATAAAGGAATATAGGAAATAGAAGAGAAAATAATAGCAATGATGAGATGATGGAGAAGCGACGTCTTGCGGCTCGGCGGGTGATGTGTGTTGCTGCTGCGAGGATCGGTCTGTACGCTGCCATTTCCTTTGTGACTGGAGATATTTTGACAGAACGAAGCCTAGGTCAATGAGTGAGCGATTGATCTACAGCCATGCAGCGAGCATATATTGGATGAATTATTGATGGTTTAAGCTTGTGCGGTGTTCATCCTTCTTTCCTGCAGAGCTGCCTTCCTCGAGACACCGCCCCAGGTCTATATAGGACCTGCATGAATTGACCTCGTGACGAGTCCGCTTTCAGGAACAATTGATAGAGTTTGTTAACTTTGTTCTGAGTTTACCTGCCCCTGACTGGGGTATGCAAGGGATAACCTCGTTGACGGATCCGTACATGGCATGTCAGAAATCACCTTTACCCCTGGTTTCGAATGTGATTCGTCTCATGTGAGACAAACCTGTACTTGCGGAGGTACGTAGTGTACATGATGTACAGCTCCAACACATATGAGGACCCTGCACAACCGGTCTGTCTTGAATCAAGCGCGAAGAGATGAACAGTTGCTGAAGTGAAGCCAAAGCTGCAAGTAATCGCTGCCCCACGTGGATCCACTTTGCATTGCTATTTCGGCACTAGCGTCCCCCGTAGAAGCTTGCCTGAGGCCCAAAATAGAAAAGTGCTGGAGCTATCGATAAACTCCCCGCTATTTAGTCATGGAAAAATTTCAAGGCAATTCAAGACACCACAGCATGGTCACCATGTCGTCCGCTAGTAATCTTTCGCACCGGCGCACGCACAATCTATTGTTGATTTCTAAATTGCTCAGTCTGCGCGACACAGCTTCTCCGCTGACATTGGTACTGGACTCGTTAGAACAGCCAGGAAAGCCTTTGCTCAACGAGTATATACGGCGAACGCAGGTTGCTATATCAGATTATCAATTATCATTGATAGTCATACTAATTTACCATTTGCTTAGATATCGAAAGTTCATGTTACATTCATCGCCTTCGAAACCCTAGAACGACCCAATGGTGTTGACTCATTCATTCTTGCAACACGCAAAAAGCCCACAGATATGGCCAAGGAAATTGCGGCGGGGTACTCTAATTCTTCACATAAACGTGAGCTATGTCTTACATAACTGCTGAGTGAAACGAGACTGACTGGAATAGGACGACTGATTATCATCGATGCTATCAATCCCCTTCTAAGCAAACCGGGAATCCATCTACCGTCCTATTTCGGCTCACTCATCGCCCCGGTCAACCCTTCTCCCAGCGCAGCACCCATTCAGACTTCATTGGTAGTGACATACCATCGCGACGTTGTACCTGTCAAAGCACATCAAAGTTATGCGCCACCAGATCTGTCAGTGCTGAGTTACCTATCAACAACCATCATAACGCTCCATCCCCTATCCCATATCCTCGCACAAAAAGCAGCGCACGATCGAAGTCTCGCGGCACCAGTCTTTGGACTTGAAGAACAACAAGAAGGAATAATAATTGGCAGAATAAACGATTCAAAGGATCGAGCACATGTCGAAGGCATAGTGCTGGAATTGGAGCATCGGAGGAAAAGCGGACGCGGGGTTGTTGAGTGGTACTTTATGCCGCCTGCAGGTCGCTATTCGACCGAAGAAGTCAAGGAGGTCATCACGTTGCTAGAAGATCATCCTCTGTACCGACGGCCGGACGAGGATGTGGGCGCACCAGAGCAGACAGAGCCAGGGTCTACCTTTGAATTGAAGCTTACGGAACGCCAGCGCCGCGATAGAGAGGGTGTTGTTCTACCGTACTTCGACGCTCAATCCGGCGATGGTCCTGGAGAAGGTGGTCGGATCTTATATGATATGGGAGAGGAAGATGACTTTGATGAGGAAGAGGATGAAATTTGAATAAGCAGGTTCATTAATACTATTAATACAGATCAACTGGTGGTTACAATTTCAGTATTTCGAAACATCAGAGCGAAAGCGCATCGCATAAGCTCACCACCGTCGCTATGCATACGGATCATCAAAAGTCATATATCTATACGAAGGGGTTGTTATTCAGGGGTAAGGGCACGGGTATCAATTAAAAGAAGCGCCACCAAATGAAAAACAACATGATGAATCCAACTGCAGCAAACGGACCGTACTGGGAAAATGTTAGCCTCGTTCCACGTCACATCGTTTGGTGCATTCCATCTACCTGTTTCATCAAGAGCTCCCAGTTGATACGGACAGCTGCTTTGCGATATTTCATGCTATCCTCTCTTAACCTCCCGGACATTTCACCCATACGCTCAAGGCTATCACCTCGATATAATAGGTCTTCAATATTCTTCGTCATGACTTTGGTCACGTCACGGAGCTCGTCATTGAGCTTATCGAGATTTGCAGCTGCGCGACTATTCTGATAGGTCCCCTTGGTTCGTTGGATGAATGTGTCAAACTCGACAAAGGCATATGGTCGCAGGTTTGGGGAATTGTATTGCTGGGAGGAGTATGTTGTTGTAAATTCGGTGGCTATATCGGCGAGATATGTAAACGCGAGTTTCCGTGGATATGATTTGTCGCAGATGCATAGGAAGCAAACGTCATCTTTGATGAGGTAGCTGGCGCAGACAATAGATTAATTGACATGGCATCTAATTGCTGGGAGGGTCTGTCTTCAAGACTTACTGGAGTGTATATTGTCCAGACTCAATACTGGCTTCTGGCGCAGAGTTGCGACTCAAGCGTCTGAAGATCATCTTTGCTTGGGACTTGACTTGCGCCAATTCATTTTCCGCCTGAGAGAAATCAGTGGTTTAGTGAGTAGTTCTTGATAAAGCTTCCTTTATTGGAAGTCAGCGTAAGCAAGATTACCTGGTCGTCATCCACAGAAGCTGCCAACATGAGGCCTGAGACGAGTCAGTCTATCTTTCTCTTCACTTCGCCTCAGACTTATTAGACGCACCATCTATCCTCGCGATCTGAGTTGACCTGACCATTTCTCCTCTTCCTATTCTCCCAAGTGTTTCTCAAAAACTCTTTTCCCAAAGATCACGTCGTTCAAAGAATAAATAAACACTGGATTGAACAGATTGCGGAGATCAAGGTTGGAGCTTTCTGTCAAAATGCCACCTAAACGCAAGGCGGTGAAGCAGCTGGATGTTAACGGTGATCCACCGAAAGCCCGCAGTAGCATCAGGTGCGCTCTCCTTCGAAATATTTACGAATTTCCTTCAAGTTCATCTTTTTTTTTTACGGAAAAATCCACTTGCTTCTCAATCACAATGTTCCATTCTTCCTTTATCATATAATAACGAACCCCTTGCTATTTCAGAATTCGCAATAAGCAGTTACGAGCTGCAGCGAAGCCAGTTAGTGATGCCGGCCATCTCGAAAGAAGAGCTATGTCATCAGCACCGAAGCAGAATGCGGCGAGGAAAAGAGGCCCCTGGGGAGAAGACTATCTTATGACGAACCCGAAATCGGCTTTGGTTCATGCGGATCTTGTTGTACGTTCGCCCCAGCTGCTATAATATGAAATGCGCTCAGCTAATATGCTTTATTCTTATAGCGACTGTTCTCTAACCCCAAGGCATGGGAATGTCTAGAAGAAGACGAGAAACGAGAGCTCCTCTCTCGATTACCGGCACATATCCACCCAAATCCTGATCCGGACCCAGACGATCCAGAGTCAAAAATTCCACCTCTCCCCGAGAGCTTTCTGCGCTATGATAACAACTGGCGTGCTGCATTGCGCAACTTTCAATCCGACCTCGAGTCCGGCAGGTACAAACCCGATTGGCAGAAACAAGCCAAACAGGCAGTTCAGGAACGAGCTCAGGGTAAGTTCGACGATTACAAGGAGCGGGAATTCGAGCAATTTTGGGGTCAGAAACAGAAGATTAATCATGGTCTGATTGCGGGGGAGAGTTCGAAAGTTAAACTGGAGACTTTGATTGCTCATGGCGTCGTGCGGGTAGGGGATGTTTGGAAGTATTGTCGTGTGTTTGGTGCGAAGAAATCGGGTATTGTTGTCGAGAAGGAGGCTAAGGTTAGTTGTACGTGTGGGTTTTGTCAACGGACGTATGCTGATTGTGATAGATTACGGCTATTGATGGTGCAAAACTCAGTTTCTTGGTGCCGACTGGACAGAGGGTCTTCTTGAGCGCTGTCGGTGAAAAGACCGAAGACGAGAAGATCGAGAATGGACCATTCGAAGACTCCAAGGCTGAAGGTGAGAAAATGGAAATTGATGACAATCAGGACGGGAAGATAGAAGACGACAAGAACGAAGAAAAGATGAACGGCAAGTTGAAAGAAGAATTCAAAGACGATACACAAATGGATATCGATCCGAGTCCGGCTCTACAATTGAATGATCATACGTTATCAGAAGCCCCCGATCAACCCATACAAGATGAGTCTGGTACCCGTTATAATCTTATGGGACTTTTTGACCATGCCCGCCAATCAACTCCAGGAATCACCACCAACGACAACAAAGATGACATTGCGAATGGTGAGAAAGATGACATAGTGTCCAAAGAGGCAACATCAACCGCCCAACAACTAACGTCACCACAAGCTCTAGCCGCAAAAAAAGGAACTGGTCGTAAACGAGGACGTCCTCCAAAGCGGAAAGCGCCTCACGATGAGGTCGCTCAGGAATGGGCTACTGAAACTGCCGTAGCTGCAGAAGTCCCCGAAACCACCGAAACCACCGAAGCAGGAACCCCTGGGCATCCTGACACGAGTCTGAAGATCACAGATAACGACACCAATTCAGACCGGATTCCAGAGTCGACGTCTGAAAAGGAGCAGGAGAACGCCAGCTTGGCTACTCCGACAGAGGCGGATCCTCCTAGATCCTCGACATCTCCAAAAGCGGATCCAGAAACAGCACCATGCAGTGCTACCCCCCCTGCACCTCTTGAAGCAGAGATCCACAACATTGCAGGACCTAATGCCCTAATGAAGAAAATTCTTGAGATTGACGGTCGTATCAAAAATCCTCCCAATGGAAATGCTTGGAAGGAGATTCGCTGTTACAGGGATAATCAGGATATGGGCAGTTTATGGGAGGTTCGGCAGGCTTGGTATGTCAAGTACCAGCAGGAATGATTCTCTACAAGATGGAGAATTTGGAGGTTAAGCATTTAGAGCAACCTAGAATTCATTTTTGGGTAATCTGATTTTTGATGGCGTCTTTGATTCAGATCGGAGTTTAGTTGATACCAGTTTCCTAGAATTGTTACATTTTTGTCTCTTTCTTTTGCGTGCAATCGAAATTATTGATAGAACGTGGCATTAGACCCTCAAAAATCTACATGATATCCGCATTAAACTCCTCCTCAGCAGTACTTTCATGAATATTAACCGAGTAACTAGACTGCACAAAATCCTCCAATTCCTCACTAACAGTCTTCAACTTCTCCTTGACAGCAGCTACTCCTTCCTGTCCAATAATATGTCGTGAAGGCGGATTCTCATGTCCACCTATTGCTGTAATTGCATGCACCGTCTCCAGTGTAAGGGCTTCAAGGTGCGCGGCACTGAATGGTGCATACATAGTCACGACTTCCTGTAAGGATGAAAAAGGGCCCAGTTTTTCTGCGTTCTCGGAGTTGGAGTTGGGGCTTGTTATTGCTATTGTTGCTGGTGTTTCGCTGCTGGTAATACTTTCGGATGCTACTGATGCTTGTGGTAATCGTGAAACGAGACCGTCTAGTATATTTCGGAAAAGTGGTGCATTGTTTTCCGAGGCGGAGTATGCTGGGAGGATTGGAGGTACACTGCTGATGAGGTTTGTGAGAATGCAGATTTCCATACTGCATTGAAGGATGGAGACTTTGATGTTGAAGGGGGCCACTTCGTATGCGATGCTCTGCAGGTTGATTCCGTTAGTTAACAGATACATTGTGATTGAAGGGTGTTGGCGCCTCATACATCGCAAAACCCTTCTAGAGCCCATTCGGATGCACAATATACACCTAACCCTGGAGTACCAAGATGAGCCGCTGCTCAGGTCAGTATGATGCATCTTTCCATATGGCACAAATTTTAGTGGCTTACTGATTCCCGTCAACACGAGAAAGTGACCTCCTTTCTGTGAGCGGAGCTGAGGAAGAGCCGCCTTGATTATGTTCACAGGTCCAAAGTAATTAGTCTCAAACTGATCCCGGACCAGACTCAGTGTTCGTGGTGAAGCACTTAGTTCTTCGACAGAGCCGACAATCGCTTGGCTTGTGCAGCAAAGTACAATGTCCAGTCTGCCAAATAGATTCACTGCTTCGGCTACAGCGGCTTGACATTCACCCATCTTCCTATACAGTATATCGGTGAGTTGTTCGTCAATTACTCAAAATCTCGAGAGGTGATACCTGATATCTAATAGAAAAGTGCGAAACCGATCTTTCCACCCATGGTCCTCGTCCCTCTCAACTTCCGCGAGGAAATCCTCAAAGTAAGTCCGTCGATTCTCATCTCGGACTATGTTTGACGGTACCACTCCGCTCACCACACAGTCACCGTGAGCAAGAACCTGGCGAGCTACAGATAGCCCTATGGGGCTGTCACCTGAAGATATCAGCCATACTCGGCGGTCACCGTGCTGTGGAAAGCGTATCTGGGGGATATTGGTGGTTTCAGTCATGATTCATGAGGGAAAATAGAGCTTGTCCAGCAAGTCCATTGCCCTTTCCGTTTCCAAGCTCCTCAGCCGCTCAAGTTTGTTTCATTAGTCACTGCTACATAGAGCATCTGTATATATACTTGCCATTCGGCTTAAAGGAAGAGGACTAGATGAATGGGTTAGTCCTGGAGATTTCGATATACCCACATGTTTCAGCCTGAAATTCAAGGTATCCAATGCCCGAACGTGGGGTATGCAAGAACCTGACGGATCGGCCAATCGGACACTCGCCTTCCAGAGCATGTCGATGGCGCCTTCTGTTCAAAGTAACTAGCGGACGGCGACAATCTCTCCTTTTTCTACCATCCTTTCACTCCCTTTGCTATCCGCTCATCAATATACTACATACGTAGTAGCAAAGATGCCGGAGCAGAGACAACAGCAAGAGGAGGAGGGCGGTGTGAGTACACCCTTCAATAGTCATCATCCGTACAGGACAGGTATCGGCTGACATTTAGCAAAGTTCAACTTCCGAACCGTCATCCAAGGTGTCGCGATCTTCTTCCTTGTCCAATTTGTTATGGGCCAGTTCTTTGGCGGGAATAAAACTCAATCTCAAGGTGCTGTATCGACTGGCCCGACTGGCCCGATCCCGGCTTATTCTGACCGTCCCGCTCGCAATGAAATCGAAAATTACAATCCTATCCCAGCGGGGATTGCTCCGATGTGGCCTTCTAATAGTTCCTTGGATATCAGTATCTACATCTCTCCATCCGTTCGCATGCTTCCATTGTCGGCTGTTCCGAAGGAGTCCCTCGTGATGGAAGAGAAGGCATTTAATATGGGTAACTGGAGCGAGAGTCGTGAAATTGATACTACTTTTAAGGTGCCTAAGGAAGTGCAACAAAACGGAACTCTGTGGGCACATTTCTACGTTGCTTTGAGCGGCCACCAGCTCGACCCAGCTGCTAAAGACTACAGCCCTGAGACAGCTGTTCATTTCCTTCGCCCATTGAACCAATATCTGCCAAAGAAGAAAGTTGCGAAGCGCAAGAATCTTCTTGCAAGCTCTGAGGAAACTGGCGATGAGGAAGGGGATAATACACCGAAATACTCGATTGCTTCTTATTACCATCCTAACTTCACAGTTTCAGTCATTCCTGACTTTGGCATGGCGAACTATCAGCAAATGCATCCCGCAGTCCGACAGTATGTGAACTTGGAAAGCACTGGTGCACGCGATACTACTGGTCAGAATACGTGGTACTACCCTGTCTTGTATCTGAATACCTTCTGGCAGCTCAAGTCACACATGACTGAGCTTAACTCCACCGTCGAGACCCTACCTCTCCGCATTGTCTTGAACAATTTAAGTAATTGGAAGTTCAATATCTTGGCTAGCATGGATGAAGGCGCAAAGCAAAATGCTCGCAATGCAGCTAATGGCCAAACTGTTCCTGGCGGTGGTGATGGAAGTGAATTCGAGATGATCAAGGAAGTCCTTTTGGACACGAATGTTTATCTTCTCGGTACCACCGCCATCGTCAGTGTTTTGCATATGATTTTTGAGACTCTTGCCTTCAAGAATGATATTGTAAGTCTCCTTTCCTTTTTCTAACACCGTCGGTGGTGACTAACATCTGTTACAGTCTCATTGGCGCAAGAAGAAGGACAACGTCGGCACTTCAGTCCGTACTATCATAGCTAACATCTTCATGCAATTGGTCATCTTCCTCTACCTAATCGACAATAACGAGAACACTTCTTGGATGGTCCTCGCCAGTCAAGGATTCGGTATTGTTCTTGAAGCTTGGAAAGTTACAAAGACCGTGGATGTTCGCCTCCGCCCTCCCCCACAGAACTCGTTCTGGTCTTTCCTACCCTATGTTGTCTCATTTGAGGACAAACATAAGCTCACCGAAACGGAGAAGAAGACACAAGAATACGATGAGATTGCCTTCAAATATCTCTACATTGTGGCGATGCCCTTATTGGCCGCTTACGCTGTCTACAGCTTGATGTACGAAACTCATAAATCTTGGTACTCTTTTATCATCGAAACTCTTGTGGGCAGCGTCTACGCATATGGTTTTCTCATGATGGTTCCTAGTTTGTACATCAACTACCGTCTCAAGGTTAGTCCAAGCTTCGCCTAATGACTACTGTTACTAACATTCTGCCAGTCTGTCGCTCATATGCCAGGAAGAGCATTGATGTACAAGTTCCTCAACACTTTCATTGATGACTTATTTGCTTTCACCGTCAAAATGCCATGGCTGTATCGTCTTGGAACTCTTAGAGACGATGTCATCTTCTTCGTTTGGCTCTACCAGAGCTACAAGTACAAGGTTGACTACAAGCGTGTCAACGAATTCGGCCAAGGAGGTGAATCAGACGAGGAGGTCGAGGACGAGGTGGTCTCTGAGACTGTCAAGGAAGCCAAATCTACCGGTGCTTCTAAGGCTGCTGGTACTTCGGCACGTCGTCGAAAGTAGACCCAACCGTTTGCGTTTAAATCATGCATGGAATTGATGGTGAGAAACTAGGACCGTGTAATCCTATCACTATATAGGCTTAGAACATTCAACTACTCTTCTTCGGATGAATGAGAGAATCTTACTCTAGATTATAGAAATCTCACATATTTTTTTACGACTATCAAGATAAACAGAAGCTAGACATCCTTGTAGGGTTGAGTTTTTAAGCATTCAGCGATCTGATTGGTCAGACGGGAACCAAATAAAGACGCGTCAAGTCCAGACACGGAATAGCATCAACATTTACATCCGCCATAGGGCAGTCAAAGCAACCAATATTTTCGATGATTATAATATCATATTTGACGCGTTCATGAGTCGTTAGGGGCTGTGTCTGGCTCATGTTCTTCGAAAGGGACTCATCCACTTGACGACCACACAAACATCAGAAAAAGATGTCGTCCCCGATTGCTAGTTCGGGTGAGTATGCAATTCTTTCCTGCTGATATATACGAATCATAGTTACTCATGTATAGTAGCGAATGAGCAGTTTGGAGATATACAAGCACAGCTCAGAAGTTTGCGGAATAGTGTAGATCATCTCGAAGCTGGTATTTCTCCTCTCTTGTTATATGTATGGCTACGCAATTTGCTGATCTGTTGAATTAGTTGCGTCCGTGCCAGCAAAACAGAGAAATACAAGCGTCAAAGAAATAGCTAGTGATATTGCATCTGATGCCTATAATGTCGGCATTCCCACCGATATCTTGGAACAGCTGGTAGACGTTCTCACGAAACCGAATCATTTGGACCAACCCACTATCACGACGTTGGTCAAGAATCTGTATCCCCTGGAACGAGTTCCTTCAATTGTGGTGACCAAGGCAGTATGCAGTCTGGGGCCAACAAAACTCAAACCCTCCCTTGCGACGCAAACACTTCTTCTGCAATGGCTTCTGCTTGTTTACGAGTTCCTGGAGGAACCAGCCATTTTATTCAAGCTTTACTCGGTTTTGTTTAATCTACTCGATATGATCAGCTTGCGTCGACCGCTATGCCACATCTTATCTTTAATAACACGTCGTCCGCATGTGAAGCCTTTCCGGATCCAGGCCATCATGGAGCTCCTACGCAATGCTGGGGACGATGAGAAAGAGCTCATGGGACTACTACGAGTATTCAAAAACTACTACCCTGATATTATTGTCGGGGAAATTGGCCGCTCGAAATTCTTCTTCAAACATCCAGATCCTGAGTGGACGGCCAAACTGAGGCAGTTGCAGGAACGAAACTTGGAAAGAATCCAGTTCGGCAATGGACATAATGTCTTCCAGGTTGTGAGACGCGGTGTATCCAAACGAAGAAAGGTCTCTGGAATTATTCCGGATCTACAGACATCGCGGGTGAAGCCGAACTTTACATCCCTTGAAGAACTGAGGGATGTTGATAATTTCGTGGAGAGCTTAGAGAAGATCGAATTGCCGAATCAGATAGTCTCAATGTTGGAGAACCGCATGGCACACAAATACATGGCGTTCGTGTTACCGGAAATTGCTAGAGATCGATTGGAAGATTGGTTAGATGCGTTCTTGAAGGATGAAATTGAATTGGCGAAACTTCCGGACTCTGCGGATTCTGAAGCTATTCGATATGTTTTAGGGGCTGTTTGTGGTTATGTTCAATCCACGAAGGTAACAGATAATTCCAATTTGCACACTTACGTATTATGCTAACAAGTTTCAGCAATTGCCTAATGCCGTGCAAACGTTTCTCAATAATTATCTTCAAACATGGAATGGGCGAGACTATCGACAAGAAATTTTCGGTATCTTACAATTTATACCAAAAGGCTCGTATGATGACATTCGGAGCCAGTACCTGGAGCGACTAGATACCACCGTTTTAGATCATACAGCATCATCAAGGACAGACCTTCTTGACTTCTATGCAAACTTGATTCGGCGATGGGGAATAAGTCTCAGGACACAAGATTCCTCATTCACTAGTGGAAACCTCAGGCTACTGGTGTCTCTAATCACGCATGTCGAGTTCCTCCTACTGTCGCTTATGGAGGTACCATTTACCACGGAGGCTAGGAATGTGGGTGATTCCAAACCCGTGATAATGAGTATTCTCGATCTGTACTCAAATTTAGCGGAGCTTTACTCCCATGCCTCGACTAATGGCAATATCCGCCTGACAGTACCCCTACCACCCGTGATATACAGTCTGACATTCACATCTAATCTCGCTCAAATATCACGCCTATGTAGTATCCTCGCTACATACAAGAACTCATTTGAAACTTCATTAACATCTCAAACATTGCGGTCACCGGACAAGTCCACTGGAGAATTCTATCCCCCTGAAATGATCGGTCTTTATAATGGCTATATCATGGACCTGTGCAACCTCGTTTGGCGAAACCGTGCACTAAATCGCGAAGATCAGAACGCTCACGGTTGCCTGGTACCTGAATTAGCCAAGGATGCATTTGTGGAATATATAAACGATTCGAACGAGATATTAAAGCACCGCAGACGCCCCGAGGGCCCTGCATTTAATCACTCACTTGGATTGATGTTTTCTCTTAGTCATCATGTTGCTTTGGCGAACCATTCGGCAGCATGTTTCGCTGTTCTTGAGGAGCAGAGTACTGAAACCGGCCGGGAAGAGTTCAGGTTGCGAAAACCTGTCACGCAAAATGCATTGAAGACGCTTGAAAAGGAAGGCGGATTGAAGCTGACCTGGCAAGAATATAGGGTGAAGATGTTGGAATGGTTTGACAGCATGGGCAGTGATGGTATTGGGAAGTTGATGAGAAGTACTATGAAAGAGTTCCGGAAAGATGATTGAAATATATCTTATCTATCCCGGATGCTCAGTTATGTACAATGTTGCAGTCAATGCAGGTCGCGTAAATGATGCCAGTTATATGTAATAGTACACGTTTTCTCCTTCACTTGAGAAGAAGAAACTCCCGGGCTTGCTCTTAACAGCCTGTAGACGAATGGGCCAAGGTTGGTTCAGATTGTTGTATTTAGGAAAATATCCTGCACGCTGGATTCTTCCCGCAACGCAGCCAAAACCTCGTCAAGCTGATTGAGTTGCTCCGGATCTTCCACTTTGACCATTGTGTCTTTATTCGGATCCCAAATAATCTGTGATTGCGCAATAACTAGACCTGTCGCTTGCGAAAGTGCTTCTCCCACAGATTTGGTCGCCGTTGGCTCCGTATACACAACCAGTCTTCCTTCAGCATCTGTGTCTATATCTGTTGCGCCGGCTTCGATTGCCTGATCCAGATAATCGTCTGGATTTGTTCCTTCTTTGTTCTCGAACACAATCCTCCCTTTCTTCTCGAAAAGATATGTAGTCGGAGTCACAGAACCTCCATTGTCCTTGATTGTGAATCGTACGTCCTGTAGAATTCGAGCTTTATTCTCGGCCATGCACTCAATGACGGCCGCAACTGTTCCGGGTAACATGGCTTCAATCGTGACTGCCTCGAGGGCTTGTCCTGATGCTGTGACGCCTTGGCCACGAGCAATTGCGTTGTCTATTATTGATTTGGGCATCTGTGATTGTTTCGCTTTGGCAATTGCGAGTTGGAGACGAGGGTTATTTTTTGGGTCTGGTCCCCATACTGCACATGGTTTGTTAGCTGTCTGCTGAGAGTCCAGTGTGAAGCTAGTCAGATTCGATACTCACGCTGCGATGCATTAATCAACTCTTGTGTTAACATTCCTCGCTCTTTGCTCTTGGCCTTGTCGTTCTTCGCTTTGTCATGCTTGATTGTCGACCACCGGCTATGCCCTGACTGAACCGCTACTGACACATGAAACGAGCGACATGTGTCGCAAACCCATTGAGTATTCAGTCGGGGTCGGCGAGTCAGTCGCAGACCGAATGCGCTCGCCATGATGAGAGAACTGAGAGTGGTCAGGCATAGAAACAAGATGCAGAAACTGGAGAGTCTTCCTAAGATAACTATATCGGGCCGAAAATGATCCGCTCCGCAACGTAATTATTTACAAGCCCCAATGCGATCTACTTAACACAACTAATCTTTACTTACCTTCGCTCCTACATTTTCTCTCCTAGTTCAATAAATCCATCGCCTTCGATTTCGGAAGCACACTTGGGGATTTGGTTCCTTGAGCAGATTCCGCAATTCCCCTCATTCAATGTCTGCCCCTGAGCCCGCGGCCGCATCAGCTGCTCCCGCAGAGAGACCCCAAGAGCCACGCCGCACCGAGCTCGACGTCGCGAAGCTACATGCCCTTCCGTCTGAACAGCAAGATTTATACCTTTTAACATTTACATCCGAACTTGTTCAGCATGTTTCTACACTCACAAAAGATGAACTCGCTTTGGAGCAAGCTTCACTAAAACAAGAGCTCTTTAAAATCATCAACCTCAGTTCCCCCACAGTCACACGAGTGATTCGCAATAACCTTGGTAAATGTTTCGGAACGATTCTCGGCAAAGGCGACCGCATTCCTCTGTACGATACTGTTCTCGACCTACTCGCTATACTCAATGGTGGGAAGAGTGTAGAGCTTAAAACCAAGCTCGCCGCAGGGCATTGCTTGGGAGAGGTGTTTGCAAATGCCGGTGATAGCGCCTATTCTCACGCAAGCGCTGTTACGGCTGGCCTCTTCAAACTACTTAAAGCTGGCAGTAACCATGCTGGCGCTCGGGGTTCAGTCTTCGCCGCACTTCGAAAGGTAGTCGGTGGCCTGGGTGGTCCGATTGAAGAGCCGATAGCACGAGATATATGGAAACATGCCCGCAATGCTGCTTCCAGCGACAAGTCAAGTCTCGTTCAAATAAATGCTTGCCGGTGTCTTGAACAACTTTTGATTACAACCACATACTTTGATAACCAAAATGATAGTGAGACACTAAAAACACTCGTCTGGAAGGTCCTTGACAGCCCAGTCGCGCCTGTGAGACATGCTGCTGCGTCATGCTTAGCAAGAGCTCTTGTTAAGAACTATTCACCACAAGATGGTATTGAGTTATCAGCAAAATCAAAGAAAAGCAAGCGACAGTCAAAAAAGCCACCGCAAAAGGCAGCAGATGCAGACGAGGATGAGCCACCAGAGATGGAGTCTCCATCAGCTAAAAAAGTCGAACCTCGCTTATCATTATCACTTTCGGACATTCTAGTGCAACTTTCTTCTCAATATGTACGGAGCTCAACTGGCAATCGTGCCAGAGCTGGGATAGCGGTCTGCTATAAGTATATCATTCAAAATCTAGGAGAGAACGTTGTCGAAGAACGATACGGTCAGATTGCTTCGCATCTGCTCGTTACCCTACTCAACCATCCAACAGTTACATACAATCGTTTTCGACTGCTAATGACTCGAAAGTTTATCAAGAATATCCTTGAAGATACCCTTGGTCGTGAAATTCTGCGAGAAAATAGCCAAGTGAATGCTGCCAATTGGCTCATTAACTCCATCTTGAAGGATTACCCTCAGGTGATCAAGGAGAGAAGTGAGCCAAGCAAGTATACACTCGCAAGCGCTTTGAGCGCTCTCTCTTCGCTGATATCATCACTTGGTTCGGCTGTCACGTCCTTGGCCGACGCTTGTCGCGAGGCCCTTATTCAAGTCCTTCCACACCCTAGCTACACCGTTCAGATCCAAACAGCCCAATGTTTGCGCAACTTTGTTCTTGCGTGCCCAAGCCAATTAATATCTTGCGTCACAATCTGCTCGAATAGCTTGAACCGTGAGATTGGACAACTATCAACGCCACGTTCATCATCTCGTCGCTGCCTTGGGTTCGCAAATGGTCTATCTGCGATGTTGGGTACTTCTCGCTTGCAACCTCTCTATGGATCTGTCGATGTTTTTGCTCGTGTTCTCTCGCAGGCAACAGATTTGCTCAAGCACAGCGGTAGTTCTGAACTTCGAGTTGCAAGTACGCAAATTCAGGTTGCGTGGATCCTAATTGGAGGTTTAATGCCTCTGGGGCCGAGTTTTGTCAAAATTCATTTATCGCAACTGATGCTTCTATGGAAGAATGCTCTTCCGAAACCTTTAGGCAAGGCAAACACAGCCGAACAAGGGCCACTAGAGACGAGCTTCCTGGCACATGTGAGAGAATGCGCTTTAGGCTCCATGCTCTCGTTTCTCGAGTTCAACGCCAAATTGGTTACTGCGGACGGCGCTAGACGTATTGCTGCAATGCTACAGAACACAGTCGCCTTCCTAGATGAAATGACATTGCCAAAAGCAGCGGAAGATATATCACAACGTCTCTTTCCTTCTCTACAAATGCACGATTTTGCGGTCATGGTACGCCGCCGCGTGCTTCAATGCTTTACGAAATTGGTCAAGATACACCACACCGGCCATTCGGAGATAGTTTCTCAGTCGAGTCTTCTTAGCATAGCCATATCCTCTTTTGCGGACCCCGACATCGTACATCCCAGTCCTATTGAGACTTCTGTCGCCGCATCCCCCGGCCAGTTCGATAGCCTTTGGGACTTATGGGATAACTTTGGCTTTGGAGTCACAGGCTTGGCTCGAACCTACGTCAATGAAACGCTTACTGGTAAACGTGCAGGGGGGGCCACTGCATGGAACGCGAACGAGTCTACTGATCAAGAAATTGATGATATTGTAAGCTCGGGCTTGTTTATTCTCGGGTATTCGCTAATACTTCTCTAGCTCAATTTTCCCGTTTGTCAAGCGAGTGAACATGATAGTGTTCTCCTCTACGGTTCACGAGACGCTTTCTCGGCTTTCTATACCGATCCTCCCGTTACGGAGGCTGTGAATGCTGCTATTGATCTTTTTGCGGTTGCTTTGCCTTTACAAGCACCAAAGGTTCAAGAAAGCAGCGTTGAGCAGATCGTTACGTTGTTGTCCTCTCATAGCTTGCAGAGAAACCCGGGTCGCAAAGTTGCAATGGCCATCAACATAGCCATAGCTTTGTTACACACTCTCAAAGTCGCAGTCAGAGAAACTATTGCATCTCCAGGGAAGCTAGAAACGTCCACCGAAAAGATCATTCAAGAACTATTGCAGGTCAGTGAGCGCAATATATTTGAAATCATGCCAGAAGTGTTTGTAACTAAAATGTCTATCAGAAATTCGTTATGGACCCCGATGCCATTATCCGGACGATCGGATTTGAGGCACTTGGCAGACTATGTAATAGGGCTGGAAATGCGTTTACCAATACCCAGATCAACTGGCTTGTTGATACGATTGTGGCAAACCGTGAACCAAGTGCGCGAGCAGGATGTGCAGCGGCTTTAGGCTGTATTCACTCGAAAGTCGGTGGCATGGCTGCAGGGTTCCACTTGAAGACAATCGTCGGTGTTCTCATGTCACTTTGCAGTGACCCTCACCCCGTTGTACACTTTTGGGCTATAGATGGTTTGGACAGGGTTGCGGAATCAGCTGGGTTGACATTTTCTCCTTATGCATCAAGCTCGCTGGGGATGCTTGCCCAGCTTTATGTGGCGGATACACATAATGAGGAAACAGCTTCCTTGGCTACCTCAAATCTGGAAGTGTTATTCCCTACTCCTTTCGTCATTAGTCGTGCAGTGGATTCTCTGATCAATGTACTGGGTCCTGATCTCCAGGATATTGCGAAGACTCGCAATCTCATTCTGACTTTGGTTCGCCAATTTCAGCTAGAAGAGTCCCCAGCAATGAACACGCAAAGCTCTCGATGCCTAGACCACCTCTCACTGTATGCGCCATCACACGTCGATCTCACGGTTTTCGTCAAGCGCCTTCATGGGGGTCTCACGTCGAAGAGTTCGCTGATGCGTGAGGCAGCAATTCGTGGATTGGATAATCTTATGAAAAGGGATGCCGAAGGTGTTATATCATCTACGGCTTCGACTTTGGAGGACGACATTTGGCTTGCCTTGGATGATTCCCCGGGAAGTACATCTCTTCGAAGCTTGATTCGCAACTGGTTGCAACAGACTGGGCTTTCTCATACTCAACTGTGGGTTCAGCGTCTACACAACGTACTTACTAAAACACGAGCAAAGAAAGATGATATTCCACCTAAAAAACCTGCGCGTGTGAATACTACTTCCGAAATTCCAGATGACGAAGTTGCCGGGTTTGCATCTGCTGTTGCAGGTGGAGATCAGGAAGAAGGAGATAGTAGTGCTACCTCTGGGCAAGACTTGCTCAAATGGCAGACTCGTAATTTTGCGGTCAGCTGTCTCAGCGAGCTACTGACTATGGTCAACGACAAGATTCTTCCCGATCAAACCATCCCTGCTGAACTTGCCCTGCAGCAGAAAATCGGCGATGTTGTCCGCATGGCATTCTCTGCTTCTACAGCACATGTAGTCGAGCTAAGAGTCTGGGGCTTGAAGATTCTTGATCAAGTTCTCAAAGTAAGGCAGCTTACAACTATCTTAATTTGCTTCGAAGATGGGCTGACCTTTGATGATGTAGATGTTTGGAAAAACTCCCGACCCAGATTTTTCGGAGGCTTCCCTTCTCGAGCAATACCAAGCTCAAATTGGATCAGCCCTAACCCCAGCATTTGCAGTGGATTCATCACCAGACCTGGCTTCAGAAGCTATCAATGTATGCGGCACGTTCGTTGCTGCAGGCATTGTTACAAATGTCGATCGAATGGGCAGGATATTCCGACTACTCGTTGTGGGCTTGGAGCAATTTGCTAGTAAGGATAACTCTGAAATATTTTACAGCATGTTACTAATATTACAAGATAACCCCAACATCACAGAGATTGGTGATCTGAAGGGACTCAACTCGAATGCAAGGGTCATGGTCAAATTGGCGCTATTTTCGGCTTGGGCGCGATTGCAAATGGCAAGCCTCGAACAACAGTATCTGGTCAATGTTGTTCAGCCATACACAGCCATGCTCACGCCGTTATGGCTCTCCTCTCTTCAGGAGTTTGCTCGATTACGATTCGAACCTGACATTTCTGGAAGTCTTGGCACTCCATCGACGGGGGATCTGGATGAAGTATATGCGGCCTTGAACAGAGAAACATTGCTTAACGTAAGTGCACCAAATAATGCAATACAGCTTAAACTATTTACTGACTAAATATAGTACTATCAAGATTCTTGGTTGAATCTTGTGGATGCGATTGCAAGTCTAGTCGAGAAAGACAGTGACTTTGTTTTCGATGCATTAGACAACAAATCCAAAGCACAGGTTCCAGAGGATGGTGACGAGGGTAAAACCAATGGTCTTACACCTTCTGGGAAGGGCGACAGCATCAATTACCGTGATGAGCCGGTTGCTTTCTTTTTCGTCCTCTTTGGACTAGCATTTGAGGCGTTGGTTGATCAATCTGTGTTACCTTCGCAGAGGTTGGAGATCCTTCAGGCTCTCAAGAAGATACTACGACCATCTGTCTCCGGAAATGCTATCTATCAAGATTCAGTCTTTACCGAGACATTGGATACTCTTGACCGTCTGGTTCTTACCGAAGGCCACAACATTCAAACGGTCATTGTTGAGATGGCCAGAAATTTGTCTCTCGATCATCCTTCAGCAAAGGGTGGCCAAGATCGTGCCGAAAATTTATCTGACGATATCGAGCAGCTTTTCGAACTTACCAGGAACATCATCCTCGTTCTGGCTGGCCTGCTCCCGAATCTAGGCGACTCAAGCTCTCGTACCTTCAATGTTAGCTCAGATGAGACTCTAACTCTAATTCGTCTCGCACTATCTGCGCTGGTCGATGTCGCCGCGGTATTCCCAGCAATCATCCGTCATGACCTTCACGCTTGTATCCTGCACATCTTCAGTACTATATTAGCAACGGGTATATGCCAGGCAGAAGTTGTTCCACATGCACTTCCTATCTTCCGCAGGTTTGTCCAAGGCATGAGTTCGCAAGATACTCCGATGACCGAAGCAGTCTCGTTACAAGTGCGTGGCTGCTTGTCACGTTTTCTTACGACACTCACAATTGCACAACGCCGAGAATCAGACACTTCTCTGCCATGTGCAAAGAACACGCTCCTTGCCATGACCATAGTACTCAGTACCGGCAGTCATGTCATTCCACCGCAAGACCCTCTGATTGCAAGAGTACTTGATGAATACCTAGATTGCCTGCAGGACGTTGGCCTTGCCAGTGTGGCTGCAGGGTGTATTCGCTCCGTACTGCTTCGAAGTGGACCGTTATCCACCACGGATTCAGCCATTGGTCGATATCTGTTTCCTCGACTCATTGCATTCGTCGCCGGGGTCCCAAATGATCGAGGGGAGCCACCTATCGATCCTGAAAACTCGCGAGTATCTATTTTACAGACACTGGTTTTATATATCAGCAACCCCGCAGGTTTTCCAACTTCTAAACTTTCAACGGCAGTTCCCTTGATTGTCTCGACTCTTCTAGCACGTGCAAAGAATGAAGGGACAGCAGTCTACCAGGAGATGGCCGCTAGGCTTCTGGAGATAGGAAAACTAGACCCAGTGATTTTCCGCACGCTTGTTGCTTCTATGGACCATGACAAGAAGGCTCTTGTGGAGGATATCCTGCGCAGTATTGGGGCTGGTTCTTCCGGCGAGGCTCAAGATACTGGAGCGCAAGAGCAGAAGGCCGCACCGAGTATTGAGCTGCGCTTAGACTTTTAATTCATGATCAGAGCTATCTCAGTGACGGCTGGTATGATGTTATGATTGAGTACAACCGACCTTGGAACGTACACTTGAGCTGTCAAAATTGCTTAAGTTCGGATATTTCATTATACAATATATGCATATGATACCAACGAATAATATAGAAGAATATATACACAAATATTGCATTCTGCATATTTCTTAGAAGTAGCTCGCCATCAAAAGTGATATTGTTATGACAAAAGTTTGCTCGAGTTAGACATAGATCTCGTGTATAAAGACAGCCATTAACTTTCATAACACTCATAATTCGTCCTTTACTTCTTTCTCGACGAGCGCACCCTGGTCAGGAACACTCCCTGTACCTGTCACGCCGTCATCTTCGTTCGCATGAGGAACCTGACAAGTATCCGCATATTTCCTCATATATTCCGGCAAAGCTTCCGTCCACAGAGCATCATCCGAGAGATATTTATAGGCCGACCCCTTACAAATCTCACTAGACACAAGTCTGAGTATAGTAAACGCATTCCTCGAAGCTTGCTTAGCCGCCTGCTTCTTAAAACACCAATTCCATTGCACCAATTTATTGCCCTCCGGTGTATTCCCGCCGGTACAGAAATGCTGACCAGGCGCTAATAATGCGCTGCACTCGTTCTTCGTGGAAGTCGCAATATCCTGACCAATACGAGTAAATGTGGCCTTGAAGTTATCAGAAAGTGACATTTCTTTTGCCATGGTGTCGATTAACGGTAGAAAGGCGTTGGAGTATGTCCAATCGTCCCAAGTGGACATTACGGGCTGACAACCTCGGGCGCATATTTCGGATTGATAGGCGCTTCCTAGAGAGTCCCAGCGGGTAGCGATCGTTTGGAGGAGGACGCCGGCGCAGGAGGCGGCGGAAGTGGTGAGGGGGAAGGAGAATAGGAGCAAGAGGAATGCAGAGAGTGTCAACGCATATTGCGAGCTGCCACTCCGGTGGTTGAAAAAAAGCATTATATGCGCTAGAAAGATCGCTTCGATGATCACAATTTGTTATCACATGAATATCGTCGTGGCAGTTTGAGGAAAATGCAACAAGAGAACAGTGAGGAGAAAAGTAAAAACGGTTACCCCGTACTCCGTACCGCCACGTTAATTTAAGCTTCCAGCCCCCAAACCTTCTCCAGCGGCACCGAGATCTTTCCCGGTCGAAAATGCGGGATCAGATCTGGGGAAAATCTCGTATAATCGTCGATTCAACCTTCATCAATATCACATTTTCTCATTACGTACATACGGAGTACATGCATTCTAAACAGAAATCATCACACATACAAGATCAAACCCATCGTGAGCAAAGCCACACTGAAAGCAACAATCCTCTGGTGCTGTTGATATTCACCAGAGCTGCTGTGATACCCTATGTTAAGGGAGTTATTCCCAAAGCCCACAGTCCTTGACCATGCCGGAGTTGAGTTGTGATCCACCAAAACATCAGAGTGATAATTATCCACCTGTCCCAGAAACTTGACTTTCATTCTCCCTCCCACAACAGCAGAGCTTCTATCTCTCAACTCTTCCTTTGATAGATCGGCTGAGGCGTAGAAATATCCGTTCACAGTGAGGTTGGCAGTGGCATTATTAAAAGAAAGAGTGAGGGTAGGGTTCGTAAAATTCGAATAGTCACGGTGGTGAGCAGATTGGTCGGAGATCAAAGTGGTTAGATACTCGAGTCTCTTGCTCGTATTCGTTACTGCAGAGTTATTGCAAGGACTCATGGCGAGATGACTCGGCATTTGAGTATTGGTGGTTATCTCATTGAAGAAGGTGTAAGGAATAATCCGAGTGGAATTCCGCTCCTCTGCCTTTATCAAGCTGAGGTTGAAGTTCTTTCCATCTCGGGGGATTGTTTTATTCTTGTAACCGTAGCGTAAGTACCAGGGTCTTTTTTATATAGTCGAATAAGAATTGGGCACCAAACAACTCTGAAGAGTGAAGAGAGAAGAGAGAAGGGTCCGTGCTTGCTTACTTAGTAGAATACAACCCATAATCCCATCCTTGTTCGTATAAACTCTGTTGTGTTGTCGGTAAAGAGGAGAAGTCGAACCCCAAGTGCCAAAATCCCAGCAACATATTGATCAAAGGCTTATCCGGATCGTTCCTGTCCGGCTCTATTATGCCGAGAATTGATTGGTATTGCTGAATGTAGGTGTGATTTTCTACATTAGGACATGACCTGAACATTCCATTTCGTCGAGAGAAAGGGGTGTATTCGATCACTGTTGTGCCGTTGTAGTATCTATGCCAAAGGATCAGCTCGTCGAACTCTCCAATACCTGATTCTAGAATGTGGATTGGCGTACGATCCAACCCAATCATAAAGATCAATCATTCCTGATACGTTGCTGGGACGGAAGTTGCATGAGGGATCATATACCGGTAAAGAGTCCCCGGATGTCATGGTAAGATTGGCTGTAAGTATCAGAAACAGTAGTAAACTGTACTGGAGTTTTAACCCACACATCTTCTTTTGCTCGCTTTTGTGGTAATCAAAGTACACCTGGGCATGTACGGATGAATAAATCACAGTAATCATTCTCCCCCACTATGATGAGAGCTCTTTCAGCCGCTTTGTGGGTTGAGTTGGGGTTACTGATGTGCTACTACATGTATCACACAAGTTGCTTTTCACTTTACCTTTGGTATGCTATAGTCCACCGATTGGCCCTAAGGGGATGCTAATGTCACCACTCACAATGACTTGAATGTTCGTTTCCAAGGTTATCTTACCAGAATAGGTGACTTGCGTACTCCAATTGTGCTATTTTCTGTACTAATGGTTTCTCGTAAATTCACATTGGGCTCTACATTTCATTGACATATACATGGATGTCAGCCTGGGCCGGGGTATGCCCGTGGCGTCAATGGTATTACAGCTTCCAAGGTTGGCGCATAATTCGGCTTATTTCTTGACCTGTTATGAAGGATTTGTTGTAGGCAAAGCCGGTCTAAGCTGTTACTCGCGAGTGACAGTATATTGCGTAGCCTTTTGACGAAGTTGCTTATTTCGCCTTTACGCATGACTTAGAGATTGTTCCCCTCGAATGGGCTCGAAGCCCTAAGGGACCACCGTACTACCACCTAATTAGCAAGGGGTTAGCAATCTACGATGTATGCTAGTTTCTGAAATGTTGTAAACATACTGGAATCATGAGATGTAGTGCGTGGCATTATTCTATTGTTTTTCGAAGGATATGCGTCAGGTCTAATATCTATCGGGTATCAAGCGTGCTGTCATATGGGTTGAGCCAACAAACCAGTCATCGGGTGAGATGAATATATGTACAGTGACAAAAGAGACAAAAGAAACCATCGGGTTTAAAGAAAGGTATAAAGAGAGAACGATGAGAAGATGCCGAAGGTAATGTATAATGCTCGTATATATACTGGCTCATCCTAATGTCTCACTCGCTAGCGTGTCAGAGAGCGAAGGTTCGGTCTGGACCGCTGCATCTTTCACGGTCTCTAGCTTGGCTATTTCTTTTGCGGCGGCTTGCCTTCTTTCCAGTTCGTGTGAACGAGCAGACCAGAATTTCAAGAACGTGATGGCCATCACTAGACAGAATTATTAGCAATGTAGTCTTTTTCTGGTCGAGATGTTGACTTACTAGCACTGAAGACAATGGCGAATGCTGCTCGCCTTGTCAAGACCCATCTCAGTCCTTCGGCTTCACTCTTTCCATCACTTGCCAGAGAAACAGCAATCTTGTAGTTGAGTTCCTGGATGCCCGTGTCCTGACCCTGTTGCTGTTCTCGGGTAGTCATCTTATGTTCATTCCACATCCCTTTTAGATCATCATTCATTTTTGCCAATTCCTGTGTAATTCGCATATTTAGTATGTCCACTTCGTGCTGTAACTGCGTCCTGGAGCTTCGTTGTCTCTCCACTTCTAGATGTCGAGACGCCTCTAGCGACGATCGTAGCTCTGAACATGCAGCTTTGAACAGATATTCCTCGTTTTCACTGTCGGATTTTGATGTAAGGGTCCGTTCGGCCAAATCCAGCTTCTCCTGTAAAATGCCTCGAATTCCTTTCATCAGCGTGATAGCTTGTTCCTCACTGAATCCACCCTCCTGCAGATTCTTGACAAGTGTATACGTATCGAAATGATGAATGTATGGTGCCGGTTCTAAATGCGGAACCTCTTGCCCGTTTGAATGCAATCTTGCAAGGCCCAAATCAGAAGGCGGTGGCATTTGCAGCACGGCGTCCATTGGATTCTTTGGTGGTGGCACCTCTCGAGGCATTTGCGCTGGATCTACAGAATTTTTTGAAGCGCCACATGGCACTTCATTCTTGTCAAGTAATTGTGTAGATGGTTCCGAGGATTTGGTACTTTTCGTAGCGTCCTCCTTGTTTCCGTCTTTGATATCTTGACTAGGCTGCTCCGAGTCCCCTCTCGTGTTATCTTTCTGCGCTTTCGGGTTTGTATTGCGATTGAGCGATGAACTGCTTGATTGCCTCGCGGATCGTTTCTTGGGCTGTGTCGGTGGAGGTAGCTTGGATTCTATGGACTGTGGTTGCCGGCGGGTAACGGTGCTCTGGTTGCGATGACGGGTCACAGTGAAAGTAGTAAAGCGAAGGGAACGAGCGCCGGTCTCGTAGGTCCCGACCGACCGGAACAGCTGGGGATAGAGAAATGGCAGTCGCGGCGCTGCCATGGTTGATTGACTGGATGAAAGAAAGACGAGGGGTGAGGGTGCGATGGTGAGAAGAAACGCTCTTTAAAGGTGAGATTCCCGCGGAAAGCACCTCGGCGTCTGCATCCAATCAGAACTCTGCCCCTGGTATGATGTAAGTGTACCTCCAGACTCGAGCAAAGACTCAACCTTCAGCAATTGTTTTCTTCACATTGACAATGTCGATTTTGACTGTTGTCTAGGCATATACCTGGCACTATGCTATATATCACTAATTTTAACTTTTCTACACCAGCACCGGAGCCTGTCCAGGCGAAAGAGAAACACCCAGCCATTTCACAATAACAAAGTCCACCCGATATTCCAGATGTCTGTTCTCAAATACAAATCCAAGCCACCCAAATGATTATTTATACATTGCATTGCTTCATCCTCGAACTCAAGTTTGCTCGCTCGCTGACGCGGCTCATATGTTGTCTTCTTCGCTTTCCACCATGACTTCTCTGGTCTGCCATATACCATCGCGATTACCAAGCGGAATCTCCGACTCGGATTCGGGACGTTTGGAAGTGGCATGAGCGGTATTGGATGAGAGTTTGTATGCATGCCCTGAATATATTTCAGAACCGCCGCTCGTGGTGCCAGACCGTGAGTCTTTGGTGAACACTGTGCGGAAGAAAGGACGAAGCGTGGGAATACATGCAGCCACTATGACTACATTTTGTTCAACTCTGAAGGAGAGGGGATGTCAGTGATTGGCAATGATATGAAGGACGGCGAGAAAGCTTACAGGCCCCAAAGTACCAGTGTTACGACGTTGTAAACTGGGTGAAGGTCAGCCGGAGATGATTTCCAGACTACAAGTCTCAATGAAGAGGAAAGTGGTACTAACGAGGGTCCGCGTGGTCCGTGAACAAATGCAGATATGTTGCTTTCACGATCGTGACAACTGCAGAGAGTAGCGTCAAGCTCATCATAGTGCACACGGCCACCTTGGTCGAAGTTCGCATTTGCAATTTCCAAAACGCGCTGACTGGTACGACGGCAAGAATGATATCCGTCACAGTTGTGTATGCACTGACCCAATACGTAAAGTCGTTGAAAACGTCAGGACTCCAGCATGAACCTTCAGACAGCAGTCTGGGGTCCCACAGGATTGCTATAGGCTTGCACTGCACGAAGACAAGGACGGCAGATATCATGGCAATTACGACCTGCAAAATAGCCATCGCGTAGAGGCTGATTGAGCGAAATCTGTTCGGGTCCAGCAGATTGTGGATGAGAATTGCGATGGAAATATTGGGGAAACTGAAGGAGCCTATATGACGTCGTCTTAGTCTCGTCGGCATAGAAGGTGTTATCTCACGAGGAATGAATGGACTAACCAATATTGAAAGCTAGAAAAGCAATAATGGTTAACCTTGATCGGGAACAAGTTGCATAACAAATGACGGAGAACTCACGGAATGCTATGATCTGCCATTTTGCGGCCAATGCATATCCATCCATTCCATGCTCAGCAACCACGGCGGCCGAATGTCGTCCAAGACCAAGAGTGACCGAATACGATACAAAGGCTGTAGCAATGATACTGAGACCCTGCAGGTTCGTATTTGTTAATGATCATCAATGCTTGTAGTCCATCTCTTATCAGCTCACCATCGAAAAGAAGATGAAAAAGTCATCCCAGCCCAAATTCTTCGCCATGTGCCCGCGAGTAAAGAGTTTAAGACCAACGGTGGCAATTGCAATACCAGTGAACACCCATCCGATTATATTGATCTGATATCCACGACTTTCGTTAAAGTCGACATCTGGGTTGAAGGACGACATGATGATTGTGCGGACTGAGGAGTAGATGCAATACTTCTCATAACTCGGGTCAGGGTTATTTGCGATACGACTCTACTGCTCCCACTCAGAATCTCGGTTCTTCCATTTCGAGCCCTCTATAAGTATCGTCAACCGGGTCTGTCATGCCATTGATGTTCGAAAGATCCCTGAAGATTGATTGAGTATCATAATTCCAGCACCCGGGAAATTCGCCTCCGCATAGTAAAGGAAAACTGCTGTACATTTTGAGTACCTACTCTCGTATCCAGCCGTTCTGACGGAATCCAGGTTCTGACTAAGAGATCATTAACCACAACAGGTCGTCAGTGGACTCACTACCGAGGTCCCCGACAGCTTCCGGACCAATAAGATCTTCCTTCTTCAGTTATTGACAGGGATGATCAGTGGGCTAATGTCACTAGCGAAAATGCAATATCTCCATAATAAGCATCTAAGTACGGAGGTGGGAGTCAAAAGTGACGGCACAACACTAATGTACGCTAGAGAGCGCTAGAAATGTATACCATAATTGGTTACAGCTAACTACCACTTGGAGTACTCCTATTTGCCTATCTACCTGAATGCTAGATCCTCTCTGGTTTAGCTCCGTATTAAAACAACTGAAATACATAGAGTTTATGCGCTAATGCCTAGCGTAGTGCCATCACTTGACTCCCACCTCCGTATTGGTGTACCGCATGATTCGCACCAAACAAGAAAAGTACCAACGGAAAACCCCCGGTGCATGAAACACAGCTAAAACTGATCGATCCCCTGTGCCGCGTGCGTAAGGCAGCGATTCCCTGCACATAAGTAAAAGCTTATATAAATGTTGTGAGATTACCCTACAACCCTGGTGGACAAAACCGTACAATAAAAATGATGGAAATTATGAATTGTAAAAGTACTTCAAAGTCATGAGTTCCTACAGCAGTTATGGTAATGTACGGAAAGACTAGCTTAGAGTTCGCACTACTCTTAGGCAGCTTTAGGCCTGTGTTAGCTGTGCCACTCCTTGGGATATTGGCCAGCGGATGGCGGTGGAGAGACTTGCCCCGTTCGGGCGCAATGCTAATGAACACCGATAAAGTCTAGATTTTGGGAATCCACTGAAAAACATGCAGTCATCGATCGCCTACCTATGTACTCCGTACAGGGACTGTGTATGTAACGAAAAGAAAAGAAAGATTGGTTGAGATCCGCGACGGGCCGGCTCCACGTTCTCAAGCCGTTGCCGCGCCCGTGCTGCTAAGACCTCCAGAGCCCTAATTCTCCGGAAAAGGAAAGGTTATTTTACGTGCAATCCTTCTCATTATTCTCTAATTTCTCTTACAAATCGAACCCCCTCCCAGAGTCATGAGATACGTGTGGAACTTTTCTACAAGTCGAGATACATACTTTGGAGGAAGTGCTCTTATCAATATGGGTAGATAGATCAAGCCTTTTACTCCTAATCCGCCACAACTGCTCGTTAGCGTTGTTACTTGTGAGTTCACAATTCTGGACAACCCTTCTCTATTCTCAAGTCGTAAAATCGACATAATGGTCAAATAATTATGCCAATTCCGCCTCAATCAGACTCTCGGCAACACCAGGATAGGTGTAGATATTGGTAATTCTCAATCCAGCGTTTTCAAGGATTCCCTTCCATTCGGCCTCTGTCCTTTCCCTAACAGCAAAATGTGCCAGCATCATTAGATCCATACTCGTCGCGGCGAGAGTCGGTTTCTCCTCGCTGACGACGATCTCATTAAACAAGACTCGCGAATAGCCCTTTCTTAAGGCCGGCGCGAGATTCTGCAGAATCTTGACGCCGTCCTCGTCGCTCCAGTCGTGCAAGATGGAGTGAAGGGAATATGCGCGTGCACCCTTGATAGGTTGCGGGGTGAAAAAGTCGTGAGCCTGAGCCTCAAAGGGAAGGTTTTGACTAGCCTCTTTTACGGCGGCAATGACAGGTTCGCGATCCTGGAGGACCACTCGACCTTTATGAGCGGAAGAGTCATATTGCGCGCAAAAGAGAGCCATGTCGTGACCCCGGCCACCACCAACATCGACGAGCAGTACATCGCTCTCGGAGGTATCGAACCCAGTAATCAATCGCTCAGCGACTGGATAGAATCCAGGATCGTACCAATTAGCTTTCCCAGCTCGGTACGCGCTCATAAAGGAGTCAAAATGTTGTAGATTCGGTGGCGTCGCAATCAACCAGTCAAAAAAAGGAAGTTGGGTCTTGTGCGCGTTTTGAAATGGGCCATCCAGCGTTCCGAGACTGGGGGATTTGTACTCTGTTTTTTGGAAGAATTCGGGGAATCCGTTGAATGATGGTCTGGCCGTATCGTAGCAGAAAGCGATACTATCTTGGTAGTTTTCTTCTGCGAGACCGTTACTCAATATCGTAGCATGGAATGCGCCGTCACGGAAAGTAAGAAGGTGCATCGCAACGAGATGTCGTGCAAGGCGCTGGAGTAGAACAATATCAATGCCCGTCTTTGCGGATAGTACTTCGGCGCTGAGTCCTGATTCTCCGGATTCCTTTAGGTGTTGGAATAGTTTGACATTAACTGCGATTCGTATACTGGCCGACAATGCTGGCTATTTCATCGTGTATTAGTGCGCATCCTTTGACATTTTGCAAGTGCGAATACTTACTTCGGCCCAGAAACTGCGCTGTAAGAATTCACTTGGAATTTCGAGCGAAGTAGCCAGCGCTCGACTGTTGTCGATGAGCGCTTCTCTTGCACCAGGTTCATTATTCTCGTATGCCTTGCCCGCCGCAACAAGGCTTTCGATCAAGGAGGATACTGACGAAGACATTGCGCTCGGAAATCAATCAATTGGGACAGGCGCAATGCGAATACGGCTTTCTCTGAATAGAACGACTCTGATACAGTAGAGGAATTAGAAAACGATTCCACTGAACACCAAGTTATCGGAAAAACTCCCGTACCTATTTCAGATACGTATTCATAGCTGTTAATCATTTATCCCTCGCACCCCTCCATGCACCTCCCACATGGCTAGTACGTATTTCGTGAAATGCTTATCGAAATACCAGGAGTATTGAAACTGCATTGTTACTGACGCCTAGGAGGCAGTACATTACCACGTTGTGGGCCTAAGTTAGTGGTTTCGTGTATTAACTCTATGAGCCCATAGGGGGGCATGTGTGTATTCTCTAGTAACGAATGAGTATTAAACACGTTAGAAAATCTCGACCAATTCCATAGCAATGATTGTAGACACGTGAAGTGTAGGTACAGTACACTAGTGAGCTGTTAAGGAGGCTATTTCTGCAGATTTTGTCTCCCTCGACAGTGTGAATTGATCAGACCGAGGTATACTCCATACACGTATGGAGAAAGGCATGGCACTGCGGCAGCTGAAGCCATCCAACCAGAGTGGGCAATATACTTTCGTCGGAGTCCAGAATTGAAACAGAAAGGGTTTAGGTCCAAAGTACGTACATTCTGACTTGTGAGTGAGGATTTGTGCTTGTATGTCATGCTCATATATTGGCTCTGTTATAGCTGACTATAATCTTGGAAGTTATAGCAACGAAAGAATTGCTACGTTGGGGCCTTCAATGGGACACACAATTTTTTCCCGACTGGATTATGTGCATGAGCCATCTGAAACATCTGAAAAGATCAAAGCTTGTGGCTACCATTTGAATTTGGACAGCCGCAGCCTTAACCCTACTTATCTGTTCCGCGTTTCCCCAACGAGGCATTGATTGCATTCATTACGCGCTCTCGAGGAATCATATCAGAGTTCATGAATATATGCAATTAATTATACGTATATAGTCAGCGGTCACCGTTCTCAAGGTACAGAGAATATTCCTAGTTTGCTAATAGCCCAAAGAGCAACTGTGTTCGATTCCAGAAGTCGTGTGCAGATTCCTGTAGTGTACCAGCAATTTTGCCCCCTTCATCGATTTCACCCTGCAGAGCTTCAATTAATTCGTCTAGAGCATTTGTATTGTCAGCCCGGACGGACAGGGCGTCTCTAATGTAGAATGCGTCAAGCAGTAATTGGATTTTCCAGTCTCGTATCATGTCTACCGTGTTAGAGCTGTTCGTTTCAGTGGCAGACGATTCTTGTTCGGCAGTTGTCTCCGCCTCTTCAGCATCCCTTTTCTCTCCGGTGTTATTTGAAGATTGTTTGAGCTGCTCCAGCTTTGCATTGAATGGGTCAATCACTGTCTCGTGTAGTCTTGTTGCCAGGACGCTAACGGCAGAAGGATTCCATAGGTCTGGACCTATATCCTCCATGGCTTCTGCGAGACGTTTGAAGTACTTGAATGTTGATGGTAAAGGCTGGATGGGTAATTCCGGACCCTTCTCCCAAAGAGAACGTCCAGGGATCCGTGTAATGTTGCCCTTGGAGGGCGGGAGGATCTTTGACGCCGTTACTTTGGAGAGGACCTCCTCTGCCAAGAGTTCGTGCAACTTCGGTATAATATCTTGGGCAAAATCCATCTCATCATCTTGTAAGATGTTTGAAGGGCTTTCTCGCCTAAGATCACGAATAAGACGTAGAACAAACGCAGTCTTGTCACTATTTTTGGAGTCTTCAAAAGCTTTAATTGCATCGCCAAAGGATTCCTGCAAGTTGAGCAAGGCTTGTCTGACTGCTTTGGTCTGTTCTTCGCGTAGGAAGTGAGGATCATCTTTGGTGAGCAGATCCACAGTACTGATCTGAAACTCTTCGTCCTCGTCCTCGTCAAGGGTATCTTCCCATTTCGTATTTTGCAGCTCCTCGATCAACTGTCGTGAAGTCTCAATGGTCGCGAGCCAGGAACGGTAGCGTTCCAGCACATTCGCTATTTTTGTATCCTGGCCCAGCAATGTCTCTGTGATAACTTTCTTTAAGGCGGAAGCGCCATCAGAGATTTCCAATGATAATAGATCAGGATCCCATAACGACCGAGTTGCACTTCCTTCTGTCTTCTCCCATTCTTTAAGATGAGACTTGATGGCATCACCAACAAATAACAATTCTTGAGCTTCACGGAGTATAATGTTTTTCAATTGGGTATTGAAAAGGTCTCGAAGACCTTCCAGCACACTGGTTGACGAATGCGTGAGTGTTGTTGGAACGGCAGCAAGCCAGATATCCAAGGTTTTCTTTCGCAATGCAAGAACCCCTGAAAAGTCCACGTGATCTTTGAGAGTCGTTGCTGCGCGCTCTAGAAAAGTCTGAAAAGCCTTTTTAGACCAATTTTTTAGGGTTTGTTCTGCTGATTGCTTCGTCATGGGGTCTGACTTGATCCAGGGCGTGAAATTCTTGACGTCCGGCACTACCCATCGTCCGAGAATGTCCAGGTCAATATCATCGAGTTTTTGAACATCATGGTCGTTCAGCAGAGGTCGGGCTTGTAGCTTGCCCAGCGCATCAGATAAGCGTCGGGAGAAGAGAGCCTTTGTATGCTGGAGTGTTTGTATGTATAGACTCAATGCTTTTGGGATACAGTCGCTTCCATTCTCGCCGCGATCAAGCCGTTTCGCAATACAATTAAGCCGAATGTTATGAAAATGTGTAATGCTGTCCAACGACGATGCACTGTTCGACAGACAAAAAGCTGCCATTGAATCAATAATGTCTTCAACACTCGACTTGGAAGATCCTAGTCTTCGCTCAATCCTTCGGCGTATCAGTTTCTGGACATAGCTCAGCTGCAAGCGTAACGACTCAAGAAATGGCGGGGCATTTGTGGTTTGAGAAAGGGTCTTGTAAAGTAATCTCGAAATCACCATCAACTTCGAGGCCAACAGAGGCGAATCGTGTTTGCGTAACAACCGTCCTGTCACGGTGGTGCAGCGATGAAGGAGCGCGAGTTGCCCGGCCAAAGCCTTGTCTTCTTCTGTTCTACCCGTCGAATCTCGATTTATATCCGTCAGATTGACCGACTTCTTGCCAATCAGGCTTGTATTGCAGCGGATTCCGATACTGGTCAGTCTGGACTCGATTTCGGCGCTCTCCACATTCATTTCAATGATCGTCTCAGCGGTCCCTAGAAATTCACGATATCGTGTCCTAGCAACAATATAGTAAGTATACATTCATCAAAAGAGAGTAGCAATGCATGTGACATACCCAACCAAAGACCGCAACTTCTCTCTATTACTTGCAATATCCCGCCTCAACTCCTGCTCGACCTTCCGCACGGTGGGAATTGGATATTGAAAAGCCTCCTTCCATGACTTAAGATTCTTCGTATCAGGTGTTTCGGTGGCCATTTTGACAATAGACTGCGCGAAGCAGCGCGGTGTCCGTTCTATGTGCGAGGTTCAACATTGAGAAACGTGTGAATACCGTCGGCTTCTATCAGTGGGTGCACAGACCACGCGGAGACTAGAACGTCACCGGCTATAAATATTTTGGATCTTTCAGAATGATTCATGTTTTCTTCTTTTTCTACTCTCTTACATTCAAAACGCGCTTTTCTTCTCTTATTCTCTTGAGGACTTTGAATTGTTCGAATTCTGCTCATTTTGATTGTTCTGTCACTTGGATTCTTCTGTCACATTAATCAGAACGCGGAGCATGTGATTGTGTTGCCCCACCAAGAATATTTCCATATTCTTTTCTACACGACAAAATCGACCGTTTACATTGAAACTTGTCAATAAAAGAGCTCTCGCAGAAAACCAAAGGCACATATATCATGCTGTCCAGTGACACTACGACAGAGCCTGTCGAGGCCACCCAGGCCCCTAAAAAGCTTCCCTTCCCCCCAGTCACTCGAACTCAGATATTGCATTGCTCATATCATTACTGGCATCCGCTGTATGTACCAAACAGAGAACATGATATTCTTAGACTGCTAACCATCTCGTTCCAGCTATCGAGCTATTACTCCGAAAGCCCGTCTTATCCCGCTATCCGACGCTTTCCTTTCGTACCTCCGCGCCGACGGAATTGTGCTTCCTCCTGATAATCCAAGCCGGGCAGCGATGATGGGCGATGACAGCGGCATAGAAACTTCTGATTCTGAAGACGATGGCGATCAAGAAGATCCATCAGAAGAATGGAGTGATATCCACATACAGATTGAAGAGACTATCCGGGAACTAGACGGCAAAGTCACCCCGAAACTCAACTGGAGTGCTCCCAAAGACGCAACCTGGATTGCGGTTACGAATGACCTTCAGTGTCAGACACCGAACGATATCTACTTGTTGCTGAAGAGCAGTGATTTCATTACGCACGATTTGGAGCATGTCTTTGACGATACAGACCCGGAACCGGAGGATTCAGTCAGTACGACAGAGGATCTCGATACTACTAATATCCCTTATTATCTTGTTCTTCGCAAATACTTCAACCTCAACCCATCGTTAGAGTTTCGATGCTTTGTCCGAAACCGCACGCTGTTGTGCATGTGTCAGCGTGACTTGAATCATTTTGACTTCTTATTCGCCATGCGCGACATGCTCGTGTCTAGAATTCAGACATTCTTTGATGAAAAACTCAAAGACACCTTTCCGGAACCGAATTTTGTGTTCGACGTTTATGTCCCACCGCCTCACGAACGGGTGTGGCTTATTGATATCAATCCGTGGGCGCTCAGGACCGATCCACTGCTGTTCAGCTGGTTGGAGATTCTGACCATGAAGGATTTGGCGCCACTTGAAGACGAGGTTGTGCGACTGTCTCTTAGAGACGATGGATGCTCTGCATCACCAGATAATGATTCGGCTGCGGCAGCAGAAGAAATCGAGAACATTTCATCAGTTCCGGAACTTCGATTAGTGGAGCGTGATGATCCAGAGGCGTATGGATTTACTTCGCCGCAATACTCTGCTCATAAACTTCCTCGAGACGTTGTGGACGCTTCTCAGTCAGGGACTGGAGGTATGGCGTCTTTTATGCAGCAGTGGAAGGATCTGCTTGCACAAGAGAGGCAGCAGCAGCAAGCAGAGTCAAGCGATGACGAGTAGATTTATCTCACACCGGGTTTTTTGAATCATCATCCGCGCAGAGAGGGGTTGAGCGACCCATGTATTTGGAAAATATGTAGGTTAATGTACACCCTTCGAATGCCCTCCTCACAACTTATGCTTCTTCTCACCAGTGGCGAGCTTTCTAAATTCTTCCTGTGGATAACCAGCAACAAATCTATCCACACCACCAAACACCTCTAACAAATTCTGTCTATCAAGAATCTCGCGTTCCGGTTGGCGAATAAGTCTCTTGATACCCAGAAGACTAGTCTGGTTCAGATGCAGACCTAATCTATCATCAACCTCAGCCAGAACAGCTTTCAAAAATCCATCAGAATCATTATTTCTCCCGGATGGCGCAGGGATAACTTTGTTCACGAAACCAGTTGATACTAGTTCCTCGCATGTGATTCGCCTACTCATGAGCAGCGCCTCGTTTGCTTTGGAAATACCGAGTCTTTGTACAAACCCCCTCGAAGCACCGCCTTCGGCGACCAAACCCAGTGACGAAAAAGGTGTGAGAAGGAACGTATGAGGAGCAGCGTAGATGAAATCCGCAAAGGAGATAATAGCGGCAGTGAGTCCGACGACGGGACCGTTGAGAGCAACCACAAGGATCTTTGAATGATTGTACACGGTGCGTGTAATGTCCAGGTTATTTACGAGGAATGAGCGCATTATTTCTCGGCGCTGTTCCTCTTCAGACAGAGTGTTGTCTGCTCGACGACTGACCCCGTTGCCGCGGATATCAGCACCACTTGCGATAGTTAGCCAGTCGATCAATGATTTAAATGAAATGCAAGAATATTTTAAAACTCACGCGGAAAAGAACCGGCCTTTCCCAGTTAATATAGTAATGTAAATATCATCTCTCTTGTCAACTTCGCGCAATCGTTCTCCGAGAAGATAGTACGCGTCGCCGTCTAGGGCGTTCAGTACTTCGGGACGGTTGAGAGTGACGATTGCAATGCGATCTTGGTATGTGAGCGTGATTTGATTCGGGTCTGCCATGTTGTTTTGCTATATATTGTAACTTGAGTGATTGAACTACTGCTGTTGAAGGAATTGAGAAGAGCCTGTCGGAGATTATAAGCTTGGGATGCTCGAATTGCCGAGGTCCCGCAGCTTCACTAAACTGTGGGGTAGCCTCCATACTCTCTGCCTAGGTACGTACATCGATTTATAGTACTCCGACATGGCAACATATGCAAGTTTGCGCTTTAAAAAAAGACTCGATTGAACGAATGTCGTTGATTGTCAACCCTGGTAGCCTTCTCGGCTGGGTGTATTTTGTATTCTTCTCTCCTCTTTCTCTGGTCTCCGGGAATAACGGCGTCTTGTCCACCGCATTTGGATGGTCCATTGAGCCTCCAGTTTCTTGCAGAACTTTAAGCACCTCGTCATGCGCTTCAATCTGCTTCTCCGCAGTCATTTACTCCTTTTTCCCGTCCCTGTGTGGAATATGAGAGAAGTCTGGCCCCCATTGCTTTATGAAGAGGCGTTTCTCCTTGTTATTCACTGCACCAACTAGATTGGACCTGTAAGTTGGGATGTGTCTCATTAACAGGAAGAGCATCCTCATTAGCCCAATGAACGAGGCTTCGAGCTGCCAAATGCAATGGTAGACGTAATTCGCTATCACGCATGGATACCATTTCTGCAATACTGATCTGGCTTCCATGATTGTCGAGTAGCACTTTAGCTGCCGGTAGATTCCAATGGCCGCTAACTATGTGCAGTGGAATGGAGCCCGAGCCCAGATCCATAATGTGGGAAGTATCGCCAGCTCCAAATTGTCGTTCATGCACATTCGCCCCTCCAGCAATAAGGCGAGACACTAATTGCGGACTGCCTCGAATGACAACTTCGCCGAGGACAGTTTTCACAACCGGTGGTATCTCTCCTGGAGTTGGGTGTTTCATTCTAGAAACAGCATCACGTACAGGATCACCTCGTTCAATGAGCTCGTATGTAAAAGCTTCCCCCCTGGCAAGTTGGTCTCGCGCTTGATCTCGAGTAGGGCCTTGCACGTCATGGTGGGCTAGTCTAGATGTAAGGAATACAGATGTAAGATAATTTACAGCAGACACAAGGCACTTCCACCGTGACTATCCCTACCAAACATTACACCCAGCCGGGGATCTCTGTCTAGCAAAAATCTTGTCGTTTTAAAATCACCTCCCCTACAAGCGAGATCCAAAATTGATAACAATCTATGTCGTCGATTTTTGAGACCCTCGCTGAGCGAAGAAGGACAGAATTCAAGCAGTAGACGAAGAGTATCTAGGTTATCATTCGTGATAGCAATGTAAAATGGTTGTACTCCTCCAAACCCCTATTCGTGAGGAAGAATTCAGAATGTTGCTCCAAGAAGAGACTGACTCCTGCCAAATCATTGCGCTTCACAATTTTTATTAACGGAGATGGAGCATATTCGCCCACAAACTCGGAGTCCGGGTTTGAATCTGAATCTTCATGAATATCACCGGCGTTCTGGTACCTTGAATTTATTGTATGTAAGTGATCGCATAGCACATTCAACGTGGGACAGGAGGCAGATTCAGTGCTGAACAGAATGAAAGGGACGTAGTAGCACGCCTTCTTATGTATTCCTCTGTTCAAATCTAACATCAGATAGACTACTGTAGTGGATCTCCTAGTTAAGGGATGAAAGAATCCTACCAGGCCGACTCCCGAGCTTCCGCCTGCACTATTCACACTGCACGAATATCAAAGTGGACTCTTGGATATATTCTCTATGATCCTCTCTAGATATCTTAATTGACTGCTAACTGCTACTAAACAGAAACATACCGAGCCCACTCTTCATCCTCTTCTAGCTTCTCCATCTGATGTCGCAGAAGCTGGACATTCAACTCAATCCCTCCAGGATACTGTCCTGAGTCCGCTAATGTTGATTTCTGCCTCAATCCATACGACGGCATAATCAAAACATACGACGGCGTAATAGGAGAATCCATCAGATACCTCAGCGTACGGAATCTGCCCACACCGATATCCATAATGTCAAGACTGGGGTAGAGATGCTCCCAGGAATTAAAGAACACATCTCTCTCCAATAGATCGTTGGGAGGAATTTTCCCAACCCTCAACTGACTGAAAATATACTTATTGATTGACCTCAAATTTGGATCTGTGGCATCTTTTCTCAATGTATCTTGAATCGCTCTGATGACTGTGGCTATATTTGTGGGATCCAGCAGGGACGAAAGAGGTAATCGAGCCAACACCGCGGTGACAGCGTTACCGAAAAAGTCAGTTGCCAAGGGAGGAACTAGGCGTTGACGCATATCGGCTGAGAAGAATCCGCTGCTTGTCGTCGACTCTACAGATGTCTCAGGTGCTGTTCGAGCACGAGCGAGACATTGCCATGTCAGGGCCATAACCGACTCGAAAATAGTAGGTCGGTTTTCGGTATACGTGTGCATTTCTGCCCTGAGTGTCTCCAGGCTTTCGTTGGAGAACCGAAAGATCTTGCTTTGGACGTCACCGTTCCCGCTGAAAGGGTTCGTTTTCGCTGCCGGTGCTTCCTTATACAATGTCTTCCATTTACTCAAGCCGCGGAGTTCATCTGGTCCATATAATGACTCATCGAAGTCCTTCAAAAGCTCTGTCTTGTCGTGGATATTACTTGTCACTGTCGAAGAAACTCCGTCTTCATATGGGCCGTCAGCCATCAACACCTTGGTTCTCTGGAGCCACTGCCGCATAAATCCCACATATCCATATGCATCCGTAATGATATGGTGAATTTGAAAAACCAGGACAAACCCTCCATTAATAAAAGTCAACTGCACCGCACAGTTGTGCTGACTCAGGAACTGGATATCATCGAGTCCCGTGGCAAAATCGGTCTTGGGGATCGCATCAGCCGGAAAATGTTGTTCGGGGGACAAACTCTCAAAGTCGATGTCTAATCTATATGCGACTTTGAATGGGATATTGGAGGACTTCTCAACTGCGATGTAGGGTGGTTTGCCGTCAGGACGGACGACTCTACCCAGCAGCTGTGGATATGTTATTGAACCTATCTGTTCTTTATCGAAGGGCTTAAGGAGTGTTTTGAGACTTTCTTGAAGGGAGGCAATTAGACGGCGTGCCTTGGTCTCATCGAGGGGAGTTTCCTTTTCTGTTGAATAAACGAATGCTTGTCTAATACCCCGTGCAGGAATCTGTAGATCAGCCGGAGATAGCTGATAGACACCTTCGAAGCTGGGATCTGCATGGATGAGATACGTAGTTGACCCCATTGCGCCTGTTACTTTGGTGGTAGACTCTTGCTTTGCGCGTTGATCCTCATCGATGTTTTCTACATAATAGGGCATGGGACTACCTTGGTCTTATACACCCCTATCTACTGATTCTGATTATTCCATTGATTTCAGCAATTTCAACAATTTCTAATCCACCGGAAATTCCAAAATACTAATCCATGGGTTGATTTTACATAAAAGCTAAAACCTCATAACCGAGCCTCATGTCCCATAGGTTCTGGATGTCCCTGATTGAGCGATCTATTTGTGGATACTGAGCCTACAGAGCATACAATAATCAGCAAACTGATTCAGCTTCGATTTACCTTATTCAGATACATTGTACGTGAACATGGGGTTCTAAAAAGCTGTTGATTGTCATCGAAGATAACAATTTCACCGGCTTAGGGCTGAATCTAAGCTGATAATCATAGTCTAGACTCTTGTGGATATTCTGACTGTGTATGAAGCTTAATTACCAAATGCTCCACCCAGCGGACAGCTGGTTGTAGATAGTCCACAATATTTGTAATACGGCCAATCAATTGATATGTGATTACTGATACATAGTGATCAAGCTGAGCTGAAGTCTTAGCGTCGCAAGTCTTTGAATATTTGCTATGTCGTGTACGTACAGTACCATCTGTCCCAACTGCAACTTAAACAACCATGAAGCTGGTCCTTTGTCCAACGACTATACCTGATGATAAAGGGTCGGAGAAGGGCTGGTCTGGTAGCATGCTTTCCGGCGGTTACAAAGAGCATAATCTTTGACTTGGGCTAAGGAAACTAAGCAACATGGAGAATGAAACAGATGCAACCCGCTCAAAGAGAGTCCAGAAGCAGTGATATCTCAAACACTCAATGATGGTTCTCAAAGACTTCATGATTGAATAGACGGATGTCGGGCCGTTTTCGTTTCTTTATCTATGAGCCGAAGCCTTATATAGCAGGGGTTTTGTTGAAAATAACCCCCTGGACTCAATACAAAGTCACTGACAGCAATTGCCAGACAAGGATCTGAGAATATCATTCAATGCAGGAATGTTTTGATGTCGGACATCTGCAGCCAATTCCCCTGCATCCGGCGAGTTGCGTGTCCTATAAGTATGAGCATGTCGGTCCGTGAATTGGGGTCATTGCTACCTTCTATCACCTCAAGCACCTGAAAAGATTCTTATACTACTTCAAGCACTTCAAAAAGGCAAAATCCTCACATCTCCGCAATGCCTGACATCATCAAATTCATGCCGCGTACGACATATCGTCCCAAGAAACAGGAATCAACCGCAAAAGAATCAAATGCGACGGAAGAATCATCTCATGAGAATGACGTGAGCAAGTCTCTTGAGTCAATGGAGAAGCGTATCAAAGCTCTCGAGGCATCAATGGTGGAGCAGGAGCAGAAGACGGCTAAATTGCAGGAGTTGGTGGATAGTCTTGGGGGAGAGTGAGGCGATTCTCTGCATAAGGACAATCATGTATGGTTAATCAGATTTCGAGGGTATGTTATTGCATAGTGGCAGATGGATCACTTGAATACGAGAGAATGCATTTCGAAAACTGCAGATGTCAGGCGATAGAGGCTTTGTCAGGTTATCTCTCAGTGGATACTTGGATATTAGTGTGCACTGTATCATCTCTAGCAAGGTGTCATCCAAGACAAACCAGAAATGATAATAATAGACTATAATTATTCTGTAGATAGTTGGTGCTGTCGTAGGAAGACGTCGGAAGTTGAGATAAATTGAAGGGAAGGCGGTGAGCCATCCTGTTCGGCCATTCGCCAATCTCTCTCTCAAGAAAATGACCCATCAACTGACACTCAACTTCGACCTCGACACCATATCCAAGCCATTCACATTCATGAACAACCTCACTGCCTAGCTGGAGATACCACAGACCTATCTCACAGGAGAGGACGCCATCAACCATGTCAACCATCCTCCGCAGACTCCAAGGCGGAAACCTAGAAGTTTTCAAGGTATTACCTCCCACCTACAAAACTCCATCCACATTCAACACATCTAACAATTTGAAAATAGTTCGGAATGTACATCCTCTTCCCAATTGGATGGATGTATTACTTCGGCACAAACCTCGAAGAACGATTTTCTGTGCCTGGTTTCTGGCCCACGGCCGAACAATCGCATAAAATCCCGGAGACGAAGGAAGATATTGATGCGGAGTTGGCGAGGATGAGGATGTTGGATGCTGTTCGGTTGGAGAAGAGGCAGAGACAGCTGGGATCGGGTACGAGTGAGGGGGCGGCGTGAGAAGTATGGACTCGATTTTAAGATAAGATGCACGCGGTTAAGCGGTGTCAAGAGCTGGCCTACTAGCAAGTGTACTTATGTATTCTTATGTATTTATGTATCATATCGAAGGAGTTTGGGAAAGGTCAAGGTTGCATAGTCATATATTTCATGAATCGCGTCTCTATCAGTCTGTCGCCTAAAATCATAGAGAAACCTTTTAATTCCGGGGAAAGAAAAAAAAAACCATCCCCAAATATTGTACCTAATTACGTACTCGAATATCAAACTCCATCGAGCGCCCTGCTCAGACAACAATGCAAAAGCCGAATAAAGTAATACAATATGATGCCGAAGAAAGAAAAAGAGCCGGGTAAATCACAAAGTATGTTTTTTTGCCGGCGACCGATAAAAAAAATTATCCAAAGAATTAAAAAGAACCGTATACTTTGACGGAGGGAGCATAATCCCTATTCTTCGTTTGCACAATACCATCAATCACAACTCATCAAGTCCGGCAGTCGAGGCGGCACCTTGGATTGATTCGTAGACGACATTCAGAGCGCCGGTTGCGGGACCTGCTGATGATCCTTGTAGAATGGAGCTCGGGGAAGGAATATATTCTTTGATCATAGAGACATCGGCAGTGAAATAGTAATGCACATGTCCGTATATCGACGCGACGTGATCGGGGAGGTAGATGTAGGCGGCAGTAATAAAAAGGGAGAGAAAGGCGAGGACCAGAGAATCTGATAGACGGTTAGTCACTCAACTTTTTGAAAAGAATAGAGGCAAGGGGTCCTACTAAAGATGAATTTCTCGGTTGGCGTGAGCATGTACAATGCAAAAGTTACCTCGTACTGGTAGATTTTCAATCGCAGCCATCGCAACAAGGACGTAAAGACTGAAGGAGAGGGCGAAGAAGCCATTGATGGAGGAGACATGGAGAGTTGATTGAATAAAAGATAGTTATGATGTGAGTCGAGTGAGGTGTCCTGGGCGAAATCTGGGGTGATTGCACTTTTTTCTTCTCTTATCGTGACACGGCGGAGACAGAAAGGGGGAGTGGCGGCACAAATAGAATCACGACCGACAAAAGTTGGATTGTTTAATGAATTCAATTGAATTTATTCGAATGACTGTAAAGTTGTAGAGTTGTAGAGGAGAATAAACGAGCGATGAGGGGGTCGAGGGGGTCGAGGGGATTAAAAGAAAAGACAGTTTGGAGGAAGGAAGCTTTGGCCTCTGTACTTTCTCCCAGTCAATTAATTCAACCACGCTGATTCAGTCCACACACAGCCACAATTTACATTCATTTATTGAACGATCAAAATCTCTCCTCTCAGATCGGCCTAAACGTTGCTGCCTTGGCTCTGTCAAAAAAGCTGAAACAGATCTGAGTTTCCACAATTCTCTCACAGATAGGGGAATCGGTCACAGAGCTCATTGCTCGGCCGCCGCCAGTCAGCGCGACCGAAAGTCTGATAGATTCGCGGATTGTGGAGTTGAATCTTCGAGGTTGACGAGTCAGCCTTTCAGTTTTGCCAGAAAATGAAATTCCAACGATCGGCTAGATCCACAGCTACCGTTCACTCCTGAGTCTTTCAAAGTCTTAGCAAAAATCGCATTGTCCTAGCGTCGATACGATAGGTTAGTTCGACTACGGCCGGATCGGATTGAATCAGCAACACATATTCACATCTCTACGGCCTTCTCGGAACTAGACATATCCGTAGCGTTGAGCAAAATGCGCCAACTCTGGTCGAAAAGTCCGATTCCGAATGCTATTTTCGCAGCAAGGAGGTTGCAATTGAGGTCTTTGTTCTCAACGTATCCTGCTCGAGCCGTTAAGCAATTACCCCCCCGTCCAAAGCTGGATGACAAGGATATCACCGGCTCGTACCTCAAAGGGACCGGACCAGGGGGCCAGAAAATTGTGCGTTCCATTTTTACTTGCTGTTATCTTGTCTAACAATAATAGAACAAAACAAATTCCGCCGTCCAGCTTATTCACAAACCAACCGGCATCGTAGTAAAATCCCAAGCAACCCGTTCCCGATCCCAGAACCAAAAGATTGCGCGTGAAATTCTTGCTGCAAAAGTCGAAGAACTAGAAAAGGGCGAACAGAGTCGGGAAGCGATCAAGAATGCTTTGAAGAGGAAACGAAAAGCGAGTTCAATGAAAAAGAAAAGGAGGAAGTATCGTGCTTTGGAAGAGGCGAAGCAGGGACAACAATTACAAGATGGTGCTGAGGAATATGAAGAATGTGCGAGTGACTACGAGGAATCGACGACACCAGCCACGGCCACGCGGTAATACCCTGAAACGATTCCATTTAAAACGAACCTGACAGCAGATTTTTTTTCCCCATGATTATTGTCAAGAGGACCATAAAAAGGGTTACTCGTATGACCTCGTTAAAACTCGCCGCCAAATGCATTAGGTATGGTGTCTAAATCAACAGAATGATGCACATGCTCCACAAACCACATCTCACGCCGTCATATAACTGACAAGAATTTTTTGAAGCTCAGGACTGAGTCGTTCCTGAACAAATCCATTAATTCGGCCACCGTGCTTCGTGTTGGCCGCCTTCAGATACTTCCCTGTCCACACTTTCAGATCGGCTCCAGTTTCCGGCCATGGGTCCTTTTGGCGAGGTCGAACAGTGTTCAGTTGCGTGAATCCGACTCCGAATGCCATGTCATCCACGTCGTGTTCCGTAATGATATCATCCCGGGTGACTGGAACAGGAGGCAGTTCTAACAACTTGAGAAGGGCCTCGCATGTGAAACCCCAACCCTTCTTATATCGCTGTGCAAAGGCTTCTGAGTTGGCCAGTGTTTTTGTGAAGGAAATAACTGCCGTCTTGCGGTCCAATGGCCTCGCGAGTTTTTGAGATTCGGGTAGGATGACGTTAAGGTAGATGGGTGTAAATAGACTGGATCTGTTAGTCAATCTTACTACCTTATATACCTTCCAGAGACTCACCCTTCTTGAACCTTGTCTGTGACCTGGATGAAAAAGTCCGCACTGTAACCTTGATCATCCCGAGCCGAAACAAAGTGGTAAAAGCGAACGAATCGCAACTGCAAAACCTCAGTCTTCGAGTTTTGCAGACGAGTCAGAATAATCTGCATGATGGAAACAAAGTATTGTTCCAGAGCAGTGCTAATGAAAATTAGCCTTGACTGGTAGATAAGGTGGGAAGAAGACACTCACGCAGGAAAGCTTCCAATAACACTTTCCAACAGGTCAAACCCATGGCTCTCGTTTGCTTTTGTAGAGAGCAACTTCTGGAAAAGTCCCAAAATCGGCTCAACCTGGTTGTTCTGCAAGATGAATTGCGCGCCGCGAGGAATGATAGCAGAGAGTAGCCGGACCAATGCAGGCACATTGCCCCTGGACTCCCACATGACTGGCATGAGAATAGGTGCAATCAGATTCTGGTAATACTCTGGTAACGTCGCGGACGAGTTTGCCTCAAGTAGCGCAGCGAATAGTTGGAAGACATAAGGCATGAATTCTAAGTCTGATTAGAACCGTATTGTATTCCACTATGAGAACCGTGTCTTACCTTGAACGTCCGCTTGGAGAACCTCGGTAAATGGCGCATAAAGTGCTTGTTCCAATTTCTCGGGGTTCGCAGGAGCAGCAAATCTGATTGATATTGTTAGCTCCATCCTAGTCCAATGTCTAGAAGAGTTGGCATACCTGATAAATGCGCCAAGCGATTCGAAGTGATAATAGTAGAAGCGCGGGTTGCTAGGGTTAGCGCTAATGATTCTGGTGATTTTGATCAAATGCTCCAAGACTGCATCTGTAAGAGGCACAACTTCCTCCTTGATGATAATCAGAACTCTCATCACACATTTCATCAAGAATTCATTCTCTTGCACCTTCGGTGGTGAAGGATCCTTTTCAATGAGCTGGAATAGATGCTCCAGAAGCTCTTTGGCCAAGGGCGTGATATTGGCCGGTGAGATCACAGGCTGACCTGCAGAATCGTGGAACGCAAGGACTCGTTCGACAGCAATAGCCGCGTAAGTATACACAACATAGTTGTCGGAACCCAAATGCTTGACCAGCAGAGGGAACACTTCCTGCCACTGTTGGGGTGTGATGATACTTCGGAACAAGTAGAGGTATTTGATGGCGTCGACTTTCAAGATAGGATTAACTCCACTGTCAGAGACCAAGTCGGTAGCAAGGTGTTTTTGAAAGAAGTCCGCGATATCAACTAGTGTGCTGACAGTTGTAATACCATGTGAAGCTGTTGCTGCGCCTTTGGCAGCAATTGCGGAAAACAGGTAGGTAGCAGTATCTTTTGATTTCCAGTTCGACGCCGGATTTTTTGCGTATTCGGCAAGGTAATGATCCGTGTACTGAGAGACCACTTGTGTGACTGAGTTCTCGAATTTGGTTGCCAATTGCCGCACAAAGTCGGTAGCTGCTCGACGTCGAGTATCGCTGTCTGAACCTTCAAGGTCGCGGCGGATGAACTCAATCGGCTCGTCCTCAAAGAGCTCTTCGTCGGATTCTCGGAGTGCAATGTTCGGTAGAATTACCTTTTCAATGACCTGGCTCAGAGTACCTTGGTCTTCGAAAATCCTAGCATGTTCGGGCATGCTTGTGGTTGATGTCAAGAATTGAAGTGCCTTGCTGATCAATATGTCGTATTTCGTTTCTACTCCGACGGTGGTCAACAAGTTCCAAGAGTTACCAACGAATTGTCCGACGTGAGGTTCGAAAACGTCGCTATATTTCTGGACAAACAAAGTCAACACCTCAAAAATTGCTGCCTTGACAAACTCCAAAAGTCCCGCTTCAGATTCATCGTCGGTGTGAAGAAGCTGGTTATCATATAGCAGGTATTTGAGAAGTAGATTGGCGATAGACTGTGCATTGTCCTCCACAAGGGGTGCGAGATCTTGACAATTCAAATCGTATAGAAGGTTGATCATAAGCTCGAGTTGTTTGAATCCTTGAGATAGATTCTCTTTATTGGATTTGTTTTCCTCTATGTAAGCGTCCAGGCCCTGTCGACAATTAGTAATTTTTCCCTCAACAATTGTTCGAAAACAGGCCTACCTCGAACAATGCCAAGTATGGCGTTGAGAAAGTCTTTAGCACATGATTAATTTCGGTGAAGAGATCGTCTGATCGAAATAATGGACGCCATCGTCGGAAAATGGAGTGTGCCACCGTGAGGACTCCATTGTTGACAGCGGGGTTCTTGGGATCTAATCGTGATACCAAATCCTGCTTAAGTTAGTCATGACTATATTATATACAGCAACAGTTTTAACGTACCGCCACAAGTGTATCCCATCGCTCCCAGAAATCACTGTCTGCAATCACGCTGACTGCCTCGCCCAGCTGTGTCTGAATTCCTCCTGGGACATTGATCATCAGATTGATCAACTCCCGCTTGATTGTGACCACTTCATCTTGCGGTAACTTGTGATTTCCGTCCTCGTCGACCCAATTTCTCCGAATTAAATTTTTGAAGCATAAGGCACTTGCGAGCCGAGTGTTGTAGGGGAAGTCCGCAGACGCGGTAATTTGGAGTAGGTATAGCGAGAAGCCGGGCTTTTTCTCTTCTTGTCGAAGTGCAAGTTCGGCTAAAAATTTCGCATTAGATTTGTGGTAAATCTTCCAAACTGAAGTGTTGGCCATGACGTACCTTGTTTGTTTTGCCTGGGATCCAAGCTGGCCTCTAAAAGCTGAGCAACAGCTCCCAGGTTATTTGCCATTTTGGCAGTACTACTACAAATGGCGGATGAGAAAATTGAGAGCTCAAAAAGAATAGAGAATGTAGTTAAAGAGAGCACAGCTAGCAGTAATAACACCAATTGCTGATGAAGTATGTAAATTTTGTAGAAAGAAGGCGTAGTGGATGGAAGAAAGAATGGACCGCCGCTTTCCCTGTCTGGCAGTTTGTTTGGCAGGCAGCGGGACCTTCTGAAGGCGGTGAGAGCTGTTGGTGTTTCCCAGGCGGCATGGCGGGGTGGCCGGCATTTTGTTGTTCCTGTTCCGGTAACTGCTGACAAAGCATAAGTCAGATGACTTCGGAATACGGAATAAATTGTTCCGAGAAGGTCGATCGACGCCGGCTTGGCACGCCAAGACCCTTCCTGCCAAGATTAGACGACTCTTACGTCCGACAAGGATTCTGGTGGATGATCTGGTCTGGATCGTTGCTTAATTTTATTTCCTATTCTTCAGTTCAACATGTCTCTGTCTTGACCTTCTGCTCGCTCCAGTCATTTCGATGCCCAAATCTTGCTAGCCTTTCGCTCGTGATACCGTTCTTATCCGTATCAGGTGCCGTGCCACTTGGTCGTCCGCTTATCTCGATATCAGCCTAACAGTGTTTGCCATTTCATGAGGATGGGGAAGGCCACCCTGAAACCCGAGACCCAATTATAATACCAGGCTAGTTACTTTAGACTGCTACTCTGCAAATCTTCAATTCATCAGTGAACCTCAATGGTGTGAAAAAGTAGCTCTTCTGAGAGCCTACCAGGTACTTGCTCCGTCAAACCTCCACTGCGCCGTTATCTCGCTCAACCTGGCACAACTTGTCGTCCGTTGACCGACATAAGCCCTTCAATGATATACTCATTATACTAATTCAGCTGGTTCAGCTTATAAAATAAACAGATACCTCGTTACGTACGAACTCGTTCACACGGTGCGGATGTCTTCCGAGAATGATCCACCTCAGAAACCAGCTGCGTCTTCATTTGCCGATGTTTTCAAGACACTAGCATCAGGTCGCCGTAAATCTCTCTCCCCTCTCTCAGCTTCTGATAGCCCTTCCGAATTCCCAAACCATGTCATCGACGGACGCAGGGGTTCTCGTGTGACGTTCGGATTTGAAGGGATGTCGCGCGGAACTATGTCCAACAGTTCGTTGGATCATAGCGCCGTTCCAAGTTATGAGGATGCGCTCGAAAATCTCAGGAACCCCGTACTCGCTGTAGATGAAGTGGAGGTACTTGCCAAGCATTCAACCAAGTTCACGCCGGAACAGATCATATCTCTTTGGGAAGCAAGTTCATATTTACTCTGTCAGGGCGACTTTGAGGATGCCCGGCTACGCGCATCGAGGTTCTTGGACACAATTGTGGCGCGGCCGGATCTGTCAACAGACCTCAAAGCTCAACTCTGCAAGAGTATATTAACGCCAACACCGGCTGATGTGATACCCGCGCGGGTCAACGCACTCATTGCGCTTTCCGATAATGGCAGGAAATTGGATACCATGCAGGTCAACATCTTACCAGCGCTGGCGGTTGCATTATATTCGTTGTTCAAAGCTGTCGCCAACCTGCGGTCGAAAGCGAAGAAGAGCAAACAACCGCGTACCATTGAAAATGAAGAATCACATTTGGAGAACCTTTTTGATTTCATACTCAATGTTATCACGCTTCAAAATTTCCCACTAGAAGAGAAAGATGCGGCTACCTTACTCGAGGAAGTTCTCAAGATCTGCAAGAGGACGGCATCTCCTGATGATCTGAAGAGTTCGCTCTCTATTTTCGACGCCATCATCTCGTACGCCGAGGTACCAGATGATAGTTTTGCTCCACTATTAGAGGTTCTATGCGGCATCCATGCTTCGGTAAAGACACTCTCTGGTCGCACCTCCCAGGTGATACGCAACATAGTCAAATCCCCTAAAAAGCTAGCCATGCTTGAGCTTTTATACTCTTTTTTGGAAGGGCCAGATGACCACGGCCGAAACGCAAATGTAGTACGCGGCGCGGTGGAAACTTTCACCGATATAATAAGATCTCACGACAGGAAGAAGTTACCAGAGCTATCATTTCCAAAATTAATCCACTGTCTACAAGCAGTGCCGCCACGGCGGAGTGGAAGGCTCAACGCGGCTACTCTTGAATTATGTGCAAACATCCTAGATGGCGATTTTGCCTTCATCTGCATAGAGGAACCAGATTGGACCAGCTTTTCGAAGTTGCTTATTGAATGCTCCGGTGCAATTGGTCAAGAGGTCACTGATAGTGCTCAATCTCCTGTCATTTCTCCTACAAGGAGTATATCGCATGATGATCATCTTGCTGCCAGCATTTCCCGCCTATCATCCCTTATCGAGCACTCGTGGGTTCAGTTGAGCTCAGAACAAAAATCTGAAATCAGTCAGTTTTTGAGAATATCGCACCGGTACCTTTCACCGACCCAAGCACGCCTCTTGATCAACCATCTCAAAATGCAGAAATCGTATTTCCCAGGAACCGAAGACTGGGAACAAGAAGCCAAATGGCTTGTTGATTCATTTCTTCAGGCGCCTGCTAAGGTGTCGGATGTGCGTGCTTACGCCTTGGAGGCACTCGAAGAAGCAATGTTTCAAGACAACAACCTCGTCGATTTTGAGCAAGCTGGTATCATTGACTCTTTACTTCAGAACTTCGCAGATGAGAAAGACACAATTTACCTGTCATCACTTGTCTCCGTGATGATTGAGATCGCGGCACGGGCGGATAATGATGATATCTTTCATACCGTTGTCGACACTCTGAGTTCACCCATGATTTCCGACTTTCTTGAAGAGGATGATCCAGCTATCCTGAGCGGACAATTATCACAATCACGCCGTAATTCTGCTTCTGTTCTCGAGCCATCTTTATCAAACGTCTGCATGATGGGTCTTGTTCGACTCTTCCTCAGATTTTTGAATTTGTCAGCCCAACGAGCAGCGTTGCTGTTTGAAACTCTCATCTTCATTATGAAGACGTCAAAGAAAAGACCAGCCGATGCCACGCTCACAGTTCTCAAGTTGTTGTTCCGATTGCGCTGCGACTCATCTGGTGCGATCTGGGTTACCGCAGACATTGAGAATGACTTTTTGGTGGCTGTGCTTAGTCGAAACTTGGATGTCGGAGTCAAACAGTCTACAACAACGGAAGGTTCTATATTGGAGAGATCCTCCATGCATAGCGACGACTGTCTCACTGCAAGTACAGGACGACTGTCTCTGCGAAATCAAAATGGTTCCGCCGAATCGCAAAGGTCTGTCCCTCGCATGAGTAGTTCCTACTTGCGTGGCACCACGAAGTCGATGCCTCCCAGTTGGGTACAAGGAGATTCGAGTCTTCCTGACGAACCATCAACGACTGCAAGTCCTTTTGTGTATGCTTACAAGACGGTAGGTGAGGGGACGGATTCCGAATCGTCTGAACAGAATAAAGAAGCGTTGAAAGTCAATGTTTACCTCGAGACAATCATTGACTTGCTTCAAAAACGTGATACTCCGTGGGATGTTTACAGCTATATCCTCGCTCATTTGGGGCCACAACTCAGCAATCGGGACTTTTTCTCCAACGCAGTCCCGCAAATTCAGATGCTTCGTAACATACTGTGCGGCCAGATCAAGGGCGAGATGTTCCGGGAGCCACCAGCTATAGCTGGTATTAAGAAGGCCGATGTCGCAATTTGCATTTTTGATTGTTTGTCCATGCTCGTTGGATTCCACCATTACTTTGCAAAAAGCGAACAGGATGAATTGGTACGTGCTTTTATGCTTGGGATTGGATCCTGGGATGGTACGTCCAGAGGATGCATTCACGCTTTATCCGTGTGCTGCCATGAGATACCATTATCAGTGACAAAATCATTGAATATGATACTTGACAAGATGTCAAAAGTGATTACTATGGCTCATGTGGCAGTCCATATATTAGAGTTTCTTGCACTTCTGGCTCGTCTGCCTGAGGTTTACGTGAACCTACGGGAGGAAGAGATTCGTACCGTCTTTGGCATATGCATTCGCTTTATCCAGACGAGTAGAGAACAACGCCTGAAGTCAAGCGATTCGTCTACTCGCCCAAGCACAACTCCTGCACGTCTCAGTGGTGGTCTGAGAGAAATAGCCGCAATGCAACCGGATTCATCCGAAGCCAATACATGGCAAGAGGGCATGTCTAACTACGTGTACACTCTGACGTATCACGTCCTCGTCTTCTGGTTTCTCTCGCTCAAACTTCAGGATCGCGCGAATCACGTCAATTGGATAACGAATCGACTGATCTTCACGGACGAGCTTGGACAGGAAGTGGTTGAAGAGCAGACTGAAGTATTTATCGATTTGATGCAGCGTGTGACGTACTCGGACTTGGGTGATACGATTCCTTATGAAACGTTTCCGCCATCTCCAGAAGACGGACCCGTCACCAGCAAGTCATGGGTCATCGGGATGAGTATCGTCACGGTTGAAACGGCTGGTGTGTCCGGATTGACGCAGATTACGAAACGAATGGCTTCTGGGACGACTTATGCTGAATATCGCCAACGCACTGCCCCTGTACTACCCCATCAAGTACCTCCAACGCCTGATACACTGTCAAGTTTCGATTCAAATAGTCGAACGGCCATATTTCCTTCTCACGTTTTGCTTCAAATGGTTACTACAGCGTTTCCGACGCCAAAGATTTCACAACCCATACCGTTGCCTGACGATGCCATGACCCGTCGAGCTATCAGCTCGTTTGATAGGAACGACATTGTCGACGGACATAAAGTAGGAGTGATCTTTCTGGATAACAATCAAACCACAGAAGCAGAAATTCTCGCAAACACAGCCGGCAGTCCAGACTACGACCATTTCTTGAACGGACTTGGTACTAGAGTCTCTATCCGAGGAGCGCAATTCAACACTCAGGGTCTCCACAGCGATATCGATGGCGAGTTCACATATGCCTGGAGGGATCGTGTGACCGAAATGGTCTATCACGTAACGACCATGATGCCCACCAATCTCGAAAGTGATCCAGCCTGCGTTGCTAAGAAACGTCACGTGGGCAACGATTTTGTCAATATCATCTTCAACCGTTCCAACCGACCATTCAACTTTGAGACCATCCCATCACAATTCAACTCAATCAACATCGTCATATCGCCAGTGTCTCGAATCGCCGAGTCGGACTTTAACCGTGACACTGACAGTAATCGCGACTACAACAAATCCTTCTACGTAGTCAGAGTGATGAGCAAACCCGGCCTACCAGAATTGTCACCCGCATCAACACCAAAAGTAATCTCCGGCAAAAGTCTAGCCGCCTACGTCCGCATTCTAGCAATCAACGCCTCCGTTTTCTCCTTGGTATGGAATCGTGAAGGTGGTGAACACATCGGGTCATGGCGGAATCGACTTCGCGAAATCAAGCGATTGCGTGAACGAGCTATGATGTCTGCCCGAACTGCATCAGTTGATGCGTCCGAAGGTGGGTTTTTGGGTCATAGGCGCAATACAAGGACGAATATTCACAGTGAGGATGAGTCGCCTGTCGGAAATCGGGCTCAGATTCGTCCTGATATTACGGGCGATGTTGATAATAATATTTCGCAAGCTTTGGATTTTTCTCGGTGGACCAGATGATGCCCCCGGATCCGAGTTCTCACAACATGAGAAGCAAAAGGAAAACAGCACTCCTCTGTGTAACGCTATTATACTAACGAAGTCAACGACAAAATATCACGGATCTTACGACAGCAACAATACTGAATGTTCTTTTCACATGTACCGCTACAATTTGTTGTCTCTCTTTTACTACAACAGAAGAAAAAAAAAAGTTTATTCCACGAGTATCAGGGACAGTGGAATCATCTTCTTGATGACTTTGGCCTTGATGAAAAAATTGTCTCTTTATCGCGTGTGTGTTTAGGAGATGGGATTTTTGTTATATTTATCAGATGACAAGAATAAAAGTTTCTTCCTTTTTTCCTGTCAGAATTTCCTGGTGTAATCTCTATACAGTAATTCTGACTACCTACCCATAGATGGGATTTCTTATTAAATACCTAAGGTAGTGTGAGTACATTGTGATAGTGAAAGTTATAACCATCGAATCCTAGGGGTAGGTAGCTAAAAGCGGCTCCGAGAACCAAATATATAGACATACTATTGAATAAATGCACCACAACCCAAAATTACACCAACGAAACACCTCTGGAAGAAAGATAGGACTACCACCCAAAAACCTCTGTGACACTCAACGTATTAACTCTAACACCCAATCCCAACCCAACAAGTATCACAAACACATCCACCACCACAAGAACAGCAGCACCCATCATAAACCGTGGACAAAAGATACGATACAACATCAAATGTCGTCGTAGATGGCCCGCCCAGAGAGTCGTGGCTAGGTTGATGGTAGCGTAGTACAGGATATGTGTGGAGACGGACTGGACAACTTCTGAGAGGAGATGGAGCATGGGGCTGTTGGTTTTTGTGGTTCCGGAGTCTTTGTTGTCTGAGGATGAGGATGAAGGGTTATCATCTTCTTGGAAGAGTTGCATTGGTAGACGGCCGTGTGTATCAACGGGGCGTTTCCATAGTACTGTCAATGGTACGGCGATGGCGGCGAGAATTTGCGCGCCGAATGTATTCATGATCACGAGGAGGGGGGACCATGGGTACTGGATGGATGAAAGGGCAAAGAATGCGCTTTCCCATTGGATGCTGTTTAGAGTGGCTTGGTGGCCTGTTTTGAAATAATGGAATGAGCCTAACAGTCCTAGCACGATAGGACCGATGGCGGAGTTTGTTGTTGTGAGACCATTCGTGTCAAGAATTTCAAGGAGGGAAAGTATCTGTAACGTTTCAATGGCGATTGCGCCTTGGCCCATGGGTTTACTCAATAGAGTAATGGAAAGGACGAAGTTGACGACCAGCAGGAAAAAGCGGGTGCCGTGGACATTGCCAAAGCCAAGGATGGTGATGGTCGTTCGTTGTTGTTGTAGCTGTTGTACATTTCCTGCCTGGTCGGCGCCGGATGTAACATTGATACTGATACATGGCTTTGCCCAGATAAATGTCGTAGTTCCCGCTGCAAATGCAATTGCAAGCACCAATTGTGCTAGAATGACTTCCACAGATTTGAATGCTTCCTTTCTGAAAGAGAACCATTCACCATTATCCGCCGTATCCAGAGCCCAGAAGGCCGCAGAAATGAATAGGCCGACCCGGAAAGCAACGCCGATCCAAAGCGTGGCTGACCCTTCATACGATTTTGATCCGACATAAAACGATCGGACCACTCCCGGGAGAAGTAATGCCACGGCGAATGGAATGGCGAGCTGCCAGGGAGCTGAAGTCGATGACGATGCTGAAGCATAGTACGTCGACTTGCAGAAAGGCATTTGTTCCTCGCGGCACAGACGAGAAAACGAAGCCAATCGCGCCATGAAAATGAAAATCATGGAGTGATACACCCCAAGAACCCTATCAGACGTAGACTTCTGTCTCATCGACGATATTCCCGCTAAGACGCCGAAAGTGGTCAGGAAGAAAAGTAGAATATCGTCTTCCCAGATTGTGTACGAATTTGACGCAAATCCAATGGACTGTGATACGGTTACGATGACCGCAAACCAGCTCCAGAGGGATTTGGGTAGTGGTGATTTGAAGTTTGATGGGAAGATCACAATGCTAGCTGCCACAGCACCAATGCTCCCTCCTGCAGCGGCCAGTACTATGACATCTGCCCATAATGCATCTTCTCGACTTCCAGTGAGACCCATCACAAGACCACCCGCGGCACCACAGACCATACCGAAACCAATACGACAGATCAGCTGTGAATCAAAAGTGATTCTGCGATCTTCACGCAGACCCCGAGCATACATTATCAAAACCACAATACCGGCTACGAGTATCCCAATGCCTCGAATCATACTTGCAACGTCAAATCGAGCCCATAGAGCACGGCATACATTCAGAGTATCGCGCTGATACTCCCGATAAGCATCATACGCTGCTCGGTATTTGTCAGAATTAGAGCTCAGCTTGCTCAATGATTGCCATTGCGATTCTGCCTGGGCCAACAGCGACAGAGGACCCGAGGTTTGGCTATCGTTCACACCTCGTGCCACGGAATAGTGATGTTGATATCGTTTGATCTGACCCGATGTTATACGGTTGACAGTGGCTAGATTTTTGATATCAGCGCCATAACGTCCTGCAAACGCTTCCTCTATGGGAGAGCCTAGATTATTGAATGGAATCGGTATGCCTAAGAGCAAAGACAACGTGGGCACAATATCTATTTGCGGTATAGCTCGTTCTTTTGCCGTTGATGGTGGGATTTTATAATCCGAGTTGGTGCGGCCGAAGATGCCTTTTCTTGAGTACATCCATAATGCAGCCTCGACTTCGTCGTCCGATTCGCCTCCGTGATCGCCTTTTGAGTCCATGCCATGATCACCTATGACGATGAGCAATGTATCGTCATCTATTTTCTCGATAACATTGCGAAGCACTTGATCCATCTGCTTCAGTTTTGCTGCCATTGCAGCATGGTCTGGACCATAGCGATGGCCCGCATGATCAACACCAAGATAGTGTCCAAAGATAACATCCCACTTGGTCGAATTCTTGGGGTGGAGAAGAGGGAACAGGTTGTCATTCACACCATTGTCCACTGTATGTAAATCCCAGACGTTGAACGAATCAAACGGGTGCGATAGTTCGGGGTCAAAGTAATCCGGAAATAGTTTATCCCAGGTATCATCTCCTAAATGAACGAGGTTCTTGCCAGCAGCACGCAACTGGAAAATGATATTATCTTCGTCAATCGCCGAACCATCGAAATTCGAGCCAGCGTCAATAAACGTCGGTAACGTGCCCGTAGTCAATCCTTTTAATCGTTGCAAAGTCGTCGTAGGCGGATCGGCAATAAATGGCAACAGGAAAGCTCTCTCCGGATGTTGAACAGCAGTCTCATAAAGAACAGGAATGTTATTATGGTAAATACGGGCCTCATCACCCTCGAACTGTGGATGAAATGGAACGGTAAAGTCATATCTCAAAGCGTCAATAATCAGAAAAACGGCCTTGTCGAAAGTTTTGGGATGCCAGCAACCCTCTTGAGAATTTCCGCTACTGGTGACAACGTCCAGGGGAACCACATCGCAGCTTGATTTGTTGTCGAGAACAAGACGAGTCAGGAGGAAGCCTTTTGCGAAGTAGTATATGCCAACGACGTGCACGAAACTATGACGACGTAGAAATTAGTCTCAACAACCCTCCTAAACTTGAGGACGCTCACAAAATCCATAGAAGAACTCCCACGACACTCAGATGCTTCCGTTTGAAGTCCTTTTCCAAGGCCTTGGCTAGCGCAGCCCTGCCCTCATTTTTCCTTGGCGATTCATTCTGTGGTGACTTTGGTGTTGAAGGTTCGCTTGATATAGCTTGAGATTGATCGTGTGAGGTTCCAGCAGCGTTACTGCCTGGCTGTTTCGATGCCGATTTAGAGAGCATCGCGGTGGATTCGTGGTGATCGGTGTTTAAGAAGGGAAAGGAAAAGGAAAATGGACGAGTCTCATAAAAAGAGCATCTTGTAGTGTATTGAATGAGTGTACGACTGTAGATATTGTAATTAGCAACATGCTATAAGTTATATTCTTCGTTTTCGCCGCTTCATTGATCTAGAGGGGAACCGTACCGGTGATTAAAGAACCTGATCAGACTAGATCCGATCCGGAGAAAAGAGTGAAAAAAAAAAAAAAAGAAGAGGAATATAAAGTAGTAGTATAAGGAAATAAAGGAGCGGAGAAGTCTATAGGAGTTGAGAATCCTTGAAGAAATGAGTTGAATGTTGAATTGAAGAATCCTTGAAGATGAAACTGTGCCGGAAGAAGCTGCGGAATTGAATAGGTCAGGGTCCAAGCCTAAAACATGGCTGGCTGTGATTGGCCAATTCGAGCTCGACTGCGGAGAACTCAGTCCTGAGCACTTATGATGCACGTCACTGCGGAAGAAACAAATCATCTACACCAAATCAATTCATAGAATATAATTACGGTGGCTAAATACAATACCGAGCTGTTCAGTCAACACCGGTTGCTCAACGCAAAATGTGTTGAAAAAGCTCCAAATCGACAAGCATGGGAAGAAAATAAAAAATAATCACAAATATGAAAATCAAATGACCTAATCCGCAAGTCCGCTCCCTTCCGTAGGACCTAATGACGTTCCAGGCTCCGAACGAACAAGAGCAGGCGGGTTGATAGTCGAAAAAGAGAAAAGAAAAAAAAATAGATACTCAGAAAATTAACCTACACAAGGTTCTCCAAGTAAAAAGAAATTCCCAGAATATACACAATCATAAAAGGATAAATCGAACGCGATTGACTGGCGGGTTAGTGTCGGTTCGGTCTAGGACATCTCGAGGATGATAATGGAAAATAGACAATAAGGATTTGCATATGTGCAAAAAAAAAATGAAGTAAATCAAAAGAAGCCTGTTCGTGATATGGCCGAAGTAGTAGAAGCGAAGAGAAAAATGGTAGATAATCACGCCCGCCTTATTTGGTATCATCATGCCGATGGGGTCGTAGCAATGGAGAGAAGCGAGAAGGAAATTTTGTAGCGTAAGAATTGTGGATGGTATCTCGACCAAGAGATGCGGTGAAAGTGGGTTGTCAAGAGGGAAGACGAGTATCTCTCTATGACCATCTCTTCGTCTCTTCCTTCTCCTTCAGCCCACCCATGCGCTCCAGGTCGAGCGATTGGAACCGACCCGATTCGTTTGTCTGGTAAGGAGGAAGTTCGTCCTGAGCTGGTGACAATCCAACACCACCGTTGTCGCTGATGTGGACCACGACAACCCGGCCAGCCTTGGGCTTGCCGGATTCATCCTGCTCCTCGGGGAAAGTAATGCGAATTTCGGGCACAGGGCTCTGTGGTGGACTCAACGAACTCTGCATCAGATCTTGCTTCTCATTATACACGTGAATGGATCCAGTTCGGCTATTTTGTGTAATTGTGAGACGGCGCTGGTGGGCTTGGCTCTTGTATAACGGGAGGTGAGACTGCTTCTCGAGTTTGCGACGACGCTGGCGGAGTAGCAGCAGACTGCCGGCGAGCACAATGGCAAGAAGGATCAAAACCAAGAGCGAGATCAACAGGTCGATGGTTTTGGGGGTGAGGGATCCATCATCTGAAGTATCGCGGGCGAGAACACGCATGTTGGCCATTGTTCCCCGATTCGTAATTATTGTTATTTTCTTCGGATCGATTTTGGTTCCTCAATATATCTCTAAGAATAAAATGATGTCGTTGCTGTCTGTTGGAAAATGAGAGTGGGTTGTTTGGGTGCGTAAATCAATACGGTCGGGTTGGGCGGATGAGTGAGTGACGGTCGAATGAATGGCGCGGCGAGCAGCTGAAAGAGTGAAGCTGCGTACACCTGGGTGAGGATAATGCAAGGAAGGTTGTAGGAGCGAAAGAATGTTGTGATAGATGGATGAGGAAAGAGAAAAACAGGGAGAAGGAGAAGAGAAAAGAGGAGTGGGACGCAGGGAAATTGGCAGGAAAGGGGAGCGCCCGGGCTGGACTGGGCGAGGCGCCCCAAAACGGACTAGGGCCAGGCTAACGGCGAGGCTGCGCAGTGCCTCAGGCCGTGATAGGCTTAGTTGGGGCCTTCGGTGCCTGAGCTAGGCCCCAAACAGGCATGGTCTGCACGCGCCGCTCAGGAACGCACGCTTTGCTCGGCCAGTCAGCTTGTTTCTCTTCAAGCCACGGCGAGTATGGGATGTCTTCACATCTGAAGACGGTGATATTGCTCGCTTGATTGGACAGTCTATACTCATCTACACAATCGCATTGTACATTGGCTCGTTGAGGGTACGATCAGATTCATGTTCCTCAGAGTCCGGCTACTAACCTATTCAAGTGGAAACTCCTTTGGCGATTTCAAGTAAACAAACTAAAAGTGATCAACATGTATATATTCATGCAGTAACAATAAAGTCAATATTAAAGGAAGCAAGGCATACACTTCTAGAGTTTTTAAATGTAGATATTCGTTGTCGTCGTGTGCTTAGTAGCCACGACAACGCTTGAGTTTACTGTTGACCACATAAACAACTGTGATGAAACATTTAATACGAAGTAGAATGCCTGAGGTTTACCTGCATGCTTCAGAGGGAGTTCGAGGAGCCTAGTTTCTCAGGCACTCCAGAGGTTGTTTACTTATTAAAACACCCGATGTTACACTTCTATGAATAATGACAATGTCGGAGCACTGGCGAACTTGATTGCGTCCAAAAACATTTATTCACTCGATTACTGAGCAGCATGATTTGATAAGCTTCCAGTTGTGTTATCCGGTACAAACCTACCATGACTAGTTACATGGCATTTGTTACTAATCTCATCATTCTTACACCGCCATCTGTTAGGGTTAGGTATCGTCGAGGGGCATTTTCTACTACGCTACAGAAGCCAGATGGTCAATTATTCAACCCTTCACCTAATGGACTAAAGATATTGCGAATAGCGCATACCAAGGACGAGTCATGGTCGAGGTATACACAGGCCCTAGCCCTGAAAGAATGGAAAAGGGTCACATGAACACTGACCGTACCTTAGGTACAAGGAGACTGCACCGTTGGTTCTCTACATATTTAAGTTGGGTTTATTTACTGCGTACCTAGGTAGGAGTTTATAGCAACATGCCTGTAACTTAGTACCTCGACGTAGTCTATTACATAAAGACTTGTCTGTCAGTAAGAACAATTACTCATCCTTGCGTCCCGGCCCGATAAATGAATCTGCAGGGACGAATGTAGGGTTAATGATAACGTTATTCGGTGTTTCGATCATTTTATTTCTTCCTGCACGAGGTCGATGATGAAACTAGACAGTTCGGGTATGTCACCAGCACATAAAAAGGAGAAAAAAGAAAGCGAGACGAGAAAATGTTCGGAGAGGCAATCGATGAGGAGGATATCGTGAGAATCGATCTCGATGCGCCGATCTCGTTCGACCCGGGTCAAGCAAGGGATGGCGACCCTTTGACAAACAAGCAATGTTTGAGTAGTAACTCAATATAGTCGTCTCTCCCTACGTAAATGGCAGCTGCTAGCAGAGTGCAGGTAAATATAGGTACAGTGTAGGTACCCCTTTTCTTCCTTCCATTCATCCCTGCATAACTTCTAATAGAATAGATCTGTAAATGCGCCGAGAATAATTAAAGTAAGATTTTTCTTGTTAGACGTATCACATCTCTCGAGAGTGGTGGCATGACTTTTGCTTTGCCTCTCCCGCGGAAGCTACACATTGGTTTTCGTGGTGAAAATGTGCCGGAACAGTGGCGGAGATATTTTCCCCTTGATCCTCTTTTTAGCAATACGGCAGACGGACACGCCACGACACGACACGATTGATCGGCGAACTCGGACTTCATTGAACTCACATACTACATATTTGATATGATGGTAAGCATTCAGAATGTTGTTGGGAGTGTCTCGGAAGATATCGATTGATGTCGCTAGCACTTGCGCTACTGATAGGCTAAGCTTAGCTCTGGGCTTGGCGGGAGATCTGCCAATAAAGCCCCTGCAAGTGCTACCTTCAATCGATGATTCGTTCATTCAATTGAACGTCTGTAAAGTCGTTCTGGCATTTCTGGAGTAAAGTGTAGACTGCCAATGTCAATGATTCATACTGCCTGGCAGGTATTCTAGATGCTGTGGTTGTGTCTCTGGAACGGCTGCCTGACAGAAAAATAACTCAGAAGCTTCCGCCCGATGCTGATCCAGGGGCACAACCCCAACTTAAAGAGATGCATGAATGAGTAGAGTTGCCGGTCTTTGATCAACTTCGGCGTGGAAGCTTTTTTTGTGCTCAGCGGATGCCGGTGGGGCATCGTCCCGTACTAATCCCTGATTGGTTGCTGGCGTATATTCATGAACAACTGAATCGATAAACTGGCTCAACCCTCCCAGTGATTTATCAGAGTCGATGATGTATACTGAGTATCTTGCAATGTCTCCCAATTGAACGTTTAGAAGTCGTCAACTGTACCGTACGACACCGACTAATACAGTGGATGGAGTGACGTCGTCTGCCTTGGTTACAGCGTGGAGTCCGATGCGAGATAGCCATGTGGATGACACTATTTCGCTAGTCCGAGATGGCTGAGATAGCGTTTGTCTACGGCAGATAAAGTGTACGGAGTACGTACCGATACATACAGTCCACATACAGTACGACGGTTCCTCAGCCGCTCCTTCCTTGCACGTAAATGCGTAAATGGGTTCCTGCCTGGAAGTGAGTATCTATCTGACAGTCATCAGGCAAGTGCGTCCTGACAATTGTAAAGGAAGGAGCTGTGCGTATAACCCTAACCCACACCTGGCTGTACGTACTCATTTTGCTTGGCCTCCCCCGGCTAACGGAGAATTTTTCTCTAATTGTATCTCAGCCGTGGATACTCGAACTGCTGTCCCTGGTATTTCACCATCAGAAACACGGCTCCAAACTCATTGAGCTGCTTAAGTCAGTATCGACTGCGCTATCCCGCCAAAGGCTAAGGCAGTCAAGGCAAGCGCGCCAAGCCAAGCCAGATCGCAGTCCACCACCTCCACTAGCGCAACTTATCAGAACCTCGCAGCTTTTTTTTGAGCCCTCCTTGTTCAACCTGTTCATCATTCTTCCCTTTTTTTTCTCTCTCTTCTTTTTACTCCTCATCTCAGCCATCTGAGCTCTTTTAATTATTCTTTCTTCTTTTTTTCTGTAGACTTCTTTATATTCTTTCGTCTCGCAAAACCCTCTCCCCTTTCGCTGAAACTACCGCCTTCCGTTGTTGTACGACCCTCACATACTCGCGTATCCTCAACTCCGACCATCCATCCATCCATCCGCCATCTCCCAACAGTGTCTCGTGGTCAGCCCAATCACAGGAAGAATATCAGAAAGCAATCAGTTTTGCAGAAAACGAAACGAAGCGGAAAGACACAGCCGTTGCCGACATCGATCATCCACTGTCGTGTGGCCTCCATCATTCGCATTCAGAGAGTGGCACCCCCCTCTGTGCGACATTTCCAAGCCTCTTTAATAAGTCGACGTTGTGATTTGCATCTTTCCCTTTTTTTTTTTTTCCCCTCTCTCACTCTTCTCTTTGCTCTCCCGTGGGCCTGTCTCCAACACATTCCAAGACCGACTAGCTGTCCTCGACTGGTTGGCGTGCACAATAGAACAGCATCAGCATTCCTCCTACCTTCTCGCATCGGGCCTTTATCCTCCACCCCCTTGCGTCCGCCAATCATCGGTTCTTTGCTGGCAGCCTCTCTCGTCCAGGAAAGGGCTCCCGTTCGAGGTACTCCACAACCTTCATGAATGCGATCTGCGACGGCTTGAATTCCTGGGGCATGCACGGAGCATAGGTCAATCGACTCCATCCGCTCATTCACTTGCACAACAGACACCAGGTTTTTCGCCATTGTGAGCATTGAGTGAGCTCGTCTAGGAAGGAGATACCTTGCCTTGCATTCATACGTTCTGCGACGCCGGAAGATTTTTCCAATCGCTTCCTTGTGTTTTTTAATTCAATAACACCTGCACATCCGCACCACTTCGGATTGCATCGACACATTTCTCACCCTGGCGTTTTGATCCCGCCTCTCTAATAAAGTTAGTGACCCCCCCCAAATTGCTGTCTTTCGTTCCTGATCATAAGATCTAAGACAATTTGATCTTCATCTCGTCGAGTGCTAGGATGCTAACCTTGAGTTCAGAACTCACTATACAGTTGTCTCGTACTACGAGTCCCGCTCGATCGGCATAAATACGTCCATACATAAGGCCACCTCAACGCCGCGCGAGGTTGCACCATGGCTTCTACTATGGCTACAAACAGAGCGGCCATTCATAGCAATGTACGAATCTCATTACCACTTTTGTTTACTGCCAAGTTGTCTCAACAAAAGCTGATTCTTCTCCAGGTTCGGCCAAATCGTATCGGTACATCGACACTCAACGGCGACCGTACAAACTCTACACACAACGCCGGGATGACCAACGGCTTTCCTGCTAGTAAAGATCGCTGGAATAACAACATATGGTCCAGAAATACATTCGGGTCGGACAGTGAGACTGAAAGCACCGTAACTAGAGGTACGACATTTATTCTGTTTTTCTCCAGATCCAAGATTGACATTGTGTAGAAAATGCTTTCCAAGGAAAATCCGGTTCCAGTTCTCTTTTAGCGACATCAGAATCCGAAGGATGGGCTGGTCGTGCTAGTCTTCCTTGGAATACAGTCGGCTCAGCATCCACCTTGAACAGCATCAAGACATCTCCTATTGAAGCTCGCACAGGCGATCGAAGCGCACCAACCAGCGCTGGAAGTGGAGAGAACAGCTCATATTTCTCACTACCTCGGACTGCAATCGGCCAGAATGGAAGCTCAGCTGCCTCGAAAACTTACCTGGGCTCGAACGCGGATAGTTATTCAGTACCAGCTACCGAGGGGCTATCGCTGTCCAACTTCGGGAACTTCAGGAATGACGACCAGACGCAATTCCCCTCGTTTTCGAGCAACCAGACTACCGGTGCGTTCCAAAGGAAGTCCAGTTTGGTCCCAACTACTACGCAACGATCTGAAGATGTTCTGGGATCCGTGAGTGCTGGTCCATTCTCGCACGTTGGGTCGGAGTCTATTTCGTCTGGTTCCACTCGTCTTGTCGGTTCCAACAACTATTCTCACTCAGCCTACCAGTCATACCAATCGGACGCGCATAATATGGGATCCCGTCTATCGAGTGGACAGATCGAGATCAGCGCAGGTTTGAACCAACTGCATTTGAACGATAACGGCTATCAGAATGCACATCGAAATGCATACGCTCATCATGACTCATTCGACATTTCTGGCAACCGCTTCAACAGTAACTTGGATGATGTTAACTATCAAGACATGTCCAACTATGTCGCCGACTTCTCAAACGATGGCCCGCTAGCATCCTATCAAGCCTTGTCCAGACTTGGTGAACGTGATCAGTCTCCTGCTAACGACTATGCTCGCGGACTTGGCAACTCCTTCTACCCAAGTACACGGACACCCCCGGTTGCAGTTAATCAGCTCCGCCCTTCCTCTGGTCATCGCATGTCGGCACAAATCAGTGATGGACAACAACTGCTAGACCGTAGGCTTCGGGGACTGCAACAGGAGCAAGAATTCAACCCCGCTGCAGGGGCTGCCATGCAGCAGCGAGTCTCAATTCCTAATTGCTATGATCTGTCTGGCTACTCAGCTGCTCGCTTGAACGGCTTTCCTCAATACTTGCAGATGTCATATAACAATTTGGCACCAGCGATTGTGCAACGTGTCTCTCACCGCGAGCCGGATCCCAGCCAGGTTGTTCGCAGCCCACTACTTGAAGAGTTCCGAACTCATAACAAGTCAAACAAACGATACGAGCTGAAGGTAAGATTATACCGCACGATTAGTCGCATCAAAACTAAACAATATTTCTAGGATATTTACAACCATATTGTGGAATTCAGTGGTGATCAGCATGGTTCCAGATTCATTCAGCAGAAACTCGAGTCGGCCAATAGCGATGAGAAAGACCAAGTGTTCCGTGAGATTCAGCCGAATTGCTTGCAACTCATGACTGATGTCTTTGGTAATTATGTCGTCCAAAAACTTTTTGAGCACGGCAATCAGTCTCAAAAACGAATTCTCGCGAACCAGATGAAGACTCACATATTGGCTCTGTCAACCCAGATGTACGGTTGCCGTGTTGTTCAGAAGGCCTTGGAGCACATCCTGACCGATCAACAAGCGGCCATGGTGAAGGAGCTCGATCAGCATGTCATGAAATGCGTGCGTGACCAGAATGGTAACCATGTCATTCAGAAGGCCATTGAGCGGGTTCCCACGCAGCACATTCGCTTTATTATCGATGCCTTCAAGGGAAATGTCAATAAGCTAGCCACTCACCCGTACGGCTGTCGGGTCATTCAACGTATGCTCGAACATTGCGAGACGCCTGACCGCGAATCAATTCTTGCAGAACTTCACGTATGCACGGAACTATTGATCCCAGATCAATTCGGCAACTATGTCATTCAACACGTTATTGAGAATGGCGAAGAGAAGGACCGATCTGTCATGATTAAATCTGTCATCAAAAACGTTCACAACTTTTCCAAGCACAAGTTCGCCAGCAACGTCGTTGAGAAGAGTATCGAATTCGGAGAGGAGAGCCAGCGACGAGAAATCATCCGACTGCTTACAGCGCACAATGATCGCGGTGAGAGTCCATTGCTAGCCTTGATGCGAGATCAGTATGGAAACTATGTCATTCGTAAGTGTTGTCCTATGTCTCTTTTTCTATCATTAGATGCTAATTCTACTATAGAGAAAGTCCTCGGGCAAGTTAAGGGATCAGAGCGGGAGATGATAATCGACGAGATTAAGCCGTTGCTCAGTCAGCTGAAGAAATTCAGCTACGGAAAACAAATCATGGCAATTGAGAAACTCATTGTTGACCCTAACGCTCCGACAGTTGCTGCAAACTCGTCCACCACCCCCCCTGCATCACACAAGTCTTCACCTCAGCCGTCTCGCAGATCGCTTGCCGAAATGCGACCTTTGATCGGCGGCGCAGCACCTCCTACTCCTCCACCCACCGACACTCAGAGTCTTCATGGAGGGTCTGCTACTGACGGCTCAGTTGACGGACCTGTCGATAGCTCGAAGGGGCTGGCTACCACTTCTATTGCTGCCATTCCTGACTCTACAACGGCCACTCATCAGACTGGAGCTGAGGTGACTGTGGCGGTCAGTGTTCCATCTGAATCACGAGCATAAATGACGGGATCTCATATTCAGCGGTGCGATTTACTAATTTTCTCAATTCTGCTATGTTTCATATTCTATTATTATCGTCGGGAGGGCCATATACATACAGGGATTCTTCAGGGGAGATATATCTGGTTTTTTTTTTTTTTTCTTTTTCTTTCCATGTTCAAACTTTCTGTTCCTGTGTCCTTTTTTTTCCGTTATCACCTACTTGCCCCTCTGATTATTTTTATAACTTTCATTGTGTTCATGTACGGGGCATGCTGGCATGGGGCTATATACTGTGTCAGTGAACAGATTCTCTCCCTTCTGTTTTATGCGATGAGGCGTCGGACGGTGCGATGAAATTTTCGATTGCATACCCCGATTGCCACGAAGATATGCCTATTTATACTCGGTTTAATATCCGTCACTCATATCCCGGTTTCATCTGGCGTGGGCTGCGGCGTCTTTTTCTTATGGAGATGATTCGCTTGATTGTTTATTTTTTCTACTTCATCTTGTCTTGCTGGGAAATACTCTGCTTGCTTATTATTCTTGCTTCGAGGAAACAAACATTTCAAACAAACGATGAATGGGAATGGGAGCATGCTAGAGGCAATGACATGGGATTCGCTTTATTCTTATAGATACTTAATTCAGATTGCTTGACATTATCCTTGATTACATGTGCTAGGTGCATAGAGTAGAGTGGTAGACAGTGGATCAGCCCTAGAATGGCGTCGGCCCGGCTGGCTGGGAACTGGGACGCCTAAATATATATAAGCTTAAGTACGCCTCAGTTATCACCACGTACATTACTACATTGAAGTAGATGGGCAAGTATGAGCAACATGTCAACCTGCCAGTTATAATCTGAATACTCTGGGTGTCAATATTTCCAGCATGACTGAGCAAGGAAGCCCTTGAGCCGCTTGATAGATGTATATATCTCCAGCAGGTACCCAAGTGAGGACGACAACATTCCGTGCCTTTACAATTGAGTTCAATAGGTATTTCCAGAATTGGAACCCAGAGTAGCTATCAATGCTCGTTAGCCCAGGGAACCACTCTCGTGGACATAACAGGAAAGTGGGCGTGTAAGTAGCGCGCTACTGTCTGCTCTGAAGCTTGAATTTGCACTTCCTACCTACCTATAGATGTTCTCATTCCCCATTCCTAGGAAAGTACTTAGGCAGAAACACGGAACGGAACCTCCTCTACATTAAAAATCACAAGATAAACACCTAATCAATACTAATTCATGGGCTCAAATCCAACTAGCAACATCTTAATACCCAAATGCATGGACTACGACGACCTTTCCATGGGAGAGATGCGACAACCCTTCGAAGCTTGGAAAAACAAGATATCAATTATTGATACAAAAGTCCTTCGAGAGATTGGGGCAACGATCAATATGCACAGAGGAGGAGTCCCAGATGAACTTTTTGCTCCTATACGAGGGGCTTTCAACTCTTGGTTTCGGATAAAGTTCAAGGATGGAGGTTCGGCTGTCATCAGGTTTCCGTGCCCTGGTGCTCCGGTATTTCCAGAAGGAAAAGTCAAGCGAGACATAGCTGTCGTGCGTTTTCTTGAACACTTTTCTAATATTCGCGTGCCTCACATCCTACACTCTGGAATGACCGAGGAAAGTCCATGTGGTTTGGGCCCTTTTATTATCATGGAATATATCAATCATGAGCATGATTTTATTGACGCACTCAATATATCTCCTCGTTCGCACCAAGAGAGACCCATCTTGAACCCGAATATCTCATCAGAAAGATTGGAATTAGTCTGTAGTCAAATGGCGGACATCCTAGTACAATTATCTAGGCCTTGTTTCTCAAAAATTGGATGTATCTCTAAGGCCAAAGAGGATGACGAATGGGTGGTGAACCACTGACCACTTACATTCAATATGAATGAATTGGTCTAGCTCGGGGGCGTTCCGGCAGACCTTCTACCTCAGCATACATTCAAAACCGCCTCATCATATTACGAGTCACTGGCCGAGATGTATATGGTTCATTTATCCTTTCAACGTGACGATGCAATTGATTCTGCCGAAGAGTGCAGGCAAAAGTATATTGCAAGATGTCTCTTCCGCAAAATCGCCTTGTGAATATCAGCTTTGTGGAGACGATGATTCAGGCGCATTGTGATGATTTTCGCCCGGGAAATGTACTTGCAAATGCCGACTATCAGATGACCGGTGCGCTGGATTGGGAATATACATATGCTGCACCTACAGGCTTTGCGTATAGCCCTCCGTTCCGGTTGATACTGGAGCTTCCAGAATTTAGGGCCGAGTTTCTAGATATCTGGACAGAAAAATTACGAAAGAGTCCTGCCAATATTTCTACAAGCACTAAGAAAGAGAGAGCAGGAGGGTATCCATCGACGTATACTCAAAGAAGCTGATCGATTATCAGACCGTATGTTAAAAAGTTGGGAAACAGGTGACTTGTGGTTGAATTATGCGGCTAGGAAGAGCTGGGCGTGTGATACGATCTATTGGGCGAAGATTGACCAGAGGTTCTTTGGTGAGAGTGACTCGGAGGATCGTCTGATGCTTTTGATGGAAAGCAGAAGGGAAGAAATGAATGCGTCTGTGCAGAGGAAGTTAAGAGAAAAAGAAGTTATTCGGTTCAGGGTTAGATAGTAAGGTCGGATAAAAGTTAATCCATTGGGAATGATTGTGGAGTAGTCTCTCCGCCTCAACTTCAACTTTATTTGTTCAATAGTAATTTCTACAGTTCAAACCGCCATAGGAAATACCTACTTTTAAATTATTGAAAGATGTCCTCCAACGTCGGCCTCTCCACCCCGCGTGGTAGCGGAACATCAGGCTACGTTCAACGCAACAGCGCCTTTCTCAAACCCCGAAACGCAGGTTACGGCGCCCCATACCCTCCAGTATCCTCAGCAGACGATAAAGGACCATCAAGTTTCCGACAACGCAAACCCGATCAACAAATTCTGGATCATGACCGGAAACGCGCGATTGAAGTTCGAGTGTTAGAAGAACGGGAAAGACTCGAGGACGAGAATGAGGAGCTTCAAAAAACTAAAGAGACCCCGTTGACGGAGGAGGAAATTGATGAGAAGTGTGATGCGTTGAGGACGAGGTTGTTGAAGGAGTTGGAGGATGGTGAGAAATCTTCTGCAGCGGGGGATTATCGAAGACAGCAGCAACGTAGTGCGGCGGGCAGATCATACGATAAAGACAGGAGACAGTTTAAGAGTTATCAGGTTCATGAATTGGCGGAGGCGAAGATAGAGGAGAGTGAGAGGTTGAGAAAGGCTTTGGGGATTAAAGAGGATTGGGAGAAGAAGGATACGACCTCGACAGCGAAAGATACGGAGAAGTTGACAACGAGGGAGGATGGGGATGTTGGCCGTGATAGAGAGAGAGATGAGAGGAGTCGTCGTCGAAGATACTCCTAAATCTAGGAGTAGTTGGCTTTTTCTTTTTATATTCAGATTTGTATTAGCATCAATAGCGTTGTCTGGGCACGGTTACTGGCGTTACAACTTCGGTATGCGGATGAAAAATGATAAATCAATGCAAAAGTTCGTTCCTCATTGCGTTTGACCTATATAGGAAATCATGAAGATAATATCTTATAAAAACTTCTCTACAATCCAACCCTCCTTTGGATCTTTAACTTGTATGACCTTCTTTGCTGGCAGAGGCCATCCCGTAGTTCCAGCTTCACCCACAAGAGAAGGTACAACAACACACTGACGACGCTCAGGTATCCCGCCCAAAGACTCGACTTTGCCAATCGGTTTACCGTATTCGAGCAAAGGTGTCCCATTCGCAAGAGCCGATAATTGCGGCCCACTCGGAGCGGTTAAAGGAAACATTCGAATCTTGGGAGTATCCTCAGCTGTCGCCGTGACGCGAGAAGTTGTTGATCGTTGGAGGTGTGAGTAGACTATGTATTGAGGCATCTCTTTGGGCGTGAACTGTGCGAGAATCGATGAAGGATGTATGTAAACAGCTTTTTCGGAAAGTTCCGTGGCGCGACCTTCACGAGATCGGAAGAGGGTATAATAAGGTATGTCGATAGCTCGTCGCGGCTTACGCGGCATCTCTGGAGGTTCAGGACATGTATCTGCGCGAATAGCGATGTTGTCAATGAATCCAGCTGTGACGATCTGTTTCAAGGCCTTGACTTGTTTGGGCGTTGGTTCAGGAAGACGAGCTTCGTATGGTCCAAGAAGTCCTGGATTATTTGTGCGGACAATTTCAGTGAGTTGGGCCCGAAGCTGAGAAGCCTCTTTGAGACCCTTTCCGCGAAGGAACATTTGCTCGCAGAAGGATTCTTCCTGTTCGGGGGAGCTACTTGAGTATGCATATGCGCAAATCGCGGAAAGATATTTCAGAGCGTCTGAGGTGTCGTCGTGTTTGCTCAGTAGACGCTGTACGCGATTGAAGTCTTTGCGACGGCTTTCGCGCTGTGTGTCTTCCAACCTGTCCGCATTCGTGTACACCTTTTCCATATCTTTACTTTGTTTCGCAACTGTCACGTCAAGCTCGCTTTCCTGAATGAATAAATCCCCGACTGCAAGTGCAGATACAAGTGCTATCACATAAGGCATGCAACCATGCTGATGACCAATCTGTAGCATTTTGCCGTATCGCGGCGACAGTGGATACAGTGATAGTTTTCTTCCAATCTCAGTAACTTGCCCATCAGCTTTCAATGCACCGAGGTATCTCAAGAGTTTCTCTGCTTTCGCTAAACCTTGACGGCTTGGTGGAGTCGGGAAGGGGAAGTTGATCACGTTGTGGAGACCCATGCTCTTCATCTGTAGTACCACACCTTCGATGGGAGTACGGAGGATTTCTGGTTCAGTGTATTCCTCGAAGTCTGCCTCATATATTGCACTGGAGTATAATCTGTAGCAATGACCGGGCCCTGTACGACCAGCACGACCGGCTCTCTGACTGGCACTGGCCTTGCTGATCCAGCCAATCTGGAATGTCTGGACACCGGTGTTCAGATCGTATTGTTTCTCTTTCGACCGCCCGCAGTCGAAAACATATTTGATTCCAGGAATTGTCAAACTGGTCTCGGCGACGTTTGTTGCCAACACTATGAGCCGGGAACCTTCCGGAGGCGGCTCAAAGACCTTTAACTGTTCCTTGGTGGGTAATTGAGAGTATAATGGCAGGACATGAACTTTGGTAGAAGACGACACGCTTTCTTCACCAATGTCAAAATCTTCATCATCCTCATCTTCATCATCGTCCAACCCCAAAATGTCGACATCACTATCGTCATCTCCCTGTGGCCCAGCTCCTGAGTCGCCCAGTTCCATGTCTTCTGTCTCAAGAGGTGCATCGGCAGCGGAAAGTTGAAGCTTTCCTTGAACTGTCTCACCACGCTGTGTAGGCTTAAAAGCTTGTTTCAATCGCTTTGACAGATGTTTGATTTCATTCTGTCCCGTGAGGAAGACAAGCATAGCACCAGGAGGAAGTTTGCGATGTCCCCTTGATACTTTGCGGAACGCTTCTTCCACATAATCTCGGCGCGTTTTACGTGCAAAGTGAATGGTAACAGGATATTGTCGACCCTCAGCTTGCACTAACGGTGGAGTACCATGGCGGAATAGGTGTTGGTTTTGGGTAAAGTCAGATATTCTTAGCGTAGCCGACATGATGACTAGTTTCAACGGTTTGACCGAGGGATCTTCTTTGCGCATGGATTCTCTGAGGTCAACAATCCGACTAACCATGCCAATCAAAATATCGGTATTGACGCTTCGCTCATGAGCCTCATCGATGATCACGATGGAATATTTGCTCAATGAGAAATCCTTAGCTATTTCTCGTAGCAGAATACCATCCGTCATGAATTTGATGGCGGTATTACTGGAGACATTGGTATCAAATCGAATCTGATAGGAGACACGGTCCGAATACTGGCCAAGTTCATCTCCCACGCGCTTGGACATGCTCACGGCAGCAACACGCCGAGGTTGAGTGATGGCTATCATACCAGGGTTCGGACCGTCGGGATGGCCGTAGCCAGCTTCGAACAAGAATTGTGGTAGCTGTGTTGTCTTACCACTACCAGTGGCTCCCCATATCACAATAGATGGGTTGTTGTAAATGGCTTCCATAATTTTCTGCTCTTCACCAACCACAGGAAGCTTCAAACGAGTTTCCTGGATCTCATCTGGTCGGTCCACATTGACGGTGAATGCCTTGCGGTTAGGGTCTCCGGTAGTAATTTGGAGTTCCTGAGGCAAAGGTTCTTCTTCGTATACTGTATTCTTCGGTACCTTGCCCTCTTTCACAAAGACTTCCGATGAAGCAAGTAGTTGTTCTGAGGGTGAGAGATCAGAACTAGGTTTAAACCCCACAGCCTCATTAATTGCCTGAGTAGCCCAGGCTTTGAATGCCGAATTTCTTGGGCGGATGCGCTTGTTGTTTTCTTCTATTTCATCGGCGCTGTCATTTTCCTCTTCGCCATCTTCGTCATCGTCTTCACTTGTGTCACTCCTTTCCTTGTCTTCGTCATGTGATACGTCGCTCTCGTTCTCATCTGAGTCTTCTGACTCGCTTGCTGCCCCATCTGCACGTTGGTCGACATCTTCCAGTAATCCATTTTCACCCTTCGCATCATCGGCCTCTTCTTCACCCGAATCGAACCCTTCCCAGGGTACTTCATGAACAACAGGTTGAGCTTTTCGTGCCCTCTTGCGCTTTTTAAGAATTGGGAAGCCATCCGCACCCAAATCGAGTGGTCGCTTGAGACCGCTTCCAACCTGAACCTGAGGAGCAGATTTCGTTATATCAGGTGCCGAAGCATTCTTTTCACTCAACCCAGCTTCTAATTCGTCCGATTCGTCGCCTGACATGTCCGCCTCCAAAGATTTTATTGTACTATCGACATTGCCATGCTGTCTTCTCTCCTTTTTACTCATGTCCTTGATGCTTCGAAATTCCGATAGGTCGACCTTCGTTTCCGCTAGCTTCTTCATGAACTCCAAATTTTCCTCTTTTCTCAATTTGGTTTCCTAGATCTTCATTAGCCGGGAGCCGTTCATACAGTGAATTGTCATAATCGTACAATATATTTATCAAGACGTTTCTTCTTCTTGGAGGACATCTTTGGCTGTTGCTCCCTGAGTTGTTCCCTCAACTGCTGCCGCTTCGCCTCTTTCTCCGCTTTGGAGACAGGTATGATCTCGGTGACATTGGTATCGACCGGAGTGCTGGCAGCTTTTCCATCCTGTCGCCTGTGCCTTTGCTTGCGATCCCTTGGTTTGAAAGGAGGCATGATTGCTGTGAAATCGCCCACCTCGAACGACTTGTCGAAGAACAAATCTCGGCGCTACAAAAAATTATTTTGACGGCAGTAAAAGTTCTGCCGAGAAAATGGCTCGAGAATACTCACCGCCTGATCTCACCGCTTTTCGTCCCCCATTTGAGAGACATGGAAGCACAAAGAGTTGATTCTACTGGTCGGTCGTGATATCTAAGCGACTAGCCGATACGCTAAACCTAATCGGGATAGAGCATTCTAACACCATTGGCTTCTGATGACTAATCAGCGAATGAGAGCACTGTCTGCATACAAGCGACTTCATTTCTCTCTCTCGATCTTGTGCTTTTCGATAATTTTGGGCCTATGTACTCGTCACGATGGCAGAATCTATTGATTTAAACAGTCTAAGTGAGGTCTTGAATCTCCCATTTCCAGCCCAGACCAAGCAAGCTGCTGGGAAGATCAATGGTGTCTTGACAGACGTGCTTTTTATGGGATTCAGTGATAGAATTCTAGTGACAGTATCACAAGAAGGCAGATTAGCTCATTGGGTGCGTTCTCTAAGAAGACAAAAAATTAGTAAATAGACTAATCTTCCGATTAGCTTCATGTACCTCTCGAGAATAACAATCCCGGCACTGATGGTTTCCATACCTTTTCAGAAGGAGACGCAGACAATAGTCTACTTCCTCTACCTTCCTTGACTGCCACTACACTCTTGGGTGGTCATGCTCAGGGACATGAAACTACGAATCAACTTCTTGCTCGTCAGATCGGTAGTGCTATTGTAACCAAGACGCCGAATGAGAGACGGGTGCTCCTCGTTGGTTTGGGGCTTAATGCCTATCAGATTGATAGGGATGCCTTTTTTGCAATTGTGGATCTTGTTCTGCAATGCATTTGAGGATTCAATCACGCACAAATGTAATCTTATGAGATCGCTATGAAGACTTTACATCTCGGTGTGGGCACCGAGGTTATCTTTTATGACGTATGAAACAGTCTATCATGCCCAAGCTGTCGGCCTTTCTACAAGGCTATGAAGAATTGATGTGGTATTCATCCGGTAATACATTTATTTGTCCTGTCGGTCGAGATCATATTCAGCAAGACGATAGGATCCAGCACACGCCGTTAACGGAATTGGCCAAACCTAGGCCACTCAGGACAAGACGCGAGCACAGTTGTCGAGAGGTTTCAAAGAAGGCGAGAATCACCTTGTCCAAGTATGGATAACACCTCAGAGCCTTTCCACTGGCGTTGTTCGAGTCAAATGTGGTCTATCTATGTGGAACTTGGGGTTGATAAATGAATTCAATGTTTTCTCAAAGAGGAATTAATTTTCTGTACATCTCCATGGTGCCCCATTCAAGCTAAACAGAAAAAGCCGCTCGGAACATCAGGGTATATATTGTAGACTTGCATCACATCAAAAAAATGAATATATGATCAAACATGTAATTATTCTAGCTTTATGTATCACATTAGTCATGCGCAGCAATCACACAATGATCTCTGGCGTGCCAAATGCGCCTCTTCCTGACACCTCCATCGGCAACGAATGTATCCGGTATGAAAAATTCACCAGCATCTACCTTTGAAGTATGTGATGTGTCATTGCTTCCTATTGTGGGTTTCATGAGTCGAATTTCCTCCACGCTTGCCCCGATTTCGTACTCTCCACGACAGAAGAATATCAGTCCCAGACTACAGACGGACTTACTTCCGCCAGGTAATACAGGTAGAGCACGTTGCAGAGTGCCAGTCCAAGCTAGCCTTTTCGAAAGGTCAAGCGCGATGGTACTGGGTTGATTGCACAGACCTGGCTGAAGTCGGAGTAGCGGGTGTATGGTGCGAGAGGAGCGATTTTGGATTTCGACTTTCAGTTGAAGGAAGCTGTTGGTTTTCGCAGTGTATTTTAAACTCTTGACTTGAGTCACGGGCTGCTGGTCATCGGATGAAGTTAAGGAGAATTTCACCTCTACATCCTCGAGTCGCATCGCATCCACCATTCTGGGAGTAAATCTGATACTGCGGAAGTCAACCAGACCCTCTCGACCGGTCGATTCTTCGTGCCATGACCCTTGAATACGTTTTAATAGTTCTTCACGGAACCAAAAAGCTTCTCGGGTCGCTGCCTCAGCTTCGAATGTGAGCTTGTTTGCACTGACGACAAACTGTCTCCGCACAGAGTGCAGGATGGGGATCGCTGCATGAGGGTTGTCTAGGAAGACTCTGGGAAGCACAAGAATAAACCTTGAGATTTGACCTGGCTGTATAGTGCCCTTAACAGCAACCCAGGTTTCATCTTCATCCTTTTGCCGAAAGACATTGAGATCAACGGAAAGAGGATTCGGCCATGCGTTACGTAAATCAAGGACCACAAGGCAGTGTGATTCGGAGCTAAGGTGAGAGAGCGTGGATGTAATTTGAGCCGTGTGATTCGCAAGCAATGGTGAGGAATATACTTTATCGACCTGAGACGATAGTGACGATTCCTCCATTTGTTTGTTGAAAAACGAAACATCGCCGGAAAGTGGAACAAGATCACATCGTGCCACTTCAACGCTCGCGTTGACTGTTACTGTGATGGGTATGGATAGCTGTCGAGTATAGAATGTTTCAGGAATTGAATCATGCTTATCTCCCAGATGACAATAATCGATCTGAACAGTCGCATCTTGCAGACCAGGCTTCCCAAATACCTCGACCGTGAAAGTTGCTCTCTCTCCAGCCTTTATCGTCACCTCATTGGGCTTGCTTCCATGCCGTATCCACTGCAAAGGAGGCTTGGAGGACAATTGAAGATCGAGTTCATATATTTCAGCCGGGAGGAGATCTTTATTGCTCAATGCGTTCTGCAATTGTCGAGTGGTCGAATCCTGGAATGTGAAGAAGATGAAGCCAACAGCGCATGAGGAAACATTATGTAAAGTAATATCAAAAGATCTGGTCTCTCCTTCAAGCAGCATAATGGCGGACTGAGAAAGAGAAGTAGAGTGGACAACAACTGAAGGCTGTTGATGGATAACTTTCACTGAGCACGTATGAGTCTCAGGCCCGACCTTTGCGACAACTTTCCCATCCTTTGAAGTGGTTGAACCCCAAGAAAGTGGTCGTTCTGAAAGAGGTCGTTTAGCCGCTAGGCCGGTGCGTTTGAGCTTTACTTCAGGAGTCGGCTTCCAAGGGGTTTGGAAGATTGGAAATGTTCTGGAGCGACAATTTCGCACTTTAATGATGCAACCTGTAATGTTAAGCTGGCCCACTTCACTGATGATGGCTGGGACCATAACGTCATACAGAGACAATGGAGGTACTATTATGTTATACTCCCGAGCATCAAGAGTCGTGTTGTTACCTTGTATCTGTAAGCTTTCGATTTCAAGCTCAAAGTCGTAGGGATTCTGAAGAGTGACCTTGAAAGTCGCAATTTCTTTCGCAATCATCAGGGCTTCCGTTGTTTTATAGTCCGTTTTCGCGAAAGCGTTATACAGAAAGGGGTCTTTCTTTGATTTTTCATCCGCCACACTTGCAACGCTTAAATCCTTTTTAGTACGGCGAAACAATCGTTTGAATTCCGGGAACTCAAGTAAAGTGACTCCACGAACGAGGAAGTCGTCCCAATACTCTGATTCAAGATGGGTTGCGCCTAGCTTATGAGCTGCTCCAACGGTCCGCTTTATTGTGCTAAGTAGCCGCATTTGTTCATCGGGGGGCAAAACAGGGGGGTTTCGTCCCATTTCAGCAAGCATGAGATCCCCCTTGATTGTCTGAAGCAGCTCAACTGTGTACTGCAGTACACCTTCAAAGTCAGGAAGTGCCTCGCAGAGATTGATAGATACTCTGAGAATAGCGATCTTCAGGCTTAGATCGCCATATCCGTCAAGGGTCACATGACGAAAAGCACGTTCAACAATAGATGCAATTGAATCATACTCTTTTTCGTTCAGTCCACTGCCTTTGGCGGAAGGTGGCCTTGACAAAGTTCCGCTCTTCTTGCGTTCTTGATAGATAGAAGGCTGAACGCCGTATATCTCACCTATCATCGTGAGAAGGGCTCGTGTACTTTCTCCCATATCCCCACGACCTACGTCTAGTGCATTGATTTCGAAAGCCGCATCATTCAATGTCGAAAGACCTGCAGCAGGATGGATTCCAATTTCGGCAGCTCCGATTTTTCTAGCTTCCACAAGTCCGGGAACCATGAGCAAAACCAATTCTCTCAAAACAAGAGCTTTTTTCCGTGGAAGATCAAGTAGAGAAAGAACGGACGATATGCCAACGAGGATCGGGGCCGCATCGGTAACCGGGAGCTCAACACCAAGGGAAAGAGGTAAGGCACGAAACAAAAAGTTTGCAACATCATTCTTCTTAAGTACAGGCGCCCCGCGTGGCCATTCGGTATTTGAAGGCACAAGAGCCTCATTCGTGACAATATGTCTCAAGGCATTATCATCAAGGGTCCCGGACCTCAGTCGAATAGCACAAAGAACACGTGAAAGGCGGATAACTGTTTCTGAAAAAACCAAAGGTGGAAGTGGTTCATCTGTGATGACGGCTGCTCGATTGTAAAGGTGGAGGATATTGTTACAAAGGTCAGGCATAAGATTGGTGAGATTTTGCAATGATATAAGCCTATTCCCTGCAGCTGATTGTCCAGAACTGGCAACATCCGTTACCCCGTGCGCAATCGTTGAATGTGACGATTTGGAGCTGGATTTCTCAGCGACTGGGTAACAGATTTGAGGGACCTAGTGGCAGATCAGTACTCTGAGAATATGTCCGCGTGACACCCTACACAGCTTACCTGAAAATCCATGCCAGCCCATCCAAGCATCAAAAGGCACAGGAGAATAGACTCAAGCGCCTTTCCATGCCATAGATAGTCACTGCTTGCTCTGGCCATGGTCGCGGCTTCAACGAGCTCTTTCAGTGCATCCGGCCACCTGCCCGCTTGTAGATAAAGCGTACCAATAACAACACCAAGGCGGCCCTTAATTCTGCTCTTAGTACGATCTGCAGCGCTGATGCCCTGAACAGACATTCGATCGCGACTACTCTCTTTTGATGATTGCATGCCAGTAGCGGACCGATTTGCAACTTGTATAGATCTAGTAATCTCATCGAAGGTCGTCGGGGAATCATGGCCACCGGGCGCCGGAGAAGATCTACCAGAGCTTGTTGCTGATTGCGCGTCGCCGTTGGACACTGGAAACTGTGCCGGCATTGTCATTCTGTGCATAAGTTTATCAATTGGTCGCGGACGTAACTCTGGGCCCCTTCGAGGACCCCACGAAGAAGCTTTTGGAGAATCAATGGAAGGTATACTCTGCATAAGCTTCGCAAATCCGTCCATTTCACCTAGCAATAGGGAAGTGATATCGCATAAAACAGTCTTAATCGTCGTTGGTCGAGAAAACTCGGGAGCAGGCACCCATATAACGTCATCCGGACCGCCATTTACAGATTTTTGAAGACCCTCATAATCAAAAATGAGCAGCTGGCTGACCAAGGCCCTAGGATTTTGCTCCTTAACCCATGCAAGCTCCTGCATCAAGTCTTCTAAGCCCTTGGGATTTGGAGGTACTTCCGCACCGCTACTCCTCTTTCCATTTGTTTCCTTCCCGGTGTCTTCATTGTAATGTAGTTCGGCGCCATCAGCAATTGCGATTACCACTAGCGGTTCGCGAAATATCTCAAACGGAAAGAGCTCGAGGTGAGAGGTTGGCGGCACGGAGAAAGATATATTATATAGAATAATTCCATTGGGGAACGCCAAGGGTGTGAACATATCTGGCGCAGGCACTTCAGTCAGCTCATTTCTTAATGGTGGGTTTATTGAAGAATCGTACTTCGGTTTGGCCGTTCATCAGGACTGATATCGCCGAGCCGGATGAGGTTCTCGGCTTGCAATCTTGCAGCAAAGCTGAGAAACCGTGATCGCTTAATTCTTCCAGCTGGTAGTAGCAGTATGTTCAGGCGCACCGGTGCGACTGGAGAGAATAGATCAACACCCATGGTGGCAGCTGTTCCGCAGCGCGGAGACAGTCTGAGGCGCACAAGACTGCTTCCACGACACAGTTGTTGTATTTATAAATCATGTGGAACAGACATGAGACTGGCTTAGTACTGGGTTCAATGTTCCGGGTCGAGATCGAGAATTATGGCGAGATTCGCTCAAGCAAACAGCATTGAGTGCGGTGATGTTGCGGAGTTCTTTCCACTTGGATATTTATTCGTGGTGATGCCGTGGTAGACGGTTTCTGCCTAAGGCACCAAGTCAGGGGCTGATACCGATAAGGCGATTATCGATAAGACAGGCTTATCTCCGACGTACGTAGTTTAAACTGACTCAGCTCGCCACTCCACGACGATACACTCCGTGTTCATCACTCATTTCTGATAAACCACGCTTTATCAGGTTGCTCGCTGGACTAGCCGTCAATATTTGATGGAACTATCTTTCCCTTGTTGATATTTGTCAGGAAGTTTCCGTCCTTAGCGGGTTTGGAGTTGGCTATGTTTACTCGATAACAAGCATTCGGCATCCTTCTGCACAGCCTGTCCTGTTCCAAGGACTACCTTGATAAACTTCATATTTCTTGATATTTAATATCTGCATCATGACACAGTCAATAGATTTCAACGCGTTGAAAGCGCGGACTATGGGATCTAGCAACGATGAGGAGGCGGTGACTGTTGATACTCGAGGGCTAATTTCAAAAGTCCTATCACGATATTCCGGGAAATGGTGAGTTCCAATACTGGCTGTTGGCCGAATGCTGAGTTTTTATTCTTGTTGCGCTAACTGTTAGGAATATCAAGGACGGTACTTCGTGAGATGATACAGAATGCCGCCGATGCATCGGCCACTCGGGTCACAGTGAAATTTGAGACTTTACCTTCCACTGCAGTTCCGCTGCCAAATCCGGCAGACCCGACTGCGACGCTTAAACATGTAATTACTCATCATACCCTTCGAAGGTTAATGATCTCCAACAATGGACATGCATTTACAGAGAAGGATTGGAGCCGACTGAAGAGGATCGCGGACGGTAACCCGGATGAAACAAAGATCGGTGCTTTTGGTGTTGGATTTTACAGTGTATTTGATGATTGCGAGGAGCCATTCGTGTCCTCTGGCAATTCAGCCATGGCTTTTTACTGGAAAGGCAATTCACTTTTCACCCGGCGACTGGAACTGAGCGGATCTGATGCTTCTCCGGATACGACCTTTGTCCTTGATTATCGAAATGATACCTCGCCTGTTCCCTCGCTGCTAGAGCTTGCGAAATTTCTTGCCACAAGTCTCACATTCGTCGGTCTAGAAAGTATTGATTTGTGGGTAGATAATTGGAACCTGCTGAGATTGAATAAGAAGGTTGCACCAAGCGAAAAGGTTACGATACCTCGAGACATTGAAACGAAAACTGCTGAGGGACTGATGAAAGTCACTAGTGTTATAAGGGAGGTTGCTCAAGTCGATGCTACATGGATGAAAATAGTTGAATGGAGCCCTCAAAATACCCTATCTGCTCGTCTGGAAGGCATTCGCGACACAACAACCACGCTTCGCTCGTTCTTCTCCAAATTCACCGGGTCTTCTACAGCCTCTGATAAGCCTCCTACGGAGTCAGCAGAGAGGCTTGGAGATGCGGAAGACCTCACTGAAAATCAAAAGGCCGCCGTATTCTTGCACATCAATACGGCTTCTGTCCAACCATCTATAAGCAATTCTCTCTCTGGAGAACTAGAAAGAGCAACTCGCAAACCCCCGCCAAAGCGGACGACTATTGCGATTCTTACTCCTTCTCATTCAACTGACGACTCTTATAAGAACTCAAAAATTCTTTCAGCGGTGCTGCCGTCAAAGTCGGGGCGGATCTTTATAGGCTTCCCGACGCACCAAACTACTGGTTTAAATGCACACATCTCTGCGCCTTCAGTCATCCCAACAGTTGAGAGAGAGAGCATCGATCTTAATACACGGTATATAAGTAGGTGGAATATGGAAATGCTTAGAGCAGCCGGTATCGTTTGTCGGATCGCTTGGACTGCCGATATGTCGTCGATTAAGACCCGAATCGCTTTTAAGAGCGGCCCCAAAGTTCGGAAGAATGATATCATGTCTTTCATCCCCGAAGCTATTCATACAGCTAATCAATTTTCCTTCCGAGAATCCACCCCGTCTGCGACTCTCGGCCAGACTATAGAAGACTCCTTCTGGATGTGTAACAAGAATGCTTCAATTGAAGTGCTGTCTACATGTGGTGTCTTGCCCAGTCACCATGTCCGCATTGCGCCAAAAGATCTCAGCTTCATGGAGAGCATTCCATCTCTTCCCGATGAGCTGGTGGAGAACGCTAAAGAGTTCACTAAGAAGTTGATCGATGTTGGTCTTGTGACAGAAGTGACAGTTTCAGACATCAAACGGGAACTTGAAAACAATGCTTTAACTTCTGCCCAACTGGTAGAGTTTATCTCCTGGATTGGAAGGCGTGCCGCCTCCGGTGAACTCGACCAGAAAACCACGATATCCCTCCTCAGTGCTGCTGTTGCCAACGAAGAGCCGTCTAAAGGACAGCCTGGTCAGTTGTTAACTCTAGCGGGAATCGATTGCTATCTTAACCCTGCTCGTATACCCTCCGACTTGCCCATACCACCATCAGTTATTCCCTTCAAGTACACAAAGTCTTTAGAGAAACGCCAATTAGATGCTATCGGTTGGAAGGAACTCCAGACAGTGCCCTGGCTTCGTTGGCTGGTGGAAAATGCCGGAAATCGAGGGGTTTTACCTGTTGAGAAAGATATCACTCGCACTGCCTCGTTTGCTGCTCAAATTCTGCCGGTTCTATCCAAGCAGTGGGACACGCTCAGCCAGTCTTCCAAACAAACCGTGGTTGATATGTTGCAACCTCAAACCGTTATACCCGTGAGAAATGGCATGAGAAGACCGGAAGAAGCGTACTTTCCAACTGTGCGTCTTTTCGATGACTTGCCAGTCGTTTATGGCCTTTCGAATGTCAAGGATAAGTTTCTGGCTGCACTTGGTGTTCGTAAGACAGTTGAGCTTGGTGTGATTTTCGAGAGGCTGCTCAACGATCCTGATCCGATGTCGAGTGAAAAGTCCAAGCCAAAATGGAGCCACGTTGATCTGATCAAATACTTGACTTCTGTTAGAGACGATATTCCTGCTAAGGACATAGAAAGACTGAAGAGCACCAAGATCTGTCTTGCAGAGAATTCTTCTGATCGGCAACGATACAAGATATCCGAGCTCTTTGAACCAAAGGAATCTCATCAGAAGCTTGGCCTTCGAATCATTGATTGGCCTGGAAAGTTCTTGCCTCATAGCAAGGAAGCGCAGTTCTTATCGACTCTGGGTCTGAGGAGTCACCCCTCAGCAATAGAGGTCATTGAGATAATAGCAAAGGCAGCGTTAGCTGGAGATACGGCTCTTCAATCCAAAGCAATGTCATATTTTATCACGGAACATCACGCAAATAAGTATTTCCAGCTCGACATGCAACGGGTGACTATAGCCTTCTTACCAATTGAGGGAAATAAGAAGTTAAGCGCACCCAAGGACTGCTTCACTCATGAGGGTGCGGCATTGTTAGGTTTCGATATCCTACGGCGGGACCTTCATCCACACTCAAGGATCTTTGGCGTTAGTCTACATCCTCCAGTGATGGAGTGCGTACAAAGCATTCTCAAGGCTCCACCAAAAACGCCAAGCGAAGCGAAGGGTATATTTACTTACATGGCTTCGTTAGTTCCAGACTTGAAGGAAGCGGACATCCGGCGACTGGGTGATGCCTTTATCATCCCCATACCAAATCGTTCGACGTTGGAGAAGAGGCCTTCCATGCGCTACGTATCTCCAAAAAACTGTTATCTTGGTGAAAGTGAAGATTACAAAGATATCTTCGATTTTGTCGACTTTGGACCATTGGGGAATCTTTTCTTGCAGGCGGTGGGATCAAAGCAAGAGCCAACAATGATTGAAGTTGCCCAAATGTTGGTCAAAGAGCCGGCTAGGATCTCTTCCAAATTTCAGAGCCCTGAGAAATATCTAAGTCTTTTGGGAAGACTTGCTGATAATCTCATGAGGCTGAAACATCACAAGGACAAGGACCTTTACCATGAGATGATGAAGGCACCCTTCCTGCTTGCAAGTAAGGAGCTTCCTGCAGCCGGCTCAAATACAATTGCTAGAAAAGCAACAACAGATGAGGCCGATGACATCTTTGAAGATGACGAGCAAGGCATCAGAGAATGGCGATTGGTAGCAGCGAAGGATGCTGTTATTGTGGATGACTACCAAAGCTACACACTGTTCAGGGAGCACATTCTTGCCGCACCTCAAGAGGAGAAACTCGAAAAGTTTTATGCAGCGCTTGGTACCCCTGCCTTAAGCACACTCGTTGAAGAACGTGCGCACTGGGGTGCCAAATCCTCGGATCAGACGTCAGCAGTTAAGCTACAGAAGATCATCAACGAACGTACCAGGCTCTTTCTTCACGAGCATAGCTCAGAATCTATCAAACATGATACGAAGTGGTTGGAGAAACACCTTAGCATAGTTGTCGTGCATTCTATATCCCTTCGGCGATCTCTGAAGAACACTGGCGCAACACACAGTCAGAAACGCCATGCTATTATTACATCACAGGGAAGCGATCGCGCGTTGTGGATCAGTCCTGGAAAATATGACTTTTACGAAATCAGTCAAGCTCTCGTTCATATCCTGCTTGCACGGCCCAAGCTTCATTCAATTCTCACTCTGGAAATGTTACTAAAGACTGATTTGTATGAATTACGAGCTCGAGGTTACAACGTCGAACGTATTCTTCAGAAGAAGCAACAAGAGGCTCGAATGGCGGAAGACTTACGACAGAAAGAATTGGAAGAAGAGAGGCGCCTGGTTCATGAACGTGAAGCTGAACGTCTCAAACTCCAGGCTCAGCGGCAATTGGAGGAAAGCGACTCTCAGCAGCAACATCATACCATGCCTGGAGTTTTCCCAGACTCCCCTTCGCATCAGCGGCTCGGTGAAAAGGAACATACTGGAATAAATGACCAAGATTTCAACCCCGGCGGCTTCTTTTCGAATTTGAGTAAGCGTTTTGGCTTGGATGATAATAAACGGGCACAGAATCCTTTTCAGTCTCTTTTTCAGAACCGTTCACTTCAGGAAGGTGGTATCCCTGGTTCAAGCAGCGAAGTATCGTTACCACCCCCTTACTCAGAAACAGATCCTAGAGCTCCAAATCGAGGCTCGAGTGCAAACCCTAATGAGCCAAGATCTGTCACCTCTCCAAACCAGCTGCATAACAATCTCCTCTCCGCAATCTCAGCTTGTCGGCCGCACGGTGCATCCGGCGTCTATAGTCGTCCTGATACCAACCAAGTTACTGAGACAAAATCATACTGTGACGAGCGACCAAGTCACGATCTTGAATATGTTGCGACTCTGCCGTCACGTCTACATTTTCTGAGCGCAAAGTCGGTCGCCGGTAAATCTGCTTTCCTCTCTGAGAACTCAGCTGGCATCAACGCATTTGCGAAAATACTCGTGGAGTGTGCCAGTATATTTTCAGTCCGGTTGGAGAGCATCAGCATATTTTATGATCCCGCCGGCAAGACCATTGCTTTCAACCGTGCGGGTAGTCTTTTCTGCAACTATTTATTCTTCAAGCAGCTCCATCAGACTCGGCTGTCACAGGATCCGATCGGTGGTCGAGCCGACGCACTTGTGTATTGGTGGGTGATTCTCTGCCATGAGTTGGCGCATAACTTGGTTGAGGATCATAGCTCCGACCACAGTTTCTATACGTGAGTATATCCCCTGTCCACTTGTCGTGGATTAAAATGCTAACATGTTGGTCCTTAGGGAGGGATTTGTCACTCAATACTTTTCGAAAGTCGCAGAGAAGTTACTTACGGACTCACCATAGTTTCATGATAGACATCTACCTTGGGTCAGTTCGAGCGTTCTAGATTACACCAGTTTAGATTTGAGATTTGTACAACTACGAGGGCACGAATGGATGCTATCTGATATGTATCATGTATTTTTCACTCCACCTACCTAGAATTTCAGCAATAAATGTACAAATATCCGTTAAACCATCTATGCCACTCGTTTTCTTAAAATATTTCAAATTTCATTTATTTGGGTTGTCTCTAGGGCACAACCAATCACCTGCTCAGCCGGATGTCTTTCGGTCTCCGTGGATATTAACCTTAAAATTATGGCAACTATTTTTTTTCTCCTATCGCCTTTTACAGCCGTCACTCCATTCACCAAAAGCATACATCTTGAGGTCTTCACTACTCAAGTCCCAATTCGACTTATCCATAATGTCGATACTTGAATAGTACGCGTCAAAAATCCTCTGCTTTAATTCCTCGCCATACAAGGAGTTTTCCGTCAATCATTTGCCACTGTCCATGTTCTCGCCATCTACAAAAGTCTCTTTGTATGAAATAATCGAGCGCTGTTCTTGACACTTCCAATCTGAGAGATCCTTCAAAATGTGTCCTGTCGATGTAGGGTCGTCATCAATACCAGCGTCTACCAAGAAGAATGTTCTATATTTGGATGCTTATGACTCCTTCTCCAACAATGTCATCTCTATGATTGAAGAGAACCTGGGTGTCCAGGTAACAGTACTGACTGTCGACTCACAATGGCCAAATGGGGATATGCGAAGTTTTCTACGAGGCTTTGATGCTGTTGTGCTAGGCCCAGGTCCGGGCCATCCGGAATGTGTAGCAGATGTGGGGATCATGAATGATTTATGGACTTTGGAAGGAGAGGATTTGATTCCTGTGCTAGGGATCTGTCTTGGATTTCAGAGTCTGTGCTTGAATCAGGGCTTGGCTATCAAGAGACTCCCGTGCCCTTTGCACGGTCAGGTACATCGAATATCTGTTATGGATAAGGATATATTTGCTGGTATACAGGACTTTGAGGTGACATTATATCATTCTCTTTACGCATCGACGGGTTCTGAGACACATGTCTCTCCAGAGGACAACCTCGACGATGGATTCTCCGAATCGGGGAATCTCTCTTTTCTCTCGTGGTTGACAGTTAACGAACAAGGATCTGTTTACAGAAGGCTCCCGATGGGTGTCCGTCACATATCCAAACCGTTTTGGGGCTTTCAGTTTCATCCAGAATCCTGCAAGTCAGATGCAGATGCTTGTAAAAGACTACTACGAAATTGGTGGACGGCAAGTAAGCAGTTCAACCAAACATCTAAACGCGTCATTCGACCGATATCGAAGGATGCATTGGCATCCACTCTCCAAACGCCAGATGTTCAGGGTGATCTCAGTCATCTCCTCGAGCAATTGACCGCAGAATCTTCCAAAATGTGTTTCCATCGCTCTCTACCCCTGCACGGGCTCTACCCCGAGAACATCTTCGAATTATTTAACGCACCTGGCTCCCCGTCGATATTGTTTCAATCAAATGGAAGATTTAGTATCATGTCGCTCCCGTCTCCCAAAAGTTGGCGGCTTGAATACTTCGTCCCAAGCAAGAAGCTTCTAATTGAACAGCTGGACGCAATCACGAAGACAGATGCTCACGGCGACATCTCTGTCGAGATACTCTGGCAGATTTTGAGACATGTCATGAATACTAAGAAGGTTACATCTGGAAAAGACAGCATTCCTTTTTGGGGCGGATTTCTGGGTTATTTCTCATATGAAATGGGACTTGCTGGATTGTCACATCCCAAAACGTCGCCAATTGTGGCTTCTAACATAGAGGGACAGAACGTTGGTAATGAAGATGAAACAGCTGCCCCCGATGCTAGTTTTTTATGGGTTGAGCGAAGCATAGTCGTTGATAGTGTCTTGCGAACAATATCCATCCAATCAACACGAGAAGCCGACAATCAACCAGGCGGTTGGTTAGAGGCCATATACCAACAGATACAGCAATTTCATTTACGGACTAGTCAAGAGGTCATTGAAATCGGGGACAAGTCGGCTGCACTAGAACAACATAGCCTGCTGACTTCTGCAGAAAGAGAGCTTGTCGACACGCTTCTTCAAGAAAGCACAGTCAAAATTCCCGATGAGATGGCATACAAGTCGCAAATTGTTGAATGCCAAGAAGAACTCAAGGCTGGCGAGTCTTATGAACTTTGTCTCACTGGACAGACAACCATTACATTACCAGCAATTTCTGATGCGAGGTTGCGCAAGCTTCGTCCATGGCTGATATACAAGAAACTGAAAACCTACAATCCAGCAGCATTCAGCGCTTATGGAAGCTTGGGCAAAGTCAAGATCGCAAGTAGCAGTCCCGAGTGTTTCCTTATATGGGATCGAATCTCTACCCTGGAAATGAAACCAATGAAAGGAACAGTCCGAAAATCACCAGGCATGACATTGGAAAAGGCCAAGGAAATTCTAGCTACTACCAAGGAAATGGCGGAAAATCTCATGATTGCTGACTTGATTCGTCATGATTTATATAGTATCTGTGGTTCGGGAAATGTGCATGTTGAAAAACTTTTGGATGTTGAGGATTATGGACGTGTATATTCAATGGTTACCCATGTGAAAGGGATAGTTGATCGAACAACAGCAAGGGACTCCAAGCATGCCAGCATGGCTGCATACGGTCTGACTACTTTACAACGCACTCTACCCCCTGGATCAATGACAGGAGCACCGAAAGAACGGTCATGCATGCATCTCGACAGAATCGAGGGATGGAAGCGCGGTATATATTCCGGGGTGATGGGTTTTCTGGACTTGGGTGGCTCGGGCAGTTTCTCAGTTCTGATAAGGACTGCTTTTAGCAGTTCAGCTCATGAGGATGCAGCGAGCGCGACTAAGCCAGAGGTCTGGCATCTAGGTGCAGGTGGTGCGGTGACTATATTAAGTACACCGCAGGGTGAATGGGATGAGATGATAACCAAGTTACGGACTGTGGTTAGCATATTTGAACCTACAAAGTGACCTGTATTTTCCTTCCAAAAGTGATTTTAACATACACTAGAGGTGGCGATATTCAAACATTTGTATAGCGGGCGTTTACGAAGAGGATACAATCCAGTGGAGGTTTAATCTGGCATTTTGACATTGGTTGGATAGATTTCAAGCTAACTGTACATAAGCTGAATTCATAGAAGGTGCATGTTATCAAAAATCTAAATACATATGCAAATCTGGAACAAAACATGAGATATAAGAGTCGATTGATGTACATTGCTATGACTTCAGACATCCCTCCTCACCACGTTATCAATAGCTTGAGCTACGTAAGCCACATTTTTCTCGCTGACTAAAGTCAAGTTAGATTCGTTCTTATTTCATCTCCCTGGAAAGAAAAACTTACAGCCACTAACAGAAGCCCTACCGGACTTGAGCAGATAAATATGAAATTCATTTCTCAGAGTCAAAACCTGCTTCAGCGTGAGACCAGTATAGGAAAACATTCCATTCTGGTTAATGATATGCTCCCATGATCCGGGCGTGTTGAGTCGGACTAATTCATCATATAAAGCCTGACGCATTCGCTTTATTCTTGAGCTCATGGCCGTCAGATCTTTTTGCCATTGGGCTCTCAAGGCACTGTCGCCGAGCACCCTCTTGACAATCGTACTACCATAGCGCGGACCCATGGAGTATTCCCCACGGATAATATGGCATAGATTCTTGCGTACGAGTTCCGTCTCTGCGGGCTTTGAGCCGTTGGTGACCAAATGGAAAGCACCGGTTCGATGACCATAAAGACCGAAATTTTTGGAGAAGCTCTGCGCAACGCACATTTCTAGAGGCGGGCTGAGGTTGAAAAAGTATCGGACTGCCCAGGCATCTTCATCTGCTGATCCAGACGCGAAACCCTGATAAGCCGAGTCGAAGAAGGGGAATAGTCGTTTGCGTTGACACAGTTCGGCGATTTTCTTCCATTGTTCTTTGGATGGATCAACGCCTGTCGGGTTATGGGCGCATGCGTGTAGTAGAATGACATCTCCTTCCTCCGCTTCATTCTCAAGCGTGGTAATGGCACCTTCAAAATTGAAAGCGCACGTTGAAGCGTCAAAATACGGGTACCCTTTACGCTCTATACCTTGCAATTCCCAGATAGTGTGATGATTAGCCCATGTCGGGATCGATACCCAGACATGTTTCGGTTTGAGATGATGGGCCAAAAACGCTGCACCGAGATGGTTTGCTCCTGTGCCTGAGATGCTTTGTACGGACGCAATTCGCTTTTTTGCCTTTGCTTCTTTCTCAACGTCTGTATCGTTCTTGTTGAAGCCGAACATGAGGTCGCGAGCATGATCTAAGAACTCTCGGTCACCTTCGATGGGCAAGTATTCATGGCGAGCAGGATTGTTTTGAGAATGCAGTTCCTGCTCTACTTGCTCGACCGATGACAGTGGCCATGGTTGACCTTCTTCAGTGCGGTAGACGCCCAGGCTCAGATTTACTTTGTTTGGGTTAGGATCAGTTGCATACGCGTGATTGAGACTGAAGATTTCGTCAACGGGGGCATCGGGAAGGCTGGAGAATGAAGATGTCGACTTTGTGGCCGAGTTTGCCGATTGATCTTCAATGAGCATGGTGGATGTGTTTTGCTGCTTGTTCCGGGATATGGGATAATCAATCGCTGGAGTGTTTTATCCAAGAAATTGTAGTGGGAAGTATCTCACGATACAGAAAGAATGGAGAAATACCCGAGCGGGACAATGGAAGAATTTTTGCTATCTACGGGTCTACTCCATATGATTCTTGGAGTGAGTCACGATACAACCAACAATAGTTCTGGTGCTAAGCTGCATATTTGGCTTATTTCATGCGAAGAATTACACCGAGTAGCATGAAATACATTGTGAATGCCCTTACTTTGTAGAATCTTCTTCAATTTTCATACAAATTCTCATTTATTGAGGACGGGAGGATAGAAAAAAAAAAGAAAAATAGCCTGAGATAGCCGGCTCCACCCGGGGGTTATTGCCGCTTACGTTCGGTCGCTTTTCTGGATTTTCTTCCACTTTTTCGACGACAATCGAGAAGGTCTATTTTCTCAGTTTCTGTCATATTTCTGATACTTATCCTGATTCTCAGCGAGTAGAGTCAACTTATGAAGACCAGTTCCGGCTATTTTGTCACTGTCTGCATAAACTATCTACACACAACATTGCGAATTGGCAAATCATATTGAAAATGCCGGCAATTCCGATCTATCAGTACCTCCCACATGGCCATAGCACTCGGTCAGATGAGTCGATTTAAAGTGATATCACTCGTCAGGTGACGTTGGCTCGCTCAAGCAGGCTTACTGGCTACAATCGGCTTTCTTTTTCATTACCGCGTCTTTTCAGACATGCTGGCTAGACAAGGGCGCCAATGCCCGGGCCTCTAAATAATTGGAGACACATATCTGCTCTATGGATTGCCATTCTGATATTTGACGGCAATCCGGAACTTTTGCTTCAAGGTAAAGACTAGAGCTAATTACTTTTGAAAAGCGCTCAATCATGTGGCGCGGCCGAATCCACTGTTTAGAAGACTGCTCGATGCAATGAAGCTGAAGGCATGGAAAGGATCAGCTTCATTCATCGTGGTCGTGCAGATAGAGTCTACTCAGATGGTGTTAGATAGATTTCTAACAGAAGACGGGAGATTAAGCTTACCGTAAACAGCAACGATCAAATAAGAAGCACGTTGTGTACTTCCAACCTTGGAAGTAAATGTGGAGGCGTAAATGGACTTACCTTGGAACTTGGCTACAACGAACAGAAGACCTCTCAGGGCCCAAGTCAATATATCCAGAAGTGAGTTTGATTTAGGGGTGAAAGGCACCTCTAATATATTTATACGTTTTAGCATTAATAAGATACTTTTTACCTGTTCTTAGGTATATTACAATCACCCAAGCTGAGATCAGTAGAATTATGGAGTAGCCTTCCTTTCGCTGTAGCCAGGTATCTAGTATGCCCCGAATAGCTCATTTGGCGATTGAAACAACTAGCCCTAACCTTGACTAAGGGGGCACGTTCCTATACAGCGCTTTCGTCCGAATACTCATGAATGCTGCGGTCCACGGGTGTTTAATGATGTATTTACACTAGAAGGTCTTCCTAGGAGCCTGATGATAGGCATCTTCTGCGGGGATTTGATTGTAATTTCAGGCAGAGGCGGAGGCGACGACAATCCACACTGAAACGATCCGGACGCTCAATTAGCCCTAACCTCAGAGGTATTAGGTATATAACCCTAACCCTAAGAATACACGTAGTTTTTGAGTCGAAAGAGCTAATGAAGAGGAATATCTTAGAGATACTTTTCTATTTCCCGAGCTAACTACAGTCTATTTACTCATTCATGTCTACAGCTTTGATTGTTCCACAGTATTCAATTTCCGTAAAGGAGACCCCCCTCGACTACCATCTCCCACCATCAGGGGAAACATTACAACCATTCAACTTCTCTGCGCAATTTCCACTTCTTACGTATTTCAGCAGGGCTTTATTTCGAAATAATCCGCAATATATCGACCTAACACCGGCAGGAATTTGAACGCACTTGGAAACAGTTAGCATGCTCTTCGCGTTTCCATCTGACTTTACTCAATGCACCTGGGTAGCTATGCACAAGGTCTGATTGCTTGAGGACTCACATACATCATTCAGTTCTAAGTGGCTCTCTCATTTGCTTGTCGCTTGTCTTATTGCTTCGCCCCTTTCCTCCTTTGCCCAGTCCCTGCCATTCCGATATCAGGTTGCGCCTTCTCGAAAAGTATCAGGATCACTTGTCATGGATCATCCTCTGCTTTGTGTCATATAGTACTCCGTCCGACCTGATGTAGCGGATTTTGAAGGATGACAGGTAAACATTCGGAGTTGCTCGTCATGATAAATGGATATTAGAGTACTGGCATTGTTATTAAAGTCAGGTTCATCTTTGTTATACTCTTGAAGCGAGTGCATTCCCCTTGCTCCGAACGCACCGTCATAGCATGCCTGTCTGTTAGCTACTAACGATGATCTATCAGGTCCTTTCACTACTAGGAAAAAATTTGGTGCAATAGGAAGCTCATGCTGCGTGGATGGCACAATTTGACCGTTGAGCTCAATTTGTATTTGGGGGTCAAGTTGATCAGGACGTGCCCCATAATAGTGATTGGGATTTCCGGGAACCAGAGTGCCATCAGTAAGATGATTGAGGTTCTTAAAAGGAATACCACCCCCTATATATTCTTTATCTAGAACTTTGCCTTCAATAAAGGGGATGATCGCATGCTCTATAACTTGTCTCTCTTTGGAAGCAGCTGCATCTGCTCGGAGAAATTCCTCAAAATCCTCCTCTGCAAATCTGGGAGGCGAAAGCGAGGGCCGACGCTGAGCCAGTCTTGCAAGTATGCCATCCCAATTTCTAGACTTTGAAGGTATGTGACCGTTGGAAAATCGGTGACGGGTCGGAAAGATACCATGAGCAGTAAGATGTTGCTGAAAGTTCCAATCGTAAGGTCCGCTACTTTCAGTAGTTGTTGACTTGGTGCTTCGCAAGGCACACGAGTTTCGTGAAGCACTTAAACCCCGAGAAGCGCTGATTCTGCGTTTTTGGATGCGGTATGGTCGGTGAGAACTCAGTGTAGGTTCTGGACACTGTAATACTCAGTCAGAATTGGTGTTCAATAATCTAACTCAGGTAACTTACTCCCCGCAGTCCTGATAAATCTGGTCCGCCCTGACGCGCAAATCTTTGAACTGCCATTAACTCGTTGCGGGTGACAGGCCAGAGAAATTGAAGTTTTGTGGAAGCGTTCGCTGTAGCTTGTGTATTCCTTCGATCGAGCTCACGTAGTGCGTTACGAGTCAACCAAACTTCTGACAGATTGTCCCAAAATGACGGAGGGAGCTGGGAGGGATGCTCAACCTTTTGTTTCTTGTACACTTCCTTGGGCGTGGAGTCTTGCAATGGACGTGGTCGTCTGCGAGAACGGATTGGTTGCTCTGTATGCATATTGCAAAAATTAGCCTGATTCTTTCTGTTGATATTTTGCGAGCAGGTGTACTTATGCTGATGATGGCTCAATTCAAAGAGTGTCAGATTCGAGAATGAGCATGTCCCCGGATGATAAACAGTTCTCCGGATTTGGACTACAATAACCTTGGGAAGTCCCTAACTAGGCAATATTAGTAGGAAATTATTTATGTCTCTCTACAACTCTACCTGGATAGTTACTATAGACTGAATGAAAGCTGCTGAGGGATTAGATGAGATTATTTATCTATACTGATCCTGGAAAGCGTCAGTTATTAGATCACGATCGGAAGTTACTGCAGCTAGTGTCAAGTTTCCCTTGTCATTCGTTCTGGCAAGTTCTGTTGATACTTATTTTGACTCTTGTCACCTAACCCTAAGTGCCAATATCCATCTCCGAGAGACCCCAGCTATAAAGGAATCTTATTTTCTCCAAGCATCTGACTAGATACCGTGGGATTTAGATCAAATATAGTAGTATAATTATTTACTAAGATACTTAACAAGTTTAACCTCATGTTGTGTCTCCCGAGCAAAGCGAGGGCAGAGGCTTGTTTGTCATGGTTGGAGGGAACCAACATCTATGGGGAAGGAACATGTTAAAAGAGGCTATTAATGGACGCAAACTATGAGTAGGAATAAATCATTTTGATAATATTATCTACTCCATTAATTACTACTCTATTACGTATGGTTCTATCTCATCGTGGTGGATGCTAAAATACAGACCTGTAAAGGTATGATGAACTAAAAATCGTTCTAATTGAACCATCAACTGCATGCTGGAAATACGTGCACCACATAGACATTACCTATGCAGGACTTAGTCACTTTTCATTTTTCCCTTCGCCATCCTTTTGTTCAGATTTCTCCCTGTCCTTGCCCCTCCATCTAGCAGCAAAATTGTATTGAATCAAAGGTCCTATTAGTGCCACTGCTTGAACAGCAGCACAAATGGTGAATGCGACCCCGACCCCAACGCCATTAACCATTGGCATGACGAAGCTTGTTCCTCCAGCGGCAAACAGACATCTTGCAAGGTTCAAACTAGCACTGGCTGCTGCGCTTCTATCATGAAAAATATCCACTAGATAAGTCATGATGAGGGATTGTGTAGAAATGGCAGTCCACCCTGTTATAAAAGTTGAGACGATAGGGACTGCGATGTGGACCTTTTGAGGATACTGAATTGTCCAGCCGAAAAGAAGGATGGAAAGACATTGCAGCACGGAGAAAGCAGGAACAAGTCTGAGACGGGCTTTTTCCAGGGGAAAGTCCTCTTCATGTCTACTTCTGCGTCCAGTATCCAAGGAGGCCTCGTATTTCGCCTTGACACGACGGTAATCCTTGTCAAGGATCTTGCCTGTCACTAACGTTCCAACCATTGATCCTACCCCATTTGCAATGAAGGTCAACCCGATTTGAATTTCGGTCAGACCATATCGAGTTTTAAACAGAGATGACATGGCGGTGATGCTCATTTGCCAAACTGCATAATAGACAGCCAGAAAGACGATGATAGGGGCCGCGTGGTTGCTGAAAAGTATTCGAAGCGACCCTAGAATATTAACACTTTTCTTGGAGACACTTTGATCGTCAGGTGTCTCCCTTTGCCAATCGATTTTACTGGCTTTCTGATAGACTATTAATGGGAATCGCATTACTAAGTTCGACGGTAACCGACTACCATTCTTGACGGTTGATCGCAACGTCTCAGGCAACAGGGCGATCAAAATGCAAAGAAAAACGCCGGTGTAGATAGTCAAAAACCAAAAAATAGCCTTCCATCCCAGAGACCCAGCAATTGCGCCTCCTATTACTGGTCCCACAGCAACAGGGACAAGTAACCCTGCTTGAAAGATACCCATATACCCCCCTCGCTCAGCACGAGTGGTAATATCTCCAATGACGCCTGAACCTATAGCAATCGTACTGGCACTACCGGTACTTTGGAGACATCGCAAGACAATGAGGGTGGGATAGTTTCTGGTCTCGGCAAGACCAATACATGCTCCTAGGAACACAAGGAATGTGCATATGTAAGCTATTCGGCGGCCCTTGACGTCGGATATGGGACCCCAGAGACTGGGTGCAAGGCCTTGGAAGATCAGGTATGATGTGACAGTGAGATTGACCAATTCGACCGAGACATTGAGGTCAGTTGCGATTGTTGGTAGCGCGGGAAAATAGATGTTTGATGCGAAGCCGGAAACTGTTGTTGTCAGTAACGGTCTTTAAACTACAGCCGACGAAAATAGTGCTTACAGGTGGCAGCTGTCGAAACAATGATGATAATAAGCCACTTTTGCCTGTTGTCAAAGATACTGTAAGGCGGTTCCGAAATGGTGGTCTCTGGTGAGCTCATAGTTGCAGCAGTAGTCCCATTTTCAAGCTGTTCTGCATTTTGTTCAGAGGTCATGGCGATAAATAGCTTTGAAGTGATAAATGCTCTTTAATATTCCCATTGAGATTGGGGATTTTGAATCACCGCGAACTCGTGGATGTGTATTGAATATATAGTAATTAGTTTGCCACTATGTAGCGGAGAGCTGAGGTCTCAACTCCGGCGCTCAACGGAGTTGAGATTCCAGGGGTTCTCAGCTCCGTTACCACGGAGAATGAAGATAATTTCGGAGCAAGTCAATAGATGCTGATTACAAATTATAATATTTCAAAAATAGATCTGTGATTATCTTTAATCATTATTTTCGCGCTCAATCCATTGTATAGATATTAGATTCATCATGCCTACCACCAGCCGCTCCCTCAATTTCGGCAGTAACTATGCAATCCTCAACCTGGACTGGATGGCAATGCTCATCAACTCAATCAAAGACGTACCCGAGGGTCAAGCTATGATTGCGAATTGCACCAAGTGGAACGACGCCGTGCATCTCAAAATTCCTCGCCCTCTAACCATTTTCTCTACTCTTTCCTTTAGCCCTAATCAGGCTGAGGCTGCGCCAGACTCGCCGTTTGCCAGACTGATTGCCCCTTTTGGAGACTTTACACAGGGTACTTCTCCGGTACAGATTTATGATACTTTTACGGTCGATGAAAAAGATGTCGTTGTACAGAAGACTCGATGGGCTGCTACAACCGGGAGTGCATTGGAGCAAATACTGAAAGCGCAAAATATCAGGGCAGTTGTTATTGTATGTAACTTGGACGAGTCGACTATGTCAATGCACTAATGCTGCCAGCAGTCCGGTTTGAGTCTATCCGGTGTTGTAATGTCTACTATTTACCGCTTGTTCGATCTGGATTACGAGGTCTACGTGATTAGGGATAACGTGTTGGAATTGCCTGTTGACCAGACCGAATCAGTCGCTAAAGTGATGCTTGATATTCTTCTTCCTAAGATGGGATTTCATGTCATTACGCTTGCTGAGGCTTTGCACGCACTGGATCATTCTTGAGATTTAGACATTCTATCCATGGAATATGACCTCCGCTCTCTTTCCTAGATGTCAGTTGTCCGGTTACAGGCCCGGATTCAGTGATAAGCAACCTGATAAGCCGCTATTTATAAAGGAGTAGAATATCAATGCCTATAATATGTTAGACTGGCCTGAAAATCCAAACGGCTCACGGTCATACTCTCTGGCAAAGTAGCGGACATTTGCTAAGACTCAGCCTTCGGTTGTTGACCATCATCACGGCTGTCCCCATCAAAATCACCATCGAGGACGCATGCACCGTTCTTGATTTCTTCGCTCGCTTCTGCTTTAAGCTTATCCGCGTCGATCCCAGCTTTCCGTAGATCCTCCATCGTTTCGTTGGCCTCTTCGTACTTGCCGTCCCTCTCAAAATGAAAAACGAACGACATGATCGAATCGTCCAAAACGGAACATAGCCGGTCAGAAGCAATGGCGACGACCTTGCCCTCTGGATACTTGAGATAGTACCCGCCATTTCCGGGCACAGCGAGCGCGCCTAAATTGGCGTGCTGGATTTTGGCGATTATGACGTCTGGGGGAATAGGCGATTTGCATCGCGTGGTAGTAGACGTGTTGGACATACTCGCCATAATCCACAAGGAGTTCCAGTAGGGATGAAATCACAGGTTCGTTGAGTGATGTTGAAGAACTACGCTTCTGCTCAGGCGGAATGACGATAGTGCCAACACTCAATGCTGGTTGTACAAGCCGCAAGGCCAATAAACGGCAGGAGGCTAATTGCACCATATAGAGAACGCGCGAGTGGTTTATTGATATCTATTTCTAAGATAAAGCCAGGAGGATATGCAATTAATTTGTAAGTTGATATCAAGATAAGAACAACCCTAACCCTATGGTGATCGTTCTAGCCGGATACGGTATAGTATCTTCATCTCCCGCCGAGTCGACGTCATAAGTCTCGGGCTATGAGCAAGCCCTACATTTACCCTTAGCTTAAGAAAATTTCTAGAATTATGTTAGCTAATACCTTTTTCATATAATTCGTTGTATTCCCATTCATCAGAAGATAGTTTCTATTTTTTGTTCAACTCGAGTGATTCTTTTGTCGATGTTCAAGGAGCTTCGGAAGATGACACCAGGAGAAGTATAGCTTAGTCATCATTTCCCGTAAATTACCGTAATTCCAGCCCGACAGCACTGTAGACTAGCGTAATTACATCACGGTAATACCGGGGCCACGGAAGAACTCGGCAGAGGCAGAGAATCTTGGGGAAGGAGAGAACATGGCCGAAAAAAAAGAAACAACAATTCTTCCTTCTGATATACACGACTCTTTTCGTTGTTTCGCGCTTTCTCTGTTCTCAATTCCTTTGTTCTCGCCAATTGACATCCTTTCTCCTTTAATTATCGAGCCAATTGGCAATTAAATCATATAGAAGGGCACAGAACAAACCATGGCATCTCGGCTATCGGTCCGAAGCTTGACACATGTTGGGCGAGCTGTGTCCAGTCTTCCCCGCGTCACCTGTCTCTCTACCCCCACTCGAGCATCACAATTCTTCTCTGTGAGCAGTGCGCGAGTCTTACAGTACGCTCGTCTTCAGTCCATCTCGAACCCGAGGAATTTCGCTTCGTCCGCAAGAATGGTGAGCCCGATGATGTCTGGAGTTTGCGACAAATTTCTATATCGGAAGCGCATTCTTTGAACTATGCTGACTTGAACTACGACCGTAGGCTGCCAACACTCGAATTGAAACTGACGCTTTTGGCGAGATTGAGGTTTGTCGCTGTGGACAAGGCTTCTTCGTGCAAACCGCTAAACAGTGATGTTATATAGGTCGCCGATGACAAGTACTGGGGTGCTCAGACCCAGCGGTAGGTCATGCTCGAACCCGATTCTATAGATAGGATAATCGCTAAAGTCGGTCATACAGTTCGTTGGGCAACTTCAAGATCAACCAGCCTCAGGACCGTATGCCGCCCCCAGTCGTCAAGGCTTTCGGTATTCTCAAGGGTGCCGCTGCTACTGTCAACATGAAATACGGACTTGGTACGACTCGGACACTTTGGATGTGTGATTCAAACTATTGTACTAATGGAAGTAGACCCAAAGATTGGAGAGGCTATTCAGCAAGCTGCTGCTGAGGTTGCCGCTGGCAAGCTCATTGACCACTTCCCTCTCGTTGTCTGGCAAACCGGTTCCGGTACCCAATCCAACATGAACGCCAACGAGGTCATCTCGAACCGCGCTATCGAAATTCTTGGAGGACAAAAGGGTAGCAAGAAGCCCGTTCATCCTAATGACCATGTCAACATGTCCGCTTCTTCCAACGATTCCTTCCCCACTGTTATGCACATTGCCGCCGTCCTCGAAATCGAAGGCACTTTGCTTCCCTCATTGAAGAGCCTGCGCAATGCCCTCCAGGCCAAGGTTGAAGCTTTTAACCATATTATCAAGATTGGCCGTACTCATTTGCAGGATGCTACACCACTCACTCTCGGCCAGGAATTTTCTGGTTACGTTGCCCAGCTCGACAGCAATATCAAGCGTATCGAGAACACTCTCCCTGACCTCCGTCTCCTCGCCCAGGGTGGTACCGCTGTTGGTACTGGCCTGAACACATTCAAGGGCTTTGACGAGGAAGTGGCTGCCGAAATCTCCAAGCTTGCAGGAACCGAGTTCAAGACTGCTCCCAACAAGTTTGAGGTTTTGGCTGCCCACGACGCCATCACCGAGGCCTCAGGATCCTTGAATACTCTTGCCACGTCTTTATTCAAGATTGCTCAGGATATCCGATACCTCGGATCTGGTCCTCGTTGCGGTCTCGGAGAGCTCCGTCTCCCTGAGAACGAACCCGGTTCGTCCATCATGCCTGGAAAGGTTAATCCTACCCAGTGTGAATCTTTGACCATGGTTTGCGCTCAAGTCATGGGCAACCACGTTGCTACCACCATTTCCGGCATGAACGGTCAATTCGAACTCAATGTGTTCAAGCCTGTCATGATTCGTAACCTCCTCCACAGCGTCCGCATCTTGGCTGATGGCATGGCAAGCTTCGAGAAGAACCTTGTTCACGGATTGGAAGCTGATGAAAAGCGCATTGACTCTCTTCTCCACGAAAGGTATGTTACTTCCTTGTCTTGTTGGATCTGAAAACTAATATCTATATAGTTTGATGCTTGTCACCTGCTTGAACCCCGTCATTGGATACGACATGGCCTCCAAGGTTGCTAAGAATGCACACAAGAAGGGCATCACCTTGAAGGCTAGTGCAATGGAGCTCAAGGCTCTCAGCGAGGAGGACTTTGACAAGTATGTCCGTCCCGAGCTGATGATTAGCCCCAAGGAGAAGAAATAGGTGCAGCAGTATATATAAGTATCTACTAGAGGTAGCTGAGCATTACAATGTATTTTTACGTCACAATATCGGACATACGTACAATCAGCCTTATTCTTTGTAGCTTGCACAGGTCAATAAGGGATGTGGCTGAGCAGTGCCCAAAATAGCAGCAAATCGGACTGGTCCGTGCTTGATCTGGTGTATGTACAATGACGGGTCTGATTCGGATAAATCGCAGCCTGTGACTCTTCTTTTTCCTCTCCTTTTCTCTGTTGCACAAGATACAATTGTTCGAACAAATCTCTGTATAATCATCCTACAGCGACTCCGATTCTTTCTTCGGCAAGAATTTGTTGTTTTGCACGGATCTTAGCTTAGACCCACCGCGTGTTTTACCTTGCGGCCTTCTAGTTCGCCTGTCTTACTTTCCCTTTCCCCCTCAGCACAACAAAAATCCCCTTCTTTCGAATTTCGACATTTCACAACACCAGTAACTCATTGAGTTTTCAATATTTCAATTGCCGGAAAGCAGTTTTCGAATATTCTAAAAGAAGAAGAAAAATTAATCTCACAATGACCACCGATCTCTACTCTGTCCCCGCCTCCAACGGCATCGAATCAACAAATCTACTCCACATCAAGGAAGATGTCGATGCCACAGCAACCAACAGCAACGGCACTCACAAAACCACCAACGGCACCATAATCCACAAACCACAGCTAGAGAATGGGACAAAGTCAGCGGAAGAAGAAGAAGAGCCCCTCTTCTCCCCATCTCTCATATCCGCAGAAATCCAATCCGTCTTACCGGAAGGCTACTCTGCTCGACCCCTACGCCGCTCCGATTTCCATTTGGGCTACCTCGATGTCCTGCGCGTACTGACGACGGTGGGCGATATTTCAGAGGCAATGTGGAATGAGCGATATAATTACCTATACAAGCGTAATGACGAGTATTATATGATTGTCATTTGTGACGGAACGGGCAAGATTGTCGGAACGGGTAGTCTGATTGTTGAGCGGAAATTCATTCATACCCTAGGACTCGTGGGTCATATTGAGGATATTGCGGTTGCGCAGGATCAACAGGGGAAGAAATTGGGGTTGAGGATTATTCAGACTTTGGATTATGTTGCGGAGAAGGTCGGATGTTACAAGGTATTTATCCCTCTTCTTTCCCTTCTTGAAGCCGAAGTGCTTTGTTCTAACATCACTTTCATTAGACAATTCTTGACTGCTCCGAAATCAATGAGGGCTTTTATATCAAGTGTGGCTTCAAACGTGCTGGTCTCGAAATGGCGCACTACTACTAATTGTAGCCAGCGGCGGCTTTGCTTGTAACTGTGTTACTTGTTGCATTTTCTTTCCTTGCACATTGCTATTATATTTTCATAAAAAGGCCTGGTGGTACCAATACCCATAGGCGTGTATTTTAATCATGTTTTCATTACTGTCTGGGAAATGGAGGGGTTTTACATTTGAGGGAATCAGGGATACAGTGTAGTCTATTGGGGATAACAGGCTACATAGAATAGTTATTGTACTAATACAGTTTCTTATATTCTTTCTGGTATTTCATTGCATGAACTTGTTAACTCTTTACAGTAGATATGCCCAGAACTAGGAGATACCGTCCTAACAGCAGATCTCTAGCAATAGATTGATCGTCATCATTGTATTCCTACTCAATGCCACTGAAGCCACACAAGAGTATCTACATTCTGAAGATACGCTGTAAAGTTACCTCTGTCCAAATGCCAGACGGATCGTAGCACCGATTGTTATTGCTCGATAACATGTTCCTTTTTCCCTTTTGTTTTGTTATTTATTCATTGAATAACATGGGAACACAGTCCAGCTCCAGATAAAACATGTGGCAAAAAAAAAGTAAGAATCCCAGTATGAAAGCCCCTATTCAGTTTTCCCGGGTCTGAAAAATGCGCTTCGTCCTCGACTCATAACCCCCCAAACGTCTACTATCGTCTTTCACATTTAACGAGACTTGGCCTGAACCTTGATAGGAGCACCCTTAGCACCCTGCTTGCTTTGGATACGAGCCTTGCCGGCAGAGGCACTAGCAGCAGACTTGGCCTTCTCAGCCTTCTTCTTGCTCTCAGAAGCAGCCTTCTTCTCCTTGGCGTCCTTGATGGCTTGTTGGCGAGCGGCCGCACGGGCCTCAGGGCGCTGGCTTCGTCGCTCCTTGATCACGTCAAGGGAAGCACCGACGATAGCACGCTGGGACTTGACGACACGGCGAGAACGCTTCTTGGCAACTTCCTACAATTTCCATTTCCGTCAGTATATGTATTTCAATCATCGGCCGCCGCAGTCGTTGTCATTGTCCTCAAAATGGGGAATTGCCATGGCATATCCCTCCAGAATCGACTTCTGTTTCCTATAACTCCTCCCAATGTGCATGAAACGACGTGTCTTCGAAAGGAAAGGAATACTGACTTCAGAGATACCCTTGCGGTGTTGACGACGGTAGAGTACGGTCCAGGATATCCGGCGAGGGTTCTTGCGCTGGAGGAAGAGGGACTCGGACTTTCCATTTTGGAAGCGGAAGATCTTGCTGTCGCCACGGACGTACAGCTTACCCTGTATATTTGACACTTAATTAGTATATTTTTCATCGTAAAAAATAACCCAAACGCGTCCAAGAAAACAGATCGAAAGATAATATGACGATGATGCTAAGGCGACAAATCGATGCGAATCCAAAACCATCACAACCTCTCTCAATCCGATCGCTCAAAACGCTTCCGAGGTACAACGATAAAAAGCTAACGCACCTTTCCAGGGTAGATCTTCTGGCCGGAGAAAGTGTCGTCGTAGGTACGCATCTTGAATGCTGGAGATGCGTTACCGGTCGATTGTCGTGTTTGGCGGGTTGAAGAAGGGTTGTAGGTCGAAAAGTCGAGACAATCCTTTTTTTGTGGTGGTGGCTCTGTTCCCGGATTCGATGATATCAATTGTGGTGCGCGCTAACTCGCTAAATCTGTCACGTGATAGCGGCTGCCCTTCTTATAAAAAGCGGTCCGCTAGCCCTTTTACTTTTTAATAAGTCTTCGATCAGGATGAAATTGAATTATCGGCATGAACTGACGGGCTGTGACAAAAGGGAATGCCTTGTTAATTTTCTCGGTTATTTTGCGATTACTACTTGCGCATTCCACTGCGATACAAGAATCCTGTGGGGAAGCGTAATATGAGACGCATTTCTATTCATAACGGACATATAACATGACTATAGAATAATGTGAAGATTTATGATGATTGATCGATCAGTTCCAAGAGCAGCTTGAATCCAAGGCGAAAGTAACTCAAAGCTTCCCTCATCATTGCTGCGTGTGGCGTCAATAGCGCTATTCATTGATTCGTAATATCTCTCCCCTGTTTCTCCTGCTCCAAAGACAAGCACACCCAAACATGTAGTGCCAAAGCCCATCACCAATCTAAGCCATCGCATGGGTTCGTGTCCACTCCTTGGCGGTCTGAATAGCTGCCGGTTCATCCTCCTTCCATCGTTGTGCAACATCATTTGCGAGCGGATCGTCCGGGTTGGGAGCTCCGAGTAAAGCTTGAATAGAGAGGAGGATCGTGCGGATTTGCAAGGCAGGAGACCAGTTATCTATCGCGCGTCGTCAGTTCAATACATCTTTACAAACACTGTTCATAGAGTGCCGAAACGTACTCTTCAAAACATCCAAGCAAATACGTCCCAGACGATCAATATTTGGATGGTAAATCTTTGTAAGAAAACGGATCTTGGGAGGTGTCATAGGGTAGTCATCGGGAAGGAAGAGTTCGAGTCTGAAGATACCACCTATATTGTTGATTAGATTGCGCTCCAAGAATTTGCACCATATCAAGGAATCTCGGTCATACCTTCGTAAGGCGATTGAGCTGGGCCGTGAATCGTGACATCAAAATACCGAAGGTTATCCTCATGGGGAACTGCGTTGATACCTGGTACTCTAGCTAAACAGTCAGACACTACACCCTCTGGGCCCAGGTTGTAATCTGCACTCACGGCTCGGCCATGAGACGCTCAGTCTCCTTTATGATTCTCTTTGGCAACCCCGCCATCTTGTGTTATTGGTGTTATCGGTTCAATATTTCTTCTCGTCAACGAGTGTGAGGGATTGAGTATGATTTGCGTTGTTCGGCCGTGTTGGTAGCTTGGTAACAAGTAGGTCGAGTTCAATGCAGGAAGCGCGGGGTACGTAGGTCTAAAACGAGATGAAAGTATTTCACATACCAAAACCAAAGGAGGTCTAGCTCTTGAACTGCAGCAGGCCGATATGAAGCCGTTGGATCGGCCTTCCTGTGAGGCTCAATACGTAGCTTATATGATGTAGGCGGAAAAATCCTGGTACTCGGAAAGAGGGGCACCGGGCCAGCCGATTGAACTTCTTTTGCGGCTAAGTTTAGCCAAATACGCAGGGAGAAACCTTCCCTGATACGGTTAGATCAATGTCTTTGATCAGCACTAGTGGTCGAAAGTCACATGAATTGCGGGCCCCCGGCTCTTTCTTAGTGGACAGCTCCGCAGCTTCGGAAGGACAGAGCTTCAACTTCATTCTACTTGCAACAAATTTATACTCTTTTTCGCGTATACTGTGAGGCGCTGCGCGATGCGCGGTCGCTTTGATTATACTGATGGGCGTTTAACTGTTCAGTGCTCCAGATTGAATCCATACTTCTCGGCAATTCCGATGATCTGAAGACGGATTAAGCAAACATGTCCAGCCCTGCCGACTCAAGGGCGCCGACGTCAGCTTTTGAGAGTCCCACGTTCGGAGAGGACAGCTCGTTCCATGTAGAACAGCCTGTCGGATCAGCGTCTATATCGCCATGTGGCCGAGACGTCGTTTTAGCATCTAGAGAGGGTCTCCACATCATTGATCTTGACTCGCCGTATTCGCCGCCTCGCTATCTCCCTCATCATACTCCCTGGGAGGTTGCTGATGTTCAGTGGTCACCGTTCGCGCATAGAGATTCATGGGTCGTCAGCACGTCTAATCAAAAGGCACTGGTATGGAACCTCTCCATGAGGAGTTGGGAAAACTCTATAGAATACGTCTTGCACGCGCATTCACGTGCTATCACCGATATCAATTTTTCCGCCCACCATGCCGAAATTCTTGCTACTTGCGCAGTCGACAGCTTCGTGCATTGCTGGGATCTTCGGATACCGTCTAGGCCTGTTGTCTCTTTTTCCGACTGGTTTGCCGGTGCAACGCAGGTCAAGTGGAATCGCCAAGACCCTCATATCATTGCAAGCTCTCACGACAAATATTTGCGAATTTGGGATGATCGCATGGGAGCCATACCACTGAAATCCATAGAAGCTCACAGCACAAAAATCTACGGTGTTGATTGGGAGCGCACTCGAAGGGAAGGTATTGTCACATGCTCGTTGGATAAAACCATTAAAATTTGGAACTTTGAGGGCAAAACAGACGTCCCCGAGAAGGTCATTGAAACACCATTCCCAGTTTGGCGTGCAAGAAATACTCCGTTTGGCTGCGGTATCCTCGCTATGCCCCAACGAGGCGACAACGATCTTCATTTGTATGGCCTCAGTTCAGCAGCTGATAATCAATCCGCTCACACTATGCCCCTTGTGCATAGCTTTCCTGGACACAAGGGGCAAGTCAAAGAGTTCTTGTGGCGACCGAGAGGAACTGTTGTTAATGGAATCGACCAGAGAGAGTTTCAACTAGTGTCATGGGGTGCCGATAGAGAGCTAAGGCTACATCGAGTCGATAAGGATATCCTCCGTGGCGTGGGCTACGAAAAAGGAAAGACCGTTGATCATAGTCTACGACTCACCCGACTAGGTGCCACCTACAGAACTTTCCGAGACGAGCCTGTTGAAAATCTGGATGACTCCTTGTACGCAGAAACGGTAATTTCTGCCAGTACTCGGCCTCAGGCCGGTGCTGCCTTCGGTTCAAACAATGTGTCTACTCGCTATCCTCGTGCATCAAACCATAAGATTCATATTGAACCCAGAATTGGCATGCAGGGACGGTCGCAGTTCAGGGCTAATACTAGCCCTATCGCTTGGATGCGAGGTGTCAAAATATCTGTCTGGGACATTGAGACGTTAGGCGATGAAATTACACATGTGGGCGAAAAATTCTCCAAAGTGGATTTTGAGTCAGTTGACGTCCGCCAGAGAAAAGTCACCATTTCCTTGCATGGCCCTTGGGGTGCAGAAGGCAGCTCGCTCTTTCTTAAGCTGGATATCAAATTCCCCGAGGACTATCCGCGAGTGGCAACGCCAACATTTAAAATTCAGAAGACTTCGGCTATGACGAACGAACTGTCGGAGAAGATAGTTTCCGAGTTACGCACAATCTCAGAGACGTACATGAGTCGAAAACGGGGATGTCTTGAAGGTGCACTGCGTTATCTTCTCGGAGAATGCAGCCTCGAAGAGAGCATTGCTTTGGTTCTCGGAGAGAATATAGATACTATCAAATCCCCAATTGCGGGACTAGAGGATGACGAGTCTAGCGACGAGGATGAAGACGTGGGTCAATTTGAGAAACAAGATCTCAGCATGAGTTCCGAGTTGCTTCGCCCTGTCAATGCCAATGTCATGGTTCCTGTTGCCAAGGTTTGTGGTGCTACTTGGAGCCACGACGGTCGCCTTGTCTGCTTCTTTCCACCAAAGAAAGACAAAGCCGGTTCTCTATTCGAGTCTCTTGGCTTCAAGGATATAAGTCGACTTACACGAAACGACCGAGTCTTTGAAGGGTTTGGTCGCTTGCATACAAGTTCGCCTAGCCGTCTACCTTCTAGAAAGACACTTGGCACAATGAGCACAACAGACGATGGCAGCTCAGATTATTCCGATGACTCGGATACAGCTTCTTCAAGCTCATCTGATTCATCAGGTATGATACTTGGCTTGCCGAATCGTTATCAGAACGCATCCATGTGGCGTAGTGTTGGCACACTCGGAACTTACCGTACGAGGTCTGCCGATAATTCTCAGTTATCTACCGTCGGCGGCCCAGCTGCCACCATCGGTACGGTCAAATCCTCAGATTCTGCGCACAATATCATTTCAATTCACGATCTCAGTGACCTACTACCTACGAAGAAAACGCTGGCTAGTCAGTACCAAATATTCGGACGTGGTGCAGAAGTGTGCGCGCATAATGCAGCAGTGGCGGCGGACTCTGGTTATCATCATTTGGCTCAGGTCTGGGGCTTGCTGAAATTGGTGTTGCAAAACCAAAGTGATTTGCGACCTCACAATCTCGACATGGACGTCCTTGCTGGGCGATTGTCTCATGCTCATATCCACACTCATCCAGGACATACGACAGATGGTCCTGTCAAGACAAAACAACCTCACAGAGGGGCTCTACACCGACCTAGTTTCAGTAATAGTGCCTTTGGCGGTCGTTGGCTTATTAATGCGCTTTTTGATCACTTTGAACGCATAGGAGATATTCAAATGCTCGCAATGCTTTCCTGCATTCTTCACGAGCAATCCCTGCGCACCCGACTCGGCCGGCGACGTGACAAAGAGGTATCCTTCAGTCAGCAAGCGCATAATCCCATTGCCTTGGATTTTTTCTCTTCCAGAGTCCCTGATAGCAAGTCGCAGGCTGCGACACCGATGACCTCATATTCGAGAGATAGCGTCAATGTTAGTGCCCTACAAAGCCCGGAGATTCCAACGGAGCAATGGAATAGCATTGGTACCACACCGCACTCTAGCTCAGCATCTCCAATTGCAACCCATTCAAGGCTACTAGGGGGTCGTAAAACTCCGGCTCTCTCTATTTCTGCGTCGCCAGATGATCATAGTACATCCAGACTTGGTTCCGGGGTAGGAACAGCGCTTGCATCTTCACTGTCACGATCATTCACATTTGGCCCTTCTGCCACCTCTTCGCCACCAGCAGGAACTACTAAGAAGAAGACTAGTCCAATAGGGAGCATGAACATCCCGGCGGCTGTTACTTGGGGTGCATCCCAGTTGATCAACAGAGCTGTTTCGGCAATACCAGAATATCTCAACTCTTCGACAGTGATTACGTCAAGAAGCCATTCGGAGGCCGACAGCGAAAAGAAGAAAGAGGCACGCAAACCGATAAAAGTTCACGTGTCGCACAAGAATCGCACAGCGTTTGACAGTGATGATTCCCCAGGTAGTCCATTTATTGACCGTAGAAGAGAAGCGTTGTTTCAGACCTACCGCAACTCGTACGCTAATTTACTATTCGTGTGGGATCTGCCAATCCAACGAAGCGAGGTGTTGAAAATAGGCGCCTGTATAGAGTCTGGAAATGATTCGTTTACAACACAAAGGCAGAACCGTACAACGAAACAACCATCGTCGTTCGAGAGGGGTGATCGTAAGGATACGACATCTTCGAGACAAATTACTGACGAAACTCTGGACGTTCAGCGCCATTGCACTGAATGCGGACATGCGCTGTACAGATCTGTCTTCTCTTCTGTGAGGCCAGAAGACCTCAGTGGTAAAATGGTCAAACCGCCGCTTCCAAGATGTCCTTCATGTTCCGCTGTACAACCTCTATCCGCTCACGTTGGGTGTGTAATTTGTGGAGAAGTTGTTTCTGGAATGTTTATACCGTGTTTGGAGTGTGGTCACGTATGCTGTTTTGAATGCCACCAAGCATGGTTCTCGCTTCAGCAACCTCGTACGGGCGAAGCGCAGAATCTTTCTGATTTGGTTTGTCCGAGTGCATGTGGGTGCAGCTGCACTGAACACTCCGAGACAGTCGTCATGCCGTCTCCCATCGCAACACCAACTTACGATGAGAAAGGGAACCTCGTCGGTGCACATCATCGCCTCAGACCTGAAATGCCACCTCGTTCTCGACAGAGCGTCATGGCTGGACAGACAGACGATGACTTGGACGCATGGCGCGGTGGTGCAAACTTCGCTCGAGGTTTAGGCAGCGGTCTCAGCCGAGTATTGACAGCGACGGCAAATGAACGCAGGAGGCGAACCAGTTCGTCGAACAGGAAGCCCCAGTTTGATCGTATCGAGACGATGTAATTCATCTTTTTGTCTGGTTTCATTCGATGCATAGCGTGGCGTTTTGTTGATACCCATGTATTAGGGATATTTGGTTACATGAAGTAGTATGAGTATAAAATTTTGCTGTACAGGATTGATTGAGCAACCTTAGAATAAGGTATAGTCAATAAGAATTGTATTATCATGATTCGTTGGAACTTCATACAGTCATCCATGCAGTGCTCCTGAAACCGGCATCATACTTATACAACGAAAGAACAACCGAGCAGATGCTCTATGTCAATGATACTGGACCGCGACATGATCATCCATATACTTGGTAATATCATCCAAGAACAACGAAGCCCCAATCGAAAGCGCTCCAAATGCAATAGACGCCAAATAAACATACTTATAACTCTCAGCGTACGCAACCTGCCCCGCCGCGACAACCATCTCGTACGCTGTTGTGTTTCCAGCAATGCCGGGGATGGTCTGCAGTTCTTCAAGCAGGGAAGCGGTCGTGAGTTCAATTGCTTCGGCGATATAAGTGATGTTTGTGATGCCGAGTTTTGTGCTCATCAATCCGCCAATGTAGTGGATGGAGTTTGTCTTGAATTTGTTCACGAAGATGTTGAAGTAAATAGTGTAGCCGATTGCGCCACCGACGACGCGGATGGAGAGTGTTAGGGCTGCGATTGTGGCGATTAGATCCTGTTTGGTTTATTAGCATTGTTCTGTTGTGACGTTGAACAGAAGGTGAAGGTGTTCATTACATCAGGACAGATGATGGTCGTCATGATACTTGCTGGGACAACGATGCCGCCTATTCCAAGACTTCCAATGATCAGGATGATCCATAGAGTACTGAGATTGTCGGTTCGCGCAACAGCCATAGCACCACATCCTGTGTCATATTAGCGATCGTCAACCGTAGATCAAATGCATACTCAACATACCAGCAGTCATCAGAACGCTACTTCCAATCATCAACGTCTTGATATGGCCCTTCATATACGACAACAAGCAAAGCGTGATACATGCACCGGCCAAGATACCATATCCAACAGGTAACGAACGAAATCCAACACCCACGGGATCATGACCAAACTGGTTAAAGCTTTGTGTTGGCCAAAACAGAATGACAGAAATGAAGTTCGCGCCGGAAATCCACGTGATCAGTAATGTCAGACCGAGCGTGCGAGGTTCCTGCATTATCTTTCCTGGTATCATGGGATAACGAGCTCCGTAGACTTCCCAGAAACCGAAGGCGACCAGGATGAAAAATCCGAGAATGAGGGGGACAAGGACATGGGCTGTCGTCCAGGAGTACTATTCGTATACAGGGGTCAGTTCCTGTTGGCAATACAACAGGAAAAGGGAAAGGGGCAAACCTGATAACCACCCCATTGCATGCCAGCCAAAAAGAAGATCAATCCAGCTATACTCAAAAATCCACCGACGAAATCAATCCTCGAAATGATCTCCTTCTTTGAAAGACCTTCACTCTGATCCCGCTTAGGAGGGAAGTAGAAGAATACAGTAAAGAACAACCCGAGTCCGTTCCAGATACCAGCGAGTAAACCGACGTATCTCCAGTTTGAGTGATAGGCAATCAATTGAGCCCACATCACGGAGGCGGACCAAGGGAGGATTGTGAATATCAATGCTGCAACGTATGTACCGCGTTTGCGGGTTGGTGCCATTTCGGCAGTCGCTGAGAGGGCTGTTAATTCGTTGATACCTGTTATAAATGAAGTTTAGTATGTGGTTTCCGTGGGAGATCTTATCCAAGGAAGTTTACCTGCGCCAGCACCGGAAATGGCCATGCCTCCGATAAAAGTGTTCATCGTATTGGCCGTGCTTGATACTATCAATCCGAGACAGACGAGTACAGCACCAAGGATGGCGACGTATCGACGGCTCAGCAAATCTGACAAGCTACCAACGAATGGACAGATACCTGCTAGTGCAAGCAAGTTTGCCAAAACCTAGTGTGCATGTCAGTTGTGCTCATACCAAGGTACCCAAGCGGGCGTCTATTGTCCATTGGAAAGAACGTACAAACCAGATCCAACGATCTGCTCCACCTATTGAAGCATAGATATAGGGAGGAATACCGCCGAACAGGTAGATAGGGATTTGAGAGCCTTAAAGATTTCCTGTCAAATACTCTTCTTTGTGGTATAGATCAGAGTGTGGCTATTTTGACTTACCAGTCCAGAGGAACGCCATTGCAGTCAAACCCAGAAACCGCTTCATAGTCATCTATGAATTTGTCAGTGGATGGCTATGCGGGCAGTGAATCTTGGAGTAGGTAACATACAGGTGCATCGTAGGAATCGCCAATCTCTTCAATAATCGGGACCGCCTCCAGATTACTCTTAGGGCTTGACTGAGTGCTATCAGCCGTGCCATGGCTGAACGACGGCGACATTTCTTTTGTATCCATTTTGGCAACAATGGATCTATCTGATATGAATGTTGACTGTCGATAAGTAGAGGTCCAAAGGAAGAAAAATCAAAGTCATATATATAGGACCGCTGACCGAATACGTCAGCGAGTGAACGAGTCGGAAAAGGCTGGCCAGCATCTGCGGTGTTTCAGCAGTGCAAGGGACAAAACTGGACTTTTTATATGTAGCATGGATCTTCTACGAATTGGCTAGGCATATGCGTTAGATTTTCATGACTAGTTGCGAACGTGCAGTTACACTACGTACCTAGGTATGTTTCGGTACGATTCGGGTCTGGAAATCAGTGAACTCTGAGGAATCTTATGGCTGGCCAGTAGCCAATCTCGAACTGATCGAGTATGTATCATTGTGTATTGCTTCCAAGCCCCGAGCCGATTGGAGGTTGAGCAAGGGATATCATCTACTGTCCCTCCCCCCGCCTTGCAGAAGCCGGATCTGCTAGAAACTACTAGACCGCAATTATCGGGGGTTTTCTCTTTTGGGATGCAAGAAGCGGGATATTCTGTTTTAGATCAATTGATACTTGGCCTAGGCTCTGGGCATAGTGGCGGGCATATTCGTTCTGCTTGGGCTGTTTAGTTTACGCGTAGCCTTACCCCATATTTTTGATAGTGCCCACAACTAAGCCTAAGAAAGCCTAATTTTCCCGGCGTGATCAGCCAACCCCGCTGAACTTCTTAACTAAAGTTAATTACTCGTCGCCCATACAAACGTTTCAAGAGACTTTGACATGGAAAACTTCCGGCTTCTAAGCCAGGCAGCTGAAAGATTGTGTGCAAATAGAGTTCTCAAATTGTCCCGCGGCACCATTCTCCAATTCTCCTCGACATTTGCAATCTATTTGAAAGCCTCCCCCGCATTTTCAACATCTTAGCGTGGGCGTGGATGATAGATGAAAGTGGAGCTAACATGCCAATCCATTGGATCCAGGCCTATCATTCCAAGAATGTGTCTTTGAAATTTGAAAGTCTACATTTGGCGGATACGAGTCAATTGGCTTGTCCCCCGGAGCTCCCTGTCGGATTAGGGCAAAAGAGCGACACTTAAGATCTAGTGTACTCTAGAAACAGTCAAGACATAGGAAGAATTCATACAACAGAAACTCTAGGATGAACTAGACTGTTATCAAAGTGACAAAGTCCTATTAGTCGGTCTACATAGTCTTTGGTCATTGAGTCATTGATCTCTAGCTAGACGCTGGATCTCAAAGAGTTTGATAGTATTGACTGTTTCATGGACTCTGATAGAATACTAGACCAGAAACTGTCTCATTTTTCTCTCAAATAGCAAAGAATGAGAGGTGTGAACTCTAAGACCAAGCGGTCATATGGTCAATCATCATGGATTGAAATAATAAACTGGGAAAGTCAAAGCCAGCAGAAAGGAAATTCCTCTCAATGTTATATTCAAAATCTCTCTATCTTTTCTTTGCTTATCTAGACTTTGTAGTTTGTGGTTTGATGTTAAATTTTCGACTGGAACTGGATCTGAGGGTCTCTTTGTCAGGGCTTTATGTCCAAATCAACCTCTGTGCTCTCCTTTGGTAAGGACAATATTATTATTATTATTAATCATGTTTATAGGACAATATTCATATAGTGAAGCTTTAGCTATCTCTTTTTCAATGCCTGTTCACTTTATCTGACCGTTATTTTCTGAAATAGCCTGCCTTCTCTTACTCACTTCCTGCTTCCCTGTCTCTCCACCCTGTGGACGCTTATGCTGAATGCTATATATATCCCAGGTTCCGCAAGCTGCCGTTCCATGGTTGTCAGTTTCGTCTGGGCAGAAGTACAACTGTTTTCCTTTTATATCATGTTTGCATAGAAATCCGCCTGGTGCATGTGAGCCATCAGTCTCCATGCCAAACATCCTACAACGATATTCGGCTCAGGGCACCACCAAGCCCGCATGTATCTTCAACAAATTCTACTATATCAAGTTGACAAAATCAACGTCTCGGACAATGAATGACTTCAAGATCGCTTTGCTTGAATGCTTCAGCACAAACGCGTATGGCAAATATGTTTCTCAACTGAATACATATTCTCGCTTGCCAGCGATCTTCCTCCGACACCAACACTACCTTGAAACACACGGATTATCCCATCCTCATATAGTAGAACCTGGCTATAACGAACAGAAGGCCTCTCAGGGTCTAAGCCCATATATCCAGAATTGAATTCGATTTAGGGATGAAGGGCTCCTCTAATATATTAATCCATTTCAGTATTAACAACTCGGAGACTCTTCAGTTCCATACTAAAGTCGTCCAAGCTGATATTAGTGGAAATGCGGAGTGGCCTTCCTTTCATTATAGCCAGGTTTTACTGTATTGAATAGTCTCTTTTTCAGCCTAAATATCAACAGCAATCGACCACGATCTATGGCTACCAGCTCGGCTCTGGACATCGGGAGCTTATCGAAACTAAGGGATATCGAGACCACAGACAAACCTCAATCGGTATACCTCTAATGTACTGTCTCTCTCCTCCAACCTTCCACGAACAAATCCATGGCTCTATCACACACAACACACAATGTACACCATTTAGAATTATCCGCAGCAGATCGAACAGCGCCTTGACTCAAGTCGGTGTCCAATATATGCTGTGAGGGGGTTTCCTTGTTTAAGGGGAAACTCCCAAGGACAAGTCATAAGCAGCCTGGAAAAAGTCTGCGGATATTTCTGCTATGACGAGACGATCAAAGTAGGTCCGGGAAATTGTGCGAGCAGTCTTGTTCTTTGCGGAGTGCACTTTTTCAATTTACTCCGGTCGCTTAAAGATGATATTGTCTCGACTTCGATTTCAAGGTTATTGCGCGTCTCGCGTCTTGATCAGAGCAAGGTGAGACAGCTCGGACAGGAGAAATTCAACAGCCTACCTCAAATCCGTCACCATCTATACTTCTTAATTATTAGTAAAGTCTTGAGAACGATGCATAAAATAAGACTAGCTAGAAGGAAGTTACCGTACACAGCTTGCTCCAGTCCCTACGACTCGCCTACCCTGTTACCGATGGCAACGATGGTAATCGTACGCTAGCCCAAGAATCTACCACAAGGTACGAGGCTGAAAAGAGAAAACACCTCTGCGAAGCTGGAAATAAAAGAGACCAATCCTGGAATCTGTAAGCCTTGAGCACAGATCACAGCCCATACCTGCCGCAAGAGCTGTATTAAAAGAAGCGGCTCCCGCCGTAGTTTAGACAAGACTTATCCTCAAACCGAGTGACATAACTTCGTATCAAGGATTGCCTAGCCATAGCGTGTGTTCAAAAGCGCTCCTCTATCCTGCGAAGCGACAATCCCTTGGGCACAACAAACAAAGCTTCACATCTACAATAAACCTTCTTGGTTATCGGATCAAATATTCCTCCCGTGACATACGCCTTTCGATCTGTAGAGCGCTCCTTGTCCAAATACGCAACAACCAAGTATGGCCGATCGCTTTTGACCGCGTTTATGTATTTGATGTCGAGATGCGCAGTAACGCCGGTGTGAGCAGGTACAGATCGTATCGCAACTCGACCGAGAGTCTCATCCAGAACAGTCGCCAAAATTCCCCCATGAACAATCCTCGGCCATCCTTCTAGGCTCTTTCCAAAATGGACTACATTCACACACCTCTTTTGCTCTTCGTTCCAAAAGATTTTCTAAGCACGGAAATCAGATTGTTAGCGCAAAGCCACTCGTATGAAGATAGAGTTTAATAGTGAGCATATGAAGCTGTCGCATGTGTACCTGAACTGCAAGACCTCGACTCCCTCTCAACGGACCACTAGTAAGTCTTCGCTCCTTGTCTCCATTCGAAAAGCCGTCATATGCTTCCCATTCAACAAACCTGGGATCTGATCTCGCTTCCCAAGTAGCTGGAAGATTGTCGAGCAGTTTCCCGATCAATTTCACATACTTCACATCCTGTACCGAATCTGGTTCAGTAGGGAAGCACTGCTCGTAGATATAGCTTTTCCCAAAGAAGTAACCTAAACTACCAGATAAGAGCCCCAAGATTATTCTTCGTCTCCATCTCGATCTCTTGGTGTTTTCGGTATTGTTTAGGACGTATGTTGTGAGGTTGCGGACGGGTGTGGAGGTCAATTGCGCGGGAAGAATGTCGCGACGAAGTGGTATAGGAACGCTGCGGAAAAGTAATGTATTGTATGATTTCTTCAAAACGTGAAACATTTTTATCTGTTCACCGGTAGAGAGTATGAGTACATTCTGTGGTGCCACGGATTATCGAGTTGAGATTGTTCAATCTGGGGTTGGATTGTGGAGTTGGATGAAGCAACCACGTCAGTCAGAGCCGCGGCACACTAGTTCCTGGGGTTAGGGTTATAATACAGATTCGATACATTCAAGTTATTTCATTCCAAAATCTGTATATCAGTCTACTGGGTAAAATATATCCTTCCTCTTATTCGAAAATTCTACAAAAGCAGCGTGGAGTAACGCTTGTCTAAGCATTAGATTCAAGTCTTTTTCGTGCTCAACATGTACATCCTTAATTAACGTCAATGCAGAATATGCTCAGTTTGCCCTATATTTCAAGTAGCTTTCGTTCATGCGCTATCAAATAAAATATCCGTAACGACATCCTGTATAAAGACACCCATATCGAAATATTCGTAGATGTCACCTTGTGGTGTTTAGTCTTCAGGGTCATGCAGCGAAAAGCGGGCGCAACTAAGACTGAAGCTCGTCTTTGCTAGGGAGATCGATCGCTCGATAAAGAAGAATCAGTGCTGAATGGGATTCGCCTAAGATATCTGTCAGCAAGGTGCAATACCACGGCAGCGCAGGTCGTCTTACCTCCACCGGACAAGGTTTCAATCTTTTCAGCATCCACCTCGGTTACCTTGTCGTCATTGAACCACCACCATTTCCCATCATCTTCACGTCGCTTGCCACCAGGAGCGCGAGCATCATCAACAAGACGGCCTTGCTTTTTGACGTATGCAGTGTAATGACCGCTGTCCGCACTGGCGCCTTGATGGGTAATCACTCCTCGCAGTTCATAAAGACCTGATTGATTAGTTCCATCGTCGGTGGCTAGACTCGGGTCAATGAGCTCGAAAAGCTCCTTTTTCGCCTTAAGAATAGCGGCCCTCCTCTCAGCTTCGTACTCTTCATCAGACTTGAACACGTCGTCCATAGCGGTATCGCCATCTTTGTCGGTGTTCTTGCTGGTCTCTGCATCCTCTGCCTTTTTCTTCTTCTGCAAGGGTTCAGCTGGCCGTCCTGATTCGGCGTCTGCTTTTCGGTCCTCTTCTTGTCGATGTGCCAGTTTTTGTCGCTTCCGGGCGCGCTCGGCATCCTCCTCATCCTTGCGAATTTCGCGTACTTTGTCTCTAACGGGGATCAGTCTCTTCTTTAACTCATCCGTACAAAATTCGACGACGTCGAGTTCGGCTGGAAAGGTGACTTTGCGCATAATCTTCGCTTTCTTCTGACTTTCCCGTTTCCAGTAGAACCGAACAAAATGAACCGTTAGATATTTAGGTAGTCGAGCAATACTCGACTTTTTGGTGTAAATAGCATCATGGCCTAGCACAGCTGAGCGTTTCTCGATCTTTTCTTCCAAGCCAGCCTTGATTCCATCACCCAAATGGTTGATATCCTTGTCAATGTGACAGTCCAGCTTAAGGAAGACATCGGAGGAGTTGACGGGTTCTTCACCGGCTTCTTTGCCAGCTGGCTCATCACATTCGATAGTAGATTCAAACCGACCACTCATGTATTTATCAACGAACGAAGTCTCAGTCTCTCCATCTTTGATCTTTAGCCTCTGGCGCAGCTGGGTCAAGATCTGTGACCAAGCTTCCTCAGCATCCTGTTGCGCATATCCGTGACCGTTCTGGGCTTTTTGTGCGAATTGTGGGAATGTGTTTCGGAGAACGTTCAAGAACATCAACGGTGGGAAACCTTCCTGAGTTTCTGACATTTGTTTGTACAAGTCCCTCAAGGATCCAGTCAAATCCGACGACGCGCCAAGACCTCCGAGACCGAGTTCGCTCAAGCGAGAAGCTCCATCGGATGAACTTGTTGAACTGTAACGTAAAAGTTCCTGTTGTAGTTCCGGGATACCTCGTAGAGTCTGTAGGGTCGAGTTTAGATAGCAAGTATTGCCGAGATTTTGCAAACCAGCTGGGGTGGCCCCCTCAGCCCGAGCAGCTTCTGCCTCTGTCATATCCTCGAGAAACTTGACCGCCTCCTTGGGGCGAGCCAAACCAGCCGATCCGTCAGCTCCAGATGGAGTTCCCATCATCATAAAAGTCTGCCCAGGCTTCGCCTTGAGGGTTGAGAGTTCGGTGTCATCTTTGAGCTGGCCACCTTTGACTAAGATCTTTTGCCTTTCAGGTTCGACGCCGGTCAGGGAGTACAGTTGGAACTTAAAAGTTTCGCCGTTCGATGATGGATCGAGCTCGACATCGTAGCGTTTGCCCTGATGCTTGACGATGACTTTTGTATTAATCAGCACTTGAGCTTCTGCAAGCTAAGCTTCAGATGAAGGAAAGGAACAAACCTGGTATCGTAGCCATGACGAGAGAGGGTAAATCAACTCCAAGGACTTAGTCCCTTTTCAAAAAGGAAATGAATATCAAAAGAAAGAGATTCGAGAAGATGCAAAGAGGTTGTTGAAAGCGGTAAACAAAGCCCGCCACTTGCGGGGAGCGATTGACGACACTGTTGACGGAAGCAAACAGTGCAAACACCAAGACCCGAGCTGCCATCATCGCAATCATGCCGCCTAAGCTCCCCGCAACAACAACTACATACAATACTACGAGCATTCAATGACTTGGTGCGAGATTGACACGACCGTATCGTGTTAACAGACCATCGGTACCTTCTGATTCTAAGTCCAGTCATTGAACTGCATGATTGACTAATACGATATCCCGCTGGCTGATCACCAACATGGTAAGATGGAGTTACATATCCCCAACCGCTATTCTAAGCTGACTATTCAGTCACAATCTCTCCGTCCCTATCTCCAATGCGTCCGATCCTCCTTGACGGCGGCTCTTTCTGTATCCAATTTCGCATCCCAGACCTCCGAGAGACATAATGTTCCGGAAATCGAAGCTGCCAGCTCCCCCGAACTGCTCTTGAACCCGCTCACAGTAGCCCGCAACGAGAGCGAGCGGGTCCTGATTGAGCCCAGTGTGAACAGTGTGCGCGTTAGCATTCGTATCAAGCAAGCCGACGAAATCGAAAATATTCTAGTACATAAGTTTACAAGATTCTTGACTCAACGTGCGGAGTCGTTCTTCATCTTGCGACGTAAGCCTGTGAGGGTATGTTGTCTTCCACTTTCTACCATTGATACCCGACGGATTCTGACTAGTCCAAGGGATACGACATTTCTTTCCTCATTACCAATTTCCATACCGAAGCCATGTTAAAACACAAGCTCGTCGATTTTATAATCCAATTGTATGTCTTTCCCATTGGATCCTACCAGTTTGACCTGCAACCTCGAAGGAATTCCGAATACTAACGAACAATACAGCATGGAGGAAGTAGACAAGGAAATCTCAGAAATGAAACTCTTTGTACGTTCTATTGTCCCAGTCTAATTCCTCTTGTTTGCATTGAGCTGACTCACCTTGAATAGTTGAATGCACGAGCTCGATTTGTTGCCGAGTCCTTTCTCACTCCAGTAAGTGTCTGGTCCCATAACCCATCTGGTCCTAAGACTAACAATAGGGCTTCTAGTTTGATTGATTCAGTGATATCTCTTAGCCTTGTTATTTTGAATTTCAAACAAATTATTGTTATATTCATTGTCTATTGTAAATGTAGATGCTTCAATGAGGTTAGTTGGTAGTCTGTGCATGGTAATCACTGGTCTATTTCAGGGTAAGTGGTATTTATCGTCCAATCTGTTCGTCTCATCCCATTAGGGTAGTGTACAGACACAAATCAGTGTAGAGAGCATATCAAACAGAATTTTAACATGATGTAACCTATAAACACATCTGAATACTGTTTACCTAATGTAGACTCTACTAGCTACCTAACAGTAGAGAGAATAGCTCCCTAAATACTTGGCAACCCTCAAAGCTCAAAGATTTCATCTTGTTGGTAGTATCACACTTGACTTTCATGCTCCTTGATAGGTATTATAGCAAACCACCAAGCTGAGGTTGATTGTCTAATCCTCCCACTGACTTGACTCTTATTCAAACCATTCAATCTATAATCTCATGGGAGTTCCTGTCTCAATATCTCACAAATAGAACCATTGATAGGATAGTCATCCCCATGACCTGCAAGAGACCAACTGGCCTCACGATCATGTCTCACAGGCCCAATGAGGTCTATTTCTGAAGCGGAGCTCACCTCTGGCTATGAAGATGAATGCTCTCACTATAGTAAGCGGGTCCCATTCATAGCTATAGCTCTGAATAGATTCACTTCTAGTAATGAGTTTGGACAATACTATTTGGCGATATGAATGAAATCTGAGAAAGCACCTCTTGAGCTCTATTCATAATTTCACATTCACATAAAGGGGTCATCTTGCACCTCGCCTCACTCTCCTTTTTCCTCCTGGACATTCTCTTCACTCACGATGCACATATCTTCACTCATTTTCCTTGAAATCATGCCTCTTGACAGTCTCTGAGATCAATCTTTCCTTGTCTTCACATTCATTGTTGTCCTCGAGCCTCTCGTTTCGGTGCACACATCTTGTTTATTCCTCAAGTCAAATAAGGACCGAGCAGTCATGTATCCCCAGTATTCAGGATACTCTGCTGGCAGAGGTCCTTTTCAGCGAAGGGGACAGTCACGATACGGAGCCAGCCCGTTCGTTCTGCCTTCGATGAGAAATCATATCTTTGCTGCTGGTTCCCAATTCACGCAGGCCGGCCACACTCCATACCACTCTCAACCGCAGCCTCCGCAGCCCATCCCTAATCCCCTGCCGAACCAGGTCAACCATCGTCAGCTTTATGATCGTCAGGTGGAGCAGTTTCTAAATGAGCAGCGCGCAAAGATCCAACAGCAAATGGAGAAGCGCATGGCCATTCAGCAAAAGATAGATCAACAGAAGGCAGATCATTTCGAACTTTCAAAGGTACAAGCCAAGCTGGGCGATGGAGTGTGCGAGGTCGACAACTTCCCATTCAAAGATCTGGCAACCGCTCAGCAGCCCAAGCAGTACGGAGTAGTCAAGATTACTAATGTAAGTCGCCCCCTCTCAACATATATACACACTCCTTGCTAACATAGCACAAGCTCCCTTACGCTGTCACAAGGCATGAAATACATCAGCTGATGGGACGTCACGCTGGCATTGTCGGCCCTGAACTCGGTGGAGGCATACACATCATTATGGAACGGTCTACCGCAAAGACCATGGACGCCTTTGTGGAATTCAAATGCGAAAAGGACGCCAAGCTGGCAGCACGTCGCCTCAGCTTCACCGAATCTGGACGTTATCCTCGCCTTGGAACACGCCATGTGGACATCACACTCAGCTCACATGATGAGTTGCTTCACGACGTGTTCCCTCGAGCAAAGTGTATCGAATGGCAAAATGGCGTGCCAGTATTGCTTCAAAATACCGACCCTTACTCTGTTGGCTTCCAGGGTTTCTTAACAAAGGAAGAAATCCGCGGTTTGGTCGCTCACGCCAAAAATCCCGCTCGTGTATGTGACCCTTCTGATTCGAGAATGATATGATTCTAACCGTTTCCAGTCTCCATTCACCGAACGTTGCCGTCAGCGCGCGTATGAATGCCTGATCTCTACTTTGTGGAAGGTAGGAACTCCCGTCATGTTTAGCTTTCATGGTATAATGTGTTTGACATGAAGTCAGTTTCCTTGGTTCGCTACCTCCATGTACACCGTTGCTGATCGAGACGAGCTATATCAAGCAACCATACAGCAGGTGCTTGAACTTTGTGAGAAAGTCAAACAGCGCCGCGTCATCGGTCTCAATGAAGCACTACTTGTCGACCTTCTCCGTGCCGGTGTCAACTGTCCCGCCTTCAATGAGAGACAAAAGTTTTGCTTAATTGATGCTGCTGAGATGCCAGCATTTTGGCCTCTTGTTCACCGAAACCATTTTGAATTCTGGCCATTCGACTGCTTAGCAAAGAACAAGTCTGCTAGCGAGTATGATGTTATGGTAATTTCCCCCCTGATTCAGACTTCTGTGGTAACAAGCAAAAGCTAACCGTATCTCTGTTAATCAGTACTACACCCAACTGATCCGCAAAGCCCTTGGCACTTGTGACAAGGACAATCTGGCCATCCCCAACAACTGGCGCAATCGAGTTGGGCTGGCAAAAGAATCCCCTTGGGGTCATCTATGGATCGAATGGAATTTTCACAACAAGACAGCAAAGTTCGAGGATGCTGCGAAGCTTGAGCTCCAGCTCGCTCGTGATTTGATTCGAGCCGCTCTGAATGTGCAACCCTATAGGGCAATCCAGACTATCGCAGGGCCTTTGATTCTCACAAGCCCAGGCCCGACACAGGGTTTCATGAAACACCAGTCTGACCCTCTCCCAGATCCTTGGGCTAAGGAGGTCACCAAGCGTGAGGCTCTCAATCACAATTCTCCAACGTCACAATACACCAACCAGAATCCCATGACAACTGTAACTTCCGACGATGACAGTTTAGCTTTAGCTTTTGGAGGTGTCCGTCTACGTTCTGGCACCAGCTCGACTACCACCGGGCCGATTAGTCACTTTGGCTCGACCAACGGCAGTTTGGCCACGAATGAAGCTGATATCTATGCAGTATCGCTGGAGAACAAGCCAAAGGTTCCCAACGACCATCGGGTTCGGCATCAGCATAGTCAATCATTTTCGGCTGCTGTACCTCTCAGGGCCCATTCTGATCTCAATCGACCCGTTCCTGTTCGTCGCAGTGGAAGCATATCCATTCCACCTACCATTCCAAGCGCCAGCGGATGCTCTGAGGACTTGGACGAGTCATTGCTCTCTCATCGCTCTAGTAGACTGTCGCAACCTGCTGCTCTGTTCCCGACAAATGTGGGTACCGATCAAAATACGGACCTGAGCGGCAACAGTCACAATATCAATACTCTGATGTTGCAGCATGGAATCTGGTCTACTACTCCATCTGACCTGGTCTCCTATGGTGGTTCGGGCAAAAATGATTTCGGATCAGCGGAAGCAGAAAATCGTGGACGTAGCGAGCATTCAAGCCGTCATACTTCCAACCCCTCGGTGTCCAGTCAGCAACGAGGTCTTACCGTTCTGTCGGAAGACGAGGAGGATGTGTTTAGCAAGGGCACTTGAGCCTTGAATAAACAACATCAAAGTCCAGTTGGTGTTTTCGACGTCATAGTCAACATCATGAGCTGAGATTCCCTTTGGGCTCCTGCACATTTTGTTGTCTCTTTTCAATCCATGGTTGTTTGTAGCGGAAGTCACTGAACGAAAGTTGAGCATGGTGATTGAGTCGGAACAAGACTGTCTACCAGTCTGATATGATTGCTCCCTTTATTTCGGTCGGTTTCCTCTTCTTTTTTTCTTAAGTGATAAGTTCTGCTTTTTCCACTCCTGATCATGAGTCCACAAAGCTGAATCCTGTCTTTGTACCTTTTACTAGGCACTCAATTATATGTAGCGAGTTTGATAGTCCATGTCCTAGAAGGATACGACGAATGAATCATGGATCATCTGAAAATGCCAATTTCAGTGCCATTCGCCAATAGTGATAGAACAATGAGTACAGTAGAACCTGGTTATAACAAACAGAAGGCCTCTCAGGGCCTAAACGCATATAGCCAGAAGTGAGTTCGATTTAGGGATGAAGGGCACCCCCCCAATATGTTAATCCCTTTTAGTATTAACAGATTGGATACTCTTCAGCCCCATATTAAAGACATCCAAGCTGATACCAGTAGAAATGTGGAGTGGCCTTCCTTTCGTTATAGCCAGGTTCTACTGTAGCCTGAGGTACTGGTAGGGTAGCCGTTCTTTGTGATGAAATTTGCATCAGAAATCTATGTTCATGTCAATGTCTGTCTCATCGAATTCAGGTTTCAGAGCGGATTCTTTCTGTCGAGTTGTCTCTGCCTGTCTCTTAAGGCCTTCAATTCGCTTTCTCTCCTTCCTAGCCTGTGGATCTTCCCAGTCAGGAGGCTGCCTTTTATGAGCAGTATTGGGCGTGCCATCCAGACCCATCTTATAAAGATCGAGTAATCTGTTCTGGAATCTTTCCACACGCTCTTTATTGACGCCAAATCTGTCATTTGCGAGAGCTACGAGCATTCGTAGATACTCTTCCGTGACCAGACTTCGCATCACTGGTTCCGAGTCGTCTTCAACATATTCGCAGTACCCGATGACAGATTCAAGAGCTAATCCAGAAGAGCGAACGGCAACAATTGGGCTGTGTGATGCAGTATCTGTCAAGTGCTGGTTTGGACCACTACTATGTGAGACCTCGAGACACCGCAAGCTCTGAAGTCCACTTTCACGAAAGCCTGCATGGCTCGCAGCGGCTAGGACTGGATGGGCGTGATGAAGAGTGGCCGCCATAACGTGTAGGATCTGGAAGCTGTTAGTTTTGCATCAAATAGAGTAGAGACTTAGCACACACCATTGGATCGTAATGAAAGCGAATGAGCCGGATACTCGCATCACTTGATGTGCTGGTTTTTGGGACTCCATCTCCAGGAACAAGGCCAAAGAGCTCATGATATGAAGACTTGATGTTGTCGACGGGATCATGTGAGACGTACAACCACCTTCCCTCGCCCTTTCCGCCGGAAGGAGCGAACATCCTTCCTCCTTCCCTGCCGTCTCTATCCTCATTCTCAGTTTTCTCGTCTTCAAATTGACCTTTAACCTGGCTAGCAGCTTGGTTTACAGCTTGTGACTCTTCATCTGCTGCAGATATGGTATCTGTCTTTTGTTTCTTCTTCGTCTTTTTGCTCCCTTCCACAAAAACGCTTACTCTTCCAGCGCAACTGCTAGTGGTCACGAGGCCGTCCAAAGCATTGATGTCTCTGATCAAGTCGCGAATACCTTCATCGACCGACCCTTTCGGAGACAGATCCGTATATTCCGCGTCGGGAACAGACAAATCAGATAAAATTTTGCTCTTACGTGCCACGAACCCGGGCGGAATGGTAGCATCGCCGTACTGCAACGGTGCGATCATTTTGTACTGCTACCTGGCTTTTATTTTCGAATATCAAGGGTTGGAAATGGGCCGAATTTTTTGACCAATCGTCATGCTTCCCCAAGCACACCACAATGCAATGACGCTAAACAGAGAATATCGAGCTATGAAAAGACGAGTTGCTTTTTCTGCGGTTGGAGGCGAGTCAGATGCCTTGTGTATTTTTGGTATTTTACTGTGACAGGGGCGGTAAGCAGGTATTTATTACCGCCTGTTCGTCACAATCGATGGGTTAGTTCAGTCCGTCCCGCTATGATATGCGGGTCTCTCTGTTCACTGGCACCGATACAAGTTGACTTTCTGGTTGCTTGCCGGCTAACCAGAATTATTTGGTTTCAATTTTATTTCTCACTGATTCGGGGTTTCTGAAGAGGGTACTATTATTTAGGTCAAAGCTCTGTGACGACGCACTACTAAAGGGATAATTCCTAGTCGCTTGTTGGTAGTACAGCAGCAGAACTAAATACATACGACTTAGAAGGGAGCATGCCTCGTCGCTCAACAAGGCTTTCATTGGGCGAAAGCCCAGCTACCGAGGTAGATACCAAGAGGAAACGACTTTCCGCGGGTTCTACAATCAAAAGTACCGCCAAAAAGAGCAAGTATTTTGAAGGTTCTGATACCGATGAACCAGCCAGTGACGTCGACGGCGATTCCGGCTCGGCTTATGAGGAAGAAGCAGCCGCTCACGAGGATGAAGAATCAGATGACGAAAATAATGCATATGATGAAGAGTCTGAAGAAGATAAGCCAAAGAAAAGAGAGCGTGGTCGGCCGTCAAGCAGCGCAAAGGCGCAGAAGCAAGATTCGGACGACAGTGCAGAAGGTGTACCTGCCTCAAAGACAGCCAAAGGCCGAGAATTATGGCGAGAGGGAGTCAAGACTGGGCTAGGTCCAGGAAAGGAAGTCTTCATCAAGAAGCCCAAAGCACGAGATCTCGGTGGCATAGACTATAAGGATGATACGATTCACGCGAACACTATGCTTTTCTTGAAAGATCTCAAGGAGAACAACGAACGGCAGTGGCTAAAAGGTATTGGTGCACCCTTGGTGTCCAACGTGTATATGCTAACCAATCGGCAGCACATGACGCCGACTATCGAGCTTCCAAAAAAGATTGGGATACGTTCGTGGAGACTATGACCGAAAAGATCATCGAGAAAGATGAGACAATTCCGGAACTACCTGCCAAAGATTTGGTTAGTCCTGCATCAGCTTCTTGCGCAATATACCACCAACCCTAACAGCCGACAGGTTTTTCGCATACATAGGGACATCAGATTTAGCAATGATCCCACTCCATATAAGGCAAGATTTCCCTCGTTTCTTGCCCTTATATTCGAACCGTCTCGTATTTGTCGAGCACTATCCTTGGCTAACGGAACCATAGACACATTTCTCTGCTGCATGGTAGGTATCTTTTGCTACATACTAAACCTGCGAGCTGGCTAATCTAGACACAGGAGTCGTACAGGACGCAAGGGTCCGTATGCAGCGTATTATCTACACCTCCAACCCGGGCACTGCTTTATAGGTATGTATGTGCGTTCCGTTCCATTGAGGGATCAACTCTGGACTCCTGAAGCCAACACGATCGGTTCTGCCAGCCACATGCAGTACCCGGTTACGCGGACTAGGCAATCCAGAGGAAGACCACAACTCCACATAGCAACTAGATATTATGTTTTTCGTGTGACGAGGGCTTGTTGACGATTCCGTGATGCCATAGGTGCGGGGTTATGGATGCCAGAGGCCAGCAAACTGGCTCTTCTTCGGAGAGACGTCGATCGGAATTCCACGCGACTTAAATCTGTCCTGAGGAATGCAGGCTTGAGAAGAGAGTTTTTCAAGGGTATACCCGACGATGAGCGCAAAGCTGTCAAAGCTTTCGTGGATCAAAATCAGGAGAGCGCTCTCAAAACCAAACCAAAGGTAAGCTAGCTTGTTATCCCCTTCCTGCATCCAATCATCCTTCCCTTGTCATATGCCACAGCCGTTTGGTTTCTTATCGTTTGGCGGCGTTTAAAATGTTGTGTTGGGCGCTTCGACGTTCGGCGATCTCATCGGTAGGTAAGAAGACGCGTTCAAAGTCCATTGTAAAGAGGTGAAGCGCGTTTAGATCGTGACTTTGATTGATTGTGTTTTGTTTCTGCATTGCGGTATGAATGTCAACACTAAAAGATCACTTTCCTGGTCTCGATCCTTCAACCTGCCACTTAACAGTGCGTCGCATCCTGGCTCTGGCTGGGTCACCCGCGCCGGATATCGGAGAGCTTTGGCAAGACACAGAAGCAAGCTTGATATGCTCTTTTTTTATGTCCTTGCGGGAGTCAGTACTCAGACTGTCAAAGTACCCATGACAAACCACTCAATGCCATAACACGGGTTGATTTGATATAGAGGATGATGGTTGGAAGCCGCGGGTAGACGGGACGGCCGGTGACAGGCAAGGCCCATTCGTACCAAACTTTGGTGACTGCCCGTTAAGGCTACCAACCACCAAGCCTACTAATCATGGCCAGAGACTGTGACTACGACAGGACGTGGTATACGGATACTGCCAAAAGCAAGACATTCCTCTCACTCTAATTTCGAGGTCGTTCTTTGTGGTCAATAGTCATTCCTCTCCCTGTGTTTCTGTACTGTGTGCACTGTCTGGTGCAATCTGCCGACGCGATGGCTTCGACGGCGCTGCATAGTGCCGTTTCGTTCCATGGTTCACCATCATTTTCCGCTCCTTGCTAAGCTCTACGATTTTTTTCCTTACTAACACGGAACACATCAAGGGCTACGAACACGACAATCCCAACATTGACTTACTCAGATTGAGGAGCTATACAGTCGGAAAACCACTCCCGGATGAAATCCTACTCAGCCCCGATGCACAAGAGCGGATTGAGAGTTTGATAGAAGTATTGGTGCCTTTTGTAAGTGGTCCGGTGACTGTTACTTTCTATTCCTTTCCCCTCCTTCAGCTGCCTTTGCCTCTTCCCTTTCCATACCACATTATGATCCACCGACAAAGTTGCAAGTGCAACAGTCCTTGTGCATCTGTGGGAATTGGTTTCGAATTCACACCTCGTTATTCGTCCAGATCCACCCGCTCTCGGTCCGCCTTTAGCGTTGACAACCCCTCTCTTTTCCAATTTTACTCAAAAAAGAGGGCATGGTAGAGGATGAAATAGACTCCAGGCTTTGCATTTCACCTGCATGTCGAGTCTCTTCCCTTTTAATGCTTCCTTGAGCCTATATCGATCAATCGATTGGCTACTTGGGATCAACTAGATTGAAACTTAATATTCCCTCACTCGATTCCCTTCTCTGACACGAATGTCTGCTTCGGGCATACCCACAGCACCATTCCTTTATGAGGAATATGAGACCGGGCACTGACAATCATCTGCAGGTCACGTATCTGAACAGCGTCGTGATGCCCGATGACCCGCCAAGTGAAGGCGAGGATGACCAAGAAGATAGTGAATAGTGGCTTGGAAGAGTGTGCTAGTTGTCCTTGCAGCGATGTCGATTTGTTTGGATGTATGAAGTAAATTGACGTTGAAATAGCGGACCAATTCATATCCGGCATTAATCACAGCAACCAAGTTGAGCGTAGCCCTACCTTTGACTCGCATTAATTCTTCAAAAAACTGGCCACAAACAGGAAATAAGACTTTAAAGAAACAATAACTCGTAGTAGAGTGCGTGACATGGTCCGTCCGTTGATCTTGAGGTCTTGACTGCAGAGATGGATGCCCTCTTACTGTATGTACTTTTCGGACCTCAAATTAGTCATAAGCTTTCGGATTTCAACATCAAGATATCTCCGTGAATGTACAATGTTCAAGAAATATTCTGATCTATCAGATTTTTTTTCCCCTGCGTGTTCTAGGTCGTTACTACGTAGCCACGTCAATAGGGAATAATTGGCGTAATGCATGTCAGATGCTAGTTGCCTTTTTGTCCTAAGGTTGGTTGTTCGCTATTTGTTTGTCTTGATATCAGGAAAAAGAAAAGAAACGATCAGAGCGTCCTAGAACCTTGAAGCAAATGGTTATTATTGTTCTTTGGGTTGGCATAACTTGGTATAAATTCTGTGTCTAAGTATCGACTGCGTGGCCTGGACTTTCTCAAAACTCAACATCAGGGCATGGAAAGGTCATGCAGTGGTGACTTGGCCCTTTCAATGCATTTTTCGTTTAACCATGAAAATGTTAGTCGGGGGATTCAATTCGTGTCCAGTTGATCAGCCTGTTCAATCAGAATAGACATCCACTAGTTATCCGTTGGCTGCAGTTCTGCTGTTGGGTTTTCATGCAAGGTGAGAGATTGTCACAAAGTATGGTTGTCTGCCAGCATGTACATACTAATCTATGCATGTACATATGTATAATGGTGTTGTTCGATTGACTCGCGCTTTCCTTGATGCTCCCTCCCGTTCAATGTTGTTGCATCAGTCTTTTATTGTTTCTCGCGACTCCATATAATCTTACATCTCCAAGCCCGTATCTTGCTGCTACTTGCATCGCATCAACCAGTACAAATCACACAGCGCATGTTGAATGTACGTAAATACTGTAATTCCAGCATTGATATCAAACGCGATACCCAGCCAGTCCTTACTAAGAATAAACACGACAAGACTGGCGAAGAATCTCAAGCATGAATGCCTGATCAGATGGTCAAGGATAGATTCTAGTGCCAAGTACGACAGTCACACCTGATTGGCTACTAGCAGAGCATGTGACCGAAACTGCCTGCGGGTTTCCGGGGTGGGGCGTCGAGGCGAGGCGCATGATTGGAGTCCCAGTAATCAGCGTGGCTTCGGTCCGCTCACCCTTAGCTGTACGAGTACCGGACACTAATGTATTGTCATTACGTTACCGTAGTGTACGCGTACGTATTAAGAAAACGAGAAATTTATCAGGGAAAAAAACGATCCTCGGGAATTAAGTCTTGGACTCTTTTCTCTCTCATGTGCCATGCATGACTGTACTAACTGGCGGTCAAGGCCGATTTTGATGTATGTTGACTGTTTAGTATTGAGCGGTGAAGAGACGGTGCAAGGGACTCGTTTGGGCTATTGGATCGATACAATTTAGGTCATTTTGATTAGAAATGATTTCCTGCGGGGAGTGAGGCTGTGATCAGTGCATATATGTATGAATTAGGAAATTAGGCCAGGTCGTACTCAACCTCTTTCAGCGTGCGACTGATCAAAGCAGGTACCCGAATCTAGCCTTATTATTGAGTCTTTATCCTCGCTTCAACACTGTCACTATCACAAATCATATGCCTTAAAAAACCATTGCCAAACTGCAAATGTTCAGATCTGATTCGTTCTGTGTGGATACAAGTGGATCCTATGTGAAATCCCGAATTCGCCCAGATCCATCATCTTGGGAAAAAAAGTAAATGAAAACGGAAAACTCCGTTTGGAACGGCGAACCAAACAATGTTTGGAAATCGAACCATGGTATGGACTGCGAGAAATCGTGTCGCTTGACCCGGTGACCATAATATGGGAATGAGTCAAGGATATTTTTCCACCTTCTACGATTGGCGGAATAGTCTGCTTGAACATTTGAAGACGACTGTACAAAATGACATCTTATAATTTATATAGACGGCAGACTGACGTGTAGCCCTATATGAACGACTAAGATAATCTTACACGTACGTGCAGCGGCTACACGGGCCGTTCTTGCATAAATGCTTTTTTTATGTGCCGGGATCCAGTGAGAGGGCAGGAAAAAGGGACAAGTCGAGTCAAACGAAGAGGAAAAAGGAGGTGGATTAAGATCGGAGACTGGTGGATCTCTTTTTTTTTGAAGAGGTAGGTCCACCGGATGAATGACGCGCAGGAAGTATGAAGAAAAATGATCGTGAAAAGATGTCGAAACAAGGAAATCAATCGTGGCTGAAGAAGGGTTGATTGGCTGCGAATGTATTTCGCTCTCAACTAATTAAATTTTTTTCTTCCTGGTTGATTGCTTCCGATTTGCGGTGGCAAAAAAACAATTTCGTATGGTTCTGGGATGAATTTTCAGCTGAGGACGAAACAAAAAAGAAAAAGGCCAAAGGTGACAAGGGAGGGACGGCTCGTCCGCGCCCACTTTCCAGGTTGACTAACACAACTAACATGTTTAGTCAAACTACATGATCCATGGATCATGGATACACAAAATGTGATGGCGAACGCTCAGCCCAACATATGAAAATCAATTGATTGGTGTTTTTTTTTTTTTTTTTTTTTTTCACACTTACTGTGTTTCGACCTCGGAATGATCCCTCAGTCAATAAGTCTCAAGTCGCCGACGCTTCAGTGTGGGTTTCAGCGGGTGAGTCGGAAATGGAATATCGTGACACATGCGCGCCTGCAGCTGAATTAATTCTCGTCACTACCTGCGTACGCTATTAATATTATTATCAGGTGGACATCAGCACATGGTTCTTATGACAAGCAATCCCTGTCGGGTTTTCTTCAGATTGGGCCAGTGATATACGACCCTCGGATATTAAACATGATTCAGTTGTCGTCATACAACCTTGGAACATCCTTGGGGCTTATTACGAGGTTTAAATATAATAATGTAGCTACCTAATCCTATGCCAAAAATACGAACTAAAGTAATTCAAATATCCACAATATGCACTTGCAAAGTAAATTGAGATGCTTTGTTGGCCCGAGATACGTCGTCGTAACTATCACGCCGGCGCGGCCCGCTGAGCAACCCGGCTAAGCGCTCATGCATATGCAACCGTTCCCCGTTCGACCTGCCTCTGTGGGCGACCTGTGCAGACCTTCGAATCACCTCGGAGTACATGAGAATGAAATCATGTGCCGACTTTAAATTGTAGATCAAAAGTATTTTAGTTTTAGGTGCCTTGTTATCGAAGTAACTGCTTGCGTGCGAAGATACACGTGACTAATTGGTCGATGCGAACTCGTATGTTTACCTACAGAGCCTGAAAACAGGCCTAAGGGTATCGGTATTACCGGTACACGGCAATACCAAGCATACAAGTGAGACACCAGCGCTATTTAAGCTGATCCATGGTTATGGCACTGGGTACTAAGACCTTCCTCCACCGCAAAAGGGCAAAGTTAAACACCGCTAGCCAAGTCTGTACACAGTCAATACAAGTGCAAGGGAACGGAGCAATTGTCATTCTCTTCGTCTGTTCTTGGTGAGTAATTCAACGTCCATACAATCTTATGTCTGTATCAAAAAACTCGACGGGACTTGTATCTTCTCTCTCTGTTAAGCTCTCCCGTCTGTCACATGGATGACGAATGATGAAATAACGAGTGACGAAGAGATGAGAATTGAGAACGCTCATTCGAGGACTGCAGATCCACGATCCATTTATTGCTTCTTTGAGCGTATCTTCTTCCCGTTCCGTCTCGCGCCTTGCCGTCTCCCGATCGCCTATCCACCCACCGTCATATCGCGTTAGGATATTTTCAGTATGTCATGATCGAAAGCTACTTCTGATCGCATAGACCGGTCCTCGTTCTTGTTCTTGTCTTCAAATTCTCATTTGCCAATTGGCAATTCGATAGATAATACGTGCGTGTAGTATTTACCTCGTATTATGGCATTTCACTTTCAATTCCGGCCTAAACTAAACAGCATTCCGCACCTGCATAATGGCCTCGAGAGTGACCGGGCGCGGTAACCAAGGATTACTAGGTACTAGTACACCGCTTTTAGTGCCACCCTCGACTAGTCAGTACCGTATCTGTATGTACGAGAGAAATACCTGACGAGGAGTTGATACAGTAAGTGCATGCAGCATGCAGTGTAGAGTATACGAAGGAAGGAACGATCGAGTTCCTGCCTGAACGCAGCAAGCAGCAGCAGCAGCAGCACAACTTGGGGAAGGAACCAAGTGACTTCCTGCCAGGTGGCATCGCATCGCTTCGCTCTCTTTGTGTACAACTTCATCCTCTTCTCTCTCTCTTCCTCTCTTCCTTCTTTTCACCTCTTTCTCATCTTTCGTCGCTCTTCCCCGCCAACTTTTTCATCCATTCATCAGATATCCTACCCGCTAGTTAATTCCAAAACAACGCCGCTACTTTCTAATTCCTTAATATGCAATACAATCAACCCGTGTCCACAACGGCTTACTTCGACTATTATCACATCACTAATCACTAACAGGCGTCAGGATTCCGTCCCTCGCGAACCAAGGTCGACCCTGCTGCAATCGCCGTTCTGCAGGCCTTGCTACCGGCCGTCCCTTTGCCCCGTCTTTCGTCTTCAATAGACATAAGTGCAACTCTCGAGGGTCGAGATAGTGCTGAGTGAGTGGGCTCTCTCCAAGTGGTCCGCGCCCACAGCCCCCTCCCTGTCCATAAAAAGAGTGTCCCCATCTGGCCCGTCAACCAACGAAAATTGGCGACGGCTTCCGGCGTACGAATTACGTCTCCAGCCGTTCCCGTCGACCACGCGAATACTAGTCTTGTGCATCAGCCGAGCACGCTGGTAATCATTGTGATTCGCCGTGCCCTGGTGCTGATTGGGCCCCATCCCAAGTGCTCTGCGCCGGCCCTTGTCGGCCCTGCCGGATTGTGTCCACCACTGTGCAGCTGCCAGCCCAAAGTCCAACACGCCCCCCGGTTCTACATTCCCAAGCTGACTGGCCCTACAACCTGATATCACACTTATTTTTTTTCCCTAACTCCTTCCCTCTTTACCCTTCCCCCCCCCCTCTCTTCCTCTCTCCTTCCATTTTCGCCTCTCCACTCGTTGTGACTGCAGCTTCACGCGTCTGCACCCTAGACTCAATGTCAAATCCTAGCGGTCAGGGCAACCATCCACAACAGTCGTGGAACAGCGAGAAACCCAGTCCTCAACACCCACAGCACCCGTCGTGGAACGCCGAGGACAATAATAACGTAAGTCAATCTAATAATACTCCCGGGCCTGTTTTCCAACATTATTGAGTCACACGCACCTGAGTCTTTATATACTTGACCTCGTCCACTACTGGTGGGACCTTGGTCATTTAGACTTTCCTCTCCTTCCATCCCTACCTACCTCTACTTCTTCTCTTCTTTTACATCTTACTCTCTCACCTGACCGCCCCTTTCTTCCATTACTACTACATACCCCAGGAAAGACCTTATTGGCCTTTGTCTCCACATGTTTTCATGCCTCGAAGATCTCTTCGCTGGACCAATCAATCTTCCATCACGTCACTGACAGCAGAGTTCATCAAACCAATAGCGTCCTTCGTCGACACGTCCCTCGTCAACATATCCACCGCCGCTCTCTTTTCAGTCGCATCCTCCAGCTCCCTATAACCAGCAGCCTTACCCGCAATCGGCATATCCTCCTCCTCCCTCTGCCTATCCTCCGGCACCACCATCTGGCATGGCTGCAGTTCACTCTCAAGTTCAAGGCTCTCAAGATCCTTACCATCGTTTACCTCCTCCACCGGCCCCTGGTCCTTATCAACGACCCGACATGTATGCTCAACCTCCACCAGGGCCTCAAGTGGTCTACCAAGCCGCGGCCCCAAGGCAGCGTACAGCCATAGCCTGCCGTTATTGTCGCCGTCGCAAGGTTAGCTATACCCTCCCTCTACAATGTACAGTTTTCAAGGAAAAGAAGTCATGGTTGACGTAAAGAGTTACAGATTCGTTGTTCGGGTTTCGAGAGCTCCCCTGATGGACGCTGCACCAACTGCGTCCGTTTCAACCAGGAATGCATGTTCACACCAGTGTCTTCGCAAGCGCAAGCATTTGTTCCCGCTCATGCCGCCTATCCTCATCTCCGTTCCCAGGCCCAAGCAGGGCGTGGTCGTGGTTATCCTGGAGATAACGTTGTCTTGTACGGTGCTCATGGCCAGCCACTTCCACCTCAACAAGCAATGCCCGAAAGCACACTTCCGCCACCACAGGGTGCTTATTATCAACCTCCTTATGGCCGTCCTCATGTCGATGATCGAATCCCGCCGCCTCCTATGCAGCACCATTTGCCTCACGATCAAGTAAGTTCAAATTAAACGCCAATTCAGCGCCGTGATCTAACGTACTGCCAGCGTCAGCAGGGAGGTCGACGCGGCTCAGGGGCAGGGTTCGAGTATCCTGAACCCATCAATCTAGCACCAGTTTCCACCGGCCCTCCCGCAGCAGGGTATCCTCCAGCACCGTATTATCATGCAGCACCACCACCTCCACCACTCGATAGACGTGCGTCTCCGCAATCATATTCTTACGATCGTCCAGGCTACCCGCCAATGCCGGCTCACGGAACTCCACCTCCAATCGCGACCCCAGGCTCTTCGCGTGGCCCGTTGAATGTTCGAGATATTCTCAATAACCCACCTGGTGATTCTACCGGCGCAAATGGTGGCCGTTCTAGTACGGACAGCGACATGCTCAATCAACTGAACCGAAAAGTATAAGATCTTCCATCATGGAAGCGCACCTTTCCGTCATGTTTGAGCTAAAGAAATGAGTCAACGCAAAACCAAAAAAAAAAAGAAAGAGAAAGAGAAAAAAAAGAAAAAACCAAATCTTACAAGACAGGATGGGCTATACGACTTTGTGCAGGTTGCGCGGCCAATATCCATCATTGCGAACGGCGAGCCGAAGCTGTACTATCATTTCATTTACACCATTATTATTCCTATTCCTCGAAATCGCATTGCAATTCAGTTCAATTCCGTTATTTCAACTGTTGGGGCTTTTATTTGCATGCGACAAGAGTATCTTTATGAGTTGGTTGTGTAGTGGATGGCTGGACCATACATTACTTTGGGCTAAAAGGAATATGGGACGCTTGCGTACCATGTCCCTTGTTCCTGCCAGGAGCAGGATACCAACGTATCGGCCCATTTAAAATGAAGCCACGAAGACGAACGTTATTATGGACTAGACGACCACAAATACTCGCGGATCGAACAGAGAAAGTGGACTGAAACCCAGGCTTGACTCTTTACAACTCGGTTTTACATCATGCGATACTTCAGATGCTTTGTTCCACACTAAAATCTGCTTTACCATTTCCTTTCATATTTGATTTATTGAAAGACGGAAGAAGATTCCATTCTGATAAAATACTTGGGGCGACCCGTTAATGCGTCTTCGATGACTTTTCATATTTTACGCTATGTTTGTTCTTCTGCACGGGAGGCTGCACTGATCTTTTTCGTTTCTAGTTCATTGGTATTCTGATTCTGGCAAAATTCGGGAAGGCCATCTATCGGTTTTTACACCATGTGAAACAATCCATGGGAATGGGGCGGCATCATATATCGTCGTCTTTTCGCGAAAAAATTCGGGTGGCAGTCTGCGAATTGTTCGTTATCAAAATAATTGCATCTGTCGTACGGTGGCTCTTTCGTGGTTCTTTGAGCGGTTCGGGTGGTTCTCGTGACTTTTCATCCTTGATTTACAGGTTCATTTGGTGCCTCACTGACCTTTATGCACGGGATACTGGTTATTGCATGGGTGGAATCAAAAGTTGCGGAATTAGCGGCATTTGCTGGTTTACTGTTTTGCATTTCTTGAGTCGTTCGGGACCCGCTCACAATGCCGGTTTTCGATGCGATGTCGGGTTAGTGCGACTCTGCTTGAACCTTGTGTGTGCGCGTGTGTTTTTGCTTTTGAATCGCGACTTGTAATCCACGTTGCTTGTTTCTGGGTGGCTATCTGATTATTCTGTCTCTGCGTCTGAATATGCGTGTTGTTTTAGATTATTTTACCCCCTTGTTTGAGTGGATAACTGAGCACTTTATGTTTATGTATGGGTGGCTGTCTGATCAATTTGAACTGTTTTGATATTTACAGATTCTTACCGAGGTCGTAGCGTAGCATCGTCGTCGCATTGTAACATGGCCAATCTAGATGATACAGACTATCGTCTAAACGGGATGATCCCGACAATTGAGCCTGGAAGTCAGCAAGGAAAAAGCGATTCCTGGAATGAACGACATCGATCAACGGAATGATGAATAAATATCCTTAACCATTTCCCAATACTGAGGATACATACCCTGCCACTGGTATCAGCCATGTAACTAAGCAAGTGGTACATGGATGTAACTGCATACAGTAGAACCTGGCTATAATGAAAGGAAGGCTGCCGCTCCACATTTCCACTAATGTCAGCTTGGATATCTTTAATATGGGACTGAAGAGCATCCGATTTGTTAATACTAAAATAAATCAATATAATGGAGGTACCTTCATCCCTAAATCAAACTCACTTCTGGATATATTAATTTGGGCCCCCGAGAGGCCTTCTGTTTGTTATAACGAGGCTACTGTATAGTGACCGCGTCGTCGATAAATGATTCATTAGACGACTGTTCCCAGCAAGCGGGCCGAACCGCAATTGATTCCCGCCAAGGGCCTAGCGTTGGCTTTTTTTTGCTTTTTTCTTGTAATTTACAGCCTTGTCTGGGTTGGACGGTGATATGGAGGTAAGTTACGGTGTAATTTTGGTATTTATTTCGTCTACTCTTTACACTGGTATCAAAGTTTAACCCTAGATTGTCATGAGATGACTCCTTTTCTTTTGGAATGGAAATGGTTCTTTCTCGTTGCAATCATATGCTATGATCGTATTACAAACCCCAATCAGACATGTCGTGAAGATTATGCGATGGCCCTTCTTTTGCGAGATTCCAAGGAATATAGATACGATCTTCCCAAGTCGTTTACGCATGTGGGAAGCGCCAGTGCTCCCAATCGACCAGATAGCTGGACATACAGAGTTAGGAATTGGGCGTCACCGCGGTTTAGTGCTCGATTATCCAAAGGATGATCTCACCATCTTTTTTTATCCCTGTCCCAAATCAGATTGCTCATTGATCCATCCGTATGGACCATTCCGCAACGTACCGGTATCTTTAGAATATCGTCCATACTAGCCTCTAGATTTCAAAGACAGAGGAGAGCTTGTCAATAAAAGGCAAGACTTACAGCCACGCTTCCTTGAATGCTTCCCTCAAACAATCTCGTTCATGATGAGGCATTTGACCGTTCAAAAATGAACCCGAAGGATCAGAACCAGGTACCTTCTCCATCAATATACTCAATATGTAGCAACCCGGGACTCAGTCGTTATTAGTCTGCTCCTCTTTCTTCCAAGATAATAATGATGGGATGCTGGAGCAGCGAGCCTTTGTAAGTGGGGTAAGGCATCAATTTTCGAATGAAAGATGACTGGAATTTCTTGAATAGCCTGCTTTGCACGAATCTCAGGGTTCTTTGTGCCTCGAAGAGAATTCCAAACTCCTCGTAATCCGCTTGAGACTCATAGTAACCATGTTTACTTATTTTGGTATCCAGCTTCCATACTAACCCGGATGGGAATGTGTGCTGAGCGCCAATATATTTATCATCTTCGAACCAGATGATGTTGTCTGACTCGACAGACATGTAGGTATAGCCTTGGAACTTTTTAGTGTCGAAGTCTGCGATGCCAGGTCTCTGTTAGAATGAGTAGGTGATGTGCTGTTGACCTGTAACATATTTCTGTACCTAGATAGATTCCTTAGTCATGCGCAGAACTTGGTCCCATGATGCCCAGGTGAACGGTCCAATGGTCCAATGGCTGCGTCTCCAAGTTTAATGGAGCTCCTTAACATGCTAGGCCAGATACATCATTCAATAGACATATGATGGCGTAAGTCGTCGAGAGTGGGACATGAATTGTACGAGGATGTTGCGGAAGCGGAAGCGGAAGTTGACCAGGATAGACTGGATGCTTGAATTACTGAAGTAAAAGATTGAACGGTACCTAGGTAATACATCTATTGTATACCTAGATACCTATTGCCTGTTTATTCTCGGGAAATGGTATTGTATATTTGTAAATGGGATGAACGAATTTAGACTTTCATGCGACCAACTTGACCGCGCATAGATAATTATAAAAAATGAAGGTCCATACTGTTTACCGTTTTCAATCTCGATAGCCCCGTATCCATGTATATAATTATCTATCCTGCAGTGCTAATGCGTTATTGCCACGACCGTGTATCTGCATCAACAGGTAATATCGCATATCGTGAGATGATCTTTGGTCCAGTAAGGTATAATTGAGGTCAAAGTAGAATAAAGATTAAGCCTAAGAAAAGAATGATTATAGAAATTACCTCAATTATGCAACGACTGTAATAACTTCAAGATTGATATAGTAAAGAAAAGGGGGTAAGAAAGAGCGAAAGACCGAGCAATCAAAGCGCCCCAAAATAGTCCAAACAATTTGACCGGCACAATACAGTAAAAGTTTTATCAAAAGAATGACAAGAAGTAAAGACTGACTCTTGTAGTAAAGCAGGTAAAATTATTTTCGGAAAAAAAAAGGAGAGAATAATTGTTCAGAAAGGAGGGACTTGACATATATGAGATTGGACAAAACGGAAACAAAAAGGTATAAAGATAATGGGATCAATTAGGGAACGTTATCCAAAATCTTGACCATTTTCTTCGACCGCACTGGATCTTGGACGATGAATCCCTTCTTTTTCATGAACGACTCCAAATGATCGAGGACCTTGTGAAATGACGAGGCTGCACCGCGTTCTTGACGGAAACGAACAAGACTTAGGTTGGCGTGACGACTGTGTTCGAGTACAGTGAAGAATTCCGCAGAGAATTCAACTGGACGTAGATGAAGGACTGTATAGAATGGTCAGCTTTAGCCAGAAGCCATGGCAAAGTTACTTACAGTTTTTCTCGCAAACACGTCCACGGACCACATTTTCAGCCCTATCGAGATATACATCGTTCATTCCGTAGACTTTCCAATCACGAAGCGTCCTGTAAATCTCCTTGCGGATCTTTGCTTTAGGTACGTTGAATGCCATGACTCTTAGAGCAGGCTTAACATGGAAAAATCGGGCAAACCAATTCTGACTGGCACCTGACGGTCGTCGTGCACGACGACCGCTATAATGGACCGGGACATGGCTAATCGCAGTATCGTTAGATTCAACCTGACGTAGAGTATCATCTTGATCTTGTGATGAGTCTCCTATGTTGATTTAGTATTTTGATATTGATGCCATTTGACTGATGTATGTCTTACCTGTCAGGCTGTCACTGTCCACCCTCTCTGCTTTTTTCTTCGTGAACATCTTGAGAAAGCTAGGACGGGACTTTTCTCCTGACGCTTTTCTCGGAGGTTTCTTCTCTCCTGCATCTGTAGACGTCTCAGTGTTACTGACCGAACCAGCGGGTGCCGTCTTCACACTTGGCAAAGTCACTTCCTGAATGTTTTCCTCATGTACATATGATTTCTGTTTACCAAACCACGACCACTTCTTCTCTCCATTAGATGATGACTTGGCACTGGACCGACGCGAATCCGAGCTTTCTGATATTGTTTCCAAGACCATCGGAGCCCGTGAGTTATAACGTAAACTAGTTGCGACGGAGTCACTGCTTGTACGTTGTTCAGATGAAACACCTTGTTTGCGAATATGAATCACAGAGTCAGCAGAACTGTGGCGCGATTTGCTTAGAGGCGAAGGCGCGTCTGTTACGGCGTTTCGCTTTCGGATTGTCAAAGGTTTAATGTCATCGATGGATGGCAAGGAAGAATCCTTTGGAACCACTCTGATGGTAGACTTTGCTTCGAGGTTTTGCGAGACCCTAGGAGACGGATCAGGTGTAGCATGATGATCAACACGATGTAAATCATAACGACTGGAGGTTTCTAACGGCGTAAATATCTCTTCGGAAATAGAAGGCAAGTAGCCCGTATCCACAGGTTTCGTGAGTGGTTCAGACAGTGTACGTCTATTTGGGTTTTCAACAAACTCAGTCTTGGCTTTATTGCGCGCAATATCTTGTTCAATCAGTCGATCAAGATGCGCTATCACTTCACACAAGTAGTCTGGGAGACCTGCAGCCTCGGCCTTTGTAGAGTGCTCTATAAGTTTGCGACGCGTTTCAGCAAGTTCTTTCACAGTGTAAGATGCTGGTAAATCCCCAATCTTGTCCAATTCATCACTACTCTTCTCTGCTCTAGACTTTTCCGCTTCTTCTTCATGAATAGACATTGATGTGGCAGTAGTTTCAGTGCTAACGGCTGTGTGCCGAGTAGACACCGACGATCTGTTGAAGGCCTCCTCGCAGATTTGACTGAGCTCGTGGGAGACCTTTCTTGCTTCTTCTCCCCAGAAATTATCGCGGATCTTCCTCACCAGTATATCCTGTTCTAGACTGGCAACGACTTCCGAAGTACGAACCACTGCAGGTTGTGCTGGAAGTACCGGACTGCTCATTCGTCCGGGAGATTGTGTGCCAGTGAGTAGGTTGGAGCTTTTATCGTTGGCTAGCAAATGTGCAATGGAACTTTGTGACTTGGAATGCTCTGTTGCTGACTTGGCCGAGGAACCTCCACCGGATCTGTTTCTAATATGTCGAAATGATACATTCCGTCTATATCCAGCCCGATATTGAGGAGCAGGGCTGTATCCACGACGAGAGGTGGCCAAGGAACTCCTTGAGTGAAACGAGAGTTGTGATTTCTTCTTCCTATTCCACTGAATAATCTCGACGGACGAACTTGGAATGACATCTGCTCTCGGAGGAGATGAAGGCAGAGAGCCCTCCACTTCCACAACTATATCCTCCGGTGTTTTGTGGACATTGTCTTCTCGATGGATGGTTACGCTTGCATATTGCGCCGTAGCCGTAGCCACAGGAGTCCGGGAAGCCCTGAACGGATCGTAGCTTGCGGAAGATTTGGGCTCTCTTCCACTATTACTACGCCGACTTGATTCAGTGAGGATGGAGAACTGAGATCGACGGCGGGAATGTCCTTGGATTCGACCATTTTTCGAGTGCTTCGCTACTGCCCTCGTGGCAGCAGGTGGTCGAGATATGTGATGATAGTCACTTGCCGAGTATTCCAGGGGTTGCCCATGATAGTTCTCTAACTGTTCGTCACGAAATTTGATGAGAGCATTGTAGAACATTTTTTCGTGGTTCGGTCTGTAGTTCTAGTTAGAATATGCGCTCTGAACAGGAGGGATGATACTGACTCTTGAGATAGAAGCCGCTCTATCAAAGTTTCTGTATTAGCGCTGTGCCACAAGGTCTGAAGACTTCGGAGGAGCTCCAGATCAATCTCAGCGCGAGAGGCTACGGCGGGACCACAATCTTTGGCGGACAGAGGCGGTGGAGGTCCAAGTGGATGCTGAGACATTGCTTGGTGTAGGATTTCGTACTTTTTGAGGAGGGGGTGATTAAACATGTTTTGTATACTGATTCGGTCCTCTGGCCTCTTTTGTAGAATCCTCTGAATCATATTCGCTGCCTCCACTGACAACCACGTTGGTATATGATAGTTTCCCTTCTTCACCAATTGCAAAGTATTCGACAAATCACCACCGTCAAACGGCAAGAAGCCAGTCAACAGCGCAAAGAGGATAATTCCACAACTCCAAATATCGGCTTTATCACCGCGATACCTTCGGCCGTAGATAATCTCTGGTGCAGCATAATGAGGACTTCCGCATGAGGTGTTGAGCCAATGGCCGGCCGGTTGTAGAGCAGCCATACCAAAATCTGCCAATTTGACGTTGTGACTCGGGTCCAAGAGTATATTTTCGGGTTTCAAGTCGCGATGGCAGATGTTGAATCTATGGCAGTATGCAAGACCAGAGATTATTTGCCGGAACAATCGAACCGCTTCTTCCTCAGGAAGAGGGCCATGAGTCGATACGTAGTCAAACAGCTCTCCACCTTCAACATATTCAAGGACAAGGTAACTATACAGTTAGCATTCAGGCTCTACGATTGATTGTTGGGCCCACACTTACAGTTCACCTCGATTCTCCCAAATGTCGTACAAGTTGATAACGTTAGGATGCTCAATTAATTTCATAATCACCACTTCTCGCTCAATTCCAAACGGCATTGGCCGTGTAGCTTGGTTATCTCCTAAAAGGCACGCATTCCTATCCATTGCGGCTATACTTTCACTTTGAACCATGGCTGCCGATTTCTTGGAGACGATTTTGATTGCGGCGGCTTGTCCAGTCACTGCATGTTTGGCCAGTCTCACGCGCCCAGTGGCGCCTTTCCCTAATGTCCTTCCGAGTTGCCATGGTCCAACATGTGTCTTTCGTTTCCCTTTTCCTGACGCCGTCGAAGTGGTGGATATTGCTGAGTTTCGATTTGAATGAGCTGGCGAGTCGGTAGCTACAGAGAGCCGCGCCGTATCAGGAACCACCACTGGCGAATTGTGTAGGGTTTGCGGTTGTGGAGATTCGAAGGACTTCAAATGTTCATGATGAGGCGTCGTTCCATCGATTCCAGGTGTTATAATGGTTGGTCCGTGGTTTACTCGAGCAGCAGCGTCTGTCAGGGGCTGTCTACCCTGTGCTGAGCGGGTTCCTGCATCGTCCATTGCTCCCAGCAACGACTAAAGAGTGCAGTCGATGTTCAAAAAGCTCGATACCATGCCAATTGCGTTCGATTGTCCTTGCTATCCTCGAAGGCAATATCGATCTGCCGTTAACGATGCAAATGGTGCCAAACTCTATTCTCGATACAAGACCCTCTGTTTCCACAAGTCCGATGTCTTCGATGTTGTCGATTGTACTTGAAATCAATGCTCAATGGCGCGATATGTGTATAGGGTTCTGTGTTACTCCAAAGTGCAATGAGCCAGGGGAGAGAAAAGCAAAATAGAAGAACAAGAAGGGAAGTAAAAGAGTGTAGAGATGATAATGAGTGTGAAAGCTATAGAAACGAATGGGATATGAGAGCGAGTGACCTGTGTGTCTATAGACAGTTTGATGTTAGTTGCTTGAGATGAGAGAGAGAGAAAGAGATATCAGAGAAAAGCCAATGCCAGAGGGAAAGCAATAGATGGGCACAAAGAAACGAGATCGGAGGTTGTTGTTGACCCCGCGCCTAGTTGCCCATTCCTGGCCTTGTTCCTGAGGAATGTGCGCTGTTTCCTCTCCAACCATACAACTACCACCACATCTCTTCACAGAACATCTCATTCGACCTCAACAATATCAAGAACATCGAAATCACTTCTATCATCTGTCAGCCTGGTGCAGAATCAGATACTGCATCAATGCAATCAGTCTTGATGCTGTGTATAGGCGTCAGTCAAGTTCTCATTCCATAATCATCTTAAAAACTTGCAAGGGGTCGATCATCAATATTCTTCTTCGGTCACTAAGAGTCGAATCCCCATTCAACATTCCAGCTCAGGCATGATGATTTCACCGGTCAAATCAATGGAAGCTTGTTGGGTCAGTTTTGATAAGCAGGCTGTTCTAGCAGGTCCGTTGCTACTGGACACTCTATACTGTAGTATCTGAAAAAAAGAAAAAAAAAACACTAATAGCTGATGTTGCTCTATCACTCTGTTGCATGATGATGTGATGCATTCCTACCCCTTCCTGGCCAGAGATTGATATAATAGCGCGCGTAAATTGACTGGTGGGGATTGGAAGGCCGTTTCTGCTGGTGGTGACTCGGATAAGATGAATACGTACTATCTCTTAGACCATAAACCGAGAATATATCGAGAATGTGTGGTTTGAGCAAAGTTTGAGGTTATTTCGATGCATACAAACTACCTAAAGCGGTATAGTCTGCGCTCTCCTGCAGAACAATGAACATCCCTTGCAAATACTGCACGTGATTTACCAATGCTGCTCAGTGATCTCGACCTGATTAACATCAACGCCTTCCACGAACCATCGTCCTTCACCATTCCCATCCGGTCCCAGGACCACATCGTTCCCGGACATCTGGCGCTTCCGCATCTTGCCTGTTTCATCATACGTCCAGTCTTCCAAGCCATAACATCTCTTCCACTTCATGCCGTCGTGAGAGTCTTGGTATTCGTACCAGAACTGCACGGCAATGCGATTGTCAGTAAAGGCAAAGAGCTCTTTGCGTAGACGATACGATTTTTCTTTTTGCCATTTCTTGGTGAGGAAGGCTATGGCTTCGTCTGTGCCTTGAAGAAAGGTGTCCCGGTTTCGCCAGATTGTGTTGGGAGTATAGGCCTTGGTCACCCGTTCAGGGTCTCTGAGACATGGTCAATATTTCGTATGCCCACTGGTCTTTTGTTATGAGCTCGTACTGGGTATTCCATAAGTCTTGGGCAGCCTTGACTTTCTTGTGGGCAGATTCTGCAGTGAATGGGGGCTTGATGTCAGCCATGATAGCGATAATTGCTTAAAGCCTTGATTTTGTAGTTGTTGTCTGCTTGCCTACTTATATATCCTTGTATACTTGACCAGATTGAAGGTTGACTACGGTCTTCGATGTTGCCTGCTGAGTAAGAGAGACACAAATGATTGGCGGGAAAGTCGGCGGAGCCACTAATTGCTTGCTTAGGAAGATCTACACAGCCAATCAAGCAGCAGTTTGCACATTTTGATATGAAAGGGTGATTAAGACTACATACAAAAGATATGTTTTGTAACCGTTGTTAGAATGTGCAGGATATAAAAGCGTCTCTGTATTAAGCACCTTCCAGATTCGGCATAAGGGGCATATGCCGTAAGGGTACGCTGCGTCACGTGGCCACGCGTCACGGTGAATCAGCGAGCGTGTCAGGCTAGAGGAGGGGCAACTCGGAAAGTCCCCGCCGAAATCTTTTGATTCAGTTTTAGCTGTTCTGGCGAATTCGATCTGTTTCGGCCCACGCAAATGGTCTATCGGCTGTCGCAATTGAAGATTTGTCAGGGAGACTCGGTCTAGGGTCTCGGAGATTTCCAGATTAGTCACATCGACAGTTCTGGCTCATCCATCCACGATTACTGATTATCTGCGGATCTCTCTTCCTGCTCTAGCTTGTCAATTGGGTAATCTGATAATTATTTGTCTGGTCGACCTATGAGACTGCGCATTGAATGGCAGTTCTCGCCCATGGAAGGTTAATAATGCGGTGAAAAGGACGGCTGTGATGCTCGGAAACGGCTTATCAGGCGATATGCTGTAATTGTACCCACAAGGTACCGGTGTATATATAGACCTGTGACATGGCAATCGTGCCGCCCCCCTCTTCATCACTTTATTTAACCTGATCAGATAACCTCTTCCTACCACAACATCGCTCATTCTACTCTACGAAATCCCAACACCAGTCACAAAAAATCTTCAAAATGTCTGCTCTCAAGCCAGGTGACAAGTTCCCCGACGGTGTCGTCTTCTCGTAAGTACCACATTGTTACCCCTCATCGACCGCTGCACCGGCCTTTGACTGACTCAAACACTCTCAATCTAGCTACATCCCTTACGTTGAGGAGCAGGCCGACATCAAGTCCTGCGGTATCCCCATCAACTACAACGCCTCCAAGGAGTGGGCCGACAAGAAGGTCGTCGTCTTCGCTTTGCCTGGTGCTTTCACTCCCGTCTGCTCCGCCGCCCACGTCCCCGGATACATTGAGAACCTCCCCAAGTTGAAGGAGAAGGGTGTCGATGTCGTTGCGGTTCTCGCCTACAACGATGCCTACGTCATGAGCGCCTGGGGCAAGGCCAACGGCGTGAAGGGTGATGATATTGTGAGTGGAGAAATATTGGATTGTTTGCGATATGGAATAGCTAGCTGACTTTGACCAGCTTTTCTTGTCTGACCCCGAAGCCAAGTTCTCCAAGAGCATCGGCTGGGCTGATGAGGAGGGTCGCACTTACCGTTACGCCATCGTCATCGACCACGGTAAGGTTATCTACGCCCAGAAGGAGCGTGCCAAGAATGTTCTTGAGGTTTCCAAGGCTGAGGCCGTCCTCGAGGCTATCTAAACCTTTCTTCTTTTTTTTTCCTTTTTCTTCATGAATTGGCTTGCTAGCGATATCCGTGTTTGTGACAATCAGACTCTTTGCTGAGGATGATGACTGCTTGGACGAGTGGAATAACGACCTTCCCTTGTTTTCAATGATACTAGATAGACTAGAACGATAGATATAGAAGCAAGAACGTCTTTGTTGTCGCAAAATATCCGTTAAGAGGAGTTCTGTAGATGAATTTCAGTTTAGATCATGAGTAGCGCATCCATTTGGAGATTTGTAGACTGGGATCTAGCGAAATCATGGCGTGTCCCTTGTGGCGATGTTCTGCAAATATCACAACATTTTCGAGGCTCACTAGATGCTGAACATCATCTAATATCGTCTCTTTTCTTCCAAGGCCTCGTTATACTATGGTTGGGGCCGGTATAGTATGTCCATGTCACCCAAACTTAGTTATAACCCTAACCCTTTATTAGACTAAACCAACCTTAGCCTAGTCTCTGCTTATCAATCAGATCTGATATGAGTCTCCAGTTGAACCCTTTTCACTCCAACCCAACAATCACGCGACGGACTCGAATCAATATAGATCAGTCTTGACGATGTGAGATCAGCTCTATGGGCACAAACCCCGCAGAGTCCGTCGCAGCCGCGATAAACGATGGCAAGACTCATCTCCTTTTAGCCGCAGTAGATATTTTCTCTCTTCTAGTGCAAATCGACGTTTCACTAACGGTGTATCCAGAGTGGCTCCGTCGCTACAATCAAAATACCCTTGATAATATCCGCATTACGAAGACATACCAATCTCTCGATCCGCGTCATTCTTACAAAGTCTGCATCTTTCTTCCTCCAGGGACAATCCGCGGAACAGCCCACCATCGCATCTATAGCCGCACTACCCAACGTCGACGCTATCTATCAAGATGAAGACGAGATGACTGAATCCTGGGTCCGAGGGGCGGGGATTCTACATATCAACCTGCGCAAATGGGCGGATATCTTGGTCATTGCGCCGTTGAGCGCAAATACATTAGCCAAGATTGTTAATGGATTAAGTAATAATTTGTTGACCGATGTCATACGGGCATGGGATACTTCTGGATTGGTGGATGGTGGAGCTAGAAAGAGGATTTTGGTTGCGCCTGCGATGAATGCGGCAATGTTTGTTCCTCTAGCTATTCGGATTCTTAAGACATATCGGGCTGACTGGATTGGTAGGTGGTTGCAACCCATCACAAAGAAACACATCCTCGTGTTGGATAAGGAATGGGGCGTCGAAGCTGATGATGGTACCCTCGAACATCAGGGATGGTTCGAAGTGCTAAAACCTATTGAGGTATGACTCTGAAGTCCTCTTGCAATTCTGATTTGAGTATTGTCGCTGACTATCTTAGAAATCTCTTGCTTGCGGAGATGTCGGCGTTGGAGGAATGATGGAATGGACTAATATCGTAAAGATAATTGAGCAACGATTAGGTCTTGTCGCTCCATCTGAGTGAGCAGACTGATACGACTGGCGCGTATCCGAGAGTTGATTAGACTATATAAAGTAGAACTTTAGAGCAGAGAATTAGCAGACCTGATTTCAGTTGGAAATAGCATTTATTTGTACTCTAGATAGATCTTCTGCCGATATTGCTTACCCTACCTTACGATGGACCCACCCGACGCGGTTGATATTAGACGTCGGAAAATAAATTTACAACCACCACTCTCATACAAACCACACATTTGCAATGGCTACAAATATACCTTCCAAAAGGAAATACCCAATAATACAACCAACCTACAATCCCAAATCCGCCAACGCATCTCGCAAACGCGCAAAATATCACGATGCTCGTTCACTGGCCGTCCAATCCACCGACGCAGCTCTCTCTGCTACTGGCGAACTCGACGTTGCAGCCTACGTAGGAGCTCGCGAATATGAGATTCGAGCTTTGGAGACTGGGATACAGAAATCGAAGGGGGCGTTGGCGACTCGGGCGTTTCAGAAGGTCCCTAGAGCGCTGAGGAGGAGGACTGCGAGTCATAATGTGAAGAGGGTTCCGAAGAGGTTGCGCGCAAGAGCTAAGAGAGAAGTATGGTTGGCTCTTTCTTTACGTAGACATTGGTGCTGACGCAGAACAAGATGATAGAAGATAATACACCTACGGTGACTGCGCGACGACGAAAACCTACCAAAATATTACGAATCCGGCTCGAGACAGCGCGGCGTCTTCAGAGCCTTAATAAAAAGACGAAGGAGAAACGAGCAGCACTGAAAGAGAAGAGAGAAAAAGAAGCGCAGAGTAAATCTGCACTGGAAGGAAGCCATACGCATACTATTGCTCCACGAGTACCCAAGGTCAAGAAGAACAAACTTTCGCGACCATCACCACCGGTATCGAAATACAGGAAACGACAACGATCAAAAACGTGGCTACCTACGCACATGTTTCATGCAAAGCGGGCTCATATGACTCCTCCCGGAGAACCACTTTGGAGATTCGCTATCCCGTTGACACCTACTGAAAAGAGCTATCGCCCAACTCATCGAGCAGCAGGATCAAGGGGCGCTATAGCATGGGATGTGAGTTATATGTCTACTGTTCAATTAGAAGGAAAGTTTGCTGCGTTAGAAAATGTCCTCAAGAGTCTGCGGGTAGAAGGAGATGAGTGTTGGGGATCCAAGGGAAGGAAATGGAGACAAGGAACAAGAGTACTTCAGAAGTGGGTGTACGAAGCAGACGAGAACCGGAAACCCATAGCGCCGGTGACTCTGATATGGTGTGCGACAGCACCGAAAATAGAGGAGGATCAAGAAATGTCTAATGCTGGTGATACGTCGGCATCAAGAACACAAGTACGGGATAAAGTGTTCATTCGTGTTCATCCGTCTGCATTCCTACAACTTTGGAACGTACTCTTGCAGGTATGCAAGAAACAGAATCCGCCAGTCACTCTCCAAGACCTACGATTCGATATTGGGAGCATTGAAATCGCAGGACCCGGGTCAACAGAGGCACTCCTTGCTACGATGCGTCCTGTTAAGTTGAATGAGCCGGACAATGAGGACAACTGTCATGCAACGACCTGGAAATCTCTTCTCGGCGTCACGAATCCCTCTTCTCTCCCCAACGGAGCTCTCTTGTCGTTCTCAATTAGCGATCCACGACTACATTATCCTGTGAAGACCCTAAAACCCTCGATATCCGAATCTGATATGAGTAATCTAGCAACTACACTATCTTCATGGGCCCCCGACCGTTACCGAAACCCGCCAGCTCTGTTCAACCGCTCCTTGCGACTCACTGCAAGCCGTCGTCTTCCAAGCCAGAAAGCAATCAACCGGCGAAGGACATTGGCTGGACCAGGAGTTTCGCTGAAACCGCAGTCTACTGACCCTCAAATTCCTGTAATGGTATTTGCATCGCGACTAGAAACCGGTTCAAAGGATAGTAACAGTCACGGTAGCTGGACGGTCCTTTTGCCATGGGAATGCGTTGCGCCTCTGTGGTATGTACTTATGTACTATCCACTCTCTAGCGGAGACACCCCCCGGTTTGGCGGTATCAAGGAGCAACGTCAATTAACTTTCGAGTATGGACATCCTTGGTTTCCCGGGGATTATCCTGGGACACGTGCCGGTTGGGAATGGAATATCAGGGAACAGGAAGAGCGCAAAAAAGAGTGGGAAAAAAGACCCAAGGGGAAAAGAGTGGAGTTTGATAGTCTTGATTTGGGTAATGGTCAGAAAGGAGAGGTTGGACGAGGCTGGGCATGCGATTGGGAAAGAATAATTCAAAAGATGCAGTCGACTGTGGTGGATGAGACACAGGATACGGATAGCAGCGGGATGAAGGAGACTACTGAGCCTACGGAATCGACACAGGACGTTGTACCCCCGCTGGACATTGAGTATTTAAGATTCGACGCCAGAACCGCCGCACAACTGAACGCGAACACACGGCCTTGGAAGTTTCAGAAGTTTCCCGCGGATAAGCCATATCTAGCCACAGTGAAGGTCACACTCATGGGACGTGGAACTCCTAATCCATGTGCACGTATCTATCGTCTTCCCTCCAAGAATGACAAACTACGTAAACAGTGGCTGGCAACAAGATCAACTCCAGCCAAGGGCAGTTCTAACAAGAAGGTGTCCGGAGCAAACCCTTCAACGAAAGGAAAGCCCAAGCAGAACGATCCCAAGGACTCGAAAGCACAAGGCGAGGAATTCTTACAGAACCTAGCAGCATCATTAGTCGAAACATCTACCGATAAACCGACTTCGGAGATTTCTCTGCCTCTGGAAGATGATCTGATCGGGTTTATATCTTCCGGCAACTACAATCTGACGGAAGGTAAAGGCACCGGTATTGGATCAATATTCGTCTCGAAAGTGGCCGAATCGCATCATTCTTCCACAGAGCCTGCATCTAAATCTTACTCACAGTCGACAAGGGAGAAAGATCTATTGGAGAGGAGAGTGTGTATTGTCCGTCCTGCGGGTGAACGTGTTGGACGACTTGGAGTGTGGGAGTTTGTGTAGACGACCTATAGTTATATAGATGTTTTCTTAGAGATATGATACCCTTTTCAACCAAATGATTGACCATTATTCATTGACTTAATTACCTGCAAGCCCTAGTAGACACCTCAGGCATCAATAGTATCACGTGATCTACTGGCAAATGGGGTCCCGAATGACGCCGAAGAAACCTGTGGACGATCGTCTCAGCAACAAACCGCAATTGCTCCGCCGTCCTGTCCCCAGCACGACTTTCACTTACTCGGGGGACTTGAAACTGCTGTCTGGAATATTCAGATCATTTGGAGAGGATATTATCGACAGCAAGGAAGATATAAATTATGGGTGCCGGGGCCTCGAAACCTGAAGCTTCGGCTGGGTCTAAACATATTTTTGCGAGGTACGTTGGTTTGGTTATGGAGTAGCGTGCGTGCGTGATCTTGTTGGAGCGCAGTGGCAATCAATTGCTGCGTGGTGCATTTCAATGGCTCGAGAAACCAGTTGCGCTTAGACAGTACAATTGCATAGAGAGTATCATAAGCTAATTGTTTTCCCTATACAGCGAAACGCCGGTTCAGTTCTCTGCCAATCTGGTAGAAGCCCTACAATCTAGTAAAGAGGTACACTTTCCTGTTCGGACCCATTGCGAATTACGTCTCTAACATGAACAGACCGACTCATCCCGTGCCAAATCCCTCGAATTACACATCCAAGCGCGCGTCGCCGAAGAACTAGAACGCCTACGACAGCGGGAAAAACAAACCCTGGAAGAAATCGAGAAGCGTGTTGCAGCTGAATTACCTGACCGAAAAGTCTTCACAGCTCCAGCTTCGTCGCCGTCGTATGCTGCGCCGGCCGGATCGTTGGACCTCGATGCTCCCCGAATCCCATTTGCGGGACGAGAATTCGATGCGCCGTTATTCCCTATTGATCCTGCCACTGTCACGCCACCGCAGGCCTCTCAACCTCAATCACCTGCCGTTGTCGACCCATCGCGTGAAGCTGTGTTGAAGGATATTGAGCGTTTGCGCTCCAAGCTCGAGTCAAGGAAGAAATTAGCGACGCTCGATGACAATGTCGAACAGGCCAAGAGTGAGGTGGTTAATTGTTTGAGGATAAATGATCGACGACCTCTGGACTGCTGGAAGGAAGTTGAATCTTTCAAGCAGGAGGTTGCCAAACTGGAACGAGCTTTTGTGGATAAGGTGGTGGGATGAGAAAAAAAGATTATATAGTTCTGTACTGATAGAGGTTTTTCATTCTGGTGGGAATGAGTTGACAGTTTACAGCGTCATGTCCGGATATAATTTGCAGCCATAGACATCTCATTTGTTCCAATTCTCCATCAGTCCATGTTATTGTAATGCGCTTACACAGCATGTAAGCAATCTCGGAGCAATTGCCGAGGGTATGGTCTCGTGGCTAGAGGTATATTATATTTTCTTCCCCAGCTCAAACCCTCATTCATAATTATTACTTCTCCGCGCATTGAATTGGATTGACTCCAGTTACATGGATACGGCCTGCGCACCGTGGCATGTTAGCAGACATTGCAATCTCGCATTTTACCGTTAAATGTCCGAGGCTATGGCTAGTCATTACTAGCGCCACTGCACATCTGCACATCTGCAGACCAAAGTCCAGTCTAGCTTGTCCCTTCAACATATGAGCAACGTACGACCAAAGGCAATACCTCAGTCTGCCACAATTCTTTCCGTTGCATTCAGTGTACAGTCTGGAGGTGACATCGCCACGCACCGAGTCAGGGTCAGCGGCCTCCACAAAGATACGTACGTACTCCATACGGACGACGCACCTCCGGACTTTCCCGTACTACAGATTCTAATTGCCTCATCTGATTGTCTGGGGACTGGGGTTGTTGCATGATCGCTATTGACACGAGGCAAGGTTACCATTGCAGTCAATTTCTTCCACGAGACTCAGTTATGAATTCATGACGACCAAGTTACCCCGGTCCGAGCCTGAGCCTGAGCCTGAGCCTGCGTCCGCAACAGCAGCATGGACGAAGCTGAGCAAAGCCGGGCGAGGCTTCCTGTTTGAGGTCACCGGCAAGCCGTGGACTGCATGGCTGGGGGTGTTAGCAGCTACCATTGCCGTGTTGCTTGGGCTTGCTGGAATGCAGGACGATGGTATGATTATTAGCCACAGCAGAGCGCGTGAGAGCGAGAATTGTGAGTCCCACTTGAGCATTTGTTTCGGGGAGCCGCGGTGAACGTTTTAATGCGTTTCCCACTCTAATATAAAAGTGAATGACGCGGTTGTATATGTATTTTTTATGTGTACAGTGTTACCTTTCACTGAGTGAGACTAACTGGTGACTAAGGCGCGGGCTTCCTTGGAAAGAGCTGCCCCTCATCAACGGCTGCCACTGAGATCATCGGCTCTTCCTCTTCTTCTTTTTATAATCATTGCAATCCCCTCCTCCACGACTCTTGTTTTCCCACTCCTCCACTCCCTTCTGTCTGCGCCAATCCTCAATCCATTTTTCCTTCATCATCCCCAGTCGGCGTCATCATGGCTCCCGGCCCCTCACTCGACGCCGCATTGCGGGTGGCACGCGAGTTCGATCTCCCCTCCGATCAGGTACAGCGCGGGGTCGATGAATTCCTGAGCCAGATGGCTGAAGGCATGGCGAAGAACGGCACCAATCTCAGTCAAATCCCTACATACGTGACTAGTGTTCCCAATGGCACTGAGAAGGTGCGTTCTTATTCTTTTCTTTCTTTCTTTCTTTCTTTCTTTCTTTCTTTTTTTTTTTTTCTGTTTATGACGCAATGGACATTTGGGTGTTACTTTTGCTTCGTCTTGCTATCCGTGCACCTCGTTCAACTGTTCAACAATCTAACGTCAACAGGGCCTGTATCTGGCCGTCGACCTCGGAGGCACCAACTTCCGGGTCTGTTCTATCAATCTCCGCGGTGATAGCACTTTCGACCTCACACAATCCAAAGTCGCAATCCCTCGAGACTTGATGGTTGCGCCCTCATACAAGGAATTATTCAAGTTTCTCGCCAAACAGGTTGAATCCTTCCTCGAAACCCACCACAACGAACACTTTGAAGCTACCGTCCGGAGACGCCGTCTGACCGGAACCACCGACGAGTATCGTCGGGAAGAAATTTTTGATCTTGGCTTTACGTTCAGTTTCCCCGTCCACCAGACTTCCATCAACAGAGGTACCTTGATCCGGTGGACGAAAGGATTCGACATTCCGGATGCCGTCGGACAGGATGTCTGTCTGATGCTTCAAGATGCCATCAATGAACTCCATCTTCCCGTTCGCGTAGCAGCCCTGGTCAACGACACCGTCGGCACATTGATGGCTCGTTCGTATACCTCGCCCGGTAAAACAGAGACTGTAATTGGCGCCATTTTTGGCACGGGAACCAACGGCGCCTACGTCGAAAAACTGAACAGGTTGACAAAGCTCAATACCAAGGGAGAGCCAGCAGCTGACGCTACGCAGCAAATGGTCATTAATACCGAATGGGGTAGCTTCGATAACAATCTTAGCGTCCTTCCCAATACTTTATATGATCAGCAACTAGACGCAGCTTCAGTCAACCCAGGTATTCAGATGTTTGAGAAACGAGTATCGGGCATGTTTTTGGGCGAGATTCTTCGTCTTGCTATTTTGGGGCTGGCCAAGGATGCCACTGCCAGGCTGCTACGGGGCGATGGTACTTTGATACCTACCGACTCGCCGTTATACACCCCCTGGGGTATTGATACCAGCTTCTTGAGTGTCATTGAAGCAGACACCACCTCCGATCTTGCCGAGACAAAGGCTGCATTGTTTGAGCACTTCAAAGTGAGCAATGCCAGCACCGATGATGCGCAGGCAATCCAAGCTATCGGTCATGCTATCGCAAAACGTTCTGCCCGTCTCAGTGCTATAGCTCTTGCGGCTATTCTCATAGACACCAAGCGGATAGACACGGATGAGACTGTGGACATTGGCGTTGACGGCAGTCTGGTAGAATTTTACCCCAAGTTCGTCGACTATATACGCGAAGCCATGCGGGAAATCAAGGGTATCGGAGAGAAGGAGAAAAAAGTGCGAATTGGCATTGCCAAAGACGGTAGTGGTGTTGGTGCTGCTCTTATTGCATTGGTTGCTCATAAGGGGTATGCCATTGAGTCACGATGATCATGTATTCCTTTGACGATGTTTGATGTATTCATGTACACCTGTGTATTAGGGGTGGATTCCAAAAGATATGATTGAATGAAGGTTATTCGAAGTGCTTGTTGCCATCCAATGAAAGAAAAAAAAAAGAAAAGGTATCAAAATATCAGCAGGCTAAATACATTAAAAAAATCACCTCGAAAGCGAATGCAAACTCAAATAAACACTCCAAATAACCCCACAGAAACTCCCAAATACAACCCTTCTATCAACCGGAATAATGGTATACATCAACGCTGCCACGAGAGGTCTATATTTCAATCGCGCAATCATAACATCCGGCATATCCTCACTGACTCGCATGGATGTATACGCCCAATCTTTACCCTTAAGAAGATTAATGAGCACGATGAAAAGCCAGACATTCACCACTGAGCCGATGGTCTGGTCTAGGAGGAATTTTTTGAAAAAGTTTGATATCCCTTTACTGCCGTGTCGGGTCGAGGATGATTTTTTGGGTGCCCAGTACCGCCGAAGAGTAGATGAAGACGATGATGCTGGGGGTTGGATGTCGGCTATATTTTTATCTTTGACTGCTAGATCTTCGATGGGGATTATGACGCCTGCTGCGTCTCTTGTAGTATTGCCGGTAGTAGAGCTAGACCAACTGAAAGATGGGAATCCCGGGAAGCGTGATTCCATCCATCGTTGCCAGTAGAAGTTGATGGGGACGATGATGATGCAGTATGTGATGAATTGGATGAATGCTGGGATATTGAATTTGAATGGTTCCTGGACAGTAATTAGTATTCTTGTGCTTGAGATGAAGGAATGGGTATGTACTTCGTTATGCCATTGATCTATGATTTGAGCTAGGATATTGGATATGGCATTGAAGAAGGTTGATTGGATCAGGGTCACGGTGAGGGGTGACAACATGTCGTTGTCAAAGTTGGGTAGTCCTTCAGTGCCAATAGCATATCATAGGAATGGATGTAGGCGTTGATGCCGGCTGCTTAACGTGTCGCTTAACGTGTCATCCCGGATGTTCGGGTCGCTTGTTTACTCGGAGGTCTCGTCGGGGATTACTTGTAAGAGCATGTACTGTTTGTTTCAGACCTTGCCGGTTATTAATAGATTGTTGGATATATAGTGAGGAACGAACATCAACAGTTTTGTTGTCATGGTGTTTGATCATCCGAAGCTGACGGAACGTGGCCTTAGCTTACAGGCACTAACCCCGTATTCCCGAGTGTAAGCATCCACATTCAACCAACGTCTACACACGCACAAACTGACGTTGATAATTGAATATGTCAATTCAGTTCATACGATTATACATCTTGTCTCCGCCGAATAAACACATTTGGCCCTGTCTTGGCCGACACAAAATGATCCGTCAACTTCAAGAATCCATCAGTATCCTCGCCGGTCCGATCAGCCAACTCAATATCAAACAAAAACATCAACCTAGCCAGCGTAATCCGCATCTCCATCAACGCCATGCTCTTCCCAATACATCCTCGGGGTCCAATACTAAATGGACAAAACGCATTGCGCGCGACTTCGATTTCATTCTTTGTGGTTTTCCATGATTGCTGTCCGGATTGAGTCTGGCATGTTGCCCCTTCAATCCAGCGTTCGGGCATGTATGATAATGGTTCGCGATAGTAGTCTGGTGAACGATGGATAGAGAATGCAGGTGTGCCGCATTCGCTACCAGCTGGTAAGAAGACGCCATCGACTTCAGCGCCGCCTTCCATTGCTTCACGAGGGATGGATCCTGGGACAGCCGGTGACAATCGCATCGCTTCATCAATACATGCTTTGAGATACGTCAGGTCATTGAGTCCCGGACCGCTCACGATCTGTTCTACCTCTGTGAAACTGGATCTCACTTCCCTTTTCAGCTTGCTCATAACTTCCGGATGTCGAACGAGATAGAACAATGTTGCTACAATACTTGTCGATGTGGTATCACTTCCTGCGACCATGAGCACATTTGCTTCACCCCATAACTCTTTCATTGAGAGGCCTTCGCCGGTTTCGGGATCTTTTGCATTTAGCAAATAGTAGAAAAAGTCCTTTTTTGCTTCATGGCCTGCTTCGACTCGCTCCTTGGCTCGTTCCGTGGCTTCGGCGCGTGATTTCATGATGAAATTCCATCGGTCCATGGTCAATTTCCGGATGAAGATTTTGTCCAGACCCCATCTATCTAGAGGCATCCAGAGGCCGCACTATACTCTCAACTCACACATTAGAGACCAAAAACCAAAGATAACCAGAAAGAACTCACAACATAGTGCCGATAGGCAGCTCGATCAACCAAATGAACCATATCCCGCCTCGCACCATCAATCAACAGATTGAAACTCTTTCCAAAACACAACTCTCCCAAAACATCATAGGTCATGAAGCCCAGCCAGTTACTCATATTCCGCACAATCTGGCCCTTTTCCGTCTTATACTCGTTCGGCAAGATGGTATCACTCGCGTATCGGGGCTCTTCACCTAGCACGGCACAAAGTTGACGGATGTGGATCAACATGACATCTTCCATCTCCTTGAGGGCCTGGTCAGAGAACGCATGGCTCAGAACACGACGTTTCTTGCCGTGGATGGTTTTATCGATTGCATTGTGAGTGTTGTATACACCCTTGATGGCAGCGAAACCGTGGTAGAAATCCGCCTTTTTGAATTTTTTACCGTGACCGTAAATGTCACGCAGACCCTGGGAAGTATTGACAGAGACGAAATTGGGGGCTACGCGTACATGGGAACCGTATTGTTGATGCAGGTTGTGCAGCCATAGGTGTCGGTCACCCTTTAGGCCGTGGTAGAGTTGTACCCATGGCGTAACAGTTGCGAGGAACGGGCCTTTGACGTGTCGTACTGGATGGAGAAGGCGATTGTAGGCGACGTATCCAACTGTCTAAAGGTTGTTTTCTGTTAGTCATGATTCCTACTTCTCCGATGGAAGAAAAGAACATACAGCAATCACGATACCCACAACTCCCACAGTCGCTACAAACTGTGTCAGACCAAGAGATTCGGAAATCATTCCGTTGTGATATTGTCCTTCTCTTTCCTCCCCCAAAAAGGTGACGATAGAAATATCCGTTGCTATCCGTATCTATGCGCTCGGTGACGTTGAGAAAAGATGAATGAAACCCCGCAAACAGGTCAACCCCGGATTCTTTGATAAGAGGCTAAAAGCGTTGGAAAGAGACAATTGTTAGTGTTAAGGTAGACAGGATCTGGGGATGTTCTTATATCTCCTTTCCACCCTTCCCCAAGACGCGGTTACCGCCGGTGCCATTTCTTATCATTTTCCTATCTGGGACCGGATAATTCTGTATTACCCGTTCTGTCTGGCTATGTACTCTAATATTCTTATTTTACGTATAATTTTTATTATGAGATTGCTGCTGATCTGCCCGCTGTGTAGGAACATCTTCTCGGAAATACTTGTAGATGCAATCGAGATCTTAGTGAATTGATCCCGGGCGTAGCCGGTGAAGCTCTGAGACAGGAGCTTTAATAAGCATGCAGTTCTATCGCCACTAAGGTTGCTCTATATCATGTAAGAAACGTGTCATGGTACGGCCTGTGGAGCTCTATAGCGGGGATTTAAAGTGGTGGATGAAGATAATGTGCTATGATACAGCTCCCCAGATAACGGACGTATCAAGCACCACTATCATTACTATAGCCATGAGCACCACCATCTAATATCCACTGCTCATTATCATCCTTATCGTCCTGCACTCGACGCCATGTCCGTCTAACCTCTTTATTTTTTCCAACGCCTCCGACTTCTCCATCCGTCGGACCCTTCCATATAGGCCGCATAAGACCACCACTCGCAAGTAGAGGGTTTTTACTAAATGCTGCGCCTGAACTACCAGTCTCAGTTTGATTATTTACCATTGCTGTTTCCTCGGTTACTCCTTCATCCTCATCTGGGGTCGCGGGACCTGAAGGAGCGGTATGATACGAACGCACGACTCGGCCACCCTTTATATCCAGACTGACAAATGTTTTCTTCTTCTCCCACTCCGGTTTCGCTTTCTCTTCCATTTCCCGTAGAATCTTTTGCTGTTTCTTCAAGGCTAGAGCTCTCTGTGCTGGACTCATCCATTGCGTAGATCCGATATTAGGCGTTTCAAAATCTGCGGCTTCATCTACCACGCGCGTACGTTGCGCATTTTGCGCTTGGAAAGCGAGCAGCTTATTCCTATGAGCGACGGCGGCGTCGAGTTTGCTTGGTGGGCCTCCTGCGTCGGTCATACCGGGACCTCCTGTATGATGCATACCTTCGTTATGCGCTCTCATCTTTTCCTGTCCTCGTTCAGCGCGGAGTTCTTTAATCATGCTTTGAATCTCCTGGCTTGACAGTAGTGGTGCACCGCAAAATGAGCATGGTTGTAGACCCTCGAGTGAACATATAATCTTCCCGCAATTGAGACAATTCGGCGCAGGCATAAATAATGGATGTATTGAGGCCTGGCAGTCGCATTTTTGTCTTTTCTTGGTAGATTTTGGGTTCGTAGATACCTCAAGAGCCGCGATTGCAGAGGTCAAATCTGCAATGTTTGTCGTAGTTACCGACCCTTTGCCAGGCGTCGAATGTCCAGATCCGGAACCAGAGCCAGCTGGTCGATGAGATTTACTCGTCTTTGATTTCACATTTGGTAAATAATCCGATATTAAAGGACCTGCTGCCGACGGAGGCGCTTTTGTATTATTGCTCTTCGGGGTGGGCGACGGATTCCGCGAATTTGCTGACGACGATCCAGATCCAGCTCCCAGCTCCGGCTGCAACAAAATAGTAAGTTTGGTTGATGCGGCCATATAATCTTGTTCCAAGTCGGCCTTTTTATACCCACCAGACACATTCCCGTAATTCTCTGGTCTTCGCGGAGGTCCGGCATTGTGTAATGGCGCCTTTGTTCGTTTGTGCGTCTTTACTTGATTCCGCTCAAACAGTCCACTGTCATCGCGAGCCGTGCGCGGTGTAGATGCACCAGATTGAGGGGTAGATGTACCACTGTCGACTCGACGCGAGTTGAACGATGAGATGAATTCGAGGACGGGTGGCGCATCGCCGAGGAGATTCTTCAGATGTTCGGCACTTTCCTCTTTGGAAAGCCCAGCGGAATATGTGATTATCTGTTTTAGTGACTCCTCATCTAATGGAAGAAAGTTTGACAGCTTGGGGAGCGCCCAAGTGACGAGCTCGTTGGACATGGCGGGGTGGTTGTGATGTCAAAAGTGTAGCTGATGGCAGAGATGATTGTTCTTCTTATCGCTGGACTTATCAGTTCGGAGACCGCTTCGGGGTTAGCCTTCTTATTAGCCCTAACCCTGGTATTTATATGTGACCGGCTCTCTGCTATTTCTTTTATTCATGGCCATGATCATTTCTACTATAGTATCTATGTTGGAGGCCCTTTAGGAACTATGTTCTTGATACAATTTCGAACCAGACACTCACTCCAGAGATACAATCCATAGCATCAATTGACGGTCAACTATTCAAACTCAGAGTAAACTACACGATATTGGAAAGAGGGAACGGAACAATGTCCTATTCCTAACCTCGTACATAGTTTCATCATGAGTCCCACAATAAGTTGACTACTGTGTATTGGTACTACGGCCACTTTCAAGGTAAGCCTTCACGCCAGGGCGGCTTTCAAACGCCTTCTTGAACGCTACAAGTACACTGGGTAGAGTTTCCTAGAGATGCTGTCAGTAAAAGCAGTCCCGTAACTGATCTACCATTCCAATTGTCACATACCGGAAGAGTACCAGTCTTCTCATCGTTGTCGATAGATTGATAGACCGCAAAATCGGCGTAAGTTATTCTGTCCCCTAGGAGGAAAGGACCATCATGTTGCGAGTAATAATGCGATAGTATACTATAGTATTTCGGCGTAGACTTGTTCTTGTAGTCTTCCGACGCATTCATGAGGTTGGCAACCCATTGGGACTGAAAGTGTTTCTGGTCAGTTCTTATCAAAAGAGGTAGATGCGGCTGTCACCTACTCTCCAGTCTATGTAGATATCTGCCACGGCATCGACTACATATTTCTCTAGACTTGTCTGGCCGTCATAATCATTCAGCTCCCGGGCCAGATAACGCAAGATTGAGATATGCTAGACATCTGTTAGAAACGCAAGTTTTCACCTGGGATAAGATGACAGACCTGCGTCAGAATAGTACCATTGTACTCGAGCGCCGGAACCTTTCCTGTGATTGTAATGCCTTGAGCCTGGAGTTTGGCACTGGTCGCAGGCCAGGTATCATCATATGCATAACGAATATCTTGGAAGTCGATTCCGGCGTCTTTCAAGAACAGTCTTGTTTGAATTTGTCAGCAGTGTCAGCCAGAAAACATGGAATCCATATTTACCGCACGACTTCTCCTCGCCCTAGGCTATTGATGTCCAGGTAATGAAGGACAGGCTTCGAAGACATTGTAGCAGGAAGCTTGTAATTTTTCTCTCTTAATTATGGTAATCTCAGGGATGTGAGGGAAAGGAGAAGGTTGATATCAGGTTCGAATTGAGAAAGTCTTTTAAAGCTTAAGTACCACTACCCCGCGCCGAATACGATAATAGCAGGGGCTGATTATGGAAACACGATTCCAAATCCCTCACCGTGGAGAACGAAGCGGTGTATACACTGGCCTGGATAAAGTTACAAATTCGAGAAGTTAAACTCGTGATGTTAACCTACATAGGTAGTCATCGAACCCTATAGGAATGGCTCTGCATTATCTGCAATTCCAAGTCGTCACTATTCATGGTATACGAGCATTGAAATAGCACCTTTCGTAAAGGAGACCTTTGAAAAACGGTACAATCTCTAAAGATCCTCAAGAGGTGAAAGGTATTGCTGACTCCCGAGGAGGAGAGCTGGCTCAATTTGGTATATTGCCCGATTAGGCAACCCTAGATCCCTATCTGCCATCACTCCAACATCCCAGGTTTCGCCATGTCTTTTCACACCGCTGGGTTGATCATTGGTTTTCTACCTAGGATAATACCACTAGTAGTAATTCCTATAATGTCCGTAATTCCCGCAGTATCTCAATCAGTTTGGCCAAAGACTCTAATATCATTATGAGTAGCCCTAATTCTCAAATCCCGAGCCGCAAACCCCTAAACTCCTCAACACCACCAGTTTTGAGCCCCAAAATAGATAAAATCCGTCATGTAATAAGCCTTAACTCCTCTTGACTGGGGTTAGGCTTCGTCTATCTACCTATGTATGGCTTGTCTAGTATCTACTGCTTCTGTAGTTTCTATTGGTGGGACCTCTAGGTATTGTGCTTAGGCTATGAATACCTAACACATAATGATATCTGACTCTCTTTAAGTGTCTGCCCAAAATGTCATTTCTATAAATTCCTGGCATAATAACATATCTGTGATAAAACTACACCTCATCTCAAAATGTCAACAAACGCAATGGATACGACGGATCCTCCTCCACCAAGCGACTTTCTTAAAGTACGAAACAACCCCTACTTACTGAAAACACCCATCAAGCAAGGAAATGCGAACAAATCCATTTTATCCATTTAGCCAGGAGAGAACGAGACCCTCGTAGATATGACTTTGACTCTAGAAGCCTTCCTAATCTCCAAGCTGCTTATCATACAGCTGCTAGAGAGCCGCGTTGTTCAGAGTTATTGGTATAATGCTATTGAAGGACAAATCAAGATGATATGCGCCACTTTGCGCGACGATTGATCTCGAGGGGAATGCGAAGTGAATTCATGCGCAGCTTCTGTATTACAGGTGCTTGATAAGGGTACGAAAGCAGGAGGGTGACGGCTACAGGATATTTGATGAATAATGTGATTCAATAGTACATAATAATATACATGTTCACCTATGGGTTAGCAAGTTTAAGCGAAATGCATCCAGTCACATATCCCCATCTCGGATCTGAAATTCAGCTGCACAGGGACATTGCAAAAGATGGTAGTTTGAACGAAGGCGACAGGAAAGTAAGAGAGGAAAGAAAAACTTCCTGCAAGCATTATTACAGTCCTTACGCTAAAAATGCTATGTGGTCAACGACTCAGAGCAATGAGTAATATGAACAACGATGAAAATGATCGACGTATCAAGCTTCGACTTTTTCTTCGCCGTCGACTGAAGGGTCATGGAATGATTCTGCAGATTCTGCAGCTTCAGCTGCCTCCGCTGCTTCCTCAGCGAGCATGGTATCTGGGGTAGCTGCTTTTTTCAATTTGCTTGGTGGCGCCGGTTTATTGGTTCCCAGCTTCTTCGGGGTATTGGGCTTCTTCTTCTTGAAATTCATGGGGGCAACGTCATCATCAGGAAACGGTCGTTTCGGTGGCCCTGTAGTAGCGGGCGTAGCTGAACCTCCTTCACGATTTCGCGTAACTGTACGACCTGAAATTCCCATACAACGGTCAAGATGTGCTGCAACTCTGTTTGTCTGACAATAACGCGGACAATTGGGACACTTTATGGTGGGATAATCGGGCGCATTCTGCTTAGATGTGCCGTTTGCATCCGGGGTCGACGGTGGACTTGATATCGGAGTGTTGGTGTTGGTATTCTTCTTCTTCTTTTTCGTCTTGTCCGTAGCGAATGGATTGCCATGGACATCATATCCAGGTCTGCTGACTAGAGGATGCTTTGTGCAGTATTCTTTTGACGGATCTGGAGGCGGACGAGCACCGATCCCCATCGTCGGATATAGTAGACGTGGTAGACGGCAGAATGGACAGACAATATCCTTGGTCGTAGCAAGCGGATTTCCCTTGAGGTATACTTTTCCATTTTCACATATCGCACCCTCTGTTTCCACCTGTACCTTCTTCTCTGGAATGCCTCCCGCCTCTGCCTCGGCTTCAGCTTTTTGCCTAGCCAGAACGACGGCAGACCTCATCCTCGCAACTTTTTCATCTCGGTGAACTTTTGCCACGATGTCATGTATTATGTTGTAGAAGGTGGCATTCAAAATCTCCTTGGACTAAGCTTCCTGTTATTTTGCTGTACGACAACTCAATCGAAGTAAACGCTCTCACCAGCTCTGAAAATGATGCTGCGGTGCAGACTCGAGAACTAATCTCTGCAGTCTTGTCCGAATCTGGGCCCGCCATCTTCGTGATAGCTCTTGACTTCCATAAAATGTTAGCTAGAATTAAACAAACTGCTGAAAGCGATATAGTTCGGATCGAGCTTTTCACACTCACTTGCTTGCGTCGACGTTTTCCTCAGTCGCTTAGCAGCAAGGGGATTGCCGCACCCGTCTTCCAATCATTGATATAATAGCCCCTAGTATGCCATCAAGCGGAGTTGCGTATATCTAGGTCGTGTTTGAGTGTAGTTGGTCTTGAAGCTCGTGGCCGATAATGTACGGATGGATACGCTTCGGATAAGCCCAGAAGTTTGTGAAAATGCTGCCGAGCGAGTACGGATGTCTTGTACGAGACGACGAAACCGACAACTCTGTTCCCAAACCTCTAAAAAATGTTAGTGGTCGAGCGTGATACAGACAAATATAATCTGAACGATTTAAGGAGCCAGCGCAGCTAGTGGGTCGTACTGCGGCTGGCACTCTGCGAAAAGCTGAGGATGATGTGATCAACTTACTCAAGTCAACAAGTAGAGTCAAGACACACGTCGTCTGCTGAACACAAAATGCAGGAGAGAAAAGATGTGGTCAGGAAGCTATTGTCGAGGTGTCAAAGAAGGCGATCATTTTGGGTATGGACGGGTCACCGAGCAATCTGTCTGAAAGGGGCTTAGTCCCCTCCAAGCAGCCAATGTAAACAGCGGACGCCGATAAGGCCTCTTATCGTGAATCGACACCCATTTCTCCGCATATTCACCTTCTATTCTCTGACGGCGGCACGAAATAACGCGTTTGAGCTCTGACTGACAGGCAAACAGTCAAGAGTCAATGGCATACCAAGTGTTTGCCAAAGCGCAGGCACAAAACCAGCGAGCAGCTTCAGCAACATCCGCAACAACCGCGACTTCTCCGCCTGTCTCCCCTCCCTCATTGCTGGTCAAACAACCACCCCTCCATCCTGCACCTCTAGTACTTCCACAGTCAGCAGCCTCTTCATCTTTGACTTCAAATAAGCCACCTTCGATTGGCGATCCAAATTTTGACCCAGAACCATTCTCAGAGCCATTGACTTCCTACCAAACTCCTCATCCGCATATTACCATCGACCCAGTTCGCACTGCTCATATTGCTTCTTTGAGCCGCATAACTGGACTATTACTTCCTATTCGATACCCCAGCTCATTCTACACAGCATGTATTACAGACCCGGTCATTGCGTCGTTATCACGCGTCGCAGTATACCATGATCATCCCGTCCCCAGTGGACCATCTACAGAAACCACACCAGCAGGAGGACTAGGTGGAACAGATAAGGTTATAGGAGGTATTAGATGTCGTCTTGAAAGACTCTTCCCCGAATTCTTGGGTTTGAACAGACCAGATGGCAAACAACGACCACCGACCAATTTATACATACAGACTCTACACCTTCTTTCGCCGCATCGTGGAAATGGGGTTGCTGCTTCACTGCTGAATTCTTTGCTATTTACAAAACCGCCTTCGGAATCGTCAAAATTGTATCGGGTTTCACCCCTTGTGAAACATTATAATATTCATACTGTGACGGCGCATGTTCATGAGATGAACGATGAGGGTTTGAGATGGTATGTGGCTCGAGGATTTCACGTTGAGGATGGTGTTGTCAAGGGATATTACAGACGCTTGAATCCAAGCGGAGCCAGGATTGTCAGGTTAGATCTTGATTGGGACAATGAAGACGAAGAGGAAGAGACAGATGAGCATCAGCACGACCCGGAACAACTACAGTCATCACACGTTTCCAACGCCACCAAACCAGGTACTGATGAAGACAGCGCACAACACCACGACGACGACGGAGAAGACGACGACGACTGGGAGAAACTCGAGGCCGAAGAAGATGATGCCGATGACCACGGCGTTGTACACCTTACAGACAGTCAGATCCTAGACAACGGAGACAGTAACTCCCCCATATCAACGACATCTTCTTCTGGTAAACGCAAACGCGACGTTGAGGAACTCCACAAACGGCATAAATAGTCAGTCAGAAAAACTATTTCCAATTTCCGCTATAAGTTCATGTTAAGAGCATGTTTAGACTTTTCGCATGCATCGCATTCGCTGTCGTTTCAACTGAGCTGCTTATAGGTCGTCGTGCATTTCTTTGACTAATACATTATACCTAACTTAATATAGATCATAGATTATCAAATATACGTGTCTCTCCAGCTGTCTGTCTATTATGTGTGCATACTTCAATCTGCAACAAAAGATATTTCTGAGTTGCTTTCTCGGGAGAGAGGTAAATATCAATAAATTGGATTAGATGTACAATTCCGGGCAATGTCCAGCGGGTATCCGATAACTAAATACAAGAAAGCAAAGGAAAAAGTCTGTATGTGACGAAGAGGCGCACAAGGACTGAGGAGATATGGTACACCAGCCATGAATGCATCAATATATACTGTTCAAAATTGATCAACCATACCCACGTATGGACTATTAACAGGACCGTGAGGCCGAAAGCCAAATGAAGAAAATAACTGCGAGCGATCATATAGCGTAATTTTCCGCGTGTAGGAATATCTCGTCCTTTGATGGATCCGTCATAACGAGATGTTGTAATCGTGCCACCGCAGTAGCAACTTCGACTCGCATACTCGGTGGCCCACAAACAAACACACAGGTACGACGACCCCAGCTCTTGGACTGTTCTTGTAGCATTTTCGAAAGGTTAGGGCGGCCATACTCGGTACGCCAACTATCTTGTTTCTGTCGCGGAAGGAAAGCAAACCGAGTCAGTGTGTTTCGAGTGCCGGAGGTGGTTGTTGATATCGGAGGTGGCTGCTGTCGTTGTGGGGGTTGCTGTGACTGCTGCATCATCTGACTCTGCTGCTGGTAATGATCATAGTTGTATTGTTGTGGCGATTGATTCTGTTGAAATCCGAAATTGAACCCCTGACACTGGGCCTGTGGAGCTCCATATGGACCAGCTTGTGCGGGATTCACATATGCATACGGCGCGTAGGGATCATAGTGAGTATATGCTGTTGGGGGAGGATAGCTACTAGAACCAACGCCTCCCGCAAGGTGTACTCCAGGAAGAGGTGCAATGTCATCTTCATTTTCCCGACGGAGCTCTTTTTCCTGTTGTAGGTCACCTCCAGCTGCCTCACGAATCCAGGCTGAGTTCCGTTTGTTGGACACTCCATGTAGAATTTCATTCACTGTCTCCGTAGCGTAGGCTTTGTCTTTGTCTGTGCCCGTAAGATAGAAATTGCAGAAAACGGAGCTGGGTGGAGCATATTCTCTGCAAATTCTTAGCTCTTCTTTGAACCACTCCATTGTCTCCGGACGCCGTAATGCCCAAACTACTCGGACGGTTTTCGTTACAGCATGGCCATCTCTCATCTTCTTGATTAAGTTGAGCAATTGGCTGGCAATCGCGGTGATACCACTGCCTCCCGCGAAAAACACAACGTCGTCAAATGCAGCCAGTTCACGTTGCATGCCTCCATAAGGGCCATCCAACATTGCTCGGTAAATTTTGTAAGGTCCCTTGCGCCTGGCAGTTTTCATGACTTTCTTCGTAAAGCCGCCAAAGGGTTGAAACACAAGAACCATGTCACGGAATTCGGGTCCATAATTCGATGGGAAATCATCACTACATAGGGAAGCAATGGTGAAAGGGTGGTTTTCTAAAGGAGAAATTCCTGGCATTCGTAGGTAGACAAACTGCCCAGGTCTCCATCGCATCTCTGTGGGAATAGTCACTTTCACGGCATCCCCAGGAAGAATCGTGACCGAACATTCTTCTCCAATCAACCATCCGAATCGTAAAGGACTAAACCAGTTCAGGTAGATACCTCTGACACAGTACGAAAAGAACCACACCGCAATCGTAGCCCAGATATAGTTCCAAGACAGAAGGAAGTTCTTCGTATGCCAAATGAGCATGCCCAGGAAAACAACAGCGATCGGGCCGTGCAAGTACGCAAAGAGTTCATAGGCCTTTGAACGTATGACTGAGAACGAATGGACGCAGAGAACGGCCAGTGGGACGAACGCAGCGATTCCACTCCCGTAGATGTACATGTGGGCGCCAGGTGGGACGAGGTTCTGGGAGAAAAGCGTATAAGCCCCAGCATCTTCCCATACTGGGGTGATGTAGAAAGGTATCATGTGAACGAGTGACATGAAAAGGCACAGATACCCAAGCCATCGGTGAATGACATTAAGACGCTCATGGCTGATACCGGTCACTATGGCCAGAATATTGGGTTTTGTACCAAGCGCGGTGATCCAGGGTACCATTGCAACCGCTATCATCCCAGCGCGGATAGCCAACGGTGGTGAACCCAGTGCGATACTCGTATAATACAATGGCTGCGGAACGAAACAGTACAACGTGACGAACACTAAGCCTGTTGCAATGAGGGCGACCACTGAGAGAGCGGGGAATACAATGCGTATCTTGCCGATAGACAGTGTCGGAATTGGCCTGTAGAAGATCCAGCGGAAAGCAGCTACGACAAAACTGGCCGGAGCGAGTAAAGATGATTCATGTTGTCGGGATGACGAAGGAAGCGGTCCAGTCTTTGGAAAGAACTTTCTGGTCGAGCTGTCGGTGGCAGCACTCGTAAGCTCCTGGTCTGACGCGCTCATTGTATTTCCGTAAGGTGATGTGACATTGTTATCCCTGTGAGAAGCTACCCGAACTCGATCACTTAAGAGATGGTACACTCGAACCAGAGATGTCAAGACGACAATGACAACACTGAAATAAACCCAGCCCAATCCATATTTCCCGGATTGAGACCATGGATCCCTCTGCATCTCTGCTTGATCCGGTGAGGTGGTTGAGGCCGTGATTGGTACATTGATGCGTTTCGCCAGCGAAACCAGTGATCCGAATACATTTCCAGCCATTTTCTTCCCTTAGCCTTTGCAGCCACGTTTATGTGGCCAGAAAAGCGAAGGAGAATAGTAGACTAGAAGTCGTGCACTGCACCGGAACGGCTGTTACAATACTGATGAACTTATTTGGTCAATATTGTAGATCTCGATGTGACAAAGTCGCAACGACAATACATACAGCCAAGTTGAAGTGAAAGCTCACAGAGCTTTCAGTGCGTTCCCAAGCACTTGCTGTATGATACCGTATTAAATTAGAATCCGTCGATCATGGCAGGCCTTGCTGTTCACAGGCAGAACAGATCCATACGCGAGGATCTCAAAGTCAAAGGCACGCAGAGTGCAGGCGAAAGAAAAAAGGTACTGATTCGAGATGAGCGGGGAAGAGACGGCTGGCGCAATAGCAGTAGGTTTATAAACTCTGCTTCTTTTCTATTTCTAGACCGGACCGAAGAGGAGTGACGAACCTAGTGCTTTTCGACCGGCATCTTAACCGAACTGCTACTTTTTCTTTTCTCATGAACCAAAAATAAACTGGCTGTATGCACGCGGCGGGTGATGTGATCAACTTATCATGACAAGTTGGCAAGGTCTATCGAGTCCTGGACAAATAGGAAAGTAGGTCGATGTTAACCCCGGCCCTTAGGGCCACGATGGCTGCGCGTCGAGGAAACGACCGTTACATATTGGTCGAGTGTTTTTGGACCCTCTCACCATGGTCTCAACGTGGCCCACCGCCATTTCTTGATGTGAATGGCCATTGCCGGCTTCCTGGCGATCAACGACTAATTTCTCTGTGCTTGAGATAGCAGAGGAAGAATGGAGGGGGCGAATGGGATGTTGGTGTTAGACGCTGTCAATGCCCAATAGGATGTCTGGATAGAGTGACAAGCGTGATACAGGTCCAAGCTCGGCAGTAGCGTGAGGATTGATTCTGCAGGCCTGCATGAGTCTGGATTTCATTGGATGATGCAGCGGGCACTACGCACTCACCAAATTGAAGCCAAAGATTGATTCACAAACCTTTGATGTCGAGTACTCGTGGAGATGTAGTGAAAGATCCATGGACGGAAGTGACAGAAGTCATTGTGCCACAACAGGAAAGAGCCCTCGGCCCGGATAAATGTGTCGATATAAATAGACACATGGATAACATAATCAACTGTCCATAACTAGTTAGGTTGGTTAACTAGTTAACTAGTGATTAAGACGACGATTTGAATGTATGATATGTTGACCACCACAACATATAGCACCACTCACTGTTGCTGTGGTGCTGTTGGCACTGTCATTATGGAGCGCGCATATTCGGTGACAGAAGTACCTGCCGTCAATGAAATTTCGAGCATTGCTTGGTGGTCCTGCTAACCGTTCCCCCGATGCCGAGCAAAAGGAAGCATATACATAGCTGATAAGCTTGGAAGACGAAGGAAAGCGTGATGGCGCGAGTACCAAAGTCACACCGAAGAGATATGTTTAGAGAGAGCAAAACCGTTTTCGGGAAATCCGCAACAACATTTCCTTCATCTTTCGTAGCATTCCGGAAAGGGAGCGCATCACCATCCACTGCTTGGACGATATACTTTTGACCCGGATTTATCAGTATCTTCCTCTGGTCGATCAAGTTTGTTTGTCCCTCAGCTGCAAAAGGTTCTTGTCCCGATACAAGGTGCTCGCCAAAGACAGTTCACTGCTTCCTCCACAACCCACGGACCGCTATCTTCCACTTTCATACGTAAACAGCGACGACGAGCTACGGGTCCATCTCCTTGTTCTACTTGAGAATTTCCGGTGGGCATATTGCGCCGAATGTTTTAACACTTAAACCACGAAGGCTGTTTACGCCCGACGCACTCGAGCGCCGGTCCTCGAGAGGCGTTGCGCCATTCTTGTCCATTCTACTCTGAGGAGAATCGAAAAGTGCGAGTCTGCCCGAAAAACTACATTTACCCCAGGGGCAAGTTACTTATGCAAGTATACCCTGCGAGTATCCTCTGGTGACTCTTTCGTCGAAGCTAGGCCTGTGTCCGCATGTCCTCACCTGGATCTGATATCCCTGATTCACACGGCTGGAGATCTTACCATATGCTAAATAATTCGGCGGATATCAGAAAGGCATGAAGAACCTAGTTTAGTGAGTTTCACTGCGAATCGGCCTCTCGGGTGGTCTGATCAATCGGATGACGTACTTTGGCATCTTCACTGCTATGATACTAAAGCTAAGCACAGGAACAGCAAACAATAGCAATAGGATTATAGGATCATGCTGATCCCAGTTTGCAGTTGAAATTGTCTCCAAAGCTCGTTTTAGGTCTCTCCACCGCAAGATTTGAGAAACAGATCGAAAATATGGCATGGCCAGCTTGAGGATTTCCCAATAAGGGTTACCTACAAGGATCTACCTGTCTCCCTATCAGCATAACTGTGTGATTTGTTACGGATCGGTCTATTGGGCCTACGCTAATAGGGAAAGATGAGTGTCAAGGCCAGTAGGTAGTATGATGTTGATGAGTACAGTACGATGGGTTCTCAACTAGATCAGGATGTACTGGTAGTCATTGATCATCTTGATACACCACACTGCAGTAAATGTAATGTAGTTACAAAAAGAAGTCAAACCCGCCACGGTACTCGAAACCGCAACCTACAGGGTTTTCCATGATAGAAACCTGTTGCGCTACCATTGCGCCAAGCGGGCATATCAATTAATTTAGCTATGAATTTGACATATATATCAATATGTCTGGAAGTATGGTATATCTCGGTTTTCACCGCCTTTAGAATCGAAATTATTCTGCCGCAAGCTCTCGTGGAATAAATCGACAAAGGCTCGACCAGGGAAACGTCCCTACAGAAAAAGGGTGAACGGACTTACACACACAAGAGGTCATGGCTTCAAGTACAACATCGACAAACCCGCCTATTATAGGCCCCTCGTTATCCTCTCTCGTCCTCCCACCATCGCAGTTCGCTCGCCTTCAACCGCATGCCTACCTTCTCGCTCATCTATCACCACCACCTTCTTCGTCTACTCAGCAACAATCGCCCATAAGACCTAATGGTCGTGCACCATTAGAATTTCGAGCTACGTCCGCCAATCTAGGCTCTCTTTCGCATACCAATGGAAGTGCCGTCGTGAGAATTGGCGATACCGCGGCCGTCTGTGGTGTGCGCGCGGAGATATTGCATACAGAAGACATAGCTTCATGGGAAGTTTCTACTTCGTCTGGAAGTCGTAAAAGGAGGAAAATTAATTCGGATCCCAATGATAGCAAACAACCAACTGGAGAGGGTGCTGATGAAGATGATGATGATTATATCAAGAATCTCAATCTGATTGTTCCAAACTTGTCTCTGAGTACAGGTTGCGCACCTGGCTTCATACCCAGTGCACCTCCATCTGCACTGGCACAGGGGCTCTCACATCAACTTCTCAACATGCTTCATACCACACGATTGATTCGTTCCGAGGATCTGCAAATATGGCATAATCCGCCAGACTTGGATGCCATTGCCAAAAAAGAACAAGGTGAAGATGCAATGGATACCGAATCAGCGAGTCAAGCAGGAGATGAAGGTTCGATCTCGTCTTCTGCATCAGAAATCAAAGGATTCTGGGTCCTCTATATCGATATAATGATGATCTCCCTTGCCGGTAACCCATTCGATGCTGCCTGGGCATCTATCGTTGCCGCACTCCACGACACAAAACTACCAAAGGCCTGGTGGGATATCGATAATGATATGGTACTATGCTCCGACAAGGTTTCAGAGTCACGAAAACTTAATCTTCGTGGATTTCCAGTATCGTGTTCGTACTCAGTTTTTGAGGCGGATGCTGCGGTTGATTGGCGAGCTGTTGTTATTCCAGATGCAGATGAGAACGGAGGTGTAAACAAGAAGACATCTGGCCAACAGCAAGAGAGATGGATTCTGGCTGATCCTGATGGGTTCGAAGAGAGTCTGTGTCGGGAACGGATATTCCTGATTGTTGACTCGGATGAGAAGAGTGGTAAAACGAAGATTTTGAGTATGCAGAAGAATGGGGGTTTGTCTGTGGGTCGTGAGGAACTCAGGAGACTTGTTGATGTTTCTACACAGAGATGGAAGCACCTGAAAAGTATTTATGATGGATTACATTAAGTGATAATACATTGAAAAGACATTATGGTCGTGAAAGGGTGAGACAGATGATCTGTCTGATACAATGTATTCATAGAATATTGATACCTCCTACTCGCCAGACCCATCTATCAAACACCTGAAATGCAACAGTGCATGTTCTATGTCATGTGGTGATATCCATAACCCATATAGCATGTAACGAAGAAAGTATTGACAAGAAGTGAGATCAATCATTACTTTTTCTGCAGCACTGAAACAGACATGGAGAATAGGCAAATTTCACCTTCTATTTCTGCCTTTGAAGGCACAGCATCCCCTGGTTGCGTGTCGGATTTCTTTTGGCTATCAGACAGGCTCTCAACCTCTGACTCCTTCTCCTCTTCGTCGTCTTTATGAACTTCGACATTGTCGAACTGAGACTTGAGATCGCCTGACCAGATACGAGCAAAAAGCCCCGATCTGACGGCAGCCTCCTTTTTCTCCCTTCCTTGATCTTCTTGGATGTTTGCCTTCGGTTCTTCATCCTCCATCATATCGGAGAATGACCACATGGAGTCAAGCTCTTTCCTAAAATAAGCAGTACTCCACAACGATATGAGGACACCAGGGACGAGATAGAGAAGCGCGGGTTGAGCATGGTGAGAGAATTGCATAGCGATCAAAGTAGCCACCATCCCGATGATATACCCGACAATACTGGCGTAAAAGTAAGGTTTGGGGAAAGACTGTGCATCTGGATAAGGAGGTTGTAATGACAATGATTTGGAAGGCTTCGAGCGCGTCCAAAACCGCTCACCCCATCCCCCAGTTGCTCGCTGATAGATAGCCTTCTCAGCCCCTTCTGCCGAAGATTCTTTTCTAGACTTCAGTATGCTCTTATACTTGTAATACAAGAAGAGATCAAATCTCAGAGCAAGACCAATGATCATACCAGGGACCACAATATCACCTAGTCCTAGCATAGCGAGAGACAACTCGTTGGGATCTTCATTAGGGCCAGCTGGACGAGGAAACACCATCTTGATAGGAACATCGAGCTTAGTTGCTACCGTCACCATCAATGGAGTGAAGAAGACAAAGTATATATCGTAAAGAAACAGCGACGTCAAAATTAGAGACCCTGTAGTAAACGTCGACGGTGATATGACCTGTAGCGAACCATAGCAGAAGCTGAACCCCAAAAGGTTTGTCAGCCACCATGGTTTTGCGTAAAAGGCGAAATATGTGACGGCAACCAAAGATGTGAAGGCTGCAGTAACATCCAGCATATCATATCGGATCTTTATGTTGAAAAGATGTAGTGCCTTAACTCGCAGCTGCAATTTCTGATATATCAGGGCGCGTAGAGTCCACAATGAGTCCTGAATCGTAACTGGCAAGGGGATGGCACCGAGAAAGCCTGGGAGGGGAGATTTCCGCTCGACATGGATTGCGGTATCTGAACTTTCTTCATTCTCAATAGCTGAGGCCAGACACTTGAATTGATTCACTCTCCACTGACGGTTTCCGGAATAATATGTTGACGGAAAGACGTATGACCGTAGGACTTTCAAGCCATCCCTTAACAGCGCCCCGGTGAAGAATAATCCCATTTGAGAAAAGTAGAAGCTTAGGATTTTGTTCAGGATGCTGGGATCCTTCAGCCACTTGATGATCAAATAGAGACCGCCTAAAGTCAAGCCTGCAATCAACGGGAACATGAGAGCATCTGAGGGCTCCAATCCTTCCATCTTGTTGCCTGTGTCCTTTCCCTCATCTTCCTCCTCGTCTTCGGATTCAGACTCAGCTCTGGATTTCTTCGTCGGTTTGGCTGCTGATGAGGGGCGTGATAATGAAGCATGAGCTCCTGTATATATCGGTATAAGTGCGGATACGAGGAGGTGGGCGTATGTTGGTAGAAAGGGCCGCATGTCCTTTAATTGTTCCACTACCGGCTGGAGAGACTCAAGGATGGAGTCGGCCATCGTAGCTAGGGAAGCGCACTTAGTGTGCGTATGTAACACCTGAGAGCCTTCGCGGCTTGTATGAGGTTGAGTTTCAAATAATAAGAGTAAAAAGGTGGTATATAAACGGATGCGACTGAGACAAGTTGTTTTATGATAGAGCGGAGATGCCAAGTTCGCGAAAACTAACAATGAATTTATCGCCATCCCGCGGAAAGGAAAGCGCATCCCACCAACAACACTCAATGAGATCAGCTATATACCACCACCGGAGTATCTAATAGACACAAATATGGCCACCGAAATCGCAATTGACACGACTATGGTTCGTATCTTTACTCTGGATTTGGAAGTCTTCTCTAATAAATCGCAGGGTTCTTTCGTCGTGGAACTCTACAACGACCATGCGCCAAAGGTATTCCCCAAGCTCAGCGCCAGCTTTGTACATATTTGTTTACTTTTACCTTTTCTCAATAGACTTGCAAGAACTTCGCGACTCTCGCTCAAAGAGGATACTACAACGGCGTCATCTTCCACCGCATCATCCCGGATTTCATGATCCAAGGCGGTGATCCTACAGGCACCGGACGCGGTGGCAGCTCGATATACGGCGAGAAATTCGAAGACGAAATACACCCTTCATTAAAGCATACTGGAGCGGGGATACTGAGCATGGCCAACAGCGGGCCAAACACAAACGGAAGCCAATTTTTCATTACTCTCGCCCCGACGCCCTGGCTTGATGGAAAACACACGATATTTGGTCGGATAAAAAGCGGGATGAGGGTCATACAACGCATGGGATTGGTTAAGACAGATGCTGAGGATCGACCTCAAGATCCGGTCAAGATCATCAAGGCAAGAGTCAGGGAGGAGGGCGAGGAGGATTGAACGGTGCTACCGGTGTCTACACAAGACAGAAAGGATAGAAAATGGGCAGAGCAGAAATGAATTGGGCACATCCACACCGCTGCGAATATGTCCTGTAAATGGATGTCACGCACAGTATGAATATACATAGTGGTTGTGCGTCCGCTTCGAGAGGCCAGGACTACGTACCGAAGGCGGGAAATCTGAGAGGAAATTTCTCCCATGTCACCGATTATCGATCCAAGGAATCAATAAGAAACCGAGACTCGAAGCTGCAGCTACCGAGCGGAATATACATAGCTCTACGAAGAAACAAAGTTACTAAGGTAGAAAGAATGTATCACAACCTACGAACCGCTCCCATCATGTGTAGTTCCAGGGCAGCAGATACAGGGTGACAAATCTCATCTACCACTCTTATAGATATACCAATGAAGGTGTATCTGTATTCAGACATGCTGCTACAGAAGAATTCATTGCAGTGTATCTACGCAGAGCGCAAGAGTGGTGTAATGAAAAGAAAGAGAGAAGCGGCCGAGAAAAATCAGCTTAAATTTGAGTGTCGGGAAATATACATACTAACTTCGTTTGTACTAGTGGTATTTTCATACAAAATATAAGAGGATTGAATACATAATGATATATACTCTGCTTGTGCTTCGATTCTGCAAACTGCGTATTGAACGTAAGAAGAATACACTACAACTCTATATCTAGCTAACCATGTTATCATACTTTCTTGATAGATGTAATTAATAGACAATTGTCTCAAAATTACCTCGCGTATTGATTACAAGACCGAACGAAATCACGTGATCCACTAGCTTCGCGGATGATGAAAGCTCTTAGCTTGGACATTTCCTGCTTTTTCCTTACAAATCGTTCTGCCTCAGCATTTCGATACATATTCTCATTCAAGGATATAGACTGTTCTTTGAGCGCTAGAACAAATTGATGATGAGACCAAGATTTGTGATGACCCTCATACAAGACATTTTCTCTACACAGAATAGGTCACCGAGGTCAAAATGGAATCATTAACAGAGACCCCATGGGATGTGACAATATCCGGGACGGGGCTTGCGCAGTCACTTCTGGCATTGTGAGCTTGGAACTCCCGAGTTCGATTCGATTTTCACTAAAAAGTCGATCTTAGAGCTCTGTCCCGGTCAGGTAAGAAGGTTCTTCACGTGGATAAGAATATATACTATGGAGGACCTGAGGCTGCTTTCAGCGTCCAGGAGGCACAGGAATGGGTAGACTTGTTACAGAAAGGTTCGTCTTATAATTGAGATTACATGTCCCGGATGTTTGCTAACTTGTAGCAGAGCCTGGTCGAGAGCCATTTGAAGATGTCTCCATTTATGCGCCCTCGAATGCATCAGACGACGGGAAGAAGCTGTCCTTCTCTAGAGCTTACACACTATCACTGTCACCGCAGCTAGTCTATACTCGATCGAAGCTGCTGCCCACACTTGTGTCCTCCAGAGTTTATAGACAGCTCGAATTTCAAGCCGTCGGAAGTTGGTGGATCTACGGCAACTCGGGCGCCGCTGATGACGATGCATCCAGAAAACTTCGACGAGTACCGAGTAGCCGCGAAGATATCTTCGCTGATGACATGATCAGTATGAAGGCAAAGAGAATGTTGATCAGGTTTCTTCGGAATGTCAACCAGCCACAGCAGACTGAGACAGATGATGAACAATCCGCAACAGACGAGGGTAATTCGAGCCTTTCTCTTTCGAAATATCTGAATACAAAATTCAATGCTCCATCAGAACTGCACAACCCTATACATTCGCTGTCATTGTGTCAGCAGTCGCCCGAGCACACGCCTACGGACATCGCGCTGCCTCGTATCAAACGACATTTAGGCTCACTAGGTGTGTTTGGACCTGGCTTTGGGAGTTTAGTCGCAAAGTGGGGTGGTGGCGCAGAGATTGCTCAAGTGGGTTGCCGTGCGTTGGCTGTCGGTGGTGGTGTCTATGTGTTGGGTCGAGGCATTGACTCTGTCGACACTTCCAAAGATGACCAAGGCTTTTACCAGTTGACTCTATCGAGTGGAGAGCATATACGCAGCAAATATATTGCAGGATCTCTCTGGGATTTGCCACAAGATGCGGGCGGTCCTTCGATATCGACTGAAAAAGTCGCTCGCTCAATATCTATTGTTTCCTCGCCGTTGAAACGACTTTTCCCAATCACCGCAGAAGGAGGTCCTATACCTGCAGGAGCAGTAGTACTCGTTCCTGGCGAAGTACTTCCCGACGGTACTTCAAATCATGCTCCGGTATACTTGCTAGTCCACTCTAGTGAGACTGGAGAATGCCCAGATGGACAATGTAAGTTGAAGAACTTTTTCTTGCATCTATTGATTTCGCTCTTGTATGATGACCGTTTAAACTTATCTACATTGCCTGATGGACATTGATGAAAATTTATCTATCAACGACTGATGAGAGCTCTTCCGCGTTTCCTTTGATTGCATTTGTATCATTACCTTTACTAATGTTGCTGGGCTGTTTATAGGTGTTATCTACGGCAGCATCTCTGTATCCGGTCAAGAAGGCCAACATCTTTTGGAGATAGCAATCAACCGTCTACTCGACTCATTTATTGAGGAAACAGACAAGCCCGCGGTTTTGTGGTCCTTGCGCTTCACTCAAATCGGGACACTGGATAGCACCCAGGGTTCACCAGTTCTGTATAAGAGTACAAAGTCAGATCAAATATTGTACTTTGCGCCACCGAGCTTGGACCTCGCTTTTGACGATAGGGTGGTGGAAAGCGTAAGAGAATGCTGGAAAGCAATCCTAGACGAGGAAGCGCAGGACGACATGTTTATGAAATTTGAGGATAGAGAGACATATGATGACGATTACGTTTGACGGTTTCAATCAAGAAGAGCATGTAACTATGTTGCCTCTACTGTATACATAAGCACGTTGTCAACCTAAGGACACATAATTGACTTGCAGACAGACTACAAGACCTGTTACATTTACATAAAATTGTTTCAGACTTTCAATACATGTCTCACGGTAAATCCGTGCAGATGTCACCTAATGACGGCCCGCCGGGCCGTCATACGAGAGACGACATGCGATGATGCGGCAGTATCTAGAACATACAAACGTAATTTCGAAATCTTTTCACATATCCCATGGAGTCGTATCAGTGGTATGCTCGATCGCCGCATGCATTCTAAAGTCTTGAGGCTATTTTCCTTCGGCCTACCCGAGAATGGCACTGGAAATGGAAAAATAACAACGATCGTATCGATTGAAATATGCTCATATCCATAGGTACCGAGAAAGGCATCGTCATTGTCTCGACTCATCTTAAACCTGTCCATACGTTGAGAGTATCACAACGCTTAATTCGTGATCCGTCCGGGACTCCCGAGCGGGTGAGTACGCCAGGAACGGAATGGGGGCCTTATTTCTGCACTGCATGCGGTGTGACCAGAGTCAAAAGAAACCATGATCCATGGATGTACAACGGACAATAGCAAGAGCAAGCCGGAAACTCACAGTCTTAAAGATAGCTGTTGTCGAACTGTCAGCTTATCAGGAAGAAGGCTAAGATGATCGTGCTGCTAGAACGGGAATAGAATTAGCCTAATTGACGGCCTGACGTTACGATACGGATTAAATACAAGTACGTATTGTCGGTAATTGTCATCGACTCCGATGTCCATCACTATCGAAAAGACCCACGAACCGCACATCTCATTGGGCTAGAAGTGGCACACTGACCGCAAATCCACGATACCCTCGCCGTGATGGATCGCGCTAAGTGTGAAGAGACTCAAGGTGTTGTTGTTGTTGTTGTTGTTGTTGTTGTTGTTGTTGTTGTAAGAGGGCAGGCGAACATAATAAACCAACTGCAACGTCAGGAGTTATTGCAGCGGCATAATTATCTCAGTAGGCTTCCTCTACATGACCTCGGGAGCCTTGATTACCTCGACCACCGCTATCGTGCTATCTTGAATTCAACGTGTTCATCTGGGCAATATCAATCTTGATACAGTAATTTTCAAGTTTATAATACGAAATCTAACTTCCTTAGGAGAAATGTCTAGCGCAAATGCAATTTTAACTACCGAGCTTGCAACAGAACGTCACAGCGGACCAGAGACCCGTCGCCATAATCCCCTTGGATGGCAAATATTAATATTCTACTGTTGCATTTGTTCGTAAGGATATTTGCATCGTTGATACAGAGGATCTTCGACCTGAAACAAACCAAACGACTGATACACATGGATCTTCCATCAAGGTACTAGGTACTTGTCCTGCCTATGAAGTCAGTAGGAATGCGCTCGTACTGAGGACTTCGGCCGATCAGTTGAGTTTGCCTAGAGCGGCGGGCCAGTAATTTACCGTACCGTAGTACTGTATGACTACGGAGTACATCAGCCCCTATTACGGTAGGCACGTATTTTAGATCTTCATGCTGTACGGAGTACTTTCTTCAACTTCCACATCAAGAGACGCTTGTCTTATCTCCCTGAGGTCCCTACAGACAGACTGTCAAGTAGGGTCTGTTCTGGTTTCTTTCCTGGGTTCTTTTTTTTTCTGCACGTTTTGTGGCTGCCGCTGGTTGATTTGTTGATTTGTTGATTGTCTTGCCTGTCCATTTTCTTCAAATCAAGTCTTTTGCCCGGCTCTTGTTGAGTATTCGACAACCGCAAAGACTCGTCAATTGTCCAGAACAACAACACTCACTTCTACGTTTCTTGATTTATCTTGCTTTTAATTGATTGTGTCTTACCTCTGCCCAGTCTTTGAGAGTTCTGGTGGTCCACTCTCTCTAACCAACTGCGGGAAGAGTCTCAGATTCCCCCTACCGCCCGCCCTAGAAGGCCAGCGAAAGGACAATAATAAAAAAACCAGCCAAGCATCACGCCCCCCTTCTTTTTTCCTTGACACACCCATTGTCCAGAACTGGTCCATCACGCTTCTTGATGACTTCGTCGAAGTCATCATTCTATGCTGGTCCGGTCAAGATGCCTTTCTTCAGGCCGAAGACGCTCTTTCCCTTAGTCGCCATCCTATCTATCGGGTTCTTCTTCTGGTGTGTTGACAGATACGATCGTGCCGCCCTATCGAAAATCAAACGTCCCATCGAACAGATTTCAAATACAGCAAACACGATAACGTCAAACAAGAATCCGCCCGCTCAGGTTCAGCTCCCTCCTGCTCACGGCACCTTTGGAAACTGCGAGTTCGATACCGCATCTGCGCCGCCCTTACCCTTCGATGAGTGGCTCACTCGCAAGAACTTCACTCGCGCCTTCATCCGCCCGAATCGGGTCAGCGCTTCCACACAATTCCGCTCGTTAGAAGACATTAACACCCCCGTATTACCTCCTTTCCGTGCGCTGGAACGCGGCCTGATCCTTTCAGACGAAAATGACGACAAAACTATCCCCTGTCCGACCGTCGCCAATGTCAATGTGGCTATAGACCATGATGTTGAAGAGACCTCGAAACTACTCTTTGGTCTTGCCACGACTGTCGACCGACTCGAGCGTTTATTGCCATCGCTGCTTTATTCTTTCGCTGACACCAAGGCCAGTCTTTTGGTCCTAGTACCTGAATCGGACGACGATCTCGCGGCCCAGGAGAGATATTTCCGTTCCCGCGGGCTGGACATCACTCTTGAGAGCTCACCATTGGAATTCACCGCTCGTTATTTCGGACTCGTTGAAGCATTCAGTCTTCACATCAAACAAAAGCGCCCCCACACTGAATGGGTCGGCTTTATCGACGACGATACCTTTTTCCCGTCGCTCCCCTCGGTTGCTCTTCAGCTCAAGCAAGCTGATTCGTCAAAGAAACACTACATTGGCTCGCTTTCGGAGGCAAGCTGGCAGGTAGATACTTGGGGCCACATGGCCTTTGGCGGCGGTGGTATCTTTGTCTCGAAACCGCTGTTAAATATCTTGATGGAAAACTACGACGAGTGCCAATCTTGGGGCGAACAACCAGGTGACCAAAAATTGGGCCAATGTATTGAGCGCTCCAGCAATACTCCTCTCACCCTGTGGCCGTCGTTACATCAGATGGATCTGACTGGAGCACCCGACGGTATCCTCGAGTCTGGTCTTCAAATCGACAGTCTACATCACTGGAGCACCTGGTACACCAAGGACGTTGTGAAGATGGGCGCCGTTGCCGCGGTAGCCGGTAAGCGATCGGTTTTGCGCCGCTGGGTTTTTGATCAGCAGGAGTTCATCGACCAGTCGACTGGAGAGTCGTATCGCATGTTCTGGGTCCTCACCAATGGACACTCAATTGTCAGATATACACTGATGCCTGGTACCCCGAATGACGCTATAAACTTTGACCATGTGGAGTTGACATGGAATGAGGACATGGCCGGTTATACGCAGCGCTTTGGCGCGATGCGGGAAAAGGATCAAGAAGGCGTAATCAAGGAGCGCTACCTGTTGACGGACGCGATTGTCATTGGTGACAATGTTCATCAGTTCTATACCAGAGAAGAAGAAAACAGCCACAATCTCATCGAAATAGTCTGGCTCGGTCCCAAGAGCAGCAGCAACAGCAACAGCAACAGCAATAGCAACGGCGCTAGTTCTGGTGGCTCACGAAACCCTCACTAAATATACGACCTTGAACATTTTTGCAAAACATACTATTCTTGCACATTATTTCGTTGAGCGAAGATTCGCTGCCCTCGTTGCTGGCCTACGCGTCTGATTTTCTTCCGATTCGTCCACCCATCTACCTACTTTTCAGTTTCGACCTACCCGAATATTTTGGCGGCGTATGAATAGATATCCTCAACACAACTCTTCACAGTCCTCATTTCATGGCGTTTACACTGGTTGGCTTACACTTTCCATCGATGGCGCGATTCTTAAGATTGGGCAATCGTGATGACCCTTTTCTTCTTTTCCCTTCCAGATTCGTTTTGAAAAGAGTCCGGAGGCATGTACTATTTTTCAGCTGGGGGTTTTGCCTACGTCTTTTCTCCGTCTCAAAACATATCTTTCGCATGTTCTACGACGTCAGTGACCACAAGGGTGGTTATGCAGACGTGTATATCGTGGGCGGACAGGTATTTTGAGTGGCGAGTCTTGCTGTATACTCCTTGAAGCGGTGGATTTTCGACTGATATTTTCTTACTCCTTCTTTTTCCTTTCTGTGTTTCTTTTCATCTTCTATCATGACCAGATCCTGAGATCATATGTATAAATAGTATCACTGAGACCAGTTATGAGCAAATCTGGATTCGGACTGGATTGTTTGGTATCTTTGTCTCGCTCGCAGGACACATGAGACATTGTTGTACTAGTGCACAGATGCAATGTATCGCTGATTGATGATTTGCAGATGCCTTTTGCATCCATATATTTTTCCCCTTTTGCGCCTTTCTGTTTGTTTTGTGCTGTTAGATGACATGTTTGATTCCCAATATAGATTAGAGAACTAGTATCAATCTTGATATCATAATGCATATAATTTTGAATTTCATCGTGAGTATATTAATTATTCTCCTTGATTCAAGACATTGCCTTTGAAACGAGGATCAAGCCAATCAGCCAATAGGATTCGGTACGCGTAATATTCCCACGTGATCAAACTCTATTTGGGTAGTAAGAACTGACTAACGGCTTACATAACCGACATCTCCTGCATTTGTCAGGACATGACTGAGAAAGGGCACAGGAATAACATCACATTTTGGAGATTTTTCCGAGAATTCACTAGCTACATCATTTCTGCACTGTTGGAACTGTTCAATCCATATATCCGTTCAAGCATGAGCTACTCCGCAAAAGCTTATCGACGCCGAGTACTCTTTGAATTGGAGAATTGATTGGTTCTAAGTACATGTTGTCTCAAGCGGTGGATAATCTGGTCAAAGGCTTGCTTCCGGGGTTGCCCACAAGAGATAGAAGGAGAAAATAGCAAAAAGGAATGAACTAGGAATCAACATGGACAAGCAAAGAAGAGATACCATGGACACCGAAATAGCTTCCTCAGAAGCAGCAGCAGGAGGTGCACCCCGATGGAGAATCTCCAAGGCTTGCCAACAATGTCGACGCAGGAAGATTCGCTGCGATGGAGGCGAACCATGTCAGCACTGCAAGCAGAAAAAGTTGGAATGTGAGTATCGTGGATTTGTGCGACAGCGCAAACGGAAGCATGAGTTGCTCAAGAATGAGGATGCTGGTGCTGGTGCAGGCGAATTTGATGATGATGATGATGATGAGGGGGCCGAAAGAGATGCCCAAGCCTCGGCGTCGGGTCGTGGGAAAGGATTTGCGGGTAGTCGCAAGGCTTCGAGGTCGATATCAGGCCCCGGTCATGGTACTGCTGATGGGGGCAGTGGTAGAAGAAACGATATGGTTGATTACAGTGTTGCGGCAACGCATGTTGCTTCACCTTCATGTGTGATTCAGCTATACTACGGCCCGCATTCTAATTTTTCGCTCATGCAGTTGATGTATCGCCAATTAGTCGATGGGCTTGCTAGCGAAAGCAACAACAATTCTTCATCTACATCACGAAGAGACGAGGTTGAAGAAGTTGGTCCTGGGTTGGATCTGTTTAGTTTCCGTCGCTTATTCTTTGGCGATCTTGCCGGTAATCAGGATACATCACTTTCCGGGGGGTTGGGATTAGGGTCCAACTCATTATTTTTCATGCATCCGTCAACGGCTTCAAAGTATTTGGAACGATTCCTATCGACTATTTACTACTTGACGCCTTGGAAACCCAAGGATCGCTATCGACAAATGCTCAAGGACTTGTATCAGAATAAAAATGACATGTCCTCGGATAGCCCGCAGACGACTTCGTTAATTCTGATGATGGCCATCGGTGCAGCGGAGGTCAAAGATTACGAGATGGGCGATATCTTATACAAAAAGGCCAAAGCGAATGCAGTAGCATTTGATGAGATAGTGAATGTGCAAACTATCCAAGTGCCTATAGTGATGATAAGTTTTTCTTCCCTTGTTTCTTCGCGCTCGATGCTAACATTTTGATTACGCTCATTATCAGTCCGAGAAAGCCAGGCCGAATTCCGCCTTTCTCTGCCTTGGAACGGCAATAAGAAAGGCTCTTGCAGCCGGACTACACAAGAATACACGATTTAAAGTCGAGCAGACGACTGAGGATGCCGAAGAGAAGAGGTTGACTTTTTGGAGCTTGTTTTTCTATGATATGTCAGTCGTGGCTATTCCTCTACTATATACTTTTTGTGGGTAAAGACTGATTGATCTAGTTGGATATGCTTTGGTCTCGGCCGTTCAATGACTATACCAGCCCATGAAATCACCATACCGAGCCCAAAGGAGAACCCCATGCTACTTGCTCTTGTTGAAATAGCGCGTATCATGGCCCGAGCAACACGAGATATGTACAATCAACGACATGATTCTTTGTTGCTCATGTGGAAAAGTGCTAGAGAGATCCGCAAGGAAGGTCAAGCTTTTGCTCGACGCGTACAGGGGGTCTTGAATTTTGGGATTGACGCATCACCCAAGACTGGGGAAGTTGGTGTCTGTCAGATTGTTCTTCAACTATGTAAGAGCCTCTCGTTCCCCATGTGAACTTCAGATGATCTGACTCTGAGATGTTAGTGTACCATAGTACGATGCTTCTCACATTTCGTCCTTTTCTCGTCTTCAGAGCAAGATGGCGGCGAGATGGGATTATGAAACAAGGCGAAACCTTATCGAGCGGTAGTGAGAAGGGTGGAAACATTCCTCCATGGCTCGACGAAGCGTGCGAGAGCTGCTTGGAAGCTGCACGATGCATGATCCGCAACCTGTCCGGAGCATGTCAAATAAATCAATATGTTCGGGTACGTATTCGCCTTCACTCGTCAGATGCGTCAATCAAAGCACGCTTCTAACGCTAAACCGAAAAGGAAATAACTTATCACGGCTTCATGCTCGAAACCTCCTGCTTCACCCTCGCCTTTGACATGATGCACTCAACACCTCAAGCCGCCGAAAAACATCTCCCCTGGGTCCGATCTGGCCTACGCTGTCTCTCTACCTTACTACCCATCGACAATTACCAGGGACAAATCCACATGACGATGAATGCAATTCAGCAAATGCTCATAGCCGTATTTCCCGAATTATCAACCGCGACGGGTCCCGATCTCTCCTCCCCCAGCGGTGTCTACGACAGATCGACGTGGGAACCGGATAAACTCAGCGGCAATTTGAGTGAACATAACTATCACCTATTGACTAGACATTCGATACCTAACAACACTAACACAACACAATTCGCGCCCAATAATGATCCGGCAGCGCAACAGGCACAATCACCTTATACCCATCAAAGGGTATACAACAGTACTCCTTCCTCGCCCACAGCACTCCGGGATAACAGCATCTACACCAATCCATCCACATTCTTCACCTCCCTCGGTCAAAACCTCATGGCGACACCGGGCAGTTCTGCAGATAGCAATAACGCCAACGCAAATAGCATCTCAGCAGATGATAATATCGGCATGGTTGATTTCACACAGGATGATATACCCATAGATTGGAAGGATTTTGATTTGTCGACTATGGATTTGGAGACGTTCATGTCTATTGATCCGGTGCATTCGTCGGCGGCGAATATTAATAATCAGCCTGTAGATTATTTTAACGGAGGGCCTACTGCGAGTCATGGTGTTCATGGGCATGGGCATGGTGGATGGCCTGGGAATGATTTTGGGTTTGGTCACGGGAGATGATATTCTGTATATTTAATGTTTTCATTTTATTTACATCTCGGGGCTGGAATAATAGACTTATAGTAATGCGTTATGATGATGTGGTGAACTGAAGAAAGCGTAGTTATTACAAGTAATAGCAAGAGCACGTAGCCCTTGGAAACGATCCGTGTTCATCGATCTCAAATATAACTCAAGTTTCCAGCACTGAGTAAGAAATCAATACAATATAACTATAAATGAAACAAGAGATTTTGACTAGATAGCTCCCACTCCAATCTTGGCATCAATCAATCGGTATCGTTCCTTTTCCTTGCGGTCTTTGGATACGACGGCCACGGAAATCAGGAGGATCATATCGAATGCTATGAACAAGTTAGCTTTATGCAAAAGACGGGATGATTGAAGACACATACCGACAATGCCAAAGATACCAGTGAATATAGCATCTAGAGTGCTGTTGACGAAGCTGGAGAAGGGTCCCACGCATCCCTGCTTTTCTGCTGCGATCAGAGGTGTGCTGCAGGTTGCGTCGGTGACGAAAGGCGGAGAAGTGCTATTGTAGTAGCCACAGCAGTCGAACTGATTATACAAGTTAGTCGCTTTCTTCAAGTCCATAAGAGAGGTCATACTCTTTGCTGCAACAAGCTCTGGACTTCAGGTGTCTGTTTACCCCACGAGGTATTCAACGTAGCGCGAGTTCTGAGAGTCTCAATCCAGATGATTAAACCAATGACGAGTGTGAAGAGTCCGGAGACTATGACCATCCATCCTTGAAGTTTGAGCCATATCCGACTGGTCCGCAAGATCATAGTAGGTAGAACTAGGACGAAGGTAGCAAAGACGAATATAGCATTGACCAAGGCCACTGTATAGGTAGATCATTAGTGCTCGAGTAGAACGATATTCATGATTCCACTGCATACCTTTCTCGGGCACCATTTCGAGTAACACAATTGCAGGTGCGCTGTCCAAGGTTGGGGTAGAATTTATTGTCTGGCTGAACAGTAAAGACCCCACCAACAGCATAATGCCGCCAGCCATGTAGAGAAAATTTGCGCCAGCATAGCTAAGGAGGACCGTGTCCACTTTCATGGTTGATTGTATATGATCGACTTGTACTGGACTTTGAACTTTGACGGCGTAAAATGAATGGTATTGCTGATGACCGATGCTAATGAGCGCTTTGAATTCTCAGAGAGTGTATATTAATAATAAATGAAAACGAGTCTTCCAGAGACTGTATATTATCGGCTTGCTTCTGATATGCAAGAGTTAGATGCCGATTGCAGGCAAACGAGAGGTACAGTTCCCTGCCGGAGGGTAACGATGTCGAAAGTCGCAAATTCAGTCAAGTATCAACAACTGAACAATCTCTGGGTTGGGCCCCCTGATTAATATTCGCGGTTGTTTTGCCGGGCCTGCTCTCCGTTGACGGTGGTGAAGCAGGAGCCACAACATGAGACGTCTCAGATAAGTATCCCTGAAGCACGACGCCACGGCCGCATAACCGACCACTCACGGACATGTTTGTCGGGAACAGAATCAATATGTTCTATAAGCTAAGACAAAGTATAAGTATCTCTCTGAGTAGCAATATATTTGATTCATTGAAGTCAAATATGACAACTGTTTCCCTTACCTGACTGAGATCCGATAAGCCGCCAGAGGGCAGTGTTTATTGCGGTCCAACGGGATGTTTGAGCTTGGTGTATTCTGATCTCGGCAGTTTCAAAAGACAGAGAGCGCATTACCTAGGCAGTCATTTCTGTGTCAAGATAAGTTAGATGCTAGATGCCGACGCGTATGAGAGGAACCCCGCATGAAAACATGTAAATCTTTGGTGTGGCGCATGGTGATGGTCACGATGAATGGTCTTCACGATCATAGTAAACAGTTATAAATCCCGATGCAGTCAGTTGAAGCATGGGGTCGTCGTTATTTGGAAGGTTGAAGTCTGAGGATGTCCAGACCAGCCCGGTTGATGGACATGACGGCGACGAATAAGGAAGGAGCGACTGATACACCACCATCATCAAGCAGGTTTAGCACCTTCCCATCATTTCAAAGGCTTTATCAATTACTTCTTACAAAAAAATAGTTAACTTACTGGTTACAAGTACATACCGGTCTTCTACAGCACAGTCTAGGATACTCAGAATCAATGACTCATTGAGATAGGGCCGGCGATCTAAGAGAATCCTGACTAAGACAACCTCGTACATGCTAAGCACTAGTTTAAGACCAAAATTAGGCTCAACCTATCGCGCGGAGGCTGTGCCCTGCGATGCCGAAAGCTTTCCATTTCCCCGTTGGCACTTCGGCTCCACGCTGTCACCTTGAGTGAAAGCAGAGTCCATCCATACCAATGCTATCAAAGATGATTATTATTCTGAGTACTGTACGGAGTAGTATCTACGGTACTCGTACGAGTCCAGAGCGGAGGATCAACACACCGAATGCCGGTACGTAAAATACAGTAAGAAGCCAAATATTACGCCCACCATTCCTGCTATGTCACTAGTTTGAACACGCTAGCTGCTTCCGGCGTCGGGTCAGGCGAATTAGTACAGCTTCCAGCCTTCCCAAGTGGGTCACTCCACTCTCTTATTTCGTACGACGGTACTCCGTATCTCATATCTCTTTCATCAATACACAGAGCATAGGGCACTAGAGGAGAAGAGAACACTCATAAACGATGCCAATCTGCTGCTATAAGTGGTATTGGATGGATACTGCTACGTGCCGAATTAACCGGCATATAAGGCTGATTGACCGCTCTGTATTATTTGTCCAATTTCAAGCCATGGGGCCGTAACTGGTATTTTACGCATATAGGTCACCGCCTGCCGTGTGCGGCATAAAAGACAGCAGTTTGGTGGTCTCGACCGCCCGAGTGCAGCTACCCTGTAATCAAATCAGCCAATGGTAGCAGCTGGGAAAAGCGCCACTTGCTGACAAATACGAGCGTGATTGGGCGCTGACAGCACAGATCATGTTCTATTGGCAGATACGATACACCTTCCCCAGCCGCGCACCCGTTACTTTCGCCTCTGGCTGTTACCAGGCCTGACCAGTTGCCCGTTTTTCCCTTTTGCCCACACCCGCACCTTCGCAACCCCCCAAAAAGGTCCTTCCTGCCTTCCCTTCGACACTTTACCCAAAAAACTCCCTCTCCCAAACGCGTTACTCGATTTGGCCGTCTATCCATCAACCCAAGCATCATTCCTCTTTGGGGAAACTTCATCTTCAATTCTTCAAACAACAAAGCTTCTTGCTTTCCGTTTAGTTCTTTTTATTCGTCCCAAAATCAAATAACTCAATTTTTCCCCAATCAGCTCGTGATCCCATCCTGAGTCGTCATCATGGCTGATCTTTCCGGCAACATTGTTACCGACGAGCATGCCTCGCCTTCTCAGGACGAGCTTCAACAGGCCGGCAATGGTGCCAATGTCGACCGCAAGCGCTCACGTATGAGTGCTGCTGGTGAAGAAGACGACGACGACGATGATAAGCCCGGTCGTGAGCGCCGCAAGATCGAAATCAAATTTATTCAAGACAAGTCGCGTCGTCACATCACCTTCTCCAAGCGGAAGGCCGGTATCATGAAGAAGGTACGTTCAGTCGCGTTCCCGCCGCGCCTCACCAGGTCACATCTCCGCTTCTTCTATCTCGCTCTTAAATTGCGCGGCAACACGTTCAAGATAACTGACAGTTATTTTTAGGCTTACGAATTGTCCGTTTTGACCGGCACTCAAGTACTCCTGCTTGTCGTCTCCGAGACTGGCCTTGTCTACACATTCACCACCCCCAAGCTACAACCCTTGGTGACCAAACCAGAGGGCAAGAACCTCATTCAGGTAAGCTCGGGCCCTGCCTAGAATCTTTCTCCGTACTTATTCGATTCTCTATATAGGCTTGTCTGAATGCGCCTGAGCCTTCCGCCGAAAATGGTGTCGAGACGACCGATGTTCCCGCCGAGTCTCCCGAAGATGTCTCTCACAACAACGTCAATGCACAACAAGCCAATATTCCCCGTCAGGCTGGTATACAACCTGGGTACATGACCCATGAACAGCAGCAGCAGATCGCCTACTACCAGGGTCTCCAGCAACAGCAAGCGCAAGCTGGTGGACAGTATCCAGGAATGCCTGTTGGCGGCAGAATGCCACCCCAACATCCTTCCACTGCTTAGACAATATTGTTTGTGACTCTTTCAACAGTTGATTTCTACCAGAGTGGCTGGTGTTTGTGGCCATGGTGTTTCCTTGTTTGTGGTGCTTCTTTCTTTTTATACTTGTCATTCGTGACTTTCGCCCTCTATGACCCTCTGCTGGTTTGATACCCTTTCACGAACACGTTACGCAGCTAACTCCACATGAACACACTGTGTATTTCATGGATGAATCCGGGCCCAACTCATACTCTTATTGAGTTTCAACGTCATGTCGTGTTATTTTTGGGACCAGGTCATGATCATTTCTTCTTTGTATACACAACCAACCATCTGTCTCATGGCACCAAAACATAAGAAAAACAGAAAAAACAAAACAAACATATCAAAATGGATAAACTGCATGTGCTGGCTATGTGGAAATCGACAAGAGGGTTCGACGAAAGAAACCCAAAATTTCTTACCTCTCATGATACTCAACTGGCGAAAGCTTAATGTTTAGGTGTGGACCAACTGTGGATGTTTGATTCATGTCTAATCATCGGTGAAGATGAGGTGTTCTCGGAGTGTGTGGTCTTAAACTGTGCTCGTTTATTTGCGTTCGGATTGACTGCGATGTTTCTCTTTTCCTTTTATTTTCTTTGCCACTGAACAGGTTCTGCTTTTACTTTTCTCACAGTTACTGCGCAAGCTCTCTGGTTTGTCTGTTCTAGTTTGTCTTGCTGTGGGATGTTTTTTTTTTCTTTCTGATGTATTTCTCACAGTGATGGATATTTCTCCGCGTTTCCTTTTCAACCTGAAACCAACTCGTTGACGAGTTGAAATGTCTGATTCTGGTTCTTTTTCTTTTTTTCTCAAAATGTTCCCTGTATCAGAAACTTCCATCTACCTACATGTGCAATTAGGCTTGTGAAGAAAGAGAAATCAAAGTTTGAAGAAATTCGATCCCAATCCGGTAAGAGTTACTCTAGAAGGAAAGTTTTCAAATGTTGCCTGTTTGGTCAAGTTGCCCAGGCTTTTAGCACAACCTTCCTAATCAAAGTTGATTTGTATGACTTATTTCATTTTTTACATTTCCAGTTGGACGTCATCTCCTCTTATCCCATAATTTACTTGATCTACTTTTATTCCGAACAAGACTAGGATACGTTAGTTATCTCCAAAGCAAGGTCATCATTGAGTAATTCTTCAATATCCTAGAGCAAGAAAAGTACCATCGTACTTCATACTCCTGAATGCGTCGAATCTCCTCGATTCCTTTCGAACCACGATATCCCCGCCCAGCGTTGTACTAATCCCAAGCCTCGCTTCCATCCGGCTCTTATTACACTCGAAGAATCTGGATTTTGCGTGTCAGTATCGTCAATGACAGAGTTAATGTTTCCGCCCTGCTCGGTGTGAAGGCTTGTTGTTGTCCCGTAATTTCGCGGGAATTCGTCGTCGTTATTACCAGTGTTTTGGTAGGGAGTCCGTGTGGATCCGAATCCAGGACTTTTACCCCAAGACACTGGGGATGAGGAGTGTCTCGAAGACCCTGCGTATCCTCGCTGTAATCGACGTGGACTCCATCGAGACAATACTGAGGGAGAATCGACTTGTTGCTGTTGCGCGTCCCGGGTTTTGGAGATACGGAAATACGGTTGTCTCTCATTATTCCCCAGTGACGGTCGTCTCTGCTCTCGAGTTTCAGAAGGGAGGAGTGAGAATGTCCGTCGATGTGGATATTGCATGATTCTTTTCCGTGTTGCTGGACTGGTCGGGAATTCGATCGATGGTCGTCGACGGCTGCCTCCTACATTCTCGGAGTCGTCGAGTTCTGCCCATATCTGGGCGGATTCATTATTGAGTGTATGAGCGTCAACGGTATGGGAACGGTATCGATATGTGGGTACCAAAGGTAGACTTGGTGCGCGTTGATGAGATGTATCGGTCGGTTTCACATGTTTCGACAGAAGAGGTTGCCGCTCACCAACCATTAACTCCTCGTCTTCAACCGGTTCGGCGTATTCTTCCACAATACCCATCCCCGTCCCCAGGGGTGTCTGGGCTGTGTTTGGTAGGGTGAGACTCGGGTGGCTCTCATTAGCCTCCAGTCGCCAGGAAAGACACAAAACACCCCCCAAAAGAACAACAGTGCCAAGAGCAATAAGACCAGCATGTAATCCCGTAAGCTGGGATGCCTGGCGAAAATAAATCAATCCATCCAAGATCGCGACAACGTTGTAGATGCAAAAGACAAAAGGGTAAAGAACGCTAGTACTACAAAGTTTCAAGCCAAGATGCATATAGTACAATTGTGTTAAGGCAAGAAGGACCAGTCCTATGAGGATCATCCAAGACTGCCACCGATTGAATTGATTCACATGATCGACTATCGTGCGGACAAGTAGCTCAACCGCTGACTTGGCCAGCAGCAGCGTGTGAGCCGACAGGATTCCACTGGAAAAGGCGAATGCCAACCCACGGTAGAATTTCCCATGGGTCGGAGATATCAGAGGGCGAGATAGGTGTATCGAGCGAAATATTCTCGAGTTCCCCGGAGTCGAAATGGTCTTGATAATGCGTGAACTGAAAAGAACGAGTAAGACCACCAACCCGGTCATGACCATCCATACAACAAATGGCCGTTGATCTAGTAACTCCAAGAGTTCGTCGAGACTATGCGCCGGTTCGCTGACAGCGCCAAACGTGGCTATTAAGACCGCACCGATGCATACGAGCACTGTACCAATGAAGGAATATTTCGTAAATGTCTCTCCCAGAATGAGCGTCGCAGATATTGTATTAAATACTAGGCCGGACTAGATAGACACTTGGTTAGAGAACGCAATATTCGATAAGCGAGGTTTCACACGTACAGCCTGTAACGTCGAAAGAACCGGCAGTGGTAGTGTTGTGAGTTGTATGGTGCTTCCAACGATATTCGCAACGACAAACATTAGCATGCCCAGTTGCCATCTTCTTCGTTTGTATGGAGGTCTCCTAAGTTCATACGGCGCCTTTTCGTCTTCTAGTAAATGGGATTTTCGTTGAAGGGTGAGTCCGATCGCTTGGAGACTGGTGGATATGACCCCGACGATGACGCCGATCTAGACGATTGTCAGAATCAAAGTCTTGATTGTATTGGAACATATAGGTAAAGCTCACAGCAATACTCCCCCCAGGCGACAAGTCACCTAGCAAACCCATCTGCGATGCGAAGCTCACGGCGCATAGGCATTCACTCACTTAGCGGAGTCGTTTAGGTCCCTGGCAGATGTTGGACATATCGCCTGTCGTCGACTAGATTATGCGAATGAAAGCATTAAAGTCGTTGTGTCGCTTATTCTTGGGGGAAATGTCGATATGTTGAGAACAGTTGAGGAGATAGAGATTGAGACGGTATATAAAGAGGTTAACCTAGATTAAGTGGTTGATCATGTACATCGTCATGTTTTTAGGCCGGCGCAGCTGATGCCTGCGGACGCTTGGCCCGTTCCGTCGTCAGCGGACCCGCTCCCGTAAGCTTGAACTCCACGAGTACTCAACCACCTCTCACTATCACGGAGTAGATAGCAGCACTACATTCCTTTAAGACTCCATTGATATTTGGAACTTCACGTGGACATTCGTTACCGCTACCGAAATCCTACACAGTTTCTAGTACAACCCGGTAACCCCGGTCTCAGTCAACGCCATCCCACCCTCCTCAATCGGACCCTCGCATACAGACAGTCAAGATGTCGCAACACCATGCCCTCTCAGATGACCAAGTATGTGAATATTGAGAAGCTTCAACTCGGAAAAAGGTTGCTTTTTACTAATCTCTGAGCGGATAGGTCGCGGGTGAGCTCCGCAAGATGACAGCGTTCATCAAGCAGGAAGCTCTCGAAAAGTCCAAGGAAATCCACATTAAGGCCGACGAGGAGTTCGCCATTGAGAAATCCAAACTAGTCCGTCAAGAGATAGCTGCTATTGACGCTCTATACGAGAAGAAATTCAAACAAGCCGCCATGTCGCAGCAGATTACCCGATCTACACTCTCGAATCGTACTCGTCTGCGAGTCCTCTCGGCTCGTCAGGAACTGCTCGATGAGCTCTTCCAGCGCGCTCGTGAACAGGTTAGCACGGCAAGTAAGGATGCAAAGAAGTATCAGACTATATTGGCTGGGTTGATTCTGGAGGGTCTTTACTATCTCAATGAAGACCAGGTGGCGGTACAAGTTCGGAAGAAGGATAATGATGTAGTCAAGAAAGCTATCGAGGATGCCAAGAAAGAATTCAAAGACAAGGTTGGTAGAGACGTGACGATAGATCTTGATGAGAAGAATCCGTTGCCAGATGAATCGTAAGTTTGATAAGTGCTCTTATCGTTGTTTTTATGCTGACATTTGTTCGACACAGAGCGGGCGGTGTTTGCATCGTCGGTGGTGGTGGTAAGATCGATATCAACAATACTTTCGAAGAGAGACTGCGACTTCTGGAGATCGATGCATTGCCCGCTGTCCGAGAGGCGCTCTTCGGAAAGAATGCGAATCGCAAGTTCTATGATTAAATTATTAGACCATGTCCTTCTTCTTTCTCATTTATCGATTGTTTTTCTTGTTTACATGAACTAATCAGTTCAGCTGCTATTCTGCTATATATCTTTCCACTGTTCACTTTCTCAGGTGGTTTCAGTTGCATTCCATACTATTTCTCGTTCATAGGCGAATTTTATCGATCCTTCCAGTTAGAGTGTAAACACTGAACAATAGACTATGAAAATGTTAATCCGTCGTGTTACGTATACATGTCCTGCTCACGTTTTAATGCGTGATGAAAGTGTTGTAACCAAACATCGTGAGCAGTAAAATCCTTGCAGTCATATCATTCATCATTAATTGAGCGATTAGAAAGGGTATAAAGTTTTTTTTGTGTGCGAAAAAGCGAAATCAGTTCTCTATTCATCAGGACGATCTTTCCGAGGTTGTTGTGCATCAAAGTATTTACGTATCTTCATCGGGCTGTTGTGCCCAAACATCGACTTAATCCGCCGTTTCGTGCGGATAGAGTATATAATTCGGTACTGTAGAGCTTCAAGACTCTGCTTGGCTTCTGTTCGCTTCAGATGAGATGCTCCCGAATCCTCCATGGCGCTGAATATCCGTTTCACTTGTTCTGCAAGACTATCAACGTCTGCGTTGAATTGACGTTCCGCTTCCTTGTCAGGAAAGACCTGTATGGTTCGTCCAGTATCAATGACAATATTCAGAAGAGTTGTGATGGCCTTTATTTCCGTGTAATCATAGTCACTATCCAATCGAGCTTTATGCAACTGAGCATCCAAACGTGTGGCGCGTAAATGGTCGATGATTCGACTCAAAGGAATGATTTGTTCGTTGAGATCATCAAGGCAAGACTCATCCTTGGTCAGAAATGCCATTGCCAAGCGGCATCTGAGAATTGCGATTTGACGAATTGAAGGTAAAATATGGTTTAGTAGCTTGCTCTGAAAGGTCACGTCTTTGACCGTCCTGAATAGAGTTCTAGCAATCGGTTGTACCTATAAAGACGATTAGTTTTTGACGACTCCAGAAAAGCAAAGCTGGCTTACAAGATTTCCAAAGTTCTCCTGGGGTATACTCTGAAGGAGGTAATCCATTGTTGCCTCTAAAGATGCAATGACCATATCATTGTATGAGATGGTAGTATCCAATGTTAAGCGAAATAAGACATATAACGTGTGTTCCTTCGTATCAGCACGTAGACTGGACAAATAGTCAGCACTTATTCTAATTGACTTCAAGGCAAGAACCAGCATACCAATCAGCTATATCCCTGAGCATCTGAAGTACGGATAAAAGAAATCCCCAATTCCGAGACGTTTCCCCTAGTTCTCGTCAGCTTGTGACATGGCATGTGGAAAAAGTCTCATTACCTTGATTAAACAAAATCTCTGGAATTATTTCACTCGCATTTACTGCGGTTGAATGACCACCAAGACTAAAGAAAATCTGGTCTATGTCTTCTGGTCCAATGAGCGATTCAATTCGCTCGCGCTTGGTGCTCTGAGGGACAACTCAGCTGATTTAATCAGGAGGGGATTTGAAAAGCGAAAACTTGCCTTGATTGCTCTACAATACGCATATCTGAGTTCTGCTCGCGGTTCCAGTGATACTATGTTCGTCAGAAAGAATAGTTTGCTGGCTTCCTAGGAAAAGTAGCATACCAGACTGAAAAATCCAAATCAAAACTTCATCGGGCAGTACATTTCTCGATAGTGAAAAATCTATGATCCCCGAGAAAAATGCTCTCTCACGCGTGAAAGACTCTGCGGTCTCTTATTAGAAAGGTAAGAAGCCTGACAAATAACAACGACCTACCCCTTAGAAACGCCTCCCTAGATGAAGGGAGGATCGAGTCTCTTGGAAACTCGGGAAGATCCTGCTTCTTCGAGTCATCACTAAAGAAACGCCACGACTTTTCTTGCTCAAGAGCCTCTGTGCGCTTGACCGCATTTACCAGTCTCTGAAAATCGACTTCCTCATTTTTAGCTGAGAGTGCTGATGCCAATATATCTTCACGCAGTGCGCCGCTTTTAGTTTCAGCTAACGCCGAAGTGGTTTCATTCTGGCTGTCCAGTAGAGCCTTAGCGTTCAGCACCTTCGTTTCGACCTCGTCATCGTCCACAGCGCTCGTCACTAACGACGCCATACTGAATCTGTATTTCTTCTCCTCGAGCTTTAATTTTGCCCGAAAATTGCGAGCATCATTGCGTTTCCGGTTGGATAACTTTGATGGACTGGTTGGTCTGGCATTATGGGAATCTGTGGCGTTCTTCCGAGAGGGAGACGATGCAGTGCCTAGAAACTTTTTCAACAGTTCATCGGCCTCTAAAAACTCATCGGAGCTGGCATCGTCGGCATCTGAGTCAATCACAATTTCTTTCCCATTCTTGACTATCCGCTGCGGCGAGTTGAAATTGGCATTGAGGGAAGAGCTTGGTTGAAAGGATGTATAGCCACCATTGTACGACGGCACGGTCCGATTGGGGCTACGTGCACTGCCCTTTGCCTGAGGTTCCACGATAGGGTCTGGTAAATGTTGGGATGATGGGAAATGTGACGGGAGGTCTGACGGTGGATCGCTTAATGGTGACGGTTGACTGAACGCGGGGGTGCTGGCGTTGGTGGGGAGTTTGTTGTCTTGGGCGAAGGCAGGACGCTTGAAGTAATCCTTAATGGTACGTGACTGAGACATGTCGCATCAAGCAGAATTCCAATGGATTTTGTAGCGCGGAGCGCCAATATACATGATGGAAGTCTGCTCTTCAATTTTCTGGTCGGGTAGTGTACGCGTCAGAAGGAACGCGGGGTGCCACGAAGCCACGTGGGATTCTGGACTAATTTCGGGCCTAAACAGCTAGCCCGCCAAGCAGCCAAGGTATGTAAAGGCATCTATCTCTACATACAATATGGAAAGGGAAAAATAGGGGAAAAAGAGAACAGGGCTCGCATATTGATGAAGACTATGGGAGGATGGAAAGATTGATGTTACTGGTTTGACTATTTGAGTGGTGTTGCTCAGACTCTAATCAGATTGAGATTGATCAAGAGATCAGTACGGACTCCGGAGACTTTCAGCACGAGAAGTAAATCTGGTAAACTACAAAGAGCGTAGTGATATCTCCATATAGGCTCTATTTCCGCATAGCACTCCACCAAATCATACACATATTTGGCTCTGCAAAAGGTGCGTTCCTGACTTGTTCCATCTCTTCGCCCGAATACGTACCAGCGTCAACGGTCCACTGTGTACCGGTTGCTTCACCGACCTCATGCCAGAAACCTCGGATAGTCTGCTCGTTATGCCGATAACTCTTGAACTTGTCCCCATCCTTACACATACCAGTCATCGGATACCGTCCACCAAGGTGGCTTCCCAATTGACGACCGGTAATCATAACACCGGGTTTGCTTACACACATGGCCACCATCCTCCCAGCAACCAAGAGTTGGTCTTCATAATCCCACATATGGAAAAGGGATGATGCAAAGATGGCTATCATCTTATTCCCCAGTTCTCTTGCCAATGGTCTGCTTTGATAAGTGGCCTCATCGAGCTCGGTCAAGTCACCGGTAATGAATGTGGCTCCCAACTTGCCTTTATCCAGAAACAATCGATACCCGAGGTCGATGAAAACGCTCTCTAGATCACATCCGTACAATTGTGAATGCGGAATACCCTCGTTTGCCAGGAAGCGGATCTCCTGTGCAAAACAGCATCCGGCGTCCAGAAACCCACCACCAGGGGAAGATTTCAGTAATTCGAGAAGGCGGGGATAAAATGGCATGCGTGAGAGGTTGAATGATAGGAACCTCATCTGGCCGATACAAGAATATTTGTATACAGCAAACGCTTCATCACGTAGGGTAAGAACATGCCGGGAGATCTCTTCTGGGGCGAGGTTACTGTACGACTGAAGCAGGGAACGAGCTTCGGGATTGATAGCGGCTGTCTTTTCTCTGTATCCATCTCGGGTCGTTTTGTTGTCCGGACCTGCTGGCGTTTCAGCTTGAGCCATCATGGGTTATGCTGGATTTCAATTGAGCTGTTCATGATTCCATTCCAAGGGATGAAATAAAAAAAAAGAGCCCAGCAGTAGAGCTTGTTAGGTCGACCTATTGCTGGCGCTAAGACAATGAACCGTAACCAGTAACTTGCGATGCTGATGCAAGCCAGTCGATTCAGCGGAGATGCCAACACAGCGTCCATATTTTATCCAGAGCGATCACTCTTACCATGCTCTGTGGCGCACCAATTGCACGGTAAAAGAATAACTAATATATCCCAGTCGCGCGTTACATATCAGCGCTCCTAACTAATTAACGTGACGTCCATCCTCATTGCGCGGCAGTCGCCACTATGGCGGTTATGACGGAGCTGTCCCAAGGAAAAGGAGCCGAAGGATAATCGCGAAGAAAAAAAAAATTTTTTTATGGAATCCAACCATGGAAAATCATGCAAATTCTGATCAAACAGAAAAGAAAGGAGTACGTACGAAGTAGATCTGAACGCATTGACCGGATCAAGATCTCCGGGATGAATAATTTGTCGTTTCACACGGATGATCCGTATTCGTATTGCTGATTCATTGAATTTTTCGATATTCAGCCGGGTTACGCGACCTGATTGGCTCAATGTGTAATTAGCCTCGTATTTTGCGTAATGGGTAACGGACGTAAATACGGCGTCGGATATAACGTAGCACCCTGAGTACGCAGTATACAACGGTATTGTACGTACCTTACTAATCTTACTCACTCGTACGACGTGTCTAATAGTCGAGGCCATATATAACTATAACTACTATGCACAGTCTTACTCGCATCAACGTGGGAATGCACTGACAATAAACAGAAATCGTTTTATGTGCAGTTGGCCGCCTGGAACCGCCAAGCCGAGCTAAGCAGAGAACAGCCACGGGCTGAGCTCCTGACCACGCTAATCATCCGTGACTCCCGCTGGCTTGCTTACAATTCCTCACGAAAACCGTCGGATCAACAACCTCTCCGTCTGCTTAACTGCTTGCTTAGTTAAGTCGCCAAATAATCCTTACTAAGTACACGAGGTGTAACCTGGCGTCTTTCCCTCCATCTTCCCAATTCACTCGCTCTCCCCTCCTACCAAAAAGGGCTCCCTGTCAACGTACTGTCAATCGTTGTCTATACGAAGACCCTTGATCTACCTCACATACTGGACGTGTTGACGTCGCTGCCGCCGCCTAATCTTCGTCGACTCCTTTTCTTGCATCTTTTTCTACTATTTTGGGGCTGCGTTTCACATATCGCCAGATCGCCCCCGACGGACACATCGGTCTTTCGTGGCTGCTCAACTTCAAAAAGAATAATTATTCCAGTCACCAGCTTAACAAAGGAGGATCAGCATTACAGAAAAGAATCACATTTGTCAACTCGAATTGCTAGGGAACGGAGTCCTCAACATTTGCGGCGGATTATCTTACATCGTCAGGATCCGCCACTTCAATCGGATGCTCGGATACAAGAGCTTTTAAATAATCTTCCCCGTCCCCCTTATTTTACCTTCAGTTCTTCGATTACATGCTCTGCGCGCCGTGCTGAAGCCTTCCGGATGTCTCGGATCCAGTTCGACGACGGCGGCGACGGGAATGATAATTCCTTGCGTCCAATAACCAGCGAGATCTCGAAGCCGACGAATCGACAGCGATGGGCGACTCGGCGGTTACAGAATTCCAGCGGACTGAAGAAACGAGTTTCTATTGTTGACCGATTCCATAAACGCAATACATCGGCAGAGGAAAAGCGAAATTCAGCAGGTAGCAGTACAGGCGATGGGAATGATGGCGCGCCCAACGAAGGTGCCGCCGCTGGAGGCGCACAAGCGACACGGAGGATATACTTCAACATGGATATACCTCAGGAAGAACGTGACGAGGAAGGCAATCTGAAAGCGCAATATCCGCGCAACAAGATTCGTACTTCCAAATATACGCCACTTTCTTTCATTCCTAAAAACTTGTGGCTACAGTTTCAAAATATTGCGAACCTTTATTTCTTATTCATCATTATTCTTGGTGTAAGTTTCCCCCTCTATCACTTTCCACTATGCGATTGCGCATACTGATCTTAATATACATTCAGTTCTTTCCCATCTTCGGTGTTACCAATCCAGGAATGAACGCCGTGCCTCTGATTGTCATTATCGTCGTGACAGCGATCAAAGATGCTATCGAAGATTGGAGACGTACGGTACAGGACAATCAATTAAACAATTCGCCCGTCTATCGCTTGACTGAATGGGTCAACGTTAATGTCAGCGAAGAGTCAATATCGGCATGGCGTAGGTTCAAAAAGGCATGCACACGTTTCATTGTGACTTCGTACAGAGCAGTGAAGAGGAACAAAAACGCTGTGGAGGAGGACTCTGCCGATGAGGACGACAGGCGGTACTCTATGGCCACCTATCGTCAGTCGGTATATTCTCAGCGACAGTCTTACTATGGTAATGGCGCCGAAGACGGAATTCAAATGACCCCAGTTGCATCCCCGCAACCGGCTCCACATGTTGAAGGGAACGGATGGCCAGATGGACCAAACGATGCCACCGAACATCTTCAAGCTGGTAAAGCTATGCGAGAAAGTGTCGCTGTTGGTGGAAAGAGAGCGGGTACAATCGTCAATCACTCGAAACAGATTAACCACACGGCGCGCTTCAAACGAGAATATTGGAAAAGCGTGAAGGTTGGCGATTTTGTTCGCTTGTACAACGGTGACCAGATTCCAGCTGATATTGTCATCCTCTCTTCTTCCGATCCTGATGGAGCTTGTAACATCGAAACTAAGAATTTGGATGGTGAGACGAACTTGAAATTGCGCCAAGCCTTGAATTGTGGACAACTAGTTAAACACGCGCGAGACTGCGAAAGATCGGAGTTTTATATCGAGAGTGAACCTCCTCACCAAAATCTGCACAATTACAGCGGTGCTATTCATTGGCGACAGCGAGATGAGAATGACCCCAATGGCCCACTCCAGGACAGGGTGGAACCCATCGGCATCAACAACCTGCTTCTTCGTGGCTGCAGCCTTCAAAATACTGAGTGGGTTCTGGGTGTTGTTGTTTTCACTGGCCCCGAGACAAAGATCATGCTCAACTCCGGAGAAACCCCCACTAAGAGACCTGCACTCGCTCGCCAAATGAACTTCAATGTTATTCCTAATTTTACCATCTTGTTTATCTTGTGTTTGGTCACTGGAATCGTCAACGGTGTCGCCTGGGCTTCTCAAGGTTCCTGGACATACTTTGAGTATGGCTCTTACGGCGGCAGCCCACCAGTTGAAGGTATCGTCGCTTTCTTCGCCGGTCTGATCTTGTTCCAGAACTTCGTGCCTATCTCTCTGTACATTACTCTGGAGATTATCCGGTCGTTCCAGGCACTTTTTATCTACTTCGACCTTGACATGGTATATGAACGCCTCGGCATGGCCTGTGTTCCTCGGTCTTGGAACATTTCCGATGACGTCGGTCAGATTGAATACATCTTCTCTGACAAAACAGGAACTCTGACGCAGAATGTCATGGAGTTCAAGAAATGTACCATCAATGGTGTTATGTATGGTGAAGCTTACACGGAAGCTCAGCTGGGTATGCAGCGTCGTGAAGGGATTGATGTCGAAGCAGAGGCTGCCAAAGCTCGCCAGGCTATTGCGGAGGGCAAGGTGCGATCACTAGAAATTTTGAGAAAAATCCACGACAATCCCTACCTGATTGACGATAATTTGACGTTTGTCTCTCCCGACTTTGCGGTGGACTTATCTGGCGAATCTGGCAACATGACCCAGAAGAAAGCGATCGAGAGTTTTATGATTGCTCTAGCTCTCTGTCACACAGTCATCACTGAACATACACCCGGAGACCCCCCGCAGATCGAGTTTAGGGCACAGTCACCCGATGAGACAGCATTGGTCGCCACTGCGCGCGATTGCGGCTTCACGGTACTAGGCAGGAATGGTGATGATTTGATTGTAAATGTCCTAGGCGAGGAGCGTGCTTATACTGTTCTCAATCTTCTGGAGTTCAATTCAACCAGGAAGCGAATGAGCGCTATCATTCGTATGCCTGATGGTACCATTCGGCTGTTCTGCAAAGGAGCCGACAGTGTTATCTACAAGCGACTTGCACGTGGCAAACAACAAGCGCTCCGAAAGACTACAGCCGACCATCTTGAGGAGTTTGCTCGCGAAGGTCTACGAACTCTTTGTATTGCTGAGCGCATCCTTAGTGAAGAAGAGTACCGAGTCTGGAACGAATCGCATGATTTGGCCGCCGCTGCTCTCGTTGACCGTGACGATAAGCTGGAAGAAGTTGCCAATATAATTGAACAGGACTTGATGCTTCTGGGAGGAACTGCTATTGAAGACAGATTGCAAGACGGCGTACCGGATACCATATCGTTGCTAGCAAATGCTGGGATCAAGTTGTGGGTGTTGACCGGAGACAAAGTCGAGACAGCTATCAACATTGGATTTTCGTGCAACCTCTTGAACAACGATATGGACTTGGTTGTATTCAACGTTCCTGCAGACAAACCGGAAGCCGCAGCCTCGGAATTACAGAGATACTTGGACCAATTTGGCATTCAGGGTACAGACGAAGAATTGCTCGTGGCTCGTAAAGATCATACTCCACCTTCTGGAACCCACGCGTTGGTCATCGACGGAGAAACGCTGAAACTCATGCTCGAGGAAGACTTGAAGCAGAAGTTCTTGCTCCTCTGCAAACGCTGCAAATCTGTTCTCTGTTGCCGTGTGTCTCCTGCACAGAAAGCCGCAGTTGTACAGATGGTTAAAAGCGGGTTGGATATCATTGCCTTATCTGTCGGTGACGGCGCCAACGATGTAGCTATGATTCAAGAAGCCGATGTCGGTGTCGGTATCGCTGGTGAGGAAGGCAGACAGGCCGTCATGTCATCTGACTACGCTATCGGTCAGTTCCGCTTCTTGCAGCGTCTCCTTCTTGTTCATGGACGATGGTCTTATCGACGCCTTGGTGAATCCACTGCCAATTTCTTCTATAAAGTGAGTATCCGTGTTATCATATGATTGGCACCTCGAGTTATACATTATACTAACCCTCTCTAGACACTTGTTTGGACCTTCGCGCTTTTCTGGTATTCGATCTATAACAGTTTCGATGGATCCTATCTTTTCGATTATACATACATTATTTTGATCAACTTGGCTTTCACCTCGCTTCCTGTTATCTTCATGGGCATTTTCGACCAGGACGTGAATGACAGAATCTCACTAGCTGTTCCACAACTTTACATGCGCGGCATTGAGCGCAGGGAATGGGGTCAGGTTAAATTCTGGTACGTATCGTTGTGCGCGTTCATAGTTGGTGATCTAACCTTTAAATCCACAGGCTCTACATGTTCGATGGTTTCTACCAGTCCCTAATGTGTTTCTTCATGCCATACATGCTTTACGCTCCCGCTAACTTCCAGCGTGGAGACGGGCTGGTTCTCGATGACCGCCAACAATTTGGTATCCTTGTTGCTTCTGCCGCGGTTATTGCTAGTAACACATACGTCCTGATGAACACATACCGTTGGGATTGGTTGACAGTTTTGATCAACGTGATTAGCAGTCTTCTCCTTTATTTCTGGACCGGTATCTACACTTCCTCAACGGCCTCGGCTCAGTTTTACAATCACGGCGCCGAAGTATACGGATCGTTATCTTATTGGACAGTTCTTTTCGTCACCGTCGTGCTTTGTCTCCTCCCCCGGTTTGCCATCAAAGCTTTCCAAAAGGTGTTCTTCCCCACCGACGTGGATATTATACGTGAACAGGTGATCCAGGGCAAGTTCCGCCGAAATGATACAAACGACAAGAGTGCGTATGACTCGTCTCATGTCAACGCAAGTGGAAGCCCCGCTGGCAGCGATGTTTCAGCGGTATCTTCAGTGGTTAAACCCATCGAGCCTCAGGTGAGCCGTGATCCCAGAGTTCTTGAGGACGAGCGGCCCATTTACCCGCCTTCTATCGCGCCGACAAACACCACTCACAATCCACGTAGTCAAAACGGTAGCAACGGCACCACTTTTACGGCGGACAGCTTTGATTTCGGCGGCGCAAAGCAACCTGTTGTCAGTTCGTGGGAGCGCGCACCCGAAGCAGGATTATCGATCAACCACCGCCAGCAGAGGTCCTCAGTGACTAGCAATGACTTCCCGAACGGCACTCCCTTGTTGCGAATCGAATCCTCCAACGGCAAACCACAAACGCCTCATAGTCCGCTGAGGACGCCGCATGATTTGCATGCTGTATAGTTTAATTCCTCATGTCAGTATTTCTCATTCTACTATATGTCCTTGATGTCACTTTCATTCTTGATTTCAACAAAATTTTATATGTGTCTATATGAGCTTCATTTTGATTTGAAGCGGAATATTCTTTGTTTTTTATCGTCTTCTTGTCTTCTTGTCTTCTTCCTGCTGTTTCGACATTGCGGTTTCACATAGATGGCGTTGGTTGAAAAGGCTGGTGGCGTCCAGAGGTTTTATTACCTTGTTTTCGCATCCTCATGCATTATTTCATTTCTATTCCTCCTTTTTGTTTTTCGTTTCTCTTGAACAATTATCTTTTTAAATCATGATTATAACCCCATTTCATTTTTGACTTCTCCTTTTCTCTTCTCGTTCGTGCCATGAGCTATTTTTATTCATCTCACCTCGTGTTGATTCTTTTCTTCTTTTGCTCGGCTTGTCGTATAGCATGTCAGATACCAAGTCAAAACATGATGAATTAATCAGTGATCGATTGCATGGCAATGCCAGGTCATTGAGCAAGTAGGTAGTGTGCTCGCAAATAAAGCGAATTCTCTTTTCTGTTGCAGATATTATTCCTCATAATCGTATCGTAGATGGAAAGACGCGTTGTGACACGCGTTAAGTGGATGGTTTTCCACCGCCTCGCCGCTTTCCTGCCCCAGCCAATCAGTGCTGTCGATCTGCCGGGATTCCAGAAAGAAAGTCAAGCAACCAGCATCTCTAACATACACGGATCCAAACATTACAGTCTCGACCAGATGGTCCCTTTCCTTCTTTGCCTCTACTCATTCAAGGCCTTTTTATTATTTGTCTGTGTGTTCTGTTTTGATTCATACGGCGTCCGTCGACCGGGGAGACTTGCTTCCATTTGTTCTTGTTTCACCCACATTGCTCTTGCACATTCTCCCTCCGTTCGACCAAGCATTTTAGGCCTCATTGCGGTCGAATTCATTCGTTAGTTTAGGCAGCTTCTGCTATGGATATATTTTGCTTGGGTTGGTTGTTTGAATAAGATTCCTTGCCCAGTTTGATCGTGAAAGCTCCCCTCCATCATGGAGGTCTTGGATACAATAAGGTGAGAATTTCTGGTCATTTGTGGCAGGAACATAATTCTCATTGTTGCTTGCTCAGGGAATTACAAACAATACCGGAGGGTATCCATCTATTATGTCCTAGGCAAAGACGCGACGACTACGGACGATACGATGATACCGATGGCGAGAATGAAACACAACGGGCAATGGAACGGAGAGACAAGGCATTGTCATGCCTCCCGATATTGGCTTTCAGTCAGGATGGGTTAGAACAACTACAAGATTGGTTGTGGCGGAGATTCGACGATACGCTGGAGAGCTGCGATTTTTGCATCAGAATGTATCATCGAGGGAAAGTCACTCTAGCCGAAAATTTAAAAGAGTCTTACGACGAGGAGGACATTGAGAAACTGATGCGGCTACTTGAGGAGTGGGATCTGAAGCGCATGAAGAAGAATTTGACCACGGCCCTTGAGGAGCTGAACGCGGTTCCGCCGGAGAAGATAGGGTTGGATGCTTTGAGAACGTCGTCATTGCTGGCTATCTTTGAATGTCTCAGTTCTGATGCTATGCAGAAGAACGAAGGTCTTCTCAAAGAATACTTCGATGCCCCGTTTAGAATGATCCAGACGAAACGGACCTTGAAGCTCACTGATTATGTGCCTGGCCTGACCAATTTCTTATTTGATCCTGACTTGGTGCGAAATCACTGGGCAACACATGGATGGGGTCGTTTTCGTCGACCACCCACCACAGATGAGTTCGAATGGGCCGTCAAAGACGGCTTGACTCGTACTCTCATTTCCACCTCAACACTGCAACCACATCTGGATATTGCTGCTGTTTACCGGTTATGGACTGGTCTATTCATCATCATAAAGAGACTCGATAAAGATCAGATTACTCATCACCTTCGCGCTCTAGATATTGACCCCCTTCGGTTGTCCGTCGAACATCTTCCAATACAATCACCTGTCTTGCGAGTTCTTCTGAACACTATTCAATTACTCTTGGAAAAGGCACCGAACGATTTTTGGGACGCCATGCAGACCATATCTCCTCAAGCGATTGCTGAGCAAGTGTTCAATAATCCTCAATTCGACGCCTATCTTATGGAAGCCACAAATGATGCGCTACCTTCAAAATCTCCGCTGAATGATATGCTATCATGGATCACGCCTTTTATGTCATCTTTGAAAAGCATCAATCAAACACCCGCTTGCAGGTATATCGTGTCCCAGCTTTTTAAGCGGTTACAAGATAAACGGTTACCCCCGGTTGCACGCTTTGAGTGCTTTCACGCTGGAATTCAGGTATTGCTTTGTACGTTACGAACATTCACCAACAATGAATCGTCAAGGGGATCTGTTGCGCGCGTGGTATTATCAGCGACACTGGAGATCGTCAAGGAGCACATTAACATCATTGTTACGCCTGAGGTAGAAGGAGCTGGTGATAGGGCGCAGTTGATCATTAACGGCTGCATGGATGTCATCAGCAATACTCTTGCTCTCGAGTGCCAGTCGTTAAAAACGGACTATGAGGTCTTATTGAACTACTCCTCCATGGAACATGGAGTAAGTACTTATTCGCCAGCTATCTGGGACGCCGTTATTGCACGATTAAGTCAGACCAATCGGGATCTATCGACCGCGGCATTAAAGGGGATATTGGAGTTGGTGGGACTGGAAAAGTTCCCTACGAAAGGCGAAGATAGTCAAGAAAAGACGCACTACAACGTTATCTATGGCCATCTTACGCACTTATCCGCCCAGATCTTTGAGCGGCTAGCTGAATTCGACCCTGAGCATTTGGATGCTTTGTTTGGAAGCCAGGACACAAGTTGTGCTCTGATTTCAGCATTGTTCTCAGCAGATCTGATACTATCAGCAGCTGTGGAATCATCAAAACGTGAGCGGTCAGTCCGCGAGAGAGACGCAATTCTCATCTTCTGAATCTCTTTCCACAGCGTCTATGTTCGGTGGTCGTTTCTCGATCAGCGCACTCAAACGTCGGATCTGCTCCAAGAATGATCACACGGAACAGACATCATCGACGTACTTTGTGATACTCAGACTGGTATTCTCAGAACTCGGAAATTGACCAACAAAAAGGAGCTCACCGAAATCCAAAATCTTTGGGAACGTCAATGGTCATCCTTGACTACTATCTTCGATATGACCGAAGCCTGGCATAATCGAGGAAACGACAAAAAAGTTATGCTGGAATTCTGCCGTGACACTATACAATTTGCAGACGTTCTTTTTGCCCAATACGCCGTGTTTGCGAGTGCCATGAGTGGAGGTGATGTATCGCGGGAAGACTCTGTGAGGGAGGCTTTACTGCAGTATCCGACCGGGACAATGAAAGGCATGGTCAAATGGCTGCGACTCAAGGACGAGTATCTTGCCACGACTTTAGTCGGCCTCGTTTCCAAGATTCTTCGACGACTAGGCGAACTTAATATCACGACCGTCGATCGTAGTGCTCTGCAGATCATTGAGAATGTAGCTGTGACCGGGTTAATAAAGACTATGTTGACAGCACGGGAGAAAGCAGAGCTAGTGCGTGCTCTTGAAGCTTATTACAAGAAGCCGGTTGTCACTGCATCGACTGCAGCACTGAAGAAACAAAGCTCAATTACGGCATTTGCGAAACAGGCTGACTCGTCTGGTCGATCAACTCCTAATCGGTCAACAAGCGAGGATGATTACGGGGAGTCCTCGGTGCTTGATGAGACGCTATTGCAGTTGTCCAGGTCTGTTGAATCGAACAAAGCGCGTATCGCTAGCCAGCCACAGAAGAAGATCTCCACCACTACTAAGTCTCCCCTTGTGCTTCCAAAGCCTCCTTCTCGCCCTGCGGCAGTATCGGTTGAATCGTTCCGCGAGAAACGGGAGAAGGAGAGGGAGGCTAAAAGGAAGCGTGATCTTGCAGAGTTGCAGCGGCTCAAGAAGAATATCGCAGGCGTTGGTGTGGCAGAACAGACTGCAGGCCAGGGCTCGGGAGTGCAAGGAGGCATCAAGGGCAAAGATCATACTCCTGTCGACGGTATGATGGTGGGTTCTGATTCTGAATCGGACGAAGGAAGTGATGATGATGATGAGGTCGATGCAGAGCTGTTTGGAAAGAAATCTGCATCGACTCCTGCTGCTGTCAGGGAGTATCAGGAGAGCAAACGACGGGCTCTCAAGCAACAAGGTCCTGTGAAGAAGGTGAGACAGTGGCGATCAGCCAAGGACATGCGAGCTCGTTTAGTCCCAGATCTTACATCGCTCCACCGCACCTTACTGGAGTGGGATTTCTTTGCAAACGGTGACTTACCTCCTAACTCGGGCCGTACGGATTACTCTCTCATCACGTCTACTTTCAGAGACCCAGTAGAATACCAACGCACTTTTGAGCCTCTGTTGGTCTTAGAAGCATGGCAGGGCTTTCAATCTGCTAAGGAGGAAGCCAACTTCAAACCATTTGAGATTACAGTGGCTACCCGTCTATCTGTTGACTCCTTTATGGAAGTTAGCACGAGTTTAAAGAGCGCGGCAGACTTGAAAGACTTTGGTCTCGGTGAAGCAGATATCGTCTTGCTATCCAAGTCCAGAGATCCTGCGAATGACAAGTCGGCCCCTCATTGCTTGGGCAGAATTTCTGGCATTAATAGGAAAAAAGGAAACGTCGAGGTCTCGTATCGCGTTAATCCTGGCAGTGCAATGGTGTCTTCTCTGGCACCAGGAGTCACTCTGTGGGCAGTACGCATAACCTCATTGACACCGTTGGAGCGCGAGTACGGCGCACTCATGGCGTTGCAGTACTACGATCTCTGCGAGGAGATTATCAAAGCGAAACCGTCGCCGATCCTGAAGTATAACGAGTCCAGTCTGAAACCACTGGTGGACAACTATAACGTCAATCAAGCGCAAGCCAAAGCCATCAAATCTGCATTGGACAATGACGCATTCACGTTGATTCAGGGTCCTCCAGGTTCTGGCAAAACCAAGACAATTGTTGCGCTTGTTGGTGCCTTACTGAGTGGTACGCTAGGCAATCAACATAGCGTGGCTATCTCTCGCCCTAGCGCTCCTCAGACAAAAGCACATTCGGCAAATGCGACAGCTACCAAGAAGCTCCTTGTCTGCGCACCTAGTAATGCGGCCGTTGATGAACTTGTGATGCGTTTCAAGGCTGGTATCAAAACACTCAATGGTCAATCGGAGAAACTTTCTGTCATTCGACTCGGTCGTAGTGATGCTATCAACACGAACGTACTGGACGTTACCCTGGACGAGCTTGTGAACGCTCGCCTGAATCAATCTGTTCCAAAGCCTTCGGAGGATAACAATCCTCAGAAGATCTTTGAGGATCACAAGTCGACAGATACTGCGTTTAAGGAAGCTCGTTCTAAACTTGACCAATTCAGGGCAAAGGGGCAGACGCCTCCAGATGACCTCCTACGCGAATTTGAGTTATTGAAGAAGAAACGTACACAACTCAGTCAAGAGATTGATAACGCTCGAGATCGTAATAATGCTATTGCTCGCAATAACGACCTTACTCGCCGTCGCATCCAGCAAGAAATAGTTGACGGTGCCCATGTCATCTGCGCAACTTTAAGTGGTAGTGGACACGAGATGTTCCAGAATTTGAGCATCGACTTTGAAACTGTTATCATCGACGAAGCAGCTCAGTCTATCGAATTGAGTGCTCTCATCCCACTGAAGTATGGTTGTGCCAAGTGCATTCTTGTCGGAGATCCCAAACAGCTTCCACCAACTGTGCTGTCTAAAGAGGCTTCTCGCTTCCAGTATGAACAGAGCTTGTTTGTCCGAATGCAGTCCAACCACCCTAACGACGTGCATCTTTTGGATATCCAATACCGTATGCACCCAGCAATCAGTCGCTTCCCCAGTGTTACGTTCTACGATGGCCTGTTGCAAGATGGACCTGACATGGCCAAACTTCGCGCTCGACCGTGGCATAACAGTCAATTGCTCAGTCCTTATCGCTTTTTTGATGTCCAGGGACTTCACCAGAGTGCATCCAAGGGCCACTCCCTCATCAACGTTGCTGAATTGAATGTAGCAATGCAGCTCTACGAGCGGTTACTTACGGACTTCAAGTCAATCGATTTCTCTGGCAAGATCGGGATCATTACGCCCTACAAAGGTCAGTTGAGGGAAATGAAGATACGATTTGCTGCTAAATACGGTAATTCGATTTTTTCCAAGGTTGAGTTCAACACCACCGACGCTTTTCAAGGTAGAGAAAGTGAAGTTATCATTTTCTCTTGTGTCCGTGCTTCCAACAAGGGTATCGGCTTCTTGTCAGATATTCGTCGTATGAACGTTGGGTTGACTCGTGCCAAGTCGTCACTTTGGGTTCTTGGAAATTCCCAGTCACTCATTCAAGGCGAATTCTGGGGGAAGCTCATCACTGATGCCAGACAACGTAATCTCTACACGGACGGGGATGTTCTCAGGATGTTGCAACGCCCACAGTTTACTGGATATCAAAACGTGGATATGGTTGACGCAGATGCCAATGATTCATCTACGTCTACGGTGCAAACACCTACTGAAACTCGGTCACTCAACGAAATGGAATCAGTGTCCGCTCGCAATACTCCCACTCCTGTCCTTAGCGGTCCGTCTGGAGGCTTTAATGGACTCGACGACACGAAGACTTGTGCATATTGCGGCAGCTTTGATCATTTTACGAGAAATTGCGATAACGCAGAAGCTCTGGAACTCGCCAAGGGAATGTGTTTCCGCTGCAAACAGCCAGGTCATACAAAGATCAGATGCACAGCACCACGTTGCTTGATGTGTGGCGAAGTCGGTCATGTATCTGAAGGGTGTCAGTCTAAAGAACTTCTACCTCAGAGAGAGATGAACAGGATTGCCCATGAAGAGACTCGACTGAAGAGAGCGCAACAGGCTAAACGCGAGGAGATCAAGCAGAAACATATTCAAGCTCACGATCCTGGCATCCCTATTATCAAATCGACTAAATCTCCATCGCCGCCTCCACAACGCCAGCAACAAACGGGAAAAAGGAAGCTCCCGCCTAGTGGGCCATTTGCAAAGAACAGCAAGCGTAAAGTTGATGCAGAAATCCCACAGGAAGTCCCGAAAGTAAGTTTACTTCATTCCATTTTTGATATTTGATCCCTGTTCTAACGGGATCTACGAAGAATTTGGTGAAACCTTCTCGAGATGGACCCGGATATCAACGTATTGCTCAAGATCGTAACCCTATGAATCCGAACGGTAGCAAAGCCATGGTAGATAATAATGTAAGTTTCCATCGAGTTCGAAGATGATATATATAGCGACCTGATCTCTGACACATCGCTCTTTTTGTAGATGATACAAGCGCCTCGCGGGCCGAAGGGGGCCAGACCTGACAATCTTCCACCACGCCCTCCGATGCCGATGCGAAAGAAGAAGGAGGCTGATCCGTTTATTCGGCCAAAAAGACGATAGCTTACGTCTTATAAATGAGCTAGTTTGATATATCGAGTAGCTGGCACGCCCATGTCACTCGCATATGTATGGGTCTTCGACGTCATGTTACTGTTTGCATATACTCCATGGGACTGGGGGATTTCTTCTTTGGTTTTGATCAAGTTTTCATTACGATCAAAATTCTTTGTGTTCTCATATCTTGTTTTGCATTTTCAAGGGCGTCTTCGAGCATTTCTTCTACATCTAGGATTAGCATTATTTCAGGGTATTACTCCTTAAATGCGGTCCAACCAGGGCCATAGACGCAATACATTGACAATTTCATGTCGACAACAGTACAACATTGTAGAGCATAGACCTTAGACTTTGATTATCCAGCGACAATCAGCAGCCCTGGAGACTTCTAGGGTTGATCCTGGCATCCCGACTCAACACCTGAATAAAGAAACCATTTCCTAATGGGGTATTAACTGCGTGTCCACTCTGACTGCAAGGGGCTAGTTTGTTTTTCCCTTTCCTTTCTTAAGCTTTACGTCTCTATAACTATCGATTATTGTATTCATTACTCAAATAAACGATGGACTATCCGGGCTTATCCGTTTCGGACATCATGGTATATCTCCTGATGTGTTTCCTTTCTTTGCTTTTTCTTCAGACTTCCTTTTCGCAATGTGTCTAATACTCCATTCAGCATAAGGCACAAGTCCTTTTTCTTTTTAATAGACGGCATAGATTCAGTAAATATTTGTATTATCCCTCTGGCGATCCAAGCCCTGACGACTTTGTCTTAGACAATCTTGAAGGGGTCGGAGTTGGCGTCACTACCGGCTCTTTGTTGCTCTTTCCGGGCATTATTTTCTTGTTTTTAATATCTATTGATTTCCAAGGATGTTATATTACTCCGATGACTGTTTAAATCCTGGCATGCGTCCATCATAATAACATTCTCGTTTTTACTTTGAAGCGGGAAGAGCATCTCCCTACCCAGGCAACCTTAGAAGTCTCTTGACATGAGTAACTGACCGTCTCGTATCTATATGTAGACGGCACGATTTTAGATCTCCTGCACTCCGACATCATGCATAGTGATCTCTCCGCGTACCTTGTACCTACGTAGGTACATAGCATGGAATTGCAGCAATAGCATATGGCATCCATGAGAGGCCATGCCGTTCAAGATGTAGGTCCGTAGCAAGGACTCTGCGAGACATGTACAATGCGTGTAATCTAATATACATCCCTTGCTCTCTACAGCAAAAAGCTAGCAAGTGATCTCTCATATATCCACAAGATGACTCGTCGGAAAGGAGAGTCAGAAGTTGGTGGCCTGAACATCTATTTCCCCACCTGAGGCATCCACTTTCTCCACCGTCAATTGATCCATCTCATCTTCTTCCATCGTGGCTTGCACGGCAGCATCCCTTGCTTGCATCGGACTAATAGTCTGTGCTCTCAGCTCTCAGATTCGGAATTGGCAGGATGGCCGTCGTCTGATGTATCCCGACTGTGTGGTTCTTCCTGAAAGAGTCACCTCCAGCGTCGATGCATCTAATTGATTTGTACTCCGCAGCAATGCTTTAGCTCGCGACTCTTCTTAATTCTAGCGGCCTGATAGGCCCCCTGTCCAGCTTAAAGGGATGATAGGTCTGGAAACGCATTGAACCGGTTCACCCAGCGTACGGAGCGGAACGATTAGCTCGTCATCGAATCGCCTATTCGCTAGAAACGACCAAGGAGTAGTCATAACTTGACAAACAACTGTGCACTACAGTTGATACATTGTATTGTAACCTGTGTACTCGGCTCATATCTTTGTCTCTCCTCTAGCGTGCTATACCGCCTGATTCTGAGCAACAAAGGACACCAAGTCATAGACCGTCGACTTCCCGGCTCGTTCATTGTCCTTGGCGAGTCGATGCATATGCATGAGTCGGGATGGCGTACATTTCGACTCAGCTGAAGCTATCACTCATCGCGTTCAAGGGGCAGTTACTGGCGATTCCGATGTGTCCTGCCCCGAACATTGGCCGGTTGGCTTCTACAATGCTGAGATAGATCCACGTTCCCCAGTGGGATCATTTTTAAGTTTCCCTCTTTTTCTTCCTCCGGCCACCTTCTCCTAGCCTGCATTGGATCCCGGGTCTATATAGCATGGGTCCTCGCCTGTTATTTCCTACTTCTCTTGATATTGGGTCGAAGTATGCGTCTTGGTGCTGGGTCCCGACCACTCTATACAAGATGTCATCCAAAACTTGACGACGCCATGGCTTTTTGACTTTTGTGGCTCGATCTTGTATATATCAGCTTTTCTATCTATCTATATATTCACTCTACCTGGCCATTCCGAGAGTGTTTGATGCTAAATACGTTCATCTCGCCTCCATTCCAGTCATCGTTTCGCCGGAAGAAAGAAATCTCGTCTACTTCCGTTCACCATCTACGCCGGGTCTCGACATATTCGCGTTTTGCCCTTCCCAGCAAGAGATACAACTAACTCCTAATCTAAATTCAACGACAACTCTAACAACGCCTTCTTGGTCAATGCTCACCGGCCCTGCTGCACCGAGTCCAGTCATCTCAACATACAGGCCTTCCAAGAAGTCCTTTACCACACAGCGACGACGTAATAGAATGCCAACAGTAGCCATCACGGATTATGAACAATTCCCCCGGAAACCGAAAACTCGAAAACCACGACCGCGATCAGCTGGAGCATCCAGTCGCCCAATGAGAAACGAAAATATTGCAGATCTAGTGCGCTTCTTTCAAGGACAGGAAGATACGGAAGAAGATAAATCACCAGACCAACCCACTAACGAAAACATGGACCTTTTCAAGGCGGGTCAGCGTCGCCTTCGATACCTAAACCAGAACAAATTTGAGAGAACATCAGTTAAGGGGTCTGATGGAGCAAGTAGTTCATCTGAAAAGCGCAATACTCAACGTCAACACCTGACGGCATTACAGCGAGAGGGCTTGCTCCCAGGCCTCGATGACGATAGGTCTCGTCCGTCACGGACCAAACAGGATGTAGAAGCAATCGGACGTCCATGGCTTGACGACGCCCTGGGATCTATATCAAGTGGTGACGGCAGATCGATATCGCAGACTACACTACCTCTTCCCAGCCTGCGGAGGGAGTCCTTAAGTCTAGGAGACTTGGCTGCTCTTGTCGAGTTTTCTATCTCGTTTCCTGATTCATACCTCGACTCGAGTCCACCACCGTACCAAGCCCGGGCCCAATCCGAATCCCGGCCCCAATTACAATTACACCAACGGCCTTCGAGTCTCAGTAACGAGCTTTCGCGAGCAACAGATTGCCAGCATCCTCAAGCAAACTACAATGGAAATGAAAATGACCAGCCGATTCGAAACCCAGGTGGAGGCCAAAGTCGTGAATCGGGTATTAGCGCAGCTAATTCAGCACTAAACAAGCCCGCACAGGGGCACCGCATCTCCGGGTCCTTTAGCCCTGGCACTGCCAGACATGCTCCGTGCAAGCCCAACACAGACAAGGATGACGGTGACAGCTGCTGTGGATCCAATTGTGACTGTGACGATGCGAAAAGCCTTGCGGTGCTACTCCGCGCAACGGAGCGATTAGGGGCTGAGAAGCAGCAAAATAATGCCCAGGAATTGCCGGCTGATCCTCATACCTCTACTTCGACTCCTGCTGCGACTTCCAAGCCAACAACAATTATCAAGATAAATAGTATATCTACTACAAATTCGGCCGCTGGAGGAAACGATCAACTGGCCCATTCCCTCAATCAGGGAGTCACCGATACTCCTTTCCACGTACAGAAACTAGTGGAAGAAAAGAGTGACGAAATTCAAGCTGCCCAGAAACTAGGCACTGAGGCGTCCACTTCCAGGGGAACAGACCAACCAGTATCCCTGTCAAAAGCCGAAGCCCGCCTGTCAAGGCCTTTCAGCTCCGGCCCCATACCGCTAAGACTAGTTGCTGAGTGCACGTCTCCCACCGTTTCCAAGCCTGTTTTTTCTCCACAACAGCCGTTGAACCCACAAGAGCCCCAACTTCACACTGAAAGTCAAGGCCACTTAGCTTTGAAGCAGCGGCGCTCTGCTTCTTCCATCGGCCCAAGCTTATCGATTTTTCCTCGTGCTCGACCACTTCTCTCCCCAGTTCCCATTCAATCTCGTCGCGCTCGTAGCGTGACTCCGGATGTCGCAGCATCCAACACTCTCGGCAAGAAGGGGAAGAAAAAGGTCAAGAAAGCTCCGTTGTATGTGATGATTACTGACTCTGCTCCTCTCCCTCCGCCGGCCAAACCTTTACCTTTGATACCACGAAGTGCAGGCGCCAATAACGATAGCAAACCGGTTGAAAACGACAGGAATATATCGACACCTGAACACCCATTTTCTGCACCTTTGGAATATAGAGGGAAAGACGGCGACAGTCCGATCCTGGGGATGAATACTCAGAAACTGCGATTACGGAGATCTTGGATTGGACCTCGGCCCTCGTCTCGATACTCGAACAGGAGTAATGACCCCGCCGACGGCACGGGTGCTATGAGCGATGGCCAATCGTCGAGAACCGCCTCTCCTTCTGTTTCCCGACCAGAATCTCGACGAGGCCGAGCTGATCAGGTTCATGCCATTCGAATGCGAGACTTGGATGCCAGCAAGAAGAAGGAATCGCCTGTGGCTAAGGATGGCGACCTTAATACAACCCCGATCAAACCTTGCGACGCACTCCAAACACACTCATCCAGCTCCCCAATTCAGAATGACTTACGGAAAGCAAGTCACGGGCACCGCGTCAGCGCAGTACCTGAGATCCCTCTTCCCCGAGATCCGCCTGTCAGTGCCCAATCATCTACTCATTGCCGAAAGATATCTACGGCGTCTTTACCAGGGTCTGTCGCAACTACGAATGGATATGAAGGAGGTCTGTCTCGCAGTGCCAGCGTGACAAGTGGCTCTATCGAAAGTCGCTCTATCCGATATACCAAGCCAACATCTGCGTCAAAAGATACGACCAAAAATTTTATTCAGCAACGAATTCGACCTGATTCGTCATTGCTACCGTCTTCAGACGAAGAGACGCATAAATCCCGCTCCTGCCCTCACAAGGATCATAGTCATGTGATTGAAGGCGAGGCGAATGCAAGAACACAGCGATCTTCTGCCGGAAAGCAGAAAGTGGTATATAACCATGAACTATTATCGTCACCATCGGGGGCTACGCGAGACGCAGGACTTGGTGATGACTCTGAGATACAATACATTTATCTTGTGCGGAGTCTGCAGTCTCGTGTGGCCACATTGGAACGACAAAACAAAATGCTTCAAGCTGCTTTACTTGCCGCTCTTGATGTGGGTGTCTCCCATGACGCCGAGAGTGTTCACAGCCGCTCTGCAAGTCCGTCCTTGAGCTCCATGAGGATACCAACGATTAGTGAAAGATCGATGCTTTCATCGCATAGCTTTAGCGTTGACAATGCTTACCATGCGCAAGGGAAATCGTCTCAAGGGCACCACAAAAGTCGTAATGCCTCTTACGCACATGATAATACTTCTCAAGGCAGCCGTGGAAGCTTTGAAACCGCCAGTTCCCATAGTGATAGCAGCGTACGGGCAGTTGAGGTTATGTTAAGTGATGCTGATGTGAGAGACTCAGCTCGAAGGAGTCGTCAATAGTCCATTGCTTTTTTACGTACAAGCACAACGCTCTTTCTTTCTCTCTGTTCAGTCTTTTCCGCCATGTTTACTCGATTATTGATACCATTGACCATATAATATGTGATTTATTGTCTTTCGGCGCATTTACTAGGAAGAATATAATTGATCTACGCTGTCCTAAGCTCATTTTAGTGTACATGGAAACAAATAGGATGCCCATATTTACACCCGAAACTGAATGAAGTTCTTTAGTCCCAAGTGATAGGCTTCGCAACTGTATTTTCAACCGGTGGAATCAGCGGCCTCAATGCATACCCATAATCACCTGCATTGGGTGTTCGAAGCAAGGTATGAATATGAAACTTCTTTGGTTCCTCATTCGTTAAGAACACACCCGAGTGATGGTCAAATTCAACTAGAATAACGGGACTTTGTATGCGATAATAGAATGGATCGTTATTTCCAAACCCGCCAATCCAAGAGAAGTATGTTTCTGTCTCGTATTTCTTTATTTGTTCAATTTTGAGTTCCCGCGATCGTCGAGGGAGGTAGAGAAGGTAATGCTCCAGGATCCCATAAGCGAGTTCTTTTTGTCTGGAGGTGAAGTCTAAGACGAGAACGCCCTCATATGGGATCTGCCGGTTATCACGATATGCGCCGCACAGATGTCGTTGATCGTCCTTGTTAGTGCGGCCAGGAGTCATTTCAGGGTCATTCATCTTCTTATATGTTTGAGCTTGTTGCTGTACTTCAGTTGGTAGGGATTGCATAAGTTGGAGACCGAGAGTTTCTTCAACTTGCAGGATACGTGTACCCTTGTAAGGACCAGAGTCAATTTCATTGGGCTCGGCACCGGTGAACCATGGACTAGCAACAATCTGCCTCTTGTAGATGAAGATATTCAGACAGAGATGATGGCCATAAAACGTCCATCCCCATGGCCGTGTAGTGGAAGGTCTTCCGAAGATAGCAAAGTTGTAAGAATATTCATTCATGACTTTAGGAGCTTCAACCAGTTCGCCTAGGAAGTGATTGATTCTCATTGCTTTGACAGCTTTGTCGTAACCTTCAGGAGAAAGGGTTTTTTCGAGAACTCTCAAGATGGCGTCTCGGATGAGGACCTCAACTTCGTCCAGGCGCAGGCCCTTAGGGGTGAGAAGGAATTCCGGGTTGGACCATGTTCGCCATTCTGGGGAGTCAATGTGATATGAGAGGGCTTTACGTTGTTCATCATTCAGAAGCCTGAATAGGTCTTGAACTGAGGCAACGATATCTTCAACGGGTAATTCTTCATCTTGAATGGAGAATAGATTCTGACGGATAGTCCCTATTCTCCAAAATGTCAACAGCACGTCCAATAAATATGTGAATTAGATATTACCGTCTATAGAAATGCCTTGATATGGCTCCTCGTATAAATCCCGCCAATGTTCAAATAGGGCATATAGCCAAGGTGGAATGTGCTTCGTCTTGAACGCATGGGCATACTCGTGTGCATCCTGAGTTCTCATGGTCATAAAGCGTGGAATACTGAGATCTGGGAGATATTGACGATACTCGCCGGTAGGCCTCTCTTCTGTAGTAGTCATCGTGTAGTTTACCTAAAAAAATAGGTAGATGTAAACTGTGTGATTCAAACCTATTCCGGCTACCGATTATAAAAGTCGGGACCAACGAGTTTTTAGTAAATACACCGGAATATAGACTGAGTTGCAAGCGATTGGAATATTAGCAACTCTCTCTTTGTATTGCTGCTCTCCCCATGTTTTATATCCATCCCATCTTGTTCGCGGGGAATGAGTGGGGGGATCTACCTAGGTACAGGGATAAGCCTTTTGCCGCCTGATTAACTCTTCTTCTGGTCTGTTTGCCCAGTTGTTCAGTACATGAACGGAGATTCAACTATACCATAGAAAAGAACATCTGATTCATAGAAAACAGGGACCTAACACGCAATATCTTGCTGTTTTACTTGTTGCAAGAGTTACAATCAGTAGCTAAGTGTAACAATACTGAAACAGTACAACATGAAATCTGTGGCAAGCCACACCAACTAGGGGGATAACGCGAGGTCTCCTGTCAACTACTTACACATTCATAAGAAGAAGGTTTCTTGTAGCTAGGTCTCTTTCTTCTCAAACTTTAATCTCTGTATGTTAGCAATAGTACCTTTTTGTTAATGAAGATTGAAGACACCGAGTGACCTTCTGCCATATTGATAATTCCTCCTGCCTAACCATCGGATTAACCTCCTATTACACTAAGAGATAAGATACAGTAGAACCTGGTTATAACGAACAGAAGGCCTCTTAGGGTTCAAGTCAATATATCCAGCAAGCTGATATCAGAAATGTGAAGCGGCCTTCCTTTCCTTATAAGTTATAACCAGGTTCTACTGTAGTCTTTCGGTGATACGCTATACCATATTTGGCAGATTAGGGCTAGACATCAAACGTGCATCCCATTTTCAAGATCGGAATCTCTATGTAATGCAAGCCAAGGACGTGTAGTTAGGATTGTACTGTTTAGGTATGCCCGGGAGCTTGCTGCGTCTACTGGGCTTGGGGTAGCTTGTCTGGTTTGAACGCAATTCGTTCTATAGTAAGATTCGACTTAAGCTAGGGCATGAAGTTATCAAGAGTCATGACTTCAATACCCTTCATACAAACTTGGAATACATCCATATTCAATTTCAAACCCTAACACGTAGCACAGTTTCTATTTTATGAATTGTTTGATTCCATTGCCTTGGCCAGTCCGGCGGCGGTGGTGGGAGTCCATCCTGTGTCTCCCGTACGAAGCGTAACATTCTCAACCCACCCAAGAGGTACAAACCAGTTCCGAATAAGGCGATACCCACGCAAACAAATACCCAGATCTGATCTTCTGTCCAACGACGCCGCTGATGGCGGGGAATTGAATCGTCGCGTTGTCGGTCTGCATGCTCGCTTAGGTCTAGGAGTTCGTAAGAGTCTACGTTGGGATTGGCGCTGGTTGGTCGTGATGCTCTGGGTCTCATTGGTGGCGGAGGCATATTGTAGGGAACTGATCGATAGATGGCAATAGAGGATAGGTTGTGTTTTGATGCCTGAAAAGTGGTAGAGGATTCCAACAGAATGAGAAGAGCTTTTTGTTAATGAGGAATAGTTCCGAGTTAGGTAAAGTATGGGAGAAGATCCATCTCTTTATATCAGAAGTTGAACAATATACCTGAGGCATTTAGAAGTAATTCTTGTAATTGGAAATAGAACTCTATGTTCTGTAAGTCAGTGAGTTCCTGTATTAAAAGAATTCCTTTCACTCAAACATAAAATAAGTTGTGTAGGTGAACCGCTCAGAAATACAAAGCACTAAAGAGCAACCTTAGAAGTATACACATTGATCAGCATTCAGTACCAGGAATCAGAAACATCATTACCTGGAAGCTTTGATGTAAATGTACCTATTAAGTTTAATTATATGCCATTATTTATCTGAATAGTGAACAACAAATGGTTGTGAATACAAATATGAGTATGTAATCATTATAAGCATATATCCTAGTCAACGCTGGAAAGGTAAATGCCATGACAAAGTAAGCAGAACCTCAGAAGAACAAACATGGATAACCTAGGCTGCATATGTCCACTCAAAGGCCAATGAGCGCCTATAGAGAGACCTCTTCGAGCTCGCCCTCACCTTCTGGTTGAGCTTTATCTATCTTTTTTATGGGTTCATGCTCGACAGCTGGCTCTTCCTGAGAACCCTTTTTATCGGCCGTCTTCTTATTTTCGTCCTCAATTTCTTCGTTGACATCTGACTCATCAGGCCCCTCCTCGCCATCATCTTTTAGCTCATTAGAAGGTTCGTCTTTGGGGGGTGGAGAAGGAGGTTCCGCGCGATCAGCTTCATGCTCCTCCGGAACTTCGGTTGATGTGACTTCTGTAGGTCCACCTGGGAAAGGTGTAGGCGGGCCCTCTGAGATCGGTTCCGGTGCGCGCACTGGCAAGTTCGACTGGTTACTTGTTGGGGGAGTTGTTGTTTCTGAAACCACTAATTCAGGAGCCTGCTGCTGCTGCTGTGGTGGCGGTTGTTGTTGTTGTTGCTGATGTGGTACTTGTCGTGGGCCTAGCTGTCGATGTTTCGGGTCTGCATTGAGATAATAACCTCGCACTCCAACAATAGTTCCCTCCGCTTCACACGCATCTACCCATTCAGGTCGCACGACTGGCAAGTTCATTTCCACTGCCTTTTCCCACGCCGGGCCTCGGCCTTCAGTACACACAAAATGAGTGGTATCAATTCGCACAGTATCGACAAGCTTTCCTCCTATCCTATCAAGGGCGCGTTCGAGGGCTTCTCTTTGAGGTTGTGGCATAATTCCTGGGGTCACCGTTATGCCTGATAGATCAGTCATTTTATGAGTACGGCAGGTCAGTTTTTCCGAATGATAAGTTCCAGCTGTAGTTCGCAAGACGAGGTGAAATGTATATTCGGCGTGGATGGCAAGACCACTAATTTTGGTACTTTGCATTTCTAGAGGACGAGGGATTGACCCAGCCTTTGAACCATTGCGGTAGAGGGACAGGGACTTCAACGAGGCCGTAGCAAGCTTGATGGGGTCCCACTCTAGGACTAAGGATGTCTGTGTGGCATTTCGTAGACGAAGAACGGGAGGGGAAGGAGTCTCCAAGCCGTAGGTATTGAGGATACGTTTTTGAAGTGCCTGGAAATTCGCTATACTCTTTGCTTCAGCGGCGTGGTTCCGGGAGACGTCAATGTCGACAATGCTTCCAGAGCTGATGTTCTTCGGGAGTAGCACCGAAGGGAATTCAATCTATTGAAGCATACGATTAGTCTTAGATATAAGTAGTGCATGTAGCCGAATATCGATGCGACACGGGAAAATGCTTGTGATGTAGGCTTGATACGAAGCTACCTACCAGTCTGTTGTCCTGCGTTAACAAGACCGCGACGCCAGCGTCGACTTTGCCCACGGTCAAAGATACCAACATCCTAAGAAACGCAGTATGTTATTCCCAATTCAATGCGCCGGATATGATGAAAGCGACGAGCTGGTGAGATTGCTTATATGTACGTATAAAGATTCAGGGAGTCCGCGACATTATTCTTTCGGAGAAGGTCAGGAGCGACACGTGCCAAATATCCCAGGTACAACTGCTGGGCCAATCGCAACCCGAGCTTACGAGGGAGATCCACATTATCCCTACTTCGATCACTCTGTTGATGATCTATATGGTACGCTTTCTGTTACAATTGACTATATTCTATAGCAGTCATGTCGTTCGTTCTGAGAAAGAAATTTTTGCCTTTATGACGGCGTCATTTTGTAAGCTCCTGTGTCTTTATCAATCGGCCAATCTTTCATGGTCGTTATGACACGATCTAGATGTGCTTCCATAAGTTTTCTGACTCGAGAATCATCTTGTATGACAATGGACTCGACAGGTTCAATTTCCAGAGTTCCACGTAACGGAGCCTCGCGGAGCGACGCGCCCTCAGGAAGCTTGTCCTGTGGAAGAGGCTTCCCATTCTCATCGTATCCTCTCGAATACAATGCTTCGCGAAAGAGTCGACGTAGTCGACGCGAACAATGGCTTCGAACAACCCTTTTCAGCTTCAAAGGTTGTGTTGCGATCTTCCACCATAGCGTATTAGGATCGCGATTATCGTAAAAGTCGTGGACCCTGGGCTTTAAGACATGTGGCTGCTCTGCTTGGCGGCTGCGTGTCAACGCCCAAGCTGTCATGAGAGTATTCGCATTGTACCTGAAGATAATATCGCGGTGACTGAGCGCCTTATAGATTGGCCGCGGAGGATACTTAGGCGATGGGAGGTATATCATGTCTAGCTAGCAATAGAGGCTGGTCGCGGTTTGAGCGTAGATCGAATCGTCATAACGAGGAATTGATTGAATCGACCACTTATTTCAGTTCAGATTGTGTTTGATTCATAATTGATACATGAGCTTACCTCATTATTCGAATTCCACAGCAGCCATCAGATTGTAACTATAGCATGAAGGAATAATAAACCTATTTCAAGTGACATTAATCGGCAAAATCTCGGGCGGTGAATAGGAAAGACGGAGGCAACCGCAAGGCACAAACCAAGGGTCGGCGCCTCAGGCAGGAAAGCCCAAGACGTCGAATCGAACCGGACGGAATCAGGCAATTTTCAGGCAGGAACCCCCACCAAATCAAATCTTTGTATAAATACTTCCCGAGTTTCTCCTCTCTTCCAACAAGAACAACTCACAAGACCGTTATACAACCTCGGACAGCGGGACTCACATTGCTATCTTGTCAAATACCAAATTTTTACGTGAACTTACTGGAATCGCCTCAACATGCCTAAGAATAAGGGAAAGGTGAGTTTTCTTCCCCGAACGCACACAACCCCGCTTTCTCCGTCTGACCGACTTGCTGATGTGAAAAATCAATATAGGGTGGTAAAAACCGACGTCGTGGCAAGAACGAAAACGACAACGAGAAGCGTGAGCTTATTTTCAAAGAAGACGGCCAGGAATACGCCCAGGTCGTTAAGATGTTGGGAAATGGTCGTCTAGAGGCCCAGTGCTTCGACGGCGAAAAGCGTCTCGCACACATTCGAGGGAAATTGCGCAAGAAGGTGTGGATCAACCAAGGCGATATTATCCTACTTTCCCTCCGCGACTACCAAGACGAGAAAGGAGATGTCATCATGAAGTACAGCGCCGACGAGGCTCGTAGTCTCAAGGCATATGGCGAGCTGCCCGAGAACGCCAAGATCAACGAAACCGATACATATGGTCACGAAGGCTTCGAAGACAACGTCGAGTTCGACGAGGACCGTGACAGTAGCGACGAAAAGGAGATCGATGTCGACGAGATCTAAGAAAATCACCACTACAACATACCCGGCGAGCTTACCACTTTGTCATTGTTTTCTAAAAGAGTGGTTTACCTCGGGTGGGACACGAGTGCCATAGGTCGATCTGCGTCGCTTTTCATTACTGAATAATCTGAGCTATTTTATTCACGGGAAAACTTATTCGGAAACACAGTCATGATGTGTCATTCACGATGTCGCTTTTCTTGGCTTGGTATTGAAGAGGGACCGCTTCGATTTGTTGGGCTCACTCCGAAGAAACATCAAAGGCATAACGGGTCAGAAAGTGATTGACTGGGAGACTCTATGTTGTGGTTAAGAATTGGTACGGGCAGAGAAACTTTGACACTCGGTTTTGTTGTGTTGTGTGGCCTTATACCCATCATTTCTCGGTCACATTATAGATATACGGGCAGGGTGCGGATGATGGTTGTGACATGACTTACGAAGTGTTTACTTGATTTTGACGTTTTCACCACATACGCATTGACTGCATGTCACGGTTTATGAACTACATTTCTCCATTTTCTCTCAAAAAACTTTACTCCAACAATCATGATTCCAGAATCGTTTCATCATTGGCCGCTGCCTTGCTGGCAGGTTTGCTTTGTCTTTTGCTTGTGAGGATATAATGAATCTGAATTCTTATACATTGTATAGCAATAGAATGAAATCTGTCCATTACAGATTCACTCTCGGTTACCCTATATCATGGCGGTAAAGGTAGTACATGTCAGTAAATCAGGATGACTCCAAAGCTGAAACTCGCCTAATGAGCTCATGAACCTTCTGTCTCATCCTCAAAAACACTTTTCCTAAAGAACCTAGTGATCTTCCTTGCTGTTTCCTTCCCAACAAGCGGATCGAGGTCTTCCACATCCATATTAGCAATCTCATGAATGCTATTCGTCTCCAAACTCAACCGCTCAAGTACCACCGGTGTGACCCCGGGTACAGCACGAAGCATATCCTGCGGAAGTTGATGAAATACCCGATGCTCTATACCAGCCGCAGCCATGACATCGCCCGGATGCGAAGATGCCGCAATATCAACGTTGAGACCAATCTGAACCGCCTTTATAGGGTCGGGTTCTGGGTTATTCTTTTTCAGCTCTGCGAATATTTCGGCTGTTTGGTATGGTGATGACGACCATATGATTTTTAAGCGTGGGAATGCTAGGGTCAGAAGGACGAGCATGTGCTGTGCGGATTTGGGAGTTGATGGGTTGACGAGAGAACTATTTGCCGCTGATGCAGGATTACCGGATGACGTGAAGACATAGTCCGAGAGAAAGCTCGTGCTAGGTAGGGAAGCGGATGCAAAGGCGTCAAAGGTGAAGGACTTGTTTTGCTCAAACTCAATCAGAAGTAGTGGGTTTTTGTAATGCTTTAGCATCGTCTCGGCCTGGTTATAGAGACGACCGTTTTTCAGAGAGCTGATCAAGTCACGTACGGACTTGCGCTCCACACATATATCTGGGGTCAAGACGTAGTCTCCGACTGTTAACTGGCAAGGGACAACGACCATACTACGGCCATGTAGTAGAGACGGCAACGCGCTTCTAAATTCGCGAACATCCACAACGACAGTCGGTGGCGCTGCAGTAGCAGCCAATCGTCCGCCGCCGGCTATTCGAGTATTTACAGTCCTGAGAAACTGTTCCTCGGGATCTTCAAGAATTTTGTCGTGTGTTAGGGTTACGGCCAAACCCTGCCAACGGGTGTGGTTAGCTAGAGTCCGTGATCTGACGCAAACGATAAACTTACACCCTTTTCGGTGATGAGCTTAGTAAAGGCATCTTTTTCCCGCCGCACTGTACTAAGGTAGCGCTGTTCTTCCACAGATCCTCCATAGTACATAAAGTAAACCCGTACATTGCGGTCATTATGGGAGCTGCGGTACACCTCAACTCGACGAATGAAAGCAGCGTCTGGTTCATACATGATAATGTATCGTGGTCGAGCTTCTTCCAGGATTCGCTCGTCCATATCTCCGTCGTAAGGATGAATCATCACGAGATCATTCATATCATATAGTTCGTAAAAATCTTCCATATCTTCAAGATTATCAATGACGTTATCTTCTTTCAATGCCTCTTCCACCGCACATGGTTGGAGATCATCCAGTAATTTTGACACTTGTATAGGGGCCTCATCCTGCCCTTGTACAGTGGTATTCGGGGCTCGGCTGGAGACAAGAGAACTTGAACCGCCACCACGCACACGACGGCGCTTGTTTGGAGGAGCCCTACCCGAGGCGGAGGAAGAACTTTGCCCTCGATTCGGCGCTTCATTTGAGTTTGGTTTCGGTGCGTAAAGATTATCCTTGACGCGCGAAAAATTCTGTTTCCAATTGAGGTACTCCCTCAACTTTCTCCGCATCATGATTTCTGCTGATGTGCTCTCTTCGGACAATTTATCTTCATCAAATCCCTCTTCGTCCTCATCAGTTTCAGCAACAGGTCGAGTATGCATCAACGATAAGAAGTCTCGAAGTTGTCTGCATGTGCGCTGATCACCACACATGATCAATACAGTGCTATTAGAGTCACCACGCTGTGTGGGGTTGAGATATGCATCTTGCTCGATCTCCTGAAGTATCTCTGCAAGCACTTGCCACTTGGGCTGCTCTTCCAGAACAGGTTGTAATGCAGCAGAAAATGCCCCTGTTATTTTACCTCTATACACGCGGGATTTTGCGGTTTCGAAAAGGACGTGCGCTGCATCCAAAAAGAGCCAAGGAGAGAAGCTGTGTCTTGTTGATCCCGGTGGAGCGGAATGAGCTGCAACAACCGTGTCCAAGTATTTCAGTAGGGATACCGCATCATATGTAAGAAGAGAGCTAGAAATGTTAGTCACACCATCCGCATGACATTTGCGCCGACTCTTACTGTAATATAGCCCTTAGAACCGTTAAATCGTTGACGATTTGTCGCGTCCTAAAACTGACACGGTGCCAAATTGGATCCAATTGCCGACGTATCGCTACATCGAAATTACTATGCAAGGCACTATCCAACGTCCAATCTTCCATATCAAGGCCACTATTGGCCTTCTTGAGTTCGGAAACACTCGTCTCGACGCATTCCATAACCGCGCTTTGAATGTCCCTCATCTTATCGGTCATCGGAACTTCGAGTTCGATCACTTCTGCTTTGTAGCGACCCTCAAGGGATTCTGCAACAGTGACATGGAATCGAGGCCAGAGTGAGGGTTTGCGCAGGAACAAGTTTCGTAACCCATTGGACAAAGGCGCAAATCCAGTAGTGAAAGGTTCTGGGCTGTCAGAGAATGCCTTCAGGAAGCCATTTTTGTTGAATTGACGATACACCCGTACAATGAAGGCTTCTAAAGCGGTTGCCACAACTCTAATTTGAGGTTAGTATGTTGCTCACAGTTCACAGCTCAATATGGGATCAATCAGCATTTGCCTTTCCGCGTGTAACAAGATGATACCGGTGATTTTCTCTGGATCAAGGAGCTCTGCGAAGGAATTAGAAGGATGCTTGGCCGGTATTACATGCTACTCAAGTTGCTTACTGGACAACAGATCGACAACTAGTATCCGCGATGTTACGCTTAATATGCCTCCTTGATTATATATTTTCTCTCTGCCAGATTGTTAGTTGGCTTCCATGCGCATTAAGACTCAACACACCTCATGGGGACAGTGGCTCTATCCGTATTGATCACTTTCAAACCCCTTGCCAGGGGGGTTTTGCTGATTGCATAGTGCTCCGCAAGCGCTTGAGATAGTATTAGTTTGAGATATTCAAAGCGTCTCTACACCAAGTCTCAACGGTAGTCACCTTCGCCAATCCATTCATTTTCTCGGTCATCGGCACCGACCACTATGATCAGGTTGTTGCCTGCCGCATCAAAAGCGTGAAGAAGGTTCGTCACGATGCGCAGGAGCCCCAGACCTCGGGCGAGAATGACGAGCTCATCTTCGTTACGGAGCTCGTTGAAAAGGTCTTGCTGATACTTCTAACGAGAAATAATCAGAAACTTGATCATGCGATGTCATGAGTAGCCTACTAGTGGTAACGAAAGCTTAACAGGCGCGTTCGGTCGTTCGGTCATGGCGCGTTTGTGAGAGTATAAGTCAAAGAGGATATGATCGTTCCCACTACGTCAAGTAGCGTAGACCAAACATCTCCTCCATCTACCGAGCCTCGATTCTTGATGGTTCCTTTGATACCAAAAATGTTGATGAACGGGATGACAGTCGAAGAAGTAAAAGCAGTATCGGTCAAATCATGAATAAAATACGAAAATGAGATAGTAGAGTTGTAAATACCGTATTAAATTACCTGCTGTGGAGCGGTGTATAAAAACTGAACGTGATTGGATGGGAGAGCATCTCAACTCCCAAGTCCGAACCGACATCAGAAGAGTCGCGACTCGCTACAAACCTCCTCTCCTCTCGGACGCAGTATTGAGCTGATCGAATCAGAGTGACTGGCAACTTGTGACTACACAACGCATGATACTTGCTTGTCCTCTTAGCGTCTATCCCCGCTTGTTTGCCATCTTACCGGCTAATACTTTTTACACCCCCTAACGCTCTGGCTGGGTGTGACTCTGGAGCAGGCTGTGGGCACCGGACAACTAAAGACAACTAACAAGTTTTTAACTAGTTGATGCTCGGCTTTTTTCTCACTTGGCTTTCGGAACCCGCCACTTCATCCATCCATCCATCATTCTTGCGTCGTGGTAGTATTCCGGTTCCTTCGACTACTCAGTTTCCCGCCACCCCGCGGCCTAGAGCGGCAGTTTTCGACTAATTTACGTGGAATTCCACACCCCCAGTTTTCTCTGGTCTTTTCATTCCCGATCTCCATACACATTGCCCTTCCATGTCGGAGCTGGCGCTTCATTGTTGGTATTGATGAGCGTGACTAATCCGCCTTCGTCTACCGGTGGGCCCCTGACGACCTCTTCCTCCATCCGGCCCAACGTCTCCTCCGCGAATTTGAACCTCAAGAGAAGCGTGCAGGCTGCTTTTGACGGTAAATAGACGGTTTTTCTATTTATATTTCTCCCCCACTACCACCGGCATGCAGCATCACCATGGATTGCGTTTGATTTCATGAACTTCGATACCTCAATCTTGTCATTCCGATTTCCTGAATTGAAATGGCCTGTATACTTCGTCCGATTAGCGCACTCTCTTTCTTTCTTCGTACTCCGTACAGTATCAGCCGAAGTGTTCATTTTTGTTCACCATGTTTGGGAAAAATTACTCCTTCCTAAACTCACTAGGTGGTACATATCCTCGTGGTAATTTCCCTCTCTGGGTGTTGTGTGGTTTTTGCTTTCGAAACTGAGGTCACGTGCTCCACGATCCTTCCGGATATCATGAGACCAACACGCCAAAAGCAAGGCCGCTTTATCAGTCATGATTGCTTCTTTTTTGCTCCTCATTTGTGGTTTCTTCTGGATGACCGGAAAATGCTAGTCTCAACCATGCGCTAACCTGTCGTCTTTCAGATTCCGGCAGATCCGGCAGTGGATACACGAGTAAGGTCCATATCAGAGAGCGATACCATATTGTTGGCTTCATCAGCAGTGGTACTTATGGACGCGTCTATAAGGCGCTTGGGAAAAATGGTAAGAAGGGCGAGTTTGCTATCAAGAAGTCCGTAGAATCTGTCGGTTCTTTCAGCATATCAGTACTGACAAAATAGATAGATTCAAGCCTGACAAGGAGGGGGAGTTAATTCAGTACACTGGCCTCTCACAATCTGCGATTCGTGAGATGGCTTTATGTTCAGAGCTCAATCATCCGAACGTGGTAGGACTTGAAGAGATTATCTTGGAGGACAAATGCATCTTCATGGTTTTCGAATACACCGAACACGACTTGCTTCAAATTATCCATCATCATACCCAGCAACAGCGATATGCGATACCTGCAAGAATGGTCCGCTCTATACTGTTTCAGCTATTAAACGGTCTGCTATATCTACATACCAACTGGGTCCTCCACCGTGACTTGAAACCTGCCAACATACTTGTGACTGCTAGCGGTGCTATCAGAATAGGCGATCTGGGATTGGCACGCTTATTCTACAAGCCATTGAACTCCTTATTCGCTGGTGACAAAGTGGTGGTAACGATCTGGTATCGGGCGCCGGAACTCTTGCTGGGTAGCCGACACTACACCCCGGCCGTCGACATGTGGGCTGTGGGATGCATATTTGCCGAATTGCTCTCGTTACGGCCTATATTCAAGGGTGAAGAAGCAAAGATGGATAGCAAAAAGACAGTGCCGTTCCAACGGAACCAAATGATGAAGATAGTAGAGATATTGGGCTTTCCACGACAAGAAACGTGGCCTGGGCTAGCAGCGATGCCTGAGTTCAATCAAATGCAGTCTATGATGCAGTCTATGAAAATGTCCTCTCGTGGAGCACTCCATTACAACAAGCCTTCCGGTCTTGATACATGGTATCAGGGATGTTTGAAAACGGGTGGATATTCTGCAAGCAATAGTGTTGGCACCCCTGGCGCCGATGGCTTTGACCTCTTGTCACGATTACTCGAGTACGATCCAGCGAAACGGATCACAGCCGAGGAAGCTCTGGAACATCCATATTTTACAAATGGCGGACCAATAAGCGCGAACTGTTTCGAGGGCTGCGAAACCACTTACCCCCCTCGTCGGGTTAGTCAAGAAGGCAACGATATTCGAACCGGTAGTCTTCCAGGCACGAAACGTAGTGGACTCCCAGATGACAGTCTAATGGGCCGGGTGGCTAAACGTCTCAAAGAGTGAGTTCGCATATAGCTTGGTTTTCGATTAAAGCATTAGTGGTGTTCTAGCGGTGTTGTCTCCTATGTTACGTTTGTCGCGAAGCATGCTTTTGTAGAGCAAACCAGGAGTTCATATTACCATTACTTATATGACATTATTCTTTTCATGGTGACTGGGCAAACAAACTCAGTAATGTACATGGAAAACTATATTTCAAAGTATCTGAAGTCAATCACAATTGGTTGTTCTTAAGGTACATGTTCCTGATTCCTAACTAAAAGGTGGGCTATCTCGAAAGACAAAGAAGTAGAAAGAAGAAAAATGCAGAATGGAAGACATTAAGTGGATTTTCCTAAATCATATGCGCCGTCGACCAGAAGTATCCATTTCCCCTAGTCATCCTGGACCCCCGGATTCCTTATTATCCCCCATATGACACCGTTGTACAGACAAAACATTAGTATCCTAGATGAAGCATCTGTCAGCATAAAAATTGAAGCAAGAGGTAAATACGTACCACTTTGTTCTTTCCGATTAGCACCGCCCCCTTCGCTATTGTCATCGCCTCCACTTCCTCCATTACGATTGAAAGCAGAAGCTTGCCCACCAGCTTCGCGTATGGCCATGTCATCTCCGCGCAATTTCTCAAAGTATGACTTGATATCTTCTGCGCTAACAGCCTGGCCACTCTCGGCGAATGGCTTGAGGAATGATTTGACCTTGTCTCGTAAATGATTGTAGACCATTGCTCCCTCTATAGCTCTTACGCGATCAATGTTGCTGAGTGCTGCTTCGCCACGATCCAACAGACTCTTTGTTCCCTGGCTACCTGCACCATTTGCCCCCTCCTCACCGTCCTCGGATAATGGGGGTTCGTATGTCTCCTCTTCTTCACGAAGCTGAGGGTGAGAGACAAGGTGGTGAAAACAGTCGGGGCAGTGACATAAGTGTTCACGGAAGTCCTCCTTGAGAAAGAGGGAAAATGTTCCTGAGGGATGCTCTGACGGCAATAGTTCATGTTTGTGCTTGGATACTTCGGTAGGTTCTTTCTCCTCTTTGATTTTTTCCAGTCCGTCCTGCCTATCCAGTTTTATTCTTTTTGTATCCTGATTTTCACCAATTTCGTAGGCATCCGCATTACGCTTTCGCGATTGCGGTGGGTCTTGCGACTTGGATTTGTCGTCTTTTCCCGTCTCATGGGCTTCCTTAGATGCTTGTTTATAGATTGGCGGTAGAAATCCTTTTGTTCCAGCATAACGTTTCAACCAAGGATTAGAATCCAGGCACTTGTAGCAGATGAAAGTCTCGAAATCATCTTCATCCGGAAACCCTGGGGGCAAGGGTATCTCATCTCCATCCGCGGTTTCCTCAGGTGCCTTGTCGGCGTTTGCTTCAACCTCTTCATTCTTTGGTGTGGTTTCGGAGTCCTTCACTGCATCTTGTCGCCCCCTTGGAAGACCGACAAGACATTCAGGATGCCACCAGTCTTCTCCACATCCACCTGTCTCGAGTGTTCCTAGACCGAGGCATTGGAACATAGTCCCCTTCTCCTGATGCGGATCGTATTCTTCATTGCAAGCGCAAAAGCGATTTCGAAAGTTGTGGTTATATTTGTTTTCATCCGCAGGAGGCTGGGAATGGACACCCTTCGTTTTTGTTTTCTGATCAACTCGCAGCGTACATACTGACGTCTTGGGGAGTCGCGTCGTTCCGCAGTCGCATACGAAGTTCCTCTTACTGAAGAGCTCTACTAACGTATGTTCTCCATGACACGATATAGAGCACGAGTAGCAGACAGCAGCTGGAGTGTAGGGATCGTCGTCGCCCTGAGGTGGAGGATTACATGTCAAACATGAGAATAGCGTCTGTCGGAGTGGTCCTAATTCTTGGGTACAGGAGTCGAAAGACTTGATCCGTCAGTGCCAATCTTACAACAATTTGGTCGGGAATTGATAGTCACTTACATAAGGCAGGATTTCACGGGCATCGGCTTCGAGTTGTAGCTGGGATTCGATAAAGCTGTAGGGGTAAGTTAGCCCAAAAAATGTCACATAGATAACAGATGTGGAGATAGCATCTTACTCTTTTGCGGTTTGGGAATCCTGTGAGGCGAAGCTTTCTCGGCGTCGAGTACTTATCTGCTCCAGCTTTCCATCATTCTGAGCTTCAGTAGGTTGATCGCCGCCAGAAGGTGTAGCCATTGTGATACTTAGACGATGTCTCCTAGAGCATAGATGGTTATTGTTGAGCTGGCCACGCTGGAACTGCGGCGCAATTGCGACTCCCGGCGATAGTTAGGACGCGCAGTCGATAAACTAATGTATCCCTTTTTGGATAGCTGATCACGTGAATATATATATTTTTTTCCTGGAACACGTCACGTGGATGGACGACCTTTCCCGAAATGGTTTAATTAGAACACAGGAAGGAACGCGTCTCGGGCGCGTTGACGCGTTTCGGGAGGGGACCGCCTAAAAAGTCGGCGCCCACTGCCAGCTCAACAAAGAAACCCCTTCGATAACAACAACGACATAAAAACAACCTTTGCAATCATCTGTCTTAACTGTGCCACCCTACTGCCATAATTTCCCCCCTACTCTGCACAAATTCGATTTCATTCACTTTTGCTCCGTTGATTCGGTCTACCTAGAGTATCCAGGCCCATCATGAGGTGAGGGAAAATATAAGCATGCTTTGTGACCAGGACTGACAAATTCGCAGTTCACCGTTGCGCCCCAGCAACTCTGCTGCAAATCGTGGCTTGGGTAATTTGGGTCGTCGAAAGAGAGATCGAGAGCCAGATGACGAGACCTCGTCGGTCGCTCCTCCATCAAGCCGTGAGTTGTTCCCTGCAGCGGTACATCAGCGCGAACCGTAATTGACGCCATATAGCACCTCCATCGTCGCCTCCTATGCTTCCATTCGACGATGAATTAGACAGAGATGAGGAGGATGAGATTGTAGGAGACATTGATGATATCGAAGAGTTGGCCGAGGACGAAGATGGCATTGACCTCTTCGCCGATGGTTTCGAAAGAGACTACAGGAGCGAACAGCAGGAACAATACCGCGGCGAGTATATTGATGATGACGAAGACCAAGAAGAGCTCGATATTGCTACACGGCGACAGCTCGATGCCCGCCTAAATAAACGAGATCGAGAGTTGGCACGTCGCCGTCGCATGCCCGCTGCCTTTCTTCAGGACGATGACGAGGATACTAATATGGATCTAAGCCGCCAAGTACGCCGCAGAAGGCACCATTATGACGAAGAACGGGATGATATGGACATGCGGGAAGATATTATGGAAGAAGAGCTCTCTCTCGACGAATTATCTGATGTAAAGTCCGCTAACTTGACGGACTGGATCCTCCAACCACAAGTCATGCGTACAATTGGTCGTGAATTTAAAGCGTTTATGACCGAGTTTATTGACGCTTCCGGTCGATCTGTGTACGGAGAGCGTATCAAGACACTCGGTGAGGTCAATTCTGCATCACTCGAGGTCTCTTATGACCATCTTGTGGCAGCCAAGGCCATATTAGGGTTCTTTGTTGCCAATGAGCCGACAGAAGTCTTGAAGATTTTCGACCAGGCAGCTCTTGAAACTACTCTCTACCATTATCCTCATTTTGCCGATATTCAAAATGAGATCCATGTGCGCATCACTGATCTCCCAGTTGTCTACTCACTGAGAGATCTGCGACAATCCCATCTTAACTGTCTCGTCCGTGTTAATGGTGTTGTTACAAGGCGAACTGGAGTGTTTCCTCAGCTGAAATTCGTCATGTTCCGCTGCAATAAGTGTGAAGTTACGCTCGGTCCTTTTCAACAAGAGGCGGCACAGGAAGTCAAAATATCATTCTGCCAGAACTGTCAATCTCGAGGTCCCTTTACCATGAACTCAGAAAAGACCGTATATCGAAACTATCAAAAACTGACTCTCCAAGAGTCTCCGGGTTCAGTGCCAGCTGGTCGGCTCCCGCGTCAACGCGAAGTCATTCTACTCGCAGACTTGATTGATATTGCCAAGCCTGGTGACGAGGTAGAGGTTACTGGTATCTATCGAAATAGCTACGATGCCCAACTCAACAACAAAAATGGCTTCCCTGTCTTTGCGACAATCCTCGAGGCTAACCATGTCATCAAATCTCATGATCAAATGGCTGGTTTCCATTTGACTGAGCAAGATATTGAGCAGATCCGGTTACTTTCTAGGGAACCGGATATCGTGGACAAGATAGTTCGTTCTATTGCTCCGAGTATTTACGGCCATGAAGATGTGAAGACAGCGGTCGCGCTCTCCTTATTTGGCGGTGTGAGGAAAGAAGCGCAAGGCAAAATGGCTATTCGCGGAGATATCAACGTTCTCCTTCTCGGTGATCCAGGAACCGCCAAGTCACAAGTTTTGAAGTACGTCGAGAAGACAGCGCATCGAGCTGTTTTTGCAACTGGTCAAGGTGCTAGTGCAGTTGGTCTTACAGCAAGCGTCCGACGGGACCCTTTGACCAGTGAGTGGACATTGGAAGGAGGCGCTTTGGTGCTTGCCGACCGAGGCACCTGCTTGATAGACGAGTTCGACAAGATGAACGACCAGGATCGAACTTCAATCCACGAAGCTATGGAGCAGCAGACTATCTCAATTTCCAAAGCTGGCATTGTAACAACACTTCAGGCTCGCTGTGCCGTAGTTGCCGCGGCCAATCCACAGGGTGGTCGATACAACGGAACGATTCCATTCTCCCAAAATGTTGCTTTGACAGAACCAATTCTATCCCGTTTTGATATTCTCTGTGTAGTGCGGGACACGGTGCAGCCAGCTGAAGATGAGCGACTTGCAACCTTCGTTGTTGAATCACACTCCCGAGCCAACCCGCCAAAGCCTCTTAGAGATGCCAAAGGTAGACTTATTAACAAGGAGGGACAACTTATTGATGAGGAAGGTTACCGCGTGACCGATGAGGGTGTTCGTCTGCCGCTTACTCCAGAGGAGCAACAAGCTCGGGAAGACGCCCGAAGAAAAGCTGAGGAAGAAAAGGAAGGCGAGATCCCACAGGAGCTGTTGCGAAAATATATTCTCTACGCTCGCGAGAGATGCCATCCGAAATTGTATCAGATTGACCAGGACAAAGTTGCACGACTTTTTGCAGACATGCGACGAGAGTCCCTGGTTACGGGGGCTTATCCCATTACAGTAAGTATAAACTTGGAGATCTTATCCAAAATGCGGAGATTGAGACAGCTCTGACTTCATTTGATAGGTCCGTCATTTGGAAGCCATCATGCGTATAGCAGAGGCCTTCTGCAAAATGCGCCTTTCTGAGTATTGCTCGTCCCAAGATATTGACCGAGCCATTGCTGTTACAGTGGAGTCATTCATAGGCAGTCAAAAAGTTAGCTGCAAGAAAGCTCTATCGAGGGCATTTGCTAAGTAAGTTTGCGGAGTATCTCATATAAGCATGATTCTTTGCTAACCGAGTCTTCTCTAGATACACTTTGGCACGACCCAAGCCTCAATCAAAACGAAAGGCTGGTATTCCTGTGGCTAAGCCCTATATGCATCGGGAAATCCATGCTCCGATTGATGATGATGAGTGAAATAGCTTGTTAAATACTACATAGTTTGTCTGGTTCGGGGTGGAGTCTTTGATTATACCTTCGGCATCTTGGGTTTAACCCCGGCGTTCTGGAATGGAGAAGATTATGCTGGGGGGGATTTTCGGTGAGCCTTTACGGAAAATTAGAATCTGCTGATGGGAGCAGAAGCTCTGGAACCGAGAATCGTGGGCCTGTATTTCTGATGGAACTCGTAACTTGTGACAAACGTTGAGGACACTTACATATTAAAGTTTGTATCGTATAATCTAAGCGTGTGATTCTCATAGGCTCTTCCGGATGTTATAAAGGATTCCACTTTACATAAGAAGTCCGTAATACTGGATCAATGGTTTAGTTAGATATTACTTAGTAAGAAACTGGTTATGGTATCCGTGCAACTATATTGATGATGTTTCAGGACCTCCATCCACAACATCGGTACAGGTACATAGTATTCGATGGCAAACATGTGTCAATAAAGCCTCATAGTTACTACTTCAATCTCGACAAGAGTATAGGAGAAACGGCTAGGATGGGACGAAGCAGATGTTTTCGGGAAGGGCATGGCATGCCGACGATCGGCTTAGGAAGTAATATCATAGACCGACACTCCCCAGCCCGGGTCTCAGTCCAGAAGTTTCTCGGCATCCAGGGCTGTTTTTTATTTCAATAGTGGAAAAACAAAAGACATACCGAACTTTCAAGGCCAAATATCGGCTTTTTTTCCTATATAGCCAATCACATCGACGGTATAGGGAAAACTTTAAAAGCAACAATTTGGAAGGTTCTGGTATTAGGGTTAAACTACGCCGTATTTCAGCAGGAGAAAGATAGATTGCCTTCCAACTTTCAAGCAGAACAGAGACGCCACAACGGCAAATCTTCGGTCGGCATAGCCAATGGATTTGTCATTCGGCTTGGTTGGCGTAAACATTCTTCCTTCAAAGGACTTGGCAGGCTATGAACCAAGATCACGAGTCAGCGACACTGTGATAGACTTAGCGGACGGCCATGTTCATTGCATCCATCCACAGCATTCTGTTTATGGTGACACACGTCCCTGTACCGACTCCCATGTCTTCATCTTGACGGTTCCTTCACGTCCCCCATAAGATCGATCGAATCTAGATTCCCTTGTACACCCCCCGCATTGCAGTCAAGATTCAATGGATATCGCACAAGTGTACGTCAACAGTCACACCAATGAACTCGTAGAAAACACACGAAGAGGCGTGATCCTCCCAATCAAAGCCCTTCCAACTCCATAGCGGAGAACTCCGTACCAAGAAATCTTGTCACACTTGCAAGTTGCCACGGCAAGAAATCCAGTACTAATCAGAGTTGCTGGCTGGCAGCCATGTTGCTTCGCTCAAAGATTTGGTTTGGCACGGGGCTCCAAACTTTCCCGGTTGCCCTCGGGCCCACGAAAGAGAAAAAAGTTTCGTGACTGTTCTTTTGAAATCGGGGTTTGCCAACCCACCCAAGACCTTGGCTTCTCGGCATCTTGACCCAGATGAGTTGAAAGGCCGAGCGACCAGTTCAACATGAGACCAGTTCGTATGAAAACACTGCTCTTATGTCTCGGCGCAGAGTCATGTCGGTTGGATGTTGGTTACACAGTGGCTTAGAGCTGTGATTCGAGATATCAGGTGATGGTAAATTGCTTGTGAAGTAGACTGGAAGCGGCCAAATTGATTGATCATGCAAGCAAGTAAGAATAAGGTTTTACAGCTAGTGTTCGTTGTTTCATTGCGGTAATTTTGACCATCCCATTTGCGGAAGGAGTTAATATTCTTGGCCAATCAAAATTGGGAAAGCGCCAAATTTTTTCCCGCGCGATCGACCGTATGAAGATCAGATCATCGTTAATGTTTTGAGTACGTAACTTGATACTTACACTATTTGCTCCATCGCTACTTTCGATATTGGGCCCACGGCTTTGATTCGACTCTATTCAGTCTGAGGACGATGGACTGTACCTTTGTTTATCCTCAATGTGCACTGATTCTTATGAATAATGAAGGTGTAATAGATCGAATACGTTTTGACGTGTCTCCAGGTCATTGCGACGTCTGATCGAGTGGAAACTTTCTTTGCTACAAAGTCAATACGGTCAGTCTGAAGTTCCAGAAAAACTTTACGCGGCTCTGGGCCAATAGCCAGCCTCAGAATGACCCTATCAAGCCACGTTATGTGTGGATCACAGACTATGCTCAATATGTAACGTATGACCGATAAAAAACCGTTTTGCGACCTGTATTGGCTCTGGCCCACTCGTATCAGTCACATGAGAAATACGGTACGGTATCACAAATACTTCTGCTCGTAGTCTAGCGTCGCCGTAGATTTGCCGAGAACATCATTGGATATCGACACTTCCAATTTCGTCCACTCCAGCCATTTGCTCAGGGTTTCACCCACTTGCTTTTGGTATTGACTCTCATTCCCCCGTATTGAAAGAATTCCCCAGGCCGAGAGAGACGGCTCCAGTCTCCATGCAATCCCCGGCCCATGGCACGCTTCCGGGGACGGCAAACTTGCTGAGATGCGGGGACACTATGGTCAAGTCACAAGTGGAACGGAAAATTTCTGCAAGCTGATTACTGTGTATGTACGTACTTGGAATGAAGCAGTTGGGTTCGTCTCGTGTCGTCTTGGGACATTACCCCAGAGGGCACTACTATATAACCCCCCTCACTTCCCCCGGTCGTTCTCCTACTTTTCCCACGCGACAGGTTTTCTTTTTCCCCTTATCTTTCTTTGCTCGGCACCTCCTCCCTAGCACAAGTCACCCAGCAGGTTCTCTGTTTGGGCCGAGCCCCCTTTTCACTACTTGTTGTTGTTAACCTCTCGACTCGGTCAAGATGAGTCTCCACGCCACCGCCGATATCAACCGCATTGAGGCTCCAGTTACCTGGAAGGCCTACCTTCTGTGTGCTTTTGCATCATGTGGTGGTCTCTACTTCGGATACGATTCCGGATATATCAACGGTGTCAATGGCATCAAGATGTTCGTTGACATGATCGACCCAGGAAAGAACAGTCTCTCTTCCTCACACTCGTCCCTCATTGTCTCTATTCTCTCCGCTGGAACTTTCTTTGGTGCTTTGATTGCTGGTGATATCGCCGAGAAGATTGGTCGTAAATGGACTGTTATCACTGGCTGTGTCATCTATTCCATTGGTATCATCATTCAGATGCTCACTGGTGTTGGCGGCAGTGCGCTGGGCATAATCGTCTCTGGTCGTCTCATTGCCGGATTTGGTGTCGGTTTCGAATCAGCCATTGTCATTCTTTACATGAGCGAAATTGTAAGTCATCCTTCTGTTTTCTGGTGAACCCAACAATTGTACTGATTGAATCGCGAATAGTGCCCCAAGGCAGTCAGAGGTGCTCTAGTTGGTTGCTACCAATTCTGCGTCACTATTGGTCTGTTGTTAGCCTCTTGCGTCGTGTACGGCACCGAGCACTACAGCAACACCGGTTCTTATCGTATCCCCATTGCCATTCAGTTCATCTGGGCTATCATTCTCGGAACTGGTCTCCTATTCCTTCCCGACTCCCCTCGTTACTACGTCAAGAAGGGTCGTGTCGATGATGCTATCAACGCCCTCTGCAAACTTCGTGGCCAATCCCGTGACTCTGAATACATCGAATCAGAGATCGCTGAGATCGTGGCTAACGAGGAATACGAGCGCAGCGTCATCCCCGATGCTAATTGGTTCGGAAGCTGGAAAAACTGCTTCACTGGTAGCCTTTGGGTCCAGAAGTCCAACTTGCGCCGCACCATCCTCGGTACCTCTCTTCAAATGATGCAGCAGTGGACTGGTGTGAACTTCATCTTCTATTTCTCCACTACCTTCTTGCAGTCCACCGGTGCTATCAAGAACACCTTTTTGATGTCTCTCATCTTCACCCTCGTCAATGTGTGCTCCACCCCTATCTCTTTCTACACTGTTGAGAGATATGGCCGTCGTCCTCTTCTCATCTTCGGTGCCCTTGGTATGCTTATCTGCCAGTTCATCGTTGCCATTGTCGGTATCACCGCCGGTTTCAACAAGACCCACTCCGATGGCAATGGAGGCACTATCGCCAACAATATCCCCGCCGTCAATGCTCAGGTCGCCTTCATTGCTATCTACATCTTCTTCTTCGCCTCTACCTGGGGTCCTGGTGCCTGGATTCTCATTGGTGAGATCTTCCCTATCCCTATTCGTTCCCGCGGTGTTGCCTTGTCGACTGCCTCCAACTGGATGTGGAATACCATCATTGCCGTCATTACTCCTTACATGGTTGGAGAGGACCATGGTAACATGAAGTCCTCCGTCTTCTTCGTGTGGGGCGGTCTCTGCACCTGCTGCTTGGTGTACTCTTACTTCCTCGTTCCTGAGACCAAGGGTCTCTCTCTTGAACAGGTTGACAGGATGATGGAGGAGACCACTCCCCGTACCTCCGCCGGGTGGGTCCCACACACCACCTTCGCTACCGAGAAAGGTATGGTCTCTGCCGAGCACGAAGAAGTCAAGCAGGCGACTGTCTAAAATAGTCCTGCGGGTTGCATGGATGTAATTTATTGGGAGGAATTTGTGACTTGATCTTATAATGCGAAGGTCAAGGACTATAATGTGATGCGGTTTTAATTATGGATTTATTCTTTTCGTTTTGGGTTATGTTTCAGACATGTACGCATTCAACATATATACCCCTGACGGTGTCATGATCTTGCATGAAGGGAGGTGTCTTGTTACCGTAATGATCTTTATGGAATATTGATGATTATGGTGTATACCTAACTACATATTTTATTACAAATATCCTTTTCAATATACCCTCAGTCCTTAGTAGCCTTTCTAGAGTAACAAACATTCCGATAGACAACACGTGGACTCTTTACGCTGATGCACCCGAAAACCTAACACAATACTCAACCTGCCGTTGAATAATCAGAAAACAGGGCTCTCTCCAAGAAATATCAGCCTGCTGCGAATGGACTCATCGCCCGCAGCTTTGCGCCATACTTCCATAATAGCAGAGGAGCCGGAATGCCAATGCAAATTGCAACAAATGCCAACAAACTATTACCCCAACCGTAATGCAGTGCATCGAACATATAAGGTGCGAAAAGGGGGAACCCAAAACCGGCTAATGACCGTAAAACAGTGATTGCTGCCATAGCACTAGCTGCATATAGCGTATACGCGTCCACCAGATACGTTTGGATACACTGGAATCCCATGATGGATCCGACGCAGAATATCGCAGCCCCGATGTTTGGTACGATCCAATGGACTTTGTACTGCGCGGTCCAGCCGTAAATGAACAGACCAGCGGGGATAAACAACGCTCCCACAACGAGTAGTGGCGTGCGGAATTCAGGGACACCAACACCGCCGTTGCGCTTTTTCAGTCGCCGATAAATATGGTCCATTAAACGAGCGGTAATTTGAGCGCCGACGAAGAATCCAACTCCCAAAGAGATAAAATTGAGTCCTCCAATACCAACGGATTCGTTGTAGTGCCCCGTCCAGAGACTCGGAAACGATGCCAGCATGAGATACTGTGTGCCATAGATATAAGCCATGAATAAGGCCAAGGCCTGGACAATTGGTTGGGTGCCAAGCAGGACAAATGGACGGCGTAACGCGGTGGATAGTACAGTGGTTAAAGAGCGGCCTGCAACTTCATATTCGGTATGCCAGGAAGGATCTTGAGTTTCTTTGCGGAGTTTCTTGGCCTTGCGACTTAATAACGTCGGCCCATACGTCTCTTGTAGTAGGAAAAGGCCGACCAGTTGTATGGCACCATCTACAATTGATGTTGAATAGAAAATCCATCGCCAAGTCGTCTGCTGAGCGATGAAGCCACCCGCTATGGGGCCAACAGCAGGTCCTAGGAGAGGAGCAAGACTATACATGGCCATTGCTCGCCCTCTTTCTTCAGGTTTGAAACAGTCGCCCATGACGCCCCCTCCGATCTGTAAAAATCGTCAATATCTGTAGTCTGCATGGTGGAAAGGGCCAAGCGTACTGATAAAGGGGCACTACCGCCTAAGCCAGACAAGAATCGGAAGACGATCATCTGCGCTTTTGTCTGAGAAACACCGCACGCAATATTAAAAATGAGATAGAAAAGGTTGGCAAGCTGCAGGACAATCACTCGACCATAAATTTCCGAGAGCGGACCCAAGAAGAGAGGCCCAATAGCGTATGCTAAAACGAAGATGGACAGGGTCATTTCGAGTTGGACTTCATTTGTAATGTTGAGTTCTTTCGCGATGGCTGTCAGAGCAGGTGACACCATAGATGAGGATACTGGAGATATGAATGTGAAGCACGAGACGACAAATACCGCTGCCCAGCGTCTTTTCATGGGCCAGTTTTTGGGGTTTTCAGGGTCGTCGGGTCCTTTCCAAGTGACCTATTAGACTGTTAGCACTGACCCAGAATCTTGCAAGGAAGGATATGGAGATACTGACTACTTTTGGATCCCGTTCAGAGCGCTGTGATCTAGCAGTCTGTGTTGGCTCCAAAGCATCTTCTTGATCACTGCCGCTACTGGTGCCATTCTCTAAATCTTTATCATCGTCGCCCCTCGGCGCAGTATGGAATGCGGATTGATTGTCCAAAGTCTGATTCCCCTCGGATCTCTCTGGGGAAGCTGCCTTTTCTATGTCGACCATCGTTGTTGCAATAGTCGACCACTCGAGTTGTTCTGCTTGTGGTACTGCAGCAGAGCAAAGAGGACTTGGCCATGCTTTATAACGGTTACTCTCCTTTGTCTCATTTGTCCTTATTAAATCCTACGACGCATAACTGGGTGTAGTTACGTAGTCCTCAAACTACACCGTAGATCTCAAAATCCGCAAAGTCCGGTCAATTTCCGCCCCGCATCCATCCAATCATGGGGCAAAGACCCACTAATACTGTAACCTGATTGGTCAAAGATTAAATCTGAGCCGGAAACACGGCATCTCCACCGCTATCTTATCTCTTATAGTCACGTGATGCATAAATTGTGCATCGGCGGTGATCATGCCGTATGGAGTCGATATAAACTACGCCGTTACTCCGACAAATTATTGGCTGCGAACTCCGTACTCCATGTACTTCAGCTGCGGTACGGCTTTTAAGGCTCTGCGGAGCAAAAGTCTTGTATTGCAAAAGATTATGCTTTGAAAATGACCGAACATTGCAAGGACCTAGGATGAGTTTCACATATGGTCGTACGCGATCTTGTAAGTTTCACGTACCGTTCTATTTTTGGAACGTTCGTCGCGAGTATCACGATTCTGACAGTCGTCTCGTTAGTTGTATTGACATCTCTCACTTTCTTAGATGCACTAGAGAGACCAGACAGCGCACCATAGTCACATTCTCGGGATATTGGGATGAAACGGATATCTATTCATCTGAACATAGTCCCAATACAACAGACCAGGCATTATAAAAGTAATGCAAAAGTAATGCAATGAGAACAAGAATTCGAAAGCAACCTATTTACAGATGCAGGGTATAAAAGTCAAGCACACTTCCGTCCATCACCTTCACGAGAACCTTATGATATGCGGAAATGCATTCAACGCATAACAGTCCATGGTCTAAATCTTCCTTTCGCATCAATTCTGTGGCCTGGAAGTATCGGCCATCTCAAGAGTCGTGGGCCCATTGCCAGACAGTTCAGGTGTTACGTGATTGGCTGGTGCTTCAGACAGCTCTGTTGGCGCTCCAGGAGTCTTGTAGTATTCATAAGGGCCCTGCTGGTTGACGGGCTGATATGGTGGGCCACCAGCTGGACCACTTTCTGCTCCTCCACCTGCACCACCGCCGTTCTTTCCTCGTCGAGATCGCCAAAATAGTGTAGCAGCGGCGAGGAAAGCAATGACTCCCACTGCGACACCGACACCAATACCAGCCTTGGCACCAGAGCTCAATCCATCGCCACTTGAGGGGACAACGGTGTTGGTCGCGCTCGCGCCGTTAGTGTGTTTCGTGGGGCTCGACGTGGTAGAGCTAGTGGCAGAAGTGGAAGTTGATGAGGATGCTGATGTCGTAAAGCTAGTAGAAGCGGGCGCGGTTGTACTAGTCGAGTCCCTGGTCAGGTTGAAATAGTGAGTGATTGCGCGCGGTGATGTTTCTCCTTCGACGAAGATATTGAAGAAAAATTCTTTCGAAGTCGTGAGATTCATGCTACCGAGGTCAATCTTCCAGGTGTAATGTCCACCCAAATTGGTGACGTTTGCTAGATTGCGCGTCAGCCACATCATTACCGTCAAGTCGATTGGGCCCCATAGGCGACCTTACTGAACACAGAGGTAAATTCATCAAAGTTGTTACTGGGCAAGACGTGTACGAGACGGACAGATACGAAGGCATTTGGTCCAACCCACTGGAGATTGATATCGTCTCCAACATTGTAGGTTGGATTGGGTATCGAGGAGCTGTCCGGGGGCGGGTTTGTAAAGATGTAGGAGTCTTGCTGAAGACTGGGAGACCAGAGCAGCGACCAGACGAGGAGCCATACGGCCCTTCGAAGGGACAGGTCTGTCATGATTTTTGACGTTATGACGCGTTGTTAGGAGAGAGCTTTCTCGGGCAAGTTCGATGTGCGACGAAGAAAAGCAAGTCTAACAGCAGCGCACTAAAATTGACTGGCGTAGTCTACGCATTGCCCACCCTCATTTGCTTGGCACACAGCTGAAATTAGAAAATTACTGAAGGTTACGGCTCTTGGGGCGGAGAGCTAATTTTGAGTCTCATGAGTGGCTGCTCACATCTCATTGCCTGACTCGTGGTAATTCTTCACGGTTAGTGTCTGTCTACTAACAGTATGTGGTTAGCACCACATTCTATGATACATCATAGCGCTGCATAACGGTTCCTGATCGCACGCAGTACAACGTACGAAGTAATACACAAGTAATCCGGGGGCTGCGAAGTCCGACTCTGCCACCCCCTCGTGGTGCAGCTGGTAACATCACTCAAGTGGTGATGGCCAAGAGCAGAGCGGCGATTACAGGCTTCTTTGGAGTCTTAATATCACCCGGGGATCTACACGAATACTGCGCCGACCCGGAAGTCAATCGAACGTTCTCTGTCAGATATGAGAGAGCTCTTCGGAGCATACCAAAATCCTATATACTTGAGGGGTGGCTACTTCAAGGAACTGCACCACCGCAGGGTTAGGGACCTGGGATATATGGTTTTATTCGGGAAGAATCTCAGCACGCCGACTTCTGGACCACAGCAGCTACGTGAAATGCGCCTAAGAGTCTATTCATGGATGATAAGACTTTTTAGTTATTGACACCCAGGGCTTACTGGCGGCCTTTGTCCCAATAGGGAATTGGTGGGAAGCGTGCGAGTCACGAACCACGGCATACAAACACACACACACGTAATTCGGGCGTGTTGATCGTTGGATCAACTAATTATCAAGGGTTAGGGTCGACTGGGTGAGGCTCTGATGATTAGTCATTCCAGCCGCATTAGTTAACTAAACTAGCTTTAAAAAGTCGATGAGCATAACGCTACATGACCAGTGTCGGAACTTAAACGTAATACCATTTCACCAAAAAGGACGCCCTTCAAGGGATTCTGGTATTTTTGTGGTATTTGCGAACCGTTCCGTAGTTCGACTTCTGTATTCTGCTAGTCACGTGATTTTTGGTTCCAACATAGTACATAGTATGATCGTCATGTGAGACAAACCCAATCAAACAATCTCATTTACTTGCAATGCCAGTATTCGCGCCGGAACTGAGCCCTTGAGGCGCCTGCGCAGTGTTGTTAAAAATACGTCAAAAGTGCGTGTGTTGTCGTGTAATTCCGCGATTTTTTGATTTTTTGATTTTTTGATTTTTTTTTTTTGGTTATTCAGCGCATCAATAGCAAGGGGATGCCTCCCTTCATAGCTAGGATCACTTTTCGTACGTGATTTACCCAATTTTTTTGTGCTGTGGGTTTTGTGGAAAGTTGCTGCTAGAAATCCGGATGGAATTTTGAGGTGGTATGCGACTTACCCGGGTGAACCGTTTACCCGTGAAACACGTTAAAGCAACTAAAGTTGATATTAGTATAAACATGGAAAGGCCTTCCTTTCGTTATAGCCAGGTTCTACTGTACAAGCATGCCAAGTAAGGCGCAGCAAGACACACAGAGCCTCAGAGGGTGATAAGCTTTCTCCCTTTTGTTTTAGCTGGATTACTCTCTTCCCCGAAACGGACTAGTGCTGCTATTTCCGTCGTTATCGGACGAGCCTAGATACTTCTAAGTGCATGAATAGCAACGAATCTGAAACACTGACAGCCTCCCGGATCCGGAGTTTTCATTCATAATCCATAAAAATGTCTTGACATCTGTCTATGGCGCCGAGTATGATTCACATGATTAAGCATGACTGATCTTTGTACTGAATTGATTGGCGATTGATTGGCGACAGAGTACGGAGTACGGAGATTCCGTATGGATCGGCTGGGTTACCCAAGTTTGTTGATCGAGTGGGGTTCCGTCCCGTTGCAGCCAATCAGTGAGACGTGCTTGCCCACAGTGACCACACCGTGACAACCTGACTCCATTCGTTATCTTTGCCTGTCTGCCCGCGATGATTTTCTGAAAATGACTCTTTTTGAACAATCATCACAGCCATCTGCCTGAAACCCCGTTGCGCGGCCTGTAATGCGAGATCGATTATGCAGCTTCCTCGACTGCCTCAAGGTGTGCCGCGCTATGTGCTAAACACTGGTATCGCTATCTTCGTGCTGTCGCTGGTGCTGTGGTCGATCAATGCCCTGAACATCGCTAGCATCGGCAGCCTGCGGGGACGGCTGACCCAGCCTCTGCATCTGGATGAGCATAAGGATGGAGAGCACAACAAGGGCCAATTGCCCTCCAAGCTTGACGCAACAACAGACCGTCGCTGCCATGCCGTCCCCAACCCTCCAGATGTCGCCGTGATCGTAAAGACCGGCGCCAACGTGCTCTACGACAAGGTTCCCTTGCAACTGCTGTCGGCCTGGCGTTGTGCCGAAGATCCGCTTATCTTCTCCGACCTTGCCACAACGCTCGGCTCGTATCAAGTTTATGATGTCCTGGACAATGTCACCGAGGCTGTGAAGAACAGCCCGGATTTTGATTACTATCGCAAATTGCAGGATTACAAGAAGAACGGCCAGGATGTCCGAGAACTCCGCAACGAAGGAGAAGCCGGATGGAAGCTGGACAAGTACAAGTTTATCCCCATGCTGAAAAAGACGTGGACGATGCGACCAAATCATGACTGGTATGTCTTCCTCGAGGGAGACACGTATGCATTTTGGACGAACATGTTGTTATGGTTGCAGCAATTTGACCCGAATGGACTTTACTACTTAGGAGAGCAGACCTATGTCAACAATGAAGGCTTCGCTCACGGTGGAAGTGGATTTATCATATCTAGAGGTGCCATGGCCAAGGTTCTCGACGATGACCCCGACATCACCATCCGCTACGACTCAATTGCCCAGAGCGAGTACTATGGCGATTACGTTCTAATGAAAGCGTTGAAAGAGAAAGGGGTTGAATTGGGTCTCTACAAACCGATGCTGCAAGGAGAGCCGCCCAGTTCATTGCGCTACGGCCCAGGCCGCTACCATGAAGAAAGATACTGGTGCCAACCTCTCATCTCGTTGCATCATGTTACACCCCTCGACGTGGACACTGTCTGGCAGTTTGAACAACATCGAGAAGACTTATCGAAACCCATCCTGTTCGCCGACATGTATCAGCATTTCATGGCTGCCCACCTTCCTGAGGGTAGTGATGAGCTTGAAGACTGGTATAATTACTCAGATGATGTTCACATCCGAGGCCCTGATGAAGAAGACGAAGATCGACCCATACCACCTGAAGAGATGACACCGACGCAAGAACAGGCCTACTTGTCTGCCGAACACTGTGCCGCTGCTTGCGCCGAGTATTCTCGTTGCATGCAATATACATACGAGTCCTCGGAACAGAAATGTTCCTACTCGTTCTCATATCGCTTCGGCGAGAAGCGTCCCCCGAAATCTGATGGCAAGAGATATAAGTCTGGCTGGATCAGGTCGAAGATTGAAAAGGATATAGAAGAAAACCCTTGCCAATCGGTAGTCTGGAAGGGATTCCATACTGCTTAAGCAATTTGGTTTTCGGATGTGTACATTTTGCATTTCTGGCGTTGGTATTCGATATCTAGTATACACAATTTTACCATGTACATTTGTTGGAAGGTAGCCAATCCTTCGGTTTATGAGCTACGTTCATGTAGTATATTCCTTTTTAGAACAACGCACAGCATTACCCGTATTCCACTGTGTTTCTACCGACCCCTGGGACCCATGGATGGTTGTAAGACTGGTAGAATGTGTAACAAAGCAGCGTGAGACCAGTCCAAGGATAACTATGACAGCATCCTCTTGACAGTGCTACCTTAAACGGCGTATATAGATCATCATCAAAGAACAAAAAAAATTGACCTTATGCAATTTCTCTTGGAGGTCTATTGGATGTCTAAAATAACTTCAGAGTCAGATCTTGGAAACCATCAGGGTTCGGGCCGGGGCCGAGTTGAAGTTTAATTGCACATATGCTTTGGTCTCAATGATAGCGCGACGCAAGACACCAGCTCTGAAAGGATAGAAGAGGTATCCTTGCCTCGTATCCAGCGGTCATCCCATGTGCCATTGTCCGATTCATGGGTACACAAAAGCTTCATTGTTTCACATGAATGATCTGGCGGTAAATGCCGACCATCAATGTGTACAGAGTTGGCTGATGGATGCCCTTTGCTCCCTGAATGGGAGTCACTGTACACATTTAACTTGCTCTGTTGCTCAGTGACTTGCCCTTAGATGAAGATATTCGTTTCTTGTCTTACCCATTCCACGCTACCGCACCCCCAACCAATGCCCCTTAAGATATTGATCCTTGCAAAAAGACAGGGATGCCGAATGCAATGCATGTTCAAATCCTCTCGCCTCGAAGCTCGCTGTTTATTCCCGAATCACCAGATCCGGACCAGTTGGTTATCGTATGCAGCTGGACAGATGCTCAACAGAAGCATATAGCGAGATATCTTCAGCTACACAAGCTAGTCACCCCCCGGGCAAAGATCCTGCTGATCCAGACCACGGCCGTAACGCTATTCAAGCCTTATGCCTGGCAAAGGGCTTCCCTCAAACCTGCGGCGCAGTATATCATCGAGAATGCCGTGGCCGATTCACAGAAGCGAGATTCTTCCCCTGGTCGAGAACCGAATCAGCACGAACACTGCAGGAACAGAAGGAGTAGGACAAAGATCTTGCTTCATTCATTGTCGAACGGGGGCAGTCTTACTGCCACTCAACTCCTCATCCTCCTCCGCGAAGTTACACATGCACCGTTGCCTCTCATCGGGGTCATAATGGACAGCAGTCCCGACAGTGGAAGCTATAAACAAAGCCATAACGCCATGGTACGGACGCAACCACCTTCCAAACCGCGAAGAGCCGCTGTGTCACTCCTCGCTCATGCAGCCCTAATCCCTATATGGGCGAGTTATATCATAGGGGCAAGGGAGAACTCGCAACTTGAGATGCGGAGAATAATCCTGGACAGGCATTATGTGGATACTTTGAATATTCGGTATGTGTATTCGAAGAGTGATAAAATTACCGATTGGAGGGATGTGCTTGTTCATGCTGAAGAGGCGAGGGGGAAAGGATGGCTTGTCGAGGAGTATAAGTTGGTGGAGAGTGCGCATTGTTCTCATATACGCTCCAATCCGGAGATGTATGCTTCAATTGTGAGGCAGTTATGGGAGATAGTGAAACCACAGTTGAAACTGTAGTATGGGCGCTCGTGGCTTGATGATATCTAGAGAAATCTTATGGATCAGCCTGTGTCATGACCTCAAAATTATCCACGATGCAAGACGACTTCTCAAATTCAATGTCCCAGCTCATCTTGCCTAGATAGACAAACCCCAGCATGTTATGTTACTGCGTTCTGAAGACGACATATGATTGATGTGTAGATAGTTGGAATTCGTATCATGGCTCACTGATGGGTGAAGATATCTTACATTAACTAGTTCTCACAAGGAGGAGAGAAGTATTATATACAAGGTCGCGCGGTGTTTCGCTAAACGCCAACAAATGCTACAATCCAATCTATGTCAATAATTCCACGATATGTCAAACGCCTGTTCCCGGGGTATTAACAAACACTTCCTTGGCTCTATGGGATAAAAAGTGTAGTATGCTGCCTCCCATGCAGCGTTCATTGCTCCTTTGGACTTGTCTCGCCAGAGGTACTTTCTTCGGTTTTTCTGTCGTTTTTGCCGTGTAGGCGACTCGCTGTGTGTCGAGCTTGCGAGACTGCCTTGCGTCGGGCCGCATCTGCAGCTGCATGACCCTTTGCTGCGGTAGACTTGACTGCCTCCCGGAATCTTCTCAACCTTTCGGATCGTCCTTCACCGGGGAGACCAGCCAACATGGGCTCGATCGCGTCAGAGCGCCAATTCCCACGGTTGGATAGCGCTAGACTGCGATTCTGAAGCGGACCAATACCCGCAGAATCCACGCCTTCCCCCCACATTCTTACTCGTTGGACTTTGCGTAGCTTTGCAAGTCCATAGAGACTCACGAGGATGCTGCAAACGAAACATGTCGCAGACACGGCGCCAAACCCGAAATCACTTTCTTCGATAAAGTTTTTCAAGTTCATGCCGTACAATGCTGAGACTAGAGTCCCCGCGGCAAGACCAAGGGTGCCAATGCTGAATTTCAAATCTAGAAGCATCAAGGAATTGCGGTTCGCATCTAAAATTGCCTTGACACTTTTGCATATATTAGTAACGGATACAAATCCACCGCAAAATGGAGTATAATGAACTTACACTTCTTCAGTGTTTCGAATAGCGGTGACCAGGTTCCCACTAGCTTGAACAATTTCGTCACATATCTTATGGTAAGATTCAAGCAACATCTCCACCTCTTGGTGGTCGTTTTCAGCCCGCGTCTTCCCTTGAGCCCTATCAGACAAGTACATCGCAGCAAGATCATCATCGGCTTCTAGCAGATCATCGATGGCATCTCGCACGAGACGCGCCTTTTGTTCGAAACTACCCAATTTTTTCGAGTAAACAAGTAAATGTCGCAGTTTGTCTCGGTCAATATCTTCTTCCAGTGCCCGCAGTACGCGCACAACGGGATCTCGCACACCTTCAAATTCACTTTCCAGACCACTAGTCACACTAATCAAGACAGATTCAAGCGCACGAAGTTCATATGGCAAAGCCCCCGACCCCGGAGCCTGGCGCTGTCTCAATTTGCCCTCCAGATCATACATAAAAACGGACTGGGTATACGAGTCAGCTGAACCGTATGCGTCAAAGACCAGAACTCGGTCGGCTTTGATCAGAACGCGAAGATGTAGCAGCGAAATAAGGATTGTAGTTGGTCGCACGAGGATGTGAGGTAAGACGGAGGAGTCAATTTTTCGCAAGTCACGATTCAAAAGACCGTACTGTAATATTTGTAAATAAAGCGGTATCCCTATTAGAGGGTCTATCGAGACGCACCTTAGCAATGAGCTCACTCTTCCGAAACTCCCCATTGACCAATGTGACATTCCCATTCTCGTCGAATTCAGTACAGCGCAATCGTGGTTCGTCAAGCGACTTCGATGCCAGGGTTCGCCCTAAATTGAAAAGATTCCCTTCTGCGCCTTCGTCTGTGAAACTCGTGATTGGAGGAGATGTTGAGTTTTTCCACTTTTGGTATGCGTCCTTCTTAAACCAGTTGTTCCACCAACGCTTATGATTCGTCGAAACATTGCGCGACGCAGCATAGCGAGGATAATTCACACATTCGCTTGATCTTATTGCCTCAGGACGAGTCGTGAGCGAGGTGCGTAGCTGAGACGATTTTCGCGACGTCGGAATTTTCACCGAAGGCCATACAAGCAAAAAAGAAGATTCAATTTGCGCCAAACAAGGCGCTGAATTTAACCGTATCCAGTTTATCCTTCTATACTTCCCGTTATTCCATTGATTTGAAGCGGTGTTGGCGTTCAAATTCGTCGGATTCGAGGTGAAAAAGAGAGTATCCGATTGGGATCTCAGAAACCGGAGCAGATTTGGCGATGGTGCCATCGGTTTCAAAGAAGGAACCACCAGCATCTCTCCAGGTTGTAGAGTGAAGTGCTCTACAATGATGGAAATTGAGTGCTATGCTGGTAATTTAAGGAATGCTTCAGAAGATTCTGCCATGAGCGATAAAATGTCCTCCAATCCTTTAGCTCCGATCAATGACATCGTGATTCCGCCTTGGTCACGTGAATCTTTCGAGAGCGATGGCCATTATCCGCGCCGAGATATTCTGATGAATCTTAGGGATGCTACTATAGCTATATAAATATTACTTTAATACCTAGGTATTGGGTTATGTAAAGACTAGGCCAGTCACACGAGTGCAGACTTTTGGGATAGTGTCATGTAAAACAATACCTAGGACCCTAAGTAACATATTTCCTTTGACGCCCCGTGGCTTTCCCCTTTCCATTTTAGTGCTCATCCCCTCGTCGCTTTTACTCACTGAGAACTGAGCACGCCCTAAGGGCCGCTGACCGGATCAGTGAGCCAAAGCAGAGAGCAGTCTGATCCGCTCACTGAACAACCCCATGGCGACCTCGCTTTCTAAGAAGTCGAGACCTTGCAATTGGATCAACACAATGAATTTTCCTCCTCCGGAAACGTATTCATCCCAATACCAAACTCTGTAGCACGCTTTATCTCGTGATGTCGTGTCACCTTGACCTCGATGATGTCCGATCACAGTCGTTAATGTTTCCCTGCCATCCTAGCTTAGCTTGTGGTGGTGGTAAGCATTCTTTGGTCCGCATGTAAACCGGAAAGGTTGACGGTACTGTCAAGCTATCACTATACGTGTTTGCCATCCTTATCAAGGAGAGAGGATAAAATCATGACTCCATCTGGTCCTGTGGCGACAGCATTCCACACCACGGGGAGTACTAGCCACAATAGAAAGGAACAAAAACTCCGAAGAAATTCCACCATAGAGAGAGAAGGGCTTAGGGGAGGACAGTAAATTGGAGCTCACGGTATGATAGCATACAGTATACTTCATATATTAACCTGTGTACGACCTGTAGACTCTAGTATCTGAACATATGACTGTGGAACAAAGGGAATATAATATTTAAACAGAATATAGAAACATAGAGCTATTGCAATCACAGAAGTTTCTCAGATAGTTATGGCCATAGTGATAGAAGCAGAAGCAGGAATCTACCCCTTCTACATCTAATATACCGAGAAGGCTACAACGTTATGGATTAATATCTAGATCTTACCTAAATCTAACCCACTAGTAAAGTTGAGAATATGAGCATGGAAGGATACAGCATAGATACCCAAGCTAGCAGTAATAACAATACTATACCCAGCTACTCCATAACACTAGGCAAAAGGACAGAACAAAATCCTTATATAGTAGATTTAGGAGCAATAGCAGTAGCACTAGAACGTATTCCAGTTAGGACATGCCGTAGATAGATCACTATTTTTAGTAGTAACAGATCTGCTCTTACAGCAATCAGCCAACGTTGTTAACAGTCTAGTCAAAAGATTATTCAACGGATATATAAACTGGTCCAGACCTTGCAGCGCTAGGGAAACGCGGTCAACGCAATCTAGATCCCAGCACACATAGATATGAAATGAAACAACGAGCAAAAGCTGAAGCACACATCAACAAGAATAGAGTGTCAACTAGAAAGACAGCCGTTCCAAGTCAGAGCAACAGCCTTTAGAATTGCCATTGACGCAACACGCTAGGACTAGACTCTTCCAGAAGACATTGGAGAATTCTCAAATGCTATCGATACTGCGCTCCCGGGAAAGCATATAAAAAGCCTATATAACGGACTGAATTGAAAACAGGCAAAAACTCTAGTTCAGCTTCAGGCAGGAATAACAAGGCTCAACAGCTATTTGAATAGGATAGGCGCAGCAGACTCTGATCTTTGTGCCTATGGCTAAGCAAGCGAGACTGTGGAACACTTTTTATTCCGCTGCACGAAATGGACAACAAGGAGAGAAGGCATGAATCAAAGCACGCAGACAAAACGAGCTGTCCTCCTTTCTGGGCGGAAAATCACGTTCAGACTCGGACCGATGGTAACCAGATATGAAGGCTGTCCATGTAGCAATCACCTATGCGATGGCAACAGGAAGAGACTGGAACAAGAACAGGAACCTGAATTGGAAGTAACACAGTGAGAAACGAAGCAATCCCGCCTCCTCTTCCTCCCCTTCCCTCAACCCATTGCTTCCCTTCCCTTCCTATGTAGACCTTGCTGCAGCCGCCGAAGATAGGACACTGCGCACTTGGAGAAGATAACCTTTAAGATGATTTACTGGCTAACACCTCTAACAAGGGAAGCCCTACCGCACCATCACGACTATCGAAAAACTCAAACACTAAGCATACGTGCCACAAGAACAAAATCTGGGCTAACGCGAGTTCATGTCTGAATGATGTCTATTACGCCTGGATGGAATAACCCTATAGGACACTATCTAGTGCCTTAGTTACATAAACTTCTCTCACAGATTTGACATGAACTCGCGGTAGGCCAAATTTTGTTCTTGCGACACGTATGCTTGGTGTTTGAGTTTTTCGATACGTCGAGGTGGTGCGGTAGGGCTTCCCTTGTTAGAGGTGTTGACTAGGCACCGCCCTAGTTCCGGCATGGGTTATCTATTATCCGTGCGCTAACCACGTACGAAGAATAACTACACCTCACCACCCCAACCCCCTAGTTCTTGAAGAGTAGTCATGTTATTAGAAACCAGAATAGCATAGGCTCATCAGCTTGTTGGATTAGCCGTTCTACGAATATAGTGCTAGTGACCTAGATGTAGATAAACCAACAGCTACCTATCAATTTCAATTATTCTGCCGTTCTCTAAAACACCCAAGTAGCTAGTAAGGAATATTACCCCCATCCGCGGCTATTACTGCCTGACAACGAGCTTGCATACTATCAATAAGCCGAGTAAAGAAGCTCTCAGGAATTGCGTCTTATGCACCTCGAACTACATCTCGAAGCTGATAATAGGATAATTCTTCATCCGGATATCTATCTTGAATCCAATCCTTCATCCAATCCCATATCGACTCAATCGGATTGAGGTCGGGTGAAAATGCAGGCCATGATATGGGATACACACCTCGAGAATGAAGTTCTTCTTTTGTAAAAGAACTCGAATGCCCTGGGGCCCCATCCTGCATCAACTGTAGATATAAACCCTCTCGTCGCATTAGCCGAAGATATCTATCAATCAATGGTACAGTTCGTTCACAGTACCGCTCCACATTGATAGAGCCCCATTCTTTCTCCCAAAACAGGCATAGGCCTTTTATATTTCCATGGAATGACCCTCAGAGCATCCATCCTCGACGTCGTGAGATTTTTGAACGAACACAGATATCATCCAATTCTTCACCAGCCTTGCGTGTCACGTAAATGCGAGTATGGGAGCCTGATGTAACCCATGTTTCATCCGTCCATAAAACCTGTTTCCATTGTTCATATGTCATTGTACATGTTCTAGAGCCCATATAAGCCGTTGGCGTCGGTTTTCAGGACTTAAGTAAGGTTTGCAAAGCGCCTTACATCGTGTATAACCTCTTTTCTTCAAGGAAGAGGCAAGTGTAGTGGGTGTCACTTTGAGATTAAGCTCCTTGATAACTTTATGATATGGCATGCGGCGGTTCTTCTTAGATGAAGATATCCATTCAATGATTTCATCCATTTGAGCTTCAGAGAGCTTAGGTGCAGCTCCACGTGCCTTTTTAGGAGTAACCTGAGTAGCCTGACAAGCATATTGAACCTGATTGTGTGTAATATTGAGTTGATTCGCTATTTGTTCATAGGTAAATCCTGCTTCTCGCAGAGTTTGAACACGGATACGATCATCTCGGGTCAAGCGTACGCTATACTACTTTGGTGAGACAGGCTCGTTCGTAAGCTCGTTCGTAAGCTCGTTCGTAGGCTCGTTCGTAGGCTCGTTCGTAGGCTCGTTCGTAGGCTCGTTCGTAGGCTCGTTCATAGGCTCAGACATTGTGGTAGGTTCTATGTTGTATGGTAAGAAGTATGTGTCAGCATCCCAGCGGAGGCTCTAACGACCTCCTTGGGAGACGAGGGATAACCGATACAGGAAGGCGGTGGGTGTACCCCTGCAGCCCCACTGTACTATGGAAATTTACCTGGATAGACCATAGTAGAGATACCTAGGTACTGACTACCATAACTAGAAGTACAGAAACAAACATGTTCTTCATATCCATGGATGCCATCTCGCTACAAAAAGTCAATGATTTCTATCTAACTGGGTTTTGACACAGTCGGAACACGGATTTATCAATCTTCCGCATTTGTCCTTTCGCTATAGGACGCAAGGTCGATATGTAGATATATACAATTCCAAACGATCTTTGATTGACGACCCTTTATTGCTGACTATGTCTATTTCACCAACTGGCATGCGTAGAGCGCAATAGCTACAGGTACTCTTTGCGGCATTCCGTGCTGTAGACTGCAATACGAGACTGTACACAGTGTAGATCAGATACTTCAATTTGCGGCCTCAGCCTGCACGCGTGGCCATTAAATAGCTGACAGCGTGACGGACCAAGTCTGATCCAGCCAAAGAGTAGAAGCGATTTGATCTACCAGTCGTCATCATCCTCTCCCTCATCATCTATAGAACGATATCAGTATAAGTGCAGTTAATAAGAAGATTCGAACATACCGCTACCGCGAACTTTCTGTTTGCGCTTATCTAGGGCGTTCTGTATAGCACCTGCTATGCCACCTGCAGGTGCTGCACTGGGGGTTGATGCGGCCGTTTCATTTGACGTTCCAGGAACCATTGCAGCACTGCGATCTCGTTTTTCAGAGTCGTTTACTCTGCGTAATCCACTACCACCTTTACCGCCAGAGGCTCGGATAGCTGCAAGAAGATCGTCTCGGCCACCACCGCCGACCGAAAGTAAAGGCGGTGGTACTGCTCCACCAGGAGGCGGAGGAGGAGGCGCTCCCGGACCAGTTGGAGGAGGGGGGGGAGGAGCCCCTGAACCAGTTGCAGGAGGTGGAGGGGGTGGAGGAGGAGCTCCAAATGAAGGAGGGGGAGGAGGAGGTGGTGGTGGTTGTGGAATACCAGACGGAGGAGGGGGAGGAGGAGGAGGTGGTGGTTGTGGAATACCAGACGGAGGAGGGGGAGGGGGTGGTGGTGGGGCACCAGATGAAGGAGCTGGAGGAGGTGGTGGAGGTACGGGACGAGTATTTGATGGGGAAGGTTGGGGAGGAGGAATAGGAGCTCGTGCCGGAGGAGGGGGAGGAATAGAGGCTGCCGCGCCTGTATGTGGAATCTTTGGTGGCAGTTGAGGAGTCTCTCGGGGTGGTGGTGGAGGAGGCGGTGCATGCACAGGACTGCGGCTTGGAGGCGCTGGAGGAGCTGGAGGCGCAGAGACTTTGCGTTCTCCTGGAAAGGGAGGAGGGACACCATGAGCCCTTAGTGGAGGTGCTGAAGATAGACCTTCATCCATTGGTGTTTTTGGCGGTCTAGGAGGTGGAGGAGGACCAGGCATCGCACTAGATGATGCTCGGGGTCTACCAGGAGCAGTTACAGGTTGGGCGAACTTTCCTGCATCTGCAATGGGAGGCGGAGCTCGGAATCTTGGCCGTGGTGGCGATGGCTCCCGAGGTGGTGGAGGAGCAGGGGTTTCTGGTTCTTGGGAGGTTGAAGCGGCCTCTGTCCTTCGACGTGAAGGGGGTGGAGGAGGAGGACCTCTTCTGCTACCACTCCCACCGGTGTTTTGAGGGCTGATTGATGCGACTTTCGGTGTTGGTGCCGATGCTGGAGGTGGAGGAGGGGGCGCTTTTGCTTTTCGTTGGTCTTCAGCTGAAGGAGAATTTCGATGAGAAGCTTCAGCAGCCTGGCTTTGTATGTACGATTTAATGAAGCCTTCGTTGTCCTTGATTTGTTCGTCAGTGATTCCCATTTGCCGCAATTCCGCCAAAACTCCTTGTATCTCTGGATCATTTAAATCTATCGAGGATGGCTGCTCGTGTACCGGCGCAGGCGCAGGAGCTGGTGGAGGCGGTGGTTGTACTGGCGCTGCGACCGGTGGTAGCGATGCAGGTATAGTTGGTGTTGCAGTCGAAGAACTCCTTCCGAGAAGGCCACTAAAGAGTGAATGGCCGGATTTCCTGCTGGACACATGTGACGGTCCTTGCCCGCGCGTTGAGCCGAATGGGGTCGCTTTTGTTTCTTTGCTCGCATTCTTTTCTCGATCGTGCATTTTCTTCAAAAAGGTTTTTGCTTCTTTCTCGTCGGCGAATGAAAGGGCTGCTGCACACTCCTCGAGCTCGAACGTGTGAAAGAAGACCCGATCTTGGTTATAATCAAAGCCATCGTAGATCTCTTGATCCCAGAGGACTCCACGATTCGCTGGCTAGTCGCTGTCAGCACATTGTTTATCTTGATCTGCTCAGAATACTCCTGACTTACTGAAACGTCCACCAGTTTAAGCCAGAAGGTGTGCCCGACGAGGTCATTTGCGAGAACGGCCGCACCTTGCAAACCAGTATATGTCCATTTCTGCGGATTGGGATGAGCAACATACAGTCGCGCGACACCGACGGCAAGGATTTTGTTGCCCGGTTTAGGAACAGTCCTCTTGACTGTTTCCTTATCCGCATCGCTCAGAATGGACGGCATGGCGAGAGAGTTGAGTAAGGGCTAAAGGTGATTGAATGAAGTAGGAGAGGAGATCGGTAATCAGGCTTCCACTTCAGTACCGCTGTGGATACATCGCAATGTGAGTACGGGATGTCTTCAGTTTAGGCAACAGTCGCAATGATTGCCATAGATTGACATTCAAGTCACGAATTGGGGCTTTCGGATAATCTGATATGCGCAGAAATGGAGGTTGGAGGGACGTTGACTTCACAGTGACAGTGAGGACAATGATACTAATTGTTGGTGGTGTTAGGTAGCTAGTTAACTAAGTTACTTTTAAGGAGGGGGTTACATAATGCGGCTTAGAGCCTGAGGCAGTCCACAAGGCACGAGACTCTTAGTGGGTCCAGCCTGAGCCACACTTCAACATAACACCGAAGTTCCGAACAACCAGGACATAGAACATTCACAACCATGTGTCGGTTGTATGCCAATGATTGACTGAGGGCTACAAGACTCAGAATGGTCGTACTACCGTCTCACTCGAATCATCAATGATGGTGACTAAGATCAGAGGGAAGCCGGTTCTACAGTCAATAAAGCCAACGACGTCATCGCGCCGCGGCCTCCATACATAAAATGGGCATCCCCATGGGCATAGTTCTTTGCATCATCGCTTCAACAACAGACACAAGAATTCATTATTCTGTGACTGTCATTGCAAAATAGCTGCTACTTTAATCCGAAGATTACTGTGATCATCATGCCTGTTGTCCCTTCCAAACCCGAGGATTTCCCTGTTGCTACGTCCAGCCGCGATCAAAAGCAAACTGAAGGAGCGAAAAAGGCCTCCGCCCAGGATCACGTGTCAAAAGGACCTGTTATCCCCAACGGTGAGTATCAAGGTTTTCTCATCTAGCTTGGCAATTCATACTCATGATGTTAAAGAAATGCCTCCCAAGGCTTCGCGTGAAGAAATCGAGGCCAGAATGAAGGAGTTGAACCAGAAATAATATGCAGGAGAGAGCGTAGCCGCGCAGTCAGGAGTTTTCTGATCCAGTTCTGTATATGCTACGGGATTTTTGCTCTGAAAATCGGTACTGGACACGGCAAATGTTGATCTGTCTGCACGCCATGCCGGCCAAGACACTTTTGGTTTAAGAATGAAACGATATTTTCCTTTTCCACTACCTCCACTCCCCACGACATCCCAAGGACAACAAAGATGTTACCTCATCTATCGACAATGTGCCCCCAAATATGTAAACATTAAACCCCGTGTCGGTCTCGGAGGCGGAACAATCAGTAGCTTAACTTAATCTTTGCCGGCATCCTCCCGCCATCGAACCATAGTGATATCAGAACGGATGGGTTAAGTATGAAACAGCAATGACAACCCCCAATAAACTGTTGGCCCCACCAGACAATCACAAAAAGCGTTAAGTTACAAAATCGACGCTATTATTTGGCGAAAGCCCCAAGAAGCGGTTCTAGAAAGTGGGTTTAGCTTCGTTGATCGGGCATATCGGGTTTCTATATTCGAGGGCTGGATGTAGATACTCCTTCAAGAAGTCTAAATGAACTAGTACTAATCAGTACTAGAGTCAACATTAAACATCATTATGTCATACCCGCCTAGTTGATCCACCAACAACGACAACGACAACAACGAAAAGACCTTACATCTCGGTATGACAGAATTCCTTTAACCTACTAGATTATATACGGTGCAAGGCGCCGATTACATTGCGGCTGACACAATGTCTGCGACTTCTCGTCAGTCGAACGTTACCGCGTACCTCATCTATTTGGTCTTCATCTCAACCCTGGGACCCCTTCAATTTGGCTTCCATTTGGTATGCATCCACTACACATATACCTGTCACCACCCTCAAGATTTGGTTGGCTAAGACAACTGTCACAAGTCTAGGCTGAATTGAATGCCCCCCAAGCCGTCATCACCTGCGAGAAAAAGAGCATCAGTTCGATATCATTTTCGGTACAGCTACCACAATGCCTACCGATGAACGCATCGCAGTTTGGGCTTGTCTCATCCATATACACTCTTGGGGGTCTTGTTGGAGCTCTGGTTTCTGGACCAGTTGCAACCAGATCGGGCCGGCTATTGGTATTAAGAGCAACTACAGCTTTCTTTGTTGTGGGCTCGATCGCTGAAGCATTATCCCCAAACATTGCTGTCTTGAATATAGGAAGATTTCTGAGTGGTGTCGGAGCTGGAGCATCGATTGTGGTCGGCCCAATCTACGTGTCTGAGATTGCCCCGCCCTCGTCAAGAGGATTTTTCGGTGCTTTCACTCAAGTCATGACAAATGTAGGCATCTTGTTGACACAAAGTCTCGGATACTTCTTTAGCAGAGGGAGCTTATGGAGAATCATTCTCGCTGTGGGCGCCGGCCTTGGCTTAGCCGAGTTTCTTGGCCTTCTTTTGGTGGCAGAGAGCCCGTCCTGGTTGGCCGAACATCATCACGCAGATAGAGCGCGCCAAGTCCTGCAACGTATTCGTGGCAAAAATGCGGATATTGAAGAGGAGGTACAAACCTGGAAGATTGGCTCAGCTGAAAGCAATGGGGATGGCGAGCAAGAATCTTTGTTGTCACAGCACACACATCAACCCTCGCCCCAAGAATCCCGCGTCACTATACTGACAGTGGCCACTAATCCGCAGTATCGACCTGCTATCATTGCGGTTGTCATTGTCATGCTTGCACAACAATTTACTGGTGTGAACAGCATAATTATGTACAGTGTCTCCTTACTGCAGAGTACTCTACCGACTGCCGCTCCGTTGTTAGCTGTCATTATCTCTGCCCTAAATCTCGTCGTCACCTTGGCGTGCTCTCCTCTGCCGGACAAAATCGGTCGCAAGACCTGTCTTTTACTCAGTGTTGGTGGCATTGGTTTAGCATCAGTGCTGCTGGCCATTGGTATCTCTGTCGGTCAGAAGATTGTATCCGCATTAGCAAGTCTACTATTCGTCGCTAGCTTCGCAGTCGGGCTAGGTCCTGTACCCTTCATCCTTGCTTCAGAACTTGTGGGGTCTGAGGCTGTTGGCGCCATTCAGAGCTGGGCGTTGTCTGCCAACTGGATTGCAACGTTCATTGTCGCCCAGTTCTTCCCCATCCTCAACGGAGCTCTTGGCGGAAAGGGCCAGATATATTGGATCTTCGCCGCCCTGGCCGGTCTGTTCGGCCTACTCATCTATCTCCGCGTTCCAGAGACGAAAGGCAAGTCCTCACCCGATGAGGTCTGGGGGCGGGTTGACGAACGCCGAATTGATTAGTGATAGTACATTGAATGTGAACTGTTGAGTTGATATCATTTCCTGTCAAGTCGACCCACCTAGTCGTGCATATTTTTAGCATCAATGCAAAACGTCTGGCTGATGTGACGTAGTTCTACATAGCCTGTAGGTACTTGGTACTGGTACACGCTGCGGATGTCTTAGCATCCGATGCTTCCGGATAGCAAATCTATCGATCTGCTTGTAAACATTCGTAAATAGTGGTCCTTGGTTGGGGCGATCTGGCTGGTAAATACGTCTTACGTATTGTAACAAACCATCGAACATTGCCGCACAGCCCGAGTAGTATTACCAGAAGCAGAATGACTTGGGATTGTTGCAATATAAGAGCTGATAATAGTAATAGATGCTCTGTAGATGAGTAAATACAGTGAGTTACCTAAGTGAGCAAGAAACTCTGAGTAAGAAAAGGTGGTCGTTCCTGTTCCCCACCCGCCTGCCTTCTCCGCCAACCTGAACCTCTTCAATCATTCACCCCCCTCATTATTCTTCAGCCAGTCAGTCTCTACATCATCGACTTCAATTGACACCAGCAAGTACAAAACAGCATGCTTATTCTCTTTCCCCTATCATTTGCGAATTGAGCGAGTCCGTCAACTATCGACAACGTCAATAGCTTGTGTTTGCATTCCCCATGCCAATTGTCACGTCAACTACAGGCCAGTCAATCAGTCATCATCGCTATTAGAGTCTCAGATTGTCACACAAAACTACACGGCACAGACAGCACAGTATTCGGCCATCAGTGATTTTCACTTGCTAATTTAGTCCCTGCAACGTCGTCATCTCTGTTATGACCTGCTCTTATACCGCCTATATAATAAGGTATACCCCACATTCACTCGGTGACCATGGTCCGCCTACCACTTCAGCGCTTTATCAGCTCCAAGAGCACCACTCCAATTCAGCAGAGTCGGAATCCAAGTCCGTTGAGATCGCCAATGGAATCCACGTTAATACTCAGGGTCAATGTGGTCAAGGTAGGCTGATCTCCAGTGTTGTTACCTCCTCCCGCTCGATCTCCATCGGGATCTACCTGATGCCAAGCTAGCCTGCTAAAACAATCATTAGGGAAGGAACCTCGCAGCAAAGGATAGAGGAGGCACAAGTGATCCCGTAAGTCTTTGATTTACTTCCTTGCCCTATACACTTTGTCTTTGGCTGACGTCGGCGCAAGTACCTCGTCGTCTCCCTCGGAAGCGCTCGAGACTCGACTCCAACTATCAGCAAGACTCTAAACCCCGATTGGAATGTAACGTTTGAACTACCCATCAGCGGGGTGCCTCTCTTGGAGTGTGTCTGCTGGGACCGTGATCGCTTTGGAAGAGACTATATGGGAGAATTCGACATCCCCTTGGAGGAGATCTTTGCAGAAGGCGAAACTCAACATCAGGTATATTTCAATCGTCACTTGTGGAGTGAGACAGGAACTGAAGCTAATCACGGTCTCAGCCTACATGGTATACGCTAGAATCCAAACGGAGACGAGGGAAGAAGAAGGAGCACATAGTTTCTGGAGAGATTCTCATCCAGTTTTCCCTCCTTGACACTGCTAATCCCAATGCAAGTCCCGCAGATACCTATCGAAAATTCAAATCCATCGTGTGCGCTGCGGAAGAAGACGATGATGATACAACGCTAGCCGCACCTGATCAGGATGATAACGACAAAGACGAAGAGACATCGGATGAAACCGATGACCCTACCAAACCCGAGATTGTGGAAAAGCGAAGGCGCCGGCTGCGCATCGCACGATTGAAACGCAAATCTCTCGCGGCCCGAGCATATCAGTTTTCCGGTGCTTCGAATGGAGTACAAGGGGTGATCTTCCTCGAAATCAATAAGATCACTAACCTTCCACCAGAAAAAAACGGTAAGCAATGCTATTCATCGTGTGGGCCATTGGAACGATATTTTGGAGCTGACCTTAAATATAGTCACTCGGACCTCCTTTGATATGGATCCTTTCGTGGTAACCTCTCTGGGACGAAAGACACTCCGTACGAGAGTCGTTCGTCATAATTTGAACCCCGTTTATGACGAAAAGATGGTCTTTCAAGTCATGAAACACGAACAGTCATATACTATGAGATTCACAGTTGTTGATCGCGATAAATTGTCTGGGAACGATCTTGTCGCGACCGCCGAGCTTCCACTTCAGACCTTGATTGCAGCTGCCCCAGAGGCCGATCCGGAGACTGGCCTTTACAAGTTACAGGAGCCTTCCAGGCCGCCGTTGCAGTCTCAGAAGTCACGTTTTCGCCTGCCCATGTCACGCTCCAACTCTGCAACTAGCTTGAGCAAATCGTCGAAACCAACTTTAGTATCTCAATCCTCCAACCCTTCGCTGATTACCACGCAATCTAGCTCTGATAAATCCCCACCTACACCTCCCACCTCCGTCCCTTCTGAAACGACAAACAGTTCACTCCTCGACGTCCCCAGTGTTATTCCACCAAAGGTGGAGGAGACAACTCCGCCACCCCAGAGCTCTGCCGATGGCGAGGATCTCAAGACATACACGATCCCACTTTTGTTGAAGAACAAGGAAAGATGGGAAGACAAGTATTCTCCAGAGCTCTATATAAAAGCGAAATACATGCCGTATAAAGCACTTCGCCAACAGTTTTGGAGGGTTATGCTCAAGCAGTACGACGCTGATGACAGTGGTCGCCTTAGTAAGATAGAGCTCACTACCATGCTCGATACACTTGGGTCAACTCTGAAAGAATCCACGATCGATGGTTTCTTCAGCAGGTTCTCTGCTGAGAATGAATCTAGTGAAGTTAACGATTTAACCTACGACCAAGCTGTGATCTGTTTGGAAGATGCTCTTCAGAAGGTACAGAAAAACAATTTTGGTGGAATCGACTCCAAGCTTCGCAATCTGGTACCAAGCTCTTTATCTTCAACAGATGACCGTAGCCCAGACAATTCTTCTGGCGCGGACGAAACGATTGATGCAGAGGGTACAAACGATCAGCCACAGCAGCTGGATTTGTCCGAATTTCCGGAGGGGGAGCAGCCCTCCCCAGGATATGGTGAACTCGCACCTGATGACCTTGCCGATGACCAGGGTGAAGAGCATGTCATTGAAATTGGAGAATGTCCACTATGCCACCAGCCACGTCTGAGCAAGCGATCTGACGCAGACATTATCACCCATCTTGCAACATGCGTTAGTCAGGACTGGAGACAGGTTGATAACCTTGTGATGGGCGGCTTCGTTACGTCTAGCCAAGCACAACGCAAATGGTACAGCAAAGTTGTTACTAAGATTGGATATGGAGGATACCGACTAGGTGCCAATTCGGCGAATATTCTGGTACAAGACCGCATCACCGGTCAAATAAACGAGGAGAAAATGAGTGTCTACGTCCGGCTCGGTATTCGCTTGTTGTACAAGGGCATCAAAAGCCGTGACATGGAGAAGAAAAGAAGTAAGCCGAACCAAACCACAAATTCCAGGCTGTCACTAAATAGACGAAAACAGTTCGGAAAATGCTTAAGTCGCTTAGCATAAAACAAGGGAAGAAATATGACGATCCAGCTTCTGCTAGCCAGATTGAAAGCTTCATCAACTTCCATCGACTCGATATGTCAGAGGTCCTGGAACCCGTGGAAAACTTCAAGACATTTAATGAGTTTTTCTATCGTAAATTGAAGCCGGGTGCAAGACCTTGTTCTGCTCCCGACGAGCCGAAAATCGTTGTCTCTCCTGCTGATTGTCGCAGCGTGGTCTTTGACCGCATTGAAGATGCTACCAAAATTTGGATCAAAGGTCGGGAGTTCTCTATCGAGCGTTTGCTGGGCAAGGCTTATCCAGAGGATGTCGCACGGTATAAGAACGGTGCTCTGGGCATATTCCGGCTTGCACCCCAGGACTATCATCGCTTCCATATACCTGTGGACGGAGTGCTGGGCACTCCTAAGACTATCGAAGGTGAATACTACACAGTAAACCCTATGGCTATCCGCTCGGCTCTCGACGTTTATGGTGAGAACGTCCGAGTACTAGTCCCCATAGACTCTGTCTGTCATGGTCGGGTGATGGCCGTATGTGTTGGTGCCATGATGGTTGGAAGCACCGTGATTACTCGCAAGACTGGTGAGAAGGTGACTCGTGCCGAGGAACTAGGATATTTCGCATTTGGTGGTAGTACCGTTGTGCTGCTCTTCGAACCGGGAAAAATCCTTTTTGATAGTGACCTAGTTGATAATTCCAAAGGGGCACTGGAAACACTGGTAAGTGCGATCAAGACGAAAATGCATAACACATGGAAGTCGTTACTAACAACATCCTCCGTTGACAGATTCGTGTGGGCATGTCCATAGGTCACAGCCCAGACGTTCCTCAATTCGAGCCTGACGTACGGCAAAAGGAGCACGAGATCTCTCAGGAAGAGAAAGAGGAAGCCGATCGCAGGATCATGGGTTGATTGTCGTGCGCTGGGAATAGTAGATAGGTATATATTTGTAATAATCGATGATTATACGACATTGTGGCATGAACGAGTGCAACACAATGTGATCTTGCCTGTAGAAAGAAAAGTTACTCCCCCTCGTCACCTCGTGTCAATGTCACAGTATGCGCACTAGGCCAGGAAAGGCTTAGCTTGCCCCCACACAGCGTTGTTTTGGTCAACGGCGCGTGTTGGGCAGGACAAGAGGAGACATAGTCACTCGTCTAAAATCGATAGGATTCAGTTTGCAACTTTGTTTCATTTCGACGGCCGCCGGATTTTTCGCCAGTTGTGTGAGTTTGGTCAATCAATCGTCCAATTGTGGTGGTGGGGTCGGCCACCGAATCAAAAGGCTTTTTGGTCGGGGCGCGTCTATCATCGGAAGCGCGAACCAGTCCAAGTTCTTCATCTCCATCGAACTGCAAAATACAACTGCGCGCAGAACGGCTTTGCGAAAACAGAGGCATACGCAGGTGAAATAGATCATCATACAAAGCATCGAGACAAGATACAATTGGCATCGAGACAAGGAGGGACATAGGGATCAGAGATCCGCTGAAATTCAGGAAGTACCCCGATCGCGAAAACACGGTAGCAACGACAACACCAACGGCTTGACGACGTTCACGAGAATTTGCGAAATTTCGCGCATGCTGTTCCGAAATAGCTTACGCAGGGGATTTCATCGTTTCAGAACGGGTTCATTCAATCAAGTTTGGCCGGCTGCACTTTGAAACATCTGATATGACCACCACGGTCGTGACAGCAACATTGACAAGGACAGTGCGCCGTGAACCTCTGAAAGTAATTGATATGGCGGCGTCGCAGGGGCGACCTGCGTCGTCGTCGTCAGCACGTGTAAATGGCGAGAAGGGAAGAGGGACACGAGCCAGCTCGCGCTTGAATGCAAAGGATGATGGCCATGATGAAAGTGCTGCTGCTCAGAAATCAGCACAGGGGAGACCCACACGGAATGCATCAAAACGAAATGCCGGTAAGTTTTGCGACTGAACTGTACTCGGATGGATTGTTGCGAGAGTGATCACTAATTTTAGGAATTTTCGGCTCATGTAGCTGAGTACGATGAAGACATTGGTGGATTTCAATTTTCTCGAGCGACGATCAAAAAATTGAAATCAGCACCGGCTGTGAATGAAGATACAATAGATAAGCCAGTCATACACTCACCACGAAGAGGACGTCCGCCGAAATCACAGACGTTCCAATCGGTCGAAGATGCGACATTAGAGGTTGCTAGAGCCAGCACAAGGACTACCAAAGCCACAAGAGGCCGGCAGAAAAGAGTTTCTTTAGAATCGGAAGTCGAAATCCCGAAGCAGCAAACTCGAAAACGCGACGATGAACCCCCATTTCCGATAGAAAAACCAGCAAAAACAGGCAGACCCCCCAAAAGAAAATCCGTTGATATCAGTTTGCAGTCGCCTGAGCTTTCTCAAGGTGCTACCTCGACAATCGCTTTACCTGTAGCAGATACACCTGTCATACGAAGGAATAAAGAAATGAGAGAAGGACGTGGCGGAAAGGGGCAAAGAAGAAACAGTTTGGGAATGAGAGGGCGAAGAGCAAGTTCTCTGATAGACTCAGGGGCATCAAACGGTGCGAAATCCTTCCACAAGATGCGAAGAAATTTTATGTTGCAAATGGATAATTTGGCTGACACTCTTCGCGCAGCACTACCTCACAAGGAGGTTCCAACCTCGGAATTTTATAAACACATCGCAAGCGATGGACTGCCGGAACCACGCCGGATGAGACAGTTGATGACGTGGTGTGCTACTCGTGCATTGGACGATAAACCCTCAGGTTCGCGGTCTGACGACGACAGCGCCAGACTAGCAGGTATGTCTTTTGTACATATATTGAAAATGGCAACAAGGAAACTCTAACTTCTTCTAGCCCGGGTCATACAAGAAGAGTTACTGCAGGATTTTTCGAACAAATCCGAATTGACCAATTGGTTTGCCCGAGAAGATGCACCAGCTCCTGCAGTCATTGTCAAGAAACCGAATCCGAAGAACGTACAGAATGCAGAGAAGATAAAAGAGTTAGAGGAGCAAATACGAAAGTAAGTATTTTTCAATTGTGTTTACATATTTCTTCTTCCAGTACTAATTACGCACAGATTACAAAATGAGAGGCACGCGCTCAATGCGCTGCTACGACCACCTCCAATACCAGCACTTGATTCACCTCCTAGGGAGCAGACAACGAAAGACAATGCTGCTTCAAAAAACATTTCAGTCATAGATGAATCGATACTAGATCCTTCTCAACGATCAATAATGACTGCTCTTGCACCCGAAGGTCTTCGAATACACCGTGAAGGAGGATCAAGTGAGGAGAAATTACTTCCTACATCAACGACCACTCCACCTTTACCACCTGCCGCTGTTTCTCGCCGACTATCACGTATCACTTCATCTCTGGCTCCGACATTAGATGCCTTCGCTTCAGGGTTGCATGACATCGACATTTACCGCTCCACAGCTGATCGTCTTTCCCATCAGGTGCTGAAATTCTGCTCCGAACGCCTCGAAGAGCGTGATAATCAAATTGCAAGTAGGAATGGAATACTCGAGAGCGATACTCAGGGCAAGGAGAACGCATATAAGGATGATGATAGCAAAGGTAGTCGGAAAATGGCGCTGCGGACACGTCAAGCTAGACAGCAAAAGGAGGATATCAGTTTAATACTAGGGGCTCTAAGTCGTGTGGAAAGGAGATGAGAATGGGACCTAAGTTGAATATAAGTCGGGAGTTATTGTCGGACCATTTATTTCTCTTTTTCATCAGGTCAATATGATACCAGGTTACCAGGCGCATTACGTTGCACGTCCTTGTCTCATTGCAAAGGCCTTTTTCATTCTTATATTGTCTATCATTATCCTTCTATCGGTTCTAGGGTTGGGCGTGCGGTATTTGTTCTTCCATTGTTGGGATCGGAGTCGGTGATATTGCAACGGTTATGTGGAATGTAGTAAAGCGATGATGATGTCTTTTCGAACTCTTTTGTTTTCTATCGCAGTATTAGCATATCAGCATTTTTGGATATTGAATCTGAGTGCAGGCGATACTCTGCGCCTAGCGGGCCGCGAGTCACTTTCCACCACCCCCTTCTAAGGTTACCTGTCTGGCTATAGGCAATATCGATTCCTCCGTATTCAAGGAATAAACACATGGGGGTAATTAGTTCAATGGTCTAGGCGTAGATGATGAATCGTTCCACAACCTTGGTAAATAGCTCGTGAGTTTAATCAACTGTTGGCCACCATTCGATAGGTTGCTTCAATAATTGATACTGATACAACATGAGTACGACATTACAGGGATATCTGGCCTCCAACCCATATGAGCCCGATGTCTGTCATGTCGCCAGCTTTGTACTAAGCAGCATAACTCAGTTCGAATCATGTGAAATAGAGTCGTCCAATTCACTTACGGCGGTTCTCTCGGAGGTATGAAGAAATGTATCAAGACCATGCGTTTAGGCCAAGAATTACAGTGGCTTCTCTTGTGTCCCATTATCAAGGCCTATCATGATGGCCAGTGCCGTTCCAAAAGAAAGAAGTTTTGTCCTCTTACTTGTTGTAAGTATGTCCATATTCGAGTGACGTTGGGCACCCAGTAAAGTGAGTTTATGCACCTATCAGGGGGATAAGTCCACGAACACACATCTTTCCGGCTAGAGCTAGACACCTAATTTTTGTTTCAAGCTTCTCAAAATGCTCAGACGCTATTGGCGTTATTCTATGGTCAACAATTTCCGCGGGTTTCCCAGCCCAAAGTGACGATAGCGAAAAAAAAATATGAAGGGCTCGTGCAACATTAATGGCAGTCAAAAAATCGTCAGTTGTCGAATCTATGTCCTTCATGCTGCGCTGCGATGCATGCATTCAGTTAAACGCTGCTGCAGGAGATGTAGTACCTGCTTATTCTATTCGTAGAGTTATGGGGCTTGCGAATCGGAATGCAAGCCTGCCTAGCTCCCCCTAACACCTTGCATAACGCCTACGCACCCCAGAGTTTGCTGTAAGGCAACCACAATTGGGAGGCTTCCAAGGCTAATTGATGCCTGCGGTGGCCCACCAGTAAGCATATGCTGTAGCTCCTTTCCAATCGAATGCTTGTACAAGTGCTATGGATTGAGCTATCAGTATCAACTTTTCGATACAAGGAATGTATACTTTACGGTTACTCTCTTCAGATCCTCTCTCTCGCTGTAATGGTTTTTCTGTTTTACGTCTATGTATTTAGTCAAGAACAATTCTCTTCTTTTCTAACGCACTTGTGAGACATCCAAGGACATTCTCATTTCACACATCCTACGGCTGGACACAACACCCAAGTTCGCCATCAACAAACAAGATATGGAGCTTTCTGCAAACCGAGATGTGTATAATCCGGGAAAAAGCCCCTTAATTACCGAAGTCAAACGCTTATTCACATTTTTTTGCAGATACATGGAGGTAGGTAGTACAATGGTATGTAAATCTGCAGAGGATTAACTACTGCCAGCAACCGCGGATAGCGCACCCGTCGGCTTTTAGCATGAAGCTAAGCAAGAAATTGTACATCCGGGGAAGCGAAACGCCTGCTGGTCGTACACTGTGGCTCCCATGCATGTATACACTAATCAGCTATATGAATCACGAAGTACGTTGAAATGTTCCACGTTTATGCTATACCTCATCTTGTTGGTTTCCGCTTGCCGGCTAGCGTTCACTCTAAAACTACTTACTGCTTTCAACTTGCATTCTCCCAAACGTACGTCTGTATTCTTCCCTTGTCAGCCTTGACTTGCCGTCCCCAGCTAGAGAATACTGAAGCACGGGATTATACATGAAAGAAGTCGGCACGGTTTGTCGATACTCATAGTCGCACGTACCAACACAGCGGATCAGTCTAGTTAATACCAAAATATTTGTTTCATCCCAGCCGTGGAAAACCTGGAGACCTTCCCTACCCGGTCCATAGCATCGGAAGTTCGGAACTGATACCAAAGAAAAGTGGTTTGATTTCGCGCGGGCCCCCTTCTACTTCTGGTCGGAGTTATATTGATCATGCTCTGGCAGGGCCTCGTGGGATGAGATCCGTTTGAACCCTGATGTTGATTTGGAATTGATTTCAGGACCCTATATCGAATTAGGGCTGTTAAGGCTATGCAATATAAAACTTCTGGGCCAGACCGTGCCACCCAATCCAACGAATCATAATTTAACATTCCACTTGCATAATCTTTTTTGATTCTTTGTTCCTCGTTCATTAGCCTATAATGACAACTTTATGTTAACTTGTTGTCAAAATGAAAAATAAAACTCAGTCCGGAGTATAGGGCAAACTGCCGATTTTCATCATGGAGGCCCTCATTACTCTCCGTTTCTCTCTCTTGAGGGTAGGTCTTCCATTATCTTTCTCGATGCAGCCAGCATTCAATACCCTGCACGTCTGATTAGGCTTGGGAGGGAAGGTCAGAAATTTTTGCCTAAATTCGCCCGGAGCCTAGGTTGGACGAATACACTGACACCCCTCTCGAGTTCATAAATGACAAGCATTACTCTAAGTATTCCAATCCCTCAGGTGAGTCTCTGGCTCTCAATGTACCTCAAGGTCTAGACCACTACTCGGCATTTTGAAGTGATATGGCTTTTGCCCTCACACACGCAATCTGCAGGTGTTTTATCTCGTATCTGGGACGAAAATGACTACATAGCTAGTTATATGATGTTTGCGCGAAAACCCCACAATGTGACACATCCGAGCAACGATGCCCAGTATTGCACAGCCGGTTATTAGCATGATCTTGGCCTTTGAAGGAACATATACCTTAGTATCTGACGCGGGACGAGCAATAACTTAACTTCCTTAGCTTCTGATGCAGATCCAGGTTCAAGAGTAGCGTACTACTACCGGCTGCACCTTAAAAGGCTTCCGGTGGTACGAAACCACGCTCAGGCACAGCTCTGATCATTGATAGGGGTTCTAGAGCCGTAGAATTGTCGTTTCCCAATTAAGCCACTTCCGGTCTCAACAATACGAGCACGGTAGAAAGAAGTGCGAAAAATCCACGGGAGTTCCGACCCTGACTTACTCAGCCTCAACCGCAACCATGCAGTCATGAGGTGTGTAAAAACAAGAAGACAGGAAAAGAATACGTACTTAATAGCGAGTACAAAATGTTTTATACAGGACAAGTTATGAGTATCATGCATCATCTTGACGGTTAAACATATCAAGTCACTGATGTGAGGAGTCCGCTTGCTTCGATAGATCTGTCACATGCAATTAGCCTACTAGCCGTACAAGAAGACAGATTAATGGCTTCTATATACGTATGTCTGCTGTATTTGTTATGACTCAGCTACGTCTAGACTCTCTTGAAATATCCTGATGTACGTCATGACCCTTCATTCTATGGATAGAAGCCTAGACCTATGTATAAACATCATCCCAGTTCACTAATGCGGTAATAAAACAGATCTGTCATCTTGCCTCGTAGCCTTGTAGTCTCAAATTGTTAGCAGTGTCTTCAGATCAGTCTTCCATGCCATATTGATTTATTGAGCCAAGTCAACATGACTCAACATCGGTAAAAGCCGCACAGGCCAGAGTATTTTGCACGAAAATCAAGGTAGTATGATGAATAGAGCAACAGTTATCAGTCACCTATTGGATGAAATCTATATATTTCATACCCCCACTACGTACGACATCGTCGAGGATGTATGGTGACACCAGGACCGGGAGAGTAGCCCTTTGCAATATTGTATGTAACGCTGGTGGCCGATAGGGCCAAATGCTAAGGATTCTCATATACATGGAAAACTGAGTTCCGTATTATTTCGATGCTTACTGTCGGAGTGGTCTAGATGGCCCATGAGAATGATGAAAAAAATGAAAATCTACAAATGTTTCCATGTATGACCCTATCGGCCGACTAGATTCCGTTTGAGTGAAAGAGGGGAAAAGACATATCGGTGAGTAACTGTAGTGGGAATCTGAGCAGACTTTAGTGTACCTACGCTCCTCTGAATACAGGGAACATCATGTTAAACGGACAAGTGACTATCTGATCCATGGTCAGCCCATCAGACACGGAACGTTGCCTTGAGAGGGGTTACTAATGACTGGTTGTAACTGATTCCAGATTACGAATAATTATCTCATCCTCATTTCACATGCTAGTTACTGTGTTTACATTGCTAGGTCTGTTTCTCCTGTTCGGATCCTTTTTTTTGCAACCAAAGTTGCCACTGGAGTATGATGCTGGTAATAAACTCTCGGTGACCCGTCTTTGAGCGTCGTGAATAAGAATCTCATAATTGGTGAGTCATGATGCACGCTTCCTTGCCAGCAATAAGTATCCCTTACAATCACTTACCTCGGAGTAGGCCAAATGAAGGTGAGTAGAGTGACACGCAACATCATGTAAATCGGTCAGCATTCTTGGGACTGATAGTAGGATATCCACATCAAGGAAAACAAAACCTGATCTGATTTATGATAAGCACTGCGATGCTGTGTACATCAGAAGTCATGATAGAAAGTGTAAGAAAGGCAAAGAAGGAGATCGTGGATACCAGTTGACCGATCACTAGATGGCTCTTCTCGTGATAGCCTGATAGTGTCGGTACTTAAACAGGAATCCGACAAGCAGAAGTAAAACAGGTCAACGACATAATTCATTCATTGATCCCATTGGTTGACAAGCTTGACCAATTATATATATATATATAATGCTTTTAGAAGTAGGGCTAATGCAGGCACGTGTTTTGAGTTCTGAAATCTGGATCCCGGCTAATGATATCGTCCAGGATGGCTATGACTGTCCGATCATTCCTCATAGGATCTGATGTCAACGGCCGCGTAATGAATCATGTACTCCCATTCCAATTTCTAGTGCTCCGTACCTTGTCCACATTATTTGTGCTCGCTACACAGGGCCCGATAGTAGACTCCTTAAAAAAGGAATATCATAGTAAGGACCCAGCTACTGATAAGAAATAGCAGTAAGAATGAAAACATTGTCCCCAGCCACTCCTTACAGACGTATTCATGCTTTACGGGTCAAGGTGTGGTCTATCACTTTTCTGTTTTTGAAGCGAAGACATGTGTATTTAGACGTGCCGCCTAAGGTCTTTCAGCCCACCAAGCTATGTATATCCGGTAACTAGATGGGCCAAAGTCAAAACACTCAAACTTATGTCTCACTTTATCCTCCGTCCATTGACATAGTGGGTATGATCTCCGCTGAAGAAGACGTTTGTTTTGCCATTTAGCACCGTGCACTCTCCACTAGGGAGATCCGAGCCGACGCTCCACTTAGTTAACCCTAGAACCCACATTTGGTCGTCAAACCTATCTCAACGTTCCCGGTGCGTCAGCAGTGGTATGTTCATCCATATCCTTAAGATGGGAAGGCAATCTGTCCTATTGAAGATTTGCATCGAGTTCGATTCTAGAATTGCCCTGAGCAATCGGAACGGCTACCCGAAGCCAGCGACTTCTTTTGCCCCTATTTTCAGGTCATTTGCAAGACTCGACAGATCAGTCCAATCAGCTCTGCTATAGACCATGACAAGGGAGAGAGTGTGTGTCACACATTTTCTCAAAGAGGTCGATATCTCCGTCTTGATGCTACCCTCACTGCTGCATGTCAACCAAATCACTTACTACCACAATCCCCGGCCGTATGAAAGTACGTCGTAGGGCCTCTTGATAGGCCTGAAATCCATGCTCAGCAATCCGCTTGTCCTTGCTATAGCATATGATTGAATAAATTCCAGCCAAAGCTGTTTTCGAGAGGTCGAAGCCCCGGTGGTGTACTCGAATCACAGCCGTGCTGAGAGGGCATGACGGATGCTCGAGCAGCCGATAGTGGACCTGATTGAAGGCACAGCGCCGTTACGGCTGTGGATGTAGGTTACCTTCTTGGGTAAGGTGGCAATCAAGGAGTCCCATTAGTGCTTCCTATGTCTCGCTGGGTCTAGAGGCAACACGAATGGTTTAAGCAATCATTTACTTCTGGCGTGAAAGGACAAGACTGACAGAACCCGATAATGGGTCTTCATGAGGAAATGTGACTATATGCTAGACATGGGTACAGTTGTGCATGACATCCATCCCAGCACTCATCCTTTTTCTTTGGCTCTATGGCGTTTTGGGAGTCCACCTGGACAGACTTGTGGCCATCGGATTGTACCGTCACAGCTCAAGTACGCCATGCCTTAAGGGCCGAACTTGATATATAAGCAGATAGATATCCTTTGAATCTGTTTCATCTATTGGGCTTGAAAATAAACGGCTGTTATCCACTACTAAAGATTATATGCCATCGACAGATGCACGTCCTCCATGTGTCACGATCGATGATTTCCCCTTCACACTTACTATAACCTTACAGGATCTACACTTGCACAAATCTCCACCTTTCTAATTCATAATCGGCCTACCGGGTTCTTGCTTCTATCCTTAAGTTACCCAAGCACGTCAAATCGAACCCCGGACTTTCAGTCAAGATTGTCTTGCCGGCTCCAGGCTAGCCTCCACGGACAAAGCACAAAAGTAAACGAACAAGAGACTGTGGTTACATAACTAGAGTTATGCTGTGTTTCTTTCTGGACTGAGTGTTCGTCTTCTGACGTGCTATTGCGGATGGTAACGCCAACCAAACGCTTATTATACAAATGCGACAGTCCTTGTACCGGACCTCAACGTTTAAAGTACATCATGGTAAGTCCCATCTCCCGTAAGTCCACTCAAAATCTTAAAGAGCATTTTGTATCTTTTTATCCGAGACTTTATTCTGTGGCCAGGCCGGTATTTGGCAGCAATGATGTACAAATATGCTGACCGTTGCCGTAGATACAATCCAGTGAAACTTTCTCGCCTTCGCACGCAACCCACCTCTTGGTGTAGTCGTCCAACCAAATTTTGGGAGAGCTCTAGCTTGGAATTCTTCCTGAGATCCGCAACTTGTTTTCTGCCACAATGGCCGGCGGTTTTCCCGCGGTTTCCTTTCTTAGTTCTGATTATGTCGACGATGCAGGCAAGAATTCTCTAAAACGCGCCCCTAGAGAACTCTTCAGTACGACTTCTATTTCTTCGCAGTCTTTCTCACATACATCAGCATTGAATTCACCCAATGGCGTCACTTCTACCAAGGAGACGCCCGGACCAGGGGGTGCGCAAAGCAAGCCAAAGAATGTGGGAATTCTACAGGTCACCAATAGCGTCAAGTATACTATCAATCAGCGTAGCTTACAGATTGAGAAAAAGCAACAGCCTATGTCGACATCAGTTTCCCACATCCAGGAAGGGGTTTCGCATCTCCAAGGGCCCACACTCGCCGCCAGCATTCCTTATGCTGATAGCTTGAGAAGTGACTCTTCCCATCGGCTCTCCTCAGATGACAGTACACTTAGTGGATCCACTTCAAGCTCCAACGGGTGCTCGACTGAAATCACTGACGATGATTATGATGATGGGATCGGCGCCGAAGACAAACTCAAAAGTGCAAACCATGCAGCTCAAGAGCAAGCTCGCTGGCCTCATTGCCTTTGTTTCACAAAATCTAAGTTTCTTGATGTTCATGGCCTTAGCGTGATTATACCTGCAGGTACTCCTATTGTCTCCAAAGTTCGTGAAGATCTGCCTCTGGTCGTCATATCTGAGAAGCTCTACGACTTGCTCAACGGGGATGAGGAAGGGTCGGCTGCTGAGGAACGAGGAAAAGAACGTTCTATAAAGCTCCCCCAAGCTTTCTTACGTGTTCAACAAATGGCTCGACGGGGTTTCAATGCTCTTTCTCGGGTCCGGGCCTCCTCTCCTGGCTTGCACTCAGGGCGAATTACACCCACTGAAGATCACAATCCTAATGACTGCCTGGATTCACGATCTCACAACAACTTCGGTGTGCTGGCCAACTTACTAAGGCTTCACGACAGTCGAAATGCGGCAAGTAATTATGGCCCAAGTCCAGAGTATATCAGTTATCCAGACACCTTACATCTATGTAACGGCACTTTTGATAACCCTACCAGCTCCGAACGATCGCTTAGCCAAGACTCTGGAATTGTTAAACCCACAAAGAGAAAATGGTGGGAGAAGAATTCCAGCCAGTCATCTCCACCGCTTTCCTGGACAGATTCGAGCACTAAGAGCTCTTTCTCAAACCCATCCGCACAACGTCCACCTCTAAGACGCTCCCGGAGCAGTGGTGGCCTTACACCGGCTATACAAAGACTAGTGAAGCTACGTGCTCAAGAAAATGCTCGTGACGAGATGTGTATAACTGTGCAGCTTGCCGAGACTCTATCACGTCAACGATATTTGCTTCGTCTCTGTAAGGCACTGATGAAGTATGGAGCACCTACTCATCGATTGGAAGAATATATGCGCATGACCGCGAAGGTGCTGGAGATTGATGGGCAATTTCTTTACATCCCCGGCTGTATGGTGATATCATTTGATGATGCTGCTACCCATACTGCAGATGTCAAACTGGTCAAGGCTGCGCAAGGTGTGGACTTAGGCCGCTTATTGGAAGTGCATCAAATATATAAAGAAGTCATTCACGATGTCATTGAAGTTGCAGAGGGAACGCGCAAACTGGAGGAAATAATCAGACGACCACCCCGGTTTAACGTCTGGTTTCTCATCCTCATGCACGGTTGCGCCAGTGCCTCTGTTGGGCCTTTTGCATTTGGAGCTCGTCCTATCGACATTCCACCAGCGTTTCTTCTTGGCTGCTTACTTGGAACGCTGCAGTTAGTTCTGTCACCGCGCTCATACCTATACTCGAATGTATTCGAGATCTCTGCTGCGGTCCTTACCTCTTTTCTTGCAAGGGCTTTTGGCAGTATCACTTACCAAGGGGGTCGTCTTTTCTGTTTCTCCGCACTTGCGCAGTCATCTATCGCTCTCATTTTACCGGGATACATGGTGTTATGTGGAAGCTTGGAACTGCAGTCCCGTAGCATTGTTGCAGGCTCAGTTCGGATGGTTTATTCCATTATATATTCACTCTTTCTGGGATTTGGTATCACTATCGGCACCTCGGTATACGGTCTATTGGACCCCAATGCCACTTCGGAATATTATTGCCCCCCAAGTCCCATTCAAAACCCTTATTTACAACGTCTACCATTTGTTATCATGTTCACTTTCTGCTTGACAACAATAAATCAGGCGAAGTGGCGGCAGATACCAGTGATGCTTTTTATTTCCCTTTGCGGCTATTTGACCACTTATTGCTCAACGAAAAGATTCGGATCGAACACTCAGGTCGTCAATGCTATGGGTGCCTTTGTTATTGGCGTCATGGGGAATTTATACAGTCGACTTGGGCATGGCCTTGCAGCAGCAGCCATCCTTCCGGCAATATTCGTTCAAGTGCCATCTGGTTTAGCTGCAAGTGGTTCTCTGGTTTCCGGTATCACTTCGGCCGATGAAATCAACCACAATACCTCATTCTATTCAATCATTAATAACGGTACTCAAGGTTTTCTTGAGGCACAACAAAACATGACGCTCTACGGAAGCAGTAGGATGTACAGCGGAGTCGTCTTTGACATAGGATATGGAATGATCCAAGTTGCCATCGGTATCACTGTTGGTCTCTTTTTGGCCGCTTTAGTTGTCTATCCTCTGGGAAAGAAGCGAAGTGGTCTATTCAGCTTTTGAGCTTGGAACCGAATTGGGCCTTGGGAGCCAGTGCCTGGTGTCATTGACGATGCTTTTATATATTCATATCAGAATGTTTCCTGCGTTTAGACTTGCTAATATCGTTCTCATTCCTTGCTTCCAGTTATCCCTCTCTTTCGCAATTGAGATTTCTGTGCTTTTCTAATCTTCTTGTTCATTTTGCATTGTCGTGTGGGCCAGCGACCTTCCTACACCGGTGTTATCAGGGGTTTCACTTTTTATTCGGTTTTTGCACGCGCAGACCGTGTTTGTATCAATTACTATAGCGACATTCTGCTTTTCGCTTGCTCTTTAGGGATTTTGGCATTATCGCATCTCGGTTTTTATTTTACTTTATTCCATATCACTTCACGATCCTGAGTTTCCTTTTTGATTCTTTCAACTTGATATGCGTTGATAGATATCGCAACTTACGTGCTCATGACTATATACGGGCATTTGTATGTCGTGTTTGTTGCAAATGATTCTTCTGATGCATTAAAAGAGCGATTCCTCCGTCTGATAAACGATTTTCTTTTTAATTACCACTGTATTATGCATACTTAATATCAAACTTTTTCTTTGTTTTCTTTGAAAAATGAAAAGTACTCTTTTTTCATCCGATACGCTAATGTCTCGATTTCGATCCTCTACACTCAAATCGAAGCCAAAAGTCTCTAGCTGTTCTTTCTTATCGTGATAGGCAAGATGCAGATACGTACTTGAGTACAAAATACAATTGAATTGCTGCAAGTTTGCTAATATGAGTTGATATTCGCACTACTATCTGACGTTTACTAAGGTAGGTCGATCTAGCCCGAGCCCTAACTACCCCGTTCATGCCAAAGTGGCATTTCTTTCTCCGGACTCTACTCGATCTGCTTATTTCGTGGAATTATAATTTGATAGTAGCATCTTTAAAGCTTCATGCACGTTAATTCAGGATTATACACATTGTAACAGTTAATATCACTAACTTAACAATACATGCTGGTATTTCAATTATCTCGTATCGCGAGTTTACACTGACATACCACAGAGCGGGTCTCCAAGTCTAAGCACAAGTCAAAAAGATAGTAACTTTTGACGATAAAGTTTGACTCTCAAGGGTTGGACTCTAGGAGACCCTTTGCAAATCTTAGGATTGACTTGCAGACATTGCTGATGAATGTCCGATTGGCTAACTTACGAATCCTATGATTTGCTCCACGATGGTGACCTTGAGCCGGATCAAAGATCCGGTATTCAGAAGTACTTGGCAAACCATAATTACGTATATACTACCACTTAAAAGAGTTTTTTGATGTCTAGAACATCAAGCAAATGGCAGGATCACAGGATGAGATCTCAGGGCTGTAGAATTCCACTCTGTGTGGAGACGGTGACTTGATGACTCATTTGAAAATTCCTAACTCAGCAACCGGCTATCGAGATAGAAAAGTGAAACAAAGATTCTCTTCCTCACTATTTACACCTTGTTGATTTCAATACACGTGTATTGCATGTTCAGCGCTTCGAAAGTTCCTATATACTCGTAATCAACTCAAAGTCCAATGGGAATAATGCCAATACCTCAGGACCATATTCTTAGATCTCGAACTTCTAAGCAGTACTAGTGCTACGCGCATATGCAAGAATAATGAACGGATAGTCATGAGAAGAACTAAGAGAAACTGAAGCTATTGAAGCAAATGCAAAGGTATGCTACAGGGTCGAGACCATGTTCATAATGTGTCGATCGATCTACTAACTGAACTAAACTCATGGAGCGTTAGCCGCATTTTAAAATACATGATCTGACATGGCAAATTGCTATGATAGGCTGATCTAGATCTAGAACTTGGAAACGGTCATCGGGTTTTCCTTGTAAGATTCGTCTCATACGGCCAAGGAGGTTCATGGGAAGATAACAGCGAATTTTTAACAGATACACTAGATGCATAAAGTACTTGAAGAACATCTTGGATGGCCCTAGGTGCTTTTTGTCCGAAAATACGTACGAAATAATTACGTACTGAAAAAGGGGGGGGGAATTGAAAATAAGACCTTTGAGCCTCAGCGCAAGAGTGGACCACATTCATCTCTTCAAGCCTTGAGGCTTTGTAGACGATCTTTGTAACTGATTTTGGGGCACATTCGCGAGACATCGTTTGTAGAATGGAATCCACAGTGCAGTCCACTCTGTGACCCTAATGTTGAACTAAGAAGGATAGAGTCAATAGTAGACCCATTGGACAAACTCTGCACAAAAAAAGACTTGTTGGAGCATCTCAAATTCCTGCATACGCGACATTTGGTAAGTTCTCCCGAGGTTAAATACAGTCAGTACCTGAGGCCCTCAGCGCTAGGAAGTATGTCGCTTGAGCAGTCGTGGTTCACGTGAACGTTCGGAAAGAATTTAGATTCCTAGAAAGTACGTATCTGCAGGGTACATAGACACGGAAAAACATTAACTAGACTATATTCACATTGTCGATGGCAGATTCCCGTGTCGTGGTTTGCTGATGTAGCCCTACGCAGCTCGGTACGCTTTGGTACGCTTTGGTACAGCAGATTCTGATAGAACAGTAGAAAGGGGTAACTTAGCTTGCTCGTATCTACTCTGGACTCCGGTACGAAGCATCTGACAGCATCCAACAAAGATCGACACTATGCAAGAAACATATGTACTTGTACGATTTTACAAGGACGGAGCGTGTATAGGTTAAATTACGGAAATACCTCGTATGCAAGACTTGTAATCATATATATAATACGCAAAACACCTTTACGCACGAGTTCTATCATACATGTTACGCTGCATGATTAGATACGCCCGTCTTGGCGTTTCATTTCCTTGTAACCTGCTCTTCGCGAATTGTTCGCCTGTTGTGATACCATGTTCCTGAGATTGGATTACATATCTGGACGGCGTCGGTTCCGATTGATTTTCTAAGTTCTTACTAGACACCAGGGCTATTTCTTGTGCTTGATAGGCGTCGCGTTCGGTGTTCACTAAGTATCCATCATTCCAACAATACATAAGTAGAAATTGTGTTACCTCTTCAATTACTAACAATACATATGAAATAACGTTAGACAGTCACTCGACGAATTACAAATTGTTGGCGACACTTCGTATATGTACAAGGAATCAAATATGACCTGTCTCTTTAACTTGCTAACTGACATCTGTCAAATTGTAAATTTTGCAGCAGATCAGCGATCGTATATGTCTGTACGGAGCATTGATAATGTGCGACATGATACATCAGAAGGATATCTGAGGGGCTTTTTAGTGGGGAATAACTGAGTTACACCGCGTTTTCGGTAACTGCCCTGAAACATCAATACCAAGATACTCAGATCGCAATACACAAACATCCGCTTAATCGATGGACTAGAAAAATTAACTCCAAAGTATAGACTTGCAGCTTTATCTTGTAGCTAAATTAGAAGAAAAAATACCTATAAATGAAGAAGTTATTGGAGTATGACAAGATGGTGGAGCCTCTTTCGGCTGTCAACCAACCAAGTCAAGAATGCTAGGTAAGGTATTGTTCAAATCTTAGGGTTAGGTATCTAGACTGAAAAAGAAAAGGGGGGAACAATTAGATAATAGCCTAATGAGTTGCTTTTTACTAGTTGGCTAACAAACACTATAACTTTTTTAAAGCATCTATTACCTTGCTCAGTGAAGCACCAGCCCGTATCCGCTCTTCCTCTAACTTTGCTACAACTGTTTGCGTAAGAGAGTGGGTAGAGAGCGTGATAATGAGATACGAATATAGCTTCGATTTCCAAGGTAGGGTACGACTCGTAAGGTAGCTATTTGCTGCCTTCTGAGTCCTATTCGAATCGTAGCTAAATACATAGCCGAACCGTAGTGCGGTTCGGGTAGTGACTAAGCAGTCGGAACGAACCACGTGATCCAGCTTCCGTGGTGAAGTTATCCTCGATTCTAAGTTCTCCGCCTTACAGTTTGATAGGGATCCCCTAAAGAGGGATCTTCAATAGCAGCCAGTCTTCTAATCTCATTGATGAGAGTCTTCCTTCAAGAATAGAACTGGCGTTTGGCAGAGCTTTTAGGCCCTGAGCGCCAGCCAGAGCCATAGAGCTTATTAAGCCTCTCAATTGAAGGCTGGCCATTGAGCCCGACAGTCCACTCTTGCCACAGTTCTGGGATTGTTGTAGTGTTCCTTGACATATGATATTACAGTGCCTGTGAAGCTTTCTCAAGTGCCGTCATAGGAAGTTGAATAGGCGCTATAGGGCCAAAGGCTGCTCCTGATATAGAGGGCGGAACGATCTGGCCTCTAGGCACGAATTGGCAGGTGAAGGTGCCACCAACAAAGTCGTTGAAACGGGTAACTGGGCGATAACTACACACAAAAATAATCCCTGCAACTGAGGGCTCTAGCGTAACTCGCGCCGTATTTTTGACTGGATTCGCGGGCAAATTTGAGTTACCCGAGGGGCCCGATTATCGGCTAGCGCGTCACGGACCTCATACACCATCATACACAAAGCCGAATCGTCGACGATACGGTAGATAAAATACCTACGCGTAATACGCGTCTTGCGTAACGTACCACCGGAGCAGGTAACCAGATCGGGATTTACTGTTCATCGGCGATGGAATCTCGTGTGCCACAATCGAGATCTCATCTCAATCTAAATTCGTGGCTCTTGGCAACAGGTACTCCGTAGTTTGATCGATCGACAGAAGTAGCTTATCGGCAGTTGGTCACACTTTTTCGCTCATTGTTACACCGCGGAAATGATATTTTACTTACGCAGTAGGCAGGTAGTACATTGACTCGTATGGAGGACAAGATAATGTGGACAAAGGAAATACAGCGGCTAGAGCTTCGGTAATCGCTAAATGAGTGGAATGAAATTAAACTCCTCCGTAGCGATCATTAGAGTTTGAAAGATGCATATGAGATGGTCGAAGCAGACTGTCAGTGTTGATCTTATACCCAGCGAGGAAGTTCTAATGCAAAGCCATAGCTAGCCACGAGATCGGAATTCATGTGATATTCGAGATTCAGACGCTTTCACAACAGTAACTATCTCTCTGAACCACCAGACGTACAGTTTTTGTGTACTACAATGTAGTACAACGTCTTTTACCGTTAAGTTCTAACCACAGTTCGTATAGAACGTAATACGAATACTACCAAAGTAGAAACGAGCAGGACTACGATCTCTCTCGGACGCGCAAGTGGTGTATTACGTACGAATTACGGCTGCGTATCTATGTGTCAAGAAAAGAAAGAGTAAGCGTCTAAGCGACATACCAAACAAGCTTTTTCATTATTCAGGCAGAGAATACAGGGGCTACAAGAAAATGCAGTGAGATCAAAGATCTACGTTGTAAGATGAAATTGCAAGAAGGAGCCGGTTCCACGGTCGAGACTGAGAACCGACGATTGCTTCCCGCTGTAGGTACCACGTAACTAGGCGGTAAATTGTTCTTATTTTTCACGGTATGGTACTGTATGAGATAAACGTAGTACACCAAGAAAAAGCAAAAACATGCTTAACGTACTAGTGTCTTGTTGCAGGAGCAGGAGTTTGCAGCTTTCCGTAGTTAATTGGTCCACAAGAGATACGTAAACATAGCGCGGTACGTACCGACTGCCGACGAACTGCCCGTTATTTCTTACGCCCTTACGACGTACCGTATTTAGTTCCACCCCTCGGAAATCAACATGAAGCATCAATAGTTGGAACAGCTGAGGATTTACTATTTTCCCAAGGATCTCATGATCTGAATTGCATTGCATAAAAAAGAACTTTAAAAAAAAAAAGTAAGCCACGGGTCATGTCGGAACGCGATAAATACATTCAATAATGGATGCATTGCATGTCTTGACCTCTTGACCGATGGTATCTTAAGGTTATTTGTGCGGTTAGTCAAACTGGGTCAAAGCCCCATTGTTGAGCTTTTACCATTTCGGGAGAAAGCATTGATCACTCCAGAGTAAATGCACTTGGGCGAATAGGGTGAATAATAGGCAAATTTCTGGGAACGTGGCGGGATATGTAATGCAAATATAGAGGAATATTAGGACAAGATCACCTGTGAGCTACAGGAAGCAAATAGTTCAATTGTGTGATACTATATTTCTTCTTCTGGATTTTTTCTTTCCAATGATAGAGTTGATTAGCGATAACTTACACAGAGGACGTCTCCACCGCTGCACTCTTTTACATGCCTTTTAGTGAAATTAGGCCGTGGTGGCTTCTTAAAAGTTTCTCCTAAAGGACCTAAACCGACTGCATTCGGTCCAATCATATCACAACTGTCTGGTTTTTAATTTGACAGAGTTTTCTCTAGTAAGGTCGAATGATCCGTAATTTATGCTAAATCTAAACTTTCTATTCGCTCCAGTGCCCTGGAGTCGGTTGGTTGGGTAGATCAGGATCTTGTATGCATGCAGGAAGAGATCTGATCTATAGATACACAAGCCCTAGAAGCGCCAGCATTGCGCCAAAATTTCAAGATGAACACGGTCTTGTACATTAGGACAAAAGTAAGATCTAAGAAGCGTAATATATCGGATCGCCTTGCATTCCCTCCGTTTTACATGGATATGCCAAGTCCTACACAGAGTTGCACGGCACAGACATGCAAGGTAAACCCATCTATCCACCTGTACGCCCATGGTATTCTCAACAGAGAGTCTCTCACATTTCTAGAGTACATGCATATACAAGGATCTGCATTTCGATCCAGCACCACGGGTCAGTTACCTAGGCACCTAAGTTTCAATAAGTCCTACGCCGCACTACGCCGCACTACGCCGCACCGGGCTACCAATATCGACCTTCTTGGTTCGATTGGGTACCAAATTGTTTGATGGGTATGGTCGACTGCAGCCAAATAGTTAGTCTCAAGTCAAGAGATGGGAATCATGGGATTAAGCTTTTGTGCATTGGGAGGTATGTCCTTCACATTTCAACCTTGACTTTGATATTATCATATCATGAACCACTCAATTTCGATCGGGGATGGATTAGATACGTAGATCTCGTCCTCATGTATTTGAATCCCTGAGAATGAGAAAAAGGAAATATTTTAATTTATGGAGAGTTTGAGTTTGTATTTCCGGATTAAAAGTACCCCGAGAAGTTCGACTGGTCGGTCAAATTAGAGTTTTGAGGGCGTACAGAAGAACAAGTTGCATATATTCATCGGAGAAGAATTCCGAAAACTGGCATTGTTTAGCAAGTGGTCTAATCCAAGCCTTGGAAAATGACACCTGTGGTATGCTCAAGGAACATTTCGAGGAATGTAGATCGGACAAAAGAACAATAAGCATAGAAACGTAGCATATTCAGTGACAGGACATGTTCAAATGAGATAATCAGTTAAGGCCCAGTCCATCCTTAGCTCGAAACAGATTCTTTTCATGAATGACGAGCCTATGAAAAACAACAGGAATATGTATGTATATGGCAGGGTAAATCAAACGTACCAATGAGAAACTTAACGCCCATTAACGTCAAGGGGAATACCAGCTTATCAAGTAATAGAAAATGGGTGAGAAGAAAACGAAGGAAGGTAAACAGGAAATGATACAAGCCCCGAATATGAGTTGTGACAAAAAGACAAAACGCCAGCTCTCTCCGGAACTTCTAAGTACAACCCATTCTCTTCAAACGCCGTTCGAAAGTAACACAAATCGGAAGTTATAAATAGACATTAGGAAAGATAGTGATGATTATAGTAAGCATCTAGCCAATATCATCGATGTACTGGTGATGATGGATCGAGACTTTTTGGTTTTAGGGTCGATGATAGGGCAGCGGCTTTGTTTTGACCCATTTTTCGAGTAAGCTTAGCATAATGGAGACCGCAAGCGTTGCACAAAGTACGAGCACCGTCTGGACCACGTCGCCATTCAGGAGTCTCGGCGCGGTTACAGCTGTGGCATCTTCCTGGAGGAGCTGCCTTCTATACAGAACATATACCCATCAGTAACCGAATTCAAGTGAAAACAAATATTCAGAATGATGACTTACGCCTCGCCTCTTCTTTGCATCGCCGCCATTGAATCCCCCAGGACTTTTGAAACCATCCGGATATAACCCTGAATGCTCGTCATCATATCCATTTTCGACCTTGCCATGCCGTTGCTGAATCCTTTGTTCGGCTAGTGCGTGTTCCTGGCTTACTACAGCATTACGGATTCGCAGAAGAGCCTCATGATTGCGCTGTTGCTGTTGTATTAAATCATCAAGTTCGTGTAAGGATGGCAACGTCCCCAGAATAGGACCTGAGCGTTGGTTTTGGTGAGCGATCGAAGCATAGTGGCGAGAGAAATCAAGAGTTTTAGTGGAGCCATCGATGATCTTAGGTTCAAAATTAGTCCCGAAAAGCTAGCATAATGAATGCGAACATATGTGCATGAAATCTTACCTCGGCCAGGGAAGACTCGACGTCATAAGAATCGAATTGGCGCTTCACTGAGTCGCCATGTGGTTGACTCAATGCCATGCCAGGACGACTCCCTAGAATCCCGGTCTTCTCGTCATTTCTCATCACCTCCAGATTTGGTTTCCAGGGACCTCCATTGTAAGCACGGCTGTCGTAAGGTGCCGGTGGCTGGGACGGCCAAGGATAAGGTTGTGACGGATAAGACCCATAACTATTTGGCGAAGATATCGAGGTCGGCGCAGTTTTCGAACTGCTAGTGGGAGACTTTCCGGAAAGGGACTGCAGAGACTGTTTTCGAGAATCCTGGGTGGACAGTGAAACCATACTGATTCTTTGCTGGTCCGCCGCGGCTGCTGAACCTTGTTGCGAGTTGTACTGTGGTTCGCGCAAATACGGCGCGGGATTAGAAGTACCGACCGAAGAAAAAGGGTTGGGTGGACCGGCCGGACCTTCGGTACTGGGACGAGAGAGAGCTGAATGAGGATGCGACGGAGGACCGGATGGCGAAGGGCCCGGGTAAGGAAGAGGATTATCGTTGCCAAGCGCTTCGTGTATTGACGGTAACGACTGTCTGGCCGGTTGAACTGGCGATGGCTCTTGGTCTAAATCCATCGATCTTCGTAGAGCATGCGGAGGGTTGCTGTGACTTGGCAATCGCGGAGGTATCGAGGACATGGTAGGAGGTGGATAAGTCTGGTGAGGAGGACCGGGATACATTGCTGGGGGAGGCCCAATTGGCGCAGGGTTGACGCTGACTCCTGTCGCCATTGCTTTCGCTGAGATGTGTTGGTAGAATCTGATCAAAATTTGAGTCTTGAGAGGGGAAGCAACTGCAAAATCCAAAAAATGCAACGCGTCAGTCAATGCGTCCTCTCAAAATACCACGGTGGAAGAACAAGCACAAAGCGCTAGGAACGACCCTCTATATACACGACTAGATGTCAATCTCAACACTCGTTCACGTCTTAACAGCGTTGGATGAGGGTCTAAACGACTGAGTTCCAAGTGCCATGTATTAGTACGAACGGTGGCGGATATGGGATCTCTTGGTCGCCCCGTTACGATCTCGCAAATCTGGCCAATAACCAAGCGCTGGCTACAGGAGAGCAGCAAATGGGCGCAGGAAGGAGATCGGTGATCGAATCGGCGGTCCGACAAGCCGCAACAACAATGGCAAACAGGAAAGGAAAAACAACAATAACAGAGAAGGGAATCCCACGAACCCACAAATCAGATATCGGTCTCGTTCAATTCAAGTTGTGCAATCGCAATGCACTAGATATTTTTGACGGTTGGCGATGTGAGCAACGGACGTGGTTGGAGGGGTCAAGCGGGAGTGCCAATGCAAGGGATTCAACCCAATGTCGCGTGGGATGGCTTTGAAGTATGTGTATGTAGTATGTACTGGCGTTCGTTATTTTCTTTTCGCTGGCCGAATATGCAATAAACCTCTTGTGTGTTTTATCTTCCTTTTTTGCTTTTTTGAATCCCGTTGTTGTACGCTGCTTTTTCTCCTCTTTCTGTCCTTTTGCTTCGGTACACTCTTTTCGATGCCCTCCCAGTTCCTTTCCTCGCAATGGAGTGAATGATGTATCTCCAGAGGGGCGCCGCAATCGAGTACCCGACGCGAGGGGGGGGGAGGTAGACAGGTAAGAGGGTGAAAGAAGCGGAAGAATAAAGAGAAGAAATGGGAAGGCGAAGAATGAGGAATGTGATAGGAGGGGGGAGAGGAGGGGAGGGGAGGAGAGAGAGAGAGAGAAGAAGAAGAAGAAGAAGAAGAAGAATCTTAATTCCCCCTTCTCTGTTTGAGAGAGAGAGGCAAGAAGGGAGAAAGGCGAAAGGAGCGTGTGGACGGGAAGGTGGGTTTTGGGCCGTTCAGATGCGTGGAGAGAGATCGTAGCTTAGTATACAAGCTAAGGAAACTAAACTGTATTGACCGAGTATGTAGTAAGGAAAAAGAAACATTAATAACTATAATAATAACAACAATAATAATGTAGTAATATAGCCAGTCAGTACGTACTAGGAAGATGGCCCGGATGAATGCCTTTCATCTACCCGACTATCGCGTTTGCTTTTCAAAGCCTCTTTTGTTATTTGCCAGTATTCGAGAGACACTCTCTCTGCCTTTTGAGTCCTCAACTCACCAACAGCCAGTTCTGGTATTACGCTTTGGGCGAATGGAGGAAAACTGCGGTCCCACTTTTTTTTCTTTTTCATTTTTCCTGTTTAACTTCATGATAAGATCTAGTAACAGGAACTTAGGACTAGCTGCGTATACATTACATGCTGGTAATCTGTACCAGCCGTGAAATTGCGGATCTCTCGATTTTGCGCTAAATGTGGAGTGCCAGTGGAGCAAATTGCGATGGAACCTCAGGGATAAAAGATGGGAGAAAGATTCGAGTGGGTTTTGTTAGTCAGTGCGAACTTGCGAGGACGTATTCTAATTTCTTGTCTGTTTTGTACTATTAGTAATCTATTACGTACCGTACTGATACATGTGATACGACAAATCGCCTTACAATTACATATGTGTAGAGATAATGCTCCCCTATGATGTAAAATTTCCATCGGACACGGGATGTCCTCCATAGGCTGTGGCACTTTACGTCCCAAACCCAGTTTCTCCTCCACTTGTGTTTCCTGGCTAGATGCATGTCAATATGGGGTAGTTAATATAACTCGCTACATCTCGTTGGGCGTACGGAGCATACCTATATGGTAACGGTACGAAAACGCGTCATGTACGATTACCTACAGCGAGATTTCAATTCAAGCAAAAGCCACGATCCGCCGCCAATCTTCATAGAGATGGCAGTTTAGGTTGATTAGTGCCAAAGACGGAGAGCACTCTAGTCCCGGTCTAAACATGCACAATGAACAGGGATTCAGGGAAACAGAACTAAGAAAGAAAAAAACGGAGCACTTACTCAGTACGTGGCATCTAAAACTCTCATCAACTTTTGCGTGCCCGCGTGGACGAATTACCCTGGATGCGATCCACGCGAGCCGGCCTTGTCAATGGCCAGAAAGCGCGTTGTGGGTGGGTGTGGGTGGGTGTGTGGGACACCCGCATTCCAAATTATTCCGTTAAGGAAGGGAGACGCTGAGGAAGACGAGATCCATCGATCGTGCGCTGAACCACTGATTAATTTGTCTACCTATGAGCTTCCTGTATGTACGTGCGGGTCGGCAGCCAGTTACAGACCAATACAGCATATGTAGAGGAGCGATTGGGATTTTTCAATTTTTTAGTTCTCTGCGATGTACAGAGCCAGTTAACATGCACTACAGGCTATAAAATCACTATTATACTTGTTGTTGTGTGTTCGCGTTGCAGCTACAATCACGGATGGTGCATGATGATCCGGCAATGTGTGGGAAAGAGCAGCCGTTGGTATCATATATCTCATATCGCATCTCGATCTGCCTGCACGCTGCTTATTTGTCGGACTAGTCGTTACAGAGTAATACGTCAGTTACGTACTCCGAACAAAAAAAAAAAAAACATGCTAGATCGAGGCGAACTGAAACGGTCGAGTGATTGATGATGCATCTCAAATCTCGATTGGCATCTGTTAATCTCTGCGCTAGTCGTACGTATCGGGCCGCATAAAGGGGGGTGGGGGGCCCCGTATTCTCTCTGCTGATTGGCCCCAGTTCTCAGTAGCGATTGATGGTTGGCCGGATCGTACGCTGAAATTCTCATCTAAGATATGTAGTTGCGGGCTTATGCAGGCTCGTTTGGAACTCAACAGGCAAGTTATGTACGTATTCCACAAGACGATCGGAGATCTCTCCCAGCTCAGAATGCAGTGCTGTAATTTATCAAGTGCCAATTTCAGCAAAACGAGAGATGCTGACGTATCGTCAGTGCGAGAAATTAATTAAGATCTCACCCTATGGAGTGCTGCATACGTCGTGGTCTGAGTATTGAAATTACACTGTATGATTCTAGGACCATGGAAATGATGTAATGGCCACCCGGGCTTTTTTTCGAAATTCGATGCTGCGATCTAGCATACCAGATACTCTAGTACCAGATATAAAGGTAAAGCTTGTGCAAACCTTACTCAAAATATGCAAAATGAAGCGATATGATTAAATCGCTCAAATCATCATCGATCGAGCGTCTCTCTTTTTTCTGGAAATTCAACTCGTGTACCGTCCGGGTCTCCTGGCGGTGCCGAGATAATCCCGACTTCCAAGCTCTTAGCTCAGAAGCATGTGGAGCCAAAGGCAAAAGCAACAACAACGTTCCAGGCTGCCATGTGGAGATGTAACTTTGGCAGAAGGAAGCATCCAACCTGTTCTACGCCAAGTCAATCCTAAATCTTGGATTTTTCGGCAAATGACATAGTTTGAACTTTGATTACGGCTGATATATACATACTGCGATCTAAGATTATTTACATCGAATCTGAATTTGGATGGATCAAGTGCGGGCTCCCGTAATGGAAAGATCTTGAGCGATAGACTTTTTAGTATGCTTCGACAGAGCATATCATATCTAAAATGAGACTCAATTATCCCGCGGGCTGATGGTCTAGTGGTACGATACTCCCTTAGGGTGGGAGTGGTCCTGGGTTCGATTCCCAGTTAGCCCCCTCATCACCTGATGAAGTTTAAACTTTTTTGTGTGTTTAACCGCTTTTTCTTTTTCCCGATCTTGAGTCTAGCATATATGAAACAGTTGGATCATCTATCTTGTCTGAGCTTCACATAACCTGCATAGGATCGACACGCAGCTGCAGTCGTCTAGTCGGTTTGTCCCTCCTTTTTGCCCTCTTTGGATAATACTTTACACTTGCCTTGCCCCTTTTTCTCTGGTAGACAGCGAGATGGGAATATTTACCAGGAAATGGCAGCGGCACTTTTTCCGGAACTGAGATACACAACTACATACAGAGTACTAGGATCAGGGATGTTACAGATCCCAAGCCGCCCCGCGCTCCAAGGAGACTGTTAGTCTACGAAAGTTGCATTGGAAATAATGTCTGCGAACCACCCAATTGGTACTGGTTTCCGACAGAACGGCAGTCATACGCTTGTTCACCTGTAACCAACCGGACATCAACCAGAAGATCCATCACCGACACTATTCGACACTATTCGACACCGTTACACGCAATCATTATTCCTGATAGTGTCTGCGTTTTACTGACTGCAGCACGGTTACTTGCAGGGGATTCCTTGGTCAAAGATCGGACTTCTTCCTACAGGCAGTTGGGGAGGGGGGTTTTTCTTTTTCTTTTTCTTTTTTTTTTTTTTTTGGTTTGTTGGTTTGTCCCTCTTATCTTTTGCGATCGCCCTCGCCGCATCAGTGCTGACCAACAGGCTCAAGACATGAGTCATTTCGGATTCCGGCAGCAAGCGTAGTGATCTGTTTCTCGCATGGCCACATCTTCACTAAGACTGGATCTTGCATCCGGGCAGTCAGCCCGAATCAAAAGCCGCAGAAAATTTCGTAAACACGCAGCACAGCAGTCGATCGATTTACTGGGTATTGATAAGTCCAGGACGAGGATTTTGTAGAATATAACAAGCAAGCCCACGTATCATACCATGCCCTCCAAATCTCAGCCAGGTCATGAGTCGGTGAGGGTGGATACGCGCCACGGAGCAACACCTCGAATTCAGTATGCATCAGGAGATAAACGAGGCGTCACGATGTCGCAAAGGATGCAGACCACAATCGCCCGGTCTCTACTATGTAGTATAGAGGTAGTAATATAACGTAAAGGACAGGGATGGGGGCAGTCAGAGGTAAACTGCAATGAGACTTCCGTGTTGTACAAGCAATCGCGACGGAGTGGATTGTTGTATGTCTTGAACTGCTGTGCCACTTCTGTGCCATCATCAACAGTCCCATTCGGCACTCTATTCGGGATATTCCGTTGATGAGCTTGCAGAGTCTGCCTGCATCTGGGCAAAAGCTATCCCAGACTCCAGAGCATTGGGGACATCAAAAGTCTTGGCGCCCATCACGGGGTCTTGCCAACGGCTGTGGTGGGGACGTTTAGGGCGTATGTATATTTCGTGCCAAATACCCTACTCCGTACGTAATTTGATCGAAATTACAAGTATCGTCAATACGTTCCTGAACAGGGAAAGCATCCCTGCAACACGGTAAGGTGCAACTTCCATGTCTGGACGCACAGGGAAGGCGCAAGCGCCGTAGAGTAACTTTACACGAAAAGCTTCGCCATCTTGGGTAAGCTCCTTCCCGAACCCAGGTAACTTCCTGTTTTGGTCGTCCCCGGAAACGCTTGCCTCACCAAACAACAAGTTCTTCCTCTCCACCACATAACTTGCATCTTGCAAGTCACCAGAACTCAACCTCAATTCTTTTCTGAAGTCTTCCCTGTTCTTACTGCTTCTATACTCGCCATGTGGGCAGTCTTGCTTGGCTCACGAACATGCTCGCAATGAAAGGAGGGCTGTATTGGAACCTGGAAACTATAACATCGTCATTTATGACCTAGTTCCAATCCAGTAAGTCCTCGATTGATCTCATTCCGTTATGTCTTACGACTTGTATTATTGTCAACGTCATAAGATACCAGATCAAAGGGAATCTATCGCCGTTGGCCTTCTCAAAGGCTAGAGCCTAGAAGGCCCTGTCGCACACAACCACTAATAACGTCGAATGAGGATTAATGACGGCGCTGAATCTGTCATCAATCTAATAAACCTCCTACCCGGATGCTAATGGCTGACCGTGCACGCACCGAACCCATCGATCGATCGCTAGGTCATGTATGGACTACAGAGTAATTTCCGAAACCGCCTGTTTTGAATATTCTTTTCCAATTCTAAACCGGAAATTAGCCGAGAGCGAGAATAGTGAAATTGAAGAAAGAACAATCCGTTCTGTGAAAGTCATAGATTGGACGGAAGAGCATCAATGGTATCTCGAGCGGAGTCCCGTGAAAGCCATTACGGAAGTACGCGTTACAGAACGTGCGATCGGTGTTAGTTACGCTATGGTTGCCAAGCTAGGGCTTTTTACCTCTCTCTTCCGACGAGTTTGGTTGGCATAACAATCCCTGTGGTGGGTACCGTTTTTTTCTCGAAGTTAACCCCGTAATTGACGGTATCGGCAGATTCCTAGGGTGTACACATCCGGGACGAAGGGCTAGGCAGATTGACGGTAACTTGTCCAACATTTATTTGCCGTGTTCGCTGTTCGACTGTCCTCTGACTAAGTTGACTCCCTTCTACGGAGTAACTAACCCCATTCTGGCCACGACAGCATAATGGATCTATTAAGTCTCGGGATTTCTGTCGCACGACCTAATCAGACGGTCATTGGATCGTTTGAAGGTTGAAACGGGCAGTATTCTCACATACGCTCCTGAGCGATGCTTGAAGCTAACAACGCAGTGATTGCAGTCATGCTGGCTCGTCTCCTCAAACCGAACTCTACGGGTAGTACGAACTAGCGAAAACGGAGTACGTATGTATTGGTGTTTTGCGCTCAAAGCTTACTGCGACTCTGAGCATCGCACACTCTTTCAATATGTTAGATAAGGCCCATTGCCAGACAATTCCCCGCAATCTCCATGACCCTAGAATTCCAGATCACAAAGACGCAGGTGGAGCAGCATGTTGAGCTTTGAGAACGTGATTTGGGAGTATTTCAGACACCTCGAGTTGACCAGGTCCTGTCATACTTACTACTATGCCTCTCGAGCATCGAGGGCGCACCCATACAGGATCATCACTGGAAGATCACAAACAGTCGGCACGTCTTCCGACTCTGACGTTAACTGTTTAGTAACTTCCACTTGGCACTTTACCTTCGAATACAACCAATGACAGTGCACTAAAAATTCTTCCCGTCTGCGCTACTTTGCTAGTAGTCCAGGCAGGTACAGAGCCGAAACGCAAAAAATGTGAGCTCTCAACATAGGCGTTCACAAAGCATCAGGACTTGGCGCATCCCAGGCTCATAGACGCTTGTCCTTGTTTGGTATGACAGCCGTCGATCGAGATCACAGTGGGCCCGTTTAACGGCTTACCTGTCACCGACCTAAAGTCAACTAGATTTGTCCACCGTCGCAACTTGCCGCTGTCTACTTTTTCTTCACATCCAGAAGCCAAGTCGTTATGGATTATCAAGGAGGTAGGGGTTGAGTTCGTGCTGCATATATGGTTCTTGTAAGAAGACCATTCCACTGCAGTCATCAACATCCCCCTCTGTCGTATTAGCTACAAAGCTTGCATCGTCCTGTCCGAGGCGTTCTTGACAAGGTATGTATGTAGCGCCAAAGACTATTCGTCCTCCTCACCGTTGATTTCCCGCCTGTGGAGTACTTTGGCTTGCGGCAGGCGATATCGGCCGAGGTTGTTTGAGAATCAGGAGAGCTTTTAAGCTTCTGGGCTCCCCTCATTTACTAAGCCATTCTGGACCAGTGCTGATCCCGACTCAACTTTACCAACCCTTGGAGTCACGCTTGCGCAAGCCGGAAAATAGCCCTAGTTCGATCTTGACGGTGACCAATTCATATCTTAATGGGCTATAACTGGCGATTCATAAAAATTCTATCAATCATTAACACGAATCATGCCTACGGAGTACAGAAAGATGAAAACATCCCCAAAAAAACAGGGGCTTTAGTCATGAGCTTTCGGTTTCAGAGAAATGAGAATGGGTTGCCTTGATTATCTTTCGAAGTTCTAGGTCCTCTTGGCTTTGGGCAGAAAGATAGAGGTAGATTAGAGTTTAGATCGGACGGCTTGTACCACAAGACGCAGCGAGATGGACATGGCTTACTTGAATGTGACCCGGGCTCGATCTCACAGCCGAATATTACTCCGGCGTTGCATTGGTGAATGAGAAACGCTCTATTCTGAGCAAAGGGATTACTGATAAGAATTGCAGTCTGGAGTCGGCGAGACAGCCAGCTTGCGTGTCTGGCTCGTATGACAACGGCTTCCATTGGTCGCTGACCAACTATGTGTTACAAATTAACTACAATTAGCATTCAGTTTTCAGCACGCTCTCTGTGACATATTTCAAACCTGTCCAAATGTACGAGGGATCATTTTTATACTTACAGGTATCACAACTCGTCACAGCACAGCTGTTCTTACGTTACTCTGACCTGAGCCACGATCTCAATTTCCCGAGGTATGCCACGACCAATTACGAATCCAACAACTTCATCAGTGCAGCAGAATGTATGCACAGTCTATTCAATCAATTGAAAACTTCCATATGAAATGTCATTTTAAGCATGGAGAGCAAATCCAGAGACGTTCTGCAGCCTGCATTGTAGATTTCCTCTTGGGTGATCTCGCATGCCTCCATTGAGCATTGTGCATAACATCAAATCTGCACCCTGCAGCATGAATCTCATTACTCATGTAGGTATGGTTGTGTCTGTGCGCTTATTAGCCAGGATGGATAATATGTCATGTTGAATTAGGTTATGATTGTTTGATGACAGGTCCGATTTTGATCATATGCCAAGTTGCTTTTTCTCTTTATGTATGTTTCCTCGGCCAATTAAATGTTGTAGATTCACCCAGGTCAATAGATTCCAAGTCACATGTATACGTAGTATTTTGCACGCATGTAGGTACTATGGTCTCCAGAGGTGAAGCCTAAAGAGTCTGCATTTATTTCCAGACCTTTATTACCTGCTGTCGGGTCAAAATCTCGGGGCTATAGGCCTAGAGTCGATTTTATATATCTAACCACTAACGATTCAAAAAGTACATCCAAGGATTACTTCAACGTACCCATTCATCTATTCCAGTCTATGCTTCATTGAGGAAAAGCTTGGAGGACGTGCATTTCTGACCTTTCAGATTGTCCATGTGCCCAGATGATCTTGGGTGGCAACCTGATAACCAAAGGTTGATATGTACCTAGGTACAATATCTGAAGTTATTGACAGATATATGTAAGCTTATCATAGTTACCGGGATTTTTAACAGTCCAGTGTCTAAGGTCATTTACATCGGATGATTCTCGGTCATCACCCACCCCGGTGCTTTACGCTGGATTCAAAACACTCCTGATAGATAAACAAGATATGTCGGATATGCTTTCTTGCCGGCTAAAAAAGCCTATTGGTGTTCGATAGGCCGAGTATATGCCGTTCATATCGCCTACAAAGAAAACATACAGCCGGGATTGACGCTACGCTTACTTCATGGAAAGAATGAGTTGGCGAAGATCAAAGTCTAGGACATGTTTGCTCATGTCTCTCTATATCTATCAAAAGAATGGTTCAAATATTTGACAAGAATGATATGATCATAAAACGTGAAGCATGAGGCTAATTGCCTGAATGGAAAGGATGATATTGCTAGCAGAGGATAGGTCACTTCTTCCCCGTCAGCATCTGCCATCCGATACTGCCGGCTTTTCCTTCCTGTTCTTCCATAGCCTGTACAGCTTTAATCAGGTCGTAGGTGATACTCTCTGATACTTTGCTGTCGCCATGGTAGTCTGGGTGATTGGCAACAAAATCGCGGATCCACTTCGCTCCTGTCCAAAGTGTGCCGGTGGCTCGTTTCCTAATCAAATCCAGATATCGTGCCAACGAGCATCGTGTCTCTACATCAACGTTGACACTATTCAAATATGATTCCACCAGTGGAATGAGACCAGGGAACGTCCCATCTGCGGACCCGTTGATAATGTCCGATATGCTCATCAGTGCATACTCAGAATCGACAGGTCCTAGCGGTGGTGATGGCGGAGCGCTGACTGTAGCAGAGGAACCGGCAAAGGATGACTCAGTCCCACTGGTGTGAATGTGTGACTGCCGTGATGTTCTAGGTGGGAACGGATCCTTTCTGAAATAGAATCTCTTCTCTAGAACTGCATTCCGAGCATGTGCCGTCTCCATGTTTTCAGTTGTTCGTTGTATCGGGATATAAAAGTTCAAGTCGAAGCTGAGAATGGCTCGAGTAACGAGCACAATGAAGATGCTAAAAGCCGCATTTTCAAAATCGGTCATTTGAATCTCCATCGAGCGGAACTCCACGCGCCAACCAATATCCTTATCAGGTGGCGGTGGCTTGAATCTCATATGCTGCCAATTAGTAGATTGCAAGTTCTCAAAGTGGTTAACCTCATTAAGGTCTAATTCTTTCAAGTCTTCCGAGAAAATGACAATGGGGTCACGAATGAAAAGATGAGCAAAGTGCGTTGCTAGCAAGTCATCCATGCCTCCTTCTATCAATCGTTTCTTGATATCTTCATCAATAACAAGATTCGGGTCCATATATTCTTTTCGTAAGCGCCGATCCTGTGCAATATATGTAGAATTGGATGCATATCGCGATTTTGGTATTCTCCAGCGGTCTTTTTTGAGTGGCTACCCAAGTCAGCATGCTCACGGTGTCATTCTCCAAGGGAAGTTTACCTTTTCACCAAGTTCTTCCGGTGTTCTGCAATCAACGGACCGACTAATTTGGTTCCATCGCACATCGGTGTCTACCAAAAATCCCTTATATATCGGAGTCGCAGCCGTAAGAGCCAATAAAATAGGTCCTAGGGGACTTAACTGATCGTACAATGTCCTGCCTTCAGTAATATTCTTGGCTTGAAACGTTATCTGCAGGCAACAGCTTCCCATGCCAAAGGCCATAGCATCCATATAGACATGACCTTCTTTAGCAGCGCCGTTCCTCACATCGTCATCTTCCGGCCACTTATGCAAATCGTAATTAACTGTAGGGTCATTGAATGGCCATGGTGTATTCTTATCTCTGAATACTGGTACATTTATCTCGACCTTGCGACCTCGTCGAGCCCTAATGTTAGCAGCCAACGTTGGAAATCTGATGTGGGGGTTGGCGATCTCATCGGGGACGAATTGAGAGCGTAGCGCAGGACCGGAAGGGGGGTAATAGGGCTGAATATAGTCTTCTGGACATCCAAGACGTGGGAAGGTAGTGAGTGTGATTGGATATTCACAGTTAGCCATGTGGCCTTTCGCGATTTCCCTCCTATACATTTAGTCAGCTTAGTAGTTCATGCGACGGGTTTCATTACAGAATAGTACCTCCAGCGCATATTTGATTCCACCTTCAAGAGATCCCGAAAGTCTATACCCCATGGCCGTCCAGGCGTTGCTTCTAACATGAATCTTCCAAATTCCGGGTGAAAAGTCGGGAGGGCCTCGTCCTCACTGTGCTATTGATTAGTGAAATGCCCTATGTAACTCAAAAACCTGGATATCCTCACTGCTCAGCTGTCATATCGGAAACATCCCCTCCAACTTTACATAGAGCTGTATCTCGGGCAAGTGATTTGAGGATATCGGCTTGAGCCAGGGATAGTCGGACTTTTCGATTGCCGTCGTCAAAAGCAACAACCAGATATTCTACCTGGCCAGCAAGTTTCTACGTCAATAGCCAGCCGCAGACATCCATCAAGAAGTATTACCTCATCTCCCCATAGAAGCACATCTCGTTCTTTTCCCTTGGCCCTATTCCAAATAGCGAGCAGTTGCTGGTGCTAAGTGTCAGTCATCTGGGTCGACGTTTCCTGACAAGGTGAAGACCAACCTCGATACCCCATTTTCTAACCTTATCGGCATTCTTCTTGGCCTCCGGCCATTCGAGAGCAGTTCCTAATTGCCTGAGAAGGTTCGGAATGTTAGAATCGTGTATGCGCATGGGGTTTCCGAGGAATGACGTTACAGCAAGCCCATTGCATGAGCCTTCCACTCTGAGAAGAAGTGTGGCCGATGCAATTCACAAATATGAAGCGGAACGGATTACAATAGGAACAACTCCGTTAGACATAAATGAGCGAATGCTCTTGCGCAAGAGCCTGGGAGAGAAAATATGTGAGATTGACACAAGAGGAAAAAAAGTTTCGCGGATTAGTAAACTACCCCGCTAAACGTTCAAGGAATGTTTTTGACCATGCAATGCAGAGGCCCTGTTGTCTCCTGTTCTTCTTTTCTCTCCTCAAATATTTCTCCCCTCACTCACGGGCTAGAATCTTCCGGGAAGTTGAATGTCGAATGTTGAATTGCTAAGCAAGAGGTGGGGGTAGGGTATTTGGAGAAAGAGGAAAAAACTACCGCATCCGCGGGGTCTTCCCGTTTATGATTTGGAATCATCTGTGTTCGATATTGCATTGTTTGTCTCGTTTCCCCTTCTGTCTTGCTTTTTGCAGTCGGTGCTTTTGAGAATATACTCTTCAGATATATCATCCATTGCATGCATGTATGGAGTGCAAAGAACACGACAGGATGATGCCCGTCAAGATTGTACTACAACTTCGAGACCGAGATGATTGGCTACCTCCACGAGAATAGCGCTGCATAAGCTCACGCCAGATGCTGCAGGTCTTCTGATGTCGCGATTGCCCAGGCTTTCAGCGTTTCTTACAGTCAAGGGTTTTACTACCATTACCGAGTTTAGCGCCGTAACGTCAATTGTGCCTGGGAAAGGATATGTTCGCCATGGAGGACCATGACCCTAACCATCCCCGATACGACACACTTTCTTCTGCGGTTGAGACTACGTACTCTGCCGAATATACAGTTCCCCGAGTTTTGACTCGAATGCACGCAGTCACTTGACAGAGAAAAATGGAATGTTTGGCGTAGTCCTAACAAATGCAGTGGTGAAATGGTTCGGATTCGTCAGAACGGTGAGAAATTGTAGATTGGTCCCAACGCCAATAATATCAGCAAACAATGTGAATAATATTTACATCAACAACTTGATTCCAGCTGCACAACCGCGAAAATCGATATTGATCAGCCGCTGGTCTAGGGACGACTACCGTAAGATATCTAATTGCTTCGTTCTCCTCCTTTGGCCGCCCGTAGTTCATCCATTTTGGCCACTCGCTTTTTGAATTCCTCGTATTGGCATTTTTCGTACGTATGCCGTTCGGCCTGGTCAAAGGAAGTTGTAGTTAGCATGCTGCCTCGGACCCGCACACCACCGTACTATCAGCGGACATATCGTACCTCGCACTTCCAAGGAAGATAGTATTCGTCTCGACGGCATCGGTTCAGAGGAATAAGTAGGTGAGCGCATGAGTCCCTATATGCGAGTGGGAGACGGGCATCCGACATTTCCTTCTGCGTGGCTGGACCAGTTGTTAGATTAAAAAAAGACAGCTATCTCCAATTGAGCGACGTACCACTGTCGGACAAGCCCGCAAGGCTTTTGACTGACTCCACGACCGTCATGCTGTACCGAGAAATGTGAACAGTCGGGCTGAAATGGCGATAAACAACAGGAACTGCTCCCTTCTCAGAAGCTGCAGGCACATCATCGAAGTTGCTGTGGTACTTCCCGCCGAAACCCGTGACCCCTAGTCACATGACCCAGCCTGCTTTTTGAGCATTGTCGGATCTAGCTTAGCGCCTTTTTTCGACCCGGCCGCACTTTACGCGTCAATCATCTAGCAAACGCGTTCTCGCGATTTTGATCCGACTTGTTCTTCATAAGCCACCGTGGCTGCGAGCATTGTCATTAGTGAAACAAAGGATTGGAGAATATCGGTCACCATTAACCGTGCTTGAATGTAGTCTGTCATCAACTGCAGCGATATACAAATCTCTTTCTCTTTGGCCTGAGCATCCGCGTCCAGGGAGAGCGGCCATAATCCAAGATGGCGGGGAGCACCGAAGGCATAGTGTATTCGGCAACCTATAGTGGAGTGAGTCGAGCATATACGCTGATTATGTGTTTGTCTTGGGAACGACTAGCTAATACGATAATGTTGTTCTATCAAGGTTCCTGTCTATGAGTTCAAAATGGAAGGCGAATGCTTGATGAGAAGGAGAGCCGATGACTGGATCAATGCGACACACATCCTTAAAGTCGCAGGATTCGATAAGCCCTCGAGGACTCGAATACTAGAACGTGAGGTGCAGAAAGGTGTACATGAGAAGGTGCAGGGAGGCTATGGGAAATATCAAGGTAGGGCACATGTCCGATCCTGCAATCAAAATGGTCACATTTTAACAGTTATCCAGGAACATGGATCCCGTTGCCGGAAGCTCGATTACTGGCGGAGCGAAATAATATACTGGACAAGATACGCCCCATATTAGACTATGTTGCCGGCGATCGAAGCCCGCCACCTGCGCCGAAACATACGACCGCTTCAAGGCCACGAGCGCCGCGAGGGTCAACTGCAAACAAGCGAGCGGTACAAGAAGAATCTTTTAACATGCGAGCACCTCGAATGAGTGTTCCTAGCTTTTCTCAAGACCAATATGACATGCCCCCACCTACATTTGAAGAGGAGGAGTCGATTGAACATACTACTCTGGAATCGTCATCGATGATGGCCGAAGAAGATATGGTCCCGATGTCACAGCACTCAAATCATTCCAGGAAGCGTAAGCGCACTACGGGTGAGGTGAATGTTATGTCAACGACTGAGCAGGAGCATATACTGTACGGAGACCAACTTCTGGACTATTTCATGACAGTAGGCGATGCTCCGGAGGCTGCAAAAGTACAACCTCCTGTGCCGCCAGCCAACTTCCAAGTGGATCGGCCTATCGATGATCAAGGTAATACGGCACTACACTGGGCTGCTGCTATGGGCGACTTAGAAATTGTTCAGGATCTCCTGCGCAGGGGTGCCAATGTACATGCTGTCTCCGTCCATGAGGAAACCCCTCTTGTGCGTGCAGTCTTGTTCACCAACAACTACGAGAAGAAGACGATGCCTGCACTCGTGAATCTCCTCCAAGAAAATCTCACTTTCCGGGATTGGTTTGGAGCCACGGTTTTTCATCATTTGGCAGAAACCACTCGCAGTAAAGGTAAATGGAAAAGCGCGCGCTACTACTGCGAGGTCCTTCTCCAGAAGATACGTGACACATTTCCTCCGCAGGAGCTGGATATGCTCCTTTCATGCCAGGATTCGAACGGCGATACACCAGCACTAGTAGCTGCTCGGAACGGTAATTTTCGCTTGACATCTCTTTTCCTACTTCACTGCCGCCGTGCCGGCGATTTAGTCAATCAAAAGGGGGACACAGCCGTTGGTATTATGGATCAAGCAAATGCTCGCCGGGTCGCTCCTCCTCCTCCTTCTAGTGTGACATATGTGAACGAACGAGCTGATATTGAAACACTTGACGTGATGGATACTGATGATAAGTCCTTGAATCCGCCTCCAGCCTCGTCACCTGCGGCATCAGTCGTGGCTCGTAAGATATCGCGGTTGATGGAGGAGGCACAGCGGAAGCTTAGCCTCGCTTATGGGAATGCAAAAGTTGGCCAACAGAGTGCCGGAGATGTGACGAGTCCCCAGGAATTGTTCGAGCAGCTGGAAAAGGATCGGCAGGCACTGCAAAAGGAGATGGCTGCGTTAATGTCCCAGGAAGGCGCAAACGATTCCCTTGCACTGCAAATGGATCGCTACAAAGAACTTGAAAGTCGTTGCGCGTCGCTCATTGAACAGATCCACCGCAAACAACTTTCCGATCGCTTTGATGCTGGTGCCCCCAAAGAGCAAGCACCGCCTTCACACAGCGATCCCCCAGATACCCAGGAGCTCCTACAGCGCTACGAGTTAGTGCGTAGGTTAGTGTCAGCACAAGAGGCGCGACGAGAAGCGGTTCGAGAGCTCCTACAGCAGAAGGCCGATGCCGGGGTTAGCACTAAGCTAGACATGCATCGGAAACTAGTAGCCTTGGCGACTGGTCTGAAAGAAGATGAGCTTGATCCAATGGCGGCTGAGCTGGCAGATACGCTCGAGTTCGACCGGATCAATGGGAAAGAGTCGGAAGATGTATCATCTGCTCGGCTTCCATTCCCTTCACATGCGATGCATTCAGGTTCTACTGTTCCTGTCGATGCTTGACAATATAGCACATATATATTACCCAACGTCGCGGTTGAAAAGCTTCATTTCTCTCGTGTACAGTTGCGAAAGGCTCGGTCTCATGGACTTATTATCCTACCAACTGTACTAAGCACGGTTCGATTTTGATACTCTACGACGATTATCTACCCACTGCCCATGCCTTCACGGCTTGCTTGTGATACCCGTTTTATTCAATACTTTCCCCCGTTGCTACTACCACTGTACATAGTTTTGGTTGTGGAGTCTCATCTTCAGAGCATCGTCCTGAAGAGATGGTTGATATGTATGTGACATTTAATCCAATTCAAATAACTGCGTATCTCCAGATTTAAGATTTTTCATACGTAGCAAAGTTTTGATAGGGTCGATCACTAACTATATCAGCAGTCCCCACAGGCACTGAACAACGGGTGAGTGTGGATGGCTGTCGTGACGAGCCACGTTGGCCGCGCCAAACCAATAGCGGCATGGGGAAGGGCTATTCTGGCCTGCTCATTGGCTGCAGCGCCTGTCCTAAAGCCCCATAAGGCTCGGCATGGCCGTCTCGTGTTGCTATTGGGCGGGGTCGCTACACCAAGTGTTCTTCCGATGGATGCACATCATTCTGCTAGTGATGGCAGCCTCAACAAATAGGACGGACGAAACACTCTCGAGGCTGACTGACGGCGACCCCTCATTTTGTTTGGATATTGCTAAAGAGTAGGAAGTCGACAACGAGCAATCTTTGGTCGTCGAGCTGGAACAGCACACAATGGGATTGTACTGTTCTGAAAAGTCATGGATTCTCAGAATGTCCAATGGCAGAGTCACAGCTCACACGCCAATGAATGCTTTGATTGGTCTGACCGCCCAAAGTCTACCTGAGACGCCCGGCCCCTGTCGTCGCGCCGCCCCGCCCTCTCATTGGTTCGCTTGGCGGGGCTAGTGCTCTCGCCCAATCACCGCCTTTACCTCGCTGTTGCCCCGTACTAAGCACGCCCAAATTTCCCCCAATCCTCTCGCTCTTCTCTCTCTCTCTCTCTCTCTCTCTTCATCTCCTCTGTGCTATCCTCCCATCTCTCTTCTTGATCACATCCTCTTTTTCTCTTCTTTTACCTTCTTTTCCCTGGGATCTTACTTCTTCCGTTCACTCCCCTCAATTCCCTCAATTTGACTGCTCTTTTTTTTACTGCAAATAGTCGAACCAAGAAAAGAGAAAAAGAAAAAAAAAGTACAAAAGAGAACTTCGAGTCGTTCCCCTGAAAGCCTCTTTCGCGGTTTCATCTCGCGCTTTGTTTATCGACTCGCATGAAGGCAAGAAAGTATTATTGACTTGATTCAACCTTCCATTAATTATCGACAAGGACTGTGTTTTTATCCCTACCGACGACTCCTCAGTCCCACTATTACTGCTTTATCCGGCGTTGTTGAAACGACTTGCATTCTATTTTCCGCTCAAACGCTCCACACGTGACATACCTCAACACCTACATCATACCAACAATCGGCTTGCGATCTCCCTCCAAAAAGGACTTTGCTTTCCATCCTTGGCTTCCATTGAAGAGCGACTTCTTCTTTTGACGAGGTGGGCTTGCAGTGCATCCACATCCCGTTTCAAGCAGGGCCACAAGCAACCTTCGACGTGCCGATCTCTGGTCTGATTCAATCTTTAATCGAAGCATCTACGCGCCATTATTTTCTCTGTATATCTTAATCGTCTATTTTTCATCATTGTTCTTCGCGTTTCGGATACCGCTTACTTCTGGTCATTGTCTTGCATTCTCGGTACGCGTCTCTCTCCTAGGCATTACATCAACTGTTCGTTACTGACTCCTATTGTGGATAGGGTTTACTTTAGATTCTTCGTCTTCTTTGACGGCTGCATTTTTGACATACGGCTATCATCGAGACACGACTAATACTCTAATTCGTTCGGTACGCTTCGATACCCACTTCTCGAGAACCCTCACCCGTCTCTCAAGAACAAACTCTTTGTTCTCGTCGCCCTCGATCACAACAACGGTACTGTTCGGTTCTTGAAACTGTCTCCTTGCACACCCACAAAAAAAAGACACTTTTCTTTTAAGCATTGAGTATGGACGCAGGCGGTCTTGCTCAAATGACTCAAAATTCTTCCTTTAATGGCGCTTCCCTTGGCGTTCCGGGTACAGGCTTTGCTTCCCGAGGAAAAGGGTCTCACATCAAACGCTTGAGTGTCCCTCCTCAAATTTCAACTATCAATGAAACGGGTCCGGCAACCAGTATTGCCACCCCTCGGACCAGCCGGTCTCACCTTTTAGCTGGCTTACGCACTGCTCCTAAGTCAGCAACCGTTCCTCCTACATACAGCCAACAATTCCAGGGCCATGGTCGTGTTGGACTAGAGGGAAGCCGCTACGCTACGAACAGGACTGGAGATCGTATTCCCCAAACAGCGACTGGCGCGACATTCCCCCAGTACTCGTATGGACTGGATTCACAGAGTACAAACATGGGATACAACACGGGACGTCCTCTCTACTCTCTCCCAGAGCAAGTTCTTGCGCCTCCAGCAATTGATTTGGGAGATGCTGACGGCATGGACGAGAAACTATACGCCGAGCTAATGACCACCAACCTGTTTTTGGCTGCCCAACAACAGCGCCTTCAGCAACAGTTGCTTAGTGTTACTGCTGCTGCTCAGCAGTTCCAGAACTTGAGTCTGGGTGCGAATCACCTCAACCAGCAATTCCAACAGCAATTTCAACAGCAACACGTTCAATCACACCAGCAGGGTCAACTCCCTTCCTTCGTCCCGGGCATGAGCTTGTATCAACAACAGCTGCAGCAGGGCATGCAGCCTGTTGTCCAGCCCGTTTCTGGCCAACCGGGTTTGTATTCGGTTTACAATCCAATGACCGGTCAGCAGAGTTTCGTTTTCGATAATAGCACTTCCTCACCCCAGGAAGAGGATCCTCTTCCTACCTACCAGGAGTCAGTTCAATCGCCTATCGGATATCAGACAGCTCCTTTCCGTGCTGAGGTCTCACCACCTCCTGAATCTGCTCGATCTTCTGTCCATGCTTCCTCTCGATCCGAGTCACCCAAGGATATACCCTCTCCCCCAACTAATACGACTTCGCTCTCCACTCTTTCCGGAAATTCTATGAGACGCATCCATAAAAAAAGCCACTCGTTTGTGCCGGGGTTGCGGACTAATACCGAATTGGCCCGGACGGGAGGCTCCGGTCCCCGGTCTGCTGTTCTTCCCCAGACTCCCCTGACTGGAACTTTCGGACCTGGTCAAGGTCGCGCAGGCGAACACCCGTCCCGCCAGCCACGCGGTCCTCCGGCGCTTGAGGAGCTCGTTGCGAAACCCACATCGAAACACGAAGGCAGCAAGAATTTCGCTACACGTCAACGCCGCCGAGCGGTCCACAATTTGGTACGTGCGGGAATTGAGCGCCGAGGCGAATCGCGAAGCAACCATGGCAGTGGTGGTAGCAACACTCCTGCCAGTGAGACTGAGTTCGTCTTCTCAGTCTCTGATGGTGATGATAGCCGTCGCGGTAGTGGCAGCCTTTCTAGCAAACCTAGCTTGGGAAGTCTGCGGGCCTTTGCTAATGGGGCCATTGGGTCTGAGCTCAAGGAGAAGGATCGTTCTTCGCGTGAACGGGTGTCTGCGGAAAACATGTACATACTTTCAGCCGCTGGTGGCGATGAAGGTTTTCCCAGTGCCCTGTCGCCCGTTGGTCCACCGTCGACTGCTTCTATTGTTGCTGGCCACCGTTCAGCGAATCAGACTACAGAACGACGAAAGACCCCTATGTTGGTGCTATCCAGTGCTGAGAAGCGGAAGACTCCCATCATGTGAAGTGATCCTGATACTTTCCGTGTTTCTCTTTGATATTTGATGACGATTGAACCGGTGGAAGGTTCGCTAACAGGCCTTTTCGGGCTAAGACGTTACGTTCATGTCTCTCCTTTAGCTAACTTTGCATTTCTTCGACTTCTTTTCTGCTCACTTTTTATGTCTAGCATTTTCCTTCAGTTCGACAGGACGGGCCTGGACTCTGTGTTAACCACCAGAGAACACACTTTATGTTCTGTGTGAATCCTGTTTTGTTTGCTACTCTTTTCATACCAACTTCTTACATTCTTATGTAGTGCGGTGTTGTTCGACACCGATCTACTTATTCTTCATGTCGAGTCAGTTGTACTGACCATATGATTGATTATTCCGATCAATAAGCTTTGATCGTTTTTGACAGGCTGTCATGAAAACTATGAATCAATAAATCAAGACAATGACTTGTAGTACCTGGAGCTTCCCAGTAAACCTAGGTAATTTTTTTGTAGAAGTATGCGAAGTCTGGCGGTTTCCTTCTGAAAGTTCTACTAGTTCTGCCTAGTGTTATGCCATCACGTGGTTGCCTCTATATAAGAACAACTTGACATCGACAGATCTTCTCTCTGTATTTAATCACTAACACATAGTTGTGTATTTATTCTTCAGTTCCTATCGCGAATCATTACACTTAGCCGTTGCTTCCACCCTCCCCAGCAAACACATCAAGTGTGACATGAACGTGGGGTTGAAAGGCAGCTTTAATATTCCCCAGGTAAGTAAATATTCCAAAACTTTGAACTCTTATACTCACCACGCTCCATAGAATAGAACTTTGACTTCGGTGCCCAGTGTTCAACATCATGGCATCTAACATTGTCACTTTGGCGCAGATACCAACACTGACACAGTTATATCGTGGTAGACTGCTATCGCCATCCCAACAACCAGGGAGCAATAGTCCATCCAAAGCACTAAACGATATCCTATCTCATATTCAATATGACATCACCAGGTTACAGGTGGATGGCATTGTGAATGCTGCAAACCAATGGCTCCAAGGTGGTGGAGGAGTCGACGGTGCCATACATCACGCCGCAGGTAGTCAGCTGCTCGCTGAATGTCGCACTCTCGATGGCTGCAACACGGGCGATGCAAAAATCACGAATGGCTATAACTTACCCGCTGCAAAAGTTATTCATGCCGTTGGTCCGATTTACGAAGAGCGCTATCACCTTACTTTAGAGCGGCTTCTCCGTAGCTGTTATCGACGAAGCTTACAGTTAGCTGTGGAAAATAATCTACGCTCGGTAGCTTTCTCGGCTATTAGTACTGGCGTCTATGGTTATCCGAATCTAGAAGCAGCTCAAGCTGTCCTGGATGAAGTTGGGAAGTTCTTGAGGAAGGATGACAACGCCTCGAAATTCGACCGGATCATCTTTTGCAGCTTTATGCCTGCTGATGTTGAGGCATACCAGCGCTTTTTACCGTATGGTTTCGAATTTCTGATGCGCTTGACTACGTACCAGAAGGCTAACTTGCAAAACAGGTTCTATTTCCCACCTATGCCCGAAGACATTGGAAATGCAAACACCTCTCCCGAGACGAAGGCCGATAATGGTTGGTGAATCTTTTCACCGTCAATCAAGAGTCAACCAAACGATTGACATGAAAATTTATCATTAGATACGGAGTTCGTCGACGTGAATGATGAAAGCTTCAAGTCGGTTACTGATGACGAGCAGGATTGGGAAGAGCTGTCTGAAGGTGCCAATCACCATGATCTAGATGAAGAACCTGTCGAATTAAACTCTCAGGCGGCCTCCGTAACGGATATTCAGAGCATGCAGTCCAGTTCGGCCGAATTTGATGAATTGTCGAAATCCGAGACTGAGCATAAATCATGATTCGCTAGGTTGACGCGGAGGAAAGTATTGCTGCAGACCTTTACATGGTCGGCGAGCGTGTAGATACCAGCTATTAGCTAGTTATGATGAGTATATGCTTAGTTAAATATGCCATAGTAGAGTATTTCGATAGATGTACTGAAGTGGTAACTAAGCTGGCCATGTCATACGACGCTGCAAACGATGCAAACATTCTAAAGCTTCCTCTTCCGCGATAGCGGAATTTTTGTGATTTGTGATACAATCAACAAGACGATACAATTATCATGACTTTGAAAGAGAATTGGTAATTGACAGCAGAGATTCTCGGCTTCCATCAAATTTCATCAGGCCCAATATACGCAATTCCGCGAGATTATTCTCCCAACAATCTCCGCCATCTCGGCCACCTCGGCCACCTCTCGGGCGATAATGGCAGATTCGAAAGCAAAGCAGACAGCTGCACGAATAACATCCAAACTCCCCGGCACAATTCAATCCTCCTCTAATCCCCGAGTGCTTTCTCGCTCTGAACTTAAGCACAGAGGCTCCCCCAATAACAACAGAAACCCCTCTATTGATATATCCGACTTCACCGCCTATAAAGAACGTCCGTCCACATGGTCCTCATTTCGAAGTCGATTGCGCGCTCGCTATGCTGCATTACCGCCGTCAGTTCGATGGACTGCTCGCGTGCTCCGTGTCATTGCGCCGATAGTTCCCATTGGGATATTTTTCTCTGAACATGTGCTGCAGATCATGTGGGTTTCGGGACCGTCGATGACACCCTATCTGAATGAGAATTATGAGCAGACGCACACCGAGAGCGATGTTATTCTTGTGAATTTGTGGCCTTGGGGATCTATGTGGCCGTGGAATATGACGAGGAGGTTGGAAAGGGGGATGGTTGTTACGTTTCGGTAGGTCTGAGCAAGCCCTGCAGGCATATGTAATGGTCTTACTGACATCTGTATAGTTCACCAGCAAATCCCTCAAATATAGCCATAAAACGTGTCATCGCTTTACCAGGAGACCGCGTCACAACAAGAGAGCCTTGTCCTCGGCCGTCACAAATCGTACCCTTCAACCACGTCTGGTTAGAAGGCGATGCTGACGATCCAAAAAAATCCCTGGATAGTAATACATATGGCCCGGTGAGCATCAATCTGATCACGGGCAGTGTGGTAGCGGTTCTTTATCCACGAATGAGACGCTTGAAATGGTGGGAATGGGATCCGCCAGCTGAAGCAAAATCAGGCTCTGATACGCAAAAGGAATTGGGGGAAGGGTATAGAAGTTCGGTCAGGGATAGAGTGGTTAAACAGGCCGTCAAGATTGAGGTACCGGGGTTGGACTAGAGTGTTTCTTCGTGGGTCTGTTATTTTGCATTTAACCATTGTATATATATATATTACATGTATTTTTGCATGTTGAGTATGAGATACACTCGTACCGGGGTATAAATATGTATTACTAGACACTAGAGGTCGGACCTGTGATCCTTATGTATAAAACAATGAGATACTTTCAACTCATCAACACGTCTTCATGTGATGGGGTTGGCCGTGATGTGATAGCGACTCAGACAATCCTCACATCCTCACCTCTTTCTTCCTGTAAGCGGTTGATCTCAGATTCTATGCAGAGCACCCATCGATCTCGCTCAAGACGGTTTCTAGCCTTGAAGACAACAGTTCGTCCAGGTACACCAAGTGCAGAGACTCGACGAAGCATCCTATTAGTCTTTCCCTCTCTCACTTCGGACGCTCGGAACAGACTCTTTCGCGTGGGATGCCAGATGACAAAACAGATAGATGTATCTTCATCTTGACTCGTCCAACCATCTTGAGCAAGGTAGATACGTGGTAAAGCGTGATGGCCAGGGTAGTTGTTGTCGAAGGTCTGGTTGGTATGTAGTAGATCGTTCTCGGTCAGGAGTCCAGAGTAGATATAACAATCTTGTAGGTCCAGTGTGGCTACCCGCTCCTGGTGGATGTGTGGGATTTCGACCCCGTTGAATTTGCGAAGAGTATCTTGGAAGATCAAGAGCTGTCCAGAAGTGCAAATGACCTGGCAGCGGTGGAAGGTTGAACGACGGCGAGGTTTTCGATAGAGATACCCGGACATCTGGAATATGTGAGCTTGAAAGTAACAATGTTAATGTAGTGCGTCTTTGAGCTTACCTTGACCGGTCGACACTCCGACAAATGGCACATATTGTATAGATGTGGTGACGCTTCTGCCCGCCTGACTTCCCATTTACTAGCAAACTGACCAAATAGGGATTCCATCCTTTCATCAATGCCCAGATTCTCCAGGTTATGTTGGCGGATAGTTTTCAGCTCTCTAGCATCGGCCTTTACTCGGGCTTTCCAGTATTTGACTAGGCCTGTGAGACGCTTGATCCATTCATTTCGTGTTTCGTAATTGTAAGCCTTGAAGCGGACAACGAGGCCATTCCCCAAAACGAGCTCGAACCTGTTTTCTTCTATATCACCGCCTGAAATACGTCGACCTCCGGTGTTTTCAGATCCATTGGGATCCCCAGAGACTCGGACACTGTCCACTTGGCAGATATCAATAAGACCTTCTGCGTGCTGCAAGTTGGCGATGTTGCGTCCAAACTGAGCGGTTGCTTCTTCGTCGTGCCGTCGCAGAAACTCTGCGTTACCACTAGCGAGCCATGTGATATTTCCGCCTTGGACTGGGTAAGGAAGTATATCGTACTGCAATGGATTCCGTTCGGCAATTTCCTCGTATGACGGTATAGAGGCATCTGTATAATCAAGATCCGGAGGATGAGGAGGTAACGCTTTTGACGGCTTACAGAAGCACAAGAATCGATCCTGGCTAAAGTAGTATTGTCGCTTGGAGAATTCTCTACCCAGTCTTTGTTGCACACCTTTCTGCGAAGTGAGACGTATGAGAAAGCCTTCAATAGGGGCTGGCTCCTCTTCCTCTTCACCGTCTGTCCTTATTGTCGAGGGATAATGATGTTTCGGCCTGAGCTCTAGATCATGAGAAGTTTGCATTGCAATAGTCCCATACATCTGTGCTTCCTGGGCTCCATAAATCCATTCTAGGCGGTCAAATCGTTTCCATGCTAAGCCCATCTTTGATGTCTTTGACCACCCCTCAAGCGCCTCGGACCATTCGTTACGGCTTTTCAGTACATTAAGGCAGTGAGCAACAATCGTCCTAGCTATTAAAGTCCCCCTTTCACCTGAGACTTCGTTACCAAGACGACTCTGTTCAAAAGGGTTCTTGAAGACTAGAGAGACATTCAAATCAGGCACATTGATGAGCAAAGATGTTGGACGATTCCACCCCAGGGTCTGTCTGATAAAAGTATACCATTCCATTGCATGAGCTGAAGATCGAGGCCTTAAGATGAAGATTCTTGTACCACGCTTATACGGGTGCCATATAGCCCAAGTCTTATCCAGCGAGGAGTATAGGTTGATTTTGGTGGTTTTCCTGGTTAGAGAAACTTCATAGTAGGCTGACTTCCGGGATTTTTCAACGTCCTGAATGACCCGAGTTTTGTACATCTTCAACGTGAAGAGCGCGTCATCATCAAGGGCTTTCCGGCAGACAACAACATACTCACGCCATGTTTTCAGCTCTCGCGTCTCTGTTCGCATACTGGAATTTTCAGAATAATCCGGTGGGAGCTCCTGTGATGCATACTCAACCCGTACAAGCATCTTTTGTGCTCTAATCATTTCGCCTTCGCTTTCTTTATTCCAATGAGGTCGGTTGGCCGAAACTTTGTCCTGTGCTCGTTCGATTCGAGAACGGATGCGTTCTTGATGATTCAGAACATTGTCGTCCAGGTTAAAACGTGTAATCTTTGCTCTCACCCTCTCTTGCGGGCTAGGTACGGGCTTGGCTGCCTGCACAACATGAGGATCGGGTTGCTGGGGCCGGAGTGTTTTCGTCGACGTAGTAGAGGTGGATTCTTTTTTTCTTCGACGGGGAAGAAGGGATGCTGTAGATCCCGCATCTGTTGTAGATTGTAAGATGCTTGGCACATGGGATGCCCGCCCCGGAGAGACATTCGTGTTCATCCATCTAGACGCTGCGCCTGAATCACGTGAAGTCCTTGGTTCTTCTAGCGTGCTGGTCTGGGTTATAGGCGAATTCAGAGGTTCTTCTTCCCTAGTAAGGGTTTCTCTGGCAGTCACAAATGTGCTTGCTACTCCGGTACCAGCATCGGATAGTCTAGGCTCGTCTTCCTCTGTCGTAACGTCCTCGTTCTCGATATCGTGATCTTGACTCGAGTGTTCACCTCTTGAAGTGGAGCTGTCCGGTTGCCCGTCGTTTTCATTGTGATCATCTAAAGCATCGTTCATGTTAGGAGAATCTGTAGGAGGCTCAGGCAAAGATGGTCGTGGAGCTTCGTTGAATGAAGTAGTCTTTGCCGAGAATGTCAGAGTGCGAGCAGTGTAGTTTTTGAAGCTGAATCTCGATTGATACCAGGCCTTGCGATGACTGTGTATCCAATCCTCGGGAATAGGCCCTATAAAATGTCGCCGGGACGTCAGGTATAGGTGACGTGCAGAAGCATGATGCTACAATGGATTAGCTGAAGATGATCTTGAAACTGGAACTTCTTCACGCACTAAACGTCGGGCAGTATAAGTTGTAGCATCTAGACCGCGGTACTGCTCTTGTTCATCCTGGATAGTAGCCTCCTCGTCAGGATGTTGAGTATCCAGGGAGCTCGTCATGATGCTCAATTCCAGCTGAGCGACAGTATCAGGGGCGGTGAACAATAAACATTATAGCGGTATTATAACCAAGAATAAAACTATTACAATGCAGCGCTGAAAAGCAAAGAAGCTGACTTCACACAGTACACAAAACCTAAAGATTACCCCGTGAAGGGGAAGATTGCTTGTTATTTTCGATCTTGAGTGCAACCGAGAATGACGTCGTAAGGGGCTAGTGTGAGTGTGGCTGTGCAGATGCTAGCAAATCAAATAAGGTTAGCCTCATCTTGATCCAGGAAGGGACTAGTGCCATGCTGTTGGATTAGCTAAGCTGATCCAGCCAATCAGATAGATGAGATTTGTCAGCCAATAAGAGCGAGCCACACACTGATCCACCGAATAGGGGGTAAAAGATATCTTCCACCTTTACTGTACTTAGAGACAAGAACAATGACAACAAGGATCAAGGATTCCATGCTTTTTGCATACATAATTTGATACGTTGAGATATACCGCTTGAGATTGTTACGTACAATCCAACATGTACCTTGGAAGCGGAAAGGGACTAGCGTACCGCATGAGTCTTGGCAGGAGATCAAGCCACAGTGGCTTCTGCGCAGTGCGCAGTAACCCCTGCACGTGACGGCATGCTCTGCTGGCGTAATACTGCCCCGCCGCTAGTCAGTCCCCACTGTCGATAAATGGCCGTGCTAGCATGGTTTATCATATTGAACAAGTTACCGCCACTTCACCTCCCCTGAAACCCTTTCTCTTTCTCAAACTTCCTTCTCTCTTTCTGCCTGTAACAGTTATCAATTGAATTCTTCATCCGCAATTATGTCTGCTCCCGTCATTCCTCCTGGTAAAACTTGGCTTGATACCTTGAACAAGTCCTTTGTTGATGTCCATGTGGATGCTGCCAATGATAATGCGGTGTCTACCAGTGACTTCCTCGAGGCTGCAGAGTCTTTCACAACCCTTTTTGGTTCGTGGGAAATTTCAGATCTATGATGGGCTATACTAAATTATACAGATGTAATTGGTGTCCTTGCTTTCAATACGGTGAAGAGCGATCTCGTTGGAAATATCAAGGTAATATTCGATTCCCGCAACAAAATTTGGATTGAATGCTCATATGATGTGCTTATAGAAAATCCGCGAACGTCAGCTCGCCGCCCCCGCCGAATCTGAGACATTGCAAGCCCTTGTCATTAATGAACTGAAGACGAAGAAACACACCGCCACGGAAGGACTCCTATGGCTTGTGCGGTATGTTTATAGCTCTGGGATGTGATAATACTTGGTTTGCTAATTATTGCATTCAGCGGCCTTCAATTTACTGGCGAAGCCATCCGCGACAGTCTCGATGCTCCTGATAAGGAATTGGCTGACTCTTTCCGCACGGCCTACGGATCCACCTTGAAGCCTCACCACTCCTTTTTGGTGAAGCCGGTCTTCACTGCTGCTCTTTCCGCCACCCCATACCGCAAAGATTTCTTCAGCAAATTAGGTTTCGACGCCGGTGCGGAGCCTGCCTTGAAGGAATATGTGGCCGCTTTACAAAACCAAGTCAAGATCTTGCAAGACTTCCAATCTCGCAAGGAGGCCCAATGGAAGTAAATTATGGGTTCGAGCTTCAGCCCTTTACCGAAAGACTATACAAGATCATTTGCCAACTATATATACCATTGAAGGTCGATTATCATCTTCGGCGGACTTGTGCTGGATAAGGGATCGTTGTTTATCTGTTCTTAGATGGAAGTGTCATTCTCCTCGGCTACTAAGCCTCCTGCATATATTAAGCGAGCTATTTCCAGATTTCTTCAATTATAAATACTCATTTCGAATCTATCACTGTCTCTTCTAGGCCTTAAGGTAAATACGATAACGTATAGTCCGTTTTGATCCAACCAACAGCCAATAAGCACTTCAGATGAGAACTGCGCTAGTGTTATAATGGGCTAAGCGGCTAGTAAAAACAGCCAATCACATCCAGCAGAAACGGACGGCATGCCTGGGCAGCGCCGCCGATAATCTTAAGCATCCAAGTGGAATTTCTTCTTCTTTCTATCGCTAATGTGGCTTCTTCGACAGCTCCGCGTTATCGAGAAAAGGGTCTGTTTGATCTACCCTTAACCATATCCGCTTAATAATTTTCTATAACCATCTTTTTGGTGCCCTCTTGTTTCACATGAGTAACTGGATTTGATTGCTTTTGCTTTGGTTGACCTGCTGCAGCAGGATCTCCGAGTGGCAAGATGTAAGCAATCTACTATTTCTAACACCCCAGTCATTGATACCATACTGACTATATACTTTAACAAAAAGGGCCAAACTTGTCGTAGACTCTCAAATTGAGAGTGCCTCTCTGCATAACCCCCTTCCGCTCCAGCTACACGCTTACTGGTGGCCGTTCCTCATCGCATGGCCGATTTTCTTTTCGGTTTACTTATCCCCCGAGCTATATGATACCTACATCCAGGGACAAGAATGGACTTGGGTGTATTCGGGATCTATAATCACGCTACAATCATTGTTCTGGTTAATGACTAAATGGAGTGTCAATTTGAATACCCTGTTTACGGCAACGCGGGCGAAATCCGTCGAGACCGCCCAATTGATCAAAGTTATTCCAGTCACCAACGCTGGCGCCCCAGAAATCTGCAAGCTGCTTCGTGATAATACGCGTGGAAAAGAAACAACATCCTTCTTGTTCCAGAAACGACGGTTCCTCTACTATCCTGAGGAGAAGAAATTTGCGCCTTTGACTTATACCCTCGATGAAGAACCGAAGCCCGCTATCAAGACGTTTCAGAAGTCTCGCGGATTGCAGAGTAAGGCTGAAATCGAGCGTATCCAACATCACTATGGCGACAACACGTTTGATATCCCGGTGCCTACATTTGTTGAGTTGTTTCAGGAACATGCTGTTGCTCCATTCTTCGTTTTCCAGGTGTTCTGCGTTGGACTTTGGATGTTGGACGAGTACTGGTACTACTCTCTTTTCACCCTTTTCATGCTGGTCACTTTTGAGAGCACTGTCGTCTGGCAGCGTCAGAGGACTTTGAACGAATTCCGTGGCATGAGCATCAAGCCATACGATATCTGGGTCTTCAGAGAGAACAAATGGCAAGAGATCACGAGTGATAAACTACTTCCTGGGGATCTTGTGTCGGTGAACCGGACAAAGGAAGACGGCGGAGTTGCTTGCGATATCTTGCTCATCGAAGGCAGTGCAATTGTAAATGAGGCGATGTTATCTGGAGAAAGTACTCCTTTACTCAAAGACTCCATTCAACTTCGACCCGGTGACGATCTTATTGAGCCTGACGGACTGGACAAGAACTCATTCGTCCACGGTGGAACGAAGGTGCTACAAGTTACTCACCCGAATCTTGGTGATCTCTCTGAGAAAGCTGCTAATGCCACTTCTGGTGTGCCTACGCCACCCGACAATGGCGCGCTGGGTGTCGTCGTCAAGACCGGTTTCGAAACCAGTCAAGGAAGTCTCGTTCGTACAATGATCTACTCTACAGAACGTGTCTCTGCCAATAACGCCGAAGCGCTTCTGTTCATTCTGTTCCTTCTTATTTTTGCTATTGCTGCCGCTTGGTATGTGTGGCAGGAAGGTGTGCAAAAGGACCGAAAGCGGTCCAAACTTATGCTCGATTGTGTCTTGATCATTACAAGTGTCGTCCCACCAGAACTTCCCATGGAACTGAGTCTGGCCGTGAATACCAGTTTGGCGGCTTTGAGTAAATTCGCCATTTTCTGCACAGAACCCTTCCGTATCCCGTTCGCTGGACGTGTTGATATCGCATGCTTTGACAAGACCGGAACCCTTACTGGAGAAGATCTTCTTGTCGACGGTATTGCGGGTTTGACGTTGGGTCAGCCCGGAGCCAAGGTTGACAAGGACGGCGCCCACACTGAATTGGTTAAGGTTAATGAGGTCGGAAATGAGACCACACTCGTACTCGCTACTGCACATGCGCTCGTTAAGCTTGAAGAAGGTGAAATCGTCGGTGATCCTATGGAAAAGGCTACCTTGTCGTCCTTGGGCTGGGTTTTGGGTAAAGATGATGTTCTGTCCAACAAGACTTCGACCGGCTCTCAAGGAGCAGAATCCGTCCAGATCAAGAGGCGCTTTCAATTCTCATCTGCTCTCAAGCGCCAAAGTTCCATCGCCCACGTTACGACTACCGACAAGTCTTCTGGCAGAAAACACAAGGCTACTTTCGTTGGTGTAAAGGGCGCTCCTGAGACCATCCGTACTATGCTTGTACACACTCCTCCTGAGTACGAAGAGACTTTCAAGTACTTTACCAGAAACGGGGCTCGTGTTCTGGCTCTGGCCTACAAGTATTTGTCCAAGGATGCGGATTTTGGCCAAGGTCGTATTAATAACTACTCGCGCGAGGATATTGAGTCTGATCTTCATTTTGCTGGTTTCCTTGTTCTTCAATGCCCATTGAAAGAGGATGCCATCAAAGCCGTTCGTATGCTCAATGAAAGTAGCCATCGTGTGGTCATGATTACCGGTGACAACCCTCTTACTGCTGTTCATGTCGCCCGCCAGGTAGAAATCGTTGACCGGGAGGTATTAATCCTCGATGCACCTGAAGATGACAACTCGGGAAGTCGACTTGTATGGCGCAGCATCGACGACAAGGTCAATATTGAAGTTGATCCGTCGCACCCTCTTGATCGAGAGATTCTACAGACCAAGGATCTTTGCGTAACCGGATATGCATTGAGTAAATTCAAGGATACCCCTGCTTTCTCTGATCTTTTGCGCCATACTTGGGTATATGCCCGTGTTTCGCCTAAGCAGAAGGAAGATATTCTTTTGGGTATGAAAGCTGCTGGATACACTACGCTCATGTGTGGCGATGGTACCAACGACGTCGGAGCACTCAAACAAGCTCATGTTGGTGTTGCACTGTTGAACGGAAGTCCAGAGGATCTCACGAAGATTGCAGAACATGCGCGCAACACCAAGATGAAAGAGCTGTACGAGAAGCAGGTCCAGATGATGGCACGATTCAACCAGCCTCCGCCTCCAATTCCCGTTCACATTGCTCATTTGTATCCTCCCGGTCCCAACAATCCACACTACCAAAAGGCTATTGAACGCGAAGCGCAGAAGAAGGGTCAGCCCGTACCAGCACCTGGAGCTGTTGCGGCTCCATTCACTCCTGCACAGCAAGCACTCACACCTCAGCAACTACGTCAAACACAAGCTCAAGCTACTGCGGCCGGACTTGCGGACAAGCTGACGTCTTCGATGCTGGAAGCAGAACTGGATGACGAACCACCTACCTTGAAGCTCGGAGATGCATCAGTCGCCGCTCCGTTTACTAGCAAACTTGCAAATGTCATGGCAATTCCCAACATTCTTCGTCAAGGTCGTTGCACTCTTGTTGCGACAATTCAAATGTACAAGATCCTTGCTCTGAACTGTTTGATTAGCGCATACAGTCTGAGTGTCATCTATCTGGACGGAATCAAGTTTGGAGATGGTCAAGTTACTATTAGTGGAATGCTGATGAGTGTCTGCTTCTTGTCGATTTCTCGCGCCAAGGTGAGTTTTCTACTGCTGGCAGTACGTATGAATGTGAGCTAACATGCATATCAGTCTGTTGAAGGCCTTTCCAAAGAACGACCTCAGCCAAACATCTTTAACGTGTACATCATTGGTTCCGTTCTTGGACAGTTTGCCATTCACATTGCTACATTGATATATCTATCCAACTATGTTGCAAAGATTGAACCGTACGTTATCTTCCTTTCATTCTAGTAACTATCAACTAACATCTACCAGACTAACCGGCGAAGTTGACCTCGAAGGAGAATTTGAGCCTTCTCTACTCAACAGTGCGGTCTATCTCCTCCAACTCATCCAGCAAATCTCCACCTTCTCAATCAACTACCAAGGCCGTCCCTTCCGTGAATCCATCCGCGAAAACAAGGCCATGTACTGGGGTCTCGTAGGCGCATCAGGCGTCGCCTTCTCCTGCGCCACCGAGTTCATCCCTGAGATCAACGAAAAATTGCGCCTGGTACCATTCAGTGACGAATTTAAATTCACGCTCTGTGTGCTTATGATCCTTGATTACGGTGGCTGCTGGTTGGTGGAGAATGTGCTCAAACAGTTGTTTAGCGATTTCCGGCCCAAGGATATCGCTATTCGGCGCCCGGATCAGTTGGAGCGTGAACAGGCGAGGAAATTGGAAGAGCAGGCTGAGGCGCAAGCTGAGGCGGAGAAGAATCGCAAAGTTTGATCTTTCTTCTCTTGTCTTTTGTGATTGTTGGGGTTGGGTTTGTGAGGTTATGGTTTTGTTTAGATTTTCTATTGGCTTCTAGTCTTTGATTCAGTTCATTATCATGTATAAAGAAGACTTCTTGACGTTGTTATAGAACGTTTTACAAGTACAGAAGCACAAATTCAATTATAATCTTTTATAACCCTATTACTTCCCTTTTTAAAACTTGCTTCTTACGATTCAAGGTTGATTTATGTATACGGAGATATGAAAAGACAACAAAGATTTCCATATTTGACTTTAAAACCCCTCGCGCAAGAACAATTGAGGAAAATAAAAATGCATCACGAAAACAAAACAACGAAAACAACCACGTGTAGAACGAACACAAAGAACCCCGTCAGCCCATACCGAAGAGACCAGAGATTAGATAAAAAAGAGAAAACGTCAGGAAAACCGAGCCATAGACTAGCAGTATCATAGCGAGAAAACCAGGAAGAAACTATATCAGCCGACGAATGGAAAAAGAAAATTTTCCCTAATCAAATATAATCATACACTGAGGGATGATTGTGTTCCTTTTTGTTTTTCTCAGTTGAGTTGGAAGAGAAGAGAATAAAGAAATGGTTTAGGAGGATTCTTCCTCTTCATCGCCACCAGCCTGGATTGAATAGTCAGAACTGATATACTACAGAAGGTATAGGAGTGGGGTAGAACTTACCAAATAGCTGGCCTTCTGGTCCTCGTAACGCTTCTTGTCGGCAGCAGCCTTGTCTTCGTATGGCTTTCGCTCAGCATCGCTCAATCCCTTCCACAGCTCACCGAGCTTGCGACCAAGGGCGCCTAGATGACGGTCACGTTAGTTGATTGTAGGGGTCAATAAGACAGGCGAAACATACCAAAGGCAATGCCGGGGTTCTCATCTCGGACACGTTCACGGTTCTCGTTGGCAAAGAACATGTAAGCAGAGAGACCGCGCTTAGGGGCGTTAGGGTCTGGTGTTGTGGTTAGCTAGCTACTCGGTTCGTTGTGAAGATCTGGACTTACCCTTCTTTCTCTTCTCGCTGCGGGGCTTGGTCTTGCGGGTGGTTGTTTTTTCCTTGGGCATCTTGATTCTTGATTATCGGCTAGAAAGAGGTCAGTCAACTTGGTTCTTAGAAACTGAGAGAGAGAGATATATATATATATATATATATATATATATGTGTGTGTGTCAAGAGATAAATAAGCAAGGGAAATGGTTGGGTTTGAGGGGTCAATTTTGCTGGCGCTCAGTCGGCAGACATATGCGACCAGGAAAATCAAGACAAGAAACGCAACAAGCAAGCGCGCAGTGAGATACGCGACGAAGGTGCAGTTGATGAGAGTGGTGTTTGGTGTTGCGGGCGGGACGCGGATCCCCAAACACCAATTCCATCGCGTCTCCCCAGGTTGAAAAGGGAAGTTGGTTGGATGTTTTGTGTTTTGATGATCAACTCACAAGCGATGGGGATGGAAAAGAGCCAATTTGAACGAGAAAGGAGATTCAAACTTTCAAAATTCAGTAAATCGATAATTTCGTGTCAATGAATAATAGTGGTGGGTGATGGAGTGGTTAGGGTAATGACAAGAGGAAAGCGCAGAGTGAAGGCGACGAGGCGCGACCAGGAGCGAAAATGAAGCAATTGCAAATCAAAAGACGCGTGAATCAAATGGAAAAGAACGAGAAAAGACGTGGGGGGGAGGGCAATGGAAGGTGGAAGATATTGGCGGACACGAAAATTATATGAGGGATGTTTATTAGCTTACCTTGTATAGAAGTAGTAGGAGTTGTATGAGAGAGCAGTTTGTATGGGAGAGAGAGAGTATGTAGAGAGAAGAGATAGTATTAGAGAGAGAGGGAGAGAGAGAGAGGAGAGAGAGAGTGAGGGAAGGGCGGGACTCTCTGTCAAAACAGCCGCAGTCTGCTTGCGACACTACCGTTACCGTATTATTACGCCTGACACAGTGCGCGTACAGCTTGATCGTGTATCCGGATGTAATCTTGCTAGTCAGTGTCCACCGTCAGCAAGGGCGGCCCATAACATCAGTTGTACGGTATGGTATATAAGTATATTTATTAATTATGCTGTATTTTATTGCTATTTTTTTAGAGCGAGGATTTTAATTTTTACCTTTATTAAGTACGTACACTCTAAAAGAAGAGCGTATATGGCGGCGTTGAGCGTAACATACAATACCCGTTTTACCAGCTCTGGAGGCCTGTATCCATATCACTAAGCTCATATTACGTAGCACGTATTATTTGTTAATTGCATGTGAGGTATATTATTATTTCTCTTGAATATGCTGTGGAATTGATGGTATATACATTACAATATTATCCTTCCTTTACACTCGATCGCGTAAGGATGGTCGCGATCATCCGGAAAGCTTGATAATCCTGGACACGTAGAGTACTACACCCTTAAGCAGGCCGGCAGTAGTCAAGTTAATAGCCCCCAGCCATTAAGTAAGCTATGATTGGTATACAGATGTACATACATGCCCGCATTGACATTCCGGAGTTGACTGCTCGACTTCATTTAATCACGTATTCCAGAGAAACTCACCCTAGTCATCGCAGCAGCCGACATCGTTACTGCAAGACGGAGTTAGTAGTATGCTCACTCATGGTGGTGTGGGTTCTAGACGCGTCGTGACAGTCATATACATTCACCCACCGAAACCCCGACGCTCCCATATTAAATTGATCTATGTAGCCGGTATTATGCATACTTAAGTTCACCACAAATACACCAATTTTAAATTATTAATGCATGTCACTTTTGCAGAGCAGCATCTGAACCAATCAGATAATGTACCCACTATCGTCAAACATGATTGGATAAGAGCCATCGTCAAGTAAACAATCAGCCTCGTAGGGCTCTGATATAAGGTGGTCCTCAAACAAAACGATGATTGAGTAAAAGAGCTCATCAAATGTGTTGAAGTATCAGTCAAGCTCCTCAAGCACCGAATCGCGCAGTCGGTCATCGCGAGCCCAGTCAACTCCGCTTCCTACTACCAATGCGCTTAAGACACTCTTGATAGTGTCGCGCTGGGCTCGGGTCTTTTTGTATTCTTGTTCAATCTCCTCCATTCGGGCTATCAAAGCTTCGTCATCGACTCGATCGCGCCACGATGTCTCTTGGGCGGTCAGCTCCAAAAGCTCAGAGGCCAGTCCTTTATTCTGTTCCATTAAACGTAGATTCTCAACCTCTGCATTTGACAGTGCTTCAACTGTAGCGGTTCGCGCGTTGGCTAGATTCTCATAAACGAGGGAAAGTACGTCTCGGCGGTTGGTCAGCGGAAGAAGGGCTCTATGAAAGTAATCAGTCTCTTTGTTCCCGGTCTTCTCCATGTAGGTCTGCTGAGGATACCTTTCTGCAGGGGTTGCTGCCTTCATATGCACTGCTTTCAGAACTGGATCCGTGATGAGTATTGATTCAGTGGCTTTCCTTCGCACTGTAAAAGTCGCGCGCGCTTCTAGCAGTTCGCGCTCTGCGACTGAGAGTTGCTCCTCCGCATCTTCGGTGCCAGTTTCCTCTGGATCTATACGCGTTATTAGTATTTGGGGGGGGGGGAAAAAAGGCGGAGGAGAAGTGGGGGGGAGTAGCAAGAATACCTTGCTCTAAAATGGCGCGTTCAAGCTCCAGTTCCTGAATCTGGTCGTAAAGCTGCAATAGTAGCTCCTCCTTGCTAGAAAGCGACAAGACTTCTCGGCGATCGTCAGCTGCCAAATCTAGCAGGGCCGTCTCCGCCTCCGTCAAGCCTAACGTAATAGACACATTCTGATCTTTGTCATTTGAGGCCATGAACGGAATTATATTAGTTGTCGTCAGAAGGTAGAAGGTTGCATCTCGTGATTGATGAGGGTTTATCGCTCTGGAACAATTGGGTCGTGCCTTCTCGATAGATACCTCCACTAAGCCGTTTTGGGTCAGAGCTCTGCTGTTGCGTCACGTTAACCTTACCGCCTAGCTACCGTTGGATCATCTCCAAATCCAAATACTGCTCCGGCTTCGACATACATTATTTATTCTTTCGGCCTCGCTGGACCTTTTCTTCGGACTCCCTGCTTCTAGGGTGCCGGCGGAGAGACCAGCAATGTCTTTACATATCTATATTGCTCACACCGGTGAGCATCTACTGGCAAATCCAGTTTCCTTTGCTTCGTAAGTCGACCTGACAAATTACCACGTGCCGTCCAGCTTTACTGGGAGTGCATGGGGATTGTATAATTGATGGAATACTGATTTCAACATTCGGCTAGTCCGGATGCTCTCCGATCATGGATTGCCCGCAACACTTCCATCGCTTCTCAGAGGCAGATATTAATGACCGCCCGCGGAAAGAATGTCAAGCTCCAAACATTAGCCACAGAGGTATGTGATATACGAAGTGGCTTTCTATGATCCCGGCCCTCCATACTAAATCAATCATAGGACGAAATTTTCGTCTATGATAGGCAGCTAGTTAGTGATGCCGGCTCCGTTGAGCTCCCCGATCTCCCCCAACCACCGCCATTCAAACCGAAGAATCCCCCAGACACTCTCACCGATCAGAATGATCTCCAGTCGTGGCGTAATCTCTACATGGCTCGCAGGACTTGGGCCTTGGCTTTAGCGGAAGAATGTGTTCCCGTCAATCAAGCTCTTCAAGAGCACAACGAACGTATCGACATCATCTACCGCGGCGTTGGTGTGGCTCTCGAAAACCTTAAATCTCACGTGGCCAGCTTGGAAAACAGGTTTCAGGAAGCCCAAACATGGGCAGATGATCTCCTCAAGGAACAGAGATCAGCTTTAGAGGGGTGGCAGACTGCTTTGGACAAATTGAAGGCTATACCGGCGAGGAAAGATATAACGTTTCTCGGACGTCCGTCGACACCGAAAAAGGAAACGAAAAATCGATCAAGTGGAACACTCCAGGACTTTCTGGATGTAGATGAAGTGCGGCGAGCTGCTTCAAGGGGCACAACTGTATCGCAGAGCTTCTCTCGTCGCGTGGATGACGTCCAAGCGGCAGTTCGCAGCATCTCGTCGGACACCCAGGCTTTGCTACAGCAGGCCCAGCCGCCAATCATTGATGGGAGCCATGGTCTGTTGGAAGAGGTGGAGACCTTGGCGAAGAAAGTGAGCTCCGATTATGAACATGTACTCAGTCTACCCAGCAATCAAAAGAGCCTGGCAAACATCTCAAGGATGGCGCTAGGACATACAAAGGAACTATTACCATCTCTTCGAGAAATCAGCCTTGAATTGCACACTGCATTAAACCAGGCTGTTCAGCACCGAATTGCTGCAATGAAGGCTGCAGTCAATCATATGCGGACTGTATCCTCGTTGGAGTCTCGTCTAGCGGATGTTCAGGCACAGATTGCCAAACTGGACGTTGACGCAGATGTCTTCGATATTGTATTCGAGGTGTACCATTTGCCAGTAGCCTACGGCTCGGTTCTTGTGGAGGCTGTTCGGCGCCGTGAATGGAGTGAAAAGCTAAAATCAGACTCGCTCACATTAGCCGAAGAAATTGCTGTCTTCCGGGATGAAGAACAACGTCGCAGAAAGAAATGGGCGAAGTCGATGGGAGAGCTTTTAGTACTCCCCGATGATGTGACTCCCGGTCTAGAGATCAACATGCAAGGTCAAGGGCAAGACTGGCCTGAAGTCCATCGCAAAGAGATCGAAGTCTATATTGATACCCTCAAAGCACAAAATGATATGACATCCATAGTCGAAGAAGTGTCCCAACTCTACGCGGACCTTGATAAGCCTACACGACAGCAAAAACGTCGAGCGAAGGCTTTTAAACATGGAAGCGTGATTGACATGGGACGCAGCTCGCTGCTCATACGAGGTGATGACATGGTGCGCAGTCTTCAAGATGAGAAATTCAAACTTGAAGAAAAGGTCAAAACTTCGGAAAGTCGAATTCGGAAGCTGGAGGATTTACTGCATCGCCAAAGCCACATAGCAAGGCCGCTAAGTGGAAATTTCAGCACTGATTTCCCTATGTCTCCGGCGTCTCCGCGACCGGATACATTGTCAAGACGGTCGTCTGTCTCATCGAGGCGAATGTCATCCAACCAAACAGCTGAGGATAAAGCACTAGTACAACGAATTGTAGGACTTGAGGCAGACCTTGCTACAGAGAGAGAAACCGTTCAACGACTTCAAAAGGAGGCCCGTATGGAGCGTCAATCATCAACGGACAGGATGCAAGAAGTTCAATCCACCAAGGAAGACCTCATTAAGAATCTAGAGTCTAGACGAAGAGAATTCGAGGATGAGCGCAAATTCTTAGAGGCCGATGCCAAACAATTACGACACAGAATTGAAGAGCTTGAAGAAGAACTGTTCAATGTCCTAGACCGTCGTGATCATGAGACAAAAGAATTAGAGGAGCGTTCTCAGAAGCTGGAAGAACAACTTATAGCTGCAGAGACTCGTACTACCAAGGAACTTGAGAACGCACAAACAGAGCTACAAGCTTTGCAGGATAAGTTTTCTCGTGAGAAACATCGAGCTAGTGAATTGGAGAGTGCCATTTCCGCCGACAAGGAACGACTGTCGAATCAAGAAGCCAAGATTTCTGAATTACAAGTGCAGCTTGAGACATTGCATAGTCAGAACCGGGAAAATCTGAACACGTTGCAAGCAGCACATGCTATTCTTTCTCCAGAGCGCTCAGCGCCATCCGACTTTGCTTCCTTGGTCAAAGCTATCGAGATCCTAGCTGAAGGACTAACGATTCACGCACGGAACACAGAGCAATCTCACGCATCTTTGCTTCAGGAGAAGAAGGACTTGGAAGAGAAGCTTGACTTACAGCAATTGGAAGTTGACGGTCTACGTGGGACGATTGATACTCACAGGGCCGAAATGGCTAAAGTGCAAAACGAGCTTCTGCAAGAGCAGTCCCAGGTGTCAGTACTTAAAAGCGAGCTTGCTGATGAAAGAAGCCAACTTCACCATTTGCGGACAAAATTTTCGGCTGGAGAAACTGGGTCCGAGGTCTTGCGTGAGCGCTTAGCGGAGGAAGAGGGTAAAGTCGCGTCTATGTCACAGAAATTGATTCAACTCAATGCGCAAGCGCACACGGCCGAAGAGGAGGCCAGAGAATTCCGCGAAAAGCTGGAATTAGCACAGGAGTCTGAGAAACAGTTGACCGCGATGTTGAATGCACGTGGAAACAAAGCTCAAGAGGTTTCTCAACGGCTTCTCGCACAAGCCGAAGGAATAGGACGTATGCTAGAGCAGCTAGGATTCGCCATAGTCCTAAAGGACGATCAGCTCATCGTACAAAGGGCATCCAAAGTAAACAGCGCCTCGGCTTCAGGAGAACTTCTGGCTTCGTCCACAGTTGCATCTCTTCGACCGGATCCGACTCTATCGACGTGGATACAGGACAAAGCAGATGAGGAAGATGCTAAATTCAAGGAATTCATGGATTCCATGGCGAAATTTGATGTCGAAGTCTTTGGCGAGTCGGTGGTGAAGAGGGAGAAAGACATTGAGGTTCTAGCGCGGAAATGGCAGAAGGAAGCAAGAGGTTATCGCGACAAATACCACCGCATGCAAAGCGAAGCGCATGAAAAGATTGCCTATCGATCTTTCAAAGAAGGTGACCTAGCGCTTTTTCTTCCGACCCGGAACCAGGCCATTCGGTCTTGGGCTGCGTTCAATGTGGGCGCTCCACATTACTTCCTTCGAGAGCAGGACGTACATAAGCTATCGACTCGAGATTGGTTGCTAGCCCGCATTGGCAAGATAGAAGAGCGGGTTGTTGACCTCTCCAAGTCCATGAATGGTGGTAATCAGGACCGTCGTTCCATCACCAGTGACGGGACCTCGTTCGATGATGAGAACCCCTTTGAATTATCCGACGGATTGCGATGGTACCTACTAGATGCAACTGAGGAGAAACCAGGCGCTCCCAGTACCCCAGGGCTAGGCAAAAGTACTGTTGCTTCTGCTCCCATTGATGCCAAAGGGTCGATCCGCCTTAAACGGTCCGCTGCTGGAGGCAATGTGGCTAAGACGTTGACAAAGAGCCTGGACAGTCGTAGAAACAGCTCTGCATCGAAGAAGGGAGCACCGGTTCCGACGCTAGCTGCAGCTGAGTCAATTGGAGACAATGTGCAGCCTGCTGATGCCGACACTGGATTACAGCCCAGGGAGTTTGACCCCATATTTGACGAGGTTCGCCGTGACTTGTTACTGCGGAAATCTTGAGCCCGAGATCTCCCCAGGTTAGTTTGCATTGTCCCTAGATGCACTGACGGATCCACAGGCTTCTGAACAACTCCAGGGGATTCCGTCAAGGTCTCCAACCGTGCGACCAGGGCTAGACGACTTACACTCTAGTGCCTCTTCGCCGAACAAGCGGCCATCAAGATTAAGACCGTGGGAGAAAATATGGTCTCTTGATTACAGGGTTGAGGGTCACAGGCAATGAGTTCTCCAGTACGGATGAACTGCTATTCTACTCTGTTCGAACTCACCAGGTTCACTTTACCATTATGTTCCTTTTGACTCTTGTTTGAACGATACCCCTATCACTTTGCATTTGTCTATATAAGCACTGCATAATTTGCATCGGGAAAAGTTCTGTGCATAGATCATGGATGTATAGCGCAGCGTTCCACATTGTTTGATTGACTTTTCGTTTCTGATGTTCGGTTTTAGACCAATGGGTATACCAATATCATTTATTACATATTCAGGGGTTGAATTCAATGTATAAAACCTTACGAGCCCCTATATGTCGAATAATTCCAAGGCCCCAACAAAACAGGCACATGATAATGTCTCCAACCCTCCTCACCTTCAACACCGCGTCCGCGCACCGTAAATTTGACCTCCACCTCTGGCCAGAAACTCTCTACTCCTTGTGCCTCGAACCATGGTCCAACGTCGAAGCGAATAGACCAATTCGTCTTGGAAGCTGGCGCTGGGAGGGATTCTAGGAAAGAAGAGACTGTATCGGTTTGTGGGGAAGAGGATGGGGAAGAGGATGGACTCCAGGTCTTTATTCTTCCGTCTGAGTCTGTAATGGCTGTGAATGTGCGTTCGGTGGGCGTGTTTTTGCTTGTATTCCCCGAGGAAGAAGACAAAAGAGTTAATGTGCAAGGTAGATTCGCTGCTGGAGTTCCAGTCAGGGTATTAAGGACGTGACAGGTAATCGGGTCGCGAGCCATGGCGATTGATGGATTTGGTTGCTGTTGTTGATGATAGTCGACAGTTTTCGCTAGATCGCTGATATGCTGCGCGTAGAGTGTAAGACGTTCCCCGGTTCTGGTTGATCTGTCCATAGGTTGGGTCGTGATAGTGGTGAAATGTAGTTAGTTAACTAATCATGCGGGGAGGAGCAAGATACTTTATGTAGATTATCGCAGCATCGGAAATCGCCGCCCGCCATGGGAGCTTGCTGAGAGCTCCGGTGGTGGAGCACCAGGATAGCAGCATATGCAGAACCAGAACTTTTTTCTGCTTGAAGATGTAGTTAGTCAATGAGTAAGGATATACAATTCAAATGAATTGTAGGTTGTTTTGTAGCTAAGCTGTAGCTAAGTGTCTGGTACCCCACTATTTGGGATGATTGTTGTGACATCTTATTTCTTCCGGAAACTTCGATTTAGCCACATATCCTATCAACAACCCCAAACCTCTTCATCCCAGATATAGCCATATCGATATTATTCTGAGGGGTTGCTCTAATTGTTCCTATTCTTGTCGCTCACTTATTCTCACCCATTGATACCCCCGCCATGTCGTCAACCGCCCTCATCCACGACGACGAAGCTCTCGAGCCCACCCTCCAATCCATCCTCGACCAAAAGACCCTCCGATGGATCTTCGTAGGCGGCAAAGGTGGTGTCGGTAAAACAACCACCTCCTGCTCTCTCGCAATCCAGCTTTCCAAAGTCCGCAAATCGGTCTTGCTCATTTCGACGGATCCCGCGCACAATCTTAGCGATGCCTTTGGGCAAAAGTTTGGCAAGGAGGCGCGTTTGGTCGATGGATTTACGAATTTGAGTGCCATGGAGATAGATCCGAATGGTAGTATTCAGGATTTGTTGGCTTCTGGGGGAGAGGCGCAGGATGATCCGTTAGCTGGACTCGGGATGGGGGGCATGATGCAGGATTTGGCTTTTAGTGTGAGTTACAACTTCTCTTTAAACTTTTGCATATTTCGGCGATGAATGGACTGAGAAGATTGAGTAGATCCCTGGCGTTGATGAAGCCATGTCATTTGCCGAGGTGCTGAAACAAGTGAAATCCCTATCATACGAAGTGATTGTCTTCGACACGGCGCCTACAGGCCACACCCTTCGTTTCTTACAGTTCCCAACCGTGCTTGAAAAGGCATTAGCAAAGCTCTCTCAACTCTCGGGCCAATTCGGGCCTATGCTAAACTCAATCTTGGGCTCGCGCGGTGGATTACCAGGCGGACAGAATCTGGACGACTTGATGTCAAAGATGGAATCGCTCCGTGAAACGATCAGTGAAGTCAATACGCAGTTTAAAAACGCCGACATGACTACATTCGTCTGTGTCTGCATTGCCGAGTTCTTGTCGTTGTATGAGACGGAACGAATGATTCAAGAACTGACGGGTTATTCGATTGATACACACGCTATCGTGGTCAATCAGCTGTTGTTCCCTAAGAAGGACAACCCTTGCGAGCAATGCAATGCGCGAAGGAAGATGCAGAAGAAGTATCTAGAGCAGATTGAGGAGTTGTACGAGGACTTTAATGTCGTGAGGATGCCTTTACTGGTGGAGGAGGTGCGAGGGAAGGAGAAGCTGGAAAAGTATATCTCTTCCCATACCGTATCACTGAAGAAGGCAAGCAATGCAATGCTAATTAGATTACAGGTTCAGTGAAATGTTGGTGAAGCCCTATGTTCCGCCGGAGTAGGCCTTGGGCATTGTGCTTGACGGTTGAGTATGAGTGATGAAAATAGATAATAATGAGACATTCCTCAAGTTCTGAATTATATCTCCATATGGACTGTCATGTGTAAAGGACGACTGCCGGGCGAAGTTACACATCTATATTCAGGCCGAACCAGCAGCTACGAGTCCTGGCCCGGGTGGCTTCCAGGATTCACCGGTAAGAAGCTGAAGGATATCAAGTAGATCGAGTTGGATCTCATGACCAGGGATGACACGACAATGATTAGTGCTTTGTCCTAGACATCCGAGGATGCTGCATACACCAGCATTTTGTTAGAATTTGCAAGCCGGTAATAGACTATTGAGAAAGTAGTCAAGTTCTACCCGGGGTCACCCTAATCTCCGGATATGCATGATGGTTGTACTTATACTCGAACAGGGTCTATCCTTGTTCATGAGCCGAATCAAGCTAGATATCTACCAACATACCCTTAGAGTTTAGGGCGACCCTGGAGGTTGTATCAACGACGAAGATGAAACGTTCGCCACCGACATCAGGGCATAGCGTGAGGCGTTTCAGAAGGCTTGAGATCTACGTACTGTCGAAGCGCAATTGTGGTGATGGTCAAATTCTTGTTTCTTATTTGATACCAAATGGTGTTGACCACAGGCATACCTCTACGATGTGCAGATCAATACTCCACAAATCTGATAGGATATATTGGAGCTTGGACCCAGATCGAAGACCATATCAGTGATTCCAGATCTATGATATCGCCTAGGCCGTGGATCCTGAGGCATACAACCGCTAACTCGCAGGCCAATCACTCCACTTACGACGCGGTTGAACTTGTAGTACTCGCGAGACTCTAGTCATCGTGGTTAACAGTCACCCTGGGGCAGAGCTGCGCCAAAGAGCCGACTAGGACTGCACGTCGGAGCATATATCTCAATCTGATACGGCCTGCACTGGTGTATAGATACATATTGCCGATCCCCGAGCTGGCATATCGTTGTAGCATTCATGTAACATATCCCGACCTTCCGAAAGTCAGTAACGACTTGCCCGGGCTGTCGCCAATTCAATTCTTTGTAGGGAAACAATCCGGTTGTACATAGGTAGTACCTAGATCAGAACACAGTATCCGGACGAAGTCGAGGTATCCCACTCCACAAAAAGCTCGTCCACGGTCTCGACCTCGAAATCTGTACAAGTCACCTATACAGTGTATAATGTCGTGGAGTACGTCGTAGAAAGTGGTAACACGGCTTGCAGACCGCTTTTCTTCAGATGCAAGGACTGAGTACAGTACAACGGACATAGTATGATATACAATCAGGGTCGGTGAGTCGAGACCAATCCAGTCTTGGCTGGTCAGGTTTCAAGACATGTTGGGCCTCTGTGGATATTGTTTTGGGAGTTAATAGCATGTCTCTTTGTTGTATGATTGCACCTATTTTGTGGGGAAAGATGAAGGTATCAACAATCCAGTTGGGAGGAAGAAGACAAATCCGGCGAGTTGCAGCAGAAAGTCCCGTGGCCGCATCGACCACTCCGCCTTTTGCTTCTTACCTCTACATACCCTCCCACATAGTATATCAGATTACAGACGCAATGCCTCGCGAATCGGCTCCGAGGAATTGAAAGAAACAGCCTCTTCACCGAAGATCAGAAGAATTATGAGATGCAATTATCAACAGAACGACTGCTTCCTGAGAGGCAGTCCGACACTGTTGGAGGGGCCACGACAATCGTACGTACTCGACGTTGGGGCGCTTGCATGCAGCAAAAAATCCGAACCAGTTCTATTTAAGAGTATTATATGGGAGCCTGAGTCCCACTGGGCCACTGTTCGCATCGCCGTGGTGACCGCGCAGTCTTTCGGTGTCCAGTCCCCTGACTAGAAAGAAAGAGAGACCCAAGCACAAATGAAAAGGACCAGTGATAAGGCGAACTATCGAGTGCTTACTACGACCCCAATGACAATTCGCTAGCACCGAGAACTCAGAAAAGGCTAGTATGCTAGCCTCACTTTTCGTGCCGTGAAAGGGGAAGAGAAAAAGTGAGGCGGAACATCGTCGGTCGTTTCTTAATCTCGGCCCCCCATCTCTTTTCTCAGCCAGCTGCCCTTCCTGATGCGGTGACGCCAATGGAAATGAGAAGAATAGAGAAGGGGGATGCTTCTTAATATAGGATGCAATGCATTGTCCTCCTCAATTGGTAAGATAGCTCAAAGGCGAGAACGGGCATCGGCGCTGATTCTGACATTTGAATTTGTGTGGAGATGCAACATCGCTGCAAAGCTTGGATCGATCACCAAAGAAAGATCGAAAAACTTACTTTTCGAGCAGCCGACCCCGTTCAGGCTAATATGGACTATTTCCGGACTATTTCGAATGGAGAATTACATGCTGTATGTAATACTTTCAGAGTTCCAGGCTATAATTTGTTTTTTTTTCTGTAGCATTAGCACTGTTGTGCTATTGTGGGACTTAAGCCTAGCCAGAAATCACTGAGCCCTGTGCTTAAAAGCTCAATCCCGGTTAACTGGACGGCTCTCTCGGCTTTAGAGTTTTCTTGGAGATACCTAGACTCTTTTAAATGGTCGTGTTGATGCACTGAATATACGTACCGGCTCTTCCTGACCCTCACACTAACTCGGTGATATTGTTGTTGGGCATTTCAACCCAGTGATACAGTACTCCAGTCACTTTTGTATGTACATGGCTTGTATAAGGGACAAAAGGTATCAACATCATCAACAAACAATGTCGGGCGCTCGTGAGCAACAATATTGGCTTCCTGGCTATGGTCTTTCTCGCCATATTGTACTCGGACATATACAATATTTCCTTGGTCCCAGTGCTTCAGCTAGGCCTTTCACCTACCAGGTAACAAACGGAACGCTTTGCAGCCATACAACCAGATCTTTTTCAGTATCTAACCCTGATACAGGGACGTGAGGGCTATCTGATCAACGGAATGCCTCTAACGCGAGTGAGTGACTATTATTGTCGACGATAGGAATCCAAAGGTTGCTGATGGGAGACCTCGTGCCCCTAGGAGCAAATCAACGACCTAGCTGTGATGTCCAGGGAATATGAACGGCAAGAAGCGGCCAGGATGACTACCCACGCAGGCCTGGATACCTCATATTCCGGACAAGCATCAGAGCCTTATATCAATGAGCCTATCCCGGTTCATCAGCGTCCTCAGGCTCGCAGACGCCCACATCGGATCGATAATCGTCGAGCTCGTTGAGGTCGCACACCACACGCATGACCTTGGACATATACAAAGGGTATTATCTCAGCAAATTCACTTTGCTGCAAGCTTTGATACTTTTTTCTTTCCAATTCTCCTGTATAACAATAACAAGGGACGGCTCTTTGTTATATCTTTTTGCTGGGATCAACAGTACCGATCATAGTCACCACGACACGGACGAATCTCCCAATGCAGCTACCTGCTTTGGCAGGCATTATGGCATTGAGATGGTCAAGCCGACTTTTATCCCGCTATAGATCCTCTCGCTATGGAGTCAGTCTTCAACAGACCGGAGGGATTGTGCACACTCAGAACGCCATGAAGCGAACAAGAGGTTGAATCTGGTAGCTTCAATTTCGGTTCTTTTTCTTTCTCTATTCGCATCTCTTATGTCCCTCTGGCGTTTTGTTTTGATACCTCGAACTCGTCTTTGTTTTATGTGTTTTCCATGTCTGTATCAACGTGTAGAGCCTGGCTGTAATAATGAAAGGGCTCTCCATATATAAACAAATAACATCTTGGATCCTTTAATAGAAATGAAGAACACGAATAGTCAGATAAGCTAACCATTATATTGGGTTGCTTCCCAAGCTAAGATTGAGCTAACTTCTAATAGTAGTCTCCCAATATGGATTGTGGTATTTGAGCGGCGACAATAGCTACTTATTGCCAGATCTTTCTTTTTGATCCTGGTTGTATGGGCATTGACTTTTTCTCTAGAACCTGTTCGATATTGAAGGGTGGCCCTAACTGGTGCACGTTCTGGAAGATCGTAGTAGTGATCTTTCTGTTCCATTCGTCCTCAGGGGCTTGTTTGAGGTGGCTGACGGGGCTAGGTCTGCTGGAAGATCCATTTCGTACGCCGAATCTCAAACTTATCGTTTTATCGGAAATGGTCCGATTGCTCAAGTCACTTGTAAAGGGGTTGAGCTCATATAGTCTGTGTGCCTTCGGGTCCGTACCAATTTCGTGCATCTCCTTCGCGATCTCATCCTTGAGAATTACCGCCCAAACTTCAGTGACTGAAAAAATGGCTCAAGTTGGATTTTGTTCCTACATATCCGTGTTATACTCAGCGTGACTGAGCCTCTTGCAGAGGTGAGGCCACCGAGGGCAGTGTAGATTCCCAATCTTTTTCTATAGGCATCCAATCTTCTTCTAGCATATCAGTGAGACCTCTATCTTATTAAGAATGGGGACGGTATAATCATTCATCGTGAACCACAGAAGGCAAAGAGGCTTCTTTATCATCGTTAAGATCAGAATCTTGGAAAGCCTTGGAAAGCTTTGGATCCGGGGAATTGGCTTTAACTAGTCGACGTTTGAACTCAGGCGAAATATCCACATGGGTGACTGAATAGATCGGACTAGGGTCGATGTCTGGTACGTCAGGATTCTCAGCGGTTTCGAAGAAAACTTGCACCTCGTCCAGACTATCAAGATCCTCAAAGACTGGGTCGACATTGGAGGATTCAAGGCGTGAGTAGAGACCGTGTGGTGCAACTGGTATCGATACTCCAGAACAGTAAGCTTTCGATCTTATTTTGTCAGGGAAACACGCCCTTAATCCAGGATCCAATCGGAGTCCCTCGCTCTAAGAAGCCATAGTTCGTATTAAAGCGCGTAGCAGATGAGCACAATCATGGCACTACAGCGAGTAGCTTGTATAGAGATGTTGAAATCTTCAGCGCTACCACCCAGCGCCGTTTGAATAGAGACTCGTGTTGAAATTCATGGATACTTGAACCACAAAGATGAACAGAGAGGAGCATCATTTTCTCCCAAGTGGGGAGCCTACGGCCTGGCTCGGCGTGAATGTTCTCATGGTCGATCTGAGTAGGTGAAGACTGTGAAATTTTCCTTGGGGAAGGGGTTATGCACGAGACAAGTGCGATCTATAAGCTACAATTATGGTCAATTATCAGGTCCCAAAACAATGATAACCAGAAGAGTAAACGGCTGTTATCAACTTACGTATCCAGCTCATGAAAGGGGTGACCTCGCTCCTTCGGGGCTTCAGATTGCATGATCGTTTAGAGTTGACGGTGTAATAGTGAGGGTAAATCTGATCTTTGTAGATAGAAGGATGGGTATACAGCAGAGTAACAGTAAGCAAGGTTCAGGGTGAGAAAGGAAGGAGAACTTAGAGAAGTTAGAGGAGAGAGGAAGGGACATGAAAGTCAAAAGGGGAGGAGCATACGAAATAGGGTAACTTGCCCTAATAAGCACTGCATTAGTATTCTTTATCCGAAGAGATCTCTCCTCTGTATATAGCTACACAAAACATGGCGGGCTAGAGACTACCTAGATAGAGCTTATGCGGAAAATTGGAGCCGGAGCGATTAGCACATTTTTATAAAAAGGGATATTGATATATAATAATACAGATTCACATAAAAGATTTTGAGCCTTCCCCCGAACACTGAGAGCCGGGCAGTTCCATGCCTAAATGAAGACAATAGCACCTATGGCAGCTCCAGCAACTGCCATCAATGACCCATCCAGAATATTCCCAGCATTGCTACCAGTCGGTTTTGGTGGCACGGCGGCACTACTTGTGCTGTGCGCTCCGGTATCGCCAGCAGCTGAGGAGACAGATGGTGCAGCATAAGAGACAGACGACGCAGCGGTAGTTGAAGGAATGGAAGTGGTGGCTGCGGATGTAATTGTAGTAGGGACAGTCGTGGTTCCAGCCGAGCTGACAGCAGCAGTTGTTGTTGTTGTTGTCGAAGATTCAGGAACCGGGGCTCCTGTTGATGTGGCCGAGGATGCCAACAATGGAGCAGTTGCTGAAGTAGCAGCTTCCGCGACACTTGTCGAAGTAGTAGCGGCCACTGCAACTGTCGCGGGTGCAGCGTTCAAGGGCGTCCAGCAGGGGAGATACGAGGCTGAAGTTGCGCGAGTTTCTGTGCCTTTATACAAGGGGCATCCGGGTACATCAGTTTTAGGAGGAGCTCGACCACCACCACAATCAAGAGGATCGCATATTTCGCCCGTGTTTGGATTGTACCAATGCACAATATTGTCGGCGCAGTGGGTGAAACTGATGGTAGCACAATCGGCGAAGACTGATGCTACTAGCATCAATAGAGAGAGCGTGTAGGGCAACATTGTATTGGGAAGTGCAATGATGTAGATCTTTGACAGAATTTAGGATGAAATAAGATAGTTGGTAGCTAGGGTCTAAATAGGTTATTATCTAGGTTCTTATAAAGTCGCCTCTCCACTGGCATCTACGTGCGAAGACTATCGGGACTCGGTAGCAGAGCCTCCGCATAAAAAAGGGGTAAATCTGAACCCTAGTTGCGTGACATCGACAAATCATGTCCGAAGTATTTCAGCCTCATCAATAGTTGCACGCATTAGCTTCCGATTTTCCAAGGCCCTTGATAGATGTTTCCAGCTCAGTCATTGGTTAGTTGAGAAATTTCAGGCACAGCGCGTCCGTGACCAGGGAAGCCCCTAAGATCAGTCCCTCCACATGGGCATGCTTAGGTTTCATGATTCGTAGAACGACAGCATTGGAGGCTACCCTAGATCCACGCTAAGGGCACTGCGCCGCTGGAGAATACTACGCGATAAGTATATTTGCTCCTGGTTCGAATCAGGAAGTCTGGCTCTTTCTTTGTACACAAAGTGAAGACTGATTCGAATTGAAAGAGGCTGTTTATTCAGCACCGTAAGGATATGGAAGGTTACATTATCGTGAGTATCAATATCAATACTTGCTAGTCAAGTTTCCTTTGACAAAATCATACTATGAAATGGAGGTTGCTGCAAGGAGTATTTTTATCAAATAAACGACTCAGCCGCAGCGGCCTGAAATGGCAAGTCTTAAACCTGCCTTCCAAATTAGGAAATTTTAGATCGCTAGCCCTAAGGGGTCTCACAAGCTAGGTGTTCATCCTCTTTCGCATCTGTCACCATGACATACCAGGGATAATCGAATGTTAGAGGCGACTCATCAAAGGAATTGCAATTTCTGTTATCACTGCAGTTGGCGAATACTGCCCAGTGAACAAAGACACGCCAAGCCCTGAAGGTAGTTACTCTAGAAGTTGATTCTGCTACACGTTAGACAACTCCAAGGTACAATCGAAGGGTTATTCATGACATGTCTATAGTGCATCTCATAAAACCATGTCGACATACATAATCCCCGTCAATGCATCATCACTCGAAAATCCAATTTCATGGCTTGCAACAGGGCAATCAAAATCGGACAACACTCTAACATCGAAAGAAGAAGAATTTTCATCATTAAAGAGGAATACAGAAATGTTGTACTTCCCCCCAACTTTTCGAGATCGCTATATAAATCGCATTCTCAAAGAGTCCAGTGCGAAACTTTCCACCTCGGTAAAAATGCAAGGCTTTGGGAAGGTCATAAGTGTGGAATGTGAACTGAGTGAAAGGGAATTTTACAAGACAACGTAAAAGGGACAACCTGAACGCCTGCCTCCTGCCTGAATGGAAGCCCCGCAGCTTGTGTTTTTTTTTTTTGGCCGAATCAACCGTTAATGGACCATTGGATCATGCTGTTCTAGACTTTGATCCTATTTCGCAACCGCCGCACTATATTGCACAGTTAGCCTGATCATTTCATAGAAAGTATTGATATGAGTTTGATATACCTCAAAACTTGAGTTCTGAAGAAAGCACCCTTGGTCCTCTCAATGACTTGTTGGTAAACTGATTGAGGAGGATGGTTCATGATGACTGTTCCCTCCTTGTAGTCAATCTTTGCATCGACTCGGGTGTCGCGAATAAGATTGACAATCCACTTTTCGCCTTCATCTTGACCTAAACCTAGGCGGGTTGACAGATCCCTAGAGACAATGATATTAGTCCGGAGCGTAATAGTATGCCTTTTATGGTATGTAGACTCACTTGATATCAATACGCTGGTGGATTTTGCAGTAGCTTTCAGAAATCAAATGTCTAGCTGCGTCGACAAAGGCATCTGCGGCTGACACCAAGAAGAAATCACAGCGCAGCAACTCCTCCGCCTCTCCGAGTTTCTTCTGAGCCTCCTCAAAGTCGAATTCTACATACAATGCCTTGATAAAGTCCGTGATGGGATCTGAGTATTCGTAACCTTCCTGTCGAACAACACGGATCAAATCTTTCAGTTGTTTCTGGTACGTGCTGGTGTTCTTATGGGCGCGGCTACGGTTCGTGATAACGGCGGCAGCCAAGTATCTGAGAATCCAGGGGCAGTTGGTCTGGATGGTGTTGATGTAAGCGGGCGAGAAGAAGAGGTCAGTAAGAACATCGCGGGCGGGTTCGTGGTTGAAGTATGGGAAAAGAGACCAGTGAATCAACCAGGACCGGTGTTGTAGTTGACCGAGGGGATTGTTGAACAAGCGAGTCTCAATCAAATCCTTGACTTTTTGAACTTCTTCCATGGCTGCTTCCCAGTTGGTGGTCAAAATCTCACAAGCGAATTTTCCCCATGTAGCGGACGAGACCTTGTCGTTATCTGTAGACAAAACGCGGAACTGATAGAGCAACTCTGCTGCATTTCCGTAACTACCGCAGCTGTATTGAAATCGGCCGTAGTCGAACAAAGTGTTGACCATATCCACGGTAACACCATGCTGTTCCTCCAAGAACTTCAAGTTGGCGACCTTGTCGCTCCGAAGGTTTCCAACAACGGCATCATCTTGCAGAAGCTCGGTGATTTTTTCGGAATCTTCTTGGTATTGCTGCAACTTGGCAAGAACGCCCTCTCGTTTCCTCACAAACTCTTCGGGAATTGTGTCTGAGTTGTTGATCTCTTGCCACAGGTTGGCAACATAATCCGTCATGTTGGTGTGCTTGAGCAGTTCATATTTGGAACGGGTAAGCTCGAGGTTATCATCATCCTGGCCGCTGATGAATTCGAGGAGAGGGAAAACCAAGTGGCGGTCGAGGTAAGGTATCAACTTGGGGAGGAGATCGTATTCTTTGGCGATTTCCTCGGCGGTCTTAGGAGGGTGGGCAGCGGCGCCATTGAGAAGCGTCTCTGCAGACGGGGGAGCGTTGTCTGCCATGATTGCGGTACTCTGGCAGTTTTCGCGGCGAGAGACCGGGGGTGGTTGATATGGGAGGTGGTTGAAAAATAGGTTGGAGGAGGGGATCCCAACTTAGTCAATGTGCGACACTTTTACTGGCGAAAAAAGTGAGTGGGAAACGTTGCGGCTCCGCTAGGATAGAACGGGTTAGCGCAGAATTAGCATCGAGCCTTGGACTTTTTGCCGGCGCGGGAAAACTTGCACGATTCGATCAGAGCATACATCACCCAACAGCCGGTCGACAATTCTCCCAGTCAGTACAAGGCTACTGTTTGTTCAGAGGAGACAGTGTGCTTGAGAGAGGAACGAAGGAGCATTAAGTCAGGGATTCGTATCTCTGATAACGCTGAAAAACAAGTTATCAAATTCCAACAATGGCTTCCATCACACGATCGTTGACCACGATGTCCACCGTACGACATCAATTATCTACGGTCAATTCGACCCGTCAATTCTCAATACTTCATAATCATACTCAGCGTTTATTATCCCGTATGAATTTCTCCACATCCCCGTTTGCAACCGAGCTTTCAGACCATACATGACATTGGGCGAAGCAAAAGATAAGAGACGAAATAGATACTAACATAACACCAGGAAATGGAATCGCAAATCAACTATCCCACAACCCGACATCATCTAGATCACTGCTGCCAGTCCAACAATACCGCACATTCCTTGCAAAACTCGCCCGCAGATTCCCGGCTAGTACCCAATTCACGCGACCACCCATCTCTCCAGTAGAAACTGAAGCGCCCTCGTCAACCCAAGCACAAACTGCACCACTACAGCTCACCAATCTCCCTTATTTCGTTAGGCGTACACCATCCAACAAATTACCCGTATATCTGGAGACGAAAGCTGGAGGAACGAAACGATTGACTAAGATTCAGAAGACTGAAGGTGACCTGGAAGCTTTGAAGTCAGACCTTGCTAAAGCACTGAATTTGGAGACCGGATCAAAGAAGCCGGAAATTACAATTAACTCGACGACCGGTCATATAATTGTCAAGGTATGTGCGAAAGTCGGGAAGATCTTCCAAGAAGGATTTAACTAACCTCTTTGGCAGGGTTGGCGCAAAGATGAGATTCAAAAGTTTCTCATCGAACGGAATTTCTAAATACGACAATATCACAATTCGAAGTATAACTGGGATCGCCTCCTAAAGGACGACACACCACCCTCCTCTCCCCCTATGTATCAACAACTCACGTTTCTTGCCATCCATCACGCTCTACATATTTCCAATTGCTTGTCTCTTCCTTCTCTCGGCGTTATATGTGCATATCTGCAAATTACTTTTTTGTTCATTGCATATTAACTGTATTCTTTTCCCTCGCGAACTGACTGTACATTTATTGGTTGCATCTTTTACCTCGTTCCGTCCGTTTCCGTTCTGCGAGAATCTCTTCTTGATGTTTACCGACTTGTCCTCTTTTGTGCGAAAAAGTTTTACTATGGGTCTGGTTTCTGCTTCTGTAGTATCCAGGAGGATTATCAATAGGTAGTTTTAAGGATAATGTGTTATTTGGAAGGTCGTTGATGTGCCCTTCTTTGGTGAAATGTTCCATGTCTATTGCTATATGCTTCCAAATTTTTTGCAGTGAGTAGTAGAACCTCTGATCAATGATATTCTGATCATTCCTTCTAAAGAAATTGCATAGATGCCTATTCATGATCCAGGGAATTTTGAAGTAGCAACATGCTATCATTTGATTGCTCTCGGTCATATACACACAAAACCAATCGTAGACTATATCCTATTTACGGACACATGAAACATAGTATCATATCTTCTCACGTGTTGACACAGAGAGGTAATAGTGCTGTAAAAAACACCTAGAACCCCCTCAATCGTCCGATATCCCAAAGGTACAGTGCCGGTTTTAAAGATACAAGTTCGAAAGAAATATTCAACACAAAGGTATCAATCAGATCGGACGAGTCACGACAAAAAGGAAAAAACTATCAGTTACAAAGTTTTTGTTTCGCAATTCAATTCCCCAGACCCGCATATGCAATTAACTGCTTCACAATCGCTGCATCCAAATGTGGTGTCAACATTGCACCTAAAAGACTTTCTCGCTTGGGTAACACGCAGAGCGGGAATGGTTGTTCAGATATAGAGTCTTCCTGCTTAGACCTTTCAGCTAGCTTTCGAAGGATGCTCAAGCCTCGGTTAACTATGGATACAAACGGATTGCTTTCCGAGTCTGGCTGACCTCGGGCTTGCGGGTGACGAGGAGTTGGCGCCATGGCAATGCGGTCTGTGCTAAGCTGACAGCATAGTCGAAGGAGGTGAACAGCAAACCCGTCCGTTGACTGGAGCCAAGTTCGAGCTGTTATCCCATCAGCCAGGCCAGTGAGTATCTCGGCCGCCAATAGACCTTGCATGAGAAAGACTTTTCGAGAATCCGAAAATGCCAAAGATTTCCGTGGTTGGTCAGGAACAGCACATATAGCCATACCAAATGCACGAGTCAGCAACTCATTCTGGGGGGAACATTGAGACTCCTGAAATATCGTCTTGAAGTACATGCGGTTCGGTTCATCACGAGCAAGAAGCTTGGCCAGACTGTCAGTTGCTGCTGGTGTATATTTATGGATGCTGGGGACATATTGGGTGAATGTGACACCTTCAGAGCCGAGAACAGGAGTCGGTAACGGAGAAAAGGATAAGAGGAAGTGAAGTAAGCAAAATGCCTCTTCCTTGCCTGGCAGGTTCACGGTTTGAGCAATATTACTTAAATACGTGACGGCGTCTTTCATGAAGTCCAAAATATTTTGGTTGGTCCGTAATAGCATGTTGCGGGTGCCGAGATATCGGATGATTGTAGAGAACATCGTGATAACTGGAGCGCTTCCTAGTATCCCGAAATTTAATTCCGAGAACGAGAAGTTTCTGATTATGGCAGTGATACAGAGCACTCTGTCAGCTGCCCGGTCAAGTTCATAGCCCAAGCTGCCGAATTCAGGGACGTCCAAGAGTGAGGCCATCTCTACGTGACATCCACGTATCACCTCTTCGTAAGACGGCAACAACATGTCATCGGAGACTTCAGCTGCATTCTCCGCGAGCAGGTCGAGCTGTTCTTCTGCACAATCAACGAGCGATTCCACAAGATCATCGCAATTATCCAGAGAGAGCACCGCAGGTTCGGAAGATAATGTCATCAGTGTATCCAAAGCCAGCCGAACTTCAGCATGTATTCCCGACTTTATGCTCATTGTTAAAGCATGGATATCAATCACTCCTAACTCGGGGAATGAAGGTACGTTGGGTTTAAGCCTTGCAATCTCTTCGCCGAGTTGATAGATTTCATCTATTACCACAGGTCCATGCTTATGGTTGTCTGGAAGAACAGTTGCTTTGAAAGTTTCGTCGATATGATGCTTGATGGGCTTGTTAGGGGTAGAATCAGGTGCGAGTTTACCCGTGGAGGCAGCTGGTTTGGCAGAGGCCCCAGGTTGTGGTGCAACTTGCGACTGTAAAGATGAGTCGGCTAGGGAAGCGGGAACCTGCGCTTGTCGCTGACCGACCGTTCGTTGACCGCTTTGACCATGCGGGAGTTGAGGCTGTTGTGGCGGTTGCTTAGGCTGTCGAGGTTGTTGAGCGTTCGCGAGGCCATTTGTTGCAGCTGCCGACATACTGCTTGACATTGTTGCAGTAACCTGAGGTGACGGAATAAATTGCTGAGAGCCTTGTGCATCGAATTCCGGGACTGCTTTAACGGGGGATTGCTGGAACTGCATTAAATTGGGGTCTGCAGACTGGCGCTGAAGGGCATTTTGTTGCATGCTATCCATTTGCTTTTGCTGATGAGTACTCACGAGGATAGCATGTTCATAAGGCGCAAGATTTTTGGCATATATTTCTCGAATTTCCGCAGCAGCATTAGGATATTGCTGGACTGGAAACTGTAACGCTTGAGCGATTGTGGGCCACATGTTGGTCGCAGATATCTTCTTGGAACCACCCATTTTCATCACAGTGCCATACAGTGGCATCAGATGGATAGGGCGACCGCTAACAACGGGATTCAGATCCAGAGGCAGGTTGCGATTCATCATGAACTTCTGTAATGTCTTCAGGAATAATTCGGGGCTATTTGCCTTAGAAATGTTTGGCTGGGACATATTGTGCTGCATCTGGCGCAAAGCCGCCATTTGAGGATTTACCATAGGGTTCATTGCACCAGCCGGGCGGCCTACCATCGCAGGGTTATTGACCTGCATCTGGCGAGCTTGATTCTGTAATTGCATCTGATATAGCCGTTGCTGCTGCGCAGCCATAGCCTGAGGTGAGAAGCCCTGCGGCATGTTTCCCAGTTGAGCTTGCATAGAAGCCGAGGTCGCGCCCGAAGTCATAGCAGCTTGTTGAGCAAATTGAGGCGTTATTCCTTGAGGGAAAGCCTGTCCTGGCATGAAAGTATTGTTTTGGGGTGTGTTGACTCGGCTTCCGTGGTCAGACTGGGGTGTGGAGATCTGGTTTGCTACAGGACCTGCGGGAGAAAAAGGACTCGGGGACGACGTGTGCATCTTTTGAACACCGTGTTGATCGAAATCTTGCAGGCCGGGAGATTGTGATGGGTTTAGAGGGCCTCGTTGTTGTTGCTGATGCAGATGTTGATAAGGGCTCGGTTGCGCAAACTGAGGGTTTCCATTTGCCGGCCCTTGATATCCTGGATAGGGAACTTGAGGTGTCTGTGAACGCGACACCGGTAATCCACCTGGCGCTTGTCTTGGTGACATGGATATTCCATCTTCGGGCCTCGGTCGTTTTGACGGTATCACCTGGTTAGGGTTGTGGAAGCTGGGTGAGACATTGCGAGGGACTCCGTTTTGAAACATGCGCTGGAATTGGGTAGGGTCCTGGGGAGCCTGCGATGGCTGGAGGAAAGCCATGGATGGATCGATCGTCCCATTGAACGTCCCATTGTCATGGTTGGGGATATTAGAGGCGTCCGTTAGCCACGCATTCATATCGTGTGGATCGGCCAACCCATCTGGACAACAAATAATCAGCAAGATGTTGGGGATACACGTCAATCGCCATCAAAAGCGCGTTCAAAAGACATCAGATCGACCGAATCAAAGAAAGTCAAATAGGAAGTGGAGTGAGGTCACGTCCAAAAAATGTTCTAGACGCGTCATGAGGGTACCGGGCCAGTACAAAGAGAGCGGTAGGGGTAAGCGCGACAGGATGTGAGCTCTAAGCGACCATAGGTATGCGCGTATGGGGGGTCATCAAGAAATAGAAGGTAGCAGATGATAACATACCGACAAGGTTGGGTAAGCTATAGTGCCGTGATGCGTATGAGCGCGATGAATGTCCTGTTCGGTAATCCGAAAATAGCGCTCTGATGAGTGTGACAAGTTGTGGCAGGGAGGAAGTCACGGGACTTGTGCAGGAAGCAGTGGCTCGGGAAATGGCCGCGCAGCAGTAACAAACGGTTCTTCTCTAACTTGCTTTTTTGTTCCGATTAGCATTTCTAGTGACTCAAGACAACAAATAAAATCAATCCAATTGTCGATAGCATCTGAGGCACATTCCACCACCAGATGAATAATGCTGATAAGAGGGCCAATGCGCTGGCGGGTCATAAGGTGACAGGCGACACCAAGATTCATCTGGCCAAGCAATAAGACTATGAGAGAGAGGCAGGGGAATCAGCCTACCTTAGATAAAAAAGAGCCTAAGAACAGATGGAGTAAACACCAAATATCCTATCCTTTTCGGGAGGGGAAGAAAGTGGAGGCGCAGGAATGGTAGGGCGTGGAGAGAGACAGAGGGTTAGAGGGAATTTGATAATTTCAGAGCGTGGCCGGGGGCTGTAGGGAGGCAATAGTTCCGGAACACGCAGCGAAAAACTAGGTAGACCAAGGAAAAGCGTTTATTTTGGAAAGTATGACAGCAAATGAGAGAGCCGTTATTTCTGCGACAGGAACAATCGGATACACAGGTCGTTCGAGTTGGGAGCGAGCGGGTTGGGTTGGGTGTGTCACGGGAAAAGCAGGAAAAGCAGGAAAACTATGGAAAAAGAACTTTGCTGCCTCAGGCCGCAAGCGGTCCCAACTAGTCCGGGAGCGGTTAGCGCGTTACGCATATTGCTGCTTTAACACATAAATTATGTTCTCTCGGAGTCTCTCCATGCGTAACAGCACACGGAGTACATACCCTCTCGGCCCATCCTGTGGGAGCCTTTGTACATGATGTTCACCCCCTTGGCCTGTGTAAAGCTCATTCAGCCGATCTAATATCTTCAAACCTGGTCCAGTTATGCACACTGCAGTAGTAACGGGCTCGTCAGCATAGTCAACTCAATTCCCTTCCCGCAGAAGAGAAATCGATGAGACACAGAGGGTTGCCGGGAGAAACAAAGGAATAGAACCTGATCGGTGAGGGGCGTGTCTGAGCTTTATATTTTTCTGCCTACCGTCATACTGAGCGCCGATAAGACACATCAATCCTATTTTCGATTTCATCACCGAGTCACTGACCATATGACAGATGGAATGGAGATATCCAACTGCATATTACCTCAGTCCAAGAATTAGTCCATCGTCACGTAGGGTTCCGTTCCGGATGCCGGTTACGACAGGCTACCACGGGATACAACGCAGCAATTCCTGTCTTTAACATGAATCGAAAGATAGGAACTACCAAAGGGACGAGACCTTGTAAGCAGAGAATTACATTTGCTCAACTCTAGTCGAAACCCGGCGTCGAGCTGCAGAGATACGATCGTTGGATGTCCTCTCAATTTCTCATATATGGATCTTGGAAGTGCATTCTAAAGTCAATTATTGCCCGACAAATGGCCAAAGCTAGAGAATTGTATGCGGCTGAAACGGTCAAACTTCAGTATAGTAGATTTATAGATTTATGCTTGTTTTCCGTCCTCGTAGTGAAACTGCATTTCCGGTGCCTTTGTCAATATGAACCGTACTGCTGTGAGTAACTCAAATATTTGATCGAGAGAAGTCTTGCAAACAAGCAGTCGACCTTGTCCTCGCAGGTCCAAAGAGATTTCCACGATAATTGACTGGGTCACGTGACCTGCTTGGAACCATCTAGGTCGTGAAGCTCTGGTCGGGTCGGGTAGCTCCTGCTTAGATCACATCCAAGCTCCGAACACCATTTTACTTGCAAACAGTATTACCATCATCCGGTCGTCCTTCAACTTTCAAATCAAAAGAGAACCTACCACTTACATATATCGCCCTTTTGAGACCTGATACCAATCATCCACCATGGCTGACGTCGCCGTCGAGAATCCCGTCAACAGCGTGGCAATTCACAAGCGCCCTGCACCAGCAGATTCAGTACCTATCATAGATTCATTAGAGGGCGGTAGCGATAGCGGTGATGAATATGCTACTTTGAAACGTCTTCAAAGACATTTAGAGTAAGCCGTCAAGGAGGCATCTGTTTATGCGGCCAGCGTTGACACTTACTACCTAGGTACATTCACCTTCAAGAGGAGTACATCAAAGACGAGCAAAGGTATGTAGTACTTGTCTTATTCACTTGATATAGTCTGATGCTAACTATTTACAGGAGTTTAAAAAGAGAACTAGTTCGAGCTCAAGAAGAGATCAAACGGATACAAAGTGTTCCTCTGGTTATCGGCCAGTTCATGGAAGCCATCGATCAAAAGTGTGTCCACACGGCCTGAGCAGCTGTCTATTGATACTAATCTTTCATCTGCGCAGTACCGGAATTGTACAATCGTCGACCGGTTCCAACTATGTCGTCCGCATTCTTTCCACCCTTGACCGAGAGAAGTTGAAGCCGTCGTCATCTGTTGCCTTGCACAGGCACTCAAACTCGCTCGTTGATATTCTCCCACCCGAAGCGGATTCGTCTATTGCGATGCTAGGTGCGCATGAGAAGCCGGATGTTACGTATGCCGATGTTGGTGGTTTGGATATGCAGAAACAAGAGATCAGGGAAGCCGTGGAATTGCCGCTCACTCATACGGATCTCTATCAACAGATTGGTAAGGGCTTTCTTTGGACTATAAAATTTCTCGGAGTCTAACAAATTTAATTAGGTATTGATCCTCCTCGTGGTGTATTGCTCTATGGTCCCCCTGGTACCGGAAAGACCATGTTGGTCAAGGCCGTGGCCAACAGTACCACAGCCAGTTTCATTCGTGTCGTCGGCTCAGAGTTCGTTCAGAAATACTTGGGTGAAGGACCTCGCATGGTCCGCGACGTCTTCCGTATGGCCCGCGAAAACTCACCAGCCATTATTTTCATTGATGAGATCGACGCCATTGCCACCAAGCGTTTTGATGCACAAACAGGAGCCGATCGTGAGGTGCAGCGTATTCTCCTAGAACTTCTCAACCAGATGGACGGTTTCGATCAAGGTAGCAACGTCAAGGTTATTATGGCCACCAACCGAGCAGATACCCTAGATCCCGCCTTGCTGCGACCAGGTCGTCTTGATCGCAAGATTGAATTTCCTTCTCTCCGGGACCGCCGTGAGCGTCGCCTGATCTTCACGACTATTGCATCCAAAATGTCTCTCTCGCCCGAGGTGGATTTGGATTCCTTGATTGTGCGAAACGAACCCCTATCTGGCGCTGTTATTGCCGCTATCATGCAAGAAGCTGGTCTACGTGCTGTCCGCAAGAACCGTTACAACATCATCCAATCTGATCTAGAGGATGCATACTCCAGCCAAGTCAAGACTAGCCAAGAAGCTGATAAGTACGTTATTCTTCCTTCACCATACGTGATACGTTCATGTTGCTAACTCATATCTTTTCATAGGTTTGATTTCTACAAGTAAGACGAAATAGGGGATCGCTACTCTTGCGTGATAAGTTGGACTTATTAGCTTAGAATTGGGATTTCTCTTAATCTAGGTATTCCTTGTAATATCATACATAGATTCATCTTTCATACACTCGCAAACATGCTTTCTCTTCTAAGCCAGCTATTTCAATGAGACATGGATATACTGCGTTGGTGCCTCGTAATTGTAGGTAATATCACGCAGTACGTGATAGCTTGTGTTTCCAAAGTTTTCATATTACTTGCACGGAGGTGTACTACCTATATCATTTCAAAGATGTAAAACATCAAAGTGAAGCGACTGTACTCCATATCGTGATAACCAGCATGCTTATCTGACCAATCAGCACAGAACATAGTCCAGGCACCAAAAACATAGGTGCCTCAGAGAGCCAGCCAAGTCACGAGGTCAACCCTGGTTGCGGCGCTGTGATTGGCCCTGATTGGAGATACTTCCCGTTTGGTCACTTTGGTGGTTGCCTGTGACCAACCGGGGCCCGTTATCATCGTCATCACCTGTGACCGGCCCTTCCATCGTCCCGAAACCCCAGACAGGAGCTATCTATCAGACCGTACCTTTCTCTTCCCTTATCACTCCCATCACCATCCCCATCCTCCATCGCCCTCCTTCCTTTTCCATCGTCTATAACACATACGAAAGTTTATTCTTTTTATCAATCTGATTTCATCCACTGTCACTCTCTCGAAACATTAGCTTGGCTTGGTCATCATGAAGACTGCCTCCGTCCTTGCAGCCGCCGCGCTGGTCGGCGCTGCTTCCGCCAAGGTCCACAAGCTCAAGCTGGACAAGGTGCCTCTCTCTGAGCAATTTGTATGCCATCCTCGTCTTTCCACTTGATATTACGACTGACTTTGGACTGACTGTCATGATTTTTATTAGGATAAACGCAGTATGAACGACCACATGCGGTCTTTGGGCCAGAAATACATGGGTGTCGTCCCCGAGGGCGTCTACGAGGATACCTCCATCCGACCTGAGGGCGGTCATGATGTTCTGGTTGATAACTTTTTGAATGCTCAGTGTATGTGAATACCTCGGATCGTCTGATTAATCCAACGCTAACCGCTCATCTAGACTTCTCAGAGATCACTATCGGTACACCACCCCAGAACTTCAAGGTTGTCCTCGATACAGGCAGCTCGAACTTGTGGGTTCCTTCGGCCTCTTGCAACTCCATTGCGTGCTACTTGCACAACAAGTATGACTCGTCCTCCTCGTCAACATACAAGAAGAATGGCAGCGAATTTGCCATCCAGTACGGCTCAGGTAGCCTTGAGGGCTTCGTCTCCCGTGACGTTGTGACGATTGGCGACATCACCATCAAAGATCAGGACTTCGCCGAAGCCACTAACGAGCCTGGCTTGGCTTTCGCCTTTGGCCGCTTCGACGGTATCTTGGGTCTTGGTTTTGATACCATCTCTGTCAACAAGATCGTTCCTCCTTTCTACAACATGCTGAACCAGAAAACTCTTGATGAGCCAGTCTTTGCTTTCTACCTTGGCGATAGCAACAAGGAGGGTGATAACTCCGAGGCCACTTTCGGTGGTATTGATAAGAGCCACTACACTGGAGAGCTAGTCAAGATTCCCCTTCGTCGAAAGGCCTACTGGGAGGTAGACTTTGATGCCGTTGCTTTCGGTGACAATGTTGCTGAGCTCGAGAACACTGGTGTCATTCTTGACACTGGTACCTCCCTCATTGCTCTTCCTTCTACTCTTGCTGAGCTCTTGTAAGTCACTTTTGCTCCTCTTTACTTTCCTCTCTATTAACATCTTCTAGGAACAAGGAAATTGGTGCCTCAAAGTCTTGGAACGGTCAATACACTGTCGACTGCACCAAGCGTGACTCTCTCCCCGACCTCACTGTCACCTTAAGCGGACACAACTTCTCCATCACCGCTCATGACTACGTTTTGGAAGTCCAGGGATCCTGCATCAGTGCCTTCATGGGCATGGACTTCCCCGAGCCTGTCGGTCCTCTCGCTATCCTCGGAGATGCTTTCCTTCGCAAGTGGTACAGCGTCTATGACTTGGGCAACGGTGCTGTCGGTCTTGCCAAGGCCAAGTAAACCGATTGACGATTTGCTGAACTGCACGAAAGACTACTGGCAAATGCGGAAACATGCGCTAACGACAAACTAAGCAACCGTTCTTCTCTGGCCTTTGTGCGGCATAGATGAACAGATTGCAAGAGATACGAGTCTCGACATGAGATACCAGCCTAGCTTACTTTGAATTTTATCCTTTCTGTTCGATTGCTGTTTTTCTGATTCGAGGTCTCTGCAATGTAGTATATCGCACTCTTTATGGTTGACCCTCTGAGTAATTGAAATATGCATATATATCTATATCAATCTATATTTGTTGATTATAGCAAGTTATTCCCATGTAGTTGATCATAATAAAATACTCGTACCTCGATGTTGTCAGTCCAGATATTATCCGGTGAGATGTTCACGCTATACCGGATACGGCCACCCGCCTGCTGCCTGCTTTGAAGCTTCATGATCCACATCTAACTACGTATACGGTGTGGCCCGCGACTTTACCGCCTACTGGATTTATCTTGAAAGTCACCACCGCGCCAGGCTTTGTTTTCGACAAACTCAACTCCCATTGACACCTCTGTCGCTATTTGTGTTCTTTTCTTCGTTTCTTATTCGAATTCCTCTTCATCTCAGCTTGTTTACAGTACTTACTGTGCTCTCAACTGGCTAGCTACCTTGCGTCCCCGCATCGTGACCTGTTGACTACCTCTGATCTCAACATACCACACTACAAATCAACGCAGATTGGCTTTGCGCATACTCCTATCAAGACTGGACATTCGCCGAACCTCAGTCAATATTCTGATTCAGTACCGCTTCTCCCGCGATAAGTTCTTAGGTTGCATCTAGCTAGTGGCGATATTCAAACATCCTCCGCGGACAGGCTACGAAGATTGGCATATGCTGTCAAGCCTCACCATTGGGCGATGGCACAGTAACTCGCACAAGAAGATCGCCAAACACCTAACACATTTCAATCAAACATCAACTGTCTGAGCCTAGCGGATTCGCCAAGAGTCGACTCCAAACGAGCCGACGGACGAGTCTTAACGGAGCATGCTTCTGCGACTCCCGCCAACGCTGCATTACCCCATCACCGTCAGATCGCTACTCAAGCGCCCGGGCGATTCGGTCGAGCGGGGTGATCATTTGTTTTGGTACGTGTACAAGACTACTGTCATCGAAGGCGATGGGTTGGGGAATGATATCGAGGTCCTAAAGGAGTTTCCCGTCAAATTCGAGTCGAGCGTTGATGGCACAGTGGTAGAGTGGAAGATATCTAAGGGAGATATTATCGATGAACCGTAGGTTATGGTCTGTCAGCTGCGATGTGGATTATTTGGCTGACATGATGAAGGGTAAACGTTGTTGAGATTGATGAACCATGTGCTCACGAAGTTCAATTCGGAGGCATGTGCGCAGAGTGCGGAAAAGATATGACGGCGTATGTTTTCATTCCATACCCTGTATTTGTCAACAGCATCATCTAAAGTTATTGCTTATAGTGCGAATTACAATACCGACGTCATGGACGCAATGCGAGCCCCGATTCAGATGGTTCACGATAATACCGCGCTCACAGTCAGTCAGAGAGAAGCTACCCGAGTGGAAGAGGATGCAAAGCGCCGACTCCTAGCCTCGAAACGTTTGTCGCTGGTGGTCGACTTGGATCAGACAATTATCCATGCGACGGTAGACCCAACAGTTGGAGAATGGAAGGAAGATAAAAATAATCCGAATCATGAAGCTGTCAAGGATGTGCGCGCATTTCAGCTTACTGACGATGGACCCGGTATGCGCGGATGCTGGTATTACATCAAACTTCGGCCTGGACTGGAAAGTTTCTTGCAGAACATATCTAAACTTTACGAGCTACATATTTACACTATGGGTACACGGGCATATGCGCAAAATATCGCAAACATTATTGATCCCGATCGAAAGCTCTTTGGTGATCGAATTCTCAGCCGTGATGAAAGCGGCAGTCTCACTGCGAAAAACCTACAGCGTCTATTTCCTGTTGACACCAAAATGGTAGTGATCATCGACGACCGCGGTGATGTCTGGAAGTGGAACCCCAATCTCATCAAGGTGTCACCGTATGACTTCTTCGTTGGTATTGGTGATATCAACTCGAGCTTTTTACCAAAGAAGCAGGAGTTGACGCCGGGGAAGACCAAGAGCGAAAAGCCAGCTGTAACTGCACCCGCTGAACACCATGTTAACGGTACTACCCAAGCCAAAGAGATTGGAAACGAAGTCTCGGCATTGGAACAGCTTGTTACGATGGGTGGAGGGGACAATCCAACAATGCTCCTGGAACAAGCGACACAACAGGAAGAGACAATCATGCATCAAGTGGAAGATAGACCGTTGCTACAGAAGCAGAAGGAACTGGATGCCGAAGACGACGCCTCAGAGTCACAAGCAGGTGCCGAGAGTGAGACGTCAACATCGAGTATGGACGATTCTCAGGATTTAGGGAAGCACAGACATCATTTGCTGGAAGATCATGACCGAGAATTATTTCATCTACAGGACCGGTTAGAGAAAGTGCATTCGGAGTTTTTCGAAGAGTACGAACGTCGCCGCCAGAGAAATCTTGAAAGAGGACGAGTTTCGACTCTTCGAGGCGACAGAACTATCCGGGATCGGGATATTGATTTAGAATTACTACCTGATGTTAAGGTCATCATGCCGCAGATCAAGCAAAAGGTTCTTGGGGACGTTGTTCTTGTGTTTTCCGGTGTTTTACCCCTAGGAACTGACTTGCAAAATGCCGATATATCTCTTTGGGCCAAAAGCTTTGGGGCTACGATATCACCTAGAATCGGATCTAAAACGACGCATTTGGTGGCAGGGAGAAATCGAACTGCTAAAGTGCGAGAGGCAACGAGATATCCTCGAATTAAGATTGTCACAACGCAATGGCTTTTAGATAGTTTGACTCAGTGGAAACATATGGATGAGGAGCCGTATTTGATTCCGGTTCATCCGGAGGATAGGGGTGAGCCTGTGCTGGGTAGCTCACCTGGTTCTAAGCTTGAAGATTCCTGGCTTTCTTCTTCGGATGATGATACGGGCGTGTCGTTTACAGACGATGAGGGTGGGTTCAGTATCGACTCACGAAGTGGTTGTGATGCTAACTTGGATGCAGATGTCAATGAAGAAATCATCCGCTCGTCCGGGATGACTGAACATTCACCTGTCGGGTACACCGCAGCCGAACAAGCAGCTGTGCACGACGAGCTGAAGGAGTTTCTGGGAAGCGATGATGAGACTGACGATGAAGACGACAAAGATTATGTCGATGACGAAGAAGATGACGACGAGGCGGAGGGAAACAATAACGAAGAAGATCCAGCAGCAACGGACACCCGCAAACGGAAACGGGATGGGGATGAAGAGACCGAGAGTGAAGGAACAGGTACTTCACGCCTTGCACAACGTCTGAAGAGATCGCCAGGGGCTGATGACGATGAAGACATGTCAAAGCAAGGTGCTACTATCATTCCCGGCACAGCCAAAGACGAGGATGACGGTAGCTACAATTACAGCAACGAAACCAACGATCCCACAGAGAATGCGGATTACGACGAGGATGAGTTAGAGAGGGAAATGCTCGCCGCATTCGAGAATGGGGATTACGATGAGAATGCTGAAGAAGCGATTGGAGCTGACAATGGTTGATTTCTTTCTCCTCCTCTTCTCTACCGTGTCTTTTGCCGATAACACATGTACAAATTTTTTTAATCTTGCATTTGAGAGGCGTTGTTCGAGGAAGGCAAGCGTTGGGAATGCGTGTATTTACTTATTCTATCCGATGGTCATGTGCGACAATCATGATCTAGCCCAGGAAGGCAGCAATGGAATCACATCATTCTCACTACTACCTACACATTCCTATCTCGTCCTTGACACTGACCGATATAGCATCGAAAGACATTTACGACCCTTTGGGAGCCAGAAGTAGGCGCTGGTCTCCTCTTGCGATTCTTCATCGTACGTTTTCGCTGTTGGGGAGGGCGCTTTAAATGTGCAAGGGAGAAATTAAGACAGCTCTATAAGCTATATAACCAGGGCTGTATTTCACGGAAGACAATGTCGATGAGTACCTAGGTAGGAGGTTTTCAGTGTTCCGGTCTATTTTGTATTTATAATTCTAGTGTCTCGCTTCCATAAAGTAATTCAATTGAAATTAGTAGAGCAGATTAGCTGTAATATCAATTATCAATCAGAATTGAGTAATTTAAGCTATCATCAATATACAGTTATCGCTTCATAGCTCATCAACATATATGAAGTCTAATTGGAGAACTTCTCAGGAACATGCTTTCTACAACAGAGTCAGCAACAAGTCTTCCTCTATATAAAGACGGAAAGAAACATACCCAGTAACCTTCTCAAAGAGGTTACGAGCACCGTCGGTAATCTTCTCGTTGGTGTCACGCATCTTGACAGGATCGATTTTGCCTTGACCGTATTTCTTTTCGGCGAAGTCGAGGCCTGGTGAAGTCAGCATATAGATAGTAGATAGGGGGTGTCGGTGGGGTACCCTTGTCAAGGTAATCCTCGTTTTGGGCGCCGTCTTGAGGAGGCTGTTGTTGTTGTTGTTGTTGCTGCTGGTTTGGATCCATTGCGATAGATTGATTGAGCTGTGAGAGAAGACCGAGTAATTATTTCGAAGTTTTGATCTGTTAAAAAGAAAAGGGAAAAGAGGGGCTTTATATTTTAGATCATCTCCAGATCTCCGATAAATCGGCGTATGCAGGCGACGTCATTGGCGGGATAAGCCTCAATACGATTTGTCCGCTTTCGATAGTTTGCTTAGCGGAGGGGGATTTATTTTCTTATTGGGTTGGGTATAGCATCGTGGCTGAGCAGCTGATATGAATAGAGCGAATAACACGAGAGCATTGAGAGCGAAGAGGGGAAGTTCAGTCATGCCGTGTGCTTAGCCCTAACCCTAATAACCCCAACCCTTATCGAAAACATCGTGCTCCAAGTACATAAACATCATACCCCACTCATGATGATACAAAAATACAAAACACACTTCGCCTCTATTCACACCATAACGACACATAATATGTATGACAATTGATCAATCAACTGGCATCCCGATGCACTTGCCATGACATGACCATCATCCAAAAATAAAACACTGTATTCACAAGCTCAAATGCAAACGCCGCTTTCCAGCAATTACCTATACACATTAGCATCCCACTATCTATTTTGATGTCCAGGTACTTACATATATTATTCTGCGTCAACCAAGCCAAAGCCTCCACCGTATTCCCCGAAAATGGCATATTCGACACAAAATTCTGACAATTCGAATTGACATTTGCCTGAGCGCCGTAAAGCTGCAGACCCGTCTCAATCAAACCCGTCAACCATAACGTGAAGAGCAAGAAGCTGCCGATTATTATTATACCGGGGAGGAGGAATCGTTGCGCCGCGAGGATGAGGATGATGAGACAGAATATGACGCCGAGGGCTCCGCAGACGGTCATGAATGGGAAGAGCCTGTATGAAGGTTAGTTATGGCTTCTTTTGTTCTCTTGACATAATGGAACATACCATGGTATTCCCAATTTCAGTTGCGTTTGAACTGCCATGAACCAGGCGAATATTCCCAGACATGTCCCCGAGCCGGCTAGGACTGTGATAAGCCATATGTTTAGTTGCAGTTCTGGCCATTGATACCGTCTCCTAGCTGTTGTACGTCTGTATGTCGGCATGTTGAGTTGAGTGCAAAGAATAAGACTCCCGGAGGAGGTAAGAAATTGTCGTCTGAGTCACAGGTCCACCAATTTTCTGAAAAATATTATCGTCAATTCAACTTGAGATCTCGATCCGTCGTACGACGTTTTGTATACTGTTCCGCTTGAATTTGGGCGCAAACAGCTCGCGCGTTTTGATACGTGATGGCGAGAGGGACAGAAATTGGTAGAATTGCACCTGATGTTTACCCAGGACACAATTCCAATTTTCAAATCAGAGCCCACCACGATTTATGATCTGGCGGTGGTTCTGTCTGTTTATGCGAGCCACGTCTGGGTCTCCGCACCTAGGGCAACTAGTACGTTGGGTCGTTTCATTCCATCATCGTTCAACTGTATTGAATGGGGTATCGATAGAAGCGCAAAAGGTACGAGACAGATATACCAATTAAATGTAACTTGCATATGCATATGCAGATTGTTATATAGGAAAACGTTCTTTGAGTCTGTTCAGGACGAGAAGCAAAACAAACAACATCATCACCGCTTTCTGCCTGACCGCCTTGTTGCCTTAGCAGCCTTACTACAGTGGGGCACATTTGTGATTGGCTGTTGCTGTGATGATCACGAAAAGCTACATCGTTTATGAATATATTTCATTACTACCACCTGGGCAACTAACCAGCCTCAGACTCATCGCGATCCATAAGAGACTAGTCCACTCTATTTGCCGCCAAAAATACATCAAACTCAATCCTTTCCGACAAATGATAACAGGTTACAGAAGAGTATCACCGAGTGCACTACGAACCAGCGAGCAACCTGTACGGATAGTATCGCTGGCCCCCGTCGCCTCCAGGCTAGGATTGACCTCCACCAAGTCCATAGCAACCAGGTTTCCAGTTTCATGAACACATTCACAGATGAAATCGCCTTCCCGGAGAGTAAGTCCCCCTCGGACTGGAGTACCAGTGCTAGGAGCCCATTGTGGGTCGAGAGCATCGACGTCAAAGGACAGATGAATGGGTGTGTCGTTGCCAATGTGTGCAAGAGCCATCTCAACGACGCGGCCGATACCGTGTCTAAGAACTCTTGTTAGCTTGGACTCTCCGTCATAATTTCTAGAGACAAACCTATCAATATCGTGCATGCTGAAAGCCTTAATACCGTGCTCACGGAGGATTCGCTTCTCTCCTCGATCAACATCCCGCAAGCCAATGTACACCAACTTATTCACATTCAACAGCTGATCCTTCTCAAGCCAGCCGAAAATGTCCTTTTTCTCCTCCTTAGCGAGTCCTGTAAGGAACGCTACGGGCATACCGTGAATGTTACCACTGGGACTCTCCTCGGGAATATTGATATCGGCATGAGCATCTACCCAGATAACCGCAATCTCACGACCCAACCGCTCACGGATAGCCTTGGCGGTACCGGAAATTGTCCCAATAGCGATCGAATGGTCTCCTCCGAGAGTAAGAACCATCTTGCCTTGTTTCGCGTGCTCATAGACCTGTTGGCTAAGCTTCTGAGTCACTGCGCTCACGGCACGAGGCTTCTTCATGCCTCTATGATCCGGGTCTGAGGCGGGTATGAGATCCGCATAGTCGTGGACGACGTTGTCATAGTGGACGTTATAGGTAAGGTCTTCTTGGAGTTGATCGAGGAGACCGGACTCAATCAATGCCATCGGCGCCGCTTCAACGCCTGCTTTGCACTGTGCAACACATTCTGTTAGTCATTTGGTGCGCGAATCAAGTTGTACTAGAGGGCTCACCTGGCCGCCGGAGAAGCCCACAGCTACGACACCGAGGTCGTTGGGCTGGGATAGGAAGCGCTGTTTGATTGTAGATGGTGCGGTCATTTTGAATTCGCTCTTTGCTTTGAGCATATGAGTTCCCAGTGCGTGAAATAAGACTGTTCGTAAGTAAAGACGAAAAATGCGGGGAATGCGATGACGATGATGTCAAGAGATTTATCACGAATTTATAGAGTTGAGATTGTTCAAAGGAACATCAAGTTTCGACAGAAAAACCCGTAGGTAATAATAGAAACAAAGATAAAATCCGGGCGACCCCTTGATTATCCATCGTTTTTGGCGGTTTATCCTGTTGGGTTTGACAAGGTGTGTATTTCGCGTGCAGCTGCTTTTAGCGGTCGAAGCTCCAAGGTTGTGGTGGGCTTATCCGCCGCCAACCGTCCTGGGAATTTGGCCTCAATTCCCCTAAGTACAGGTTGAACCGGAGGACACGAATCGCGCCGAATTAGAGCGAAAATTTTTTCGCTTGTGCTTGATTGCGTTGGCATTCAGGTAGAAAGGCTTAGGAATGAAGTTTACAGCAGGAATGCGTGGTAAAAGGGTATCATTCATCTATCTATACAATAAGCCGCGCAGTCTATCGCACATGGCTGCAGTGGTCACCTTGACAAAACAGATATCGACTAACTTAGTTAACTAGTTAGTTAATTGTTTGTATGACTAATTGCGCTTCAAGATCAGCTCTCGTAGAATCTCTTCCGCACGCTGCGCTTCAACGCGACCCTTTTCTCCCTGGCGCACCATTTGTCCTACAAACCAGCCGATTTTGCCCAACTGATTCTTTTCTCGGATCTGTGCAACCATTTGCGGATTTTCCTCAATCAAAGAGTTCGCCAAAGCGATATATTCTTCCCTACAAAGTGGTCGCAGCAAGAGGTTCTCTTCCTCCAGTAATTGCTGGATTGGTCGTTGATCTCCCTCAAATACCATCACTAGGACTTGTTTCGCGACGGAGCTAGTGATCTTTTTGCGTATTAACTGATCGATGAGTTCCGCCAGTGTTTGCGCCGGGATGCGATCAGCATGCCAGGCTACCTCTGCCTTGGTGTGTAACGCGCCCAATTCATGTAGCACCCAGTTTGCTGCAGTTCTACCTAGCCCCTTTTTCGCTGCGTCTCTGTCATCAGAGTGAAGAGCCTGGAGCACGTCGAAAACATCCTGGTAATACTCCAACCGCGCACCGTCATCAAGTTCCACCAAGGGCTTTGCATCTTCAAGACTAAGTCCATACATTGGACCAACGAGCATGGCCAAAAGCTGGTCCGGTAAAGTAGGAAGATTTTCCTTCAAAGTAGACACGAGCCCATCGTCAATAAAAAGAGGATGTAAATCTGGATCCGGCATATAGCGATAATCAACTTCGCCTTCCTTACTGCGCAGCTTGCGAGTCTCGGTGCTACCAATCGACCAACCTCTGGTTTCGACTTCAACGGTACCTCCGGATTCGAGGACTCGTATTTGACGGTCTCGCTCTGCTATAATGGCGTCTTCGACAGCTTTGAAACTGCTGAGATTTTTGATCTCCGTCCGCTGGCCGAGTCCACGAACTCCATAATATTCTCCGGCGCCCGGCGGCGCATCACGCCGACGAACAGAGACATTGACATCTGCGCGCAGCCCGCCCAACTCCATACCTGTAGTTACTGCGCTTGTAGCTTGTAGGATAGCCTGTATTTTCCTTACACAGGCCGCGGCGGTAGCGGGAGAATGAATCTGAGGCATAGTAATGATTTCGATCAAAGGGTGTGAGACACGATTGAAATCTAGAAAGTGAGCAGAAGGCGGATGTTCGTGAGATTTTGCAGTGTCTTGCTCCAACTGCATTTGCTTGATATCGATGCGGACGAATTTTCCGTCTTCGGGCGCGATGCCATCGTAGTCATACAGCTTGATAAATCCATTACGTGCGAACGGTTCTAGAAGTGAAATCAGTTGTATTCTCAACCAAATAATCTGGTGCGGCCTTACATACCGTAGTACTGCGTGATTTGGTAGCCTGCTGGCTGATCCTGGTAGAAGTAATGTTTTCGATCGAAACGACTGGTGTGTTGGACCTCGCAGTTGAGCGCTATCGCAGCGCGAAGTGCAGGAAGTAGGGTTGCCGCTTGGAATTCCTAAAGTTTGAGTGTTAGCACAGTGCTGTTATTTGTAAGAAAGCGACATACCGGCTGTGAGCCTGGAAACGCCAGGTCAAACAGAGCTACATTGGAATTTGGCTCCGCTACAGTAGATGTTGGCGCTCCTGCATTTCCCATTGTTAGACCATAAACCACACACATCGTCACGCGGTGTACTGACTTGAGAAAAGCTTCGCTTCGGAATTTAATTGCGCATGTATTTCGATTCCCACGGTCAATTCCCATTCATTATTTGCTGCCACTTGTTTCTTTCCACGACCATTTCGGCTTTGGGACTTTGATCTTTTGGCTTCCTCCTTCAATTGCTTGCGGAGAGGGACGATGTCGTTGGGGCGTTGGACGTTTGCTTCAGTGTTTATTGTACGGCGAAGAAGATGTTGATATATTCGGGCTCCATATTGTTCTGAAATTAACAGCGGACGACAGCGGAGGCGTGCCGAAGCAAGGTACCGAGAGTACCATAGGCGTGGCATGTGTGGAGGGGTTGGATTTCTCTCTGTCGTGAGAAAGAATGGAGCTCAGCTGTTCATTCAAGGATGACGACGGATTGAATATAAATTACCGGATTATGTATCTTACAAACTAATACAGATATACCGTGAAATTACAGTATTTGATTGGTCTTTGCTATCTAAATTACAATGATTGATACAACATCGCAAGTAGTCCAATAAGAATACAATTGACAATCTTGGATAAGACTTCTACTCATAGACTATTCGAGGCCATGATCATATTTATTCTAATAGAGCCATTCCAGTCTCTATGACTTCCGAATCAACTCCCCGCTCGGCCCAGCTTTGAACAACGCTTCTAGCTGTCGGCTCATATTCGCGTACATGAACATCGTTCTCATGGATGAATGTGTTCGCATGACAGAAAACCAAGGAGGGTCTTTCCTGGCCATCACAACACCTCTCCATCATAAGGCTTCGCCATCCACGCTAGAAAGATCTTCGTAGAATTCGCGGCAGCCGGCAATATCAGCCGTGCAACGGTATATGTGTAGCCTTAGCAACATACGACCCAAGGAGGGCTTTCCTTGCAGGAGAACATTGTTACCATTAACTTTCACCGTTAGATTTCCATTGTGAGAATCATACAAGACTGTGTAGAGGTCCTTGGTGTTGCGAAGAAGGTGCCGAAGAATAGCGTAGTGAGCCTAATGGTTGTTAGAACGGTGCTATGTTATGTATCATGGGAATGAGAACATACTCTGCTGTGGGCTTGGCCCCATATCTGTGTCGATCGATTAGCGCATAATCCAAGTCTATGAATACGAGAAAGCTGTGCTCACCTTTGTATGCGGGTCATAGTTCTCCAGTCCTCGAAGTCCATCAGCGCCGAGCTGCAGGTACATGTTGTGAATGACTGAAGACTCATTAGTATAAAAGGACAATCTCCTCGTGAATTGCTCATACCATCATCAGGCTTGATATCTCCATCTTGAGTATAACCAAATAACCCTAGAATCTCCGGCTCATCAATCAAAAATGCACCAACAAGCTCTGCCCTACACTTGTCCACAGTCGCCGAGAGATCTCCTAGTACCCCAGTCCAAGTTTGACCAGGTCTATATCAAGATGCAATTGGCTTTCCTGTTATTGGATTAAGAGGCGGGCTATCAGGATCAAAGTTAAAGTCGTTTGGACCGGACTCGGCCAAAAACCGTCCTGTCCCATGGCCCAGAATCTCGTGCAAAGCACAGATGTAGTATGCATGGGGGCGGTGTTCCTTAAAGATGTGACGCTCTGCCTCGTCGACCATATGCAAGCCCCTGGATCTTTGACTTTCTGCGATCATGCGGTTGGAAAATATAATATTCTTGTAGCTTGTCTCTTGGCGAATGTCATTGTGCTACGTCGCATTAGTCCTCCTTGTTTTTCTTAGTTGGAGCAGATCATTATACGGAAAAGAAGAAATAGAGACTTACATTGGAAAGGTTGATACCAGGAAACACAATACTCGAACAATAAGCAAGGCCTCGAAGATATCAGCAGGATATAATGGACAAAGATTGTGGTTGATGTCACTTTGAAGTCAAGTATAGAATTAGCTTCAGGAGAGACTTGGCGGAAAATAATGCGAGCGCCACTCCATGCTGCTTTGAGATTGGTTAGATTCTCGCTCATGTGTTGTATCTAGATAGGTACCATGCTTACTCGACCATGTAGTGGGCGTACAATTCCTGCTTTTCGTCCAGAGCGCTGAAGACGGACGCCACAGGTAGCTGAAATATCTGAGGTGGCCCCATTGTAAGCTGTGAAATGGTGACAGCGAAAACAAGAGTTGGTTCAAGAAACAACATAGACAAATAGCCCCGCACATGTGACTCCTTCCAGTATCATATCATCGGATGAATGAAGACTCGAGTTCGATCTTGCTACTGTTTCGTTGGATTCTGCTTTCTCTTTCCTACGTATCTTTCCACATGCTCCATACGTAGCTCAACATCTTCACCAAAGACCGCGCGGTCTGTCGATGCTCTGGTGATAATGACCTTCGGTATTTCCTGCGGCGCATCGTCTTGTGGTTGATCGGATTTGGATCGAAAACACATTTTAAACAAATTCTTGTATTCAAGGTACGATCTGAAATTGATTTGCTATGAAATTCCAAGAATGATAGAGTGGAGGTTCGGAGGCATTACTACCTATATATACATCCAGCAACACAGCGCTCAGGCAGCTGAATTGAATACTCATGAGGCTGAGTTTCTTTGTCACATGAGATACAGGTATTCAATTCGGCGCACTTACATAGTAGAATCGAACAATCAATACGAGGATTCTCTGGGGCGGTGACATCAGGTGCGGTGTCCTAAGGCCAACCCCGGAACCCTAAGCGCCCAAGGGCAAGGCTAAACAAGCCCTAAAAGCGCCCCATTGATTCCTTTATCGATAGGGAACAGTTACCAATGACTGAGCTTAGTCCAGTGACTGCCGATGAAGATCACTGGACTGGGTTCATACTACAATGTTGTCATTCAGGTTCGACAGTAAGTCCAAAATAAATGGCCAATTAATGCTTCGTCTTCAGCACAAGCTATCTTCTCTCGACTCGCTTGAGAGAGAAAAGTGACGACTAAGTAGAAATGTCTACAAGCCAAACAGATCAGTTGATTGTTATTGCACATTTGATCTATATCCCACGGGATACCGGTGCCTAATGAAGGTATCTATAGGTCGCATAGGCGATAAGTTCTTAGGACATCCACTCACTCCTCCGAAATATCACCTCACACCACGTGAACCTCGCTCCTAGCCATATACTGCCATACTAGATCATCTGGTATGCACGCAGCTTTTCGGTCTAGTTGGTTGAGCCCAACACAGGCCAAGAAGAATAACAAATCCAATGGCCCCTATGGGGTGAATCCTCTAACAGGAATCTAGCATTCTCGATGAGATTTGAATGATCCTGTGTATAGCCAACTTCAACAGAGATAGTCGGCGACTTTCGACGCTCTGGAACGAAGAGCGTAGCATCAAGTATTTTGCTGTTGTCAACATGGAGATCATCCAAACTGCCCGTCTCCCTATTATTTGAAAGTCATCACCTGTGGCAGGTTCTTCGTGATAGCTCGCCAAGGCCTTCTCCTATAGAGAAGAGATATTGGCTATTGGGGAGACTTTTGTAGCCATTCTGTTATCACCAGCCTCAGGAGAAGGAGCCCATCTCCGGTGGTTGCACCTGGCAATCATTTCTGATAAACGCTGGTGATCGGATGAGAGTCTTTCTTGTTACACTGCGATGGTCCCCCGTCAGAACTCGTAAGCTGTAATTCCCTCATTGGTAATGTAATCTGATGTCGGGATGTATCAGCAATCTTCAGCTGATGCCGAAAGATTCTTTACACGACGCTGTCTATTACGAAAACGTCAATGACATTGTGAGATACTCCGTCTGAAATCAACATGGATCCCGAGGTTTCCCTTCTGGTGCTCTCCGTCTTCTCATCTCTATCATCGTGTCGCAATGCACTGGGTAATTGTTGTGAAATCAAATGGGTAACGAAAGCGGAATCTGTCGATGAGTCCAACGAACATATCAGAATCGAGGCGACTTATAGGAGACTGCACTCACTCCAGATGTCCTCGGCAAAACTTCTCAGCTTTTTCTCGGTATCACTAAGTCTCTCTCTAAGGGTACGGCCTGGTAACAACGTTGTCAAAAGATAGATCAAGCTGTGTAGTAGTTTAGTTGTGCTATTCATGTAGGACTCTCTGATAGTAGATATTGTTCAACTTGATTTGAGGAATATAGTATAATGCGCTGAAGAGGGAAAGATCTTGTAAGGATACAATATCACAAGTTCCCATCGGTGCAAGATGGTCTCGGAGATTTCGCGTTCAATGCTGACCATATCAGATCAATGCACCCAATGTGTTTGTCCTTAGCTAACGCGGATTTTGATATCGCTGTTGCGATATTCGCATGGTGGTAGAAAGAAAATGAAAGATGAAGAAGAGAAAAGTCGAGGAAAGGAAAAGGAAAGGAGCTTAAGGATGGAAGGAGGCCTCAGGCAACACCACATGACGATGTCACGTGTAAGGGCGTGAAACTATCTTGGACTACTGTTAAGGACGCAAGGGATCCCCGGATTACCTGCGTAAGCGAGTGGATAACTGCCAACAAAGCATTGCCTGCAGCGTTCGTATGATGCGACAGCTGACTGGCCAACATGACACACTAACCATTTTGAAGACTTTTAGTTGGAAGTCCAACTAAGCCTTTCGGGATTTCGAGTGTTTTGCGACCCGCATTGAAGCCTTACATTTTCGGAACAAGAAAACAAAAAGGAATTCGGCTTTCTTCTGCATTTTTCTTTCTTCCAATGTCAGTTGATTCAGCAATCGGAAGATTAACGACAGCACAAAGCATATTAAATACTACGTTCCCCGGGCGTTCAAACAATGAACGATGACCATGGGGGCCACACCTGAATCGTTTCAGAATTGGACTCTCCAGACTGCGACAGCTCCGTAGCGCTCAAGCCTTACTCTATCTACGACATCAACGCCTTCAGATCAGCAACCACCTAGAACTTTTATACTCATTGTATTGTCATTACTTCGGAATTATTTATCGCGCTGGGCCGCTTGCATTCTGCTTTCCCTCCCTGAAGGAGCGGTCGGATCTAGGGCTGTGAGCTAATGCCCTGATAAGTGTATGTACTACTGCAGCAAGGAGGTGTCGTACTACAGATCTACAACTCATCCAAAGTACTACCGTGGGTTTTACCCCCCTATCGACCTTGGAATTCTTCGCTGGAGGAGAAATTGAACATCAGTTCTTTTTATATCAACTCATTGCACCATCCGCCTACTTAATTCAAATTTCTCAACCCGGGAGCACGCTCAACATAACAACTGTACCATATTACTTTCGATGAGACCTTAAATCCGCATCAAACCTGGAATTTAACCCTTTCCGTGATATTGTTATATCGAATTCACACTGCAATGTCTGCGAGCGTTTCTAGCCGGCGAAAGGGCAGCAGAGCTGCCCGCTCCAAGAAACCTTCTTCAACCCCCAGCAAGGTTCCAGCCTCTCATGTTCCCTCGACAGCTGTTGTTGGAGCAAATCCGAATGTGCAGTTGAAGTCACAGACAGAGTCGGGGGTGCAGAAAAAAACTCGTCCCGATATACAGGTTGGATCTGAGCTTGTCAAAACGCAGAATGGCGCCTCTTCTAACAAACCGAATGTATTTCAATTCCTCCAGGAAGGCGACTCCTCGTCAACATCTTCCGACAACTCCGACTCGGATTCAGATGATAATGACCAGGATCAGGAAGGGTTACCTGCCCTTGCTCAAGAGCGACCACAACCAGATAGGGATACACATTCCTCATACCTTATATCACCCGAATCATCCTTTCGAGCGAGTAGCCCAGAGCAGACCTTTTCCGTCACTTCCAGAGATTCGATTGCCACTGACGGTGGATCGGTAACTTCTCCGGACGGTTCACCTGCAACAGCCTATCTGCGTTTGGTCAATAAACATAATCTTCAAAAGGCTGCGCAAGCGCGAAGTCGGCGTGACGCTGTACAGAGGCAAAGTCCACACCGTACAGATGACGAAGACGATGGGCATTCGGACTATTCAGCTCCTGAGGACTTTTATCTAGCAGAGCGCATGCACTATCACCAGCAGAAGCAGCAGCAGCAACAGCAACAACACCGCTCACACATACATCGGCCACACGTCCACAGACAAAGAAACAACAGGGACCACAGCGGATCTAGACGAGGGCCGTCCCTATCACCGGGAAGAAGTGCAGGCCAGCTAGTAACGACCGAAACACGCGATAAAAACAACAAGCTCGTCAAAACGCCGACTACCAAACCCAGATTATCCTCGGGGTACGCCCTTCTAGCCTCCAAACTGGATTCCTCAACAGCGTCACCATCACAGAATCCAAAGTATGGTGACAATTCACTGATTCCCGTGTACCGAAGATTCGAGAATATGAACCACCGTATTCTCCTACACCTTCAAGATGAGATCTCCCAACTGGAAGAAGAACTTCAGATGATGGATGAATACGAAGCGAAACACCGGGCCTCCATCGCCGAAAAGGAAGGATCAGAGCAGTTAGAACCGGCTTCGAGACGGATGGATGTTGAAGCTGGTAGATATTCGGCTTTTCATGCGCGGCGTTTAGAGCTGGTTGATCGGCTTACGTACAAAGTTAACCAATACAGTAAGTATCCCTAAGACAGAATGAAAGTCCTGGACTAACTTGCCACTAGACGACGCTCTAACCAGTTACACAAAACTGAGCCGAATGCTCCCCAAAGCTTCCCCTAAAGACATCCAGACATACCGAAACTGGATGAACGAGAATACCCCTATTGCCAAAAACGAAACTCGATTTCTAGACCATGACCTGGATCTCGTTGCTCTGAATATGGCAGTTCCAGCGGTAGCAGCTGTGGGCGGCCAAAATCAAAACAATAATAGTATTCTCTATTTCATAATTGGCGTGTTGTCGACTGCATTGTTATTACCGCTTCTGGCATATTAACCCGTCTAGCTCTGACCTATTCCTCGTTCTTCCAAAAAAACTCGCTTTAGATCATCTGTTCCCCTGGTGGGAATTTCGGGATTGGATATTTTCTGCTCTTTTCTCATTTGTTCTATTTGATACCTTCCCCTGGCCTATGAGTCTATGAGATGGCTGTTACACGTCTTGTCTGGCTTCGATAGCTAGGCATGGCAGCCAGAAAAAATTTCAATATTGTGCTATGTATGATTTGTGTTGTTTTGATACCGCTACCTAAACATGTACAGTCTACTAGAACCTATTGTCACGTACTACATATGTTCTAACGAAATAAATGATGGATATGATTATTGAGATTTTCTTAACTAGGCTCGTCTACCCTAACTGACATGAAGATATGGAAAGAAATAAGACAACGACGAAAGAAGAAATCTGGACAGTCCCATTTCCCTCTTTTCTATGCGTAAACAACTTCAAAAATCTTAAGGTAGAAATAAGGGGTCGAAAAAAAGTGCCAGGCAAGAGGACTGGAAACTTAAAGTAATACAGGAAGAACTGTTTCGTGTTGAAATTGTATCAAGTCATTGCTTTGGTTCATCGACGACATTCCTGTTTCAACATGGTTTGATAGCAAGAACCGAGACTCTCGTGATTGAGCAAGTGATAAGATAAAAATAAAAGAATTAGGTAAAAAGACAAGAACCACTGTCGAACAAACACCTTTACTGAAATCATAAATTACCAATGGAACACTAAGAGTTAATACACATACACACCAAGCGCTGGTCCGCTGTCATCAGCTTGTTAAAAAAGAAGGAGAAGGGAAGAAGGGCATGTCAAGGCAGCAATAAGAAAAATCTTTTTTTGGTTGGATCAATCAAGAAAAGACGAAGAAATACACGCAAGGTCGAAGAATGGAAGGAGGACGAAGACTTGATTTGCACAGAACCGATAAGATCCAAAATTGCCGGTTTTTGGGACAAAGATCCAGCCAGAGCAGGTAAAGTTACCGCTAATGCCTTTCAGGTAGCAGTGTCCCATGCTCATTGCATGCACACAAAGTAGGAGCTGCTCCCTGTGCCCATTCTGGATTCGATGTGGAGATAGCAGTAGCTTTCGCGTAGAGTAAAATGTAATGCCAGAAGCATGATCCAAGGAGCTTCGGCTGGACTCATGACGTGGCTGGTGTAGGAGTAGCACTGTGCTTCATAGCTGGGCTCTCACTTCTTTCCTGGGACGAGGCTTGTGCAATAGATTGTGCTGGATTAGGAGTACCTGATACTTGACGGGCGGCGTCAAGCTGAGCTTTCTGTCGTGCTAGTGCCATGGCTTGTTCTGCGGCTGTATTGCGACTATACGCCGCTGCGACATTAGGAGACATGGCGTATTGCCCCGGTGTCGCTGTGGCTGAGGATGGGTAATTCGTGTACGTGTGCTGTGAATAATATCGCTGAGCGTTCCCTGATGCCGGGTTTAGGTATGCTGTACGCGCAGCGCTTTGTGGCGTGGCATATGAATGGGCCTTGTGTGGTGAAGCGCTTCTTCCAGCAGCATACGCGGGATTTTGTTGATAACCTGGTCCCGGCGAAGTGGTAGATTGGCCGGTATAAGGTAAATAGCTGTTTGATGTAGGCCTTGGATGATATTGTCCAGGTGAATAGGCAGGAATACTGCTTGGCCGTTGGGATGGAGATGCTTGTGGACGAATGCCGGCATAGTTTTGTTGTGGAGTACTTGCCCCCGGAGTGTAAGGAGTAGAGGATGATGGGCGACTCTGATAGTAACCTTGTGTGCCTACCGCTGATTGCTGAGGCCTAGGATTTGCAGAATACAAGCGTTGATTGTATCCGGGAGTGGCTTGATAAGACCCTGTTCGTGACGGCGTGGCAGCAGGTGCACTCGCGGCAATTCGCCTTTGCATGAGTGTATAGTCATCCTCCTCCATGGTACCGTTGTAGTTCGGCATCTCCACCAGGATCTTCTGGCTGATGTTAAGGTCAGCCAATTGATCTCCATTTAATTTCGCAACCGCGTAAGGAGGAAGATTCGATATAATAGCCGCTAATCCCGACTTCAAAGTTTCGTATGTAAGAAGTTCTGCTTCCGATGGAGAGTCTGGAGTTCCAGCCTTGTCATCGGTCTTTGTTTCACCTTGCGATGATGGTTCCAGATTGCGATTTCGACGGAAAGAGTCTAAAGTTTGCAGAAGCTCAGCGATGTCCTGAAGTACCGCATCAACATCTTTGTCTTTCAAAGGTGTCTCGCTTGTCTCTTCCGGTTTAGCTTCAAGGGTGCCTTTTTCAATGAATGACTTGACATCCTCTTCCAGCGTCGTCTCGTCGAGTCCAGAAAGTGTCTGATCCTCGGCTGTTTGAGCCGCGTTGTGAAATGCCACCATCGTATTGAACCGCCTAGAGCCCCTCTTAGCCCACCACATGCTGTTTTTGGCATCTGATGCTACAACGGCATATGAACTATCATACGACGGGGCAAACGAGGAATAAGCGCCAAAAAGGAGGCCTTTCTCTTCTCCTATACTCCGAGGAAGCTGAGTGGTGGTTTCCTCTTCATTCTGGCTCTCCTGCTTCTCTCGTCGATTCCAATATGAGGCATATGCACTGTCCCCACCATAATGAAGCCAGTACCCAGCCGGAAGTTTCGCAAACGAATAATGGTGTCTTTGTCCTAAGATTGCATCGTAATTTGTGATAGCGTCGAACGGGTCAATCCAGGTGCTCGATGGGTCCCTCGCCCAGGGCCGACTCCGACGTGGAGGCTCTAGTGGAGGGAGTGTGGAGCGCGGCGCAAATACTTCACCAAATGTCTTGACCGATTTCTCTTCCATTTCTAGGTTGAATGGAATGGCTCTGGTAGTTGTGATTCCATTTGGCAATCTGTCTTCCGGGAAAGTTGCAGGTTTATCAGAAATAGAATCGGCATCCGTCTTTTGTAAACTAGAGAATAGCTGTTTGGCATTGGACGAACTCCCTCCATAGAGGGTCAAAACCTTCCTGTCGCGACGTAAAACATCTTGGGGCGATTCGTCTGAAGCAGGCTCAACCTTGATCTGGGTAGAACCCTGAACCAAGGCTTGCTGGACAAGGCCTTTTAAGCGATCCTTCAAAGCCGCAACTTTCATCTGTATTAAAGAAACATCCTCGTTGCCAAGGGCAGTTTGCCTTTCAACGACAGCTGCTGATGCTTTGTTCACATCGCTCAGGAAATCTTGATATGACAAATATTGATTTGCATCGACACAGGCATCGATGCTGTCCAAAGTATTGCTATCGTCCGAGAGCTTGGGGCGTTTGGACCGAGGTTTTGACGGCGAAGCGGGGGTTAAGGATGTCTTGAAAACGGATAGATGCTCATCGTCCCTAGGAAAAGAACTGAGTTAGCCAGCCGGAATTGTGCAAACGATTCCGAAATGTCTATCTTACTGAGCAGCGATCTGTAAAATATAGCGCAGATTCCTGTTTAGTTCGATCTTTTCCTCTTCACTACTTTTGACGGCGGATTTCTTCTCATTTGTTGGCTTTCCCTCGGGGGTCGAAGCCCGCTTTCGTTTCCCAGGTGGTGAGGGTACAGCGGACTCATTTGATGGAGGATGGCGGCCATTTGTTAGGGGTATGGTAGCCGCCTCTCCTGCTATTTCACTGGCCATGGCGTCGTCCGGGAACTTTTCCTAGACGCGCAAACAAGAACACGTCCCCACGAGGAAGCCGATCTAGATCAATGGCGCACCTCAAACCACGACCATGAAATTGATGGAAAAGGCTGATTATTTGAAAATTGATTTCGAAGCGACCCCGGATAAAAGTAGTTTACAGGTGGTCCAGGCTTGAGACGAGGGCTAGTGATCGCGTCTGGGGTTCGCAAGAACACTTCTCGTAGCGTCGACGGGCTTTACCACCACGGGAAGCACAGGGGAGGGGGTGATCCTGCGGCACCACGCGCAAATGGTTGCTGGACCAAGCAGAGAAAGCAGAGAAAGAAGTTGGAAAGACTAAGCCAGAATTTGAAGCAAGTATAGGGCCCAGGTAAGGATAGACCATCAATGAAGGAGGTTCAATTGAATCAATTCTCTCACGACTTACGGTTGGCCCAATACGGCTTAGCGCTAGAACCTGTGACGCCGGGACCGCCAGCCACTCACAAGCTTGCTATCACGTGAGGAGCTAGCCTTAGACGCCAGAAATAACTCCACGTCGCTGATTGGTTCCGCGGCCATCCATCTTTCCTTCTCTGTCTGGATTTCTTATTTTGTCGTTCTCTTTCTTTCCACAAAGAGCTTCTCAAACTATCAATTCGGCTTTTGTTAGGATTTTTTTCTATATAGGAGGCACACGTCAGTGGATGTGTTATTACTTGGTCTATTTAAGGCTCAAGGACATTCTCATGGATGTCATCTATCTTGAATAATGCCTCTTACAGCTCGGGGCTAAGGGCATTGTCAAGTTTGCAGTCATGCAGAAGCACATCAAGTCAGGTTGGCACATACCAGGCGATTAACATTACTCGGACATAGCGGACTGACCAGACCTTTTATAGAACTCATACCATCTACTACAGAAGCATTGTGTCCGATGCGCACGCACTCACATTCGACTTTATTCACAAGATTCCGTGGCAGCTTCAAGAGATGCCTCCCATTATGATACATCGAACGTTACCCGGGACCCGTTGGCCTTCTGGAAGGACCTGCGTGTAAGGGCGGTGAATTCTTTTGTCTCGAATGCCGCAGAGGCCTCAACTAAATCGATAGCGACTTCTATATCAGTAACGGGCCAATGGAATGGCATCAAGCAACCTGCCTACGGACATGTGGACGCTCCGGGAGATTCAAACTCGACTGACGTATCAGATATCGGTCGCCGCGCCGTTAAAGACCAGACAGCAGCGCTGTCCCCTCATGCTTTGGAGGAAACAAGCCCTTGGGAAGATAGCAATCCTTGGGAGGAGGCAGTTCTCGAGAAGGAAACACGTACCTCAGAAGAAACTCATCTTGATGATGAGGCGGATCTCGAGGAGGAATTTCTTAACACTCTTACCGAGTCTTTGCCTCACATCAGACATGGCGGCTACGTGAATACCAATTCTTTGTCACGAATCCTGCAAAAATATTTGTTGGCATTGAGGTCGCAAACCCCAAGTACGAATACGGATATACAAGAGTTGGCTGGACTATCTAATATTTTCGATACGGAGACGCTCCGGACTCTGTCCAAAAAAGGTTATTTCCCAGAAGATGTCGCGGCCTGGGCTTGGATTCTTGCTCCTAAGGGGTCGTCTAGAGCTGCGATGAGGCTTTTTCTTTGGGATAGTCGTAACTCGGTCCGACGACGAACACCACTGTTTGTTCTGAAAATTCTTCTTCATCGGCCTCATCTTGATGTGCGAGCGTACCGGATACTTCTTTCTTATTCCTTGTCTTATCTCCTTCGGCAACCCATCAACTCAACGATATTGGAGGGGGACTCGACTGTCGCAAGTACTCAGTTTGAGTCTGATGTTGCCACATTAACTTCTAAGGAAGCTGGTCCTTTAGTAACGATCTTGCTGAAAAGAGCCCGTGAAATGCTGCCGGCGGCGCAATTCAATATTGCTCAGGCCTACGCCTTCTATCTCATTCATTTACTTCCCCTCAGTGAATCAAAACGAATGGTCTGGGAAATTAATAGACTCCGAGCTGAGGGTTTCAATAAGTGCCTCAGACTATTGGGGATACCTTCAAGGGTACAGCCATACATATCTGCATCTATCCAGCAACAAGCACAATTCGAATTACTGAAAGCCATGGCTGCCCACAACCCTGTCATACCAGTCAGCCGCCTAGGTTATCAGGCCATTATGGCAGTACAACTTGCACATGTAAAGACCCCGGCAGAAAGGATATTTGCCGAACAAAAGGCACTTTCTTGGCCTCCATGGAAAGAAGCTCGGATGGGTATTGACTCAGAACGTGGCAACGAGGGCATGTATAGTCGCGCAATGCAAGTGTTGTCTCAGATGACAGAAGCTGGCTATGGTCGCTCTTCCTGGGATGACGTAGCTGCAATTCTTGCGGGCTGGGACACAGATGGCACTCCCACAATCCAGACGCGGAGTCTGGCGAGGCCACAAAAGTCATTGGGATCTGGTATTAAAGAGTCCAAGGTAGTTTCGACGATTTGGGCAAGTCGAATACGTGCAACTCGCACATTACGGGAGGCCTGGGCGTGTTTTCTATCGTATGAGAGTCGCTGTTCTATTCCCAGTGAACCAGTCTACCATGCAATGGCCCGAAAGTTGATTTATAAGAAGGAAAGTCACTGTATAACCACTAAGAATGGGCCCCTTCCAGGAGATGGGTTCGAGGTCTATCCGGAGCCTAGCTCAGCTCGCGACGTGACGTATGTCCCTACAGAGCCGCCCACACTTGAAGCATTACTTGAGCGAATGATATTGCAAGGGATCTTACCGGGACCTGATTTCGTTGCTCTGTTGCTACGGTTTTCTCCGAACTTTTCAACGGGATTGAGATACATAGCTGCTTTCTTGAGCCCAAAACAAACGAAAGCAATAAGTACTCTTTATGTTGGGGACCTTGAGGAGGAGAATTTCGAAACTTTGAAAGCAATGAAACCCAGCCTCTTCGACTCAATTATTGCATTTTTTTGTGCCCAGTCGCAATTGCCATGTCCCGGACATCGCTTTCGTAAAGCAGATCTTTTCCCAATCCTAACACAGCGACCGTCGCAGCTCGTGGTCGATACGAGCACATTCTTCTCCGATGAAGATGTCCTACGGGAAGGTAACGGGAATGGCCATCCACAAACATTATCGCACGCCGTTGAACTCTTACATGTGACGCGGCCGCGGCGGGTGACAGCATGGTTACCGTTGCTTAGGGCTTTGGCTTCACCAAGGGGACCAACGGAAGAAAGATTGGTCAAACCACATGTTCATTGGTACTTCGCTTGGTACGAGGCAAATGAATTGATTCGTTGGATGCAGGAGCTGGAACTTGAGCCTGGGATGGAGGGGTTCATTGTCCTCTGTCAAGTTTTTGCGCAAGCAGTCGGTGTCGGAATTCAAAGTGTTCACGCAGCCGACGAAAGCTTGCACTTGGCACACAGAACTAAAAGACACAATGACGAGTTGTACGTCAGCATTCCAACTGACTTCGAGTCATTTGTTCACCAGGGCATTCGAGTCTTAAAGTCTTATTTTGATCGCCTTGTGCTCCCGTTTCACCCTATGCTGGACTCCAGTCCTAGCCTGAATACCAGCGAGCCAGAATTGAATGCGCAGCTTGGATCCCATGTGCCGGATATGGTTCAGGTTCCTACTCCTTCTGCATTGCATGTCTTCATCAGAGCTCTCGGAACTGCTGAAGACCACGATGGCATTCTTAATCTGCTTGAGTGGATGAGTCGGTATGCGTCAGAAATCGCCGAAGCATCTGATCAACGTCGGGGTGGTAGAAGAATGTTGCGGCGCACGTTGACTGCTGTCAGAGTATTCCTTGAAGATTTGAATGAGCTCAAGATACCTCAGCGCGAACCGGAGTCTACAGTGGGTCGAAAGGCACCTCTCGATTCTTATTATCATATCGGCGAGGAACAAGAAGTCAAATCAGAGTCTCGCCCGATATTCAGCGACGGCCGGGTTGAAGAGGCGTACGACCTTATTGAGAGTACGGCAGTCTGGGGACCATGGCCCTCGGACGATGAGGTCCGAGCATACGTTGCACGGTATATGCATCCTGATATATAGGATTCGGTTTTGGCTCTTTATTCACTGTAGATATTTGATATACATTTGGGCGCTAGAGATACCATATTATAGAGATTGGTTTGTGTACAAATAATGAATTTTTCCTTATCAGATTGATGTTTCCCGTCGGTAACCGAGGCGGCATGTGGGTATTGTATGACATTTGTGATTTCCCCGCATTACTTTCACCCCAGCTTCAGCTTCTCCAGAACATCTACCTACGGAGTGCATCCTTCTCCTCTTACTCTCTTCTTAGGTATAACATACAACATGCCACCACGAGGCGCAATTGTCTTTTCGATAATCCGACCGACTCGGTCGACGGCGACATCTTCATTCTCACGCAATACGACCTATTCCCAAATCCGGACAAACAGCACAGCTACCCCATCATCTAGAGATGGAACAGCTACAATCAACGTACAACAAGTCCCCGCACCTGGATCGGGATATGTGCGCGTCTTACTACTCAATAGACCGAAGGCTAGAAATGCGATATCAAAGGAGTTACTAAATGCATTGAGGTTTCAGGTTGATGCTATTAGTGCCGAACAAGGGAATGGACCGACGAGGGCTTTGGTGCTTGCTAGTAATGCGGATTCGGCTTTTTGTGCGGGGGCTGATTTAAAGGAGAGGAAGGGGATGAGCAAAGAAGAGTAAATATTCTTTTCTCCAATTCTCTAGTGTCCGACTTGCTGATCTTTACATGTTATAGGACGAACGCGTTCCTGACAAAACTTCGCGGTACATTATCACGCCTTGAGGCTCTGCCCATTCCTACAATCTCCGCGATTTCTTCAATAGCACTCGGAGGCGGCCTCGAATTAGCCTTGGGTACTCAACTTCGCGTCTTCGGATCAACCAGTATCGTGGGATTGCCCGAAACTCGAATTGCCATCATCCCCGGTGCCGGCGGCACTTATCGCCTTCCTCGGTTGATTGGACAAAGTCGCGCGAGAGATCTAATTCTCACGGGTCGAAAAGTCTCGGGTCCAGAGGCATATTTCCTCGGTCTGTGCGACCGGTTAGTTGAAGTCACACCCGAAGAAGAGAAGCAAGAAGGCGTCGCACGGAATAAGGTTTTGCATGAGGGTATCAAGCTTGCTCTGGATATTTGTGAGGGGGGTCCATTGGCTATCAAAGCAGCGTTACAAGCTGTGAATCAATATGAGAAAGGCGAAGAGGCTGAAAATTCGGCTTATGCACAGGTGGTGGATACGGAGGATAGACTTGAGGCTCTGTTGGCATTCGCAGAGAAGCGCAAACCGGTATATCGAGGGCGTTAAACTTTGCTGAAAGAAAGTTGTGCTTTTTTTTTCTTTCTCTATTCCCCCCTTTTAAGACGATGCTGAGGCAAACAAAGCGCATGTTTGAATTAGGGTGTCCCTTTTTACTGTCAAGGCCAAGCAATCATAAAATCAATCATCCCAACTCCTATTCCTCATGTCATTTATATACAAGTCTTTTGTTTGGACACCGAGTCAATGCAAATGCCATGACATCCATCCCATGCATTCGCCGTCTCTTTTCCCATTTCCTTCTTTTCTTTCCATATAGGAGAACTCCAATGCACATGAAATTGAAAACAAGAAAAGGAAAACAAAACAAATAATGGATTCCATCGAAGCCGTATATGCAAATAGTTTGTTTCTTTTTCAATAACTTCACCGTAACACCATGCAGTATGATTAAAAGGGTATCAGCAAAGCAGATTTAAAGAAAAAGAAAGAGAAAAAGAAAAAGAAAAAGAAGAAAAAGAAATATGAAAACAAGTCAATTTATAGAAATAAAAGTGACAAGGAAGAACCTCAGCAATCCGAGATGACTATCGAGGATCGATACCCAGTCCCAGTCCTATTCCAGAGTAGACCGGATCAGGCGAACTCCCTGATCTCGATCGACCAGCAATATTCGTAATGGGCACCTGTAGTGGAACAGCAGCCACAGGCAAGGATAGGACGGTTCCCGGATCAGACCTTTGAGCTTGCATGCGCGGTGCTGCTAGGAATGGCTGTCCGGTTCGAGCATCGTACATTACCGCAGGTGATTGATGTTGATTCCAATCCATAACCCGCCGACGTGCTTCGTCTACATCTACCTCGTGTTCACCGAAGAATATGCTTTGATTCACTGCTGGGCTATTGATTATTGACCCTCCGTTTGCTGTATCGGGTTCGCCACCATAATCGAAGCGGGTGGTGAGATATTCGAGGGGCGCAGGTGCAGCAATAGGCACAGCATACGCGGCTGCTTGGCCAGCTGTATTACTTTGTGGTGCGTATACAACAGTATAAGTTGGTGAGGTAGGTAGCTGAGACGCATATGCAACAGGTGGCTGCGGTGGTAGCTGATGAGTAACAGGAACAGGGTCAGTCTGCCACGAGGAGCGAGACTGTCCAGACGGATCGCGAGACATTGCCGCCGAAAGCGGTTCAGATGTATATCCCCCCGGCATAGCTTGTCGAGGTGGTGATGTAGAAATGAGAGAAGCTTGATACACCTCTGGGACTTGCTGCCGTATCCGATTATTTCTTACTTGTGCGTCGCCAGCTTCTGGAACGGGGGCATGTCTAAGATTTCCAGCGCTAAGATTCGTGGTACTGAGGCGTGGAGCAAAATCCGGGTGTGTCGGGTTCAGCTTGGACGATTGTGACGGAAGAGGGGGAGGAGGAGGGGGCATAGAATTCCTCAAATATTCACGATTAAACGGTATCAGGGTTCTAGAAGAAGAATTCCGAGAATGATTTCGAGACCCCGGGGCTGAATTGATATTGGGAGATGATCGCTCTCCCCTCACCAAAGAAGGATCACTATGACTTAAACGATTCAGACGATGATCTCTCCCAATGTCGACCAACGCGGGTGATGGTATGGAGCTGCTCTGTCCGCTACTTGATCTGAGCTCCGCTTGAAGATCAGATCTATTCTCTATCGTACTCTTAGGTCTCGGTTTAGACCAGGAATTGTTGCGTCGACATAATATACTCGGAGCACTTTGAGATGGGTTCTCAGCCGAAGGCTCTGTTGCTGGAGGAGAGACGACTGGTAAAATCCAGGGAGACTGATTCGACTTTTGGTCCGTATGTTCCACCTGTTTGCGCGCATCGGGTTTATGAAACGAGGCCAGCATCTCCTTTGCGTTGGTAGGAGTGGGGTTTCTCCTATCGCTAGATCCAGAGGAAATACGACTCATAGAGCCCTCCCCTTGTGCAGATGACATTTTGGTGATAGGCGAAGGTCGAAATGATCCCAGATCCCTGAGTCTGCCACGAAATCTGGGCCTTTTCTTGGGTGAGTCCTGAGATTTACTTCCTTTTTTCTTTCTCTGAACAGTTTCCCAACCTGCTTCACCTTCACCTTCACCTTCACCAGGTGCCGGAGTAGGTACTACCACAGGCGCCGGCCCATCAACGGAAACGACTGGAGCAGCTGGTGGTGGCATCTCAGTGTTATGACTATACCGCGATGAATCCGCCGATGAGCGACGTGATTTGGTTCTGGAGTCCGCTTCACGATCACTTAGATAACCATCATTCTGCTCTTCAAGCTTTTGTCGATACATACTGGCAAGTGTAAGGTGGTATGGATCCCTAGGGGGATTCGGATATGGATTGGTCAACTCTAGAGGGGATTGAACCATAATTGATTCCCAATCTGCTTCGTTCCATGTTGAGCGATGTGAAGCCATACTATCCTCTAGTGAAGAAGGCCCCGAGGATGAACTGCTGGACCGGTCAAAGATCGACTTTCCATGGCGGAATGATTCCTCGGAGGTGTTTGGTGAGATTTTGCCAATCTCGACCCTAATATCCTTCACTGTGTCTTTCAGAAGCTGTTTCGTCTCTTTCACGATCGAGATATTATCAATCTTCCTGTAATGATACATCAACCGTTCGGCATGAGTTTCATACTCTCGCAGGTCCTTCACGAAAAGACACCCTGTACGGTCGCGGAACATTCTATACCGAGCAACCTCGTAGGATTTACAAAAAACCCTGGTTGCATTCAGTAACCACCATGCGTAAAAGCTAATTACCGGTTGAGAGCCCCTATTGTGATGCTGGGCTGGCTTTCCATCGGATTTCGTAGTCTGTTGCTGGGATGCATCCCCATCAGTAACTTGCTGCTTATTTTTCCCATCAACAATCTTGAGCTCGTCCCGAAAGAATGCTTGCACAACGCTGTGGATTTTAACCACGTCAATGGCATTCTGATATACCCCTGAAGCTGTCATACTTTCTGTAAATGACTCAGAGCCTGAATATTCACCTTCGGGGCTCTCCGATTTGATATCATGTCGTAGTGATTTGCCAAAATAAGAGTCGGAAGTCCTCTCAATGAGTCCATATTGGATCAACACGCCCAATGTGGTGTCAAGATCGCCGGGCTCGCCCGGTCGACTACTCGTCAATATGGGTAGATTCTGTCCTTCTAGTGCGGGTCTCCCCCAGCTTATCATACCCACTGGTACATGGTGCCCGAAGAATGCCAATAAATTGATTAGATTCATGGCTTCGAAGTGCTCGTGAGTCCTAAGATCTTGCATAATGCCCATGAAGGGCTCTGCAAGTCGCTGATCAGTTAAATGTGAATTGAGGTGATATCTCTCTATAGGCTTCCTCGTTGCCGTAAGTCTGTGGGCGATAGCATGAATTGCTAATGGCAAACCTTGGTAATAGTGCACAATCTCTGTTGCTTTCTTGTATTGTTCTGGAGTCGGTTTCTCAATGTCTAGATCATTAAAGAGTAACTCGCGAGCGTGGTCGGTCTTCAATGGCCGTACCATCAGACGGTAAGGCTCGAAGAGTCGTTGCTTCTTTGCCAGGGTCCTGTCCACGGCGGTATAGATAATGCTTGTGTTTTTGCGGAAGGGGAGATATTTTTTAAACGCATTCAGTTGGCTATCTTCATCAAAATTCAGCCCGTCAAATACAATGAGCCATTCTTCCCTAGACTCAAACCAATGACGAACTTGTTCCACGAAGATATTAGCATCAGTTGAGGTAGTAGCCAATGCAGCTGCCTGGGCAACATCCCAGTAACAGGTTGACATTGAGAGAGCTGATTTCGCATCAATCCAGAAAATGCCGCCAGGAAAATCATCGCGATACCTATGAACGTATTCACGCGCAAGATGCGACTTTCCAGAACCAGGTCCTCCGCAAATTAGTACCGCTGATGCCCTCTCTTCCCTTTTTTTAGTGTTAAAAAGACGAACGTGGAGCTCGTTCAGCTCCTTTTGCATTCCAACAAAAATAGCATTAGGATGAAAGCCGGGAGGGACCACGAAGAGTGGACCACGTTGAGGGGGAGGAGGTAGGATCCCGACGCTCTGTGCCATGCGAGGTGTATGATCGTCTGCAAATATTGGGGCCAAAGGGAGATTCGGGACGGAGTTACCTACAAGGGAAAAGCAAAGAAAATCAGCTCACTGGTCGTTTGACTGTATTGAGACGCAATTTCATTCTTGTATAATAAAGTACACAAGAGACTGGAGGAGCACAAGAATGTCAAATCACGAGTTGCAAAAAAAAAAACAGAAGAGGCTGGGGGAACGAGGATATCAAATCATGAACTGGGTCGTAGGGATAAATAAAAGACTGGCAGGCTGCAGAACATCAAACCATGAGTCGTAACGAACTTGGGCAAAGGAAATATGTACAATCATCTTGGTTCGGTGGAATCGGCCTCCTCAACCTCGTATGCAGTCATCAAGCTCGGAGGCCCGCCAGAATCTGTAAGGAAATATTGTGGAGTCCTACCCATCCTAATGTCTGCTTCCTGCTGAGCTTCTTGAGATATATGGACTGAAGCTAAACCGTTGGTTAGTTAATAGAACTCAAAGGCCGGGGAGAGGGGAGGGCGGCCTACATCGAGTCAGTTCGTCGGCCTTGGATCTATTTTGTAGTTGAACATGAGCCTTTTCTTCTTTCCATCGACCGGAGACCACAGGAGGCGCTTCGCGGGAATAACGGATGATTGCTTCAGCAACAGCCTCAAAACCCGGGGAGCAGTCATCTTCGAACTTGACCATGGAACTGTGGTCTGCTTCTATTCCCATTCGCTCGGCTCCTTCAATCTCTGGAGCAGCTGAGGACTCGTCCACAATAAACTCGCGAGTTCCCTTCATGTCGAGCGGTTTTGTCTCGTGGAAAAAATAGACATGAAATCGACTGAAAAAATCGTTGAATAATCTGTTGATGTTCTGGAGGACTTCATTATTAGATTTCAAGGCTTCGACCAGCTGCGGGGAGGTGTCCATGAACTTCTTGGGGAAGACAGCACTGCATATCTTCTGTAACAGCAAGCCCCATTTCGCGACATCAGAACCGGTATGGGGGGTTCCCAAGAATAAGATGCCAAATGTAGAGACGTATATGGAGCGAAGATGGCGTAACTTGTCGCTCTCGTGATTTCGACAGGCAATCATGCATCGCTTAACGACTAACCCTCCCAGCGAATGACAGACGAAAATGATGGGGCGCTCGAGGCAGCCCCGAAGACTTCGATTAGCATACAGCTCGCTCGCGAGAGTTTCTGCGTGGTGATGAATGCGATCTTTGGAAGCGCCATCAGTGAAAGCGGCGACATTGGCGTTATAGCCATAAGTCAAGATGCGCACTTTCGAGCTTCCCAGGAATTCAGGCAAAATATCAACAGGCCAGAAAACGTCCCCGCTCTTGCTTGTCCAGGTATCCTTGGGGTGGCCGTTGAGGCCGTGAACGAGGACGACACTGCCTCAAATTAGCACGAATTTGCAAGAAGGCGAAGAAAGAAAACTTACTCAACCTCTACTGACTTCTCAGGAGCAGAAATGTACAGCTCTGTTAGGCCGTACTGTCTGATTTTGCGAGCAGCAGGCATGGTCCAGAATTAGTAACGGCGGCATTCGAATATCAACAGGACGAGGGACGAGAGGAAGAGAGGATGAAGAAGAGTATAAGTAAGTAATGTTCCTGAGTCACTAGCGCGGAGACCCTGGTGACCTTCAGACTTGAAGTCCCGTGAACAGAGATCACCCGCTGACTGACTAGCTGGCCAATAGATTTCTGTATATTGGCAAAAGAAGGACGCTTCGTGTCTGTTTCATAAATGTTAAAATATTTTGAAAATTAAATTGAGGTGCTCCTCATCTCCAGACCAATTACTCCGGATACCATATAGACAAGGCAGACTCAAGAGCGCCAGACCCCAGCCTTGTCAAATTTAAGAGACTCGTCACCGGGAGTACTCTGATCCCAGGACTGGCTCTGGAATCTTTATGCTCATGTGGCCCCCATCAAATTCACTCACTGATATTCAGATCATTCTCTAAATCATGTGACGCTTCTAAAGGTCGATCATTAAGCTTGTTTACTGTAACTCCACTACTGCGGAATGACTACCTGAGCCAGGTCATTATTGTTATTGTCATGTTCGAGATGTTATGGCTGTCTTCTGTGCCTGCACATGTATCGCCACGCCATGCTTGATCCAGAGGTTACTGAAAAACCGGAACTCTGACTCAAACCCGGGTTTGATATAGACTTGTCTAGGCATCAAGATACACTCTTGAGATCCAGCCGGGCGATTTCCAGGGGTCAGTCCAACTCAAACATGGAAGATTTGAAGTCAATAATAGCACGTGACTAAGCACGTGATAATAAGCCTCAGGCTCTAACGCTAACCCTTTGCGGAGTATACAGACCATGACTGCGGAACGACGTAACTCTGACACAAACCTAATTTGGCCAACCCATTTCTGGCAGTTTGATGCCTTGATGCCTGCATCCACCATGGAGCAGAGTAAGTGACGTAGCTGCAAGAGGCGACGAGTATATAATCTCCAGAAGCTATCCCTACGTCTTCCTCTTACCCTATCTAAAGCCAAAAATACTCTACCAGATAAACACACGTTTCACCATAATACCACCCGTATGTTGATTGATACTCTATTCCACTGGGAAGGGTTGAACTGACGGACATAGCTTCCAAACGCACACATCATGTCTTTCCTTACTCGCGTCGCCCCAACCAGGTTTGCCGTGACCAGCACTTCTTTCCAAGCTTACCGATCATTCTCTACAACATTAGCCACCCAGCGAGGCCCCGTCGAAGCCACCAAGGACGTACTCAAGAAGGCCGATCGGACTGTGTCTGATGCTGCTGTCAAGGGTATTGAGACTGGAGGTAGGTCCTGCTGTCTTGGTCATTGTTTCATGATGTCCTATTGCTAACAATGTTTCTCCAGAAACCTTAACACACAAAGCTCAGGAGACCTTGGGTGTCAAGAGCAAAGAAGCAGAAGGAAAGGCCAAGGAGGTCGCTGGTGAAGCCAAGGGAAAGGCTCATGAGTTGGAGGGCAAGGCCAAGGGTAAAGCCGAGGAGCTTCGCAGTGGACAATAAGTGATCTTCGAAGTTTTCGTCCTGAGTGGCTCGATCTGATTCCTGATTCCTGTATTATCGGTTTCTAAACCATGATTAATTGCATTGATAGCGGTTTATTGTTGGTTATCATCTTTCCAGTTGCAATTGTAGTTGTACCGACCATCTGTCAAGACTGCGACAGCATTAGGACGTATTCCCTAGTGCTGTGACCAAACTTCAAAACGTCCTTGTCACGTAGCTCAATATATCGACCACCAGGCACAACATCCCCATTGACCATAGACCCGTTAGAGCTCTCCAAATCAATCAAATACGGTCGAACACGACCCATCTTGTCTCCAAATTCATTCTTCTTTTCCACATAGCGGAATTGAATAGCTGCATGCTGCTTAGAACAACTCGGATGCTCAATGGGAAAATCCACAACAAGCTTTTCCCTCCCTATCAGCCAGCAGCTACGTTCGCCTAGTTGTACCATTTCCAACAAATCTTCATCTTTGAAGACATAAAGTCGCCAGTCATCCTTTGCTGGCGGCTTGCGTGCTTCAGGAGGCTCGTGGTACTTGAGAACTACCGTGCTGCCGTTAACAGCGATTGTATTGCTTTCCGCCGCGAGTCTCCCGGTATTTGCAAAATTGGGCTTCTCTTTCACTGGTGCTGGCGAGCCCGTCTTGGTGACCTCTGTTGACTCGAAAGCGTCGTTTTGAGATGGTAACGGACCTCGAGATCGGACTGGCGCTGCTGGAGAGCGACTACGATCGCGTCTATCTCCAGACCTTCGACGTCCCCTAGTTTCCTTTGAACGTGATCTGTGGCGTTTGTCGCGTCGTGTTGAACGCTCATCAAGCTCAGATGAATCATGTCGGCGTCTTCGAGTTTCGTGATCCCTCTTCTCCCGACTTCGTGGTCTGTCGCTGTCCTTTCCGAAGCTCACTGGGTGGTCCCTTCGCCTTCTTCGGTAGTCATCTCGCTTTTCTGAATCTCGTTCTGGAGATCTTCGTCGACGTGTATGTTCCTTGTCGTAATCCCTAGACCTTTCCTGGCTATAATCGCGTCTCCTTCGACTGCCACTTGTACGAGGAGAGCGCGAACGAGAGTAATCCCGCCGTCGATCCCGGTTATCTGTATCCGGCGACATTTTGTATTTGATGAAGCTGTTAGGGCAACCCAAGAAACAATCCAAGGTTTGGCTCAAATCACAGACTGACCCACATAGCACGTGATGTGAGCACATAACGGGCTTGGCATCGAAGAGTCAGACAAGAGAAGAAATACTCTCTCAACCTCAACTCTTCGATTGAACTTACCCATGGGATGGTACTGGGCAGTTTATGCTAACTGCCTGGATCCTATTCTAGAAATGTGATCATGTTGTGGAAGCAGACAGTCTTTAGCCACGGCAGTATACAAGCCTTGACCTGTCAGAAATCGCGTGCTCGTTGCCTCCAGTTATCATGGAGGGGCAACTCATCCGATTACATGTACAGCCGACATTATGCATCAGTACATAGCGAACACTTCAACAGTGGAGATCATCAATGGCCAACCACTCCGTCGTTCACCCCTTACGAGGTCCTCCGTCAAGAGCCGGCAGCTCCGTACTCGAAGCGGTACTATTACGAACTTGTGAAGATATATCACCCGGATCTGCAGAATGAGGATCGGACAACTTTGAAAAACGTCTCCGAGGAGGTTCGACTTCAACGATATAGACTGGTAGTAGCCGCTCACGAGATTCTATCCAATCCCAAAAAACGAGCAGCCTACGACCGAGACGGGAGCGGATGGCACACTCATCCGGACCATCCAGACTCGAAACTATCCCCCAAGACGTATGCATGCTCTGCGGATGCTGATTCCTCGATCTTCAACAACGGAACATGGGAAGATTGGGAACGTTATCGCAACAGAAACAACCCCAAACAAGTACAGATGGTGTCGCATGGAACATTTATATCCTTTATCGTCTTACTAGTCCTTTTCGGAGGCTTTGCTCAAGCCTCGTGGATTACACAGACTCAATTGGGTCTTGATCAACGGGTTCAGGAGATGAATGCAAAGTCGGCGCGGCTCCTGGCAAAACGGCGCCAGCAGACTGATGAGTTGAAGTCGAGGGAACATCGTGTACAGAGTTTCTTGATGCGCAGGGATCCCACGGGGTCTGGATTGAAGGAGGAAGAAGAGAATGTTTATAGACAGGCGCTTGATCGCCAGAGTAGACTACCTTGTCCGGAGGTCAGTCTGTACAGCCCAGAGCATCAGCCAAAGTAGTAGCCTCGTAGCAATCATGCATAGCGAGGTCGTCGTATCTTGACTACTACCATAGAGAATGATTTACCCCTTGAATTGCTACATGTGCTTATGTTAGTAGCTATATTCATTACTTCCGACATGCTTGACGTTTTTGAAATGTGCCGAGGTCAGAACAGTCAACCTACGTACAGCTCCGGCTACCAGTCGTATATAGAATTGTTATAATTTAGCATCAAGAGATGCCTTTGATTGGCCTTAATAGGTGAGTTAGTATAGTAGAATGTTCTTTGTTCAGTAAAGTCTGGCTATAACGAACAGGAAACCTCCGACTCGTTATATACAGGTTGTACTACTACGTACGTATGTAGTAGATAAGGTTAGGTGGGGCAGGCACCGTATCGCTCGTATAAGGCGGGTTTTTCTTGAAGCCATATTTGCTAGTCATGACACGCAGAACTAATCAGGTTTCAGGGATTATATTAATCCCCAGTTACTGAAAAAATGACCGGGGTGGTTGCTGTGAAGAGTTAGAAGAGACTTGCATACGAACCTCTCCTGCAAGGAAACGTGGATGGGTGTTTTGGGCTACTTTTCATGGGAATAACAAGGGTCCGTGTTTATTCTGGGAGAAGGAATGGGGAACTATTAATTCGGAGAGATATTGTCAACGGGTTATACCAATTACTGATGGCTATATTCGCTTATTACGCGAGGATATCTGGCTTCAATTTATGCAGGATGGGGCACCTGGCCATACTAGTAAGGAGACTATCGAAGAGCTTCATTCTCGAGGGATATATCCAATTTATTGGCTAGCATTCTCACCTGATCTCAATCCAATTGAAGCAGTATGGAACTGGATGAAGGATTGGATTCAAGAACAATATCCAGATGATGAGCAGTTTTCTTATGATCGACTTCGTGAGGTTGTACGAGCTGCTTGGGATGCACTAAGCAGTTTTTGAAGAAGCTCATTGATTCCATGCAGGCTAGATGCCACGCTGTAGTGGATGCTCAAGATGCCCATGCAAAATACTAGGTTAGTAACCAGATATGACTGGCAGAAATTCATTGGATTTCAACCCCTGTGCTCTGTAAGAAAATCGTACTGAACAAAATTACCGGCCCCAACCGTAGTACTATTAGGCTAATTAAATACCTCTGGCTCGACCACATTGGGGACATGCCTGCCAATTTTTTGAGACAAAGCTCGACGAATTACTGTCAAATCATTAATTTTACACCTGGCCATACGGCCTCCTGTGCGATGGATTCTAAGAAACAGTTAGAAATTGCGGAGGACGTTAGCAATCCTCAGACGCCAAGTCCCGAACTCATTGTGCCAACCACACTCTCCTTTCACGCAGTCAATCCAGTCGATGTCCGAGTCGAATATTTGACAGTACAGATCGACACGACACCTCCAATATGGCAGGCCTCCTTACAGCAAACGTGGAGACGTCTACTGCGACCGAAATCCGAAACATACGATGATATATCCTATAAGACTATACTTGATAGCGTTGATGCGCATATGCCGTCCTGTAGTCTAACTGCGATCATCGGAAGTAGCGGTTCGGGGAAGACGTCCTTGTTGAATGTCATGGCCGGGAGGATGGAGTCTAGTAGACTGAAAACCTCCGGTTCAACAACATTCAATGGCGATAGCAATATCGCGCATACGCGTAGCTCCTATGTGATGCAGCAGGATGTGCTTATTCCAACCCTAACGGTGAGGGAGACTCTACAGTATGCTGCTGACTTGCGTCTTCCCCCACCTATAACGCAAGCCGAACGAAAAGTGATCGTGGAACAGGTCATACTAGAGCTGGGCTTGAAAGAATGCGCAAATACACGAATCGGAAGTAGTGCTCATAAAGGGTGCAGTGGAGGCGAGAAGAGACGGACTAGTATTGGTGTGCAGATGCTGGCCAATCCATCTGTATTATTTTGCGACGAGCCTACGACAGGTACATGCTGAAGATATCTGCTGATGACAGTTGCTAAAAAGACATTTCTTCAGGACTCGATGCCACGAGCGCATACCAGATTATCAGGACTTTAAAAGGCCTTGCAAGCAAAGGTCGCACGGTTATTGTCTCGATTCATGCGCCACGTTCTGAAATCTGGAGTCTTTTCGACAATGTTATCCTGCTATCTCGAGGTTCACCATTGTACAGTGGTCCCGTATCAGGATCCTTGCCTCATTTTTCCGAACTTGGGTATAAAATGCAGACCTTCGTCAACCCTGCCGAGTTTTTGATCGATCTGGCTGCCATTGACAACCGTTCACCAGAACTAGAAGCTGCTTCGCTGAACCGAGTAAACTTTCTTCGAGAGTCATGGCGAAGGAAAGAAAAGAGAGGAGGTGATGATGGAGCCGGAAGTCACCGCATGACTGCACGGAACGATACGGATATTGGAATGGTTAAGAAGGTGCCTTTCAGTCGTGAATTTAATGTGCTTACATCACGAACTTTCAAGACAACAGTCCGAGACCCTCTGGGCATGGCAGGCACTATATTCGAAGCTGTTGGGATGGCTGTTATTACCGGTTGGATATTCTTGCAATTGGATAAGAGCCAGGCTGGGATCCGCTCTCGTCAAGGGAGCTTATACACGGCCAGTAGTCTCAATGGATACTTGGTTTTGACGTATGAAACGTTCCGACTAACGATCGACATACAACTTTTTGACCGAGAGCGAAACGAAGGTGTTGTTACAGTGCCCGGGTTTCTCCTCAGTCGACGGGCTGCGCGATTTCTCATTGAGGACCTCCCGGCTCTAATACTATTTTCCATTATTTTCTACTTCATGGTAGGATACCGCGTGGAAGCTTCAGCTTTTTTCATCTTCTTGATCCTTTCGATCCTGGTCCATTATATCGCAGTATCATTTGCAGCTGTCGGGGTTAGCATTGCCCGCAGCTTCTCTGGCGCCGGTCTCGTCGCTAATCTTTCTTTCACCCTTCAATCGTTTGCTTGTGGATATTTTGTGCAGTCAAATCAGATTCCCGTCTATACAAGATGGCTGAAATGGACCGCTTATACCTTTTATGCGTTTGGTGCTTTATGCACCAACGAGTTCATGGGCATAAACAGTCCTCCCTACGGCCAGTTTTACGATTGCCCCTATTCAACCGACCCTCTGGATCCGGCGTGTAAACAGTACACGGGTGCATACATCGTTGAGAGCTTGGGGCTGCCGTCGAACTGGATATGGCGACCATGTGTGATTCTAGTAGCATACGTGATTGGATTCTATACACTCGCAGGGTTTTTGTTGCAATACAACAAATTTGCCATGGGTATTGCGCAGGTTCGCAGATCTGATGGCGAGGAACAATCTAAGGAAGTCGCGGTAACTACGCGTCCGGCAGAGGAAAACATTCGGCGCGTTGTTATAGCGCTTGAAAAATATGCCCTCGAGATCAAAAAGAGGGATTATCTCTGGAAACTGTCTCGCACGATACCAATTTTGCAGCCAATTACCACAGAGTTCCATCCCGGCCAGTTGAATGTGATAATGGGTCCTTCCGGTAGTGGCAAAACGTCATTGTTGAATTCCATTGCGCGAAGGCTTCATGAGTCGATGGGTACCAAGTACAAACTCAGGGGCACCATGTCTTATAATGGCGCTATTCCCAGTGAGAGTGTGATTCGCTCCGTTACCTCTTTTGTCACGCAAGATGACGATGCGCTTATGTCGTCGCTTACCGTGCGCGAGAGTCTTCGTTTTGCAGCAGGCCTTCGGCTTCCGAGGTGGATGTCTAAGAAGGAAAAGAATCGAAGAGCCGAGGAGATCCTCATGAAGATGGGCTTAAAGGACTGCGCTGACAATCTCATTGGTAGCGACTTGGTCAAGGGCATTAGCGGTGGAGAGAAGCGAAGGGTTACTATTGCAATACAGATATTGGCGGATCCTAAGATTTTACTTCTTGATGAACCTACTTCTGGATTGGATGCGTTTACTGCCACGTCGATCATAGAAGTATTGAATGGTCTAGCTGCAGAGGGCCGAACCCTCATCATGACAATCCATCAGTCAAGGTCGGATATCTTCCCACAGTTTTCAAATCTGCTACTTCTGGCTCGAGGAGGGTATCCCGTCTACTCGGGCAGGGGAAGGAATATGATTTCCTATTTTGGCTCTTTGGGTTATAATTGTCCACCGCAGACCAGCCCGGCAGATTTTGCTTTGGACCTTATCACCGTTGATTTACAACAAGAAAACCGCGAGGCAATTACTCGCAAGAGGGTTCAACACCTGATCACAGCGTGGCAGAGTAACGATGCTGTTGTTACTCGACAAGCGTCCCATATCGCCACACCCGCTGAGCTGGGTAGCCTTAAAAAGCAAATGCACCCGTTGCGTGTAACTTTTCCTCTGGTCCTTCATCGCTCGACGATCAACTTCTTCCGCCAACCTGACCTGATCATGGCACGTACATCACAAATAGTTGGCATTGCGATCATTATGGCACTGTTCTTTGCCCCCATGAAAAATAACTACGCAGCTGTACAAACTCGGATGGGCTTTGTTCAAGAATTTGCAGCGCTGTATTTCATCGGCATGCTGCAAAACATCGCTGTCTATCCTCCTGAACGAGATGTATACTATCGCGAAGAGGAGGATCATTGTTACTCTGCAGAGACATTCATATTGTCCTACACTGTGCTGGAACTCCCCTTTGAAATGTTCGCATCTATACTCTTCGGCGTCATCGCAGCGTACGCAGTCAACATGGAGCGGAGCGCACTAATGCTCTTCGTCGCTGCATTCAATTGCTTCGCCATCATCAACGCCGGTGAGTCACTCGGAATCATGTTCTGCACGTTGTTCGACCACGTCGGATTCTCCGTCAACGTTACTTCAGTCGTCTTATCCATATCGACCATCATGGGGGGCGTCATGTCTTTGAATCTTAACAATGTGCTTCAAGGCATTAATCATATCTCTCCCATAAAATATGCGGTTGCGAATTTGGCGCCGTATTCTATGCGCTATCAGGTTTTTACTTGCACGGATGCTGAGCGTCTACCGAATGGGCAGTGCCCGATTACAGCCGGAACGCAGGTGTTGGACTTGTATAATCTAAATACGAATCCCGAGATGAATGTTTTGTGGTTGGGGATTACTGTGGTTGTGTATCGGCTTGTGGCATATGCGGTCGTGAAGGTGGTCAGAAGTCATGGACTTTGGGAGAAAGCAAGGCAGCTTATTGCTAGCTGATATGAGGTCAACACCTATTTCAGGGCTTTTCTTTTCCTTTCTCACGGTGACTAACCAGTCCCAACTGTGTATGTGCGATATATATAGCAGGACGTATTTGCGGAATCATCTAGATACATATAGAAGTCGTCGTTTGAATAAATATATTGAAGAATCGTATATCTCGTAAAGCGTATGATATCATGGGGTTGGCGGTGAACCGAGGCTCATCCTTACTCCACGTTCATTTCCAAGTTTCGAGTCTTCCCAATGCAATTCCTCCTTTCTATCTTCTTTCGTTGAATAGTATCTTTTTCTGTTATCGCATTTTCAGCGCTTCATTTCTGCATTGAAACACATATCGTCAAAATGTCAACTCTCAACAACCCAATGGCCTTATTAAAGGCAATGCTGGCGCGCATTCCCCTAATCCTCAAGACACTCGTCTTTCACGGCCTACAAATCACCCCAGCATCGAAAAAGCAAGACCTTCGCACCGAAATGACTGTCGCCATTATTCGCTCTTTTCTAGATATGTCGGTATCCGTCAGCACACAGCAGCGCAAATCAATGAATGATCCCGGGATCAAGGGACCAATGTGGATATCCAAAGTGACATTGCCGGCTCCAGAAGATGCTGTTGCGGCTGCTGTTCTAGATGTTGTCAAGACATTGTCGGAAGGAGATGAAGCGAAGATGATTGTGATGCCACCTGTGAAACCTGTGGAGGCCGAGTGGACGGGATACCGCGGCGGAGTGGACAAGAATGCGCCACTGCCGGATATTTCTGAGAAGGAGAAATATGAAGCGCTGAAAGTTGAGGCGAAATCTGATTTGGTTATATTTTATATTCATGGAGGAGCTTTATAGTAAGTTCATCGTTTTCGGATTCGGATTTGATTATCTGGATGAACGAGTGACTAACTTCTTTCTCAGTCTCATGGATCCCTGTACTCATAGAGTACCCGTGGCATATATCTGTAAACTCACAGGAGCGCGAGCATTGAATGTTCGATATCGCTTAGCTCCTCAGAATCCATTCCCAGCGGCTCTGGTGGATATTCTTACTGCTTACTTGAGCCTCATTCACCCTCCGGAAGGTTCATACCATGAACCAATTCCAGCTGATAAAATCATATTTGCGGGAGATTCTGCAGGCGGCAATCTAAGTCTAGCGTTGTTGCAGACCCTGCTGACGCTGAAGAGGACATCGTCCACGGTGCAATTCCACTGTCGCGAAGTCTCTATCGATCTCCCAGTCGGCATATCACTAATCTCTCCATGGTGCGATATCACGCGTTCAATGTCCTCAGTCCGCGACAATGCAATTTATGATTATCTAGCACCACCACCTCATGAACCAGCAGAAACGATGTACCATCCTGCCACGAATACTCCCGATAGCATTTGGCCGACTAATCCACCCCGAAGCGATTTGTACTGCAATGCCCGATTAGTTGCGCATCCACTGGTATCACCTCTTGCTTGTCCCAAGGAACTCTGGAAAGGCTCTCCGCCGATATATATTGCTGTTGGAGAGGAAGGTCTAACAGATGAGGATTTAATCACGGCGCGCAAGATTCACCATGCTGGTGTGCCAGTCATAGTAGAGCAATATGAGGGGATGCCGCATGTCTTTGGATTCATAATGATTGGTACCGCTGCTGGGAAGCTGTTTTTTCAAGGGTGGGCTCAGTATCTTCGGGATGTCTTAGCAAAGTCTATACAGCCTGCCCGCGGGGATGTTGGAAAAGTCATATTCCATCACGCCGGATGGCATTCTACGAAAGTGATATCATTGGATGACGTTCATAGTCTAAGTGACGCCGAGGTAGAGAAAATACTACGAGACAGCAGGGATCATAGAGCAGAGTGGGAAAGCAAACTCAATGAGGAATGGCAAGCCAAGGCCAGGTTATGATTTCACATCTAAAGAAAAATTAATAACTATCCGTTTCATGCATCAAATGAGTCAAAAGCAAATCGGGTTTGATATACTCGCTATCAAACCATGGTGGCCCTCCGGTGTGATTTTCATTCACAAATTCTCGTTACGCTTGAAACGCTCCAGCAATTCAACCTGCTGCAGACGCTCATGGCGCAATCTGGCGACTTTCGGGTCAGGGGAGTTTTGAGAGCCGTGACTACCCCCGCCAGAAGTCATGGCCTCGGAACGTTCACAACATGCCTCGGCAGGGTACATGGCTAAGGATTCGCGTTTCTGGATGCACTCGGGTACCAGTTTCCATTTACGCTGTTCGAGGTCCAAGCGTCCCTTTTCGATCTGCTCGGTTGCAAGGCGACTACTTCTGGCAGTAGTTTGTGTTAGTAATGGTTAGCTGTTAAACTGAAAGACTTTGAACAATCGAATGAAACCCACCTCATCCTCGAGCCAAACAGCAGTGCCTTCCTTGAGACGCTTGTGATTTTCCGCCATGACAAAACGACGCATGCGAGCAAAGCGCGTTCCAATGGTTTGACATTGTAGTTGGTGTGACCTTCAGCTACGAACTTCTCATGGATAGCGCGTTCAGTCCACTTAGCCAGTTTGAGGTAGTAGATCAATTTGTCGTCTTCATCCATGTCCTCGACGCTGCAGAGTTTGCGTCTCTTGCCTTCTAGGGGTCGAGGACCGGTGACAATGCGATCTTCGTCTGGCGAGTTTTAGCGTGCTGGAGTAGCTCTTGGCTCGCTGAGGTCAGGAAGGACGGCCCTGAAGTTTGCATCGCATAAGCTTAAGGGTTCTGTCAGTTTATCAAGGCTTGGCTCACTTGTTCAATGGCTTTGGCGTCATCCTCTTCATCATCATCATCACTCATCTCTTCATCCTGATCACTTTCGACGGCATACTTTTCAATGTTGTAGGGGAGGCTACCCCAGTCGGGAGTGATGGGATCGATCGATGCTGCCCATTCGGTGGAAATTATTAGCTTTTCACTACCGAGAATTGAGTTGGGATGTGAAATGATTTGACACATACCTCCTGAGTAAAGAGTTCGGTCCAGTGGTTCAAACAAGAAGCACGATGGCATGTATCTCGGTTCCCTGAGCGGCTGAATGACCATCACACTTGTGATCTCGTCGCGCTTGTTGCGGTCGACGACTTATCCTTGCGTTTGGGTGGCACGTTGGTTGTCGATGTGGTAGGTTGAGGAGGAAGATAGAATAGGTAGATGGTGGAGGGGAAAAGATGTAGTGAGAGAGAGAGGGAGAAAAGGAAGATGAGGAAAATGAGGAAAATGAGGAAAATGAAAGGAAGAAGTATTGAGATCAATTAGATAGTACAGAGAGGGCCTCCCAGCATCCAAATCAATAATATATCAAGCAGTTCGATCTAAGAATGAAGGGCAGTCTACTACTGGATCTATCCATGAATTCTAGTAACTTTTTATAATTATGATACTTCCCAGTTCCATATCAAGGAATCCAGGCTGAGATCAGTATAGAGATGAAGAGGTCTCCCTTTCGTTATCCTAGACTCAGATAGGCATGTCGTTCAAATAAGGCCATTGGCTGCCCCATTTCCCGAGCGACTCCCATGGTACATGCACATGTATGCTAACAGCATGCAGAACCAAGTACCTGATAGGTACACACCATGCTGGAGCCTATCCTATCAGCCGCCTATACTAAACGAGAAAATCCACACGGGGCAGACATCCCGCCAATGTTGTATAAATATTTAAATTATACCTGATCGTCTCTTGTTTTGGCGGTGATTGGCACACTGGATGAATCATGTGATCTGGGAGATACAAGAGTCATCTCTCCTCAACTTCTCTCCGTCTTCCTTCTTTCCTTTCTTCACGCTTCGAGAGTCGACCGCTGCCAACATCGCACATGCTACCTTGCTGTATGTATGTGCAGAGTCTGGATCAGAAATATACGATTTTGTGATCTTGTATCTCTTTTTTCTCACTGTTTCGATCGCTCGACCGATCGATTCATTGCTGAAGGAGGACTCTCGCATCGCATCGGAATTTCTGACCAGGCTTCCAAGGCTCCCGCCACACTCATGCGAGTTCGTGCATGATCAAGAGCGTCGTTTTTTTGCCAACTTTTTTTTCGCTCTTTATATCAAGATTATCGTCCGCTCTTTTTTCATATCTTCTGGATTATTCGCTTGTTCTTCCAACTAGCTTCTCTCACAAGTCTAGACGTCACTCGCTAGATCTTTGACTATTACAACACAATGTTCAAACGTTCTTTTACCAAGTACCGAGTAGACAAGGCTGTGAAGCCTACCAAGAAGACCTATCGTGACAAGGCGAAGGAGAAGATGGAGGAGTCTTTGGACAGTCCGCCTACGGGGAGGTATGATACTATCATTTCATGAACTGCATCATTGACTAAGTTGACTTTCGAACTATAGCCCCCTCACAAGCCCCATCGTTACCATCGTTGTGGGCCATGAGCGGCGTCTTTTTGCTGCCCATGAGGATGTCCTCTCCCGATCTGCCTTCTTTGAAGCTGCGTTGAAGGACCAGTTCCTGGAACCCAACGGAAAGAAGGTGGACCTTCCAGACGAGTGAGTTCTTTCTGACCTCCGTGTAGATACTAGTAGTTGACCTTTCAAAGAGAACCAGAGGTATTATCCTGCATCCTCGAGTTTCTCTACAAAGGTGACTATTTCCCGCGTTTGCTTCAGCACAAACGCCGTCACACCTGGGAGCTCGAAGATGCCCAGGACGTTCATAAAACCGGTGGCCGAGGATCCAGTATGGCTACTATCTTTCATTCCGGATTGGGTGCTGAACTTCTTCGAGACACCGTAGTTTACTGCGCGGCAGAGAAGTACGGTCTTGAGGAGTTGAAGCATCTAGCTCTTCGGAAACAGGGCCTTCAAAGCGGTATCCCTGTGGATATCATTTTGAGGTCTGCCCGGTTTGCGTACGAGCATACACCGGATACTGAATCGCGACTCCGTGCTCATTATTTAGCACTGATCATTCGAAGCCGCAAGACATTCAAGAGAAGCGGGACTATGCAATTGGAGATGGAAATTGGAGGTAAATTGTTTTTTGATCTGTTTGTGGCTATGAGCAATCATATCGATGATATTGTGGAGATTGGGTGAGTTTTACCTTATCTATTTCTTACTTTTCGTATATGCCATATACTCATACTTCGTACAGCAACAGCCGATCGCCCAAGTTCATCTGACGTTAGATTGTTTCAAAGCTTTACAGACAGATCACACGATTGGATAGTGAGTGTATTAATCAACAGAGAGGATAGGATTAAACTCGACCAGAATGGCAGGATAACCAAGAAATAACTTTGGGGTTCTTCTCTTGCTTCCATGCAACATCTACTCTTTCGTTTCTTCGAGGTTGGCCGCCGTTCTTATGGTTTGAGTGAAACCATTCTTTACTACTATTAATATCCTTCACTCCTTGACGTTGCTTTTGCTTTTTGTCGAAGCTGAATAATTTACCAGATAGTTTTTGTTCCCTTTTGATTCTCTGCGAGAATCTTTTTCCACGTACACGCAGATTGCACGCTTGTTTTCCTATACTTGCTTTTTGCTTGTACTCCGCTTTTGTTGACTACTGCTGCTCATCGCGCCTTGATGTGGTAGTATCTGTACAATACTTCCCGGCTGCGAGAGCCATTTGTGATATGATCATTGCGAGTTAACTACAATCAAGAAACCTTCGGCCGCCTCAATATTTTCTTTTTGGTCCTTGGATTTGGCCACTCGTAGTCTGACATTGATACAACTTGCCGGCTTATAATTTAGATCTCTGGCATCCTTCATGCCTTCTTCTTTTCCAAACTATAAGTTCTTATCTGATCCCGTAAGGTCCTTCAGATCTTTACTCATTCAACCACTTCTTCAGCCTTGGAAGCGTTGAGCTTGAGCAGCTTTTAAGTAAGTGATTCTCAGATCCTGTATCTCTTCCTGGTCGCTTCTACTTCTATCTCAAGTAAGTGATACTTACCCTCCATTCTCAGATCATGTATCTCTTATTGAGTCACCTCTCTGTCTTCCTCACATCCTCGTAAGGGAGCTCTCTTCTACTTACATCACTACAACCACTCACAACTTGTGATCCTTGTTTAACTTGCAACTACTTCAATTAACCATCTCATTAAGGGGAAAGCTGAATTGCTTCGTTCAAACTGGTGGAACTTGCCTCAAGCTAACTGTTAACTTCCTTCTCAGACCCTATATCTCTCTTCCTAATTCACCTTACAACTTCCTCAACCTCTCCAACTAACCATCTCATAAGGTGGAAGCTTATTTGCTTCTTTTAAATCGATTGAACTCACCTCAAGTAAGTGCTTATTTCTCTTCACTCTCTTATCCTGGCATCTCTTCTTCCATCTCTTCTCTCAACTCTTCTTCCTTCTTCCTTCCTCCTTCTTCATACGCAGCCTCTTCTACCTACCCTAGTTTTACTTCAATGCTCCTCCTCTCCTCATATTTTCTCTTACCTTTCCACTCTTCCTTACACGTCCTCTCTAATCTGGCCCGGCTCACTTGATTTACTCTCAATTCTACCCTTCAACTCACCATCTCACTTAAAAGGCTCTCAGTCTTCTTCCTTAAGGGCTCTCTTTTGGAAGCTTCTTTACTCACCAATCTACCCAATCTCAGTTTCCTCTCAAGGGAACTCATCCAGGTATAACCATCTTCCACCTTATTCCCTTCCCATGACACCGCTGTCTAATTCAAAGCTTCTCCCCATTCTTACGAGCTCATTTCGAACTTCTCCTCGCTTTATCCTCTTCTACAGATACCAAATCATCACAATGGCTCACCGCATTGACCTCACCCCTATCCCAGAATCTACTGATGTCGAGCATGGGATTCCATTTGTGATCAAGTGGAAGAATGCAGCTACGAGTCACAAAATGGAGCTGTGGATTGGAGTGCACATCCCTGAGAACCTTGCGCATGGATCCTCAAAACCAAAAGCTAATGCCAACCCTGAAAAACCTGCAGAGGCCACATACTTGATGTACCTCCCCGGATGCAATACTTAGTAAGTCGAGTGCGTCCCCCAACCTTCACGAACAATTTGGCGATAAAGACTAGTCACTTATACGATGTAGTCGTATGATTGAGCGGAAGTGCATCTTTCCACTATCGGAGTACACCCCACATGAATTTGATCAAGACGGTCGTGATTACGCCGATGTTTACAACGTTGCTCAAAAGACAAGTGATATTAGATTCTGGAGCAATTACACCAGAAAGGAATACCAGATGAAAGGACGTCATGACAATACGCCCTCCCTTGATTTCGGCCAAGACGTCGATGTCGACACGGATGATGCGAGCGAGCTCTCCGAGGGCAATAAGGATCAATCTATCTACCCTCCGGGGGTACCTCAAATTCAGAAGGGACTCCCGAAGCGCACTTCAGCACATGGATCTGGGTTCACTACTAGGAAGAAGGCCAAGACAACGGTGCAGTAATTTCCATCTCCTCATCACCAGCAGGAGCAACAGCCAGATGGCGAGGAGCTGGTTGATATTCACATTGGCAGCGGAGACAATCAGCACATTAAGATCAACAAATCATCCTTTTTGAAGGGTTCCATCCAGACTTTGGGAGTGGCCCCATACATTTTTCACCCCTATCTTCACGGGATGACACCTGTTGAATTTGAGCCCGTGTACGCCTGCCTTTCCCACGATGATGATCTGAACTCTGATCTTGCCTCTGTCGATAATGAGGCGGAAGATGTTCTAGGTGATACCGAAAAAATCGCCAAGTTGTACATGCTCAAGGATGTACACAGTATTGAAGATCTGAAAGCACTCATTCCTCGTCTCGGCATCATGTGCTCTCAATCCTGTTTGCTCGGACTCGCAGAGATGGCAGATGCCGTTATCAAGAAGATTCAAGTAGCATGGAACGTCTACGGCAGAATGGACCAGCTACCTTTGTTACTCGACTTCATCGAAGATGTCATGCTGAGTATTGTCTAGCATTCTTCTCGCCCAGGGGTAGTCGACACTCGTTACAACCAAGCTTTGCTCAGGTCTGGTCCAATTCAGGAGTTCTGGATCCCTAGTTCCCTTACGGAAATTATGACGTTGTACGTCAGAGAACTTCCACAACGCTTTTGCAACCTTATGAATAAGTATCCCTCCCTGCAAGCAGAAGTCTTGGCGCAACGAGCTGCTCTCTGCTGCAATGACAAGTTGGTTCGTATGGAGGAGAAATTCAGGCAGCGTGAGCCGTTGACCGAAGCCAGTTTCGTGATTCCGCAAAGGAAAAAGGAATTGTTGAAGAAGAACCAGGCCAGGAGCATGAGATCAAGGATGTAGGTGCGTCAGAGGCCCAGGAACAGGCAGCAGGCACTGTCGTTGGCAAGGAGTGATTCAGCTCTCTCTCATACCAATTTTTTCATGTTTCTTTTTCAATGGCTGTTGGGGGATTCGGTACCAGATTGCAAGTGGTTATGCAATGGAGTTGACAACAAGAAGCTGAAGGCCCTTTTGCATCTTGATATCATCTAAGATGTACATAATAATGAAGCCCTGAAGTCTTCCCGGGAAGCAGACCTGATTGGCTCGATCTCTATAGATTACGTGTGGCCGTGCTACCCACTCGGCCGCAGATGTGGCGAGTGCGATCCGTTCTTGGCGTTCTTGGCGCTGTCAAAGCAGAGAAAGTGATATCATCGTCCAACCTTGACAAGTCCCGCCTCGAGATATCCTCTATTTATTTTTATTTTCTACTCATATACCTATTTCTCGCATATTATACGGAATGGCCCTCCAATATATTACAAATGTCGCGTCAAAAGCGAGTCCCTGGAGCTCTAAACCCGTCCTGACTGATGAAGATGAAGCTTTCTTACAACGCGTCACGTCGAATCCTGACGACAGCAACAATAATAACAACACCACATCAGCAGAAGTAGTAACGCCTTTGGGTAGAGATGCGCAGATTGCGTTGATGGATGGTGCTCAAGATATTCCGTTACCAATGTCTCCATCGGAGAATGTGGAGAGGGAAGTTCCTAAGGAAGTGAACGAGGCTGGGAAGGAGAAAGTCGAGTTGAATAATGAGTCAGCTGCAACGACGAAAAAGAGAAGACCCTGGAGTCTTTGGATGAGGAAAAGAAGTCACGATGCTAAATCGAAGAAGGTATATATGACATTCACCCTCGGATAACTCGTGATACTGACAATAAACAGGACGCCAAAGGAAAAGGACCCAAAGTCGACGCGGACGAAATATCCACAAAACCAACAACTGCGGATGGCAATCCACTAACAGACGAAGAGCAGAAAGAGGAACAAGAAGACCTCGCCATAATCATGGAACGGTTGAATCTCGCCGCCCAAAACAACCGCGCCTTCTCTATCAGTGACGAGACGCAGCAACTCTTGGAGAAATTCAAATTGATATTCAAGGATCTCGTTACGGGCGTACCTACAGCATATCGCGATCTAGAAATGCTGTTAATGAACGGTGACAAACAACTCAAAGACGCATTTGGGCATCTCCCTGCGTTTCTGCAGAAGCTTGTTCAACAACTTCCAGAGCGATTCACCGAGTCGCTAGGTCCCGAACTCCTGGCTGTAGCTGGCGAAAGAGCTTCGAGGAGCGGAGTCAATTTGGAAAATGCAGGTAAAGCGGCAGCTGCAGCGCAGAAGATAGGATTCAAGACGCCGAGTTTGAAGGAACTTGTGGGCAAGCCAACTGCGATTGCGGGTATGATGAGGTCGATTATCAGTTTTCTTCGAGCTAGATTCCCGGCTGTTTTAGGGATGAACGTGCTGTGGTCTTTGGCTTTGTTTAGTAAGTTTCGAACCTGGGTATGGATTGGATATGTGCTGACGGTTCCTTAGTTGTATTGCTTGCCCTTTGGTACTGTCACAAGCGTGGCAAGGAGGTACGAGTAGAGAACGAGCGGCTCGTCACGGAAGCCGAAATCGCCAAAATGAACGAAGAGTACGAACAGCATATCCGTCCTACAGAGACTCTCAGCACAACGGCGCCTAGAGACGCACCAATCTCCGATGTGCGTGATGGTGTCGAGCAAGTCCAGAAGATGCGAGAGCAGGCGTCTTCAACCGACTCCAATACCGACGTACAAACACCAACGACAGAGACGGCATCACCGGCTACGACAGCAGCTGCTGCTGCGTCAAGCAGCAGTAATACGGAACCTACACCCACATTGACTACTCCTACAACTGGAAGAAGAAACTCTGAACGAAATCGATTCTCGCTCTTGCGCACATTCTCGAAGAGAACGAAAAGCGAAGACACGAGTAATATTCAACCATACCCCGGCACATAAAAAAAATCTTTCCTTTCCCGGCAATAGTATTCGGTTTCATGAGAGCAACTTTGACGATTTATGATGTATTTAATGATGTGATTATGCAGATTCCTTCGGGGACATTCCGATATACTTTAGAACACGATTGATACCTTTCTGTTTGAGATTTAATGACGAAATGATACTGGACGTGTTCGGTTCGGCCACATGCCTATATCCGACACATTGGTGGTTGTACGACAATAAAACACTACAAAAATAAACACTTCCCCGAATAATACTAGTGTCATGGGACCGCATTCCGCAGACGTCTGATTCGCTACATTTTATGTACTTTGTCCACATTTCAACCCTAATTTTGTAAAAGTGAGACATCTTATTGGTCTACTACCAAAGCCCTAGCGGCTCGCTGGGAAGTTAGTACCCCACAATCGCAAAAAATTAATAAAAGTTTAAAACTCAACTTCATCTGGAGCCGGAACACTGAAGCAGCCTTTTCAAGGAATTTGCCTCTTAATCGGAACGCTATTTATTTAAATACAAAGTTTGACTACATACGTAATGGGCGCCGGATTTACAAGGGAAAACCGAAGGAAAATCTATTGAAGCGTCTCACTGAGTAAAATGTTTACTAGTACTTTGCTGGAAGAAGTGGAGTTTCAGAAAATGGAATGGCCAAGTCATTCGCCTCATTCTAGCCGAGGTCCTTCATGGACGTTGCAGCCTAGTTGCATGCTACAGGAATCATCCGAGGACCAGAGAAAGCCTGAGTCTGACTCATTGATTGTCAAAATCATCAGTCATGATAAGTCATATTGAATCAATATTACTCCTTGCTTTATACTCTGAGGGTGAGTTATTCCAAACTTGAGGAACGAGCGGGATGCCGCTTTGGCGTAATATGTTGTTGGGATGATTGGTCGGCGAAAAATCCTGCTATGATTCATCTCAGAGCTGCGATTTGGCTTCTTGTTATTGATTGGTACGGACTCCGGAGTACATACTTAGCGCTACAGTAATATTGGTTACTGTTTTTGTTTGGAACCCGTCTGCTCTTTTCATGGTTTGGATGATGCTAGCTGAAGTCTTCAATTCTGATAAGCACGGTAAGTTAGATGCTGAGCACGGGGTAGCAGACGCTCAGTGTCCTTGTAAATAGTACGTACTCTGTATGTATCATACCCGATACAATGTATCTTTGGGCAGTCTGGTGGGGTGACGCATTCCCTTCTTGGGCTTCTTCTAGACATTCGACACCGCCACATCGTCTTCGACTTCTCGACTCTCAAAGAACTAGCCATGTGTACATTTTTAACTACATGCATGTATAGATACCTAGTTAACGCTGCGCTGGCCTATGCGTCCTGCATGTACTTGGGACATCGCGGAGGTGCCTTTCGTCCAGATCCTGCGGTATCATAGGTTGGAAGAAGTCCCGCAGACCGGGTCGTAGGCGATTACGTAGCGATAGCTAATCGGCGGTCAGGAGATGAACCTCACCACTGGACCAGGTTCTACCGTATGATCGAGCTAAATTACGATGTTCAAAGAGGGTACATCGTGCTTTTGTAGAATATTTTCACCTCATAATGGCAGTAACATTCATTCTGCCTGAGAACGGATGAGCCGTCGAGGATGTATTTGACACACGGATACATACAGCAAGGCTAAAGATGGATCGTCGTAATTGCCAATTGAGCACAATGGCTGCTTTCTATTGGAAGACTCAATATGCGGTGAGTCCAAAGGGCTGGTGATTGGCTGGTCCCTGCCAAAAGAAGGCCGACCCCACCTTGCTGCAGGAAAAATTGCACCAATTAGAAAGCCGCATCTGTATTACTGTTACGCTGTATTGTATTTTATGAACTTTTCTTTTTCCCCGTTCTGCTTCTGTTTTTCCTTCTCTCTTTCCCTTCCTCCCTTCTTCTCTTCTTCCATCGTCATATCGTCACGACCATCTACACTCACATCACCACTATCTATCTCACAAGCATTTAATTCTTCAAACTCCTCCCAACCCAGATATCGTCGACAGGAAGCTGCCCAAGATGGCATTCGCTGAGCTGTAAATTCCCTGCTGGGGAGGGGCGGTCTGTCCCCCTCTCCCCAGTCCAGTCAGCTCTTCGAAGATAAATTTCAATAACTCGACCTTGACGATATCTGTTTCCTCTTTCGACGCTTGCGTTAAGGCACGTCGAAATTGCCCTTGAGAACCTTCACGGAAAAGACACTTTTTGTTTGTCCAATTGAGGACTAGAAAGTGTTTGACACCGATTGTACCTATTCCTCTTTACACCGACTCCGACCAATCCTACCTTCTACAGACGGCAATAACCTCTAACAATAATATCTTAACGCACATTAAACCGGCCTCTCTTGTCGTCCCCCCTCTCTCCAACCATTAATAGCCATTGAACGAATTTCCACCCATCATCATTCCGACGAAATCATCGATACTACGAGCATATTCTACAATTATTTACTACTATTACAAGTAAGATGCCTAAGACCACATCTCAGTCCCCAAAGCGGTCCCCATTAGCGATGGGCAAATACCGCCGATCAGAGTTGTCGCATTTGACGGCAGCGCGAAATAAGGGTTTAAAACACTCCGCCGGAAAGAAGACTGTCGCAGCCAGCAACAGAAAAAGGAAGCCGTCTTTCTCTTCCATCTCAACTATATCCTCAGTTTCCGGCTTTGAAGACGACGATGAACAGGACGAAGCGGATTCTGAAGCGAGTTCCGATGAAGACGACGAGTCCGCTCATCGGACCCCGTCCTACGGAGGCAAGAGCCGCAGAGGACGTAAGACGGGGTCAAAGATGGAATCCTCTACTCTTTCAATCAAGAAGAGAAAGCTTTCCTACGACGAAGGCTACGAAGGGCAACAAAGCAGCACCGGAGACTCGGACAGCGACTATGCGGCCGTTGATGAGATCGACGACGACGAAGACATGGATGTCGAGAAGCTTGAAGAGCAGATGATTCTCGAGTCTGAGGATGAGAGTCAAATGTTGAAAAGTGTCTTTTCAGCTTCGGACGGTCCCGACCTTGATGAGTGGGCCGGATTCGGTAGTTTCGATGATCACATCCTGTTCACAGAACCTTTGCTCGAAGACAATTTGTACAGTGCAATGGAAACGTTCGGCGAGACTGATTTTACCAGTGAAGCCGTTGAGACGCCTGTACAGCGACACGTTCATTTCGTCGTTGAAGAGGACGACTCAGACTCCTCCAGCGATAGCCACGATGGTAGTACTGACGATGAGATTCCCGGTGATTTCTTGCAACAAGACAGCTTGGATCCTACTCTTCGCCGCATGATCGACAATGATTACGATCCCAGCAACAACCAGCGATATGAAGACATCTTTGGGGAGTCTGATATCAGTCACCCGGCCAATATCTACCACGTTGAGTCGGACGCCGTCTCAGACGGCTCTAGTGGCTATGAAAGTATGCTCCCTAAAATAGACTTGTCGCTGCGTCATTATGTTTACTAACATACAATAGCCGACGATGGAGAAACTACAGACGAGGATCTACCACCCCCTGCCACCATCACACATCCACGATCTATCCTACGGCGAGATTCGACCACATCTTTAACAGCAACCGGAGACTCCACCAGCCAAAGATCAAACCCACCACGTCGGCGCGGACCTATCATGGGAACGTTTGTTGCCGACCCCAAAAAGCCAGTTGCTCTTGTCGATTGCACCGGCAAGCACCTAGTAATTATCCCCGCATATGCCTCTTCTCGTCATGACTGGCTGGAGTCGGCGACCAACAGCATGTGCGGAACTGCACACAACAGCCCGCGAGCTACCACTATGCACCTGATTGATGAAAGCGATACAGACGCTCTTACCTCACCGAACGGTTTTGAGCTAAATCCAATGCTGAGTTCTGGTAACCTCATGATGACCGCTTTGGGCAACGATGCCACCCCTGGTGGGCAGGTTATGGGCCCGCCCGAAGCTTTTTATCCATCGCAGTCGTTCGCCGCTGATAGCTCATACGACGAAGACGATGATGAAGACGACGAACGCATGCTGAACGTTGATGATTTCATTGACTTTGGAAATGGATCATCTGATGAAGACGAGGGAATGAATAAGGGGTCTGACGACGAAGAGGGCCTTACAACATCGCCAGCCGTTGCATCGTCCATCCAAGGCTTGACTACACCAACACCCAACCGAACCAATGACAACGACAGTGCCGAACGATTCCTCAATCATCTGGACAAGGGCATTGTGACCGCTTTCCGTCGCAACCACACTCGATACCAGACTTTGATTCGCCTTCCTCAACATCGAGAATTCATGCCAGCCAATTCTCCGTCTCGAGCGGCTAGTGTGTTCAAACACTCTCGTTATGCCGATCCTCGCACTCCTCCTCGCAAGCGCCGGAATCCATATTCTGGGGGCGAAGCAGTACGACGTAAATTAATTGATGGCCATCGGCGCAATCAGCTCTCTTTTTGAGAGACTCAAATCAACCTACTCATACATTCTTTTGCATAAGGCATCGACTTTCTTTTAACTTTTCTCATTACCTGATAATACCAGGTCCATGTGATGTATTTCGCGACATGTTTCATTAAGTGACGGCCGGTATATGAATGGAAATCTGGAGGCGGGCGGTAAGGCGAACTGGCGCAGCGGCGCTATGACGAGACGATGTTTGTTGTCTGTCAACGAGGATAACGGTAATGGCTGTTAGACCTTTATGATTTGATTGAGTTTATGATGATGGCATCTGGATATTGATCGCTGGTTCAATGACTGGATAGATCAAAAGTTTCTGTTTATGTTTGTGGATTTAGTCGATACCTTGGAGTTCTTAGTGTGATTTTAACAATGATGAACATATCCATTTAATCGTCGTATCTACCTGGTAGTACATTATATGGAAGTGGAATGCGTTCCCTCTTGTAATTCTATGCCGTGAGAACTGGCTGAGCAACTATGATTGAAATGTTTATTACTATCACTTGCTCATTTCCTGATGCTATCCTCAAAATGCTTTGCATTCTCCGTTTTGCGCCATGGTCCCCTGGACCACTAGTAGCTAGCGCTGGAGTCTTGCCATCTATACCTGCACGTCGGGGCGTCCAGCTTCAAATTACTCCTTGAACGCCGTTCAATACGTGTTCCATCCCTCCTATAGCCTAAGTCTAGCACCCACTGTCGTACAAAGGAGTGGTTCTCCTTTGGACATTACAGCACCGCTCTGACTCCGAATGACAACTCCTGGATGAGTCCCCCGTGAACCCGGGCCCATTCGAAACGTGCGGTTCGAGCAATTCGGTCTGAAGTCTGCTCCTGAGGCGCGTTGGTCTTGATCGTCGGTGGTATGAATTCTGCTTAACCAAAACCCAGATGTCTCAAATCGGCTCCCATACAAGCGGTATCCAGGAATGGTTTGTTCTCTATATGGGGTTAGAGCTCATACCAAGAGGTGTCATTCTGGGTGGGTTACTGTTCGTAACTTGCGCCTGGAGTCATGGACGATTCCAAGGTTGGGGTTCATTGTGTACCTAGGCACTACCCCGGGAAAACATCTCGGCTTCTTGCAGTCACCACCTGGGCAGTCGTCCGTGACGAACACATAACATCGGAGTCAGTGCTCAGTGGACAAACAATAAAACTAGAAAACGAAAGCAATAAACCCAAGGGAAATTAACGGCAGCAACAACAATGTTTCTGCTGGAAGAAAGTGCTTGTGAGCAACTGGACCCGACACAATTCTTTGTCTATGTCTATCGTGTCAGAATTGGCGCATAAGTCAGAAATCAGATCTCAAGGATTCTGCTCCTTAGAGATTGGACGAATCCCGGATACGAGCTGGTCTTATGTGACCAGTGAGAGTGACTGCAAGGATTGGTCAAACACACAAACACATCAAGGGATTACAATAGTAATGCAGCTGACCGAGAGTCAGTGATCGCAGGGTTGCGGCACACCGACACCGGCAATGACATGATAACACCGGTAGCAGGGGGTTCTCACTACGTCCTTGGAAGGATTGAAAATAGGACGAGTACTAATTATTAGGATGCGTCAACCGGTACTCGACCGGTACTCCGTACTTGCTTGGGCATTCTTCTCCTCCATCCGTGCATTGAAAAACGTACCAGTTCGCATTACACTTTGTGCTACGGCATCTTCTCCGCTCAATAGTAGCGATAGTGGTGATAGTTTTTAATATACTAGATGCTTATCACTACCTATCATCGTTCGGCGTCTAAGACTACCTAGGTATATAATTGGATATTTATAGTCATAGAAGTCTGTACTATGTAGTATTCATGGATGTATTGGGTCGGTTCGGAATCAGACTGAAGATTGAGAGGGCAGTGCTCAGGGGTAATTGAAAGAAGGGATTCCGCACCTGTACGTCCACAACAACTGACAATTGTGCAGTGAATACTTGGACTTCAGATCTCCTGTCTGATGTTTGCTCCCCGGAGTGAATCGGCGAGTAAGTGTACACCCAGCCAATCAAATCGACCGGAAGAATCGAGTTAGTTCTTCTCTGTGGCTGATACACCACGCGTTTCACTTGGCTCACTTTTCTTCCCCCTGGATGAGCACGCTAATGCAATTTTTTTCGACCGATACGAAGGGAAAGGTGAACCGGATCATCACGCGGTCACGGGCCAACGCCGATACTAACACGATCCAGGCCCATATTCGAATCTGATCAGACTGATCCTCAAGAAAAAAACTCCGATTGTTGTAAACACCAGGAAGCAGGTAGGTTGGCTGACTCAATGATACCTAGGTCTATAAATGTGACAATTCTGCAAATATGAAACTTCTGTTTTCCTTTACAGGACCTTGGTAGATTTGTAGTTTATGCGACTCATACAGGTTATGGATACATCGACTCTATGTATCTTCCAGTTATGTATCTGATTCGATCCTCACTGTCGTGGCGCCACTGCATCAATAGCAAGGTCTTGGCTGAGTCCATTTGTTGCAATGGCTTCCGATAAAAGTTCCTGTTAAAGGCAGTTGTGCTACGGAAGGGCCTCCGTCAGTCAAGTATACACTCCATCTGGGTAAATCGGTTAAGCACTATATACAGTACGTACTTAAAAGAGTCAGACTCAGAATGAGGAGTCTAGAGTTAAGCGAACGCCACAAGCTAGAGTGGATAGAAACCTTCCGGATTAGGTAACGGAGCCCTAAGTCCAACTCGAACGCCGGAGGTCTGACGCCGTTTTGGTCACCTCAAAACAGAGACCTTTCCTGTTCCTGGCGCTAATTCTAGGCTAGTGGTTAGAGTTTGACTGCTTTTGTTTTAGATTCTTCACTTTTTTCGTCCTATTCTAGTCGATGACCCACCCCATATCAATTGTAGACTTACAAGAAGGTTTTAGGGGTGTCCGACCAGTCTCCTGCTTAGATTCATGCATGATAGCTTAATAGTTAAGGCTTGCTATGGGCTTCCGGCGTCTGGGGTCTACCTCAGAATGTCTTACCTTTGGGCGCCTCTCCTGGTCCTCAACCGCAGCACATCGGCTGATTTCTGCAAGCGATGAATTCTCCGTTGACGCTATTGGTGGGGATGTACGAGGAACTGCTTGTCCAGTGCTACAATACGGAGTCAGAATCCGATTCTGCACTGTTGCCATTGCCAATGGGGAGGCTCTTGTAGAAACTAGTGATTCGAAACAAAGGGATCTTTCTCCGTGAAGCCTAATGCTCCCATGACTGGATCGGTCATAGTAGTCCCATCTACGGACGGGTATGCTGATTTAAATCGTCATGTATCCCCGGCCGATGACTCTTCTTCTTCCTTCCCTTCCTATCCAGCCATCTTTCTTTGTCGTTTCTTGGTCTTTTTTTGGTATCATCTACTATACCGGTTCTGAGAGCTGGGTCATTCGTTTGACAGTAACAACATTCGTTTGGAGTTACCTCCTATGCAAAATCTCTCTCGCTGAGAATATCACTATCGTTAACCCATACTATCGCTCGTTCTTTCCAAAATGAAGTTCTCTTCTATCAGTGCTGTGGCCGCCTTTTTGGCTGTCCAGCAGGTCTCTGCCACCTGGGACACCGAAAGCTGCTTTCCCAGTCCAAGTAAATGTGACAACAAATGTACCGACACTCAACATCAAGGATGGGATTGGTCCTGGTTGAACCCGGGCCAGTCTATCCAGAACTTTGATGGTTTTGGATTCTCTGGCTTCACTTGCTCCGAGCGTCCCGGTGGAAAGCTCAAGCGTAGCTCTGTACGTCACATCATCACTAGTCTGAGATATCATCTAACAGTGACAGGACAAATGCATCTCCGGTAACATCTCCAAGGGCAGCCACTCATCCCCTCCCCAGATCAGCTGCGGCAAGGACATTGATGCCTTCTCTATCACCCACTTCAGCGTCTACACTGACAAGGACACCGACGTTGACTTCAACTTCGGCATGCCTGACGGAAGCAAGTGTAAATTCACCAAGAAGTGCGGTTCAGAGGGTACAGCTGTCTCCAACGACCAGTGCGGTGGTGCCACCTCTGTCAGCTGGACCATTCCTGATCACAGTGACGTCGATAACTGTGGATTCGGTATATACTCTATTGGATTTGACTGTGCTCCTCCCACTGGCGGTCACACCAAGACTACTCCTAGCCCTCCTCCCACCGCTTCAGTTTCTATTCCTCACTCAGCGCCTACAGCTCCTGTCTCTGTTCCAATGACCAAGCCTACTGGTCCTGCTGGTCCTTCTACTACCACTCCTGGTGGTGGTGTTCCAGGAACCTCTGTTCCTGGTACCTCCGCTCCTGGAACTTCTGCTCCTGGTACTTCCGCTCCTGGAACCTCTGCTCCTGGAACTGCTACCACCCCTGGAGCCCCAGGAACCACCGCTCCCGGTACTACTGCTCCTGGAACCTCTGTTCCTGGAACTGCTACCACCCCTGGAGCCCCAGGAACCACCGCTCCCGGTACTACTGCTCCTGGAACCTCTGCTCCTGGAACTGCTACCACCCCTGGAGCCCCAGGAACCACCGCTCCCGGTACTACTGCTCCTGGAACTGCCACCACTCCTGGTGCTCCGGGAACCACCGCTCCTGGAACCACTGCTCCTGGAACTACAGGCGTTCCTAGTGGATCTTCACCCGTTGTGTCCGTTCCGGTTGTCACTCCCCCCGTCCAGAGCTTCAGCACTTCCACCGTCTTCACCACCACTGAAATCACCATCACCAGCTGCGCCCCAACAGTCACCAACTGCCCTGCCGAATCTCAGACTGTCGTTACCCAGACCATTGCTGTTTCCACCACCATCTGTCCTGTTACGGCTACCGAGACTGGTGTTCCTGGAGGTAACACCTCCCCTGCTGGCCCTGCTGGAACCCCTCCTGCTGGTGCTGGTACCTCACCTGCTGGTCCCACTGGTCCTTCTGAGACCTCTCCTGCAGGTGCCGGAAACACTTCTCCTGCTGGTCCTGCCGGTCCTTCTGAGACCTCTCCTGCACCTGCTGGCAGCACCACCCCCGCCGGAAATAGCCCTACCCCCGACAACTGCCCCAGCGTGGTCCCCAAGTGTATCAACACTTGGCTCCCCGAAACCTGCAACGACAACACCGATGTTCCTTGCTACTGCCCTTCCGCAAACGCCACCGCATCTATCATATCCTGTATTCAAGCCTGGAGCAGCGACTCTTCTGAACTCACCACTGCCTTGTCTTACTTCACCGGTATCTGCAGTGGCTACATTCCTGGAAACCCAGGTATCGTCACCGCTGTCCCCACCACAATCACCCTCGGACCTACCCCTGCTCCTTCGGGTCCTGCTGGTGTCTCTCCTGCTGGATCTTCTGTGGTGCCCTCTGTACCCTGCACAACCATCACATTTGCCTCAAGCACTTATACCGTCCCTCAAGTCGCTTTCACGACTATTACTCCTACCGGTGTCGCGGCTACTGGTACCCCTACCGTCGGTCTTGTGGGTGTTACATCTGTCCCTGTGATCCCCAACCAAGCCGCCGCTACTACTTTGGCTACCAAGACCAGCGCCGTCCCTGGTGTTGCAGGCGCCACTGGCTTTCAGACACCTACTGCCTCTTCGACAATTAAGCCTTTCACTGGTGCCGCCGTCCCAGGAGCCCTTGTCTCTCGACAGGGTATGCTCTTGACCGGTGTCATGGGCGCGTTGGCCTTGTTCTTGTAATCTGACTCCGACATATTTGCTAATTTGATATTACCTGTTATTTTATGTGCCATGTTTGGGAAAATCTGTTATGATATCTCATATCAGATACTATCCTTATTTTGATAATAATGATGGAAGGGAAGGAAAGTGGTATATGGGTTAATTATATTCTTACACTCCTTTATACTATTCTTGACAATATTACATTGCCTAGGTAGATAGGCTTGTACTTAGGTATGCCAATCAAAAGTGACAATTGCCATACTCCATCTCGTATACGCTATACACTTATACCTTACAGGTCCTCTATTACGGATTATACAAATTCGAATCCCACGGCCCTGCCTGAGCGTCTTTGTAACTAATCCCATGCACATACCTACTCAACATCGGCTCCTCATCCACACCACAATGCAACTTCTCATCCCTCCCCCGAAACCATCCCAGTCCATACCTCTTATTCTTCGCCACCAGCATAGCCCTCATCTGATCACTACTAAACCTCTCCGTATTCACAAAATCATCTAACATGTGCGACTGATGCACAAACGCTAGGATCGAGGCGATCGTTGACGGTGGTCGGGGTACGAAGTAATGCCGTCGACAGACTAGGGCCAAAGCCGCGGAACAAAGCAAGAAAAACACGACGACGGTGGAGATGGCGGAAGAGGTCATGAAGGATTCTTCGGTTTCATCTTTGATGGATAGTGAGGATGATGTTACTGTTAACACGTCGCTGAGGATTGACCCGATGCCAATCAACGAGACGAGGTAGTGTTTGTTTAGTAGAGCTTGAAATGGGAGGACGCCGTAGGGTATACCCTGATAGTCTAAGGTGAGCGTGTTTTCAGGACGAGCGTTCCCCTGCGATAAAGCGTAGAATGGTTCTAGCATTTTGACTGCGAATTCTAGTGCAGTCCAGATCTGTTTTGCGATAACGGCCAGTAAGACTGGGAGCCAGGGGAGTTTGACTGCTACCACGTTCGCATTTGTGTACGTCACGACGGGGATAGCGGCGACAAGAAATGTCAGGTATATCAAAAACACGATCCCAGGCAAACGTCGAAGTGCAATTGGATGTGGCGAGGCAGTTGAAAATGGTTGATCGGTATGTTCTTCGGTATATTTGATATATTCCCCTTGCCAAATACTCGATTTATACAGCACGTATCGCCTATGTCGTAGACGTTTATGTATATCATCGTCCGTAGCGGTATCCATACCCTGAAAATCATTCAGAATATGCGATTTGGTCGCCATAGACGCTATCCCCGCGATCCCCTTGGGATCACTCAACAATCCAGACTTTCGTCGAAGTTGAAACACCAAAACCAACGCCATGACAGCTACCAGACCCAGACAAACAGAGACGAGTCTCGACCATGTCGCGTCAATATGCACGAATTGCTCAAATTGGCCTTGGCACTTTTCCTTTTCGGAACAATTTGGGTTATGGATTGGTCTTATCGAGGCGTTTTGAAGGGACGGTGCGGCTGTGGTTGCTAATACGGCGCCGACGGAGGCGACAAGCACCGTCCAGTGGCGGTTTCGCACGGCTTTATAGGGGACAAAGTAGCTGAATAATGTGGTGTAGTCGAGATTCAATGATTTCGAGGCAATGTTGCCTGTTGGTTGAGAGAGTTGGTAGTATGGTTCGAGTCTTTTGACGTTGTATTCCATGATCTGCCACAGCACGCCGTATGTAACCATGACTATAGTCGGGAGATATTTCCAGGCAAAGAATTGCGGAATCGGGATTTCGGCTACGTTGTTGAATTGTATTAGTCCTTTTCCCTGTGATTCGAGAGATTTGGATTGCTGATAGAGATATTCCTGTACGCCTGCTAGGCCTAGAGAAACAGTGATAAGCATGAATAAATAAGGAGAAGTCATCGAGAATGGTTTCCAATCTGGTTTCTCAGGGTCTGCCGGATAGAAAAAACTCGCTTCTTCATCAACAGAAGCAGTTTTGAATGTTGATGCGCGCCGTTCGGATCCTTCTAGGCTACTCAAATCTACAGCCGGGATAGCAGTGGCTTCTTTGACAGCGACAATCATATTTTTCTGATTGGCGAGATGCTGTCCGTATTCTCGCGCAGTGTTGTGTACGACCATTTCGCCTGTTTTGGGTGGTATGGTTGAATCAACCTGCGGGGCTTTGATAGGAAGCGCATCCTGATGCCTAGCATCCGGTCCTTCCAGAAACGAAATATCAACTGTAACGAAATCATCTTCATTCAAATTCTCAAGCTCTTGGTTATTTTCCGGCTGCTGTTTAGCCTTTATTGACCACAAAGACCGGACCCCCGAGGGAGTCAACGGACTCGCTATGGATAGTACTGAGGTTGAATGTCTCAAATCACGTTTGGTTTTTGTCGCTGACCGGATGACGGCAGGTCGTCTCATACTCAGTCTTTGCGACAGACGAGGAACGAGGCGACCATCTTCAAGACGTGGTGAATGTACCTCAGCCTCGGGTTCAGGCTCATCTATCGATCCCTGAAAAGTAGCCATGCTAGGGTTTGAAGATGGCGGCGGAGGCCGAAAAGCAGACTTGTGCAATATAGAAACTGGTTCCACAGGACGCAACTCGAGATCGTCGCGATCATAATGCGAAGAGCCGCTGAAACGTGAATTTGCTGAATGGAAAACCGGCGCTGGTCTATTGCTACCACCTTGCTGTTGTAGTAATGGAAAAGTATCCATTTCATCCATGATGGTTGCCATGTCGATTCCTCAACTTGTTTCCTTAAAAGACGAGTCGAGGTACAGCTGAGTCAACGTTGCTTTAGCCTGGCGCTTAACCACGCCAACCAACAGTGGATGTCTAATGATACCTGCCTGCAAGCGAGTGACGAAGATGCCAGGTTTATCGACATTGACCGTTGCGCGCGCTACGCCACAGCGTTAAGAGATGATCGATACCATGGCGTGTGCGATCGGGTGTAACCTGGAGAACGACAGTCTCGACTCTTCTAAACTGTAAACAGGGTTGCCACATTTAGTGCACTCTTAGTGCATGAGCGTAATCAACCCAACCCAACATAATACGAGTATCTAAGTCGATGAGGCGGGGGCTGAGTGGATTGCTAATGATCTATATTAGCCTTACCGAATAGCGCTCACTCTATAAGCGCCCGCGCCTTGGCTGAGGCGGTATGAAACTGAGACTGTATAATAGTATGCACTGTGAGCACTGACTATGATATTCGCATGTTGTTTGTGGCAGAAGGGAAAAAAGGTCCATTAACATGCTAACTAAAATACACTCATAACCAGCTCAAATGCCAAGCGGTGCAATCATCATAACTACAGTACAGACCACAAAATCAACCAAAAACCAACGCCCTCACTTCGATACTCTCCCTCGGCTTCGCACCTTTGGGAGTCCTAGGATCCACAAACGCTGTATGAGGACATCTCTTCCCAATCTCCTTACCGGCTGGGGGATTGATATCCGAACACTTCAACAAAATCCTCTCGTCGTTATCAACACCCGACCAATAATTCCATTTTATATCAGGATTATAAACCACGCCCATCGTCTCGCCAGTTCGAGTCGGGTAGCGATGCTCGATTGGCACTAGGTCTCTGTCGGGGTTGCCCGAGGCAGCAGACGCAATTGCCAAAGGAGCAGCTTGTACCGCGCCGTTGAGAGGACGCCAGACGTTAATGATTCGATATCGTCCTTTAAGTAGCTGCTCCGCTTCAGCGGGGTCCTCCACATGCAGTTTCACCCGCCATTCTGTCGCGCGATCAGTCTGATCTGAATGCGCCGCATTGACTGGTTGACGCGGCGAATTGGGATCTTGACGGCGGATCGTATGATCGAACAGAATCACTTTATGTGCTCCCTCAACTTTATCGAGAAGCAATTTCTCGACTTCAGGGTAATACACCCGCTTTATCTCTTCGTCATTGTTGAATGTTTCGTACGTTGTTGCGGATGACACACCGCTGTGGACTTCAAAGGCATCCTTGTCCAAGGTATAGTCTGATTCATGACCACGGATGTCGTTGATGGTTACGAGGTGAGATTTTCGCTCAAAATTGGTGCGTGGTTGGCCTGAGGGTGGTTCTTCGACGTAGTTGTAGGGGATGGAGCCGTCGGCGGGATGTTGGAAGAAGGACAGTTCGGCGGAGATGGGGCCGCGGGGGATGTAGTTGGGGTCTGACTCTGCAGTCAGGGTGGTTGTTGTTGTAGTAGTAGTAGTAGTCGACATGCTGATGAACTCGGACTGTAATGTAATGCTTCTGATGATGATAATGCCGAGACAGGTCACAGATATTGAGGTATTTATATTCGAAAAGAAAGAGAATTGTGAATCGCATCGAAAGTCGCTTATAAATATGCCAATTTGTAATCAAACTAATGTATCCATATTACCATACATACAGATATTATCAGATAAATATCACTTCTCATTGGCTGTATTAGTTGCAAATATGTATTTTAACTGAAATGACGTCACCGATTACCAACCTCTTTTTGAAGCACGCAATTTCTCCTCGCTGTGATTTGACTATATCCATCCATATTCGATACTCCTGAACAACAAGCACATGACAGAATGCAAAAAGATTACCGCCGCTTAGCAGTCGAACGCTCACTCACTTGCGGAAACATCTCATACCCAGCACCGTTCTTCGAATACCACTTAACCCCCATATCAACCGGAAAGTCGGCATGCAACAAACTAAATCGATCTGAATTTGTAGGCACACCATCAATCTCTTCCGGAATGGGCTCTGTGATGTTCTCAATCAAACCTCTATCAATCCATCCTTGAGGTTTGGCCTGCAATCGATCCATGCGGGAGATGTCGTCGTCGATTTCTTCGTTCATCAACGAACTCAAAGGTGGTGCGTTTTGGTTGGCTCGCGAACTGTGGTTGGCGAGGATATGATACGGTAGGTTTGGCCGTGTAGCTGGTTTATCGGATAGTTCAGCCAACAGACTAAGTCCCGTATTGCCTTGGTTGCGCGTTGAGCGAGTCGCATGGTAATTCTGACTTGCTGTACGTGCCATATCTGCTGCCGCAGGAGTTCCGTCTTCTCCAGGGGCGGCACTATCGGCGTCATCGGCCTCTTCACTGTTACTACCGTTCACTGCACTGCCGGTACCGTCCTGATTTCTCGACGTAGCAAAGAAATGCGCCGTAGCAATATGTGCCTGATTGGCGTGCATAGCAAGTTCCTTATCCGTAAACAGAGAATTGATGCTGTAAATCTTATCAGTCTGCTGTTTCTCGGCAGAGGCCTTGGATCGTTCTGCAGGAGTCGACAATCCGTCACGACCAGGAGATCCAATATCATCGTCGGGAGCTTTGCGTTTCCTTCTGTTTCCTTCTAGACCAATCCCGTTACCGAACTCGTCCATCCCGATGCGATGTCTGGTATGTCGAGTCTTGCGGTTACCACCAATGCCGCCGGGGCTCGAGGGGTTTGTAATTGTGAATTGATTCGGGTTAAGTAGCAACGCATTCGTGTCTGAGATATCCATCTGCTCTTTCTCACGCATCAGCCGTGCTTTATTCGCAGAGACTTTTTGCACTAATCGCTCTCGCAACGTTCCCGATAAGAGTTTATACTCTTCACGCGCGAAATGTTGCCTCCATAAAAAGTCATGATTATACCGGTTGACAGCTTCGACATGTCGGTTCTACCCAACAACCATTAGCGTAACGTCAAACCACTCTCGACTCAGAGACATACCATAACAGCAACCAAATCCGCATCCCGCTCCTCTTTAATCTCATTAATCTCCTGCACAAACCTCGCATACCAACTGCCTGAAATACTAGCCATCTCCTTCCCAAACTTCCCCCCACCAACAGTCATTTCAATCAACCGCGCAATCTGCTCCGCCGAATCAGGCAAGGGACCTTCCTGGTACGGATCCGCATTATTGATTAACGTCATATCGCATTGTAACGCATGCAGTTGTTGACGGAATTGGCTGTCGCGGTTCTGGTTAAAGGTTACGGTGAGATCGTGGAGGCGTTCTTGGAGTTGGGTGCGTCTTTTGTCTCGTTTGGATTGGGGTGCGTTGTTGTTGACGCCTGGATAGGGTCCTGGGCTGAGGGATCTGTTTCGTGCGTGAAGGCCGGAGCTGCGATCGGCCATGGTGATGGGTGAGGCAGGGCCTGGAGAGTACACCATGGTGTTGTCTGTAGTCAGAAAAGTCGCGATGCTCGAAGAAGAGAAGAGATTTATGAACTGATTACAGGATCCTAGAGCACAGACATGCTATACAATCAAACGTTCAAAGAATCATAAATTCAATAAAGAAGAAGAATTGATCTTGGAGCGCAACAACAGGCGAGAAAGAATTGTCGATACTCTCGACTTCCGGAGAACGATCCGGCTGACGGAAACACGTTGTTCCGGCATCACTTGAGCTGCTTCACCGCTTTGGGAGGGTTAGGGTTGCTACTACAAAAGAACGTTTGAATATTGATGATTAAGAATAATTATTATATTGTCTATTCAACTCTAGCAATAGACGGTACAGTAATATTGTATACAGGACCTCGTCTTGAAACAACAATAACAAATGGGTATTCTATAACTGTAGCAATCACACCAATCATGAATAGAACAAAATCAATACCGTTCCCCCCTGAACGCCTCACTGCCATGTCGCTAATCTGATGATAACATACTTTTTTTCCCTGACACTCCGTTCCTTTGCTAAATAAATAGTCTTAAAAAAACATAGACAAAGTTAGTGCGATCGGCGGATCACAAAAACACCAAGCTCGATATCTCCCCTGGGAGATGTCTCGTATTGTCGTCGTTTGATTCCTTCGATAATCTCGCTCAATAACATCGCTGAGCTCAAACCTCCGCTAGTCTCGGGGCTGTTCAGTTTTGGCGTGTGTCGTCCGGATGTCTGCCAACTCCGACTCAATAAGGATTTCATTCGTGGACGCTCTTGTTGAATAAACCATTCAGTCCAGAGGTTACGATCAAGCGGAGCACGGCCCTTGCCAGCTTGGACTACCGTGAATTTGGCTGCTTGATTGCTGAGTTTCTGACACAAATTTTCCACATTCATCTTCATCGTATCAAAGTCGTCCATACCGTTGACCGCTTCTAATTTACCCAACTCTCGACTCACGTCTGCAGAAAAGCCATTAACAACCACCAACTGTCGCAAGAGAGGGTCTAAAATGGGTCCAAGATATTGACTCTTAAAGGTCATGGCCCCAAGTCGGGTAGGATATATGAACAAAAGGCATCCGCCAAGAGGGGATAGCTCGAGTAGACGGTCCGTGAGTATGGACGGTCGACCGTAACAAAACATATCGCGGTACTCGTGTCGTGTTGAGGGTGGTATATATCGTTCCAGAACGGAAATGTGAATACTATAAGGTGGGACAATAGGATGTGGCCAGCTGACGGGGCGGACACTACCATAAATATCGTGATATACGGGAACTGTGCTTGCACTGGAGAACACAGTCGCATCGAAGGGATTGTCCATTTGCATTAGATGACCTGGAGTGCTAGGAGGCGAAGTCGGTAGGTTGGACAGGCTGAAATCTTCCGGCACTGCATGAACAACATGGATATAAGGTGGTCTTTCGGGACGAAGACGATCTTGTATGTTTTCGATTATCGATCCAAACACGGTGCTTTGAGTCGGTAACCGTACATTTCGCTCTGGGGATCGAGGATACGGCAGAGTCTGCGAAACAAGACGCACTGCATCGGGGCTTTTATTGGAGTCGAAAAGGGAAGAAACTAGCAAGAGATTAGTTTCCTTGATGAAGCCCGGAAAAGGCGAATCAAGTAACTCACGGGCTGTTTTGATGCCGTTATCGAGCCAATTCTCTGGAGGCGGTTGGTCGTGCGTGTCTTGATCGGTCATGTGCACATCATCGTCACTCGACGACTGTCGACCCGGTACTGCATTTAAAGAGGATCTGCCGTCTCTTTGAGACTGAGAGGCGTTGTGTCTATCCCGATTCTCGTCCATGGCGACCTGCGGCTTTGGCTCGCGATTCATCCCCGGATCCACGGATGGAACTGCCCAATGCTCATCGTCTTCGTCGTCTGCCGGCGGTGTCAAGGGTAGAGACCGTAATGAATCGCCCGGAACGGTAGTATCGACCAACATTTGTATCTTCGACGATGCCCGAGCTGAGTTAAATGAGGGAATTTGAAGAGCGGTCTTCTCCTTTGAAGCCAGAAAGCGAGACAAGGGATAGTGTACGTGTTGGGTAGAGATGGAGCCCTGCGATGCCCGGCGACGTGGTCTGGGAGACGACGACAAGGATCGAGTGGTAGGGAAGAAATATGGAGCCGGGGGGAACATGGAATTGTCGGTGAGGTCCATGAACTGCTGTTGTTTCTTGCTGTCTTTCTTCAGCTCACTCTCCACGCAAACGAGACGAAAGTCATTCCGTGTCAGATGTAGAGTCATATGGTCGGCGTCATTCAACTTCTTGTTTTATTATGATTATATATAGCGGATGACTCGTGGATCCGGACGAAACTGCAATGAGGCGAGACGGTGAGCGTTATTGTTGAGGGATGAGTTGGGAGAGAGGTGCCGAAGGAAGAGAAGCGCTCCTTCTCGAAGGACAAGTCAATAAAAAGGTGGAGAACGGAGGAATGTGTAGGGATAGACGGAGTATAAGGAAGAAAGTGAAACGAAGAAAAGAAAAGAAAAGAAATCGAGTCTAGACTCGTCGCTTTTTTAGGGTCGCTCGGAAGACCCACCGGGAATCTAGGCAGTCGGCCTCAGCCTTGCGCTGGCGATGATTTTGCTGCCTGTCGATATCTGCCTAAGATGAATGATATTGTAGGTACATAACTATTTAAAAGAATAATCTCTAACTGTAGAATAGTCTTGACGAGTTTTCGTCTGTCAGAAGAGTAGATATTCACAGGCTACAGCGAACCTTTTGATGATCGACGGGGCCAGACTCGTTAGTTTAGGGCTGGTCTAGACTCTCTCCACTATTCGAATACTTTTTGCACTCTCCTGAACGCTGGAAGCCCTAGAAATAAGACTCTACGGAGTATGCTTTAGCTGAAATGATCAGTCAGGCTGTGTGACAGGGTCTAGACCTATATTTCTTTTTCAGTATTATTTACTCCATACTCCAGTCTTTAGCTTAGTTAGTTACTTATTACCCATTAATAATAATGCTAGGATATCTCCGACAGAAGCTCGACGCGACACTGTGATCAGATCTCTTACTTTTCTGTCTTGTCTTGTACTCATACTACGTATAATAGTATATCTCTAGGCAGGATACATGTATATACCTGGCATATACTGGTATATACTGGTATCTGGTGGCGAACACTCAAATTCTAGCCAGCCACATCCGGATCCGGAAGCCTTTAATTTCTATTTCATGAATCATGACTCTAGATAAAATCTCTCCTCTCCACCTTTACCTAAACCTCGTCTCATGACAAGTCCTATTTCTTCTTCCATGCACAACGCCGGAATTGGCCAGTACATGGACCTTTGTACTACCAATGTCTGAGCGCTCAGGATAGATCCCTACACAATTCAGTCGGTCTTGACCGTGCGGATATAATCTCCTCAAGTCACTCGGAATCTCGGATACGTACATGACAATTGCGAAAAAGCGAAAGGGAAATTTTCTCTTGTCCCGTTCCGTTTCATATATTTTAGATCCATCCATCGGATCGATCATCGATCCGTTGTGTGCCGGCCAGACAACTCGGCGTTCTTTTTGCTCCCTTTTTTGCGCCGTGTGACCTGCCTAACCCTAACACACCCGCCCAAATTGGGCTGAGATAGGTCGTCACCGTTTATTTGAGTCATTTTATTCTCCATTGATAGTGCGATACGTAGTAGATAAAAGGATTGGCTAATGGGCAGTATCTCATTGTTAAGGAGAGATAACAATGCGATAGATAGTCAGATATTCCACGGATCAACCATGTTTTACTGCAGGTCACCTCGTGTACCTCCGTCTCAGTCCCTTCCAGCCCTTTAAGCGAAGTCGCATTCCATCTTCAAATAAATAGCCCAGCTCGACTTCGGTTATATCCTCGGTCTCGGGGAGGCGAAGTATATGGTCGTGATTCAATCCGTTAACTAATATCAAAAATTCCAGAGACACAGCAAATGGTTAAGGGCACATTGACCAAGATCATGCCCGAAAGACGAAGTTGGTCAAAGCATACGACGACCGATACATACGATCTGCTAGTACACCCTGACAACAGGCCCAGATCAAGTTCCAGATCTGCATGTCACCGCTGATCGCTCGTTTGTTGAGTGAGTGGATGTAGCGCTGATGTTGGTTTAGAATGGGGCTGAATGTCATATGAGAGGGCCGTTCGAGATTGTTAGTAATGCGACGATGCGTCTATAGTTTGCGGGGGATTTGTCAAGTTTTAATAGTCGTTTTAGCTTAACGTTTTACTCGACATTTCGATTCGTCGAGTTTGCCGGCTTCGAGGGTCGAGGGGGAGGAGTCGGCACGGGGGTCCCCTGGAGTAGAAGTAACAAGGGGATGCGGAAACTTTGCAGTCAACAGCGAGGACAATGAGAAACATCGGAACTCCCTGGAATAGAAAAGGTTCGCCATGACCATACAGAGTATGCTTGCACCAAATGTAGTTCTCGCCACTATCAAAACGTCTCACCAAAGAAGTAATAACCCCGGCTGAGCCAATTCAAACAACAAAGACAGCCCAGAAGCATAGGTAAATATACTCCCCAATCCGATCAAAGACGTCCTTGGTCCCGAGTTCGGTGACAATAAACGTCGAGCTGGTACAGTACCGGTCAACATGCGGATCCAGCGCCCAAAGCACCTAGTCGGCTGCTGTGGATGCAATAAATGCACCGACGAACCCGCCAACGAAGACAATTGTAGTCATGGGTCCGAGTCTGGAGTTATAGAGATGACCCATATCTGTTCAATAGCTATGAATAACAAAGAAAGGAATAATACCGTTGATCCATGGTTTCATTGTTTCAAATTCCGTACAACACTCTCACCGTGATTTGCCAATTACTTCTTGCACCAAGTAGCTAGAAAGAATTTTTTTGATAGATTGCGTAAATGAAATGTGTCAGGATTCAATGGCAATCTTTACACTCCCAATACCACAAGACTAAAATGAAAAATCGGAACCTCTACTAGATAAGCGTACTACTTCACGCCACAGCTCTTCCCCCGGCCCGTTACACACGACATCAAGCCACAAGATCGACTTCATAATCCTCCTCACTTGGTTCCATGTCGAGATGGAATACTTTTCTTTGAAAAGTCTCAGCTCAGCGACAAACCACTCCCTTTCCGATGTGCCGATAGCTGCAATTCCGCCCAAGACAAGACACCAGCAGCGTATCTTCATCTCAGGCACAGTATGTGTCCATGTCATGCTGTCTTTGGCGCACATCTGGAGTTCTAGTTGTAGTAACCGAACAAGCTTCAAGAAGGGAGCGGACTCAGGGGGTAGAGGGAATATGACGCCAATTCCGAAAATAACCAGACCCAGTCTACACGCCTCATGTACCTGGATAACCATAGGATTGACAAGGCCTAGATGGCTGGCAGGAAGGAGGGACATGATGTGCCATTGTACAAAGTTACGGCTGTCGCAGAACAACGCACTTTGCATGTCCATATGAGCGCCATCTAGAAAAAGTTCGACGAAAGCCATATATGCCCGAGCTGCTTGGAAAGTACGGTACATTTCGGGCGTTATCCCCAGGCTTAATAAAAGATCAATATCCATTGCGTCGGTATAGCCCCCATTGCACCAGCCTATATTCTCCCAAAATGAGGGTGTGTTAGTTTGCAGTCCAATAAATGGGAAGCGAGGCCGAGTCAATGATCTGCTGGCGCCTAGGACGTCGGAACTAGATAATAAAATCAGTATACTGTTATTGACGAGTACATCAAAGTCACATACAATGAGATGACTGCTGCAAGGCCTGGAAGCTCTAACTTGTCCAGTCCGCCTCGTAATGCTATAAGGATAGCAAGTCCTGCCTGATGTACTGAATTCGGGGATAAATAACCATAAGCATCTAACCACTGCAATTTCCTCAAAGGAGGATCGAAGGGGTAAGGTTTAGGGTGTTGCTCCAGCGGGCTATGGTTGTTCGCCAGACACAGCACAGAAAGTATTATCGCATCTGAGGTAGCCTTTGATGGATCCTGTATTGCCGAGTTAATCTTGCTGATTGAATCTGATTCAGCAAGAGCCAAGTCTCTCGCATCCTTGCTGCTGAAGTTCCCCAGGCGTTTCACTATGCACTGCACCCATCGATGCGAACAAGCACCAAATAGCATGGAGCTATGCAGAGCAGGGTCCGACAGAGAAAGCGAAAACCAGGCCTGTACACCTGGATGGTCTGCTGTATTTGTCGTTCCCGGCATTAGAATAGGCCATAGGACAGAGAGGCCTAGAAGTACTGGTCAGCTCAGTTGTGTTAGGGAAAGTAACACTAGTACAGTATTTATTGTTAGCGCTAACAGTTCCTCCAAAGAGAGGCGATGGGACATGTGTCTGATAAGGATCTAGCATGTCTGCACCAGGTGACATCAGGAGCCCAGCGGAATGCACAGGAAATGAGGACCAATTGTCCAATGCGCCAGAGAAATCTATGAAACCAGTATGAACGATCGGAACTGTTGCGTACGATGAGCCCGCTTCCAGAGGATCTTCATCATTATCTGCTACTGTAGTTGATGTCCGAGTAGACGGGTCTGTAGGCCCTGACAGCTCTGACAGCCTCTTCACAATCGCATCTTCATTTAATTCTGATTTATCATACTGACCTTTCCTCGCTTGTCGCCATCTCCACCTTCCCGCATGTGAACGAACGTCGCGAATTCTTTCTGCTCGACCTTCATTCGAAGCGGGATTGGTTATGACGAAGCGCAAAGGGCCGTTTGATGGCTGCTGCTGTCCTTTCATGTGGTCGACTCATTATCTTGAAAAATGCTGTCAAGTCAGCTGAACGATGTTGAAAGAGGGAGACGACTTAAATATGGTAAGTGGGTCCGGATCCTGGGGTTTGGCGAATGGTGTGGGTTGATGCCCCATTGGTATTACTAATACATATAGAGTTAACTAGTTAACTAATTAGTTCATTTCACACCAATTTTCCAAAGAAAACTAAGCTCAAATCCCGGGAAGGTGGATAGCTTGATCTCCTTGTTGGTTCAGTGGTGGAACATACCCAATTCTTCAAACAATCAAGCATCCATCTTGATCTACCCTGGAAATATCCAGCAGAAGAGTCCTCTTTCTTGATGCGCACTTTCGCAAGTCATTTGTGACATTAGCAACGATGAACACCCTTGAGCGCAACCCCACATAGACCTGTGGCTCTTCCGATGCAAAGTCCGGCGCTGGAATACGATTTTCCTATTCGGGAAACCAAGGACGACTAAATTCGAAGACAGGACATTTGGAGACTCGCCAAGCAATTGCTGAGCTGATTGTTCTCTTGAAGGTATGAACTCTAACTCCTTCCAAGCTGTTTTTGACCTTTCTCAATCGAATCGCACACTTATATCACAGTCTATCTGCGATACTTTGGCTGATAATGCCGTTTCCAGAGCACGTGGCATACTCATAGCCTCGGAAGTGCAACATGCTGCTGGATCTGAGTGGGAGTCGCTGACGATAACAATGTGATCCATTAGATATCTCCCGAAACTCGGAAGCAGAACCGATGTAGGGTTTGTAAATGGCCCATCTTGGCCGCAAAGTTGATAACTAGACCGCAAATTCTTCTGCAACCGAACCACCTAAAGTGACTGGTCGACATGCTACCATCGCAGTGGAACAAAGGCTATGTGCATGAACTCTAGCAAGCATGCCAATATGATCTTTCAGCCACTTCCTTGGTGTATCATTGCTCGGTTCTTCGTATTTCTTCGTATGCATTCATCACGTATCACACGGCGCTGGGACTGTGAGAAAGAGTGATCAGTATAAAACTATGGGCTCAAAACAGGATAAGAAAGGACGTATTTGTTTTTGATGGGGTATCGGAGCACCTGCGGGATAAGGCAGCCATCTGTCGTCACGAGTGCTGTTCAGACTCTTACTGTGTGAAGAGTAGTCGAGGACTTGTGATTTCTGGAGAATAAAACAGACGCATTATCACTTATTCATGACCTGGGAGTCCAGCAGACTATCATGGAGGGAACTCGCTTGACAGAGATAAATAAGAGAGGGAAAAATATGGAAGGAACTGACGACTTATACTTGTGTTCCCAAAGAGGAAAGTGCATTTTGCCAAGCCTTTCCACACTAAACCGAATGGAAGTCAGGCTTTCTCCTCCCAAGACCACTTAGTTGATTACTGAACATGCGAGAGAGTATGGATGCCAGCCTGACAAATATCAGGTAATCTTCCAGCGGTAAGATCGCATTTGCTGACTTGTGTCACTCTTCTGTGGGTGAATATGCCGGGCCTTCGAGGGGAATTATTGTAGAGGCAGACGAGACAGTTACGTGAGGAGTTGCTGGATCAATGCCAGCGTCAGCGTCAGCATCCTGATGATGTCGAGTCTTCTATAAGACCGGTACGGTATCATCAGCGATGATCGGATTGGCTCGAGTAAGGTATCGCTTCAAGATAGGATGACTCGTTAACAAGCAGCCTGACGGAAAGCGATATCCCGAACAATTGAAGGAATTAGCAGGTCGCAGTGACGAGCGCTCGCAATCCTTTGCCTCCAGGAACCTTGATTCATAGGACGACGACAAAATAGTGCGGCATATTATGGCAACAGAAGTCTTACCACTGTCATTATCGAACGATATCATTCGAGAACATCAGTGCCGATGGGTGGCATCATATGGCAGACAAAAACCCAATTTATTCACAAGATGGCAGGCTATATATATGTATTGCGTCTGTGTATGCAATCGTGTCAATGCACCGGCATAGCGGATGTCTTGATACGACATCGTCTTATCCAATCCTCCTAGGACATCACTTCAATTGACACAAATATCAGGGCAATAGCATTAACCTCTATATTGATGAATTAAGGTTTACGCGGGACCACATGTTTTGTTCAATGCATATATTCTCGAATGAAATTAGGAAATTAAGAATATCGAGTAATAGTTAGAGAAAATATGCCTGCTCAACAGACCCATGTATATGGATAAACCCCGACTCCAACGCTAGCCCGAATCCAGATCCGATGTATTGGATTCTATAACATAAGGGTATAAAAATGATATAACAAATGAATCAACAAGAAAAGAATGAGTCGAATATGTGCACGAAAGGAAAGAGAAAAGAGTGTAAAAAGTGTTAAATGGTTCCGGGGGAAAGATATAATGATCCCGTCTTTGAGAATTCGAGCATCTTCCGGTGACGATCACTCCAGCATAATGAATTGAGATATCCCTGGAGAAGGAATTTTGAGACGAGTTCTTGTTCTTCCCACATCATGTTTAGTTGTCGTCTGGCGAGTGCTGATGGTTGGACCGGGATACTGCGCACATGAACCCGGTATGCATGGCGATCTGATCGCATGGTCACTGAACAGGAAGACTTGGCGCTGCTGTTACTACTGGCCGTAGACGATGTTCGCTGTAATTCGGTGCCGGTGCGAAGTTCAACACACTGCATGATCAAATACTTAATGTCGACAGCCAGACTTTCCGCTCTGTGACGGATTTCCGGCCAAAATGCCTCGCCCCAGAGAGGATCTTCCCGGACAGCGTTCTCCATTGCTTCCAGCCAAAAACCAAAATCCGGGTGACCATGATGAAGTTTCTGCACTGCGAAATCGGTGGACGAGAGAAAGTCGCACAGCAGACAAGCCACTGTAACCAGACGAATCGTGGGTTCCGAAGAAAGGACATGCAAGACGATACAAGCGGGACATCCCTCCGCCAGACAAAAGTCCCGTTCCTCGGTCAGAATGCAGTGTAACCAGGTAAAAGCGCCACGGGCCTGGCCGCGAAAGGCTCGTTCGGGTTCTGTGCCTTGTCGTCTGCCCAGTACACGAGTCGCGATTTGGGTTGCTTGGTTGTGGATTTCGAACAAAGGGAGGAGAAGGGTGTAGATGACGTCACGGTGCAATTGGAAGACGGCGCGTTGCTGTTCGCTGCATTCTTCATTGTGGAAGGGGCAGAGACTGTTTTGCGTCAGTATCCTTTTAATGGATGTTTTCGTAGATCAAGGTACCTCGATGACTCCGAACAGTGTTGGCGGAGACTCTGGAACGCCTCGTCGTGCTCAAGCACAGCCATTACCTCTGCGGGAACCTTGAACGGCGACGAGATATCGGTAGATAGAGACATGATTGAGACAATAATCGACCATTGATAAAGATACGGCAGTTTTCCCCTGGTTATCAGCGTAATGCGAGTGAATGTGTAGTTGTACTTGGTAACGGTCGACTTCGAAGGCCCATTGGAGTATATAGTGTAGGCTGAATCAATGACGTATAGAAATGGAAAGAGATTCCGTAGATTGGTATCCTGTGGTATAGTTGAGAGTGAACTGTGGTTGTAGAGGCGGTTGACTCTCCTGAGTGATGATGATTAGTGATGCCCCACCGAGTAAGCGCTCCGCATTCCGCTTCCGGCCAGACAGTGAGAGATACGAGGATACATATATATGCATATATGTCATACAGCAGAAAAAAAGAAAGAAAAAAAGAAAGAAAATATTCATGAGGATATCGGCTCGATCTGCTCGACATTCAAGCGCTAATCTGTGTGCGATCCAATCCACGGCGAGAAATGCAGCGTCAAGTGCCCAACGCCAGGCTTGACTTGTTCTAGACCATTGTTATGGAGCCACTAACTACTCGCGATATCTAGGGCCAGTCACGACTGCCGAGACATGTCTATCTTCCAGAAGTAACAGTATTCAGTCCGCGAAAGTTATTAACTATCGCCCGCTGATAACTCGATCATCCATGACAAGGCGAAAGCTCGTATTCCTTAATAAATCAAGAATCCACGCCGTTTCATTCGACTGCAACTCTTTAATCTCCTGCGCGGGGGCCATAGTGACGATCACAGGCTATTCCATGGCCTTTCTCTTTTCGACTGACCGCTCTTAATGAATCAATTAAGCTTGTCGAATCTTGGTCCCGTCAATCTCTCCGCGTGAACGATAATCTGGAGTCTCGATTGAATGACGATATTGTGCGACTTGAGGACTGCCACGCGTACTCTCGCTGCTGGATAGCGAGAGTATTCTGGTGCGCAATAGTGGCCATTCATATTGACTCATGTAGAGTTACTCAAGACCAGTCATCGATAGAATCTTGACGTGTCGCTGATAATAAAAGGGTTGAACGAGAAGATAAGATCAGATTGTATGGTAATATTACCATATTCAGGGACTAGTTTCACAATCTATAGGCCATCCACCAATAATATCGCTGGAACTACAGGCTTGGCGCACCATGGCCTTGGAAATCATGTAATATGCGTCGTAATGATACGGTATTGATTATTTAACGTGCCTGAGACATCCATCTCCAACTTCTCCTTCTTTATCTCACGAACCTCTCTTTCTCACTTTCCCTCAACAACTGTCGATTTCTTTTCTTCGTCCTTCGTTGACTTATTCATCTTCAATCGCCATAGACATACACTCGCTCTGTCGTGGCTGTATTAATTGATTAATCTTTAATCATGTCGCTCTCGCTCATGCGCTGGGCAAGCTTGTTCATGCTGGGCATGCAAGCCTCTGCCATTTCTCAAATTTCTACTGTTGGAGCCAAGTTTTTTAACTCTTCCGGACATCAATTCTATATCAAGGGTGTGTGTATTGTGTTTTTGATTTCTGTACTTTGCTTACAGTTCGATAGGAATCGCCTATCAACTCACCGACGATGACCCTCTCGTTAACACCGCTCAATGCAAATTGGACGCTGCTTTGATGAAGGAATTGGGCGCCAACACAATCCGAGTTTACCACGTTGATCCAAATGGTGATCATGACGGTTGTATGTCTGCTTTTGAGGACGCTGGCATCTATCTGTTTGTTGATTTGGAGACCTTCAACACGTCTATTGATCAGGTATGCCCCATTACTCGGCGTTGATGACCTTAAGCTGACTCTCCAGTCCGCCCCCAAATGGAACAGCACAATGTTATCCGCCTATGAAAAGGTGCTGGACGCCTTTCACAACTACGACAACCTAGCCGGTGTCCTCATTGGAAACGAAGTCCTGACTCGCACAAACGGCTCCTGGGCCGCTCCTTACGTAAAAGCCGCCGCGCGCGATGTCAAAGCCTACCGCGATTCCAAGGGTTACCGTAAGATCCCCGTTGGATACGCCGCCGCTGATATCGCCGATCTGCGTCCTATGTTGCAAGACTACCTGGCCTGCTCGACCAATTCATCTGAAAACGTGGATTTCTTCTCGTTGAATGCTTATGAATGGTGTGGTGACAACACTTTTACCGGATCAGGATACTCTGAACTTCAGAAGAATGCTACTGGTTACTCGATCCCTATTTTCTTTTCTGAGACTGGTTGCAACACCGTTCCTCCACGTACCTTTGAAGACCAGTCTGCTATCTTGGGTAACGACATGTCTGATACCTGGTCTGGTGCTATCATCTATGAATGGATCGAGGAAGCCAACAACTACGGTTTGATCAGTTACGGACCCAGCGTCGCTGCCACTGCTACCGGTACCAACATCGTCGGTGGATTCACCCGTGGAGGTACACCTACCCCTATTTCTCCAGATTTCTCCAACTTGAAATCCGTCTGGGCTACCTTGAACCCAACCGGTGTTGCACTATCGGATTATACCGCATCCGCATCAAAGATTACCCCCTTGGCCTGCCCTGCCGAGACATCTGGTGTTTGGGATGTTAACCCAACCTCACCTCTCCCAACCCTTGGCCAGGTCGCCGATGCTACTGGCACAGGCTCTAGCGGCGGTGGCGGCAGCAGCAGCACTGGCAGCACTTCTTCCGGTACTGGTTCTAGCGGATCTGCGGCTGCTACCTCTTCCAAGGGTGCTGCGGCTGGTGGTATTGTGGCCCCTGGATCTGCCGGTATGACTGGTGCTGCTGTTATTTATGGTGTGCTGGTTGGATTTACTGGATTTATGGCCTGGTGGTTGTAATCGTTGTAATTGGATGAAGATGGCAGGACCGCTTTTCTTTGACTTGTATCTATACATAGATGGTCTGGGGTAGGTGTATATGTTGTTTGTAAGCATTTTCTCTGTATTGGACAGGCATACCATTGTCAACGAGCCACATAATTTTCAAGTGAAAAATAAGAGTACGATTATCCTATGGTATAAGTAAACAACCCAATATAATAGTCATACATAAGAAACGAGCAAAGAATAGCCCGAATGCAATAATCCAATCCAACACATTGATTCATCAACAACCAAAAACAAATGAAAAGAAAGTCACGCTTCATAACTAGGTAAATTCAGATTACTCCCATTCAAACTCATAGCCAAATCATCATAATACCTCCTCTTCTCCCTTCTCCGTTTCCGTTCTTCGTCATCAATATCATCATCGTCAGTACTATCGTGACTTAATTTTTCTTCGAGCGCTTTGCGGAGATGGAGGATTGTTTCGTCTATGGTTCTACCATCTCTGTCTTTGTGTTCGTATTTCTCCTTGTTTTGTTTGGTGTTCTGTTGTTGTCTCTGCTGGTGTTGGTATTGACGCGGTTTGAGGATGTGGTCTTGTTGATGTTGATGGTGGAATGATGAATATGAGTTTCCGGATGAAGGGGGCGGCGTTGAGGTCGATGAGTAGCTTGTGGGAGTAGAAGGGCTTTGATCTCGTGGTCTGGCAGGGAAACCAAAATCGAATTCATAGCCTAGATCTAAACGAGGTAAACCTCGTCGTTGCTGGTCCTTTTCTTTGGTTCGTAAGGACGGATCGGGATAATCATCATCTTCAACACCATAATTGATGATTACTTGTCTTCTAGGCTTCGATCCTCCAAGAACACTCTCATACTCCCTTCGATGCAAATCCGGTGACGGCGGTAACGGCATATCCACCGGCGCGGACGGTGTGGTCGGTTTTCTGGATGTGGTAGCAGCAGCAGGACTCTGTTTACAATGTGCAACAATAATCCCGTCCAACTGTCGAATGGCGTGCGCAAACCCAGCTTCCACCTCTTCTGCAGACGGTCGTCGGTCAGGAATACGCGCAATCATGTCCCGGACTACATTCAACATGGGCTCTACAGCCCTAAATGCAAGTCCCTTTCGCTTTTTAGAGTCCTGAGTTAGTAGTGTAAGCCAGGAGGAGACTTGAGGTAGGTTGGTGATGAGATGGAATGAGGCATCTGCGACACCGCCGCCGCGTCCGGGGGTACGGTTTTTGGCGCTTCGGTGGCTTGCAAAGGATGAGATTTTGCGTTCGCAGAGAAAGGTGAATATATCGGTGATGACGGCGCCTAGGGAAAAGATATCTGATAGTTGCGCGTCCACCTGTTGGGATTGCCAGGTTCGCACTAGGGCTGTATTGTGTGGAACAAAGGGGATACTGGCTGCGTTCTCAGGCGCTGTCACCGGTCGTGTCCGAGAATCACATGCCAAATTCGAAGAGTGTATTGGTGGTGTGTAAAGAATAGGTTTTGTGCGGAAGAGTTTATGTGCAGATTTGCCGTGACTACCACCCGAGCCTCCTGATGCAGAGGACGACGACGAAGAGGCTAATGAGTTTCTCGATCCGACTCTAATCACTGTCCCCTTGGATTCGCTCGACTGCGAAGATCCGGCTGTCATCCAGCTTGATCGAGGTGTGAAAGCGGTGCCCCTTGAAGATGCGGAGGATGATGATCCGGATGTCGAAGAGGACGATGAAGGGATACGAGTTGTCCGGCCACCCGAGTGAAAGGCGTTTCTCGCGGCATTTGTTTCCTGGATAGCTGTTGTACGAATCCAACGTTCCGGAGCAGCGTATTGATACGCTTCAATGTCGTTTATCTTCGGCGAGTCCAGCAGCGTATCCAGCCCCTCGAAATGACCGAGGAAAATGCGATAGTCACTATCAACCAAAACATTGGACGGTCGAATCGATCCATGCGGGTGACCATTTGCATGAAGCCATGCTAACCCACTTGCCAGACAATGAGGCCAATTGACCAGAATCTCGCGTCGATCCGGCTTTGGAAGACGTTTAAAATTCTGCGGCGTATCGGACAGGAAACTCATCAACGACCGCTCATAGACACCGTTGAAAAGGACATTGATGCTGTTATCCACCGTATACGAGCCGTAGATTGACAGAACATGTTCATGCGCAAGTTGTCTCAACGAGCGAATCTCTTCGAGCACCTCATCTTCCTCGGAAAAGTACGGCGCAACATTGATGCGCACCTGCGTACGAAGAAAGACACGACACGTCGCTCCGGAGAGAACCACTTTCTCTACCCCGTCTTTATTATTATTCGAATTCACCAATCCCGTCTTTACGACTTCGACGGGCACGCCTTCGTTCTCGGTATATCGTACATGTTCGCCTTCCTTAATACCACGGACAAGGTATCGCCATTGCACAAGGAAGAATTTATTATGTAGCGCCGCCGCAGCTGAATTCGAAATCGACTGATCATCCTGCCTAACCAAGGGTAAATCAGAAACCCGAGACTCGGCAAACGGGAGATCCGAGTCATCTACAAAATCGTCCGCCAAGTTAAAGATGCGCTGCGGGATACCGAGCTCGTTCAGGATGAGGAAAAGCTTGCCGGCCTTTGTAAGGATCCATTCGAGATATGTTTCACTTGTCAGGCCTTCGCCCCATGGTAAAGGTTCGAAAAGTTGCGTTTGATGTTCGGGCTGTAATTGGGAAAATACGTATTGGCGGCAGAGGGTTGCTTCTATTCTCTCGTCGGTCCACCACAGGGAGGATACTTCGGACATGATGCTTGCATGATTAGGTGGAAGTACAGGACGACAAACCCCTTCCCGAATTTCAAATGCAGCAGGAAAATGCAGTTAATAAGAAAACAAATTACCCCATGAGATATAAGATTGTACCTCCCAAATCGGGTAGAAGAGGGAAGAAAAGAAAGTTTCGATAGAAGAATACAGTTCGGACAGTCGAGAACCACAAAATTATAAGAGATAGTGGTTTATACTATTCCTCCCTTGGGCTACTCTACCTAAGTACACTACTGATTGCTCTTTATTTGACAAGTGACATGACACGTCCATATGACAAGGATCCACAAGCCATGAGTTGTGTGGAAATGCGCTAACTAATCTAGAGCCAGGACTTAGGGCAAGCCAGGTCGACAGAATTTAAGGAGCGGGGTTTCCAGATAGATAGATACTACGACATACGGCATCTAGTTCAGCCATTGGCATGGCTTATCACGGGCTAAAGAGCAAGGGTATGCAAGGTCAATAGTAGCACTGCATGCATGCATAATAATTCGTTTATGCTTTTCTTTTTCTTTTTCGCGGAATATACGACTATGAACGGAATACATCCATAGATACGGAATACAGTAGTTTGATATTCACGACCCCTGCAGCAATATTGATTCTGGAATGTCGTCTATCGAACGGAGTACCGAGGGATCCATTGAGAGGCGGGTCAAGTAACTTTGCCTTGAGATGCAAAGAATGGCTCGCTGTGTACCAGATAGAATGGAAATTGTCAAAGAGTCCCCGAGATAAGGTAGTCCCGCTGTACCGGACACGATCTAGCACCGGAACGAATGTAATTTGACCCCCTTGACCTTTTTTCGTTCTTCTTTCGCTATTTCAGGTCTTTGTCTGTTTCAGCCTTCGAATCTTGTCAGTTGAAATCTGACTAGCGATTTTGCAGGCAGATTCTCAACGGCTTAAATACTACTTAGTCGTACGCACTCATTCACCGGAACTATCCAACATCGATCTCTCTCCACTATACGGAGAACACCGTTACGACTACGGCCACGTCCTGCCCAAAGCGTCCTGATAAGAATTTAAGTCTTCTACATCTATCACGGTGATCATTTGACGAAGTCAACGTAGCAGTCCGGCCTAATTAGGCCCGAACATCCGGGGCAATCATCTCGGTACTAGGTAGCGAGTCGCCATGCGACTTTTGTGGGTACTGCGTAGGTACGTATTGGTAGCGCTGTTGCGCAAGCCAGGGTCTCCTCGTATTCATTTCAGGTACATTACATTACGCACGTCGCACCGTTTAATGGCTGTAGTAGGCCTGAATGAAGGATCCCTATCCCAGCGAAGATCATTCAACTCTCTTGCTGGGGCCCAGTCTCATTAGTTATAAATAAACATCACGAAGACTGGACTATTTGACAATAGTTTAGAAGACAACCATGGCGATGATCAACCTTGCATGAAGAGATCAGACCAAGCAGTTTATTGAATCTACCAATGAATCTGAATAGATAAGATACATCATCCATATCGTAGATACCCTCGCATGAGCCAGGGAATATCATCAATGGTAGTAATAATATCGCATATCCCGGTAATCGTCTATTTTCACAGGCTTCGATCCGATTGAGTCATTTGAAGAAATTATTGACATGCATTTTCGGCCAGTGAGGTGAGAAATGCTTATCTCTTAGGGCTTTGTGGCTAGTCGTTTCGATTAGTAGTTGGTTTCCTTTTTGGGACTTAGTATGAATTAGGGCTGTTCCTTAGTTTTCTGCCTAGGTTTACTTGTCTTGCTGAGAACTGCTCTGTCAGGATTCAGAACAGACCATGTTCTCAGTAACAGACTAACTATTGGGTCGAGAAGCTTGTTTCTGTTCCCTCCAAGGTTTATTTGTATTCATGTCTAATTGTTTACAGTATAACGCAGCCTGTGTGAAGACCGTGACATAACTCTATAATTATATGCATAATACAGTCTCCACAACGATAACAGTAATAATAATTATCAAGACGATTGTCAGGCGTTAGTCACTCGGACTGCCGAACTCTGGACAGATAACGCTCTTTCTGGAGGTTGTCTCCGACAAGCCCTGAAGCCTCTGAACGTAGAACGGACGGAGTCCTCCGGATTATATCTATTTGATTAATTTATTTACTTTTTTGCGAAGTAATTTTCGAATTAACCGCCTTTCGCGGGAGATCAAGGGTCCAAATTTGTTGCTTCACATGTGTTTTCTCGTCCTACGTAGATACTTCTGACTCTGGGGTGACATTCATATGCCAATCGCTGCATTTACTTATTCCCACTGACTTGATTGGTCTAAGAATGAATTATACATGACACCGTACAGATGCACTGCTAATAAAGAATTCTAGCCGAGACTCTCGCTGAGATTAAGTATAACAAAGACATAGAAGACAAAACAACGGCGCCTGAAAGAACCTTGGAACAGTGAACGGGTAATAACGCATAAGATCGATCAATCCGAAGAACAATGAACTTAAGCAGATGAATCGAATACGGAACAAATAAACAAGTGGTATCAAACATTGCATGCATCTCGTTTCATCGTAGATTCTTCCATCTCATCCATGGAATAGGTCCGAACGAAAACACAACATGCCACTCCGAAGGTAAATTGAATCAATATATGGAAAGAAAAACATAGATAAAAAGACGTATCATAATGAGACTTAGTAATTTTGCAACAGTCGCTGCTCCCTTCGCTCTCGCCGAATTTCGTCACCCACGATAATACTGAACAGCCGCTTGTGTAGGTCATCTTCTGTCCATCCGATTTGACCCCGTCCTCCATTCCGGATATCAGCGCTAATCAATTCGGAGACGAACCGATCCAGGATCCCGAATTGGATCTTGGCAATCGGTAGACCGTGCTCGCCGTCTGATGTCCATAGGGAATCGCCGAGCATTTCATCACGGTGTGGTGTTGGATGGTATGGGAAGCGTTCGGGGTATCTTTTCGCTTCCCAGTAAAGACGTTTTAAGGCAACGTAATGCGCGTCGGTAAAGTAGCCCGACGTCGCAAGAAGTTTTGGCGATGAGAAAGAAGAGAGTCGGTGTTTCTTGATTCGCCGTTGCACTGTAGAAGTTACCGAAGTTACTTGCTCCATCTCTCTAGTCTCTTCTGCATCTCTGGACGCACGAGATCGTTTTAGACTTGGGGTTTGTTCCTCCGTCATGAAGGGCGGGCTTTGAGATTCGTCCAAAGGCACTTCTTTCGATGCAGTCCACCAGCCTGGAGTGAAATTGTTCGTTATCCGTCGGAACCATGACTGCTTTGGTCCAGATATCGTCTGTTCCGGTGTTGTAACCGATGTAGCGAAAGAAGTATGCTCATTCGTAACCTCTCTCCCTGCTTCAATATAAATATCGTCATCGTCATCTTCTTCCTCCATTTCTTCCTCAACTTCTTCTTGTTCCTCTTGCTCTTCAGCTTGCTGGTCATCAGAGACTCCGTCATCCACGTTATCATCTTGCATATCTTCAGGGTCGTCGTCGACCAGTTGAGTGCCCAGTGAAGATGGCTTTATCGGTGACGACACATCACGACTAATTCCACCATATCTAGAGCTCTTATCAGATTGTAGTCTCTGACTCAGGGCCGAGTGAGGACTGCTGTTTGCATAGTATTGACGTGACTTGGGAGTGTCGCGAGGTTTTAATAAATCCGCCAAATCAACCTCCCGTTCGCGTAATTGAGCCGGACGTGATTTTCCCAGTGGCGGAATTTCGCCCTTGGCTGGATCCCAAGCATAGCGGTGAGTTACGCTCCTGGGAGAACTAGCTTGTCTTGGGATGTCAGTCATCGATTGTTTCCCATCTACAGATGATGTGAATGTCTGATGTCTAGCAGAGCTAGAATCATGATTTCTGGCTTCCTCTTGCCAGACATCTCCGTAATCTTCGTCATCCTCGATTTCTTCACTACCCTCTTCCAGGTTTTCATCTTCACCTTCGCCTTCATGAGCCTGCTCTTGAACGTCTTCGCCTTGCTCCGAGACATCCTCATCGCTGTCAAGCACAATCACGTTATCCGACCCTGCCATATTGATTTGTTGGCTGACTAGTTCACGTTCTTGCTGCCACTCCGCTTCTAGCCGCTGGCTTCTTGACATTTCAGGTTGTTCTGGTAAGTTTTCATCTTCATCGTCATCATCAGAAAAGGTATCCGGTTGTTGCGGGCTTTCGGTAGGTTCTTGCTCCGCGCTATGATTTCTCTCGCGAGCTTCGCTCGTCCTTTTTTCCTCCTGCCTTCTTAGTCTCCTGGACCTCATCTTACCACGAGCCACAAGCTCGCCGAATTTAAGACCAGCTTGAAGTTGGCGCCGAGACTCCATATCAAGGTCGCCGAAAATATGCTTCAACCTTTCACTTGCACTAACTATCTCTTCCTCCTCTTCGTCGCTATTTTCAGTGTCAAGATCCTGTCGATAACTCAAAGTTTTGTGCAGACTTAGACCAAGGCGGACTAAGCGGGCAAGACTTAGAAATCTCTTCCTCGCTTTTTCAGCCGCTGGTCGTATTGAGTGTTCTGATACCGGGGCATTCATGACGACTGCGTCAACGGACCCGATTTGATCGTCCACTGATTCGAATCCGTTCTGCAATTCCGGGGATTTATGGTATGGTGTTGTGGATGACGCAGGAACATAATTGCTAATCGCAGGTGATTTTGTAGTCCTCCGCGTTGTTCGCTCAGTAATAACCGCATTCTGTTTCTGAGAGAAAGACTCGTGGTCCCCCTTGGAGGAGCTAAGTATAGAGCTGAGCCCGGCTTGTTTTGCGGAAGGAAGTGTATCTAGGGAGACCATGCTGAAATCTTCACTCTCCATGATAGTATCGTATTCATGATGGACATCAGTTGGGTCTGTAATAGTCTGTGTGCCATTACTTTGAACTGTTGTCGACTTATCTCCATTTCCATCAAGGAGCGACGATGAAGTCGGGGTCGGATAGTTTCTGCGTAGTCGACGAGGAGTATGTCCTGCGTACAATGTATTCTCGGGTGTTAATCCTCTGAGCCTTCCGACAGGGGAGACCGACGCCAGGGGTGTCGCGATTTCCGAGACCCGTACAGATTTCGCACTTTTATTAGGCATTTCAGTGCTACCGGGTGGAGAGAAACGGTGGGCATTTAGACCTGGTGGCTGTTCTTCGAAGGCCCCAGAGCCGGCCATATCAAGGAAAGGATCAGGTTCTGACGATGCGACGGACGGTGACCCCATGTCAGCAGTCATGAACGGAGTGGGAGATTCTCTATCGACGACCCCGTCAAGTGTACTTGACATCATGTTGTTCCTCGCAGGACTTCCAACTGGCTCAATGCTTTGCACGACTGTCTCTGTTTGCAAGCTCTTTCGGGGCCGGCCGCGCGGTCGGCTTATAGAATCCGGTGGTTGGGGTTTGGGAGTCCGTCCTGGACTTCCCTTGACAGGGCTAAGACTCTTTTCGCGAACGTTAGATTTGCGCGGGCGACCTCTTCGCTTTTTTGCTGACGGCGGGTTACTTATTTCATCCTTCAACGGGACCTTGGTTGTGATAGTAGAAGGTTTGAGTCTTTTCCGGGGTCCATCCCGAGTGTTCTCGTCATCTTCTTGCTCAGCTTCTACCGTCACTCGTATCCTCCAGGGACTTAAATTTCCCTCTGATTGCATTTTTGTCGGAGACAATGATCGCTGTCGCATAGGACTCGTCGGTAAAATGATATCATTGAAGCGCATCGTCTTGGAGCTTTGTTGCTTGGAGGTCCGCGGAGGCGCCCGTTCTTGTCGCCGTGGTGTGTGCATCGTATACGGCGGAACCCAGCTTTGTCGTCCATGGAACTCGGGCACTGGTGATGAAATGAGATACAGCGCGTCTCCTTCGGGGCCCAGTACATCAGGCGATGATGCGCTTGAAGATACAGAGGACATTCCGCGCAGCGCAAGTATCGATCAGTCGTCGGACGACGGCGCCACTGCGGAGCAATAGTACAATCAGGAAGGTGGACAAGGCGGTGGTGAGCTCCGGGGGTAATGGGTTTGCATTGCAAGAAAAAGATGGTGACTTTATAATTGACTGCAAGTCCTGCACATTATTTCCACTCGCACAGGCGCAGGGCTGGATGTTTCTTGCAGTTGTTGTGGAGTTTCATGTTGAAGTCTCGATAAACAACTCTCCCGATCCGGCAGGCAGGCGCGACCGTGTTAATGCACCAAGCCACAAGCGGTTGGCACGTCACGTGACTTTGACGAAGCTACATACTAGTACATACTAGTACAGAGAGTACGTACAGCCATCTTCTACTTTTCTCCAAGTTTGTTCTTGATTCTGAACACCATCTCGCAGCCAGAACCACGTTCCAGCAGGGAGACGGTAACTTCACGTGGCCACTCAAATGTGATTTTGTCAGGATACAATTTTTATGACAACATGTCGTCATTCGCTGTTCGGTTAAATATGAAATTGCGGAGGCATGCTTAGCTTCAAGGCTTAAGCCCCCGGAATAGCTAAACTCATGACTCAATCCTATTTCGACCTCACAATCGATTCAATGTGTTTTCCACCGAGAAGCAATCTCGGGTAATTGGGGTAATTGGTTGATTGATGAACTCTCGCTGTGTACGACGCAAGAGACCGAGCTGAGAAATCACATTGACCGCTATGATGCCGATCATGGCCTGATTCTTCAACGCTATGTGATCTTAACAAAAGAGACATGTCCTTTCTACTGTACTCGGGTCGATACATAGACTGTCCGCCTGAGCAGAATGAGCAGTATTCCATAATGCTACTCCATACCCAAGGATACAACCTGACTACGGAGTAGAGCCGACTGTGCCGTACAGGCCAATCCTTGCCTTGTAGGAGAAGATGGTGATGCCATGTGCTGAACGCTCAGCCAGTCAGCACGCCAGAAGATCCAACTATGCAAAGAGCTTTAGTCTATCAGAGGACGAATGCCAACAAGCATCTCCACGTTACATCCTAAGGCCGCAAGGCTAACCACTTTACCCAGATGTGATTGGTCAATTCGTATCAGCTAACACAGAACAGGCTTAGCGCTGCATGCTTCCCCAGTAACAACCGACGACCAACCCCGGATTCGCGCAAGAGACATCGCCAGCTTGTCCGGAGTATTATGTCGCTCAAGGAAAATCCTGCATCTGCTCCTCCAAGCCTCCTTTGCCTCTTTTAATCCCCGCGTTCGTTGCGAGCAAATTAGATTACTTGCTATTTCCCCGCCTCTTAACCGGCAAGAAGGGGGGTGAAAGCGGGAAAATAACTTGAAAGGAAGCAATGGGGGAGAAAGCTTAGCTAGCTGCAGTCGCCATTATAAAAGCTGGAATGCCCCTTGCGACCGGGCAGGGTCGCTTCTTGCAGCTCGGCTCTGGATCGTCATTTATTTTGTACTTCAAAAGACTCGCTAAGCGTCACCTGTCGTTTGTTGCAGTAACAATATACGCTCTGGTTTTTCTGGGAATTGCATCTTCCGTGATCTACAAGATGCGTTTCCAAAACTACGTCTCCGCGGCGGCACTGTTTGCGCTGCCGGCCCTCGGCGGCCAGAGCTCCCACTCTAGTAGTGACAATTCTACAGATCCCTTCAAGATCTATAACATCACCGCGACCAATATTACTGCTTCCTTCATCGGATACGGTGCGCGTCTTGTGGCATTGTACGTCCCGGACAGCAACGGCACACTCCAGGACGTTGTCGTCGGTTACGATGATCCCACGACGTATGTGCAAGACTCTGAAACCAACCACACCTTCTTCGGCGCGGTGGTCGGTCGCTATGCCAATCGTATCAAGAATGGTACTTTCACCATTGACGGGAACAAATACCAAATCCCCACGAACGAGAACGGTGGTGCCGACACACTTCACGGTGGTACCGTGGGCTATGATCAGCGCAATTGGACTGTGACCGCTTCAACAAAGGACAGCATCACATTCTCTTTCCTTGACACTGGATATGAGCATTTCCCCGGTACTGTGCTCAACCACGTCACTTATACAGTCGACGCTCTCAGGACTGCGGTCAACCCCAAGGGTCTCCCTCAATTGACCTGTCGCATTGTCTCCATGTCTCTGACAGACAAGACTCCAATCATGCTTGCCAACCACATCTACTGGAACCTGGACGCCTTTCAAGTCCCTACTATCCTCAACAACACCTTACACATGCCACTCGCTTCTCGCGTCGTTGCTGGAGACAACATCCTAGTCCCCAACGGCACCATTTTCGACGTCGACACCGCCTTTGACGGCGCAATAGACTATACGACCGCCAAACAAATTGGCGCCGACTTCGACCATGCCGGGGGCGTCTGCGGCTTCAACTGCACTGGTGTTGATACCTGTTTCATCGATGACCGCGTCCCTTACTACGTTGACGGCGCTGTCGTGCCCATCATCCATCTCTCCTCTCCAGCAACAGGTATTACTCTAGATGTCGCCACTAACCAGGTTGCACATCAAATCTATACCTGCAATGGTCAGAATGGCACTATTCCCATCAAGGCCTCGCAGAAGGCCCGTAATGAGGCTGCTGGTAAAGGTGGCGTTGATTATGTTAATAAGCATGGCTGCATTGTTATTGAGACGGAGGGTTGGATTGATGCTATCAATCAGCCTGAATGGGGACAGCAGGAGATTTTCTCGCCGGCTGATGCACCGACTGTGAATTTCGCTACGTACCAATTCGGTACTCTTTAAAGACGTGACGCATATTCATAGTAGCTGTTTGTATATACTGTTCATGAAAGTAATAACCAAATATATTGCTATCTCAACCCCCCACTTGAAGCCAGAAAGAACAAAAGGGTATCGTAGATTAAAGTTAAAGTAGAGTAGGAAACATCAAGAACATGTCGATTATACACATCATCCCCAACCTGCCAACGTCCAGCTCGACCGATCACTTATCACAGACGACCGAACACCAGACCGTCGGTCCGCAACATGATGGCGATGACCATCCAAATCTCTAGTAGCACTCGCCAAACCATCTCGAAGAAACTTTTCGCGCTCAACTTCCACAAGTCCTCTAATTTTGAGACTTGTGACAAGGCTGGCGCCGGCCCAAGCTCCTAGAGATTCAACTTGGCGGAACTGGCCTTGGATCAAAGGCTTGCTGTGTCGCGCGCGGTTGCGGTGAATCTTTTGTTCGACGAAATCAAGTTCTTCTGGTTCTTCTGGTTCTTCTGACTTCTCATGCGCCGTATCGGTCGTATCTGCTTGTAGGTCTTCAGATGTATTGTTGCTTTCTCGGCTGATTTTGAGCTGCTGTAATTTTTTTCGTTGCTCTTCCACAGCCCGGCCCCTGGTCGCGTCCCACCCGTGCTCTGCTACCAAGGACGAGGCCTCATTCACTATACGCTGACGAATGCCTGGTATTCTTGACCCACCTCCGACAAAAATTATACGAGACATGCATGCTCCACGCACATCTGGCGGAAGCTCTAACAAAGCATCATAAACCAAGATATGAATTGGTCTCTCATCATCGTCCAATTCGTGCTCGTCGACTCCATTGGCGAAGAAGTTCTCTTCAACCGGCTTCGCGAATTGAGAGAATGGAAGTTGCACATACCCCGAATCAGGATTCGATGGTGATGGTATGGATACATTCTTATTCAGGTTTTCATCCTCTGGTGCGAATTTGCACCAAGCAAATCGGCTCACCACTTCTTCGCAGTAGTTGAAATCGACAGATACTTTACTATCATTCTCCGCTTCGGCTTTGGCTGTATCGTCTCGTTGTGAAAGCATTCGCCCCATTTTCTGCATCAGAGATTTTGTTGCCCTAGTGCTCCGTTTCGAAGTAATGTCCCTATATTCGTAGATGGCAGTAACCGTTGTTTCGGCCCATCCTATATCGACGACCAGAGCTGCACGTACCCCGGCTGCTGCAGCTACCATGGCAGCAGACGGTAGAAGCGTAATAGAGGGAAACCTCCAGCGGTTAAATAATGTTTCGAGAATAACTGATAGCAGCGGATGCGGCATGACGGACGGCATGACCAGAACAAGACGCGCATTTCCCGCATCAGTCAACAGATAATTGTTATAAATCTCACGAACCGCACGTTCTAGTTTATCCTCAACAAGTCCAAGATCAACCTCTCTTAAATCCATGCGCCATAACTCGTGGTCTCTAGCCCACTCCTCCGCATCCAACGACCTAGGAGTCTCTCCTGGTGTGCCTCCTTTGGTTTTGATCCACCCACGATAATCACCAGCCTTTCTCGATTCCTCCGGCCCAAATCCCACAGTGCACATCGGCATACTCTCGCCCTCGAACCCTGCACGCAAGGAACGAGCTCCCATCTCGATAATTATAGCATCTTCTTCGTTCCGGAAGGATGACAGCGCTGAAGATGTGGAGCCGAAAGACGAGACCATTGAGCGATTGCGGTGATGTGGTGGTGTGCGAGGCTCGAAGGACTGTTCATCTTTGCGTATGCGTGCTCGTGCAGCTTCGAGGGCTGATATGGACGGCTTGCTTGCGTGTCGGGACTCGGTGGTTGCCATCTTCAAGATACCCGCCTAGCAGTGTCGGGGCCTTGATGCTCAATATTGCGCGAGTATCAAATTGTTAATCTGCCATACTTCGTCAAATAGCTCAAAACTGCTCAAAACTGTACACGATCAATCGTATCTCTACTTGTTAGTCGAAGAGTGAAATTGTATTGCGCTAAGGGAACAAGTGTCAGGTAGTCTGGGGATTTGATTGGCGGAAGCTCCGTTGCCAGGCCGCAGTTTCCACATCAAAACAACATCCCCGACTCACTACAACTTCACACAGTCTGTCCCGGCGACATTTTCGGCTTCATTTCCCGCTCAAATTCTTGGAATTAGGATATGAACTCATAATTATTGATAATGGGTATTCCAGGGTATGTAGGAGGCACGATGAGTGTTGGCTTTATTTATATCCTAGGCTTCCCTGCTAATCAAGGCAAACAGACTTGGCAAAGCAATTGGAAATGCCGATCGGATCGCTCTCTCCAGACTTGCAGTCAGACACTTAGAAGTCGCCAGACGACCAATTCGAATTGCCGTGGATATATCGATCTGGCTATTCCAGCTTCAAGCCGGACGGGGAGGACAAAATCCTGAATTACGCACACTTTTCTTTCGACTAGTACGACTTCTTGCCTTACCGGTTCACCCCCTCTTCGTCTACGATGGAAAACAAAAGCCGCCTTTCAAGAGAGGAAAAGCAACAACGGGTCGAAGTTATGGTAACGCACCAATCATCAATCTTTCCAAGATTTTGATCGATCTGTTCAAGTTCCCTCGACACGATGCGCCGGGAGAAGCGGAGGCTGAATGTGCAAGGCTGCAACAAGCCGGGGTTGTCGATGCAGTTATGAGCAATGATATCGACACGCTGATGTTCGGATCGGGTCTTACAGTTATGAACTACTCAAAGGAGAGTTCAACTGGCACTACGGCTGCCACTCATGTTGATTGCTATGCTACCGAAACGCAGCTCGACGTTGAGGCGAACGTGAAATTGAGCCGTGCAGGCATGGTTTTATTCGCAATGTTGAGCGGCGGGGATTATTTGCCATCAGGCGTTACGAAATGCGGACCTGGTCTCGCTGGCGAGATTGCAAAGGCCGGTTTTGGTGAGGATCTTTTTGAAATTATCTACTCCAACGACGACGAGGTGGATGCCAAACTTGCGGAATGGAGGGAGCGACTACAATATGAACTTGATGAAAACGAAAGCGGTTATTTCCAGTCCAAGCACAAAGCTGTCCGGATTCCAGATACGTTTCCTGATCGCCAGATTTTGTCGTTTTATGCGAAACCGGTGATTTCTAATGAATACGAAATTGAGCAATTACGCGAGCGGCTCGTGGGGGCTTGGGATCATGAAATCAACGCACTTGAACTCCGGAAGTTTGTCGCAGAGTACTTTGAATGGAAGTACCGCTCCGGAGCCAAGAAGTTAATACGAAACCTAGCGGAGCCATTGATTTTGACCAGATTGCGACTTGCTCGATCTCCCATTGCTACGTTCGGATATGGCTCTTATGTTCCAAACGCAGATCTGCCCATATTGCAAAGGATATATCGCAGTCGAATGCATTTCAGTACAGGCTGTATTCCTCAAGTGCAAGTGGAAATGATTCCTGTCGATGTTGTAGGACTCGATTTGGATGCGGAGGAGCCTAACCCTCCCCCAGAGTGGTCGCAGGCTACGGAACCAAGTACTCAACCAGCGGAAGATGAAGATGAAGCAGATGCCGAAGCTGTACCGGCTGATGCTCAGGCACCGAAATATCATATACCCAAACATCCGTACAATCCTTTTGAACCAGAGAAGATCTGGGTCTTCGAGACCGTAGCAAATCTAGGAATTCCAGATGTGGTGGAGCGTTGGAAGAAGCAGGAAGCTGAGAAGAAAATGCCTAAAAAGCCGGCACCCAAGAAGGCTACCGCAAATAGGAAGAAGAAGGTTATTGATCCAAGCATGAAGCCTGGCGGTATCCTTCGTTACACAACTGTCACGAAACCGGGCAGCGATATGAACAGCGTCAAGAAGGCACACATTCTCGATGCCGCAGGTTTATCGTCATCGCCACAACAACCCTCAAGTCAAAGTACATACAACAGCCAATACAGTGTCTTGTCTGACAACGGGATTTTCTCAAGTCAATCCCTGCGACCAAGCCAAAAATCAATGAAGTCGTCAGGTGTGGCTATGGATGAACTTGTGAGTCAATTTTCTGTAACTTGCAGTATAGGAGATGGTTACACTACGCATGTACGGGGCCCATCTTTCAGGCGTCCTCCTTCTATTCGCGGTCTGAATTTCGACAATGTGGATCTCGACACAGAGCTAGAAAGTATTGCTACTTTCTCTCCATCTCATTCCCCATCTTCGACCAAGTTCAGAATTAGTTATACGCCTGCTGGAAATCTTTCGCCTCTTTCAGCAGAAACTACGAGGCGGGTTCAACCTCCAGCTGCAACCTTGTCACCCACACCGAAAACTCGGCGCTCGAACAGGATCAAAGCTCAACAATCCAGCAGCGAGGAGCTATTAGTGAGAGCATTTGAATCTCTTCGCCTGTCTCCAGTGGCTCAAAGTCTAGAGCCTGAAAACTTAGAGGATGCGAAAAAAGTGCGGAAATCAAGATCAAAAGCAGCAGCGAACAAGTCTAAGAAGCCACCATCTGCAGCATCGAAACCTCCGGAGGTCCAGCCCGAGCTTAAACGTAATTCGCATGTCCTTCGAAGCCAGAAAGATCAATCAAAAGCAAACCAGACCGAAGAGATTACCGATCTCGAAGCCGTCCCACCTGTACCAGCCAAAGCCGAAAACGAGGCTAAAGATCCTGATCAGACTCAACCTCAGCCTCGCAAGACCTTTACTGAAACAATACGGACCTACAATGGATTCTGGACCGTCGACCTTCGCGAAGAAGATGAGTCTAGCCTTGAAACTGGCGAAACACAACAAGAACACGAAGAAATCACCGAAAAGGGGAAGGGCAAGAAGAAGAGAATTGCACGTGTTAGCCTCCTGGATATGAGGTGATCGTTTATTATTTACTTCTACCGCCCGTACATTCTGATCTATTTGTTAGCGACACCGTATTAGCATTCCAGGCGTTTGGCATATTTCAGTCTTTTTTGTGTGCTTTGGATCTAGTCAGAATCGTTGTCTTCGATACAAGTAGTTGCATGAATTAATGACATGATGATTCAACATCAGCTAAATCAAGAAACACAATAGTCAAGGTATTTATCTAGGTCCGTCTAGCTATCTAGGTGCACACTACTGTGACGACAAATGCGCAAAGTATGATTTATTACCAATCTAGGTAATTTTGATTCTGTCGAGCCCTAACTTCAGATAGGTAGGTGGGTACCTGCAACGTTCAATTAAGTTCCTTTATCCTTTCCAGGTTTGTAGCATGCTAACTGGGTCTAGAATTATCGTTCAGTCATGAATTCATTATTCTTTGCACTATACTGGCAGCTAGGTTGTCAGTTTTAGTAGAAGTCATCGAACATCCTCATTCAGCATCTGTCCCACAGGTCAGAATCTTCTTCACAACTTTCATCGCTCTCCCCGCCATATCCTCCCCTTCCTGCTTCGAAGGATACCACTTCGTAACCGTCATGCTCACACTCTCCTCCTCATCAGGTATCTGCATAGACGCCGTTGCCAACTCTTCCACTACAATTAAACGAACTTCTAGACTTTCCCTCGGCGCATACTCTTCACCCGGTCCAGTCACGATGGGTTGGGGAATGCACTGTGAAATGCGCCTACAGTCCATGTATAACTCTATTTCCTTCATACTTCATAAAGCACAAGTGGAATACATACAATTAAACTCCTACTTTCGAGATATATCGCTCGTAGAGTCCCAGGCAGTAAATACCAACACTTCCGGGGGCATCATATCACTAACCCAAACCCACTTTTGATTTGGGTCGTGGTACAGGTAGTATGACTCACTGCACACATTTGGAGTAACCTTTTCAATGGCCTGAATGTCCGTAGTAGCGATGCTTTGTGGTATGCAGATGGCCAGCGGTAAGTCATACGAAGTGGTGTTGAAACTTCTCTAGATACTACCTGATTGTCAGTTCAATGAGATCACAGATGATGGTGAGAACAGAAACATACTTAATACAGCGTATCCGATATCTACCGGATAATAAGTACTTTTCCACCTCTTGAGTTGTCAAGTGCAGATGCATCCGTCTCAATCCGTCCTGATGACTATGATCTTTGTTCTCCTCGGTCAGCCTTCTAGAACCCTTTCCAATCAGATGGGAGAATCCCTGTGTGCACGACTAAAGCTGGGTTACCAGTATACCTCTCAGCTACTAAGAGTAACCTGTGAGTAGGAATTCTTTCATCTCCGAGCGTCCCCTGTCCTGAGGGCAAAGAATCCAATCGGAACTGGACAGTGAAGATGTCAGACAAGCTCTCATTACAATGGTTGAAAAACTGTTGCCATGTATGATCACCAACCCTAAACTCGTAAACAAAGGCTTTTTCTGCTCCGACTTCCTCTCAAAGTCTGGGGATACTGCGAAATATAAGGCAGCCCTTGCAGCCCATCAGCCTTGCCTTTACACCACCAAGTATGGTCAGCGTCAGGAGTTGGGGCTTTTCGGCTGGTACTGATTACAGGCTAATACGTGAAACTATGCGCAAAAATAGGCGAATACGGTGCCATATTACGAGATCCGTACGTAAAATACAGAGCTGGTAATTTTATTCCCGCATTGCTCTGCTACAACGCAACCAATATCCAAACCAGTCATATCGAGATTCCTTGCTTTAGCAACAGAGAATTTACTCTTGAATAATTATTGCGGCGTGTCTGGTACGAACATAAGCAGCAAGAAAGAAGTGTCCTAGCTGCCTAGGAGTCAACTTCATCACAAGAGAGGACGGTCATTCATCATATGCACTAAATACAATATCTACCAAGTCTAATTACAATAATTGTATACTCCCAGTAGTCATAAAATTAACCAAACAATTTGAGAAACCCCCAAAAGCCTAACCCGCTCAAAACGGGTATGGTAAGATTATCATCCCAACCGAAAAGATCAATAAATTCACTCCCAGCTGCAACAATGCCAGAAACAACGCTCACAACACCAAGCGCCAATGGGCCTGTGATGACACTGCTTTGATAACCACTACTAGTCCAGCCGACTAGGTTCCTGATCGATTCTGGGAAGTAGTTAAGTCGACCCGAGAACATGAAAGCATCTTCCGGATCGTTGGGGAACGTTCCAATGCTGGGGACAAATGCGCCCCAGAAAAAGAGTGCTGTAACTACACCGGTGAGAAAAGCAGCAGCTGTGCCTGCAAGACTCTTCCCATGGCGTAGTTTGATGGTGTGTTTGCCATACAGACGACCAAAAGTGGATGCAGCGGTGTCACACCAGCTCAACAATAAAACTCCCATGACGCCAACGTCTTTGGGAAATGCGCGCAGCACAATATATGCACCTAAAAGATACCAAATAACGCCATTATAGCCCTTGACTTCAGATTCCCGCATAAGCGCTCCAAGCGAACGAATATATAATTGATTGACGCTATCATATCGATGTCGGAGTATATCGGTAGCAGCAATAGGAATGAGTGCGGAGAGTAACCATGGTGTGATCTCAAATGTTTGAACTCCGCGCCTATAAAATTCTAATGTCACGAATCCAATTGAGACATGTAAAAGTTTGCGCGGTATTTCGTGCTTGTGAATGAAAGTGCGATAGTTTTCATGTAACGGTATTAGTCCCAATGGTGATGGCGACCTTGACAAATCTCGCCAGCGATCTTGTAAATTGGCGTATGGAGACAAGTAGCCATTTGAAGATGGTTTCCCGTTGGCTCCTACCAAAGGCTGTGATTTCACTACCGGCGACGACGCCGACTGTGGTGTTTTCCTTGTAGAGCCACGTCTTCTAGCGGTCCCTGCCGCTCCGGATCGTGAAGAAGGATTTCTCGGCCCGGATCGCGATTGGTGTTCAGAGTCGTTATTTTGATCCTCCTCGGGAATTGCCTGGGTATCGGTGTTAAAACGCTGTCTTCGGGCTGCCGAGCGCGTCACGGGAGCCAAGTATCCATCTCTCTGTTCCGATGCATCGGACGGCGTAGGCGACGGTGATATTACTCGAGGTGTAGTCGGTACAGCATGTGGAGAAGACATCTCCACCGCGTCTGTGAGCAGAAGCGGCAGAGCCGGAAGAGCGATGACTCCGTTGGCTGCGCGATGTAGAAGTCGGGATGGAGAGTGAGGATGGCAATCGGCGGAGTATGAATTTGCGAGTAAAGCAGAGAGGAGAGTCGGAACGGGAGTTAGGGACTGAATATTGGCGGTTTGTTTGTGGTTGTCGCTATTGATGAGTCGAAGATATCAAAATCACCCAGCTAATAGAGACGCTGGGATGGATACGAGAACCGTAAAAGAGTCAGGAGAGCACTACAAAGCACTGGCTCATGACACCCAACCACAGAGAAGAGAAGAAGAAGGAAAAGATTAGTATTTTGGTTGCCTCGTGAGCACGATTAACTAGTTGAGATTTCGCTGGCTGAAATTGTGCCTAAATCACATGCTGCGCCGATCTTCCGGCAAATTCCAGGTCACGTGATATTCGTTCGAGTCGACACAAGTCCAGAGTCTCAAAGAGAGAGTAAGCGATTCGATGCCTCAAAGGTCCTTCGAGAATAGATCCGAAAAAGAATCGTTAGTAATGCGATCGGCGATATATCAGCGCTGTTAAGCTGCCGAACGAGCGATGGAATTTTTATCTTATCAGCCACCCCAGATAAGTTACTTCAACCAGCCAATCAGATGCAATACTTGTCGGCAGAAAAAGACCGCCCGTGATAATTTTCGACATCGACATCAGACATTGACCACTCTTTTAACATTGTTCACCATTCTCGGAATTATAAAAAAAAGTCATAGCCTGAAAAATGGCACCAAAGGCTCGAGGATCAACGGGTAGACTCTGGGATAAACTCGACCCGCCACTGTCAGAATGGATTCTGGAAGCAATGTCGGCAATGGGGTTTGCCCGCATGACCCCAGTACAAGCCTCTGCTATTCCACTCTTTATGAGCCATAAGGACGTTGTAGTAGAAGCTGTGACTGGTAGTGGGAAGACGCTGTCATTTCTGATACCGATTGTGGAAAAATTGCTGCGCTTAGATGAGCCGATTAAAAAGCATCACGTCGGGTCCATCATTGTTGCGCCGACGAGGTGAGTGCATACTTCGTTACCTGGCAAGGAGCATTATTTTGGTTCTGATTCATTTTCGTACAGGGAATTGGCCTCGCAAATCTACAATGTTCTTCTATCCCTTTTAGAATTCCACGGACCATCCGCATCCGTCGTCAAATCGTCCGACGAGACAGTGGAAGCCGTCAAAAAATACCCATCTTCGACACTAAAAGTCATCCCACAACTCCTTCTAGGTGGCACAACAACCCCCGCCGAAGACCTGAGTAAGTTCCTGAAAAGATCTCCGAATGTTCTTGTTGGAACCCCCGGCAGACTGCTCGAACTTCTTTCGTCACCTCACGTCCACTGCCCTCAATCCTCATTCGAAATGTTGGTATTCGATGAAGCCGATAGATTACTGGATCTTGGTTTCAAAGACGACATATCGAAAATACTTGCAAAACTTCCGAAGCAGAGACGAACAGGCTTGTTTAGTGCTAGTGTGAGCGAAGCACTGGATCAGATCATTCGAGTAGGCTTGCGGAATCCTGTCAAGATTGCAGTGAAAGTGCGCGGTGCGTCCGGAGTCGAGGAGAAGCGTACTCCTGCAAGGTTTGTTCGCACTCGTGTGGGTATATTGTTTGAAATCACTAACTTTGACTATAGCTTGCAAATGACATATCTTGTCACTCCTCCTACACACAGGCTTCCTGCCGTCAAAAAAATTCTAGACATATTAGACCCTCGACCCCAAAAAGCCATCCTATATTTCTCGACCTGCGCAGGCGTGGACTATTTTCAGCATATAATACCATTAATTCTCGGAAACGAATTCACCATCATCCCACTACATGGGAAACATCCTGCGAACGTACGACAAAAAAATTTCACTCGTTTCACCAACTCCGTCACACCTTCCGTGCTCCTAACAACTGATGTCGCGGCACGCGGATTAGATATCCCATCCGTTGACCTTGTCATTCAAATCGACCCGCCATCTGATCCCAAAGCTTTTATTCACCGTTGCGGCCGAGCCGGTAGAGCGGGCCGCCGAGGGTTGAGTATCGTACTCCTCTCGCCAGGTCGCGAAGAGGATTACGTACCTTTCTTGGAAGTGCGAAAGACGCCGGTAACATTATACGAAAACTCAGCGTTTAGTATATCCGACAAAGACGCCGTGAAAGCAACCGAAATAGCGCGAAAAGCAGTCTTGTCGGATAGATCGTACCATGATAAAGCACAAAAGGCGTTTGTTAGTTGGCTTCGAAGCTATAGCAAGCATCAGGCTAGCAGTATCTTCCGTGTTGCGGATTTAGACTGGGAGGCTCTAGGTCATGCATGGGGGTTGTTGAAATTGCCAAAAATGCCCGAATTAAGGAATTTCAAAGGTGATAAAAGTCTAGGTGTGACTGTTGACTGGGATAATTATGCATATGCAGACAAACGAAGAGAGAAACATCGCCAGGAAGCACTTAAGGAAAACGCAGCGGCCAAACTAGACGAAAACTCCATGAAGAAACGACCCGCGGCTTCGGAAAGTGTACCGTGGAGTCAGAATCTTGAGAAGAGGAAAGAAAGAGAACAGCGACGGGAGAGGAAACGAGCTCGTCGTGAGCATGAGCGGTGGGGTAAGATGACAGAAGAGGAGAAGCAGAAAGCTCGGGAGACGGAGGCTATGATTCAGAGTTTGCGGGAGGAGGCTGAAAAGCGACGAGAGGCTGCAAAGGCGACGCAGGACGCTGAAAGTGATGATGAATTCAAAGGGTTTGATTAGAAGTTCGCCGTCCACAGCATGGAGGTTTTCTTGCGAAGTGTATTCCTGCTTTCGCGCTTATGTCTCTTCTTAGATACCCATTGGATAGAGTTTGTATAATCCAAGGCTATACAAATCATTGTTGGGATGAAGGAATTGGCCAGCCCAATTCAAAGTGGACAAAGCCATTGTATCTCGGTTTCTCTTATGCCAGTCCCACTGTCACAATGGCATTGTGCCGGAGAATATAATAAGGTAACCTTAAGTGATCCACAACTATATCGACCCTCAGTAATTTCTATGTATGTATGTATGCATGCATGCATGCATATATATATGGATAGATCAAAGCCTCATCCAGCGAGTTCTCTACCATACGGTTCTCATATTCCACCCCTTTGCTCGAACTCGCACCCAAAGAAAACAAGCAAACGCCGCCACATAGCTTATGCTAGTAAACAAAATGAGACCCCAGAAACCTCGTCGGCCTCCTTCAGTCGCCGTAATAAGATTTCCTGCAATCGGAATACCCGTCAGGCAGCCTATACTAGCAACGGTGTAGGCGCTGGCGTAGTATCTGCCGTAATCTTCAATGGGACACAGCTGTCCAATACAGACAGGCATCAAGCTGACATTGGAACCACTAGCAAAACCAAATACAATAACGAACCAGATCAGCAGGGCCTTGTTCGGAGGTGTTTCTGCCAAGGCGTCAGGTAGCCACAAACTGGCTACTGACACGAGACAAATAAGATTAGAGACAATCATCGTGTTGTAGCGGCCCGCCCTATCGGCTACATGTCCAATGACGTAGCGGCCAATGCATGACACGGCGTTCAGGATAGCGAGTAACTGATATGCAAAGGCAGCTCCTCCAGTGACGGACGCTTTATCCGAAAGACCCTGTCGAGTCAAGTAGTAGCTCGGAAGATACGTCAGAGGAACGAAGTAAGCCCATTCAAGAAGGAAGACACCAGCGGTGGTCACCGCCATTGCGCCGTTTCCATCCTTGAAAAAGATGTTAAGATCCGGCATCATAACCTTCCATGAAGTCGAAGTGCCTTTCCTAGGCGGCAGCCGGCTTCGACAGAGGGCCACACCAATGGTGCAAAGAAGCAGAAAGACAAACCCGACAATGCGCGTCGACCAGGCCCATCCCACCCGTGGAAGTAGTGACTGAATCATCAACGGAAAGAGAACGCCGCCAAAACCACTGCCGGTGAAAGCGAATCCACTCGCTTCGCCGCGTCGTTTGTTGAACCAATGTGATATGGCGCCCATGGCAGGGGTGAACAAGAAGGAGTTTCCGATCCCGCTGAGAATTGAAAATGCCAGGATGAATTGATAGTATTCTGATGTGAGTTAGCATCAGCCTCTTAGGATGGGTAATCCATGCCATGGAATTCTACTCACCTGTACAAAGACCCAGAGTAAAAGTACCAGCCAGCAAAAAGCCAGTCCCGATAAGCATCAGCTCGCGTGGACCGCGAGCGTCAAAGATCGGCCCAACCTGTACTCCACAGAAATAAGAGACGAATACATAGATTCCAAAGATCCAACCTGTCTTATCGGTCGAACTCGAGGTTAATATATTAGTCGATACATAAGCTTCCAAAACCCCGACCGAATTGACCATTCCTAGGGCGGCTGTCATGGAGCACCAAGAGCCCATGGCAACCAGCCAGGCGTCACGGCCTCCTTCCGGATAGCTGACTGCATATACGGATGGTTCATCTTCGCCGGTCTGCGATGTAAACAACTCGGTGGGTTGTTCCTCGACGTTAGTTACTGTACTCATCTTGTCTCTGCCCTTACTCGACCAAGCGGCACATTTGATTGATAGTGCCCATACGAGAGCTGACATCGGAAGAAGAGATAGTGCCGTTGGAAGTTGGAAGTCCAATGACGTCGGATTATTAATATGGCTCAGCCTTAGTCTTATAACTTATAAGCATCATTGATCTCTCTCGCAAATCCTCTCGTTATGTATCTATTTACACGATTAGCATTCATATACACTACGCACTTGCTTCAATATAAGTCCCAATGACTGTATGTCTTATTTGATCGTCGGCATCGCAATCCTATATATAGACTGGCTCGGAAAGACGAGAACATCACATCCGATGGTAAATAATTAATGAAATCGCTCTACAAGTTACAAGAGAGAATCATAATAAGCCGGGCGTAGAGAAATGACTGCAACTACGAGAGATTAGATGCAAACGATGCAAACGATGCAAACCTCAGGCGTCCAGGCGGTAGGCACATCTCGACCAATGACGGCGCACCATCTATTCTGCCGCGGTCACCTGCCCAAAGTCGACCATCCGACTTCTCATCTTTTTTTCTGTTGTTGTTATGACGATAAACCTCGCCTGACTCTGATAGCCAATGTAACGGGGCAATTGCGCCCACAAAGAAAAAACCGTGTATTGTTTTGCCTGTGTCGATGCTGTTGATATTGGCTGGCAGACGCGATAACCCCTCAATAGGTGCGTGCGTTCGGTTTGACTTGCGTTTGCCCTTTTCTCCCTCTTAACTCCGTGAAGCTTTCCCCAACTTTTTCCTATCCAAGCTCTCTCTCGCGCTCTCTTTCTACTACACATACTCCCTTCTTTCCCATCTCAACATCTTGCTCTTTCTTTACGCACACACCTCCAAAATCCTCATTCTCTTCTGAACTGTCATTATCGCCTCAGCTTTACTTAAGACTCATCAAACTTCGGTCAACTCGTGATATCGAGTCTTTAAAAAAAAATCTCCAGTCTTTGTTTACATATCAACACCGAATTTTCCCCCTCACTCAACTTACCCCTCTCCAAAGTATTCTCAATCCTTTCAGAAACCATCCACGATATACCGAATATATCAATCGCACAGTCTCATTTATGTCTTCTTTGGTCTGACGCTGTACAAGAATCACGATGCCTCGCACGCGGGCTCAGGCCAACGCGCAAGAGGCCAAATCACCTCTTGTGATGCTTGAGAACGCTCCACGTCGTAGGAGAAAGACCACTGTTGAGTCTCCGACCAAACCATCCGCTGATACTAAAAAAGCTACGGAGCCGAAGACAAAGCGTGGTCGTAAGCCCACGCAAAAGGCAGAAGTTTTAGCGACAGAAACCACGGCCGAAGAGAACACTCGGAATAAAAGTGAGATTGAAACCCAAGAACCTAAACCCATCCACTCCCCTACCCAGAACCTTCAGGAACCCATTAGGACCCCGGATATTACCGCACAAATCCAACAAGAACCACACATTGTTCAACCCCCACAGGAGACCTCTACAGCACAAGGCACTCAGGCAGCAAAGGACAACGTTTCGACTCCGACTCCTACTTTCACCACACCTTACCCCGGGTTCGATACTTCATCCCTCGCCACGTTGGGAAGCACACCAAGCTTCTCTTCAGCAGCAAAGAAGCGATCAGTGAAGAGGGCATTCCTTGCCGTCAAGGAGAAACTGAAGAAATCAGCCCAGGCGCTCAAAGATAGATTTGAGAACGCGAAGGACATCATCGAACAACATGGAAGCCCATCTCAAGTACCCACCACTTCTCATGACGATGTCGATACGACTTACTACCTTTCTGATGATAAAATTATCGAGGCCAGTCTGGAAGTACTCCTTCACCGTCTCCAAACCGATCGTATTGAGCTGAATCGATTCCTGCAACGATCTCTCCGTTGTCCTTGCTGCCGTGGTGCCTTGAAGCTGGAGTGCCCAAAAGGCCATGATGTTGAATCATGGATTCCTGATGAAGCGAAGGAAGAATTGAACACTTTGCTAATATCTTTATGTTCGGAAGCATTAGTCGCCGCCCAAGAGGCTAGATCAGAACGCCTTCGAGCCGAGAAGGAGGCCGAAGGAAAAGCCGCACAAGAAGCCGAATCACAGCTTAAAACCTCCCCCAAAGAACAAAACACTGGACTTTCTGCAAAGCAGAAGGGCAAGAAACGAGCTAGAGACATTAATGATGTTTCTAACAATGCACCGAAGCGGCGACGCCGTCCCATGGCATCTTCTGTAGCCCAGAAGAAAGCTCGCGCGGGCCGCACCCTTCGCAATCGTCGTACTTTTGGTCGCAACCTCTCTTACGCCGAGACGGTACGACAACGCGCCATGGAAAGAAAGAGGGCAAGAGCACAGCCTTCAATGTTTCAATTAGACGAAGCTCAGCTTCAAGAGCAAGCAAAAGCTGCACAAGCCGCCGAGGAAGCAGCAGGGGAGGAAGCTCGTAATGCTGCCACACGAGCAGCTATGCAGCAGCATATGGTATCAGGATCAATTCCCGAAAACATGCAAGATTCCTTTTACATTCCTGCACTCGAAGACGAAGAGGAATCCGAAGAGGAAGATGAGGCAGATGAGCAAAATGAGGAAAATGAAGAAACTGATGTGACTGAACCAATCCAAACTCCCAGCTCGAACACCTGGGGAATTCGAACTTTCTTCAGTTCCGTGACTGGCTCTGTGCGGCGTCGGCTCCCGTTTGTGGGAAGAGCTCCCGACCAAGCTGTTCCCTTCGGTAGGTTATTAACATCCTATTGATTGAGAAGAAACATTGCTAATTCCTCATCAATCCCAATAGCTGCTGGTGGTGGTGGCGAGACACCAGTGCAAGCTGAAGGTGCAACAGATGGTCCAACGAATCGTGAAGCAGGCCCGTCCGCACAAATAAATGACACTCAGAATAGTCAAGAGATCGAATTGACATATAGCTTGTTTCCTCCATCCCCCGTTCTCCCCACAATTGCTACATCCGCATCGTCGTCGGAAGAGCGAGCAAATGTTGACGAAGAACGTGGCAAAACAGCTACTACCGACCAAGAGACTGTGCAGGCCCCAGAAACAGAGACTAATACCAATGTTCTAAACGGGGAACCCGAGAATACTGATGACCAAGCAGAACCATCCGCAGGACGCAACAAGCGCAAGCGTTCACCTTCTCCCGACGTGATTCCTAACCCACCTGGCTGCAGTTACGGGATGGATTTAGATTATTTTACTTACTCCGATGAAGAAATTGCAGAACAAGAAGAGTACGAAAGACGTGAGCGTGAACGTGAAGCTGCAGCCGCAAACTCTCAGGCTTCCGAATCCACCACCCAGCCGCCAGAGAAGAGAGCGCGGCTCTCGTCGAACGTCCGTTCGACGAATACGAGCACTGCCCCCCCGGCCGGAACCAATTGGCCTCCAATTCCCCCTGGTTGGGAACGCCCAACCACTACAGTTTACACTGGGGAAATGTTCAGGGGTATGAGACACCACCAAGCACCCGCTTTTCCATCCTACCCTTCCCAGGAATCCCAAATTGCACTCAGCCCAGTGGACCCTGGACATATGCAACTCATACCTAAGACCCCTCCTTCACCTCAGGCATTTGATCTGCGCAGAATGGCATTTGAACAACACTTTAGAGCTCGCGCCTTGGGAGAGAACAATTATGTTAACAATAGTTCAGGAAAACATCCATCCGTCCAAGCCCCCGCCCAGCAACCTGTTTCACCACCCGCGCAAGCCATTTCGCAGCCAACACGTGAAGAACCTACCCTAAATCTCGCACAGCAGCCTGCGACACCTGCACAAAGTAATAGTGTCACTTCGCAGCAGTCTCACGATCGCCACAATTCCATCGCTGCTAGAACGAATGTCAGCGAAGAAACGATTCATTTACCCCCTATCAGACCCATGTCTGCGGCTGCCAGGGAACAGCCTGTTACAGAAAGGAGCAAGCCCAAAAACCCCAGCCGTCTCCGCAACCGAGTCCGGCTTTCATCTAGCCCCATACAACGCAGCCCAATTCGCCAGCCTGCAACGCATCAGCAGAACCAGGAAGACCTGATGCAAATTTTTGGCAATGACGAGTTTGGACTCCAGTCCTATGAGGTTTTTCAGAGCTGCCCAAGTGGTGATCTGACCCAGGTGCAGTGGCCTGAGTTCGACCCATTTGTAGTCGATATCCCAAAACAAGCTATCGATATAACCACTATGAGCGAGGAACAGCGCAGAATTAATCGTGAGTTGTTCCAGATGGGTGCTCAAGAGCTTGACGATGAGATCGACCAAGGCTTGGTTGATCCACAAGACATCCTCAATGAGTTGCCACTGTAATTACGAGAACAACACATTGACATGTCATTATTTCGGGATTGATATGACATGAGAGGCCTCGTTCGCCTCACATATTAAAAGAAAAGGACGTTTTTGCAAATCCTTACGAAGTCGATGAATGATCGTGTGATCAAAGCAATGCATTGGAGTTTTGCGTGTCCGGACATGTTTTTTGGGGTTTGTTATGCGAGCAATAAGGTTATTAATCATGTATGGGTCAAAAGTCATTTTGTCTTCTTCCAGGTTTAATGTTTTTATTATAAGAGGCTGGTTCCTCTAACATTCTTGTCAATAATTGTTTACCCAGCAAGTTCAATCAATCAATATATGAGTCATCTCTCACTGAAGTTCTCTCCGTACCTCTACGAATCTCAGCTTGTAACACTTGGATAGAGGATTAAAGCGCGCTGTGGTTATTGATGCCGAAGTAGAATGGTATACCGGAGGTGCTCTTCATCTCTGGATGGAATCAACTTCTGGATATGTTGACTTGAGTCTGGAGAGGCCTTCTATTCATGATAGACAGGTTCTACGGCAGCAGTAAGAGCACCTAAGCATCTCCCAAGGTATAGATAGAAGACATCGGTATGATCAATATGTGACCTTGCAATCATCTAGCGTTGCTTATGTCGGGTATGTATACAATGGATTCGAATTGAACGTGCTGGTCAGAGTACATAGATGCGAGGACGCCTTGACGACAATGGGATGTCGGCTGTGATGCTAAAAAATACAAAAGAGAAAAGTATAACCTCTCAAGGTAGTACGTAGTAATTTACATGCTGATTTCACCTTTCCAGGCTGCATCCGACAAACCCAGAGAAGTCATAAGATTCTGCCATCGCGGACCTCCACGTTCCTTCCTTCTCAAATATTGTAGCAGCTTCTGTCTCTTGTGAACAAGCACTCGGAGATTGCGCTTATTATGTCTGTCCTTGTTCGTTGACTGTAGATGTCGCGATAAATTCATAATCTTGGTTGTCAGAATGGCAACCTGAACTTCCGGTGAGCCGGTGTCGGGGCCTGCTCGGGGAGTTTTCTCGGGGTGCTGTGTGGTAGTGACAGCAGTTGGTTTCGGGGGCAGGATTTTATCGGTGTTGTGTCGACCAAAGGTCTCGATGCAAGCTTCGATGTTGACTCGAGTACGATCCGCGGTGTTTCCGCTGGAGAGCTGGACAATACGGTGCATTGCCTCTCGTGCGTTGTGGTGCGCTATTTCGTGTTGCTGGACGGATTGTTTGTACGCTTCAGGATCGGCGATGTTTGCGTCCTGGGGTGGCAGGGGCTCGGTGAGGGCTTTGGAGTATTCGAGTGCTAACTCGAATTCATCTGCCTTGATGAAATGGTTCCATGTACTGACATTGGACGTTGTTCCCGTAACGTCTTTGCCTGACTGAATTGCTTCAATCTGCTGAATGAACGGAGTTGGTTCGCTTTTCACGGGATCCCCTAACGCGGCCTGTCGTTCATTGTCAAGAGCTTGTTGACGAGAGATGTTGGCGGCTCTGCGTTGGCGTGACTGTGCCATTAGGAATGGATCATGTCGCCGTCTTTGTCGGGTCTCGAACGAGCCTGCGCGAATGTCGATTTTACATGGTTCGCGCTTGACAATTGTCAACGGATTGGATATATGTGATGAGCCTGGATTTCCTGTCAGTCACAGATCAATTGTGCGTAGAAAGTAAGCTGAAACCTGAAAAAGGCTTTGACAAGCCCTGTATTGACAGACGTGGAGGCATTTCGAATGTCGCAACTGCTTCAATTTTTTTATCCAAGACTGTCAGATGTCTCCTTCTCCGTCGGAAATCTCAACATCAACGCCAAGCCCGGAAGCCGTAGTCAACCCCGCTAGTCCGTTTATAGAGTAGCGTAAAACGTGACCAAATCTTGGCGCGCTATTGCCCTAACCCACAATGCAAGCGAAAATTGGATGCGCCGCTCTGACTGGCTGACTGCAAATCGCGGTGCGATACTTTTTCTCGACTTCGACCTTCGACCTTCGACTTCCTCCTCACCCCCAGGACAAGTGCCAAACGATTGAATAGCCTCAATTCCATCCTCCCGTCCCAGATCAGTCGTTCACCATGGCTCCCTCTAACCTTCCCCCCGTCTTCAATGCCACCTCGCAGGACATTGAGATGCTCCTCGCAGCTCAATGCCACTTGGGTTCCAAGAACTTGCAAGTGCACATGGAGCCTTACCTCTGGAAGACTCGTCCTGACGGTATCAACGTGATCAACATTGGCAAGACCTGGTATGATTGAAAAAAGCATTATGCTCATGAATATCCATCTAAATTCTTAACCAGGGAGAAGATTGTCCTCGCTGCCCGTATCATCGCAGCCATCGACAACCCCGCCGATGTTGCGGTCATCTCTGCTCGTCCTTACGGCCAACGTGCTGTTCTCAAGTTCGCTTCCCACACCGGTGCTACTGCCATTGCCGGTCGTTTCACCCCCGGTAACTTCACCAACTACATCACCCGCTCTTTCAAGGAGCCCCGCCTGATCATTGTCACCGACCCTCGCACCGACGCTCAGGCTATCAAGGAAGCCAGCTATGTCAACATCCCCGTCATTGCTCTCTGCGACACCGACTCCCCCACCGAGTTCGTTGACGTTGCCATCCCTACCAACAACAAGGGTCGTCACGCCATTGGTTTGGTCTGGTGGTTGCTCGCCCGTGAGGTTCTCCGTCTCCGTGGTACTCTTGCTACCCGCGAGACCGAGTGGGACGTTGTTGTCGATCTCTACTTCTACCGCGATCCTGAGGCCGAGGAGACCAAGGAGATTGCTGATGAGTCCAAGGTCCCTGGCGCCGAGGAGGTTGGCCCTGCTGCTATTGAGACCGGCTACGTCGGCGACAGCTGGGATGCTGCCGCTCCTGGTGCCGCTGCTCCTGGATCTGCCTTCGCTGCTGCTAGCGCTACTGCTGGTGCCACCTGGGAGGCTGAGGCTGGTGGTGACTGGGCTGCTGAGTCTGCTCAGCCTAACCCTGAGACCAAGTGGTAAATTAATTGAGAAGGTTATGGAGTTCACCGAAGGGGAAAAGATTTCGTTTTAATCGAGTGAAATCAAAAAGTTTGACGATTCACAAGAGGTCTCCACATTTTATTTGGATATCCTTGTTACATATTCAATCTAACTGAACGAAAGAAAAAAGCCTTTGGTCCTCACAAAAACACTCTATTATTTCCTTACCTGTGATGAGAAAAATTATGATTTCATGAGACGATTATTTTACAATAGCGGAGATTTCTTTATACCTGTCATACACACATACTGTTTACTGTTCTGACTGGTACTTACGAGGGAAAGATACCTAGTTTGTTCCACTCCTTTGGATTTACTAGGGGAAAGCCCTGTACTGTCAGTTTGACGAGGCGGACTTGATCGTTGTCTCGGGGAAATCTCATTTGTTATGTCGTCTTAGGATTTAATCAATAAGAATTACCATCCACGTACACTTGAACGCATAGTAGATTTTAGATTCGTATCTACTGTAGATCGGTCATTGTTCATCGAAGTATGTGAGCCTGGTGGTCAAGTTCTATCAAGCTTTGGGTATTGCCTGGGACTGCACTAGTATGATATATCAGTTAGAGAAGTCTTTTGTTCCACCCCGGCCCGGCCAACCGCTTTGATGCTCTAAGCAGTTTTCGAGGTCAAGATAGACAACGGTCAAGGATCGGATGCTTTCGACACGACTTCCCTCTCTCAAGCTTTTATCAGCCTTCCGTCAGCAGAAAGGCATCTCGTTGAAGAGTCGTGTTAATCTCTAAGTCCATGCAATCCCCGAATGGTATGACAGTGGACGATAGAGGCTGCATTGCCTCACAAAACGGTACAACCACCGGCGCCTTGGGCTCCTTTCTCTGTGGTCGTCATAGCCGCGACTTTCGCAATGTCCTCAAAAGCCTCCTTGATCAATTCTCCGGTGACGGCAGAGCATTCTGCATAGCGATCACAGTGCAATTCTTGCGCTATGCGGTAAGCCTACATACAACCCGGTGGGTTAGTAGATGGACGTGTCAGGGATTAATGGGGGGTATCGATCGCACCTCTTGCGGATAAATAATTTGATCATTCTCTTCTCGTAAATCTCGCTTGAGACCAAGCATCATGACGGGTATACGTTCACCGGTACCTCGTTGGAAGTACCTGGTTATATCGTTACGCCACTAGAGTAGGGTTTTAGTTTGCGTGGGTCTCCTGGTTTTGCTGGATTCTCCAGATATCAAGAATTAACATACTCCTTTCAGTGCATCCAAGCTTCTTCTATCTGATATATCGTATGCAAGTATAACAACGCCCGGATTCAATGATGACCAGTGCTGATTCGGCGAAGCTGTGTCGTATACTTCTAGCTTGAACGATTTCCTAGCAAATCGAATGTCATACAAGAACGGCTGATCACCGTCCCTCAAGAGACCATTCCCCGCAGAATCTCCATTGCCGAAACGCAGGTTCGGATTCTTTAATCTCCTGCAATCGACTTAGCATTTGAGGCCTCGAAATGAGGGTTGACTGTACTCACGATAAGAACGTTGTCTTTCCGCAGCCAGACTCTCCTAGTATCAACAGTGTGACTGTTGCATCTTCATCCATTGCACAATCGGTAGTATGACCGCATATAGATGGTCTTTCTATATGCTTTTACAGTTGTGTTGATAGATGATGAGTGTGAGCTGGTGGTTACAGTACCGTACAAAATAGTTTACATGCCTAAGGCCCAAACTCTGGTGCCGGAATTTAAATATTTAAAAAAAGAAAAGCCCGAATAATAACAAACCACGACCTCCATTCACCACGACAACCCCATTGATCGGGTCATTATCCCTCTCAGAATAGAGGGATGAGGTGGTCGCGACCTAATTTTCTCAGATTTGTCAAGGTCAAAAACGTCTCTTTGTATAGTGCGACTCGAAGATATTATTCACAAACTCCACGCTTTTTCTCCAGCATGTCTACCACTCAACCGCCGAGTCCAGGTCCTTCTCAGGGTCAGGACTACTCAACTTGGAGCACTTCGAGCCTTGTCGAACGTATCATGGAGCTAGAGCGTCAGTTGAATGCTCAGACAAACGAATTCGGTGGTGTACCACCAGCGAAATCCGAAGCAATATCCGCAGCTACACCCGAGTTTCAAGTTGCAGAAACCCCAAGTGGCATTAACACGCCGAAGAAAATACCTCGAGAAATGGACCATACCAAATATCATACCCGCCACATTGCGCTAAAATTCGCCTACCTCGGTCAACGTTACAATGGATTCGAGCATGCGAACGGGAATATAACTCCATTGCCCACTATCGAGGAAGAAATATGGAAGGCACTACGCAAGACACGTTTGATATTTCCGACAACCTCGTCTTCGATGGAGTTGGACTTTAATAAGGACGATAGGGCACGACCGTTTGATTTGAGTTGGGATGGTTGTCAGTATTCCAAGTGTGGTCGTACTGATAGAGGTGTCAGCGCATTTGGTCAGGTTATTGGTATCAGGGTCCGAAGTGCTCGGCCCAAAAGGATAGTCGAGACTGCTACTGCTACTAGTACTACTGCCACTACAGCTACGAGTGGGGAGACTACTGTGCAGCAGGTCGATGTAGAAGCGTCAATCGTTGATTCTACAGAGGAGAATATTGGCTCAGCCCCAAGTGTCGAGGCCAACGAGACAGAGGTCGATGATGGCTGGGATGATATAAGGGACGAACTACCCTATATACAAATATTAAACGGTGTTCTGCCACGTGATATCCGCATCCTAGCATGGTGTCCCAATCCACCTCCAGACTTTGATGCTCGTTTCTCATGCCGCGAGCGACAATATAGATACTTCTTCACACAGCCAGCATTCAATCCCGTGCCCGGAGAGCTTGGTTTCCTTCGCAGCGCGGCACATCACCGCGGTATAGCCAAGAAGGAGCTCAGAGACGGCTGGTTGGATATTGAGGCCATGCGCGAAGCTTGCAAGCAATATATTGGCAGGCATGATTTTCGCAATTTCTGCCGTGTCGATACGAGTAAACAGATTGAGAATTTCGAGCGCATCATCTATCATGCAAGCATAGATCTGGTCGATCCCAACCAGCATCCTCTCGGTTTTGTCGGTTCGAAGGAATTTCAACCTACCAGGAATCTGGTTGACTTGGATAATGAAGGGAATGTAAACGAAGAACGACCTTCGACACCATTGGTGTATACGTTCACTCTCCACGGATCCGCATTCCTGTGGCATCAGGTACGCCATATGGTTGCAATTCTTTTCTTGGTGGGTCAAGGCGTTGAAGATCCGTCTATCGTTTCCGAGTTACTGGATGTCTCAAAACATCCACGTAAGCCCACCTACGAGATGGCGTCCGATGCACCACTCGTTCTATGGGACTGCGTCTTTCCAGACGAAGCGAGCGGCAGTAGAGAAGACGCATTGAACTGGGTCTACTGCGGTGATCCCCGACAGGGAAATCCATCATCCGGCAAAGGCGACGGCAAGTTTGGGTTTGGCGGCCTCATGGACACTCTCTGGCAAGCTTGGAGGCAACGTAAGATGGACGAGATCCTTGCAGGGTCCTTACTCGATTTGGCAGCCAGTCAAGGCAGTCCTAGTTTCATCCAAAACGAACTGCCAAAGAAGCCTTTCAAGAGCCAGAAAATCTTCTTTGGAGGAGATGAGGGGAAACTAGGAGGTGTGTACGTCCCTGTCATGTCAAAGCGTAGGACCGAAACGGTAGAAGTGCAGAACGCAAGGTATCTGGCCAGTCGCGAGCGAAGAGCGGAACGACTAAAACTTGAAGGGCGAGAAAAATCGCCCAACATACAAGTTTAGGGAAATAATTGCATCAAATCCATCTTGCTACCTCGGCCATTTCGTTTTGTATATTGATCAAACGTGATATTGCAGATCATCCTGGTAGAGGCACGGTTTTGGATTCATAGAGACACTGACGAGCGCCTCGCCAGACCTCTTCGAGGAGCATGCGTTTCGGTAAGAGATTCTAACAATTCCATAAGTCTCTTTTCGATGTATATATATCCTGAGAGGAGAATTACCGGAAAAACAACGACTACTCCACCTTCGCCTTCCACGATTATCGCAAGGTAGAAACGAACTTCAAATCCTTTGAAAGCTTCATGTATAACAATATCTTGAATCTGGGTAGTCGGGATAAATCTCGTAGCGGCGCTAGACCAATACATGGAAGAGGAAGTCGAGGTCTGAACGCCCAAACCGCGAATCACTAGAAGAGACTCCTCTGTGATAATATTAGCTGATAAGAACAATTATAATTACTCGGATTGGAAAAATAAAGATAAGACAAACCGGTATATCTTTTCCTCCACACTGCAAATGTAAGTATTGCGCTTGCGATAGCCACAATCGGCCACGTATAGTAGTCCGCAATGCGACAGGCGAGTGATCCCACCTTGGTTGCCCATAATTCAGGCGACACACCCCAGTCTCCATCAGTGATGGATATGAAGTGACGAACTTTTGCGAAATTGACCAGCAACACCAATAAGAAGCCCACAATGCGTAATAGGACCTCGATGCCGAATGCGAGCTTCGACGACCAAGTGCAGCGTGCGGGCGCGTTGGAGGCGGTAAATAATACCGTCGAAGGCGACGGACGCTGTACCGTAAGCCGAGGAGACATTTGTCAATGTCAAAATGTGCAAGGTCTAGGAATGATTCATGTTCTTGGTGATGAGGAACATCGTGTTTTCTCCGCACTCCAATTGAGAGGCATTTGCTAAATTCATCTGTCGCAGGGCAAGAGTCTAGACTTGGATCAGACGGGCCAGTAAGCTTAGAGCTAGAGCTGCGGAACGGCCTTAGGCGCCAATTCTGTACTGCTTCCCGTCACGTGTGTTGCTCTTATTCCTTCCTGTTCGCCCTACCTCTCTTCATTCTTTTTTCTAAACTAACCTGCACCCACAACGACCATGGCTGATTCGCGTTCACGGTCACCACGACCTGAACGTCGGAGGCGGAGCAGGTCTCCTGATTACGACAGATCGAGGCGCCCCAGGAATCAAGGAGGTTTTCGATGGAAGGGCAAAAGGCCGCGTGATGACAGAAACCGCGATGATGATCGCCGCTTAGAACGAGGTTATCGGGAGAGATACCGACCTCAGTCTCCTCGTCGTGACAGAAGCAGGGATAGATACGGAGAAAGGGATCGAGGTCGCGACACAACTGCTCCAGCAAGACACGATGACAAGGACGAGAAACAGGATGGCAATGAACCAAAACCAGCGCCCAAGAAACCCCCGGTCGCAGCGGCACCTGGCGAGGAGATGATTATAGTCCATGTCAACGATCGTCTTGGCACAAAAGCTGCTATCCCATGCCTAGCCTCAGATCCAATCAGTGAGTCTTTCCAAATTGATGGCTGAACATAGCTAACGACCGACGTCCAGAGCTCTTCAAAGCACAGGTCGCTGCCCGAATCGGACGTGAACCCCATGAAATCTTACTCAAGCGTCAGGGCGAGAGACCTTTCAAAGATCAGCTTACTTTACAGGTAAATAGGCTGCTGACCAGGATACCACTGAGCTTGTGCTAACATATCTCAGGACTACGGTGTCTCGAATGGTGTACAACTCGATTTGTGAGCTACCCAACTATCCTATCTATCATTTTCATTTGACGCGTACCGGGTTACAAGACCTAATACTAACTACTTGTTGTAGGGAAGTCGACACCGGCGATTGAACAGGCATATAGCGATATGGAGTGCTATCTTCCGGGATCTACTGCGAACGCAACCAGCACAAACGTCTGGCTCATCCACATGCGCTAACGATCATGTATACGGCTTGAGAACGACGACTCGACCGTGGAAAAAGGCGACACGGACTGTTTGCTATGGATTGTACTATGATATGAACTTTTGTCATAGCCTTACTATTCTCCCTCATCAATTGATGTAACGAACTCCTATTCAATGCTTGAATGCTGGAGAGGCCTTTTTCCTTCAATCCATTATCCTCTTGTCTTGATGTATCTTAAGCAGCAGAACATAGCGTAACGCCGAGTGTATCCCACACTGCAGTCAGCTGCTAATGCCCCGAATAGCTAGGGCAAGCTGACTGAGCGCGTGCGTGTACTGATCGTCTTGTCTGCGGAGATGCATTTCTTTCCTTTTTATTTTGATTTCTCTTTGCGCAGTTCTCGCCGTTGGCAAGGCTGGCGGGGTAACGGTTTTACTTTTGCCGCAATCCTGTTGACGCCTTACCGGATTCGGCCTTTTTTCTACGGAGTGAGCCAAGCCTGGTTCCGCTTTTTGCTGGCAGCGAGTCATTTTTCTCCATGCAGATAAAATATTGTCGACATTGACCTCGCTCTTGACGTTCTTGTTCAACCTCCATCGTCCGGAATATCCACTTTGCTCCATCTCCAGACATGGATTTTTGATCCTCTACTCACTCCGCAATCTCCTGATCGCGTCTACCCCCTCCTCATCGTCCTCATCGCAAGTTTTTCGTCGCTCGTTCCGATTATCGGTGGGGTCCTTTGAGCTGTTCTTTCGGAATAAAACAACAGCACAACAACAATGGTTAGAAATATCGTCGTTATCGGGGGCACGTCCCATCCGCAGCTCACACAAACGATTTGCAATCATCTCGGCATTCCGCAGGCCAATGTCCTGCTCTCCAAGTTTGCCGTCGGAGAGACTCGAGTTGAGATTCAAGAGTCGGTGAGAGAGAAGGATGTCTACATCATTCAGTCTGGCGGGGGGAAAGTAAACGATCATCTACTGGAGCTTCTGATCACCATATCCGCTTGCAAAACGGCTTCCGCCAAAAGAGTTACTGCCGTACTACCCTTGTTTCCGTATTCTCGGCAAAGCGATATTCCCTACAAAAAGAGCGGAGCTCCATTGGTCAAGTCCTCGGCTCACAACCAATTCACATTTGACAGCACTCCCTCGACTCCTCACCCGGGGAAAGTAGAGAGCCAAGGAATGAACAACGATGTCGAAAGCCTTCAGAAGAGCCTCGCAAGAGCTCAAATAGAATCAGAGAGCAATGGCTCGCCTGTCAAACAGCGACCCATCGCAAACGGTGGTAAACGAAGTGACACTCTCGAGTCCGCTCGCTCAGAGTCCAGCCTTGCCAACGGCGTGAACAACGATGAGACAGCCAGCGTATCTAGTGGTAGCCTTGCCAAGGTCTCCGAGTTTGAACCTCGGCCTGGTTATCGGCAATGGGTTGCTCAGGCAGGCACTCTGATCGCAGACCTCCTGACTTGTGCAGGTGCTGATCACATTATTACCATGGACTTGCACGATCCCCAATATCAGGGTTTCTTCGACATTCCCGTGGACAATCTTTACGGCCGACCGCTGCTCAAGAGATATATTCAGCGTCACATTCCTGACTACAAAAATTGCATTATAGTCAGCCCTGATGCTGGTGGCGCAAAGCGAGCAACTGCCATTGCGGACTCAATGGGTGTTGAGTTCGCACTTATACACAAAGTAAGCTTTTGTACCATTCGAGGTGATGAATGGTCACAATCTAACATATATCTTGCTAGGAACGCCGACCTACGAGAATATCTGACAGGCAAAATGCTACGATGATGCTTGTCGGAGATGTACGAGATCGAACGGCTATTCTTATTGATGACCTGGCTGATACATCGAATACTATCACCCGAGCAGCCAAACTACTCAAGAAAGAGGGTGCTGCCAAAGTTTACGCTCTCGTTACCCATGGTATTTTGAGTGGCGATGCTATAGAACGTATCAATGCTAGCGCTTTGGACAAGGTGGTAGTAACGAATACCGTGGACCAGACTGAGCATTGCAAGCGATGCCCTAAGCTTGAGGTTCTTGAAGTCGGTAACGTTTTTGCTGAGGTATGACTCACTATTTCCTCCAACAAACATACTTTGAGCTACCGCTAATTCATTCCCAGGCTATTCGACGTGTCCACCACGGCGAGAGTATCAGCGTTCTGTTCCAGTACGACTAATGTCTCCGTTGCCGTGTCATCTCCGGTGGTGTTTGATCGCATATATTTGACTCCCTAGAATCAGTGTTGATGCTCCATTTCCTTCCAACTTTCTTCACTTTGATTATCTCGGGAGGAAAGCAAACCCAAAACCCTATATTTTCATAACCAAGTGCTGGTTTTTTTCATCTCTTGTTTCTTGTTTCGTATTCAGGGGTCGTCATTCATGATTGCATTTTGCTTTTTCAGAATAATAACACAAACCAAGCAGCGAGAATACATGTAGACAAAAAAATCTCGTCTGTTATGTACAAGTATATGCTCAAGCAAGATTTTGTCTTGCGAAATTTAGAGAATCTGATTCAAGATCGTACATGATGTTGTCCTTTTAAGAATACGCTGGTCCTATATTTTAGATAAAACTTGTCATGAATCGAACATTCGAAACTCATCTTCAAATAAATAACTAAGTTCATGGTCGCCAAAACATTTACTTGCACACAAAAGAATCATAACGCCGGAAAAGGGTGAACTGAACGGTAAAACAGGGGAAACCATCAAATCGGAAATCAGAATTAGAAAACAGAAATATAGTTTCCTATTCGTTCCTTTTGATGTTGCGCAATACACTCTGCGATCCAAGTGATATTGCGAATTTCCTCAAAAAAAGTAGTCAGCACAGTCTATCAGATACGCAGGTTGAAAGTCTTACCTGTTCCCTTAACTTGACCCAAGCATATACAATGGCCGTAGTGAACTGGCGGGTAAAGACAACCTTGCACAACTCCATCTCCTTCTGGTAAAACAAATCCTCCAAACTCTTCCCATCAGAACTGCCCCCGCCAGCCATGTTTCCAATCCCACCGGCACCTCCCTGAGACAATCCCACAGCATCGAAAAAGGTCTTGTAATCCCCTACTCCACTGACCGCCAGGGCAACACCCTCCACATCATCGGCGCGAGAAAGCATGAGCGAGCCTTCCGGGTACAATTTCCCGAATTCCGGGTAGAGTTTCTTTCGTTCCTGTTTGGAGAGTTCAGTACCGAATGAGTTTAAAGTGATGTTGATTGCTCGTCGGTCAGCCTCGTACTCGAGAATCTCGGCCATGGCCTCCTGTGTCGGGGTACCCTTTAGGTCCGGATTCGTGTTGATGAAATTGTAAAAGTCCTCTAGGTAGTTCTTGTACAGTGTGTTCCGGACAATCTCAATATTCAATTCATCCAAATCCTGGTGGCTCAAACTACCCTTGAAATACGGCGCAAGCGGCGTTTCAACCAGCACCGAGTTATAAAGTTCTTCGATATTCGTTGCGACGCAGAGAACAGGTAAAGTCTCGAACCAACCGAGAGGATGACAACGCTCAAGAAGTTCACGGGTATCTCGTTCGTGTAATGTGCCGGTAATCAGTAATGCAACGTTATCGATCATGTACCCATAAGTCAGGTATTCCATGAACTTGGCGAATGAGCCTGTTGCCTGAGCTTGAACATATCGAAATTCAGCAACCATCTTGTCGGTCATTTTGGCGGCAAGTGAGGATGTGGAGGGGTTCGGCGGTAGAGCTGCAAGGAAGTCTCCATATGCGGGGGCAAGTTGAAGCTTGACATCTGTGATTGTCGAGTTTAGAATAATGTAGAGCCACAGTAAGAGTCTATATGGAGATATGCATACCGTCTATGGTATCACATTGAGTCAAGTTCGCATAGTGTTGGCTAGTCAGTAGACTGTTGCGATATCCACGAACGATACCTTCGAGGTACCTGACAGCAGTTGCCAGAAGTTAGTGCATGAACATTAATTTCTGGGTAACTTGTAATCAGTACTCACCCTCCATTGACGTTGAAAAAGAGACCTTCCATATTGAATGGCTCACTTTGAGATGTGTATATACTTGAAGATGCGCAAGCTACGGCAGATGTATGGTCCAAATAGAGCTCCGAAGCATGGCCGTGGTTCTACGGCAGCCTATTTGTACCTTAGCGCCGTCAGTAACCAGGTGTCTGTACAGCAGCACAATTTGACGCTATACAGTCATATAACTCAACAATCATACAGTATTGTAGGGAAGAAGTTATAGTCTTATGACAGCGTAATCAATAGAGACAAGTGTAGGGAAAAGAAAAGTCGAAATAGAGACAGATGCCTAAGGAGTCTCTCCAGGCAGCTGTAGACTCATGCTTACATAATCAGTGTCCTCCAGCCACTCACAGTCCGTGTAAGCTTTTCACCGCCCTCCACTCAGCGACTTCAAATTTTCGAGCCGAAGAAAAAGGTAAAAAAAAAATTCCAAGCTCACCACCACAGCCAGTGTCACGGTTGCGCCTTCCCCAATAACAAGCCCATTTCTTTTTGGATTTCTTGGAAGGAAACCACGGGAGTCAGCTTTGCCCAATATGACTCTCTTTATTCTTACCGAGACCAGCGCTGGTTACGCTCTGTTGAAGGCCAAGGACAAGAAGCTCCTCAAGCGTGATGATATCGCTACTGAGGCCGCTACTCCTGAGGGAGTGTCGAATTTGTATGTTTCTTCTTCTTTTTCGTCATTGCGTTTAATTTATTCTAGGCAATTGGTCACTAATGGCCGGGTTCTTCAGGTTGAAATTGAAGTCTTTCCAGAAATTCGACAGTGCTTCTACCGCACTCGAAGAAGTCACGGCTATTGTTGAAGGAAAAGTCACTCCCCGTCTAGCCAGTTTACTCGACGAGATCAAGGATGAGAAAAAGGTCTCTCTCGCTGTGGCTGACCCCAAGCTCGGTAAGTGCCAGTCCGACTAAAAGCCGTTTTGTACACTCCGTCTAACCGTTTAACTACAGGCAACGCTATTGGAAAGCTTCCCGGTCTTGATATTCAACCAATTGCCGACTCCTCTACTGCCGATATATATCGCGCAATTCGCGAGCACCTTCCTACTCTTATCCCTGGCCTTGTCCCTGAAGATATCTCTGCTATGGCACTTGGTCTCTCACACTCGTTGGCTCGTCACAAGCTTAAGTTCTCCCCCGACAAAATCGATACCATGATTATCCAGGCCATTGCCCTTCTTGATGATTTGGATAAGGAATTGAACCTATATGCCATGCGCGTGAAGGAATGGTACGGCTGGCACTTCCCCGAAATGGCCAAGATTATCAACGACAACATCGCCTATGCTCGCGTCGTTTTGAAGATGGGCATGCGAACTGAATTCGAAAATATCGATTTGAGTGACATCCTACCCGAGGAGATTGAAGCCGCTGTCAAAAATGCTGCCGATAAGTCTATGGGAACAGAAATCAGCCCTGAAGATTTGGACAACATCCAAGCCTTGGCTGAGCAGGTTGTTGGCTTCTCCGAGTACCGTCAACAGCTCGCAAGTTACTTGACTGCTCGTATGACAGCTATTGCACCCAACTTGACAGCACTCGTTGGCGAGCTTGTTGGCGCTCGATTGATCGCTCACGCCGGTAGTTTGATGAACCTTTCCAAGAGCCCCGCCTCTACATTGCAAATTTTGGGTGCCGAGAAAGCCCTCTTCAGAGCTCTAAAGACCAAGCACGACACTCCTAAATATGGTCTCATTTACCACGCATCTCTCATCGGACAGGCCACCGGTAAGAACAAGGGTAAAATGGCTCGTATCCTCGCTGCAAAGGCCTCTCTTGGTATCCGTGTTGACGCCCTTGCTGAGTGGGATGATGACGTCGCTGAAGAGGAGAAGGCTGCCTTAGGAACTGAAGCTCGATTCAACCTGGAACGAAAGTTGGCCGGTATGGAAGGAAAGCCCTTGAAGCCAAGAGGTGTCAACATTGCGCCAAACGGTGTTTCTGCTCAACCCAAGAAATTCGAGATCAACGAAGCTCGCAAGTACAATGCCGATGCTGATGCCTTGAGTGGAAACGAGGAGCCTGCTGCAGCAAAGTCGAAGAAGGAGAAGAAGAAGCTGATCCAGGAAGAGAAGGAATCTGAAGATGAGGACGAGGAAATGGAAGACGCCGAGGACTCTGACGAATCATCTGCCGAACAAACCAAGAAGTCTAAGAAGTCCAAGAAGAGCGATTCTAAGGACGAGACCGAGAAATTGGCTGCCAAGGCCGGTCTCAGTGTCAAGAGATATCTCCGCAAATTGGAGCGCGGTGAAATCAAATTCGATGCCGAGGGAAACCCAACAGCCATCAGCAAAAAGGAATTGAAAAAGGCTAAGAAGGAAGCCAAGAAAGCCACCAAAGAAGAAGGAAAGAAGCGCAAGCGAGACGATGAAGATGCCGACGACAAGGCTGAGAAGAAGAAAAAGAAGAAGAAAAGCAAAGATTAAACCATGATCTTTTTTTGGGTTGTCTGGCTTTCTGGAAGATAAAAAGTGATTCTCATTTTTGTATGATATACAACTTTTTTTGCTCTTTCTTGTCTATTTCTTCATTTCGCTTGTTGGGTGGCATTTGGGGCGAATTTTTCTGGTTGATTTTTGGCGTATAGTGGATTGTTTTTCATTTCGACTTCGATTTCCTTTCTTATGGCATAAGCAATGATCTCTTATATTCCCGTCAACTAGACATACTTGAATATCAGATCTGGAATTCTATATTACCATTCTAAAGATATAGCTCTATTTATTCTACTTTGTAAGGTGAATCTAGTAGTTACCTCGGTATGCGGCCTAAGTAAAATATGCACCACTAATCTAACGCCTCTGCTATGCAAAAAGAAACCGAGTCATGCATGCTTGATCCCTCAAGGAAAACCCCCTTCCACGCCTTTCAAATGAACAGCGTAAGTCACAGCCCACACCCCAAACTGTCGTTCATAATCTTGAAAATATTCCTCATATCCTCCTCATTCAGCCTGTCATCCATCTCCTCCACAATACTATTGATCAACACTGTATCACTAAAAAGATCATCCTCCTCTCCATTTCCGGCCTGCTGCTGTTCCCCATTCACATCCATAGCTTGATCACCATCATCATCCGTCTTCCTCTTCTTCTTTATCCCCACCCCAAGATTGATAAGCATCATCACCTCGCCCTTTGTAAGATTGTACGGGGCAAGTTCATGTATCACTTTCCGTAACGCGTTGTCTAGTGGTGTCGGCTCCGTGGGTTGAATGTACGGCTTTTGTTGGTCTGTGGATGGTTGTTGGAGGGTATGAGTAGTTGGGTTTGTGTTTGGATCGTGTGTATAGCGTGGATAGTCGAGGAGGTGAGGGGATATGCGTTCGACGTAGTTGTGTATCTTTTTCATTTCGGTCAGCAATCGCGTCTTCTAGGAGACTGGGAGGTATACCTCAGTGACAACGGTACAATGATCCCTCAGATCAGGCTTGGGAATATAATTTCTGACTCCGGGAGGTGCTTCTGGTGATTTTCGGGGAGGGTTTGCTGTAAGGTAGGCCAGCACCTCGATGTTTGTCAGTGTCGCGGTTTGCGGATCGACGATCTGATTGACTTCAATGTTAAATGATTCTCTTGATCTTCGACAGACATTTAATGTGCGCAGTAGGCGACAAACCTTCATTGTGATACTTTGCTTGTAAATGAATATCCTCGTGATTTCAAAGAACAATCGATGCTTTTTGAGGGTAGAAATCTTTGGCGGGGAAGTATTTATCGTGGCCTTTTGCCGGCAATTTCTGTTGGCGGTCTGAAGTCTGCATCAAGGCGGTGAGGAATGCCTACTCGTTTACTCGTATTGCAGATGTGGGAAGACTGAAATAAATGGGTAAAATAAATATAGATACAATTGCTAATATACACAAATTTTTGGTGTCTATGATGCTTGTGGTGTTCCATCTGAGAATAGAAATCTCAGGCACTTCAAGGACGGTCATTCAGCCCAAAACGAGAAGTAAAGTGTGAAATAATGTACAGAGGAACTGATATGATGATCACTATACCTCGCTCGAAGAGTACCTCACTCTAGCTCAGGATCTTCCTCCTCGTCCTCATCTACCCCAAGTATGAATCTCTCTATTTCCTCGGCTTCAGATCCCATTTCGCCCAATTTCACATATTTGCGTCCTTTCCCGGCCATTAATTTGCCCCAAAGATTGTAGACTGCGCGAAGTGCGCTCGGTTTCTCGTTGCCCCAGGGTCCGAGCTCATCGTCGAACATTGGGGTTTCGAGACCAGAGCAAAGGTCCTCGAAACTCATCCATTCGTCGTTGTCAGTCCACATGCCACCTTTTCTGTCAGGATGTTTTAGTAAATCTGTGGCTCCTAAAGTCGAAATCTGGCGCCCCGGCTGTATCTTTGGTGCAGATCGCAAATAGTTGCGTAATAACGCTCGAGCCCAAGGGTGGAACCACGAGTTGAGCCAGAAAGTTTGTCGGACGCTTGTCTCTCCACTAGTGTGAATGATGGCAGGTACTGCTGCTGTTTGAATGTATGTAACGAGAGGTAGGTCATTCCATGTGAAGTTCCATGAAGGTGGAAGTACGTCAATGCTTGTCATGTTTGCAGTTTTGCTAGATAAACTGCTTGATAGCTTGACCTTTTTGAACGGGTTCAATGGGTTCTGTTCAATATCAAGCGGCAGATTTAATCGTACTTCTCGCGGGACTCCGTGTTGTATTTGCACAGACGATACTTTGCGCGAGTCTCGGTATCTCAACCACTCTATATCACCAAGTGTCTTCCTCGTGCTGAGAAATAGCTGTCCTTCATAATCAAGCCCCATACCGAACTCATGTCGGCTTCCCGGTTGTATGTGAGCTCGCACCCCGGTGACATTGGTACTGTCTAAAATTCCCATATAATCCCAAACCCAGTCCTTGAGGGGACTTCCAGTCTTTCTTCTTTCTATCTCTCTGGAATATTCTTGTGCGCCAAACATGTTGGTGAAAATCAATTGTTCATTGGCGCGTAACGGCTGTTTTTTCATTTCCTCCAAAACCCGTTCGTATATAGGGATCAAGTCCGATGTTTGACCCATGACAGCGCCTGACTCAATCCAACGAGGTCTGTTCAGGGTTCCATCACGTTTCTTATCCGTTTTAGGGCCATATATGTCTGGTGGCAATGGAGACTGCGGGACACTGGCACAAGCGGCACCGTCGGTAACGTTGGACGAGCAGTCCTTTCGAGAAGCGAACAAGGCCTTCTGTGTATATTTCGGAACCACCCAACGGTTACTCTCGTTTTCAGGGTCAACAATTACCTTGGTGCCGTATTTGCTTTTCAAGTGTTCATTCTTCCGCCGGGTTATCTCCAAATAACGGTTGATGAGAACATCGGACGGTAGCTGAAACACAGTATCTTTGCTGTCCACTATCAACAGCAGATCTCTTTCTCGAATTCGTTTATTTGTTTTTAAGAAAGTGAGCATGGATTCGACCTTCTCGACCGCGGCCTGCTTAGCGGTAGCCCCTTTCCTGGACTCTGGTTTCGGTCTTAAGAGCGTCAAGGGCGGGTAATCGAGAATCATCGATGAAGTAATGGTACGGCATAGCTGAGCATCTTTCGGCGATGCGGATACGAGGATGTGGAAGGAATTTTGCAAAGGATCGAAATCCGGCACCGGACTCCAAGCTTGGCCACCAGGGCCTTGTAAAACATAAACCGAATTGGTCTGTACGTTGAATCAGATATTGACTGATAAATCAGAATATTGGAATAACCCACCCCAAATCTATATGATAAAAGCCAAATAATAAATGAGAGAAACCCAACGAGAAACAATATCAGTCTGGTGATTCGTATGCGTGGTATGTTTAGCGGTATGTGAGGGATGTGAGGCACTTTCCCCCATAGCGGACCGACGCGACCAAGCAGACGTTGGCTCTCCTGGCGAAAGTTGGACATGGCGTCGTGACAGACTCCTCAATGATGCGCAGGTTATCGGTATGAGCACGAAAGCCCTAGGACAACGAACATCTTCTCCGATTTGACTGAAGGAGATTGGCAATTGCGGATCCGTATAGGTCAAGAGTCAAGTAAAGAAACAAGAGACGGGAGCGTATGTAGTCACCAATTCGAACAGACGAGTTGGGAGAGTTGGTCTCCTGAATCATGCCGAAGGGGAAAGCAGAACGGAAGAACCTGAAGAAGCCACAGCCTCGGTGGGTCGCCTTAGTGCCTAGGAATCTCAATGGTCTGGATCACGTGTGGGTCTCTTCTATATTGTGGGGTACCCTCCCCGAATACAAAAATAGCATTACATCTATACATATCAATCACAGCTAATCGAGAGAAGTCCAGCTACTCTAGGTAAATTTCATCTCGGATGCGCTGAAGATTTCGAAACAGACCCCCGCCAGGCCCGCTGTCACGTTCTTCAGCGATTTGCTCCATCGACGATCTTGCTTTCTTCGATGCACGTTCTCTTTGGTTCTCCAAGGCCTTGCGTCGATCTTCAATGATTCGTGCGAGACCATCCAGAAACCGAGTACGGGCCTTCTCCTCAGCTGTGCCTTTCCATATGATAGCGAGATTGCGTAGTCTATCCAGTCGTTCTGTAGCAGCGGCCAAGCCAGCGTCTCCCCCTCCGTTACTATCGAGTAACTCTGTGATTTCTGTTCGAAGCCTTTTAGCCACTTCTTGACCTCGTTCCTCGCGGCTATGACTCTCAGTTCCGGGTTCCGGTGCTGATACGGATATGAAGGAGGATGTGATCGATAGTTCAGACGGTGGAAGCGGCCATTCCATCGCGTCTCCGAATGTCTGGATAATTTCCTCTAATCGCGTGCGCACTTGACCCAGTATTCGTAATTGAGTAATGAAATCTGGCTCATTGGGCAGTTTGGGCGTAATTTCGACGTTTTCACCCTCTTCGTCCGGGGCTTTCTTATTCTCTTCGCTCACTTCCTGTCCTTCTGGAGCGAACTTGATAATATCTTCGTGTAAATTCTCCGCCAGAGCGTCCGCAAGACTGATTGCCTCGCCCCGCAGCACTTCAACTTCGTATGCAAGCCTTCCACCACTTCGCAATATCTCTTCAGTTAGCTGTGTCAGATTTCCCGAAAGTCGAACATTTTGCGTGCCCAATTGCGAAACGAGAGATTGGCTCCGAGAAGAAAGCTCGGCTAGACCGACAGAATCTGGTGCTCGAGAAGCATGTGGCTGGGAGACTGATAGCGTCAGTGGTGGGAGGTGGTCATTTAGGAATTCGACGGAGTCAAAGGAGGATTCGGTGAAATGTTGTAAGGGAGAGTCCAATTGAGGTTGTGCGAGTGCTCCATTTTTAGTAGCGCCGGCGTAGGATGGTTGTGATTGATGAGCCATTAGTACCGACATATAAGACCCTAGCAGATCTGCATAGCGGGCAGTCCTTTAGCAAGGTCAAGAACCAAAAAGAAAAATAGCTGGCCAGCGGAATAGGTGTTTCTGTCGGAATGAAGCTAAAGAAGAAGGGTTGCGGGGAAGCGGATCAACCATTTCCCGATATTTACATTGTGATTCATCGTCTCATTCTCTCATCTCCTGTTCGTCCGTTATGCAATAAGTAAATTATTTTTAACAGACTATTAACAATTCAGTTTTACTCGATGGAGACCAGATAGAGACCAGATTATGATTATACTGGCAGAGGACACCCTGTTGCCCCTGGGAAGGCACTGTACGTCGCGGGACCCCTGATCCCGCCAATCTGGTGATGAAGTTCAGCGCCCACTAGCACTTTGCCCAAGAGCAGGGACTGCGACTCGCGAGTCTTTAGGTCATAAAATAGATGCCTTTTGTTTGCCTCTTCAGGGATGTCCCTGGATGCTTCGATCCCAGAGGTTTGTAACTCGGGACTGCAGCCTGTGCCCCAAGGCTGCCATCAGTCACTAACCCAAACAAGTAAGCAGGCTTCGTCAAGGAAATCGACATTCAACTTCCTTTATTCTTGGTGCATATTGCACAAGCATTGTGAAATGAGGATTCATCAGTGACAATTTTGATGGAAGTCTCCTTCAAGGAACTAATATTTAATCCTTCAAAAAGCTACTATTTGTCACCAACTCCTCATACTTCTTTCTGCCTCTTCTCTTCTCTTCACTTGACAGCATACATGTTAACCTTTGCTCCTCTCTTTCATTGTCGACTGCACTGGAACAACATATATTTTCACACCACTAACCTCATGCCCCGCAAACATTTTGTTCAGGATCTGGAGAGAGTCAGAGGAACTGGCTCGTTCCCATATCTTCATAATATAAGAAAGGGAGACGACGACGAGTCAATATGCTTTTCTTTTTCCCACCCCGACGACCCTCTGATGACGTTGGACTTTCAGGTTGCTGTGTCAGGTATGAGAACTATCTGTAATATATCCGGGACAGCGTGAAAACAGCCTGCTAATATGCGTTTAGATCTGACTGAATATCCGCACTCTCATCAGTACCTCATCTTTTCGACGTCGACTACAGTCCCACCTGCTGTTGTTGACGTTCTTGAGGTAGCTCAAGCTGCAGCTGCAGGATCCTCAGTTTCTGACCTGCTCAGTACTGTCAATGATGCGTTAGAAAAGACCCTTGTATCTGGCAGTCATCAAGATACACCCGAGGGTGGAAGTGGCATCGATAACTCAATTACAGATGCCGTCGCGTCCCCCGATTCTGAAATTGAGTCTGACAGTGAGACCCCCTGGGATGATGAATTCTTCGATGAGGACCAGCAGTTCTTTGGATCATCTCAGAAACCTGTTGCCATATCCTCAAGCTTAAAACCCGACCTTCGGGAAACTAAGGCAGCCGGCTTCAAAGTGGGTTATCTGGGAGATCCTAATGGCTCAGTCATACTTTCAATCTCGTGCCGCATATCCAGACTTGGCATTTCAGAGGAAGCAATGCAGGCATGGGACGTACAGGGCAACCAATACTTAGTCCTCTTGCTCCGCTTCCCCCAGGGGTACGTTAATGCAAACCATTTACTGGAATTGAAAAACAGTTCTTCATTGGTACAGATGCACGTCGGTCTTTGTGCTTCTTACAAGCCAAATATAACAGATGCCCATCAAGCATTTACAGGCACATCCACTACCCATCTACCAGTGTCAGGGCTTATTACTCAGTCCGACAGCGTGGAAAAGCTGCTTTCCCTATTCTTAGAAATACCCCTGAATACGCTCCTCAACGAACGATTCATTACAATTCTCAGACTTCGACATCGTTATTCCCTCTCGTGGGCGGGTGCCGAATCCTTATTCAACGACTGCCAGGGTTTGATATTAAATGATCAGCAAGCTCCTCAAGAAAACCACGCGTTGTATCGTTGCAAGGATGAATGGGGCGACACCGTACCACATCTGGTCCAAGACGATCATTTCTCCAGTACCAACGATCCAGAGTGTCTCTCTTTTCCATTGTTGGCTATGCAATTTACTCTTCGGCATTTTGTTAAATGCACTCAGTTCTGCCTCGTCTGCCATTGCAAGACTGATACGAATTTTGAGGCCCTGAAGCCCTACGTGTGCTCCAAACCCTTATGTCTCTATCAATACATGGCGCTTGGAATAGGGCCAAGCCTAGAATGGGAGATCACTCGACAACCTCTTGTGATCGACCTGCTTATCAGCTTTGCATATGCGAGTGCATGTGCCGGAAGTATGGAAGAGCTGCCAGTCGGCCTCAGAATGATGGTTCCTCCACTTTATGACCCCACTGGAATTCAATCCGGACTCTTGCATCGATTGGGAAATGAGCACGGATTGGAATCGGAGCTTACAGTGAATGAACCACATCAGGAAATCCTCATCAAGCAGGGTGACTGGATATTGATAGATAAGCCTAACGGTGACGAGAAACTTGGTCAGTACGGCTTTTGTCAAGTACTCGACACAAACAAATGGCCTATTGTCAAGATCTGGGAGCCAGTTACGCAGCATACACGGGTTATGGAAAGCGCCACCGACCCTCTGTTTGTTAATTTTACCTTGCACAACGTGAATTTTGATGACATAGAAGGCAGAGCACATAAGCAACAAATCATCGTGGGTCTCCTGCAATCGCTACCAGACGTCGAGTCAATGAAGAAGTGGCTTGAGAAGGCAGCCCCGGGGTCTAAAAATCTATCATTGTGGAAGAATATCCCACCGGCAGCTCTCGATCTGCTACGATGGATTGTTGCATCCAATAGATCTTGTATCGTGCAAGACGGTACCGCCTTTGGACAGTCTGGGGGCACGCCCCGCCACAATTTAGTGACAGGCATGGATGGATACTTACAATTCCGGTTCGCTCAAGGCTCGCCTGATAAAGAGGAGAAATTCGTTTCGGCCGTCAGTAAAAACAGTTTCAACTCTAAGTATCCCACTATTTTTGCGTGGCACGGGAGTGCTCTCTCCAACTGGCATGGGATCATCAGAGAAGGGTTACACTTCAAAAAGGTTACAAACGGTCGAGCTTGTGGAGATGGAGTTTATATGGCTCGAGATTTCGATATGTCTGCTAGTTATTCAGGACGACATGCCTTCGTATCGAACCCAGGAATGCGAACGGGTTCAAAATGGCCAAACAGTCTCTTGAACATGACTTGTGCAATTGCTTTGAACGAGGTAGTCAACAAACCTAGTGAATTTGTTCACCACGCTAACGGTGTCTACGTTGTGGATCGTATAGAGTGGATTCAGACTAGATATCTGTTTGTTGACTGCCAAAAGTCACCGGTGAACCAGAACCTTGTCGGTCCATCTACGCCACCAGTCGAACATGCGACTGGCGACGAGATCTTGTATTATGCTCAACATCCGGATTATACCGCTACTGGGGTTGACGGGAAACCTATCAATATTCCAATGACTATTTTTAGTCGACGCCGGCGCAATCTAGGACTGGATAATGATGAGCAAGAAGAGCCCAAGACAGCAGCCAAAGGCAAGAGCAAAAAGGAGGAAAGGAGATCCCAGAGCCGAAAGAGGAAGCTTAGGTCTACTGAAGTTCTCCTGAATGATGCAACTGACGACGGCGATGACACTGCAAGCGTGGCCACACTAGCGGAGGATCTCGCAATCTTGTTCTCAGATGCAGATCAGGAGGCTGAATCAGAGACAGAAAAATCAATCAAAAAACTAAAACTACCTTCAGTGTCGAAGGGGAAAACGAAAGCAATGACGGAAAACACAACCGTAACACTATTCGAACCCGGAACCCTCACCGAATCATCCATAACAATCCTTCCACCACCCTCATACGCAACCAGTTCAGCTACAAAAGCTCTCCAAAAACGTCTCCTCCAAGCCCTCAAAGCACAGGACCAGACACCCCCGGACGAGTTAGGATGGTACATTAACCCTCAACTCATCAATAATCCTTATCAATGGATCATAGAACTCCATTCCTTCGACCTCTCGCACCCCTTAGGGCAAGATCTTCAGAAAGCAGGTCTCCAAAGCATTATTCTTGAAATGCGCTTTCCGCCGGATTTTCCCATGTCACCCCCCTTTGTACGGGTTATTCGTCCGCGATTACTCGAGTTCAACCAGGGAGGAGGCGGTCACGTTACGATGGGTGGAGCGTTGTGTATGGAACTACTCACTGGATCTGGGTGGTTACCTACCTTCTCCATTGAGAATGTCCTGCTTTCGATTAGACTTGCGTTATGCTCTATAGATCCGAAACCGGCGCGTTTGGCGTCGACGTCGTCATGGAGTTGGCGATTGGATAAGGGTGATTATTCGGTCATGGAGGCTGTGGATGCTTATACGAGGGCTTGTCGGGCACATGGATGGCAGGTGCCGAAGGATTTCGAGAAAATGGCGTGGTAGGTGCATTCGTTGCGAGTTTACAAAGCGTTTTCAGGGACAGACAAGAGAAAGACTAGGTTAGACTGATTTTCTTACCGATTAGCGCTGTTTATCAATATCAAGTGTTCGGCATAGCTGATACTTTCATGCTTATGAGACAGAATCTCGACTAAATTATCATTGATCAGCTATACGCGTAGATTGTACTAAGTAGATGCCACAGCAGTAAACATAAAGACAAGTCATAAACACATTGGGTATCGCTCAGCCAAAGAGGGTCATAGGGGGGTGGGTATACTTCTGGTCGTCATCAATATCGTTTGTAAGAGAAAAGTGTCAATGGACCAGAATTAGATGTTTTCGACAACACGGGCATTAACGGCGCGCTGGAAGCCGTCATCATTCTCGTTGCCCGTGTTCCAGTTATTATCCAGGGTCTGATATTTGCTCGGTCCCTCACCGAGGTTCTCCGCCAACGACAGTTGCTGCGAAACCGTCTGTCCTGGAGCAGGTAAGAAGATGACTTTACTATTAGCCGTCTTGGCCATAGCCTGCATAGCTTCCAAGTATCGGATTTGCATAGCGGGAGCAGAAGACAGGATATCAGCAGCTTGACGCATCAATTTCGCCGATTCGACTTCGGCGCGAGCAGCGATGACTTTACTCTCACCGATCCGTTTGGATTGAGCAGCCATGGAGAGAGAGTCCTGTAAATCGTTGCTGAAGATAATGTCCTTGATGAGCATGGATTCAACCTTGACACCCCACCCTGCAGCGACGTCTTCGATTATTTCGCTGATCGATTGGGCGATTTCCTCGCGACGCTCGATTACGTCTTGTAGAACGCGTGCGCCGACGACGTGGCGGAGGGTGGTTTGGGTGCGCTCGACGAGGGCTTGACGGACATCTGCGATGCCGAAGGCTGTCTTGTGCGGCGAGATGATGTGGTAGTAAATGACAGATGTCAGGTTCAGGTTGACATTGTCTTTGGTCATGCAGACCTGACGAGGGACTTCGACGATTTGGATCTTGACATCGACTGTGGTCAATCTCTCGCTAAGTGGGTTGACTTTGACGAGACCAGGGTCGACGGCACGTTCGAATCTGAATTTCAGGTCAGTTAGGATATATTTATTGTCAAGTCAGTTATCACATACCGGCCGAAACGACTGATCAATCCCACTTCACCTTGGGCGACCGATTTGAACGGATTGGGGCAAAGTAAGCAACATGGAATAGCTCCCAAGCAGCCCATGCATTCACCCAGTCCGTGAACTTCACAATTATTAGCATAAGTATTTGAGAAGAATCTATGCTGATATACTCACTCATGGAAGCGTACCATCCATGCGCATCTGGATTGTCATCATCATGCTTGATTTGCTGCGCATAACGCGGCTGCAAATCTTCTACTCTGGCAGGTTGCACGTGTACCAGACTAGCTTGGTTTGTAGGCACTTGAGGTGCCTTGCCATTAGCACTGGTATGGCCGTTGGTTGAAGGGGGGTTGGTGACAGACGAGGCCATTTTTACGTGTCTCTGTGATTGAGAGTCAGGGAGGTTGAATTGAAGAGGATTAGACAGGGGACATGGTCGCTATTTGTAATTGACTGACTCTCTGGAGGAAGTATGCGACCCCACACAACAAACATGGAAGCCACGACCCTGCCTCCATACATAGTAGAATGTAGCATACGGGGAAAGAACGCAGACCCATCTGCTACTAATCCCAAAAGGGTAATACGCTCTTCGGCTGAAGCGGCATGGCAGGCTTCCCATTGGCCGATCCAGAGTATGTTGTCGTCATAAAGATAGACTATTCCGATCACAGCTTAGCGCAAAACAGATAGCTCTTCAGATTGTCTCCGTATTCGTCGTGTCGCCATTGGATTATTTTCCTCAGAACATCTGACCTCTTTCAAATCCCGCATATTATTGCCATAATGGTATCCAGAGAGGCCGTAAAAAGACTCAAATATAATGACCGATCAACGATGTTTGCACTGCCTAGTGGAGCGCGGCTCTGCTTGTTCGTTTCCATAATCGTGGCAGAATCCCAGCTATGATAGATGCCAAGTACGATTCATACGAGCATATGAAAGGAAGAGCTTCTGCATTGACCAATTGACGAGGCGGCATTCAGATGATCGACCAACACATTTCAGTCTGCCTTGTAGAGGGGATTCGTTTCTATTGGTTGGGGTTTTTGCACTGCCTTGCTGTTTATCCAAATGTTCGGAACTTCGGCGTATATACCTTAGTTAGCGCAGATACAACCAACTACGGATCCAAATCATGTACTTGATATTGACTTGGGGACGTGACAACTGAACCAACATGTTAGGTAATTTGTGCATACTCAGTGGCAAGATATGTCAACTGTGACTGCGAGATTATTGCTCAAGTCTCGGGCTCATTCTTGAATCACGAATTAGATCACATATGGATGTTGGCCACTATTCTTAGAACAAAGATTTTTCCGGCGTCATGTACAGCCTCCTGGAAAATAGATGATGTAGTCATAGTCAGTTAGATGCATAGCCAGACGCATGTACAACATCAGTAGTCAAGAGTAAGATATATTGAAATATTTCCATCACGCGATCTATACGTAGTATGGAACAATTACCTCGAACAGAGGAAACAATAAACAACAAGGGGAATAAGGATTTCAAGGGTTGAGGGAGATCATAAAGACAATAGCAACGTCACAGCCACGATGTCTCAACTCATCTTTCGAAGTGTAGACATTTCGCCGTACCGATAAAACCGTCTGCAACAGCACCAACTGCAGAAGAGAACGTCACAACCAAGATACCTAGTGGTTAACCTTTTCATTAACCATCTCCTTCGTCCGATCCTTCTTCTCGGCCAAAAAATTGCTCAACCAACCCAGTGACTCCTGCGAAATCACCAACCCGGTAGTAATAACAGCTTTACCACTGGCCACATAGCCATCACCACCGCACTTCTTGTACTCCGAACCATAGGTATCAATGACATGTTTGCGCGCATCACCGGCAAGGCGGAGAGGGAAGAATGCGGTATCGACGATAGTGTTCTTGATCTTTTCGGTATCTTCCTTGACGATGGGAAATCGTTCGTCGACTTTGGTCAAGCCTTGGTCTCCGAGGGAGTCGGCCTTTTCGAGATAAGGCACAACGTAGGCGTAAGGGGTAGAGAGATAAGGTAAGAATGGCTTTGCAAGACGCTCGTAACCTTGGTCTGCGTATTTGAGAGAGGTGGCTCCATATTTATTGTTCTTGAAGGTTGTGATGGAATCGGACACTACAGGGTAGGAAGCCAGGTGCTTTTCTGAGTCAGATCATGTTTAGTTCTTTGGACTTTCAAGAAACTCACCGATAGGAACTGAGAATGAGGCTTTTCGCCGTTAACCAGAGGCTCACCCATTGTGTCTCTCTCTGCGTGGGGCATGAAGTACTCGGGTCTGGTGGGATTATAAGAGAATCAAGGTCAGTCCGGTTGTTGCAGTAGACGGATATAGATTTGAGATCTTATTCGTTCCCTAGTCGGGTGTGACAAGATAAGGCACAAGAACAAGCAAACCTTTTTCTTCTGAGTATAGAGTCAATTGAGGAGTCGACAGAAGCGGAAGGGAAAGAAAGAGGGTAAGGCCAGGGTGACACCAACACAATACGAAGAAAGGTCGACCGTCCAGATATAAATGTTCCAGGAAAGGCTGCAACGTCAACGATTTTTTCGTTATTTCTCTTGGTACTTTTGTTCTTTGCGATGGTTTTTTCGTGGAACTGCGATCCAGGCCTCTGAAGGAGCCCCCCTCTCACATGTATCAGTGCTCAGTGGACCAATTAGAAGGAGCAGATCACGCAAGCACGGTTTGCCTCTTGCATGTGATTGCGCTTCTACTTCCTTTTTATGTCGATGTTATTGTCCAATTCTTTCCCTGTTGCGTTTTGCAAGTACAATTCTGACGATGAAACAGAGATGAATTACGATTCTGACATCGATCTTCTCTTCTTCAATCGAGTATCGCCATGGCCATCTCGTCGAGCTCATGATGATGGAATTGTTCGGAATGGAAACAAAGCTGTGCTATCGGGCCAATGACAAGCAGACGGTCGCACATTCGCATGTAACTTTTTGCATGTGACAAGCGGGTCTTTATCTCTGTCTGTTCTGGGCTTAGCGTGTCATCAGTTCTATATCTGCCAGCTCATATCATCACAGCATCTTTTTATGTGATGCATCTCATATCATACACTATATTAGTGCTTCGAGGTCCGTGAGCCAGTGCTCTGGACCCTTGACATTGAGTTTTCTATCGCTTCATCGCTTGAGTGTGGTCAGACCGAGTACACTGGATACTAGCTACATTGACAAGCGCAGACAAAGTTACAATCTCGCCATAATCTCTGCTGAGTACGCAACACTGAAAAGAGAGGAGAGATCTGGCATCTCAACCCGACATTCCACTAGCCTAACTGCTATTTGCATGTGTATTTCAAACAACATCTGATCCTTGACACATTTCTCGACACTAGAGCAGATCTCTCTCGTGTATGGCTAAGTACCCTTCCGCGGCCATGTATGTCATTGGGTTGATGCACCACGCAAATGTTCGACACAGAGGTGCTACTCATAACCACACTTGAACGCAAGGTGTAACGGAGACAGGATAATGGTTACTGTCCCGTTTACCTTCCTTATTCAGTTACCGAATCTAATATCAAGCTTACCTTGGTGTTTAGAGGTAGATCGACATAAAATATTATTTTCAATTCATATTCAAATATTGCTAATACCTACCTAGGCATGGGTAGATACATTGCCACCGGAAACCTTAACGCCGAGAACCTCTAGCAGAGATGCCTGAGGCACCCCGCAACTCACATGTCTGTCAACCGACATATTCCTTGTCCAATAATTTGAAAAGCATCAAATTCTGGAAGTTCTCACTTCCATGTGAATGTGGCCACGACAGGGAAAAGAAGCCCTGAGCATGGGGATGAAATGTAGGAAAATTGCCTAGGGATGCCATCATTCAATTCTACTCAAAATATGCACATGTAATGTAATAGCCTAGGAGGTACTGTGGTTGTTACCATACAAATCATTTATGACGATTACTACCACTCATTGCGACGCATAGTTCATAGCACAAGCATACGAAAGAGAGGCGTTCGTCTTATGTTTATAGTTCCATCAGTCATGAAACCGAGTAAAGAATGAAGGCAGATGCTCCGTATGATGTTACTGATCGATTGCAACATCAAATAAATGAACTGGCAATGCATGGTATTGATTCATCGAAATTGACGCCAAAAATGCTTCTCATCTTCAAAAAAGAGAGAAACAGCGTTTAAAAAAGGAAATAATTTTCTTCGTCTTTTGTTTTCATTTGCAACATAATCAAGGACTTTGAGGAGACATTCAATACACATCCCATTCCTTTTTCAGAAAACATATCCCATCTGCTAAGTATTTGAGTATTTGAGCTGCTTTCTGAGGGATGAAACTTGGAAGATATCTTAAGATTATGCTTCCATTCCAGATAAATTCCCGGATTTTCTGTTATGTCGCTCCATTATGCACCCGAATGAAACCACTCCCCCATCACACCGTAAAAAAAGGCGAATAATTTAGAAACCTGTATATAGACCATCAGTATCGAGATTCTTGTATCCGACGCTGATTGCACTTACGCAAAGGAGTGAAGAACCATCTGTTCTTGCCGCTCTGGTATCGCTCCTCGAGAGCCTTCTTGACCGTTTTCTTGGCATCCTCGCGCTGTGAAACTTCCTTGAAGGTGTCGTTGCTGATAACGCCCTTGAGTCCTTCTAGCTCGAGTGTGTAACGGGTGGGCATGAGATGGTTGTAGTTGACGACCTTGATAAAAGGTTTGATGCGGCTGCGCTTCTCGACCTTCTTGGTGCCCATGCGACGGGTCACCTTTGAGGGGTAGCGCTCGATACCGGCGACGAGAGCGTAGGAGAAGGGGTGAGCCTTGGAGCCGGTGTCTTGAGGTTGGATGATGACGACCTATGCATGTCAATAATCCATAGGAACAGAATATTCGTAGATAGACGCAAAGAATAAACGGGAAGGAGAGCGATTGAGATGCCATGTGCTGCGGATTTCTGCAAGGACCATGTCCCATCTCTTATTTTTCTTCTCTCAACAATTTCCATGTCGCCGATCCTAAATGTTCATATCGTCCACATCGTTTATTCATCCCATCTCTTTCCCGCTCACGACTTCCTTCGCAGTTCCAACTCATGTGCATCTCGACGCCAAGGGAATAACAGTTGTAGTCGTACCTTCTTTCCGGCGTAACGGCCTCGGGTGATGATGGCCACACGGCCAACTTTCATGACTATACCATCATAGTCAGTACTCTATTTCTACATCCAATAAAATAATCTCGATTTATTGACTGGAGAAAACTAACACTTCATCTCGAAAGTTCCCGGACGATATGTGCTGGTTTGTCGAAGATTGATCGGTCGCGGGATCAAAAGTTGTCGTTGTCAAGCCTCCGGTCGTTCGACTTCTTTTTTTCGCTTAGGAAAGTCGAGGGCAGTGGATGAGGGCTCTAGGGCAAGACGCCGCGCCCGATGGGTTTGTGTGCGCGCTTTTGATTGGCTCGTTTAACGACTGCGGGCTGACTGACTGGGCTAGCCGGAAGAGGCTAGAGATCATGTGATCAGACCTGTAATTGTAATTCTGCATCAACCAGCCTGAACTCGTACTTTCGTGGTGGAACAGACGACGAATCGTATTTTACTACACTACAAAGAACGTGACAATATGACTACTCAGTGCTACGGCCTTCATAGCATCTTACTTGCTATGAAGCAGTTTCCCTTCGCAATTGGCCCCAATGTTCATTAGACAATCAGTCAAGCATACCGTAACAATGCATTGTAAACGCTCAAGTTTTCCTATGAAAGAAGTAGATGGACGAGATGAGTCCAATAAACGCTCGATATGGCCAATATCACAATTTATCAGTCGGTGAAAATACTAGTGCAATTGGCATGCAGGCTATCATTGGTCAATCTTCTTAGTCAGCCGGTGTTTGTTGACGGTTGCTAGGCGGGACACCTCGTTGCTACAGAGAATGCTCTGAACATCAACACCAACTCATCTTTGCCTCAAGAACGCTCCATAACTGACTCAATCAGACGTTGGGCGAACACACGCTAACTCCTGTGAATGATGTGGCATCGGACCACTCGCTCCACTAGCTACCACAGTTTGTGCCTACCTTGACGCCATTGTTTTGGTCTCTGTGCATAGATAAACTTCCTCTGCTCGAACTTCTGACCTTCAATTCTCTCTCTGCAGTCCTCATGAACCTCCATTAACGGAGTCTACAATACTAACACTCACGATCGGTGTTGTTGTTGTTGTTGTTGTTGTTGTTGTTGTTGTTGTGTTGTTTTGTCTTTAGCATTGCTCACTTGTTTTTCTCTTTCTGTGTCATGACCTTGCTTATCGATTGAGAACCTGTACATTCCTCAATCCTCCCCACATTCCACATTGATTAAAGAGACCGTCTCATAACGACTTTTACGTGCAATTATGGCTTCCAGCGATACCGAGGTAACTCCTCATGGGGGCATGGACCTTGTTGTCAAGAGCCATCATCAACCCTCGAATTCCGATATTACAAAACTCAATATTCCTATGTACGTGTTTCCCGGTATCGCAAAAACCCAACATACTCTCCCCACAGGACAGAGATGGAACTAATTCCAAGTTATGTAAACTACAGGTGGGATAGTTCAGATCCCGAACGACGTCCGCCACCTTTACCTATGAATCCCGGTGCTGGCAGTCCAAAAACGCGATCAAGCGCATCTCCAGGTATCCAAGCAGTTACAGCGACTCTCGCGGAAAAGATGCGCGAAAATGCTCCCAGCCCATATACGATAAATCCTATGCCGCCTAAATCATCTCCAGAAAAGTCCTTGGTCAAAGGCCAATACCACAGACGAATGCAGTCGCTTCAGCCAACGACAGATGCACGGGCTGAGTTCCGCAACTTCATTGAGAATAGATCACCAGAACGGAAGACCCGAGCGTCAACATTTAATGATGACTACCTCGACAAAAGCCCTACCCGTTCAGGCACATCGACCTCACAAGATTCTGGTCGTGACTCGCCATCCCTCTATGTCTCTAGCCGCTATCTTTCAAAACCTATCATAGGCGAGAATACTCCTCCTTCTGCCACCATGTTGGCTCTCCAAAACATGCAGCTACCTGGAGACGACCTTAAATCACTCCAAGTATCAAAACCGGCTACTCCCACATCCCTGAGCGAGGCCAGTTTATCCGAACAAATTAAGAGCCTGACAACCATTGCGACAAATCTTCAGAAAGAGATGACAAGTTTAACGAGGCGAAGTAAAGATAATGCTACTGACCTGCTGAGCTTGAAGGCCGCTACGAACGCACGTGATGAAGATATACGAAAGAGCATCCGAGACTTGGCTAACAACATTAGCTCGAAGCTCCTGGATCCTGAGAGTGCGAGTACAAGGTCCGGGAGAAGTGGATACAGTGTCGACAACAAGGTATTCGACAGCCCACCAAGCTCTCGGAAATCATTTAATCTACCTCGAGTAGCCAGCCCATCAAGTTTTGCTGCAGCCTTGGAGCGCGACCTTTGTGGATCTCCAGGCCCAATCAGTGACGGCTCGGCGAGCATCGCGCTGCTGGAAAAGGTCTTGCGTGAAATGGCTACCAAAGAAGCCCAAGAAAAGCTTCTGGAACTCGTCGACGAAGTGAAGAAGCGACCCGCCAAAGACGGTGGCACCAAAGAAGCTGATCAGAACGTCACAAAGATGTTGGAAGAGATTTTGAATCTTGTCAAGGAGAATCCAACCAATCGAGCTTTAATACGGTCTGAGCTTGCAGCTGAATCTTCCCCTCCGGAAGGCACACGATCAGGCCCAATTGTACTTAGTTATGATGGTGCTGAACAAAAGAGTGCAGTCACTGAAGACATCATGAGTCTTCTCAATAGAATCAAAAACAGTGTGGCTGAAGGTGGAGGTCTGACAAGCGAAGTCAAAGCTCTTGTTCGTGAACTACGTGGAGAAGTCTTGGGCATGGGACGAGAAATCGGCCGAAAACTTGAGGAGGCAGCGGCATCCAAGTCTGATGAAGATGTTCCACGACCCTTAGGAGCAGACGAAGTTGCGGAGATTGTTCGTGCGGGACTCGCCGAACTAAAAGAGCAGATGCATTCCATGATCGAGGAACACCAGGAGACGTTGTCTACTTCAATGACTCGCAGCGGCACGGATGCAACAGAAGTGTATTCAGCTGTTAGGTCTGCATTGGACGAATTCTCTTCACAACATCTGGCAGCTCCAGCCCCGAGCACTGTGGGCATGGACAAGGAAGATATTCTAGAAGCAGTCAGAGAGGCCTGGGAAGTCAACAAACCAGAAATCGAACTGCAAAATTTCGGCCTTGAGCGGGAAGAAATCCTCGAATGTCTCACTGAAGGGTTGAAAGCTTACCAACCCAAGGAAGAAGCCGTGACTTACGACCAAGTCCTAGCCGCAGTCCAGGCTGGCATGCAGAGTTTCGTTCCCCCTCCCATCGAAGCGCCACCAGCAATCACTCGCGAAGAGGTCATAGGAGCAGTTAAAGAGTGCCTAGAGTCTTTTGAACTGACTATTCCTGAGCCCAACATCACAAAGGACGATGTTTTTGCGGCAGTATCCGAAGCAATGGATAGCCACACCCAACGTGCTCTTCCAGACGAATCGGACGCACCAAAGCTTACTCGGGGCGACGTTTTTGATGCCGTAGCAGAGGCCTTAGGCCGCTCAACACTAGCAGAATCTTTGAATTCCGCAGGTCTCACCCGCGATGATGTTCAGCATGCAGTCGTTGAAGCCTTGACCGACCAACAACATGCGCTTTTTGCCGGTCTGACCCGCGATGATGTCCATAATGCCGTCATTGAAGCCATGGCAGATCAACAACGAGCACTTCTTGCTGAGGAAGACGCGCCTAAACTTACTCGTGACGACGTGTTCGAAGCCGTATCAGAAGCCATGGCTCGCTCAACTTTAGCAGAGTCTCTAGCTGGTAGCGGTCTAACTCGCGATGATGTTCATGGGGCAGTTGTTGAAGCAATGGTCGGCCAACGGGCAATCACGCAGGACGAAACAGGCAATGGATTGTCTCGGGATGATGTCTTCAATGCCGTGACCGAGGGCCTGGCGGCACATTTTGCAGCTGCCAAGGAGATGGGGGAATCATCAGTAACTCGAGAAGATGTCGTGCAAGTGATCAATGATGCTTTAGCCGCCCATACCAGCGCCTTGGTCTCTCAGGAACCAGCTTTAACTCGAGAAGATATTGTTAGCGCGATCGCGGAAGGCTTGGTCAGTCAGAGCTCTATTAGTCGAGAAATCGAACTGAACAAGGACGACCTCTTTGAAGCCGTGACTTCTGGCCTTCAGGAAGCTGCAGCTTCATCGCAGCTTAACGTTGGAGATCAAGTCCTCGATCGTCTCCGCGATCTCGTTCAAGAAATGAAGGATGAGTTCAAGCAGTATTCCGCCGCTAGCGGTCACGATACCGAACAAGTACTGGATTCCATGAAAGACGGACTTCAGGTGCTCAGAACTGATATTGAATCTTATGTCGACAAGACTGCAGATGTGACTGGAAAGGAAGAGATAATATCCACTGTTAAAGAAGGATTCAGATTACTACAGGCCGACCTTGAGCACTCTATCAACGAAGCAGCTCTTCGAGGGTCTGCAGCTCGCGGAAATCCGGATACACCAGAGCTTCTTGACGCCATGGAGAAGGAATTTGAGCATCTTCGCTCGACACTTGGCAGTTTACTGATCCGTAACGAGGCATCTGGCGACAAAGCTGAAATTCTTGATGCAATCCACGAGATCAGTACAAGTACACGCAACGAAGTGGATACCAGCAAACTTGTTCAAGCTGTCAGGGACGAGTTTGAGAATATTCGCGACTCCATTAACATGAGCCTAGTCAAGGCGGAACCATCTGAGAAGGATGAGATCATCTCAGCTCTCCGGGAGAGTTTTGAGAATCTTCAAGCAGAGAACATAGCAAAACGAGATGGCAATGAAAGCACGTTTTCGAATACTAGCGAGTTGCTTGAAGCCTTCAACGACGGCGTTGATACCATCCGCGCAGATTTGGAAACACTCATTCACAAGTCAGATGAGCAGAACAACTCCGGAGTGCTTGATGCATTGAAGGAAGGGTTGGATTCTATCAGACTTGAGATGGAAGCTTTGAGAGCATCGCAGAAAGAGTTCGAAGAGACGTCGACTACCCGTGGCCAAGAATTGATCCTTGCTAAGGAGAGCAATATTAGCAACGATATCGAAAGCCTCAAGGTTCTGATTACGCAGCTACAGATTAAGGTTGAAGCGATTGAAGCAAATCCACCAACACCACCACCATCGGAAGATGCTTTGAAAAAGGAGCACCTAGACGAGGTCTTGTCAGCTGTGCGAGACGTCCACGGATCTGTGACTGAAGCTAATTCTCGCAAGGAAGAGTCAGAAATTATTGAGACTCTTCTGCGAGATACAGTTGCCAAATTTGACGAGATCAATATTCCTTCGACTGACGATCTCGCCAAATCGGAACAAGTCATGACTTTAGAAGTCGTGGTTTCAGAGTTGAAGGATGCCATTGCTGAAGTGGCTGCTCGTCTTGAAACAGATAGCTGCACAAAGGCTGATTTCGGCACACTGGAAACACTACTAAAAGACTTGTGGGTCGCCGTGGAGGAGTCCAAGAATCAGGCCAAGGACGTTCCAGAGGTAGAGGAAGGTTCCGAGCCAATTGTCAAAAGTGACCTTCAAACTGTGGAAGCTATGATCTGCGAAGTCAAGACTAGCATTGAAGAGCTGAAACTTCCTGATGTGGATACGCTTCCTATCAAATCAGACATTGAAGCGCTTTCAGAGCTTATCACCTCCTTCAGGGAGAAAGTTGATGCAGAGTCAGAATTGACAGCCCAGGCCTTCGAAGCGCGCAAAGTTGAGCACGGAGGTTTAGCCGAGAAGATTGAAGAAGCAAAGATAGTTGTTGCTGATCTCCGCGACGAGCTCAAAGGTAAACTCGATGGAAGTGAACAAGGCTTGTCAGAATTGAAGACACTTCTAGAAGGCCTGGCAGTGTCTTCGGAGTCCTTCACTACTGTTGAGAGTGTCAGAGAACTCAGTGACCTCATCAATAGGGAGTTCGAACGTGCTCGAGGAGAACAGGAAGCGACAAAACTCGAAACGGAAGAACGAGATGCGGCCATCATGGTCAAACAAGACGAAACTCGTGCTGCTATTGTGGCAGACCTTGAGAAAAAGGTGGATGAGAGGATCGATCATATGTTGTCCAAGTACGATGAGCTACAAGGAAATATCGACAAGAAGTTCTCCGAAACAGAAGAGCGAGACGCAATGAATGTTGAGCACCTGACGAGCACGAAGGGCCTCGCAGAAGATATCAAGCTGATCATTGGTGCCATGGGCAACAGCGTCACTGAGTCCTGTGAGCGCATGGGTGACGATAGTAAGACACTCTTCACCAAGCTCAGCGAATCATACGATAAGATGGAAGTAATGCACAACGAGATCAAGGAGTTCAATGAGCTGTCCAAGGCCGAGTTGGAGAAGACCTCCGCCGCGACTGACCGAGTGGAAACCCAGATTCTCGAATACCATCCTCAAATTCTTGGTGCGATCAAAGATATTCTCATGCTTGTCGGACAACATTACGAGCACTCTCAAAAGTCAAACGAGGAGTTGAGCAGAAATCTTTCTGCTATTCCCGCTACCATCCCGACACTACTTCCTGCTCTCCCAGCTCCCCCAGAGCCCCGTGAAATCATCGTACCAGAAAAGTATGACGATACCGAGCTACGCTCGAAGCTGGACATTATTATGGGTCATACGGAGAGCACAAAAAACATCATACCGGAAAAGTACGATGATACTGAACTTCGCTCTAAACTTGACCAGATCATGAGCCATGCGGAGAGCACTAGGAGCATTATACCGGAGAAGTATGATGATTCTGAGCTACAGTCTAAGCTTGACATTATCATGAATCATGCAGAGAACACTAGTAAGACAATGGCAGGAATGGACAAACTGGATGAGATTCATGAGAAGGTTATGCACACTTCGCGTGAGATCACTGAGTTGGTTGCAACACAGTCGCGTCTCGTAATTGAAGATTATGAGCGAAAGAAACGAGAGTCTGAAGAAGCTGCCTATGCTCTTGAGAGAAGGCTTGCGCAGAAAGAGAAAGTGGAGTCTGAAATCCTCAGTTTGAATGATGAGAAAGAATCACTTCTTAAAATGATTCAGGCTATGAAGGCTGAGAAGGAAGAGCTCATCAAGCAGAATACAAAGCTCGGAAAAGAACTCCATGGATTAGAGACTGCTCTCGATATTCGGCAACATGAGATGGAACTCTTTGAGGAGCGCGCACAGGGCCTAGAGAAGCGAATTCTTGCAGGTGTATTCGATCACGCTAGAACCATGCTCTTAAAGGAGAGCGGACGAGGCAAGAGCCGCATGAGTCTTCGACGCATTCCAAGCTATGGTAGCACCACAACAAAAACCAGCCGCGCCAGCACGAACAGTACAGCTAAAGATACTCGCAGTTTGGTCAGCAATGGCGTGGAGATGGTCTTGAAGCGTCGACAGCCAGCTAAAACTCCAGCTTACAACGGGTCTACCATCTCGTCGAATGGGGGCAAGGAACGACGAATCCTTAGTCTCAGCCATGTAACTGGTAACCGGGGCCCTACCGACCGTCATGTCACGGCACCAGTCGGCACTGGTGGGCTGACAAACCTCAAGCGCAGCCACTCTGTCCGGTCCAATCTGCCTTCGCGCAAGACGTCTTGGGGCACATCAAGGGATTTCGACGCTAACAAGGAAAATGAAAACTTACTCGAAGAAGAAGATGAGCATTTCAGTGCTACCCATAGCGACGCTGGGACCGAGAGAACAGCTGAAACTGGTCATTACACACAAAGTGTGAGCCACGGTAGCGAAAGTACCATCTCAGCCAGTCGCCAGCCTAGCTATGCCAGCACAACAAACGGGCTAGTTGCCGAACACACTGGGTCTATTATCGAAGGGGAAGATGACGAGGAAGGAGATGAGGCCCAGCACAATGATCAGTCATATGAGCAGGAATCAGAGCAAGAATCGGAGCACTCTGACCCCGAAGATCCGGAAGATGATGACGAGAAACATGATAAGCAACATGAAGAAGACAATGAGGATGAAGGAGATTATCAGACCACTATCGGCGAGCAAGAAGAGCACCCTGCAGTTGAAGAAGGACTGTCCGAACTAGAGGCACCACCAGGAATAAAGATCCCTGGCCAGACTGACAGCGGCTTAGGAAGTGATATACAATGTCCTATCAATGTCTGAGGTAACACACAACGCCCTCACCCCTACTTCCGACAGACTTCTCCTTCCCGAAAATATTTTGATTGTTTGACTTTGAGCGAAGAAAAGAGAGATTGATTATGTTTAAGCAGTTCTTTTCCCCCTTTCCTATTGATACCTCCCTGATGCACGATTGTTTGGATATGCTTGCTCGCGGTATATTGCGGACAAATCCCTTTTCTTTCTGTTTTATGTTTTTTATTACATATTTTTATTTTCACGTCTTTCTTTTGTTGGAATGACTCTATGGAGTATTGCACTTAGTTTACTTAGCCTTGCGAATGAATTATGACGATGACTTGGACTATTCGTATCAGTTCTAATGTGAATTGTAGTTAACTAATAGCATACTGTACATGGGTACCTAGATAACTTGCCCACCTCCGTTACGTAGTTGGAGTAGAAATAAGCAGCGGTCCGTGCAGCTACCTAGTGGTCTCGGTCCGCTCCGAAGGTCCCACAGTTGAGCTTTATCTGTCCAGGAATTTGTAGGGAGAGAATAGGGTAGAGAACAGCGAATTACAAATTTCAGACATAGCTGGCGCAGTTAAGTAGAGTATGGCCTTCTAGAGATTTGCAGAATTATCCAGTTCTAGTATACCAGAGGTACACTTTACCGATGTCATTGGCAGCTGCTACGATGCTCCAATCTCTAGTAAACGATAAGCAAATGATGCAGCAGCCTAGAGGATCACCGAGTGTCTGTAACAATTCTCCAAGTCTTCCATCCCAAGTACGGATAGACGGATTGGGAGGGGTTGTGTTGTATTCTTGGTCGTCACTTTCAGTAAAACGGTAACCGATTTCCAGGTTGTGGTTTACTCCAAGAGATGCAGATCCCAGAATTCTACCGTCTGAAGTGAAAATCATAGTGTTAATTGTGCCTGTATGCCCTGTAAGTGTTCGAAGCGATTTACCTGTTCTCGAGTATAGAATCTCAATATTGGTGCTCCCTGACGTGATGAAGCCATGAGACTGTCATCATGCGAAGAAACAACGTTGAGAAATTGGTCATCGCGCCCACCTATGGTACTAAGCAGGCCAACAGTATTCACATCCCAAATCATGGCCGCATCGTTTCTAGCTAATAACACAGCTTGTTCGGCATTCGTTGTTAGTGCAATCCTACTGACGGACTCCTGGTGAGTATTGCATGAGGGTTGGTTCGCCTTGAGGGTAAGGTCCCACAGTTGAATTCCTGTCTTAGATGCGGATGCTGTCTCATGAATGTTAATAGATCCCCGCCGCGTGAGAATAGTGGCGCGGAAAAGTCACCGTCAATTCTCCTTAGGAGTGCTCTAGTTGCTGTCTCCCAGAGGCAGAGGTCTTGGTCGGTGCTCGTTAGTGCCAAGAGCCTACTATTAGGCGAAAATGCTAGGTATTGCGTTCCAGTTGAAGACAGTATTGTTGCCAAAAGAACCCCACTTGCTGAATGCCAAAGTTCTATGGAGCTGTCCTCGGACGACGCAGAGGCCACCAATTGTCCACCTGGGAAAAAGCCACAGTGTTCACCGCACCTTGATGTCCTCTAAGAGTTCGTCGCAGATCGCCGGTAGTAGTATTCCAGAAATAAACTGTTTCATCCTCGGATGCAGATACCAAGCATGCACCGTCGGGAGAAAATACTAGGAGAGGATATCACCCGAGTGCGCATTCTCTTTTTTCACGTATCTTACACTAACCACGCCCATGATAACAATAGTTGTGTGCTTTCTGCGTAAGTTTTTGAACGGTACAGTTGCCACCATATCGCGAGTTTGCGAGAATATCGCATATGAAGCATGTTGATCACTTGGACCGAACTAGAGTCGCAAAAATCCCGTTCTAACATCCCATCTCATGACGTTCCCGACCGTAGTTACGGAGATCGGCACTTTGCTATCCTGCGAAAATGCCACCATCCTACTCCAGATTCAGGGGTTCAGGGGTTCAGTTGTTTCACCGGCGTTCTACTTGAGGTTTCCCAAATCTGGCCATTGCTAGACTCCACCAGCTTTCCGTCCGGAGATAAGACCAAATTCGCACTCCCGGGGGGCTTTAGTGTTTGAAGCAAAGGATCCCACTGAAGGACCACGGTCGGTATCTGCAGTAGCAACTTAGGGATCTGGCTCCTGAGTAGGCTGCGAACGATACTCACTTTCGGGCAAAACAGGAGGGCCGAACTATGTAACTGCGGAGGTGTTGTCTCTATAACTTATCTGAACTTCACGACAAACCGCCGAGCGTCCTGGACCAGATACTCTGGCTCGGTCCTATTCTCTGCCTGAAAATTCAAGTCAGCTGTGATCAATGGACACTTAGACTGTGATACCCACTGGAAGAGCACCGAGATAGTCAGATAATACTATGATCAACCGAACTCCTTCGTGTATCTTGCCGAGTAAAGAAATAACCTCGAGCCAGTCGAGAAGGCACAACCGGAGAAATTGTTGTACTGTGCCGTTGTCGGTAGGTTCTACGCCGCTCTTCTGGAGGTGGTATACCCAGTGGTGACATGCATACTGCAAATGTAGGGATGTGTTGACTTATCCGCGATTTTTCAACATCGGAAATTGAAGTGGATGGGCTTTCCAGACAACAAATGTCGTGTCGAAGAATATTTGACATGATTTTCACAGAGCGTCGGAAGAGCACTTTATGCGCTACGGTCTCTGGTATACGAAAGTCGTCATCACGGCACCTGTGCTTGTCAATAAGGAAGTCACGAAAGGAAAGACGGAGCAGCTGAACCGTATCATCGCTCCTTTCAGGTACTGCAATACTGAACGCAGGCCGTTCAGCGTCTCCTCCAGGCTGGGCAGCGGCGGCAGGCTGTAGCAGCATAGGTGAAGAGGCCGTCAGCCTTTGTTGCAAGCTTTTGGATATTGTGCTGTTTTGGCCAATCTTCGGTAATCTGATTATTCTGCTGTATAATCGCCAGTTCGTGTGTTAAGAAAGCGTAATGTCATTTTCAAAACTCTTCTCGCGGTCGGAGACATTAATCTTGTTTAATATGGCTTCACGAACGAGATCCTGGGATTCCCCGCGAAAGCAAGATCTGATATGTGCCTCTGGCCTGCTAGTGAGGAAAATATGGATATTTATAGTTCGAAAGTCTTTAACGCGGCTTATTAGTTGAAGAATTAGAGCCAAATCGCTTTCGGGTTTGCATTCATCCAGGGCATGAATCGCAATTATCAGCGTTAAGGGGAATAATATTCGCGTTTCAAGTGCGAGGAGAGGCCGAAGAATTAGATGATTCTATTGGTTCTCTGGTAACTCGTCTCCGATCTTGGGGTATTCGTCTATAGCATCACAAATAAAGGCCTTCAGACTAGACAGTACTCCGGCTATAGATCATGCCGGTGTCGTAAAAAGCCGCTTGGCACTATTTCTCAGAGGTTCATGTTGGTTGAAGAAGAAGAAGGAGCTTGCACCAAGGCATAGGTCGTCTGGCAAAGGTTCTCCGGTAACTAGTCGCGTCCTGCCATGAGACGCAGCCGCAAATGTACGCGAGATTGTGGATTTGCCAGTACCGGCCATTCCTTGAAGCCAGAATATCTGGGCCCATCGCGATCTTCTATCCACTCTTGAATCTTAATGAGGTTTCCACCCACCTGCGTACCTACTAGACAATGACGTTTGCCTCGGTCCTCAAAGGAATTAAATACCGCCCCTTCGGCATAGTGCAAATTCACAAGTAACTGCAATTGCTTGGATGCCTTGACTCATAGTTACAGAGTGGTTAGTCTCAGTCGTTTGGGAATAGCATGTACTTTAGCCTCATTTCTGGCCTCGGTTAGGTCAAGTTGCTGGGCCGTACCCTGGGCAGGAGGAACAGGGAAAATGACGTGGCTCTGGTGCATGTGAGGCTTCCAATTTTGATTCAAGGTGTATAGCTCGATCTCCCCTCGAACTGTATCGATGGCATTTTGGACAAGATCCCATTTGAGTATAAAGACCTCTTTGACCTGTCCCTGGCCACCAACAAGCTAGAGATCCATATCCTGCTTGAGTCGGGGATAAGATTCACTCCAACCTGACTCCATGACCACTGATGGCAAATCGTTATTGTTCAGTCGGAAAAATGAAATCAGGCTCCTTTATGGAGCCAGAATATGGACCATCAATGAGTTTAATAGCTAGTAACATTGAGATGGTCGATGGCATGGCCGATAGAATTTCAACTCACTAGTACCAGCTCCCCAGCGTAAAGACCGCTGTTGGGTCGGTGTTGTAAGCCCATTCATGTACCACTCAAATCTCTAAGCTTCGGTCCAGGATTGATGGGAATCATGAATGTCGGCAGACAAGGTGCGAATCCAGACAGTAGAATTCTTGACGTTGTAATGTTTTCTGTGAGGGAAAAAGTAATGTCAGGGTCACCTGGGGGAATGGGGAGCTCAAAGGTATGTCTCACCTAAAACAGCGTGCTTCGAAAATACTATTAAGCTGATCTATCAGGGCCTGAGTAGGAGTTGGTGGAGTATTGGTGTATACCAGTTCTTGATGAGCTGTAAAGTTGGAGAGAATAGCCGAAGCGTGTTTGAGGAGTTCATCTGAAGAAGAAAATATCGAGAAGGATGTGGCCTGGGCGGCTGCCATTTTGTTTGCTCCGTATATGAGGTGTGAGCATGCCTGCTTCCCAGCGAGCCCTACGTAGGGTGAAAAGCTCTCGTCATCACTAGGTATCAAAGGCCTTCAGAAAGGCAAGGCACCTAATATATACCAACACCAACCACGGTCCAGAACCGGGGTGCTCATGATGCCAACATATCCTTCTCTCTTTTGAGGTCAACAAGCCTCTGAAGAGCACGGGAATATGTTGGATTCATCCAAGTAAGAGAGCAGTGCACTGATAGATAACCAGGACATACCAGGCAATATAGTCAGCTGGCGTAAGATGCCAGTAATCAACTGAAGTATCAGTCTAACTGTTCGCATGAATTGCATGTCTTCTGGTTGGGGTGGTCGCGTGACCTTATCAGCATCAAGTCATCGGAACCATGTCACAAAATAAATAGTCCTCAGCGTGTCGGATCGTCAGTACGAGAACCAACTGATCGGATAGATAGCTCTGCAAAGTGTCAGGGATCTGGATTGGCTCCTTGGTGTCTCGCGAGTGTTGATACATCAAGTGACGTGATTGGCTGTGATCCTCCCCAACGCATCAGCGCAGCCTCGGCCTCAGGCCCGCCACCTTTGAGTCTGGTCAACTCTCCAAGTCCAACATTTCTTCATGCATTCTCGTGATCTGTACACTGTGCTTGAATCACGAGGATGTTTCACTTCTTCTCTATAATTATTTGACCAAATCCTCTATTCATACCTCGACTGCCGTTATATCGCCCCTTTTCGATCCGGTCGAGCTTCGATAAGCTATGCTCCACATCTAATCTCGACCAAAGACACCGAGCAACCTCAACTCTTGCCAGGAGAAGGCGAGACCTGGCATAATGTTGGATCCATTTCCACCACCTCCGACCTGGCTCCAGGAGCTCGTAACTCCCTGGGCCGAACGTCTCCATTTATACTCGCTACCATATCACGTCCACGAAGTCATACTCGCCTTCGGATTTTACCAACTAATCCATTCTTATATCTCGCCATGGCTATCTGCCGTACTCTTTCCTCGACACTATCCGCAGTTACCGAAGCGGACCCAGTTAAACTGGGATATCCATGTCGTCTCTTTTGTGCAGAGTGTTCTCATAAATGTCGTGGCACTTTGGGTTATGTTTGCAGACGAGGAGAGGAAGAGGATGAATATCGATGAGCGTGTTCATGGATACACCGGCGCAAATGGCTTCGTACAAGCTCTGGCTGCGGGTTACTTTGTCTATGACCTGATCGTCAGTATCTTGTACCTCAACCTTTTCGGAATCGGCATGCTGTTTCATGCCATCAGCGCTTTATTCGTGTTTAGTCTCGGATTTGTAAGTCAAACAGTTTCAACATCTAACCCGAAATTGCTAATGATTTCTCTCTATATAGAGACCGTTCGTCAACTATTACGCCCCGACTTTCATCCTCTACGAGCTCTCTAGCCCATTCCTCAATATACACTGGTTCTTGGATAAGGTCAACATGACCGGCAGCAAACTGCAATGGTATAACGGAATGTTACTTTTGGTCGTCTTCTTCTCCTGCCGTCTCGTCTGGGGTACTTGGCAATCGATCGTTGTCTATGGAGACATGTGGCACGCATTCAAGCAAAGCCGTTCAATGACCCATTCACCATTCCTTGACGGAGTTTCCACCAACGCTCCCATCTTCAAGCTCGGTGAGGGAGGAGCCCTATGTACAGATGAGAGCTGTCTCAGAGCCAATGCTGAGATCTCGCAATTCGCTCACTATTTCACCGACGTCTCGCTCCCACAGTGGCTACCAATCGCATACGTCATTTCGAATCTCATCCTCAACTCTCTCAACTTCTACTGGTTCTCGCAAATGATTGATGCCGTTCTGAAGCGATTTCGTCAACAACCTGCGGCAAAGAAGGAGGCGGGTCCACTGCCTTCCAAAGAACCTGACTATATTCTCGATGCAGCTGAGGTGCTGGAGAAAGAACAGGGTTATTTCGAGACTGGGGACGGCGCAGAACTTAATATTCCTGCTACCACAACAGGTGCAGAAATTGCAGAAGCAGGAGATTCAGTGAAACAGCGCAATCTTGTTGTTACTTGATGACATTGAGGTTTGTGATTGTTTGTGTATACTTACATAGCGATTGCTTATTAGTTAGTTCATTATTGATCGACTCTTGCTCAGAGCGTTGTTAGCAGTTTTATACGTGCTAGAGACAGGACGGAACTATAGGTACACCACGACCGGACAGTGCATCATGTCAAGTGTACCTAATATCTAAGTGTGGCTAGTGGGCAGCATTGGGAGATTGCATGTAAATGGTTTTTTGCTATAAGTACCTCGCGGTTTAGAGAAACCATAGATCCGTTTCTACTTTACAGCGTTTCATTGAATGATTAGAATATCATATCTCAAGACACGAATAGAAAAAGTAAAAACCATAGACATCATGCGCCCAAACTACCTAGCCATATCAGAAGAACAGTTGTTTTGCAATACAATAACAGTAAAATGAAACCACCGAAACCCACAACCTTACCCAGCCTATCGATACATATTATTATTCTCCGGTCGAGCAAGCATGTAACGAACCGCTTCCCTAGCCACAGGAGCATTCCAAGCACTATTCGCACCACCACGTCTGAACTCCGGACCAGCACCATCCTCCCCGCCACCACGAACAGCTTCTCCGAGAATAGTCTCGAGATCCCGACGCTGGGAACTGAGCCAGCGACGAAGGAAGTTCGCGGGATCTCGGCTGAGGGCAGTATAGAATGAATGGCGTGCCTTGGAGTGCTGGATAGCTTGGATGATGAGGGCTAGTTGGTCGTCGAGGTTGCCGATTTGACGAAGTGTAGCGCCGTATTGTGGGTTGGTGGTAAGCGCGACCATCTTTTGGTAGAGTGGGTCGTCGACCGCGACGCGGATATCATAGACTGTGGGCGTTGGGTCGTTGTGATATTCTTGATCCACGCGAATCGTATAGGGAAGCTTGATAGGATCGAGAGGTGCAGTATGAGCCGCGATGGCATCGGGGATTTGAGGGAAAAACACGGCATCGCGGCCGAAAATCTGTCACACGGTTAGAAACCTTTGAAATTGATTAAGAATGGTAGATGAAAAATACCATTCTCAGTCTCGCATCACAGTGGATCTGGCGTTTTTCTTGATCTTCTTGAAGCTTCATGGTACGGATATAATCCCAAATACCAAGCAGAATACCACTCTTTGTATCCTCTTCAACATCAATAATTTCCTGCAATTCCTTACTAACTTTGAACCGCTCAGGTGTCTCGTCTCGGACGAGAGTCAAGGTGATATTCACATTCTCCTGAGCAGCGCGGGAAAATTGTAGGGTATCAAAGTCAGCAGTAGGCGGTAAAGATACAGCGGTCGGTGGAATCTGTGGTTTGGTCCATGTGATGGGAGCCAAATCTTCCGACTTTGCATTGTGCGTCCTGTCGAAATCGATTGTAATAGATTTGAAGAAATGCGACAGTTTCTGTCGTGAGCGTTGTGGCGTTTTCGATTTCGACTTTTCCGCGTCATCACCATCACCTCCCGCAACCTCTTTTTCCTCTTCGTCATCACTGTCCTCCCTCGGGACAGTTACATCGATACTATCATCGTCCAAAAGCCTCCCTTCAATTCGCACTTTGTACCGTCCCGATCCTGGTCCACCGTTCCCATTCTGTTCGCCCTTCTGCCATACCTGGCCCTCAGCCGTATTCGAGATCCAGACACGTAGAGTTTTGTAACGCTTGACTGCTCGCCCCAGCGAATCTTGAATGTCCAACCTCTTCCTAACCATGGATGAATCCAATCGTTTCTCTAAGTCTCGTAGCTTCTTGTACTCTTGCACTCCATCGCCAATGACATAATCTTCGACACCATCTGGCATGTTTTTATCGGTAGGTTTCCGGCTACGTCTTATCTGGGCGTCGTTAACAGGAGGTACGTTGCGTTGGTGAGCTGCTGCGGCGGCAGCGGCAGCCATGTACTGGGGATGAGCCATTTGTTGATGAGGCATAGGCATACCTGGACCTATTATGGAAATAAGAGTTAGTATTTCATGCGTTGAGCCACGTTGTCTGACAAGGGTCATAGAATCATACCTGGTACAGGACCTCCGCGACGAGGTGTGGCGGGTGAGCGCTGCGCGGTCTGAGGGTAGCCACGAGGATAATTGGGCTGCATTGGGGCGTTCATAGCCATATTGGCGAGTACGTGGACGATGTCGCACAATCAAATAGCAAAGAGGCCTTTGTGACAGCGGTGGCAGTAAAAGATGAGACAAGTGGTCGACGCTGGTGGCTGTCAGACCGATACATTGAAGTCGCGATGGCTTTCTGGCAGATCGCAGAAACGTTCACGATACAGCGCTAACCACATTAGGTAATACATAGAACAAGTTTGTATCATAGGGTTAGGGTTAGGGTTTTGTAAAGAGAACCCATGTTTAGCGATAAACATACATTTTACTACAACGACTAATACGCACTATCTTTGGGCAGCGACATAGAGTAATATGAGAAAGCATGCAATGAGCCTGATTTGACAACGACTGCTAATTGATGAAAGACCGGGCATTTGAGATGGGTATAGGCGACGATTGCGGTATGGACAAGTTTTTAGGGACCTTTTTTGGTTCGTTTTTGTTTCAGTCAGCCTGAATGTATGCCCCGGCAGCATGAACCAAGGGCCATAAATACATATCAGAACCATAAGGCATATTCTCTATCTACCAACGGTTGCAGAATCTCAACGATTCCTTCATTCGCACAACTAGATACTTTTGAACAGGACAAACCACAGTTAAGGGTGATACACCGTCTCATCGACTGGATCAATAATAGTCGGTAGGTATTTCGTATTCCACTCTTCATCCAGGTCATCGTCAAAATCTTCAGGATTCGGCCTGACGCGACGTGCCTTGAAATACTCCCAGTAAGCAGGATACCACCCTACCTGGCCCCAATCAAGGACGGCAGCTATTATTGGATTTGGCCCGGACGATGTAAGGATCTTAGAGGGCACAAGGTCGCTATGCGTGAAGTCCACAGACACATCCTCGTCGATCTCGATATCGTAGCCATCCTGAAATTTCTGGACCACGTCACTATGGAATGGGCCAGTCAAGTCTCCGTGGTTGGAAAGAAATATGTCATTTAGCGGTTGATTATTTAGGCTACCTAAAGGGTATTTTAGTATGGATTCTTCTTAGGTACCACAATGAAATTTCAATCACTCACCCACGTACAGGACTTGTCAGACTGTTCTATCGACCTCCAGGCCTTGACCATGCCGTTGAGTTCTTTACAGACAGTCTGTCTCTCCTCTTCCAAAGCACTCCATCTTTGCTCCAGAGGCCCTCTTTCCATCAAAGAGTTCTTTAACGAGAAGGCCATGCTCAACTCCGGCAGACACAAAGTTGATCAGACCCCAATCTGCCATTTCGAAGCTAATTTGCGCAAGGTTAAAGTTCCCGAGAAAACTTTGAGGGTCGTTGATGACAAGGTACTTCTTCCCAGCTGTATTCCTTGAGCAGTGAACACTCTCGGGGCCTTGCCGACATCCTATCCGACTTTATTCTTGCTGAAGCAAGCAAGCTTACACAATATCTCTAGGTTCCTTCCGCGCCTAGCAGGCTCACTCAAAGGAATTGCCAGACTTGGATCGTTGAGTCGGCCGACGAGCTTGTGAGAGAACGGATTTTCAGCAGTGAGGTTGCTGTGTATGTTCGCTCCATCATGCAGTAAGTATAGATGCATGTGATGCAAATAGTGTTTTTGTTCAGTATGGCAGCGAAGAGGGTTCTTTTGTTATTCTTGTTGAGTTTCGCGAGGTGTTCTGTTCAGACGAACTCTTTGTTTTTGTTTAGCGCCATGTATCAATTGATATTTCAAATGTTTTCTGTCTGAAAGCCGACCTCAGAAGAAGGAAAGGTATCATCATGAACAATGTATATACTTGAGTTTCCATGCTTGAATCTGTCAATGGCCTCCTCTAGATCTCCAGGGCTGTTAGACCTTGATACAAGTATAGAGAATAACTCCTACTTCTTAGACTTACCAGCAATTCTGAAGGCGTGAGATACTGCTCAAGTTCTGTGTATCATACCTAGTTAGCCACAATGACCAAGGCCTGGGCCAATGCACACTTAAAATAGAGTCGAAGATTCAATGGTCACCAGTAGCTTACGTAGTATTACAAGGCACAATTCCATAGCTGCGCTCCCAGTCTGACCGGAAACAGCTTCAGTTCTGTGTCCTTCCATCTTGGAAATCAAATCGGCGAGTCGATAATTCCAAGGTTGGTCTGATCTGGATTGGCGGAAGTCTCATACTGTTCTCAAAATAACTAACATCTGGAATTAGGTTATCATAGATTTGGTATACTTCTCTGAATTTCTTTTTCTGTATCACGCAATCTAAATATGATGCAGCACTCTCCGTTCGTCCTCCATATACGACCACATTGCCTATTTCAATGCTGAGGTACTAGTATGCACAGTAAGCCATGTCCAGTCCAAGCCAACGGGGCACAGGCGGTGGAAAAAGAGCACAGCGGCAATTTTCAATGAATAAATCAGAGAAAATAGACTGCACATTCTTGTATTCAGACGACACAAGGGGCGTAATCGCATGGGGGATTTGAAACAGAACAAATTGGGAGAAAAGTGTCAGAACAGCGAGACCTGCTCTTATGTAAGAGCTGGCGGGCGGTGATGATCATACGTCTATTATAAATGTTATTCCGAACAAGGTAAAATTAATTCGAAACATGAATTCACAGGTCCTCATATTCACCTTAAAATGCCTATTCCAACAGGGACGCTTGGTTGGCGTACAAGACCTCCACCACATTGTTTAGCTTCTCAATCGTCTGCAATGCTGCATCATAGCCCTTGTCCCTTTCTGTCTCCTCGAAAACGATCAAGCAGCCAGCTCCTTGGTCCAACACGCCCACGATGACCTTGTCTAGGATCATCTGAGACAGTTTCCTCTCCACTTGTTGAGTATCTAAGCCAACCATTTTGGCAATGTGATCAATCTCTACTCGGCTGAATGGTTCAATGACCTTGATGAGATTCTGCTCCAACATGGCGTCGTAAAGTCTGCGGAGGTGATTACGGATGAAGACGTCGCCACCGAGCTCGTATCGGTAATCGGAAAGCGCCTTTTCATACTCTTCCAAAGACCGGTTTGCGTGGGCACGAGCAACAGCTTTCATAGCTTCAAGCCGTGTGCTTGCATACTTCAACGCTTGCTTTGAGCCAAGCAGATTCGTCACATCATCCACGAGGTTGAGCATGATCTTGCAAAGTAGCATATACTGCAGTGCTGCAGTAGCTTTTTCTGTGTCATCAACGGAGCTATATCCCTCGAGAGCTTCAATGAAGTACGAATACGCCGTGTTGAAATCTTTATCTTCTGCATGTAACATTCCACTTTGCATGTCGAGACCGGCCTGTAAAGTAGGAGGAGTGTAGACGGCTGAAGCCGATGTACGAGCTGAAGTTAATGCCGCGCGAGCCTTGGGCTGGTTCCCAAGAGCATGGTAGACTCGTGATTCCAAGAGCTGGATCTCGACCAGTACAACCTTGTCGTCCAACCGTTTCAGCTCCCGAAGCAGGGAGTTGATCAAAGTCAAGGCATCGTAGTACGACTGCTTTTGCATGTAAATCGCCACTAAACGTGTTTCTAAGCTCTGTCTGAGGAAGGATCGACGCTCGGAGACTGCCCATTCTATCGATGATTTGATGACGGCGACTTGAATGTCAATCGTGTTCGGGATCTCGCTTAGCAAATCCAAGAGCTGTCGCACTGTATGTTGTTAGAGACACAGTACAATCAGTGAAACACATTGACTCACCCAGCTTAGCTGTCTTCGCTTTGGCGAAAGAAGAAAAGGCATCTCGGCTCGATTTGATTAAATCAGCAAGCTCATGGGCCTTCTTGTTATCCCGATACAGCTCTCCCAGCCCAACCAAAGCTGCCTCGTAGTCTCTCGAGGCCGATTCAGTTTTACCAACGCCGCTTGATAGCACATCCCGATATATTTGCTCGGACTTGGCAGGGTCCTTGGATGCAAGTGACTTTGCTTCCTCGATACGCTGGCTAGCGGACGTAGAAGCCATGATGTTGTCGTGTGTCGGATGCGAGCGCAGCCGAAAGGTACAATGGACTGTCTATGAGAGAGCCGTATGTATGATGCTGGGCAATGTGCGATGATATAGTTGTGTACTTTGTAGATGATGAGTTGAAGATTGGAGGTTGTAAGCTGGATCAACAACAGCTCTGGTAAGCGTCACTTAAGCTGCCAACCTGCGAGCTTGCCGCAACAGCGAAACAAGCCAATCAGAATCGTGTAGTGGGTCCCCAAACATTTTTATCTCCGCCAGTCTCGAATAATTTAATTTTTCCTTATGTGCTGCTGCAACTTGTGATACCAGAGGCAATTTCAGACAAAATGGTATGTTCGACTACTCATTATGATTTTTGGGCTGGATTGTACTGATAAAATCAATGACAGAAAATCAAAGCCCTCTCGCGCTCTGCTGCTTCGCAGCAAGCGCCTGGTTCGAGTGTTGCAAGGTTGCAAAGAAATTTGGACCCAGCACAGCATCCATTTGAGCGAGCACGAGAATATACGAGAGCCTTGACTGCAACTAAAATGGACCGTATGTTTGCTGCGCCTTTTGTCGGTCAGTTGGGTAGCGGGCACATTGATGGAGTCTATTCTATGGCCAAAGACCCTGGTTCTCTGGAGCGTTTCGCAAGTGGCTCGGGCGATGGAGTCGTCAAAGTTTGGGATATGGAGACGCGAGAGGAAGTATGGAACACACAAGCACATGAAAATATTGTCAAGGGCCTTTGCTGGACTCCCGATCGCAAACTTCTTTCTTGCGCTAGCGATAAGACCGTCAAGCTTTTCGATCCTTATAACTCCTCGCCAGAGGCGCCACCACTAGCAACTTTCCTCGGCCAAACACCGTTCACCAGTGTTTCACATCATCGTGATGAGTCCGCGTTTGCTGCTGCGTCGTCTGTCATATCTATCTACGATCTGTCTCGTCCTTCTTCAACCGCATCCCAAACCCTTCACTGGCCAACTAGTACCGACACTATCACTTCCGTTGCTTTCAACCAGACGGAAACCTCAATTCTTGGTTCTACGGCAAACGATCGCTCTGTCGTGGTTTATGATTTACGGACTTCTACACCAGTGGCCAAAGTCATCCTTACTCTTGCGTCCAATGCCATTTCTTGGAACCCTATGGAAGCATTCAACTTCGCAGTTGCTAATGAAGATCATAATGCGTATATGTTTGACATGCGGAAGATGGATCGTGCGCTCAACATCTACAAAGACCATGTTGCCGCCGTGATGGATGTCGAGTTCAGTCCCACTGGTGAGGAATTGGTTACAGCGTCGTACGACCGCACGTTACGATTGTTCAACAGAAATCAGGGTCGATCTAGAGACGTTTACCACACACAGCGAATGCAGAGGTGAGTCTAGTGTCTTATAATTCTAACATCTGCGTGTCGCTGCTCATCATCTATGTACAGGGTCTTCTCAGCCATGTTCACCCCAGATAACAATTATGTCTTGTCCGGATCTGACGATGGAAATATCCGTATCTGGCGTGCCAACGCCTCATCCCGGGCAGGAATTAAAAGTGCCAAACAGCGTCAGAAACTCGAATACGATCAGGCGCTTATCCGCAGGTATTCTCACATGCCGGAGATCCGGAGGATCAAGAATTACCGCCATGTGCCCAAGGCCATCAAGAAGGCAGGAGAGATCAAGAAGGAGGAGCTTGCGGCTATTAAACGAAGGGCGGATAATGTTCGAAAACATAGTAAGAAAGGCAGTGTGCCTCAGCGAGCCGAGCGAGAGAAGGTGGTTCTGGCGACCGAGCAATAAGTTTGAGTTGCAACTTAATAGGGAATATAAACCCGATGTCTATATTGCCGGCCCGTCACGCGATTGTCTTTCACAGATTGAGGGGCGTCATCGTCGTATGTCGTTCACCACTCATACATCACTCTCAGATCCATCCTCTGGCACACTTTCTGGTCGGAAAACATTCCGGTTATACGCTTTTGCAACGGCAGTGTCGATTCCGCTCAGGTAGCGGGCGAGCCTTTGGATGGAAGCAGGCAGTACAGCATACCAATTCACCAACTTGGCGAATGCAGGTAATCTGATGACACCACTTTGGCCATTATCAATGGCCGATACGATATCGTATGCGACTTGAATAGGCTCGAGGACAGGTGCAAAGAATCGGCTCGGTGTCTCTATTCCATTAAATAGAGGTGTCGAGAGTTGTCCCGTTTCCACCAACAGTGTCTTGATCTTATCATCGTGGCCGGACGCTCTCAGCTCAACCTCGAGGGATCTATGCAGTGCGCTCAGACCAGCTTTACTGACAGAGTAGTCTGATAGACCAGCAGCTGTGAGATGGCCTAGCACAGAGCTCACGTTCACTATGACGCCGCCCAAGTTGGTTTCTAACATTGCCGGTAGGAAGATTTGTATCAAATGGAACGGCGCCATTAAATTTGTTTGGATTGTTTTCTTCATGGATTCAGGAGTCAGTGATAGTAACGGTAAACCATGTACAGCTGCTGCGGCGCAATTGATGAGCACTGTTGGTTTTCCAAGCTGTATATTATAGTCAGCGAAAGTCCTCACTTTCACGAAACAAGTCATTGTGTGACGGATAAACTCACATCATCCTCAATCTTCTTAGCAGTCATCTCCAGAGCCTTCCTATTCCCCACGTCGCATTGATAATATTCAACGCCCGACAGCTCATCCCACCCTTCCACCTCACTCACTTCCTTAATATCCAGCACCGCAACACTAGCGCCTCTCATCCCATAAATCTGAGCAATAAGCTGCCCCAGCCCACTTCCCCCACCAGTAATCACAATAACCTCATGACTCGGCTCCACGTCCCGAGGCAGACCATACGCCAAACGACGATTGAGCATGCCGGCAACTGTCAGTAACGTGAGGAAGATCGCATAGCCGACCGCGCCTATCCATGCCGGGTGATCCGTAGGAGTAACCTGAGCACGGAGACAGAGGACAATGATCCATGCGACGAACGGGTGGAGAAATGTTTGGTTCAGGACTTTGATGATGAGGTCCAAATTGAAGTGTTCGTACCATTTTTGAGGTGGTCGGGGAATGAGAGGTTGGGGTGATGTTGCGATTTTCTCCATTTTTCTGATCTGTTGTTGCTGCTATTCGCGATAAGCCCTAGGCGCTTGTGAAGCTCTCGTATCGTGCTGTCGGAGGCTATATTGTAGACTCGCGATTCGCAAAGCTGCCGTCTGATTGAATGATCTGTTGGTGTATACTGTGCGAGGTTGTGACGCGTCTGTTGTGGTGTGCGCAGTCTCTCGTTATCGACTTTCTTCGGTGTTGGTGTTGTTGTCTTAATGTCGAAGAAGTACCGCAACGCGACACCGACCCGATGTCCGGTTAATTCTTGTTCGAAAGAATATGAATTTGGAAAGAGAAATATCTCAATACTAGGAGAAAACAGTCCCCTTTATAACTCGATGAGGGTCAACATCTGACACCAGGTGAAGCTTGAACGGTTTCAGTCCTGACTGCGTGGCAGATTAGGCTCCGTAACTTAATCGCGGGAGTGTGAGAAGACCGACGCCATACATCCTATTGAAGAAAATTATTAGAGTTCTTCAGGGCTTTTAGGACTAGAAAAGGCATTGTTTTAGTGTACGAATGAGCATAATTCTGGCTTGTTGACGTTGAAAATTTTACTTCACGACACTCGATTCTACTGCGTGATCCAAAATATGGAGCTTGGGTCATGTTATCTCGGATCATGCTTAGGATCTTAGGGTTAAATCCAAGGATACATGTAGACACTAGTCATTAAGTAACTAAGTGTTCAATTGTTAAAGTAGAAAGATATTCCCTTTGCAGCTTTGCTAAGCCGCACCTCCGCTATGCTAGTGGTATCTTGATATGTACATAATTCACAAAGTTGACTGATAACAACTTATCAATCGTTGTCTTATGGAGTCCGAAAGATTGTCGGAAAAGGAGCGTTTTTCCCTAGAGAAGCCATTAGAGGTTGATGGAATTGCCTAAAGCAATCATTACCACCATAGCCTGGTCTACACAGATGCACATTACACTCTGCGCATACCCACTGCGACCGCGGTATAATCGCTGGCTTCTCATTTTCGCACCGGAACCGCTTGTCAACATGAAGTCGTTGCTGACACCAAGCACAACCCCTTCTCAGCTCCAGGGGATGTCTGGATAACATATGTCGCTGCAGTGACGCGCCCGGATACGGCTCTGCTGGATCAATATGAGGCGTTTTCCGCTTGAGATGTGGCGAGTACGGCGAGAACGAGAATAGTTGCAGATATAGCCTATTCCGGAAGTCATGGAGAGTCAATTGAGGCTTACCCTTGGCCTTAGATTGAGTGGTGTGTAGTTTCCATGCTCGCCAAGTTGCGCCTTCTAGATAGTGGATTAATTCTTCGGTGGCGTAAAGGCCTTCCGGATTCTCATCGATGGGGGATTCTTCACGGTCACGCTTGGCTTTGTGACGCCTGCCCACTTTATATAGTCCAGGTTTCATGTCAATTTTCGATATATAAAGGAATCACCTCATTTGTTGAAATCGGTATAATTGCATGTACGTAGGCACCAAGTGAATCGGTCCAATGTTTTGATCTCGATTCCAATATGTTTCATGATTAGGTGCTCCATGGCAGTTCATATAAACCATGATACCGAAGTAAACCTTGACTTCTTCTCTAGTCGTATCATGCCAAGGCCGCATACCATCAGATGGATTCTCTCGTCTGGCGTTCGCCGCATGCAAGTTTGTATTGAATGCAACATTTTGAAAGAAAGCATCACTGAAAATGAGATAGAAAATCTGGTATGGGTCGCTACCGTCAATAGTATCTGGAAGGGTTGACGGCAATTTTCCAACCTGGATAGGCACGAACTGGTTGCCTCTGGTTTCCGGTATCTGTGAAGGGGTAGGCTGCACAATGGGTTGACCCTCCGCGGATCTAACTGGAGGGAGTGTCTATGACTTTTGGCCCTCTGGTATCTGTGGGGCCTGAGGTTGCGCTACATTTTGTTCCTCGGTCGATTTGGGCGGGAAAGACGAAGTTGACTGTTGAGCCTCTGGAATCTGTGAAGCCCGCGGTGGTTGCGCTGCACCTTGCTCTTCGGTTGATTTTGGTGAAGTTGAGGGTAGCCGTTGAGACTCTGATTTCTGTGAAGCATGAGAAGGTTGCACTACAGCTTGCTCTTCGGCTGATTCTGGCGCAGAAGACGAAGAAAAGTGTTGGGATGAAGACTCTTCAGTATTTGGCATCTGTTCCATGATCTGAGGAGTGGTAGTGCATCAACGCATATTTTATGAGTATGTTCAATTTTCATTCAATGTTAAATGCGACGCGTCGAGATTCTGGGAGATACATGTTTATGGTGTCTGGCCATCTGACCAATTGGAGAGTGCACATTCCCGCAACGGCGCTAAAGTGGCCTAGCGTACAACGGACTACTCTGATTGGCGACCACATAGTAGTAAGAACAATTGTTGAATGATTCTTCCATTAAGAGCAATTGGTAATCACTAGCCACCAACTTGAACGGTTGGTGTGGTATCGGCGAGAGTGTTCAGCGGGGAATAGCTATGCAGGGCGTAGCTAAATGTAGGGCAGGCCGGATCATCAAGTAGTATATCAAAGTCATCTTCCTCCGGTGGTAGATGAAACCCGTTTCCAGGTCGTGGGTACAGACGATGTTCCTCGACTTCGTATTCAGAGCCGGAGTCAGAGTCTGTATCAGAATCTTCTCCGCCCACACTGGAACTTGCTACATCCTTCATTTCCACTGTAACTGCTTCGGTCAATTCACCTGCAACGTTGGTTGCAGTCGCAGCTGTAACAGCAAACTTCGAGCTCTGTAGATCCCTCAAGTTCTCGGGAAATACTGGTAGAGTGGGATTCGTCTTGGAAAGCGTGACTAGCATGTCAACAAGGGTAGCATGAGAAAGAGACGAAAGATAGCCGCGTTGTTCTTCTGCCGTAAATCGCTCTCCACAAACGAGGGGAACCGATGATACTGCTGACTCGGTTATAGGACTATTCAACTGCTGCGGTGGTAGTTTCAGTCTTAATAAGATTCTGGGTCCTGTTCCAGGTCGGCATTCTCTGCAAAACCACTCTGCGTCCTTATCATCGATAAGTTCTTGTTTGATCGGAGGATCATGGCAATACTGATGATATGCATCGTTGCACTCATCGCAAAATACAATCATATTGGTAACAGGACTATGACCTCTTTGGCAGTGCCGACAAGTGATGTTGATTTCCTTTCCGTTCTTGCGATACACTTTTCTGCGCCTTTTTGCGGGAATTCCGGTGGTCGCCGTACCTGAAGGTAACGACTTCTGCCTTGAAATCGGAATAGGCTCGGGCGATGGAGCGAAGAAGGTTGGCCGATTCACCTGACGACCAGACTTGGTTTGTCTCGCGGATGGTAACATATCTTCGGATTCATCATCTGAACTCGAGTCATGGGCTTTGATCTCATCATCGCTGTCCTGAGCACGCTTTCGCTTGTTTCTTCGCTTGCGGTTCTTGACGCTGGTCTTACCTGGAGATGATTTCGGTGTCTGTCGCTTCGGTGTGATGGAGGGAGCAATAGATAGACCTGGGGTGGGAAGAGGAGCAGGTTGTGTCTGAAAATTTGCAACAGTGTGGTTGCTACTCGTGCCATTTGACTGAGGGATAATATTGGTCAAGGCCGATGTAGCAGCACCAGTCGCTACTTGCATCACGGACGGCGTAGATGCTTCCACCAACGCGGATTTCTGAGGAGCAGGAGCAGGGGCCAATGCAGGGTACCCAACCACACTATTCCGTAGAACTGCCCTTGAATGAGTAGCTGATCCCAGGTTGCTGTAAAACAATGGGGCCGTATTCCACATAGAAGTGTTATCTATTGGAATCTGTGACTGAAACGGAGTCCCACCAATCTGGTTCGCTGACGCTGGTAGACTACTTGAGGAGTCTGTGGGCCAAGTGAAAAGTCCCGATTTGGATTGTGAAGGATGTGCGATTGTAGGAGTAAAAGGCGACACTGTATTATTTGCTAGACCTCCATAAATACTGTAATCATTGAACGAAGGTACACTTTGCGGCATTGATTGCTGGGAGTAAGATGTATCAGACGTTGAGGTGGAAGGGTCCGCCGTTTGGGACAGTGGAGGGTTAGAAACCCTATCGTTCTGCAAGTCCATGGTTCCAACGGTTCCTATCTTCCAGCAATATACTGAAAATATGCATGGCTTGTGCTGACTTCAAGATTTTGTCAAGTCTATGGAAGTCGCTTCTTCCTTCCCACCACGTGAACGCTTTTTAGACAACTAAATTTGGTCACGTGATCTAATCGCTTTTCTCGTGGTGCTCTGGCAAGTGTTCTGTTCGACCAACCCATGAAGTTACATTGCGACTGACATTGATTCTATATACCTAGCAGATGAACTGTACTTTTCCCCTATTTACAACTCGCACATCTAGGTTCTATGAGATAACACCCTCCTGCTTCAGCGAAAGAATCTCGTCTTTGCTGTAATCCAACAGCCCTTGAAGCACTTCATCGGTATGTTGACCCAAGGTAGGTGGCGGCGTGCGAACACCTGGCTTAGCATGAGAGTATTTGATGGGAGTATTAACAAGTTTCATGGGACCGCATTCTGGGTGTTCGATTTCCGTGACCATACCACGAGCTCGCACTGAAACGTAAAAGAGTATTGATTAGCAACGACTTCATGTCAAGATCATGGTGCTACTGACCGTGTTCGTGATTTAGAGTTCCTTGGATGTCATTCACAGCGGCATATGGCATTCCGCTGCCTTCGAAAAGTCCAAGCCACTCTTGTGTTGTCTTTGTTTTTGTGATCTCTTCTATCATCCCGTCAAGCTCAACTCGGTTTGCGACTCGGTTGCTATTCTTCACAAAGCGATCGTCTGTCTTCCATTCGGGATGCTCGAGCCTATCACTGAGGACGCCGAAGAGTCGATCGTTACCACCGCCGAAGAGGATGTCACCGTCGAGAGTCTTGTAGCTTCGGTACGGAACGATCGATGCTAGGGCCCATACCCAGTTAGTTTTGCTGTGTCATTGTTGACAGACGAATATACATACGATGAGCTGTTCCCCAGCGACCAGAATCCTTCTCACCGCTAATCAAGGCAGAGCTTGCTAGATTAGCAAGAGTTGCAACCTGAACGTCGCTCAAGCACGCATCAATATGCTGTCCTTTACCCGTGCGTCCTCGGGCAATTATAGCTGCCATGATCGCATTTGACGTGTAAAGACCAGTTGTCAGATCCGTAACTGCAACGCCCACTTTAACAGGAGGTCCGTCTCTGGATCCAGTTATATGCATCAAACCAAATTCTGCCTCCACCATGACATCGTAGCCGGCTCGATTCCTGTACGGTCCTGTTTGCCCGTAGCCGGTTATACTGGCATATATCAGTTTGGGATTGATTTTGCTCAGGGTCTCGTAGTCCATGGCGTATTTCTTCAGACTTCCTGGCAGATAATTCTCAACAAGTACGTCGCACTCTTTGACCAGCTTGTGTAGTATCTCAACTCCGGATGTATGTGCAAATGAAAGTCCAATGGACTTCTTATTTCGATTGACCTGATCACACGGCATAAGAATCCGGCACGTTGTAATCCGCATACACAGACTTGTCTTACCGCAAGGTAATATGCGCTTTCACCAGGTCCTTTCTTTGACCCATCCTGGTATTTCGCAAATGGCGGACCCCAAGCTCTAGTATCATCGCCTCTTTGCGGGTGCTCAATTTTGATCACATCTGCGCTATAGTCCGTTGATCAGTAAAGAAGCTTGAATATCGCTCAACGAGATGACGTACCCCAAATCTCCCAATATCTGAGTACAATAAGGCTGGAACAGCTGTCAGGAAATGCTTCCGTGGCTCACAGATCCAATTGACCACTTACTCCTGCAAGGACCCTGGTCATATCCAATACTCGAATTCCTTCCAACGGTAGAATTCCCGGAGCCGCTGCCGCTGCCGAATAACGTCGCCATTGTACACCGTAACCACCTTTAGGGGTAGTAGACAGACGAATGGCTCTATTGGCCAGGATTCCCTGCGATAATATCGCACGAGCCTTCATTTTCACACAATGGACGTCGACAATTCCAGTTCGGCCATCGAGACAAACTCCATATTTAAGTTCCCCCAACTGTCCCGTTGGTAAGCGGAATCAATGCCGCGGGTATTCCGTCGGATAAGAGAAAGTTGTCGGATTGATCATTTACCAGAGCGAATCCACATCATTTGTCGATAAAACATCACCATGTTTACTGGCCTGGTCGAAACAATTGGGAGTGAGTCTATTCCAGATCGCAAACGTTGTCATAATGCTAACCACACTTGTACTGAAGCGGTGACGTCCCTCGAGCCTCTCGACACCAGCGCCAGCGGGGGCGGGGGAACATCGCTCACTATTGGAAATTGTGCGGAGATTCTTGGAGATGCCCATCTGGGCGATAGCATTAGTGTCAATGGTACGACGCTATTGTCATACAAAGATGCAGCTTCTGATAAAGGATAGGAACATGCTTGACCGTCACAGCGTTCGGCAAGGACTGGTTCAAAGTCGGCGTTGCACCCGAGACTCTCCGTCGCACCAATCTAGGATCTCTCCAAACAAACTCCAAAGTCAACCTTGAGCGAGCTGTCTCCTCCGAGACACGAATGGGAGGTCACTTTGTTCAGGGACATGTTGATACAACTGCGAAGATTCTTTCGGTTACGCCTGACGGGAATGCGCTCACATTCAGGTTGCAACCAAAGGACAAAAGCATACTACGATATGTCGTCGAGAAGGGTTTCATAACTCTCGATGGGGCGAGTCTTACGATCACGAAAGTAGTCGATGGCGAGGATGGGTATTGGGAGGTCATGCTTATCGCCTATACTCAGGAGAAAATCGTTACCGCTGCTAAGAAGCCGGGTGACGATGTCAATGTCGAGATTGATATGGTTGGAAAATATGTTGAAAAGAGTGTTCAGGCATACTTTAGCCAAAATACTGGAGGTGATTTCACCGTCCTGGAGAGAATGGTTGCGAAACTTGTGGATGAGAAACTCAAGCAGGCCAAGGCTATCTAATTGAGATATTGTATACCCATGATATAAGAACGACGCTCCCACGAAGCTTTGAATGAAGAAATGGAACAACACAAAGTGGGATGTCACAATAGACATCTGATATGTGCATTGGTCTTAATAGAACTACTCTTCCATAAACTCGTCATCATCACTGCCATTGTCGCCCTCACTGTCCTCCTCAACACCAGCTTCTCCGTCATATTCATCACTGTCCCATTCATAATCATCATCCATGCTAACATCTTCGTCGTCGTCATCTGCATTGTCTCCCCCTTGCCCGTTGGCTTTTGCTTTGGCCTTATCCTGCTTCTTCTTCTCGATATTCGCTCTCTGTTGCTTTTTGCGCTCTTCCTTCTCTTTCCTTCTACGGTTCCACTCGTCATCCATTTTTTTAACCTCCTTCTCTGACTTGGAGATGAAGTCATGCCACATGATTCTTCCGCCGCAAAGTCCTTCCTCGACTTTCTTCAATCGTAAAGTCATCCGGGGGCCTAGTTCGACTAATTTGACTGCTCTCTTCTCGACATTAGGTTTGACCGACTGCTTATTAGTTGCTGATTTTTCACCCGCTTTCAGCCGTTGCATCTCGCGCCGACTGAGCACTTTCTTGGTCGTGCTTTCGGTAATTTCAACCTCCGCATCCGTGTCTAGTTCAGTTTCGCTAGCCGACGTGTAACCTCCGGCGGCCGGATCAAGAAGGTAATCAGCAACATCCTCCAGTTTTCCCAGATTCGGTAAACTTTTTTTGGGATCTTTATGTCTTTGCAAAGTTGGATCGAGACGACGTATCCTCTTCGAAACACCAGTCTTTCTCGTGGTAATTGCATAGTGACGAAGTTTCAGAATATATGCATCGTCGTTTGGTACCTTCTCTCGATTCAGCATCATTACACGGCGTATCGAAGTCAGCGGCGTAGCCTGGGGGTTAATAGGAGGGAATAGTGATTGAAAAACAGTCGTGGCAAGCGATTCTAGACGTTTGGGTATCTTGGAATCTTCATCGGCGTCGGGGGTATTGAAATTGTTCATGACTAAAAGAGGAGGCGTTCGGTGATCCTGTCCACCACCGCGGGGGTGTTTGAGTGCTTTTGCGACATCTTTGCAAAGCGAGTAGTTTTCCACTTTGAAATGAAGAGTTGGGCCCCGCGGAGTGAGTGCAAGACGCATATTGGTGTTTCCGGTACTTGATTTTGAGAACAAAATGAGATGCGTAACGCCGAGCGGTCCTGCCATGACAACGTAGTCTTTGAGCTTATTCGCTCTTCTTTCCTGCATGGTCTGTGTTAGCAAAAAATTTCCCCAACTTGCTACTCTTTATAATCTACCTTAAGACGACTAGCTGTATCAGGCTCCATCATCAAGCGAAAGTCCTTAGCCAGTTGGCTGACACTTGAGCCAACTTCACTTGCTCCAATTCGAATGACCATCGACTTGGGCGATTGAGACGCCGCATTTTTCGAATTCGCTGAGTCATTCTGCCCATGCAGTTGAGTGCGCTTCTTGGTACGTCTTCTCGCCATTATACTGGTTGAATATCCCAATTTGCTGAAAAATTGACTTATTAAACCAAATGCTAGAGACTGATTACTTTTTTTTTCCGCCGATAAGATATTGATCGGGGAAATTGGCGCTTATGTAATAATTCATTACATAAGACACGAGTTAAAATAATTTTTTGCGGGTCTCCAGATAAACCATTTTACCAGCGGGGATAACGTCCACTTTCAATTCAAGCGTTGACATAGACCACAAAACGATTCCCCCAAATGCCTGGCTTCAAGAAGCGCAAGATATCTCATGAGAGAGTAGCTGAGGGAGAAAATGTCTCGGATGATTCCAGATCGTCACAGGAAGATGTTCAAGAGAGTGCTGCCGAAGAGGCAGAATCGCATAACGATGATGGAGCTGCCAAAGCCCCCAAGACATTTAAGGACTTGGGATTGATTCCTCAGCTCTGTGAAGCGTGCGATACTCTTGGATACAAAGCCCCAACTGCCATTCAAACAGAAGCCATACCATTAGCTTTGCAGGTATGTCGGTCTCCATCGTATTCTCCCAGAGGTCCATATATTAACAGAATGCCACAAGAATCGAGATTTGATCGGTTTAGCAGAAACAGGATCCGGAAAAACAGCTGCTTTCGCATTGCCCATTCTACAAGCGCTCATGGACAAACCTCAACCATTCTTCGGATTAGTGCTCGCACCAACTCGTGAGTTGGCGTACCAAATATCCGAAGCCTTCGAAGCTCTGGGATCAACGATATCGGTTCGCAGTGTCGTTCTAGTCGGAGGAATGGATATGGTGCCACAAGCTATCGCAATCGGTAAACGACCACATATAATCGTCGCTACACCCGGTCGATTACTCGACCATCTCGAAAATACAAAGGGGTTCAGTTTGCGAAGCTTGAAATATCTGGTTATGGATGAAGCGGATCGTCTATTGGACATGGACTTTGGCCCTATCATTGATAAAATCCTCAAGGTTCTACCAAGAGAAAGGCGCACGTTCTTGTTCTCTGCGACAATGAGTTCGAAAGTGGAAGGCTTACAGCGCGCATCCTTGAGCAATCCACTCCGAGTCTCGGTTTCATCCAACAAGTACCAGACTGTCTCGACTCTTTTGCAATATTACCTTTTCATTCCACACAAACACAAGGACGTCCATCTGATCTGGTTACTGAATGAGCACGTCGGCCAGAGCGTCATCATCTTTACGCGCACAGTCCACGAAACAATGCGTCTAACCATCTTAGCAAGAGCACTAGGCTTCGGCGCAATCGCCCTTCACGGCCAACTCTCCCAATCCGCACGTCTAGGTGCGCTCGGAAAATTTCGTTCACGAAGTCGTGATATCCTGATCGCTACCGATGTCGCTGCTCGAGGTCTCGATATCCCCTCTGTCGACCTCGTGCTCAACTACGACCTAGCAGCAGATAGCAAAACACACGTCCACCGAATCGGCCGAACAGCGCGAGCCGGAAAATCAGGTAAAGCCATCAGTCTAGTCACACAATACGACGTTGAGGTCTGGCTTCGTATTGAGAAGGCGCTGGATCGGAAGTTACCTGAATATAAAGTTGAGAAGGAGGAGGTTTTGATCTTGTCGGATCGGGTTGCGGAGGCGCAGCGACAGGCTATTACTGAGTTGAAGGATTTGGATGAGAGAAAGAATGGTGGTAGAGGATCGGGGCCGAAAGGAAGGAGGTTTGGAAACGGTAAACGGGGACGGGATGATATGGATCAGGAGGAGGGTTGATTTGTCTACATCTTTTCTGTCAGTCTGGTATCAATTCTTAGCAAGTTTCAAGTTTAGCGTGCCCAACCACGCAGGCTGACAAGTTATAGTTCTATGTTAAGTCATGGCATTATGCCCTAAGCACACTTTTATCGCCAGTGCTGCAATTATGTAAAAGGTCTGGTTGCCATCTCGCAAAATGCAACATCAGGCTGAAAAGAGAAGAGAGACTCGTATTCTTCCATTGTATTAACCATTCTTTTATTCTGTTGAAAACATAATTCATTAGATGATAGTCTAGGCCTTAAGCATCGCCGCCGGAGCCAGCTTCCTTTACGGCATTGGCGACTCGACTGGCTAGATCGTCTGCTTCAGATCTGCTGGCAGCCTCGGCATACACGCGGACGGCGTCTTCGGTACCGCTTGCACGGGCAAAGCTTCGTCCCTTGTTGTAACGGGATTGCAAAGCATCGATCTTATCCTGGAGTCCTGGGGGTGATTCAAGCTTGCGTTCTGCGTCGACGGCCTTAAAGATTGAGCGGTCGGCAACTTCAACGCGAACAAGACGAGAAGGCAAGTCGGTGTAAGTACCGAGCCACTCCTTGGTGGTCCATCCCTTGTGCGCCAAGATCGCCTCGACGAGGAGCATATCCGATAGAGCGTCTCCGACTGCTTGGTTGATTAGATCCGTCAGTCCGACGAGGCATTCTAGTGCTTGTTGCTGGGCGGGAGATTGGGGCTCCGCGCTCTTAATAGTCTTGAGGGCGTTTTCTGAGAAGGTCACTGTTCCGTGGCCGTTGGCTTCGAAGTAGACACCAACGTCATATCGCATAGCCGCATGGTGAAGATGCTTGACACCTGTCTTTGTGCATACAGCAGGGAGCTTTAGAACTTTTTCAATGTAGTCAGTGCTAGCACCGTTGGCATAAGCGGTCTGAATGACGCCAATCTTCAGCTTCTGCGCAATGCCAGCGTTGCGGGCTAGATCGCCAATGAAAGAAGCTGCAAGTGTTGCGATGCGGTCTCCATCGAGCAATCGAAACACATTGTTTTCGTCAATGTAGTAGTATACCAAACGATCAGCGTCACCATCTAAAGATGCACAGCGTTCCAAAGGTGCGGCCTTGGAGGAAGGGGGAGCTCGTTGCTTGGTCTTGACATAGTCGGCGCCGCACTATAATGATTGTTAAAATGTGTACAGCGGTCTCGTTGGAACATATCAAACCTACCTCGAAGTTGAGACTGTCTGGATTGATGACATTGTCGTTGACGACCTTGATGTCAATACCTCCTTGCTCTGCAGATGGAAGGTACTTGATGAGTTCGTGAAGCTTGGGACCACCAACCCCATTGGCACAGTCAACAGTTAGGTGACCCTGAACCTTAACACTCCTCATAACCTTCTTAAAGGCTTCACCGAGTTTCTCATAATAGCCTTGTTCCGTAGGTTCTCCATATTCATATGGAGTTCCCAGGGTGTTTTTGCATCGCACAATATAGTGTAGCTGAGGGGTTGTCATGAACTTGAAGTCCATAAATTCGACTTCCGTGGCGCTCAAAGCTGCATTGAGGATTCCAACTAAACGAGAACCAGATGCGCGTGTATCGCGGGCGAATACAACTCGTGCGGGGTTGTCCATCTTGATGTCGATCTCCTTGATCAGCTCATTGTAGACGTCAGCCACTTTATCGAGGGGCGCGTTTGCCAGTTTGGTTGCATATGTCTCCCATTCGGCCTGTATATTCGTCAATTATTGATCATTAGAGAGTAATCAGCGATGGTATCGTCAGCTTACTTCGAGCATTTCGCCCTGTGTGAAAAAGAAAACATTAGTATTCCTCCTGCGACAATGCGGTTGTTGCAAACTTACCATAGGATCAACCAGCTTCACACCATTGTCCTCGGCAGGATTGTGACTTGCTGTGACCATAACACCAATCCATTGGCCATTGAGTTTCTTTGATCGCAGTCCGGCGAGAAGTCCTACAGCGAAGACGACCGTGTTGAGCAGATCGCTGTTCGCAGTGCGGGGTTGCTGGGTTAGCTAACAGATTATGAAGAGTATAAAGTCGGTCAAGGTTTGCTTACGCTTTCATGCGGAACTAGATCATGATAAAGTTAGCTATCGGACGCAAAAATAATATGAATCGATAGTTTTTGAGAGCGGACAGGGATGTTGGCGCTCAGTCAGTACCTACCCCCGCAGTGCCATACTCAAACACACGTCCCTCAGGAAAGCGATACTTAGCAGCGGCCTCAGTAATGGCCTGGTGGATTGCAGGAGACGCCATTGAGGCGTTGATCTGAGATAATATCTTGCTTTGTATCACAGGACAGTTGAGACTCAGAGTTGAATGAAAGGAAGAAAGACAAAGCAAGACGTGTTGGTGGTGAATGAATGAAACAGTCTCAGATTAGAGGGTAAACAGAGTGGGGACGCGGAGACTCAGCACTAAAAGCCCCCCTTCAGCCAGGGCTGAAGGCATGACGTTCTTTCAATGGTTACAATTCGCTGATAGCACTCCAAGTTGAGAAAACAGAACTGTTCTATTTCTCGAATATAACAGGTATTGCTAAATCTCTCATATATTCCTATATTACAAGTACATATAACAGCGTTGGAACAGCTTCTACGTGCGGCTGTCTAAGCCTTCAATCTCTCCGTAGCCAAATCGTTCTTGGCATCCCGTATAATAAATCTTCGCATTCTTGATTAGTAACTGTAGGTAGTCGCTGAATGAAAGAGAGGAGCAACTCACAGATACCACCACGCAGTAGGTATAACAGTTCCCAGATGCCACAGGCTATGAGCATCAACCAGTCCCCACCACGGTGGGAAATCAAAAAGCTCCAGGCTCATTGCTAGCGAGATCCAAAGAACAATCATGGCAGGCCACGCCATCCAGGATTTCTTTGGTTCCTTCCGGTATCGGTAGATACTAAAAGCTGTCCATAGGATATTCTGAATAACCCCCACGACAACGTTGGCAATCATGTTGTAAGTATAATCCCACGACCAGAAAGTGAGATACGACACGTGCGCAATGTATAAACCGACACAGAGATAGGTCCAAAGCCGACGAAGTGCAGGTTTATAGTTGGGCTGTTCCTGGTCCAGGCGGAAAATGCGAATGACGGCGAGAAAGAGACCGTAGAGAATGCTTGCACCCGCTGCCCAGTAATCCAGTTTCTCGGTCAATGGAAAGTCGCGTGTATGAAAGAGCATGCTAAAGGTCCAACTAGCATATCCAAAGTATCCAAACCCAAAATAGTATTTGCGGAGAGGGTACGAAGCCGGAATCGAGGATTCGATCCATTTCAATCCGTAGTAATGAGCTAGGAAATTGAGAAAGGAGAAGAGCACAGAGAAGACTTCCTGCATGCCGAGCACTCTGTAAAATGGCCATTTTCCGTGAAACTGTACGACGGGCTGCAACATTGGGAACTCTCGGTTGACTCTGCGATCCGTTATGACATGTTGACAGGTGTAGTCGCATTCCGCGTCGCAGGTCCATAGCATAAGACGGAGGTAGAGTGCTATGGATTTGTACGTCAGACAGGACAGGACAGAGACAAAGATACGGAGCTAGACCCACGTAAAGCAGAATTGCCATCCTGGCAATTTTCTTCTTTACATATCTAGCATTGACCGTTAGTACAGCGCCGATTTAATGCTTAGAGCTCCAAGCATTACCTTCACACATTCTTTGAAATCGGGCAATCGATCTCCGAGAGAGGCCGCCGACTGCCCGACGAAGAGCACTAGGATAAAAATACAGATAGAGACTCTTGACGCATAAGACAATGATCGGAAGACTTGCATCTTTGTGAATCCAGCCTGTTGGATGAGGCTGTCAGGAGTCGTGAGAGCATCAAATTGGTCAATCGGCCAATAAACACTCCGCTTCTGCGCTAACCGCGATGGGACTGGAGTGATTACATAAGTCTAGCGCTATCTGATTGGTCGGCTATTGAAGGTGGGATATTTAGCTCGCGCAGCAGCTGCCCAAGCACGGTTTTGCCGTAGTACCTGACCATGTGTGCCTAGAAGGACAATCTGAAGACATTTATTATTGTGCTAACATGATCTTCGAGCGTAGCAATTGATATCAGTAATATAGTCATCTTCAGCCAAAAAAAATGAAGACGATCCATCCAATAACCCCATATTTCACGTGTGTCAGTCTAACCTCATTCTAGACTAGTGTTCCTGTGCAGGCCAATAGAATGCAAGAGCAAATTGTCGAATAAGAAAAAAAATTCAAATCGGCTAGATCGAGATAGGAACTCATCTATCACCTCCGAGAGACTAATCTTTTTTTTGTCCTGTATATCCTCTTCTTTCCCTCTGCTTATCCTTTTTTTGATCTGTTTCATTCTCAAAAATAGTCCTCGACACCATGGCTGAGGCAAATGTAGGAGGCATTTCCAGCAGCGCTGATCGTATGGTTGGTGCTGACCATGCTGAAGTTCGCTACTTTACGAGGTATGTGATGCCCGAGTCTTATTTTACTCAAGTCTCTTTGTCCACACAACTAACGGTTTATATCGACAGCTACGATCATCATGGTATTTAGCACCGAATCATTCTTTCATTAATCATTGCTGACAATATGCTGCTTGAAATTATTAGGCATCCATGAGGAGATGTTGGTAAGTTCACACATTCGGAGATTTGGATCCGGACCGGACCTAATTGCTTTGGTCGCATGTAGAAAGATGATGTCCGTACTCGGTCCTATCGTGACTCCATTTACCAGAATAAGCACATCTTCAAGGACAAGATTGTCCTCGATGTCGGATGCGGTACCGGCATCCTCAGCATGTGAGCTAGCCTTACTTTTGAGGGGCGTCAACCACAACTAATCATCCTGTCCGTAGGTTTGCTGTTCGTGCCGGCGCAAAACACGTTATCGGTGTCGACATGTCCTCCATCATCGAGAAGGCTCGTGAGATCGTCGCGGTGAACGGTATGGCCGATAAGATTACTCTTCTGCAAGGAAAGATGGAAGAGGTGACTCTTCCCTTCCCTAAGGTGGACATCATCGTTTCCGAGTGGATGGGATATTTCCTTCTATATGAGAGCATGCTGGACACTGTGCTCTATGCCCGCGATAGATATCTTGCCCCCGGCGGCAAGATCTTCCCTGATCAGGCAACTATCTACGTTGCTGGTATCGAAGACGGCGAGTACAAGGATGATAAGATTGGATGTAAGCTTTTTCGAGATAAGGTGACTGTAAGGAATAGTACTAACAGTCTTCGTGCATAGTCTGGGATAACGTCTATGGATTCAACTACAGCCCAATGAAAGATGTTGCCCTCACCGAGCCTCTCGTCGACACCGTTGAGATGAAGGCCGTTGTCACAGACCCCTGTGCCGTGCTCACTTTGGATCTGTACACAGTCACACCAGCAGACTTGTCCTTTAAGGTCCCATATTCGCTCCCCGTCAAGCGAAACGACTTCATCCATGCCATCATTGCCTGGTTCGACATTCAATTCACTGCTTGCCACAAGCCGATCACTTTCTCCACTGGTCCTCACGCCAAGTACACCCACTGGAAGCAGACCGTCTTCTATCTCCGGGATGTATTGACCGTTGAGGAAGAAGAGGCTGTCAGTGGATACCTTGAGAACAAGCCCAACGCGAAGAACAAGCGTGATCTCGATATTAAACTGTCCTACACTTTGGAGACTCGGGATCAGCTTCGTTTCGCCCAGGGCGAATGCGAGTACAAGATGTGAGTTGTTTGTTCTGTTACCGAGGAAAAATACACAAGACTAATGATATGCAGGTGCTAAATGCTGAATTAACCATAATCGAACGTTCGGATTACTATGCTTACCGTACCTCTTAGTGGCTGGGGTCTACGCCATCTACCACATATGACTATTATGTCTTAACTTTTCTATGTCTGCTCTTGCTTGATTCATTATGGGCGTTCCACCGGGGCTGCGCTGTCTGTGTATCTTTTGGAAGAAAGAACAAAAAAATTGAGCATGTTAGGCGCTACATTTGGGTCGACGGAAAAAAAAAGAGATGGATGAGATGAAGAAATCACGATAATGAGCTCCTCACAAACTTTTGTTTTGCAAAGTATATACCCTCGAGTTGAAGCTAAGCATAATCTACTTCAGATTGCATCGGACTATTTCCTTAAGAACGTGTAATATAACGGTACCAGGGTCTAGACCCTTTAGAAGATGAAGTTGTATTCGGCTGTCTTACTGGCGCGGAGACTGTGTTACCTCGGCCCATTGGCCAATGCGGAGAACTGTCGCTATAAATACATGCCGATGCGGAGCGTAATCTGGGGAAGACAACCATCACTACCTTCGTATTCATACAAATAGACGATAAACAACTCTTTTCTTTTAACCCTCTAATCACAGCAAAGCTTCGTTATGTCTGGCCCTGGAGCTGGTTTCGAGTATCCCCGCCGGGCTGTCACCTGGACAAAGCGTGATGCCCTCCTCTTCGCAAACAGCATTGGCTGCAAACCAGATGAATTGCACTTCCTCTACGTAAACAATCTTCTTCTGCCTTTCTAAGGAATTATTAGAGACTGACTGGGACCAGGAACTCCATCCAAATTTTGCCGTCTTCCCCACATATGTAAACATTCTCCGTGAGTCGAGATCTCCTCTTCTTGGGAGCTTATAGAGTACTAACATCACCTTCAAACAGCATTCAAGCTCACAAACACCGATGTAATCGACTTCTACAAAGTATCAACAAGCACTCCAATTCCCGGCGTCCCCGAATTCAACCCTCAACGTGTCGTTGATGGTGAACGCAAAATCATATTCTTGAAACAGCTACCCACGTCTAGTGAGGGGAAACAATTCGAGATTTGGACCAAGATTATTGGAGTATATGATAAGGGGAAGGCTTCGGTATTGGAGACGGAGACCTCTTTGGTTGATAAGGAGAGTGAAGAGGTTTATGCGAAGATGATTGGGAGTGCGTTTTATGTTGGTCAGGGGGGTTGGGGTGGTCCTAAGGGTATGCTATTCTCCTTCCATATCTCCTAGGACAAGGAGCTTATGCAATGGTAGGCCCCAGTGCTGTGAACTATCCACCTCCCAAGGACAGAGCTCCAGATGCTCTATTCGTTGATCAAACCAGCGAACAAACATCCCTCCTTTACCGGTAAGCACTGCTCAAAGCCACACTCAATGTTAAAATCAGCTCTTACTTATCCACTCCAGTCTCAACGGTGACTATAACCCTCTCCACGCCACTCCCGAACCAGGCACAAAAATGGGGTTCGGCGGCATCATCATCCACGGTCTCTACAGCTGGAACGCCACCGCGCACGGAGTTCTCAAGGAACTCGGCGGTAGCGACCCCCAAAACTTACGAGAGTTTCAGGCTCGGTTTGCATCTCCAGTTCGCCCCGGTGATAAACTTACCACTGAAATCTGGAGGACTGGAGAGGTAGACAAGGACGGATTTGAGGATATTCGGTTCTCTACGAAGAATCAGAATGGAAAGGCTGTTTTGGCTAACGGGCGGGCGTTGTTGAAGGTTGCGACTAAACGTAGTAGGCTTTGAGGGATGTCTTTCTACCTTGTGGGAAATATATACATCGAAAAGATGAGAATGCAATAAGTCTCAATTGCGTCTGATGTACTAGTAACAGCCCAGAGAGCGTACCTATACAGACTCTGAGCTCAGCTGTACACATATATGTAAAATACACGCGGATCTGATATGGGCAATTGTGCCCATGTTCTGGGTTTTGTTGGAGTTCAAACACTCAGGCGAGTCTTGTATGTACCGATCTGGTTCAACGTATTCTCCCTGCCGTTTTTAAGCAGACGGTAGCGAGAGAGGAAGTCATCGTTGTTGACTATCATGGAAAATGCTTTGTTAGATGTCCATGGACGGGGACAGATGTAAGGGGGAAAAGTACATACTGTAACCACCACACATTCTCCGCTTTCCGGTGAACTCAGAGCGGCCGTGAAGCATTCTCCAATTATCAAAGACTGCGATTGTTGGATCAGCACCCTCTCATTGCAATCACAGTCTCGTAGGATAATATTAGCTAGCAGTTAACTTACGTATGGCCGTCCCCGGTTCAAGCTGCAGCCATTTCTGTGTCTGATCTTTTCTTAGGAGGATTGCATTCCAATGCCGTGCAGCACTGTACCAAGACATTGCCATATAAGGCGTCCAATCGATCTTCGCCGCACGATCGTAATTATTCCATCGAATCCGCATAAGTCTTGCAGTAGTCGGATCCCGCTCAAACACTGGGAAATATACATATGGTTGTATGCTGATATGTTCATTACCGCTTGAATGCCAGGGATGTGCATAGTCTGTGAATGCCTCTACATTGTGAGGAGCTTCAATCAGCATGCGCTGCGCTGCGTAGAATCCGTCAACTAATAGGGTTTCGCCGCCTTCTCCTTCTGTGTGCTCTAGGAGATGAAAGAGTTGAAGTCTTGCCGGGTCTGAAAAGTATGTATTATCTGTATGTGCACCGAGCGCTTCGGTAGTGTATGCTGTATCTTTGAAGGTCAGATCAGATGTGAAGTCCCAGAAGCCACCTTGCAATCTAGTCAGTATTTGATAATGACGAACAGTGGATCTGTGTTAGCTACCGTAGTGTGTCTCCCTGATGAAGGCTATTCTTTCCAATAACTGTTTGGTTGCCTCTGGGGTGACAGGAACACCTTTAACCAAGCAGTAACCCCAATCGACCTATTGCTAGTCAGTTGCGGCTCTGTAGCCTCGGCCCGAAAAAGGTTCACACATACGACTTTTTGCAGCCATAGAGTGAGGCCTTGACCCGTATTCATGACTTCTTCGTAGTTCACCCAAGGGTGGGATTTGGCTTGGCGTCGGTGTTTGAAATTTCTATGACGCGATAAGACGTGTCAGATGTGGCGAACATCAAGTCGTGATATCGAGAGCTGGTAGGAATTACCTGAAAGTAAGGACTTTATTGCTGTGTGTGACCTCGCTGGGCATCTGGTGGCTATCGAGCCAAGCCATGGAGTACTCACCCATGTGTCCATCAGACCCTTCAAGCAAGAGTAAAAGTGAGCATTGAAGTTCGACGAGCTATCTGATAGGGATAACAGACACGTACATATGACGTTGATTTGTCCCGGCGACGCTTGAAAGACTGACTTTGCATGGATATTTTTGGGTATCTGCATGTTTGTTTAGCAACAATTACACCCTAGTAAAGAGGCTGTATGGTGCTCACTGACCGAGAAGCTTGAAACCATCCGCTGCCTCGTGTCTGGACGAATGCAAGAGGTACATTGACAATTGTCCCTATACAGCAGAGTATATCAGATTCGTATCCCTTATATTTACCAAATTCGAAGCGCATCGGTCACGCACCTGAGCCAGTAAGCAGGACTATGAGACTATTAGTAGGTATTTTCAAAAAGTCGAGGACAAACTTACTACTTAAATGGTCTGATATGCACATAATTGTAAAAGCTCACGTCTTCAGATGATTTGATCTTTTTGATAGCAGAACCAGACAGATCAGTTACGTTTCCTTCAACATCTAAATTGCTCTTGTCTAGTATCGACTTGCTGACTGACTCAAGCTGCACCTCATTGTCAGAAGACGTGACCTCGGTTGACAATGCTTGATTAGAGTGCGCTGGTATACTAGATAGAACATGTTTAATCTTCGTATCTATGTCCCCGTCAGCGCCATTTCCAGTCGATACATCCGTCTGGGCTTGTCTGGCCATTTCCAGGACGTCTAGTGGCGGCTGGGTGTCGGAGGCACTGGGGACCCCTGAATCCATGGAGTGCTTTGGAACCTGGTTATTGAAGATGAGCAAATAAACCGATGTCCAGGAAACGAATCAGGTAAGACTTACTTGTTTCCAAGGCCATGCTGGTGATGAGGATGAAACCGGCCTTATAGAAATTGCAGGGCTTGAAAAGTTCTTCAATATCAACTCATGGGCCCTGCACAGATTGCCAGGGCGGACACGGAGAAGCGTCATGATGTTTGGGATGTTCAAGACATGCAATTTCTGCGATATATATTAATTGCCAATCAATTCAATTCGGAAGAGTTAAGATCATAAAATATCCATAGATGCGACCCGATTCCTCAGATTCGATGCACAGTCAGTGAATATATCATGGTCTAAGAAGACGATCACCCCACGAACCCAATATCAGATAAGCCAATCACGTGACCGTCGTCAATAAGCTTAGCTGGAGCTCATCATTCTAGTTCTCCGGTCCCAGTTCGCCGCATCAACAAGCAACACTTACATCAACCAGCTCATCCCATCACTTTTCTTCTTATAAAGCCATCGAATAATTAATCTATACAATAGTTAATCGGTCAACCCAACCAACACATCATCATGTCGACCCTCGAAGATCTCGACGATCTTGAGCGCGAGGATCAGAACAAGAAGCAACAACAAGGTGGTGATGGAGACGGTGACGGCAAAAATCCCAACGGCGAGGGCGACGCTGAAATGCAAGATGCGGAACCCAAGAAGGATGAAATCGATGAGCTTCTAGATGCAGAACTGGTCGGAGCAAGCACAGATGACATCAAGAAACGGCGACGACTGCTAGAGAACGAGCTTCGGATCATGAAGAGCGAGTTTCAGCGGTTGACACATGAGCAGAACACGATGAGAGAAAAGGTCAAGGATAATCAAGAGAAGATAGAAAACAACAGGTTGGTTACTCTTTCGGGCTCAGCAGAGTCTATGATTACAAATACTGATTAAGTGTGATAACAGGCAATTACCGTATCTCGTCGGAAACGTTGTCGAACTTTTAGATCTCGACGTTGAAGCAGAAGCTGCAGAGGAAGGTGCCAATATCGATCTGGATGCTACGCGAGTGGGCAAGTCTGCCGTCATCAAGACATCAACCCGTCAAACCATCTTCCTCCCTCTCATCGGTTTAGTCGACCAGGAGAAACTCAAGCCTGGCGATCTTATCGGCGTGAACAAAGATTCGTATCTGGTGCTCGATACTCTCCCAGCTGAATATGATAGCCGTGTTAAAGCTATGGAGGTCGACGAGAAGCCTACGGAGAAGTACACTGATGTCGGTGGATTGAGCAAACAAATCGAAGAGCTTGTGGAGGCTGTTGTGTGGCCTATGCAAGAAGCGGAGAAATTTAAGAAGATTGGCATCAAAGCACCGAAGGGTAGGTTTACCATAAATAGAGACTAATTTTGTTACTAATAGTGCTTGACTTTAGGTGCTCTTATGTACGGACCACCCGGTACGGGTAAGACGTTACTAGCTCGTGCTTGTGCAGCTCAAACGAACGCGACATTCCTCAAGCTTGCCGGCCCACAACTGGTACAGATGTTTATCGGAGACGGCGCAAAGCTAGTCCGTGACTGCTTCGCTCTCGCAAAGGAAAAAGCCCCCTCAATCATCTTCATTGACGAACTCGACGCCGTTGGCACAAAACGATTTGATTCTGAAAAATCTGGAGATCGTGAGGTGCAAAGAACCATGCTTGAACTTCTTAATCAGCTAGACGGTTTCGCCTCGGATGACCGTGTCAAGGTCCTCGCAGCCACAAATCGTGTGGACGTCCTCGACCCTGCCCTCCTTCGATCAGGACGACTTGACCGAAAGATTGAATTCCCTCTTCCCAACGAAGAAGCACGTGCCCAAATTCTGCAGATTCATTCCCGCAAAATGACAACAGACGACGGCGTGAACTGGGCTGAATTGGCACGCAGCACAGACGAATTCGGAGGCGCCATGCTCAAAGCGGTCTGTGTAGAGGCTGGTATGATTGCATTGAGAAAGGGTATGAACAAGGTCAACCATGAGCATTACGTGGACGCTATTGCGGAGGTACAATCGAAGAAGAAGGATACAAATATGGGAATATACGTTTAGTCTTTCTCCTACCACTCCTGTTCCCGGATTTTGTTGTCATTTCGTCTTTGCAGCATGATTCATGCTTGTGTGCAAAACAGATTTTTCTAGAGAATAGCATCATACATATTCATCCTACTCCATGTTTGTAGTTTAACAACGTCAAGGTATGGATAATTAAGAGTAGACCTTTTTTCTTCTTAATAGCCGTACATCCATGGATCGACAAACGAAAGCTATACGCAAAAGTCGGAAAGAAAGAATATAGACATACACAGGAATACAATATGAATAAGAAAAGCAAAGAAAGTATGTCAAAAGTTTCAACCCGAATTTAGTAAACAAGTGATCTCGATCCCAATTATTCGAATCAGCCAACGCCGCATATGTTCAAGGTTATGTACCTGAGTAAACGAAAAGAAAAAAAAGGGTATACAAATAAAAGCCGACAAGAAACAGAATATAATTACTCAATATGCAGGAGAGAAAAGAAGGTGATAAGTGAGTAATGTATATACCATAAAGTCAAGAGAGAGCTAAAAGAATCTCTTAACATCAATAACGTCCATACTATGCTGTCGTTCGCGCTCAAAATGCATCCACCAATCCTTGGGATGTCCTGAGTTCCATGCTCCGTTACACGTATCTCTTCCCCAGGGGGAATTGGTCGTTGCCGGGGTGAAGGAGTATGTTATTGGGGTCGTGGGGAAAGCCGGTGTTGTTGGTGACGGTATCATTGCCGCTGAAGCAGACGATGTTGAATTATTATTACTATTATTATTAGAGCGAGAGCCAAAACTCCAGCTCGCTAGGCGGGATGCTGTTGATGTTGTGGGTGAGACGATGGAATCCGTTGTGCTGAGGTCACTTTCGCTTCGTTTCAGGTCTGTCGGACTCGTCGTTGAGGAGGAGGATGAGTAGGATGTATTGTGTGTCGAGAATGATTGTTGTTGTTGGTGTTGGGCTGTATTGCTGCTACTCATTTGTACGGGGCCAAGCAGATGCTTCCATCCAAGCAGACCTCCATCTGAGTCGATGCCACGAACATCCGGTTGGAGATTGAAGCGTGGTATTGACCCGAGTCCGGCTTTATCGTGAGGCATTACGGCACGCACAATGCCCATGATTGCCGGCATGCGGAATTCAAAGACTTTCTTATGTCCATTTGCATCCAGATTGTCGGCGGGCTCTGTTGAGAACTCTGGATTTTGGACTCCTGGATAGGCACCTCCGAAGAGATCTTTGCTTGCTTCATCTTCATCGTCTGAGCCATCGTCTGATTCGTCGCCTTCCAAGGCGCTATCGGGGACATATGAATCGGAGTGATCAGTCACAAGCACCTTCATACCAGCCTCGCTGTCCTTTGCGGCCATGTCTATAAATGTCTGGGCCCGGATCCGGGCTGATGTCAAATTGTTCCCAGCCGGCAAAGCCAAGGGTCGTGTGCTGACTGAACCGTGAGAACTTCGTGGTAGACTGTACCGATCCGATGGAATCAAAGCCTGTCCGTGGGGTACAGGTCGACAAACAGACTGGAGAATACCGGGTGGCTCAATATCTGAAGGAGCTCGCAGCTCTGTAAGATGGGGAAACCCGGAGTAAAGAATGCTCTGAGCTAGATGGAAATTCGGCGAATCGTGTGATCTATGAGGCATCACAAAGGGTAGGGAGTCCAACAACTTGCCTAGTCCAGCTGCAGAGTCGGGTCCAGTCACGTCCCAATGCAGTTGTTTCAGGCTCGCTGATGCAAGAATGGGTTGAAAGATCATGGCTTCAGGTGGAAGAATAGGCAACCGTGTTGACTGGACGAAATTGAATTTTTCGAGCGTCCTCAGGGACGCAAAAATCTTGGAAATCACCAAGAGAGAACCAATATTCTGCTCAATCAATGTCAACGAACGAATTGTGCGTGCTTCTGGTCGTGATACGTATTGTGCTATACCTCCGTCTGTGACTCCTCGCAGGTTCTCCAGACGTAACGACTCAAGTGGCGGTAAGAACTGAAGAGTACGATCCGTGAAAGCGTCGGCATCAAAAGAGGAAATACACAAATTTCGTAGAGCAGGAAGACGGTTAAACACTCTTAAGAATATGCCATGCTCAAGTACACCGCCCATGTTGAGTGAATGGAGCATAAGAGTTTCCAAATTGCTCCAACACGAATGGTAGTGAAGGAATTCAAAGGCTTGCTGCGGCTCGAGAGACTTTCCCGGTGTTCTCGTTATCTTCGTCGGCGATGCATTCCTTGGTGTCTCGTTGGCAGTCGAACTTGTGCTATCAACCGGCTCTCCAAGAATCCATTGGTGCTCTTTAAGCCGTTTCCTCGTCGACAAAGCATACGTCAAACGATCAAATTCATGATGAAACGACATATTGAACCCGAGCAGACGTTCCAAATTCGGACAGACCATGACAACAGAGGCTACCAAGTCACGATAGTCCTCCCACTGTGGATTCATCTTGCCATTTGCCGCGGTTGGAGAAATATCTACCTCAGGGATTCGCAGTTCAAGGACCAAATTCGCTAATAACTTTCGTTCTCGTAACGTGCGCCTTAACAGTTTCAGTCGACTGCCGCGTTTGAGTCGATATTTCTTCAATTGCGCTGGTGAATCGGAGCCGTGAATGTGGATATAGTTATACCTGAGAATACTTAGCACATAGAAACCAGAAGGGAGCAGTTGACAGTATAGCATACAGTTTACTCCTCACATTCCTCTCCCAAGTCCGGCTTGTGAGGGCCAAGGCATGTAAATCTCGTTGGAAACATGTCGTGCAACCATACTGATAATTCTCTGGCGCTTCATGCAAATCCTGCAATTGTCTCAATATACAATCATACACTGCCGGCGGCAAGAATTTGATGGCGGGCTCATTCGGCTGACGTGATGACGACGGTAAGGACAAAAACACAGGAGGAATAGTCGGAGTAGGAGGAGGCTGCTGCTGCGAGTCGACGGAGTGCTGCCTAAATCCTCGATATGAAGCCTGTTTGGGGGAAGTAGGAGAATAGACGGTTGGCGGAGTAGTGCTGTATGTGCTGCTGCTATAGTTACTGGTATATGAAGAGACTGATGCAGACGAGCTTCTCCGAGGAGGAACGTCTTGGATTGCAACGGAGTACTTTTGGTCGTAGTCGGAGGCGTTTTGGAAAGTCACGGGGGCTCGTTGGGATGTTGCTGTTATGACACTCATGATGAAGGAATGTATGAGGTGAGTATATAAATAAATAGCAATCAATCAATCAATCAATCAATCTCGTTTTCCGTATTCCCTTTCTATCTTTTCCCTCTCTGAGATTGTCTGAAGGATTTCTCTTTGTTTCCCAAACGAGACGCTCCGCAGACTGCTTGAAGAATCGGTATAAAGGAGTGACTGGGTTGAAACCGAAACAGAGGACCTCGACAGAAGCAGAGTTGCAAGCAACCACAGCACGAAGGAGGGACTAAGAGTGTCTGTCGTCTCCGTCTCTTAAGTCTTAACAGATCAACAACGATCAACAACAAGTATGGTTAGCTGACGGAGCGGGCTAAAGATTCTTAGTGGGTAATACAAAAGGGCGAATGCGGCTGTGTGATTGGCTCGCATTGGGCAACCTTAATGTCCGCCCCATTTCGGCTCAGGGCGGTTACTTTTATGTCGTCGAATGAGATACAGCTACGCTGTGAACTGATATCCAATAAACTCATTAATAAGTGATTACAGAGTCAGACACAATAGCTTCATACGTAACGTAGTCATAAGCGACATGCAGCTGGTTGTAGACAGAGTACGAAATAGGAGAATGAGTACGCAATGTATGGAGTTCAGGGGAAGCGGAGCTCTTAGACCCTCGTGTACATCGGCTAAGCCGGGAGAGGACTAGTACGGAGGGTACACCATGCATGTATTCCACGAGTGCAAAGTATCCTCTGCCTTCACAGTTCCTGCTTGAGTACGGTCGCTTGTAGTAAGTACTCAAGGACGTATTCCTTAGGGAGTAGTGATTTTCGACTTAGGAGCATAAGATCTGAGTCCATCGATGTGTTCAAGTCTAAAATCAGAAAATCGCATTCGAGAGCTCATCACCAGCAACAGCCAATAAAAAGTTGCTAAGAGCCAAGGCTCTCCACATTATATATCAAGAGCATTCTGATTGGTCAAGCTATTCAGACAAAAGCCGCGCCAAGACCGCGCGAACCGGTGGAGCTTATATGTTAAGCCTAAACTGGTTAGTGACTATCGCTAAGAGAGTTCTCTTGGTGGTTGCTCCTTCAGGCCTAGCATCAAGGCCCCCTGAACTTCTATATACTAGTACATAGTAACTATGTGAAACATTGTTCCACAGTCAGTGCATCCGACTCCCGAGTCAAAGACAAGAAAAAACAATCCTATTCATCTACAACTCATGATCTGATTCGACAGGTTCATTGTATTGTTGCCGTGCATAGAATATCATTGGGTGGTATACAATGGAAAATTCTCCGGGTGTACGTACCTTCACCCCTTCAATTTTAATTCGACAATTCGATATCGACATCGCATCGCTCGTATTCGGTCGTCTCCTCGTACATCAACTTTGCCACCCGGACTAGATCGTGCGTGTGTGTGGCTTGACGCCTGCAGCATATCAAGACTGGGGTAGAGATGAAGACTATTCTTCTGATTGCATGGAATACCCAGTCATGTCCTTCTAGAAGCCATACAACATTTCTTTCAAAACACCAGTTAAATTAGGAATACTCCTTTGATTGCCATAAAACTACCATGCAGAGAGGAAATGTACATGATCTCCAGGGGGTATGCAATTGAGAATATATGAATCGGTCGAGTAGCAGAAGCTCGCCGGTGCTAATACTAATAACGCCAGACAAAAGTCACGTTGATGATGATATAAGGAAATGAGCAGACATGATGATAATAAGAATGATCAACAGACATTGGTAATAATAGAAGCGGCAAAGGTCTCTGCACGTCACGACCGACATGATAGAATGGAATCACCAGGTAGAAAAGGAAAATATACGCCCGCGTTGATATGAAAGCATGTAAAGACATGAGTGTCCAAGTTCATCCAGATCCCGTACGTTGGACAAGATGACATTTCAACAAGTCGGTTGGAAATTCTTGCCATCTTGTAGACGTGTGGAAGACATATCACTCACCCAATCTTAAACAAGAACGACAACCACACAGCGATGACCCGTGGCAAAAGATATTGAAAGAACATTCGTCCGCCCTTCAAGGATGAATGGGAAATAACCAAGTATATGCAATGATGACTCCAAAAAAATGGGAACCGTAAGAGGGAATCAACAAAAACCAACAGGCATGCATCAACCACACATGAAAGAAACAGACTAAATGTCAAAATTGTTAAAGACACCGCCTTCTCCTTCCCCAGTCTTGACAACTCCACTCATGCGGCGATCCGTCGAGTCCACTGATCGTTGCGGGCGATGCCAAGAGTCATCTTCTTTGATATCCTCGTCCATTCGGTCGGCGCTGTTGTCCTTGAGGTGGTGATCCATAGAACTCTCGTTCACAAAGGTGAAACCCTTGAAGTTAGCTTGCATGCCAGGTGAAAGAGGCGTAGAACCAGGCATGAGGCCATTGGCCAATGCAGCCGCGCGGTCGTTCAACGACGTGGAGTGGTCGAGAGCAGTTGTGAATTCAGGATCAAAGTTGGAAGTGTCCGACTCCGACTTGAGCTTCGGCTTGAAAGGAGGAATAACCTCTTTCCGGCTCAGGGCTTGCCAGTCGATATCGTGGAAGAACGGATGAGCAATCAACTCTTTAGCATCGTCCTTGGCTCCCAGCCGGTGCTTGGGGTTGCGGTTGAGCAATCCCTTGACGAAATTACGTCCTTCGGTGCTTAATGCATCTCGCGGGAAACGAACCTTGCCAAACGCGATGTTCTTATACATCTGTTGCGTATCCTCCGCGTAGAACGGACTCCAGCCGCAACACATCTCAAAGACAAGCACGCCCAAAGACCAGAAATCAACCATCTTGGTGTAGCCTTGCTCATCCAATAGAACTTCAGGTGCCAGATACTCGGTAGTACCGCAGAACGTGTTTGTTGTGTCATTCTTGGTGAGATTGGCTTTGGATAAGCCAAAGTCGCAAAGAGCAATATGTCCATTCGCATCCAGCAGAATATTCTCAGGCTTCAAGTCACGGTACACGATATCATGATCGTGCAAGTGTTGCAACGCGAGGATCAGCTCTGCAATGTAGAACTTGGCTCGCGCTTCCTGGAATCGGCCTTCCTTTTGAAGATGCCAGAAAAGTTCACCTCCAGACATGTAATCCGTAACCAAATAAAGGTCTGTGGGAGTCTGGAAGGAGAACTTGAGACCGACAATGAAAGGTGACGCTGCCATAGCCGTTCGAACAAGGATATTTCGCTCGCCCAATGTGTGCGCGACCTCCTTCTTTTGGATAATGACCTTCTTAGATAAGACTTTCATGGCGTAGATTCGCTGAGTATCCTTTTTCTTGACCTGGTAGACCTGACCGAATGTGCCTTTTCCAATGAGCTTCAGGATCTGAAAATCGTTTGGTCCAACCTGTTTTTTCTCGGTTCTCTCAAAATGCATTTCCAAATGAATCTCTCCAGAGACTTGAAAGTCCCCTTGGCCTCGAGCCGTTAGAGGAAACCAGCCCTCTAAGCTAGAACGCTCTTCTCGTAGATTGAGGCTCATTCGGACATGGCCTAGGAACGCTTCTTGGTTGTAACGATCGTAAACAGAAATATCAATCTCAGATTGTTCACCCATCACATCACTGCCATTTTTTTTAAAGTTAGTATATACTAGGATTGAAAATTTGATCCAGAGGAATAAGAAGCACGCACAATACTGCCTCATGGTTCCATTGAGGGTCCGTAACAGGTGCTCTGCCCTTCAAGTCCACGTTGTCCAGTTGACTGTTGTGACTACTCTGCCGACTCTTCATAGGAATGGCCATTGGCCGGCCCGAGTCATTGTCTAGATAGTCCTTGTCGCCAGCCCTGCCTTCAGGAGACTGTGCAGCGCTCTGGGTACCTTTCGAGATATACTCGTTCCATTCGAAGACACACACAACGTACGGATCAGTGCTGGGACGCAAACCCCTGGCGCGGGAGATTTTGACGGACAGCTTTCCCTTGAGAGGCGCCACTGCCGGGCCATCCGACGATGACCCGCCGTCACTTGATTTACCATCAGAATCTTCCGGAGTTTCGGTGCGGCTTTGACGCTGATTCGACGAGTTCGAAGGAGCCGACGTCGAGCCGTTGGATTGTCTATCAGACGACATACTATTATCATTCGACATGGCCCGTGGTGTCAAGGGCGGGGTATTCTTTAGATGTGAAGGATTAGCCGCGCTCTCAGTCAGCTTGGCAAGGTTCTCAGAAGATTTAGATATGTGGTAGGGCTTTTCGTGGTCCAACAGGGGAACTGCCGGCGGAGGTGGAAGATCTGAAGCGTCAGGGAGGGATGGATTGGAGAAATGAGATGCAAGAACTGGGTCGTCAGAGATGCTGGACACCGGGTCACATGTGGGAGGCCGTGAAGAATGTAGTTCGGAGGCATTATTGTTCGACGATGTCGAGGACATGTAATCCTTCAGCGCAGAATAAATGGAGACGGCAGTTTTCTCGGTGGTAGGCGCCGTACTCTCCATTTCCTCCATGTCCTTCTGTGATAATGAACAAGCAGACGAGTAAGGGGGGGTAGGGAGCGATGTGGGTTTGGAAAAGGTCTCTGTAGTCTCGGTCTTGTCTTGGTTTTCGAGATGCTTTTCTGTAGCATTCGCACCAGATGACGGAGAATCACCAGAGCCACCGTCCACATCAGGTTTCACAGTCTCAACTTTCGACTGCATATCTGACTCCGCGGTAGTAGCATTCGCAACAGAAGTAGTAAAAGAACCAGATAACCGTGCTTTGAGAGAACTCAGTGGGAAAGCAGAGTTACCAACCTGAGAGAAATAGTGGATTATAGAAGGCAAGCGTTTATCCGCTGGGTCAGGCTGAGGGGTGATAATTCCTGACGGGGTCGAGCCGTTCGAGCCAATGATGTTGTCTGGATGGTCATCCTCGTGTGCAGCGCCGCTATAATTGAAAGTGGTTAGCCTCGAAGTAAGAAAAAGAATCAGGCATGATCAATCCCGTGCTCAACAGGCGAGCACATCGCCTCCCATTGCCGACCAGCATGTGTTCCGCCACATCTTTCCAAGAAAGATCTCGATCGACCGTGTAGGACACCGAACGACTTGGATCAGAAAGCACAGCAGTAAAATTTCAGAAACGAAAGCCGGAAACAATTTCGAAGCATATGAAGTTGCCTCTGAGCGTTCTCTCTCTTTCCCGGGTTGACAAGAAGGAAGCTCTCTATGTGGACCCGACGACTTCGTAGTGATGTAGGAAAGAATGTCAAAAGGAAAATGCTCAAACTCACTTCTGTAGTACAGCCTGCCTCATGAGGTCGGCATCGGAATGCGGGTTGATTCCGCCTGGTGCAGCCATGATTATCTTCCCATCCGATCACTGTCGGCGTGTCCTTCTCGATTCCAAGAGACGCTTGGTTGTCCAAACCCGAACGTCGACTTGGGCCGCGTTTACGGATAAACTAGATTCTGAGGTATTTATTGTGGATTTCGCAACAGTAAAGACCTAGCAGACAATAAATAATATAAAGGATGTGAAGGAGCGTGAGCTGAGTGGGAAGAGTTGGTTGACGCCGGTAATAATGACCTAGAGATGCGGGATGATCGATCGTTTCGGTGGACTCGTCTGCGGGTCTAAGCCTCAGATGTGAACCAGGTAGGTACGGTTGGACGAAGTACAGAGTACACACCCCGGGAGTGACGCGAAACGGTAATGAGACCCAGTTTTTGAGCGCAGTCGACCAGCCCGCTCGGACTCTTGAAACGGGCGAGGAGGAAGAACGATGTTGAATATAATCGAGGTGGGTGTCGGAGAGGAGAAGATGAGAAGGGGAGGTGGAAAAAAGAAGGAAGGATGAATAATAATTGACGGTATTAAAGCTGAAGAGAAATACGGTACCATTACGCAGCAATTCAGGTAGCGTTAGTCCGTACTTGGTTTGGTCCCCCCGCCCACGAAGGCAAGAGGTAACCTCATTTGTGTGGCTGCGTAGATGTGCATCGTGGGAAGGAACCCACCGCAACAGATACCAATACCCAGCCATTACCGCCTAATACATACACAATACACATTACATACAGAGTACACGCTCTCTATTGCTTCCCAGGCTCAATCCAAAGAGGATGGAGTATTCCTACACATATACAGAAATACATCTACTCACAATTTAAGCTTCAGCCTATGTACTGACTCCTCTCTCGTTGTTTCTTCAAACTGTGTGGAACAAAATCACAGACCGGCCTCGGGAAGCGCCGGGGCAAGACCCAACCAGCCTACAAAAAAGAAACAGTCGGTAAAAACGACCGGACTTTGCCAAACTCTTTTTGACGCTCTTTTCCGGAACAGTCACCACAGACTTCCAGGGAAAAGAAAGACAGTATCCTCCTTTGGTTTCATATACAGGTAGAGAGTGCGACCGCTGGAATCATACAAGTTTGTCTGAAAAAAATGGACGAACGGAGTCGGTAACATACATCCTTCGGTCAGTACGTACATGGCTGTAAAAATCTCTCGGTGTGTCCCAGGTGAAATGAGGCAAATTATCACCAGAAACAACGCGGTTATGGTGGAGCTCAGGAATGGGGACTTAACCAGCGCATCAAGCCAGTCCTGCGCCTTTCCAGTGTCCACATTTTGCCATCTTTCTTCACGGCCCCATAGTGGCAGGGTCCCTTTTATCGGCCTGACCAACTGGAAGATAGTAGCCAAGGATGGCGTCGGTGGTTCTTCTCCTGAAACCATAATGAATGGCATTGAATGCCATATGGGAAAAGAGGGGTTGGTATGGGAATGGTAACGAAATAGATTCCTGACGCCCTGTTCTGAGCGAGCGAGTACTTGCGGGAAATTATTGAGATGAGCACCAAAAATTGGCAAGGAATTACGAGCCACTTGCGGCACAGCCAGATAAGGAAGCTATTGCAGGAAACGGTGCGAATACATACATATACCACGGACATGCCGACATATCGTGCCCCTCCTCATGCTCCTCACTGATAAGCTATCGAGAATGCAATACAACAATTGCTATGATAATCTGTTTGCTCATGACATGAGTGGCGTTTCTAAGTTATCTCGGGGTTCTGTGATTGCTACAGTAGCAAACCTAGTTAACTAAATACAGTAGTAGTTGCTCGACATTTGAGAGCAATACTCCGGCAATACATGTAGAAAGTTATTCGGATCGATCAAAATGTATTAACCTACCTAGATATCTAGCCTTCTAGAAATTCTCGGCATCAATGTAACTTTAGCGCGAATGACTTGGCTTAGTAAGTTAGATCATACAAGTACAAATGTCTCATCTACATGGGAATGGTATATTGACTATTATGTTGATTCTCCAGGTACAGGTAGAGCTCGCTTTGACTCCGAATATGCATCCCTACTTGCATGTGTAGGGGGCGGTCGGAGATATCTTTCGGGATATCACCATAACACAATACAAGCCTGTTCATTGTAGGTCAAAACCTGGATAGCACTGCCAAGATATGCCCGAATATGGACAGCGTACATGCTGTCCTGATTGAAGAGGGAATCCACCTAATTTGACATCGAATCTAAGGTCCCGATTCAAGATGTCCGAAGACATGACGGTCGTTGAACACAGACGTCCCAAGTTTCAGCTGAACTGCAAAGACATGGTGTTGCGTGTAAGGGTTCGTACTATATCAACCTTGTGATTGATCCGATGTCAGAAGGTATGCTCAGACCACTACCTAGATCGGTATATGCTTGATTCTTCCCCGCCAAAACAAAGGCCGATATGGCCATAGACAGAAGTCAGGGCGGCAAGGTGTTGACAGTTTGGCCGGTAATTATTTCCGAGTGCTTGACCTTAGCCTGTACCTGTTTTCGATTCTGCTTCCCTTTTCTGACCCTGGTCATCCTGACCCCGGACCAGAGTATGTGTCACATATAGAATATGCACTTGCGGACAGATGACACACCCTTGAATACAGACTTACCCTATCGATGCAGCTCGGTCGAAAATCATTTAGATGGTGAGAGGATATAACCCTAGTTTTGACTCGGTTGCCTGGTAGCATGCATCTCTTGAGATCGAGGTAGGAGTTACCCCGATCCTTCCGCAGCACTGAACTATTCATCATATATCTAGGTAAAAAGGCGCTGGAATCATCAAGTGACGAGTCATGGTTAATCGTTCAACGGGAACTTATTCCAGAGATCATCCTCTCCTTATGTGCCGTGATATCACCGGTGCATTTACCTCCCTGAGTAGGTAAGCCTCGAGATAACAAGGTACGAATCTATCCCGAGTATGCCCATAGCTCCCCCGGGAAGTTAACTAATAGCTGCTTACAAAGGAAATGATCAGCTTGCCAACGTCATTAGAGGTACGTACACATGTCAAATCTGAAAATATGTCGATGAAAAAGAGAATACATACATATTCATGTTAGAGAGGAAGGGACGAATGGAAAGGCTCCAAGAAGCGCATCTAATGCGGACTAAGAACAACGACACCTCAAGACTAAGGCATACAGGCGTACGGACCCCTGTATGTTTTGTACCACGACTCAGCTTGAGGGAATTGTGGAGTTATATGATGTACATATACCATGTAGTCAATCTTAAGCGTGCAATAATATAGATAGATGATACTCCGTTAGTTGTTAGTCGCTTCGAGGGACATTATTTCTGCTGACGCAGGTATCAATTCAGACTAAACAGATCTGCACTGACGTCACCTGTAGTTGGCGGTGTGGAACGGAGTGCGGAACCCATCGGAATGAGATCTCACAGAAGGCGGAATAGAATGTTCGATCTAAAGGAAACAATGGGACAGGAAGTAGGGCTTAGGGTAGTAGGGCTAGGGCTGGGAGAGTCACGTCTGTCTTCGATCTGCAGTTCTGCACTAGTCTCAGAGAGGTATGGTCATTTATCACGTGATATAATATGGAACAACGTAAGTCCGGGACCTGCGCGCGAATCTATGTCGTCGGGGATTCCGCGACGCATCAGTCAAGAAGTCCAACCGCAGATTAGGAAGCTACGGTTGACGGCACGCTTCTACCCAAGAGCTCCTTCCCAGATGGCTCGGAAACCAAGGGCAGCTGCACAAGCAGCTGCTCAATCGATGCGTACGTTTAATTTTTCCATTGCTGTTTTCACCTACTTCCTGCGGCAATAAAAATTCATTCATCAACAATCAAGTATCAAAAACTAATGGATATTTCAAAATGTCAGGAACGGCACCACCAAGCTTGCCTGATATCTCTGATGAAGAAATGGTAGATGCGCCGCCATCCAGAGATCCGAGTGCCGAAGTCGAAACAGCTGAGAATCAAGACGATGGCCCTGATGTCGAACCAGAGCCAGAACAAGATCCAGAAGCCGAACCAGAACAAGTGCAAGCGCAAGAGCAAGGGCAAGGGCAAGATCCAGACCAAGACCAAAAGCAAGGGCAGGAGCAGGAGGGTGCAGAAGAAACAGGTGAAGCACAGCCAGAATCCAACGCAGAGCCCAAACCTGAAGGCGTGTCAAGTCCAGCAGTGCAAGATGAAGATACTCCATCAAAGTTCAGTGGTACCCCTCGTGGAGGTGGTCACCTAGCTGGATATCCTCGCAAGCGTCGTCCAGGTCGACCGCCCAAAAATCCCCGACCAGAATGGGATCTTCCTGACGATGGGTCGGAGCAGAAGATTGTAGTCACAACACCCGTAAAGAGAAGACGAGGTCGACCTGCTGCAAGCGGAGGAAGATGGGGTCGTCGAGGTGGATATCCTCATGTGACGCAGGTGGCTGTCGATAAGGAGGGCACAATGATGGATGTTGTGAACGATGAAGTGGCTCTACCGGATATTGAAGAAGGGGAAAAGAAGGTCGACAAGATGGGTCGTTTGTTGGGCGGAAGAGAATACCGAGTGCGCACATTTACCATTCTCAACCGCGGAGAAAGGCTGTACATGTTGTCTACCGAACCCGCGCGGTGTATTGGGTTCCGAGATTCATACTTGTTCTTCCAGAAGCACAAAATGCTGTACAAAATCATCATTGACGACGACGCCAAGCGCGATTTGATCGAAAGAGATATTATCCCCCATTCTTACAAGGGAAGGGCGATTGGCGTCGTAACGGCGAGGTCTGTGTTTCGAGAATTCGGGGCGAGAATTGTAATTGGTGGACGCAAGGTTATTGATGATTATGATGAGAAGGCCGCTCTTGAACGTGGGGATGTCGAGGGTGAACTAGCTGTACCCGAGGACAGACTACCACCTCCTGGAGAGCCGTACAACAGAAACCAATATGTCGCGTGGCACGGCGCAAGTGCTGTCTATCACACGGGCGCACCGTCTGTTCCATTGCCTGTCGGGAAGGCCGTTGATCCAAAGAAGCGCAAAGTGGCTGTGACTGGAGACAACTGGATGATTGAACACGCTAGAGAAGCTAGGTAAGGAAGCCCTAATCTTATACCGCGAAAGAGTGCTAACCGTTGCATATAGTCGGTTCAACTCAGTTCTTGCGAATGTGCGACGAGAGAACTTGGAGGGTGTTTACGATGTTCACACTAACTACATGCAATATCCTAAGATCATGCAACCGACACATGCTCGATGGGAAAGAGTTGCTCCGTCTGACGATTCGAAACCTTCCAACCAGCTTGTCGAAGACATGTCTGCGCTACAACTCATCAGTGATAATACGCCTAGAACCGATGACGACGATGGTGTTGATAACAATAACGAGAACGCTACCGAATCAACCGGAAAACAATCATCACAGACTACTCCAGCAGCTTCAATACTACCTCCAGTGCCAGAAATATTCACCCGGCGTTTTGCCATTGCAGATATAGTTTACGAGACACCCGAAACAAGCACACTCGGCCGTCCAGGTCCGGACGGTGATGTTCAGGACGTGGGATACAATGGAATCATCAGCATGGCCAACCCTCAATACCCGGAGTTTGTCAGCCCTGAGATATTTGCCGAGCTTCCGCCAGAGTGCAAAGAGGCATTGGTCGAAGCGGCAATGAAAGAGTACACATGGAAATCCAAATGGCGCACCGAATCGACGGACGGGCTTAGAGGTCAATTTCTCCAGAGCTATAATTGGCACCCATGATTTGTCTCTAATGTATTATTTCAAAGACGTGGCGCAGCTTATGGATTCCTATATGGAAATGGACATGCGTTGGGGAGTTTTGTTTATTTCTTTCATTCGTTGATCTGGGCAGGAGATTCGCTTTCTTTCGAGCAAGATTACTACTCAAATTAGGGTTGGCTATTTTGGTATCTGATAACGAATAATAATATAGGAAGGTAACTATCATGCTTTTTATCTTGGGACATGACCGGGACCAAGGCATCCATACAGATACTCCATATATATCCTTCTGCCTGCAACCAATAGTTAATTGCCGGTTGCATAAATCACTCATCTAGGCAGGTACACACATGGACGAAGGGGATGACTCATTTCTATTACAGATTTGATAGCACTAGTTTGCTTCTGAGCAAGTTTAGTTGGTACATTCTACTCCGTTGTGAGGGGTATATCGGCCATCGTCGGGTATCACAGTCTGCATGGTAGTTGACTTGCATGGTTAGTCGCCATGTATAAATGACCATGTAGATAGTGGTGTCACTTCCAGGTTGTGTTGCCCCGTTAGTATTACTCTTGGAGAATGAAAGACTGAGAATGTCACGATGAGGGACAGGTTTGAGAATGTAGGCATTAGCCCTAACTTGTCTGAAGCTTCCACTGGAGACCGATGACCCCGCCATGCAATCAATTGAAGTACGTACTAAGCAATCATGATTATGTAGTCATTTGAAGTAACTCGATCGAGAGGGGGCAATCCCGAAATGTCATTACATATTGCTCCCATGCGTAGGTACGTAGTCAGATTATCATGTACTGGTCAATACATAAGTCGGTCTGGTACCACGGAGGAAATATGTTACAGATTCGTCTGGACTCTGGAACAAAAGGCAAGTTACGTTCGTAATCCAATTGGAATATTTTGATAGTACGTACTTCCGTATGTAGTAGTACGGTTTGCCTCTACATATACAAAAATGAGATCATCAGAAAGGAAGTGGTGATTGGAGAACAGTGAGTAAGAGTCAGTCAGCAAGCAACGTCATTCCGCGACGGACGGAGTATCGCTACATAGTCTTTATTGGATGCCGAGTATGGGGCGAGCTCTGAAATTGAGCAAATCAATTGCTCGATATATATATATATATCTCGACTCAAAATAGGAGAATAGAATATCGCAGAAGTCATTCGGCTTTTCAAGCAAAGCGGCCCAAAAAAGTCAGATCTCCAAATTGTGAACAGTGAACGAAATTATCGAAAAATTGCTTTTCCTATTTTGGCCAAGTGCAGCAGAAGGACGTCACGATAGCCAATGAGCGTGTCTGTTTGTATGTAATTATTGTAATCAAAATACAGAACTCCTCGTGGCAAACCCGGAATAAGCCCAATACTAAAAGGCTAGGTGGAGCCTTTTTGTTCCGTCAGCAACCATCAGAAGTACCGATACTGTAATGCTCTTTTCTTTACATTTCATCTGTCGAATGTGTACAGACTTGAGGGTCTGTTGTGCCATTTGTCCTATGAATATATTGCATTATATTGACAAATATCAATATATCATGAATAGGCTGGTCATGTCTGAGGCGATATCCAGGAAAAGTCACAGCCGAGTCAAGCCACTAGCTAACCAACAGCGTCACCTGCCATCTGGCATCCGCCATCCCATATGCATTGCTAGCTACAGGCTCGGTCAAGACTCAGAAACGATAGCAACCTCAAATCAGAATCATGTGTTCAACGGATAGTGCCCACTCGACTTACTAAGTATATAGCCATATATAGCTTGATTGCCTGTGCAACGGTTGCCTCACACACCTGGCTAGGTAACCATGATATTGATAATTGAACGAATACTCGATCGGTCGAAATGATCCATCACCGTGACTACATCAGAAGGCGAAGCAATCCTTTGTATAGTCGGACCAAATCAGATCAAAGGGGCGCTTGACTCATAGTTTGCAGGCTAGTTTGCCAAGCACCAGTTAGGTTCGTACGTAGACTCGTAGAGTATGGAGTAATGATAGAGAGACGAAAATAAATCCGTCTAGCTGGGGCCTCTCACAAAACAAATCACAACACGTAGGAGCGAAACGGTGTTTCAGCTGTAATACACTGTACGTATCGTATTACGCACCGGCACTTTCCGCCGTTGTCCCCGGCGTCTGGCCTGAGCCCCATTACTAATGATGGCCTGTATTGGAGTGTATCGCCGTTACCTCGGATCCCCCAACAGTGCAGCCAAGTGTGCCTGCTGCTGGTAACAAAACCGTAAATACGCAGTCCACACACACCAAATGACTGGTTGCCCCTTCCCCTGCAACACTCGAGACAATTAATTCCTCTCTCGCTTTCTCCTTCCCTCTCCTACCTCTACCTCACCTCACCTCACTCTACCTCACCACCATCCTCCTTACTTCTCCTTCTTGATCAAAAGTCACTGGAACCCTTCGAATCTTTTTCAATTTTATCTATTTTTTCGACGAGCTTTTCATTAAGTGTCGCCGAACCAAAAAAAAAAATTTCTTGGTGGTTACCTTTTCCCCAAAAATCTCTACCAAATTTTCGTCGCGGCTATTCTTTGGACTAAAGATCATCAACTCAAAACAGAAAAGCAAGCACTTGTGTAGTGCTTTCTTTTCTTCTTTCGATTGCTATTTTGCTATTGTTTTCTGTACCGTTTACCAGCGCGTTTACCTACGATTTAACGTTCAAAAACCCGTTTGATCGGTCAGCCCTTTACGCGTTTGTCGTCCTGTCCAAACTCAATCGGCATTTTCAAAGGAAACAGAAAAAGGCCAACAGGACTCAAAACGATCGCAAGAATCAAAACGGTGTCGTTCTAAATCGCTAAAACATTCCTGCTCTCTTCGCTTGTCAGACTTGTGCCCGTCCCAACGCAGATTGATCAAGCAAACAACCTCCTACCCATGAGAGGCTATTAGGACTCGGCCTGTTCTTTCTTCAATACAGAGCGGCCGCTCATTGAGCAGCGCTCCCCGGGGTTCGGGTAGTGGTGGTAGTGTAGACGGTTGGTAGCCCTCCCAAAAAGCTCGATACGAGGAAGAAAATCAAACCACTTTCGTTTTCCTCTTGCTGATTCGTGACCTGGGACACTACAGCTTTGCACCGTCTGCTCTCCGCCGTGAACCATTCCTCTTCCTTCTCAATCATGCCGTCTTTCTACAACCCTGGCCTTCACGGCCTACCTCCTACTCCTCCCCATCTGCATGGGAACGGTAAAATGGAACTAGACCCTCCATTCTTCGTTACTGGTCATACCTCCTTCCCTCCACGATACCCCCAAACTGGCTGTGAATTCATCGAACAGTATTCCCAGGCAGCTTCCTTTGTCAAGTCGGCGTCGGTCAATTCTCACCAGATGATGCCGTCCGTTCGAGGCGGTCGCGACTATGCTGCAGCGCTTCATCAGCAGCAGCAGCAGCAGCAGCACAGTCTGGCTCAGTCGCAGTTGGGAGGACCTCAGTCTATCTATGGAGCAGTGTCGACTAACGTGCCAACTTTACCGCCCATTCGATCGAGCATGCACCTACCAGCCAATTCCGATACCGCGATTCCACCCCAATACCGTCGTCACGATGTCCACATTCCGGCAGAAACCCGCGTGAAGGAGGAAAAGCCTACTGGTGGAGTTGCTGCTCACCTCGATTACGAGATGGATCAAATGTCCGATTTCGTTGCCGAAACGGCCCAGGGAATGTATGCATTGTACAGCTCCGGAATCAATCTAGATGATATTGACATGCTTGGAAGCGTCTACCCAGGACAGACAATTGTGCCACCGCCATTCCGAAAATACGTTCACCAAATTCTTTCCTCGACGCGTCTCCCCAGTTCCACCATTTTGCTCGGTCTCTTCTACTTGGCTACCCGAATGCGTATGCTCTCTGCTAAGGGGATTTATGCGACTGGTACTGGACAGGTATACAGAATGCTGACCACGGCTCTGTTGTTGGGTAGTAAGTTCTTGGATGACAACACTTTCCAGAACCGTTCGTGGGCCGAGGTCAGCAACATCTCTGTGTCTGAACTTAACACCATGGAACTGGACTGGTTGTTTGCTTTCGAGTGGAAAATCCATGAACGTATTCACAACAAGAAAGATGGGTTCGGTGTTTGGTTGGCCCGCTGGGAAAGCTACCGGGCGACCATGGCCTCGCGAAACGAAGCACGTCAGAAGCTATCACCGATTGACACGAACATCACAAGGCAACTCACCGTTCCCAAACCGCTTATGTCTCCCGACGGTCCCATCCCACCACAGTATCAGCGAAGCAACACGTACGAGAACACTTGGTTGAACCCGACTGCATGTGAATATTCTCCTCCGTCTGCTCCCCACAGTGGTCCCAACACACCGGACTACTACAATGGCGGAACGTGGATGTACACTAACCCTCCACCTCCGTATACGCGTACTTGGGGCTCACAAGCGGAGTACACCTATTCTCACCCTCCCCGTTCGCAGCCACCATCTTACCATCATACGCCAGTGTACACTGCGCCTGTCAGCCATTCTGTGTGGACTGGCCACGGCTCATCCTGCGGCTGCACTTACTGCCTGAAGCATCATGAACATTATTTCAGCTGTCACACTTTTGGAGCCCTTCAACCAATGGTTGCTGGCTGATTTGCATATTCAGCGTCTCCGACGTTTCAAAAATTTTCTGTTGGACATTCTTCTCTTCGTTTCTGATTTTTATTGATTTGGTTTACTCATTTCCAATGTGCACTTTGAATGATTCGACTCGAAGCTTCGACGACGACTCTACCACTTACGTCAATTGTTTTTCTGATTTGTCTTTTTTCGAGCATGTGTCTCTAAAAGTGCTTGGGATTATTTCTATATTACGATTCATTTTCTTACAGTCATTGCCGGCAACTCGCCGCACTGAACAGCGGCACCTCGGCTTTTTCTTTATTTCATCTGTCTGCTCTTTGGAGCTTTGTTGCGCGCCCCCCTTTTCGATTCGAAAGTCGTCCAGAGCGCCAAAAGTTTCGCCAAAAGAATTTCACGGCTTACGACGTTTTTCTTCTTACTAGTACCCCTTTGATGGATTGGTTTGTTTTTCACCTTTGAATCTATTGCATGTTGATTGGCGAATATTACCCATAGAACTCGTTGTGATTTTTGTTTCCTCTTCTGAATTATCTTCGGAATGAGATGTTTGTAATTTTCATCTTTCGATCTGATTTTTCGATTCCAATCTCGAACAAATTGAGTTCACAAAGCGTCCATGTCTTTGATTTATCATGTGAGATTCCGTGTTCTTCACTTCTGATCTTTTTGTTTTTCAATTATCAGTCTTACCAGAAGAAACACCTTCCAAAAAAAGGCATTGATCATGTTTTTTAGTTCACTTCATGTCCCTTGCAACCACCTTTTCTTTGCAAAATGGCAAAATGGCAAAAAAAAAAACCTTTCAATGGGAAGAAACGGGACTTTTCTTTTATTCACAAAGACTTTTCAATTCTTGAGACAAACATATTTAGCATTGCTTGATTATTTTTGTCTAAGCGTTGCAATCAAACATAAAGCGATTATTTCCTTGTGATATTTTCCTTCCTTTCCTTGGTAATGAATGACAGATTATGGGAGTTTGCCCCCGTGGCTCTTTTTTGACACATTTTCAGTGTGGCATTAATCAAGTTTCAAGTCATGCTGCCTATGATGATTAGTGGTATGTATCATTGATAGATGTCTCTAACATATTGACTACAAGTCTATTGAAATGAAATAGATGAAAAAAATCATAACGTGATATACTGTCTATAAATTGCGAATAAAGATTGTATTTTTGCTTCGTAAGTTGAGTATCATGTCGTGGTATCATGAATTTGCTCCGTTACTGGGGCTGTTGTTTCAGTATACACTCCCAGAGACACTTTCCTCTTCCTTTCTTAATTTGTCAACTTCTGCTTCCCTTCCTTCTATGTCTGCGTTTGTATTGTCGTTATCCATGTTGTTGCTGTCATCATCATCATCCGCCATGTCGCCCAATGCATTCGCTTTACGCGGCGGTGCATGATAAGTACTCAATTTCTCAACACCAGTGCCGTTATTGTAGTGGTGATTATGTTGTTGATGATGGTGATGATTCTGATAAATGGCCTTTGTAGATCGTCGGGATCGTCGTGAGGTACCAGCTCCTTCGTCGTCGCCGTCGTCTTCGGCGTCTTGTACACTATGCTCCGGATGGGCGTTGTATTTGAGATTAGTGTTGCTGCCAACGATTGCGGGGAACGATTCGCTCTTCTCGGGGAGCATAGCGTCTGACTCGGAGTCTGATATATCTGCATTCTTCACGCCAATGGTCGAGTTGCCCCCGTCGCGGACGGCGAGATGGTGATGAGGGGTGTGTGCTTTGTCCTTGGAGGTATCTTGATCCGCGGCCGGGGAGAGCTCCAGAGCCTCACTCTCACCTGGTTCGCGGGGGTTGACAATACCGCCCAGGGAGATGTAAGATGGAGTCTGGTTGGGCGAAGACACAATATCATCGGGATGAGACTCAATTGTCAGATGAAGTTTCGATTTGTCGATATGAGTGATCGTCTTCCTATCTTTGAGAGACGGCATCCTCTTGAATGTTGACTTCTTGCGATCTGCAGACGGGCTATGTTTTCTTCCTCCATTGGCATCCGTTGTCTCGCCTCCATCATCGTCCCTGAATACATCAACCTCATCACGCCGCGTTGGACGCCATGTCGTCGATACCGCATCACCATGCGCACAACCATTAGGACAACCGCCCCATTTCCGAAGTACGGGCACTTCGGCCTCTGGTAAATGTCCCGGAGTATTACCCTTGGGCGCAGATGCCTCCTCACGCTTTCGCTCTTCTTCCTTCTCCTGCCTGAGAGCAGACCATGTTCGCAATTTGTTTTGCAAGACATATTTCCCGTTATCTGGATTCTTTTCCATAATCACAAACTCGCAGTGGTTGATGTTTCGTAGATCCTCAAAGTACTCCACGCTGAAATGATACCATTTCATTAAGAATACCCGAGTCATGAGCCCGTGAGTGACAAGCACGCATACACTTGCGAAAGAATCCTCTCCAAATAACCGCCACAGAGACTCGTTGAATCCACTCACTCGGTCGTAGGCGTCTGCAGCGGATTCTCCGTTGGGAATCCGATAAAAGAAATGCCCATAGTCAGCTCTTTCCTGCCACATACGTGACATCTCCGCCGAGCATGGTTGGAAGTTCCCGAAATCTTGTTCCCGCAGACGTGGTTCTTCGTAAACCTTTATCGTATGTCGTGGAAAAGGCGATGGTGACGGGTCGTCCGATGTGAGCGACTCTAGTATCCCTTCCGTTGTCTCGCGGGTTCTGCGGTATGGCGACGTGAAGAAGTGTAGCGTATCGTCCGGTCGTAGTAGTTCTCGTAGTCTGCGTCCCGCCTCGAGTGCTTGCTTATGACCTTCGGCTGTGAGTTTAACTCGATGGTCAGGGACAGACTGATGGATTTCGCGATTCTTGTTCCCTTCGGATTGAGCATGGCGGATCAAAATGATCATCTGGTAGAGTGTTAGAAAATATTCAGGCACGTACAGAAACACCGCTGCATACCCGCGGCTTGCCCATGGTGAAGAGGCTTAATATCTAGCGCTTCTGTTATCAATTCTGGAGATATGCCACTGCGGGGGAGTGTACACTGGCTATATGGCTATGTCGGCGGAAGTCCTGAACAGATATACATTAGTACATGAATGAATTTCTAACTGATTAAGCGACAAGAGCAAATCTTTTCGCATGTCCAGGTGGTTTGTGAGATGGCGCCAATTCGAAACATGAACTGATTCAGAGATCAGATGGATGGAGCCAATCCGGCTGAAGTGATTGGCTCCATTGGCGGAAGGCGGGTGGACGCCGAAACCGCCAACATCTGCAACGACTTCCCAATTTGTACTTCATGTCGACCTAAGCAATCTGTGGTGCTGAGGGCTAGGGTCGTTTGGCAAAATCATCATGGCCGACGCTATATTGGAGTTGCTCGACCCTCATCTCAATAGCAGTGATTCGTCATCGTTAACAACATCCCGCCCGCGAGTATCATCAACAGATGCGACGACCACCAAATACCTCAACCGCCTGACGAGCTTATCTCTTGAACAGATTCGGAATAGCGAGCCTCAGTCGATATCCCAATCTGCGCACTCTACTCTCTTGTCCCTCCAGGCATTGTCCAATCGCTCGCACAAAGCTTTAATATCGTCATCAGACCACCTCTCGACCTTGCGGAACTTGATACCTTCATTAGGCAAAGATGTCAAAACATTACAAGAAAGAATACCAATCCTCGACTCGGAGGCTGTGCGCTTCTCGACCACATATAGCAAATCCAGCGACAACCCAAACCTAGACCGCAGGAAAAAGGCAATGCAGCTATCGCGAAATGTCGACCGAATATCAGACGTTCTTGAGCTCCCGGCCCTCCTCTCCACTGCCGTTTCTACCTCATCTGCGAATGCGGGACTGACAGCAGCGTCAGGGAACTACTCAACAGCCCTCGATCTCTACTCACACATAAAAAGATTACAGACCCTTTATCCGGACTCTCCTCTTATAAAGGATATCATATCACAAGCCGAAGATGCGATGAAGACCATGACGACGAATCTGATAGCTGGGTTAAGGACACAGAATATTCGACTGGCGGCCGCGATGAGAACAATCGGATGGTTGAGACGGGTAGCGCCGGAGCTGGAAAATCCTCGAAGAAGTCGGGAAACCGGAACAGGGACGGGTGAAGGGTCACTTGGAGCACTCTTCCTCGTATGCAGGTTGGCAAATCTGGTTTCAACATTGGAAGCTCTTGACCCGCTTAGAGAGCTAGCAGACCAAGAGACCCAGCGCAGGGTTGAAGCGGCAGCAGGAGAGCGAGCATCATCTTCTAAATGGTCTGGCGGCCAGCAGACGGAGCGATATCTGAAAAGATATATTGAAATTTACCGAGAACAGAGCTTTGCTATTGTGTCGCTGTATAAGAATATATTCACACCAGAGCCGGTCGAAACTGACTCGAAGCCGATCACTGTTCCTGGGTTGGACCTTAAATCTCTCAACCTGAAAACACAACCACCTCCGAAACCAACCACAAAGATAGATCCTCTACAGGCACTTCCGCCTGCAGTTGCGACATTCCCATTGTATCTAGTGCGGCTGCTTACAGACACTCTTCGGACTTATCTACCCAACGTGAGAGACAAGAGTTCACGAGAGAGTCTTTTAACTCAAGTCCTGTACTGTGCGGCGAGTCTTGGACGGCTAGGCGGGGACTTTAGCATGATTCTTACGGAGTTAGAGGATGAGGAACAAGGTAAAGAAGCCAAAGATGAGACGGTTGTCCATGAATGGGAGGAGGTCATGCGCAAGCATCGTGCGTTGGCTGGAAGACTTGAGCAACTTACCAGTGGTCAAGCTGTTACAAAGAGCATCTCCCGAGTGACCTCTCCGGTACATTGAGATAGAATAATGAGAGATGACAATAATGAGTATCAGTCATAATTCTAAACAAATGTAGAGCTTTGTGCGTTTCATAATCGAAATTGATAGATATATGCATATCATCCATTCTACTATGTATCATCTTGAAGAACTTCTGTGGAGCAACTCTTAGATAAAGTGGGGCCGCTCCCGTCGGTCTCCGCCCCGGAGTCACTGACCGGCTGACTGTCACACCTTCGCTCTGGAGTAAGACGCTCTTTGTCTATATCCTGAACAGTTACATATATAATATTCGTTATAGTCAATCAGCGTCCTATTCACCCGTTATCCCGGCTGATCTCAGATCTCGCTCTACCTGTACGATGCGCCGCTTAACTTCTCAGACACTCAGTCAGCCCTGATATCAATCAAACCCGACTTGCAGACCGGAAGCTTCGGTATATTGACTATATAGCCAGTCATTTGTTGATAGAGCAGCTATTGTGTCAAAGGATTGACGGGGAGCCCTACACAGTATATGCCTCTTGTCTCTATAACATAATCTCGGCCCTATCTATACACCAAACTCATGGCCCTCTCTGCATCGGCTCCGCCAGCCGGAATGATGATCGATCCCACAAAACAGGGCGAATACCCGATTCTCCTAGGCGATAAACTGGCAAAAGATGACGGAGGAAATGACTCTACATTCATAAATATCACATACAATCATAAGAGCAAATCGGCAACGGCGAATCAACGGGCGAAAATCACGCGGTCTCCGACGTCACAAGATGTATATAACCTGATAATTACGGACAAGGCTGGAAATGCCGAGCAGACGACGCTTGAGTACAAGTACAAAGGCAGTATAGATCCGTCAATACCGGTTCAGGGGTCAGAAGCAAGGAATCTTGTTCTGGTTTTTGATCCGAGTCGGAAAGCGTTTATTCTAGAGCCTGTGAGCACTAGTCTCAACTTCAATTTGCGCGCAGCTCCTGGAAAGAACAAGGAAGTGATTGAGCAATATGAGCAATTACATACCTTGGGTGACGACGGTGACCACGCATCTCGGGATGAGAGCGATGACGAACAGCCTGAAGATGCTGACCAGGATAATCCTTATGACTTCCGGCATTTCCTCAAAAAGCCAGAGTCTGAGAAGGCGAAGTCGAACCTGTCTACGACCACGACTCCAGACCCTCATGGAACTATCAGCACTCCGGCAATGCAAGCTACGAAGGTTGAGGCTAAGAAAGCAGCACCATCCAGACCCAAACAGCAGACGAATCCTTTACGACAACCGAAACGAGCACCCAAGGCTAAAGCAGCGAGTACAAATTCATCAGCAAAGGCTAAACCACAGCCAAAATCGGCACCGCGTGTGGATCCCGAGGATGATATCGTTATATCTGATGCGGAGCCATCTGAGAAAGAAGAGGATGAATATCAACATCCCCAATCTAGCCAAGCTATACCTTCACCGAGTTCTAACATCATCGTCGAGGGAGATCTTATTATTGACATGGGCTCTCCACCTACGCGGCCTACGTTTAAGGTCGACCCAACCCATTTCTCTTCAAGTGACCACTCTGTCAATGGCACAGATGAGGAAGGGAATGAGGAAGACGATGAAGAGATTGAACATTTCCGTCTGCCATCTCCTGCTCGGCCTGCAGCCGCAGAGGAGCCAGCAGCAGACGAAGATGAAAATGACGAGGATGAGGATGCTCTAGCGGCGGAAATGGAAGCGGCATTCGAAGAGGAAGCATCGAGGACACAGAGCATGCAACAGACTCAACGATATGTGCCGAGTGATGACGAGAGTGAAATCAGTGAAGAGGAGTGATTGGTATTACTCTTGCACCCAAACTAAAAGCGTTTACCTGAGACTGGCAAACAACATTTTGTCCGATATTGCATTCATTTGGATGACGATTTGATATCCGTTACTGATTATCTGGAGTTTGGATTGTGACCGCGAATTTGTTCTTCATTGTATTTAGATACCACAAACAGTACTTGAAACATCTAGCAAACAATTATCTATTCGTTTTCACTCGAGGAATCATTTCAATAGGGAGAATAGTGTCAAAGATTGTACAAAGAAACAATAGAGTCATTGACTGGGCGGTAATAACTGGCAGAAAATACCACCGCGGACAATTGATTGGATTCCCTATCCTTCAACTCACTCAATCACATTTCGTGTCGTCTCCTTTTTCCTACATCCAAATCCTCACTGCTTGACAGCACGAAGCTAGGCGCATCTCGCCATGCTTGGAGTCTTATCTGACATGTCTAGATAGCACCAAGAAGCTGAAAGGTATCTTGGAGAGAACTGTCATTGACCTTGCTAGCAACTAGCTACCAGCATAAGACAGATTACTACCGTTTCTGGTGCATGATTCACGACAAGAAACAGCTTCTCCCAAAATTAACCATACACCATGGATTCTACCCCTCAACATCGCCCCAGACGACCGGTACCGGCGCCTTCGAATAACGTCATCGTCGAATCGCAGAAACAGTGGTATTTCACAGACGAAGAGCTTACTAGAACACCCTCACTGCTCGACGGCATGAGTCTAGAGACGGAACACATGCAGCGCAGCAAAGGAGTCAATTTTATTGTCCAAGTGGGCATTATGCTGAAGCTTCCACAGCTCACCTTGACGACGGCTGCTGTTTTCCTACATCGATTCTTTGTGCGACACAGCATGGTTGATATGCCTCGAAAACCTGGTTTGCATCCATATTCTGTTGCGGCGGGGTGTCTGTTCTTGGCGAGCAAGGTGGATGAGAATTGTCGCAAGATTAAGGAAATGGTTATCGCCTGTTGTCGCGTTGCGCAAAAGAACAACAATCTCGAAGTTGATGAGCAAAACAAAGAATTTTGGAGGTGGAAGGACACATTACTTGCTTACGAGGATATGTGTTTGGAAGCATTATGTTTCGACCTTCAGTTGGAACAGCCGCACAAGATCTGTTACGAATTTCTATGCTATTTCGGCAAAAACGACCACAAAGGTTTGCGGAATGCCGCTTGGGCGTTTCTCAATGACTCTAACTACACTGTTCTCTGTCTGCAGTTCTATCCCCGAACAATTGCTGCAGCTGCCCTTTGGGCTGGAGCCAGATTGTGTGATGTTGCTTTTGAAGATGATGAAGAAGGTCGACCCTGGTGGGTACAGATAGATGTCGACCTCTCCGAAGTCCGACGCGCCGTCAGTCGCATGGTTCAGTTGTACGAGAAAAACATAACTGTTCATCGACAAGCTCACGAATATCCAATCATTCCGACAGATGGTGACCAGGAGTCGACGCGGATCATCAACCCGAACCCTCACAGCGTGACGGAGTCGCTGTCAGCGGGCGAATCGAATGGACGCAAACGGTCGAGGGAACCTGAAGGAGAAGATCGCCCATCTCCAGCACGAAACTTACAACCCCCTGAAAGCAATAACCATACTCGAGAGCCCTCGCCGAAACGCCAACGCTTAACTCCGGAGCCTAATAGAACAGCAATGAGATCAGAGAGTCCCCGCAGCCTTGCAAATGGTCACCATCAGCCATCCAGATCTAATTCGCGCATCCCTTCTGGCGCGTTGGATAGCACGTACCGACGCCAACAACATCATCCTCTCCCACCGCTGCCACCACCACCAATTGGAGCCGATGGACGCGAAAGAGCTGGTCCTGTCGACGCAGTCCAGCAACGTATCGACGAGATTGTACAACAGGGAATGGCGCGCAATGACAAATCCGGGCCCAGCGCAAGTCGCAATGATTCATACAATGGTCGACATCGCGACCGCGATCGAGACAGAGACCGAGACAGATACAGAGATCACGATAGATACGTGGATCGCGATCACGACCGGGATCGTGGTCGAGACCGCGACTGGCGCAGATCAGCCAGTTACGAATCGGCAGATTACAGAGACCGCGACAGTCGAAGTCGAGATTACTATAGGGATAGCATGAACAGTAACGATAGAAATTGGGGCCATAGCCACAACAAGGATATATTACCACCGCGGGAAAGGAGAAGATCATCGACAACGAATGAGTCGCTACCACCGCGTCCGCCACCGCCGCCGTCATCGTCACAGCGACCATCAGAGGAAAGAAGGAGAGAGGAACCGAATGAGGAAGGCGAAATATCGGAAGAAGGAGAGGTCGTCGCGACTACAACGACGAATAGAAATAGCAACAACCATGATGTTGAGAATCATAGACACCACGATAAGAACATGGACAATGGCGACGATGATGGTGGTGGTGGTAGCGAGGAAGGGGAGCTTTGATAGATTAGCATACATGTAAAATACTCTGTTTCAATTATCTAGAGAATCATACCCATTTTATGTTACTATATAGTAGTCAAGCAGTTTCACTGAAGGAAAACCTGTGAATTTCGCGATCCTACCATCACGATACACGTTATTAATATGCTATCTTACTAGTTTATGTACACTAAAAACCCAGGCACAGCCTATTGTCAGGAGGTCTTGCCAAAGTCATACCGAGCAGGTCAAGATTTGTTTCTAGTATCTCGTTCCGCCATGTCAAAGTAATGCTATATATAGCCTTCATGATCTTCAGGGTAGGTAACCTGTCTCTCGTGATCAGTAACTCAAGACAAACGAGCGAGATAAGAAGAAAAGGAAGGAAATACCCGTGGATAGAGAACCGTGATGAGATCAAGTATACGTCTGCAGGATACTGAAGGTAAAAAAATCTCACGCATTCACCATGTTTGCTGCCATGATGTGGCACCTTCATGACGGGAAAATGCTGAGGAATGGTCGATTCCCTCTGATATCGCGGTTAATTTCCGTATCGTGGGCATCCCCTGTAAAAAGAGCCGAGAAGCCGTCTGTTTTATCCTTGGTGCTGAAAACGGTTATTATTGAGGCACGATCTACCTGGATGCCTCGGGAACCACGACTACGCATATTCTCGATGATTTGCATCGAAGGTCCATAGAAAGTCGTATTCAATGTAGGGAAGAGGGGGAACTCATCGACATTCGGGTATGCGATGGCCCCCGGATTTCCCCAAGGGGCCAGTGGCTCCATTGGAGGTTGTTGATTGAAATTCTTGGAATTCCAAAGCTGCGACCAGACAATCTGGCCTTGCCTTTTGCTGTCTGGGATCCACCGCACAGCAGGGGGTAAGGGGCCAAACCCTTCAACTAGCTCACTTGACGCTTCTGGTGCTGTTGTGGTTGGTGATATTTTGAGACGGCCTAGAGTATGCACCGGTGGTGCAGGGAAATTGAGACCGGGCAGGAAAGTAGCGATCCTGCCACTGGGGTCATTGAACAGAAAGTTGTCTATAGTCGGCGGTGTATCATTAGACATGTCGATGAGTCCCGCGGAGTGAGCGGGTGAAATTCCATGAGGGCGATGCGATAGTAAGAAACTCACCTGCAATATGGTCCGAATCATAGTGAGTACATTGAACCGCATCGAAATGGGTGATATTTTGTTCTCCAAAACATTGCGCAGCCATCGCCAAGTTCCTGTCACACCTCCATAGACTAGCATCCTCTTCCGCGTGGAGGCAAGTTTGTCGGCGAGGATGTGGCAGTCGCCCTTCTGGGCCTAAATCATGGCGATGCTTGTGACATGTATTCCAGAGGTACCAATGTCTACCCTCTTGGTATTACCGCGACTGTCCTGAGCCTCCGCAAGCTTCTTCTTACTTCGGGTCTCCGCCATCAGAGTAGGTACAGCACTTGCGGCTGGGCCTTGAGGGAAATTGTCAATTTTCGAGGAGTCACATTGTATTTTTGATTTGCTTCTCGTCGGAAGCTCATAGCCACAGGTTGGAATGCTAGCATTTTTGTCGTATCAGGGTCGTCATTTGGATCAGTGACGTCGGAGAACGAGACTTTGACAGACTTCGTAAAAGAATCCAGAATGGCGTAGTAGCAGACATCGACAGTGACTATCGTCTTCTACGTCCAAACAAAGGTTGGCAGTGTCAGAGTTTATGATCAATTGCTGATTGCGCGGACTGGGATTCACTTTGACCGACCCAGCACGAGCTTCCAGACTGGTCCAGATGGCTAGGGAGGGTTGTTGTTTTGTTGGTGCTTGGATGGAGAAGTTGAAACTGTTTTTGCAGACCTCCGGCACAGAGCATATATTGCCAAGAGAATCCTGCCTAGGCTTCCTACACTAGTCATATCCGATCTAATGCCCTTGTCTCAGCGGATTTGGCAACTTGAGAGAAGAGAATGGATTGGAGCTGCCCCGTAGACGTGTACTGTGAGTGTTTTGGATATCTCCGCTTCCGGATACACCACGTCTACATGGATCAACGCAATCGCTCCCTATTTCCTGACACGCAGCGGCATCTCCTATCTTACACCGGAGGGACGGAATGTGCCTCCTGCCACGGGACAGGATGTGGTCGCCATTGCAGGGAACGCCAACGGGCTATGCTCACTCACGGAGACGGGTGACGGTGACGTGTATATTTATCCCCAGTCTCTGGGAAAGGAAACGGACTTCAAGGCGGCTGTGCTGTTAGGGTCTGATGTCGCGATATTCGCCATCTCACATGCTACATGCTCGCCCCGATATGGCCCACCCGGGTCTATCTTCAGTCTCTCCTCTGAGCCGCTTCCCGTGCTCATTGGTAGCCATCAACCCCGGATCACTCAGCTCAAGACTGTCGGCAAATTCAAAATGTATATCTGGAATGGGGTGCCTCGTTCATGGACAGATCTATCCACCACCGCTTCGGCCATGAGGCGGAGTCCGAGACATGGTTGATGGAGGCGATCACGGTATAATTGGTTTGTCAGGAAACCAACGCGAACTTGTCCAGCTAGATGTGCATGAGCGCCAATGGAAGCTTTTGGCCGCTTTGGACGACAAATGGCGCCGGACAGAAGGCGACCTGACCTTCTTCTGATTTATTGAAGGTGGTGGAATATTCGAGCACTTGGAAAAACCAGGTAATTGATATTCACGGCTTTGCAGATGTGCTATGAAACTCTAAAGTAGGAAGTCAGCGTGGCGTGAGACTATTCTTGGAATATTATTTTTATACGATGTTCGAAAAGCGGCCATGATCTTCAAGTTTTCCATGGCTGGATGAAATGAAACATTTCCCGGGGGGCTTAATCATCCTCCCAAAACATAACGACTGACCACGTGATCTTTTTCAGCAGTAAGTACTCTAGACAGATATGGTAGGGGAAACCCGCGTTTTGCTTTGCTTCGCTTCGCTTTTATTCTTTCTCTTTCTTCTCTAATTCCACTTTTGCTATTCAGAATCGTACATGTTTTGAAAAACGCCGAGGTAAAGAACTCTTAAAGAGGTCAAGTCTGGTCTGTATAGACCATGAGGATATAACGTAATTAGTCATGTACAGGTAGAGAAGTAGAAAAAAGAAGAAACCCTGAACACCAAAAGGCAGGTCATCAAGCCAGCCGAACCAAAAACAGTCAAAACAAAAACAAAAACCGTGCTTGAGTATCATGCAAATTCTTTAAAACGATCAAAATAAACAAGGTATCAATCAGAACTCTTTTATCATAGCGAGAGGAGAGGAGAAGGGGGGAGTTGATAGTAGATATAAAATTAAAAATCGCCAAACATCTCATCCAGCTCGTCGACCTCTACGGTCTCCGGGCTACGAAGATCGGCCCATGAATCTATAACCATCTCAAAATCAAAGGTCTGAGATCGCTTAAAATCCGTGACTGACTTGGTCGGGAAGCCGGTCTCAACCATGTCAAATGAGCGCTTCAGGGATGATGGTGAAGTGCCTTCCGTGGCGGTGGCGGTGGCGGTGTTCGAACGGGCGAGGTCGGATGTAGGTAGTGCAAGAGGGACATCGGCAAGCTCAGCTTCGGATGGCGCGGTCGTACCAGACGACAACGAAGTTGCGACCGAAGTAAGCGACGGGGAGGGCGAGGTCCCGAACAAAGTGGCGACGGCAGCGTCGTCAAGATCTTGTTCCTGATTGTTTGAGCCACCTTGTGAGAGATAGTCTCCGTATTGGCTCTTTTCGCTAATTGACGTGGTGAGAGGATCTTCATCCATAGGCGAACCGGGAAATGCATGGATCTGAGCATCGTGCGATTCATCGGAAGTCGGCATGCTCAAAGCAGCTAGGCTACTTTGTCGGCTGGCTTTTTCTTCGGATGCTCGCTCGCGCAAAGAACTGGCAGTCTGAGTAAACTCCCGCTCGTCACCTTCCAGTGGCGGAGAAGCCGCTCTATGATTATGCGACAGGCGATGGTGGCCATTGTTCTGATTCGTATGAGAACCAGAACCGTTGCGCGCATTAAAAGTGTCATGCTCTACCTCAAATTCAGGAGAAGACAGGTCGATCTCGGGACTAGGACTGAGTCGCGACCGCTCGCGCGCCATCGCATCGTCCTCGTCGTCCTGATCGACACTTCCGCTGGAGAGACTTGGAGTCAACCTTTTCTCATCCATCGCAACCATATCTTCCAGATTTTCAGGTAGAGGTTGGTGCGGAGTGTTGGTAAGATAATAAAACACTTTTCGAGGGTGCACGTTGATAAGTTCCTTGCCAATAGGGCATGGCGACAGCGCGGTCCATGATCGTTTCATGTAAGTGCTGAGGCGCGAAGAAAGCAAGGCAGCAGGGTTTGCCGAACTAGTTCAGGTCATTAGCATAATACGCGCGACAGGGGATTTCCGTGAACTCACTTAGCAACAGTATCGTTTATTTTCACTAGCACAGCGGCCAGCTCGCGCACTAAGTGAGGCTTATTGCCAGTCTTCTCCAACTGTTCGATGGCGGCGACAACCACATCATCATTGATGCCTTCGGTGTCGATCTTCATAGCGGCATCGACGGCATCGCCCGGTGATGGTGGCGGAGTATGCTCATATCCGCCTCGGCTGTTCCTTATGCGACCAGTGGCGACCTTCTGCGACTTGTCTGCGGAGGTAGACGAGTCGGCGACATCATGCGACCTCTTGACTTTCTTGGAAGGATGTTCGTCCAGTATCGTTGAGCCGGAGGTTGAACTCTTAGATGCGGAGGGCGATCTGTGCGAGCGAGAGGCGTTAGGCAAGTGAATGCCTAATGAAGGGAGCGACAACGACTTTCGACGTGTGTTGTAGGGCATTCTGATGGATAGTAAGGGGGTAAGGGGGTAAGGGGGTAAGGGGGAAAGTTGCGCGAAAAATAAAAATAACGGCAGGCGGTATAACGGAGGAGAGAGAGAGCGTATTAAATCTATTACAAAAACAATACTGATGGAGAAATAATAAAATAGTAGCAATAATAATAGAACAAGAGTAATAATGACAAGAATGATCGAAGGAGGGGAGGATGGTGATGAGGGATGATACAATAATACAAAGAGGTGAGAGACTGAAGAAGGAAGGATCGCAGGGGCGGAACAAATCGGCAGGATTTGTTTTGGTGTCCTGACTGCTCGAGTGTGGAGATCCAGAGAGCTGCGAAGAAAAAAAAAAAAAAAAATGAGAGACCCTCTTTTACAGTGGGCTGGCAGCTTGACTGATTGGGTAAGGAGCACGTTAAAATGGATCAGCGGAGTCTTCTGGATGGAAGATTTTATCCAAGACCCCGAAAGATGGACTTTAGGAATACAACAGCACCTTGAAGGGGTTAGTACTTGAGATGATAGTAGAGGGATAAAAATCGCGATGATAAGAAAAAAATCAAAATAAGAGAGCCCGGGCGAGGCAGCGATCAATGGATGAACCAACCGTTGGGCTGTCCGATGAACAGAGGGAAAAAAAAAAAAAATATAAGCCGACGCCGACGCAACGAGATGAGACAGGCTGGGCTAGACTAGGTTGATGCAGATGCACACCGCCTGGCAAAGATCTCTGATATGATGTATAATAATGCAGGGGCAAAAGTACTCTGTATTTATTCGATGAACTCCAAGTCGGAAGATCCTCGGTTCGTTCAAAAGTGAAGTTGTTCGGATGAGGACAGGGGGCAAATGGACGCTGGGTCTATGACGAGCGGGAGGACGTCACTGCGATGGCTGGTGGGCGAACCAGAGGTCGTACTGGACGAGGTGAATAGTTTCTGATTGACTGATTGACTGATTGACAGACGAGAGATGAAAGATGAAAGATGAGGATAGTTGGTGAAGATAATGTGAGTTGTAACTGTCTATCTAGAGGTGAATAAGTAAGATGGAAGGGATGAGATGCACATCGAGTCAGTCGTGCCTTCCTTCGACACTTTTGCATGCAAAGAAAGAAGGGAGGCAGGGAGAGGCAATACAACGGCCAATCACAGTGCAGCCTCAGTTACATAGCCACGCTAGACTGGATCCCGACTAGCGGTAGCATTCTGGAGCCTGGACTCATTGGAGTTACTCCGTACTCTAACTATCTTTAGACTAGCGTACAAAAAAAAGAAAAAAGATTTTTTTCAGTCCAAAGTAGTTTTACGTGTGTATATTATGTGTGGCATTGTGCTCGGGATTCGATCCTAAAGTGTCTATCCATCCAATCGTAGCTCCGGTATTTGTACTCCATATATCATTGTAGTATTATTTCATGTACAGAGTACAAGCACTGAGCTGTAACTTTGCTAAGTTATAGTATATACTCCGTACATCTTACCGACATTTGAACATGGATGCGAGAGTAGAAATGCTGACGATGCATCCAATAGCAATGCAACGACATATATACCTGGTCCAAAACGGTAAATCCATAACAAGGGCTGGCCTTGCTCGCCAGGCCCGCCCCACTGTCGCGTGGAATGTTGCTGCGCCCGTCTGATTTGGCAGCGCTTTGCCATGACAACTGAAATTGATGCATGCTCACCGACTGATTCCAGACTCAATGACTTTGACCAATATCTGTTGTCTTTTGTAATCAAGACACATTGATGTCAGTAAGCCACAAAGTATCATTCATGCCACACTTCTTCGCTGGTGGTTGATCTGATAAATCAGGTTTTTCTGATCTGATCTGCCTTGGTTGTCTCGAATGTGGGCACGCTGATTGGCTGGCGGTTCCGTGGCTTGCGAGCTTACTCATTCATTATCAAAGTCTATCGGCTAGTCCTATCATACACCAATACTGTACACGTCGTTAGACAGTGAGAAAGGATATCATACATAACACCTCTAGCTAGTTATCTATCAACTCATATCAGGTCGCTTCGGCCGCAATACAGCCCTCCATGTAGTCCCCAGATGATATCGCCGAATCTCCACAACCTCCAATCCACTCTGCTCAATGATCTGTCCAATATCTCGATTCCACCAGCATCCGTGTCGATGCGCGTGTGCAGGCGCGAGATTATCCAGAATCCTGTTCAGCCAGTCATAGTGTGATCGACCGTGCTCCAAGAGCAAGACCTGCCCTCGTTGCGGCTCCGTGATCGAGCCTAGATGTTGCAGGAGTCCAACCGGATCTGTGGTAGAGCAGAGACCCATGGTTTGTATGACAGTATCAAAATGGGGTCGTGAATATTTCCAGCCTTCTGTGTTCGAGGCAGACGTTGGAATCACCTTCTTAGCGTCCTCCGTACGGAACGCAACCTTTGTGAATTCAGGATACAGCTTTCTGAACTTCTGTCGCGCAATCTCCACCATCTGTGGACTCAAATCGACAAAAGTCGCCGATCGACATCCCTGTAATACGGCATGGCCGCGCTCATCAAGTGCTCTCCTCTCCCCTAGACGGTAATACTCCATATTCCGGCCCGTACCACAACTAACCTCCAAAACATCTCCACGGGCCATTTGAACGAGTTCTTTCCTCCTCTTTCCCAACCGCATAAATTTCTCGCCTAACTCCACTTCGGCATCATACCTCGTTGCGGTGGAATTGTAGCGATCAGATACATCTTCAGGAACCTCGAGGGTTTTGGACTGAACGACCGCTTGGCGATACGATGCGTATAGATAGCCACAGTAGGTGCTGATGCTTAAGATGCCGACCCCAAAGATCGTCAGCATGCGGGGTGATATTGCGCGACGACTAGTTGTCGTTGCTGCCGAGACATCGCGGAATGCATCGGTTCGTCTGTAGTAGTGGTGAGCGTGGACTCCAGTAATTGCGCGTAAGGGATGGAAGCATACGTAGGTCTTTTCAATTGTGAGGGCTTTTTAGATGATACAGCGTCTCTTTGGACTCTTTGGATGCGGGAACTATAAAACCGCGATAGCTCTCGAGTAGTCCGTACGCCAATTGGCGAGTTGTGAATCTTGATCTGGACCATTGCAATTCAGTTGCTGACGCTTCAGCTATCTAACAGCATGTTGTATATATATGCCCTTTTGAGGTTGTTGAGAGGTGAATCGATAGCTCCGTACGGAGTATTCGTCCCGATAAATCGGCCTTGGTAGACTAGTCCCGATTGGGCATGGATATGTATAAAAGCATCATCATTCCAAACTTGCGACCTCAACCTCCTTATTCTCTGCTCAGTGCTCGAAGACACATCATTCATATGTGCAGATTGAATATAGCTCAATCCACACGAGATGTTCGTTCAATTCTCAAATAGATATCCTGCAGTCGGAGTGGGTGCCCACACGCCCCAACACCGGAACATCTCCGATACCGCCAACTCAGTGATAGAAATCCACTGCCTCCACTGCGCTGATAACTTATGACTTTCTAACAACTGGACGTTCTTTTCCCATCATCATTTCAGTACGCAGTCACTGCGATTAGCATCTCCTACGGTATATCACATATATACATTGACCGGCCTGGCACAAAGGTTCAATGGAGCTACCGGACAACATCTTAATCGTTGGAGGTGGGGTATTTGGATGTAAGTGTCACCAGTTACACGACAGCTTCGTTTCAACTCTGGTTTTGATGGGATTCATGGAGTGAGGCTTCTGATCTCGCGTGAATCTTAACTATTGATTGGCCTCCTTTGAACCATGTTCTGAGATTGAGACGGATGTATATATATATATATCACTTGTATCCTAGACACCCACAACCAAGAACCACACTCTCAACGCTCTTGAAACAAACAAGCTAACGAGTAACAATAGTGTCAACCGCCCTGTCACTCTCAGAGCGACACCCAAACAAACAAATCACCCTACTCGAAGCCTCACCCACAATCCCCAACCCCCACGGCTCCTCAGTGGACACTTCACGCATCATCCGCGCCGACTATTCAAATCCGGCCTATACCAAACTCGCAGCTGCCGGGATAAAGAAATGGCGCAATACCGAATGGGGTCATGAAGGTCGCTATACAGAAAACGGCCTTGCTCTGGTATATACAGAGGGAAACTTCGATTCGGAGAATTACACCAGAAAGAGTTATGAGAATGTGAAGAAATTGCTCGAGGAAGAAGGGGAAGGGTCAGAGAGTATTGCCGAGAAAGTGGTTTATTTACCTGACAAGGCAGCGTTGGAAAAAGTCGTGCCGCGATATGCGGCGGGGATGAATATATCGGGAGGATATTTCAATCGGGGATCGGGATGGGGTGATGCTGAAGCCGGGGTGCGATTCGCGAAGAAGAAACTTGATGAGATGGCTAAAGTCGTTGTTAGACATGGAGAGGTGGAAAGACTGTTGTTTGACGAGACATCATCATCATCATCATCAGCTTCTCAACGCAGAGTCACCGGTGCTATACTGAAGGATACCGCGAATGGTACCACCTCGACAATCACCGCGGACCTGATCATTCTCGCGACAGGTGCAGCAACAGGCAGATTAGTCGACCTCCGCGGTATCGTGGACGCAACAGGTCAAGTATTGGCATATATCAACATCACAGACGAAGAGCAGGCACAATTAGCCCATATGCCCACCATCCTCAGCTTTTCGACGGGCATGTTTATTATCCCGCCACGAAACAATTTACTCAAGATTGCGCGTCATGCATATGGTTACTTGAATCCGTCGGATGTTCCGGTACCAGGCTCTTCGCAAACTATGAGAGTTAGTCTGCCGGTGCACGACCTGCCAATCCCAGCCGAAGGCGAGAGGGCCTGTCGCCAAGCTCTTCGTGAAATGCTACCGGCCTTCGCCGAGAGACCGTTTGCGCGGACCAGAATCTGCTGGTATTCAGATACGTACGTCCACCCTTCGTATCTCCAATATTGAATCCTACTAACGAACAGCAGTCCCACTGGCGACTTCCTCATAACCTACCACCCATCCCATCCAAACCTCTTCCTAGCCACCGGTGGCAGTGGCCACGGCTATAAATTCTTCCCCGTGTTGGGAGATCAAATCGTCAATGCTCTCGAGGGGAGACTAGATCCTGAATTACAGAGATTGTGGAAATGGCCGGATCAACAAGAACAGCGTGAGGGCAGTATGGAAAGAGAGGGGGTAAAGTTTGTTGTGACGAGAGATGGGAGTCGGTCTGGGAAAGTTGGGATGATATTAAAGGATGAGCTTGCGAGATCGAGTCGTCTGTGATCGTCAAACATTATCAGGGTATAGTTACAAGCATACGATATGTCACACCTGAGTGTAGATACCGTTCAGTGTTAGTTTAGATAGTCATTACGTGGACATATTTTCAAGATTTCTTCATTTCTCCAACTAGTATTGAATACGTAGTCTTTGAGCTATTGGAGTGACAGGTCTGGCTAGTAAGGCGCGACCTCAAACGGCACACTGAGCCTTTTCTTCTTTCTTGACAACAATCTGCCACAACCGCCCATCAACGATACAAAAGTAAAGTGATGAGACTGCAACCGAAGTGATAATTAGTTAAAAAAAAGGGGGCAACATGAACAGGCAGGTACTGATTCGACCAGCGCAAATGTACCGCCCATATCAAAATGAAAGAAAAAAAAAAAACAGTCTGCGGTTACGCAACCTTCTAATATAACAGTTTGGGAACGGATTCTTTTGAAATAGAGGGGGAAAAACACAAGACCCGGAGTCAATCGAATCGCTAGAACGCCGCTAAAATGCTAAACATCAACCAATCGTGATAGGGGGAGTCCGAGCTCGGGTGTGGAAAAGTATTTCGATCGAACGGTCAATTGACGAACGACACTCATCCCGATGGACTCTAATTAGGAGAACCAAAATGTTAATACATGAGTCGAAAAACTTGTGATTACCACAAGAGTAGCAATCAACGAAGTGACCAACCCCTTTATGTTTTACGGAAGTCTGGTTGACAGTTAGTCCATGGCCTATTACGAAGCTTGAAAAAAGTAGCCATACCAGAAAGCACGGGGTAGATCAGCTCGAAGGCTTGATATATCTCCTCGCGGACTTTAGCACCGGTAAGGACAATCTTGCCACTGACGAAGATCAAGAGAACAATCTTGGGTTTCATCATGCGATAGATCAGACCAGGGAAAAGTTCAGGCTCGTAAGAGCTGAAGTTATGATGGCGCGAGGCAAGTCCTTCCAAGCGAATGGGGAATTTGATATCGCACGAGCCGACGATGTTCTGGATCTTGAAATCGGTGAACTTGGCATTGAAACCAAGTTTCTGGATAATACGCGCATATTTTCGTGATGCGAGTTTCGAGTCATCTTCCGACTTGGCACCAGTAACCACCATCTTGCCCGACGCGAAGATCAGAGCAGTAGTCTTGGGCTCGCGAATACGCATAATCACGGCAGCGAAACGCTAGACAAGGAAATGCCAGTTTAGCAAAAAGATTCAGTCTGCAACAACTTTCAATATCAACAAAAGTTTTTGTAGTACCTTTGGATTATACTCCGCATTTCGAGCATGGAGTGCAATGGTCTTGAGATCCAAACGGCAGTCGAGATTGACAGTTGCGACTATGTTTCTTCAAACGAAGAAAGTTCAGCTTTCTGGTGAGCCAGAAAAGACAGTAAAGTGTATACTCACTGCAAAGTAGGCACAATGCCACTCCCCACGTTGTTCGCCCCTGGAGTCGCAGCCGGAGTCGCGGGTGTCACCCCGTTGCCGTTGGCATTTGCTCCCTGCTGCTGACCGTTCATTCCAACCAGGTTGCCTTCCTTCTCTGACGAAGGAGGAGTCAAGTCTCCGGCACCTCCAGGAAAGGAAAGCGATGCTGGCGAGGTAAAGGCCTTGGCCTGCTGAGCATTGGATGGATGAGTTGTGAGTGAATCCATGATCACAGTTGTATGAATCGCTGACTTCAGTGGTGTTGCGACGAAGATAACCTGAGGAGACGTGAATTTGTAGGTCAGCCAAAACGGGCTCCGACGATATGAATGTATGGTAAGATGCGACGAAGCAACAGTGAAAAAGGATAGTCCTACCTTGGCGTTTGTGGGAGATGAACAACTAAATGCCTCCCCTACAGATGCTGAGATGGTGCAGCAATGGCTTGGAAGAAGAGAAATTGATGAGGTGAGAGTAGAAGAGAGAAGACCGTTTTAAAGCAGGTGGCAATCCGTCAAAGGTCAGGTGACTTTTGATAATTTTTTGGGATAGCAACGGTCGGGTGGTAAACAAAACAACGAGGTTAATGCGTGAAGGAACCTTTTTTTTTAGAGGATCTTTCTTTCTTTTTTTTTTCTTCTCCCCCTTGATCTTCTCAATTCAAGAAATCTATCTGAGGTTGTGTATTAAAAAAGGGAGAGGCACGGGTCGATGCGTTCAAGTCGACGACGTGTCGCAGCAATCGACGGACGGATGAGGTCTAACAAGAAGGATCTTCTTCCCGAGTAAGCGACCGACACAGAGCGGCTATAAAGCGACACTGCTGTGATAGGAGCCGGAATGTGGAGAGATAGGCAGGTAAAAGAGAGAGAGTGAGTGGGTTATTGGTGATGGTGTTTGGGGGAAGAAGGTGACGTGCTGGCGTTTTCCGCGCGGTGCCAAGACCTAGAGTAAGATTTCATCGAGACGGGCGGGAGTGGGAGGCAGCCTCTTTATATACGCGCGAGGGCCGCCTGTCGTTAGGGAACGGTGGCGCTAAAAGCAGCGAGCGATCTGTCCGGATTCGCTCGACCCAGCCTATCCGTTCCCATGGATGATGCTGGCCTTGGCAGCGTCCAGCTCAGGCGGATGCTCTCATTGGCTCTGCGGCCAGGCTAAACACCGCCAATCATCGCCCGACTGCGTTGCTCATTGCCCCACTAGCCCCCTACCAAGCCTGATACGGCAGTCCTTGCGTGCTGCTGATTGGTGGCAACTTCTCTACTTGTCAGACATTCATTTTCCGCAATCGCCCATCGATTCTCTCATTGGCTGTCAATACCTTTCATTGTGAGCGGTCCAATCATCGCTTGCAGGCAGTGCCCCCCATTGTCCCCCAGAACTTAGTCCTCTAACATGACGCCGCTTTAGCCGGTGTAAACCGAACAAAAAAATCTTTCCAGCCGCCATCGTCTACTCTCTTCCTTCTTCTCTGTTGCCTCTCGACACTGTATAGCGTCCTTTCTGGCCGACCGTTCCTTCATATCAGCGAGTTGTCACATATCATACAGCTTGTATCTATATGTATATATATATATACATATAGATACATATATAGTATTTATTGACTTCTCTCTTTTTTCCCCGAGAGAAAAGAGGAATACTGCCATGACTCTTATCTCGAGCCTCATGAACACGCTTGGTGCCCGAAAAAGGAGATGGACGCGCCAAGACCAGACGCGTCGCAATCTGGCCCAGCGTCGGCGCGTTTCCAGGTGATCAATCGATTTATTTGTTCATGACATGAATCCGAGATTCTTATTTCGTTTGTCACATCTGATTATTGTGGTATTGTTGACGATTGTCGGCCGGAATGTCGCATCAACAATGAGCATATCCCTCAGTCTCCTGGCTATTCTTGGCGCTATGCTACGGGCAAGGCCATGAGCGCTCCGACACTCTTCCAGTCTCACCACAACTGACACTCTTACACACAACCTCCTAGCTCCTACGGGCTCTTGCATTCCGGATACAGCCACATTCTGTAGGCATATGATCTGGTATCTAGACGTACGTACGTAAGATGTATGCAGACGAGATCTGCCTTTTCTTGCTTACATGTCATGGTGATAGAGTACGAATCACATGTCGATCAGGCTACTTGGAATCTTGGATAGAGTAATTTCTACGTAACGCTTGCCCGTGATGTCTAAAGCCTCAACTCAGACGCAACGTGATCGTACTTTACTCCGCGTCTCATCTATACAGACACGTCTAATATACTTACTTGTCCTGACAGACGTCTCAATGAGTCAGTAGTCAGACTCGACGGCTCAAGGCGCCGCCGGATCATGACGACGACAAGAGCGGGTATAAGCGGAGGAACACGATTGTAATTATCAGATGTATGATTGGCTGATTTTCATTAGTAAGCGGCTATTTGATTGGCCTCGGTTAAGCTTCCTAGGTCGCCGAAACCGGGTCAGCGGTTCACAAGTCTTTTCGGAGTATATCCTTCACCAGCCGGGACGCAAATTCAACTGCCCAGTCATATATTCGATCTTATACCTCATACCATATTCGCGGTTGGATAATACGATAATACGATAGTACCTCAATCGCCAAACATGGCTTCAAAAGGGGCTGCGCGCCTTGTGTTGAAGCGCGAGATTCGGTACTCGTCCCGAACTTGGCCATCATCATCACGGAGTTCAATTTCTGCTGTCAATTCCGGACGTCGTGTATCCGCGCTTACACCAAACAACAGACGACAATACTGCAATGTCGTCGAGCCTTTCAACGCCCGCTTACAGCCTGGACAGAACCGGGCCTTTTCGCGATCAGCCCGGAGGCGGGATGCGGAGGAAGCTATTGACCCTAGTCAGGTCGAAAGGGAATCAGACGAGGTTGACGTTTGTATTGTCGGAGGAGGTACGCTTCCTTTATATTCTGTCCCACTTGGAAACTATCATCCAGACTTGCTCACAATGAATTGGAACATCAGGTCCGGCCGGTCTCGCATCAGCTATCCGTCTAAAGCAACTTGCCAATGAAGCGGGGAATGAAGAATTCCGGGTCGTCCTTCTGGAAAAGGCAGGCGAATTGGGCGCTCATATAGTTTCAGGGAACGTTTTACAACCGAACGCTTTGAACGAATTACTTCCAGATTGGCTAGATGAAAACAATCCTTCACGATTCCAAAATGTTACACCCGCGAAGAGCGATAAGATGCGATTTTTGACCAAGACAATGTCTATCCCGATCCCCGCACCGCCTCAGATGCACAACCACGGAAACTATATTGTCAGTTTGAGTGAGTTGACGAAATGGCTGGGGGAACGGGCCGAGGAGTTGGGGGTCGAAGTCTACCCGGGCTTCGCTGCGAGTGAAGTGTTGTACAAATCTGACGGTTCTGTACGCGGCGTTGCCACCAATGATCTAGGCATCGGCCGAGATGGAAAACCAAAGGACAGTTTCGAGAGAGGGATGGAGTTCACCGCGAGGGTGACATTGCTGGCCGAAGGTTGCCACGGCAGCTTGACCAAGCAGGTTATCAAGAAATATGATCTTCGCCGGGATAGTCAACCACAGACATACGGTCTGGGTATCAAAGAAGTCTGGGAGATTCAGCCGGAGAAGTTTAAACCAGGCGAGATTGTTCACTCGATGGGGTATCCATTGCCGTCAGACACCTATGGAGGAGCATGGATGTATCACTTTGGCGAAAATCTTGTCAGCATCGGTCTGGTTGTCGGTCTTGATTATCCCAACCCTTGGCTCTCTCCCTACCAAGAATTCCAGAAATTGAAGCACCATCCTCTATTCAAGGAGGTTCTGGAAGGTGGTAAATGTATCTCGTACGGTGCGCGAGCCTTGAATGAAGGCGGCTTCCAATCGATTCCCAAAGTTGCGTTCCCTGGAGGTGCCTTGATCGGAGATACTGCTGGTTTCTTGAATGTTCCCAAGATCAAGGGAACTCATACGGCCATTAAATCTGGTATGCTCGCCGCAGAAGCTGCCTACTCCGCTCTACAGGGGAGCGATAATGGCACTGTTTTCTTATATGACTACGAAAAGTCTTTGCGGGAATCTTGGATCTGGAAAGAGCTCAAGGAGGTTCGCAATATGCGACCTGCATTTGGCACGGCCGGCTTGCTCGGTGGAATCCTATACTCAGGCCTCGAGGCTTTTATTCTCCGCGGCAAGGCTCCATGGACACTGAAACATCACAGCACAGATTCCGGGGCAACCAAGCTAGCATCGCAGTGCAATAAGATTGAATATCCCAAGCCAGATGGCGTGATCAGTTTCGACATTTTGACTAGCGTCAGTCGCACCGGCACCAATCATGAGGAGGATCAACCTGTCCACCTTCAAGTCAAGGACTGGGATGCACACACTGCAGCTGCATGGCCCAAGTACCGCGGTATCGAAAACCGATTCTGCCCTGCTGGCGTCTATGAATACCTCGAAGATCCTTCCAAAGAGCAGGGTGTTCGCTTCCAAATTAATGCTCAAAAGTAAGTGGCCTTGTCAAAAAAATTTTTTTTTCCCGGGTCATCAGTCCTGACTACTAACTCAACTATAGTTGTATCCATTGCAAGACTTGCGATATCAAAGTCCCGACCCAGGATATCAACTGGCAGACTCCTCAAGGAGGTGAGGGACCCAAATATTTCTTGACGTGATAAAAGCTGTTTTTATAGTGCGACGTGACCTCGTGTAAAATAAGGGATATTCATGCACATATTGCCCTGAGAGGAGTGTTTAGAGAGAGCATATAGAGTTCTTACCACCATATATCATGAATAAATGTATTCATTATTTCCGAATATATATCGTATCTGGAGCTATAGCATCAGCCAATGATCACTCGTCTAGAGATGTATGCGAACCCCACGGGGTTGGCAAGCCGTACCATGGAATTGCTGACATGCTCTCCATCAGCCCTCATTAGTATCCTAATTGTTTCAATCTCATCTTCCAAGGTTAGCACTGTTTTGTTTCATTCATCGCTGGCGCTAAGCTGTAGGCTCAGATGCAGTGTGATACAAAATGCAAAACAAGGCCAAGCGCCCAGCCTGAGCGGGGCCACGTGGATCGCCGCAGAGGTCAAGCTCTCAGTCGCCCACCTTTCACCTCTTCTGTTATCCTCATCGTACTCTCTGTTCTTCTTCTTCTTCTTCTTGTCTATCGTCCCTTCTTCTCCTATTTCTGAGTCTCATAGAGAAATTTGATCATCGTCTATCGCTAATAGCTTTTGGATCCTGGCTCCGAGGTGAGTGCAAGGTACTAAGCTTCCTAGGACTCTCCGCTCTTCTGGTGCTGTGGCTGTGGGCCACTAACATCCACGTCGTCGCCAACAAATTCACCGCCTCGACATCTCTCTGTTTCGCTTCATTCGTACTGGGTTTCCAACGGTCCCGAGAACTCTCCTAGAAGAGTTCGTCAAAAACGGTCCCCTTGCCGCCGTTGTCCACCGTCTCCGGTATCCGGCCAGTTTCTCCAAGGTCTCAGCAAATACTCTTCTACATTCCAGTCAGCCATGAGTGAGGTTTCGTCCACACGGCTCTATCTTGGGAATCTTCCCCGCAATGGTACGCAGGTCTTTACCAATTCACCCTGAGATTCCGCCATTTTCTTGACGGGCTCTTCCCCTGTGTCTCAACACTTCCGTTCTCTTCTTGGACGCTTCCATCCCTTCACCGTTGTTCTCTAGTTGGTGCCCTACGGATAGCAGGAAAGGAAGAGAAATAATTTCGAAGCTGTATCAGCCTGCTTGAAGGACCATGGTCGGAGACGAATACTTTTAAGTTACCTTCCATGGAGCTTCTGGGCGGCTCCGCTTGTTATTCCCTGGATCGTTACGTTAGGCCACCACGTGCTGACGTTTTAACGGCGCCTCCCTGGCGCTGGACTCCCTTCAGTGACTAAAAAGGATATCGAAGAATATTTCGGCTCCCATGGCACCGGCAAAATCACAGAAATCAAGTTGATGAACGGGTTTGGTTTTATCGAATATGAAGATGCGATGGATGCGCGGGACGTTGTCCCAGGTATGTCTTTCCAGGCTCTGATTAGATAATAAGCTAACGATATGCTGTGCTTATTAGCCTTCCGTATGTACCTACCTTGTTGGACTTACACCAATCAGCTTTATTGACCGTTGAATACCTACAGACGGAAGCGATTTCAAGGGAGAACGTCTAACTGTCCAGTTTGCGCGTGGGCCTCGTCACAAGGAGACTTTCAATGGCCCTTCGGACCGCCCCGCTGCACCCAGGCCTCGTCGCACAGTCTTCCGCATGCAAGTATCAGGTCTTCCCACTGAGACGAGCTGGCAGGTAAGCTACAATCTTGCATTCAGACTTAAACCTATTTGCTTTCAATTACGCTCCATTGATTGTGACCTATCTCGAACTGTTTTTCCGTGGATTTGCCTCGGAAACAGTAGATAACATGTTGATTTCGTTCATGGACATAATCCTGACAAACCCCTCTAGGACCTCAAAGATTTCGCTCGTCAGTCCGGACTGGATGTAGTATACTCAGAAACTACTCGTGAGCGTGATGGTAGAGGGTGAGCCGAAAGTTATGCCTACGACAGGATAGACTGCAATGCTGATGTCCAAAATTCAAAGTTTTGTCGAATTTGAATCTCATGCCGATCTCAAAACCGCTGTCGAGAAACTCGATGGCCGAGAGTTGAAAGGCTCCCAAGTGACTTGTGTTGCTGATGTACGTTGTTTTTTTCTTGCACCAAATTTACACCTCTCCTCACCTCTTCCAGGTCCAACCCGCAGAGGAGAGAGCCCCATATCGCGATCCTTATCGATCTCGCTCTCCTCCACGTCGAGGCTATCCTCCCATGGATGACTATGATAGACGAGGCCCTCCACGTGGTTACAGTCCTCGTCAACACTATCGCGAACGCTCTCCACAAGCTTTGCGACGGGATTATTATGATCGAGATGGTTATGGAAGGCGGAGCCCTCCACGACCACGCATGGAGGATTACCCTCCACCACGACGTCCATACGATGATCCCTATGATGCAAGGCCGCCACCACCTCCACCTCCTCGGCACTATGATGATCCTTACTTTGGGGGAAGGTCGTATGGACGTCCTCGCAGCCCGCCGCGGGGGGATTATCCGCCGTACGATCGACGTCCATACTGGTAGCATGGGATTTCTTTTCTCGGAGGTTGTGCAGGATTATCTCGACGGTGTATTTGGTTCTCAAACTGCAAGAACGACTTGAACTGGGTCAAAGTGTATGTATGGTAGTGATCTATGGAGGAGGAAGAATCGAGCCATGCAAATTCATGAGTAATGAATAAGATACCATGTCCAGTTGATCTTGAGGAGAATGTGATTTCTGACCCCTTGAAAATTGAGCGACATATTTGTTGCATATGGGCCAAGCCCTGACACGGTGTTCTTTGAAGAAAATGTCGAGATACCGCACATATTGAATCATGTATGAGACGTGGAAAAAATTGAGATGTACAAAAGGAGACATGATCAGGATGTTAATGTGTGTCTGAAAATGAATGACAAACGGCCTTAATTTCAAAAAATTACCACTGAATTTTCGGATGGCACTTGACTACAGTTGGGAGTTTACTTTGTGTAGTGGTCATTCTTCTTTCCCTTTACTTTCATGGATTTTTTGTCCTATTTGCGAATTGATTTGATCTTTTTAATATATATGTATATACGTACATTGTAGTTTGCGCGGTATGAATATGCGAGCTACAAGCCCTAACCCTATTCATAGATTAGCAAACTGACATTCGCCCCTTCAAATTCGGTATCACGCTCAATCGCTACCTGGCACAGTCTTCTCTGATTGAGACTGTACAGGGATATCAGGTACGTGACTGATCTGCTCAGTCCCCTCATGAATATACAAATGCGTCAACCGTGGGCCAGGGTAGTGCTTGACCCCATGAGCCATCCACCAGATACTCGTCAAAGCAATAACTCCCACAAGAATAACACTGTTATAATTCATGGACGCGGTCGTGGTAGGAATTGAAAAAGCTAATAAAACATCCATTAGCCTTTGGTCATTGAATCGAAATAAATATGGAAGGGGTACTTACGGAAACAATAAAACACATTAAAAAATGAAATCAAAATGACAGCTGCCCAACCCACGATTGTGCTTGTAGTCTTGCCTAGTTTAAAAGGTCCCTTGGGAAGATATTTCTGACCCGTCAACATGTTTGTGACAATGGGGATTGCGTAGGATACTGTTGTGAGGATGATGAATGAGCCTGTTAGATCGATGAAGGCGGTGCTACTGCCGAGTGGGATTGCGCCGAGGCCAGTTGCGAAGATTACTATTTCAGACGTTAAAATTGAGAAAAAAATATAAGATTAAATAAGGGAAAGGGACTTACCGCATAGCAAGGTTGCGTAGACAGGGCAGCTGAGGCTTTCATTGACCTTGCCGAATAGAGAGGATAGTGGGACGGCGTTGTCGCGTGCAAGGGACCAGTATATACGAGAGTTCTGAATGCATTGTCAGAAGAAGTCGTTGAAGAGGGCTGTTTTAGAAAGAACTTACAGTTAGTACAGTGCCGATGGTACACAGGAAAGATGACCAGAAGATGATAAAAAGCAACCCAAAAGTAGCTCCTCTGTTGTTATTGGTGGCCTGTGAGTAGATTGTAGCAAGAGGATAGCCGTTGACTCCAGACAAGAGGGCGTTCAGGTCGGTGATTGAGTAACATAGAGCAATGGCGAAGCAGAATGCGTCTGTACCGAATTAGTACATCATGTAAATGAAGACAAGGAGAGGTAAACATACAAAGAAATCCTAATCCAATCTGCAATCCGATAGCTTTCGGTAAATCCCTCTTAGGATGAGGAAGTTCCTCAGCCATATGGGTAATTGCATCAGGAGTACCGATAGTGAAAGCTCCATTGAGAACTCCGCAAAGGAACGCAACGCCACCAGTCCATCCGGTAAGATTATTCTCGTCAAAAGAGCCCCAAACAAAATGCGAAGAGGCATGCGTTTTAGGCATAGCAGCCAACACAATAATCGTCACTGCTCCGCCGACAATAACGAAGAACATACCCGCATACTGTGAATAAGGCAATAAACGATTTGCAAAGATGACGACAAATGCACTTATCCATAAGATCAACAAGTAGGTGACGTAGATATGCCACGGCTGCCCGACATAGTCCGGGTGGTATGTTGTGTACATCTGGATCGTGATATTTGCTGTGATTTGCACGAGGGAAGCAAGATCGAACATCCAGCCGAAGAAATTGATCCAACCTGCGTAGAATCCGAGTATTCTGCCCCAACGGGGGCCTCCAGTGACTGTAGCCCAGTGATATACGCCGCCTGCCGATGGGATGGCTGATGCAAACTGTCCAACCGAGTCGTGTTAGCATTGAAAGGGGAACTCAGTCTTCAAGATGATTACCTCTGCCAGGTTGAGACCAATAACGGAGTAATATGCTCCGGCAACTATGAGACTGAAAATAAGGCCAGGGGGTCCGCCGTTTGCTATACCGGATCAATATCAATCTTTTCATCTTGGAAAAGAAGAATCTTCATCTTACCTATAGAAACCGAAATAGAACTACCCAAGGCAACCCAAGCATTATCCACTGTCAAAGCAATACCGCATAAACTGAGTAGCCCGTACTGCCGGTCCAGCTGATCCTGCCAGCCAGATGCATTAACGACAGTGCCATCGTCGTCCACTACCACAACCTCATTGTCGGGGTATGAGGTTCCCTCTTCGGGAAGTATACCATCAGAGTGGCCTTCAGACCTGCGCTTCTCTTGAATAGAACTCATGGAGTCTTCCATGGTAACGAGAAGTAGTCTATTGATCAACAACGAAGGAATAGATACGGTACACAGATTCTCATCGCATCAGGTGCCTGGCATCGACAACGACCGATGGGCGTCATAAGGGTTATATACCCTAAGGACCACTTCTGGTTTAGTTATTTCTTCATGTACATATCTTATCAGTATCTCTATCAGCAAACGTAAGGAGAATGCCCTTCTTTTTTTCCGCTGAGGATTGAGTTTCAAGGCAGACCCGTCATCAGACATGCATTATTACGGAGTATACGACAAGGGGTTATGTGGATCGTTTATGATTACCTACACCCCAACTTCCAAACCTATTAGAAGGTTTGATAAGGCATGGAGTTCAAGGAGCCACTAGCTGCAGATATCCTTATCACAACACTGACCGTTCAGCCACCGAATTCCAGAACCTTGGTCTTAGTCTTCTATCGGTTGACCTAATTAGGCATTAGTATTTGATTCTATTTTATTTTTATTTTCACTTCGATTGTATGACATCTAGAACGGTTTAACATTGTGGATTATGCACAGTTTGATGACGAAAAAGTTTAGATAAGAAATTCTCTATCTTTTTTCCTAATTGGGTAAGTTAAGGTTATCAGCCCTAGCCCTAGCCCTAATCCTGTCGTCCTTCCCCATAAAGGCATCGACCAACATGCGTCCTACAAACTCCTTGATCCTGTCTTTTCATCGCATCACTCAGAATAAGTCAAGTACAAATTCGTTTACAATTCACTGTTCGACAGACTCAATGGTCCTTTCTTAACCATAATCGTCATCACTTCGTAGAGAACGTCAGCGGCAGCCCTGTCGGTAACTCGTCAGTAAATGGCCAAACACTAAATTGGGGAGAAACTAACATAGTCGTCAGCTCGGCATTGGTATCATATGCTGGAGCAACCTCAACGATATCAGCACCGATAAAATTGAGTCCATCAAGGCCGCGGATGATCGTGCGAAGTTCACGGGTTGTCCAGCCACCAGTTTCGGGAGTACCGGTAGCCGGGGCGACTTTTGATATTCATTGTCAGAAAGTTTCGTCTTTACCAAGTATGAGGGGACTTACAAGCAGGGTCGAGAGTATCAATGTCAATAGACAGGTAGACGGGGTTGGTGGTGCCGACACGGTCACGGATGCGCTTGACGATTCCATCGATACCTATTATAGTGTTAATCTATGATCGATAAAAGGAAACAAATATAAATGTACCGATAGTGTCAATTTCTCTGGCCTCGACAATCTCAAAGCCAACGTATCCATCATTATCGTAATCAGAAGGTCCGGAAAGAGTCGTGCGGATACCGGCGTGGATATTGGTGTCGTTGCGGAGTAGACCTTCCATAGCGGCATGATAGAAGTATGTTCCATGGTTGATGCTAGCGGTTTCCGAAGGAGCGCCGCCAAAGACCTTTGGTTTCCATGTGTCCCTAGTATGTGATTAGTCTCTGACCACAATTGAACGGGTTACAAGTCCTTACAAATGGCTGTCAAAATGAATGACAGTGACTGGACCATAAGCCTTGTTGATACTGCGCAACAAAGGTAGGGTAATAGTATGATCACCACCGAGAGTGATTACACGAGGAAGCGTCTTTCCAGCCTTGGACAACCCCTTCTTGTCAGCATCAGTAAACGGTTTGCGCATCATGACACTATTGTGTCCTTCTTCGATTTGACGAAGAGCGTAGGTATTATCATAACTAATCCTTGTATAAGCTTCCAGCTTCATCATGAAGGGGAGTTGGAGTTTAGACGTACGACGTGACGGGAATATCGCCGCAGTCGAGAACTCTCATCTTGCTTGAGAATGGATTGGCTTCCAAGGGAACATTGTAACCTCCACTATCAAATCAATAAGGTCAGTATAGAATTGACGAGGCGTGAAAAGGATTCGTACTAGAGATTGAGACGGCGAGAACCTTGTCTGATACCACTGGGACCAAATCTCGCGCCAGGTCGGTAGGAAGTACCGGTATCGAAAGGAGCGCCTATGTTGTACATACGTTAGCACCAGTTTACCTCTATTAAAAAGTGGAAAACAAACCTAGGAAAGCAATATCGTATTGCTCATCTTCACTTGCCAGACATGGGAAGAAGGGCAGTCGGCCGAATGTCGAGATTCCAGAGAAGACGGAATCAGCCTAACAAAGCGTGAGCACCAAATCGCGAATATACATGACCATATCTGTGCCATGCTCTTCGAAAATCACATACTTGGGTACCTCCATCGCCGGGGAGGGTATTGTACCACAATTGCTTGTGAGGGCCAGTAATTGGACTCTGGCCATGATTTCCATGTGCAGAAGCAATGGCAGAAAGAGCAGTGAGTGTCAACAGTGATGCGTACATAATGTCTGTCCTTTGATCGAGCAAATACGAGAATGAAGGAGGAGAGAATAGAAAGAAAAAGATATCTTATGCGAAAGACGGTAGGTATCAGTAGTTTTCTGTTTTTCGCAAGCCTGCAGTAGACGGGTGAGAAAGTCTATAGAAGCTCAACTAATGACATAATTTTGGGATTCGGATTATGTTATGTTGAGCTCTTGTTAAGTTCTAAAAAATTATGACAACAGAGTTTTTGTAAGCCCTTTCGCAGCGAGTTCTCTATCGGCCTACCGAATTAGGGTAACGGCTGGAGGTATCCACGAGTTGAGATAGACAACAATTGTCCTCTATCCCAATCGATATCGTCATACCGATTGATTCCTTCCGACCTGTGGGGTGTTAGCTTCATTCATAAGACTGTTATTCTCTAAATTGATGCTAATTGCGATTATCGCTCGCTGATCAATGTTGAGAGAGCCGAGATCAATACCTTATCCATTATGCAGTCTTTTGGTTGGTCAATGCCAGAGATACTAGACGGTCTACTTCTTAGTACTTACGTATATGTATAGATTCTTCCTTTAATCTTAGCGTGGTGAGTTGTTCTTAAGCTCAAGCAAATCAGCCGTGGAGTCCCGGCGCATCTTCTTATCTGGGATCCATTGAATGGTATCGATAGATTAGGAAGGTCGGGGGAGCGGGGGGACTCACCAACATCATCCCTTCAATGTATTCAAAGTAGATGGGGAATGAAGAAGATTAACACATCTGTCCTCGAGACATTCACCAAAAATTGTTTCGGTGGAGATTTGGCCGGTGTGGATGTGAGCCAGATTTCCTTTCTAGGATGCTAGATAGAGAAAAAAAAAGTTATATGCATTGTTAGATAAGTTAGGAGATGGAAATGCCAAAATTTACAGAAAGTATGAACCGTTCTTTAGATCTCTTCTTGTGTATCGCGTTAAAATTGATAATTGTCAATTGTCATGGATATTTTATCAGTCGATCCAGAGATCTTTTACTTGGTCCTACATCACCGACGTATCAACGACACCGTCTTCAAGCCGAGCCTGCACGTCCATCCTCTGAAACGCCTTATCCACCTCTTTATCCCAGTTGCTCAGATAGACAATAGCCCATTCTAGAGCCCCAACCAAGTATAACGCAATGCACTGGCCAACCCACAACCCTTTCAAACCCCAGCCATGAAAGGCCAGCCAGATACCGAGTGGCAATGCGCCACCATAATAGCTAATCAGATTGACAAGTGCGCCGATGTGTTGACGGCCCATCCCTCGTAGACTGCCCCCGCAGCTGCCGTTTAGACCATCTGCAATTTGGAAGAGTGCCACGTAGGGAAGAACCTCAGCGGTAAGGCGCACTACGTTATCGTCGTCGTTGAATATCCTTCCAAACGAATGCCGTGTCCCCATCAGTACGGCTAGGACTATTCCGCCGAGCAGAATACTAACGAATGCAGCTGTGTGGGCGGCGCGAGCTGCTCCGTGGGCATTCCTAGCGCCGAGGAGATTGCCAACCCTTGTGGATGCAGCAACACCCACGCCGAACGGAATCGTGTTCAGAACTTGGTCTGCAGTCATGATCACACTTTGGGCAGCAAGTGGGATTGTACCTAGCCGACCCGCAGCCAGTGCAACAATCTCAAAAGCCCACCATTCAGTACCAACATGAATGACACCCAGGAAAGCTAGACGGGCAAATGTGCCTATGTTCTGGACGGCTGCGCGTGACCATCCGCCCCAGCACTCCGAGCCGGCTATGAAGCAAGTGTATAGTACAAGCAATGCGAACGATAGCCAGTATGATATACTTGTAGCAATCGGAGCGCCGAGGAGGCCGATGTCCAAGGTGTAGCAAAAGAGATAGTTCAGACCTGCGTTGACCGGTGAAGTGATCAAGAGGACGTATGTCCCCGGACGCATAATACCTATACAGTATAAGTGTTGAGAACAGGATTGGAGACCAGCTGGATACTTTACCTTGAGCCTGCAGATACTTCTTCATAGATTCAAAGTAGATATAACCCAAACCACCCGGAATCAAGCAAGTCAAGAACCTAGCACTGTCCCGGGATAAATTTGGATCCTGGCCGAGAAAGAGGAACACCGGTTCAGAAAGGGCCCAGAGAATAGCAACTGGAACATAGAATAGCCCCAGAACAAAGAATCCACGCTGAAGCAAGATCCCAAGATCATGCTTGTTAGCACTTCCGGTAAAAGATGAAGATGCTAGAGTATCAAGTGCTGTAGTCCCTCCAAGGCCAATCAACCACGCCGTGCACATGGCAAACATGTACGAGAAAGCTGCTGCTGCCAGATTCTCAGGCGAGGACCGTCCAACGATCAGAACGGAGATTGTCTGTAGGCTGTTTTGTAACGTGTATGCTAGAATTACCGGAGTACTTCCCTTGAGAAGCAACCCAAATTCAGCAAGAATGAGACTTTTCTTCGAGTACTGTCCATCCTCCCTTTCGAGATTCGGGAATTTGGGTATGAGCAGTGTGGACTCATTTGGAATGGACTCAGTGGTAGCTATACGGTTCGCCATGATGCCTTGGGATGGAACTTTTGAATGATTGAGCTTCTCACCAAAGCGGAAGTGGTTCCTAGTTGAGGGACCTTGGAAGTATGTGGTACCCAGGGCTCATTTATACTTCTGCCATGACAGCGTTCTAGTATTGCATGCAAGCTAGGACATGTGGGTCTTCCAAATATCGTATATAACTGTTGATAAGAAGATACGTACATGAAAATTTGCGCAGACATGTCTAGAAAGTCACCCAGGGGACTGGTAGCAATAAGTCTTTAGGATTTCCGGCTCCGTTCCATCCTGACCTCAAGTACCATGATGACCTGATGAGTCCTTCCGAGTCTTAGGTTCGATAAGCTCTTTTCGATACCTTCCAGATTTTCACAGTATTATTGGGACTGAGCAATTGGTACAGCTTATGAAAAGCTAGAGAAAAGCAACCTGTTAAACTCATTGTTGAGTAGAAGATGAACAGTGCCTGTGTCAGCTTGGAATTTCTGAAGCTTTTCCCAAGACATATACCCGGCGCTAGATGGATATAGTAAAGCGCCATCTTCCTTATCGACAAAAATAAAGGCTGAAATTATTTTAACCAGATCCAAATGGTGGAGATGGTACCAAAGATATTTGCTTCATCTTGGTGATCAGATTCTTAACGAAATTACATATTACCCTGCATATTAAGTGGCATTGAGTGTTGTGAAAGCTCTTTGACTGTATGTTTACTGTCCATATCATGATGATATAAACGGTGGGCTGATTCAACAAAGATAGCGGGACAGCAACCCGAAAAGTCTAGGAGCATCATTGACTTCAACAACATCAATCCATAATTCTACGTTACAGCCACTGGAATTAATATTCTCAATTTGTTTGGACATATTTTGGACTGATATTTCTAAGTTGATCTCAGAGCTACTTGGATAATCTTTTTGCAACCCACAACACCGCGATCTATTCTGGGCCGAACGTTGGAAATGGCTGGCATCGCCAATTTGAGACCGGCTACTCGCCCTAGTATTGTGGACAATGTCTCTCTTCGCAACATCAACCTTCACTTACCAGCAGCACCTGATCCATGGCATCGCTCTGGGAAATCCCAGCCATGCACAGCAGCTGTAAAGCTATCATATTCGTCTGCTGTTGCTGCGGCTAATGCAGATGATGTCTCGCTTTCTCTTGACTACGGCAAACTTTACCGCCGCATTGAGGCTGCAGTTCGTGATTCTGTTAAGCCTACGTCAGGTGGCCACTTATCCCAAGCAGCAGAGACCACTCTGAGTAATGATGTGCGGGTCATTGCTGGATTGATAGCCAATTGTGGCTTGGGTTTGTTAGACGAGACCATCGCCGGAGTGCGAAGAATGGATCATGTTCAAGCTCATCCAGAATCCCCAAGTCGGAGACGCGCAAGCCAGGCTAGTCGGAGACTAAGTGGTGTTTCCTCTTCAGTTCCCAAAGAACTCCAGACTGCTACATCTCCGGAGGTTTTGAATGGCATGTTTGGCGAATGCGAGGTTTTGCTACATTTGCCCAATGCTCATTTGCGAGCGGAGGGAGGGCTGTCTTTTCGGACTGTCCAGACCTGGGTGTATGCTGACGATAGTGCCTCGTTGGAAATCGCCGTGGAGAGCAGCAGACAGGTTGCCATTGTGGAACAAGAATTCCGCGTGGAGGGTATCCGTTGTCACTGCATCCTTGGTGTCAACTCTCATGAGCGAATTGAGAAACAAGCTGTGATCATCACATTAGACTTCCGAGGCTCCGGAGAGGCTTCGTGGGCTTCTACATTCTTGAACACATATCAACAGATGGTTCGGGTTATAGCAGAGGTGAGTTTGTATAAGCTACGATTTCCGTGCAGAATTGAATCGGACAGCAGCTAACAGCAGACCTGTTTCACGGCAGAGGGTGGAAAATACATCGTATCAGACAGTTGAAGCTCTCGCTACTTTCATCGCCCGCACAGCTACAATGGACTTTGGTAATGATTCTGTCACAGTTTTGGTGGAGAAGCCGAGTGCCATGGCTTTTGTGGAGAGAGCCGGAGTGCAAATCACCAGGTCCAAGGCATTCTTTGCAGAGCAAGATTTTTTGAAAGCGAGGGGAGGGATGTAGTGTTATCAAATAATCGTAGCATAAAATAAAAATAAAAAGACTGGGACCTATGACATTTCCACGTGAAGCTGCCGGTTGCCGCATCGGGCATTAGGCTCGGTGCCAAGCCTGTCATGCTTTTTTGCCTGGTTTCACCTGAAAAAGCCTCATATTTCTTCTCTTTCTGCTCTCACAACGCACAACTACTCGCGAATTCGATCTAACCTCCGTCGAACGATCTCTCAGCAACCGTTTCGGTATCTCTCAGATTCTCTATGGGCTGCATTCCTGCAACTGAATCGTCAACTCCCGCTTTTCCTCCTGTGACCAATGTTTTCACCGTGACTCCGTGGGACTCTTTGTTTTCTTCGGCTTGCTACTCGCCAGCTTCAGTCCGCATTGATTCGCTCGAGGACACTCGATCCGCCTCATTGCTGTGGTCCGGTGCCTCTGTCTGCGATTTGTTTTGGGTAGGGGTGCAGGGTCCGTCCTGAGCAAGGACGGACGTTAATAGGGTTGTCTTCAAATTCTCGTCACGTACGATTCCTATGATTGTCTAAGGTCTAGGAACAATATGCTAGTTGCATAATATTTTCGAACTCAATCTTCAATTTTCACGCTGCTCTGGGACGGCTGCCCTTATTCTTCGACCGTTAGACTCGATCTGCTTGAGCAAGCTATTCCAGGCAGACAAAATGTTCGACACAATCCACCGACCATCCTCCGCTCAGCGTCTGGCGCACCAAATGGAGCAGCTGAACCAACGTTCTGCTCCAAATTGTACAATGGAAGACCTATCAGTTGGCGACGTGTTTACCCCCCAGATGGACATTGAGCCGGAAAACGAAGGATTCAAGGATAACACTGCACACGGACTTGGACACGCGCAACACGATGTGACTCTTGCACCAAATCATACAGACTTTCTTACTGCTGAACCTCAAGTCTTACAGCTTCATGAGAAAGCAGCGACCCGCATAAAAAAGAAGAAAGGAAGACGTGTGGCCGACGTGGAAGTTGGGCGCGGTACTCCGGCTCTGTCTACAGTTCGAGGGTTCACTCCCATGGCGTCTGGCGATGAAGACTCCGACATGTCGACTGCTGGGTCCCGGGTTATGTCGCCGCAACTCCATGCTGTCCCTCCCGCGAACATACCAAATGGAATCAGCGCCCTGAAATTGCAGCTTGATGCACTGAGTCTATCCGAGAAAATGCCTCGCTCGGGTGACTCTGTTATGTCGAGCAATGCTAGTGTATCTTCTGATAGTGACCGTACCGAAGTCATGACCAGTTATGAGGTCCCTCTCGAGCATGATTTTGTTAGCGAGGAAGCTGCCGCGGAAGAGAAGCTGTCCACTAGTAACGGAAACAATTTACAGAGTGACGTGTGCAGGAAAATGACCAGCCGTGATTTTGAACAACTCATGTGTCTCGGAAAGGGCACTTTCGGAACGGTCCTCTTGGTGCGCCACAGACCTACTGGGCGTCTGTATGCTCAGAAACAATTCCGCAAAGCTTCTATCACCGTGCACAGAAAGTTAGTGGAGCAGACCAAGACAGAACGTATGATCCTTGAAAGTGTCAATCGTCACCCTTTCGTCGTCAAGCTCTATTACGCCTTCCAGGATCACGAAAAACTGTACCTTATCCTGGAGTATGCTCAAGGCGGCGAGCTGTTCACTCACCTCGCTGCTGAACGCATGTTCAGCGAAGATGTTGCTGCTTTTTACATGGCCGAAATGGTTCTTGCGCTTGAACATCTTCACCAGAACATTGGTGTTGTATACCGAGACTTGAAGCCGGAAAATTGTCTCTTGGACTCCGAAGGTCACTTGCTACTGACAGATTTCGGATTGAGCAAAGTTGCAGTTAGCGATGACGACCGTTGCAATTCATCCCTAGGCACGATCGAGTACATGGCTCCTGAAGTTATTCAGCGCAAACCCTACGGCAAGGCCTGTGACTGGTGGTCTCTGGGCGCTCTGGGATATGACTTATTGACCGGTTCCCCGCCCTTCAAGGCCAACAATCATGCGAAGATCCAGGAGAAGATTGTCAGACAGAAGCTGGTACTGCCTTACTATCTCGGACCCGATGCGAAAGATCTACTCATTCGACTACTCCGCAAAGAGCCACAGAAGCGACTAGGCTATCATATGCCAAAGGATTTGGATATCATCAAGAAACATCGTTTCTTCCGGAAGATCGACTGGAAAGCGCTTGCTCGACGCGAGTTGGAAGCACCGATCCAACCTCTCATCACCGATCCTGCTCTCGCGGAGAACTTCTCTACCGACTTCACGGGATTGGCGCTGAGCCCAGCTCTGACAGACGATGTCCACATTGGCGATATGTTGAAGAACGCCGGGATTTCTGGCGATCCTGCTAGCGGCGTGAATGAAGCCGATCCTTTCCATGGCTTCAGCTTCGTTGCGTCGAGCAGTCTTCTGAACAGTGGATTCGGCCTCGCCACGTGATTGAGCGCTTTTCAAAAGTGATTTGGTTTACTCTTTGCCTTGAAGTATAGCTTTCAGACTGCTTGTGGTTATTTTGTTTTCTGTATAAGCCTCGCTTCCCTTTTTGAATCTGTCGTAACTCTTAGCTATCATAAATAGAATATACATACATCTACAGAATGATACAATACTGCATTACGACCCGATATCTTAGCTTGTCACGTGTGGACAGTCTAAGTGGGCTGGAATTGGAGCTCAATTGATTAACGATCTCCCTATCTCCCTATCTTGCGAGAGGAGAAAAATGATCCATCGATGACCACCACCTGAGGTACCACTGATTATTTTCTGAACAGTGATCGCGATTCAGTTCGGGTTAGATATTTCTGATTATGAGTATTCCCAACGTCTCCCTCCGAACTGTGAGCCGGAATTGGATATGGTGGTCCATCCACCTTGATTATACGGTTTTCGCCCCGCTTTCTGCGATTTGATAGCTTTTTCTCTTCACAACAGCAGGAAAACCCCTCACTAAACGGGACATGTTCAGATTTATCGCTCATGGTATCGATCGCGAATCCTAGATTTTCATCCTAGTGAAATCATTCAGGTTGCTACATTCTGATGGCAGTTTTGGTTCGTCCCTGAAGTGGCAAGCAACGGCTTTCTTCCTGAGAAGTCGCATATTGAACGAATCGAAATCTCAGCCCATCCAAACAGATAACCTAAGCAAGTCCAACAGGTTACCAATACATCTTGTCAATTAATCGTCCATCATGGATCCGCTATCTGAATCCTCGCAATTGAATCAGCAGGCTGGTAATCGATTGGTACCAATAGCAGAAAACCAGAGTGACAATAACAATACCACGCAGTTCTCCTCTCGAACAACCTCCCGAAGTCAAGATGCGCATTCGACACCAGAGGGCGTCGAAACCGTCACTATTCCAGTGCAAGCAACACATCAAGGATATCCGGTAAATGCGAAAGTTGCCATTCCTAGAAGCCGCGCTGGTGCTAGTTATCGGTACAGTCGTCGTGTAGCTAAGGCATGCGAAAGTTGTCGTCAAAGGAAGACTAAATGTTCTGGAGATACGCCAGTCTGCAGACAATGTCGAGAACTCAGAGTGAAGTGCCAGTATCCGGATGGTATGAGAGAGAAAACAAAGAGGTGAGTCGTTCTTCTGTTCGCGTATTACCCATTGCGCCGTGTAGTTGAAATGATTATTTTGGCTAATACTCTTCCCACGAAGATATATGGAAGAGCTGTCTCACAAGGTGAATGACTACGAATCACTCCTAAAAGAATTGCGCTTTTCGGTGAACGAGGCTCTAGGGGATCGCATTACAGCGACACTCAGCAAATACGCGGCCGATGGAGAGCAGAACTCAATTGACCACCCTTCGTCGTCGTCGCGCACACCTCTGGATGATGCCGATCTCGAACCATCTTCTCCATCATCTGTCGGATCCCTGGAAGCAATTGACCGCGTGGAGGAAGACCTGAATAGAGGGGAGAATGTTCGCGCGACAGGATTTATCGGTAAGAACTCAGAAATTAGCTGGATGCAACGAGTTCAGAGAGAATCCGTGCAACGAGCTCGAAAGGAGCCTGGTATGTATGAAGGGGAGCCGCAAGCACGCCAGTACGAAGATTTCTCCATCAACTCTGTCAGCTACCATCTAGATGATTTGGATATCAATGTTTCGGGCCCTATCGACGAGTATCAAATGCCGTCTCGTAAACATGCAGAGCGTCTTTTTGAAGACTATTTGATTACTGTGCATCCGTTCTTTCCCATCATCAATCGCCCTCTTTTCAGCTCGCAATTCAAATATTTCTTCGACAACTCCGCACAACCAGGCGACAGATGGCTGGCGATCTTAAACATGATTTTCGCCATTGCGGCCAAACATTCTCATTTGGTGCAAGCACCTTGGAAGAGCAACGACACGCAAGACCATTTGATCTATTTCGCACGTGCCCGATATCTCAGTATGACAGCGGACGAGCTTTTCAGCCACCCTGATTTACAACAAGTCCAAGTAGAGGGTCTGATGGCCTTCTATCTTCTATCGACGGATCAAATCAACAGGTAAGCTGAACCCCTGACTTATTATCATCAACGATCTGAAGCTGACGTCGCTTATAGAGCTTGGAGAATATCAAGCCTTGCTATTCGTTCTGCTATAGCCCTCGGTATCAATATGAAGAGCTCTAGCGAGACCACCCCCAATACGTCTAAGGAGTCACGCTACCGTGTATGGTGGTCACTCTACTCTTTTGAACACCTTCTCGGTGTGATGACAGGTCGAGCAACTTGCATTCTCGATGGAGTTTGCACCACACCAATGCCGATACCCTTTGAAGAGGAAAGATTCAGTGAACCAGCCGTTCAAGAGATGCTAGGCAATTTTACTCTACGCGAGGAACGCATACAGTCTGTAGTTGCGAGCCATTCGATCCGGCTAATGCCCCAAAATCCTGCTGGCGGCCAGAATGTCGATAGGCGTGAAAAGACAGATCGGTTTGCATGGATACGTAGTATCCCTTTCAATCCCGGGCTACTTTTCTTGCTATACATTGACCTCACTGTTATCACCCAAGAGATCGTGAACAAGGTGTACACAGCTGATGCAGTGAGAGTACCTTGGTCTCACATTGAAAACCGTATAGGCGAATTGAAATCCCGCATCGACCTATGGTTCAATCAGCTACCTGAAGCATTCAAATTCACACAAAAGGAGAGTAGCTCCCCCGAGCAGGTTCGAGCGAAACTTGGACTCGCTTTTCAATACTACAGCGCTCGGATTACGTTAGGTCGGCCTTGTCTCTGTCGACGAGACGCTCGTGCTAACAAACAGACCTCATTCAGCCACAAAATGGCACTGGTTTCTCTTGAGGCTGCTACTCGAATGCTAGACTTGATACCCGATGCTCCCGACCCATTCCAACTCTATCAACTAGCTCCATGGTGGGCTATACTTCATTTCTTAATGCAATCGACTACTGTTCTTTTGTTGGAGTTATCTTTCGCCAATGTACACGCACCTAACGAAGAAAAGAATACTTTTCATTCAGCTAAGAAGGCAATCCGTTGGTTATACGCAATGTCAGAACATAGTACTGCCTCTTTTCGAGCATGGCAGCTCTGTGACAGCTGCATCCGCCGAATCGCTGTGGGCATGAACTACGATGTCAGCGATCTGCCACCAATACCCAGCGACGCCATACTTGAGCAACAAAGGCAGTATCATGCTCAAGACCAGCTTCAGGCTTACGGTAACACGGGTCGTATGCAGGCACAGTTATCTACAACAGCAGCACGTGGAAGCGATACCCAGCAACAACAGCCCGAGCCATTTGACTGGAGCACAGGAATGGAACCCATAACCACATCATCAACCGAAGCCGCGAGACGTCGAGAACTTCTTGGTGATCTCGACTTGGAGCATAATGCTGTTGTAACTACGGCCGAGCCAGTGACGTACCCGATGAGTTTTTCGCCTCTCATGGTGAATTCCGGTTCGAGTGGTCCTTCAATTCCCGACTCTCATTTTCCTTACGATCCGATTAGCGGTGAATTCATGGGATCGTTCTTCCCTAATCCGGGGGCTGATCAGAATAATTGGGATAATTAATTCATTTCCGAAAGCTGCAGGATCTGATGGGCATTGAGATACATAGAAAGGATCAGAGCTAGAGACGGACGAAGCAAAAGCGCAATTCCTCAATACTCATGTAATGTGATAATGTGATTTATGAAAGCCTTGAACGAAGTATCTCACCTTATGGTGAAAGCCTCTTTGTCCTGCTTTACTTCTTGCAGGATTGGATTCGCTTGAATATACGATACATGATGCAATACAGTGGTTCTCTTTAATATCATTTTCTATCCCGAGGCCCTTTACGGTATATTAAACTCGAGAGAAGATGAAAGTAGGTAGTATAACGGGGTATATAAGTCTATTGCAACTATAATAATACATGTGAACTTCAGCTCGTCCTAATACCTATATACACAAATACTAAAGTGCCACATGCTTATGATACACGGGAGGTGACCGAGCCAATGCCACAAATCCTCTTCAATCACTCTCATCTTTCTCTTCGTCTTCATTATCGGCCAGCAAGTCTTCCATGTTATGATGATCGTTTTCTTGGCCAATATCCGCATAAACCCATCGAACGATATTCTTTCTCTTCCTCGACTGCCACATCCTGATTCTTTTCAAATGACCGCTCGTTTCTCGACCAATCTCATACTTGTCTCTGTTGAACCGCTGATAACGCTCTACACAGAAGTCAAGTACCTTGTAGATCTGGTCTCTGGTCTGTTGCTGTGAAGGCGACATTGTTCTCTTGTCTGGCGCATCTGCTTGAGATTCCTTCAATTCCTTCACGGCTGCTCTGCTGATGATTCGTAACGTATTCAAGTTCGGAACAACCGCTTTACGCTGCCTCTCACGATGCCACACCCAGTCGAACTCGATGTCGAGTTCCTCCGTAATCGGATCGCCGCTCTTTTGCAAGCGATATGTCTCATCTTCGGCGAGGCGAGCTGCATGTGATCGCTCAATGTCTATGCACCAATTTTTCCACATGTCCATTCCAGCTTGGCTGCCGCGTGTTTCCACGACAGCACTAAGTACAAGATTGAATGCCACACATGGGATAAAAGGGAGTATATCCCGTTTCTGCGGATTGGTGTATGCAGGTTTCACTTCATTGGCAACTTGGGCCACAGCACCAGGAATCGATAAGAGTAGGCCATGCCACCGATAAATGGTTTTTTTATAGTACATATTGACATCCTCATGGAACACTCTTTCGGGGTTGTAATAGCCCAAGAGGAAACGGCGCAACAATATCCGAACGTGTGCGAGGGATCTTTCGAGTTCTTGCTCCCATGGCTTCTCCCAAATTTGTTGTTCCAAACGCAGGAGAGCAGATGTTAATGTGGCGAGAGTGGTTTCACCCCATGCTTTCCGTCTATGTTGAGTCAAGAGTTCGAGAATATCTTCAGCTTCCTTCCATCGCTCAAATGCAATATAGAAATTCGCAATTGCATTGAACGTGTTACGTGAAATAGGCTTTTGTAGTCGCTGGACGACAAGATCACCAAGTCCTTGATTGCCTGTCGCTGTAGCGAATCGTAGAATGGAAGGAGCCAAGCTCTGATCACCGTATGATTCAAAAGAAATGATAGGCCCATCCGGATCCTCTGAAAAGAGAAGCCATTCGCCAAAATCATTAGCTTTACTGACCCTGATCAGGTCCAAAAGATTGGCTAGAGTGCCATTCGATAAAGTCGGGATCGGAGATTGATCAATCAGAACCGAGGTTTCCGGTAATATCGATTCTGACTGGTGTGCTTCTTCGTTCTCCTTTTCTTTGCCCCAAAACTCCTGTATGCGATCGATTTTGCTGGAGTCAATGATTTCGAGCAACGAATTGAAAGTCTTCATTGCCTTTTCAACCTGCTGGTGCTGCGTGTATAGTCGTAAGTTCTGCTGTAGTAATCCAGCGTACAGAGACGAGGCGCCGCGTATATCGTGTTCATCCAATGCAGAAAGTCGTTGATGATCGGTGGGAATAGCATCATCCCAAGGAGGAATAGGCGGCGGCAAAACAGTGAGAACATGTTCCAGCCATTCTGGTCGCATCCCAGATTCTGAAATATGCGATTCCAGCAATGGGACAATATGGTAAGTACCAGTGCTTTGGCTTGCGGCCTCCTTGTCAATGTATGACGGCTTCATTTTGTTCACAGATGCAAGCTGCTGAATCAAATCTTCAACGTCAGAATTATCAGACCTAAGATCATTATTCACATAGCTCGCAGCTTGAGTTGTTAGAGCTGTGAAGACCTCGGCGCTGATAGTCAACCTTCCCAAGCCATGAAAAAAGCCAGACTTGCTCTGAAGTTCTTCAGGCGTTCTAGGAATGTCGGGATGTGGCCAAAAGTCGTGTTTATCAATATTGGTATTATTGATTATTTTGAGATGGTCTAGAAGTGGGCTCCATGACACAATCTTCCATGCTGCGCCATAATTGCTCCCTTGTAAATGCTTGAGGATCCATAGGCCTTCCTTTATATGGCCCTGCTCAACACAGGCCCAAAGAATAAACTCCAGCCAGATCTCGGGACCCAAATGGCGGATACCGATCTTGAAGGAGCGAAATGGTGAATCTTCGCCAGCGGCTTGTGCTTTTTCCCTCACTTCCGCCTCGTGGACCAGCCACGCTGCATCTGACAGGACATTCATAATATGTGTAGATAACAAGTACATTGCCGGCGGTCGGTATAGACTCCCATTGTCAGAACGACTCGTAAATTTATATATCGCATCCGGAATGTTCCCGGACTCGTGAAGGTGAGCAAGCGTCCGATATACATATGACATAGCGAGCCCGGACTCCTGTGCTGTTTTATTCGCAGCGGCCAGTACGATGAACCCTAAACTCTGCCATATTTCTCCCATAATAGCCGAATTTGCCATACTGTGCCGCGGCTCATCTGTAAAAGCTTCCATGGAGATGGACGTCGCAGATTTTTTGAAGCCAGTCACAACAGAGCCTTTCCCTCCCAGCTTCGCATCCCGAAGATCCCATTGAAGGTTGGATGGTGTTCCTTCCAAAGATTGTAACGTTTCTTGTAGCCTTTCAGTTGCATCAAGCATCTTCGTAATCAGTGCGTAGACAGCGGGCCATCTTTGTAGTGTGAATCCAAGGTATGCAAGCAAATCCCAGCCTTGTAATCGGCGTGCACGACCTAAAATAGTTGCAATACTCTCACCCTCACCCTCAGAGTCCAACGTCTCGGTATTCTTTGGCGGATTTGTGGTAATGTCCTTACTCGTTGCTCCGTCGCGCAGGTCTGAGGGTAGGTACGGTTCAAGCTGTTGTATCCATACTGCTGCACTTTGACCGTCTCGCACCGGGTGTCTAAGTGACTTCTGTTCACTTTCCACGAAGCTATGTTTGAAAGAGCGGACTTTCCTTATCGACACCGGCCGATTGTCGTCAACTGTTCCATAATTTCGGCTCGAAGAAATATGCAACAGGTTGACATGGCGTCCAGTGCGCCAGCCAGAAACAATTATCGTGTTTATTCCATGGCAACGATTGATACGAGACCTGCAGCCCAGCTGGAAAGGACGATAAGGGCGCAGGCAAAGTTTCATGACCCGATTTCCGAGAGCCTCGAGTAGCGATGCGGAAGGAATTTCAAGATACGAGAAGCAGGTTTCCTATAAGCCGGAGTCATATCTGATAGTGTAAACCAGACTCAAATACAAATAAGCCCTACAAGGGCTTCAAAAAGGCAAGAAGCCCGGTTGTAAGACATGAAAGAAATGATCAATGATAATCGACTTGCTGGAACCAATCGAGGAAAATGAGCTAGAAAAATTATGCTTAGTCATCCTAAGCTATGTCAGCCAATCAGCGAGAGTCATCCAACAATTCAGCTTTCGAGAATAAGTGGTCTGCTTTTTCCATGCTTTTCAATCTGATGTTCACTTGGGTGATGCGAATTTTGCCTTGAATAACATATGTTGCATCGACAAGTGTTGGAACCATACTCTGAAAGGCTAGAATGGCATCTACTTTGTCTAGACATATATATACTAAATGACAGTTGCAATGGAAATCGACTTGACCAACAATCAAATAAGGCACAAAAATATGTACATGAGGACATTTCCACATTTAATCGTTCATTCACAGCGTTTGTAGAGGGTATATGAAAGCACAAGCCAACAAGAACTCCATAAAGTATAACCGATATGCGCCAATCCTATCGAGATAATTGTGTGTCGAATAAAAGGGACGATGGAGAGACACGTTTTAATGCTTAAACTTCGCCAGCTTCGGCCATTTCCGTGTCTTCCACGGACTGTAGCTCGCCGCCTAGCTCTTGTTCGACCTCTTCCACAACAAAACTCTCATAATCTTCCAGGCCTTTCTGCACGTGGACTTTGAACCGAATGATATCATTCAACATACTCTCGACGCCAGTATGAAGTTCTTCACGAAGCTGGTTTGCGCGAAGTGTAAGCTGCTCATATTCCACATCGGTGTTCATTTCCCGCTGCTCCATCAGTTGAACGCTTTCAGTAAGTGATGCTCGCATCTTTGCTAGCTCCTTTTCCATCTTTTCAATTTGGGCATCTGACTGGACCTTTTGCGTGGTTGTAATTTCCTTTGTGCGTTCAAATTCCTCCTCGGCAGCACGTCTTCGATGTTCAAGTGCCTCAATTTCACTGCGCTTCTCGTCCATGGCCTCCTTTATGTCGTTGAGCAAGTCACGGTCCGCCATGTCCTTCTCTGCTGTCATCTTCCTTCGTTCATTGATTTCTTTTCGAAGAGCGATCAAATTGGCTCGAACGACTCCTCGAAGATCAAGCTTCACTAAATGAACTGGCTGGTAGCCATTATTTGCATCTGCAAGAAGACGATAGCCTTCGGGAGAGCTCTGATTCTGTAAACCACCCATCTGCGACGAAGAGAAGCTTGCTTCGTTCACATTCAGTCTAATTTCGTAATCCTCACCATTAGCATTAACGGCGGATTCTGGGATCAGACTGTTCTGGTATCCTAGCGTATTGTATGTTTTCACTACTTGCTCAAGATCTTCAAGTTTTTGGTTGGCTTCGATCTCTTTCTCCATAACACGTGCGTGCGCTTCTTCGAGCCGGCCCGCAGTGTCCTCGAGGCTTCGCTGTAAGCGCTCGCGCTCAGTATTCATGCGATCAATATCCTGAATCGTGATTCCCTGGCTATCAACACTAGCCTGTAAACTTGTTCGCTCTTCTTCCGCCGTTTGAAGCTCGTCTTCGCTTTTCTTGAGCTCTTCTTCGAGAAACTGGATGCGATTTTTGTATTTGTCGATCTTACCTTGAACATTCGAGTTGTAATCCTCAAACTTGCGTTTGTCGTCTTCCAGAATTCGGAAATCCTTATCCAATTTCGCCATATCCGGGGCGTTTTTCTCCAAATCTTCCAATTGATCTCGAAGCGCTCGATTTTCCGCCTCTAATACTTCCAATTCTCGGACATATTTCTCATTCGATTGTTCAAATTCGGCAGCCATCGCTTCAACATGGGGAATCAGTCTTTTCTCAGCAACCTCGTCGTCTTCATCTTCACCCCCCTGCAGCCAATCATGGTAGGCCCCAGTAAGAAACCGAAAAATGATTCGGTCTCCCGTAATATCAACCCCAGCCGCGGCACATGCATCATCATACTCGCCGACGGAATAGTGATCCAACATCTGCGCAAGTTGCATCATCCAATGAAGCATTCCTAAGAAGGTCGACCAATTTTGACCACCGACTGCAGCGATTTGGGATTTTGTTATGTTTTTTTCGTATGGATAACGTAGTTGTTTCAATATGGGAGGCACCTCAGCCTCAATACTTTTTTGAAACTTGTAACTCGGATCAATTCGGCGGTAGAGCCATTGGAAGATGTAGGTGAAATCTTTTTGGGTTGGAGATTTCAGCGAGTTCTGACCTAAAGAGTGCTTCATTTCCAATTCGAAATTGTTGTGTGTTAGGTACTCTAATAGTTCTTGACCGATCCTTGCTTGAAACGATCGATCCCTGAGTGGCCGCGGGTCTTTCGGAGCCCCCGCGGGAACAGGCCCTTGTGTAAAGAAGGATTGATGTGACATGGGCCCTCCGGCTACAGATGGGCGAGAGAAGACGCTGCTCCTTCGTTGCAGGTTTTGCTGCGAAGCACTATTTGCAGGAAATGAATTGGGCGCATAACTTAGTCGTCCAACGGCAGTATTCTGAAAGAGGTTGTTGGAAACAGATCTTCTGACGGTGGAAAGACCAGCCTCAGGCCCAAAGCTGGCGCCCGAGGATGAACGCTGGAAATTTGGTTGTTGGGGTCGGCCGTGCGAATTAAAAAGTGATGTTGATCGGGAATGCTGGGAAGTATATGGAGGATTCTGGAGACCACCAATCATGCTCGTGCGTTTCAGCGCCGATGATGGCTGAGGCAAGGCGGAGAAGTTCTGCACACTTCCCAACGTCTGCATCGATGTCTATGTTAGCAGAGCGCCAGAATTGCATAGTGCATAAAGGCAATTGAAAGGTGCTCTTCTTACCTCGCGAGGCCGCTTGATGCTGAACAAACCCGTGTCTTGCGACATGATGCTATTTCGGACCAGAAAGGTCGCGTGATCGTTACCAAGGATAGGTCGCGGATTGAGTTATAGCCAATGTATATGTTCCGACCAAAAGTAATATACCAAAAGGTGAAGTTTGCAGTACGCGCGCGTTGTCGAAGATGCTTGTCGTTGAGGGTAGTCGCAGCCCAACACAAAAAAATGCGCCAGCTCCAAAAGTAAACAAAAGGCGGGAGGAGACGTTTCCCTGGCAGGCTGACAGGAACGGCAGGCGGTGGGCAGCAAAACAAAGCGTGCTGCCAAGAGTCGCGATTCATCACGTGCCGATTGCAGGCCTCTTCCTGGAAATGGTTTAGCGCAATGCAATGCGCAACTTCCGAGGTTCAGTACTAGACTGACTTCGCCGCTCGGTTACCACTTACTACATCTTTCAACTTATTCGACACTTCCAGACGAGCAGCGGATTCACAGTCGTCTTCTAGAGCTCTGTCAGCGGAGTTGCTGCAGATATTGAAAGGTCAATTGGTGCATATTGTTCAGGATCTGACAGATATATTGGATCGCGATCGCTGAACATCAGCCGACATGGCTCCTCGCGAGGAGCTCATCTCCTCCGCCGTGAGTGTTCTTCATGTTTTCGCCGCTCTTGGGACATAACTAACTCGATGCTTTCCATCTATAGGTTACTTGTATGTTCGAACCTGAAGTTGACCCCATGAGTTGTTTCATGACGATTGGCTAACCCTACTTAGTTCTCCAGGACCCATCTGTCGCATCTTCGCCGCTAGAGAAACGGGTCGCCTTTCTACAATCAAAAAACCTCACGCAAGAAGAAATAGAGATCGCTATTGCAAGAGCAGGTGAAGAGTCTGTACAAACCACCACTACCACAACAACATCGCCTGTAGGGTATAATCAGCAGCAATCGCCTGTTTATCGGCCGACCGTTCCCCAGTCAGGCTATGGTCCTGGTCCGTACGGTCAATGGCAACCTCCTCCAGAGTAAGACATAACTTTTTTCCCTTCAGTTTTGCTGTTTGGATACTAATGCATTTTCTAGCGTCCCTAGGAGGGACTGGCGGGACTGGTTTATCATGGCAACAATAACGGGAGGGGTCGGTTATGGGTTATATGTCTTAGCCAAGGTGAGTCCCCTTAAAGTAAGCTCTGGTCACGAGAGACTCTCGTTAACTCTGTTCACAGAGATATGTAGTGCCTATAATAGCGCCTCCTACTCCTCCACAATTAGAACAAGACAAACAAAGCATTGACGACGAATTCGCCCGCGCTTTTGCCTTGATTGATCAGCTGTCCACAGATACGGCAGCCTTGAAATCGGCAGAGGAAGCCAGGACCGAACGCTTAGATGCTGCTCTTCGTGAGGTTGAGAATGTACTATCGGAGTTGAAGTCATCCACTCGGCGGCGAGACGACGAAACTCGCCGAATAAGTGACGAGGTTAAGAACTTGAAGGACAGTATTCCCAAAGCACTTGAAGGCGCAAGGGAAGGAAATGAAAACAAACTTAAGGAGCTTGGAACAGAACTCAGAAGTCTCAAAACTCTGTTGAACAATCGTCTTAGCGCTGGTAACTCTACTAGCACCCCGGCTACAGGACGTCCACTTGGGTCAACTCCTGAACCAGCATCTTCCCCAGCAATTGGTCTCCCGGCGACTACCCCATCCACTACTGTGCCAAGCAATGCTACTATTTCTTCAGCCTCCAACAGCCAAACCTCGAGTTCCGCGGCTTCGGCTAACCCTCTGTCTCAACTGGGCAAATCGGCTTCTATTCCTGCCTGGCAGATGGCTGCCGCGAATAGGTCGAAGACACCTCAATCAGCCGCGCCTACACATGGCGAGGAATCACAGAGCAGTGCACCTGCAAGCTAAGCGAAGCTTCGGTCATTATATACATGTCTAAGTGGCCTTTGTATTTTGCATCTGGGAGACTTGCTTTCCACATTGTATATTTGGAATTCTCTTCAATTAATATTCTCGATGTTTTTTTCCTGGACTATAGTGGATAAAGAGTCATTTAAGCCATTTCTATAATATAAGATCGCTGTTGAAGCTTTCAAAAGGACAAATAAGGCTCTGTGGGCCTGTTCATTAGTATCAGATAGACGCTAACCTAGGATTTACTACGTATATGGTAAAGCTTGGGGTCGCTCCAATGCTTGGCATGACCTCACATGGAGAACGCATAAAAATTTATCCGACTGGAAGCTTTCAAGATGTATTCTGTATCGGTAGCCTCGACAACACCCCGAGACTTCCTATTCCCTCGTCGTAAACAGCGTTAAACCCAGTGATACGACACTAGGATTACCCGGAGATCTCCCAGGAAACTGTACCGGCAGAGCGCAATGGATCGCGAACTTGCCAAAATGCGCTTCACAGAGCGTCACCACAGTCATCGGTCTCACACTCGTTCCAGGTCACCTACGCGGCCTAGCTCTAGTCCTCGCGGTAGCCACAGAGACCGCAGTCGAAGTCGCAGACATCACCGTCGAAGTTCACGATCACCTGCGCGAAACTCAAGACATGGCGAAAGGCATGGGGAGCGGAAAAGCCGTCATCACGGCGAACGCAGAGAGCTTTCGCCCGTATCGGCTGCGCCCCCTGTTCTACCATATAACGCAAGACAGTTGTCGAAACGTGATCTTTCAACGCTGGAGCCTATGTTTGCGATGTATTTAGACATACAAAAGGGATTGGTATTAGAGGATATGGATGAAAAGGAAGTTATGGGAAGGTGGAAGAGCTTTATCAAAAAATGGTAAGGACAACCACTTTCGCTTATATTGTTGAAATGTTGTTAAGGATCGAGAAAGCGAAGAAGCCAATTCTAGTGGATAACATCTGCTGACATGTCAGGAACCGAGGAGAACTCGCCGAGGGATGGTATGACCCTGCAACTTTTGAGAAAGCCAAGGGCAGTTTGGATAATACGCGAACCGCGCGTGATCGCAACATGATCAAACTTTCCAGATCATCGGAACGACCCAGCAGTAATGATGACACTCCGGATTATAGAAGAAATGACGTTCCCATGGCAGCAAACGATGATGACGATGACGATGAGGATTATGGACCTAAGCTCCCTAGCGGAGCTGTAGCTTCCAGGGGACCTTTATCTGGACCTACTATACCGAATCTCCAAGATCTTGAACTTCAGCATGGTATGCATCCTAATACGAGTAGTCTACGTAATTCCTTTGGAGCTAACGAGTTGAAACAGAACAAGCTCGTGCAGACGCCGAAGCAGCTCGCTCAGAAGCTCATGCTCATTACAAACAAGAAGCATTATCACACAAAAAGCATCTTCGTGCTTTCGAAGACGAAGTAGCTCCTCGCGCAGAGCCCGGAACGCACGAACGCAAAATGGAGAAAAAACGGGAGAAGGCTGCCGCAAACCGTGAATTCGCATCTGGCCGCCGAGGGGGCTCTCCCACAATGGACGACGCGCCTGATTCAGAATTAATGGGCGGTGGTGGCGATGATGACCTATCTGAATTGAAAAAAGCAAAAGAGCAAGAAACGAGGAAGAAGAATGAGAGAGAAATGCGCCGTGAAGAGATCCTGAGAGCGAAGAAGGTGGAGAGAGAGGAGCGGTTGGGGGAGTATAAAAAGAAGGAAGAGGAAACTATGGGATGGTTGAAAGCTTTGGCTAAGCAGCGATTTGGTTAGGCTGAAAGAGTTGAGAGAAAGAACGCTTCGCGAAGGATGCAAGCTTGTTTAGGATTTAAAATCTTGTGAGTACAATCTCTTGATTTCTCTAATGAAGAAAAGGACCTATAGACTATACGGAAATGTCGAGTGCCGGGCGCACCTAGGTACAGGTGATGATATGTTTTGTTGTAATGTGCTATATTAGCAATGAGCTTCGACGAAGCATCGTAGTGGCATATTTGCTCCCTATTCAACGGCACGTCGTACATGATTCAACCAAGTGGAAAACTACTCTTAACACATACAAAGCTTATCAACAATTCCAACCTATTAATATGCCGTTGAAATAAAACTGGCCTTTCGTGTCTCTCTTCTTTCGTCGCGTCACCTCATTTCATCACTCCCTTAGGAACAAATTCTGGAGCCTCGGGCTTCAGGCTAGATCCATTCGTCTTCATATCGAGGCCAACCTGCTGCTTCCACAGCCGACAATAGTAGCCGTTGCTCTTGATGAGGCTTTCATGGGTCCCTCGCTCAGTAATACTTCCGTCTTTGAGCACAAGTATGTGATCTGCTTTGATCACTGTCGATAGGCGATGTGCTATGACTAGTGTAGTCCTCCCTGCGGTGAGTTGAGCTAGGCTATGTTGGATATGTGCTTCGGTCTCGCTGTCGACAGCGCTGGTTGCTTCGTCCAGTAACACAAACTTGGGATTCTTGAGAAGGACCCGAGCAATCGCTACACGCTGGAGTTCCCCTCCAGAAAGCTTAATGCCGCGTTCACCGACTATAGTCTCATAGCCGTCGGGAAAACTGAGAAATCGATCATGAAGTTTCACTGCAGCGCATGCATTGTGAACATCCTCAATGGTAGCTGTTTGGTTTGCATATTTCAAGTTGCTCAACAAAGTATCGTTGAAAAGCACAGGGTCTTGTGGGACAACTCCAATTGCGTTTCGTAAACTTTCAAGCGAAACGTCAGATATCTTCTGGCCACCGATTTCGATGGTCCCACGATCCGGATCGTAAAGGCGGAGTAATAGCTTCAAAGTAGTTGACTTGCCACTTCCTGTCTCTCCAACCAATGCTACAGTCTGACCTTGCTGAGCCTCAAATGTAATCCCATTGAGCACCTCGCGTCTCTTATCGTAAGAAAACGACACATCCTTGAAGCTGACATTGCCTGGTTGAGCTTGTAGTTCACTGGCACTGGGTTTATCTGCGACGGACGGTACTTTCTTCAAGAGAGCCATAAATTCCTCGGCATCGACTAAATCAAGTGTGATGGAAGTGAGTCCACTAGAGAATAGTTCGAGTGGACTAGAGAGCTGAGCCCAGTACCCAAGGAGCATGACGAAGCTTCCGACTGGCCTTTCACCGTTGGAGACTTCATAAACAGCTATAAAGCAAGCACCTATCAACCCAAGTGATAGGATCAACGATTGCACAAAGTTCTCCGTGCGCGACCATCGACGGACGGATAACTCTGAGTCGAGACGATCATGGACCGCAAAAGAATGACGATGCTTTTCATAATCAATTCTGTTGAAATACGTAGCGGTGAGCCAATTGTTCGTTGCCTCACATCGAGTATTGACTTCCTTCCTAATTGATGCGATGTATCTCTTGCGATTTACTTTTTGTAGCTCCGCTATTGTGCTAGACGACCATATAAAGAGCCCGATAATTGCCGCAGTGATCAAGCCCATGTACGGGCCAAACATGGCGTGCAACACAGCCACCGCAATAAAAAGGTCGGAAATCATCGGTATAAATTGAAAAAGCACCTTGCGAACCACGTTCTGAACGATCGTTCCGCGGTTGATCGCATGCCACACCGAACCAGAACTCTTGTCGTCATGGAAGTCGCACGAAAGGTCCATAACTTGATTGAAACCAGTTACTGTTATTCGCTGATAAGTGTATTGCTCTACCGGCAGCCACATGTAGGCTCTGAGTGCTGAAATCCCACCGCTTGATTCGAGTAGCCGGAGGAGAACGAAGATCGTGATTTGCTGCCACGGCAAGGTCTTCTCTTTAGCCAGAATATCGGTGAGTATACCCAGTTGAATAGGAACGTAGACAACAAGTAGACGATCGGCAAGCAAACAGAGGCCAACTCCAATAAAAAGAAACTGTAGTGCGAGTCGATCTTTCGGCCACAAAAGAGGCACAGCGAACTTCAGCACTTCCAAGCTCTGTGATAGGGTCGATATCTCTTCATTTGAGGTCGTATCTTGACTCGACTCGCTGATGCTCGAATGATTATTGCAGGCCGCTGAATAGGACGTATTGTCCCGTAGACCGTGTAGCAACGGACGGGTCTCTTCAGCGCTAGAAATATCGTGTTCGTAGCCTTCCCTCCTGTTTCTGCCAAAGATATGCACTGCTGCCAGGCCACAGAGTATTGAAAGGGTCACCAAACGTATGGTTTGCAGAACAAACACACTTGTGTGGATTGGCACATGAGCTGATAACTGAATGCAGAGAAGAGCTGACTCGCCAGCCAAATAAGCGACACAACAACTCCAGAAGGGATATCCAAGTGTAGGAACACCACTAGAGAACCGGGAAATTAAGAAAGCCCATAACAATATTGAGCCAAGAGAGAATACGATAGGATCTTCGGATACATGCTGTCTCCTAGAGAAGGCTTCATAGGATAATAGTGCCGCAGTGATGCAATAAGAGGTGAGAAGAACTACCATAGACGATATTGTAGCATTGCGAATCGCATATTGTAAAGGTGATGACCGTGACTTTCGATCCCTGGAGACGACACAATCGACAGTAGATGCCACAATATAGAATATGCCGGTTGATAGAGGAAGAAGCGATTGCACGTCGTCGGATACGCGAACTCGCCAATCCGTCGTTGAAGGGAGGGACATTTTGCAGATAGAGCTCACGATGTTGTAGATGACTTGACCATTTCAGGTACGGAATCCCTAATTTTTTGCTGTAGTACTCAGTGATGCAAAATCTAAGAGAATTTGAGGATGAAGGATGAAGAAGAAAAAAGAGAAGAAGAAGTGTTGCCTGAGATAAAGTAGAGAAGGAAGGAAGTTAAGAAGGAAGCTGTGTTCGCCCTAAAAAGAAAAAGACAGGAAAGCACCACCTGCAACTTCATAAAAGAAACGGCCTCCTCCTTCTTTGAATCTTTTATTTTCATACAAAAAATGCACCGACGTTCTTGATACAGGAAGCTATGACTCAGACTGGGATAGGCAGTGAAGAATGGGCTCGCCGTGGCCTCAGTGTGACTAGGAGTGCATAGAACGTCCGACTCTGGGCTAGATACTGTATATTGCAGATAATGTACAGTGAAAACATTGGAATGAGATCCAGGTCCAATTGAGGTGGGTTATGCCTGTGTAACCCTCTCGAAATTTTTTTCTCTGACCGCCAATTGGCATTGTTCAGTGACTCAATGGGTGTTTTCACGCTTTTCGACCAAGATTAAGGTCAGCGACGAGTCTCAAATCTGGATCTGTTGTGGTAACGGGTGTTTTAGCGAAGAACGGTTTGATGGCAACGTTGATTATAGCCTTAAATAATCGACCAACCACGGCATGTTTGAGCTCGTCACCAGTTTGTCCAAGATCTGGGAACGCGTTCACCTCCAGAAGCCATGCATTTCCCGCGGCATCAATTAAGTAGTCCAAACCAAAGAGCTCGAAAGCGTTGGGCAAAGTCTGGAAGTGTACAAGCATTCCCCGAGAAGCGGCCTCAAATGTCTCTCCAGTGACTGCACAGATCTGATCAAACACTCTGTCTTTCCAGCCGGCCTCCAGCCCAGAACCGTCATCATCCAATGACCAATATCGTCTTACTGTGCCTTCAGTGGAACTGCCGTTCTCCTGGAGACAAGTGTTTGTGAGGTGCCTGCTCAAATCTCGAATATCGTCGTCTTCTTCCCACGGAGCCTTATAAGGCTTCTCGGCAAAGAGAGCAAGCATTTCCTTGAAGACGTACACTTTAAGAGATCCTACAGCGAGGACATAAGTGCGGATATGGAACTTCCTTCCGGAAGCTGAAGGCAAGATTAGGGGTGGGTGGATGTATGGCTGAGCGATGAAGTGCCGGAGTTGCGATGTCACCACCCCTTGGCCGTTCTTTGGATTGAGTCTTGGGCCGGACTCATCATGCGTACCGCCTTCATCGCTTCCTTCGTCATCGTCTATATCTGACTCATCGACCTCCCACTCTTCGAAAATCGCCTGAAGCTGAGCTTCACTATTGAAGAGCCGGATGCCCTGCCCACGATCACTCATTCCCGGTTTCAGGATCCACCATTCCTTTTCATCAGCTGGCCGGGACTCATTCTGCTCCAAGCTCTCACGTAATTCATACGCTTCCAGCAAAGCTTCATCAAGAAACTCTGCAAAGTCCAACTCAAAATCAAATGCTGGTTTAAAATGGTTCTTCAAAATGCTGTCAGGATATTTCGAAATCCAGTTGGCGATCGTAGTGGAAAGGTAATGCTTTCTGATAAGAGCCTTGCGTATAATAAAGGAATTCGTCAACGACGTTGATGGTTGTGACATGATGTGGTCGAAATCAATCTCTTCGTAGGCTCGATACTGCAACACCGGTTGTGAAGGATCAGGCAGGTCTGCGACAGACTTGATTATCTTGCAGTACTTATTCCTCTCAAGTTCTTCGAACAGTTCTTCAAGTAAAGGCTGCACGTATTTATCTTCGTAATCAAGAATGCAGTAAAAGTCGAAGGTATCATTTTTTCTGGATCTAAGATATAATCAGAAAATACAACCTCTTCAGACAGGACATGTTAGGGTACAAGTGGAATAAGTCTATAACTCTATGTCTAGGACCTCCCAATTCGCCTTGTTGTTGTTATTCATGTCATATCAATGTCCACTCACCCTAACTTGATCTCTCCTTGGATACCAGCTGCATGCATAAAATTTGCCTTGAGAGGAGTAACACTACAATAAAACATCTTGATTAGCGACATAGTTCAATATCGGAGTTTTGTGTGACACATACCTCGTCATCCCCTCTTTGACTGTCCAGCCGTCATTTCCATCCTTGCTTTCCTCCACGCTTCGATAGACATCAGTCAATTTAGGAGTCCACTTGAAGTGTTTATGCTGTAATAATGTCTTCTTATTATTCGAGCCAGAAGAACCCTTGTGTATTTGACACTCGCTCCCTTCTCGTAAACTCTGCTCCTGAAGACCAGGTTCGTCACCGGAGGCAGATGCATCAATTGCCTCGAAGCAGCTGCCAGTCGACCAGCGGTTGTGGAGCATATGTGTATATAATATTTTGGATTCGCTCATACCAGGCTCAAGGGGCACATTCACCGAGTATAAATCAACGTTGTCATCCCAGTTGTTGTACAGATATTCTATCAATCGAACCGAGTGCTTTGATGCCTCCGCAATGACCACCGGATCATGGTGTCTAGAGCTGAAGGCGTACGATAGAGCAATGGCTTTCTTCCCACTCACTGCTGCCTCCATTGCACCTCCTATAGTGCCGCTCGACAACGCGAAGAGAGCTGTAGTATTTCTGCCATAATTAGGCCCGGAGATAACAAGATCAATTGGCCCTCGATTTTGGAAGAAGTGATATAACCCGATTTGAACACAGCTCGCAGGTGTGGAGTCAATTAATACCCATTCATCGCCTTCTTCTTCGTCACCTTCTTCGCTGCCCCGAGGTAAAGGGTGGATTGTACCATCGTCGTGATGAAGAGTGCCTGGGCGAAAATACGTCGGCCTCACGGAGGCACCGACAATGTGTGCTTTGCCAATCCATGACCGTTGTTGGTTAGGAAGTATCACGGATACTGTATGACCGCTGCTTTGTAGAGAATGAACGAGGGAGTGGACGTATGGGGAGGACTGGTTAGACGGAGGACCGTCATCGTTCGTTACCTGCGCCGCGGGGTAGTTGATCAATTAGCAACTTTTTAGAAGAAAAGGAGGTGCAATAAAAAAAAGTTAAGCTTTAATTACAGATCATTGACCGTGAGAAGAATAATATAACGGACTACTCACCAAGATATGCATTGTGAATGCTGAGATATCCTTCAAGAAAACTGAGGGATACGGAGGAAGAGAAAGTCGCGGGATGAAGATTTTCCCGTTATCGATTTTGATCACCCGATGCCAGATTACAGTCCCCGCACCGATTGCCTCACCTTATTTTTCACCGATCCATTTCTATGTGAAAGTGAGAGATATAAGTTTTAAAAACGCCTTTATACGGAACGCTTTCATTGGGCATCTTTTACAAGTATCGGTCTGGACACTGAGAGCATGAACATTGGCCTTTTAGAAAGATCTCATTCAGGAAAGTGGCTTCGACGACGCTGAGCGCCAAGGGTATCATGACCATCGAATGCTGTTCCCCGCCCAGAATTGTTGTTGTCGTGGATATTCCTGATTGATTCCACGTCTTCCACTTCGTTGCCAGATTGGGTACCAAGTGGAGGGATATTTGTTGTCTCTTCTATTTCCTCTTGCTTCACTATATCCTCATCCCTATCCTTACCTGATTGTGATTCGCCAAACTCCTTCTTGATAGTTGTGGTGTTGTTGTCCTCCGGTTCCTCCTTCTTTATGCGCTGGTCATCAGGTGTCGCTGAGCTCAGGTATTGTGAAAATAGCAGCCATGCAATACTGCTAGATGCCATAGAGACCGACCAAAACATCGATGTAAAAGCGAAAAAGGACAGAAATCTCCATCGGTACATTAACCATCTGTCTGTGGGTAAGCTCATGTCATATTTTGATCATGTTTTAACCAACCTCAACCCTCTGAACTTCGCTCTAAAGTTGACCTCAACACCGTATACTTGCATCTGCTCACGGCTCTGTATCTCCAGCCTCAGACTAGCTGGAACATTACGCCAGCCTCGAGCGAACTCAATATCCTCGAACATGGGAACATCTAGGGTCTCTGCCTCGCGCTGCCAACCAATCACGTAAAGTGGCATGCGCGAAAGTGTATGCGCAGTGTCCACGAGCGGAGAGGTATATGTGAGAATTGCCGGACGCCTTGAATGTGCGATCAGCGATGTAGAAGTATTTGCGCCTATGATGGAGTCTTGTGGAGGAGAGTGTAACGCTAGGTCAAGCATGAAATTTCCCGTAGCAAGGTTCGCTGGAGTCCGTGGCAGCTTCAACGACACACTCACGTCGTACTGCTGGAGAGACGCCAGATCTGATCCAAGAGTTGCGATTCCCCATGGGTATTCCCTGCTTTTGGGTCGAAAACACAATCAGTATTGCCGACTCTTCAAGGATTGGAGTCAGCCTACCCAAACTGTAGATGCACGACTCGCTTCAGCCCAATTTGAGGTACATAATTGAGATAAAAAGCCCAATATGCCACTGCCGCAACGCAAAACAGTACGATAGATGTGCTAATGAAGAGGATAGCCCCTAAATATGTCTTTTGCGCTTCTTTGGAGAATAACGCGCGAAAGGGTGTAAATACGGCTTTCTTTTCTCGCTGGTTAGCCTTGCTCCTGCCAGTCGGCTCGGGGAGTCTACCGCTTACCGCTGCTTTCCATATTACCGATTCTTCCTGTTCGTACTCATCTTCATCATCGGAATAGCTGTCCTTGTCGCCCATTGTTGAGTGTCATTGATTAGAAGACAATTGGGGAGAGCGCGTAAGGAAAGTGATGTCACCGAGACAAACAACGCTAAACCACGAAGAGCGATCACATGGCAACAACTTTCCTCACGTTACAAAAAAAAGAAATCTAGACTTGTTGAAGAGCATAATCAAAGTCACGAAATTCCTATTACCTATAATACATATAAAATAAGACACGACGCCCATGCAAGTTTACACAATCTCCCATGACAGGCTCTATCTATAGAGGCCCCAGCGATCAGAAAATAACCCTAAGTCACATGAAAGAAAAACTCAAGTCAACACCTCATCGCAAGTTGCATCATGCTGTATTGGTGTTCTTGTTTTTTGTCAAAGGACATTTCCACATTAAATGAAGACCGTATTCGCCAAAGAATGAACACATGAGAGGGACGACACAAATGACTAAATCGAAAACAAGAAAGGCAAGAAAGCATAATGGAACCCTTTTCCCTCCCAAAACGCCGTAGAAAGGATTTATATGAGATTCGTGAACCAGTCATCAACTTCCCAATAGATGAGGTCATGTACGGTATTAAACGAATTAAGTCAGAACGCGAGGGCTCTGTTGCTGAATGTGTTGAAGAAGAGCGTCAAAGAGACGACCAATCTGGAAGATGTTAGAATATATAATATGAAAAACAAGGGAAATTGGCTTTGAGCTTACCTCTGGTGCTGCTTGGATGAAGGGCAGTCTGAAGAATGTGTAGCTGCGGTTCTGCAGCAGCTCCTGAAGAGTGATAATTAACCCCCAAGGGTGTGGCCGGTGAACAATAAGTCGTTCCAGCAGAACACGGATGATCTGCTGACGAATATCAGACTCCTGTTGTTCAGCGTAATCGATTCCGAATAACTGAAGGATGGCAAAACTGAAGTAGTAAGTGTGACTGTTTGGGTATCGGAGTTGATTTGCCATCGCGCTGAGCAAGTAGTATCGAGCCTCTGGATTCAAAACCTTGGCCAGCTTGTCGAGTAGCATTGAGTGAGGAGACTCCTCGAAAGCCGCACGTGTGTTGCCTGTAAGTACCCCCGATGCTACAGCCTGCTCACCAATGTACAGAACCAACGCATTGACCAAGACGACATCAACGTGAATAGGGGTCAAGAAGAGACCGGTTTCCTTACCCGCTGGTTTGTATAGAGCATCGCGGATTGCTTGGATGGTATTATCGCTGATTGTAGTATTTTGGAAGGATGCGTCAAGGATATTCTTGAGATTTGCCTGTTGCAGAGGCGTAACAATATCGCCTGTGGTCTTCGGGGCTTCTCGCATCTCTTGCAGTCGATCCAATTTAAGTCCTTCGCGGAATGGATCCGGAAGTTTATGGAAAGACGATGGATAAGCACTGAGAATAAGATTGCGCAACTGAGCGCAATGAGCGGGGATCACGTTGCAGAACTGGAAATGATTTTCTGCAACGAATTCTGGGAAGTCGTGGTGTAGAATTAGAAGAATTCTGAGAACACCCTTGTAAAGATCCTTCGCAACATAGGATATATTTCCTGGTTTCAGTTGCTCGCCCATATAGGACAGGAGGACTTGCATGATTTCGCAGTATGGTGCCCAGCCCTGTGGTTAACGTTAGTAAGTGCAAGTTGTGTGTAAGGGAACAAGGAAAACTGACCGCTTCGTCGCGCATGTTCAGCATACCCGACATGAACACACGATGGGAGACCAGAGACAACCAACCATACACAAATGTTGGCACGTACTTAGGCTGAAGAGACAGGAATCTGCTGGCAAATGCGAACATCATCTCCTGATGCTGGTCACTCGTATGGAGACCGGATAGAGAATACTCGCAAAGAATGCTCGAAAACAGCCTGAAGAAGACTCGCTGATTGAAAGCATCCCCCCGCATTACTTGGTGATGATTGAGCACTAGCACCAATAAAGACAGAACTGAATCGAGATAGGCGGATTTGGAACCTTTGACCGCACCAGTGGTTTCGCCTTGGAATTTGACAAGCAATATAACCAGTTTGGCAAGAGCGTCAATATACAAGAATGCCTCATCAAGACTGCCATTGGGGTTTTGAGATTCGTGTTCGAACATTGCAACCGAGATATCCACGCTCAATCTGAAAAATAAGGCCGAGTCCTCTTGACTGTTCATCACCTGCCTATTATGCAGATCTTTGAGAAATGACTGAAAAGTCCGTTCCGTAGCACCTGCAAACTTATAGACGCCAATCCACTCGCTGAAAATATACTCCATTTGGTCACGCTTGGCTCTCGCCTTGTCACTCAAGTAGGGGTTCACGACCTCTGACACCCCGGATTCGCGTAGCTTGCGAATAATGTCAACAGCAACCGTGAGGCTTGGCTCTTCGACAAGCCACTTATTCATTGCTTCAAGGCTGCCGGAGAAATCCGATCTCAAAGCCGATGGCTCATCATTGAATAGAACACGGTCCATCAGGCTTGCCAAAAGATCCAAAGCACTAATATTCTTCTGGCCAATCAACTTGTTAAGCAACATATCCACACGTCGGAGATCAAGTAACCCGGCGTCGATAAGAGCGACGGTGACTGGGACGTTGAACATGTGCTCATCATCAACTTCCGAGAGTAATGCCCAGGTATACCTCGCCACAATCGAGGACATGTCACATATTTTAGCAAGCAGGCTAACTAGAACTTCGATCTCAAGAGGGCTTTCTGTCTGAGAATATAGGCTCGTGCATATCTTAAGAGATACCAACCTAGCAAAGTCCTCGCCATTGGGAGATGTGATGATAGCGCGCAAGATCTGGTTATAGTCTTGAATGACGGCACTGTCTCGGCCAAGGTCCTTGATGTGCTCCTCCGTAGCACTTCGAGCATCCTGTTGGAGACCCGTGATGAAAATTTCCACTTTTTCACGAGGGTTCTGACTGTCGAGGAAACCGTTCAATTGAGAAGGCGCGCCAACTGCAGAGACTTGTAGTCGATTATCTTGTTGACCTTGTGCTGCTTGATGAGGTACTGCTGGAGCCTCCGCGGGGGTAGAGAGGTTTGGAATTGCTGGGAAAGATTCCTGAAGGACATCAGGCAACTGTCGTCCAGAATCGGTCGAGGCATTTTGTAAATGGCTTGAAGTTGGCCCTCGGGTCTGCCGAGCAAAGTCCTCGTAGATTGCTAACTGCTCTTTGTTCAGTCCCCCGGGGATCTGTCGGTATGGTTCAGGAATAAGCATCCCCCATCGATTCATTGAAGAAGGATCAATAAAAGGCTCATTAGGTCTGGCGGCTCGGTGGCGACGGCGTGCCTCCAGCTGTGGTTCGATGATTTTCTCAATCTCGGGCACGGACTTCTCTTCAGCAGCCTTCTCCACAATGCCGCAGGCAGCATCGAGGTTATCATTGACACACATCAAAATAAGACCTTCTGGCATTGGTTGTTCAGAATATTCTTGCTGAATCATGCGAATGTAGTTTGTCATGCTCATTTTGAGAGGCTCTTTGCATGTTACGAGAGCCAAGCTACCTGCAAGCTGTCGAACCATTGTCCTTGCGGCATGTCGTACCTTCTCTTCATCCGGTTCCATTGCATAGTCCTTTGAGATGAGCTGAACCGTGGATATTGAGGCAATAGCAATGGACCGTTCCACAACCGGTGTGATAATCTCAGCAATAGCACGCTCAACAGCAGTATGTACAATCTGCCGCAGAATGCTTGGATCGACCATACTACTTGCAGAAGACGGAAACACCAAGATCTTGTCCAAGCTGGGGAGAGTTGACAGAATAGCAGCAGGAGACAATCTCTCAGTTCTCATAGCCGGGTTGATGCCACCTAAAGTCATATCTTCGAACGCTTCTAACCCTTCTGGTATGTTGGCGGCTGAAAGAACTTCGTCGCCCTGATGTGAGCGATCTCGGATGTCAGAGGCAGGTTCAATAGACTTATGGTCCAGATCAAGGTCCTTGCAAAGGACTTCAATCTCAAACTTGAGATTGAGCTTCAGCTCAGCATAATGATAAAGTTCTATCAAAAGACCTATAATGTCCATAAGCCATGGATTTGGTGGCTTAAAGACTGTCGATTTGGTGGCTTGAAGGAGTACCTTGCAGGTAAATGGGATAACCACCATAAGACGCTGATTGTCGTAGCCTTCAATGAGCAATTCCTTGAAATAGATGTTTTTGTGTTTGATAGGTTTGTCTTTGGCAATAGTTAATAAACCTAACCAAGCACCGAGATTCTTCAAGTGGCTACGTTCCGTTGACGAGTTGACAGTGCTGTCTGCATTCAACAAACGTATAGAGCTGACGTAGGTTTCACGAAGTACCTCTGCCCAGAGTGTTCGGTTGCCGATAAGTTCCAGAAGGTCAAGGTACAGCTGTTGAAAGTTTGGTTGTAACTTCGCACGCTGTTCAACAAGATAGGAAGCAAACCATTGGTGATGTTCGTCCCGTAGAACATCTCTCAGGTCCCGTAACTTGTCTTCAATGTTTTGTTCCGAGACATTATTCAGAACAAACAAGATCTTGTCTTGAATTTCTTCATCGGGGTCTTCATAAATCTCAGGGCGCAACGGAGGACCGACATGAAGTGAGCGGAACACGCGAGAGGAATCGTTGTCGTCCAGGTTACCATTCGTAACACCCTGTCCGTCGATACCACCATTGATTCTAGCTGGACCAGCCTCATCTGCTGGCTGATGGCCTTGCTCCAGTAAGACTTCCTCGGCTTTTTGGGATATAGGGGTACCATGAAGACTTGGAATTTGTAGAAGAAGATGACAGAATCCAACCCATTCTGGCAATCGACTAACTAGCTGTTCGATAGCTTCCACGCCGAACTTATACATAGGATCATGTGGCTGATGATCACGCACAGCCTCCAAAATCATGCCGAGACCAACCTTGAGAGGAATTCCGTCAATCAATCGGAAGTTGATGATCCCTCCAAACATGACTGCAGTTTTGGTCAAAGCTTCCAATGGGTATTCGTGGTAACAATGATACTCGTCGATTAGGCCATGAACCATGCACGTAAAAAGATCTTGTTCAGCAGGGTCCCGAGATGTCTTATATCGTCGCATAAGTTCTAGCATCTCGCGAAGCGAAAGTTCCTCGTGATACATCCTACCAAAGAGTTCCTGCATCTTCTCATCAATAGCCTTCGGAATTGCGTTGCTTTTCTCGCCATTGGCATCGATAATGTCATCAAACCCTTCTCCATAATTGATAAGCCGTGGGTATGTTTGGACACAAATACGTTGGACAGGTGTCAGGTTTTCACGGTCTCCGACATACTCCTCCAAGATTGTGAGTAGTGTGTAGACAGTTTTCACAGCAAGGCTGACCATCTGCGGACCACCTTGCTCCGGTCGATGTGCTTGAAGTTCATCCTCGGCCTTAATGCGAAGGAATTTTGACAGTAGACTGCCCATGTCCATAGAACCTTTTTGAGCAGCGTTTTTAACCCATGCCTCCAGATCAAAGTCACCCTTACGATGGGCTAAAGAGGCAAGATCGAGGGCAAGGCCATTGGTAAAACTCAGAAGATAGTCCAGCCATCCATATTCGACAGCATCCTCGTAGATAGCAGCAGTTGAAGTCGGATCCTGCGTGAACATGGTGAAAAGTTGTTCTGCAAGCCATTGTCGATCTTGCTTCCATACACCGTACAAGGCAAGTTGATAGCCCTCCTCTTGTCTGAGGACGAAAAAGGCCACTGAACGCAACACTATGCTTTGCTGTATAGCCGTCCATGGTTGAGGCACTGCCATAGAGGAAAGTAAAAACACGGGTAACTCTTGAGATAGAATTATTTTGATCAGCGGTGCACTCTCCGGGGAGTTCCAAGATGCCTGAGAAAATAAGGCCAAGTCAAAAATCGCCTTGATGGCATCAACAGACCGAAGTGGTGACTTCAGAGCGCGTTCGGCCTGCATACGCAAAGCATCTGGGACATCCTCAAACAAGTCCTGAGGAAAAGATGCCCGGAAATTAGGGATCTCAGTCGGATCAGTATGCGAGTTGAGATAAGCCGTCAAAAACGAGATTTGAGTCTGCCGGTTCTTCCAGTCGCCACCCCATAACTTCTGAACATCGAGACTGGTGTCATCGCCTGCGATGCTTAGCAGAGCTGAATAAAGCTTGGAGAATTGGCCAGGCGTTATTCTCAAGGACTCTCGGTCAAAGGCACGGAACACCAGTGACCAATTAACAGCCTTATCGGAATAATGAGACTTGACTGCTCGTACAAAGTTCTCCAGAGAATACTGTTGAGCGTATTGTGACAAAAGCATGAAGATTAAGGCATTTCCAACATGTTCTTCACCCCAGCTCTCGGATCCACAAGACACCATAAGCTCGTTCACGGCTTCTACAGATGCTGTGGCTTTAGGTCCTCTCGAGTGAAGCTGCCGAATGACGGCCATTCGGGAGCTACCGAGATCGAACATTTGTAGCGCGTTGAACACGTCCAAGGGAAGCTCAAGGCCCTGGTTTCGATAGCGCAAGGTTGCTGCCTGCACGAGTCTGCTTTTGACTTCGTCATCGAAATTCCGTGGAGGAAACAAGATGAATCGTTCAATGGTAAGGCCGATATATGCAGCGCTGAAATCTTTTGTTGTTTCGGTCGGGTTTAATAGGCTGTGCAGAAAATGAGGTACGGCGTTTGTCAAAATAGCGTCCGCTATAAAGCTGTCAGTATCAAGGAAATAAGATTGGGTGAGTGTATTCGGATTACCTTTTGCCCGTAAATCCGACCTGCTTGCAAACTTGAAAGCTAAGGCAAGGGACACTTTAACAATCGCATCCAGCTTGAAATGATCAAGGAACGTTGAGAGATCAAAATCACGAAAAATATCGCCTTCGGAGGTGTCGATAGTTTCCGCAATTTTCTGCGCTTGATCTAAGTCTTGAGATACCTTTTGCATCTCTTGAACAAGGAGTGGGTAATTCCCCGCATTCTCAACGGCCTTATTGACTCCAGGAAAAATTTGAGGTGCGTTGCCTGTGAGAAGGCGGCGGAAATATTTTGAGAACACCTCCATACCGTTGGACTCGACAAGCTATAAGGAACGTTGAGAAATTAGTCACATTCAACGGCTATCCTAGAGATACCATGACTCACCTTATAAATTTGAGCTGCTTTAACTTCCCACTTCTCCTTTCCTTCTTTCTCCGTGATAGAGTCTAGAAGTAAGAAGACTTGAGCAATAGATATTTTCGTAAGAGATGATTGGCTCGAGCTCACGGCAGAGCCTGGTTTGTCTGATGCAAACCCAGTTGGAGAGTTCACTGTTGGACCAGAGAGCAGCGGAGAGAAGTTGACACCTCTAGAGGATCCCAACCCACCGCCTCCCCCACTTCCTCCTCCTCCTGATACGTTACCGGCAGCTGAAGCCAGATGAGCGCCCGCAGAGGGAGTGATAGCTCTCGATTTTGGGGGAGAAGAAAGGGAATGTGCGGTATGCGACAGTGGCTGCGAGCCAGGATGTTGGAAGGCAAAAGGTGAAGGCGTAGTGGCTGGTGATGGGGGCTTGCGAGTGGAGCGAATGCTCGAATTGAAGATACCTTGAAAGGGAGAGGTAAGAGAAGGAATGGTCGAAGACGATATGTTGGTAGTCGAAAGCGGAGTCAAGCCGCGACGCTGACCCGACTGCGAGCTTGGAGCACCCCAGGCTGCGTGTTGGGATCTTGACGAGGACCTCACAGATGAAGACTTCTCGGTGCCAGAAGCAATTGATGACTGGGCGGAAGGGGAAGGGGGACGGAATGTCATCTAGGAGACGCGATCATTTGATCTATGGCTGTTTGACAGAATTTTGAGCGTCTCTTTTGTGGGAGGTTGCCAGATCCAGCAGAGCTGGACAATAGGAATTAAAATGTATTAACAACTGATGCACAGCTCCAATCACAGCTATGTTTGGAGTATTGATGGGGCTCAATAAGTGTGAGTGGGATTGTGAAAGTAGATGAAGTGTCCCTGGTGTGCAGAGAGGGTAGGTAGAGTCTGGAAACTTGGTGGAGGGCGAGCCTGACCACGCCTAACCCAATCGGGCTGGCTCCCCAGAGTCACGTGCGGCAGCTTGGCTGGCTCTCGTGTCCCTCACCTGGGCAGTTCATCACCAATAGTAGATAACTATGTAGTACTTTCTTTACACTTTTAATAGTAAGATATAAAACCAGTACTGAAAATGTGGGTAATATATTCAAGGTTCTAGTGTTAAAGGACTCTAGACCCTAACAGCAAGCATTGATAGATACATTGCTAAGTTACATCCTGCATATCAGACTGTATCTAGATAAATATATATATAAAATATTATATATATACCTACCTAGGTAGGTAGCCCGAGCTCACCTCAACACCTTCCAGATGTCATCTAGGTTACCTAGGTCTGAGCAGTCAATCTATGGTTATCTACTTGTAGCTAGATACAACCTTGGAATGGGACATAAGTTGCATAGGCAGACAGGTTGTGAACGTTTGAAGCTTAGAAATATTTCAGTATCATAGGTGTGATTAGGAACTCATGTATATACTTCTCTTGCTGCACCATGGGACGACTCATTCAACAAAGTTGGAAAGTGAGCAAATAGTTCTACGCTACGCCTGACTACAACGGTTTGAGAAAAGTCTAGAGGCTTAAGGAGACCGCTATCGTTATCTGGGAGAAAGAGTACGCGCAGACATGCAAATCTGCGGTGCTCTGGGTACGTAGGTATGGAATACCGTTAATTAGTACAGAGTAGAGGCATGTAGAGATAGAACTGATTCGTCAAAGTTGTTGCCCGAAATTCAAGGCTGCCAGGTGCCAAGAGGCATCACGTGAGGAAACAATTTCAGCGACGTCATTGGCCAAAGCTGCTAGGGTTAGTGCGGCAAGCCACTTTGGTCGCGGTTGCCCGGAGAAACGCCCAGCGTAAACATTCAGGGCAATTGCTACTCCAGAGCTCCCCACGAGATTGTGCTCCATTCCAGTACTCACCTCTCAAACACTTGGGCCTTTGGATACCACTGTGTATAACGATTTTAACGACCGTCTATCTTTGAGTATTAGTTATTTAACAGCAATCATCCTTTCTTTTTGTTCTCTTTCTTTTATTGTACGTTTTCCAAGGGGTCACCTCGAGCACACGCTGGTCGAAGCTCAACCACAATTTTGAATTGATACGAAACCAAATTACAATGCCTGGCACTACGGTGGATGGGCCAACAGTGGCCATGTCCTGTAAGCCCAACGAATTCCTATTTTATGCCATTGGTTTGTCTAGGGCTAACTATCATGTACAGTTGCCAACAATTTCTGGGGCAAAGACGACGCCGGTGTGATCCCTTTATTGGAACGAATGCATAATGCTAAAGTTACATGTGATGAAATAAAATCGTTCTATAATAGTGAGTTGTCCGGATATACTGCGAGAAACCTGGCCGATTCCTAACACACATAGCTCGCGCCGCAATCGAGGATGAATACGCACGGAAGTTGCTCGCACTTTGCCGTAAGCCGCTCGGCTCAAACGAGACCGGCACCTTACGCCTTTCACTTGACGTTGTGCGAGGCGAGACCGAAGCCATTGCAAAGGCACATGCTGCTATCTCGCAACAGATGAAAACCGAACTAGAAGAGCCTCTAGCAGCATTTGCTGGCGGTATGAAAGAGCGACGAAAGATAGTCCAGAACACCGTTGAGAAGCTTTTGAAGGTCAAGAATCAACAGACACATTCAGTGAACAAGGTTTGCATTGACAACTACTAATTTTCGAGAAGGATTGTCCAGCTAACATATATGGAAAAAATAGGCGAGAGATCGATATGAGCAAGATTGCTTGAGGATCAAAGGCTACCTAGCACAGGGCCACATGGTCATGGGGCAGGAAGAGCGAAAGAATAAAGCAAAGCTTGAAAAGACACAAATCCAACTGGCATCAAATAGCAACGAGTACGAAGCAGCAGTGAAGGTCCTTCAAGAGACGACGGGTCGTTGGAACAAAGAATGGAAGGCTGCCTGTGATGTAAGTCTTGGTTGAAAGCTTTAGCTTGGGCTTTTTCTGACATTTTTACAGAAATTCCAAGATCTTGAAGAAGAGAGACTCGATTTCACAAAGAGCAGTTTGTGGGCTTATGCAAATATTGCTTCGACTGTTTGCGTTAGCGACGATGCGGTATGTTCTTTTTACCTTCTCGAACTAGGACATAATAACTAACAAATTGTTTAGTCCTGCGAGAAAATTCGGGTTTCATTGGAAGATTGTGAAGTCGAGAAGGACATTGGTAGTTTCATCAAAGAACGCGGTACTGGACAAGAGATACCTGATGCACCTCGATTCATCAATTTCGCCCGCGGAGACATCAATGATACCAGTTCAGAAGCTTCAGACGAGGACAATTATTCTGTTGCACAGTTCCAGAGAGCGATTAATCCAGCCTTCCGGAGCTCTTCGCCCCAACCATCGACCTACGAATCGCATCATGATCCAAGCTCAGAGTTGGCTGCTCAGATGGGCCTACCCAGTGCCACCCGTACAGAGAGTAGAGAGCCGGCGATGACTCCTCAGAGCCCGAACCCTCAACCACTGCCACCGAGTCAGCCAGCCCAGCCAGTCCAGCCTTTACAGCCTGCTGAACCGGTGCAGCCTTCTCCTCTGGATCTTCGACGCGGGGTTCAATTACCACCCAATTATGATCCCAATCAGCATGGTGAAATCGGGAATGTGCCTCACAACTCTTATCCTACTGACGGAATGACGATGTTCTGTCGCACCGGACCTCCATCTGAGCGTAGTTCAGGGACTAGCGCATACAGGCCTTCTAGTCGAGAGGATAGTCAAAGCGACATCTCCAATCCTACATCATTCTCGAGTCAAGAACCGCCTAGCGGCAAACAGTCACCAGTCAAACCAACTAATGGCGTTGCGATGCCAGGAATGACTCCAGAGAAACAAGTCCAGAAGAAACGAAGCGCCTTTTTCAGTAATAGTCCCTTCCGTCGCAAGAGTCGCCACGACAAAGATCGTCCGTCGCAATCTTACTCTCGTAGCCCGACTAAACCTGTCTATAAGCAGCCATCACCGGAACCTCCTCGTTCCACTAGTCCAGAGCCGGTGGATCCTCGGGCTAGCTTTCAATTGAATATTGGAAACAATGTCTTCGATGTGGCCTCACCGGACAAAAAACCAAGTCCAGCATCGCAACCTCCAGAAGATGATCTTGATCCGATCGCTAGAGCACTCGCCGAACTTAAAGGCGTCGGTAAGCCGTCAGCAGGCCGAGTCTCAGCAGATCGTTACCATGGTCTGGCGACACCTGCTCCGTCTGCCACCAGTTCCACGTACGAAAGTGCAGGAAGTGCAGATGCATTACCTCCATCCTACAATGACCCACCAGCGAAGCGACTCGATGCACCACAACCAGCCTTCACTTCGGCCCAAATGCAAAAGACGACTCAGAAGTATGTTGGTCAAACTCAGAGCATGTTCAGAGCATCCAATAGTTCTCAAAGAACTGCTGCGAGTGTACAAGCCCCGGTGCAAGATATACCCCGTGCTCGATCTCCTGCTCCACCGCTTGCTGGGTCACAAAATCCTCAGAGAACTACTGCCAGGGCCCATGTTCCGGTGCAAGATATAACCCGTGCTAGGTCTCCTGCCCCAACACTCAGGAGAAGCGCCAGCCCCCAGCCTGCACCTGCACCTGCTCCGGTAGATGCACGCGTCAGTCAGTACAACGCTGGAAGTGGATCTCAAGGAGGAAGTGCAAGCCGTGCTCCGACGACGTATCAATCTAGAACTTACAATTTTCGCAGCACTCAGTCCCCAACGACCAACACTCGACCTGGTAGTGACCGTGGATACTCACCACAGCAGTATTCTCGACACGCATCCCCTGTTGAAGCTGCCCGGCCAGTTTCACCGCGTCCTGCGTTCGCACAAGAGACTCGCCCAGCTAGTGCTAATGGCATGGAGCTCCAGCTCTCTGGCGGCCACGTAGAGTCTTACAGAGGCGGCTATGACAGCTATAGTGGAAGAGGACGAGACAATACTGGCCGACCTCAATCCATGTACTACGGCAACAGCTCAGATTCAGTTTCACGATCCCGCAGTAAGAGCATTACTGTCGCAGATCCTGGTCGGCACATCAGTCGTGATGGTCGTCCAATCTTGCATTTCGGTAAGTTCATACAATGATGATATTTGCGGCAGGATCCCAAGCTAACACCATTTTTACGTGTAGCACGCGCTTTGTATAGTTACAATGCAGCAATTCCTGAGGAGCTCGGTTTCTCTAAAGGAGACATTCTTGCAGTTTTGCGCTTGCAAGATGATGGATGGTGGGAAGCTGAAGTGACCGGAAGTCGGGGTCACCCTGGCTTGGTTCCCAGCAACTATCTGCAAAGTATCTAACGACTTCTGATGACAATGTATAAACTGATCAGCAGCACACGAGCAAACTTACTGGTTTGTGCACCTCCATTCTTGATTTAACTTGAACCGTTCTTACCTACCGTCTTCTTTTGAATCAGTTGACGATACATGCAATTTATTTGGTTTCTAGCTTCCTATGAATGGGTTGCAGCTGGATGTAACTTTATGAGCGACTTCGTTTTGTCTTTTTTTTCCTCATATGCTTCTCGATTCTGTTATATTCCTCTTTTGATATTCTTCTCTTTTCTTCCATGCTTGCTTATATCGACAAGCATGCTACCCTTTGTTTCAGCTCTCTTAATCATGTCTGAGTAATTTCTGTTTGCTTCTATTGATATTATGCTCTCATAGGGAGCAGTATCGCTTCCTGTTTATGCCTTTTCTTATGTAAATACGTATTATGACTAGCTTGAACGAAGATTGTGTTTTCTTTTCATATGCACCTGATTTGCACACGGGCAGTATATCCTCTTGTCTGGACATCGTAGATGTAGAACAATGTCTACCTACGTAGATAATGGCGCCTCGCAGCGTGGTCAGATACATGTGAAGCTGTAAGCCACAAGAGAGAATGGAATTTTCCTAGTTCCCAAGAATATCAACCAAGATGGTTCATGAATTGGTGTTATACATCAAATATACAGTTAAAGATGTAGGAATTAGAAAATACTGTGCGCAAAAACGCTCATGCTCTCCGGGTAGGACGACTATACAAAACCAGAAACGACAATGAGCAAAAAGCGTAGGCTAAGCAGATTTTTTGTCAAAGATTCTGTCACTCATCGTCCACAAATGAATTCGCTAGTCGTCCGAAGATGGGTACCTCATAATGATCGAGGGAGTCAACTACACACAACCTGTTAATTTGATTCTCTGCCAAAATATCGCGGATTTGCTGTATCGGAGACGTACCATCCTGATAAGCGTGTAGACTTAAAAAGGCCATTAATAAGATATCCCCGACGAACATCAGCCAGGAAATAAAGCTTGACCAGGAGAATAAGAGATGTAGGACCTGTTGCGAAGTCAGATTGGATTTTTGACAAGCAGACTAATAGGAGAGGGAGACGGACAAAAATAGCACTGAAGAGCATGCTTGATTGCCATGCGTGGAATCTATTAAGCAGGCAGTTAGTCGAATATTCCATGCTACCATTTTAGGCCCAAATTGCAGACATACCGAACATAATCGCTCTTATGCTCAAACAACAACAAAAACACACCCCCCGCCGGCGGGAGCAACAAGTAAGCAAGCATAGCCTCATAATCCACTCTCAATGGTAAACTCGTCTCAAAGGCATCGAGATCTACTCTTGCGCCACCATATCCGCCACTGCTACGCTGTTGTTGCTGACTCTCAGGATCTGCCGTCCATGACGAAGAAGTTTCTTGATATCCGTATCCACCGTTTGAAGGATTGTAAAAGTGCGAAGCCGGAGATGCTTGGTACGGCGGCGGAGTTTGTCTTTGCGGTGGTTTATTGAAATTGTTACTATTATTATTATTGAACTGGCTCTGTGACGGTGACTTCGTGCGATGTGCTGGGTCTGCTGCGAACGGGGGTGGAGGCGAGAGAGCTCTTTCGACTTCGGGAGATTCGTCTTGGTACGGCGCGAAGTTCATGTTGGTCAGTACGATGTTATTCCTTGTCGCTGTCTCCTGGAAGGGGAATGTAGTGTCCTGCTTCTGAAATGTTGTCGCATCTAAGCTCGTGGCTGATAAGAGATAGGGGAGCTTAAAGACCCACTTGCGCGTCGCTGCGATATTATTTGATTGGTTCATACGTATCTACGCTCAGGAACAGGAACGAAATAGACTACGTTTCCATGGTATGTTGTAGCAATGGCCACAGCTGGGTATCATTGGGTCTTCATTAAATAAAATGGTAGATTTTGTCCTCACCTAAGGTTTCCCGCGTCCACGGCTTGCAGCACTGGAACCACGGGCAATTCCGCTGACCGGTCTTCGCGTAGATGCCGCCGAAGCTGGTCGACCCGTTTTCGTCGTACTAGTAGAAGTATTCCTAGAAGCAGAGACGCTCGGCGTTCTCCCCAATCCTCCTGCACGTGTCACTCTTCCTCGTGTTGTGCCACGACCTCGTCCAGTAGCGGTTGTTGCAACTGCTCGCGCTTTTTCTTCTTGTTCCGCTTTCCTAGCGGCTGCTTCTCGGCGTTCTTGGAGTTCGCGCTCTCTTCGCTCGGCCGCTTGTTGCTTAGCTGCTGCTTCCCTCTCCATTTCGGCGATGTCGCGAGAGGCGCCTTGCCATCGGGGATCGAGTAGTACCCGTTGATTGTGTTCGGTCTGTGCTAGGATTCTGGTCCATGTATTCAGTAGCGTCGAGGCCGAATCGACTGTACGTGAAACTGTCTGCATTACGTCAGCAACAATTCCAAACAGGCGGTTATTCGGGGAAAGTGACATGCCTCCATGTTCCCTCTGGCGCGCTCCAGACTTTCCAGCACTCCCTCAATGGCTTGATTCACGTTCCTCACAGTTTGTAGTTCATTTCGAAGTGCGAGTTCCCGAGCCTCTTCCAGTTCCAGCGGGGGCTGATTTTCTCGAGTCTGTGACCTGTCTGCTGATGCTGATCCTGATGCTGTTTGAGGGACCGGTTTGGTGCGTCGTTGTGAGGGCGAGTTCCATAGTTCTTCTGTCTCTTCGTCTGATAACTGGAGCCTCTGCATCTCCTCCGCCGCGCTGGGGGTAGCCATGTTCATGCGAGACGCGTATATAGTGTAAGCACGTAGTAATTGAGTCGAATAGAATCAGGTCACAATTTAGAATGCTGTCAAACTTGTCGAGTTGTTCAAAACAACAAAAATCGAGTTAGCGGGGCAGATTGGCTGAATCGCGTTGCGGACACCCATCAGCCAATCACCATCGAGCTTTGAAGTGCATAGTAAACAGTACGAATATCCCACCAACTTTCGCGTCACTGAATAAAGAAAAAGAATACATAGTAAAAACGGTTGCCCTGTCGGCACCATTACACACCTTCTGAAAAATAAATTTCAATATTTGAATTTTTCTTTGTACTTTGTTGTGTTCATTTTGCCCAGTAGTGGGTCAGCACCCAAACAGGCCTAGGAGGAACAATTGTCAGCCTTCCGAATTAAAGCAAGTGGCTGGTGATCCTTCTGCCAACAGCCATACATTCCTCACTCCCTCAACAACAACTCCCTCCTTTCTTATCCATCATTCTTTTTGTTTTCTGCATCGCAGAAATTGGAAACCGGCTCATTGACCAAATATTTTGCTTTTTGACGCGTCTTACCGGGCTCATACTTGATTTCGATTGTTGCTATCAATTCACCAATATCCTCGAGTCTGAGCGACAGTGTACGCGTATTGTGGGTGTTATCAGCGGTCCCTTGTTTACATTTATTTGTCCGACTGGACAACCCTGTGTGCTGCTCTCCAGCAGACTCTCAGCAAATATTGTTACCAATTGCAAGTCCATCTCAGTGATCGCAATGGCGACCACTCCTCCGCCAGCGAGCCCACGCGAACTGCGTGTGCCGCGGGCACCCAGACATGGCGCTGGCTACGACTCCTTCGATCCATATCCCACAAGACAGTCTGCGCGATTGGCAGGGCAAAGGACAAGCGACAGGCACACAACAACTCCTCCCCCATCATCTCCCAAGAAGTTCACACGTCACAACGATGTCGACACTCTGTCTCCTCCCAACACTCTCTCTCCCCGCAAGAAGACAGTTCGCGGAAAGGCGTTGTTAATCAGCGAAGTCTTGGATTCAGAAACCTCTGATTTGTCAGACGGTGCGGGGGGCCTTTCCTCACGGTCATCAATCGTTCCAGGGCGTCCACAACTTTTACCCACTCCTGTGAAGACTCCTCATCATCAAAAGCCAGGAAAATTTGGCTACACCGCACGATCTCTCTTCACCCCCACTAAAAGTGCGAAGAAACCTAGTGGATATTCTCTCGACAGTTTTCAGGAAGATCCTACTGGAAATCATAGTTCGATTGAGATTTACACAGACAGTCGCGATCGCATTCCTGTGAAAAACGACAGTATCGACAACCCATTCGCGAGCAAGTCAGAAATCAAGATGTCTTCCGATCGCGAGACCTCCCAGTTCAAGCGTCGTGATCTGGCGCCAGAGCTTGATTCTAAAGAAATGGTCGAGCGGACGGATGGAATGTTGTACACCTTGTAAGTGGCTACACGCTCCGTATTCATATATTTATTTCTTCATACTAATAATTCTCCAGTCGTGGAAAGAAAATCTTCCGCAAGTTCGAGCAACGAGACAGCGATGACGAGGAAGATGAGACCGAAGCCGACGAACTAGGCTTGTTCGCCAACCGCCCGGACTTACTTGACAGTTGGACTAATCTTCATGTCCCACGTTTGACACGTTCAGCTATCAAAGGTCGCCGTCTTTTTCCGGTATCAGACAGCAAGCAGTCTGAGTCTGAGTCTGTCGATGAGAACGAGGAGGCTGTTACCGATATCGAAGAGCCTGTCGATTCTATTGAAGGCACAGAAATAGTCCATTCTGAAGGCCTTGAGTCGACACCAGGCAAACGTTCGCTGCGCTCTCGAACCACTCGTACACACAATGCAGATAAATCGGATCCTGTCCATGCTGCTGTTTCAGAGACAAAGAAGCGAGCTAAAGGTGGCAGTCCATTTGACGTTTGGGCGCGAAAGAAACCTGCGAAAGTGTCTGCATCCAAAAAGCGTGAAGCCGATCCGTTTATCGACTCACCTGCCCCAGTGGCTAAGAAAGCCAAAGCTCACTGATAGGAGTTTTATCGCTGATGGATATTTTATATCTCGGCTTGTTCCGTGTCACTTGCTAACGAAATACGTCACATGGGCTAGGCATACCTTCTGGAATATGGCTCGAAGGAGTTTCAAGGAGTTTTATTTGATGGGTCCCCCGGCCTAAGATACCTTTTTTCTTTACGTTCATGGCCATCAGGTTTTCGAGTTTATGTCTTTTCTTCGTGGTTTCTTCTCTTGTTTTATTTCAAACGGCCTATTCTGTCAGATTCCCATTCTACCTGTATGTTCTAATGTCCATGGCAAGGCGTTTGTTGAGCTTGTTTTTCATCTTTGCTGGGCCTTTATTTTACTCTTTGATATTCTTATGTTGGGGGATTAGCATAGAACTACCTGAATTTCGTATCCAATACAAGTGACAATTGAAATTACAAAAATATATGACGTAGATACTGCACGGTGTACCTATCGGTAGTTTCCGGAATTGTAGATTTTGTTATCCCTGTACGGAGTATGAATTGTACCACATAATTTACGTATTGTCTGTAATGAAAACATTGCCCCTATCGCCCCTACGGTGCTCATTGATCATGGAAGTATCGCAGGAGGACGACAAACGGCGGAGAAGCTGCTGAATGCTCCTTTTCCACGCCATCGCGAGGCTTCTTCGTAGTTCGACTCACCATGCGGATATGTGAGAGGACGCTGGACTTGGAGGAGTGCTGACAGTCCACCATCATTATATAATCTCGCTCATACTAGTAGTTGCCTGAGAATAGGTGTGGCTCTTATATGGGTTTCAAACAATGTCGCCAACTGCCAAAAGAGCTCGCCCAAGCAAAGCACTCAACTCCTCGGACTGATGTGTCATATTTCAGTCGAAATGCGATGGGACACGATCAGGCTGCAAGACTTGCGAAATTCATAACGGTCGCTGCCATTATAAGAGGCCTCCCATGCGCGGCGCGGTCTTGCCCATTGTGGAATCCAGAGCAGCGGAATTGCCATGATGATGGATATCTCTGACGGTATGTTGATAGGGACTGCGTTCAAAGGCGATGGGATTGATATGAATGAAACGTTGTGTCAGGCTTAAGAGCAAGGATAGCTAAGGGTATTGCTTGCAGCAGATCCAGATTACTCAGAAATCTGATCCATCGCCCACTGAATTGATTCTCGCCCTCGGTCGTCCAACACGTTCCAGATAGCTTCGGACACTCGCGCCGCCCACGGAGCAATACACCAATGCTGGCGTAGATGATGAAGCAATACACAATAGTGCGCTAAAATGACCAGCGTCAAGTTTCGACGTTCCTGCAAATACTCCAGAAACAAGGGTGGCAGTCGAACCGCCCACCTGCCACTCGCTGTGATCGAGGCTACGCCGGCAGTAGACATGCTAAACATTTCTTCAAGGTCCTCAATAGCTTTTCGATGTACCTTGTGGCTTTCTGGTCCCTCTTGAAGCGAGCTGTTCAGCGTGCGTAGCCTGGTGAGTGCAGCTTTTGTATCGGCTGATATTTCATTGCGTTGTTCACTCACTCGCAATAGCGGCGCAAAATCGCTTTCCAAGAGTGTCTGCGAAAAACGAGAGACAATTTCACTAGTCCCACGGATCAGCACAAGGACCTGGTACAGATCTTGAATGGGATCAGCCGATTCCTGGCTATATGATGACCCAAAAGCATAGACAGTAACTAAGGAAGCAAATGCGAACATGGCCTTGGCGTTCCACGGACCGACTGCTTGTAATGCTTCTCTGAACAATGTCAAACCCCGTGTCTGATGAAAAGCGGCATGCTTCAAATACATAGATTGATGCTCCTTTGCCTTAAAGCAGGAGAGATGCAGAGCGGATACGGACAAAATCCCCCACAACAGAAACCGATGGGAGAATGCCTCCTGAGGAACCAGTTCTCGCCAGATCTGCGCTGTAGTCTCATTTCGGGTCAATAATTTATATGCTGAGTTGCACCAGTGCATCATCAACTCCAGCTCGACCACGTTCAGCTCCGTGGCAGGCATGGGTTCGGCGTTCTGCGACGCCATCAGTCGTTCCAAGGTTACAAAGATGTCATCTCTCTGGTCCTGAGAAATCATCCGATTACTATCCTTGGGTGGCCTCCTTTCCTTTTTCCAGTCTTTCCAGACCAGGGAATGCGTCCCATAATCACATACCACATGGCGTCTAGTACAGTTCAAGCACCGTGGGCGAGACTCATCGCACTGTAAAAAGTCAAATCTTCCGCGCATCAAGAAAGACAAGCCATATACAAAGTTGTACACGGGGATTGAGGGAGATCTGAAGTACCTTGACTCGTCTGCGCTTGCATTCCAGACATCCTCGGCGTGACTTGTTGTGGCTTCGACGGGTCTGCATGATAGGCCGGCAGGAAATGAACGATTCTTAATCTGACACCCAGTTGTTCATAGTTGATGATGGCACGTGACGTGGCCAGTCTGACAGCCGACGCGAGTGAGAAGTCAACAGTCCTGGCTGCTTTTCCTTGTGGGTGTTATCGTGCCTCTTTGATGCCTGCGACATATAGCATCTTTCCAGCTTGAGAGAAGTGGTACGAATACGAAAGTTTCACCGTAATTTTGGGATTTTCAGCGTCCGCAGTGGGGCATAAATTACCGAGCTAAAATTAAGCTCGCAACGTCTCGTACACGTATTCGTTCCGAAATTCCAGAAACGGACTAGCCCAAGGGGAAAGTGAATAAGCTAGCTTCTTTTATCACTTTCTCCAACTTCTTCCTCTTCTACTGTGTCCACATCTGCCAGAGTCAGCTCTGCATCGCCGAATGACAAGCATGCAAGCGAATCCTCGATATGGCTACTTACTAGCATACTTCAGTCGTGTACTTGCTAACAATGGAGCCATAGCTACTCAACTGGTTAGAGCGACCAGGACCTCAATCATAAACATGCCCAGCCTCCATGGCCGATAGACTTTATGTGCGTTCTGATTGTTTCATACCATTGAGATGCATAATAAGGCGAGAAGAACTGGATTCTCTAGTACTCTCAGGACTCCATCCAGTATCGTATCCGTTCCCTATTTCAATCGTCTACTCAATGAAACATACACAGCTCAGCAGCCCTGAAGAAGTTCTGGACAACCTCGCCACAATGCAGACATATAAAAGATTGAAGGATATATTGATTTCCCAGGCAGCACAATAACTACGACACATGCAATCCAATCAACAGAGAAACCGAGCATGATAACGATAACAAATACCTCCCATGTCAGAGTTAAACGGGTCTAATCGCTTTCCTGGTATCAGTAGTTGGTTACGAATGAGAATGCAAGACACACCTAAGCGCTGGCAAGCAAAGGACTGCTTTTGGTATTGTTGGTACCTCAATGAAGGGTTCTGGGATGGAGACACTAGACAATCCACTCTATCTGCTTGGATAGGTGGTTATTCTGGATCGCCTACATATATGACAGCTTCCTTCTCACGGGCATTATTCTTACATTCAAAGTTCATCTCGCATCAAATGCATCTTCTACTGGTATAATTGAGTACTTCGCTCTTATACTTACTATCCTGACTCCAAAGTATCAACAAACAAGATGGCGAAACACAATGTTTACAAGTACGACCCATCAAAGGCTGCTGCTATGGCTTTTGCGATCATCTTTTCCATCACAAGCCTCATTCATCTGGTTCAACTTGCTCGAAAGCGGACATGGTATTTTATTCCCTTTCTCATCGGAGGGATTTGTAAGTCTCCCTATCTTTTCTCCTTTCAAATCAACTAGCCCAGAACTTGACTGGGCATGACCTACCAGTTGAAACCGTTGGATACGGCACAAGATATTACAATGCAACTCAAACGCCGGACTGGGCGCTAAGTCCGTATATAATACAATTTCTGTTACTTCTACTGGCCCCATCACTCTTCGCGGCTTCGATTTATATGATTCTCGGACGCATCGTCCGACTTCTCGATGGAGCATCTCGTTCTTTGGTTCGCCCGTCGTGGATGACGAAGATTTTCGTGACCGGAGACGTCTTATCGTTTTTTCTTCAGTGCGGAGGTAACCCAGTCATTCATTCTTTTTAGATATTGAAGATAATCCAAGACTGATGGATTTTTAAACAGGAGGTGGTATTCTGGCCCAAGCAAAAACGCCAAAGACCACCAATCTAGGAAACGACATCATCATCGTCGGTCTTTTGGTCCAGCTTGTCTTTTTCGGCTTCTTTATCGTCGTCTCGATTGTCTTTCATCGCCGCATGCTTGCCTCTCCTACTAATATATCGCAGACAGTTACTGTACCCTGGTCCCGGTATATGATGATCATGTACACAGTCAGTGGGCTGATCATGGTTCGTTCGATCTATCGGGTTATCGAATATGTGCAGGGCCCGGACGGTGGTCTACAGGCGCATGAAGCGTATCTGTACGTTTTTGACTCCTCATTGATGCTTCTTTGCTGTTTGATCTTCAATGTCTCTCATCCTAGTCAAATCATTGTCGGCGGAGGGAAGAACTATAGGAAGATGAGCTCAGATCTAGAGATGCTGAGCGCACCGGACCGCAATTAAGCATATGACGAGGGTACTACAGGCATAAGATGTACTTAGAGATATAAAATCTCGATATTGTTAGAACATGGGGGAAGTAATGCGGGGTATATCGGGGTAAATCATCCTGAGGAGAATTTGGTTGCTCGGGAAAACGCCATTTTGGGCCGGATAAGTGAGTTCGGTCAGAACCCCGAGCGAGGAGTGATGCCCCCAATATCCCCAGATTTGTAATCTTTCTTTTGTTTCTTATGAATCAAATCTAGTTGTGTTTGCGAAGACGGGAGTGTACTTTCTCGCATAGTTCGGTTATCTCATTCTCCTCATACTCCCCAGGCAGGTATATGAGATTGCATTGAACTAGGTAGATCCAGAATTGCGAACAAAATGTCTTTTTCTACTACAATTCGCAAGACTTTGGAGAGTCCCTCGACAGCATACGGTTTCTGGCTCACGTAAGTCCCTTCATTGCCATTCAGATGGAGTTCTCTTCCTATAGATCTAATTGCAAGGAATAATGACTGATTGATGAAACTTACCAGTCTGCCCGGTGCAGGAGTTGTCAAGACTATTCTCCGCTCAACAGTTAGTTCACCAGATGGAGGATTCAGTTGGGTGTTGGTTGATGCCGAGCACGGTTTGATCTCAGACAAGGACTATTACGAGGCGAGTTCTCCAAATGTCCGCTTTCGATGAAAGCATACCTAACTGAGACCAGCTCAACAATGCCATTGGATCCGAAGGTGCCAGCCCTATTATCCGTGTCCCCTGGGCGGAAGAATGGATGATCAAGCGTGCCCTCGACTCTGGAGCTCACGGAATCATGACCCCTATGTGCCATACAGCTGTACGCTCCGTTGTATTTTCCAATCCAAATGTGAGAATCTGTCCCTGACTTTCTGAACCATAGGAAGACGCAGCCCGGGTTGTGAAATGGTGCAAATATCCTCCCATCGGAAGCCGTGGGTACGGACCTATGTTTGCCGCTCACTCCCTAGCCCGAGGAACGAATTATGACGAGGGCGCAGATAAGGCTTTGATGGTGGTTGTACAGATTGAGTCGAGGGCTGGTGTTGAAAATGTAGAGGAGATTGCCAAGGTTGATGGACTTGATGTCTTGTTTATTGGTGAGTAACCAGTCATCAACCAATAACTGGAAGACAGTTGCTAAATTTGTTCTTCCGAATTATAGGACCCTTCGATCTTGCTAAGCAGACCGGCGTTGTTCGAGGAGGAGAAGAGCACGAAGCTATGATTCAACGTACTCTCAAAGCGGCAAAGGCAGCTGGAAAAAAGGCTGCTATTTTCTGTAAGTATCTGACATCTTCGAATGCCTACACAGCCGGTAACTGACATCAACCAGGCACGGATGGTCTGGATGCTCAAAAGCGTGCTCAGCAGGGATTCGATATGGTATCAATTATTACCGATGTGGGTGTCTTGGCTCAAGCAATGGCGCAACAACTGGATGTGGCTAAGGGTAGAGGAACAGAGGGAAAGCAGAGAGATGGTTACTGAATTATAGACGGGCTAATACGAGCTCCTTATTCACGGTTACAAGCTGATCAATTCCTCCCTGGATAAAATAAACGCCTGACTATACATCTAATAAAAGATGTACTACATGCATATGAATAGACCTACCAATACCAAAACCAGACCCCTTTTAATATTCAGATAATTTCCAACTCATCATCATCGTCATCGTCGTCGTTATTCATATCCATGTAAGCCCTACTCTTGTTCGCCTCGCTACTAGTGGACGCCCCCAAACTATCTCTGCCGGCTTCACGAATGCCCTTTGAAGTGATAAATCGCGTCTTCTTGACCGATGAAGTCACGCCGTTGTTCGAGACTTTATCATCCGATTGTGCTCGTGCCCGTTTCTTCATGGGACCTAGATTTACTTCATCGGCTTTGCGGAATTTGAAACTGTTTGATACCGCTCTCTGTGATCCTAGAGTTAAAGGCCCAGGAGTTGTTGCTGATGTCGTTATCGTTGCTGTACGTATTGCGGAGGGCGTTGATGTTGATTGTTCGAGCCCAACTCGGAGATATTCCGATCCCGTATTCCCACCCTTAGAGCCCAGTTTCTTTGCAATTTCGCGTTCCCGCTGTTGCTCCACCAGTCGACGCCGTGCACGTTCTTCTTTGTTCGCATTGCTCCGAACCTGGTCCGAGAAAGGATTGTCTTGGATGCCGTCAATGAGAGCTGCAGCCGAGCTACCTCTGCCTAGATGGGGATATATGGATGAATCCTGATATGAGGATGCAGATTTGGGTGCAGGGGCGACAAAGTATGTTGACTGAGTCGCCCAATCGTACCTGCCACCTTCGGGCTTGAGTCCTCGACGACCACCACGCTGACCCTTGGAGGCACTGAAATCTGCTATGCGCGGTGCATTGCGGCCGCCAGGAGCAAACAACCCCGTGCCACCGTTCACGCCGGCTCTAGCTGCCTGTGTCCGTCGGATCTGCACGTCGACATGGAAGTCACAAAACTCACTTTTACGCGAGTCAAGCCATGATCGACAGATCTTTCCGTCTTTGCGTTCTGCTTTGCAGTATCCAATATCTTGAGCAGAGCCGATTTCAAGAACAGTGTCGTCCGAAGAGGAAAGGCAGAGACTGAATCGGTTAGTATCAATTTTGCCTGGAGGTGGAGGTAGAATTGTTGGATTCAATATAGCTATTAGCGTGCCCTCCGAGAGTCTGTAGTAGCGTGGGAATGCAGTATCAAATAGGAAAAGATCAATGGTCCATTTGAGATCCGTGAGGGTAATGACCATGTATTTTTCAGTGTTGTTGAGACCATCGTCATACATATCGACTTCTTTGGTTGAGTTCTTAGAGTCCTTGTGTTGCTTCGGGTCTGATTTTGAGGCCACAATGCCGAAGACGACGTAGTCCCCATCGATATTGTCCGGCAACTCAAACTCAGGTGCCTTCACTAATTTCAAGAGCTGAGGTATTCGAAGAACTGTTTTATTCTCAAGGGTACGGCTTAGAAATGACTGGGGGAGAATTCGGTTTGAGAGGTTGAGAGCAGAGAATGGTTCCAGTTTGGAAGTATCTGGCTCCTTGGACGTTTTCTGACCAGCAGTTCCAGGTCCCGCAGTATTGGGCTGCCGTGATGCGATGGCAGATGCTGACGCCACTAGACTTGGAGTAGTCGTAGACATTTTCATCCGCGATTGAGGACTCCCATACGACTGAAGCACCTCCTCACGACTAAAAGTCTCCGCCGGTCGTTGCTTTTCAGGACTTGGTCGTGGTCTTGATGCAGCCTCTTCCTTGTATTTTTCAATCTCTTTGCTATCGATCTGAAAAGAAGAGTTACGATTGCGTTGTATTTGTCCAGCTCGTTGTTGCTTGGCTCTATCAGCGTTCCTACTTTCTGCGATTCTCTCGCTAAAGGACTTGGGTTTCTTGAAGTCATCCGCAGCCGCAGACCAGATGTCCGGCGGGCTTCCCTGATGGTAATCGGAACGAGAGGAGGTCCCAGGACGAAAGCTAGATGCTTTTGACTGAGCGGTTACTGGCCTGGCACTGGACGGCCGTTTCAGTGATACCTCGCTTGCCTTCTTGAAATTAATAAGTGCCCGACGTGGAGATATCGAGTCCTGAGGCATCAGTCGTTTGGAAGGGGATAATGGGACTTGAATGCCATCTCCTTGGTCAGTTAACCTCTCTGTCATTGCTCGTATTCGACTTGCGGGTTGCGCCGAGGAAGATGACGAGGTAAAACTTCCTTGCAAAGGTTTGTCATCTACGCGTGGGCTTGTTGCGTTCAACCGTTTCTCTTGCTGTAGCCTTTTCAATTTCAACTTGGCTTCAATTGCTGCTAGCTGTAGTCGCAATGTTTCCTCATCCTCGTCCATGTCATTGTCATCGCCAGCAGCTTCGTTGTCGTCGCCATTTTGAGCGGAATTACGAGAAAAGAAGTTTGGCGTGGTGCGTGAGCGCTTGAGGGGGGAATTCCGTTCGTTTGCTTCTCGCTCTCTTCGTAAGTCAAGGTATCGTTTGCGGCCGCTCGGGGAAGCAAGTAGGGCCTCCCTCGGTGACTTGGGAGGCCATGATATGGGATCGACCACTGGACGCAATTGAGTTAACAAGCTCGGGCTGGACGGGCACTTTTCGACATACTAGCTTCTTATCCTTTGAGCAGTCTTCTTTCACCGCATTGAAATGTAAATCAACCCCACCATCTCCGAGAAAGCGAGTGTATAGGTAAGTAGTTAGGCAGGTTGGAGAGAGAGAGCAATTAAAATGTGATACGTGCGGCTTGTCGCGAGACGCGGCTGCTCCACGCGACTGACAAGATACCGCCAGATCAGGATTTCTAGCTCTCTTTTTCTTTCTTGCCTTATGTAAAAGTGAAAAATTTCGAGATACATAGGACACCTGGAACTTGCTCAGAGTAAACACCCGTAAGTGAATATCTTGACTATAACCCTAACCCTGATGACATGGGTAAAAGGAATGACTTCGAACACGCGCCTTGCCGAGTAAAGCCAATAATATTTTATATTATTATTATAGAACTAGCTCCTTTCGCGAGTTAGTCTATGGTATGAATAGATGGAAAGACTGGACTGACCCTCGGCCATCTTGCTTGGCGCTGTTTCGAGGTAATCCACCAGCCCTAACCCTGCTACTTCCACTTTTACGCGTGCAGCCGTGTCGCGTCAGCCGCGAAATGATCAGTTAACTAATCACCTCCAATGCTCCCTATGGTGAATATTATTATTCAATCGCAAAGGACAAACCAGCCATCGAACCGCCAGTGAAGTGCAATTGATCAAAAATGCCCAGTACGCGATCCAGACCTGTAACCGATGATATAGCGGAAGAAACGAAAACCTCGAATCCGAAAAGGAAGATTCCGCAATCAGTCGACGTTCCCACCAAGACATTCATTCTCCCTTCAAAGAGAAGCGATGCAGCTAGATTTCTCTCTCTTCCAAATCCGACTTCTGGAGTCTTGAATCGGTACTTCTTCGACCCGGAAGAAACTGGTTTGTACGAGTTCACGGCCGTCGCATCGACACAGTTCGCTCCGAGGAGTATCCTATTCACGTCGAATAATAGCAATGAGAAAACAGAAGAAAGAGCAAAGGGATACCTTGCAAAAAAGGCTGAGCTGTTCATTGCGACACCAATTGATGTCCTGTTCTTCATGTTACCGATTGTAGCACCCGCCGACAAGACCTCGACGTCAAACATGTTTCAGCCCTTAGACGACATTTTGGATTCGCAGGATGAGCTTTCTGCGCACCTTCGCTATATTGTCTACAACGCCTCGTTTAGATCAACCATCGAAAGGCGCATGCAAGCAATTTGTGATACAATGGAAGCCGCGGATGAGAAATTGTATCGATTCAGCGAGACTAAGCTCCTCGCCGAGTTAATCACAAAGGCAGCCCGAATGATTGCCCAGGGACTTCCTGCAAGCCTAGAACAAAACTTTATTCAAAAGACACTTGCTCCTCCATTGATGAGCGTCAAGCGTGAAGATACAGTGACTACAACTGCTACCATCATTGAACATGAGGAGAATCAAGACCTGGAAGTTGTAGAGATGCAATCAACCTCCACCACGACTATTTCTACTACATTATCCGCAGAACCATCCGGTGTCTCGACACCAGCTACACAGCCTTCTACCGTGGATGAAATATCACCTTCCTCAGGAAGTGTCGCAAGATTACTCCGTCTCCGGATCGCTCTCTCCTTCATAAAACAGTCATATCTACCCCCAAACCTATCAACCAGAATTGAAGAAATACTCAAATCACCCGAAAGCCCAATTGACTTCAAACCCCTTGATGATCGACTCAAGGAACTCGCCGACCTTCGCGCAGAGGCCTTCGCATCTCGCGCAATGGAAGACTTGAGTCGCAAGCGAGGCTTTGAAGAGGAAGACGGTGACTCTGAGCGTGCGGCGGCAAAACGTAAGAAGGAGGAAGAGAAGAAAGCCAAGGCTGCAGAGTCGCGTGGTGTGAGGGAATTGAAGAAGGTTAATACTTCGGGGATGAAGAAGATGAGTGACTTTTTCAAGAAGAAGTCTTGAATATATATGTCTCTCGATATGTTATATTCAATGTGTCCTCTGGATCTAGTGAGGAAGAATCCGGTCGTTGCTTAAAAGCAACTCACAGAGCTGTCATCCCCCGAAGCGACAAGTCAGCGGCTTTTCTGATCAAGTGCTACGAGAACGCCATGGAGTGGTTCTGCTTATTTTCGCTTCCACCACTCATCAGTCCCTTTTCCAATCAGGAATTCGATTTAAGGGGAGGCCATCAACACATCTGCTATCGCACGTGAAAGAGGAGCTTTTCTGGATGCAGAAATCCAGAATTTCACTGGTGCAACGTAAACATTTCATTGCGAAAATAACCAGTGTATGCTGGTATCAGCAGATTGGATCTATATACAACATAATGGATAAACAAGACTATTAGACTGTATATGTTTCACGCCAATTCCAAAGCGGCGCCATGAACCCTAAGTCAAGTCAGAAATGGCAATGATAGAGAAAGATAAGAGACTTACAAGAAAGAACCATTAGATGGTTTGCTGATAACAATAGCCTCGGACAGCTGCTCCTGAGTAAGACCAGAAAGCTTAGAATAATATTCCTCATGCAATGCCTTGCTAACAGCCTCAACCTTAGACCTGGGTAACATGTGCACTGTGCAGCCACCCCATCCTGCACCGGTGAGTCTGCTACCCCAGGTTCCGGCACGGCGGGCTATTTCACAGATCTGATCGACTTCGGGACAACTGCATTCGTAGTCATCGCGGCATGAATCCTGAGTCTCGTTCAACAATTGACCCAGATAGTGAATACGTTTGATATCAAGTTTATCAGCTTGGGAGAGACAAGCCTTGAAATCTAAGACACGGCGAGCCTCCTTGAAACAATGTAGGGCACGCTGGCGAAGCTTGAATCGTTCTGCTTCGACGGGGAAGGAGGAGAGAAATCTTGATCCGAGCTCGGGTACTGTGATGTCGAGAAGTTTTGCAATTTCTTCGCGTGTATAGCCCTGTTCTTGGGAAAGTATCTCTGTAGTTGACTGGATGACCGCATCCAGCTGATATTCCAACGGGTCTTGAAGACGGCCTTGTTTGCGCATAAACTCTTCATGGAGATTCCTCAGACTATAGCCCAACGAACTGTTATCCTTTTCCAAGACGATTCCGTGATGTTTGGCTAGCACGACGGCGGCTAATGTGCATTCGGCAACACGAAGGTTGTAATGACGAGGACCGGTCTCGGCCTTGTTGGAAGTAACGAAGCTCTGAGCAACAAGAAATACAATTTCCTCATCGGCTACGGGAATAGGAACGTGTTCAACGGAGAATTTGGGGAAGAATTTGGTATAAAGGAGGAATCCGCGCTGGGAGAAGATGGAAGCAGCCTGGTCCATTCTGCACAAGGTTAGACGAATTTCGAACAGACCTAAAAGCAAGTAACTAACCCTCCAGAATAAACACCAACCGCGCGTTCAGACACAACGGCCAGGTCCAAAAGATTTTCTTTGGACACATCGTGGCCGTTTGCCTTGATGACAGCCAAGGCACTGGCGCACACGAATGCAGCACTGCTGGAAATGCCACCACCGGGGGGTACGTTGCCGTCTAGAAGAACTTCGAGCGAGACCGGTTTCACGGACGGGTTTCCCTTGCGGAGAAACTTCAATGCTCCGACCAGGCCTGCTTTGAAGTAGTTGACCCACTCGTGTTTCTTAGGGTCAATCACCACATCCTTGTCAAAGGGGACACTAAACTCGCGCGAGGGGAATTTCTGAGGATTGACGTTGGAGATCTTGACGATAGCTTCGGACCCTTCAGTCGGAACGACTTTGACGGCGATTATGACATCCACGCTGACGGCTGTGGGCAGCACATCGTAAAGATTGTAGTCGATGTGTTCTCCGATGATGTTGACGCGGCCAGGACTGCGCGCAACAAAATCCGGCTTCTTGCTGTATATTTCGGTAAATTGCTTAATGAGATGCTGCCAGCGAGCTTTTATCTCGGGGGCAACTGACTGAGCCGATACGTCGTCAGTTGCGTACACGTCGGCGATATTTTCAGTCTGAGGGACCTGGAGTTGCTGCGGTGCCATTATTGTGGAGGTGAAGCGAAGAAGCTCCCTGATTTATCTCGTCGCGTGCTTGGAGACCCGTGACTTGGAATATATTGATCCGGCCTGGAGTATTTATGACTGATGGAGTTGAGAAAAAAGAAATCCAATCCTGAATTAAGGGGACAGGAAAGTGCCATTGACACCCGTGACCTCATTGTATAAAATTGATCCCCACATCTGGTGGTCGCTGTAACACCCCGCTGCTAGCCTATATCCCCGGTGTAAGGTGACATGCGGTAACTTACTCCGTACATACGGCTAAATAAGAGCTAATTGACGGCGGATAGAATAACTAAGGGGTGACTGGTGAGTAGATACTTCCTTGACAGGATAATGCGATGGTGGTCATATAGTTAGGTTTCGGGATGTTATTGAGATTAAGAGATCTTGCTACCTATATACTATGTATATTGATGAAGCTTGATGAGGACCATGCCTGAGGCTGCGGTCTAGAATTAAGGCTGTTACCCTAACCCAAGACGACATAGCTCCCCCGCCCAGCCTGCGCCGAGACCGCACGCACAAACATCTGATCTGGTGAACCTGAATTTTGAGGCCACCGAGTTGCGTGACTGCCGGAGTACCTGCTTACTTCCCTCAGGTTTCCTGCTCACTGAGGTAAATAGAAAAATATTCGTGACCTGCAAAGACGATGATAAAGAAATGTCACCTCAATTGACAGGCGGAAGACTAGCTACTTCGTACTTGATTACTTGCTAGACACGCCTTCTGTCATACTGTTTGCCATTCATGAAGATGAATCAGATACAGTACATGTTCTGCAGCAAGTGCTGAACCGAGTCGTACGCCGATAATCGGATACCATCATCCAATCACAGTGACTACAGACCTCCAGAGTCCACTACGGCGGCCTATAATAGCCAATCAGATAGCATCAATTAGTGAACCTGGTGGAACCATCGCCCTAAAACAGTCTAGCGCGATGCAAGAATCTACGATGACTCTTATTCGGTTTCCCCCAGAGTCAAACAAAAAATGGACTGTCGGTCTGGCGAACTTCTTCTACTTCTGACTCCCAGCTGATCCCCCCTTCCCAATTCAATTCTCGACGTCGCCAGGTCATCGTCTATTGCGAGCAAGATGATGCCTATCCGACCGTCAAGGAGTACCTTGCGTACCCTGCCTACACAGAGACAGCTGGTCTCAAATCGCAGGCATTTTTCCACTACTCTCATCGCTGGTGCTGTGTCGCCCCACCGTACCTCTGGGACGTTTGTGAATCCCAAACGAGGACAGAGTACAGCTACTGCTTCATCGTATGTTTTTTTTCCGCATAATATTGTTGGGATCAATTCGAGGTGGGCAATTGAAAGCACAGACTAACAATACGGTGTATATACAGAGATGCTCGTCCCGTGCCTAGTCCTGCCTTCAACCAAGAGCGACCAAATGTGTCTCCCTTGGAGAACCGAAAACTACCTGAGCTCGATGACTCGTATGTTAGGCCTCGAGGACATTGGTTAACTGATAAATCTGGCTAGTTACTTATCTTGCTGTTGAACTAGATTCGTCGGACTCAGCGGTGGCGAAATCTTTCATGAGATGATGCTGAAACTGGGTGTCAAGCATGTCTGTGAGTCATACCTACATATACTACATCAGGAGTATACTTGGCATATCATCTAATTGCAATGTCTAGTTGGCTACCCTGGCGGTGCAATTCTACCTGTCTTCGACGCCATCTATAACTCCAAGCACTTCGATTTTATTCTCCCTCGCCATGAACAAGGTGCCGGCCATATGGCCGAAGGTTACGCTCGTGCATCTGGAAAGCCCGGTGTCGTCCTAGTCACCTCCGGCCCTGGTGCTACCAACGTGATTACCCCAATGCAAGATGCATTGTCCGATGGAACCCCCATGGTCGTTTTCTGCGGTCAAGTACCCACTTCCGCCATTGGTACCGACGCTTTTCAAGAGGCCGACGTTGTCGGTATCTCTCGCCCTTGCACCAAGTGGAACGTTTTGGTGAAGAGCGTGGCTGAACTTCCCCGACGTATCAAAGAAGCCTTCGAGATTGCGACCAGCGGGCGCCCAGGTCCCGTCTTGGTTGACCTACCCAAAGATATCACTGGTGGTATCCTTCGCAAACCCATCCCAATGAACAGCACCTTACCCTTCTACCCCACTACTGCCAGCGAGGCTGCTCGTGCTCTTGGGCGTCATAACCTCGAAAACACCCTCGACCGTGTCGCCGATCTCATTGGCGTCGCCCAAAAGCCTGTTCTGTACGTTGGCCAGGGCTTGTTGGCCCGTCCCGATGGTCCCAAACTCCTCAAAGAGTTCGCCGACAAGACCTGTATCCCCGTTACCACCACTCTCCAAGGGTTGGGAGGCTTTGACGAGCTTGACCCCAAGTCCCTCCACATGCTCGGTATGCACGGATCTGCCTACGCCAATATGGCTATGCAAGAGGCCGACTTGATTATTGCTTTGGGTGCACGTTTCGATGACCGTGTCACTCTCAATGTTGCTCGTTTCGCTCCACAAGCCAAGGCAGCCGCTTTGGAAGGCCGTGGTGGAATCGTCCACTTCGAGGTGATGCCAAAGAACATCAACAAGGTCGTTGAAGCCACCGAGGCTGTTGAGGGTGACTGCGCCGAGAATTTGGCATTGCTCATTCCTAAAGTCAAGCCTGTCGCGGAAAGACCAGAGTGGTTCGCTCAGATCAATGACTGGAAGAAACGCTTCCCATTGACGCTATATGAAGAACAGACTCCTGAAGGCCCTATCAAGCCCCAGGCTCTTATCCACAAGCTCAGCGAATTGACTGCTCCTATCAAGGATCGCACTGTTATCACAACTGGCGTAGGTCAGCATCAGATGTGGGCTGCTCAGCATTTCCGATGGCGCCATCCTCGCACTATGATCACATCTGGCGGTTTGGGTACTATGGGATTCGGATTGCCTGCCGCCATTGGTGCTAAAGTTGCTCGTCCCGATGCTCTTGTTATTGATATCGACGGTGATGCTTCTTTCAACATGACTTTGACCGAATTGTCGACTGCCGCGCAGTTCAACATTGGTGTTAAAGTCCTTGTGCTTAACAATGAAGAACAAGGCATGGTTACACAATGGCAGAATCTGTTCTACGAAGACCGTTATGCCCACACGCATCAGAAGAACCCTGACTTCGTGAAGCTCTCAGAAGCCATGGGCGTACAAGCTCAGCGATGCAGCAGGCCCGAAGAAGTTGAGGAGAAGCTGAGGTGGCTCATTGAAAGCGACGGCCCTGCGCTTTTGGAAGTCTTTACTGATAAGAAGGTCCCTGTCCTGCCTATGGTTCCTGCCGGCAGCGCCCTTCACGAATTCCTTATATATGACGAAGGTAAGTCACTAAGTCCATATTTATCCCTATTCGTACGCTAACTCCGTATGTGTAGCCAAAAATAAGGAGCGGAAAGCTTTGATGAAGAAGCGTGGTGTGACCCAGATGTAATTCCCCCTTAGTCTTCAATAGCTTCTTGGGGAATTGCACTATCGTCTCCGTCCTACCATATGCTGTTTGATCATTTTGCCGTCTCATTTTCTGCGACTTACGGATATCCTGGCGTTGTTGGATTGTTACTTTCAAAAGCTTTATCTGCCACCACAGAACTGTACTTTGATCTACTGTCGGACCTCGTGCGTCTTCATGTCGAAGTCCTGGGTTCGACTTTACATTTTTCTTTTCCTCTTTGATTGGAGCTTCATGGTTTTCTGAGGTTATGATATGTGTATATAGCATGGGTTTAACATTTAAGGACCCTCGAGCCGCGGAATATGATCTCAGAAACTCAAAAGTAATAAATATGCTTCTGGACACACCAAGATTGTCTTCCAAAAATGAGAAAAGTCGTGAAGCACGAGGTGATGATTCCTATTTGAGCTAGATTAGTGAGCGGCAAGATCTCCCGCCAAAGCCCAAGGTGACGGTGAGCCGAGGCCCACTCAACGTGACGTATCGCCAACAACTTCTCCAAAGACAACATCGGAGATTCTTTCAACAACCATTCTTTTAAAAGATCGCTATCATTCTTACTTGCAATTTTTACATATTCATCAACCATGAACATTCAATACTAGCCGTGCTGGAATAGTTCAGATTCGCAACATTCTATCTTTTCTTCCACTGTCACGCCATGGCATCGCTCCCCCCGCGTCAGACGACATCTGGTCAACGACGTTATTCGCAACATCATGATTCATCCAGCGCATACGATTCAAGAGAATCAAGCATACTAGACGATAATACAAACTCAACAACATCCACGCAAGAAACAGATTCCATTTTCCTCAATAACCCATCTTCACATATCGATTCATCATCCTCGCCTTCGCCACCCGGAGACTCAACACATCAAATTCATACGGCCACACAACAACAAGCCGAGAACAAGAGCCAACTAGTCGAACGAGCGGCAGCAACAACTGATGATGAGCCTAGAAAATGCTGGATCTGCTATAGTGACGAGACGGAAGATTCGCCGCATAGCTCTGAGTGGCGGTCCCCTTGTCCCTGTGCATTGACCGCCCATGAAGCATGTCTTCTAGACTGGTTGGCCGAACTCGAGAATCCGCGAACACGCAGACAGAACAGAGGTGATGTGCGATTACAATGTCCGCAGTGCAAGTCTAAAATCGTCATTTCACGACCGCGGAGCTACGTGGTCGATATCGTTCGGGCATGTGAGAGACTAGCAGGGAAATTGGTCATCCCCGGATTGGTGTTTACATTTGCTGGGACAATATGGGCCGGTTGTTGTGCACATGGGGTTTACTCCATGTATTTGGTTTTTGGTACAGACGAGGCGCATAAAATTCTCGTTCATGGCGCGGAAGATGCATGGAGTCCTGTTCGAAACGTGGGAATTCCTTTCATCCCAATTGTGCTCATCTTTTCTCGTATGTCATGGGCAGAAGGTGTATTACCTGCTATTCCTGTGTTATTCTTTGCAACGCACAACCCGACAGGCTTTGACCAAGGCACTCTTTGGCCACCAAGTGCTACCATGACATTCGCAGCTCTACCTTATGTGAAGAGTATCTACGGCGCCCTGTATGAGAGAATATTCGGGAAGCTGGAGCGCAAATGGATTGCCGAGGTACAACCTAGTCGCGGCGAAGAAGAAGGACAACAAGGTGACCAGCAAAGAGGTGACCATAGACCAGCCTTGGGTATTGGTGGAAACGGAGGGATTCTGATGGAGATTGATTTGGAATTACAGATCGGTATGGACGATGACCGAGCGAATCCTGAGGAGCCTGCCAACGTGCCGGACGCGAACAATAATGCGGACCAGCAGGCAGACCAAGCAAATGCTCAAGGGGGAGCACAAAATGGAGCACAAGATCCGGAACAACAAATACTTGGTCGACGTCGTCAGGAACTCGTCCACGATACCAGCAGTCTTGCAGACACGATTCTCGGCGCATTACTTTTCCCCGCGATCTCCGCTGGAATGGGTGGGCTCTTGAAAATAGCATTACCGAAATCATGGACAACGCCACCATCAGCATTTGAAAGGGGGAGAGCAGGACTTTTACAAAGTCGATGGGGCCGCAGTGTAGTTGGCGGATGTCTTTTTGTGCTTTTGAAGGATGCTTTGGTCTTGTATTGTCGTTGGCGACTGGCGCAGACACATCGCAAGAGACGAGTGTTGAATTACGATCGACAGAAAAAGACGGTTGTACAATAGACAGAACGTAAGTCTGTTTTACGAGAGGCATGATGGGTAATTTTGGGCTTATTTTCGTGGAATGGCTAGATGCATAGCATAGCTGGTGGAACTGGACTCGGGCATTGCTTACTATGTAGTTGTACATATATCCTTATCATGAATTGAACGGAGATGATATTATCAATTGCATTTGACATGAAAGTAGGGTGTGTGAATTTAGCCGCGCTCACCATAGTCTGCCGCGCGCTTAATTACCGGCGGAATAAGATTCAATTATTTTCGCTCCCTATCAACAACTGCAATCACCACAGCCAAATCGACGGCGAACGGAATCAATTGAAAAATATTTGGTCCTGCAGGAAGAATAAAGAATATAGATACGATCGATCATACCCGCAATATACGATGCGTCCACATTCTCCCATCTTGGCCTCTCTGGCCAACATCTTCAGAATCCCAATCACAAGACCACAAGCACCAACAACGTCAACGATTCTACAAACCCTCTCGAAACACAACTCACAGCAAACATCGTCCTTTTCGACGACACCTTCCCTAGCAAAACGGAAAAGTGCATTCAAGCCTGATAAACGTATTAGTACGTTCTCCCCCGTTCAAAAACAACCATGATCAAATCAAAAGGACAAGGAGAAGGACTGACAGAATCGACACAACAGCATTAATAAGATACTTCCTCTATCACCCCCTCACACCCCGACCCCTCCGCTTCTCTCGTAACCGCTACCTCCGCCACTGGACAATCCATCGCGCCTGGCAACTGTATCAATCCAAACTGCGTACGGACCAGGAACGCGAACTCTACCGCCAACAACAAGCCATGTCCTCTGCATGCGAAGAATTGCGAACTGCGTGCGGCGAGCGTGGGGCAAAGCTTTTCCGTATTTCGATGAATAAGAAGGGTGTTTTCACGGATTTGTTTCCGATCGAATATGCGAGGTTGCAGACTGATAGTCCTGGGAGGGAAGGGTGGAATCATGGGTGGAAGAGGGTGTGATTTTGCCCCTTCTATTATTTCGGGTTGTTCAAAGATGGAGTTGTTTGATTAGTTGAAAAGGGGAAGGGAAATGCATGTCGAGAGGATTGACCGGTTATCCTGATCTATGGTTAGATTCTTTTTCTTTCGTTTGTTTCTGTATATATACATGTGTACAATATCGGGCAAAATAACCATTGATGCTCCATTGAATAACTAGGTATAAGAATATTTCCTCAAGTTCAATACATACAACAGCCAAAATGATCAGGAATTATTTTCAGGGACGAAACCGAGAAGAATAAAGGCAGAAAGATGACTGGAAGGGAAAATTGAGAAGGAAATAAAGAGAAGAAGCGCCTGCAAATATAGCAAGAACAAACATAAAACGCCGGAAATGCGAATTTGATATGGTATCCATTTTTGGGTCTGAAATCGAGGTTGGAAATGATAGCAACGGCTCATCAGTCGAGTCCACCGAACATACAACGAACCCGGCAAATCACAGAATAACGCAGCAACCATTGCGCTCCTTCTCAAATGATAAAAGTGCCGCACGAGTTGCAGCTTCAAAGACGTCGTCAACGCCCTCTCCCGTTAACGACGAGCATTCAAGATATTTGCGAGCTCCAATCTGCGCCGCGGTTTCGCTGCCTTCTTTAGGGGTGAGGAATCGTAGGGATTTCTTCCTCATTTCTTCAATGGCGACGGGGTCATCTCGGAGGTCTTTCTTCAAGCCCACTAGTATGATCGGAACGTCGGGACATCGTTCATTGGCTTCTTCAATCCACTGTGACGAGTTAGTCATATACATAGTACAATTGCGACATGCCCATACTTTTGTCTTAACGTTGTCTAATGAGTCTGGCGTGTCGACGGCAAACCCTATCAGCAACACATGTGCTTTGGAATATGCTAAAGGTCGTAGCCGTTCGTAATCTTCTTGACCAGCAGTATCCCATAGTGCTAGCTGCACTGATCGCCCATCGACTCGACAATCGGTAACGTAGTTTTCAAACACCGTGGGCACCTGACGAATTAGCATTGTGTCGTAGAGTTGAGCAAGTAATAGAACCAAATCTACTCACATAATGCTGTGTAAGAAGTTAGTATAGAACGACCGTAACTAAAGTCATGTTGCGACTCACAGTTGGAAAATAGCCAAGTGTAAACACACTAAGCAAACTTGTCTTTCCACAAGCACCATCCCCTATAATCACCAATTTCCTATGCCAAGGAAGAGTCAGTATCGGACTCGAAATATTTGCTTCTTTGTCTCCTCCATCATGCACCTCGAATCGTTAAACCAAGCATAGTAGTCATTCCAGAAGACCCCTCTATGCTACGCCGCCGTTGTCCAGTGTACCTAACATCCACAAAGCACAAACGTTCCATCAAATAACGTACCTTCGCATAACATTATCGGTCGATTGTTGGGCCATGGTAGCAAACGCTTCGGTGATGAGGGATCAGATGGCGTGGGCCCCGGTGAGAAGGTGTGATAGTAGTATGGAAGCCGGAGGGTAGATAAGTCGCAGCACAGAGGGCACTGGTTACCTCTGATGCTGTAGCTTCTGCTGATTAAATATCGCGCTTATGGCAACTCTCACAAGGCTGGCTGATGGACGAACCGCGCCTTTGTCGATCGGTTCTTCGATGAGACAAACGGTGGAGTAACGGTAACAGAAAGCGACAAGGATTCTAAGACACGGAATGACGTTGATGAGCTGAGGTTCCCCGATAGTCAGGTACGCCTTAAATTGTCTTGGGTGTTCTTGTAGTTTGACAGCGCCGAATAATAATCCCACTGGGGTTTATCATACCTTTTGAGCCCCTGTAATGTTCACTGTGAACTCGGCGGGTACCGGGGGGCTATGCTGCCTCACCAATCCGAGAAGCCGGAGCGTCAAGAAATCGCGAGATGTTTCAGGTGGGATGGCGGCTTCTGTCTGGACAATGAATTAAAGAGACAATTGATATTGTGGAGTGGAAAGGTTGATCTTTCTGCAGTTGGGCTTTATGAAGTTTTTGGGACGTTTTGCTTTTGGAGGTGACACCTTCCTTGACCTTATCTAAGGCAGGTATCAGGCACTCCATCTCATGTGACATTGAGCACTCAAAACACAGTATTTTCGACTCGACAGTCATCATTTTCTTTAAGTTTGGCAGATTGACTTATTGCCATGACCTATTCTTCAGAACACAGTGCATTGTCCACTTCCTCCACATCACTTCAAGACTGTCTCCATAGGGAAATGATTATGAATACACCAGTGGGTACATAGGGGCAAGTGTCAAATTCTTCAATCTAGAATTCAGCAGCAAACAGCTAACTGCGAGCAAAGTTGTCTATGGGAAAAACGACGAGGAAGGTTACCTAGATGTCAACCATATGCCTATTGCGACTTCACGGTTTTCCTACGATGTCGTCTCTTATTTCTTTAGTATCCTTTTCGGCGCCACTACATTTCCATCCAATATCGGGACTCGTAGACAAAGCAGCGCCGGCTGCTCCTGAGCCCTAAAGAGCTTAGAAAGATATTGAAACGGAATCATTGAATGCATCACGAACCGAGTTCAGCAGTGACTTGATGATGTTGTCCCACCCCGGCCGGTGGAATCCTGTACGTTAATGCCTTGAAAGTTGAGAGTCGTCCATGGAGTGATATCTGGAACAGGTCCTGGAAATACTGAATCCGGTTGCGCCTTCAAGTGCCTGAAAGAAAGAGACCAATGCATTAGTTGAAGGACTGTTGACAAGGATGGTGACCACCAGGACCGTCAGGTAGGAGACGTGAACTGAGATTCCGTAAGCAGCACCTCCCAGCATTCGGTATCCGCGCAATTCCCTCATCGTACTCGATTAGATGCCAAACACCTTTGCGTCCGTACTTTAGAATTCTTGGAAGAAAAATGGCAGTTATTACGAACCTTGGACGGACATCTGAGCGACATGCAGGGTATGTCCAGCTGAGGTTGATATAACCACTGTATGACTTACTTCCTTCAAGGACCCTATGCAGTGGAGATTTATACATAGGAATTGATTCAAAAAAGGATATTTGATTTTTAAGAAACCTGGGGCAGAATCCTGAACTTCGTACACCACCTCCTACTGTACAAACTCTCGTCAAGAAGTTTTAGTAGACGCGGGAACTCATTTTCTAGGCTCAGATCTATATCTTCGTTCACGTGTTGCAGAAAGATCGGCTTGATTTCATCACGTAGAACTTGCAAACATTGTGGTGGCCCATAAAATCAGATGAGGTGCTGCGAAACTCCAATCTCGTGCATAGATATCGCCAATCGGCATTCTGAGGCAACGCAGCTTCATCCAACTCTACAACATCCCAAACAACACGCAGATATCAAAAGGTTTCATCAGTGACTTCTCGAAGGAAAGTCTCCAAGATTAGACCTCTTTACAGGTCAGGTGATCAATTATCAGATATAAAAGCTCAAACGGGCAAATCTGACAACCCTTTGAGACATAAAGCTTGAGAAAAATGTTCCTCCCGACGGGTAGCTCCTGTTGCTTTCCGTTTCGGTCTGTCCCTGCAGGCGCGAGTAATGATGGCTTGGATTCTGTCAATTTTCCATAGATCTGGCGCATCACTTGACATATCAGTAGCCCAGGGATAATGGATGCGGTGACATTTTCAAGTAAAAGTTTCCAAAGAAATGGAGTAAAGAGCACCAAATGTCTGCTTTGGATAGAAGGACCCAGCTCCCTTTGGGCTAATCTCCAGCATCCCGAGAAGCAATATGTATCAATGCGGACGATCTTTTGCGAAGACTTGCCCACCAATGGTAATTGTCGACGCCGTAAAACATAGCAATTACTGGTGTCATGGTTTTCCATATATATAGGCTGAACCACGGCTTTGTTGGGATCCTTTGCAGGAGCGTTGTAGTCAGATTTTACATCATATTGTCAATACCGGAGATCCTAAATCTTTGCTCGACCAGACTGTATATGTTAGATATGCGTTATGACAACCCAGCTCGAAGAAGTACAAGCAGAGTGCTTGCCTTGCCTGCATAGACCACGCGAGTCTTGATGATATTTCCCTCCGGCGAAGACTCACACCTCAAACTCTGCTGCATCAAAGCATTGTATGCTTCGCAGGTCCTGGGTCACGATAGCACCGAGGTCCATGCGGCAAATCAAACAGCAGGAAAACGACGGCCCCGTTGCGTAGAAAGGGGGTGATCATGCTATCCATATGAGGGTCTCTGAGGCTGTTTAAATAACCCCGGCGTTGAGTAGGTAATGTCACGATGATACGCCGATTGTTGCCTAAATAGAACCTCGCAATGGAAATTCATTCACTGGTTTTTGAAGTTGTCGCTACCATGATGCGATGACCTTCAGGAGTCGTAAATCAGCTCTCAATCGTTTTCCTATCCTTCAGAGCATCGAGAGCCGGACATTGCAGGCTTTGCCCATATGACAAGCAGAGGGATTGCCACCTCTGCATCACTTGGCACCTCATCCCCGAGCTCTTCTAGAGGGATTATCTGGAGAATTATCCCATACAGTCTAAAATCTAGCGTTAGAGTTCCGTGGGGTCCCGGGTAGGCTATTCTGTATTCAGCTTAGCGACGTCTTCTGCCACCGCCTTGCGGTAAGCAATGGTTAGTCATACAGTTATACCTCGTTATAACGAAAGGCGCCTTGGTGGTGCACTAAAGCACCTTCCACTCCACGACATTCCCATACAGCAGATCCCGGCTATAGCGAAACAAGTCTACGAATCTCCGTTGCTTCAGTACTTATAGGTGCAAAAGAGCATTCTAGAAACCAGTATTAACTAGATTAAATTATAGTATTGAAAGTGCATTCTATCTCTCAATCAAATTGGCTTCTAGTCTATTGGATTAGATCCGATAAGTCTTTCTGTCCGTTGAAGCCATTTCCTACTATACGAGAGAGCCCACAGTCAGCTAGCTAGTATGCATTTGATATCCGATTGAACACAGGTTGTCCCATATTTGAGCATACATGTCTTTTCTACATGTATTTGCAGTCTGTAGGAGCATACAACGTGAAAGGACGCATCAAGGTACTTGTCGATTTGGTTTTACCGCGGGCGGCACTTGGGCCAATCAGAAAGTCAGGAAGGTCAGGGCCCGCGCCAAACCAACCATCCCGTTTGGTCTTCTCCGTTCGTCTCTCTGCCCTGTGTCTTTCTCAAGAATTCACAGAAGGGGTGTTGTCAGTCCTGCTTCCTTTTCTTGCTTCAAAATTACTTTGTCGTGATGAGCAGGTTTTGACAAACAGTCATTCTTCTCAATCTCATCGCCAGCCCTTTCGAGACTGGCTGTTTTTATCCGCAACCCACCCGCGGCTTGGAGAATCTTCCCCTCCACCACCGAACCCTTTGTTACATCGTCACCTCACCAACTACAGTCGACGCTTTCTTACATACAATTTGTACTCGAGAAGGTATCTATACTTGTTCGAGAACAATTTTTGGGAAGGAATTAGCTCCTCTTTTCGTGTATCAAGACACTGCGGACCAGGATTAATTGCATATCAGAGAAAGCGGCATGTCTGCTGCCCTTCACCGACCACCAGTTACCGCCCACGTCCTAGCGAGTACGAAAACAAAGCAACCATCAACTGTACGAAGCACACCAGCCTCGGTTCCTACACAACTAAATCGGTCGGCGAGCGAGAATAGCAGTAGACCAGAATCAGATACCATGGCGCCTCCAGTGAATCGTAAGAAGCAGAAGAGGCGACAGAAGCAGGCAGCTCGACTTGCAGCTGAGCAACAAGATCACACTGCGGAGCACTTGACGAATGCATCAGATCAGGCGCAGTATAACAACAAGGACCAGTCCGACGCTGACGATGGGGAGGTCTATGATCATGATGATATCGACGATGACGAGGATATTAACCATTCTAGGCTCATAACGAATGGCAACGGGATGACAAAGACCTCCAAATCAAAGAAGAAGAAGAAATCCAAGACTACGTCCGCTACTCAGAAACTGGCCGAGGAAAGTTCTACGTCTCTTTCTGCACCGTCTGCGACGACAGGTCGGCCACAACCCCCACAACCTACGTCAAGCAGTCAATCGATCAAAAAGCCCAAGGATCGCATATGGAATACATCTACTCAAGAGGAGCGTGAGAACATCAAGAAATTTTGGCTTGAGCTTGGCGAGGACGAACGAAGGGCTTTGGTCAAGGTGGAAAAGGATGCCGTGTTGAAGAAGATGAAGGAGCAGCAAAAGCATTCGTGTAGTTGCACCGTTTGTGGGCGGAAGCGGACGGCGATTGAAGAGGAGCTAGAGGTATTGTACGATGCATACTATGAGGAACTCGAACAATACGCCAATAACAACCAGGGCACTTTCGAGAATGGTGCTCCTATCGTTCCTCCGCCACGACTGTACCATCATAATCTTCATTCGTTTAGCCGTCATACACATCGGCATACGCATTCTCATCCTCACTCCCACGCCCACCCTCATTCGCATTCGCATATTCATGATCATCATCATGATCATCACCATGATCACCACGATCATCACGACCACGATCACCATGACCATGACCATAATCATGACCACGACCATGGTCATCATCACCATCATCACCACTCCCATCACGGCCGAGTGCACGAGATACCCGAAGACGAAGACGACTTAGAAGACGAGTATGATGAAGAGGACGATGAAGAAGAGCCATATAGCGATGATGAATTGGACGACGATAGCCACGGGGAGCGAGCCGATTTCTTCGCCTTTGGAAATAGTCTCACGGTAAAAGGTTTGTTCATACTGTCAAGTCTTGTCCAAAGGCCTTTTTGATATCTAACTCTCGCCTAGATGGTATATTAACTGTCGCCGATGACCTGCTAAAGAATGACGGGAAACATTTCATTGATATGATGGAACAACTAGCCGAGCGCCGAATGCAGCGCGAGGAAGACACGCAATATGGAATGGTAGCTGCACATCAATCTTACCACGCAGGACATAACCACGGCCCCCTGGATGAAGACGATTATGATGACGAAGAAGAGGAGGATTATGACAGTCAGGAGGAAGAAGACTACGAGGACGATGAAATGGTTAGTCACAAGGTTGGGTATGCTGGGGAAAAGAAGAACTCTACTAACTTTGACCTGTGAAGGATACGATGACCGAGGAACAACGTATGGAAGAAGGAAGGCGAATGTTTCAAATATTTGCTGCTCGAATGTTCGAACAACGAGTGTTAACCGCATATCGAGAGAAAGTCGCGCAGCAACGACAAGAATTGCTCCTACAGGAATTGATGGAAGAGCAAACCCTGAACGAACAACGGTCAGCAAAGAAAGCTCGCGAGGCGCAAAAGAAGAAAGATAGGAAGAAGCAGCAGAAACAAGCCCGCGAGGAGGAGAAAGCTCGAAAGGATGCCGAAAAAGCTGCCGAAGAAGCAGCAGCTCGTGCACTCGAAGCGAAGAAGCTGGAGGAACAGAAGCGCAAGAAAGAAGAGCTGCGAAAGAAGAAAGAGGCCGAGAAGAAAGCCCAAGAAGAGGAGCGTTTGCGCAAGGAAGCTGAGAAGCAGAAACGGCTCCAAGAAGAACGTGAACGCCAAGCTGAGATTGAGCGCAAACAAAAGGAACAGAAGGAGCGCGAACGAAAGAAGCGTGAAGAAGCTAAGAGAAAAGAGCGAGAGGAGCGTGAAGCTAAGGAAAAGGAACTAAGGGATAAGAAAGCCAAAGAGGAGCAGGAGCGCAAGCAACGTGAAGAGCAAGCCATGCGCATCATAGAGCAAACGGCCAAAGAGAACAGTCAATCACAGTCTTCACAGTCTGTGCTGCCTCCCAAGCGAGTATCACAACCGACCTCGGGTACTGGATTCGTCCCTCCTGGATTCCAAAGTCCTCAAGCCGCGCCCGTCGCCAGTTCCCCGCATTTCCAAGTCGCGACACCTATCGTCCACAAGGCCTCAACTCCTGCTCGTCCACGTCAACCCTCGCAGCAAGGATCACACGCGTCATCTCCAAGGTCTCAAACAACGAGCGGTCCTGAACCTCTTTCCTCAGTATCGCCGCAGAGCTTGCACTTATCGCAGCCATCAAGTACGCCTCTCAGCTCATCAGGCAAGCTTGGTCTCTCCCAACAGCCTATCCTGCATCACCCTCAGCCTTCAGCACCTCTATCACCCTTGAGTAGCGCCACTAGGTCTCATACTATGGGTTATCCACCTGTCAACGGGCTGCCAGCTCACCCTCCTCCTGGAATGCCTGGAATAGCGACGCGTCCTGTTGGCAACGAGAACATGACAATGTATCCTCCTCATTCTGGGCCTGTTGGTAGCCAGTACAGAGGCTTCGCCACACCAAATGGGGTTCTCTTACCTCCAGGAATTGGCGGTACTCGCCCAATGCCAATCCCCAATCGCGGGTTCCCTCCTCTTGATCCAGGCCACAATCTGGCGTTTGGCGGTCAAGTACCTGGACCTGGCGTGATTTCATCCGTTCCACCCACAGGAAGACCTACCGCACACTCTCGTCAAGCGTCAGGATCGTTCGATAGACCACCCGTTGATGGCCAAGCTGTGAATGCCCCAATCTCTCGCCCAACACCAATTAAGCGGCCCTCGAGCCCTCAGAAGGGAGATGGGCGGATACACGACTCAGATGTCGATGATTTGAGTGCTCAGTTGGGTAGTAGCGCGTTGCTCGATGACTCAGATATACCGTTCTCCACGACCCTCTCACAGTCCCTTCCAGGGGCTCCAGTTCCAAGTGGATTCGGGCTATCTCGTGCGAGCTTCGGTGCACCACCCTTTCCAGACCCATTAAGTTGTGAGTATCCTTGCCTCCGGTCTATCCTATAATTGAGTAGTTGCACTAACATTTATTCTCCAGCTGCAAAACACCCTAGCTTTTCTGGCCAGGGAAGCAGCAACTGGGCAACTCAGAGTCCATTTGGAGTGCCGTTCCCAACATCTTGGAACGCGGCAGGTGAGTTTCTCTGGGAACCCATGTTACATGCATATGCTAATATTAGATCAGGTGTCTCTTGGCCTAACCGACCCTTCGGCAATCGTACATCTCGACCTGTGGCTATTCGGTTGCTCGTCATCCAGGCAATCAAGCATCTAAGCTCCATGAGCCCTGCGAAATTCGCTCCTGGGTTCTATGAAGTCAATCGTCTTCTCCGTCAAGTCGAACAGCTGAATTCACTCAATGATCCACCCATTACACTGAACGAAATAATGGACATCTGTGATACAGAAGGTAACTCACAAAACGGAGGTGGAACGTTCATCATCAAAGAGGATGGAAAGGGCGCTCGTTATGTCAAGTTCGAGCCAGACAGTGCCAGCCCTATGTCTAGTCATCGTGGTAGTTTTGTTCCCGGAGACATTGGAAGTCCTGTCCCTGCTCACAGCCTGCCAGCCCCTTTTGGCGGGGTTGGGGCAGCACCTGGTGTCCGACAGTACTCATCTCCAACGACTTTCTAGTCAACCGCTTCCTTCTTCCCAGTTCTTCATCTCCTCGCATTCGCAGGCGAGCGCCAACTCGCGAAAAGCATCCAGGCGTCATGTTTCACGTCCGTCCTATCTTCCTGGGTTTTCGGGGTACCCCATGCTTTTGGGTTTACGATTGTTTTTATCATATCTCTTTCTCCCTTTTCTTCTCTTCTTCTAGGGCCTTTCTTGGATGTCTAGTGGTACAATGCATTCCACAACTTCCTTTTCTGTTTTGTTTCTTAACGCAGCACCATGCCATCAGCTTTGTGGAGTTCTTTTCTTTTCAAAGGTTTCTTATTTGAGTGGGATCATGCTTTTTTCACCTGTTTGTGTACGTCTTTTTTCTTTCCATTATCGATGCTGTTCTATTTCAGTTTTGCTCCTCGAACAAGCCCGACTACGGGCTCGTGGTATTTTTGTATTGTAGGTAGCTACCATAGGTAGTTTTGACTGGGCGGAATTACCAACGAAGGAAGCGTCATGGGGCAAGCTGTTCTACGAAGCCTGTCTCCATATCATCTATATTTTGATGTCCTCCCATAGACTGTAGGGTTTATAGCTTACTTAGCCATTTATAAGAAATTGATGAAGTCGAGAGATTGCATCACCGTGGAGAGACTAGCGCGGCTGCTTGTGAGTGGCTGAGCGGATACCCAACGGCGGACAGCTCGTGCTCCTTCCTGACTCCAGATCAATCAACATCACCACCTCCACAACCCCAATTCTTGCTCTTCTTTTACGAATACCGAATGCGGTACTTCCTGGACTCGCATTACAAAGAGCCAGTTAATTTCTCATTGATTCACCGTCGTTCCTTGCTAAATCCCATCGGTGCGCTATTCGTGTGCGGACTGCACGCAAGCCCCCAGCATGTCTACCACGCCCACCCCCGCCGAAGACCAGGGCCGGCTTCTTGAAGAGGCTCTGGGAGTGGTACGACAACAGTCGCATATGATGCGAAAATGCCTCGAAACACCTGGCAAGCTCATGGACGCTTTGAAATGCGCGTATGTGTTCCGGTCTTTTCATGCGTCGAGGCTACTCAGGCAGCCGCTTTTTGCTACTCTCATGATTGCTTGTTCCTGAGTCTGATTTTACTGACATGTCAATTGGTTAATGCAGATCGACGTTTGTATCAGAGCTACGCACGTCAAGTCTGGGACCAAAACAATACTATGAGTTATACATGGCCGTTTTTGATGCATTGCGACATCTCTCCGTCTATCTGCGCGAAAGCCATCCGGTCAACCACCTCGCGGACCTGTACGAACTGGTCCAGTACGCCGGTAACATAATACCACGTCTGTATCTTATGATCACTGTGGGAACAGTCTATATGTCAATTGAAGATGCCCCCGTCAAGGAGATCATGAAGGATATGATGGAAATGAGTCGTGGTGTTCAGCACCCCGTTCGCGGATTATTCCTGAGATATTACCTATCAGGCCAGGCAAGAGATCATCTACCGGAAGGTACTGGTGACGGTCCACAAGGGAATATCCAAGACTCGATCAGTTTTGTGTTGACCAACTTCGTCGAAATGAATAAGCTTTGGGTTCGGTTACAGCACCAGGGCCATTCTCGGGAGCGTGAGAAGAGAATGCAAGAACGAAAGGAGTTGGAACTGCTCGTGGGAAGCAATATTGTTAGATTGAGCCAATTGGTGGATTTGGAAACCTACAAAAACACCATCTTGCCGCCTTTGTTGGAGCAAGTTGTTCAATGCCGGGATGTGTTGGCGCAGGAATATTTACTGGAAGGTAAGCATAACGGAAATCTCATTCGCTGGTTCCCTGCAAGAAAGTTATTGACATGTGGAAAGTTATCACAAAGGTCTTCCCGGACGAATATCACCTTCACACTTTGGATCTATTACTCTCAAATATTGCTCGCCTGAATCCGTATGTTGATATGAAGAAGATAGTTATCGGTCTCATGGATCGACTCTCTTCGTATGCCATTAAGGATACAGACCAGACAGACGATCCGTCAAAGAAAAAGGAACAAGAAGAGGAAGCAGTTGCAAAACTGCTAGAGAACTTCAAGTTAGCGGAGGAGAAGAAGCCCGAGAGACCCAGGGTAGAACAGACCCAGGAGAATGGTGCTGTATCCGAGGAACCGACTGCTGCACCGGAAAGCAGCAAATCGCCTGAAGAGCAAGACACCAATGGAGTTGAAGTACCGGTGGAGACCAAGCTCTTCGAAACTTTCTACGAGCAAGTTGTGAACCTGATCAAATCGAGAGGTTTGCCCATTCAAGACACAATCGCCCTGCTGGTGTCTCTAATTAACCTTGCTCTGTAAGTTAAGCTTCTTTTGCAGTCTACCTTTGTCTACCCTTTCAATATGGTTAACACGAGGTTGCAGGAACATCTATCCAGAGAAACTCGAATATGTTGATCAAGTATTAGATTATGCATCTCAGAAAGTGGCTGAACATGCGGATCAGGCTGATTTACACTCGGCGCCAGCCCAGCAAAATTTGCTGAATTTACTTCTCGCTCCGGTTCGGCTATACGTTTCAATATTCACAGCCCTTGCATTGCCTCACTACGTCCCACTCCTGACTTCTCAGTCATATCCTACACGTAGAGCTGTTGCAACAGAAGTCATTAAGAATATACTCACGAACAAAACTCCTATCACAAGCTCAGAGAACCTGGATAGAATTCTTCAAGTTCTTAAAGTTTTGATCAAAGAGGGAGCACCTCATCCTGCAGGATATCCCGGTGTTCATCCCCAGCGACGAGGTGAGACGGACGAGACAATCGAGGAACAAGGGTGGTTGGCACGATTGGTGCATCTTATCAAAGGACCAGACAATGATACACAACTCAAGGTACTTTTAGTTTTTTCAAGAAAGAGAGTTGTTTGCTGACATGTCAAAAGCTTTTGCAAGCAATCAGGACTGCTTATGCAGAAGGAAATGAACGGGTTAGATACACAACTCCTGCGATAATTACAGTCTCGCTGCGTTTGGCTCGGCAGCTTAAATCTCGAGAACACTACGACGATAACTGGCAATCTCAGTCCTCAACATTACACCGGTTCATGCACTCATGTATCAGCAATCTCTACCAGCGAGTCAATAGTCCTGGATGCGCCGACTTGTCCTTGCGCCTGTTTATAATGTGTGGCGAAGTTGCTGACCAAACCGGTTTTGAGGAAGTTAGCTATGAGTTCTTTGCACAAGCTTTCACTATCTACGAGGATGCTATCAGTGATTCTCGAGCACAGTTCCAAGCTGTCTGCATCATTGCTAGTGCTCTTCACAACTCCAGAGGCTTCTCGAAGGAGAATTATGATACTCTGATTACGAAAGTGGCATTGCATGGAAGCAAACTGCTGAAGAAGCCGGATCAATGCCGAGCTGTCTATCTGGCCAGTCATTTGTGGTGGGTGGTGGAAAATTCTCAGAGGGAAGAAGATCCAAAAACGGTACGTACTTTTGAAACGATTGGAATGAATCAAAGCTTACGAATAGTATAGCTCTACCGCGATGGGAAACGTGTCCTCGAATGTCTGCAACGTGCTCTTCGCGTTGCAGATGCATGTATGGACACTGCTGTTTCCGTGGAACTCTTTGTGGAAATCCTCAACAGATACGTTTACTATTTCGATCAGCAAAATGAGACTGTGACGACGAAGTACTTGAACGGGTTGATTGAGTTGATACACTCGAACCTACAAAGTAATGAAGGAGAAGCGAATCCCAGTCTCGAGAATCCGAAACGTCATTTCCAGCGTACACTTGAGTATATTCGATCGAGGGATTATGAGGGTGTTGTGACGGAGGCGAGGCAGTAGTTAATAGTTATACGTGTAATATCTTTCTTATGTCATGTATCAAATGAATATACAGTAGCTACTCGTTAACGTTTTTTCGAAGTTTTGCGGCTATTTTGCCTAAGCAGATGACTTCGGCAAGGAGTCGGACCGAGACTGTCAGGATCAATGTTGAAGCACCAACACTCACCTATAACAAGAATCTGATTACCTTTTGAGACAGTCTATATTATCCAGGTTATTCTGGTCATTTTAAGAAATTCACCTTCTCATCTAGCTATTCCTTGTATCCTACCCGACCGCCAGAAGGTGCATTTGCAAAATCTCCCCGACATCATTTCCTGGAAAGCATCAAAGGCATTGGAATGAATGAACTTATTCAATGCGCTCATTCGCACACACCACATCACCTCCCGCAAAAAGATAGCCACTCTTCGCAAAGCTGCAGATGCATATAACTGCTACACCCTCCTCCGAACTAATGGTAGTCCCGGTGTGATGTACGTTGAGGCCTCAAGGAAAGAAGATGTTTCTGCTTGGGTAAATACGGTGCAGAGACTACGATATAAGAATTATCAGTTGGTTGCGAGGCCAGCTCATCTAGTAATTGAGAATCAAGGAGAGGGCCATGAGAAGAAAAGCCGAGAGGTTTCTGTTGAACCTGGGTTGAGAGAGATTGAGTCGATGAAGGAGTTTGCGATGATTATGGAGAGACGAGGAGTTCTGGCATGGTGGAGAAAGGGGATGGGATATGCACCGCGGTAATCTCTAGTAGAACCTGTGTTTATGTATCTGCTCGCATATAGCCACCATGCTGGTATCTCAAAATCTGTCATGACTGTTGTTTGTCATTGTTGATCGGTGATTAGCTAATAAAATACCGATATATTACACGATATTGGAGAATACATCACGAAAACCGTTACTATACGTAGTGGATCCTGTACGCTAACCAAATTCATCATCCCTCGCGAACCATCTTCTTTCGTACATCCATTTTGAATACTAATGACAATTCGACAAGCGTATAGAAGCGAGCAAACGCATAAAATTAATTTCATGGTCAATGCGCACGTTAATTCAGCCTAGTTGACTATGCCACCACGGAGATCAACACGCCGCGGCGCTACCCGCAAAAGTTATACAGAAGATGCATTTGAAGCAATCGGATTGGAGGATGACGAAGGACCCGGAGAATCAACTTCACCCAAAGAACCACCGGATAAATCGAGGAAACGTCGGAGAGATGAGTCAGATGACGAGTTCAATGAAGAAGATGCAGCCGCAGCTTCGGCTGAAGAGGAGTATTTGAAGGAGGAGGATGAAGAAGAAGAAGAAGAAGAAGCTGACGACGATCTCAAAGATGAAGCCGCCGGGGATATCAATGGTGGCGGTGGCGCTGACGTTACACCTGCTGCTAAGCTCTCAAAGTTGTCGATTGCTGGTAGTCGTGGTAGTCGCACCCCTACCAGTAACACTGCTAGGCTTAGAAGAGACGATGGGTCAACTCTCTTCAAGCCGAATGATACCCATACTCGTGGCGCGTATAACCCGTCCGAACATGTTGGGAAATCAATGCATATTAAGCTATCGTTTGGTGTGGATAATCGCGATCTTCTTGCAGCAACAGCAGCGAGAACGCAGTGGTCTCTGGGGATCGATGCTACATTTCCTACAAGAGCGTCGTTAGAAAGGGTGCCCAGTGCTGATGAATACGGCCCTGGAGCGACACATGGAATATCGGCTGAAGAACTCGAGCGTGAAGCTACTGAAGCATGGGATTGGTATTATGATGCTGATCATGGATCTAGGTTCAGAAAGAGACAGCGAGTGGAAAGGATTGATAGGCAGCGAGTGGAGCAGAAGTTTCTATATAAACCACGCAAAACCAGCCACAAGATCATATACGGACCAAGCGAAAATTTAGCGACGGCTCATTTGCGTCAATATGAGTCGCTAAATTTTGGAGATGCATGGAAATATCGCGATGAAACGCATAAGACTGGTAATACGGTTGACGCCACGAAGAAGGGCAAGGGGCGACCTAAAAAAGTGTCAGAAGATCTCCACTCTCCACGTGTGATTGAAGCAATTGAAGACGAATCTTCCGGAGCTCAAACAGGTCAAAGACGAAAAAATCGGTATGGATGGATATTGAATCTCTCCGGAAAAGTGCAGGCGTTGGGTTGGGCCCCGAATCAAGATGGATTGACACAATATCTTGCAGTGTCAGTGCCAATCAGCCCTGAACAAGAGATGCAGCATGATCCTCCTGAACCGCCTGTTGCATCTCGCGCTTTCTCTGTTTCTCCACCGTATCCAGGAGCCATACAAATTTGGTCCTTTAATACTGAGGAGCGGAGGGACGGTATCATCAAGACGGTAGACATTAATAGCAGGCCAAAGTTACAGCAAGTTCTGTGTATGGAATTTGGGAACATAAGAAAGATTCGTTGGTGTCCATTTCCTCGAAGACAACGTGACAAGGACATTGATAGTCGCAGACATGACTTGGGGTTGCTAGCCTGTGTTTTTTCAGATGGTCGAACCAGAATTATTGATGTCAAGGTGGACAGAGATGCGGAAACCACAGAGTATCGTAAGTTCCACAAATTTCAGTAAGAATAGACTGTATCATACTGATTCTTATGGATGTTAGTCCAGGTCAACTCCGCCGCATTCACTGCTATACCCTCGCCTACCATCTCAAGTTGTATGGCCTGGCTATCACCTACCGATATAGCAATTGGCTGCGCGAACGGCTGGGTCGCTGTATACAATATCGCAACGTATCAGACTACACCAAGCTCCCGTGGACAGGAAGACGAGCCTGTTCCTTATATGTATATTCCCATTCACTCAACATATATCACCAACATCGAAACGGCATATCCTCAACATCCACATCTCATATCTACGGTATCAATGGACGGAAATACAAGGCTTACCTCTCTACTCGACCCGATCAAGGACGTAGTAGATACACAAAGACAACGTCTAGGAACAATGCAGATATCCTACTACCCTCATTTTCAAGCATTTGTGTCAAGTGACGAGAATGACTTTGTCCGCGGCCTATCCATTCGTCGATTCTATACTTCTACCGCTATCGGAAAGGTCCCGAGCACGATAACGACCATTGCAAGTGGCAGTCGCTGGCACCCATCTGTCATGTTGGGATGTACGGAAGGTTCTATATGGTGCCTTAACCCTCTTCGTAGATTTATGCATGCCAAGGAGTCACATTTTCACGCGAGGTGGTTTCTGCATGAATGGGCCGCTGGGAAGGATGATCAAACCCCTAATACGAGTCGATTTACGGATGACTTGGAAGTGGAAAGTCTGAGTTTAGTACGAAATGCAAAGGAGGGAACGAAGATTGTGAATGGTGTGATGACTATTACGATATATGACGAGGAACAGCATGTTGTTGCTGTTGACTGGAATCCTAATCAGCATTGTGCTGGTTGGGCAGCTGCTGGTATGGGATCGGGATTGGTGCGAGTAGAAGATTTGGCGATGTTTCATTAACTGCATACCATAAAACAAACACCCATGTTAATGTAATAGGAAGATAGGCCGGGATGACTTCGAAACTCCCTTTCAAACTAGTCATACCATGAGTATTTTGCTCTCAGAGCAACAGTGTACCTCCAACGACAACCCATTCTCATGTAGCAGGAGATACACCACCAGTCTCCTTCTCAATCTTATCCTCAGTCGTCACTTCTTTCTCGGCATCATCATGTTCATCCTTGTCATCCGCACATCGATCAACCCACTCTGCAACAGACTTCACCTGCTCAGCAATCTTCAACCACGAGCCAGCACCTCCCCGCCTATCCCGTCGATCCTCATCAGCCGACTCAAGCAACGATATGAATTCTTTCAAACATTGATTGCTGGTACGAATGTGGTCAAGTGCACGTCCCAGCTCGTGTTCGAGGAATTTGCCGCGTCGCAACATGGTTAGAGCTATGTTTGCCGATGCGACCGCGAGGGCTTCGTGGCGACGATTGAAATTTTCGTCATTGATGCTACTCTTTTTGGTAGCTGAGAAAGCAAGTTTGTCTTGGCTGAGGGTTACCTATAGTGCTAAAGATCGTAGCAGGGATGAGTGCTTACTGCCGTTATCGCCCATTTTGGCTGTAACTGATTTCGGGGCACTTAGGTTTGTTGATATATGCGCTGATAGATATTTGGCCACCGATGAAGGAAATAAGCGAGGTTGAGTAGATGCGATTAATCAAGGTGCTTGTGGTGAAGAGAGTATGTCAGTTCAACAAATAGAGGGAAGGAAGAAGTATCTTACCCTTGGTGGAAGTATACAAACAGAAGGAACAATCCGGCGTGATATGGCATCATTGCCCACAACAACATAGAGAAACCTTTCCCAATCATTAATAGGCAAATATATTATATACCGCAGAATACATATTTAAGTAACTATCAGAAACTCAGAGACTGATAAAGTTTTCAATAGTCTTTCTCACAAATGTGGTAGGTGCAAGTGGCTCGACCACTACATTGTCTATGAAATTGATCTGCCCTTCAATTTTAGCAAAGAAAACTGAGTCAAGCTGTCCTAATGGGTTTGTTTTGTTGGGAAAAGTAGTGTCATGGCCAAATGGTATACTGAGTACAAGCTAGACCATGATCGAGTCTCTCTAAAACGATGATTTGCATCTAATTAGATTAACTTTGAAAGACTTGCATGATATGTTTATATCTTAAAATTTTGTATCTCTTTCTCTGTCTGTGTCGCGTATACAAGGTTGCAACCCCATCTGCATAGTGCTCGGTAGGTTATTCTGTTTGGATATGCAGCTAATTTCAGTGTGGATCATTCAACGTTGCCTGATTGGCTGTTATCGTAACCCATGTGGCTGGGGGGATCAATCTGAAGGTTCCTGATAGATCCACCAATAGGACTCTTTATAATAAGCTCCCAGCCACCGACGGCCCCACTTTGATAAGATCCTCTGCCCCGCCATCTTTTTTATTTTTATCGCCGATAAAACTTACAGGTTCAAAGTTGACTTCTTAATGTTCCTTTCTCATTCCAAATTCCAGGAGATATGAATGCAATTCAATGACTAAAGGCTTGACTAGTACTACGTCCTGGTGATTTGATGATATCCATGAGAAACAAACTTCGATTTTAAAGTCCTCTCCTCTAGGAGCACGAAACGACTTCGTTCTACCTGCCACCCGAACACTAGAAGCTCTACGATCATGCACCTCCCCACCACGCTCTTTTTCCTTTCAGCAACCATCACTCTACCATACCGGGCGTTAGCATTACCAATATCGGAAGCAGAACAAGATGCCCACATCGTTGAGCGAAGGAGAGCTACATACTCAGTTGTTAATGTTGATGGCAGTGGGACGACAGCAGTGACTGTTACAGACACGGTTGTGCAAACGATAACAATGACAGATGTTGTATCAACATCTACTACAACTACAGTCGACAAAACGAGAACCGCGATTTCGATAGTACAGCCTGAGCCAACGAGGACGAATACTGTTACTGTGACGGTTACGGAGAGTACATCATCCCCTTTGACTACTTCCCCCCCGCCTACTCCCTCAACAATAACAACAACGACACTAATGCCACTCTCCTCAACGGCTCAGACGAGTCAGTCTTCACTCACGGCCCGCGCAAGTTCGACTTCCTCCAGATCGACCGCGCCTATACCAACCAGTTCACCGTCTCCATCCCAGACGCCTACCACGACAAGTACCTGGCCGTCATTAATCTCGTCATCATGGGCTCCATCCACGGGAATTCCCCCACCAGTTCCCGCGGAGCAAACCAATAGCCCTGTGTCTCCAATTTGGAGGTATAAGAAAGCGGATAACGACAAGAATATTGTCGTGAGACGATCGCTAGGTCATGGCCTTTGATACTTCGATATCGGCTCGGATGAACAAGCTATGATAATAAATCAGGCACTCAAAACTTCACTTCAATGAACATATTTATATCGTACAGATTGCTTGCATCACTCCTACTATGCGATATTGGCAATGTTAGAATCAGTTCATGTATAGGGATCACATACCCAGAATTGAATACGTGTATCTTGCTCAGAACCGTAGAATCATCTGTACATTTTCAGAATGCACCCTCTACTCGTAATTCCAACCGATGAAATTAGGTATCTAGAAGTCTTTACGGAAAATATTGTAGAAAATAGTCGACCAAGACAACTCAGCCCTATGTTGCCTAGGTGTGCTCCCCATACAAGTTCAAGACGAGCTTTGAAGCAAATGTATAAAGCTTACTAAAGGCAGATTAATCTTGAGACATCGCTCTCATTAATGACCTCAAAAGTGTTGACCTACCATTTCGTTGTGATCATTGCTTACCTAGGCATTTAGATTACCACTTGACTTCATCGAAGAAAGTCGAAGTATGCCCGTAGGACCCTAACTATCTCAACGGAGAATTCCTTATTTTTGGCATAGCGCCGATGCATGAGACTCGGTTTAACTCGGTTGAATTCGGACCGGTGCAACCGTGAATGGGATCTCGTTTATTATATCCTTTACATACCTATATACCATTGCACAGGCTCGTCTACTGACGTGATACAGATGAGATGAAATAGCAATCCAGTTAACCTTCTGTTCTTAGGTCAGGTTGCGGCATTTGCCATGTGAGTATTCACGAAGCCTTGTGGTACTTTATGAACAGATATGCGGCTACTTACGACGTCCAAAGGCTTGAGTGATGGACTGTGGCGGTCTACATCTTGTATGACCGGCAAGGGTGAGTTAGAGCAGTACCTTGACTAATCTAAGATGAGGGTCATGAAAGTAGGAGTGTACACATGTCATGTCGTGTCACCGTTTTCCTGCACCCTTTTTAGTTTGAAATTGAAAAGAAGGGTTGGGATGCATGACTTCAGGTCTTGCTAGGTGAAATAAAGAAGTTGGACCAGTCAAGAGAGGTTGAGAAACACCTGATTTTCCAATTATGCCTTAAGCTGGGACTCAATCATTCACATCTTGATATTCAAGCAAGGCTGAGAACCATGGATACACCAATAATTTTCAGTTAGTCAGAAGCTTGGTAGTCTTGCTTAGCTAGGTATGCTTTAGTTGCATATGTCAATTCCGGATTTAAGCTGAAATATCCCTCATATTCACCTATCGCCGCATTTTCAAATATCCAACACCGGAAGAGAGCTATACCTTGGTTCCTTTACTGGAAGGGCCTCGTATCCGAATGCAACATTGGAAGGATCTTAGGAGCTGAGTATTGCTTTCAACTAACGTAGGCCCTAGTCATTTATCTAAACGAGCCAACAAATATGTACTAGGAATCCTACTTGCTATGGGCATCTGCGGATCATTTAAATCTAATCGCTAGCCAAGTGAGGGTGGAAGGATCATTAACGTTGCATCTTTGGACAACTCATTTATCAAACTGACCTATCTTTGCTCATCGGCACTTCCGTGGGTGGATGTATTAGGTAGTGTTTGCAAGTATCAGGTAGCGAAGTTTTCAGGTGATTTGACCAGTACAATAATCAGCGCAACAAGGAGCCAAGGGTCAATGTCTAGTATAGTTCACTTTGGATGAAGATAGCGACCACGAATCCAGCATCCCTGATCGTATGATATCATAAAAATCGTTTCAATACCCTTGAGCTATACTCGCTTTTCAAGGCTTTCTAGTGGCTACTGTAGGGTGAAAGACGACCTTGAAAGCGTACGCACCCTGGCTTGGGGTCACCTGCGGGGGGCCTTACATTGATTAATGCTAACAACTACCTCCAGCGCTGTCCGGGAAAACTGTTATCCAGCCGTATAAGTGACCTCGAGATAAGCCAACCATTCAAAATAGCTGCCTAGGGGAGGTAATCCATCGACTACCTAAGTGAAGACCGAATATCTCCGCATCGTGATTGGCATCTGGACACATGGTGGCGCAATTAACTTGCATACTCCAGCATACCGACTGACACAGACACTATAATTATGGAGATGAAAGTCTGTACGGCCGCGTAGTACATCGCTAAAGATAGCTAATATCGGGATAAAAGCTGAAAAATGGATGGGTAACACAGAGATTTCCCTACGCATACGCAGAAGTAGAGTCGGGGAGGCTCTCTTAGGGCCTCATTTGCCGAAAACGGCAAGTGTTTTGCCATTTGTGCATACCTAGGCACACAGCCACCCTTTCTCCAACTTAGGAAGCATACGGCGTCCGTGGAGATAGACGTCACAAAGAGATAAGTATCTGGAATAATCTATTGACGGATTTTCCTGTAAATTAACACGTTGTACATATTACATTCATGGATGCATAACCTCCTAACATAACATGTACATACGTTTGGGGGCTGTTTTTCTGGAAGTCAGTCCAATGATGACGATGATGATTCGATCTACTCAATACGTTCTAGAATAATCCGCTTCACTTTTTCTAGTCCACATATGCGCCAGTTATGACTGCAATTAGTCATCGTGCAGTGTATAAACACATACGCATGTGCCAACTGGACGGCCTTGCACCCCAGCCCTAAGTACAGCGGGCGATCTGCTAAGAATGCCGGCCATCAAATAAATGACCGGTACGACAAGGCCGTCCGGGGATTGATGCTTTATGGCTGACGCGTCTCTTGACATCAACTGGGGCAGAAATGATGTTGGGATCTCGGATAAGAGCTATGAACATGCTTGCTATTTAATTGATGTTTCAGTATATTTGATCTTAGAGTTCTTCTACCTCCCCATGGCTGTGCCAGATATAGCAGACCATTCGGTTAGCTAGGTAGTACTTCGAAGCACGTGGCCTGGATAGTCATGGAGTAGTCGACTAAGAAATAAAAGAGTTTCTAAGTAGTGATATTGAGCATACACGAACACTTTACCTAGGTACGTGGAGACTAGTACAGAATCATCGCGAATCGGATATCTAGCCTTGTCACCATGTCTTTCATGACTGGAACTCAGTTGCTCCGATCTTCACCCCACCATATATTCTATATCTGCAACTAATGAGGAAGAAGCATTCTTGGTTCACTCCCTCGTTTAGCACACCCTGGTTCGAGGCGTTTTAGGAAGACGTTACGTCGAGTGTTAAAGTCGGTACCTAGCTAGGGTTGTGCAGTCTGTAAGGCCGACCGCCGCCATGCTACATTACAGAGTACTGTAAATACTACATCAAAGGATAGCTTACACAGGACCCCAGAGCTGAAAGTACAAAATGTCATCTGAGAACTGTGATTGGAAGCAATGGAAATAAGTATGATTCAGATGACTAGTTAAGTCTTGCCCTAGAGATTGCGCAATTCGAGAGCCTTATAAACAGGTACATCCGAGCCATGCGGCAATCACCTGAGATATTTTTGTAAATGATTGCACAAGACTGGAATATAATCTACGAGTCCCATATATCGTCTCATACATAGTAGGCAATGGCCCATACTCAAACACCCAAGCTTCGATCAGCATGCGACGCATGCCACGAAGCAAAAGTGAAATGTACAGGAGGGACACCATGTGTACATTGTAAGAATCACCACCAAAGTTGCCATTACAGCTTTGCAGCACGCATTGGAAAACCCAAAGGGAGTCGCAATCGGAAAACCCTAGCTCGCATGCAAGAAGCTGCCATTCATGCGGCGAAGAGTCAAACAAACTGTCCTACGCCTCCATATGCTTTTGAACCAGTCCCGCTCAGTATTTTGTCTAATTCCATTACTTCGACGCCAGAATGGCTTAATTCTAATCACCCGATACCTACCACGCAGGTGAGTCTGCAGTAATACTCTGGAATACTATTAAGGCATAAGTCTGACAGGGTTATAGCATACGCCTTACGTACCCTACACCTGGATATCACCGCAATCAACACCAACACCCCCAGAGAGCGTTGAGATTGACCTGAATGGATTGCAGTTGCATCATGACCTGTTAACCTATCAACAGCCAGCATCTCTAACAGCATCATTTAACCCCAACATGGACAGTTCACAACTTCCAACAACATCGACATGTACTGGGAATTCAAGTTTCCTTTCCCCGTTTCAAGAAACGAACAGCAGCTACCCTCCAATTTGGCAATCACATGTTGGCACATGTGATTGTTTCCACTGGCAGACTTCGAACTTGGTCTCACTCCATGCACTCAAGTCAACACCCGGCATAGTGCAGAGCAGCACATTTAACAATTCCTTGCAATGTATGGCCAGAACAATTTCTGCTTGTCAACGAACCTTATCATGCCAGTCGTGCGTAAAGAATTCGTCCACGATGTTCTTTCTTGCTGCATCCTTGCAGATGGTATCTGATCATCTCGAAGTTCATATATCCAATGAGCAGCTGGTAAATTCAGCGTCACTGCTTTCAACAACAAGCTCATTTTCGTCCTTCTCCTCAGTATCACATCCAAGGATTTCACGAGATCCACAGCCTGAGCAACAGAGAGCTATCTGGATGATGCAGATTCGTCACATGCTTATCAAGACCCATAATACGCTGAGAGACATTCGGGAACTTGTTGTCTTGAATCAACAGAAATCCTCTATAGACTCTGCGATTTCCGGGGTTGGAGAAATGGCACCAGGCTCTTCGAGTGATCCAGATTGTCTTTACCAGGTACTGGACAAACTTGAGGTTGGAATAGGGTCTCTGCTTGGTACTATTGGCCCACGGCAGGCTTAGAATGTGCCATTACAAATAGATTGCATATTATTAATAGTCATGAGATGAGTTCTTTCAAAAAAAGATTGTGGTTGTACCCAGCAAAATAGCCCGAAGCCCTAATAATACCCTAACCCTGAATAGGACCCACCTTTCCTTATCAAACGCTTCCTTGATGTAATCTTCCCTCCAGCAATCCTTCAAAACATCAACAACTTCTCAATAAGCATTCATACATTGAAGCTTCCAGCCATCAATATCTGTCTCAGATCTATTTCTGATAGCATTCTGCTGCCCACAGAGTCCTCACTCTCTCGCAATGGGTGGTTTTCATGGAGTCGTTGGAACCCAAGATACGGGAAAGGTTCATCACATTGTATGCATGTCTACATTCGTTCATATCGAACATATCCCAGAACATGGTTCTAATTTGCTTACAGACAGAAAGACTAGTCGCTTTTGAGTACATCGCACCCAATGCCCAAGAAAAGCCTCACAGTCTAGTCTTCATTGGCGGTCTTGGTGATGGCCTATGCACTGTGCCATACCTCAAAAGTCTTGCTACTGGCCTCGAATCCACAGAATGGGCACTATTTTCACTAATTTTGAACTCGTCATATGACATGTGGGGAACTGGTCGTCTGGGACAGGATGTTGAAGACATCGCTCAGGGCGTCGAGTACATCACTAAGTACAAGAAAGAATCCTTGGGGACAAGTCAGGCAGGACAGTCACCAAAGATTGTTATCATGGGTCACTCCACAGGTAGCCAGGACGTCTTGTATTACCTATGCTCTCCCAACCCAGTACCCACAGATACCGTTTTCGACAAGGGACTCCGCCACATTCAGCGACCTCCGTTAGACGGTGCAATTATGCAAGCTCCTGTCTCCGATCGTGAAGCAGTCTTGGACTTACTTACTGATGAAGAGGGAAAATTTCGTGATGCCGAGGGTGAAGGTCTATATGTGCAGCTCGTCGAAATGGCCAAGACATGCACCTATTCTTCAGGAAATGCATGCGATGTCATCTTACCTCTGTCGATGACTTCGAAGCTTGGATACCCCCCCGCACCACTTACAGCAAGGCGCTTCCTCAGCCTTGTTTCTCCAGATGGACCCGAAAACCCCGGTGAGGACGACCTCTTCAGCTCCGATTTGTCTGATAAACGGCTACAGGAGACATTTGGGATGATTGCGACCAGAGACCTGCTCAAAACAAAGCTTTTGGTTCTGTATTCAGGAAACGATGAATATTGCCCAAAGAAGGTGGATAAACTCAAGCTTCTCGAACGTTGGAGAGCAGCTTCGGATAAGACTTTCAAGAAAATATGGGACGATGAGAATAGCGGGATTATTCATGGTGCCTCACACAACATTGGCGGCGATGGCGAAGGGGAAGCCAGAGAGGACCTCGTCAATCGCGTCAAAGCATACTTGGAAGATGTTAAGGTATCAAAATCCGCATGATCGGAGTATTGGAAATCAAAGGCACTGCTCATACTGTCAGAAGCAATAGAAGGTAAATAATGTACACAAAATAAATCCACTAAGGTCGCAATCACAACAGATGAGAAAGTATGAGGACAAGTATAGTCGCAGAAATCCTTGGAGAAAGCAGAATAGGCTCGTCAGAAACATAGAGGGAGTGTTCGGGAAGAGAGCCTTAACGAGAAGATGATGAAACTATCCATCAAGCCTTAGACTCATTATCAGCAAGACAGCATTATAATAATAGTTATATGAGGAAATAGAGAAACAGTTCCAATTAGACCTTCAACCACAGCATGAAGACGCCCTTGAGATACCCTACAATCTCATCTCCACCAAGCTTACTATCTCCATACAGACGGTCAACGAAGGTGATGGGGCATTCTTCAACCTTGTAGCCGAGAGCCTTCGCGCGGACCATCATCTCCATCTGGAAGGAATACCCTTTGCTCTCTGTGCTTATGATGACCTTCTCCAAAACACTCTTCTTGTACAACCGGAAACTGCCCGTCAAATCGCTCACGCCGGGCATCAACATGACGTCCGCGATGAGATTGGCGCCTCGAGAAGTGAATTTCCGAATCAAATCCCACCCGTAGACACCACCTCGTAAGTCACCACGCTTTGCGTATCTCGTACCTGTCACAATATCCGCATTGGTTTCTTTCTGTATCTCGATCATTTTAGGGATGTATTTCGGGTGGTGACTGAAATCGGCATCCATGATAATCACGAAATTTCCTGTTGCAAATTGTAGACCGTGGACGTAGGCAGTTCCAAGACCGAGCTTGCCTGCTCGTGGCTTGAGGATGATGTGTTCGGTGCCCCAGACCTTTTGGAGTTGTTTTGCGACTTCTTGGGTGCCATCGGGGGAACCGTCGTCGACAATGATGACTTCCCAGTCGAGGTTGCTGATGCAAATAGTCAGCTCATGCTTCACAAGCAGTACAGTAACAGAGTGGTCTCACTTTTCTCGGAATGTCTTCTCAATAAGCCAGCAAATGATAGGTAGGTTCTTTCGTTCGTTATAGGTGGGAAGGATCACAGAGTATTTGTTTGTTTTGGCCATTGTGAATAAAGGGCGCACCACAACACTACTGGCTATTTGCTCTCTCAATGCAATCACTTCAATATAAAAGAGCTCAGCCCGAAACAAAGAAAGAAGCACACTAAACTGAGAAAGAGGAGTATTTGGAGGTGTTGTAATGAAGGCCAACTTGCAACATCTAAACAGGAGTATTGTTACACCGCCCGGCAGAATAGGTTCCACTCTGGAGATTGTTTAGCTTTATCTTCTCGAGCTTTCTGCCTACTCTGTACTATCATAACTGAATATTCTCATTCGCTGCGAGCGCCATCAATATGGCGAGCTCTGAGGGTCAAAAGCATCAACGCAATATTTCCAGATGTAAGATGGCAGCACAAGCATTTTGAATACTTTCTATTACAAGCACGCTAACATGCTCTTCCTAAATAGCCACACGACCGCGTGCATCAACCAAGGGGCCACTGGATCTAACTGACAAGTGCGTCTAACATCTTAACTTCTATTTGATCTTCCAACTGAATATTTTAAGTGAACCTGTATTGTCAGATGGCCCATTATCATCACCTCGGTCCCCCCAAAAATCCCAGCCACTACATCCCCGCTTCTCGCATGACACTGGTTCCCTCTCTCCTTCGAAACCCTTGGATCTTAGCCCATTGAGAGTTGAACTTGACAGTATACTCGCAAACTATGAGCACTCCGCAGTCGTCAAGAAGGATCTTTCATTCCTATTGCGCCCAGACATATACCATCCTCTCTCCCAACTCGAGATCCCTTCTATGTTTCGTTCTTCCTTCTACAATCCTTCGATAGGAGAGCCAATTGGGGCATCCATGGAGGTACTCAAGAAACAGCTTGCACAGGGTCATTTTCTGCTGGCAGCACATTTGAGTGCGAAGCTATTGACGTCTCCACTCATCGAACCTTCGGATGCAAACGTTATATTCACACTATTATATACGCGCTTGGCCTGTCTTGAGTTGACTGGTAATAGCGCATTTGCTGCACAAGAGTCCAAGTCCCTGGAAGATCTCAACTCGACATTCTATTATGTGGATTCTGATTTCAATGTGGAAAGTGATGTTCACGATCGCACCAGGCGGTCTTATCACATCGTTCCATGGCCCTTGCGCGTCCTTGCAGTTCGTCTTCAGAGCATTGCCTTTGGTGACTCGCGGAGAAGTATCACTGGCTTATATGAGCTCGCCTTTGAAGCCCGTATGGAACTTATGCAGCCAGGGCTAGATAAGACACAGAAAGAGATATGGAGGGATAGACTCTACGATCTTGGAATACGAACTGTCAATGCTCTTGTCGAGATGGGAGACCTTGACGCAGCCCGACGATCATTGAGCAATCTGGGGGATTCAGGAAACATTAAAAATAAAGCTAGATCTATCCTTCTAGCTTTGCGCATAGGGGATCTTACCCTTGCCAAGGACATATTGGAAAGATCTACGGAGCTGCAAGAGGGGATCTTGATACCTTTGACAACCATGGCTGAAGGTTCCTATGACGAGGCTGCTGGGCAGTGGAAGGCCTTGCTCGATAATCCGGCGGAATCCGCTAGACCAATGATCGTGCAGAATCTTGCTGTTTGCTTGTTATATACGGGTAAATTGAACGAGGTGCGTTCAACTAATTCATTTCCAGTGTTTTTCGTTAGTAACTGACGTGAAACCCCCGTTGGGTTCTATTCACAGTCTCGCTCACTTCTCGAGTCACTCGTCTCTGAGAATCATGCCTTCCAGAGTCTTACGTTTAATCTTGCGACGATCTATGAGCTATGTTGTGATAACCCGCAGAACCGGAAAATGAACTTGGGACAGATGGTATCTCAACAGACCCACCACGGAGAAATGAATCTCGATCGCACCAATGCGGATTTCAAGTTATGATGCAGATGACTTCAATGGAGTCTAATGATACAGTGAACCACAGCCACGCCTGAACACCGAAAGGAATACATCTTGTTTCCCATGATTAGAATACGAGAACGCCGTGTTGCACAGGAATATGAGATAGCACTAAGTGCCCGGCGGGGAAATGCAGAATGCAAAGGATCGAAGATTGAATCGATCTGATATGCCTAATTGTAATAGGCACCAACGTTTCAAGCTCTTGCCCTGGGCTTCCGAATAATGACCGAGTCGCCCTCGAGGTGCCATCCTAGTTTCTCCTTTTCTGACAGCCTTTGCCAAGTCCAGCCCTCTCCGCCGGTGGAGGTTTGCAGCAACCAGTTTACGTTGACACTCAGATATGTTCGACCGGCAGCCTTGAGCGCCTGTCTTGTCATGTGGTCTGCTGCCCAGCCCATGATTGCGCGTACATAGCCATCTACCTCCTTATGGATGCGCCAAAATGATATCCAATTGTCATGAGTGAGCGCATTGAGAATTCGATCAACTACGTGGGATTGGAAGCCATGCTTCTTTTTGGCTTGGATTAACAATGTATAGGCGGGAGTGAGCGAGTTTTGACGGCAAGCATAGTCCAGAATCAGATAGGATGTGAATTCGGTCAATGCATGCTCCGTGAGCGGATGAGAGCTTGCGTGCAAGTTATCCAACAGGTAACGCAATGAAGAAAAGTACGAAGGTGGGTGACGTGCTAGTATCGAGAATCGGATGGAGAAAATGTATACCTGCTGTTGAAAGGCTACAGGAGTGGAAGATGATGCTGCCAAAATTCCCTCGCGGAGTTTGCGTAGCGACATCAACAATGTGGACAACTCAGCTGCTGGAGACCGTTGAGTTTCGACAGCAGACTTTGGCGGGGGTTGTTGTTTATCTGATAGGCTAAGGCTCTCCGTCATTGCAATGAGACTTTCTGCGGGCCCGTCTCGATGAGCGGATTTACTAGACGGCTTGCCAATCGGAAGGGCTGGAAGGTTTGATGGGGGATTTTTGGTCGCATCTGCAGACGCACTGGCTGGCAGAGATGCCCAGGCTGCCTCGAGATCATGCGAGTGGCTAGAACAAAATCGCATGTAGCGGTCGACGACGGTGTCGTAGTATGCTCTCTGAGCCTTGTGGTCTAATAGTCTGAGGCAGAGAACATTAGCCTGTCGATCAACTATCGAATTTAGTTGTTCGCAGCAGCTACAATGGAAAGTGTAAAACGTACGTCTTGTCGCCTTTGGAGGGGAAGCCAACAGCCTCGAGAGGATCGGAGACCGGCCGCAGTCGACTTCTTCCGGTGTCACCGGTTCTAATGCCAGCACCGCTTTCCAATTTTCTGAAAGGAGCGTTTCGACCTCGAAAGCTCATAGTGCAGTAATTAGGAGTAGCTCACGACATGTCAGATTCTTTGCATTGGATCGAAGCTTTGTTTGTTGATAGTTCCAGGTCAAAGCTGCCATAATGACGAATTAGGTGGGCCGCCCGCCTGTTTGTCTTGTTTGACTCTGTCACGTGCCTGACATGTGACATGATCGATCAGGTGCCGCTGGGTCTAGTCCCGAAGAGGAATGGTATCTTAAGAGGGCATCCCCAACATTTTCTTAGGCTTCATCCATTTATTCGCACGCGTCGACTGTTGTAGGTTAAAAGAGCCTCGAATATTTGGAAGACGGGCCGTTTCTGACAAGCCGGCGGGTCTCCTATCTTCTTTTCTATTCTATTTTAATCTTCTTTTTGTGTATGCTACATATGTATGTGTACCTTCTTTGTTCTTCCCCTTTCATCCTAGTCTCGTTGACTTCTCATTCAGACCAGCATTATGTCTGATCCGCGTTTGCGGTCTTTGACTCGTAAGCGGCAACCAATTGTTGACAGCAAGAGCCCCGCCAATGAAAATATTACTCCAGAGATGGTCGTCAAACAGCCTGCAAAAGCAATTCGAAAATTACTTCATTGGGACGAGCTACCCCCCTGGCTACAAGATAACCACTATATCCACTCCGGCTATCGACCAGCATCTTCCTCGTTCCTTGTATCATTTCACTCTCTGACATACCTTCACAACGAGACTGTGAATATATACTCACATCTCTTACCTGCATTGGTGGCCTTACCAGCTGGAATCCGTCTTTATCAAGTGCTAGCGCCTCGCTACCAATCGGCGACTCAGGCTGACATATCCGCCTTTGCTTGTTTCTTTGTCGGAGCCACCTTTTGTTTGGGAATGTCTGCAATTTACCACACTATATCGAATCATTCGCCATCCGTGGCTCGCATTGGCAACGCACTGGATTACGTGGGTATTGTCGGTCTTATCACCGGCAGTTTCATCCCCAGCGTCTACTATGGCTTCTATTGTGCTCTCAGCCTCCAGTGCATTTACTGGACTATGATCAGCACAATAGGCGTGGGGTGCATTTTTGTGTGTCTACTGCCTAGATTCCGGACCCCAGAATGGCGCCCTTTTCGAGCCATGATGTTCGTCTCGATGGGCTTGTCTGCTATTTTCCCAGTGATTCACGGCTTATGGTTGTACGGCCCGAAGCAGATGATAGATCAGATTGGCCTCTATTGGTTGCTTCTTCAAGGATTTTTGTATATCCTCGGTGCCACCATTTACGCAGCTCGCGTGCCAGAGCGATTGCTGCCCGGCCGATTTAATATTTTCGGAAGCTCCCACCAGATATTCCATGTTTTGGTGGTGTGTGCTGCTGTTTCGCATTTGACAGGTCTTCTACGGGCGTTTGACTACCGTCACAGCGGCTTGGCTGAGTTATGTTTCTAGTTACGTACGTATGGACATATGTATGAACTTACTTCTTCTGGAATCATGACTAAAATATCCATTCCGTTCCGACAGCTCTCATGCCGGTGGTATTGGTTACTCGAGCCATGTCCCGGGTGGCTAGGTTTTCATACAGTACTGTGTCAGCCTTGAGCTGTCCCTTCTTTTTTTAGATTGCGTGGGCATAGCCCTTCTAAGCCTTAGTCTAATGAGCGTTCCATTCCTCCTTTGTTGATGTGAACACTTAGGTTAGGAGCCCTAACGTGGCAAAAGCTCACTAACTAGATCACCTGTTAGCTTCGTACGTAACCTCACCTACAGTGTTTCCTACCAATCGGGGACATGCTTGAATATTTGTGTCGTACATGGGAAGAGTAAGCAAAGGACGAAAACGAACGCAAGCGAGTCATGAGATTTGAGATTTCGGGGTCCTCGACACGTTGTACCCGGTATTTTCTTACCACAGCCTCGGGGGCGGGGTCCCTCCTAGCAAAAGGGAGCAACGTGACTGGGACAAAGAATACTGCAGAAGAGAACGAAAAAGAAATGACCGGTGCTTCCCGTCCCCCAAATCTGCTAGCTTGACCGGAATCTCTTATTTCTAGGCTCTTCTGGAAATTGGTGACCCGGCCGAGGGTTCTCTGGCCTACATACATACACGGTACGCTGATAGATTGGTAGAGACTGCTACACTTCATTCTATGCATACGCCACGTCCTTATCATCTGCTGGATCAATGAACTTGATAGCCTTCTATCATTGCAGGAAGACGTCAATTGTGAGTTTAAGAAGGAATGAGGCTTATGGTGAGTGGATAGCATAAACTTTCCATTCGCCTTCTATCATCGGCCTAGTGAATCGAGTCGCTAACCCTAATTCTCCTTTCGCTTTGTCCCCACCAGAAGATCAACAACCACTAATGCATATCAAATTACTGGCTTTGAACGTTTTCAAAGGCCAAGCTTCCAGAATAAAGAAGAACACAATTTGGACTCTTGGTATTCCCACCCTAAACACTTTTGGGCTAGATTGGGTTGTTTGTGTCTTATGGCATACATGCGGACACCCCCGATTCTCATCAGATAGATCCATTCATCGATGAACTGGGTTTAGTTCACCAGTCGCTGGGTATGTAAATAAAGCTTCGAATTAGTCTTTTTACCCCTGATATTGAGTGGAAAGCTTACTCGCAATTAGAAGCTGACTCAAAGAAGGCAAAAGAGAAACGTCGGCAATTCCGAATTTGGGACGGTTCGAATCATAGAACTACGCACAGCTCTACTCGACTAGGCATTGGGGTCTTTCGTGAATTTATTTATTTACTTGCTGGTGCTCTGTCTAGATTCTACACATATCTACATTTCTCTTCATCCGGTTATTCAATTCGAGAGAGGGCGCCTGGCAGACCGATCTGTCTTTTCATCAGGCTAGCTACGCATTAGTGAGCCAGGTACAGCAACAGGCAAACAGTGATGCATTCATTAGACGAGACAGGCAAACCACGGTATCGCGCTGCCTGCGACGCGTGCCGTCAGTCCAAAGTACGCTGCTCAGGTGGAGGTGTATGCGTACGTTGCAAGAAACATGACTACAAATGCCGATATAGCATTGCTCATCGGGCAGGTAAACCAAAGGGCAGCAAGAATAAAGCCACTCTCAAGAAATTGGAGAATCTTCAGGCTGTCCAGCAGGGAAAGATTGCATTGAGCAGTGGGATGGGCATAGTTTCTACGGGGAAGATATCGAGGCCATTGGCGAACCCTGAGTTCTCTCAGCAAAGGAGAAAGAATGCTGTAAGAACTTCTGCATTCTTATACCTACATACACATGCTTGATTGAAGTTTATGCTAATAATCATACCAGTCAACACACGATATCAGAGCGCGATATGACCTCGGGCATCCTTCACTGGTGCATATGAGACATTCTTCTCATCCAATGTCTCGCAAATATGCCTTTGCTGGTCCTGCACTCCCTATGTATCCGTCACCTACATCTCCAGGGACAGAGCCAAATCTGTGGCAAGGCGTTACCCCGTCGACACAGATGGGATTCTACGATCCTCTCGAGCCTATCTACGGACACATTCCTTCACCGGCGATAGCGCCATACCTTCCTTCACCGAGTGAAGAATCAGCTACTGCGTTTAGTATACCGTCAGACCCATCCACAATAGCCAATGTATGCAGCTGCGCAAATAGACTGGACTCGAGTCAAAGACAACTATCTAGTCTTGATTCGGACATTACAATGTGGCGTTTTGACCCTACTATGGGGATGGTCTCGAACTCTCTATCATCATGCCACATCTTTTTAAGCTGTGCGGCGTGTCCCAAAAGTACATATAGTGGTGGGGAATTGTGGATTCTCATTTCTTTACTTGATCGCACTTTTGACGTCCTCAATCATCTCGTTTTTCATCGAAACGACAGGAATAACCACGGGCTTTGGCCTGAGCAACAACAACAGTATGGGCAGATTATTCCGTTTACTTACGCTGTTGCACTACAGGATTGCATACTTGAGCAGAGTGTTGCGACATCCTACCAGATAGTTCGAGCGCTGAGGGAAACCATTGACGCCGAGATTGGTATTACAGGTGGTGTACTTGGAGATATCAACTTAAACAACAACGGACTATCGTCGTCGTCATCCTCATCGTCAACAGGCTTCCCCTCACCAGCATCGATGGAGGCCCCAGTACAGGAATTAATACTCAGAAGCGATCACCCCCAACAGACATGCAAGACCGACAAGACCAAATCATGCAATGCTTCATCTTCAAGCGACATCAACTTCATTTTACAAGCTATCCAGCGTTACGAGGCCGTTATTGGCAGCATGCAAGCAGTAATCACACGCAACTCTGCTGCCGCCGCCGCTACCACTCAAGCAAGTTCAGCTTCTTGGTCCATTGGTATCTCCGATATAGTGACGAGTCCCTGCGGCCCGTATCAGCTGGGAACAATGGAGGGCTTTCCCCAGCAGCCTCACCCGGGCCATGCAAGGTTTGCCTCCTATGATATGATTGGGCTTTCTTGATATGGGATTTTGCCTTTAATCCGAGGCTTCATTATTCTTATCCCATACACACCACACGTAATTACTTGTTAGGGGGTTGAGGAGATTATCAGAGTAGATAGTTTCGGGTTCATGTCATTGGTGTACCATCAGCCTCGCGTTTTGACCTCTTAATATTACCTACTACTAGTTTACCCAGCACATTACCCTAATATAATATTAATTCAATTTATTATAAGGGTTAGAAGATTTCCAAACTGACGAATTATATAGGCATTTGAGGTTTGGTACAGCCATGGTTGCATTAACTGAATTCTCATATCCATGCAGTGCCCACCCCGTAGCCCTGAATTGACATCTATATACTTTGGGCTACCAGAGGCAAAGAGTCAAATCCACTATTGAATTCGAGGCTCAGGCCCAGGCTGAACCAAAACTACCGTCAATGATTGAATGATATTCAATATCAATCACAACTGCATAGTCACACGCTTTTCCGGGCTTTCTACATCAAAGATTGTACCCAATTGCATTCGTAGTTGGAGCTTTCTAGTTGGAGTCCGAATCATAATCTCTGGATAGACCTTATGCAATATATTATGCGCTGTCATATGGGCGGTTTATGATTTGCATATTTGTCTTGATTCCAGCCGATGGGAATATGCAAGGTTACTCGCCCATTGGTTACCCAAGGATTTCCAAGGTTGATTCCTCAATGATCAAACAAAGTCACTGTTTCCGATGGGTTTGTCATACGTTGATTGAATTTACCGGACCGGGGAACTTAAAAAAGTAGAAATACCCGATTATTCCGTACGACCTCTTCAACTCGCTTTCGGGTCATGTGCTTCACCGGTTACACGCCGGCTGAATTCTGTTCTATGTTTGCCTGAGGTGGATTGGTTAGAAAAAGACAAAATATAGGAATACTGAGCGGCAACTTGTTCCGCATTATCCAGGCTCAAGAGATAGTGATATATTCGTAGATATTATGGCTGACTGGCAACATTTCTCTATCGTTCCATGAGAACCTAGACTCCGCCTGCCTGCGACCATATGCCACTAAGATCACTCCACTGATCAATATCAAAAGCCATGTGAAACATATCTTGCATGGACTCTAAACTCATATCCCCAAATTCCAGAGAGTTGTCCGGTGACTGAAATATGAGGGAGTTGTTATCCATGTATGGCTCTGGCTGCGATGTCACAATATCAGAGGGTATAGCAGATACTTGGCTGGTATCCTCTTTGTGATTCTCCAACACAGATTGCCTTCGCCAAGCATGCTTGGCCAGAAAATCGATCTTTGTGATCAAATTCCGCACAATGGTAGCTGCACTGTTGGCCACTGCAAAGCTGTTTCCAAAGATGTCAAAAACCGAGACCGACAAATTGATCGCATCTCTGGCTGCGACGGTCATTGAGATGCGTGGGTAAGCGAGTACAAAGCCAACAAGAGTCATGGCAACATTCCATTGCCATTGAAATACCTCATGCCAACCTGACAGAATAGTTGTCGACGACAGAATCTGGTAGGTGATCTTTGTTAGAGCTATGGCATGGCTGGCACATTTGAAAGCCATTTCTTCCACGACAGTCAGCGGAGGAGTGAGTGCAAACGAGATGAATGGGCGACAGAGATTGGCACTCAGATTGTGGTACATGAGTTCAAGAATAACGCGTTGCCTCTGGAGCCAAAGCGGCGCAAATTGCTCAATTTCGAGATCTACATCAACGGTTGCAAATGGCCGACTGCCACTTTTACGTTTCGTCGCGAGTGTGCTTGGTACGCCATTCGTCCAATTCTCGAGTTTCTTGACAAACGGGTAGATGAATTCAGCCTGGCTTTCCAGAGTATTGAAGTCGTCCCATACGGTCTGGCCATTCTGCAGGTTCAAATCTCTGCTATAAAATGCTGTGTGCGCCTCCCGAGCCACTAGGAACAGGGTGGTGTGGTGTAGATTGAAACTAAGCCAGGTGGCATTATCTCCAAGAGGGGCGAAACTAGAACCTGACAACATCGCAGCTTCAACGTCGTCCCCTGGTAACTTGGGTGTTGTATTTGTCTGGTGGAGGAGGAATGGGCGGCCCAGCTTCAAACCAAGCTTACTGTCCGCACAGAGCAAGGCCCACCATAAGCGCTTTCGTATTTCTCGCTCCTTGCGCGGCATAGTTTGTGGAGGGTCTAGATGAAGACCAAGCATGTGAACTGTACGCACAGCAACAGCACATGTGCTATCAGACATGTTTTGAAACGAGCCGGAGCATAGGTATATAATCGATAATATGTGGCATTGCAAGGTCGCTAAAGTGGGACTTTCTAGTTCGTAGGCGAGCAAAGACTGGCATCGTCGGTAATACCATCGACCAGCAATAGTGGCGTCACTATTATCTGCAAATTGATACTTCATATTAGGGGTCATTGATATGCCGTACTGCATGCCGAGGGCAATCACAATGTCAACGAGAGCCGAATCCTTTCGCGCGTTCCCTGAGGTCGTCCATAACGACCGATAGTGCTGCTTGAACTCGATCTCATCAATGATGGGGAATAGAGAAGTATGGTAAGAGTTCCAGTACAAGTCCAGAAAGTACTCCTCTTGGGTCGGGGTGAGATAATGGCCATGTTCAGTTTCGTTTCTTGTTTGAGAATCATGGCGATAAAGTTCCAATTTCTCGTCATTGCTGGCCAGTGGCCCATCAAGCCTCCTACTAACCGATTCAGGCACCATTTGATCTTTCGACTGGGTTTGTTCGAGGGTAAGATTCAGGAAATTCGTCATGCGTCCCATGAAATAAAAGAGCGACGATGGACCATACCATGTTTCGTGGGGGGAGCGGGCAGTCCTGAAATAGATGCCTCCCCAGTTGGTTCCTTGAGAAACATTGTCGCTTTCAGAGTGACTACTCTCGGAAAAAGAAAGCTCTGGTGTGGGTAGATTTGCCGGCGGGGAGGGAATATGCTTATCTTCCCGCTGGCGCAATTGCCATAGCTCACGCTGTAGGTCTTTGACCTGGCGTCTTAGGGATTCAATCTCTCTCTGTGCATGAGGCAGAGATGCGATCTTCTTATTATTATTCGTGCATTGGCTGCCCCTTGCCTTGCAATTGGAGCATGGAGAGAAGTTGTCACATTTTATCCGGCGAATGCGACAGTCATCGCAAGCTCTGGTGACCTGGATTCTTTTCTGACGGGCACGCAGCGGTGAATGTATTCGCAAAGGATTCTCCGAAAGAGACTGCATTTATGGTATGTCGTTCAAAGTATTATACCGTGTTGTAGAGTAAAGACGTTTGAAATCTGAAATTCTAAAGATCCCAGCAAATGAAAGGTGGGGCTGCTGATGTCAGCCAGCTCCTTGTGGCGCCTGAAACTTCAGGCTACCAGAAGCTTATTTCTTACCTCCTTATCAGACTGGCTCATTCTCGTCCGGAGACATACTCATCACCATCGCCACGACTGGTCAAGGATCATGCTGGAAAGTCAGCACAGCTACATGATGACCAAGCAAGATTGCTTGATTTCGTTCGGCTTCAGTCTTCGGGAGGTCAAAGTCCGAAAATTTTATCAGCGGAGTTGCTCCTATGGGATCGGGAGTCCTCCAGGGACCCACATTGTACGGATGGGAATAGTGGACACTAACGTGTGCCAGGAGGGCACTAGAAATGTGTATCATAATAAATTTCCACTGATTACAGTCTGGAGCTCTCTTATTTGCTCATCTAGCTGCCGTTTGATTTACAGTGTATCAAAACATCTCAAATACGTCCTAAATTACACGCTAATCTGTATTTCCAGTACTTTCGACTCCCAGTTCTAGAAACAAACGCGATGACATCTCTCTGACCCTCACCATGACATCTCCGATGCGAAACAACGTCTCCATCATGGCCTCGCTCAAGGAAAAATATAAAAGTGGCCTCGGGTTCCTGTGTGATTTACGTCGTGCCACACAGCAGCAACATTACAAAAGCATCCAAATTACCTAATTTCAATAGCAACTGTCGAACACAGAAGCATCGCACTCCCGAAAGTTCAGAAATCATCATGCCTTCTTTCACCGTCTATAAAGGTAACAAGGAGGGATTCCCCAAGAAGAGCAATACCGTGACACCCGATGCGCTTGTGGGCGACCAAGTCTACCTCAAAGTGACCGCATCCGGTGTTTGTGGAACGGATCTTCACTACGTAAGTAATCAATCCGTGCTGCCGAATTCCAATGGTCCTAACACAATCTAGAGACATGTCGACATGGTCCTCGGACACGAAGGTGTTGGTGTCGTAGAGGAAGTCGGGCCGCAAGTCAAATACCTCAAAAAAGGCGACCGCGTAGGGTGGGGATACGAGACCGACAGCTGTGGACACTGCCAAGAGTGTCTTCAGGGAACTGAAATATTCTGTCCCGAGCGTGCTCTTTACGGCATGACCAACTTTGATCAGGGCAGCTTTGCACACAACGCCGTCATGCGCGAGGCTTTCGTGTTCAAAATCCCGGATAATATCAGCGACGAGAATGCAGCACCTCTGCAATGCGGTGGTGCCACCGTCTACACTGCCTTGTCGGATCTTAAGCCCAACGAGACAGTGGGAGTTTTAGGCGTTGGCGGCCTCGGACATCTTGCTATTCAATTTGCAGCAAAGATGGGTGCTCGTGTTGTCGTTCTCTCAGGATCCGACAGGAAGAAGGAAGAAGCTATCAAGCTCGGCGCCCACTACTTCTTCGCCTTTAAGGGACAGCATCAAATCGACCTCAAGAGCGCACCTAAGATTACAAGACTGCTCGTGACATCAGCAGTGCAGCCCAATTGGAACACCCTCATGCCCATCATGGCAAACAATTCCCGAATCTACCCTCTGACCTATTCCACGGATAATCTACCCATTCCAGCAGCTGCTTTGAATCTTTATGGTATCTCTGTTGTCGGCTGTCTGGTTGCGAACAGGGCTGTGCAGCGAGCAATGCTCGAATTTGCCTCTTTCCACAATATCACCCCGGTGATCGAGAAGTTCCCTATGACTGAAGACGGCATCAAGGATGCTCTTGTGAAGTTGGAGAATGGCGATGTGCACTTTAGGAGCGTCTTGATTCCTCACTAATGTTGATATACTTTACTGGCATGTATATAAGTCTTGATTCGTCTTGCGTTTAGACCTGATGCTTATAATGATGGCTGATTGAATATATGTACATACATGACTATCTATGAAGCAATGATCAGACATGTACGGTCTCAAACCCAACCCTAGGACTAACAACCCACCAATCTCTCCTCGCTTCTCTTCCCTCCTATCCCCTTCTATTCTCTTCTATTCTCTTCTATTCGCGGAGCTTCATGCAAGAGGCTATCTCAAAGCCTCTTGGCATACCAACTTCCGGATAATCAGCGGGCCATCTTTGGCACCCGAGGTTCTTCTAACTACCATGCCAATGAACTTGTGGCGCAAACGAGGCTTTTATACCGACGGCTATTAGGGCTTGCACTCGCCACTCGAGGTAAACCCCTAGATACCCCATGGAGTTAGCTGAAGTCGCCGAAGACCAAACCATAGTTCGGGTATTCCCTCAGCCTATGAATAAGGTTAAAAAAAGGACATGTCCACCATCACCGCTGCCGTGAGCCAATTGGTGCATGAACCAAAATCCGGGTATAAAGATAACGGCCGTTAGACTGGCCGGTACCGTACCATGGTTGACTCACCATCTACCCGAGTCGGGGGTTCAGGTACAGAAGTCACTATCCCAAGGGGAATTATCGGTTGAATTCTGGGTGATCTGAGGGAATTGCAGAGAGAACATGCCGGGCATCAAAGGTATAAGTATGGATGGAATTCGCACCCTTTGTCCATCCTCGTTCTCATCTATCATCAGTCAATCAGACAAACAATCAATATATCATACACTCTTTTGATCTAACAGTCTCTTTTCAATACAGAAGGAGACATAACAAACCAACACCACTCTTTACTACATTCATTCCAAAGAAACAAAAAAAGACATCCAAGTCTTTCATATCACCAACATTACATTCTTTTCGACTTTCTTTCATCAAACAAATCAGGCCAACATGTATTTCACCAAGGCTCTCAGTCTCCTTGCTACCATTGGCACTCTTGCCTCTGCTGCTCCTACTGGTTCTATGAACGTCACCCACCTCGACAACCTTCCCACTACCCACGGCTCTGCCAACACCAACGGCGCCAATGGAGGTAGTGTCGACATCCACAACAACATGAAAGATACCATCTACTACTGGTCCGTCAGCCAAGATGCCGGCTCCATGAAGTCCCTTGAGCCTGGCGCCAGCTACACTGAGAGCTGGCGCACCAACCCCGACGGCGGTGGTATCTCCATCAAGATGGCCATGAAGCCTGAGCAAGTTGATGTCCTCCAGTACGAATACACTCTACAGGGAGATACTATCTTCTGGGATCTTTCTCTCATCGACATGGGCACTGGCTCTAAGTTCACCGAGGTCGGCTTCGCTGTTACTTCTAACGATTCGGGCTGCCCTTCTGCTACTTGTGCTCCTGGTGACACTGCCTGTGCTGATGCTTATCTTGTCTGGAACGATGACCATGCTACTCATGGCTGCCCTGCTGGTACTCAGATGACTTTGAACATCGGTCCTGCTGCTTAAGCTCAGCAATCTAAATCAACAAAATACAAAACAAAACAATTTGATAAACCCCATGACAGAATGATCATGACTTTGTGTGATACCCCCAATGTATATAGACATTCATATTTATGAATAATTGAAAATAAAAATCATCGAAAACAAATATCTTCTGCAAACTACTATGTCCTTTAAGATAAATCGTAGACAAACTACCTCGGCTAGGGCTTCCGGCAAGCGGCATCTCGGGTCTTCTATCAACTTAGTCTTCCCCGCAAAACCATCTACTTAAATTATACCCTTGTTCCATTTACTTCTTACTTCCTGTTAGACCATTACATACCAAGATCTTTAAAGATGGCGCCGCAAGACCGTCTAAACCAAGTCTCCTCCCACCTCACCTTTCCCCAGGGACTTTTCCACAACCAAACAGTCATCGTCACCGGAGCAGGTCAGGGCATTGGCGCCGAAGCAGCGCGCTTATTTGCTAATGAAGGTGCCAAGGTAGTCGTTGCTGATATTGATCAGGGTAACCTCTAATAACCTCCCTCACCCAAGTTCTATGTCAATCAAACAGTCTTTCGAGGACTAACAAAAGAAACAGTCAAAGCAGACGCAGTCGTCAAAGCAATCAATGACATCTCGCCCAACCGCGCAATCGCCGTTGTAGGCGATGTCATGGATGCGACTTATATCGATACACTGGTGAAGAAATCCGCTGAATTCGGCGGTGGAAAGATTCATGTCATTGTCAATAATGCCGGATTTACATGGGATGGGGTTATTCACAAGGTTTATCCCTCTGCTTAAAGGTAAATTGATGTCTCTAGAATACTGACGTGAGGATAGATCACCGATAAACAATGGGATACCATGCTTTCGGTTCACAACACAGCACCATTCAGACTCATTCGAGCTGCTGCACCTTATTTCCGAGTAAAGGACAAGGAACCTCGGGTTATTATCAACATTAGTTCTACCAGCGGAACTCACGGCAATGCGTAAGCCCTCTTATCCCCCAACCTCATCTACCTCAGCTGGTTTATTCTAATATCCACAAAGAGGACAAGCAAACTACTCCCTCGCCAAAGCAGGTCTCGTCGGCCTCACAAAAACAATAGCTAAAGAATGGGGACCCCAATTCGGTGTTCGCGCCAACACAGTCGCATTCGGGTACATCACCACACGACTCACAGCCGCAAAGGAAGATGGCGCAACGTTCGTAGCCGCGGACGGTACAAAGGTTGCTTTGGGGATACCCGGGCGGAAACCGTCATCATCTGCCCAAGGCTCAGCAGTGACTGCTCATAATGATATTCCGCTTAGGAGACCGGGAAGCCCCGAGGAGGCGGCTAGGGCGATTGTGGGTGTGGCAAGTCCATGGTTTTCGTATGTTAATGGGGAGACTATTGAGGTTACTGGAGGGAGGAATATTTGATCTATACAACTACTTACCTTAAGGCACCATCGTGCTAGGAGTTGTACAAGCTTGAAAGCTTATAGTGTATTGCCGGTTATATGAACTATGTACTATCTTGGTCATTGTCACTTCTATGCTTCGAAGAGTCTTAAAGGCTATCGTTCGGTGTTGTATCATGTTGCGCGCTAGATAAGGCTGTATACTATCAGATTAATTTTGGAAATTTCGAGGCCATTAAACCGGGAGTAATGGGGCGAAAAGGAGTCATTGAAGATTGCCACTTCTGTGATATATCAGATCGTGAGTCATAACTAGGGACGTAGTCAAAAGATATTAGATCTAGTGTTGAGATATCTTATTGATAAGCTACTAAATCATTGATAAAGTATATATACATCGAACAATGTCATATTGTATGTTTGTTCAGGATCACTGTAGCGTGCCACATTCGCCTGTTTGTCTTGTGGCAAATGACGACAGACTCAATAATCATCTGACCTGCGCTCTGAAACATCTGACAAACAGAGCCGGCATGATATAAAAAGAAATCGTACATGAATAAAAAATCCCAGTCGTCCAAAAAAGACGAGGTGCTTGTCCAACTCCGTAACCAAAAACAATGTAATAGGGGTATTTTTTTCTTTTGCTCAATTTCCCACAACCGCACCAAACATGAATAAGCATGTCAAAAAACAAACGCCATCCATCTTCGTAATGTAGTCTTTCGCAAACAGCACAACCAACCCAGAATATTTATACATAACAGAGAAAGGAATCCCACAAGAAATTAAAAACGTATTTGCAGTCCAGACCGTGTCTGTAAATTATGGTGACCCGAGTAGTCGAAAGGTGTATGTCCAATGGGGGAAAGAAAAAGAAATGCCAGGATCAAAAGTCGAAGTCCAGTGTGTTCCTCGGGTGGGGTATATTAACCAAATGGGTCGAATGAAGGTCACATTTGAAGTGAAAATGGGGTTAGTCGTAATGTCATAGCACGTAGATCAAAGTAATAGATCGATCAATAAACCGCAATATAAGGTTCAATATGTTGTGGTAGAGCAAATGGCTTGACCGGGGCAGGTATTCGAACACCGGCATCCCAGAACTCAGGCAGTTGCTTTACCGGAGCGGGTATTTGGGCATTAGTGTCCCAGAATTCAGGCGCAGCCTGTGGTTCGACAGAAAAGCTCTCGATCTCACCCTCAGATGCATAATCGGAGTCTGACGAGACGGAAGAGATGGTCTCGTCGTCGGTGAGGGACGTATCGGAAACCGCCGAGTCAGAGTATTGTGCGTTGAGCAACTCCACCCGTGGGATGGGTGGGTAGCCAGCATAGTAAGGATAAACAGGCAACACTTCTTCGGGATGTCCAGACTTTCTAGTGGTAGTAGTAGTAGTAGTAGGAACGGTTGTGGGAGCAGGCATGGTAAACCTAGGACATTCAAGAATGAGTTGGCGCAACTCCGCAATGGTTATCCTCTTGAATGGGTCGGATTCAAAGATCCTTTGTAGAATCAGATTCAACTCCGGTGATACAGGTAGAATGGATCGTAGAAACTCCGGATCCTTCAAAAAGGCTCGGAAGGTTGCGTCCTCATTTGATGCACGTTTCCATGGATTGCGGCCACAGGTCAGATTTACCAGGATGACGCCTAAGCTCCACACATCGTTGACGGGCGAGGCATAGCAAGAGCCAGGTCGTGGGGAAGTCTGTTGGCACTCTTATTGATTGAGGGGGGTAAAGGTTAGCCCAGAATCTCGGATGACACGAGAACATTTCACAACCTACCTGGCGACATGTAAAAGGTGGAGCCGCAGCCAAAATCCGAGGTAAGATAATCCGTAGTGGCCAGGCCGAAATCAGCAAGCTTGACAGTCATTCCACCATCCGTGACTAGGATGTTCTCCGGCTTCAGGTCGCGGTGATAGATTCCAAGGGAATGGCAATAGTCGACAGCATCCAGGATTTGCAGGAAAGCACGCTTGGCCAAGGGATCGTTGCCGACAAAGAGACCACGCTCCGTGATGTTGGTGAACAAGTCACCTTCAGGGCAGAACTCGATCACCACAAAGGTACAATCCATGGAATCCATAATGCGCACCAGGGAGACCACATTAGGGTGTTGGCTGGCCAGATGGTGGAGCTTGATTTCGCGCTGCTGGAATTTCCGCTGCCTTGGGTCGAGTCCAACCTTGTTGAGAGCCTTCACCGCATAGGGAATATGAGTGTGAATGTCGATGGCAGTGTAGACGACGCCGTATGCGCCGACACCAAGGATGCTAGTCAATTCCAGACGATTGGCCAACAGCAGTCCGAGACGTTCCTCCGGGGCACAACAGCGAAGCAATGGTGGAGATGGCGGCGGTGTGGGCAGCATAGTAGGATACATTACGCCGGAGGGTCGTGCACCTGGGGAATGTATGGAATTGTCGAAGATCCAATGGAAAGCAATTATCCGGGCAGAAAAAAAGTCCTGGGATCCAGAGAGGCTAAGTATGTATATATATCCTGGGACTGCTGAGGAATCCTTGGAGAGCGGACGAAGATATGGAAGACTGAGAGAAGACTGAATGGCCGCAGTAGATCCAAGGAGAGAGAAGGTCAAAGTGAAAAGAAGGAATCCAGGTTTGGGAGAAGGATCTTTGTAAAGACGATATTGCTATCGTCTTTACTTGGACCCGACTAAAAACCTCCAGGCCAAAAGTCCCGCAACAGTCGGAGGTGATAATATGTACCAGACGGCAACAGACGGATCCTAGATGTACTGTGTATATATATAGATACAAGAGTATTTATATATATAACATGCACCGGAGGTTTTGAAGGTATATATAGAACAAGGAGCCAGTCGGGGGATCCTCGGGAGTAAAACACCAGCGGCAGAGGCGAAGATACGGCGGGTAAGGACCGATAAAGTATTAAGAAAGGAAAGGCGAAGAAGAGAAGAAAGGTGATTTGAGGAAGAGCGGAAGAGAGAAGATGATGAAGAAGAGGCGTGGGAGGAGAGGAGGAGAGGGAGAGGGAGGAGGATGAGGTGAGGACGAGACGGGGGAGCAGGAAATGTAAATAAAAACGGACGATGGAAGGGGAGGAAATGGTGATGTCGACACGGGCAAGAGCAACCCCAGCCAGACAACCACAGAAGGCGGCAAAAAGCATGAGCTGGCGAATCAGCAGCGGGTAAACGGGGCAGTATACCAGGCTAGTCCTGTTGCGTCGTCAACCACCATTATTCATGGCTTCGACTAGCAACAGCTCTAGTTTGTGGTACGAAGGGCGACGCATGTCCGTATCCTTCAGTGTACCCACTGCCTGTGGGCTCTGGCAGGGCATTCGGTGGGCTCGACGAGGGGCGATTCCCTGCCCCGTTTCTGTTTTTAATCCACTGGAGTCTGTGCAGTCGTCGACCAGTCCAGGGTCTAGTCCTTGAGTTCTGGCAGTGCCACGAGTGATGATGATCATCGAGAGAAAAGGGGTGGCCCGAAGCTGGACGGAAGACGGAGTACAGAATACGGACTGGGCTGCACTATTGTGTCGTTGTGGTGCGTGCACTGGCATTCTCTTACAATCTACGGAGACTCCATACGCCGATGTACGCTTTACAAAGATGATAGTACCACAGGCGTGCATTGATTATGCTATACGGAGTACCATGCCATGCCATGCCATGCTCGATTATTGACGATGCTTGTCTCACCCAACGCGATCAGATCAGGACGGGATCAGGACGGGATCAGGATGGGATCAGGATGGGATCAGGATCAGGACGGGATCAACATGGCTGGTGCAGTCCAGACCAGAACGCTACATACACTGGAAGGCTGGCACGGCTGGGGTCAAGCAAAAACTCTGAGAGTCAGGAGATGCACTAATCTGTTTCGAGACGGACAGACGTCGCGATTACGGCAACCGACGGCAAGACGAGTGGAGGCAAATTTATTTTTCGTCACGCTAGGAAGTTTAGCCAGGCAGCAGGCTGATACGTACTAGTTGTGGCGGCGAGGTGCAACTGCAAACGGGGTTGAAGGGTGAACAGAACGGGGGAGGGTGAGAGAGGGCAAAAATAAGAAAAACCAATCTGGTCACACGATGACACTGACACCGGAACTGAGCATCAATGGAGAGCCTAGCGTGGCAACTAGCCGAGTGCGTGGAAATGTGGCAGAGAAGGCGTTCGATAGAAGATGCCTCGTGGAGAAGGTTGATTGGCCCCGTCTGCCCCATATATAAATTATGTCCGGCCAATCAGGGACGATGGCTGACGCATTGGCCGTGTCACAGCCGGCTCCATCGTACAGATTACCACACCGACAGACACACGCCAGCCAATCAGGAATTCATAGCAATGTTCTTGAAAGGGCCCACTCTGGCTCTCATTCTTGGAAGGTCGCCCCAAGAACGGCGCCTAAGGCCTCCAACTACTGCAAGTGCTATACTACAGTCTCTCTGATTGGCTGCTGTCCTTGCCATGATGCACACAACCTTCAAAGAAGTGTTCTAGTCTTGGACAAATGGATCTGTCCAAGATTCATGATAAATCACCGAGAAAAAGAGCGGTAAGCACAGTAGTCCTAGCTGAGGCTAGCGCTCTATGGAACAAACTATGATGGACTAAAAGGGGACTGCCCATTTGCTCACAGAGTCGATGATGCATCGACTGCATCAAAAAAAGGTCAGACTTGCAAGGCCTCAAGCCTATCAGCCTGAGGCATTAATGCACTCAAGCACTGACACTGCATTCTGACGAGCATTTGATTGGGTGGAAGTTGGCATGGCACGACCTGTCATTGTCCGCCGCCCAAAGATTAATAATTATATTGATTCTCAATATATCGTTATTTATCGGAGAACCAATGATCCGTGCTACTGCTTGACTGATGGTGTCGATCCATATCTCATACCAAAACAAATGGAGAGGGATGGATGCCTGCATGTACGCGTACATACAGTCATCTCATAGTCTAGTCTCTGATCGAACTGGATGGGTTGAGTCAAGTTGAGAAATCAGATGGGGTCCATATTTATATCATCTTATTGGCCGAGCTAAACTTAGCTGTGATCAGACCTCAAAGTGAGGCGGCAGGCATGGCCAAGGCTTACTCAACCCAGTCGAACCCACCAAGGACAAGACCAGGCTATTGTGCTGGAATTAAGGGGTCATGCCATGACCACGTTACACGGTTGGTTTCTTCTCAGTTTGCTTGGCCTTCTTAGCCTTCTCCGGCTTGTGAGTAGCCAATCAGCCACTCAGTTATTGATTGGTGCTGAGTTTTGGTCTTGACTGATTATCAACCAGCCTATAGAATCAAATAAACCTCTCACATAGATCACGAGTGGATCCAACTCTGCTTGACGCTCTTTCTTCCGTTTCGAAATCGAGCGACATCCCAGCCGACTTGTTTATTTCATCTGTGCCTTTAATAATACTGATACAATATACTCTGTGCATCACATATGTAGGAATTATGGAGTCGAATATGCGCCGACGCCTGGCCTGCGCCCTTGACCTTGCGCAACCCCATCCTGTAGTTAGTGGCCAGATGCATGCATAGATAGTGCTTAGGTGGGTGCATTGCATGACTTGTTCGTGTTTGATGCATATGGCCCGTTTAGTCATCTGAACAGCACCTTTAACTTAGTTAATAGTTACAGAGTACATAAACTCTAGGGTAAAAACTCCATGCAGGCTGAATCAGACTGTTATCTATATTCATCTCGGTTGAAACAAAGCATAAAACATATCAAAGAGGTTGCTTCAGATTGTTCATTTTCCGTGCTTACTTTTGATGTGTGGAATGCTAGCCTTTGTTTCATGGTCGGCGCCAATATCTACCAACACCCGTTACAACATGGCTATTGCACGGAGGTGGGACTCAAAAAAGTGTCAGGAATACCCTAGCCGTTAGCGTGTAATTTGGAGGTATTTGACGCGTTTTTATACAAAGCTAAACCAAACGAGGTCTAGCTATCAGCTAGATAGACAAATTAGAGTGCCCCAAACCGTAATTAGCTGTAATTAATTATGATATACATTTCTAGTTCCCTCTAGCGAGCATTGGTCTCACTTTTGACGCCCACCTCCATAGGATCCTCTGTCATCTGTCATGAAACAGATACTTTCTGAGATGAAAGTAGAGTGTGTACATAGTAGATGTGTTCGATATAGCCAAGTGACTTTGGAATGTTTCCTGTTGGCAGGTTTGTTCCAAGGTTGTATTTCGTATTTGGTGGGCTAGGTAGGGCCTTGGAACGATCAATTTTGTTTAACCCGCTACAGAGTAAAGATTGATGACTTTCGCTTTTATATCAGCACTGGATCATCTATACATATAGATACCATGGCTCATGACAGCGATAGCAATGGCTCATCTTACCACAAAAATTGTTGCCATATGAAATCTTCACAACACTTAGCCTCTTGTTACATTTGTGTGAACTATCTTTGGAAGATCTCTAACGTAAGCGATCACCGGATGCACACTTACCCCGCCGAACGAGTATTATCTTCAAAATCCAACAACATGGTCAACGAAGCAGATATTTTGAAGGCAATTAGTGATCTGAAAGCGCAAATAAGCCTCAGTATGCTAAGATTGCCAGGAAATACAATATTGATCGTACAACGCTGATGCGGCGATATAAAGGCCAGACGGTCTCAAATCAAGAAGCGCACTCAATTTACCAAAAACTCCTTACAAATGCACAGGAAGAAGTCCTTCTTGATCATATATCAAGGCTTTCAGCTCGCGGATTGCCTCCAACGCCTCAAATTCTTCGAAATATCGTTAAGGAAATCGTAGGACATGATATTGGCGAGTGCTGGGTTCGGCGATTTTGCCAACGCTATAAGAATCGAATTACCAGCATCTATTTGAAAGGAATTGATCAATCGCGCAAAGTTGCCAATAATTCAGAATATTTTGAACATTTCTACAATACTATATGAGCTTTTCATACAATTACTTCTAAAACTGAAGTTAGAATGTGGCAGAACTATAGTCGCACCAGAAATCTCCTTCGCAAGCAAGTATACATAGATCGATTTTCAACCCCTAATTTAGCCCCACCATGATTAACCGGATATGAATAGTATGTATTTTGGTAAAAAGAGAGTTGTATCAAATCTATTAGTATATTAGTAACTTAGTACTTTGAATACAGAAATATCTAGAAGTTCGATACAAAATGCAAGCATGATAAACAAGGTGGCACGTGCGGTTATTGCAATCTGTCAACAACTTGTCTTTCTGCAATCTTGTAGTTTACTTAGTTTACTAAGAGTTCAGCGCACTAGACGCTATCCACAGGCAAGCAGGATCACCAAAGGCTCTAGGAAGTAGACTTGTACTGGTAAAGAAACGCCATTTCTGCTTGTCAGTATGGTGGCTGCGTGTTGCTGCGCACTCTATTGGTCATGACTAAGTTCAAGGCTAACACCAGACTGACGTTATGTTCTAGCGCAGTAAAGCTTTGTATATGGCGGAAGACCTATTCACTGATGGCGATGCTTCACTTCCTCAGACGACTGATCCATGGGCCGATAACTCACTGTATGCCCCCGCTCTGGGTAATCTAGGTTATTCCCCTGGATCCTCGTTTAGTCCCTCGCCGTATCGTATCTTGCCGCAGGAACCGTCAGATCGTCTCGGATTTCTCCCATTGGATGAATGGGATGAAAGTGGAGAGTATGATGTGCAGTCACCCCAATATGTTAGTTATACAATTGAATGGAAGCTTTCGCTTAACCACAAGAAGGTAGGTGGTGAAACGGCAAAGGATTTGATTATAGCTCCCAGTGATTACTGGGTGAAGTCTTTGAAAAAAGCTGTTGAAGATATGCTACAAACAACACAGAAGCGAGGCCAGCGAGTTCGGTATGAAAGTACAACGACTAAAGTCTCGGTGAATGATAAATGACAAATCGCAATGTCCCCTCGAAAAGTATTACCCCTCTACTATCAATTGGAGACCCGTGGAGGCGCAATTATGCAAATGGAGCAATCTACTTCATATCGGCAAGAAGCTTACAGTTAGTATCAATTTTAAGTACCAGCGAGATACCAATAATCATGATCCTGTGTTGCGAACCAGGAAGGACAAGAAAAGAGGCCGAGTGACAGCGACTACAACTATGCTTGCTGAACGTGAAGAAGATATCGCTGCGGAAGAAGTGTCTGGGGCGACCTTGCAGCTGGAATCTAGTGTATGAGCTTATGCAATGCAATGTGAGGTCATGTCAGCAGATAAGTCAAGTTAAAGTCTTACTGGGAATCCGATATAAAAACGTCGTGGTGAGAAGGAGCGTAAGGCCCAAAGGAGAGTACAACGAGAGGCACAAAATCGTCCACTTGACAGTGAGCATCTTGAACCACCACCCAACCCAGAAAATAACTATTTGTTTGCATACTCTGGAGGTACGAAGATTTTTTTGGAGAGAAGAGTTGTGTAGAGGGTGATTAGTTATTCATTATTTAAAGAAACTGGGTAAAACTGACATCCTGCTGTAGCGCATCCATAAGCAATATCGCGTTGCGGTGGGCAGTGGCATCCAAAGGTGCAGCGCTTTCCTGAGAGGTCGGTCCGACATTTGACCTGAGAAATTAGGCGAGGAAAAGGGATAATCTGCTGGAAGTTTCTTGAAGAAGCCTAGTTGCTACATAAAAAAGCATTTAAATTTGCTGTTCATCCCAGGCCCTCCTTTTCAAGTAGATATCGGATAATACAGTATGAGATAGATTCATAGTTAATTTTGGTTCAGCACCAAGCAGGAAATATTATTTCATTTAGGAAAGCTTATGTGGATTCGGACTTAACTATTGCTTTCAATTCCTTCCCCACCCGTTGAGTCTTGTGATGATCTGGACCTAGTGCCTTCCCATAGCCAGCCAGAGCTCGTGTATACATCTCTTCTGCCTCCTTCAGTTTGCCCTGATCTCGGTAGAGAACTCCAAGGCTGTGGATTGAATCGAGAGTAGATGTATGGTCTGGACCTAGTTCCTTCTCACGGCCAGCTAGTGCTCGTGTATGCATCTCTTCTGCCTCCTTCAGTTTGCCCTGATCTCCGTAGAGAACCCCAAGGCTGTGGACTGAATCGAGAGTAGATGTATGGTCTGGACCTAGTGCCTTCTCATAGCCAGCCAGTGCTCGTGTATACATCTCTTCTGCCCCCTTCAGTTTGCCCTGATTCCAGTACAGAATCCCAAGATTGTTAACAACTAGAAGGGTGGATATATGGTCTGGACCTAGTGCCTTCTCATAGCCAGCCAGAGCTCGCGTATACATCTCTTCTGCCCCCTTCAGTTTGCCCTGATTCCAGTACAGAATCCCAAGATTGTTAACAACTAGAAGAGTGGATGTATGGTCTGGACCTAGTTCCTTCTCATAGCCAGCCAGAGCTCGTGTATACATCTCTTTTGCCTCCTTCAGCTTATCCTGATTCTGGTAGAGAATCCCAAGACTATGGACTGAATCGAGGGTAGATGTATGGTCTGGACCTAGTGCCTTCTCACGGCCAGCTAGTGCTCGTGTATGCATCTCTTCTGCCTCCTTCAGTTTGCCCTGATCTCCGTAGAGGTTCCCGAGGTTGTTAAATGCACCCCAGATAGCACTGTCACCAATCAGCTCATCGTTATTCCACCTCTGGTGTACACGATCTGCATGAGCTAGCAACCGCCGTTGGATCTCCCAATACCTTTGCTCAGTAGTGCTAGGTACTGTATATCCCACACATACTAATGCTAGTTCATTCAATTGACTTGCTTTCACATCATCCATGTCAGCGATGTGAAGACACCAATCTTGTACAACAGGGTGCATCATGTAGCTTCCCCCATGTTTCTTGATTTCAATAAGCGAGAACCCAATCAAAATCCTTATGCTTTCTTTGAAGTCAAGGCGATCTGATGTGACAGTCTCAAGCCACTCGGGTGGATTCGAGCTATAGGTACCACATTCTACTAACTCATACCAGATGTCCCGATTATCGAAGTGGGCGAGCAGCAGTATCAGTTCCGCTGCATTCGTGTCTCGTTTTTTAATTCCATCATAGGAAACCATCCATGTTTGTAGTATATTACCGTGTGGGTAGTGCCGTTCTGGCCTGGAGCGTGACTGGAGTTTGTGCCAGGATTTCTGGTAGTACTGCAAGTACTCACTGATGCTGGTTCCGGTCTCACGCATATATGCACCTGCAATGACGATAGCTAATGGCAACCCACCAAGACGGTCTGTAAGGGCAATGACATCTGTACCAATTAGCCTTCTGGCATAATACATAGAAAGGAACTAAATACCTTGGTCAACCACCTCCATCCTGATTGGATCTGGGACTGGCAGACTGCTGCGCTGTAAGAGAAGTTGGATAGCACTCTCGGACTCAAGCTTCCGGATGGGGAAGGGTTCTCCAAGCTCAGTTAAGCTCTGCATCCGGGAAGTAATTAAAATCGAACCATGATCCGCTGTAGGAAAAAATTCGCTAATATCATATCCATCAGCAGGACCGCCATGAACTGGAGAATATTGATCGATGTTATCGAAAATAAGCAGCCAGCGCAAGTTTCCTGGTATTGATAGCCACTGTAATACGTGCCTGGCGTGTTGTTCTATTTCTTCTTTATTTATTGCTTTGGTGGTCTGGGATTGGCCTGGTAATCTAGGCAGGACGGAACTTAAAGCTTGTAATAGTGTCTCTCGGCTCTTGCCACTCATCCAAAAGATGGCAGTGAAGTCATCCTTGTGAACTCGTGCGAAGTGGATTGCTAATTGTGTCTTTCCCATTCCACCAAGCCCGTGAAGAATAGCGACTTTTCGAGACTTGGAGTTCCCTGGTTGTAAATAATGCCACAAGCGTTCTAGCTCCTGGTTTCGTCCCAAAAAGTTTTCAATTGCAGGTACATCAGTCAGGTCGAGTGGAATATCAATCTACCGCCTAAAATAGATCGTAGTTAATCCGTATGTTGTAGAATGATGGACTAAGTTGATTTGGATCTAGATAAACCTACCAGAATCAGGCGGTGTTGCTTCACTTCTTGGTGAAATCTGATACAAGACTGCTTTAGCATAAGCTGCGGCCATAGCCGCTGCATATGGTTGCCATTCCTTATTTTTATGTTCATCTCCATAATCACACACTCCTCGGATGACACCAACCGGGATCTGGTTCATGGTGCCAGCAGCCTCCATCTCCAGACCAATCACATCATATTTGTCTCGCAACTCATTCCTTTTCTCAGCCTTCTTCATCAATTTCTCCCCAGATCCAATCGATCCATACCATGCTCGTGTCCGTTTCGAGTCCGGCCGCTGCTCTCGTTTAACGAGCCGCTCGATCCCACTTTCGTCAACCTCATAGAGGTTGTCTTGGTCTTGCCCTGGATCACGAAATGTGCCATCTGCATGCTCCTTGTCTTTGATACTCTCATAGAATGGTAAAAAAACGTCTGCGTCATTTGGCGACTCAATCTTTATATGACCAATTGCCGCCCTAACAATCTTCTCTGTCGTAGACAATACATGTCCACCACGCAATGGTTGAAACCCGTTTTTTGTTTCCTTTCCGAGATCATATGCGATAAGACCGGCGCTGTCACCTTCTGGAATTCCTACAAGAACATCACCAAGGCGGATATCACGGGGTGGGGTTCGTGAGAGATTAGGAAGGCCCGCTGCAACACCAACCAAGAGGCCAAACCATATATTTGGAAAAAACGTTCTTATCTCGCCTGCGAGCGAGGCCGCCGATCCCGTGCCATATGGTTTGACTACTCCGTAGGATTTGCAAGGCACACTTCAGCTGCAGCGTCGAAACAGCCTGATCGACAAGGGCACGTGACCCACCTTAGTATATCAAGTATCTGGAATGTCACGTGGCTGTTGCTGCCTAGAAGATCTAGAATGATAATATCTAATTAATGTGAACTACTGTTGCTTAATGTATTATGTGTCTTGCCATTTTGCCTTTCCCGTGGGTGACTATTTGGAGAAGATCAGGATATGGTTATTGCCTGGAGCCTAAGTGTAATATCATGGAGAAATATCGTATTTTTATTTGGTACTGTAACTACATATTTCTAGGTGTGGTTTCCTGTATGGTATTATACTATTCAGCTTCGAAACATACCCAAAATAACACAGTAACCGTATATGGATTAGTTCCATTTCATGTTAGGGTTTGAAAATCAATCTATATGTACGTTCGGGAAGGAGATTTCTGGTCCGACTGTAATAAATATGTTATAGCTTGCAGAAAATATCAAGAAATACTGCATTTCCCCATCAAATATTTATAATTTTGATGAGAAAGGATTCCTTATAGGTATATGCCGTACGAGGAAACGGATTGTCTCAATCCATCAGCTTCGTTCAAAGAAATTACTTGGGTCATATCAAGATGGCAGCCGCGAATTTATCTCTCTCCTTGCTTGCATTTGTGCTGATAGCAAAGCTCTTCCTCCCAGTCTTATTTATCAAGGCGAATCACACGATCTACAGGCTAACTGGCTTGAAGATTTTGACTCATCGTCAGAAAAAGCATACTTTGCATCTTCTGAAAAAGGATGGACTAATGACGAGCTTGGATTATCATGGTTAACTGTGATATTTGATCCTTGTACGAAAAAGCGGGCAATTCAAAGCGTCTCTTAATCACTGATGGGCATTCAAGTCATATCAATCTTCACTTCATTGATTATTGCGATCAAAATGGGATAATTCTTGTTATCTTACCTCCCCATTCTACACATTGATTACAGCCGCTGACGTCGGATCTTTCACTCTCGCAGTGCATATCGTATGAGATGACTGACTATCATCAAGTTTTGATTTCAAGGGTGACAAAGCAGGTGTTTTGGCGGTTATTTTGCGCGGCGTGGCAATCAGCTTTAAGCTTTCAAAATATTCGATCAGCCTTTGCTTCACTTGGTATCCATCCCTTTAATCCGTTAAAGGTCATTAATGTTCTCAGAAAAAAGACACCTTCACCAAGCCCAGGCGATAATGAAATAGATCGAAAGACTCCAGGATCTGTTCGAGCAATTCGCCGTACGATTAGGGCTATTCAACAAGAAGGAGATCTTACACAAGCCACAAAGCTTGTGATGAAAGCAGCACAGAAACTGATCATACGAAATGAAATTCTTGAACACCAATATAAAGGCCTAGTTAATGCGTTAGTTAATGAGAAGAATCGCCAGAGACGAGGCAGGCCTTTAGGTCTTATTGATAAAGAGAACCCTGGTGAAGCCCAGTTCTTCTCGCCGAGCAGAGTTGAAGCTGCCAAACAGCGCATACAAGATATTGAATCCCAGAAAGAGCAGGATAAGATTAATGCAGCAATTCTTCGTACGCAGAAAGCACTTGAGCGCGAAAGGAGAGATCGAGAGAACCAAGAAAAGCGAGAAGTCGGATCCGTGAGCGAGAAGCGAAGAAGCAACAAAAAGAGCTTGAAAAAGAGCAGCGTCGTATAGCGCGGGAGACTAAAAGACAAGTTAAACATGATCAGGAAATGCAAGAGAGGCAGACACAGCTTAAAAGAAGACGATCTAAGCGTGTCATAGAGGGCAGTGAGGAGGTTTCTTCAAAGAAACAGAAAATAGAGGTGACTCGTTTAGGCCGAGAAATTAATCTACCCGTGCGGTTTAGGGATTAAATAATTATATACAGCTATCCGGTACATTATTTCATGCACTGTAGTAAATTTTGATACTTAAAACTTCATTTGTTATGGAGATATCACCGAATTGCGTGGTAGAGTAATTTGCGGAGAGGAGTGCATCCGGTGATCGCTTAAGTTATGGAAGATCTTTATCTTAGTTTGTTACCTTTACATGTACTGACAGCAGGCTCCCAAGTATAAGAAATACATTCTATTTTATTACGTAAGTATTCTAACATTTCTTCTTCCTCTCTTTCCCATTTTTAGTATTCTTCAATAGTCAATGTCACAAACCTCCCAAGGTCATATTATATATATATCTTCATCCCATGGATGCCCCTTCCTAGATCTCGGCACAACTTGGAACTTGGAATACTTTCAAACCTTGGAAAAATCACTTAGCTAGGATACTGCACCGATTCCTTACATTCGAAGATTGCTTGGATCTGGGGCGGGGGGGGGGGGGGGGGGGGG